CCCCCCCCCCCAAAAAAAAAATCAAATCCTCAATTTCATATAAGATCTGTGTTTCTGATGATATCATATAAACCCTGTGAAAGCTAATAACCGTTGTTTGGCTGTCGCGTGCGGGTGGTTGTGCTTGTAGGGCGCTAGACTGGGAGCAAGCGCGTGTTCGCGCGTCGTGTCGCAAAGCCGAAAGCATTCTCGAGCTACCCTGGCTCCCCGCCACCTCAATTTAATTCTCCCACTGTACAAAGTTCTCTCTAATTTCTATCCTGCTTTCACTCGCTCGCTCTTTTAGTGAATATAAACACTCCAAATTAATTGACCAACGGTTTGCGCAATATTCAAGACCAGCGACGCCCCACAATCCACCAAATGCCCGCAAAACAAAGCGCCCGACGCTCCAGCGGGAACGCTGTTCCCCGGCCTAGTGTTGCTCGAAGGGGGGTTTCGACTGGTCGACCGTCACGAGGAAGGGGACGAAGTAGCATGGGTGGACGACGCACTAGCGGTATCGAGCGTATGTAGAAATTTATTTTCTCCCTTCTACTTCGTGACAATTGCGACTTAATCTCCTTGCGACAGTTTAACAAAATATTCATAAAGCAATATCGAAGGCTGATAATTTATCTTTATGTTGTGTAGCCGGAGATCCTCTGCCTCGTCATCAGAAAACGCGCCGCTATAAGCCCGGTACACTTGCTTTAAAGGAAATTCGACGATATCAGCGAACTACAGATCTCCTACTGCTCAAGCTTCCATTCTCTCGACTGGTACGTGCTCGCAAGGTATAAAATATAATAGATCTTTACTAATGGGGTCCCTTGTTCTCAGGTCCGCGAAATTGCTCTGACGCAACTAACCTCGGGAGAAATGCTACGCTGGCAATCCCATGCAATTCAGGCCTTGCAGGAGGCCGCCGAAGCTTTCCTGGTCCACCTCTTTGAGGATACAAATTTGTGCGCCATTCACGCCAAGCGTGTCACCATTATGCAGAAAGATATCCAGCTAGCTCGACGGATACGCGGTGCATGGGGAGGCTTGGGCTGATCTCCAGCTTGTCTGTCTTGGATCGACATGTTCGTTCTATCATTACCAAAGGAGGCGTTTGTGTTATTATTGAATTTCGCTGTCAAGTTTGCTCCAAACCTATGGGATGCCGAAGAAACGCCAGTCGTCTGTTCGGGAACCTGCTTTATCATTTCTATCTCCTTGTTGGACGTGGGGACTATCCAAGGGCTAAGGCGTTACCGGTTTCTTTGTTAAAGTAGATTTTACACAGTTGGCTGTGTTTCATATGGCCTGGTGGATTGGTCAAGATGGCCTAGATCATCTGGACCTCGAAGAATATAATATTCGTTGTTCAAAAACGATTAAAGCCATTTCCAAGAGTTGACGCACCCTGCAACGCGATTCAGCTTAGCCCTGGCACGTGTCGTATATCTATGGCTCGGTCATAGAGGACCAGTAAGCTTATTGACGCTCTTGGGAAATAGTGTCATTCAGACGTTTGGTTGGGCGACGTGTATTTGAAAATGATGCAAATCATGACGAGGATAATCTCCTGCTTTTGTTTCTGCTGCCGTCATTAAATATTTGCTGCTCAAATTTCTGGCCATAGAGCACTTTGAAATCAGCTGAGAAGAAAATATCAATGGTTGAAGATTTTCCGCTCTATTAATCGATAGGGTCACTTCTTTGTAACCCAGGAGGGAAATCCTTGGATATTTGGAGCGATTGGCTGTAAACAGCATCGGCTTCCTGCGTCTTCCCTTGCAGGCGTAACGTGTCTGCTAGAATTCCGTCCGCAACGCTAAGCCAAAGGCTATTGTCATCCTTTCGGGCAAGGGTTTGGCCAACTACGGCGCTTTTCTCGGCTTGTTCGCCCACAACGCCTCGGAAAAATTTCCAGGACATGAAGTTGAGAACAATGCAGGTGATCTGCGTGTTAGATATAGAACGCGCGGCTTGCAGGGCTAACTGGAGATAGTGCTTGAGTTTGACAGTTGAGTTCTCACTGCTGGCAGTTGCTCTTATGAGATTGAATGCCGCCTGAATGTTCTTGCTGGGATGCTGGATACACAATGGCTCCAGCGCAGCAAGCGTACTGTCAAGTGCTCCATGCTGAGGGTGAGAAGGTTCGCGGATGATTAGCACTGCATTCAACATTGCGAGAATATGCATGTCGCGACGAATCGCATAAGATGGGCTTCCAAGTGCAGGCAGAGCGAGAGAGCGCCCAAAGAAAATAGCCAACGCAGCGGCAGTATCTCCAGTGCCTTGATGAATAAGCCCAGTGACGTAGTGAATGAGCGAGGATAGCGGTTCCGTAATTGGTGTCCCGAGTTCTTTGACGGAATGTTTAAGCTCTTTGAATGATGCTGCTGCTGATCTCCAGTCTGTTCGAGCACACAACACAAATATCAAATAGAGGTATGTGTAACATCTGAATGTGGATCGCCAAGAGAACTGGGACATAGTAGATTGCATGCCGCCAGCGACTGAATCATGGGGAGCGTAACTATTGTCTCCTTCAATAAGATTATATCAGCATTCGTATTTACTTTTGTGACCCTGCTGAAGGACGACCGAACTCACCTTGCGAAATTTTAAGGCCTTCACGAAAATATTTCTCAGCCTTATGGCCATCTTGACCATTTCGATAACTCATCAAAGCACCGCTGAGAAAATATCCTAATGCCTGTACATCCCTTTTCGGAAGCCATTGAAAACATAAGCGGTCACCATCAATTTCATTTCTGACAACATTGCCAGCTCCGCCTGTCAGCAATGCAGTACTCCTCAGCCTCAAGGGAACAAAAAAAGAGCCATCTTCTTTCCATTGAGGGTCGTTGCTTGCTTGGTCCATTCCCATCTGCATGGCCTGGAGTTTAGCCCCCGAAAGAGAGGAAGTGGATTCTTGCAGACTGCAGCATAAATCTAGAAAGTTCAATAGCGTCACGATCTGAGGCAGCTCTTTTGTCACTTCGTTTAGCTGTAGGCTCCTTGCAGCCGCCAATGCCCGCTGTGCTTGCTCGATACAATCGCTATTAGACGACCGTAGGTATACCGCTGCCTCAAATACTGCGCTTGTGACGAAGATTGCTATGTCTCCGCGTTGTTTTGCTGAATTCGATATGCTTCGGAGTGTGCTTAGAACAGACGACAATTCGTTGCTATAAGAAGTCTCTAAAGACAGGGTAACGCGAAGAAATCGAAAAGCGTAAACCCAAGGAATATGTTCCAGCCTAGAAACTATTATTTTTTGAGTAAAAATAGCATTGTGGGACTTACGCTTCTGCATCATATATTATGCCGTCTAGAAATTTCAGAGAAGCTTTGGGATTGGATTTGAACAAGACCTTTACAAGTAGATGCTGCATGCTATACTTAGAGTCCAGAAGTCGGTTCTAAAACCCGATTAATCATATTATTCAAACGTAATGTACTCTTTTAGGGAACTCTCACCCGCTCGCAGACCGATATCTATTTTGATGTCAGCCCCGCTTCGACAGATTTCGAGAGGTAGGATACTTGCCCCTTTGATTAAAGCTGCCTCGGCTTCAGCATCATTGTCTGTCTCTTCGTACAATATATTGGCGTAACGTAGTCGCACAACGGCTTCTAGGCGGGGTTGTAGTCTCCATGTCTGTTAACACTTAGCTTGGGCGTTTTCAAGCGTAAAAGCGATGAAATTTGTACTTTGAGTACCGCTTCCAGGCATGCGAGACCCGTGGCGATTAATTTGTGATAAAGGTCTAGTTCCCTATGATCCTGTACTGTCGGAGTGCGCTCCTGCGCTGCTTGAAAATATTCATCGGCAAGTTTGAGCAGAAGAAGCTGGTATTCGATGGGCGATATTGTGTTTTTTGGCAGCTGAGCATCGACGATGGGAGATGGCGTCGGCGGCTGTGGTAACTGCGGGACCGCAGTATGATCCGTGTGCTGGAATACTTGGCTTGGTGACTGCTGAGAGTAATTTTGTGGAGGAATAAACTGAAACTGTGGAGGGCCGTAGTGAAATGGAGGAATGTTCTCGTATTGCGTCTGATAAGCCGAGTAATTTTGTCGCTGATATTGCTCAATTACTTGGGGAGACTGCGGTATCCGGATTTGAAAGGCTGGCATATGTGGTGGTCCCGGTGGGCCGTTTCCTGGGTAAGAAGGGTTTGTGTGGTGCGGAGGAGGGAAAGCCATGACCCCGCTGTATGCAAGAAGTTGTCATTTAGCATTAACGCATCCCGTTGGTGTTTGTGGGTGTAAGCCGTAATCCGCATGAACTGCCAGACCGCGATTTTTGGCGTGTCATTTTTGGTTATCACCAGGGCCCCAGTCGCTAGGCTACGTTTTCTGCCAGTTGGGCTACGTAGCATTGCCGCCGCTGTGGCGTCTATCGGAACAGATAATAATAGTGAAGCGCGGGCCGAGGACCGAGGCTAAAAGCCGTCTCCTTATAGAACTGTCTTGATTCCCAATTTTTCGATCTCAAAAACTTTTCTTTAACTGCACTTCTATTCCTGCTTAACAGCGCCATAGCGATATGGTCTTTTCCTGGCTTCCGGGTCGTGCCAGGACGTCATTTCATCATTCGCAAAAAACAGTTATTCTTCCGACAAGGACTGGTGCCAAACATTCCCTTGCGGAATTATGCGAATCCGCGACGCCGCCATGTCACTTGAACCCGTTACTTTTCAATGGTCATCTACAGACAGCCTGGACCATTGTCAAAGCTTATGATATTCCGATTTATTACAAGCGAAAGGTATTTGAGTCTGATGATCCCAACTTTGCCGGTACATTCGCCGTAGACTTTGCAGTCTCAAAATATGACGATTGCGACAATTCTCTTCCCCCCCGGACAACTTATTTTACGGAGGAAGACTTTGAGCAAATAGGATCGCTAGATAGTAAGCCTATGCTTGTATGCTTGCATGGGCTTTCTGGAGGTTCTCACGAGCTTTATCTCCGTCACGTGCTTGCTCCTCTGTTAGCTGAGGTTTCTGGATGGGAGGCATGTGTTGTAAATTCCAGAGGCTGTGCACAGTCAAAGATTACTAGTGGCATCCTCTATAATGCCAGGGCCACATGGGATGTTCGGCAAGTCGTCAGATGGCTGAAGGCCAAGTTCCCGAATCGCCCATTGTTTGGGGTGGGATTCTCCTTGGGGGCCAACATATTGACTAATGTAGGTATCCAAGTCCGTAGATTGCAAGAAAGGGTAATTCGATTAGTACTCGGACGTATATTGATGTATTATCTGAAATAGTACTGTGGCGAAGAAGGTGAAAGTTGCCTTCTGAAAGGAGCGGTAGTTTGCTCCAACCCTTGGAACCTGGAAGCCGCATCGCTAGCCCTGCAGCGGACATGGTTTGGTTTGGAGGTCTACTCGAAAGCAATGGGTTCCTCAATGAAACGGCTCTTGGAAGAGTGAGTGGATTGTGATTTAAGTATCTCGGAAAACTCATAGCTGAGTACACACATTAAGGCACGCCGACCAGATCATATCAAGCACAAGAATTGATCTCGACAAGATCCGAAAAATAACCTACTTGCATGAGTTTGACAGGTAAAAAACATTGTCCAATGTCGAAGATTCTGCAGCTTACACTTTACAGGGAAGTACAATGCCCTAGTTGGGGTTATCCAACTGAAGGAGCGTATTATAGAGATGCTTCATCATGCGATGCGCTCTTGAACATTCGCGTGCCCTTCTTTGCAATCAATGCTGAAGACGATCCGGTAAGTAAACCAGTCATCATTGCGTGTGTGAAAGAGGCCTGAATAGTATTTCTCCAGATTGCGGTCAAAGAGGCCATTCCATTCCAGGAAATACAACAGAACCCATTTATTGTTTTATGTACCACATCGCTCGGTGGCCATCTCAGCTGGATGGAACTGGGAGGAGGTAGATGGTTTGCCAAACCTGTACGTATAGAACTTTAATTTCCTTTGTATTCGCTAAAGAGGCCACGAACTGAGAAGGAAATCAGGTTACCAATTTCTTGAAGACACTCGCGGAGGATATTGACCTGGAGGCCCTCTCCAATTCTTTCCGTGATATCCATCTAAACTCCTATAATCCGCCAAAGGGACTCTGTTTCGAACCTGTACGCCGGAAGATGCATCGCGTTGACCCAACAATATAGATAGGCATATACAATAGACCCATAAGACCAGCCACGCTTTTTTCTTTTTTCTTTTCAAGCGAATGAGACCCGCTTCTTTGCGGGCTTGGTGCGTTTAGAATCTTCTTGTCTCTCAGAAGTCTTCTCTCCCTCATTTTGGCCATCGGTTCTCCGCTTGCGCTTCTTTCTCAGCGCATCTTTAGTCGCCTCCTGTAGATAAATGAGCACTGATAATTCGTAAATTTTCCATTCGAAGACAACTTACAAGCTTCGAATTCTTCTGCTCATGCCGGGCTTCCGCCTCTCTCTTCCTTGCCTCTCTTATTTCTTCCACTTGTCTCTGCAAACATGTTAACGGGGATGTCGTAAAATCACTCGATGCGCTCGTATAGGCCATGCACATACCGCCTTCATCATCTTAGATTCAATCTGGCCTTCTTTGTCGGCATTGACCATTGCAAGGATTGTCATCATACTCTCCTGAAACGCGGTAAAAGTTAGCAATCGCCGCGATGATTGGGTATGTGATCATACCTGATCATCAACAAAGACTTTTCCTTTCTTCTTCCCCTTTGGCTTCTGGACACCGACTGGCGTAATCATGTTCAATTTTGGAATGCCCAATTCCGCTTCCGAATACTCCTTGCGCTTTTTCTTGTGAGCTTGGAGAGGCTTGCTCTTCTGCTCTTTGGCTGGCGGTGCCTTGGATGGCTTCGACTTTGATACTCGGCTTTTCGAATCGCCAACATGTTTACCGGGTTTCTTTGAACTCGTTTTCGCCGAGCTTTTGATGGGGGCCATTTTCTCTGATCTTGTGCGACAACAGCAGTGGACGCAATGTAGATCGTCTCGCACGCCGTTTGTAACAAAATTTACGGAAAGTTCTTGGGGTCGGGCCGCAAAGAAGATCTAATATCTTATCTTATCTTTTTAATCTTATCTCTGATCTACACTGTTTAGAGCTCGATTCGGGCCCAAATACAAAAATGTAAGAAGGCATTACTCTTGGCCATTTCTTGATTGTCTCTCGTTCACATCAAACCACTGCTCTAGAGATGATCTGAAATGGATAAATTTTGTAACCACTGCGGATATCAAATTGCTGTGTTTTCCTTACTTTATAGGTGGAAAACATCAAGGCGCTTCTGAGCTTACGCTATGTAAAACGGCAAAAAATCATATCTTCATCCTTTTTGTATGTAGTATTCCCAAGGACCCTGACGGGCGCTTGCAACTCGTGTCAACCAGAAGAACCCATTAAGCAGCAAGTCCATATTGTTGAACGTATTCCTTTCGGAACTCGTTTTCATCCAGTTCAGGGCCACGATTCAAAGGAGTCCACTTGGGTTCTTCCTTAAATAACCGCATAGCTTTGATGTACTGCCATAATAATAATATTAGTACATTGCGCGCTGATGAGAGGGATAAGCAGAGGCACAAACATTCTTAGAATCGGTGGTGAACCGGTGGTAGATCCCTGGGGGCAAGATGATCAAATCATCCTTCTGCAGACGGATGCGTATCCAGTCATCGTCTTTGCTTCGGACATCGAAGAATCCTTCACCATCAAGGATGTATCTAATTTCCTCGTCCTCATGCAAGTGCTCGCTGAAAAATGATTTGACCTTGCTCTCGTAGACGTCACCCATAGTCTTCGGTGACACGGTAACCTCATCTCTGTTCTTATAATTGCGCTCACTGGCGAGCTGATTGACAGCGGACACGTCGGAGAGGTTGTAGTAAAGCACTCCAAGCTTTTCAAGATCTGCAACAGTCACGGAACGGCCGGAGTCATGGTCTTCTCGCTGGTCGCCCTATTTCGAGGTCAGATGTGGATTTCCTATGGCAAAGGCCGCGAAATTACGTACGGAAAGATTGTCAAACCAGTATGCTTTCATTTTCGCAAGCTTTTCGTGGCAAAAATCCGAAGAGCTAGAATGGCAGAATGAATTATTTTATCTGACACAGCGGCCGAGGGCCAGTAGCTGACGACATTTTAATAACAGCCTCGCTAGCGCAATCTACCCCTCCGAGCGCTGACACAAAAAGACCCCTCGGATAGCCTTAGAGACGCACTTTAAGCCTGTACATCATAGCTGGCCTGGATTGCGTGCCGCTACATCCCGGTTAGATAATCCTGGGCCCGCTCCTCGCTGATCTTAGGCATTTACCTCAATTACTTCAGTCAACATCCGCTGAGACAGGTCGAAAGGACAATCCACCAATATCTTTTTTGAAAATGAAATGCAATGCAAGTCGCTGCTGCTAAAACTCGCTATGGCCAAAAACAAATCTACAAGGATGATTCGCTGTGGCCTTCAGCGCCCTGATTTGCCCGAAGACAATGCTTAGCGCAGGTTAATATCAAGTTCCATGGAGTTGAATCCCACATGGGTCTGAACTCACATATGTATTTATTACTTCACTGAAGGCAGAGTTTGATATCGCACAAAGTGGGCGATCGGCCATCGTCATGGTCTCGTGCCTGCGAAAAACAAGTAGGAGCAACTGTGTTCAAATTACCTATTTGTTTGAGCTCTTCCACTGCCACGCCCGCAAAGTCAACTAGTTGTTCTTTTGTTATTTGGGGCCTATAGTCTGACTGGGATGCTGGGTAACACATGATTTTTCTTTGGGCAATGTTTTCTTCTTACAGGGTCTCGATGAATACTGAAGTTCCCCTAGAATTTGACATGATCAGCGGACTCAAGGAAATCAAAGAGCGCTGTGACACCAATCTTGACAGACCGTTAGGACTCCAATGACTTTGGCATCAAGCAACAACCCGATTATTTGAAGCCAGCTATTGATTGCTGTTAGTACTGGAATTCAATATCTGCAGGCCGCTTCCGAATTGCAAGTACATTGTCTTCCGCAACAAGCAGCATCATGCTGTGTAAGGTCCATTTGGCAGTTGATTAGCGCGGAGAGAAAATGACCGGCTCATTGCATCGCGACTGAAAGCACACCACGAGGATCCCTCTTCCTCTCATGGCCTGCACGCGTCCGAAAATTCCAGTTTCCGGCCAGCAAGCCTCTCCATGTTTGTTGGGCACATATTGTTTAGGCGCATTTTTGCATGTGCTATGCACGAGACGAGGTCTGAATCCGTGCATTCTGCACTGTGACTATTAAATTGAGCGCAATCTACCTGGCTTCTTCATACAAGGTCTATGCTTTCTTCATCTTTCGGTTAATCATTCCAGGCAATAGAAGATTTTGCCTGCGACTCACCCGGTTTACCTGCTTGAAAGATATTCCCTAGGAGTAGCACTACATCTCGTCAATCGACGGTGGCCCATCGCTACCGCAATTTGAAATTGAGATCGCAGCAGCGCAAGATAATGTCACCTAACGTCTGGGCTTTCATACCTGGCCAATCGCGCAGGATCATCTCCTAATCGTGATTTATTTAGGGGCATATCCGAAATTCTGAGGCGGCATCACAAAGACCCATCTTTTATATTTGGTGAATGCGCTGTCTCCTTGTTCTAGGCAGAATCTGAGACAACGTCACATCTATGGATCAGCTTAGAGCACCTGGCCAATGGATTATCAGAATGATTCAGCTAGAATTGTGGAGAAGTTAGTTGGCTGTTTCCAGCCGATGCCAGCACTCCTGGCAAGCAGGCCTGGTCGAAATCTTGCAATGACGATCCCAGCTCAACACAGCTTTCCCACCAGCTCTCTTTTGTTTTTTGTTACGCAAGTCACAAATTGCTAGAGATTATCCTCAGCGAGTATAATGCATGTGTAGTTCAGTTCAAAATTGTGATTTTGTTTTTCTGACTTTACACTGGTCCTATAATTTGGGTTGATCAATTCACCAATTGCAAGAGATGCAGTGACGGCATCCCGCTGCTCCAGATGATTGCTGCCACCCACCCCAAGAGACGTTGATGCTCCTCAAGGGAACACTCGCCACTGAATCTTCCAAGAAGCACAAAGGAAACCATTTGATTCTGTATTTTCAGAGGAGAATTAGCTCATGTAATCGAAGCTAAGCAACAAACCGTCTAAAATTCAACTCACTGATTCACATGCAGAGAGCCGCAGTCGGACAGCCTATTATCATAATAGTTCCAAGGGTCCCGTGGGGGTGAATCTCGAACATTCACTTATCAAAGGAATCTCCTCACGTTTCGTCGGGATGTAATTAACACCGGCCATATAAATATGGTTATTTTCTCAACCTGTAATCCCATGTTCCAGTTTCCTCCAAAAACATTTCCTGCTCAACCTTTCTTGAAGCTGCGCCCTGTTTCCTTGCAACATTGCATTATTCGCAGTAATCAAACCAGCTCACCTCAAGCCTTCCACCTCGACGTCTTTGCTACGATGTACAAACAGCGTTTACTTTCAAGTGAACCATCTGGCCATGGAGGGCGTACCTCTAGCTCCTCATATGTGCACTATGGAATTGGTGGGGCTGGGAACTATCATCGACTCGACCATCCTCTGCCGCCTATACCACGCTCTCCTGTTCCCGCCTGGCAGGACCGTCCGGGAATTTATTCCAGCGGTATCGGCGGCGCCGGAAACATGCGATCCTCTAAAGACCGGCCCACCATCTCGCCAGAAGAGAGTCTTGCTCGGTTCAGACTCCAGGAAATTCACAAGCCACGTTCATACTACATCGGTATTGGCGGTCTAGGAAACAGAGCAAGCAATCACAGTTCTTCCTCTAGCAGCTCTTCATCATCGGTTACTGGCGTTAAGAGCATTGCTCTCTCTTTTGAGCTGGCGAGAAAGCTCGTCAAGCGAGCTGCAGGAAACAGCGCTGGGAGAAAGAGATCAAACAGGGCGCATATCGGAGTGGCAGTCTAAATTTCTGCCAATTTGTTGCATCTTGACTTTGTTCTCGGTCGATTAGCTTGCGCCAAAAGCTGTGTTATTTAAAACTCAGAAATCTCAATCGCAAATTCGCAGCGGGTGGAATTTGGCAAACAAACTCTGTTTATGATGTGGACCTCAGGCGTTGAAGACAAAGGGTGGTGTTTCTCAATAATGGCTATCATCCGTCAAGTACCCTATGTACAGTAATTAAATGCCCTCAAATGCAGTAAATGCAAGTCGTATAGTACGTAAATGGTCGCTATGCGAGTATGTGTACGAATAACCGCCGAACGGAGATTCTGATCCTGGCCAGCTCATGTCCTATCGGGTATTATGACATGGCGAATCCAGCAACGAGCTACACCCAATGCCATCCTTGCAAAATCCAGAGCACAAAATCTCGGCCCACGGGGAATGGTTAGGGTTCGGCTTCCCGTATCTGCGGCCTTGACTTCTCCGGAAATATTTTTCCAAGAGGCTACTTTGAGATTTAGGTTCAAGGACCCTAGAATCTATCATCTCTACAGAGCCTTAATCCCAGTCGTCATCGTCATCTTCCTCATCTTTATTGTTGTGGAGGTTCCGCCTGTCTGCCGTAGTCTCTGCACCCGTGGTCTTTGATCTCAGAAGCACGCCGGAGCTCAGCAACCGGCCTTCAAGTTCGGATGTTGTAAAGGAATCTCCAGCAAAGCTAACGCCTTCAAAGCCAATGAGTCTATCAACGCCGATACCGTCAATGAACGCTATAACGCAGGGCAAGACCTTCACTTTCAGTTTTGTCACGAGGAAAGGCGCATTATCGACGTTGATTTTCAAAAACCGAGTATCGAAGTGCTTAGGTGCCAATACCTGTATTTGCGAGTTATTAGAATTGCACGGTTCCGTCTAGGCTGACCTGGCTGGCCAGAGAGTTTGCGAATCGGGCCCAACCAACCTCTAGATGACCGTCCATGATGCCACAACGTCCAAAATCGGGCTTGAAGAAATGCACCACGCACAGCTTTGATGAAGTGGTAATGTCCATCAAAGCCTTTTCGTCTTTAATTTCGGTATATGTACCATGGGATTCATTGCGCATATCTTTGGCGCGGGAAAGCTCCGAAGAGAGCTGTTGCATGCGTTGCTCTCGAAAAGCGTCGAGAGCGGCGGTGTCGTCCTCTAGGGCATCAAAGAGTGCTTCATCATCTTCCTCGGCCTTGGCCGAGTCCAGCACATGGGCTACCCTCGAATCAATTGTTGACATGGTTGGTGGCCAATGCCTTGATGCCAAGCTTGCAGCAAGAGCTATAGAGAAGAATTGGATGCATCATTATAATCAGGGACTCACAGTTTGATCGAAGTGCAGAGAGCCACGGGTATAAGCGATAGCGGGGGGCACAAGCCATCAGGTAGCCGGGTCAAACGCCATCAATTTACAGGCCAAAGCGAAAGGGGGCATTGTTTCAAGTGGGCAACAAGGGTCAAGGCTATTAACTAATGCAGCAGGATATGCAACTTCTTCTGGTCCCCGAAACTTTTTCCAAAGGGATGATAAAACCGGGATCAGGACAACCAAGTTAACTTCTGTAAAGTCTCTTCAGTACTGAGTTTTATACTGATCATAGGAGGAAAGGCTCAGGGCCTCCTATCAGATCTAATCTAGTGCTCATCTATACTCTCTGGCTCTCTCTCTCTCTTTATCCATCATTTCCCATCAACTTAGCATTGAGGCTGTGGAAGTATAATACTCCGTAGCGTAGAAGGGTACCGTAGGTAGTCCCAGACGACAGACAGGGTCGTGCAGTAAAGAATTGTGGTGGATAGTACAAAGTAAACTTTTTGACATATGTCGCCCCTGGATCAATGAAATTGTCCAGAGATGGTAAAATTAGAGATGGATTTAAGAGCAAAAAGGCTAGCTGCAGCCCGACAAAGGAGAACGTACGACGTAGTCGCTCCCCCCTTCTGCCGCATAGAGTAAAGTCAGCTTATCCGTCAGACGGACGGACCCTCGGGGAGGCGAAGGAAAGACTTTCAAACTTTTGCCCGGTACGAGTACTTTCTCCTTTGGTACTTCCCCCCTGCAAGGTATCTCTGTATTTCCCCCTCGCCCAACTTGGCTGGCACTTGTCTATCTGGTACGCGTCCCTGTGTACCACGTAACTCTGTCCACAGCCTTTCGTATCTTTCCTCGTAACGTCTCAATTCTCCAACTTTAGTGTCCCCCGTCCCCTTCCTTCAAAGCCTCCATCTTTTCTGACATCTCCATCCCCTCCACCTGGGCAGTCAATCTTTTCAGCTTTTCTTCTCCTGCGTCTTTTTTTAAACAAAGTCTTCTAATACTCGCTTTCACTTCTCGCTCCATTGGGTTTCTTTCCTTCTTTCTCGATTTTTCAATTTCATTTCTACCCCAAGCCTCACATTTCATCTTCAAGTTATATTCCCCTTTCCTTGCAACGCACTTTGTGCAAAGGCCACCTTTTTAGGACAATCACCACCACACAGTCGCCATGGCCGACGACAAGAAGACAGATGACTACGCCATTGAGATGGGCGACCGCACTGAGCCGTCTCCTCCTCCGAGACCAGCTCAGCCGCCTGCTTCCCCCGTCATGCATCATGCCGTGATTCCGATTCTCAGCTACTGCGGTTCCTCCATCTTGATGACCGTGACGAACAAGTTTGTCCTGTCTGGCACAGGATTTAACCTCAACTTCCTTCTTCTCGCCGTTCAGGTAATTCGATCCAGTGGCACCCGTCATCGAATTGGTCAGTTGACAATGCATTAGGCCATCGTTTGCGTCATTGCGATTCAGACATGCAAGTCTATGGGTTTCATCACCTACCGAGACTTCAACACCGACGAAGCCAAGAAATGTATGTGATGAATACAATATCGAAACTTGGGACCGCATTGAATAACATTTTGGCCACAGGGTTTCCCATCTCCGTGTTGCTAATTGGAATGATCTACACGAGCACCAAGGCGCTCCAATATCTATCCATTCCCGTCTATACAATCTTCAAGAATCTGACCATTATCCTCATCGCATATGGTGAGGTGCTTTGGTTCGGTGGCTCTGTCACCGCAATGGCTCTATTCTCTTTTGGTTTGATGGTGTTCAGTTCCATCATTGCCGCGTGGGCTGATATTCAGCACGCTCTTGGAAGCTACGGCTCCTCAAGCAACGAAGCCTCTGATAAAATTTCGACTCTCAATGCGGGCTATCTGTGGATGTTCATGAACTGCTTTTGCACCGCCACCTACGTCCTTGGCATGCGAAAGAGAATCAAGTTGACCAACTTCAAGGACTTTGACAGTATGTCTTCTACTGTGAAATTTTTTATCATTGGATTTGTGCTAACTACCGCCTAGCCATGTTCTACAACAACCTTCTCACCATTCCCATCCTGCTCGTTTGCTCCATCTTCCTCGAAAACTGGTCTCCCGAGAACATCAACATCAACTTCCCCCCTGCGCAGAGGAACAATATCATCCTTGCCATGGTCTTCTCTGGATTGTCGTCCGTCTTTATCTCGTACACGTCAGCCTGGTGTGTGCGCGTCACATCCTCTACGACCTACTCGATGGTTGGCGCTTTAAACAAGTTGCCCATTGCTCTCAGTGGCCTCATCTTCTTTGACGCGCCGGTTACTTTTGGCAGCGTCTCTGCCATCGTTGTCGGTTTCGTCAGTGGCATTGTCTATGCACTTGCAAAGATTAAGCAGGGATCCAAGCCCAAGTCTGGACTGCCTACCGTCAACCCTACCGTCAGCGCTAGCAGCCAGAGTGCCCGCGACAGCTTGAAGTCATAGACGTGTTTATGAGAGAAGCCTTGTTATCGATTGGCTTGTCGGGGGGGGGGGGTGGAAATTAGAGAATGGTATTTATAGTGCCATGCTTTCAGACGGCGTTGGATAGAGGATTATAATGTCCTCGATTAGTTCTTAGAATAGACAAGCTGTTTTCCATTCACTAGGGGAGTCATTGGGCCAAGCTGATTTCATGGCTTGTTAGTGCATTTGTCGCAGCACTCCTTTCCAGTGATCTTTGAGCGGCTTTTTTCCCCCACTGCTTTCTCTTTCTCGATATTGGTATTTGATTTGGCTTTAGAGAAAGCTCCTGCTGTATACCGTTTTAAGACTTTCGGTGTGGTGTGGCTTATGGGTGATATGATACCGCGGCCTAATTGAAAGGCATGAAATGATAATATATCAACATTTTTCCTAAATTATTGATCAAGCAAAACCCGCCTTCAAAAATAGGTTGTCGTATGTTTGGTTAGCATAGAACACTTGATCGGCGGAACTCTTCATGTGCTCTTAGTGAATGGTGACGTAGGTAAATAAGGTATGCTTTGAAGCCGCGTAGATACCGTCGCTACTCGGCTACTCGTAGCCAGCTACTTACTCTCTCCAAGCATGAGCAATGGATTGGCCGAATTGGTAGAAAAATCAATGTGATCAATCCCATTTGGGCCGTCTTGAGAAACATGGCGGCGCAGCTAGGTAAGATATTCTATCCTCAGTAGTTTCCTCGCTTTAATAACTGACAAAGTTCGTTTGCAGATGCGGTTCCTCCCCCGCAATCCCAGTCATCGTATGCCCTCTCCGATAACATAGGCAGTAGTATTCATCTTCGGCTGGCTGACTCTCGTACGTATGAAGACTGTCTTTTACCCAAGGCTTTCTTCTAGGGCAACTATCGATTGTGATACTCATTGGAGCATTCATCAAATTTTTCGTTTTTGGTGACCTTCCTTCACCTGAGGCCACTGCTGCGACGTTTGCGACAGCTCGCCGGCAACGCACTCTCGCCCACCGTCGATCAGTGCAGAGTCAAGCGCCGCAGCCAGCGTCACTACGCAAAAAGCGATCGAGTGCGCTTCGCAATCCTCCGCCTCTGACGACTGATACAATACTTTCAAAAACTTACTATAACGTTAATTCTCATCAACCAGAAAGCTTGGACTGGTTCAACGTCCTCATTGCGCAGACAATAGCCCAGTTCCGAAACGATGCACACCACGATGATGCCATAGTGGAAAGCTTGACATCGGTTCTCAATGGCCCTCATAAGCCTGACTTCTTGGGCGACATAAAAGTAACAGAAATTAGTTTAGGCGAGGACTTCCCCATCTTCAGCAATTGCAGGGTCACGCCAGTTGACGAAGATGGACTTGGAAGCGGACAAGGAGGCCCCTGGGGGGAAGGCGGACGCCTGCAAGCTAGAATGGATGTAGACCTCAGTGACTTTGTCACCTTGGGAGTTGAGACGCAATTGATCCTCAATTATCCAAAGCCTCTTGTGGCTGTTCTACCGGTGGCTCTCGCAGTATCTGTTGTCCGTTTTAGTGGCACGGTAAGAGCAGTCTTCCCTGGGAACTTGGGCAGGACCAGTTTGCAACTTCTCTTTCAATAAATATCTGATCTAATGTTCGGGCAGTTATCGATATCCTTTATTCCATCGTCTCCTCGAGGGCCTTCTCCGACCACGCTTGCATTTTCTTTCCTAGATGATTATCGACTTGACCTTTCAATTCGGTCTCTTGTCGGCTCTCGCTCTCGACTGCAGGACATTCCAAAAATTGCTCAGCTGGTTGAAGCGCGCTTGCACAGCTGGTTTGACGAGCGCTGTGTCGAACCGCGTTTCCAGCAGATTGTCCTTCCCAATCTATGGCCGCGGAAGAAGAATACGCGCGGCGGTGATGAAGCGTCCAAGCCTTCTCCTTCGAGCCACGAGAGGGATCTTCGCGAGGAGGCGCAGAGGGAGATTGAAGCTGAAGCAAGAGCTCAGAGGGAGAGGGTAGAGCGTGAGGGTCTCCGATGGAGAAGGAGGGCTACGGGGGAAACATTCACAATGCCCGGTGCAATGCCTCCAGACTCAGTGCCATGAGCAGCATAGGAAGAGGCACAGGTCCGAGTGGTTAGGAAAAAGTATTGGTTTGAACGCATTATTCGGCGCATTTTAGTAACTCTTTCTCATTGTGACGGAGCTTGACTTTGGTATTTCGCAAGTACAGAAATCTCATTTCGTAGATGTGATTTAGAGCAGGAGAAATTACATGTTTATGAATTTGGTCTTTCAATATGCTGCTATAGATTCTCGGAGATTATTTTCACTCAGAATACTTATTTTATGCATTGTGTAATGATGGCGCTGTAAAAGGCGGCATCGGAGAGAATTAAAACCAAAACGCCCTCTCGGGGCATCTCCCAAGCTAATGAAACCCGTCTACCCGGTGGGGTTTCCCGCACTAGGACACCCCACGTTTCAGGCGAGAAACCTCACTGTCACACGCAACTACGGAGTATATCTCAATGGAATCGTCCATGAACGAGAGAAGTGGAACCATGACAGACGGATGCGCCATTCCACAAAATTAAAAAAAAAGAAAAATGGACGAGCAAAGAGTATCAACAGAGACTGATACACGGCATTCACCATCACCATCGGCGCGGGATCGCAACTCACAATTGCAATTACCTCTATCTTGTGACCCACCTGGCCCCCAGAATCCTCCGAAAGAGGCAACATGGATTGTGAGTATACTCTGATTCAGTTCCTTGCTAGAATTTTCTTACGCACTCTTGTTCTTTGTTTCAGGTTAGTCGGTGAATCATTGCATATTTTCTTGAAATATGAATGAGGATTTGTTTCTTTGAGCTTCGATATATGTATTTGCCTTTTTCTTCTACCCATCAAAACAAGACACGCCCATGCAGAACATGCAATTATGTACATTTTCGTATTATGTGTTCTTCTTCATTTGGGGTTCCTCTGGAGGACATGTGGGTTAGTAGAACAAAAAGAAGAACCAAAGAGGAGAGAATAGCTGTTCCGCAAAACTCGCGCGTGCTGACACCTGTTATGGGAAGAGCCAAGACTGAGGGAAAAGTAAACTAACGTTTCCAGATCTTTGGCGCAACAGGTCATATGGGTCGATCGTTAGTGCGAACGGCTTTAGCCCATGGAGATAAAGTTACGGCTGTTGGTCGTGCATTTGAGGATTCTCCGGAATCAATGCAAGACTGGCATCCGCAATGTATGGGGCTGTTGTGTGACGTTCGTGTACGCGAGACCGTGGATGATGTGGTGACCAAAGCTATTGCGCACTGGGGTCGTGTCGATATAATTGCAAAGTAAGTAGACATGGCTTCTACCTTTGGTATAAATAGATTTGGGCTGGCATTATTCTGAAACTAACGTATATTTTTGTTGTTATTCAGTTGTTCTGGATATGGTAAGATGCTCCTGCTCTACTACCCCTGCGGAGTGTTTCGGATCAACTGAAAGCTCCCAATTCGTCTGAAAGAGAGGGTACAGTATACGATGCTAAGTGTCAAATATAGGTGTCATTGGGGCGTGTGAAGACCAAGACGATTACGAGATTCGCAATCAATTTGACACGAACTTCATGGGCACTTTGAACATCATTCAGGCGTCCTTGCCCTACTTTAGAGAAAATTCGGGTGGGCGATATTTGATCTTCAGTTCTACATCTGGCTCTCTTGGTGTCCCGGGATTAGGACGTAAGTTTTACTCTTTTCTCGAATGCAATTGCAACACGGCAGGAGTATTGGACAATTGCCGCTGATATTGAATCTTTCTTTTCTGCAGCCTACTGCGCAACAAAATATGCTGTCGAGGGACTCATTGAAAGCATGATGTATGAGATTGATTCTTTTGGTATCAAAGCCACTTTGGTTGAGCCAGGGCTGGTCCGACGAGATGAGTACGTGACCCTCGAAACCACCACAAGCAGACACTTAGGATCCCGACATTACCGAATCTTTTCTGTGCGACATATTTTTGAGAAGTCATATTAACATGGAGCAACATGCAGTCCTGATGACGATAGTCCTCAACTACCCGCTTTTGGCCATTTCATAGTAAAATCCGCTTCGGAACCATACGCCAGCCCAACCGCTCCCGCAGGCCATGCGAAGCGGATGTTACAATGGATTAGTGATCGGCAACGCACCAGCGCGGTGAAAAGCGCAGAATTGATTTGGCAGGTATGTCGTGCAACCGTGGAAGCCTTCTTTGATTTGCGCAGCTAGATCCTATCATTTTCGACCCAAAAACCAGACGGATACCGAGAGCTAACTATCCCGCCTGAACCATTTAGCTTGCGCACTGTTCCTATCCGCCTTTGCGCTTCCTCCTGGGAACATACGCAGTCGAAAGCATTAGAGATAGGCTCAGGTCGATTATTGAAGAGGTAAGATCCAATCCTTCGACTCTCGAACTCGTCCAATCTGCTCTCCAAAGACATAGTTCTGATGCATACCTCGAATATATTGCTTTTTAGATCGAAGATTGGAAATATTTAAGCTTCCCATCCACAGCCGAGGAGGCAGCGATGGCCACTGCAGCGGAGCCAGGCCAACAAGACGATGACGCTTGAATGAATATTTGACGTGATTTCACTAAAGAAAACTAGTTCGGCCTCAACACGAAACAATGGCAAAGCTGACCAGAGATCAAAACCAAGTTTCCAATGCGGCGGCGTTTGCAGCTCTGTTCAACCTGCGTGGGCATGATAATACTTTCCAAGCGTGTCTCCGCCGGCAGCTATCCTAGCCTATACAGGAACAATTCAGTCAACCCGTTTAGCTCATCCGTTCCCCAAGTCAGCCATGCCAAGGCTGGCAGATGTCGAACTTGGTCATTTTGCCCGCTGGGGGAGATTTGGACGCCATGATCATAAATGAAAAAGGGAAGACCATTCCAAGCTGCGCACAGATCATCGATGAGGCCTTGGTCACATTTAAGGCTGCCGCTGATGAAAAATGAGAGAAGCTTGACACTTCTCATACGCTTGAGGGCCGCAATGGCTGTGCTTTGACGCGGGAGGAGCTGAGGACCAACGGACCACACATCGAAATAAGATCTAAGATTGAATTGGAAATGCGTCAATCTCAAATCCGTGCTCGTGAAGTGATCAATCAGTTTGGCGAGAAAAATATCGTCGTCGTCATTGAACTCACTTCCAAAACACACGCGGTCTATAGTGACGGATCTGAGTAGGGGTACGAATTTCTCTGCAATTCCAAGGTCCGGCGTACACGCTGGTTTCTTATCGAGAGCTTCGGGACTTGGCTGTTCCTTGGACATTTGTGCGACGTAGCGGGATGCCCGGGCACCGAAACCACCGGGGACGGTATACCAAAAGAAATTCTGGCCATAAAGAATAGGCAAAGCCTCTTCATAGACAACCCTGCAAGTCGAAAGAATTGCAGTCCATATTCGCGGCTCCGTCGCAATGAGGCTGTTGCCTTGAATTGTGGACGGTCGAGGAAACACGATCGGATGGCTGTGACTGCAGAGGAGATACCAGTATATTTCGCAGCGTATCTCGCTCGGGAGACTCAAAAGACCCCGAGGCCTTTCCATATCTTCCTTGTCGTCTTTGTCGCTGCTGGCGTTCTCCTTCCCTTCGCTAGTCGTTGGGATCGAATAGACACTATCATAAACGGATATGGATTTCGCAAATTGACGCTCCATGCATTCGAAGTATTCCGAGATCGATAAATTCGACACTTCGAAGAATTGTCGTAAGAAAGAGCGGATTCTGGAGAAGTATAATATTTGGTCTTTTCGGCATTGTCTCTATATATATTCCAAAATGGGCCGTGACGGGTTTTGTTGGCAGAAGACACAAAGAAAACACCTGTTCAATTAACGGTTAGCTTCACGCGAACCAGAAGACAAAGCCGAACGTGACATGACAGCGTTTAACACATACAGATTCATCTTCCATCCATAAAATAGGACAGACAATAATAATAATAATAATGATAATTACTACCTGCCTCCCTCCAATTTACTTACCCTAGTCACCCGACTCTTTGTTTGTGGATCACCGACCCTTAGCTGAATTGGTTGCGCCACTGCACAAACTCGGGGGACAAGATGCTGCCATAACCGCTGTCCTCGAGCTTGAATACTTCAATGACGGGCGACTTTTCTTTGCGACGTATCCTCCACACGCCATCGCTTTGGATGGTCTGCTTGAGCCCTATTGGATAATAAAATCAGCTTTGAACCTCCCTTCACTTCACTTCACTTCACTTCATCACTCGAAAGAAAAGTTTTCTTACACTCAAGAAAAGAAGCGGTAAAATTTATGCAAAGGTTTCCATCCCAGCTTCTCATGCCCCGTTTTTTCACATTAATAGGGATGTCTCTCGTCTCGAGCTCCTCCAGTCGTTGCAGGATTCCATTTCTGTTTCGAAACCCGACAATGATTTTCGGCACGCCGAGCAGAAACGATTGGATCCAGAATTTGAGCAGCTTTCTTTCAAACTTTTGCATGTCTCGGTCGCTGTATATCTCTTCTGATGTCTTCAGTTCCACCCAGTTGATGGGTTCATCTTTGTTTTCTGGCTTTTTGTCCCATACTGTACTGAGTGAGCTTGGAAAGGCTCGCGCAAAGGGAATATATATAGGTACGTTTGGGGTAACTCACCTGCGTCCACTTCGCCACCGATAACGAGCCTTGATTTGCCAATGCCTGTACGGACTACGGAGCAATATTGCGCGTGGTTGTTGACGATTTCGTCTTCTCGGCTCTCGATATATTCTCGACTTGTTGCGTCCCAGGTATCTGGAAGAAGAGATATCGTCTCAAATTTGTATCCTTTGAAAAATTGTCCTGTTAGGGTTATGGTACTTCCGAAACCTGAGGGTAAATCTCACCCCAGAAACTCATCAAGTCCTGCGAGGGGCCTCCACGTCGAGGAGGTTGGCTTTTTTGCATTTGCCATTGGGCTAATTTATATTCGTGGTTTTCTTCTATGAAGCTTGACAAATTGTCAGCGGAAGCAATTATCAGCATGTAACCGTTGTATCTCACATTGTTCCCTAAGAGTATTTCTCATGTCAGCTGCGACACGGCGTAGGTTAGATAAGTGTTTCAATAGATAGCTTACCTGAAAAAAGGTCGCGTTCATTTCAAATCTTGAGATGTGTTAGCGGAGATCAACCCAGACGAAGAGAGAAAAAAGCGTTTCGTCCTAACCCATTGAAATTGTCGAAGGGGGTGGCCATAATCTAAAATCGAGGTTAGAAATGATGCTTCATCTCGGTCTCCATAATTGCATGTCCCACCTTGGTCATCATCCCCCGCCATGTTATAAAGTCGGCCTCGCATTTGCTTCCCGTTTCCTTCTCTGACTCTAATATCGTTTTCAATAGACTGTCCAGGTGGTCGTCCGCGGTATCGTCGAGCTTTTTGAACGATTCGTATCCCTTGGAGAGGTCCGCGCCCATTGAAGGTGGATAATAGTAGCGCAGTGACGAATCGTCGAGCCGGAATACATGGTCATCGTCGTAAGAGAAGTGGGCGATTTCCTAACCATGACGCATTGTTACTTTCCCGTCATTGTAAAAGGTAAGGTAACAGTAGGACCTAAAGCGTACCTTGGGCCTGCGGATAGCTGCGCTGGAGCCTGCAAAGCGATTGACGGGCTGCACATCGAATATACTCATGTTGAGGGGAGGCGCCAGCGGGCGGCTGGGAATGTGGCAGGTTGTATCGTTCAATTGGGATATAATCGGCGCTCAGGTGTTCGCTCTCTTGCTCCTGATGACGCAGTCAATAAATCTGGTACATATGCATCGTCGACGCGACCAAGTCGGCGACGGTATTGGATGGTCCTATGGTCCTTACCTAGATATTCCTGCGGCGATCATTTACCAAATTGCGCGCAAAAGTCTCCGTGGAGGTTAGTGTTGCTGTTGTCGCAGTTGAAATGCGACTTGCTCGGACGTTCCTGCGAGCTCAAGGCCGTAGAGTGCTCTAGTGTTGCTCTTGCTGCTGTACGCAGTAGCTCTAGGTAAAGTCGGTAGTTGTGGGGTTTAACGAGTCCGGTTAAGTTTTTCCATTGGACCCTGAATCGACACGCTGATCCATGTATCTAAGCAATCAATGCTTACCGGAGTAAACCAAAACAAACCTATCAACACACAAGCCCTGTGGTCGCTGAAACTCAAAAATCGAGTGCGGTGCACTTCGACTTCTACGCTCTCGCCAATCTCGAACAATAGACGTCTCGCTGGACAGAGAAACGTCTAAGTCATAGACATTTGGAGGGGACTTGGATCCATTTTCCCCCTTCAAACCCGCATTTGGATCGGGAAAAGCCAAGACATCAACGACACTCAAGACTCGAAGAGCTTTGGAATACCATCACATTTGGAATATTCTTTCTTTTGAGTTTTCGTGGTATCACGCCGCATCGCAAAAATTATTGCTAGCAATGAATTCTCGTCAACCCGCACCGCGGCCCGTGTCTACTGCAGGCGTCCGTCGGAATCTCTTCAACCAGCATTTAAGTCGACGCCCGCCCATGACGGGACCGCCCAACCACAGCATAGCAAGTTCCAGCTCAGGGTCAAATCAAGTTGCAGGAATAACTCTTCCATCTTCTATTGGCTCTACAGCTTCGCAGCACATGGGCTCGGATGCTATGACAAGTTCGGCCGTGGCAACAGATAGTAGCAGCGATATCGTCGTCAGAGATCGAAACGGAAATTATCAAGTGCAGATGCCTTTAGTGATGTTTAGCGGGGAAGGGGAACTGGGCCAAGGAGAAGGAGGCTTGGGCAGTGGTGGAGATGAAATTGGCAGTGAAAAGGCCAGTAAGTAGATTGATAATCCTGGATTGTTTTCATTTGTGGGAGCTATCGCCCTGTCCCTTCTGTTTCTCGTGAGATGTTCAGTAGCAGAGATCTGACTATTTATTTAAGAGATAGGGGCAAGACTTGTTGAGCTCTACAGAAGTCATAATCGGCGTGCAAGTGAGCCTGCTGGTGAGTCAATTCAACGTTATTGCATGCGGGTTTTGGGCGCCTTGAATGCGCATTTTCAGAATTTTCTTACGTGTGCGCAAGTTCCTAAGCTGATCTCTTGAAGAACTTTTCGCTGCAGTTCAAGCCAGTCTTCGCGCAAAAGCAGCCTCCTTGGATGAGGATGATTGGATGTTCGAAAGCGAAAAAGATGGCTTCTCAAACATATAAAAGGGACATGAATCACTTCAGGGTTGGGATACTTGGGAAAAAGAAGGAATCCTTGGTTTTCTGGAGTCACGGTGGAGATATACCCTTTCTTTCTTTGCATTATTTTGGATTAAGAAAATATTTGTATATTGCATCACACCCGGGCACGGTACTATACGCTTAGAACTTCCCATGAACTACATGGGCTTTGCGAGAAATGTGAAAAGAAGATGAATGGCAAACAAAATGTTAGTCAAGAATGTCAGTCAAGGTCGACTGCAGGTGGCGCGGGGCTTTCAACCTTTTTCTGCTTTGGCTTTCCACTATTCGAGCCACCGGCACCGCCGCCCATGAACAAGCTTCCCATCATATCAAAGAGCGGATTGCCTGGTCTCGGAATTCGAATACCAAAGTACATCTCCCCAACCTGCTCGAGGGCTTCATCCCAGATGCCGACATCCTTGATGTGAACAGCGTAATGTGTCTTCAGCTGCCTGAAGAGATCGGCGCTACCTCTCTGCACAGCCAAAAGCAAAAGTGAAAGGAAGTTTAGCAGCGGCAGACTTGGATAGAGTCGCACATCGGAACTTGCGCTGCTCACTTCCTGCACCCCTAAGCTACCGCTTGACTGGCTGAGCCGGCTGGTGAATAGAAGTAACGCTTTATTGGCGGCGCGGAGATTGCCCACAAGGAGATACGGGAAGACTGCTCGCGCAGCATAGAGACCAGCAGTGTGAGACTCGTCCTGGGTATACCACTCATACTCCAAACGGGCCAAAACCTCAGCGGAGTCTCTTGTACCAAGAGTGAGATGTCTTTCAGCATCGTACGGTTCTTGGTCTAGAAGCAGTCAGATAATCGTTCCATTTACACTCATTTTCCTCTTTTGGATATAGGGCGAAGAGAAAGGAAAGGGGGAGAAGAAACTTGCCTTCTGCATACAGCGTACCGGCCACATGGTGCAGCTCTGGATCGCCAGCCGCGAACTCGCCAAACTTAGATGACCAGCTTAACACCAGATTATCAGCATGTCTCTGCCCAAGGCAACTTTCTCCTGGGTAATAATCCATAGCATACCTGATCATTTCATTGACAAAACGCTTTCGCGTAGGCTCCTCAACAGGGAATGCTCTTAGCAGGTCCGTTAATCTTCCTGTTTTCCGTCGTCAATCAACCGGTCAACTCTTTCCCGACACTTCTCCGGCAGGGACTTAACAGCCTTAGATTTGGGATTTGGCCATTTCCTCTGTCCTGGAACTTTTTTTTATCTCCCATACCTTTGTTGCCTGAGTCCGGCTTCAGCTCAGCCTTGTTGTAGACGTCCATCAAGAACATGCTTAGGTCTCCACCACTACCGCCCTGGCCAGCGTTAAGCAGTGCCAGGGCACCAGACGACAGGATATCAATAGCGGAAGCATAATTCTCTTGCTTGATGTATCGCGACGTAATGACCCGGAGCTGCTGGTGCGCTTCATAGTACTGGCCTTCCTCAATCCTATGAATGCGAAAACACGAATAAGCACGTCATACTTGAATACAGCCATTTCGAAAGCCGTTATGCAAAGAAAGCCCCCCTTAAGGCTAAAATCTTCGTACTATGGCTACCACTTGAGGAGAGTGCCGCGCTACTCACTTCTGCCGTTGTCGCGCAATGGTCTTTTCGATTCTCGCGGACGCCATCTCTCGCTATTGTTCGCTTTTCTGTGGAAATTATATCTTTACAAGCTTCAGGCAAGCTAATGATCAAGTATCGATCTCAATCTACCAAAGGTCAGCGGTCATGTTGTCCGTTCAGTTTTTTCGCGATGGCGAGATGGCATCGAAACTCATGAGGCCAGAAGAGGCCGGCCTGCGGGGTCCCCGAAGCTGCGCAATGTACTTACCGTTATGGCACAGTAATCGTTATTCGAGAACTCTCTCAGGTCAGAGACAATGCACGTCTTTGAACTTAAGATCTGGGTACGAGCGAGGGAAAAAGAATGCAAGTGAAACGTAGGTATCCAGTGGGTAGCCAGCAAGATATGATATGCCTGGAGTTTTGACCTGAGCAAGCTTACATAGTGTGTTGGGTAGCTGGGTGTTGTGACGCAACTTGCCAAATTGTTGTGGTATATATGGCGGAATTTTACAGATATCGGTACCAAATTCCTATTTCGGCGCCGATGGTTTAAGGGTAGAATTTATGCTTCCCATGTGGTTCCCACAGCATCGAATAAGCATGAGGTCCGAGTTCGAGTCTCGGTCGGCGCAAACTTTTTGTCGATAAATCAAGTTTTGTTTTTTAATTTTTCTGTTGCATTTTTGTTTCATTTTCCCTTGATATCCTGTTGTTTTTATTTTTATTTTTTCTTCCTTCTCGCGAAATTTAATTTTAGGCAGAATCCAACTTATCTATCACAAATTGTCATGATATGGAATGCCGGGTCTGCTGGGTATGGGTCGAGCCGTTCTGCTCTTTCATGGCTTTATGCATTTACATTGTGATGGTGTTGAAGAAAATATGCTTGCTATAGATGAAAATAGGAGACTGGACTAGGAGACAATCCACCTCAGGGGCCTGGCCCGGCCAAGTACAAAGGAGCGTGCTGTACGAATGAAACCGCTTATTTACTGAAATCCCGCAAATTATTGTACAGATATGTGTAAGAATTTTGTGGATAGAACAAATACGGATAGTCCTTGTTATCCCAAGGTAGTCAAGACGCTAAACTGCGCAATCATGAATCATCTATACGGAAAGAAAGCCACGCCATATCATGCATGCCTAGGGATATTTCACCGTAAAAATATCCATAGAGAATAGAAAGATCAAAGGGAGAAAACACGATCAAAGGGCAAGCCTTTTTAGACAGCCAAGGCCAAACCGGCTGCCACGAATCCAGCTGCCAGAGCAAGAGGCACTCTTGTCGATTCGGCGCCACTCTTGTGGGTGGCAGTAGCGGTTGGGCCAGAGATTGTGCCGGAGCCAGTGGGGTTTCCAATGCGAGCACCGCCAGTTTGCACGGCTACGCTGGTGACGGCGCCGGTCACTTTGGTTGCACCGGGCACGCCAGTTGAGTTGCTAATCTCTTGGATATTGTTGTCGGTCGTGTTGAACTTGGTTTGAGCCAGCGAGATTTCATTATTGGTGAGATCGTAAACAATGTAGGCGCTGCGAATAAAGGTGTCGCCGAGGACAAGAGTGCTATTGTCGGCTTTGGCGATGCCAAACAGGCAGGCCGGAGTCCCATCTTTGAAGGTGAGTGGGTTGCCCTGGTCATCAGTGCCAGCGTCGAGAACAAGCTCATCCATGGACACGGAGATCGTGGGTGAGCTGAAGGTATAATCAATGGTGGTGTCATTGCCCGCCAGTGAACACGGAACAAAAGCAACACCCTGATCCTCGGTCGCGCCGACGGCATTATAAATCTCCTCGGTCACATCGTTGGGAAGGTAGCTGAGACTGCTTCCGGAATCGAGGAGGACACCCACAGCAGTTCCAGAGGCGGTCAAGGTTGTTTTCTTGCCACTCTCTGTGATGCTTACTCCAGTCAATCCAATGAGAAACTCTTGATAGAAGCCGTCCTCCTTGATAACAGGGACCGTGGAGAGTTCCCCAGTATATTTGGCCGTATTGACTCCGCCAAAAAGAATAGCGCCCTCTGAAGAGTCGAGGTCGTTCAACCACAGACTGTAAGCATTCGAGTTGATCATTCCCTTGTTTGCCAAGAGTTGCGGCAGGTTGGGGTAAGGCTGTTGTTGGGCGACGTTAACTTGGACCTCATTGATGGGGTAACCAATACCCAGAATGCCCTCTGCAAAGAAAATGTTAGTTATCCAGATTTTTTGAACAAGGCAATTCATATGACTTACGAGCTGAGGATGAAACATAGCCAATGCCAAACTGAAGATCCGTCACGTCGGCGCCCCCAATGTGTAGAGTATCCGTAGCATAGTCGCCTTCTGCTCCAGAGCTGTCGGCATATTGTATCTGGAAATCGCTCGAAACATAATGGTATGTTGTAGAGTGGTTGGCATTGTATGTGCCGGACTGGGCACACTGATCGCCTTTACTTTTGCATAATGATGATTCGGCAGAATTTGTCCAAAGGTCGCTGCTGCCGGTGTCGATGTGGAGTCTCAGAGTTTGTGCCGGCGTTCCAATACTGACATTTGCAAAATACAATGTCTCCTCGTTGTCAAGCGTTTCCGACACGGTCGTTGTATCTCTTCGGCGTAATCGATCTCTCTGCGCGGGATTCGAGACGGTACGCCTTTGAATATCCAAGCCAAAGACAGCTGGATTGTCTCGTTCAATGAGCTGAATAGCCTCAGTGCCAATCAAGCAAAGGCCGACGGCCAGAGCAACAAGCGAACCGCCTTTCATGTCTGTGGCGTCCACGAATGTGCCTCTTTGTACGGGGAGACGGGATGCAGGGAGAGTCTGCGCCGTGAAATTTGATCGATTATGAGGGCGGCACGGAAGTTGTAAGGCACAGTAACGAAAATAATGGGACAGGAGGGTAAAGTTCGTTTCTAGGAGATGCTACAATAAGGTGACGCGGGGATTGCTGGTTTTAATGCCGATCACCCTTACAAACGATTTGATGAATGTGCTAACTAATTGACCGGGGCAAAATAAATTACGCAAGAGAGAGCATTCAGGCTGAAAGGGGCAACGAGGCCGTAGGCGCTTTCATTCGTCACCTCGCCACACTAAGTTGGGTGAATGACATTTTAGGGAGCGCATGTTGTGAGAGCAAGGAGCGAGGAGGGCGCAGCAGCAGCTTAGGGAGAACAAACATCCGACACCAAAGCGGCGGCCTAGCAATGTAGTGCATCCGACTCCAGCCACACCCAGGCCCTTCCCACCCAGTCGAGCTACAGGTTAGCCTTGGCCAAGAAACATCTACTACGCTTTTGCTCTGAAATGTAGAAAATATCAAAAAATGAATGGAGGGTAACAAACCACGTTGTACAGGATTGTTGTGAGGACGCGCGTTTTGGAATTAAGTTGTGGCTTAGATGATGATTGGGACCAAGTCAAGTTAAGCCTTTTAGTCCCGTCGGAGCCTCGGGTGTCTGTAGTTCTTTTCTGCCGAGCAATAGGCAGCTTCCCTCACCCTCCATCTTGACATCTGTAGATTCGCTCGGCGCCTTCACAATCCATTTGCCGAAGCCCCGATTGAAGGGCCTGGAGGGTGACCGAGGGACGCTTGCCTTGAATTAGCCAAAATACTATTTTCCCCCAACCTCTAGCCTGAGTCACTAGGAGTAACTCTGCTCATTGTGCTCGACCTGCGAGCCACGCGGACCAAAAAGCCGCATGGCAAGTCTTTTCGGTGACGGAGCCTTTTAAAGTTCCGACAGCAGCGGACCCTTGGCATTCTTGATGATGATGGTGGTGATGATGCAACGATTTCAAAAGGTAATACGGTCCAAAGGCCCTGAGCGAGGATGTAATAGTCTCTCAATTTTTGGCAATGTACACGTTGAGCTGTGCACCTGCACTTGTGTCCTTCTAAAAATGGATTGATAAAGAATCTCGTACACTACTTGTCAGACGGCAACGTCATACATTGCATGGTGCGAGCGCCGAGCATACGTAGTAAACTGGGAGGCTGGCTAGTACGAGGTGTATGATTTTGTACCGAGGAAGACCGAGGACAGATTATGCTGACATAATTCTCTATTTAGCATCTAAAACTATATCTTATCTCTCCCTGATCATCTGTCCATCTTGCTTCGCTAATATTTCCATATACGGTTCACGCGTAAATGGGATTCTATCGCGCGGTCACCGAGGCACGTCCCATGATGGTCGCGACGTTCAAGGAGAAATCTGTATAATTTGCAAAGCATCACGAAATCCAAATGGCAGAATCATCCAGTGCCGGCAGCCGTAGAGGCCTCAAAGCAGACAATAGCGCTGCAGCAGCTGTGGGCTACGAACTGCCATGGTCCGTAAAATCCATTCGTTATAATAGACGCGCGCCGGCTGACCAAATATCTCAACAGGGTTGAGAAATACCGTCCAATCTATCTCGACGACATTGTTGGCAACACCGAGACTGTGGAGCGATTGAAAATCATCGCCAAAGATGGAAACATGCCACACGTTATTATTTCAGGCATGCCGGGTATTGGAAAGACCACATCCGTTCTTTGTTTGGCACGGCAACTGCTCGGCGATGCCTACAAAGAAGCTGTCTTGGAGCTCAACGCGAGTGACGAAAGAGGTATATTCTACCTCCCCAGCGAACAGATGCCATGGTTGAATTGTAACAAGAGCTAACCAAAGCAATGCGCAGGCATCGACGTTGTACGAAACCGAATCAAGGGATTTGCTCAAAAGAAAGTAACCCTGCCACCAGGCCGCCAAAAGATTGTTATTCTGGACGAAGCAGATAGGTAAAATTCCCACTCGCAACGCCCCGAAGGGTGCGCTACATGTACAATGGATATCAACTTACCGTCAATTTTTTTAATTCAATCGAAATAGTATGACATCAGGCGCGCAGCAAGCTCTTCGACGTACCATGGAAATCTACTCCTCGACGACCCGCTTTGCTTTTGCTTGCAACCAGTCCAACAAGATCATCGAGCCGCTCCAATCGAGATGTGCGATTCTGCGATATGCACGACTTACAGACGCGCAGGTGGTCAAGCGCATAATGCAGATCTGCGAGGCTGAAAAGGTGGAACATTCAGAAGATGGAATTGCGGCACTTGTCTTCTCGGCAGAGGGCGACATGCGACAAGCCATCAACAATCTGCAGAGCACACATGCTGGCTTTGGCTTTGTCAGCGGCGATAACGTCTTTCGTGTGGTTGACAGCCCGCATCCCATCAAGGTCCAGGCCATGATCAAAGCGTGCCATGAGACCAAGATAGATGTTGCCTTGGAGACACTGAAGGAGCTATGGTAAGCTTTTTTCCGCTCTCCTTTCCTCGCAATGACCTCGGGACACATTATAGTCAATTGATGTTTAACAAAACTGACTCTTTTGGACAAATGCAGGGACCTGGGCTATTCATCGCATGATATTATCAGTACCATGTTCCGGGTAACAAAATCCATCAATTCGTTGAGTGAGCATGCAAAATTAGAATTCATCAAGGTTCGTTTTCCAATTCCGATCTGTTCTTTATTTATTTATTTATTCATTTTATTACGTTGTGCTCACCCCCTACTTAGGAAATTGGATTTACGCATATGCGCATCCTCGAGGGCGTGCAGACCTTCCTCCAGCTTTCCGGGTGCGTTGCCCGTTTATGTAAAATCAATATGCAGCCCCAGCTATTCGTGGCTCCTTCGTGATTTTATTTTATGCGAAAATGTGTTCGGGGGGTGTGGCTTGTTTTTTCCCCTTAGATCTGCATCATATGGCGTTGTCAACAGGCGCTCCACGGGTCGATATCAAGGTGTTATATGGTACCAAATCTGCTTTATCTTAGCTTCAAAATCACATTAAATGGAGCGTCTATTATCCTTTTCTTCTTGTTTTTGCAGTGTCTCCATGTATAGGGCAGGTGCGATCTCTGCAGATGTCAAGCGGCTTTTGCAAGGGGGAGAGTAGGAAGAGGACAGCATCCATTCTCTCCGCTACTTCAAGTATCTCCTTTGCATGAATCACACAACAAAAGAATCTATCCTTTCGCATAATCTTTCGCATAAGCTTGCATTTCAAATAAAATTAGAATTAAGAGTACCAAAAGCATATATGGGGTATGAAGCTGAAAGTGAGAATAATCCGGGGTTAGCTTGTGCCATTAGGTAGGTTGAATTATGTGAAAAGCCAAATGATTTGGGCTCGGATAAAGAACAAAAATTTAAAATCAAGATCTCAACACTCTTGTTTGATTATTCAATCCATGTCGGGTGTCTGTGTGGAGAAAACCAACTGAAGTGACGACAGGTATTTTTCTCTTCGAATGGGCGGAAAAAAAGGGGGTCAAACAGTCATGATTGCAATCGCATAGATTTATAAGCGCAAATAACGATTAAAAGTGCAGTGGAAAGATTGAATTGTGGTCAGATCAGATTTAAGATACGCAAAAGTCTCTGCTGTCGTCGGAATCATAGAATGAGCGTTAGGTATGGAAATGATGATGTGTGTAACATTTGGATTAGTGTGTCGTCATGAACCATCATTAGTCGTAGTCGTAAATGCGAAAATGAGCAAAAGGAACGTAATGGACTCGTCGATCGTTATAATCATGCGTGAACTCCGACAACCGCAAGCGCAATCTGTTGTTTGTGTAAGCTGCTGGTTCCCGACATAAACATTAGGTTATCAACGGGAAAACATACAATTGCAGCGATTATCAGCAAGCCAATGACGGACATGCCTCTATTGACATTTCGCCACCATCGCGCGTTGCGGTACAACTCAGAGTCCGTGGACTCTGTTATCGCTGCCTCGACGTCAGGAGATTCTTCCGCCCCTTGCATTTCCGGTGTGCGGCAGGCAGGAAGGGGCAGAAACGCGCCAACAACCCAAGCTTAAAACACACGTTAGCCACCTCCGTCACTCTTTGCGACTTGCTTCTTGCAATATCACTCACCAAGTGGGAAGATGAACCCTATGCAAAATGCTGCCAGTTCAACGTTGCGTCTATTCGTCTTCCTTCTATCCTTTCGAGATGCAAAAGAGGGCGCTTTCCAGTAGGACTTTCTCATTCCTGCTTGTTTATCTGGCTGAAGATGTGGCGTCCAGGTGTCGCTTTGGGGAGAGCCATCGATACGGATTTCGTCGCGCTGCAGCATTGGGTCGGGAATATGGGACGTCCTTCCGCCCATGCCACCGGTAACGTGACTACGGGGTTGTCCTCCTTCTTGGGCGTCTGGTATGGGAAATGTACCTTCGATGATGGGTTGGCCGTGTACAGGAGTATTTGGCAGCGATCCGTCTCGACCGTACCGGCTATAATATATCCTTTTGAGGTATCTTAGCATTCAACAATCCACTTAACTCAGGCAAGAAGCGTGGCGGACTGAGTCTTTACCTTGCCCATTGGGGGATTCCATAGATGAGAAAGCTACTCCGTGAGCTCGGTCGTACTTGTGGGTTGCCGCGACTGCTGGGCGGTGAAGTGACCGAAGGGATACTCGCAAGACCGGCCGTTCCAGGTCGAGACTGCCTTTGACGTTTCGGGATTCGGGCCGAATTTCTCTCATTTACGACGCGAATTGTAGAATCTGTCGTGTCTCGCCGAGAATTGGGCCTAGCCGCACGAATGGGCTGTTTCCCTTTCTCGTCGCTCTCCTGAGATTGTTCAACTTCGGGAGGAACAAAGCCAGATGACCGCGGCGTCCATTGATGGAGTCTGCCAGCATACGACTGGTACAGGCCAGCATTTCGTTTCGGGATGGTTATTGAATTATCCGCCCAGGAGGCAGATGCAGCTGGGGGCTGGACAACTGGATATTGAACCTGTGGGGAGTTTTCAACAACCGCATGAAAAGAAGCGTGGGATGAAGCGTGCGGCTCCGATATTGATAGACGATCCTCGGGGGACACAGACACGGGGCTTTGGGGTCCTGGTGAATCTGGATATGACTGAGCCGCGTCCTGTGCGCCATCCAAGCTTGCTCGCGAGCCTGCTGGCGAGGTTTGGATTGGTGGGAGCAATGACGAGTACCGATAGGCCGAAGTTGGTCGTCGATTCGACGAACCTGTGTGCAACCGAGGCTCAAGGGTGTCCGACGAGGCGGAAGAGGCGATAGATACGTTGGATGGGTTAGAGGATAGCCTTCGCATTGTTGGATGCGCGGCGGGGAAGCGGGATGGCGATGGCATGTTCATGAGATCTCGAACAGCGCCGTCAATTGCGCCTGAGCTGACTCGGGATCCTTCGCTCTGTTCTTTCCAGATGGTCCATTCGCGTTGTTGCAATGATTGAGACATAGGTGGTGAAGATGGCAGAGTAAATCCAGAGAAGTCTGCCGAAGAATAGAGGGAGGGCAGTTCAGACTCGGAAGCGCTGCTTGTATGAAACTCTTCCTTTGTCTTTTTCTGAATCCTCAACGGTGCTGGCGCACTAGCTTCTTCTTCCTCCTTTGTTGGAAACACACGGTGGACGTCATGATGGTAAAAGGTATCTTCATCGTCAAAGACAGGAGCATATGAGCCGGTTGGAGTCAAGACCTGCGAGGAATGGATTGGATAAGGATTTCTGGAGTACCTCCATGATTCCTTTTCCTGTAACAGTCGGGCATTGGGAGCCGCTACCTCGTTCGACTGCGAGTCCGAACGTTCATGCAACGGGCGACGTTTGGGAGAGCGATGAGTCGCGCGCGGAGAAGGGGACATTGTGTTATTTGATTGTACCAGCAAACAGGGAAGAATATTAATCGACGAGCATTACTTTTAGCTTGCAAGAATTGATAAAGAGAGTGGCCGGCAACGGGGATGCAATGATTGCTCAATAGTAATGACTGACACACAAAGGAAGGGCTAGAGATAGACAATGTGAGTGACGCCCGGATAATCCAAAAATAAATAAAAAGAGTGAAAGAATGGATAAGAATATCAAAGTACGTAGAAAGTCTACAATGAAAAGAAAGGCTGAGCGACAATGCACTCTAGAAGAAATTCATGGGACAGCAAAAAAGAGAGGAAGAAGAGGAAGAAAACGGGGGGGGCGCAAAGGAGGAAAAAGTGAAGGTGGTGAAAGACTCGGTGTATCCTCGCAGTGGGCTTCAGGGGTGCAGTGTGCCTCGTTGGCGGAAGCGGGACCTTTTAGCATATGCAAGTTGCTGCACGTTCTGTGAAGCGATTCGATGGCTACATAAGGTAGTACCACTTGCGGCAGAGACAATCGAATCAGACACAGGTAATGGCGGTGGAAGAAGACGTGCGTCCAGCGACCATGGCAATGCATTATATGTCGGAACGGAAAAGACAAAGGATGAGAAAAGAAAATAGAATGGTATAGAAGGCCAAAACAAACAACGGCGACCATCATAACAACGGTGACAATAACATGGAGACGATGGTTTGAAAGGAATGCAGTTGTGCTCATTGTGCCTTTTTCACCCAACTAACTTACCTTTATTGTTCCGACAGAGAGGTCAATCCTGTCCAAGCGTCTCATTCCTGGTTCGACACGTGATGAGGGTGAAACATGAAACGGTCAAATGAAATTAGCCCCGTCCGTCGTTCCTTCCTTTCCTGGGACCGGCCCGTGTGCCTTCCAGTTACGAGTAAACCACACACAGTTAAAGTTCCAGCGTCCCTTTCAACTGGAACTAAACCCCAAGAGGATCTCTGCGTATCGATACCTGGGCACTTGGATTCTTTCTCCTTTCGACCGTGCTTCACCACCCCTTCACAGCACGTTTGATGGTACTGGTACTCGACAAATCGACAACTCGACAGTTTTGGCTTGCGGGAAAGCGGAAACGAGGGAACGGTCTAACTTCCTTCTGAGCACGCGGTAACTAGAGGACCTGAAAGCAGATTAAGTTAGTTAAAGTTTGGGTAACTAGGTAAGAAGGAGAGACAATAACTCGTGCTTACCTTTGCTGAAACGAGGAAAACCCCAGATTTTATCGAACCAAGCTTTTCTGCTGCGAAAGGTTGCTTTGTCTCTTTCCTTTGACAGCCCCGTCCCCAGCAGATTCTTAAATGCTCCCATAAGTTAGTGAAGCATTATCTCCCATGTTCATGTCAAGCTGCTCATTCGATCGATTCATGCTCTTCAGTTCCATATAATACCATGGCGCCTACCGACTATTTCCAGCGGTTGAAGAATTACTATCTTCGGGACTCTCGTAAGTACTTAAGCTTTGACGACCAATAGCTTCCCCCCACACTCTGTCGTGAAACACCAGCCGTATCAAGCCCGCTACACTTCTCCAACAGCCGCTGATTGCGTTGTCCCGCCATGATGCTGTTCCGTGGTTGTAAACTTTCAACACGTGTCTGAGACGTTCTTTTGGTACCCTCCAGCCATTTGCTAACTGAATCTAATTATCATGTACTCAGAGTCGGATGCGCCAGCTATCACGGCCCAGTCGGCGGCTCTGCTTTCGGTATGTTCCATTCTTGTCATGGCTGCAGAGCGTGTAAACGGCCTCTGCCCAATTTCAATAGACTGCTGAATCGTTTTGATTTTATCCCTCGTCTTGATCCTTGCCATTTCCCCATTCGTCTACCTCACGCTTCGAGGCTGTTATTCAGTGCATAAAGTTGTCTCAGAGTCCTTTGGTCTCTGCCGAGAAAAACTAACAGCCATCAAAGGTGCTCTATACACTATGTTATGTGATTCCTTTTTATCTGTCTGCATCCACGCGGCCTTCGCCCCAGCTCTCACGGGATGCACCTTCAGTGGTGCGGGCTCGGATCCGGGCAGTCACGCTTTCTTGCGTTTTGAGTGCTCTTTTGACCGTCTACGTCGCAATGGACTATGGCAAATCCACTCTTAGCAATGCATTGCGTCTCATGGGTTGGTGGCCCGTTGCCCCATTGGAGATTGCAAAAGCACTTCTCCTCACGGCTGTATTGTTTGTCGGACCATTGTTCGAAAGCGGCATTGTTGAAGGAGGATGGAGGGACTGGATTAGAATATCCACTCTCACTGATACTATGGGTAACTGGATTGGCTGGAGAAATTATGTCGCTGTATGTGTTATTTCCATGATCATATTTCGTGCTTATAACTGACTTGCTTGCCGCAGGGCCCCGTGAGCGAAGAACTTGTTTTCCGGTCATGTTTGATCCCTCTTCATCTCCTGGCAAAGGTGTCTCCGGGGAGGATTGTCTTCTTGACCCCGCTGTATTTCGGCATCGCACATATTCACCACTTCTACGAGTACAAGCTCACCCATCCTTACACGCCTCTTTTGCCGGCTCTCTTGCGCTCGGTGGTCCAGTTTTCTTACACCTCCATCTTCGGCTTTTATGCCACCTTTCTCTTCCTTCGTACCGGTAGCTTTCCGGCCGTTGTGGTGGTGCATAGCTTCTGCAATTGGTGCGGATTACCTCGCTTTTGGGGGAGGGTCGAGGCTGGCCAGCCCATTGGTCCGCCGGACATTAAAGGAAAAGACGATGGAGAGAATGTGCGAACCGTCCTCACAGGCAACCTTTCCGGGCAAGGTCAACTTGGCTTGGAATGGACAATCGCGTATTATTTGTTACTTGTTGCAGGCGCAGTGGGGTTCTATTTTCTCCTTTGGCCGCTGACGAGTGGCGAGCGAGCACTGGCTTACTTTCATTGATTTTCGCCAGTTTTTCAACAAGTAGCATAAAGCTTTCTTGAAGCAAGAACAATGCTACGTTCGAGAAAGCTCATCGTGTAGCATGATTCCATGTGCTCATCGTAATGTCTTATCGAAATTGAAAGGCTTGTCTCATATTCTACCTTTCGATGATTCATACATAATTCGTTAAGTTTAAGTCCGTTGCCACGTCCTTTGTGTAACGCTTCGTCGTCCTAGAAATGACAACAGGTGACCCTTTTCCGGGAACCCACTCTTCTATGATGGTAATCCTGCACAAATCTATGGTCTCTAGTAACGTATGTGAAACATATGGCTTCGGCTTCAATAGAAAGCATTTATTTTCCGACGCCTACGCTCAAAGCTACCACATCGAACCGGCCCCAGACAACGCAACGATGAATTAAGAACTCTTGTTCTTTCTCGGCTTGTAGCGCACACCATGTGAGATGAGTAGATAATTCGCGAAAAAGGTTTCGGCGAACTCGTCAAATCTTTCGTACTCGGCTCCCAAACGATACGCTGCAGCGATGCCGCTAACACAAGCAAGTTCATGCATATTCTGTGGTAGTAGTCAGAAATATTACGATACTCGATTTGTGAAACGAGGTTGATGCAGAAAAGGGCCGGTGGAGGCAAGTTTGCGGACAGACCCCAATGAGACTAGCAATTTAGAGGAAGAACATGATTTGGGAAAACTTACCACTAGAGTCCAGGAACCGGCGTAGAAGGTATGGTTGTGGCCGTTAAGAAACATCATTCCCGGAACAACGCGAAGATAATGTTGCCATCGATGACCCAGCTGATGCCACCATTTGGACTCTATGATCTTATCCTTGTCGATTTCGTCAATGGTCCATAGCTCTCGATGGGTTTTATCTAAGAAAATTGACTGAAATATGTGCTGATCAAATGGCTGGGGCGGTTTGTCGGCGTCTTGTTCTTGTCGAAACTGATGCTGATAGTTTGTGCAGTCAAACGCCATTTCGATTTTCTGCATATCCTGCGGATAAGAATGCGTAAAGTACATTGGGCGATAGCCGCTGGGCTCGCCGCCTGGTCCCGTAGTCTCTCCGGCGGCAAAACGTATTTGTCTTTCCTGGTCACTCGACTTAGGCTCTGCGCAGAGCTTCGAGTCGAATTTAGTTTCATAATGCTTCTCAAAGTAAGCGCTGTCGGAATGGGTGATGGTAATATCATCATAGAATCGTGCACTACCGAGCACAAACTTTTCCCTCCACGTTGCTGTTTTCCCCAAAATCTTCTTTGCGTCATCAGCGAGAATTGCCAGAACCATCTCATCGAATCTCTCAGTGCTTGCTTCTGAGCTAGCATGTGTTCCACCAGCAAGCTCATCTGGTCGAGATGGTTTAAATGGCCGAGTCTGAAGCTCGACACCTTCGTTGCTCCGGCTAAGCACAGCAGAGACATCGGTGTTCAGCCGAATATCTACTCCCTTGGCACGTAGATCTGCAGCCCAGTCTTGATAAAAATTATGAAGATTGGGAAAAGTGACCATAGTCGGCAAATTGGGCAGCAGCGTGTCAGAATCATAATTCCATAATTTCATATTGGGATCGTCGAATAAGCGCTCAAGTATTGCGCAGGAAACATTAGCAGTTTGGTTTCCTGTGCCCTGATATTAGCCTCCCTCAAATTATCAGATAATGGTCTTTTGCCTGATAGACCCAGGGACTAATGTGGACATACCGGTTCCGAGAAATAAAGCGATCAAAGGGTATACCATCTTATCTCCAAAATCCTTGCTGAAGAAAAAGATACGAAGCATGAGCTTGATTGGGATGAGACCAAAAACGGGCATCGTGTATTTGATAAATTTTAAGACCTTTCCAAACTTTCGAATATCGGCGGAAAATTGGTCGACCAAGACGCTGGGAAAGCAATTCGTCCAAAAACTATCTTTGCCCTTCCCAAAAGCTACTTGTAGTTTGACCTCTTGGGGCTGATGTCCGTATTTTTGAAAGAAATTAAAGGTGTGTTTGAATGCAGGAGATCCCCCTTGGACTCCATTGTTCATCCATGATGTACCAAATTTGCCTTTGTCGATGGAAATGCTCGTGGCTTGTCCGCCGCACACGCCCATCCGCTCGATGACTGTAACCTTGAATTTATTCGGATGTTCTGCAAGTGATGCAGCACATGCCTAGGCACTCTTTGTTAGTCTATGGTTGCTACTGCATCGAAAACTTATTTCTCTTGTACAAACCATTCCTGCAGCACCAGCACCGATAATAGCACAATGTTTTCGTTTGTCATGACTGGCTCTTTCCGGAGACATTTTTCAAGGAATTATGGAGTGGGGTTTTCAAAGAAGATAAAAACCGATGATATTCTGCGTAACATTGTCAATCAAATGCTCCCATAGGGGAATATATAATCTCATGAAGGACAATGAAAAGATCTAAAGTGTGCAGGGACCATGTCGCTTTCAGGGTCATGACGTTGACAATATGAGCTATTGTGGGGAAGTCCATCATCCAGGGACCGTCTCTAAGCGGTGACGCTAGGGAGCCCTAAGAAACGTGTGCTGCCGGATGGAGAATTATGCTAGTTGTAGTAGAGGAAAGAGATGGAAATATAATTGAATGAATCATTCGACGAAATTACACCCATTGGTTAAATGATCGTAGGTAGGGGAAGGATCGAGACAAGGATTGAAATCATGAATGGGACCCTGTTCCTCGTTGAGGCATGGGGGGCGGCGTGGGTTTTCCTCCAGATTGGCGAGAGTGCTCGGTCGCTGCCGAGCTTTGCCAGGGGTACGCGAGGTTAAGTTATAGAGTTTCAATACAGCCGTAATATTGAGTTTTTATGAGAGACCATCCGTCACGGAGATATGATAAAGCGGTCACTTATATTTCCAAGCTCGCCTATTCATAGTTTACAGGGGCTCAAGGATTATATCAGTAACCCTGTTAATTTAAATATTTTCGGCTCAAGTATCATAATTCTGAGCAGGACTGCACGACACGGAGGATGACATAAATGGTTTCTATAGTCGTCACGTGAAGACGCGATGACTTCTGTAGCGCGGGTGATTTCACGGACTTTCTTTACAAGACACCTTTTGCACCATATTAAGGTAATTAGACGGCCCAGCGAGATGGAATCTGAGGACGATGATCTGAACATAGCAATTGCTATGTCTTTGCAAGATCAGGAAAATTCATCTTCAGCTAATCCCAATAAACAAAAGGATTTCCGACCCCGGTCTCCTCCAAAGGAAAACAAATCTAAACAAACATCCTCTGCCACTTATGAGAAACAACTATCACCCACTCAACCACAACCCCATGAAGAGGCTCAGAATCAAAGGGTCTCACCGACACTCATCAAACCCGCATGTGGGATTCCTGGTTTGGACAGGAAAAAAGATGAAGCAGCCCGACTGGAACGGCTTGCTCGAAAAAGGAAACATCTAGAACCGTCACCACAACCAGAGCACTCCGACAGAGGGAAGCGCTCGAAATCAGATCGTCACGATGATGCAGCTCAAGTCATAGACCTTACAGCAGACTCCCCTATCAGGCAACAGAAAGGGGTGAATAAGGTTCAGTCAAACCTCACCGAAAACCCAAGCAATCGATCTCGACACTCTCACCGACCCGCAGAAACGGAGTCTCTTCCCAAGACAACCAATGTCCCAGACAAGACGACACTGGAATATCCCCGGGGTGTCGTCAAGAGGACCTGGGCTTTTCGTTATGAGAGAAAGGATGATATCAAGATTGAGGAAGTTTTGCGGAAAGCGGATCTCAATATTGCCGTCCTAAGTTCGTTCCAATGGGATATGGAGTGGATTGTGAACAAATTAGATCAGACGCGAACCAAGATGATTTTTGTGATGCAAGCAAAGGAGGAAGCAACAGTGGGTTTTCTTTCGTATTCCATCTTCAGTGGAAAGAGTCTCACAATTGAAAGAGGGAACAATACCGGAGGGAGACGGCATACGCCAAACACGTGCGGTTATGCTTTCCGCCAATGGACGGGCAAGTCAACTGCATGCACTCCAAATTGATGCTTCTTTTCTACAAAGACTTTCTCCGTGTCGTGGTACCAACAGCCAACCTCGTTCCATACGACTGGGGAGAGACTGGGGTGATGGAGAATGTACGTGGCCATCCATGCGCGGCGCAGGGCAGAAGCTAATGCGCACTATTTGTCCGCAGACAGTCTTCCTTATTGATCTACCTCGGCGACCTCAAGACGCTCCACGACTGAACATTGATGAAAACAATTCCACCCTTTTTCAGAGAGAATTGGTGTATTTCCTGGAATCTATGGGAATGCACGAGGATGTCCGCCGAGGCCTTCTCAATTTTGATTTTACTGCGACCAAGGACATTGCCTTTGTTCATACGATGTAAGCATGTTCATACCATCCTAACACAAGAGCCTACACGAGTTTTTGGCGTCCGTAAGTTTGCTGATCACGCATGTAATAATAGAGGCGGGTCACACATGGGACAAAAGTGGCGGCGAACCGGTTATTGTGGTCTCGGTCGAGCTATTAAGTCACTGGGCCTTGATACGAATGAACCCCTAGAGATAGATTTTGTGGTAAGCAAGAGATCATCCCGACTAATAATCCAACACCGCAGACTGATGAGTCCATCAAGGCTTCATCCATCGGCTCCCTCAATCAGAATTTTCTGACACAAATTTATCTCTCCGCTCAAGGTACGTCTGCCCTTGATATCTTGATCCTCGAATTTCTGCTGGTTACTGATACGAGCAGGCGATGACGGTTTGACTGAATTTGAACGAAGAAATAGCAAGTCAAAGAGTCGACGGAGAGTTGAAAGAAGGCCACCCGCAGGTGCTGAGCAGCAGCTATCACGATGGGTGCAAGAAAAATTCCGCATTTACTTCCCAACCGAAGAAACCGTTCTCGCAAGCAGAGGTGGACCTGGGGTACGTATGCCAAAGACGTAAATATCGGAAATTATCTGAAGCTGATTAGAGTAGAATGGTGGAACAATCTGCTTTCAACCAAGGTGGTATAACTCAGACGTCTTTCCTCGCTCATTGATGCGAGACTGCAAAAGCTTGCGGGAGGGCCTCCTCATGCACAACAAGGTCACTGCAAAGTACCCCCATAGCATTTGTTGAAATGTTGTTATTCTAACGCAGAAATCCGTAACAGATTCTGTACGCCCGATATGAAAAACCAAGAGTGCTAGCAAATGGCCTGAGATGTGCTGCCTGGGCTTATCTTGGTAGCGCTAACCTCTCGGAGAGTGCATGGTAAGTGGGCATCTTTTTAGCTCGTCAGAGCATTTTGTCCATTGCCGGTATGGCGGGGAGAAACCCTTGGGTTCACTGACGTAACTTTATCCCAACTAGGGGAAAATTGATCAAAGATCGAGTTTCAGGAGGTCCGAAACTCAATTGCCGCAACTGGGAGTGCGGTGTCGTGCTCCCGATCCATCTTCATGGAGACACCAGTCCAGGCGCGACCCAACCAGTTGGCATGGACATATTTCAGGGGCATTTGCCGGCCCCAATGTGGCTTCCTGGCCAGCCATATGGTGCTCGATCACCATGGTTCTACAGTGAACACGGGCTGTAGCGATTATCAATTCCATTGCCAATCTCACCCAAAAGCGACCCCATTTCAATCAACGCAAACGAGTCTAGTGGGCAAGGTCTGGACGAGTCCACATTTTCAACCGCCGACATCATCCAATTTCATAGGCGCGGCGTCTGATGGCTTATTTGTTCGTCCGCGGTTTACCCAATCAGAAACCGCTAAGCGTATCGATTAGTACCACGTAAGATCCCAATTCATTTGCACTTCATCATGCCATGCAAAAGGAGCTGTGGCCAGTGGCGCCTCTGGGCTACCACAACATATTGCCTGGGTAGCAAACAGACCGCGCAAGCCAAAATTGACGCTTCAATTCTCGTGCGACTGACGGCCGACTCCACACCTTCTTCGTCCCTTTTTTCTTATTGTGCTAGTCCTCCGGTCCCATCCATCGGGTCAACTCTTCCGTCTACCTGTTAACCACTTATCGTAGCCCCATTTACAAGGATGTCCGCTCGACGTGGAGGCGAAACTTGGCCGAAAGACTTCCCGCTACCATGAGAGGGTTAAGCGAGGCAACCCCACAAACAATCCCTCCAAACCAATCGGCGGTAGGGCGCCACACGGGCCATCGGTTGTACTGTCTACCTCGTCGATTGGATCTGCCTTCTCCTCTTACGGTCTCGAGGTCTCTCCACATCCTCGAACGCCACCGTAGGCGGGCTATCGTGGTTTTATTGTTGAATGTAACAAAAGTAGAACTTAACCACGTTTGCCAATAATACTCTTGCCTCTTCACTTCGATTGCACCGTGCAGGGTCCATAGACAAGCTTTTATGCGGAACTTCCTCCGAGTAGTATTACTCCTGTAAATACCCAAGGAGGTACTTACCTTATGGTCATTGATTAGTGTGTACTTGACTACTACGGTACTTGAGAAATTGTGTGTGATCGCCCCTAAGCCCCAGCCACATAAGTAGGTATCCCCTAAACTATTTTCTGCATAGTACTAATATATCTGCAACGGCAAATTTCTCTTGCTACTGCAATGCTAGCAATATTGATGCCTGTACGGAGTATCATGGGAAAAATGATACGATCCTCATACGTGCGTAATTACAGTAGCGCATTGATGACTTTGAATCGCTGTAAACACATCACGGGAACACCGAGTATGTCATTGTATACCACGTATACGGGGCCTTAGTTTCTGGGGTCAGCCCCGTCGAAGGGGAAGGCAGGCCCGTTACGCTAGGTCCGTAAAGAAGAGCAGAAATTGTGGGGAAGCCGCGCGCACGCCAGCCTCAAAAAGGTCTCTGTCGCTTTCACATTTGCAAGAACGGCTTTTATTATAGTCATGAGCGGGGCCCTCTCCAAGAATCCACACCCCACAAAGTCCGTCAAGAGAGTCCAGAACGGGTAGTAGGAGTGGACTAACTCTGTATTTCCTCGCGGGAGTGCTGAACCGTACCACACCCCACAATGACGACCCACCTTGCCCGCCTACATCCACATAACCCCTAAACCATGTGTCTGTTGAACCACCATAATACTAACCTAGGTAGGCTTATGGTGTTTAAGCCCTGATTCCGTGATTCCCTGGGACTGTGTCACAGAATCGGCGGTCGAGCAAGCGCACAGGCAGCCCCACAGGGCCCTCTTTTATTGCGTTTTTTACCTTGTTTTCTCTATACCGTGGAATCCGGGAAAATCTGGGGTAAGTTTTACCTAGCTCATGAAAAGACGAGGTTGCCCCCTTGAGGCCAACTCTCATCCATGGGGGGAGGAACCTCCGAGCCATACATAGCGTGATTTGGTTGCTGGTTATTTTTGTTGGAACGCTAAACATGGGGGAAATCCGGGAAGGTGCATCTGAAGGGAACAATTATCATGTATGTACAGACACTCGGAGGAAAAATGGAAGAGAAGAAAACCAGGTTGTATTAGTTCTGGCGGTGGCGCGGTGAAGTTGGTGGTACGGCATCTGCGTATGCACTGTGCATTCCAATGATTATGCAAATGTACAGTAGAATTGCCGGGTTGCGTTGTCAAGTCCCGTTTCTATCGTTGCATGAGTGAAGTTTTGCTGCGTTCCTGATATGTTTCTAACGTTCTGGCTTCGGATTGACTCTTCGCTTTGCTATATCGTGGTATTCGACGACGGATATTGATACAAAAGTCATGCTCATGATTTAGGAAATCAATATGGTTGATATGGATATGTATGGAAGTTTCGCACGTTGTATCTAATTATGATGCTATCTGAATGTGGTTCCGCTTGTCGTCATTTCAACATTCTCTTTTGAATTTGGGGAATATGTGCAAGACTGCATAATTGTGTTGGGGATCTCGACCTGTCCTCGGTTCGATAATCTAAATCAGCACTTACCAAGCGCTACAGTTTATATGAGATAAGACACCTAGTCGCCATCCCTGTGTGAAAGAAAGGTTGGTCAAGATATCAATTGAAGACAGTGCGCATATCTGTCCCTTCTGGATAAGCGTTGCAAAGCTCTCGAGCTCGTCATTGATAAGGCGATGCCAGTGTGCCGTGATTGATCAGAAACAAGACCGTAGTTTGGGCCATGTACGTAATGCCAAGGTTTCTAAGAACTTTGTATACATGGGGGCTTATCCGAATCTAGATTTCCTTCAGGGGCTGAAGTGTTCTGCAAACTTAGGCCGGACGCCGAGCTTTTGGACTCGCAAGTGGTAACGAATATATGCTCCATGATCTGTTGTTGGGACGCCGGTGTAAATCGAATTTTACTGTCAATTGTTAATCAACCTCGATTGGGTAGCATCAAAAGAAAAGCGAATGGCCAAAGTCTTCCCATATGATAATATGTCCATACATAAAATGGTGGGAATCGGTAGTCGTTAGTCTCCCGGCACTTGGGGCTGAAAGAGACAGCAACTGTAAGCACACAGAGCGAGCCGATCTCTCGCAAGTGATACAAAGACCTTCTCTGAGAAAGACAGTATCTACCAGCGATGGTGAAAGCCCTGCGCAGATTGTGGCAGATCGTCTCTCCTCGCTGTTAAGTCGTGATGCCAGAACCGGACAACCCGGACGAGACATCCTATCTTTGTTCCGATTCAGGCCCGAAAGAGGTCTCCTAAATCGATTTGAATTGCATCAGCTGAAAGATCGCGTATTGTTGACGGGATTTCACGCAACTATCGTTCGTGATTGTGTTTATTATGAAATTTTTGGGAATGAAGGATGGACACTGGTCGAAATAGCCTGGAAGGCGCAATAGAACCCTATATTTTCTAAATTCTTCAACCATCGTTTTTCGTTAGCAGGAGAAATGACAAAGGTGAGATGAGTAACCAGCTCTTGATCTTAAGTGCTCAAGAGTGACATACAATAATACAAGGCTCCTTCATGAGCGTGAATAAATTCAAACTTATCGTGTCTAAACTGTCAAACTGCCCTCAATACGCCCGTTGCTTTTTCAACCGTCTGTGACTGGGAGCATCTGAGGCTACAAAACTCGATTCATTGGAGGATTGCCCCCCTATGTGAAGTCCCAGAGAGCCACAGGCCCTGGCGGCATCGAGCTTTGCACCAACAACGATTTCCAGAAAGCTGAAAACTAACCAAATGAGAGCCAGAGAGTATGGAGATTCCTTGATCGCTCAGCATTAGGACCCGTCGGATCTGCTTCAGCGAAAAGCCTTGGAGAAAGTAGATTGAGATGAAATCCTCCTATGAACAGTCAAAAGGGTTTGCTGGATCGGGGAAAGCAATCGTGGGATGCGGTGAAGTGGGGAATTTGAAATTGAATTAAGGAAGGTAAAAAGCTCCTAGGAGAGGAATGATGGCGGTTTGCGAGTTTTGTGGATACGTTTCGTAAGGACAAACGAGAACCTCTCATAGCCAAAACATGGCCTGAGAACCTGGAATGCTGTTAATCGAATAAAATTCCTACAGGCATGGAAAACAGATAATTATTCTTTCGGCATTTCAATTAGTTTGATGTTTCCTGAAAGAGTGTGCAAACGAGCCGCAGACAGCCTTCGTTGAGCTATGCCGGTCGCCTGCCTGTGGGGCCTTGGTAGGGGCCGGGATATGAAACGACAATTAATTGCATAAATGCTTCGATTTGCGAATAGTAGCCACATTTGCCATTGGCCGCATAATAGTTTCAATTTGACATCTCTTCTTGGAGAATCCAGCTATGCAGCCAAAGTAAACCATACTATTGAGCGCGATTGGTCATGCGTAAAACGAAGGCGCTATTTGTCTCCACAGGGTGACGCAGGAGAGGCAAGCTACCTTATGGAGATAATCCCATCCTAACTGCCTCTTCGAGATCTCCAGGCAGCGTTTACAGGGACTTGTTGGTATCGAGTACTCAGCAGCCATAAGACCCATCTTACTGGGTGAGGTTATTGCTGTTCACCCGCATCTTGGCATCGGCGTACGTCAGCCTGCGCCATTGAACAAAAGGACGTCCAGGGGAACCACCATAATCCGTTCACTGAGACCCCCAGACAGTACGAAGGGTGGAGCCAACTTCGCGTCTGAATCGTCGACGCTAGCATTGACCACATGCTCATCAACCTGCTACTAAGAAAGTTGGAGTCGATGATTTGGGCGCTGCAAGGGTGTCAACGGAGCTGAAACCAGTGCGAAGATGTTGCTGATAAACTTCGAATATTGCAATCAATATCGAAGCCTGTTGGCTGAGAAGTGACGAATATGGAGAAGCACCGGCGGTCCACCCTCCACTATGATAATTCTGTTATGCAATAAGAGTTGCTAATGGGAGTTTGCTTGTTGCTGGTTTCAGTCACTAATAGCAAGCAACCGATAAACGCCGTCTTTCGAAGAACCTCCAACTGGGTATTTGAATCAGCGCTCATAGCGAAGGCAATCACTCCGAGCACTGTTCACCCATTAGGATCGGACTTCAGCCGAAATCTGGCCCACAGGTGAGCACCAGCCAGCCTGGGAATCATGTTTTGAAACTTTGAACTGCACATGTTTGCAGACGTAACATTCTCCCACCGCCTAAGGTGCAAAACAGATGCACACACAAAGAAATTGGGCTGTGATTGGTCCTGATACGAGGATGCACTATGACTAATTTTTTCTCAAGATGCTGGGCTGATAATGGTGTGTAGATTTCGCCTTTGGCAGGAGTATTTGACCTTTGATCGCAGATCCGTCCTCCTAGCGCCAAGCATGGTGGTTTTTGCGGGAGATATCCTATTTCCTCCATTGGGAAAAGAGATAGGTCGTAAGCTCGGCTCTCTCAAGCCTCTTTACGCGGCCAAGAGGTCTGATGGTGTTGCATACCTCACCGCGGACGGAAAGGTAGGGCACAATACAGAACGATACATAGAGCACGCCATGATACGGGCGATGGGGGGAAACGAAGCGAAACGTCCAGCCAGACTTGTCCAGGCCAGGTTTCACAAGATCCTTGATTCCGCTTTGGCGATACGCTTTCGACTTCGGCGAGGCAGCCCCAGAACCATTTTTGGAGCCAATGTCATAGTTATTGCTATTTTCATTACTAAGACACTATTATTGTGCGTAGATTGTTCCGAGAGAGCGCCGGACTCACCTAGGACGGTGTTAAACAGAGAATTACTTATTGATCGTTCCGTGTCCCGTGACAGCAATTGGGCAGGGTAGTTCGGCATTGCCCCCTGAGCAGCGGCGTAAATGAATTTTGTTTGCAAAGACAATAGGTAATGGAAATGATGGAGATTTGGGCCGAGGTAGGCGAGGCGAAGCACAATTCTGATTTAACTACCTACAGAGTACTCCTACGTTACGCGATTAAGCAAACTATTAGCGAAGCAAAAAGTACTGGCCGCTACTGGACCTTAGTTATCTCCACTGCGCCGATGCGGCAATTGGGGCCGCGCTCGCTAAGGTAGTTAAACCAACGGGCCAAGGGAAAGAGGAAGAGAGTAGAGCGAGAGCGAGGGAGAGAGAATGAGGGACAAGGGAAAGTGACAGAGGAGGGAAAGAAGAAGCGGCACGTAGTTCCAGGCAGGTAGGTAGATCCATGACGAGTGTCTGTCCTATTACATACTGTAATGCTTTCTTTTGACAAACGGCGGTCCCCTTGTCTCCCTACAGCGACCCACTTTGACCTTATGCAGAAGACCCTGGCCGGCCAGCTGTTGTATCCAGTGCCCGATGCTAGTCTAGGCAACGGGGCAAGCAAGCAGGCGGACGGCGAAGTGAGACCGTGACCCAATCCACGGTTGTTCCAATCAAATATCTGCAGTTCAGAACAAGGATGTGGTATAAACAATTGTTCGGTTTCGAGATCGATCGGTCGATGACCAGGTTTGACATCTCTATAACTGCATCTTCCCCACTTGCTCGGATATCAGACATGTATTTTCAGTAAGTGGAGTAGAACCGCGTAGGATTGAACGGGTCGGTCTCGAAAAAATAAAAGGGGATTGGAAATGGGGTAAAGGAATACACGAAAAGGATAGACAAGGGCACAAAAAAATATCCATACATCAATCTAGTGCCTGCGCATTCTCATCGCCAGCAGTTGGCATGGTTGAGAATCACAATGGCTACAAAAGTAGAGTGCACGCAAGCTACCTGTACCTGAGGAATGACTTCAACAAACCTGGAAGACGACTACGAGAATTGTCAGGTAGGAATTATCACATCATGATCATCGCCGGCTGCGTCAGCGGACCCTCTGCAACAACCTCACATTGATACCAAGAAATAAACGGCCGTCAGCGATGGCGTTCGGATCTGGGGGTAAAACTACGTTAAGCGGGAGCCGGAGCTCGTTCCGATCACTCTAAGAGAGATCCAGCTCCACGATAGGCGCAAGACGAGAAACTCAGGTGGAGGGGTGATGGACCCACCCGCAACGACCACAGCAGGTAAAGCGTCAATCCACATTCTTCCATCCTCCTCATACTCTCGCCAACCTCATCAAGTCACCTGCCAGCATCGCTCCGTATTTGGTCCACCATCAACCTTGAACCGGACCCCTACCGGCTGTGCTGCTTTTCCTCCCACCAAGCTATCTTCATTAAGCGTGCCCCTGAATCCTGAGGGGTGGTGTTAAAGAGCTTTGAATGTTGCGGAGATCACTGCCACGTGCATCCAAGTAGCTTCTTGCCGGATATGGGGACGGTTTCGAACTTGGTCAATTTATGGTGGATGGAAAGTGCATGCCACTCCTATACCACGGCTGACAGGGTTGTTCTGTCTATTTGCGCGTTATGGCTGTGATTGGTTAACTCTACCGAGACCAATATTACAAGAAGCGATGCTGCTGCGTTTACAACTACAGTGCTGCACATTCTCCAAAGAAGGACCCTGAAAATTTCATGATCTCCCCGAGTGTGTTTGACTTGGACTGCGGGGGCGCGCGGCAAACCAGCCAAGCTTTGACACTCTCGCAGGATCGCTCTGCAACCGGGCAACAGCCCCTACTCGAGTTTTGCAAGCTCAAATACAGATCTTCATGGTAAACGTCTCTAAATGAAGAATGAAAACATGATGAGAATCTGTCGCTGAAATGCTAGTACCCCTATACAGCATTTCAATTCCATGACACCTCCAGAGCTCTCCATCCCACTATCGCGAATGCCGTGATAAATTAATGCTGCGAACATGGCAGACTCATTCAATGACGCCTTAGAGAGAGCTCAATTATGACGAAGATGATAGGGCATCGTTGATCAGGTCTTGTGCTCTGGTCACCCAGTCGGGCTAATGCCGATCCAGCAATTGGGGAAAGACTGCCAGGGAGGTGGTTGGAGGGAAAGCCATCGCAGCCGGGCCCTTCCCTGCACTTTTGATGTGGTAATAGTGCCCCCTCGGCCACTGAATCTAGGCCAAGGTATCTAGTACACGTACTCCGCCAGCAGCGGGAAAGATGGGCATCTACTCTTTAGCCATAACATTTCCCTTGCGCAGGCCGTTCGTTCCACGAGCTAGAGCAAGCTAAGACACGGCTTGTTGCTGGGCTTTTCGGCTCAAGCCGGCCCTCCAAGACGAGAGAGAGCATCTCTGGGACCGCGCTACTCAAGGTCCATGGTACGTCTCGCTATTGCGAGGGATTGTGTACTAATGATCGACCGAGTGATGCTGCAGACTCCTTTACAATGCGCCAGCTCTGAACGGCGCCGTTGCTGGTCCTCCGAAAGCCAGCCCCAGGCTGAGGTGCCGTGACCACTCGGTGGATAGGGGCCAGCACTGGACAAACACGTCCAACCTGGGAAGACTTGACCTGTTCGTTGCTCTTCCGGTGCCCTCAATTCGAATTTGGGGGAGGGTGGAGGGCAGTTTTGGACTATACAAAGGGCCCGCACAGACTTCACACAAGCAGAAACGTCTGATCGACCGCTACCCCCTTCGTCCTGTTCTTCGCCCTATCAAGCTCGAGTGGTGAGCAACCCGAGACCAGTCCACACGGTACTAATAAGGCCTCTCGAGGACGTCGAAAGGCTTTTGTTCAGGAATTCTTGTCCTCTCGTGCTCATGACTGAAACTCATCCCTTCAATTGCGCGTGTATGAGAGAAGGCTCTTTTCTTCAGGCATTTGCCCATCAATAGAGCAATTGCCGAGTCTCGCAATCCTTTTTTCAACTCTATCAACCCTACCTACCTACCCAACTTTTTCGTTTTGGTCCTTTGCTGCACCCGCCGCTGCATACCTCGACCTACATCAGAAATCCGCAGGCGCCTTAGAACTCTTCTGGGTTCACACGCTCCCCAACAAGTTCCTCGCAGCATTAATTCTCTTTCGAGACCGCGCTTCAACAAGCAAGCAATTCTCCCAAAGATATCATTGACTTCTTGGCAAATTGCACCGCATTGAAGAAGTCCACCTCGCACCTCATCAACCTGTTGCTTGTAAGTAGCCTCTCGCCTATTGAATAAACTTTCGGTTTTCTCGTCAACGTACCTCACTACCTACCACCTACCTGTCGTTGTTTCGTTAAGGAATGTTGTAACGAATAGATCTCCCCGCCCCCCACCCCCCCGTTTTTCCGATACACCTTCCCTGCACCGGGTCCCTTAGCTTGTTTGTCACTCGCTCACAAGCTGGGGATATCGCTTCACCATAACTCTAATGGCCCAGCCCTTCTACTCAGCTTCATGTTGAGTCGAAGTGTTTGAAAAAAGAGAATCACAATTATCTAATGGAAAATTGACATTTCAGAATTCTAGAAACGCTGGGGCTCCTTCTCTCTCCCGCACTCTTCGATTTATTTTCGTCTGCTTCTCTTTCGCGGAGCGTTTCGTTCCCAACCCAATTGTTCTCCCACATATTGGCGCCTTTCTCCACCTCCGAGTGACGTGGATTATCGCTTTCCTAGCTTCAGCACCTGGTGGCCGCTTCACCGCGGATTAATGAATGATTGCGCTGCTCTGAATTCATTTCGATCTAGCCGCTCCATTCGTGGATATAATTTCGGTTGCACGCCTCCGAGCACGCTGGCCGCTTTCCGATACCATTGTGGGGACGCCCTTTTCAATCTTGAAGCTTGCAGCAACAATTCCACCTTCGCTCGTTGTCATTCCACTCATTCCAACGCAATCTTTCGCTAGTGCTGGACTTCCCACCTCCGATAGTAATATACTTCACAACGGAAATCGCAAGTGAACGCTGAGGAGGCCAAATCCCTTCGGTGAACGATCACTCCAACCAAATGGCGAATCCGGGTACTCGCATGTCGCTGCAGCCGACCTATCAGGGCTATGTCGCGACGACGCAGGATGCATTGGTTCTATTTGAAGCGTGTCTCAACGGCACCCTGCACCACGTCCCTCGCCGGCCTCACGATCGCGAACGAAGCAGTCTGATACGAAGCGGCTGTGTTTTCATTTACGAAGAAAATGCCTCTGGCATTAAGAGGTGGACCGATGGTGTGCCATGGAGTCCCAGCCGAATTCTCGGGAATTTCCTTGTTTACCGCGAACTCCTCAAGCCATTTCCCCCAGGCGAGAAGAAAAGAGCTACGAAGCGGAGCAAACGTCCCTCCAAACCTGGAGAACCCTATGCAAGGCCGTCTTTGGAAAGCCCAACCAATACGTCCGACTCTTGTTCACCAACCCTCCCGACTAACCCTCGCGCAAAACAGGATGCAAATTGCGATAAGGAGACTGAGCGGGCCTTGATTGGATCTCTTATAGACTCTTACGGTTTCAAAGATGATGGTCTTGTCAAAAAGACCATGAGTGTAAATGTGCAAGGAGTGCACCACCATCTTGTCTCGTATTACAAGGTCGAAGATGTCTTGAACAATCTGTTAGAGACGCCCACGCAAAGCTCTCTTTTACAGTACATCAAACCTCGCCCTGAGCTGACGACACGCCAAAACTTCCGCGCGCCACTGGATGATGTGGATGATGGACTAGATGCGCATTTCGATGAGTCGCGAAATCCTTATGGTTTCGAGAGCTTCGATCGGCGATCTGACACCATAGTCAATGGGATCGATTACCACCAACATTCGCAGCCCTCTGCCTCGCACTCCTTCTACTCAGGGATCGAAACTCAGCCTTTTTCAGGGGCCGCTTCTCAATCCTCATCTTTACCTACAACCTTTGGGGCATCTCCTGGCTCTTCCGCTAGTCATGCCGCCAGTTTTTCCCATAGCCTTCCGATCAAGACCGAGGATTACATGGCCTACAATCCCATCACGCCATATTCTTCTCGGTTCGATTCCCTGAATACGAGTGTCGGTCAGCAGGCCTCCCCTCCAAGCGAAAGAAGCTCCATGCCTTTGCATGCAGTGCCATTATCTCAGCCGCCACGAGGCCGATCGGATACATCCCAAACGAGTAATAACACTGACACCAAATCAAATAATCTATATTCGCGTGGCTATGCCCCTTCGCTTCCCCGGGCTGACGACGCCTTGTATCCATCTTTGGAGCAGCGATGGGGTTCCTCGTCTGCTTCGCACATTGCGAACCTACCGACTTATCAATACGACAGGCAGTACTGGAATATGCCTGGCAACATGGCCATGGGACACGGGCATTATCCTAGCGTTTCCCCAATTTCACAGTGGGGACAGAACGCGGTCTGAAATTGAAGTCCGAATTGAGCTATGCAGGATCTGCTTCGAACATTCTTGTCCCGGCGCTCTTCACTTACTATGGTTCCTATGCTTCAATTCTCGGTGCTCTCATCGTCAGAGCTCAATGCTTAGCTCTGCAAAGTTCTCGTGGCATTCTTCTTTTTCAAACTTAGTCCCATTAACAGACTATCAGCTTTGCCTGAAATGTTCTATAAGCGCAGCGTTGGCGTGGGGAGTAGCCTTCGATCATGGGCGTTTGGTGTATCAACGCAGCTTGTGTGCCAGTCGATGCTTTTCAGTGTCATCTTCCAATTCTTTTTTATTTTTTTTATTTTTTATTTTTATTTTTTTTTTTCGGGTTTGAACGTTTTCAACGTCAGTGGTGAATCAATATTCCAGCACACTTCTTAGTATAACCCCGAGTTTTATTGCTTTGGAGCGAGTATACGGCGAGCAAAGTTGAATCGCATCTTTATTCAGAAATATCTTGCTTCAATTTCCCTTTCAACCTCTTCTTCTCCTTTGTACTATTGGTAGTTATCTCGCAATTTCCTTTAACAGAAAGAGTCTCACAAGGCAACGGCAATAGTTGACGCATACGTTTGAATGAAAATTGGATCAAGTATATCAAGGGAAAAGTCTCCTCTATTTGCTCAATTTGTCCCACGTCTTCAACAGTCGGAAAGTAAATCTTGATGTTCCATATGATCGGTTGATATAATAATCCATTTCGGAATAACGATTTCCGGAGTAAGCGGTGCTCGGGCCTATGGGCGTATAATGGATTGATGATATCACTGGCTAGAGCAGTTTAACTAACAGCACGAGTTTCTGCTCGGTTCGGTTAAACCCCGTCCATCCGCCTTCCCCAAACATCTCTCTAACCTGAGCCTTACTGGAATAAACTGCTACACGCGACAGGAAATCCTCAAATTGCTTTATTGCAATCATCTACGGCTGCCGCTTTTGGCAGTGCACACAATGACATGGCGAGACCATTACTGAGCGCGACTCAGCGCTCGTTCTGTACACGATTTAATCCCCAATTACATCCGACACTTCAGCCATTTTCTCTTCTTCGACATGTCCGAAAATTCGCCCAGGATCACTCAAATAACAACCGATCAATTGCAACGCAACGCGAATCGATTTCTATCCTCAGCCTGCTCAGGTCACAACGGCATGTAAGGTTAGTTTAGAGTCATCAATTCCTCTGAAGATCGCCGCTGAATGGTGGTTGCCAGCAGATCACAAAATGGGTTCTCTCACGTCCAACTACGGTCATATTCTTCTGAACGAAACGACCGCCCTAAGCCCGTTGAAAAAAGGTGCGTTGGGAACTATGAGGCGGGATTGGCATTTGGTTTTTGATATAAGACTTTGAGCGTCCCAATCAAAGGGCCTCTATAATTCCTTGATCGACAACTAAAAGTCTGCAGCAGAAAGCCGCTCGCAAAACCCCTTGCTGCCATTTCCAATCGCCTCCAGTCATTAACGCCTCATGAGAATATCTATACGCTTCCGAATATCCTCACTTTCTCACGTCTTATCGCCGCGCCCTTCATCGGATACCTTTTCGTGCACGAGCAATACGCTTGGTCCCTAGGTCTTTTCGCATATGCTGGTCTGACGGACTTGGTGGATGGATACATAGCACGGAAATGGAAAATGCAGACCGTTGTTGGCACAGTCATAGATCCTATGGCTGACAAGGTCCTAATGACCATCTTGACTGTGTGCCTGGCTGTGAAGGGAGCTTTACCCCGTCAGTAATGCCCTTGTTATGGTTCTGCTTGAGCGTACTCTCAGCATAATTTGCCAGTGCACGAGCTTCTGAATATTTACTAACATTTGCTTTCAGTTTGGCTCGCAACCCTGATCCTTGGCCGGGATGTCGGGCTTGGCCTCGCTGCCATTTACTACCGATTCATATCCCTGCCAGAGCCCAAGACGTTCGCCCGCTACTGGGACTTTTCCATCCCCAGTGCCGAAGTCCATCCCACAGGGATCTCCAAAGTAAATACAGCACTTCAGCTTGCGCTCATCGGAGCTACTACGGCTCTACCTATTGTCAGTGCAAGCATCGATATCATGCCCGCCATGACTGCGCTCCAGTGAGGCTTCCTTGGACACCATCATCGTCCAAAATTATATACTGACTTTATATTTTCCAAATTTCAGATATACCGTGGCGGCCACCACCATCTGGAGTGGCGCAAGCTATCTTTATACCAAAGATGCGGTTAAAATTTTGACGCCGGAAGAGACAGAGGAGAGAATTGCAAGGGCTAAAGCATCAAAGGATACGAAACAAGCTTCGGATAGAAAGTGAGCAGCGCATACCCCATTTGAACGTTTGCGTAAAGTGCATAAAGAGTCAATAGCATTCTGTTTTGTGGTGCTACCTGATACATGTGACTGCGCCACCTGGCTCGGAGAGCTAGACAGTGTCCATTCCGATTAAATATTTGGGGAATAAATTACATACAAGTCCACCTTCCCATAACCTGGCGCTAATGTGAGAATGCAAATCTCTATCTTAGAATGTAACGGCTACCAAATAAACTCCTTAGTTTTTAAAGTGACCGAGGCATCAACCATGTCTTGCAAAATGCGTTCCCGTTCGAACTCAAAACGCCGCTCCAAGTCTATTTGCCTGAATGCGCCCCCGAATACGCCAAAGGAATATGTCAAAGTATAATTAGAGGCCGGCGTATGCAAGTTTCCGGGCCTTTATCTCCTCAATTGCAGCGGCCTTATCAGCCGCTTTTCGGCCACTTCGGACGTATGCCAGTAGTCGCAAAGCACCAGAAGGTGTCATCTAAACAAAAAAAATAAAAGAGTCAGCTTCAAATTGAATCCGGTAAGTGTTGAAAGGGAGCACCAAGACTATGTATTGGAATGGCAAACAATCTTGGAGAGAAAGAAAATTTTCTTCTGGACTGAACTTACACCCTCAATTCTCCTAGCCTGGCCGACAGATTCGGGCCTAGTAGCTTTGAGAAGATGGCGTTCTTCCATGGAGAGGCCATGGATGCTATCGTAATCTAGATCGGCGGGCAAGCGAAGGTGTTCGTCTTTGAGGAAGACGTTGATGGCTTGCTTCTGCTGCTCAACATAGGGCGCATATACGCCTTCAATGGCTACGCGATTACGAGTAGCAGTAGAAAATGTGGAGATGGCAGGGACATGGGCGGCAAGAATGTCCAAAGTGACACCGGTTGTGCGTAAGAGATCGAAAGCTGAGCGTCTGACCGAGTCTTGATGGACTCGGAAGCCACGGTCAATCCAGCCAGCGGAAGATGATCTCGTCTCTTCCAGAACCGTTTTGAGAGCGTCCATCTCCTCGACAGAATCCTGAAAGTGCGACCACCGCTTGTCGCCCACAATGCCTGCGGCGCGACCTTTGGCCGTAAGCCTCAGGTCAGCGTTGTCCGCGCGAGCACTCATACGGTATTCGCTGCGCGATGTGAACATGCGGTAGGGCTCGGATACGCCCTTTGTTATTAAGTCATCAATCATGATACCAATGTATCCGTCACTTCGCTTTAATGACAGCTGGGGCTTCGACTGCGAAGACAGACCGGCGTTAATGCCAGCAATGATACCTTGCGCTGCTGCCTCCTCGTAACCTGTCGTGCCATTGATCTGACCTGCAAGGAAAAGCCCCTCAATAGGTTTCGTCTCGAGCGTTGCGCGAAGATTTCGAGGATCAACGTAGTCGTATTCCACACCATATCCGGGCTGAAGCATTGTGACGTTTTCCAGGCCTTTTATGGTTTTGAGCATGGCTTCTTGTGCCTCCACTGGTACGGTCATGGAGATGCCATTCGGGTAGATGACATCCGTGTCAAACCCTTCCGGCTCTAGCCAAACCAGGTGTTGCGTCTTTTCTCTGAAACGGATAATCTTCGATTCCAACGACGGACAATATCGTGGCCCTTTTACCGTCTCACGAATGTGAATGGTCTTGTCAAGGTTTGCTCGAATTATCTCATGGGTCGCCTCATTGGTGTGGGTGCTATAGCAGTTCAGCTGATCTTTAACGCTGACTGTGTCATTAAGATAGCTGAATGGCATAGGAGGTTCATCGCCAGGCTGGGTTTCTAAAATTTTGAAGTCGATTGTTTTGCCGTCCAATCGAGGTGGTGTTCCGGTCTTAAGGCGGCCAAGCTGAAATCCGGCATCTTTGAGGGATTTGCTGAGCCCAAATGTGGCTGCCTCGCCCATTCTGCCAGACGGGAAAACATCGAGACCTAGTCGCCGGGAAGTCCAAAGTTAGCTTTTCATGGCTCCTAAATATTTCAACCTCCCCTTTGGAATCAAGAAAAGCGACAAGTCGTTCATCTCTTACCAATATGGATTTCTCCGCCTAGGAAAGTGCCAGTCGTGATAACCACATGTTCGGTGGCAATAACTTCTCCGTTTTCGAGTCGCACGCCTGCGATCTTGCCGTGTCTTCCAGGCCCAAGTAATCCATCTCTGTTGACAATGATATCGGCCACGCTCCCTTCTACCACGGATAAGTTTTTGTATGCGAGCATCTCCTCTTTCATGTACTTCTTGTACAATGATCGGTCAATCTGAGCACGGGGCCCCCAAACCGCTGGACCTTTCTTCCGATTCAAGACACGAAATTGAACCCCAGCTTTATCCACTATACGGCCAGCAACTCCATCCAATGCATCAATCTCTCGAATCATTGTCCCTTTGCCGATCCCGCCAAAGCTAGGATTACAGGAACATACGCCGAGATTGTCCAATTTCGGCGTCACAAGGGCTGTTCGAGCGCCTGATCGAGCGGCGGCAGCACTGGCTTCGGTCCCGGCATGACCGCCACCGATGACTACAACATCATAGGATCTGTTTACATCGTTTACCTAGTTAGCTTTCCACTCTAAATATTCGATTGCAACTTGACGAAACATCATTCTCTACCGACCTCGTCCCGTTTGACACCGTGGCGAGGTGTCTTTGGAATGACTTCCATAAGTGCGCGCTGGAGAATTGACGCCGTGACAGTGGCAGTGACGGACTGACAAACATCTCCACAATTTAATCTGTGAAGTTGTCGCAGAAGATGAGTATGAATTTGCCCTTCAATGATTTCCACCTCTCCCGCCGAACGTCGCGAAACATTTCGGCACCCAATTGGTTTAGCGCAGCCTTTTTCTTTCTCCAGAATCGGAGGTAAAGGCCGGGTATCTCCGACAATATCAAACCAACGAGCACCAGCTTTAGCTTCACCAGCAAAGAGCGTAACATCGGTTTGGGGTTTATTAAAAACCTATGATTGAGCTATGATATGATGGCGCATACAAGAGAGACACTTGAACCATTGAATGCCGTCGGTATCAATTATGAGGCTCGCTATATGCGAGATCTATACCAAAAATCAAAAGTGGCGCCTCTGATGATAAGGATTTGTCCTCAAGAAAATAAGAAAAGATAATACGCCTTTGTAGTGACCAAAGAAAACGCTAAGCGCAGCATCCCAAACGCCAATTTGGTCTAAATGATAGAGGTTCAGCAAGATGCAGCCTTCAACGCCGATTCAAAGCTTTTGCTGCCGTCGAACTTGACGAAGATTCAGGCCAACCACTCACGGCATTCTCCACCTCCTCAAGAAAGGTCGAGCTGTTATGTATGGTCGTGCCTCCTAATACCACCCTGATGCCGGGAGAGCTTGCATTCACCTGGGCCACGAGTTTTGCCTCCTCATATGTCGCACCGCCGATAATGAATACGACAATATCTTGTGGCTTGTCGCGCGTAGTGCCACCGCCCTCCACGAATGGATACTGCTGTTCACGTAGTCGTCCTTTAATAAGGTTTTGGAGCGTATGCTCTAGCCTGGGTGAATGCTGCGTGTAGACATTTTCCACTCCTTTCAGCCCTTTAAATCGATCGCGCGCCCCTGAGAAGATCGATCCGGACTCGAAGAGATCTGACATCCCTCCAACGGCAGCCATTTGAAGAGAGTGGTGGTATTGAAGCAATTGAGGTATGATGTCGATCTGGCGACGGGGAAGGTTTGCTGCGGCGGAAAGAAGATCCAGTAGCATAGGAATGGCATTGGAAGTATGCCGCTCATAGCGAAGCGAATAAAGCGCCACTATGCGAAGTTTGCTGTCTGGTGTGACATTTGGAGATTGAATGAGTTGCTGAATGGTCTACAATTTGTCAGCAGATAATACGATTCTCAACAAACGGACACAGAGCTAGATTTCTCACCTTCAAATCATTGTTGTGGTTATCATTGCATGCCAAGCTTTGCTCCAACTCACTGACGTCAAGCAGAGTATCTTCGTTGACTCTTCTGCTTAGCTCGCCGACTAGGGTGACATGTTTGCTAACATTTCCGGAGAGCTTCCTGAATTCGGGATAATCTTCCACGAACCGTTTCATATCCGTGATTGACTCGATATTCATATTGCTCTTTGTTTTCGACTGATACTGCTCGACGTAGTCTTTAATGTTGCCTCCAAGGTCGCCAAAGTTGAGATACATATTCTTCTTAAAAAAAGGATCTTGGTCTTGAGATAATACTATCTCCTAGATAAGAAGTTAGGAATAAAGGAAGGCTTTGTAGGGAAGGGGCGCATACCTTGAGTTCGGGTCGGATATCTGGAACATCACTGAGATCGACGCGCCCATTCTGTATCCCCAGTAGTTCATGAACCATGGCCTGATATGTCCATTGGGTCAATAAGGGTGTTACAGGGTCGGTCCTACGATCCAGAATCAACAAAATTGGAGGCGTGTCAATCTTCCGGAAGTCGAAAAGCTGATCCTCCTGCGTTATCTGATATCGCACTTCAGATGCCAACTTCTTAGCCAAAAGACTCGTTTTGTCATATCTTATCAATGGTCTCTTTTTCAGTGACAGGAGGAGCGCAATTAGGCCTTCAATCGAACGCTGAAGAGAATCCGGGTGCCATATTTCCGGGCCGGTGCTCCATATTCGATGCTTCGGAAAACCAAGATTTAGGGTGAAAAGGTCTGGGTTGATCACGATGTAGTCTGCAAAAACTTCCTGAACTGTCCTTACTACCTCATGGTCGTCAGCCTCAGCTAGCCGTTCCAAAGATGACTTTCGAATGATATTGCTAAAGTCTGTATGGTATGTGAGCAATTGTTAAATTAATTGAAGGACCATATTCGCCCACATATGTTATATTCGCCATATTTTGGGTCGCGAAACTCCTCGATCAGGAACTGTATGGAGTCCGGCGAAGGACGGACGAAGCAGAGACAACGAAGATGTCTCATTTTCTCTCGCGTTTGATTGTCTAATCGGCTGTGAATACTAGTCAATAGCTGATTTTCTAATAGAAGAAGGCAGTTGACCCACTCAATCAGGAATACCTCGTGGTTTAAAAGGGCAGATTGCGTTATTGCGGTTGATACCACGCCAACCTACAGCATAGTGTTAGCACAACAAAGCACCTCAAGTGAGTGAAGAAGATTTACAGTTTCGCCGTCTAGAAGGAGTATTTTCATCTTGGCCGTAGAAGATCCTGACACTCCCTCCCCTGAAGCTGCCAGTTTAGAGATATACCCGGAAACTGCGGCCACAACATCCATGTTGGGCAGTCTAATTCCTACAACCACCGCCTTCTCTGGTTTTTGTTTCTAGCCTCAAACGATGATTGGCCAACTCTCAGGTGATATCGAAAATCCTTCGAAAAAAGGCAATCCAATTAAATCTTCTTTGGTGCGTAAGACCTGATTCTTTACCTAAACACTATCTGAAATGCCACCACAACCCCTCGGTAGCTTGCTTCCCCAGAGCGGCAACTTCCGTCTTTGCGGTCGATGGGCGGACTTTCCGAAACCCGATGGTAAAACAAGGGACTACGAAAGTGCAACTGATCAACATTGGCGTCATGCGGAACTTTGTGTAGGGATCGTGGGAGCTTTTCTATCCGCCAGCAAAATAGCCTTCTAGACAACCACAATTTCTGTTTCTACCATTCTTGTTCAGCTCCTTTTTACTATTTATTGAATTTGCATATGGAAAGGTGTCTGTGTCTTACTGGACACAGTAACCGTATCCAAACTTACCAACACAATGCTTCCCTATATTGATATCCGTGAGCGGTACCATATTTCGCAATTTCGCTGGCGCCATTCCGCTGACCTGTTCTCCCTCTTCAGCTTTTATTTATCTTGCAGATGTGCTAGGCACCTCGAAAGATGATCGTGAGGTTCCCGTTGATTGCGTGCCTTGTTGGATTTGGGCTAATTCTGTACAGTCAAGGTTATCGTCTCTTTCGTCCTGTCATATCCCTTTGCCGGTCTCCTCAAGCGCATACCTGACAGCAAGCCCTACCAAAAGAATCTCTTCATCATTGCGTCAGTCCAGACCGGATGTTCGCTTGTCCTGACCATCAGACTAATATTATTCAAGAGTATCTGTTTTTTATCTGATCGGCCTTTTCGACCTGTGGGCCGGTACTCGGACATTGTTGATCAGCGCTGGTGGAACATATTTGATAGCGGCAAAGATTCAGGGGCCATTCATGCCATGGATCGGTTTCGTTTTTGTCATGGCGCATATGTCCATCAATCATATCTATCGTCTATATGAGGAGCCAGGATCTTGGGATATCAGTGGTGAGTTCCACGAACCTTCGACATTATTTTCTAATCACCGGGCTAATGTTTTCTCAAAGGAGCTCAGATGGTCATGGTCATGAAGGTAATTTGAATTTTCATAGTTGAATGGATTTTCAAGCTGACATTTTCAGCTCACCGCTTTCTGCTGGAATGTCCATGACGGCCGTTTACCTCAAAAGGATCTCTCTGAATTTCAGCGGGAAAGGGCCCTTCCGACGTTACCAAGCCTGCTTGACTATGCCGGTTATATAGTTAGTACTTTCGTTATCGCTATCTCTCTTCAAATGCTGACCATTACAAAGTTCTTCTTCCCCTCTCTTTTCGCGGGGCCAGCTTTTGACTACGTTGAGTATCGCAGATGGATTGAAACCTCGATGTTTGAGGTCCCCGCTGGAACTGACCCAACTAAGCGCCCACCTACGCGCAAAAAGCGTAAGATACCCCGCAGTGGGACTCCTGCCGCATGGAAAGCCGCCGCTGGATTTTTCTGGATTTTTGCCTTTTTAAAATTCTCTGGATGGTACAGCAACGAGCTTCTCCTTGGATCCCAGTATATGAAATATGGATTTCTGAGAAGGGTCTGGGTCCTGTACATGCTCGGCTTCGCTGCTAGGTTGAAGTACTACGGCGTGTGGTCACTCACTGAAGGGGCATGCATCCTGTCTGGCATTGGCTACAAAGGAATTGATCCAAAAACTGGGCGGGTCCATTGGAACCGCTTGCAGAATGTCAATCCCTGGGGTTTGGAGACTGCACAAAATACGCGCGCGTACTTGGAGAACTGGAACATGAACACAAATCACTGGCTGCGGAATTACATGTATCTTCGCGTGACACCAAAAGGGAAGAAACCCGGCTTCAGAGCAAGCATGGCAACCTTTGTTACCAGCGCATTTTGGCATGGGGTTTATCCAGGCTATTATCTCGCCTTCGTGCTAGCTAGCTTCTTGCAAACGGTTGCAAAAAGTACGCGCTCTCTCTTTTTCTTTCTTCCCACAGTTGCTCATGCTAAATTGCCTTGACAGACTTTCGTCGACACGTTCGTCCATTTTTTCTTACTGCGGATGGCACCAGTCCAACGCCATATAAGAAGTATTACGACATTGCTAGTTTGGTGACTACACAGCTAGCGTTCTCTTTCACAGCCGCGCCGTTTGTCCTCCTGAGTTTGCACGATTCACTGCTCGTTTGGTCTCGAGTATATTTTTACTGTATCGTGGGTGTTGTGGCATCCGTAACTTTCTTTGCCTCGCCAGGAAAGGCATGGCTAGTTGAGGAATTGCAAAGAAGGCATAAAGTCGCACTCGTCCGCAATTCCAGTCAAGAAAATTTGACAGGGCCGATGATGGGACTCCCGAACGATCCAGGAGAGGAAGTGAGTGAAATCGTCAGGGAAGTGAAGAGTGAAATGGAAACGCGCAGAAGAAGAAGCCTGAAGGGCTAGATTCTCCCTCAATCAATATAAGATGGTAATTTGAAAGTGGTGTACAGTTCATTATCCATGAATGTACAGGTGTACTTAGGAGCCTCTTTGGACTTTTTCTCCCAATGTATATATCAAAGTCATTTTAGAAGACTGTACAAAATAATTCTGAGCCCAAAGGGCAAGCGAGAATCCAAATGTTCAAGAAGCAAATGGAGAAATGGGTATAAACGATATCCGGCTAGTGTTACTTATTCCTTTAAGTAAAATCCTTCCAGACTCTCAACCTGTTGCCTTGAAGTGACTCATTCCTGGGTCTGGGCAGTCGGTGACGTTGCAGATGCGCATGTCACTTGGCACGCATTTAGCCACCATGGAGCGTGGACACAAAGACGATATGATCGCCCTTCTGGAGCTCATAAGCTGCTTCTCCTTCGAGCTCCCAGTCTGCATCATTTATGAGTACCAGTATGCCTGGCCGTCTAAGGAGATCACGCGTTAATCTCAGAAGGCATACGGGAAGGGAGAAAGGGAACAGAAATACTTACACTGTATCGTCCAAGACAAACATATCTTTTCGGGGATCCCTCATAACATGGTTACATAGATATTCAATCAAAAAAGCAACCGTAGCAGGCTTTCCATTGGGATCGAATGCTGGAATAGATAGCTGGTGCTTGGCTTGGTTGGAGAAGAGCAGTTCTAGTCCGCCGCTGCTCGACTTAGCTTATGACGATTTCTTCTTTCAGGTCGGAGCGTACAGAAATTCTACGTCGATAGACAGATCATCCCGACCTTTGATCAAATCCCCATTGCTGCTATTTTCAAAAATTCCCATTTTCGGTATTCGATTGGAGGCTTTTTTGGATTTAAGAAACTGGAAAAGATGGTTACTGCAACTGTATTGAATATAAAGAGGAGTATGAGTTATGACTTACTGGACGGAAAGTCAAAAATCACGAGGGGCTTATCGATAAGCTTAAATTGAAGGCGGGCTATTGGCTTAAGCAAAAAGCATCCTCACAGCAACAATAATCACCCAGATTTCAGGATTGTCGCGGACCTCCGAAACATATTAGCACCACCCCAACGAGGCAGCTACTTGAACAGAAGAGTCCTGCGTGCCGGATATTTTAGATGGTGTCTGTCAATACCGACTACATTGCCGTTGGCGGCAATCGGCACCCCGCTGGCGCTGATTGGGACCCTGTCTCAGGCCAGCTAGTTTTCGGAGCCGCCAATAATATTGCGCTTTGGAACCCATTGGTAATGCTTCTCGAGCATCAATTTATTCATATTTACTAATTGAGGAAACGAACCTAGGATGATCGGTGTCTGGGAGTTCGATCTCTCCTTTGCGGACATTCTGACAATGTCAACGTTGTCAAGTTTTTCCCCTCCACTTCATCAAACGATCGGATCATCCTGAGCGGTTCAGCGGACAAGACTGTTCGCATATGGAAATCAGATACTGCATCACCGAGCGGTTTCAGTCACGCGTTCACCATTGAAGATCATCAGAGCTCCATCAACAGCATTGCCGTGTCGCCGGACTTGAATGTCTTCGCAACGGGGGCGGCTGATGCAACAATTAGGATATATCAGCTGCGTCAATCCGAGATTGGAACTATTTATGCTTGTTTGATTCAAACAATTCAGCCAAGTCCTCGATATTTCCCGCTTACCTTGGCGCTGAGCCCTCTCAATGGATCGGGTTCAATGGCATTGGCCGTCGCGGGAACGAAACCTTTCATACAGGTATATGTCAGTGCTGGAGGCCAGTCCGTGGCTCAATTTGAATTGAAGGCGACCTTGTCCGGGCACGAGGGCTGGATTCGCTCACTCGCCTTCACCTGGGAGAAAGGAAGCAAAGAGAGCGATTTGCTTCTAGCCTCGGCCAGTCAGGATAAATATATCCGTCTCTGGCGGATCCATGAAGGCGAACAACTTCCCCCTGCAAGCGCTGCTGGAAATGATCCTGCCCTCGGTACATTTGGCAAATCTCTCTCGAACAAGCCTCACCGCTTTGAGGCTGCTGGTTTGAAATATTCCATTACGTTTGAAGCCCTCCTTGTTGGCCATGAGGATTGGATATACACCTGCTCCTGGAGGCCCACAGATGGTCCCCTTCAGCTTCTAACGGCTTCAGCTGATAATTCACTTTCCATTTGGACGCCTGACCCCGCCTCTGGAATCTGGATATGCATTGCCCGTCTCGGCGAAATTAGCGCACAAAAAGGCTCGACCACTGCAACAGGCAGCGCAGGAGGATTCTGGCAGGGTTTGTGGTCCCCCAATGGAGAATCGGTTGTCAGCTTGGGAAGAACCGGAAGCTGGCGGTTGTGGAACTATAATAAAAGCCAAGACAGGTGGCTGCAAGCCGTGGCTGTCACTGGGCACGTCAAGAGTGTCATGGGCGTTTGCTGGGCAGCAGACGGGAAATACTTGTTGTCTACCGGCTCAGACCAGACGACTCGATTATTTGCAGAGTGGAAACGGGGCCAAAAGCGTTCTTGGCATGAGTTTGCCAGGCCGCAAATCCATGGCTACGATCTCAACTGTATCGATGTCATCAGAGAATCGCAGTTTATTTCTGGCGCGGATGAGAAACTTTTACGCGTATTTGATGAGCCGAAAGCTGTTGCGAACTTATTGAAAGATCTGTGCGGCATTGAAGAGGCGCAACAGGATCAAATGCCCGATGCGGCAAATATTCCCGTCCTTGGTTTGTCAAATAAGGCAATTGAGGCAGTTGAGGATGGAGCGAGCGGAGGGACCGCCGACGACGATGAGCAGGCTGCAATTGACCCGTCATCTGTAATCCAAAAATCCACACTTGAATTAGACCACCCACCGTTTGAGGACCACCTTGCTCGGCACACCCTTTGGCCTGAGAGCGAAAAACTCTACGGTCATGGCTACGAGATCTCAGCGGTAGCAACAAGCCACGACAACTGTTTCGTTGCAACCGCGTGTCGGGCAAGTTCGGTAGATCATGCAGTGATACGACTTTTCGATACCAAAGAATGGCGCGAAGTGAAACCATCTCTAGCAGCGCACTCTCTTACTGTCACAAGCCTTCAATTTTCTGGCGATGACCGGTATTTATTAAGTGTCGGTCGCGATCGGCAATGGACTATTTTCGAGCGTGACGAAAGCGCTCAGAGCGTTTACAAGCTGGCATGTTCAAATCCGAAAGGCCATTCGAGGATGATATTAGACGCATCATGGGCGCCACTCGCGGCAGGAGCAATTTTTGCTACGGCCGGAAGAGATAAAAGTGTCAAAATATGGCAAGCCGACAATGGCGTATTTACGTGCAAGGCTACGATAGGTGCCCAGAACCCAGTAACAGCTGTGCAGTTCCTCCCACTGTTCCATAACAATGCCTTATTCGTAGCGTTTGGCACCGAAGCTGGAGATATTTCCATTGCTCATGTCCATGGGGACTTTACAGCATCCATTTCACTTTCTTTTGACCAGAGGTAAGATCGCAACTCCCGACGGCTGGTTCGTTCAGCAGCTTACATTTTTTTGAAGGATCGTTCCTTCCAAGGCAATCACAGATTTGGCCTGGCGACAACCCCCACAAGATCTGCCTTCGAACGGAATTGAGTCGAAGAGCCAGCAATTTCAATTAGCAGTAGCCAGTGAGGACAGCTCACTGCGCATATATTCAATTTCAAATATGTTGTAATCTAGACGTTTATAGACACTGGGGGGAAAAAGTCTCTAGAGCAAGGGAAACCCAACGAGGTATGTTGAATGCAATCCAGGGCGCCTATTTAACGTAGAAACGCAGGGCTGGCGTTGAGAAACTGGGCAAAAGCAAAATAGTCATAAGAAGCATACCATAAAAATATATCAAGCCAATGTTTGGAATCATTAGCAAAATTTAGACCGTCTTTTCGTTTCCATAGCCTCCTTTTCCGTCAAAGGACTCGTAGGTCTTCCCTTCGCTCCGTAGTCCACGTCGGGGACCTCTCTCTGCAAGATCCTCCTTCAGCCATCTCAAGACCAATTGGCCAAGTTGGCTGTTGTCTGTCGGGCCAACTTCATCAAGTTTTATCTTCTCAATAGGACCAAACTCCTTGACCTTCCCTAAGCTCATGTGTACTAGATGAGTTGGCCATTGTGCGAGATTGTCCAGAATATGAGTGGCGTAAACAATAGTGCAGGGACGAATCTCGGTTTCATTTTTCAAGAATTGAAGAAAGTTACTCCTGCTTAGGAGATCGAGGTCGACCGTTATCTCATCCAGTAGTAATATCCGCCACGGTCGAATGAGTCCCATTGCAAGCTGTACCCGCCTTCTTTCTCCATCGCTGACAGTGTGAAGTCTCCACGTCGGGTCGATATCCAGAATCTCCATCAACTGATCTCGCCTTTCAGTATAGTAATTCCCCCCAACGGAGGCAAGAAGACTTGGGACGTCGATATCTGTTCGGACAACAGGGTTCAATACCCATTCAAGGCCTAAATATGTAACCCCTTCGAGACCGGTTGAAAAGGGATCCACTCCACCAATGTTGATCGAGCCGTGGGGCGCAAGGCGTTTGCCAGAGAGTAGTCGAAGGAGTGTAGTCTTGCCGGCGCCATTTGCTAAATCCCACGTCAGAACCTTGAGGTATGAATGTATTCTTCTTGATTATTACCTCCAATTAGCAGAGTACGACTACCAGGTGGAAGGTCCAGGTTGAGATTGACAAGCCCCGCGGAGCCGTCCTGGAACGCATAGTTGAGATTGTGAACTTTGATTGCTGGCGCCAGTTCCGTAGGGTTGGGATTTTCGACGGTCATGGCGAGATTATTGGTATCACACGGTTATAATTGGAAAGTGTCTCTGCAGTTTGTTGCTTGGTTGCTCAGCTCGTTGATCTTTTTGAAATAAATAACATAGAGGAAGGTGGGGTCAATTCTTACCGTGATCCCTCGCCTGCCCATGACGCATAGCTCCAAGATTGTTTGAGCACCCCGGCCTGGCTTCAGTTTATTCTGAGTATAGACTTCTTTCGGCACCGATGCTATTTCAACCAGTGAGATAGATTATTCGATCTCCGGCATGAATGTTTCGAGCTCTTTCTTCTTGCTTGCGCCCAGTCAAAATGATCCGTCCTCCGCCCCGCGACCCTATTGTCGCTGTAATAGGTGCGACTGGAACAGGCAAATCCGAGGTATCGCCCAGCTCCAACATCTTTCTCGCGCGTAAGAGTATGGCGCTGACTACTGCAGGATAGCTGGCCGTTGAAATAGCGCTCAAGTACAATGGCGAGATCATCAATGGGGACGCAATGCAGATGTACGATGGTCTGCCAATCATTACCAATAAAGCCACGACCGAAGAACGAAGGGGCGTACCGCATCATCTCCTCGGCTGTATCGGGTTACATGAGACAACCTGGAGCGTTGGAGACTTTACGAAAAAAGCGCTCTCCGTGGTATGATTGGCAAACAATTGATAGTAAAATTGGCCCAGCAAAATTAAGGTAACGCTTCTGCAGATTCAAGACATAAGATCCAGGGGTCGATTGCCGATCCTTGTGGGCGGCACACATTACTATACTCAATCCCTTTTGTTTCAAGACGCTCTCACCGGTCAGGAGGATGAATCTACGGGTGTTGAGATATCCAAATCTTCTTCAGAAAGTGACACTTTGTCTGGCGTCACTACAGCTGATTTATTAACAAGGCTAAGAGAAGTTGATCCCGTAATGGCAGATCGTTGGCATCCTAATGACCGGAGAAAGATACAGAGGTCGCTCGAAATATGGTATCAGACTGGTCAAAGAGCTTCTGACATTTACGAGCAGCAGAAAAGGAGCAAGGCAATGGCGAGTACCACGTCTGTGGACGACAGCCCGAAAGGCGGAGAAGAAGACCAAGCCTGGGAATCAAATTCAGGGTTGCGCTTTCCAACCCTTTTCTTGTGGCCTTATGCAGATTCCGAGGTTTTAAAATCGCGGCTAGACAGTCGCGTGGACAAAATGCTTGCGGGTGGGTTATTAGATGAAGTAAAAGAGTTGGATACGTTCCTCTGCAGGAGGCAGGACGAGGGTCTTTCTACTGATAAAACTCGGGGCATATGGGTCTCAATTGGATACAAGGAGTTTGTGTCCTATGTTGAAGCGCTTCGATCCAGCGGCGATTCTAAAGACCTTGAAACTCTCAAGCAGACAGGAATCGAGCAGACCAAGGCCGCTACCAGACAATATGCCAAACGGCAAATTAGATGGATCCGTATAAAGCTCCTCCACGCTCTAGCGGATGCTAGCATGACCAGCAATCTGTTCCTGCTAGATGGCTCAGACCTTGGCCACTGGTCTGAAAATGTTGTACGGCCAGGTCTTGAACTTACAGGCAAATTTTTAAATGGCGGAGCACTACCAGCACCTACCGAGCTTACCCCGGCAGCACAGGACATGCTTGCACCGAAGAGAGATTTTGACATGAGCAACCGGCGAGACAAATGGGTAAGAAGAACTTGTGAGTTGTGCAAGGTTACGGCTGTGATAGAACCGGATTGGATCCAGCATGTCAAAAGTAGAAGACACCGAAATGCTCTACGTTCACAGGCAAAGCGAGAAGCATCAGCTGCTCATATGGCAGACGTTTCTCAAGCTCGAAGTGAATAGATCAACGGGGGAGATTTGTAAATACACTGGTCTCAGTTCGAGCGCCTACTTAATATTACATAGTATACCAAAACATTCTAATTGCAAAATGTCGATGCAACAAATTCTACCCACATGAGTTGGCTCGAAGCCCCTCGCATATCAGTGTCAATGAGTTCATGTCTACCAGACAATAGACCCTTAAACTCGTTTTTTTTACTGGTAGGAACTTTTACGAGAAACATCCGACCATGACATGGCCGAAATCAGCATTCTAGTGAAATTTGGGGGTCTCTATTGTGGAGCATCAATCTGGTGGGTTGTGCTGTCTGTGTTCTAAACCAAGAAAGGTATTAAATCGCATGGTATATATTATCAAATACATGATATACCAGTACATGCGACCATAGACTGAGGAGAACTGGGCATCCCGTCCGCTCTGCCATACATAAGCCTCAGATCGGCGGACTAGTAGTTGGGTCGGTGACGACCAGCGAATCCCCGCTGTTGCATGTTTTTTTTTGTTTTTCTCATCTTTATTTTCTACTTTTCTTTTTTTATTCTTCTTGTATTTTATTTTTAACTAATTATTTTAGGTTTATTATTTTTTAAATTGAGAATTTTTTATTGTGGTTCATAGCTCCTACCGATTTTGATTTAATATTTTTGCTTTAAACCATGAATATACAAATAACTCGGGATAATTCATATGGCTCTTTCAAGTTTAGCCAGAGGGGATTTTATTTGTCTTGGCTTTAACACGGCATAAATCATATGCAATTTATAAATTACAAATATATGCCCCCGTTCTCGCCACAATAGAAAGTCAGGGTAGAAGATGAATAGACTCAGTCTGATATTCATCGACATTAAACCTCTTTAGAGCACACAGGTCTATTGAAATGCTCACCCGCGATGTGAATGAATTCAATCGCTTGGTTACTGTTGTTGGACAGATGACAAGAGTAAAAAAAATATAAAAGAAACATGTAATAATCCTAGTGAGTAGCCTCTATAATACAGACACACTTTTCCGTAGGCTTTTAGTACGCTGTCCATAACCATACTAACAACGACCAGCATTAGAAAAATTGGTCTCAAAGGGCAAAAGTGCCATACAATCTTTTGGATCACTTGTTGTGGTTTATATATGATAATGATTGACCATATTTCAACAAACAAGGGCAATTGGTCTAGTGGTATGATTCTCCCTTAGCATGGGAGAGGTCCTGGGTTCAATTCCCAGATTGTCCATTTCTTTTTGCACTTTTTTTCAAGTGCATGCGTTTATTTATTCATTTTCTAACCCTTGTTGACTTTAATAGTGATGCCTAGCACAGATTCTTTATTTTATCTTTCCCCCTTCGCATTTGTTTGACAGAGCTTTTTGAACCGGTAAATGCCTTGACTGTCAAATTATCGCCTACGAATAACCGGGAGTTGGGTGTGACGTGAGCAGGGTTACCGTGCCGGGGAAATCCGCTGCGAATAACAGGGGGATATAATTGTATCAAGCTGTGAAACAATCAAGCACTTCTTACTAGTCTGTTACTATACGCTAAAGTGGAAGGTTGGTAGAATGGTTGGACTTCAAGGCACGAGCTTTTAGGGAGAAAATATCGAAGATACAATGGCTGATAATTTAGTAATATGGTATTGAATACTACAACAGCCGTATAATTCGGGAATATGTAGATTGAATTGCAACTGATTGTAGGCGTGCAGGGGAGAAGCGACTAATCAATAATGCCGGACAAGTGTGTATCAAAAAAAAAATATGTTCTTGAATCAAACCAGAGACTCCATCAAGGAGACATCGGACGGAGGTCGGGAGACAACAATTCGTGCTCTTTGGGGAGACCCGGGATATGGATGCGCTTAGTTTCGTTGTTGTAGCTGGCAGGAATAATCTAGAAGACGAGTCAGTTAGAAATGTCTTTTGACAGAGTGCTCCTTGCTTTCTCGACACCGTACCTCGATGATTTCGTTTCGCGGAAACTCGAGATTTGGAATGTCCGCCGCGTTACAGGCCATTAGGTAGCCGTAAAGAACCCTGAGAACGCTTTCGTGTGCGATAATGAGCAAATCGTTTTGCTCACGCTCGAGTTCGAGGATAATCGGCTCAAGGCGCACAGCGAGATCGTGATATGACTGAAAGTGACCAAGTCAGTGCATGAAGTAGGATAAGGGCGGGCAAGGCTGGTAAAACTCGCGCCTATCCCTATTCATACATACCTCAGCCCGCGGATAGCGATGGTGATATGGATCAGCATTGTGTTTTGCCACCTCATCAGGGTAAATGCGACGAAGAGCCTGGTTGGACATGGTTTCGCGAATGCCCGGATTGATTTGGCTCATCTGCGGGCGTTGCCGAACTCGATATCCCAATGATTTCAAATAATCAGCAGTCTCTACTGTTCTCCGACGAGTCGATGTCCAAATAGTCAACGGACGGAGAGGAGCGTCTGAACCACCGCGGTCTATGAGTGCCTGCCTCTCCTCCTGCCGATGTCGAGTAAGAGTGTCCGACATTTTTTTTGCATACTCTTGACCCTCTGGACTGAGCGACGCATCCGCGCGGTAGGAATCTTCTCCCCGAGTCATTCCGGCCTGAACGCGCTGTTAGAAAGAAATCACGACCAACAGAGAGTACGCAGATATGGATTGTTACATGGATGGGCAAAGTAACGCTTATGAAGAGAAAGAGAGGGAGCGGGAGAGAAAGGCGGGAGGAGAGAGAGAAAAAGAGATATTTGTGAAAAAATCAAACCTTACCCTTGCAAAGTATGCTTGTCTTGGCTTTACATGGAGATTCAAGAGGTAAAAGACGATCCGGTGAGAGAGATAACCAAAAGAGCAATTATTTACTGTCACACGTTCTCCTGCGTTAAGCATCTAGGTGAAGTAGTGAAAGAAGACCGTCAGTGATTGGTTGATATCGTTGCATTGGGCGTGGGACAATCCCCGCTTACCTTGACATAATTTAATTCTTTCTCTTCCATAGTCTCAAAATGAGGAATCTTTGCGGATATTCGAGTGAGGTAGGCTTTTACTGCGTCTGCGGGATCCCATCCAACATACTTTTGATTCCGTCAGTGCAGATTCGCGACATGGATCGGGCATTTACTCACATCAGGAGAGGAGATTTTAACGCTCCGAACGTTTTCTTCAATGATTCTTTCATCCGTGCAGGTTGATTCTATGAAGAGAGTCTGCAAAGAAAAGAGTTAACATATACCAGATGATCAGTTGTTCAACAAACAGCTCTGTTTAGGGGGGAAAGTCCCGGCGGACGAACCTCGATATTATGCTTTGCGAATTCTTTGGCAAGGGACCTGCGCCCAGCAGCGAGGGGGTTGACAGCATCATAGACGGCGACCTGACCGTTTTCATGATTAAGGAATTCATAAATGTCTTCTCGACACTTTTTCAGAATCTTTTGGCGAAGAAGAACGGAAGATGCGGAGGCTAGACAGAGGAGTACAGAAGCGTCAGATATATCCTTACATCGGATATCCAGTCGATTAAAGATTAAAGCGGCTTAAGATTGGTGAAAAGATCGGTCTGAAATTGCTCACCATTGATGAAAAAGTAATCCTCTGGCACATCTCGATCATTTCCTACAGTCGCTCGTCGATAGTCTCCAAGGTGAAATACTCGAGTCTTCACTCCTAGCCTAAAGATCAATTGACGAGTTTAGTAATTGGACAATCCACAAGTCGTTTCTATCAGGTGATTTTTCCCATACCATCGAAGATACCGTGCAACAGCAACGGATATATGCCTGTGTGCAGAGAGGAAACAAACGTTAGATATCATTCTGCATGATCTGGTCCAATCGTCAAGTAGAAATCGTAGAGTTCAGCATCGGTTGTTGCATCTTGCTTACGTTTTACCTCTAGCAGGAAGTCCAACAGTAACAATGGCAATTCTTCCGGAGTGAAAGAGGCGTCCCGATTCAGTGCTGTAAAGCTGAGCTGGAGCCATCTCTAGTTTCTCTGGGAGATCATGAATAGCATCTTGAAAGGTGCTAGATCGCCGGCGAAACCTGGGCGAATTCGCCACAATATCCGCTGTCCTGAATACAGTTCTCTGTTAGTGGTCTCAACTTGTACAGGAAGGGAGAGCTCTCGGAGAAAAGGGCATATAAGAGCATTGTCCACAACAAACAAAGCGAGTGACCTACAATAACGTATCCATGATAAGCTCGACAAACTCTAGACTTCAACCCTAATAATGTACAATTAAAGGCAAGCAGAGCTGAAAAGATATTTGACGGGAATGCAGAAGGGAAAATAATAAATTTAAATGCGGCGCAGCCAAGCTTGTCGCGAGGATTAATATTAGTAGTTCGAAGCGTGGAGCAAGTGGGATCGCAATTGGCCGCAGTCACGTGAATTCCTTGAACGAAAACAGAGCAGTCATCAAACACGGTGCGAAATATCCTTTTCTCCTTAGGAGATTTTCCAAATGTTATAGTGAAGCCTCTCCCTAGATTTGAAACCAAAGTCTCAACATCTTCAGCGTTCTGCGATCGTAATGAGAGTTGGTTTAAACGACGTCAAATTCACGGCGATTGATCGTCAGTTTCCGGTGCCGAAATGTACGCATAGTTGCGAATCCCTAGACACTAAATACGTAGCGGCGTCGACCTCCTAAAAATTATCGACGAAGCATCATCTCCGGTAGGACTTGGCAACCAGCAGAACAATTCTCCAGTCGAGCCTTCGCTGTATCAAAGAGGAACGACTTGGATCATCGAGCGTCCATTTAAGTCTAAGGTTCAGCGTTTCTGACATTCAGTCCATTGGTGCATTGCATTCCGCATTTTTTCATTATGGCCGAAGAGAAGCGCTCCGCGCTCGCCTTCCTCACGGACAATGCGGTCGTGACAGCGCTGGGAGATGCCTACAATTCGTTCTCTGAAAAGAGAGCTTCATTGGGTCTTTCAAACCCCGGAACCGTCGAGAATATTGCTAGAGAGGTCCAGAAGGATGTTTTCCTCAACAACTTTACCTTCACGGGCTTGCGAGCAGACCTAACCAAGGCTTTCAGCGTCTCACCTCTCTTCCAGGTGTCCCATGCATTCGCCATGGGATCCCAGGGTCTTCCGCCATACACATTTGCAGCCATGTATGGTACGCCAAAGGTATGCTTTCTTTTCCCTAATAAGCTTCCGCAATGCCTGTCGGACTTCGAATGTCGCATCTGCACTGCGGACTAAAGTCTCCTACGTTCCTGACGCCTTTTTTTCCTTTCCCTTCTCTAGGTTTTCCTTCAAGGCAATATGGACAATGACGGACAACTATCTGCGCGAGCAAATTACCGCTGGAATTCGTCCTTTGTCACGAAGACGAATGCTCAGATCGCCGGCCCCGGTCAAGCTATGATCCAGATTGACAACGACTATACCGGAAACGACTTCACGGCTTCCATCAAATCGCTGAATCCTTCATTGATTGAGGGAGGAATCACTGGTATCTTCATCGGTAGTTATCTTCAGTCAATCACCCCCAGACTTGCGCTTGGATTGGAAGCTATTTGGCAAAGACCATCTCTTAGCATGGGACCGGAGACCGCCCTTTCTTACTGCGGAAAATACCGAGGCGACAACTGGATTGCAAGCGCTCAGCTTCAGGCTCAGGGTGCCGTGAACACTTCCTACTGGCGCCGATTGACTGAGAAGGTCGAGGCTGGTGTGGACTTGAACCTCCAGTTTGCAGGTCTCGGCAGAGGCGCAGCCGGTCTCATGGGAGGCGCGGGTCGAGAGGGCGTGACGACGCTCGGTGCAAAGTATGACTTCAGAGCGTCTACTTTCCGCGCCCAGGTCGACAGTTCTGGAAAGCTCAGCTGCCTGCTGGAGAAGCGCATTGCTCCGCCAGTGCAGTTGACCTTTGCCGGTGAAATTGACCACTTTAAGGTGAGATTTCTCCCCGTTTGATTTCTGCGCCGAACGACTGATTGACTCAATTCGCAATTTGTAGCAACAAGCCAAGGTCGGTTTGGCTGTCTCGATTGAGGCGGCAGGCGAGGATCTCCTCGAGCAACAGGAGAAGGCCCTGTCCTCCCCCGCTCCCCCTCCGCCCTTTTAAACCTTATATCATGTCAAACATGATGCTCCCGCTCAAAGAATCACTGGTCCGTTCGATTTAGATGTCAGCAAGCCCCTGGCGTTGGCCGTCCGCGGAAAAACTATCTCTCAATCTCAACATTCTTCTTAGCTGTCTTACTACCTTTTCTTTTCTTTTCCTTCTCTCCCTCTTTGTAAATGAGTCTGCGCAGGCCCATTTGTCATGCCACCAAGTTTCTGTAAGCGGGTGGCTACCTTCAATGACCGCCACCCGGAGGTTCATCTTTTTTCGAGCCTTTTCCGCAGTCAACCTTTGTTCTGCGTGTCGAGCCATACTACATTTCTACTTGGTGCTCGGCATTTCAGATTGGGATGGTGTTGTATTATGGTACAGTTACTTCACGGCTCGATTGGGTATTCATGTTGTAGACTTTTGTACATAACGGCGAATGCATATGTAATCAAGCTCAATTGCTTCGACGGCCAAGGCCAATCCGGGCACTCTTGTGATCTTTAGACCGCGGAACTTTTGTTATCTTGCTCTTTAACGATTGTCATGAAGAGCGAGCGTCCTAAGCTGACGATGTGGGAGCAGTGGAAGATCATGTGTCGAAAGGATAGATACCGGGACTTGTGAAACACAAACGAATCCTTTTCACTCCCATCACGCTTATGGATAACATGTCGTTGTCACACAATTTGCCTTGCTGACTGTTACAGTCTCTCAACACGTGCCCTATTCCGGGTCGAAGTAAGCGTTGACGATGACATCACATGCATGTTCACACAGCTCAGATTTGGCTCAAAAACGTTTGCAAACCAGATATGACACGTCAGGTTACAATACACAGCCACTGAAACTCGGCAAACTTGGCTCAGGATTCCCTGCCAAACGAGTAGTTAAGTATATTCATTTTGGAAGTCCATCTGTCACGGCATACTCTACTTTGCCAGCACAGCCGGTTCCCATGCATATGCAGGTCTGCGCCTTTTGATATTGATATCATTCCCTTCTCTTCTTCGGCATTATTGGCATTAAAAACCTTATTTATTGTGGCGTTAAACGCATTAGAGACAATGGTTTGTGCATCGATCCAGGACAATGCTGAGGATCACCTCAACACTACAACAAAAGACCTTTCCTTTTCGTCGGTTGCATATGCTTGTAATTAATTATACTCTTTGCCAGCGTTTCATTTGGAGTTGAAGGACAGATACATGTACCTGTTAGCAAACGATCATGGGTTTGAAGGTCTTCAGACCGTCTCTTGAAGTTCCTGGAAAATAATGCCGACAGATAAACTTTGCTCAACATCTCCGGTCTCTACGCCTGGATAACAAAAGATGGGCTTAAGTGCAACATCTCGCGCAAAGAAGTATCGCAGCTGGGCAGGGCTGAATCGCCCTATCCACTACAATATTATCAAGATAAAAGTCCCCCTAGATGGGAAATATATGGGCATTATTTTTTGGTCGCAAGAGATGCTTCATCAACTAGCTCTCTATTGAAAGTGTCTGTACCCTTCATTCCTTCTCTATTGATCTTTTCATAACTTGTAGCCTTTCTTACACATAACACTTCGTTCCATGTGTTCCTCGCATCATGAAACCGAGAAGACTCAAAATGGCCATGCGGCCACATAAAGGTTTCAAATGGCAAATGCTGTGCTCTCTTCCTTGCATTCCCCCGTCAGCACCCAATTCACAGATTCCAGTACTCTGCCTTTAGAGAGGTTGCCACGTGCTGACAACGTGCAAGGTTGACCAAACTCAGAGTAGATCCCGAAGTGTCTTACCTGGCATGGTTAATTTCATATATATGCTACACTCTTGGTTTCGGCGCGACGATGATTGCGCTACGCATTTGAATTACCTTCTAATTAGGTAGTTACAGATTTCGCAATGGCTGAAACTTGTCTCGAGTTTTTAAACATGAGTATTAGAAGAGTGGTATCCAACAATAACAATATGGCGATTATTTTGCAGCCTTGGGTGCGAGCGAATTAAATATGTATTTGCATGCAACCCTTTTCTTCGAGGGTCTTTACAGGGGAGCCTCAGTTCCTATTTCAAGTTAAAGTGGTTCTCGCAATTCAGCACTGGCTGTTTCTTTCCAACCATTGCAAAACGCCTGGACCCGTACCACTGTACAACATCTGTGCTCCATCAGCCCCGTCTATACTCTGGGAGTCATTGACCAGCTGGACCAAGGAACCAGTGGCAGTGAGATTATCGTCATTACTTCGACACCCAATCGGAACATTTCTGCAAACCCATTGTTGCAAAGTAGCGCGTGTTCTTGAGGTGCCACTTATAAAAAGTTCAAACACAATGATGACTTTCAAGAGGACGATTTCATGAATCCACTACGTTTTAAATGTAATCCCTCAAGTCCTCGTTGTGGATCATTTTGAAAGTCGTCACAACAATGAGCATATGCGCGCCGAGGCAAATACGCACCACCGTACTACGGTAAACGAATGGATCAGGCCGTGGTCAATCGACGTCATCACATACCAGACGTGGAAAACGCAGGCGGGGGCCACGTCCAAATTTTCCCCCTCGCATGCAAGATCCCGACTACTAGTATTAATGTTGAGCTATATAGGATACGGCGCAATGGTTTCAAGGGGAAATGATTTCCGTGCAGATGAATAAGACCCTGAGTGAGTACAAGATCGAAAAAGGCTCCGTGCAATGCCTAGCATGAGTAACCTAATTGATTGTGCTGGTTCTCAGATAGCAGTGACTGTCAACTGCAGCATATTTGGTAAGCGTACGCAGACCAAAGTCTTCAACAAAAAGGAATCGGAATGGCATTATTTCCGAGCTCTGGCCCCGGTGGGGCCCTTAAGCAAGTTGCCCTTCTTACCTGAAGTAGGGCCCACCGGACAAGCATCTTTCCAACAACTGGGGTGGCTTTGGCGAAAATAATGTCGTCCTTTGGGGCGGTGGAGATGCAGGGCGTAACCTTACCCTAGGCGCAATATTTTGCGGATCACGCGCCCGTTTAGCGCACACCATTGCACTTTAGTGAGATTGGTATCGTCCGAGGCGAAAATTGCTAGGTCATGTCATGCGGAGCAAAACGTCGACTATGAACCCGGACGCCCGTATAGTCCCGCCTTAGTCGGCCTGGTTTGGGAGTCCTGGCCCGCCGTCGACGGACAGCTTTCCCCCGACGTACCTCCCTACTTGGTAGGTAGGTCAATACTAAGACCAAGCTGTGTGTACTTTGGGCGGATCGCTAATGTTAGGTAGTTGACCTTTGAAGAGATTAGGTAGCCTGGGGAATTGCTCCCGTATTACTCTGGCTCCTCCATTGTGCCAAGCACAGAACCGTTTTTGTCACAGCTGACACTACTTTTACAGAGAGCCCAAAAAAAAGGAAACCTGTGGGACGAACATGCGCACAAGGTATTGAATGCCCATTTATTTCGGATGCGATGAAGGTCCTGTCCATCAATAAGAATGGAGCCTCGTCATTGAACTCTCATTGGCTTGTTCTTCTGTACGAAATTCCGTCCCCGAATTATCAACGGACCACGTATAATTCGGCCATCCTGGTTAATCCCGATAAGATTTTTCTCTCTCTACCCTTGCTGCTCAGATCTTACGGTTTTGCCTGCCCTTTCAGCCTGCTGCTATGAAACAAAACTGTAAACTTTTGATGTACAAAATTAGGTAGTTCATTGATGTAAGCGTGCCAGGGAAACGTGTTCCGCGTGCCATCCTCCGTGCAAGGGATGACCATGCTTCTCACCAACGCAGATCTTCCCAGGCTATTACGAGCCTTTCACAAGGTATCAATGAGTCCGCTCCTGTTTGTAATTATATGCCCATGCCATTTATATGAAGCCCCTACCCCTATAGGAAAAAAAAAGGAGAAGATATAACAAGGCTGGAGCAGCGCATGCTTCCACTTTAAAAGTGTAGAACCTCGAAGATATATCCTCTAGCAATGTTCCACATCTTATAATTGAACATGGGAAAAGCTGCAAATCACAGCTTCTAGCATCGCAGTCGATTTATTGAATTCAATAACAACCCGAATTATACCCCGACATATGATAATGACGTTTCATTTCATAGATGTTATAGGACCATGCCTGTTCTTCGATTTCCACGTGAGAATCCAGGCCGCCTAAGCCATAAACGAAATGGGACATTTGGCACTGATGACCCCTCGCTCGTTGGAGATTTTGAGAGCTTGTCGCGCTTAACGAGAAAGAAAAGGGCAAAGGAAATGAGTGAGTATTAATAATGAGACTCTCCTGTCTAAACTGGACCACCGCAGATACTGTAAATGTGAAACTTGTAGTCGCAAAGACAGTGCTATTATTGCACATTTACTGGTATGCCAGATAGACCAAACGTACTAACTGTGCTTCCCCAATCGATCCAGTGCGCCGTCACCTGGGATCGGCTCTGCCCTCGCACCCTAATTGTTCTAGTCTAACCCAGTGCACTCTGGGTCAGTCGTCTGTCACAGATGGGGTTTGCTGGGACAGGTCTTGACCTGTCCGGACCCATCCAGCTTCCTTGCAACGAAGCTGGCTAGAGCTCCTAATCTCCGCACATAACTTGCCTATAGCACAGTACTCCGTACGAAACCTCAAGGCGGGCGGATACGCAGGGTAGTAGTCTGGCTCCATTTAGAGGTAGAGCGACTTTGGGAGGTGAGTCCGCATTCTTGTGGGCACAATTTGGGCCAACCAAGTGACGACGAAAGTGCGCTCGGGTACCGTTCTTCGCATTAAATGTCTTCGGGACTTCATTCCCTGAGTAGTTTCTATTGGGTTACAAGTACCAGTACTCCAGTGACACGTACAGAGAAAGTGCTCTGGGCACATGCGGTAGCACCATCCTTCTAGCTCGCCAACGCGGGTCACCGAGAAGCTGTCGGCCCTTGCAAAAAGGCTAAAGCATCTGCTTGCAATGCTCAAACCCTTTCTCCGCCTCTACCAATTTTGACCCTTTGCCCTCACCAAAGAAGCAGCAGCATTATCGGCCCAGTGACATCGTCTTCCCCACCACCCTGGTCGGTTCCTATCCTTAAAGCCCCGTCCCTCAACCATCATTCAAGAGCCACCCCTTCCAGGAGATCAAAAAGGAGAAAGAAGCGCATCTGTGTAGATGTAGACAATATTAGCACCTTACAGCTCCGTCTATCGTGATAATCGGTGATGCGTCCCCACAATACAGACGCCCCGCCGACCGAAATTGGACAGTGACCCTTTAATTACCTTACGTACTCCCCCCTTCGAAAAGAGCAGCGTCTACCAGTACCTTTGAGCAGTAACCGACCCAGCTTGGTCTTTTCCGCAACCAATTCCCTTTGGCTCATTAGACGACGCCTCATTCGTCGTCTCAAACTGTGCGCGTGCCACTGCCTCTCTTAGGATTGCCCGGCGCCTTACTTCATCGACCGCTCCCGCAATAACCTGCGACTGACTTACCCACTGCCCAACCTCCAACCATAAACCATCAATTATCGTGTACCAGGTTGCAGTTATTGTAAGTTGACATTTGTTGACATTTTGTTTAGCTGATTTTCATATCGCTCAATCTCCAGACGCTCTTCCTACCTTCTCCTTGGCGTTCTGCAGCTTGGAACTCACCGCCGTTGAGCGAAGATTGCTGCTCTCTTTCTCCTCACCCTCCCGCCGCTTCGTGTGTGGAGACCCGTGACTTGACCTGCTAACATTGACTCGCATCCAGTTCTACCAGATCGATCCTCATTGTGAGCTGTCCTGAACGGGATTAAACGTCGAACAGATTGCTGAAAGTCTCTCTGGTCCCCTCGTAGTCGTTGCTTGGGTCGCAATCGGTCGGCTGCTCAAATAATCGTCATCTGCCGCTGAGTCGAAATTCCACTCATCTGGCACCCTCCTAGAACGTCCCTTCGCAGTCTTTTCGTGTGGAGGAGAGTCAACTGTGCAATACATCACTTTCATCACTTCTTACTCCGAGAGCAAGGTTTTGGTACCTAAGTCGCCCAAGACGGACTTGGCTGTGTTCACCCCGCCTTTTCCCGATCGGCTTCACGACAGCCAGTCGTCATTCCGATAGCGAAATCTGATTTACAATCATAGCCCGCGTTGGCTACCTTGACATGTCGCAGAGCCGGCCCTCAGCATTTTCGAGCTTGAGAATGGGTGGTGAGCCTGACTGAGCTAATTTCTTTGTGAGTGAAGAGCTAACGGTGTTCTTTTAGAGGTTATTCGTGAAAAGGTCCAGGATGGCTTGACTGGCGAAACCAAGGAAATGCAATACACTCAGTGTAAGATTGTGGGAAATGGATCATTTGGTGTCGTCTTTCAGACAAAGCTTGCTCCCAATGGAGAAGATGCCGCCATCAAGCGCGTCCTTCAGGACAAGAGATTTAAGGTTCGGGACGACCTTTGCCCTTTACTCAGCCTGTAGTTTTCTTTGGTCTATCGGCTAACTCTCAATAGAATCGTGAGCTTCAAATCATGCGCATCGTGAGGCATCCCAACATTGTAGAATTGAAGGCATTCTACTATTCAAACGGGGAAAGGGTCAGTAGGACATGCCCAAGTTCACATTTGGTTTCTGACTGACTTTTTTCTCCCTTTCTTGATTATACAGAAAGACGAAGTCTACCTTAACCTTGTATTGGAATTCGTGCCTGAAACGGTCTATCGAGCATCGCGCTACTTTAACAAGATGAAGACTACGATGCCCATTTTAGAGGTCAAGCTCTACATTTACCAGCTCTTTCGCTCGCTTGCCTACATCCATTCGCAAGGGATCTGCCATCGAGATATCAAACCTCAAAATCTTCTTCTCGACCCAAATACCGGAATTCTGAAACTCTGTGATTTTGGTAGCGCCAAGATCCTTGTTGAGAACGAACCAAACGTATCTTACATCTGTTCGAGATATTATCGAGCTCCAGAGTTGATTTTTGGTGCGACAAATTATACTACTAAGATTGGTAAGGCTTCTTCTCTCTTGTTGCTGCCCGGGCTATTCTTCCTCTCTCGTTGTTCGACATGAGCTAAGACCAAGTTTAGATGTCTGGTCTACAGGCTGCGTTATGGCTGAATTGATGCTTGGCCAACCCCTTTTCCCAGGCGAATCTGGCATCGACCAATTAGTGGAGATCATTAAGGTGCTCGGTACGCCGACTCGGGAACAAATTCGCACCATGAATCCCAATTACATGGAACACAAGTTCCCTCAAATCAAGCCCCACCCTTTCAGCAAGGTTTGCACAAAAAGGCCATGAAAATTGATCGGAACAAAACGGTCTAATTATTGAGCTTAGGTGTTCCGGAAAGCCTCGAACGAAGCAATCGATCTGATATCTCAACTATTGGAGTACACTCCTACGCAGCGGCTTTCGGCCATTGAGGCCATGGTTCATCCCTTTTTTGATGAGCTGAGGGAACCAGGGACTAGGCTACCAGACTCGCGCCACCCTAATGGGCCTTCCAAAGACCTCCCTGAGCTCTTCAACTTTACTCGGCACGGTGAGATCTGGGATTTCCCCTAGAAAACTTTGCCTTTTTCTGACTTATTGTAGAACTCTCCATCGCGCCGAATTTGAGACACAAGCTAGTTCCACCTCACAAACGCCAGGAATTACTGGAAAGACAAGGAATCGACCTAGAAAACTTTGTTCCTCTAAAGAGAGAGGAGATGATAGCCCGACTCGATTGAGCGCCTCTTATTTTGAGGCTTCTCAATCTGATTTTCTTGTTTTTGCAATTGCCGGGCCTATTCTCGTTCTCCCCGCTCATAATCGTCTAAGCCTTGAGGTCCTTTCCCGCGCTCGTCACTATCGTCATAACCGTCAAGTACTATCGATACCATTACTAGTTTGCGTTCTTTTGGCATTGGTCTCCCCCTCAGGTCCGCTGCGATTACTGAAACGGTGCGACCGTGAAATATTGCTGGCTGCACTTTATGTCGACGGCTACAAGAGGAGACGGCGAGAAAAGCTGCCAGAGCTGCCTGAACAGGTTGACTTGATGCACCTCTTTCGAAGTGTTTGTGGTGGAGTTGGCGGGTAGGTCCCCGTTTGGAACCTGAAAGCTGCGGAAGCTATGGAACACGATTGTCAAGAAGCTTATGAATGGAATTGTTTATTGTGTCTCAGACGACAAGCAGCTTGATCTGCTTGTTGTTCTTGTCGGGAAACGAAAGGAAGGACTTTACCCTGCCATTCGAGCATGAAGTTATTCATTATCGTCCCATATTTGGCAGCGACTATTTTCTCTTTTCTTCTCTTCTTTTCAACTTTACCCTTTACACTTCTTTTCACTTCCCTCGCCGTTGCTCTCAAGGGGGCTAAAAATCAACGGGCAAACCCCTGAGGCTGGTCCAGATTTACAGTGTCTCCGGTGCGTTGAAGTTTTAGCCTTCCCTGGAGCTGGTAATCATAGGGAATGGCAAAAGAGAATTTCTGGTAGTGTGAGAAAGTCGACCAGCAGCACTTATGATTTTTCCCTGAGTTCTTCTTTACTACATCATCATGCTTGGATCTAGGATCCTACAAAAGAAGTGCTTCTAGTAGCGTCCAACTTTAAATTTGTGCAAAAGAGAAAACGGCGTATTGAGGTTAAAGAAATAAGAATTTGCGTATAAAAACATCCCTTTTGACAACTCAAAATGTTTTCACTTAGCCTTCCACTGTGATGCCCTGGTTCGCTATATGCATCAAATTGTATGTCAGGGCTTGTGATAACCTGAATGTGGTCAAGCAGATTTCTCACAGCTTCTGAGCAATGCGCACTGCTCACGATTCAATTACTGAAATCACCTGAGAGAAGTTTGGTCACGCAAAAATAAAGTTAAATTGAAAACCAATTTTGAAACTCTGAGCTTTCACATCCTGATGCTTCTTGACTTTGATTGGTAACTGGTGAGGCTCGGCAAAGAGCAATGCGTGTAAACAATTTTGACTGAGCGGATTTGTTCCAGACCCGAGACAGGGAGAACAAGCACAGAAGCGAGACCGCCCTCAAATCACCAGCAACGACTTCTCCATCAAAACAACAAACATTGAAACAAGCTCGCGCAATGGCAGAGTACGAACGACGAGGTGGTGGCGGAGGCGGCCGACCGTTCAATCGCAAAAGGCGTTATCGAGGTACGAAGACGATTGTTAGCCAAAAGTATCGAAGCTTATCCTGTGTAAAATAGAGCCCGACGACTATGAACGCCGCAGCCAGCGTCGACGTTACGAAGAACCCTTAGATGTTCAGGTCGGCAGGCAGCTCTTAACTGTCGCCGATTCTGTAAGAATCTCTCAAACGTGGATATAATAAGTTCTGAAGGGTTAATTAGATGGCAACAGGCTTTGAAAAGGCCGGAGGACGACATCGTCGGCGTTGCAAAGACACTTGTGCAGCACTATGATGACGTCGAAGTCCGGAATACCTTTCTCGAGACCTTGCTTCAAATGTCCGTCCTCGCATCAGAGTCTATTTTTCACGAATAGTTTTACTGAGGAGCTCTTCATAGGGTCGTTGAACAACCGTTGAAAGTTCCATTCCTTGCAGCTATTGTCCTCGTCGCCAATCCCGAAAAGTCCGTCATAGCAACCGATGTGCTCTCGCGCACGGGAGAAAGTGCTCAAAAATTCATCGATACTGGCTCGTGGCGAGAATTTAAACTTCTCCTCCGATTTTTAGCTTGCATGCAAGGTCTTTTTGAAGGCGACGGCATTTTTGACATCCTCGAAGAGCTCTTTTCAAGGGCTGTGGATCTTCAGACAGCGTCATCTGAAGACGTAGGTTAAGCGAACCGTTACTATGAGGCATGAGATAACTTTCTATGTAGGCTCTTGGTTTGGAACTCGTAAAGATCATTCTTCTCACCATTCCATATGTCATTAGCTCCTCGGCGGATGGATTTGAACAACAAGCCGTGGCACTTTTGGAGAAAACGGACGTGATCGCTTCTACACCGCATTCACTAGAGGCATTGGTGGATCCATATCCTGGAGAAGAGAAACCAAGAGAATCGCAGAGCCTTATTGGTCTTTTGCAAAAGCAACTGCAGGAGGAGTCGACTCATGAATGGACCTTAGCTTGTCTTCCTCGGCCGTGGCGAACTATTTCGGAAGAGAGTTCTACTGATCTTTTGGCTTCCGCACCGAAGCACACTTTCCCGAATATTACAGTGCCTGAAGTCGTCAATGCCGGCAGTAAGTCAATATTGCCGGAAATTTATTTCTCTGTATACACCGATACGGAAGTAGAGGTGCGTAAAATAGCCTCTTTTGTCTGTGCTGCACAAACTAAAATTCTATAGAGCGTTCCACCGACTACTGATATCGCAAGCTCACTTTTGCGGGATTCGCTGGTGGATACCATCAACATTCTTGACTACAATCGTCATGCCACAGCGAAGTTTTTGAGTGAGGTCGATTGCTACTTCTCTCCGGGCATATTTGTTAAGCGCGCAACTCCTTTTGATCGACTTAGAGAGATCCCTGCAGGCAAGACTACCTGGAAGCCTGAGGATGTTGCAGTAGATGCTGTCTTCTCGCAGCTTTTCCGGCTGCCGACCGCGGAGCACAAACTTGTATATTATCACTCCGTGCTCACTGAGTGCTGCAAGATCGCGCCCGCGGCTATTGCTCCTAGTCTTGGAAGAGCAATCCGATTCTTGTACCGAAATCTGGACTCTATGGATATGGAATTGGCTTATCGGTTTATGGACTGGTTCTCTCATCACTTGAGTAACTTTGGATTCACTTGGAAGTGGACTGAATGGTAAGATATCTTTCTCTCATAATTGTCGAAGTGCACTTGTTCAGAATGTTTACACAGGATCGACGATTTGGAACTCCCCGACGTTCACATCAGGAAAGCATTTATGCTGGGTGCTCTGGATAAGGAGGTGCGGTTGAGCTTTGCTCAGCGCATCCGCGGGACTCTACCAGACCCATACCAGCCCATAATATCCGAGGCTAAAGAGAAGGACACTCCTGACTTTAAGTATGATAACGACCGTAAGTCTCTCAGGCGCTCATTATCTCACATTGTACTTTGGGTTTGATTTCAATCAATTTCGCTGGTGATAGCTCCGTCGATATTGACAACTGCTAATCTCTTGAGCTTGCAATCTTCAGAAACTCCCTATGCGCAGGAGGGAAGAGATTTGATGGCTCTGCTGCGAAAGAAAGCTCCAGAGGACGAAATCCAGACAGTGATCAACGAAATACATGACAAAGCTGCTTCACTTGGAGTGTCTGAACCGCTGGTCCCCTCAACTGACGCGTACGTCACTTCAATCTGCTACATCGGTTCCAAATCTCTTTCGCATGTCCTTTCGTGCATCGAGCGCTGCAAGGAGCGTCTGATGGCAATTGGTGGCGACTCCAGCGCCGCCCGCAGACAGATCATCACGTCGGTCATGGAGTATTGGCGCGAGCAACCTGGCGTCGGCGTCAACATAATTGACAAGCTGCTCAACTACACTATCTTAAGCCCCATGTCCGTTGTCGAGTGGGTCCTTGTCGATCATCTCGATCGTGGCCGTATACTCTCGCTCAGTCACACTTATGAAATGATTGCGTCTACCGTGTCTAAAGTTACCAAGCGCATGCGGGATATCGTCGCAGCCAGTCGTCGCGAGAACCTCACCGATGTGGAGATCAAGATGCTCGACGATACCCTGCAGCGAGAGCGGCCTGAGGTCACTAATCTTTTCAAGCTTATAGAGGATGCACTTCTCGGTGTGGCCCAAGGTTCAAGTGACGATGCCATAGAGGCAGGTGATGGCAATACCAACGAAGAGGCGCTCCTTCGCGCCTGGGGCGAGCGCTGGCTTCGAGTCTTCCGACGAAAACTCGCCGTCGAGGAGTCTCTTTGGCAAGAGGAATCTGCAAAAGGCGCTGCTAATGGCAACGCCATCTCGGCTACAGAGTAGATCTTCGTTCGCCATCACAAACCTCTTCCGAGCGAATGTTGAAGCTAGTTTTCAGTGATTCTTCTTTTCTTTTCCTCTTCTTCTTTCCCTTTTTTCCCCCTCCGGAAGAGGCATCTCTAACGGTTCTACAATTGGTATCAACGCTTTCGCGAGAAATACTGGAGTCGAAAATAACCCAAAAAGAGAAGGAAAAACCCCATTAAAAGTGGGACTTGGTTAATTTTTGAAAAATAAATCGTTCAGATAATCAACACGCCATTTTCAAAATGAATGAAATAGATAATGCATCCTGAGACAGCATTGACTACACAGACACAATCGTAGCTGCCATATTCGCGAAGAGAAACCTACACAGTGCGGTTTGAACAAGACTGTTCGTCGATGCATACTTCGACGTCCATGATATTGTGAAGCGGTCCAATGGACTCAGCGATGCAAAAAGGTTGAATGAAATTACATTAAGGTATGAGAGGCGTTTTCACGACGCCAACCGGAAGGAAACTAATATTAAAAGTACAGTCTAACTATGAGATTTTTTCCCCTAACAAAGTAGACGGCGGGCTAAAGTGCTCTGGACGGCGTCTCAATCGGGAGTCGGATCCCGCGATAAGCTTTCCCTCAGAAAGAAAGATTGGACAGAAAGATCTCGACCAGCGAAAGACCCCTCGAAATTAAATTTATGTAATTTTGGTGTCGCTCTATGGGAGAAAAAAGACATCCCTTTTTTTTGGGGGCGAGGCTGTACATATGCCGCCGTCAACTCGTATGCTGCGAAAAATATCTGCGCATCGCATCATAATCGCTCGATCGCTGGCACAACCGCCAATTACGGAGGGTCGATTCTGAAAATGCTTGAGTGACCGAGAAATTTACTGCGTCTTCTTTTCTCCTTCGGCACCATAGACACGGTCGTCGTCACCCTCGACTTCCTTGACCACGGTTTCCATCTCCTTGACTTGCTTTTCCCACTCCTCCTTGGCCATCTTTGTCTCCCGACGGAAGAGCTCCTCATTGGGTTTCCGGTAGCTTCCGCCGAGTCTATCCCAGAGAGTGGTGAACTGCCCGTAGTTGTAGTTGAAGTAGAGATGGTGCATGGTGTGGCAAGCGGCGCCATTGACTATTGGGGATGTGGAGACGTACTCTCCGTCATCTATTTAAAAAGGCGAATGTCAGAAATAATTCTATTTCGGAGCATGCAAATAGGTGTACTTACGGATAAAGACGGTCCAGAAGTTGATGAAAGCAAAGAGGCCAATGTATGCGAACTTCTGGAGCGGGAAGATGAACGGGAAGACGTGGTAGGGCACACTCTGCAGATAGCCGTCCAGCGGGTGGAAGGCATGGCTAGCATACGGGGTGGGCATGATCCACTTGTGGTGGGGTTTGTGCAAGGCCTTATAGACGGCCGGGCAGTGCAACCAGCGATGGATCCAGTAAATGCAGAAATCGGTGAAACCGATAAAGAGCGGGAACTGGAGAAAGTTGTACCACATTCCGGGACCGTCGGCGGTGGCATCGTAGAGCTTTCCGTAGCCACGAACCTCGGCGAGGAAAAAGGGGAGAGTGAAGAGAGACATGACAGGGAGAGCCCTCATGGTCTGAAGGATTTCCATACGAATCTGGTTCTTGAGGAATTTCGGATGTTGGAAGGTTGTCTTATCGAAGACAAAGACGTACGAAAGACTGGCGCAAAACAAGTAGACCAATAAACCAAAGATCCTAAAGGTGTGTAACAGTTCTCACGTTAGCATACGCGTCGGCAGGCGCTGAGAAAGATTGCTTTCCCGAGAGACTGAGACCTTACCAAGTAATTAGGAACAGACTGATGCCCTGGCGATAAATGTTGTCGCGGGGCCAGGCGCTCATGTATGCCCAACTTGAGGGTTGCAGCTGGAAGAACTGATTCGAGGGATGGTATTCATAGGCCGAGGGGAGATTGGAAAAGGTGACATTGGCGGCCGCATCCTTCAATGCCTGCTTGGCAACGCTGACGGACGTAGCAGGGACAATCTCGGCGTAGATGCGGTCGAGCGCAAAGGTATCGAAGATTTCAAGCACAATATCCATGGCGACTGATCCCAGCGTCCGAGGACGAATTGGCGGCGAATTTCCGGTGAAATATCAAAGTAAGACCAAGTGTGTGACTTTTGTTCGTCCAACCCTCTGAGTTCTTCCAAAAAAATTAATGGAGGTAGAACGAAAAGAAAAGTGGGAAAATAAGGAAAAGGAAGCTGTTAAGCTTTGACTTCTTTTTTTTTTTGCCAAACTTACACAAGGAGAGACAGGCGGGTGAGGCTTTTCTATGCCAGTGAAGGACAGGGACAGACAGACCCGAGCGAATCATATCTGCGAAAGACGGGGGCGGAGAAGGGTGGGAAGGGCACTCTCTACCGCATGCTAAGGGATTCGCATCGGGTGATGGTGGGCTGCGACATGGCCCCAAGCCGGTGGACTCGGTATCTCACCGTTCCGGTCTATGGGGAGCGAAATGGAAAGTCACTGGAAAAAAAAGGGTCCTTTCACCGATGCTGTGAACCGAAGAAAAACGAACGGGGCAACTACCTACTGGTCGGGGGGGGGGGGTTTACTTAGTACCTTTCAATGTATGACGGTATTGTTCCAATCTGTGTAAAACGCTGCTTAGAGTACTCAATCTCTCCTAAGGACACTCTATGATGGGATCAGAACCCTTCTGCACTACGGCAGTTTAGCATAGCGAATGATGGGGCAGATTCATAATAATACGGAGCCACAGTATAAAAAAGTTGATTATTCAACGTAACGTTCCCGCCACAGGCCGTTGCGGCGATCAATCCCTGACGTTATCATATCTGGGCTGCTGATTGATTTTTCCATGAGGAGGTGCTATTTTTTCAGCAATTTCTTTGCTAGCCCACGCTACTTGCACCCATTTCAACCACGTGCGGCAAACATGGTCAAGATGACGATTCAGAAAATCAAAATCCGGGCGATTACCTGATGCAATACGCACTGGAATAATGACAATAGATGAGTTACGTATTTGGAAAATTGAAGACTAAGCTGACAAGGCAACATTGGCAAAAGGTTGAACCCTTGGATTGTAATGCGATAATCTAGTGGTTTCATCGGATATGCCCTGGTGTCTCCACGAGATCCGCCGACCGGTGCTTTTGGGGAAGGAGCTGACAGACTAATCTGGAAGCTGCATGATGATCGACTTACCGTAATCAATCCAGCAAGCGACTCATCACGTGATCACATCCGACACAGTCCCAGTGCCCGTTGGTTAAAGTGGAGAAAAGACACTGCCTCGAAGCTGCCAACGTTGGATTGGAGGCCGCTGACATCCATCTGCTTCTGCAGGACATATTGTACTGACATCATATTCCGATTTGTTTCAGCAATGAGTAATTCATCAATCTGGACCAATCAGCAAAGTGTGTCCTTTGCACAAATGCTTCATGAGTTGACCTGAATATCGGATTAATCAAAGGAAACGTGTCAATTCATGATGATATCCCATTCGATCTTGCTATCCGAGAATGCTTTGAAACTACCCAAATATCTACCTATCCGCATTGCACAGAAGAAGTTTCAGAACCAGAAATTGCGCCATGCCACTGACCTGCATCTGACATGGGTTGGGTTTATCGTTGGCGGCTTGGAAGTGGGTGCTACCCAGGTGGATGGCCCGAAAGAGAGTAGCAAAGGTGTATTCCGTATTTCTGTGCGGGTATACTTGTATTGAATGAAGGGTACAAACGATTGGATAACGCTGAACAGTGTGTACGTACAGTGCAGTCCTTAAGGTAGATCACCCTCTCAGTGGCCTGTCCTGTGCATGTCCCCCGTATCTGTAATTGGCATGCACATGGGTCCTTGAGTACTATGGTACTTCACTGCAGACTCTTCCCCTTTAAGCACCGGAGAATACTGCACGTAGCTTGTAGTTCGTTTTGCGTTGCGCGGTGATGGAAAGTGGTGGTGTCGCTCAGGGTTAGGGGAGCTACTGAGGTACACTCGGGCGACCACGCTGCTCCCGCTTCCGCTTCATGTCTCAAGCCCCATCCCTCGTTGCATGGTGCATCTCACCTTCCATGTATCTTCCCTGCCCCTGCACCCACATAAGGTACTCATAACTCACCCACACAGACACAGACACACACACACACACACAAGCTCGACTGCTATTGAGTAAGAGTACCATTGCCGAACTGCCAAAAAAGCGACCGCTCAGAAAGAGGCAGAGCCCCGTTGGCCCCGCTGCAACATCATCCTGTGACATCTTGCATCTCTACCTACTGTGGATACCTCTCCCCATCAAGAGAACGAACCCTACACGCCTATTCGACGTAGCCATCTTTGAGGGACAGGGAATCTGCTAGAGGCCATACCTTTACGAGAGGGCAAGGTGCAGACGTCCCCCAGGTCCGGCCCGAGAACCTGGTGCGTTCAGCAAGTGCATTATTCTTGTAAGTAAGTTACTTGTCTACCGGAGTAGCAGCCTCTCGCCTGCTCATCGATGGTGGAAAGAAAGGTAAATTAACACATCTTTCGTTAGTCTCTCGTTACCCGCCCCTGGCGCAAAGCCGTGCACGGTGCACTTGGCCCAGCCGACTTTTGGGTGGCAGACGATCTGCCTAAGTCCAAGGACGGCCAAAACGGTACAAAAGTACCCTTTGCACGCACACACACACTTTCGTCGCCAACCGCTTCCATACCCGTAACCTCGTCTGTCTGATCTCTTTTGTTCCTCCTTCTCTTCCTCGCTCGCTCTCGCTCTTACCTTAATCCTTTTACCCTACCTACGCTACCGCTACCCACTGGCGGCCGCTCTCATCACGCAGTTTTCTCCCCTTCACTTACCGACCTCCTCATCTCCCTCTCCTCCTTTCCCTTAGCTTCTATCCTTCAACTTCCGCTTGACCCTCCTGCTTTCTCGACGCGGTTGGTCATCGCGGCCTCTGCTTGCAACGTCCGATCGTACCTATTTGTCGCGTTCTACCATTGCGACAAGGGTTTTCAAGGTTCCTCGCGCGCCGCAAGTGGCTGTTGAACCGAGATAACATCGACAGCTTGTCAAATCCTCAGCCAGTCAGCGTGAACGCGCGCGACACAGAATTCTCATTTTGCACCAATTAATTCATCGATTCTGCTTCGTTGCCTCTTACTAGTCTACCTATTGTCAGCTACCTGGGAGCTTTATCACAGCTGTTCGACACAAACGAGTCAATACACCTACTGGAAATCAGTTGAAGCTCTGCTGCTCAAAGGGTCGAGTCTCAGCCGGCAACCTCTGAAACCCGCTATCGTCAGGATCATATTTTGGTGTCTGGAAACATTGTGTCATTTGAGTCAGAAAGCGCCGTGGACGGGAAGCGAAATCAGGGCGGAAATATTGTCATCATGTACAACTCTCATCGCGGGATGGTGCCTAATGCACCCAACACTCGCTTGAACGAGCTCCTGGACTCAATCCGGGCCGAGTTTGATAATCAAGTGGGGAGGGCAGGAGAGTATGAGGTGCAAAGTAGGTTCCCTGCATATCCCCGGTGGCCGGCCAGCGCTTTTACGCAATCTTTGGCAACCCTCTCAAGAATTGCTGCATCCTCGTTAGGCTGCAAGTCAGATCAATTCAGACTTGGACATGGTTTAGTTTCAGGGTCCTTTAATCTGTTTAATAATTCATCATCACCAAAAACAGTGGACTAACGATGGTCTTACAGTTACAAATCAGATGAACGAAATGGATATGGTAAGACAGAAGCTATATCAGCTGGAACAACAACACGCAGTCATGAAGCAAAAGTAAGTCTGATTCAATGAGCACATCGAAATTGGGGCAAACTTTCTGCACATTTTCTTTTTCTCCTCCACAGAACATTAAATTAATCTTTATATAAATCTTTCAGGTATGAAGAGGACGTGGCCCGCCTTAGAGCAGAACTCGACGCACGCGGTGGCCCGGTCCACTCTTCTCACGTTGCGGGAGCCCCTCCACACACCGGTCCTGCGCAAGCACCACCGCCCGCTATCGGCCATGGGCCGAGTAATCTGTTTGGCGGTATCATGACCGGACAAGGTGGGCAAGGCGGACCTGGCCTAGCGCCGCCTCCGCAGGAGCTCCCGCCCCAGCCCCATCCGATGGTTGGAGCACCGCCTGGTCTTCCCCAAGCTGGGCCTCAACCGCAACAGCCACCTTTTCCCGGATATCCGGCTCCCTCTGCGAATGGTATGCACTAACTTTGAATCCGTTCTGAACACTTTATTGCCCCCTTGCTCGGAAGCCAATTACGCTTCATTAAGCAGAGCCCTTCCCTCCATCGATCCCCATATTACGGAAGATGATGCCTGACTATGATCTAGGATATACGCAGCCACCTCCACCAACTTCCTCTCCCGGACCCGGCAAAGGTCCCCGACCTGTTCGAGGCCCGCCTGGACCTGCGACTCCTCAGCAAGCTCCTTACCCTGATCCGCGGGCATCTCCTCAGATCGCACGTCCCACGCCTCCTCCGCCCCCGCCGCAGCCGCCAATTGGTAATGTGGGCAACACCCTTGCGGATTTGGACATTGACCGGTTACCTCCGTCGCAAAAGAGGGAAGGTACCGACTGGTTTGCCGTCTTTAACCCTCGAATTCCCCGCGTCCTGGATGTCGATCTCGTTCACACTCTCTCTCATGAGAGTGTTGTGTGCTGTGTGAGGTTCAGCCATGACGGAAAATATGTGGCAACAGGATGCAACAGATCGGCACAAATTTTCGATGTGACCACTGGAAAACTTGTCTCTCATCTTCAGGACGACTCTGTTGATAAGGATGGAGACCTTTATATTCGCAGCGTCTGCTTTAGCCCTGACGGAAGATATCTTGCAACGGGCGCTGAAGATCGACAGATTAGGGTTAGCACATTCCTTTGGTACTTACCCAACCCATCAAAGCTAACACACAACAATTTAGGTCTGGGACATCCAAAATCGCACAATTAAGCACACCTTCACTGGCCACGAGCAGGACATCTACTCTCTGGACTTTGCTCGTAATGGCCGTCTCATTGCTTCCGGAAGCGGTGACCGAACTGTTCGCCTCTGGGATCTCGATGCCGGCCACCAATTGATGGTACTCAGTATTGAGGATGGCGTGACTACCGTTGCCATTTCCCCCGATGCTCGTTATGTTGCGGCTGGCTCACTGGACAAGAGCGTTCGAGTTTGGGATGCTACGAGCGGCTATCTGGTTGAACGACTTGAGGGCGCTGAGGGCCACAAGGATAGCGTTTACTCGGTAGCGTTTGCGCCGAACGGCAGAGATTTGGTCAGTGGAAGTCTGGATAAGACGATCAAGATGTGGGAGTTGACCCCGCCGCGAGGAATGCTGCCCGGCACTGGTCCCAAGGGCGGCAAATGTGTAAGGACATTCGAAGGTCACAAGGTACGTGCAGGCATATTGGCGAATTTCAAGGCGCAAACCGCACCAATGCTCCAAGACCCATGGATGGGAGCCAGATATTCTTTTCTCTTTTTTGCGTTTCTCCTTCTTCTCCGCCAACAAGCACAATTTTGTTTCAGCCCAGACTAATGAATGGCGCAGGACTTTGTCTTGAGTGTGGCCTTGACCCCTGATGGCGCATGGGTTTTGAGCGGATCGAAGGATCGAGGTGTTCAATTCTGGGATCCTAGAACGGGTAACACGCAGCTGATGCTTCAGGGACATAAAAACTCGGGTAAGACTCCTTTGTGCGATCAACTGTGGTTGCAATGGCCGCGTCACCCGCCGCTTAAACTGGTTTTATCCAATTTACGGTTTTGCTGTGTTCAATCATGGCTGACATTTTACCTTTGCAGTTATTTCGGTTGCTCCCAGTCCAATGGGAAATCTCTTCGCCACTGGAAGTGGAGACATGCGTGCCCGTATCTGGAGGTATGTATCAGTACCTACACCGAGATCCCAATTTTTTCCGCCTTCGTTGGTGTAATCTTTGCACCGCCAAGCTCATGCTTGTCAATTGATCTCCGATGAAGCGTACCGCTATGCTCGGAGATGTCGTATGTCATGGACAATTTATTGTTACCTTGTGTCTGGGAATAGCTGTTGAGACTGACCATGAGTACTTTTTAGCTACGAACAATACCGTGGACCTTGAAGCGTCAATATCAAACCTCAGTCCAACGCGTGTTTTCCAGTTGAGTAATTTGAGCTTGTTGATTCGCAAGAAAAAGGGCGGCTTGGGGGATGCTCTCGGAGTAAAGCTATTGCGAATTATCACCAAGAACTGCGTCGTCTTTCAATGGTCTGGGTGTCATTTCCTTTACCTCCTTTCTGATCTGGCATTATTTTTTTTTTTTTGCTTTTCCTTTCCATTTCGTTGTCTTTTTCTTGCCTTTATTCTGGAAGAGCAAGTACTGCAAGAAACATCATGACCAAGAGTATCGGGCTTGATGAAAACAGCCCAAGTCATCCTTGGACGGGCATTACCCCTGCGCCAGCTTATCCGCAGAGTTCGATATACGCCCCGGGTAAGGTGGCGAACTGGGCTAAGGGCATAACATATTATGTGCCTTGAGTATGATTTTGATTAAATTTCATTCTTTGTATTTTAGAATTCCTGGTGTTTGTTCTTTTGCAACACTTTGTAATGCTGTTATATCATTTTCATGCTAAGTATGACGATTACTCAATTGCTTGAATGCCTAAGGCAATTCCACCCTTTGCGTAATCACTTGAATCGCTGCATCGAACAGAACGACAGCTGATCACCTTTGGATGGGCCAAAAACAATTCCCAAATTTGGGATAATTGACCCCATGATCGCAGGCGAACTGCAGCGAATAGCCCAAAGGAGGACGCCAGGTTCATCAAGTCACCTCAGCAAAGGCGGGCAGCAGAGGTGAGATCTGCATCTGTACAACTGCATACCATGCAAAGCTCTCGTTGAGCCAACACTGTACACTGTGCGGCTTAGATGCGGACTTTATCAACCGTGTCATAGTCTCAAGGAGTTCAACCGCGGCGTTCGTTAGTTGAATGTTCTCTCTGCTTGGCTTAGGCAGAAGAGGCCTCTGCAAATACCGTATCGTACAATTCCTTGGACCCCGCTTTGGATGGAGAGCATGGAAATTGCTGACCCCCAAACCTTTACCCCTGCCCCTCCCCACAGACATGGGCAAAATTGAGGAAATGCAGGTTCGGATGCTATCAGGCCGCTAGTTGGTGCTCCCGAATGACTGTTCAAGGCTGGTCTTATGGTTATCGCATACATTCGGTATGCACCCACACAACATCGAATATTCATTACAAGCTTGTCAAGCTACGATCGGCAAAAGGTCATCTCGACATGGTCTGTGGATCGCACTTACTGAGCAGCTTACCTCTCGTGCCGGCCGTGCGCTTTCCGTCGCGCGAATTGCTAACTAGGTAGGTAGATAGGTAGGAATGTAGACCAATATTAGAGTCAGAATGGGGGTGTCGGCGACCTTTTGGGAGGAGTTGCTGGAGGATAGATGACTGGCAAAATCTGAGGCGTGGAGCGGCGAGGCCCAGACGGGGCACGGCGATTAAAGTTTAACAAGGGATGCACTACAAGTGAATCCCCTCGAATGATATCAAGGGGGGATCTGGTAGCATGAACATTGTGTGCAACCCCAGAAGCACATCGTGGGCAAAGACTCAAATACAAACTTCAATAATGTGCACCCGGGATAACTGTATCTCATCACACCTGCTCGATTCGCTACCAGATCACGGCGACACGCATCCCCCGCATCAATTTCCCGGCATTTTGGTTCGACAACCCCATGCCAGCGCCAATACCTTGTCCATGCGGCAGCAGAGCTCCTGGCGAGGCGCAGTGGAGGGCCAGATTGCTGAAATACCTTTACCGCCTGAGACGCCATTTCCCCTCCCGCTCTCAATTGGGGTGACCAGGCCCTCCTATGCTGAGCCAGAAGTGCAGTATAACCTTTTCTTTGGGGAACAGATAAGCACTCAGAGGAGGAGGGATCTGAGAACCTACAATTTACTTACTTTGTTCTTCTGCTGCTTGCCGGCAGATTGGGAGTGGCAGGTCTCTGCAGGTAACATCTTCTTGAAACCTCAAGCCTCAGAACCATATTTCATTATTTCGATATATCCAAGGTATTTCTAGCCTGATACAAGAGTTCTCTGTTGACAGAGCTGGCTTATCAGATAAGAATAATATGACAGCAACGACACCTTCGATACACATCAACTCGTCTGTGGAGGCCCACCCTGTAAGTTACGGGTCCTACTCGTCGGGGGAGCTATGGACATGACGCTTGTGCTTTGCTCGCTCTCCGAAGCTGTGGCGTTCTCCTGGCACCTCGAAAACGGAGCGCCTTGGCGCAAAGGCCGCCGGCAGATGACACCCCCATCGACGCGCGGAAGCGATGCTTTTCGGATGCATCTGCACAGATCCACACCGGCCGATCAATCAACTAATTCTATTTCCACAATTATCCCATGCTATCTGCACGAAAGCTTCCTTTATGGGATTTTGCATCGGAACCCCTCAAAACGCATCCAAGCGTTCATCCTCAAAACGTATATAAGCCCTTGCATATTATTGGTGCGTGAGTACACCAACGGCGTCAGCATTCTAGTTACGATGACAATTTAATTGGGATGCTTTGTGTCAACATGTTGGGAAGTATGTAGGTGCGCATCAGGCATCTACCTAGTATGTCTGTGTGCGAGTGCCCGCGGCGGCGACGGGCTCGAGTGACGAGTTGACTCTCGGCAGCGTTGGCCATTGACGCCACGCCGTCTCAGCCACCTGGTGTCTGATTTGGATCAATCACGCAGGCCATCCAGCCGTCTGGTACTGAAGAGGCCATCCGGGATCACCGATATTTTGGTATCTTGGCCCATCTTTTACCTTTGCCCAATGGATCGTCGTAGTCTAATGTTATCTGTTGGAGAAGAGGGGCGTGAGGAGGAGCTGCAGAAGGCAGAGCAAACCGAGATGACCAAGTGATGTCACCTTTCTTCAAGCCAATTTTACAGTGCTACGCTTTGTCAAAAGGCTTCTGTGGCGAGCACGACAGTGAGGACGGCAACAAATCATGGAAAGATTCGTCGGGCCAAATTAACCCATCCGAGCAGATTTGATCTTCAGAATTCATACTCGGGGCGTAGACTGTCGGCCAATGACCAATCGAGATCTCGCTGAGGTGGAAGATGGGGCGCGAACATGTCAATGTTGCATGCGAGCTTTTCTGGACAGTCAAATGCCGCGGAGTCAAGTTCACCGCCCACGTGCGTGAGCGCGCTCTTTGGGGGCGCAACTGACAAGGTCTCATGTCACGGCCACGCAATGCTGCGAAACTCTTTCCCGAATGGGGGATCAATCCACAAATGTACCGCATCCGTCCCGTGATTTCCGTCGGTCGGAGGCTGGAAACAAAGAGCGAAACCAGAGAGGACTGAGAGAAAGGATTTCCCTTGTGGATTGTTGGTATAGAGTTTTGTCATTTCTAAGCAACAGGCGCGAAGGCCCCACGCGCTTTTGGACATTGACGGGACATGTTGATGGGATAATCCGAGACGAACTCTTGCAAGTTACTTTGTGACGTTGGAGATGAGCAATACACATGCAAAATAGAATAATATCTCAGGGTCCCAGTTTGCGAGGATCGGGGAATGGTGGTGAGTCGATCGTAGTAGCTAAGAAATACATGTGTGAAGACGATGAGCTTCCTCTGGGTGAGGTAGCTATAGATAATCGTACATGAACCCCCACCCTTTCTTTTTCTCTTTCTCAGGTGTTGCCCCATGGCCCGTCGTTCGGTCGACGTTTGACTCGCCCGCTACTCCGTTCCGCTGCCGCGTCGACGGGAGGCTGCGGGGAAGCCGACGAGATCCCACCCCGAAACGAAGCAATCCGTAGTGATAATGGTGGTTCCCGGCATCATATACTATACCTACCTACCTAGGTATCTCATTATTCTCGAAAAGTGTAGCTTGTTACTCTTGGTCATCGGCACGTCTTCCTGTAGTTTAGCCCCCACTACAACACCATGGAGCACAGCTTCAAGGGCCCGTCCAGCTGAATTGCTAGGAAAAGAATATATATATTTTTTCTTCATCAAAAATATCCTGTCGTAGCTGTCGCACTTTCTTGAGTAGAAATAGATTTTAACGCGGAGAGAGAGTCAAATAAGCAGCATAGCGACCTTTCGCTATCATCTAGTTACTCCGTAGAGCAACATACAGTGGATTTTTGCCTCATTCAGCATCTTCAGAGTTGCTCGCCGAAAGAACACTAGTCGCCCTCCGCGGGTACCGGGCCATGTTTTGGCTAAAGCCCGCTGGTGTTGGCATCCATCCCATCCCTATCACGCCTGTTCTGTTCCTTTGCTGCCGAACTACCTAAGATCTCATCCCGCGAATGACAGCCCATTCATCGGACCTGCCCTAGCTGGACATCATCTGTCTGCTGGCCCTGGCAACCTTGGCCCTCTCCTCCTATCAGTTACAGAATAACTAACTAGTACTCGCACACACACAGCCTCTTCATGCTCTTTGGGCTGTGCCTACTACTCCCGTATGTTAACCCACACCCTCCCAGCTTGAGGGGTGCTTGATGCCGCGCTTGCTAATGAACACTAGAGGTGGGAGCTAGGGCAACTAGGGCAGGGAAGCTTCTCTCACCAGCTCCCGTCGCCTCGGGACCGTCCCACCCCATCCGATTCTTTAGTCTCTCTGGGTACTCGGCACCTCTGCCAAACTCTCGCCCGTCCATGGGTATTGCACATGGCGGACGAGATTCACTGGAGAAGGGATTGAGAGGGTGGGGACGTGACTGTAACTCTTGCTGCTTCCCCGTTCTTGTCTGACCGCGTACGCATGCCCGCGTCGTGCTATCCCCGACAGTTTTCTTTGAGCTATGGTGGGCCAGCTTTGCAGGCTTCCCTCGATGTGGGGACGTTCCGACATATAAGGCTCATCCAACATGAGTGGCTGTCGCATGGTGGGCCTGCGAGCAATGCACCTGGGATGTCGATCCTCTACGCTTGCTGACCCCTTCGATCCGGGAATTGGAACAAACGGTGCATCTGAAAAACGTCTCATTGACGTTCATCTCTGAGCTCGTGTTCGACGTCGCCGGTGGAGTCTGTCTTAGTTCTGACCCTGTCTTCTCGGAACGGTAACGGCAACGGTTCCATAAGCAGGGTCCTTATATAACTTTCATTACCTGTGCGACTCCAGCGGGCTGGATCAGGCTGAATTGAAGGATAGCTGGCACTGAACTGACAATCCTCTCCGGTTCTGCTTTGGTTGCTGATATCCCCAGATATTCCAACCACTTGTTTGGGGAAACCCAGACCTGATGGAGGCTACCAATGTCCTTGCGCCTTTTGAATTCAATTCAAGACTTGTGCACGAGGGCTCTATCATGGCCCGCAACCCGCATGCAGAACAGTTCGATCTTTCTATGAATTCCTTGGTCTTCCCTGGCATAGGCCCTTTCCTGCCTCTCCTTCCTTCAGGCTATGGCATGAACGGTATGCTAGGAGACAACTATGCCTCCGTCACGCAAGGCTACGGTTCCAATTACTCGAGCCATACTTCGTCGCATGGCTTCCCAAGTCTGACGCCGCATGGGCCCGACACGCGCAACGGACATGCAATCAGGACTCCACCAATAAAGCTCGAAGATGATGCCACTTCGTCATTCGCATTTGACGTCCCTTCACATGTTGCGTCGCCTCCAGAAACTTTCACTCCTTCTTCTGCGGGCCCAACTGAGGCCCAATTTGCGACGAGTGTCGACGTGCTCATGAGAGCCATTCAGTCAAAAACGAACTCGGAGGACGTGCCAAGCGTGGACCGGCACTCGTCTTCAAACCAGCCGCAAACTCGAGCCCAAGGCGGCCCCAAGTCTAGTACGGCACCGGCAGCCCCAATGGCCGATGATGGCCACATTGACGGGGGGAGAACTGACCGGAAAGCCAAGAAGAAGTATCAATGCAGTATCCCCGGATGCTGGAAGAGCTTCTACCAAAAGACCCACCTGGATATTCATACCCGAGCACACACCGGAGTGAAGCCATTTGTTGGTGCCCTTATTACCTTTTAAGTCCCTGGCTCGACTCTTTGATTTTTCGAACCAGCTTGTTTGATCGGATCGCTGACAAAAATCCTCGCTGTCTCCATGCAGATTTGCCGAGAGCCATCCTGTGGTCAACGTTTCAGTCAGATGGGAAATCTCAAGGTAGCGGTTGACAATTCCTGAGAATTTGGTGGCCTCAACAAGCTGACGCCTTCATCATTATCGTCTTCAAGACACATGAGCGTCGCCATACTGGAGAACGCCCATACGAATGCGATATCTGCCACAAGACATTTGCTCAGCGCGGCAATGTCCGAGCGCACAAAATCGTGCACCTACAAGCAAAGCCCTTTACATGTCGGCTGGATGACTGCGGTAAACAGTTCAGCCAACTGGGAAACCTCAAGGTCCGTATTAAATCTTGACGACGGATTGTATATGAGAAACACCGGTGCCCTCATTCTTGGCCCCTTGTGATTTACAACGCCACAAGAAAAATTGATTCTCCCTTGCAAAGACATGTTCTCTACTTGATGTCTTTTCAAAAGCTTAATGTGGCGGTTCGTTTATCATCTCTTTTCTTCGTTTCATTTCGGCACTTGTTGAGTTCATCTCTTTACTCCGCTATTCAACACTTTAATCCGGTGTTCACCTCTTGTCCATACAGAAATTAGGTATGAAGAAGCTGACCAACTGGGGCCATTTTTCGCCCGCTTTGAAAGAACAGTCTCATCAGAACAAGTTTCATGCCTCGTCGCTGAACCTCCTCACGGAACGCTTCGCTTCCATCCATGATGGCGAGCCGGTTTCTCAGAATGATCGAGAACTTTGGGAGTACTTCGCTTCATTATATAAAAACTCCAACAAAGGAATCAAGGGACGTGGCAAAGACCGCCGGATTTCCTGCACGTCAACATCCAGGCGACACAACTCAGGACCTGGATCATTGTCATCAGAAATGGGCCCAGAATCTGGTGATCATGCGGTCTCCGCAGAGTGTACTTGCGAGCAGGACACCTCTGCGCGCAGGCGTAGTCCAAGTCAGTGTCTGAGCCAGACTAGCTCGGAATCTTCTGGTTCTGCAGAGTCCTTTTGGGCTTTCAAGTCTTCGAATACCGCGCCTGGTGAAGCAGGTAACATTCACGGAAGCATGAATTCAAGCATGTTAACCGGGCATCTTCATGCGAGAGGAATCTATGATGGATATATGGCAAGTATGCCGATGATGCATTCTTACCCGCGCTGAAAGGAGGTATGTAGCAATACCATTTGTACATGCCAAAATATGTTATATATTGTGCGTTTGCACTGCGTGCTTGCTCAATGCGATCCAGCTGCTTGTTGGCGTGCCGTTCGTTGACGAACCTTTTCTCTGGGACTTTCTTTGCTTGGTGACTCAAAGGAGTCTCGTCTTTTCCTTTTATGTTGGCTTGGGTGTTTGAAGAAACCAATGGACTGATGATTGATGAGCAACCTGGTTGATGAGCAATGACCAACGGACGACATGACTGTATATTTTACGAATATATCTTACGCCTGAGCAGCCTTGTGATCATCTGCTGGCCCTATGGTTCAGCTTGGTAATTTGCTGCGTATGATTGCATCCGTGAAAGCAGAAAGTCCAACATCAAAGCTAGAACTCGCGAAAAACTCTTTAATTTCACCTTCTAGGGTGCTTTAATCAGCTCGGCACCCTTCTGGAAATTCAGTGCATTATCAATTGGTTGCGCAAAGTCTCATTGTTACAATGCAAATACTATGAGTCGAGCAGTACAAATTACAGCGAACTGTCTATGAGAAGTTCGCAAGTTACAAAGAAGTATGGCTTTGTAAGCCGAATATGAAGATCGGAAAGATTGATAGCTGACTTATCAGCAATTCTGAAAGAAGCCGGGGGCTCTTTTATTTGTGAGAAGAATATTTAATATTATACACGCTAGAAACGCCTTTGGAGTTGGGCCGAAAGATTTCGAATATCTAATGTGATCTACAGTCCCATTAAACGCCGTTTTTAGAGAAATAAAGAGATGCCGTGATCGGTTGGTAATCGAAATGTGAGGCAATGCTCATTCCAGTACCCACTGACGCCAGATTTAGTCAAATATGACTGTCTGCATTGAACTATGGTCGCTCTCATTGCTTGTCGACGGTGGTGCTGCTGCCGCCACTGAAATGATCCCGCCAATATATTCGAGTATTTTCGTACACAAGGAAAGTCACGCAAGTAGATGGTAAGACGCGAATGATATTTGGTGCAAGACTTGTCAAATTGACGTGCGTTAGTGATGTGTTCTCCGAATGCCCGAAACTCTGATTCAAGGAAGAAAACCAAGAAAATACAGAGCAAGAAGGATAAAGAAACAAGGAATAAAGACGCACTCACCCCTTGTAGTATCCACGCACACCTTCGTTGCGCCATATCTGCCGAATCGCATCGGTAACAGAACTGTACGTCGTGCCTGCGTCGTACATTTGCAGCCTTGCGCGCAAAACTTGGTATGGATAAGTAACGCTACCCGCAATGGCTTTTGAGAGAGCCGATATGAAGAAAAAATCGAGATTGCTTAGAGGCGATGGGCTGCTCGAAATGCTCTTGTTGCCTTGATTCAGAGTACTTTGCCCCCTTTGAAGCTTCATATCCGCTCTATAAATCTTGAGCTTCTCATATGCCATGAATTGAACACCGCCATGAGAAACGCCGAACAATGCCGGAACCAAGCCGCGGTAGAAGCCACGCACTCCTTCTCTCTGGAAAATAATCTTCACGCCTTCGCTCATGCTCTGATAGGCTCCCGGTGCGCGCGATCCTGTGGAAAGCATTCGTGTTTTGACAACCCAGATTGGGTTGGTGCATAGTGCAGTGAGAGCGCCTGCAAGTTTAGAATAGTCAGCTTTGTGAGACTCAAGGTGCTTCTGTTGATGAGATGTTGAAGGGCAAGAGCACTGCCTTTTGATGAATTTTTTTTGAAATATAAAATTCAAATAACCCAGCGTAGTAGCTGAGCAGGGAAAACAATTTCTTACCTGCTGTTGTTGAGGCTAGAAAATAGTCTGCAAACGAGAGACCCTGCGTTGCACCTCCGCCATGGGTTTGCAGCAATGCATTTTTGATCTGACCGTACCTGGAGAGAGAGAACGCGAACCGACAATCAGTCTTTGGTTCAAGCTCAATTTTGGTGTTTGACGGTGCATGACAGTAGCCATGATTTGTTCGAATCATTTCCCGTGAACGCACCAGAGAAAATAAAGACCCCAACTGGCGGCATTGCCCACAATGTTCGGCGTCAGCCCTCGATAGAATGCTTTGCCACTCCCCTCATGCCGCACAATGTCCTTTATGATGTGGGCTGTCTGGCCTAACCCGGAAGTACGTACGCGATCGACTGTACGGCGGAAGTTCTCCAGATTAGCCCACCAGATCCCTCGCCGCAAATCGATAACCGCAGTGGAATAGCTCACCTTGCAATCTTGTCTTGACTAGGTCGAATGGATGAGAGACTAGTGTCGAGATAACACCGGCTGTAAGTCCTGCTACCGTCTCGGACACTGGGTCGGTGCGACCATCTCGGGCGCTCATTCCTGGCGGTTGTTTGTTGCCGTTGGGAAAAACTGGGCACCGCTGCGGTGTTGGGCTTTCGGGTTTCGTTACGGGTTAGGGACTTGTTGACGATGATGTCAGAACAGTGCACCTTGTCAACGGGAATATTGATTAAATGTTTACAGGAACAAACGCAGGGTTGCATTTCCGATCAAGCCAGGTCCAGTTTATTTTATTTATTTATGTGCATGGTGAGAAAAGATTTCGCTTTGAAGAAAAAAATTCACTAATGTTACATGGAGAACACCTTTGTACGGTGAATGATTTGGATGCATCCCTGTTTGCCGGACAGCCCCAAATAATACCTACTACCTATAATTCCAGGGGCACTCTGTCCATGGACCTTCCAAAGTCCATCTTGAGTCCGTCAAGTCCAGTGCGCCGCCTCCATCCTTGAGGGTCCGCGATTACCCTCTCAGCGTTGCGCATCAACTTGGAGATTCTCTTTGGATACGCATTGTGTTTAGGCAAGAGGAGAGAATAATCTGCTTGGCAATTAGCATCCAAATTGGAATATTCCTGCTTCATCAGATCCCAATTTTATTGAATGTACCTGATGAGCGCCGGTCGAGGCTCGCTGTTAATGTAGCCTGTATCAACATCCGTGTTAGCGAATACTGTCGCCATATCCTCTGCGGAGCGATGGAGATATATACCAAGGTAGACAATCAAGGGAAGGTAGCCGCTGGTATCGTCAGTCTTGTCGTCTTTGATAGAAAATATAGTCTCACACGTACTAGTGGATTGCGACACGGCTGGCCTCAATGAGCTTGCCAATACGCTCCTATACAGGGTCAGTGCTCACTTTCACAGATAGAGTGCTTGTCGTATTTGCTCACCTTGGATTCCTCGGACAGTTGCATTTTGACGGATTGATAGAGATAACTGTTCGACAGACAATATAAGACACTTGATCACCATGAAAAGCGCATAAGAGAGTCTCACCAAGGATTATTGTTCGCTGTTCTCTAAATGCAACTCCTGATTTGCCCGACTTCCAAATCTTCAAAAGTCCTCTGGTCAATTCGATAAATGGATTACATAATCAATGGGAGGCTCCGGAGGCATTGAGCCGCAGCTCGCTAGAAACAAATGCGTACTAGCGCCGATCAACCGTCAAGATGCGCGCTTGCTTTCAGGTATCTAGCAGGAACTTCTAATTGAACTTACCGCTTTGTCACTTGTGGAATTCGGGCACTGTTGCGCGTTGCTTTGGAATCCTCTATTGTCTTATTAAGAGAAGCCGGGGAGAGAGTTTGCCCTCGACGCAACTCCGCGCAGCATGTCTGGCGGAAGGCATTGGTAAGGACAAATTCCTACCGCTCTGCACGTGATGGGTTTTCTGCGGCAGCTTCTAACATGGTTTCAATTCCAGGGAACAGGACAAAGAGGCTACTGTCTACATAGGAAACCTCGACGAAAGAGTCACAGATAGCCTAGTCTGGGAGTTGATGCTCCAGGCTGGTCGCATCGTCAATGTTCATCTTCCGAAAGACCGAGTTACCCAGACGCATCAAGGATATGGCTTCGTGGAATTCATCAGCGAAGAGGATGCCGAGTATGCAGCACGGATCATGAATCAGGTGCGCCTTTACGGAAAACCCATAAGGGTGAATAAGGCATCTGCGGACAAGCAAAAGCCCGTTGAAGTGGGCGCGGAGTTGTTCGTTGGAAACCTAGATCCAATGGTTGATGAGAGGATACTATACGATACCTTCAGCCGATTTGGAAGCCTAATTTCCGCACCGAAGGCGAGTCTTTGCCGAATATCCTATCTTTTTGGGGAATGTGCTAACTTGATAACAGGTTGCGCGCGACGAAGCCAATCTCTCGAAGGGCTACGGTTTCGTTTCGTTCTCAAACTTCGAGGCATCGGATGATGCCATCACAAACATGGACAGGCAGTATTTGATGAACAAGGAAATCTCGGTTCAGTATGCGTATAAGAAAGACGGAAAGGGAGAGCGTCATGGAGACGCAGCAGAGAGAGAGCTCGCTAGGCAAGCACAAAAGCACAATGTTACGCCTCAAGTATCGCAGCTGCCTCCTCAGCTTTTTGCAGCTCCTCCAGTTACTGCTCCACCAGCAATGCTAGATGGAGGCGCTGGCGCCGTGTCTGGCCCGCCTCCGGTGGCAGCAGGATTCGTAAATGGTCGCAGTCCAAGCGTGCCTGGAGGCTTTCAGTCGGTCCCTCCGCCTCGGCCACCATCGATTCCTCAACTTCCAACACCACCGCAAGGTCTACCTGCCCGGCCACCCCCTTCTCAGGCTGGCTATGGTGGGCCGCAAGGTTTCATGCCCCCTGGATTTGGTACACCACCAACTGCGGGCTTTCAGGCCCCTCAAGCTGCACCGCCACCCATGATGGGAGCCCCGCCAGCTGGATTTGCGCCTCCTCCTGGGTTTGCTCCACCAATGGGAGCACCCGTGCCGCCTGGACTTCCTGCTGGCTTCCGGCCGCCAGGTTATGGTAGAGGTGGTTGAAATCCTTAGTCAGGTTGACCGCCCAATGTATTATTTGCCCGATTAAGTTGAGGTTTAGGTTGCATTGTGCGCATAACATGCACGCAAAACCACTAGGTGAGCCTTTATCGCTGCCGGCATCCGGGAGCAGAGTGACGGGGGACCTATATGCTCGCCGTGTTCATCTCAGAAGGCCAAGCCGCTTTATCACTCACATCGTGAAGACGATCGTGGCGTTGCATAAAAAGGGATGATGCAATCTTGAATGAATAATGTTTGTATTAATAGCATAAAATGGCCGGAGTTGGGAGGGAAATGTAGAACAATATTCACTCGCCCTGATCTCATCCAAAACCACGCCGTGTCTAAGACAATATGCAAAACCCTGACACCCCAACCTTCCCGTCGCAGCTAGTGAATAGACGCTGTTCGTTCCACCCTAAACACCGACCCAAAATAGATGAATCGACGACTATGCAACAAGAGAACCCAAGAAAGAAAAGATGCGCTTATAGAGGAAGAGAATGACGTAAAACTAAGACAGCGGCTCATTGCAAGACCAACAACGCTACGAGAACGAGACAAATTTCGGATCCCTGGGTCGCCCGTCCGGCCCAATGTTGTTCTTTGCAAAGCTCTGCTCCGTGAAGATTCGCCTGGCTTCATCAAAATTCACTTTGCGCTTCTTCATGATCTTCCGTATTTCTCGCTTGCTCGCGGCATCTAGACCTGCACGAGAGTCTCCAGCTGCAAGGTTACTTGATAGATCGAATGCGTTGGAGCTGAACCCTGCCTCTATGTCTCCCGCAAAGGTGCTTGGCAAGCGTTCATAAATGTAGCCTGGAACGGGTACAAGGTGGACCCATCGTTGACGGGTAAACCAAAGGACTGTTCAACAAAAGATTCAGATCAGACACATGCATAAATGTAACAACGGGCGGTCCTGTGGTCACCCTGTCCACTCACCTGTTGCAACAATGAGGAAAGTTAAGGATAGCGAATAAAGAATGTAACTCATAGTTCTGGCTGATGCAGGCAAAGACAGCAGTGGATGCGCTTTCTGATTGATCTTCAGGAGTGCGCAGAAGTCGGCACTCTCAGGCCGAAAACCCTGGATCAAAAGGATAACAAAAAGCAATAATGCGAGCAATCGGCTCGACCGCGTGGTTTCTAGGGTCTCAAGGGTTTCCCCTCGTCTTTGAGATATTTGATAAAAGTGACAGAGGAGAGTTATTCTCTGGATCGAACCATGATCAGGGAATAATTTGTTTTTCGGTGCCCTTCTTTTGAGCCCATCAAACAGTCCAGTAACGTAGGCAGTCTCTCATAAGGCTCGCTGACGTTCCCCCCAGCCCTCGTGAAGCATCCAGGCAGAGCATGGGCCGCAATCAGGGTAACTAACCGGAATTCGGGCGGGACGTGTTCCGCCAAGTGAGGCTTATCCACTTTCGTCAAGGATGAGCTCAAGCACTGCGAAGGTAAAGGACCCCAGACGAGAAAGTACCAATGTACCTCTCAGCTTCGAGCGGGCTCTACTACGGTACTGGCCCCCCTGCCTCTCCATGTCCTGGTAAGAAGTGACGAGTTCGGGTGCGGCTCTTGCCGAGGGTTTACCCGGACAGCGCACAATCAATATTATCGAAATACACGCGAATTTGGAGAGAATTCCACATCGACGCCGCTCTTGACGCTGACGATCAATCAAAAAAGCCGACAAAATGACTAACGTATCCTCCGACCTCATCTGGGAAATCACCCGTATGTTCAATGCGCTATTTTGGCTTCGGCGCACTGTCTAGGGAGGAATAACGGCTCACTGTAGATTGCAGGCCAGAACAACTCCTTCCTGTTCAAGCGCAGGGGCAATGGAGGCATCCAGCTCTCCCGGGACCCTCTCAACCCGGTGAACAAGCAGTCTCGGAAGGTTCGTCGGAAATTGCTATACGGTGGCGATGGGCGCGATGGCTGACATATCACTTCATGTAGTACAACGGCTTCGTCAACGAGAAGGTACGAGATTCGAATACCGAAATCTAAGCACAGATGGAACACATCGAATTGCAGACAATACGGTCGTTGAAGTTCAATGCGCCATAGAAAGATGCTGATGGGGTCATTTTATATGATATAGGCTGTCGGTGTCCAGCCCGCTGAGAAGGGCGGTGTCGTCGTCACCACCAAGAACGCGAAGAAGGTCAACACACCTGCTGCCAGCTACAGCACCAGCACCATTGGCCCCAACACCTCCAACCGCAAGTGAGTGACTGGAAATCCACGCCATGTGCGATGGTTATTGGGACAATTGCTGAAGCATATGTGTGTAGGACCTACAAGGCCATTGCCAACATCACCTCCAAGAACAGCTACCGCCCCGACATCCGTGCTGAGGCTATTGCCCGTGCCAGCGCCATCAAGCTGAGCCAGCGCCCCAAGAAGGACGCTGCTGAGAGCAAGCCCCGTGGTGCTAAGGCCAAGAAGACCGAGGAGTCTGCTTAAATTATGAGGTCGAATAAGTAGGCGGGGGAAGAAAAAGAGTGTATGTTAGACCCGACGTTCTCTGTGAGAGATGTCGGTATTCATCATCTATCAATCACAAGCATAAAATTTGAACCATCTACCTCTCGCGTCCGCTGCTACTTGCTATCACAAAGGTGTCCGAGTGTCATGTTGTCATGTTCGTGCCCGGGGTCCTTTGTGGAGACAAATGATTCTCCCGTTTTCAAAGGTCGGCGCTCGCTGAATCAACGTCCGAAATCAATCGTCGCTTTCCCGCAGCTACAGTCTAGATTAAATTGAGACCATCCCTTACGGTTACAACACTCCTATAATTTATCGTCATTTACGTTTCGTGTTGCAGGCTGAATATGTTTTTGTATTGTTGGGTAGGATAGGGGTCGGTTGATGTCGGGCAAAGACGAGAGAACCGAGGCAGATCGGAAGGCTGACCAGTGCCTGAGGCAGGCCTTCCGAAAAGACCCGGCAAGTGTCATCTCCAACACAGAGCGCGAACCACTGAGGAACAGAGCTTTATGGTTTTCGGGTCCAATACGCCAAATATCTGGGGTAAGGCTATCCAGGGTTGAATTTGGCATAATCTGGGGTTGTTTTGAAGCCCATGACGACTGTGAAAGTGCTCCTCCATCACCATCGAAAGAAACTCAGCTTTTGCCTCTTTGCCTCCTCTCCCCTCCCGACCGTAACTTGGACCCCTTTCCCACGGGTACTAAACGCCCTCGGAAAGCGAGGGGCAGGCCACACAGCCGAAGGGTCCCTCTCGGCCACTGTCTCCGGCACGAGGGAATAAGCAATCACGGTAAGCGTAATAGGTAGCATTTGGTCCTCGACTGGGATGATTCCTCACCCCTTGGGTGGTGACATTTTTCTGTGAGCTCGGTACATCTTTGCCTACCACTCTACCACTTTAGGGAATTTCCCTCTGCCAGAACGCATCTCAACAATCCTATAAAGAACCACTGCCGAGACGGAACGCAATTCCCCTCCTCTTTGCTCTAATCGTTGCCGCCGAACCCCTCTCTTCATTCCTCCTTCCCGTCTTCTTTGATATATTTAGACCTCATATCCAGGGTGCTTCTGATCCTTTTCCTCTTTTCGCATCGCGTTTTGTCAGGATTGCAAAGGAAGACTAGAAGTGTTTATTGCGACACGACATTCCCTCTTCGCCCCACTTTGACCTGCAATCTTCTTTGTTGGACCCTTTTATTTTTCTTTCCCCTCTTCCTCCAAAACTTCACAATGGTTAAGGCTGGTGGGTAGAGCCCTTGAAAAGCTGCGACTTCGTGAGATGGACTCTGTGTACTGATTTGCCCTGTTTAGTTGTCCTTGGTGCCGCTGGTGGCATTGGCCAGGTTCGTATTCCTTTGTTGACTTCTATCCTCTGCACCGAGGGACTTTCCCCCAAATCATATGCAGTGTTTACTGATATCGTCTTACATCTCTAGCCCCTCTCTCTTCTTCTCAAGACCAGTCCCCTCATTGACGAGTTGGCGCTGTACGATGTTGTCAACACTCCCGGTGTCGCTGCCGACATTTCTCACATTTCAACTACCGCTGTACGTTGTCCTGAAATCTACGTCGGATTTCCAACTCCAGCCTATACTTACACTGAGTCTTCAGACCGTGACCGGATTCCTTCCCGCCGATGACGGCTTAAGACACGCCTTGACTGGCGCCGATATTGTGGTGATCCCCGCTGGTGTCCCCCGTAAGCTCCTTCTCGTTGGGATTCATGCTGTTTGGTAATTACTGCGGCTAATCTCTTCTCTTAGGGAAACCCGGTATGACCCGTGACGACCTTTTCAAAGTCAACGCCGGAATCGTCCGAGATCTTGCAAAGGGCATCTCAGAATACTGCCCGAAAGCCTACACTCTTATCATTTCAAACCCCGTGAACTCGACCGTGCCCGTGGCTGCTGAGGTCTTCCGAAATGCCGGCGTGCTTGACCCCAAGCGCCTTTTCGGTGTAACAACGCTGGACATTGTCCGCGCCGAAACTTTTGCTCAAGAATTTACCGGCCAGAAGGTGCCCTCGGCCACCACGATACCTGTTGTTGGCGGTCACTCTGGCGAGACCATTGTGCCTCTCTTTAGCCAAGCCCAGCCGAGTTTCAACGTCCCAGAGGCCAAGCTTGACGCGATCGTGAACCGTAAGCCACACGAACGCTGCGAATGGACTACTAGAAGAAAAAACTGCTGACCTATGAAACCTACAATAGGTATTCAATTCGGCGGAGACGAGGTCGTCAAAGCAAAGAACGGAGGTGGCTCTGCTACGTTGTCTATGGCCTATGCAGGCTTCCGGTAATTTATTCTTCTGCACTATATCCTATTGTGTGGGATGCTCATTTTACCAATTCTAGGTTCGCCGAGAAGGTTCTCAAGGCCGTCAGCGGTGAAAAGGGCTTAGTCGAGCCTTCATTTGTCTATCTCCCCGGTGTCGAAGGCGGCGAAGAGATTGCAAAGGAGGTCGGAGTTGACTTCTTCTCGGTACCTGTTGAGCTCGGCGTATGTTTTTTAATGAAAATGCATTTATACCTATGGAACGAAGCACGCTGACTTGAATATAGCCATCTGGAGTTGTCAAGGCCAACAACGTCCTCGCAAACATCAACGACTACGAGAGGAAACTGCTCGAAGTTGCCATCAAGGGCTTGAAGGGCAACATCGAGAAGGGCGTTGAATTCGTCAAGAACCCTCCACCAAAGTGATTAACCCTTTTCCTTTTTCATTACCATTGTTCAATTCCCCGCCGCTTCTTTTCTTCCCAACTTGTCTGCCCAGATGTCCCATATTTCATTCTTTCCCATTGCATTATTAGCACATCAAATTACGACACCAATAGCTTGCTTTGGGGCTGCTGGCTGATAACATGGTATTTGTTGACAGGCTGTGAGGAGCATCAAAACGAAAACGAAAGTCCTCGATCGATTTCCTTTTTTTCTATTCCTCTTTTTCTTATAATACCTCGACTAGGTATTTCATCAATATGCATAGGTTAGGTAGTTTTACGCGAATATTAACGCCGGAAATGAGAGTTTCAAAATAACTGAACCGAGCTTGTTCTGTGCTACATAGCCCGATGATGATCTGATTTCAAACATACGATGATATGACCTGAAAAGAATCCTTACGCCATAGCAGAATAACACCAGCGCCACCCAATGCTCTTGTTGATTGTAAAGAAGATATGTAGTATCCCTATAACCAATGCGCTTCTTGTCCGGCGACATGATCTGAAAATAAGAGATGATTATGATTTCGCGTTGACAACGGTCTTGATCTGAAATGTAGCACCTGGCAACTCTGACGTTTCTGCCTGGACAGTTGCATTGATGTTCATGCTGGACAGGGCCCCTCGGATAAGACCGCAGGGGAACCATAGGAACTAGAAGAATAAACGCGCATTAGAGTCGACGTTCAGAATCTCGCTATTGATGAAAGGACCAGGGTTATCGGCCCGTGCCATCGCTCATGCAGCTACCAAGATGGGAGCTGGGATAAACAGTGGCCCGATTGCTCAGCCATTGAGATGACGAAAGCAAAAGTGGATCGCTGTGGATCAAACAAGGTCGGTCAAAGTGGCATACGTACCGGTTGCGCTCGCTGTAACGCGAGCCCTCCACTTTCCATACTCATGCGTGAAAATGGCCGGAACGAATTATCTGTTAAAACGTAGACACCCTATTAACGAATCAGCAGGCTGTCTGTCATGATTGTGGGTTTCAATAACCAGAGGCGAAGAAAAAAAAAGCAAAAAAAAAGGATGAAGAAATTATTGCCCAACGATAAACGACGCGCCCTCGTCATTGATCTTTGATCGAGAGAGAAATAACGCGAGAAGGGTGATGTGGGCTGATTTGTGCATTCAAAATCAAGGGCATGCACAGAAAATGGGTCAACCCATTACTGTTCCGATTTGTGAAAGCTCCAGAAAGAAAGAGCGGCGTGTAGAAATGACTAAACGTACTCGATGATTTGTCTTGAGATTATCAATCTGTTTCCGAAATACGAGCGTCCAGAGATCTTTGCAGAGGAATTTAATTGCATCTAGACCATCCGTGAATCGAGGCCTGTCGCGAGAAAACCTATATGTGTGGCAAGTAAAGTATGATTAGCACAACGCCCTTGCCAGCCCAAATAATTTGATTTGTGACCTTAGAACTTGAAGGTGAGGGTATTTTCCCCTTTTGCAAGCTTGGGCACATATTGGTCGTGCTCCAAACACGCAACGACGGAGACACAGGGCTCTACAGAGCCAAAGAACGAATAGGACGCCCTTGACTGCTTGATTTCCCAGAACCTTGCAGCCAGCGCGGATTTATCCCACAAAGGAGCCAAATATACCCATACCTTTCCACGAGTCCTTGTCCGACTCTGTATCCCAAAAGATCAAGCTTATAAAACGCTGCCTCGCGCCGTTCTTCCTCATCAAGTACTTCCTCGGGATTTAACCCTGCCGCGACCGCACTGGATGTAGATACGTCCACAGCGAGCCGGTATGCCATGGGCACGAGCTCGATCAGGAGGAAATCAAAACATGACGAGCTTAGGTATGTCTGCTGTAGGTCGGAGGAGAGAGAGCCGGTGCCGCCGCTCGTGATAGCGGGACGGACAGAGTCGATCGACATTGGGAAGACGTAAGAGAAGTCAGAGTAGAGAGAATTATCCTATGAATAGAATAGCAAAGGGAAATCTTATGGCTGGCCGGTTTAAAACGTCAACGATATGGCGTGCATGAAGGTTCCCGATAGTAGAAGCGTAATGACGGGGTTTCGTTTCCCAAGATACGGCAAAACCCGTCAAGGAAATTGATGGGATTTAGACCGGATATCAAGCAATTAACATTAATAATTTCAACGGCAAAGTACAGGTAGATTCAAAGGTAACGGAGAGATGATACTCCTTGTTGTTTGGTATTCTTGTCGTTTTGGGCTTTCCCGGAACTCACCCACTACTATCTTCCGTATCGAGCTGGTTTATTAGGGAAGCTTTGACAGATGATACGGTAAATCACAAAACCACTTGCGCAATATATCACAACTCCGGTACCGTAAAACAATATAGAGAAATTTAAAAGTATGGACCGAATTTGCTATGCAAATACAGACGTAATGTACATCACTATAATTGGGTGATGATGCATGCATAAGACAGAAGGCTGAGATGATGCAACAATTCTTTCGAAAAACCATCCACAACACCTTGGCAACCGAGATGATAGATCACCCGACACCCACAACGTGAGAACTTTGAGGTCTGAACTCCTGATACCATAACACCAGATATCGCCCTTCCATAATTGGAAACAAAAAAACACAGGGAAAGTAGAAGAGAGATATCATCCTTGCAAAAGAGGCAATCTAAGTATTAGGGGACGTAGATTGTACTGAGCCAATCTCCAGATTGGAGTCGCAGAAAACGGAATGAGGCCATTATCGAAGAGGATTGTTCTTCTCGAGTGAAGCTTCAAACAGAGAGGGCGAGCCATCTTGATTACTGCCAAAAGGGATCCGGGGTGTTAGTGTTCGAGGTACCATGTATAACGAAACCGGTTCCATTTGGTCGAGCATGTCCACTACTCTCATGATAACCACCATTGCGCAATTCGGCTATGCCGCGAGGTGTGGCATGAATAGCCTGCCGCTTGGGACCACGTGGAGGCTCCTCTTCATCGTCACTACCGGTTAAATCAATAACATCGTCTATCTTGCGCTTTGCTTGAGGAGGCGGAGCAGAAGCGGCCGAAGGCTCGCGAGATGATAGTGGCGGCGTCCGAGACATTATGGGAGGTACGGGAGTCGACTCATTTTTGACTGATGAAACACGAGCATCTTTAATCTCTACCAAGTCGTCATCATCATCAGCAGCAGCAGCCGCAGTGCCATATTTGCTGCCATTCTGCCGAGGCGAGGGCGACGGTTTGGCACTCAACGACCACATTCCCGAGGGTTCGATGGTGACTTGTTCAACGGATTTCGAAGTCTTTGCCAATATCTCTTTGACGTATCTGCGCAAGTTAGCAGAAAATTCCATATGTAATATTCGTCTATACGCACTGATCAACTGCAAGAGACTCAAAGAGCACAGTCTTGTTGCAAAGCGGGCAAGTCCACGTCGGCGCCTGCTCTTGGAGTTGCAGAAAAGAAGTTGCGTCAAAACACTGATTGTGCGTACACACGGTCGAGCGACATGGCAGTTCCATCCGAAGAGTCGATAACGGACATTTCAACGACATCACGGTAGATGTTGTAACAATATCGGGATCGTCTGCCTTAGTAACCACTACAATTAAATGATTTAGCATGGGGCCATTTTGCGAAAATGTCTACGTTACTTACTCTCCCTGATAACTCGTTCCTTTGATATGACGTTCCCTGAAGCAAGTTTCTTAACCAGCTCCTCGACTGGCTGCTTTTTGACGAGATTGATAACCATGGAGAATTTCTGTTGAGGAGTGTAAGCTTCCCCACAACTTAAACATTGCGTGGGTGCAGATTTCTGAAAAAAAAAAAAAAAGCCACTCGCCTGAGGTGTCAAACATACCTTATGGGTGAGAGCATATGTGACCATTACTGAATTTTCGTAATTTGGTATTTTCCGAAGGAGATCTGTGATATCTGCTGGCCGTGTAGAACCGGGCTTATTTTTCAGACCCCTGAGGTTGGCGCGGACCTCGTCCTGGTTGACTTTGATCTCCATTTGGTGGGGGAAACCGATGTCCAACTTTGTATATGGCGATAGTGGAGATTCGCCGGCACAATAGACCATGACGCGCAAGTTCGCATCCGCTCGAAGCCTTTCGCATACAGTAGGCGAAAAGATTACTTTCGCATGCAATGTATGACGATTGTTTGGCATAACTATGTCATCTGGTTAGCTCATAGATGCTTTGAGACATGGAGACATGTACCATACCCGGGAAATCAATGATATGGGTTAGTGGCTCCGAGATAATGTAGAATGGGCTTTCTCGGAACGCCAAGCGCGCAGGGGCATGGCCACCGGGCGAAGGATATATTGGACCGCGATGCAACTGAGGAGGCATGCCAATCGGGCTACCTGCGCCCAGCATGGGCGAGTATGCTGCGCCTGCTGGCGAACCAACGGGAGGCAAACTGAATCGAGCAGGAGAGTCCGGGTTGTAGATGAGGTGCTGTAATCTCTCAAACGCTCCATAATTTCCCTTGCGCGCATATTCTTCAAGCTCTGCCTCCCAAAAATGAGCGTTAGCAAGCCAGATCTAGCGTGAGAGTAGAAGCAATCGCTCGCTCTATGGCAAATGTGGACAGGACTGCTGTTGGGACATACGAGTAATGATTCGAGCCTGCATCTGAGCCTTTACACCCGAGCATTTTAGATTCTCCGCCTTCAGAATATTCTTGAGCTGATTGTTTAAAAGCGTCTTGATCTTCGCTGTCGGAGCCTGCACGTTCATCCGCTGCGGAGTAGCCATGGTAGCCATGGTGCTTGCACAACGGCAGCCCTTCCGTCTCTATCCAAGTTGAACAGTAATGGAGTCTTCTTTGGTCAGTCAGGTGGTTGTGAAAGATATTCGCATAGTCGCGAGGTCATGGAGGAAACAACGATTCTGTGATCACCACGGGTGACGTGCAAGAGGTAACTTGAGCGGTCAAAAACAAGCACGGAATCGCCGATGATTAGAGCCCGCCCTGGATGATGCGGGTGATTGACGCCTGCAACTTTGAGGGGTTGAATGAACGGGGTACGACTACCCCTCCCTGACGCTATAGTTATTCGCTGGTAGGGCAAGGTTCCCTCAATTCAAGAGACGCCAGTGAAGGGGAAGAGGTTCGGAAATTGTCGACGCATGACGGGGGTGTCTTTGCGTTGTGGGGGACTATTATAGAGTAAATTCATAGGGTGGATTTTGGCTTCGGGAAAGGCATCTCGTCGCTTTCGCTTACACCCGTCATTCTTTTCTGCGCCAGTCCAGACCCTCCATCAACTTCATTTGATCTACAATATTTATTCAATAATACTTTGTGATACAGTCGATTTACCTCAAGATCTCAAAAGACGTCGCGGTAGTCACATTCAAAATGGCTAAAGGTCTTCGATCCAGCCAGAATAAGAACAACAAGTCCAAGCTCCGATCAAACGTTTTTGGGCCTAGAGAGGATGCGCGGACGGAAAGGCTGTCAGCGAAATTGTTAGAGCTTGCATCTAAGCCAAAGCCTACTGATGGCGGGGACGCGAAAATGGAGACAGAAGAGAAGGGTAGGTGGCGATTGAATAGTCTGTCTGATTCATGGAGGCTTACACAGAACTAGATGCCGTAGCAGAACCTCAAACGCAAGACGATGCGTCCAAGCCGGAAGAAAATGAAGGTTTGTGCCTCCTGCAATTTCCTTGACGCCTCCATCGCTCTTCTTTCATCAAGCTACATTTGTGAGGATACTGGAATATAGTACTTCATGAAGTCAGGAGTATGGACATTTGTGAACCGCCTGGAAGCTTGCGAAGCGGTTGAAGAATTTGTTTCGCAAAGAAGGGCACTATAAACCTCTTTTGTCTACCCAATACACTTTACACACTTAACAGATGCGAGCGGCTTCGAAAGATAGAGGGAACCTTTTCTGCTTGCGAATTTGGACTACTGGCTGACACGTAAGTTCATATATTTAGGCATGGACGTCGACGGCGAAAACGTTTCCAAGTCCTCTTCGAGCAAAAAGCACAAACTCCCCGGTCGCGCGCATAAGAAACGCCGGGGCAAGCCTCACTCTTCGATGACCTTTAACACACACAAAGTCTCTAAGAAGCAGAAAAAGCAGAGACGGTAAACGGGTGTTTGATTTCATTTTGGCGTTTGGCGAATCTTGCATGGCTTGGCGGAAAGGCATCAACCACGTTACTTGAACACGGATACTATCCAGTCTTTTAATATGTCATATAACCGCCTTGTATCAACGTATAACAAATGGGCAATGTCAGCAGATGGACGAAATTTTGAGACTTGGGGATGATCAAATTCCAAGCAGCTTGGAGTTGTGTATTCAAAATGTTGCATTAAAGATTTTCTGGCTTGAAGTGATTTTGAAAATAAAAAAAAAAGAGTTTAATCTCTTCTCGTCTTGCTGTCGGCGCAGGTTTTCAACATGTCTGTTGTGCATTTGAATTTGAGAAGAATTGTTCCAGTGTACATAAGGCTTTCGCGATACTTTCGTTGACCCAATTTGTTGCAGAAATTTGAGGCGAAGGCGGTCAATATGGGCAGAAAAACCAGGCGGTCAAGTTGGATTGGCCAGAAAAGGTTTAGGGGGGCCATTCGGTCCCTTTTGAGCTCCGTCATTTCGGCCATAGAGAGAGTCCCTTGGCAACAAGTTTAGCTGGTATGAAAGGACACGGCGAGACAACTTGCATCAAGTCAATTCCAACTAGATGGCAAAATATTTTATTCGTCTCATAAGATTCTTGAATGTGACCGACGTTTGTTTTGGCCTAAGCAGAAATCTTAGACATAGTTAGGCCTCCCAGGAAGAGAGACACATGCTTGTTCAAAGTGTCGTCTCCGGCTTCATATTCCTGTCCGGCCAACCATGCGTGTACAATTGAGCTTGGCCAATGTAATCATTCCAATTGCCATCTTGGTATTTGCTATAGGTTTTTTTCCTTATAAGCCGTTTCTGCAAGGCCTTGCGACGTTTGAGGATGACGACTATGGCGCGCCGCCGGAAGCTCCGTTTGACAAAATCATCTTCATGGTTGTAGATGCGTTGAGAAGGTAAAGCAGATTCTGCGGCAGAAAACAGCCATGCTTCGACCTCTTGAAACTGACTTTGTAGTGACTTTGTATATTCCCATCCATCAGGCTTCCAGTTTACGCAGAGGTGAGCTCTATTCTCTTGCAGTGTCAAGAAAGTGCTTGCTAAGGTGGAAGTTTGTAGCCTAATATCTTCGGGGGCTGCCATTCCATTTACAGCCCATGCTACCTCTCCAACAATTACGATGCCTAGGGTTAAGGCAATAACCACGGGATCAGTACCATCATTCCTGGACGTGATACTCAACTTTGCCGAGTCTGATACGACGTCTACATTAGCCCACCAGGACACATGGCTCGCCCAAATGAAAGCCAAGGGTAATGGTATTCAAGTCATGTACGGCGATGATACCTGGCTCAAGCTGTTTCCTGATACATTTGGACGCTCTGATGGGACCACCAGTTTCTTTGTTTCGGTTGGTTCAATCCGCTCTTTTTTGACATGCATTTCTGCGAATTGAATTGCTGAGAAAGATTTGGAGTCAGGATTTCACGGAAGTGGATAATAATGTAACAAGACATATTCCAGATGAGCTGCGCAACGATGATTGGAATGCAATGGTCATGCACTATCTCGGACTTGATCATATCGGACACAAGGCCGGCCCTAGAAGGTGGATATTGCTAAGAGCGAGCAAAACACAGACGAGTATGTAAAGCTAATAACTCGGGGTAGTCCGAATATGATTCCGAAGCAGAGAGAGATGGACTCCATTGTACAGACCATCTATGAAGCAATAGAGACGGAGAAACATCTTGAATCTGTGTGCCTCGTACTCTGTGGAGATCACGGCATGAACGATGCAGGGAACCACGGTGGATCAAGCCCGGGCGAAACGTCTCCAGCCCTGGTGTTCATTTCTCCTAAGCTGAGAAACATCACAGAAGGTGTACTTTGCCCCGTGGACGGGTCCTCTGACGACCTTCAATACTATACGACGGTTGAGCAATCTGACGTTGCCCCAACTTTGGCTGGACTTTTAGGAATTCCAGTCCCAAAAAACAACCTTGGAGTGTTCATTCGCCAGTTTTTGGGCTTTTGGAAAGGTTTGATCTCGATCCTATCAAGTTAAAGTCTGATGACGTGACGCTGGCTGATCCTTGTAGCTGCGGACTCAATTCAACTTCTGCAACGGAATGCTTTGCAGCTTCGAAGAATAGCAGAAGCAACATATGGCACTTCGCTGGATGAGCCCTCTACGCCAATAAGCTGTTCGACTGCTAGCTCGGATGTTGAGGAACTTGCCTGTCTTTGGAAACGTGCCTCGGATTTGACGCAAATACAGCCAGGCAGTCCTCAGAGTGGCTCTGAGGCAGCAATTGATGCTCTCTTGAAAGTACGTAATCGCATTGTGTCAAGTTCTACCGCCAGATCGTTGACTGACAGACTATAGTTCTGTCATAGGGCACAAAACATGCTAAGCGGGACTGCAAGTAACTACAACCTCACAGCACTGAGCATAGGGATTGCGCTGGCAGCTGTTGCCGCTGGATTAGCCGCCTATGCCTGCTTACCACTGCTTTTAAATTCTGTCACTTTCAGCATTGGATTTTCGGCAATCTGCCTGGGATATGGCATTATGATGTTTGCAAGCAGCTACGTTGAAGAGGAGCAGCATTTTTGGTACTGGACTTCCTCTGCATGGATGGCCTACCTATTTTTCCAAAGGTAAGATGCAGGAGAATTCTAATACCAGTATTACGTGAATACTGATAGCTGTTCAGGCTTCGTTGTTCTCGAGGCACGACCGCATCAGCACTCTCAGCATTGGTTGTTCTTGGCGGCCTCAGGATTACCCGACGATGGAATCAAACTGGTCAGAAATATGCAGGCGAACCAGACATTGTGCGAGAAATCTCCAAGCATAATTATTTGCTCTGGTCAGCTGTCTTCCTGACTTATCTTGACCTTATGAGGCGGCTCTTGCGGAGGGCATATCAAAGGCTTCCTGCTCGGCTGCGCTCTATCATGGCAATTACGCTGTGCTTCGCAGCCTTTATGTTTAAACTTTCTTTCACCGAAGCCGATGCGCCCGAGCTCCTCTCTGGAATCAGAGTAGACCTTTTGTCGAAGTTGCACAACAGCTCGCTAGTCACTCAGGCTCGAAGCGTCTTTCTTGGGGTCGGGCTCTCAATTCTATATACCGCTTTATATGAACGAAGCGCAAGGACCATGAATATCAAAAATTACACAAACTGTGAGTATATAGCCTTAATTTATCTCAAAAGAATTAAGGTCTGACTCTTACGATCTGAGAACAGCGGCTGGCCAAGTCTTCCACGACCTTATAACCCTCTTCCTTATAACGCAGTCGCGAGTCACCAACATCCCACTTTTCCTAGTCTTTGAAAGCCAAATAAACCTCCTAGACTCGCTTGAACTATCACCCTTTGAAATAACGATCACCTCCTTACTCTTCCAATACGTCTCTTTCTTTGCATTCGGTGGCACAAATGCCATTTCTTCCGTCGATCTCTCTAATGCCTATAACGGGGTCAGCGGGTACAATATCGTAGGTGTCGGAGTGCTCACTTTTGTAAGCAACTGGACGGGACCAATATGGTGGATGTCGGCAGGTATCCTGCTATTGCGTTCCCATGCCGCGGCAAGAGCTGGTCGAAGCGCAGCCCCGATCCAGCGCGGAGGTTTTCCAGGGAGAGAAAGCGAGCCATCCGATGGTAAGAAAGCAATATGGTCGTCCCATATTGCCCTTCTTTCGATGTTTACCACAATAAGTCTCCTTTCAGTCATGGTTGCGTGCGCCGCTTTACGCACGCATCTTTTTATCTGGACTGTTTTCTCGCCAAAGTATCTGTATGCAATGGCGTGGAGTATTGCAAACCATATTCTGATCAATATTCTCTGCGGCAGTCTGCTCTTCTGGTCAAATTAGAAGTAGATCTCAGATTTGAGAAGAGCCAATCGAGCGATGCGAGCAGCATGGCTTGGCTGGCTAGTAGTATAGACTCAAATGGATGCCATTTTTTTTACCCTTTTCCTGGAAATGCTCATTCCTGTTCGAATATCATTCCATAGAGCGGGTAATGGCAGCCCAAGGCTATGTGGTCGTGCGGAGATGCAACCACTTGGTAGTTTGAGAGATCAAAGAAGGCTTTAATGAATAAAAACAGACTGTCAAGTTATTTACCCCAGTCCAGCAAAAAGATCATCAATGGCGTTTTTCGACTTTTTCTTCTTTTTCTTGTCTTTGTCTTCGCTCGTCGATTTCTTCTTGAGACCTTCCTTGAATTCCTTGGGCATAGGTCTAACATTTGACGTCTCCCTCTCAGTCTTTTCCGGCCTCGCTGCTGCGACAGTAGAAAGACCCTCCCCGAATTGTCTCCCATCCTTTTTATTCTTCTTTTTCTGAATACTCGTCGAGTCATCACCTGTCCTCTTTTTCTTCAACCCTGATGCCTTTTTGGAGGCTTGCCCAGCACCAGAAGACTTGTCTTCTGAAAGAACATCAGTACCTGGTGGCGCTGGCTGTTCCTGAGCATCTGAATCAGAGTTGAAGCCTAGTGATTCTGTTACATTCGGGCTCGTTCCCGGTAATCTTCCATCATCCGCGGACGCCTGTTTTAGTTCCACTTCCGCAGCGTCTTGATTCATGTCCATATCGGCATCGGCAGCAACATCAAGATCATCATCGTCAAAGACCGCATCTCGTGAAACAGCTTCTCCAATGTCGTCTTCTTCTCCGCCCTCGGGAAATGCTGCTGCTGAGCTCATGGGAACAGAGTTCGCGGTTTCGGCCCCACCTCCTCCTCCTCTTCCTTCTTTTTTATTTTTCTTTCTTGACTCGCCCGCTAACATGCCTCCCTGAGGAGTTGTAGCAAGCACCGCAGCTCGAGCCATGTCCTCTGCTAACTTTTGCTCGTGAAACTCATAGTACCGCCGTGGCAAGTGTGTGTTTTTGCGCGCGTAATATCGGCCAAGAATGCTGTCTAGTCGACTTAGATTTGCCATGAGCACGAGACCGAGAGGCGCGAATTGATTGTCGCTGGTGAGGTTTTTGAATGCACTTGGAATTGACACGTTAGTCTTTCTTCGTATCATTGTAGAATTTGCTTCGAATGCCGAACAGAAGAACAAATGGAGAAGACCGGGCAATGTAGACACCGTGGAGTTGTTATAGATTGTAAAAAGCAGATATATGCAGTGATAAATGTCCCGTTGTTGGGAGAGGGGATAGGCATAAATGGATGAAGAGGTATTTGGAGTAGCCGCAACACAATTATATGAAATGGAAAAACAAATTCAACAAGAAGGGGGATTCAAGAAGGAAAAATCCTCGATATAAAAAAAAAAAAAAGAGAAGCAGGCCAATGGGCATTTACAAGAAAGAACCAAGTTCCAAAGTGAGACGGTAAAATGTACGTGATACTATCCGGGAGGTAAATCTGATAATAAACATAAAACAACAAATCCAAATAGAAAAAGAAAATAAAAATAAAATAAAATAAAACATACAGATGACATCTGGGCACCAAAACCTCAGAGATATACTCTACGCGAGCGCCTGCTCTCTGCGCCAGGGCCTCGGCTTCTTCAGCAAAAGAAGGAGTCGATTTGACATGTTCAAGCTCAAGGAGAAGCCGATCTGTAGACCGGCGGAGCATGGCGAACCATCGCCACCATTTTGTCAGTCGATGCTGGTTCTTGTTTCGATGGAAAATAAGATGGAATAGTTTGGAAATTGTTTGCAGGTCGGATATTTGCGATTCTTTGTTGGCTAGAGTTTGGATTTGCGCGGTAGCCATTGGTTATTGGGTCCTTGTTGTATCTGCTTTACTACGTAAGGATCTGTCTTGTACTGTGAATTGCAGTTTGGCTTGTTAATTGTATGCCAAGTTAGAAGAGCGAAAACAAGAAGACGAGTGATAAGTGAATAAAGATTAGAATTGAGACATTAAATGCAAAGATGTCAAAGGTGTTATGGAAATGGTCGATAATTCGAAAAAGGTGAACCTTTGCGAGTCTCGAGAGTTTTGAACTGGTTCAGTAGCTTAGCTTGACTGAGGATCGCCCATCGGATAAATTTTGAGGAACCGCTAACCGCGGATGGCGGAAAGAAGTGCTGTAGGATAAGTAAGCGAAAGGAGCGCAGTGGCTTAAAGAGGCTCGTTCTTTACATTCGAGTCAGCATTAGTTTCTTGTCCGGCGGTAGGGCGATGAGACAAACATACAACTACGCGCTCTGATTCAGCCCTCCCAAAAACACTATTAGCTAACCAGCTAATCAGACACGTTTTCACTTCAGTGGTAACAGAAAAATTGCACCAGAAATAAATTTTAATAATAATCAAGCTAATATGCAAGCAAATTTCTGGCTAAGATGGTGATAAGCTAGCTAAGTTCTGCAGGCGGCCACCTTAACGCGTCCATGTCAAAGACCACGCATTGAGATAAGCTGCTTTGCAGATAGGTGCAAGAAGTTATAAAAAAAGGGCAATCAGCAAGTTTCAGTGTCAGAGCTAGAGTGTGCAAAATTTGGGGGGAAAAGCAAAATTCTCAAGCCAGTTTCGCGAATAAGACAGGGGGAAGAAGCAATGAAGATGAAAAGAAAGAGAGAAGCAAGCCCCTGCCGACATGAAAAGACAGTGATGAGAGAATGACATCCGCCACCATGATCATGAGCAGACCGCTGCTCCAACACTGTCCACATATTCAACTGGACCATTACTCCTCCCAATCCCGCAGTAGCGCGTCAAACTTGACGAGGCCACCAACCGCTTTTGCTCAAACATGACTGATAGTATCATGCCGAAATATTGACAAGCGGCATCAATGGCTCTCGGATCGTGCGCCAACGTTGAACTTTTGTTTCCCATCCGCCTATAGGTGCTGGCGGAACTCTCAAATACAAAACCGTGGATACATCGTAAAAGGCATACAGTCGTCGAAATTCGGTAATCGTGATAAAACAGATCGTGAAAACTTTCCAGGCAAACACTTGAGCCAGACAGCGGTAATATCTCGATGAAGATGATGGCAGTTGAACAATGCTCGAGATATCACCACTCCCTTAGATGCCGAAAATGACGTTTCACTAATAAGTCGGAGCATTCCGGGCAAACCGACGTCCGTAGTAACCTTCTTGGAAGCTCTTGCGGTGGCGAAGGCTGTCTTCAAAAGAGTCGGCTACTCCAAGCTCGTATGCTTCCTCCAATTCAGCAAGGCGAGTTCCGCGGTCGTACTGGGAACGACGGCGGCGTTGCTCATCGCGAAAATGTTGACCGGCGCGCGGAGCAAAAAGGCCTGCGCCAAATTATTTAGCAAGGAAGTGGATTGAGAGGTGTTCAAAACTAATCTCCGCAACCTACCAACATGTTCGGCATTTTCGACGCTGCGGCGCATCTTTGAAGGATTGTCGGGACCTGGGAAGGTATCCTCCGTGCCAGCCAATGGCCCAGTACCGGTATGGAAAATCTTGAGGCAGTTAGAGCCGAGATCAAGGTGAACCAAGCAGGTCGAGGATTGTAATACCTTGGGACGGAAAGAAGGATGCTCGAGCATCACGCTGCTGTTACGGAATTTCTGGACGAGACAATCTTTTCCTTGAATTGCTATTCATTGTAAGTAATCTGGCAGATATTTATCATCAGAAGAAGCTTACTAGCGTAGGAAACCTCGGCGACCTTGTCGCTGTTGAAACGGTTCCTAAGAGACTTTAGTCCAACGGTCCAAACATGGATCACGGGAATGGCACAGGTCTCACCAGCGCTGCCCGGCTCTTGCTTTGACGAACTGGCACACAATGTCAGTGATAATAAATAAAGAGGCACAAGTTTCTGAACTCACATCGATAATGAACCAGGGCTACGAAGAAGCGTTAGCTAGAGCCACTTTAGGAATCCTTCCCTGGAATACTCACGTCCTCGAAATTGATAAACGCATAGCCAACACTTTCGGTTTTCAGCAACTGGGCACCTAGAGAACGTTTGCAAAAACTTACTTGCAGTTGTTGGCGAAATCTATAAGAATGTCAGCCATCCTTTTCCATACCAGTGAATGCTCTCTAATGTGAGACCAAATTACTCACCGATACGCAGATACATGAAGTCATATTTTCCAAAGCTAGTCTCATCGACTATCTCCTTCAGCATAGCCTTGTGACTGTTAGTAAGACTGTCATGGAAGCTTTCATTGCACGTACTTGGTCAATCTTATTCGGAATATTTCGCAACATGATCTGTCTCATTGTTAGCGGCCGCTTCGACTCGATGGCGCAGGGCTAAACGCACCGTGGTGCGCACGTCGAGACCATGGCGAATCCGTTCAATATCAACGATATTATGATGACCCATGTCATGCCGACCGCTGTTTCTATGCAAGTTTCGGCGTGGGGTTGAAGGATTTGGGCCATAATAAGGTTGACGAAACTGCCCACGCTCCTGTCCAATCGCGCCTGGGCCGTAAAGGTCCCAACCATGCATAGGCTGCTCATTTCGATGGAATTCATCGTGGAGTTGAGGTCCAAACGGGCCAGGATATAGGCTGGGACCGCGGCGCGCATTTCCAAAGCCTGGTCCGTACCTAGCAAAGGGCGGTCCCATGTAGTCCTCGCGAGACAAGGTGGAGCGCCCAGTTGGACTGAGATGAGCATATGGAGCAGGGCGCCCATATTCTGGGTTGCAATCCTCCCCAGGGTCACGGCGAGAGATGGTCATTTGCTCCATCGCATCTCGCAGATCGGAAGCCTGGCGGCCAGCAACGGTGGGAGCAGTCTGCTCTGGACGACGAGGAGACGCTCGCACAATGTCTGGTTCATGGTGAACAATAACCAAGGAGCAGCCCTGATAGTTGTCAGTTGAGACTCCAAAAATATTTGCTCTTAGCAGCCACGCTTACCCCGATCTTGAACCCGTCAAGGGCTACAACAGCACTGCCCGCCGCTTTGGTGTCACAATACTCTACTCTGTAAGAAACGGGCGGGTCTTGTGAAGTTCCCATCTTTTCAAGAACCCGGACATCGCCGTAGTTTGCAAGCAAGTCACTGACCAGCTTATGGATCGTAACAGGATTGAACTCGGAACTTGCGCCAGGAAAGTGAACAGTAATGATCACTTGGCCTTCGTACTGAGAGACCCGAGCGCCTGCGCCGGGTTGAACCTTGTCAGCGAATTTGCTGGTGGCAAAGTAACGAGTCGACCACTCGGGGTGCAGCTGATGAGCTCTCTCATAAGCATTTTCGCTGTCACGAATGTCGGTGAATCCGAGGTAGACCTTTCCGTTGGTAGGAAGCTCATCAAACAGAAGAGCCTTGAGGCTCGGAAAAAGGACAACCTGAGCAGATGTCAGAACCATAATCCAAAGCGGTGAACCTGTCTACTCACGTTGAAGAGCTCGCCAAGCTCCTTGCGAGAAACTTTGCGAGGAATGTTTTCAATTACAACAGCACGAGTGATATCATCATCAGTGCTAAATTCAGCAACCTCTTCAACGGAGCTGTCAGAGACTGATGAGCGGCGAGTACCAATCGGCTGCTGAGCTGGCCCAGAGTCCAAGGCTGCAGCAGACTTAGCGATGACTGAATCGAGATACTGCTTGAGATGCATATCGTCGGTTGCATTCATATCGGTAGTCGAAGTGGTGTTGAGGTAGCTCGCTTTAGGAGGAGCTTTACCAATGTTCTCGAGTCTTGGCTTCTGATCAACAGAAGACAAATTGACATTTTTGACATTGCTTGGCATGAAAGCTGACGCGGTTGGGGAAAGTTTCTGATGCTCGTTCACACGAGGACGAGTGAGCCCAGAAGCAAATGGATCCCTGATAATGGCCGGACTGCCGAGGTGAAAGAGGGATGGCATCTCGACGGCCGAGCCGTGGAAAGCTGGCTGGATGCCTCCGTAGCTCATGGTGGTAGAAGTGCGAACGTTGGAAAGAGAAAATGGTGGTGGCCCTCCAACCTGCTGCATAGCCTTCTGTACCCCGTTAACGAGCCCACGAGACTCCTCTGGAGAGAGAGAAGTCAACTTGGTCTCAGGGGTAGCCTGATGAGAAGCGTTCCCGTTAGATGAGCCGGGGCTGCTAGAGAACCGAGCATGTGCGTGGTGATCCATGCTTGGGTAGAGAAAAAGATTTGTTTAGAGAGAAAAGCAATAAAAGGAAGAAGGGAGATGAGTGTGGGGGAAGGTTGAAGAAAGCCGGGTGGTCCCGCCTGGAAGGAAAAGAAAGTGGAAGGCTGGTGGGCAGTTGTGCCGGACAACGGCCAATGTAAAACCCGTCTAGAGGGCTCCCCGTAACTCTTCCTCTTTTTTTTTTTTTACGTTTTATTATCTAAGAACGAAAGAAGAACAGAAACACAAGACAGGACTGTAAACGCTAGTGGAATCAGATAACAATACTTGAGAAGACAATTTGGAATTGACTGGGCAGATACAACGGGACAACGAGAGGGGGGTTTGAAACGAGTGAAAAGGGTCGGGAGGAAAGGTGTAGAAGATGAGAATCGACGGGGGAGGAAGCCTCAATTTATAGACTTCATGATCTGGCACTAATTACTACATGTCTCGGCGCCCTAGTTAAGAAGCCAATAATACGTCCCGCTGGTTCTCCAGACAGGGCGGTTGTGCGGGTCGAAACATGAATTCATGGTGTTGAGGAAGACGCATATGAGGCTGACGTTTGGTCGCTGAGCTACATCTCACGATCAGCCTTGACCCGCGCTCTCTTCAAGGTACAAAAATTTTAGTGGGGTTGCAGCTATCAAACATGTCAATCCAAGTTCAAGTGAGTGTTATATGGATTCGGTCGAATGGGGTCATGCAAGACTGCGGTATGGTAGCCAAGCATAAAGACATGACGGATCAGCGTAAATCTCTTTGGGAGATTCTTCCTCAATTGAAGCTCTCGAATATCAAGCTCCCGTAGGATATTCTATTCGAGACGAGCTTGAATAAGCTCAAGTCATGGTGCCGAAAATATCAGAATACGTAGCTTCGACTGGGGATCTTTATATCTCAGCCAGAGATGTCCCAACGCTTGACTAGCATATAGAGGAAGAAATTTTCGAGCCAACTCAGAAGCACTACAGAACCATGTATTGACATTTATGATGATTGAAGGAAGCTCTAACATTGGTTCGACTCAAACCAAGGAGGATATCATTCATTACCATAGAGATGCCGTCAAGCTCCCGAGCGCTGCCGTTGATAGCTGCAACGCTAAGAATCCACCCCGGTCACTTGGGTTAGGTTTGTGGCGGTAGATGATATCTAAAGTATTGGTACTACCTTATCTCATAAGAATAGGTGGATTTTAAGTAGATAGACTTTTCAAATTCTCAGCCACAATTTTTACAACTCGTGGGGTGGGTTGTGGCGCGCTCGGGCAGGGTCAGCTCGGCTGAGGCTGGTGCAGATATCCTTCCCGGAACGGCGACTTCAAGCGGCATCCCAGCTACCTTAAGCACACGGTCCTTTGAAAACTTGTTTAATTTAAACCTGTATGTCTATGTAATATGATCGGAGAAGTCAAGTTCTCACTTCTGATTGCAATTGTATAGTTAATTCTCTCAGACGATGAAAACAAGTGTTCACGATCGGCTACAGTAGCTTTCCGCTCCATTGGCCCCGCCGCATACAGGTAGCATAAAATGCCTGCATCGAAAGGATCTCGAAATGCTGTCAGCTCAGCCGTTCAACAGGTACTCCACTCTGGTTATAGTATACAGATTTGAAATGGTTGATTGACCTGGCTTTACAGATTGTTCTGTCCCCCTCAGATGCCGACTACTTAGACCAGCTAATACCCGCAATCAAAGATGCCGCCCATTCTAACCGGACAGCCCAGCTATTGCAGGGCTTATCTCAGTTCGCAGATAACCATGAATCTGAGATAGAAGGTGTCTGTAATACCAACCATCAAGAATTCGTCAACTCGGTCAACCAGCTCCTGCAGGTCAGGGAAGGAACCGTGAGGCTGACCTCGGAGATTCTTGACTTGAATCAGTCAATACAAGCAAGTACCGAGAAGTTAGCAGAACACAAAAAGGCGCTCGTTGACTCAAGAAGCGTTCGTCAAAATATTGATGAGGCAGCCCAAGCATTAGAGGATTGTTTGGAAGTTCTCCGATTGACAAATCACGTGCATGACCTGCTTGCAACAAAAAACCATTATGCTGCTCTGCGCGCTCTGGATGAACTTCAAAATGTACACTTGCGCGAAGTTCCTCAATATAAGATTGCAGAGATGATTCAGAAATCAGTACCTGCAATACAAAAGCTAATTGCTGAAGCCGTTATGACTGATCTCAAAACTTGGCTCTTTCGTATCCGAGAAACATCACAGTTCTTGGGCGAAGTTGCATTCTATCATACAGAGCTGAGACGAACAAGGCAAAAGGAACGAGCGGAAAAGGATCCATTCTTTCGAAACTTCAAACTCAACTCTGCAATGGACCTTGTGTCGGATGAGACTGACGAATTCGATGTGCTCGATAACGATGAAGTCCAAGTTGACTTTAGTCCCTTATTTGAATGCCTACACATACATGAGGCGCTCGGAGAGAGCGAAAAGTTTAGAGCAGAATACGCTGCTACTCGTCGGCAGCAGAAAGACCTCCTTTTACCTACATCCATAAGACTTGTTGGAGATGACGAAGGAGGGAGTCTGAGCGCGCTGCTCGAAAGCATTGCCGGTTTCGCCATTGTCGAGCGTGCAACAATGAAAAAGGCCTTCAATCTCCGATCTACGGTAGACGTATGTGGACATCTGAAGGATTTACATATCTGTTCTAAACTGACAATGTATTTCAAAAGGTCGACGAGCTATGGGACTCGATGTGTCAGAGCGCAATTAATCTTATTACGCAATCTCTACCGGATATTGACGATGCAGACGCACTTCTGAAGATCAAAGGTGTTATTGCTCTTTTCATCCAAACCATGGAAGTACGTTCAATAATTCCTTTCTCGTCAGAGAACTTTAATTAATGATACCTCATCAGAACTGGGGCTATTCCGTTGCAGCTCTTGATTCATTCTTGCTCACCCTTTTCGACAAGTACGCGGAGCTATTGAAGCAGAAGTTTAGTCGCGACTTCTTGGAGGTAGTAACAGCAATCTCAAGAGCAGCGTGTTCGAGGTAGCTAATATGTCTAGATTGTTTCCGCGGACGATTACATGCCGATGCCGATTCAAACGTCCGAGGAATACGAAAAGGTAGTCAATGTGAGCTGGTATACGCCTGAAAAAGAGCAGAGTGATATTAGGTCAGAGTCATTAGAAGCTTTTTGGATCCTAACAGTGGCTAACACTCTCTTAGTTTTCCTTGTGTCTTGCCCTTTTCTCAAATGTATCCGCTCTGCTGCATAGACATCCGTAACTTCCTGAACCAGTTCTATTTCTTTTCCGACGACCATTTTCAGCACCCGAGTGTGATTGACGAGACTTTGAAGAAGGTGAACTTGATAATGACTTAGAAACCCTTCATAAAGCTGACGACTGTAGTCATTGGATGAACTCCTTGCCCAGAAAGTATGTCGCTTACTCGTTGACCGGTTAAGCTCTCAGTACCTTGGACAAATCGTGCAGATTCTCATCAATCTCGAGCACTTTGAGACTGCGTGTGTGGAACTTGAGCAGCTCCTTCTTGCTGCCAGGTCTCCAGCTTCGGCTGGCAAGTCTGTTGCTCTGAACGCCACGGAAGAGTTTCGAAGCAACAAGAAGACCGCAGAAAAGCGTATATTTGAACTTGTAAACTCAAAGATTGACGACCTCATCGAAACTGCAGAATACGACTGGTATGTCCGATCCATGGGACTTTGGGTCTTCAAAAAAAAGAAGGAAGCTAACAACGGGCGAATAGGATGGCACCAGCAGCGCAGACCGAACCCAGCAATTATATACAGACACTCACCCGTTATCTCTCTAACATTATGAGCTCCGTGTTACTTGGCCTTCCAACTGAAATCAAGGAGTTAATCTATTTTGACGCCCTTAGCCACGCAGCGACGATGATCCTCGTACGTCGATTAAAATAACTAGTTCCAGAAACTACATTTCTGATACTGACCGTCATCATCCAGGCACTGCCACTTTCCGCAGACGTCCCAACGATCAATCGAAACGGTGTCGCGGCACTAGCACTGGATGTGCAACACCTCAGTCAATTCGTCGACAGTTTAGGCGTACCGATTCTCCGCGAGAACTTGGATGAGTTGCAACAGACAGTCAATCTACTCCAGTCTGACAATTCAGACGAATACTACGATGTCTCGACGCGAAATAAGAAATATGGAAGAGTTGATCCAATGAATGGACCTCTTCTATTGGAGAAGTATATAACCCCGTTGACTGATTCTCATTGGGCAAATTGCTAATACATTTACGTTTTCCAGACTCACGCAGGGCATGCAAAGCTCAGGAAGGACGGACAAATACACTACCCTCTCTTCTCGGTTTGGCAAAAAGTAATTTGAGCCGAATGCTGCTTTTAGCACTCGACCAAATCGTCGTACGCGTACGAATAGGGAGCTCTATAGCTTATATACCAATCTTCTAGATCACATTTCGTCCCTCAAATCCAATGATTCAGCGTGCAGCTGCTTTGCAGATGTCATTACAATTTCATGCTGTAGTGAAGTCGATAAAGGAATAATTCATTGTAGCTACGACAAATTCATCTCATGGCTTTATATGGAGAAGCCAGAACAAAATGAACGGCAGACCTAGAGAATTCATCAGCTTCGCTCTCATCAGTCTTAGCACGCTAAGTGACCTCTCATGAAAAACGTCACTGCTTAATGCTTATTCATTCATTTTCTGATTTACTGGTATTCTACAAATTTTCATCGTTTGACCTCGAACCTCCCTTTGACGTGCTTGCACGAGACCAAGCGCGCCGTTTTCTTCCACGCCGAACCATAAACTATACACCTTGTGACAAAAGTGCTTATGAGTACCAGTCCAGGCCATTCAGGTCGTGAGAGTCACGAAATATAAGAGAAATATCCGCCAACCACGACGCGCAATAACTTGCCAGTTTGGGAAAAAAAAACACATACATGGAAAGAAAATAAAACCGGACTGTAGACTTGTGCTCCCCCAGAACAGAAACCAACCCGCGGGTATTGTTATGAGACAGTGACATTGAGAAAATCTTTTTGAAGTAGGGAAAAAAGGGAAGCAGGAAACATAAATAGGCATAGAAGAGGTTAGCGCCACGCTTATACGCAGGTAATGCAGTCGTCGGCAAATGCCTCCCGTTGCAGTTCGGATGCCGCGAGGAGGTCAAAAAGATGGCGTTCAATATTCATGACAGCTCGACAAAGCCTAAGGTTTCCAGCATTTGGCGCGGCAAGGCAGATGGCCGAACTCCAATAATAGGAAATACCAAATGAGCTCGAAGGATGACACACAAATTTCACCGGAGCCATTTGGCGTATGCCCAGCGAATTCGTTCCACAACCTTCAATTGACGCTCGACGCCGGTGCGAATGTCCACGAGATCTTCGATATCTTCGAGGAACTCGCGGTGGATTTCTCCAGGAAGGACACGCTGGGCGGTCTGGCGCATGGTGTGGACTTCGCAGAGCAAAAGACCGTGCTCTTTGTACGAGAGCATGCCTTGATGAGGACTTCCAGGAGATGAGGGAGAGGAAGATGCGGAAAGGATGCGGTCAATATTCCTGTAATTTTGGAAGGTGATGTTAGCGCTGACATGATAGAGACAGGAACATGTGGAGCGGGAGTCGAAAATGGGTTGTAGAGTTACTTTGAAGTGGAGATATTGAAATGAAGGGACAAATGCGGGAGAACGTAGACGATGAATAGATATGGTAGGAGACGTACCTTAACACGCGGACCATCTTCACATGGCGCTTTCCTTCTTTGCTACCAGAGCGACTACCAAACGTGTCTTTCACCCAACGCAACGAGGCTATGCAGACGAGTATGCCTGGCGTAAGTCCAACAAATCTATTTCGAAGAAAAAAGGTTAGCCGGTACGGCGTTCAAAATGAAAATTTTAATGAAAGGAGCAAGATAACGTACCCAAAGACAAGCTCTTGGCTCTTTAGCAATGAGTCAATGCCGCCCATGGCAACCTCTACATCAACCTTTGTTTTCTGCACTTGAATAAGCAGTGCTCGAACGAGATCACCGCGGACAGTTCCCATGAATGGCTTCCTCAGGTCTCGTTCGTAAGCCTTGAGTACCGGTGTCAAATCGCCTTCCTTGACCTTGTCCCTAATCGAAGAAATTTCGGCTTCACTTAGACTTGCTGCACCACCGCTTTCTGCGGGATGGTCGACTGCAAAGTCTACAACCATACGCTCAAGGCTGGCGCGATCACCCGCAAGGCTTTCCTTGCTCATGATTGCAATTTCGCTGTCTTTATCATGTCGAATCGTACCCAGCACCTTTTTGGTCGGTTCGATAACCCAGTTCGACCAGAAGTCCACAATGGTGGTTCCCAATTCACGAATCCAAGTCGCGATTTCTGCCTGCCGGCTGGCGAGAATTCGCAAGAGCGTGCTCGATGACAGAATCAGGACAATTGCAGGGAGCCAATATCGCGTTAGTCTAGATGGACGTCCAAATTTGACAGTAAGAGCTTTGGACGCATTATTGTGCCCCGGAATGTGCGATTCTAGAATGTCTTGAAGGCGTTTACAGAGGGCGGCCGGCTTGCCATCGCTACTTTCGTCTGAAGCTTGGTGCATGACATCTGATTCCTCCTCTATGCTGGCAAAGACGGTGTCCTCGAAATCTGGAAGGCCCACCTCGATTGCAGTGACATTTCGGAGAACGGTTTCCATCAATGCAATACTCTTGGCAACAACGAGCTTCCAGTCTTCCTTGTCAAATTTCGAACCCTCAGTATTTGAGAAGAGACTCTCGTCGTCCAAACCAAATGCAAGACCCTCGTCCATTAGAACACCAAGTCCACTGGCGCTCATTTCACGGAATTTTCTCAGCGCAGCCTGCTTCCGGCGGACCTCGGCGCGAACAAGAGCAAATGGCGAGACGACCTGTCTATGGATATCCAAAAGAGAACGCTCGCGAACGCTTTCTTTGACCAGCCCATAGAATTGGGTCCATCGGTCAGTAAGAGATTTCGAAGCAGTTGCACCAAGCTCGCTAGGACCAGTAATAGATTCGAGTTTCTGCCGCGCGTCGTGATAAACCTCTTTGGACCATTTCCAAAAACGTAGAGGTGAGGTCTGTATTGAATACAGGCCAGTATACATTCGGGAACCCAAGATATCGTCCCAATACCAAATGTCATTGCTCAATGGCATGATCTGGTCGAGCAATACATTGAGGAGGACGCCGTAGGTTTGCGTAGCCGCTTTGCTGACAATGAGCCATTCAAGGTCACGCTCATAAGCTGTGTCTTCCTGAGCCTGAACGCTGATGGGTTGTGCGAGTGCCGATTGCGCCTGCTCCAGGAGGCTACATATCCGGACAGGTTTCAGAATTGGCTGGGAAGTCGCCGATGCAGAAAGGGCCTTTGCAACAATCTGGAGTTGACTTGCACGAGTAGACGTTACTGGCGCATGATCCAATGTGTCGCGGCGGGCCTCTAGCAAAGGTGAAACCGGCGCTGACGGTAGACCAAACAGCTGCAGTCGATCCAACTGGCTGTCCACGCGGCGGACTTGGCTTGAGATTTGGATTAGCAGATGAACAGGCCGAATGGTGCTCCTTCTGCAATAGCTTACTCTGTGACAAAGGTCATCTTGCCCCTCTGTGCCTTTCGACCATCAGCCAGCTAAATGTGATTCGACGCAAGATACGTGGAGGAGATCAAGCATCAACAAAGAAACTTGACTTTGTCCACCGTCCATTAGCTATGACGCTATAGCCTCGGCTGTTCCTTCCTCTATGATGCTGCTTACATAATAAGAATCACACCGTCGCGAACTTCTTATGCGCGTCACTTTTAACTTGAGGTGTCACGTACAAGGGCCAAAGGGAATAACTAAACACCTTTCGCTTTTGATCAATTTTGACCTACTCAGCGCCGAGATCGCTCTTAGTCGGCCAGTTACTCATAAACGGCGATCCCGCATCTTAACTACATAGACGCATTGAGTTGATCCAGGAATCAAGAACCACGCTCGATGCCGTCTCGGTCGCCGTCTCGGGGCCGCTCGCCCACCCGTTCCCGCACTCCGGGTTCAGCCGCCTCTCGCACGCCTTCTAGATCGCGGTCTCCTCGTCGCTCTGTTTCCCCTCGGTCCTTGTCTCGATCACGGAGTCCAAACCGAGCGCCCTCGAGTCGGGGTGCAGGACGTCAAGGTCGACGTGATAGCTACCGGAGAGGGCGCAGCTTGACGCGGAGCAGAAGTCCGTCTCGTGGGCCTCGTCGATATAGAAGCCGTAGCTATACCCCCAGTCGAAGCCGGAGCAGGACGCCTCCTCCACGAAGTTCAAAGGTTGGTTCAGAAGGACTGACCTTGTACAAAGCCGCCCGTCGCTTACAGCCATCTAGATTGTTGTTGAGAAACTCACCAAGAATGTCAATGAGGGCCACCTTCGAGAAATTTTTGGCTCCTATGGTCCAATACGAGACTTGGATATGCCAATGAATCGACAATGTTAGAAGACATTATCAATAAACCTGGAACAATTGTGCTAATCTAGACATAGTCATGACGAATCGGGGCACTGCTTATATTCATTACGATGCACCAGCCGACGCCGAAGAAGCGATCTCACACATGCATGAGGCTCAGCTTGACGGAGCTGTGATCAATGTCTCTATAGTTCTACCACGCCGCAAGTTCTCTCGGTCACCGCCCCCTGCACGACGAGGTGGTCCAGGTTTCGGCCCCCCTTCAGGACCGCCAGGTGGCTTTCGAGGCCCGCCTCCGCGTCTAGGCGGCGGAGGAAGATTCCGATCGCCTCCTGGCAGACGCACTCCTCCCCGTGGCAGATTTGGCCGACCAGAACCCAGAGGAGGCTACGGAAATTCATATCGCCCGCGTTCACTGAGCAGGTCTCGTTCTCCCCGCTCTCGCTCAGGATCATACTCGAGGTCGAGATCGCGATCACTCAGCCGATCACCCCCGCCTCGGAGGAGAGCAAGAGATAGCCCGCCGCCACGGAGACGACGTCGAAGTCCGAGCTATAGCAGCTACAGCAGCTACAGTGATCGCAGTCGAAGCCGCAGTCGGGATCGAGGAAGGGGGCGAAGATGATCAAAACCCGTCAATGTTTTCTGTGTGAAAAGCCATTACGCTTTTATTCGAAAAACATCATCGATTCCTCTTTGTCGAATCCGTCTTCGAATCCGTCTTACCGTATCATTCAAATTATTTACTCCTTCGAATCTGGCATGATTAACTGGCGCCAAAAAAGCATACTTGGAATTGTTGTGGCTCGCTTGGTAGCAGGGAATAAATCAGATCCTTCCTGATTGTTGCTTCCAAGCACTAGATAAAAGTGCTTCTCAAGAGCAATATACCATCTTGTCAGTACCTTGATTGCTTAAACATGTATTATCTTGGCTGTTTGTGGAACAGTGTTACTTGGCAGTGTTTTGATGTTCTGACACTTTCGTCATAATAGTTCGCGGAAATCTCTTGCAGCGGAATGTACAATCTTAGATTTGAAATGAATCCTTTAGCGTTTATTTGCTCATCGCTCATTGCAACAGTCCTACGCACTCGCTGTTGTCCTTTGTCCGAGCGAGGTACTTCAGTGGCATTGATGTAATAATTGTAAGCCCGTGACGTTTGGTTAGACTTGCTATTCTATGCAAGATGGCTAAGTTTCGCAAAATAAAGAAGGAAGGAACGAGCGAAGCTTGTGCCTTCTCTTTTGAGCTGAACTGGACCGATTACACCCAAAGCAATATGCATTTTCATCACAGATTTTCGATCCGGTCGTACACATCTCTCGCCTGGCTTGCTTGTCCCCACAGTATTTCTTCGATTCCCATCAAGCTCAGTCCTTTGAAAATCATATTCCTATCATCCGCATTCGAGCTACGCTGGTATGGAAGCTTACTAGAAGATCTGTGTCTCTTCTCTGCGATCATTTGGGGCATCGTCATCACTTGCTCGCACCGTCTGTCACAAACTCGAAAGTTGGCAATGTCTTCTACTCTTGCTTCCAGCACAGCCGGACCATCGCCCGCATCCCTTCGATCGCTCCAGCTTGCAAGTCCAGAGGAATCTAACGGTCGCTGGCCCTCGTCACAAGCCGTTAAATTCATTCGGCGTACGAGCGGCAATAGCGTCAATTCCACCCAGTATTCGCTTGATTCGGATTCCTCCCCACACCCTCTTCGCCAGTCTGTATCTGTTGACGAACTTGAATCGACGGCTGGCCTGCGTCGTGAGGGCAACAAGCCTTTTGGGAATCTGCCAAGTACGAGTGAACGGGCTGAAGAACAATTCTCCGCACCGCCTCCAACAGATTACTTCGCGCAAAATGAATGGACGCCTTCGCACGCTCCAGAATCGCAAGGTTCTAGCCGCAAACGCTCTTCAGCTACAGTAACTCTTGCAAACGCCGCCAAGGGTCGAGTGGCTAACGGTCGGGACAGTCCGGCGCCACTCCACGGCCGCACGAACAGTGATGACCGAGGCAACCATACCGCCCTGGCACATGTCCCATCTCCTGTGCTTCCTCCCAGTGGTTCCGCTGAGGCGCTTGGAAGGCTTTTCCGTGGCGCGCAACTTCCAAGTAATGGCAGACATATCAGTTCTGGCTTCTCTTTCCCGGCCTATCTTGGATCTGCGTACGGCATCTCACGTGCCGATTGGGCGCTTTTCACATCTGAGATCCGCTCCTTCAACCGCTGCACAAAGTGGGACATTGCATTTGTGCTCAGTGCAGCGAGTATGACCCTAGGCAACTCCGCCGCGGCAGTAATTCTTACTGCCCTCCTTCCAGCTCTTGGCATCAGTCTGATTGGCGGAACTGTTGTCACTGGCGGGCTTGGCCTCCTAGCGTTACTTCCCCTTGCAGTTATTCCTGCCGCTGTGGTGGGTGATATTGTTCGGCGGTCGGCCAAAAGGCGCAATCTCAAAACTGCCAGAGAGTATGGAGCGATTGAAAGAGTGTTGAAAGAGTGGAATGACGTGTATTTTCATCCAAAAGGCCTCTCGGTTAAGATTGAGTTGCCAAAAGAGGACGTACATGGCATGAAAGACATGGATTTGCTGACGCGGAAATGGACAAAGCACGTCAGAGAGAGCAGAATATTGCCTAGGCTTGGTTTAGGCCAGAATTTTGGAAGAGCTCCGGCAGTCAAGGAGAGCACCGAAGGCAGCGGAGAGCAGGACAACGGAGATTCTAACGAACCGTCAGATTCTTTGATGGCATCGACTCCGAAGCAGCAGAAAGAAACACTTCCTCTGCCGAGGCAAAATCCAGCGGCTGATAGAACTTCTGATGTGAGCAGCAATAGCCATGATGGCGCGCCTAAGGAGGCTGAGTCGAACGCTCCCCAGTCTTCAGCCACGGATGATTCTACGCCCAGTCGCGCCAAATCTGTCTCTAACTCTGACACCCCGCAGGCTGAGCAGAAAGCTCTTCCTCGGGAGACAACCCCAGCTTCTTCTCTAGCGGTAGATGGTAATGCATCCATCAATGCCGTCGACGATGCTCACCCGTCTATAGTTCCTTCAGTCTCCCCGCCTTTAGGAGCTCATGTTGATGCACACGAAGACGCGCTGGACCAAGACAATACTACCCCTAGGCAAGGACATCAAGAGAGCCCAATCAGAGAAAAGCCAAAGGCTAAAGCGAAGCCGCGTAACCCAACTAAGTCCAAATCAGGCGGTAAACGCGTACTGTTCTTTCGACATGGTTTCTTTCCCAAACAGCAGCGACGGCCTTCCTCCATATCATCTACTTCTTTTTCTTCTTCGGCGGCCCGCCACCAACATTCGTCATCTACCAGACCATTTGGTCTTCGACCTACCGGAATCTCGGATAACGCAGGATCCGAGGCGGCATCCATGTCCGCTTCGTCTTCGTCGTCTTCTAGAGCGCCCGCGCCAGACCTAACCTGGTCTGAACGCTGGCGTGCTCTGCAAGCAAGACGCGCCGCGCGACATGCGGACAAGGATAAGCGCCATGCTCTTCGACGCGGGCGTATTGTGCTTATTCCGATCGGCACACCAGAGCCGGCGATGGGTGCTATTCCGCAGGGCGCGATACAAAGAGATGTCCTCAGGAGACGAAAATTGGTACGAGTCATTGGCAAGAGCCGAAAGAGAGGTAGAGGGAAAAGGGTATCTAGAGTCTGAAGTTATTTCTTCAGGAACTCCCCTCGTTGCGTTGATTTTGCTCTTCAATTGAATGAGAGATGATTGGAAGAGCGGGAAGAGAAACGAATGACGAATCTTCGGAAACACGAGGTTTGAGGATGTTTTGAGGGGTATAGAATTGGGCTGGAGAGCGTTATTGTGGTATCAAAGGATTAGAGAATGACATGAGTTCGTAGCAAGTCCGTGGCTAGAGAGAATATTATCATTATTTGCTTTCCTCCCTTTTTTTTCTGTCTTTAGAAGTGGTCATTGCTGGCAAAGTGCGTGTTTTATGGGTTCGATGCGGGCACGCCTCGTCTTTCACGATGCAAATTTCTCTAGTCACAACGTCACGCAGGTGGAAATTGGATTGTACAGAATCTTTGTAGAATATATGCTCATATTGATATAGCTCCGATCAAAACGATCGGCGCGAGGAAGAGGGCATCGTAAGCATGAATTGAACGGATCTTAGCAGGGAGAATCGCCAAACGCCAATATCCTATGACTTTTGAGGAAAAGAAGAAGACAACGCTCTAATAGGGTCTAAACATTTATCCAATCATCATGGTATCATCGCCACCATTGTCAGTGGGCTCTTCTATCGGCACTCCTCTGCCACGGCCTTCGAGTAATTCCCTTCGGACCTCTGGGCCAATATCCTTGTGGCCACGCACCAGCAGAAGGTCCAGAAGAGATTCACGCTGGTCCTCGGTGATGTCGTTTCGGTACCTCTGGGCGAAAGCCAAGAGACACTGGTGCCAGAGAACGGGCAGCCGAACGTCCTTGCCGCCTGCAGCGCCAGCGCCAGTGCCGGACATGGACATGTCTCCATTCGCGGCGGTGGGATCAGTGGCCCGGAAGCGGAGGAAATGGAAGACCAAAGCGTCAATAACCTTGTAAGGCAAGGCATACTTCTTCTCCAGAAGAACCCGAATGAAGATGTTTGTTGCACCGCCTCCTTCAGACGACAAAGACGTCTGCTCAGCTGCGATATCACATAGTCGCAGAAGCGCCGCGGCGGAATGTAATACCGGAATCGAGACACGGCCTAGCACAGAAGCCACAATGTGCGCCTCCCGGAGCGTGCAGGTTCCACTGCCGACCAAGGGGAAGAGGAAGCCTTTGAAAAATGCAGCAGGCTTGTAAAGTGCTTTCTTCAGCGCATTGAATAAGTGTACGTTCAGCTTCTTAGTCTCATGGATGTCATCTCGCACACGCTCAAGAATGACGGCTTCCATGAAGCGCTGAACGGTTGCGGGTTTCGAGGAGACAAAGATTCTGGTGGCTTCGTAGCATGCATTAGGTGTCCACGATTCGGGGCGGGTTATATAGAGGATGTCCTCCCAGTTCGGTATCGTTGGGAGAATCTTGAAGGGCTTTGGTAGTTTACCAGAGCGGTAGCGAGAAAGGATCAAGCCAATCCTAGACAGATACGGTCAGGAAAAAGGGCCACAACAAAGGAGATTGTGATAGTGACAAAGACTTACTTGGTATATACTTCAACAACCTTGGCAGGAATCTGAATGGCGTCCTCGGGAGCACCGCCGCCATGGATCACAGGATGGCCGGCCTGTGCTGCCTCATGGGCTGCAATCTTCTCGAGGATGAGCTCAGTCAGGTTTGTGCCGGGTCCTTGAGCTTGCTGTTCATCCTCATTTCCAAAAATAGGGTCTTGCGCTCCAGATGGCATGAATTTGTTGAACATTTCCAAGTCCTCGGGATCGATTTCCTGTGTGCCCATCACGTCAGAATCGCCAAGCAGGGTGTAATGCTACTAGGAAATACTAACCACTTGCTCGACCTCTTCCTCTTCATCTCCCCAGGCGTCATCATTCTCCTCGATTTGTGCTTCTTCGTCAGACTCGTCGCCTCCAAAGCGAGTATCAAAAGCAAAAGCCTTGTTCGGTTCGTTGGCCTGGTGTTCGGCTCTCTCCTCGTCTGCAAGATCTTGACCCAGGCTCAAGATCTTGCGAGATTGCTTTGAATCGATAAATTTTTCTGCCTCGCCAGCATCCTCGTCGTTGCCTCGGTTTTTGTTCTTGGGAGCCTTGGTTTTTAAGGGCCCAGTGGCCAGAATATCATCAGTGAGCGGATTGTGTCGGCGGGCCTGGCGGGAGGCCGCTGATGATGTAGCTTTCGGCATTTTGCAAGACGTGATATCAAAACCCCTCCCGTTCGCACTCGATCTTGGTGTGTCTCAATCGTCGGTATATGAAATTTTGATGTTCGGCCTAGCTGGTGAGCACCGCTGTGGGGAAGTACAAATGTTTCGAAATTCGCACTTGAGAAATTCCCACGCTAGCACAATACTTTTGCAAACTCGCCGATTCTCCGACGCGGAATCTTCCGCGTTCATACTTGCGGACCTGGGATGAGCTTAGGCGTAAACTTTATGCAGTACAGTACACAATCATTTCGGGAGCGAGGGACGTTGTGGAATATTCTTAATTTTCCTGGCAGCTGATAGATTGACTTGAAAAATTATTTTGATCATCAGGAAATATGGCTGACCCTCGGTTGGGCCGGAGGGGCTCGACACCGTCCTCTGTTCCCCAGAAACGCAGCCTTGAGGACGAGCATGCACCAGCAGTCTCCTCTCCATTGAATCCAGATTCTGGTACGATGTCAAGGGCTAAGCCCAAGGACAAGGCTCTACAGCGCGAGCAAAGAGATAAAAAGGATTCGCTCAAGAAACGTGAGTCGAAAGCAGGCGTCGATGTCCGAGGGACCACGCCTGATGCCAGCGCTGCCAAAAGGAAGCACAAAAGCGCTGGCACTGCAACTCAACCTCCTCTGTTAGCTCCCTTGCGATACAAGCTACCGCCGCCCAAACCAACCGATTTCGAGCCTCCTCGCGGGCCTGTCTTCACTGCGGACCTGACCAGGACACATCCTGATGGGCATGAGGTACAATTCTACGAGAGCTCTGAACAGTAGGTGCCAGCTTCTGTGAAACAAGCACAGGCTCCGAGGCTGATCCAAAATCTAGTGTCTATAACCGCAAAGGGTTCAGGTACACGCATTGTATCGCGGATCCAGCTTTTCCATCTTCGCTTTATTACCGTCAAACAGACACCGAGCCGTTTGGACCCCGAATAGCTTTTGAAGATACATCGTCTTACATTCAATTCGATCAGTCTGGCCGCAGCATTACCACTGAAAAAGGATATCGAATGGGGAGAGCAAATGTGGGCGTGCGTGAAGGGAGCTGGTACTGGGAGTGCAAGATCATCAGCGGCGTCGCGAAAGATCAAGAATCAACAATGAACGGACAAGATGGTCGAGGCCATGTACGAATGGGATGGGCGAGGCGCGAGGCAAGCCTTGATGCCCCTGTCGGCTTTGACGCTTACAGTTATGGCTTTCGCGATGTTGGTGGGCAAAAATTGCACATGTCTCGGCCAAAGGACTGCTTTCCGCCAGGCGAAGATATTCAAGAGGGAGACGTGATCGGGCTGGAGATCAATCTCCCCTCGCTCGCTCTCCATAGAAAAGTCGTCGGGGGTTACTACAACCCGGCAGTCGACTTCTCAACCGATACGGACGATCATAGTATAGAAGCGCCAGACGTCATTCGAGACCGTGTTCCGATCCGCTATAAGGCACATCTTTATTTTGAACAATTCGAATATCATGCAACCAAAGACCTGGAGGAGCTAATGAACCCTTCACCTGTTGCACCGTCTGCACATTCTGCGCACAGCGAACCTCCTAATCCCAATCATCCCAGCGTGGCGCTACGAACTCTTCCCGGTTCATATATCAAAGTATACAAGAATGGCAAATATATTGGGACGCCATTAACCGACCTGCTCGCTTTCCTACCGCCAGCGTCAAAGCCGCAAGCTCAGCCAGGGGCACGCGATGGGCTGGATGACGGAATGTTGGGATATTTTCCCGCCGTGAGCGTCTTTCGTGGCGGTGCCGCCGAGGTCAATTTTGGGCCAGACTTCTGGTGCCCGCCCTGGAATGCAAGCAATGACGAGGCTGGCATCATTAAGCAAGAAGAAGGCCCTCAGCAGCCTTCTTTGCCGATCCCAAAGCGTCCTCAGGCAATGGCAGAGCGGTACAATGACCAGATTGCCGAAGACGTTGTGTACGATCTCGTCGATGAAGTAGACTTTTGGGTCCAGGATGGCGGCTCTACTGAGACCAAGCTCGGCGTCAGCGACAGTGCACCGACCGTCCTCGGCCCCGTCGACCCTCGAGCGCCAGGAGTGGAAGAGCTTGCTGACGGCGCCGGAGCCAACCAAGCTGGCGAGATCAAGGAAATTGTTCAGGAAGACGAATAGGCAATGGGGCTTGGGAAATTACTCGTGACGAAGAGCCACTGGAATCGCGTAATGGGTCAATGTTGTTTTTGCTTTGATGGTTGCTATACCCACTTTTGCACGTAATAAATGGACTTGGCAGGTTATTCCTGGTTAGCTTATGGTTATACCCATTCCTAAAAGCAGAGTGCATTGCAGGCATTTCTCAAGACTGTGAAAAAGATTATGTTCTGCACGGAAATTTTGGAAGACTGGTGAATTGGCCACATTCTGGGGCTCAGCGTTATTCAAGACGGTTTTATTTCCGCAAACGGAATCGAATGTGTGCAGGATCAACGAACAGGCACCTATTTTAATCGTATGGGTTTACTGGCCAGAGGAGAAAATCCTGGATTCTCCCAGCCACGTACACCAAGTAATAGTAATAGAAGAAGCGGGAAGACGGACAAGAGAGGGTGCCAGTTCAAACCGGCCTAAAGAACCATCTAGACCGCTAATCAATGGATGAACGACAGACGGCACCGAGTCAGACCGAAAAGTAGCTTAACCAAACGTCCTGAGAGAGCGCGGAGGTGCCGACACAGGAATTGATCACGCGCAGCACCAAAGAGCAACTAGGAATTGTCAAATTGGTTGAACCTCAAAAATCGTTGGAAGAAGAAGAAAAAATTATCCATCACAATCTTTGGATGGATGCATTCGATGTATCTTGAGAAAATTTTTTTCTCATCCCGTGATACATTTCGCAGAAGCGCAAAATCATAGAATTTCCATTGGCCTTTTCACCTGTAAATCTTGCCAGAGCCAACCACGTCCCGCATCACTATGTCCAATCTGGCGCGTGAGACATTTGAAGTCTATTGTGGGTGTTGAAGCATCAGAGAGGAGGGGCGCGTGTTGCGGATATGAAAGTGCTGAAGGTGTCATGTTTAACATGCGTCTGACCTCTTTTTTGGCGGGGTAAGCAACCCTCTTGAGCGGATGGTGATAGTAGTACCGGCTACAGCATAACAATAGTTGGATGCTCGAATTTACGAAATCACTACTGAATCCTATGTGATGATGGACAGACTGCATATAGGTGGGTGAGAAAAAAAGAGTCACTTGGAGGTGAACATGTCCAATAATCTTGCTCTCTGGGAACTGACGTTGAACTGCAGTAGGGCATCATCACTTTTCGTATGTGGGGACTTTCCACGATTGAGATCATTCGGGCAGATCTGTCTGACGCAATGAGAGCCTTGCCGCGGAGGAAAAAAAAAAAAAAAAAGGGATCTTACGATTGCAAAGGACCGTTTGCATGAGCCTTGTCGGCTGAGGCCAACTTACAGGCCTTACAGACAACGGTTGATCGCGCGAGGGACAAGCTACAGCCCTGGTCATGGATTATGTGCTCGCAGATCTGCTGCCCTAAACATCGCGACATGCAAACCCTCGAGTGATTATTCATTCATAGGGATGACGGAACGAAGCGCAGTATGATCTCTGCACGGCAGCACCCGCATATGGGTCCAGTCGCTTGAGCTGCCTTGGGTTTCCGGTCAGGAACATCAGACCAGATCCAAATGTGCCTGGGGGGGGGGGCCAAATCCCTGACTCGGCAACACTTTTTGCACATCACCTCGAGGGACTGACCGAGTGTGCGGCGTAGGTCAAAAATTTCTGGGTACGATCTTCCCTGCTACGCCGCTCATGGATCCATTATTGCATCACGTATGAAGCTTCGTACGTACACACAATCATCTTTTTCAACGAGATGAGGCTGTTGCCACAATCAATCAATCAATCAATCAATCAATCGTAAAGCTCATCAGCGCTTGGTGAAATGGCGCAAGGATACTACTGTGCTTAGTACCACAATACGACTCAAATCTTCAATACGGAGTATCCGTACAGTAATAATCATCTCAGGAGCAAAGAAAGGGGTCCACGGGGGGTCGTCAATGCGGGCTCTCCGACAACGGGTTAAGGTGCAGTGCTTCCCTAGGCTGGCTGCGCTACGGCAGTAGTCCCACCGAGATGCCCACAACGAGGCGCAACTACCCGTACCCTCACAGGCTGCCCCGCAGTCCCTTTTCCGACCAGAAGACCCTCACTTCAAACCCCCCTCTTGGCTTCAACAGTCGAGCGGGTCATTCAATTTGCGATATCTTCTAGATTTGAAAAAGAGCCCGCTTGCAAGATAGTCCTCGGTGCTAGACGCTAAAGTGGTGTAAAAGATGTCCAAGTGACTGACATGACTCGACGCCCAGGCCGCCAAGGTTGACAAGAACTGACGTGCACAAGTAAGCGGGCACTTGAACTTTTTGAGCCTCTCGGGGGGGGGGGGGGGGGGGAGGCAACCTGGCAGGGTCCATTTGTGTGAGAGAGGAGCCAGGAACAGGGTATCGAGTACTTTGACTGGGCAGCACAATTTGGTCGCGGATACATTCAGATACCTCCGTACTGACTCTATCACGCAAACCGGAGCGGAGTCCCTTATCATAGGGAGTACTAGCAAAAGATACCTTGATGTCGGATGGTTGGACACAGAGCCAAGGAGCCCGTCAACCCGTGGGGGCTGTGCCGCGAGCGCATTGGCTCTCGGCAGGGTATCTCGTCGGTAGAGGTACCTTCTCCTTAAGGTAAAGGAGGGTCACTTTAGAACGGGGCCGCTCAAGAACCCAAGAAACAAACCCATTCCAGACGCGTTTCGACATCCCGAAAAAGAGCTCTTTCACAGAGAGGCGAAGGGAGAGTCTCACAGTCGTTCTTTCCGAAACGGTTGAGCGAGGAAGCAAAACAGACCCATCGTCTCGTACTGCCAAAATCTCGCTCTTGTATCGGGGAGGTTGGCTACGTAAGGGGATTGGCAGCCATGACTCGTCACTAGTACTTTTCCCGACTCAGACAGTCCTTTTGGTCTGGTCGTGTTGCGACTTCGCCGACTTGGTACGGAAGGTACGGACTACGGGACGTATCAGAGTACTCGTACACACCACACACTCTCTCTCACTTACTCACAACCCCTTAGTCGAACTCCCCTCCTGGCTCGATCGTCGCTGCTTCCCTAACGGTAGAAGCTCCGTCCCTCGGTCGTTCCCTCGCTTCGTTCACCCTTCCTTCCCCTTCCCCTTCACGGATCCCTCTATCCCCCTCGTACCCCCTGTGGTATAAAGACGACAATCTGTCCTCTCTGTCCTGAATTTCTCCCCTTCCCCGCACTTTTCATTGATCTTCTCTGATCAGACAAAACGGAACCAAATACCCCGGAGTATTGGTTTCATTTTGCCTGTGGCGCTGGGCTATTTTGCCCTTTTTCCGCGACGATCCTCTTGAAGAAAGACGTTACTTCTCGTGGCCCCCATATTATATAACGCCCCGCTTACTTCATCGCCCAACTGAGGACACTTGTCCTCAGCCATGCATCATACCCTACGCCATTGACCATCGGCAAGCACATTCGGCGCCATGCAGCGCTCCTTTGGTCAGAACGCGCAGCCCGATTGGAGGTTGAATTCTTCGGTGCCTAATCCTGGCAATTCAACCTCTCCGGCGCCTGCTCCTACTTATTACCACCACAACCTGCCACCCTCTCCGTCACCTTTCCAGTTGTCCTCTGGTCATCATCCGCACTTTGCACAAGGTTATGACAACATGACGATGCCAATTCGCACTTCGGTTCCAGGGACAATCAATCCCTCGGCCATGACGATTGATTCCACCAACACATCGAATTATGGAGACTCGCTCAGTGAGCGCGCGACTCCCGCTCCGACCTCCTACCACGACATGACTTCCTTGGCAGATGTCTCGTTTGCTACTCCACCTCCCAGAGCAACTGCGACCCCTGCGACCCCAGCATTGTCAACTTCATCGCTGGCCACATCTAGCTCGACTCCCCAAGGAACCCAGGGAGAGAAGAGAGCAGTGAAGAAGCGCAAGTCGTGGGGACAAGAATTACCCACGCCCAAGACTAATCTGCCTCCTCGGTAAGTGATGGGGATGGCGTGCAAGCTCATGTCACTGTTGAGCGCCTGTTTGCAGATGTGCTAACTCTTGATGTAACAGCAAACGTGCCAAGACAGACGATGAGAAGGAGCAGAGAAGGATCGAACGGGTTCTTCGAAACCGCGCCGCGGCCCAATCCTCTCGCGAGCGAAAGCGCTTGGAGGTGGAGAAGCTCGAGCTAGAGCGAGATGATCTTGCAGAGGAGAATGCTCAGCTCCGCCAGGAGCGAGAGCAATTTCTCAGACAGCTTCGGGACATGGCGAAGATGAAGCAATTCTACAAGTCAAAGTTTGAGAGTTGCTTTGCCCAATTGGTTTCGTCGAACGAGGGTGATTCAAATTATGTCGAAACAAAGACGAATAAGAAGATTGACAAGGGCAAGCTTCGCGGTGCCTTGGTGTCGCCAGAGCTCACCCCATCGCCTCCGCACTTTGCTCTTTCTCCAACCTTGACTGCCGACCTCCTTCCAGAAGGCTCGACTCAACCCACTCTGAACGAAGACTCGAACAATGACGCTGTGACATCCAGCGAAGTTCCATCCGCCGAGGCCACTGCCGCCCCCGCGGTCCGTCCCGCGTCCCCTGTTACCGACATGACACAACATCCAGCAGCGGTGTTGTGTGGCCTGCAGTGTCAGTCGGTAGCTCGGCGAACGCGACAGGACCCGAGGTTGTCAACAACTGCCGTGGCCTTCGCCCTGGTGTTTTGCGTCACAGTCGCCTTTTCCACGATGACGACTTTGTCCAGTCTTTTACCCCCAGCCCGTCCACTTCTCCAGACATTCGCATGGATGCTCTCGACTCTTGTTCTGACGAGCTTCTTCACGGTGTTGGCGGGGCCGATGCCGTTGCATCATTTGAGGAATTGGTTGACTTTGAAGGTGGCCAGTCTCAGGACGGAGACGCTCAAGAGGACAGTCACTTTGGCGACGCCTTTTTGGCGCAGGCATTCTCAGCCGATGACGGCACGGATTTGTTTTACGCTGCGGCAGCTTTTGACACGCAGCCTGACCTTGGCGCGTCCTATGACGGATGCGACGGGCAAGGCCATGCGGCTTAAGAAGTCTTGCGGCGATGCGATCCGAGCTCGTCCAGCTCCGAGAAATGTCTGTTTCCAAGGACGTCACAAGGATGACTCTTCTCTGGTGGTTCCGAAACGAGATGAAGTCACCTTTGAGTCTGGCAACTCAAATGCAACAATGCTCAGACTGGGCAAGCTCGGAAGCGTCGTCTCCACCAATCTCTTTCTTGACAGGAAGCGTCAATCTCGGGACGCCAAGACTCATCACGCGGCTTCGTCAATGGTATCGGATGATGTCAAGCGAGATTGGTGGAAAACAGTTGCTCCCGCGGTTCTTCATTGTGTGGTTTAAAGTCTTTTTCGATTTTTACGTCTTCGTTTGTTGGGGGGGGGGGATTAATTGGGGTTTCTTGGGAGGTAAAAAGTCTCTGGGAGAAATGACCAGAGTCGGGGTTCAATCTGGTGTTCAATCGGGGTTTTTTTTGGTGCTTCTTTTTTTTTACATTACACTTTTTATCCAGTGAAGAGAGGCATACACCTCTCTCTCTCTTGGAACGAATGACGAAGTTATACAGGGAGAGACGTCTTTCGACATGGTCTCCACAGTCATCAACTCCCGCATTATTCCAAACTAATGGGGGGGTTTTCTTTAGTTTGGAAATGCCGACGGATGTTTTGACAGAAAAGAAATTTCATTTTCTGAATTTCCACAGACATGGTCCCGTTCCACTCCTTTGTAGATTCTCTGGATCCCTATTTTCTTTTCCTCGGACTATACTTAACCCAGACCGTAGTCACTTTATAATACAAGGGATCATGTCAACATTGGCTCATAGTGAATGTGAAATTTGATCATGAGGCAGATATCCAGAGTTTTTATGTACCGTACAGAACCCTACGAGCCCAGTCACAGATTGCAATCATTGATCCTAATCAGTGAGGAATCAAGCAGACTTCCTCTAGAAGTCCATTCGTATTTGCCAGCGCGGCAGTATAATAGCTCAAACCCAGACCATGTCGTGCGAGGTGGAAGGGTCTTGCAGTACTTTGGTACGTTACTTGGTAGTATGGTGGATCAAACAAAGCAAAGCATGGACTTTCTCTTTTCTTATTATTATTGCTTCTGCTGTTAGGTCACTACATGGCAGAGTAACTTATGGGTACTATACATACCTTACTTAGTGCATATTAGAGCATAGCTTGCCTCCAGATATGGAACGCACCTTGATGTAGTATATTGTTTACGTCGCTAGCTAGATTGCCAATCAAGCTTCATCTCTCCTCCATATCGTATCCTTGCGGATGTTACATCTGCTCTATTTGGGCCCATGCCCAATTTTTTCATCAACCGCCCTGTTGCAACCAACCTGTACTACGTATGCCCATGGAGTTGTATTGTTACAGTAGGAGCAGCAATTTGTCAGCAACATAGAGATGGCGTGATTGTAATTGAACAATATATTCCTCTACAATAAGTTGTTCTGGTTCCTGCTTCTCGTATATTCCATAAAAATCCCTAAAAAGTAGCAATATGGAATCTATTCTCTCTGCACATGAAATTGGGGGAGGACTTCCCGTTTTGATCATTCATGGATGGCAGTTGGCGGGAACAGTCGAGGAGGCGGACTTTGAGCCGATTTTCAGCAAAACACCGGGACTGCGCCGGATCTACGTGGACCTTCCAGGCATGGGCACAACCCCTGCGAACAATGTCAAGGATCTGGACGACATGTACCTCCGCCTGGTGCAATTCATTGATTCTCGACTTGGGAGCTCCTCAAGGTTCTTGCTTGTCGGCTCATCATGCGGCGGCTACCTTGCACGTGCGATAGCTCAAAAATATTCTGAGCAAGTCGATGGTTTACTACTACGCGTGCCGCTTATTGAGCCAAACGACAGCATGCGCGATCTCGATGCTTTCAGCCCTGTGGTTGCGAACACGCAACTCATGTCGTCGGGCATATCAGCCGAAGACAGGAACCTTCTTGGAAACGTCCTCGTCCAAACGCCTGCTTACGTCAAAGCGCTCAAGGCGAAATACAAGGAGGTTTATCTTCCAGCGATGAAAACAGCAGACATGAAGCTGTTGGATGCGATCCGAGCAGACCCACAACGTTATCAGCTGTCTTTTTCGTTGGATGATGACAATAATAATAATGAAAGGACTGCCATTACTGCCAAGTTTCTGGCGCCCACGCTTATTGTATGTGGACGCCACGACCAGAGCGTGGGCTATCGAGACAGCCTTCGCTTGCTGGAGCTCTATCCACGGTCAACTTATGTGGTTCTAGATCGTGCTACCCATGGCCTGCCTGTGGATGAGACTGGTGTTTTTGAAGCTCTGGTTCGTGATTGGATAGTCCGGGTCCATGAATGGCGAGGTCGTACGGAGAGATGAATACTCCGTACCAATGATCTAACTTAACTACTTTATACCAACTCTAGTACATTTAAATGCCTATTTCGAATTAAATCGGGCGGTGCGAAGAATGGTATCTTATATTGTGTGTAAATATGGCCATCTGTCACGTTTTGCAAGTGAATAGTCAAGAGCTGCGATGAAGAAAAGTAAACAAACTATTATACGTGACTGGCAGTACGGAGTATTACCGTAGTAAGTGCATGGTTTGGTGCGAGGGAAAGCACAGTGATACTGCACAATTGGCCTTTCTACCTCTCCCTATACCTTCACATGCCGAAACCCACTTTCTATTTCACTTGGGGCCGTGGGGCTCAGTGAAGTCGCAGCGAGACAGGAGTAACAAAAGTGGCAGGATAGCGGAAGGGCGGAATAGCGGAGTAAACTGTGGAGCAAAGAGCAAAGAGCAAAGAGCAATGACGTCTTTGGGAGCAGGAGCAGGAACAAGAGCAGGATCATTCAGAACAACATATCGCTGCGCATACAGATACTATTGTCGTCCAAGCCGTCTTCTGTTTTCGACATTTCCGTCTAGTTCTGCAGCAAGATCTCACGGACAGGATAACTCTCCTTTGACTTTTACAACTCCTTTTGTGTCTTTGTCTGCGTCCTCTTCAGCTTCTATTTCAGCTTCAGCTTCAGCCTTTTCACTGTCCTCGCGGAATCATCCCTTTGGAGTCTCTGGAAGACACCGCCTTTTTATGCAAAAGTTTTATTCTACAACACCTGTCTCATCTACATCTACGTCAACGCCAACGCCAACGTCAACGTCTAATATGGCAGCTTCAACCGGAACTTCAGAGCCAGGGTCAGCGTCAGCGTCAAACGGCGCAACAGGATCCGCATTTGCATTCCCTGTGAGACCCATCTTCCCCGCAAACCTCAGCGCAGAAGAGACGCGTGCGCTGGAACGTGAGCTCGTGGGTTTGATCTCCGGGGCTGTCGACACTGCCAGTGCCGGTGCAAGTGACGGTGCAAGTACAGATGCAGCTGGTCAACGCGCTGGAAAGTGGCATCTCACGGCCAATGGCAAGGCGATGGAGCGTGCATTTAAATTCAAGACGTTCAAAACTACTTGGGTGAGTCTACTTGTGTACTCTGTACTTTATTTTTTTATTCTTATATATTATTTCCCCCCCCTTTATTGTTTTACTGTTTTCTCGCTTTCAATCCATTCTAGCTCTTGTTTTGTTTCATATCTTGACTTTGACTTTGGCTTTGCGTTTTTGATTGATTTCTATTTCTTTCTCCACGTTCTGAAAACCCTTTTTGTTCCTGTTTGAGGGTTTGAAATACACCGCATGAGAGCGCAGCAGTGGATTGCATCGAAGATCTGAAATTCTTTTTTATGTGCCTGTGCGAGGTATACCGCATACCATATAACGCACGCAAAAAGATAATCAAAGAAAGAGAGAAGCAGACCAACAAAGAAACAAGAAAAGCAAAGTGGGGCATAGAAAACGAAAAAGCGGAAACAGAAGAAGAAGAAGCGGACGAAAAAAACGAAAGAAACTCTGGAATAACATGTCGAACTAAGCAACTGACACAATGGATTTATAGGACTTTATGAATCTCGTAGCAGCGCAGTGCAAAAAAGCACGCCACCACCCAGAATGGTCCAACGTGTACAACACCACGTATATTCGCTGGACGACCCATTCGTCGGACAGTCTCAGCGGCGCGGATCTCGCCATGGCGCGCTTCTGCGACGAACGCGCCGCGGAGCTCGGTGAGATTGAGATTGAGATTGCTTTGGGCCTGCCTGCCGCTGGATCTGCGTCAACGTCAACATCAGGGTCAGGGTCAACAGCAGCAGGGCCAAATGCGCAAGCCCAGTCGACAGAACAGTCGCTGGTGGATACGGTTGCGGCGGTAGGTGCGGGGTGCTGCGTGCCGGGCAAGGCGTGTGCTTCGACTACGACGGCAGCGGGAGATGCGGATGGGAGGAGCGGGAAGATTGAGGGGTCGTCGTGAATACGGCGAGCAATGTATAATTTGATGGTAGAGGTAATGAGGGAATATGTGTCTAATACACTGCTGTACAACTGTATATATCTTATAGTGATAATGTGAATAGCATAACAGGAGATCATGTGAATCAAGTGATAGATAGTGATTATTATTAATTGTAATTTGGATTAAATCTATACATAAACCCCCGTGCAAATTGGTCATTGATCCCATTGAATCAATCAATGAATGTGGATCGTCGACCTGTAGTGTCAGTCGTTTGTGAAAACGACAGGGACATCAAAAATAAATATAAGGTGGGGAAAAAAAAGATAAAAAAGAAAAAAGCCAACCGGCATCTAGTCTAGGCTGAACAAGTGAAAACGGAAAATGAAATGGCACTCTTGCATGCCGCGCTCCGCTCAATTGAAACACTGGCATACGAGTGCGGCCATCATTCTGCATCAGGAATGGTTCATACAGTCAAATATTCCTAGAACGTTGCATTCTTGTGGGTCGTAACTCGAGGCCGAAAAATAAATCATCTCGACGAAGAATGAAAAATTCAACGTCTGACCTGCCCGGCGCGGCGGCAGCTGTCGTTGGACCCTGGACCCCCGGGCCCCACTGAGCAGTGGAAAGAAGGATTTGCACGCATTTACTGCGTCTTCTTGGCCTCCTTTGTAATCTTGCGCTCCCGGCGGCGCTTGGCAGCCTCGGGACCGGACTCGGTGTCGAGGAAGTAGTCCCACCAGCGGAAGCTGCTGGCGTAGTTGCCAATGAACTTTTCGTGGTGGACATCGTGGTGGTGGGCACCGGCCCAGATGGGCAAAAAGTGGTGCAGCGACCAGGGGAAGTCATAGCCCGAGTGCGAGTCAATGGCCTGAAATAGACGGAGGGTGATCCAGAGGTACATGGTCAGGATGTGCAGGTTGCCGTTGCTCACCGCGCACCACAGAATGGGCGAGCCAACCGTTCCGAGACCGAGGAACATGACCTCAATGGGCGAGGCGTATTCGGCGGCAAGTCCAAAGGGAGCCGAGTACTGGTGGTGAATCTTGTGCACATACTTGTACAACGGACCCCAATGGAAAGCGCGGTGGAACCAGTAGTGCCAGGTATCCTCCATGACGAAGAAGATGGCAATCTGGTAGGCCATGGTCAGGAGCGAGGGGAAAGGAACACCGAATTGCATGCCAAAGTAGACGGCCATGGGGTGGAAGAGCCTGCGAGCAGATATGTTTTGTCAGCGCAATTCAATCGTGGAGAATGTCAATCAATATGAGAGAACATACCAGATCTGAGGAAGCTCAACCGTAAAGTGACTGAAGAGGACCAGCTTGGCGCACTTCCACTGGTCGGCAGCAGTGGGTACCTTGGCCTGCTGAAGCTTGTACTTGTGGAAGTAGGGAATGCTGTCGATGATGATCCAAGGCAGAGAGCGACCAAAGTAGACAACCTCGTGCATGACAAAGGACATGATACCGGTGGCCAAGACATCGTTCTGCATGTACGCATACCAGGCGGCCCAAAGACGCTCGAAGATATTCAGGTGGACATTGTACTGCGAGATGGCATCGAATTGGCCCCAGTAAGTGGGATCCGCCGTGGTGGCGGCGAAGGCAGCGGTTGCGTTCCTACATTTCGTTTATCAGTATATTGATCAATGTGTTGCGACGACGACATTTCACCGGGCACAAAAAAAAAGGGAGGTAATTTGTATTGGAAGGGGGAAAATTACATCTTGAATCGCACTCGAGTGCAGCAGCGTCGACCAGTGCTGGGTTGACAGAAGAGCACGCGAGGAGAGTAGAGAACGATGGGGGAAAGATGGTGATAAAGGAACGTAGATGGAAGAAGGAAAGAGGAAGATTAATGATGAGAGATGGGGAAATAATAATTCTGGGTCCGTTCCGGGAAGCTCTCTAAGTGGGCGGCGGGTCGTTCGTGGGTGGATGGGTGGGTTGGTACGATAATAAGGTGGGTGAGCCAAAAGTGACCTGAGAACACCAGAGAAATATGCAGAGAAGTTAGGTACCAGGTACCAGATATCTGGAGTGCATGTAACTCTAGTGAGAGAAACGGTGGATTAGTTAAAGGACTTTAGCTAACTTAATAACAAGAGGTGCCGGGGAGAAAAAAAAGCAGACCACCAGGAACACCAACTTCCGGTCAGGGGCAAATCCGATTCAGATCCCACACCACTACAAATAGTACTTAGGCTCTACTCTATCCTTCCACCATATCTGCAGTGTATAAAGGTTTCCTTTAAGTATTCTCCGCTTAGGTGGTGGCGCCCGGCAAAAACCCCCGTTCGGATGGTCGTGGTCCGAGATGGTGCCACGCCCGAACGATAGAAAGTCGTACTGCCTGACTGGTACGGAGTAAATTCATCAAGCACAACAATATGATCATCATTCAGTCGCACCCAAATTTCGATTCGAATTTCTCTTTACGATTTCGTCAATCGTCTTCATGAGCCTTTTATGTCATGATAGACCCATTTTTCCAAAGCCTCAGGATGAGCAAACTCCGTGCTCAGGGTCCCTTTGACGCGTCACCATCTAGGTACAGCCTCCCCCTGTCAGCCACAGATGACGATGAAGATCTTCATCACCAACCATCAGATCTGATAATCAGCCTCCCAATCACTCACCATCACATGCGAATGTGATTCTTGTCTCCAACGTCAGTGGACAAGCCAGCAAGAGATTAGAAATGTTCCCTCCCTCTCGATAACTAGTTATCTCGTCTCTTTATTAGATCTGTCACGTCTCTCTAGCATACAACGCACGTTGCACGTGATTGCATTACCTGCATAATCTTTTCATAAAAATATACTCCTGCCCACATTGGCTAACATATCTGTAATTATATGTGGCTTAGAAGGAAAACAACAAGACAAATATAAAGAATCTACACCATCATGTTTGAGGCTCAGCATTCTGTGAAGCTTCCATACTCTCTTTATTACCCCATGGATGCCGGCGTGGTCCGCAAGAGGAGGCGGATGAGGATTGTATCTCGTCCGCCAAGACTTGATCTCGCCCAATCAGAATTCACGCGCAACTCGCCCACGTTCCCCCGCCGTGGGGTTATCAGCGTACATGTCAACAGTAGATAAAGCGTCAATGTCGCTCATTGATTCAAAGGATCTCTTGGATTTCTCTCGGTTTGGGACCCGTGTCAAATACTACCGCTCCGTTTACTTTTGTATTGGTGCAAAGTGATCGGTTCAATTGCGACAGTGCTCGAACAGCCATGACCAAGCCCCAAGGACTGCACCAGACCGTGTATGCCGGCGCTTTTGTTCATAGTACAGACTTGAACGAGCTTGAAATCTGCGAGAATGGCGCTATTGGTGTCGATGAAGACGGAAAAATCGCCTTTGTTGAGCGTAATGTGGAAGACTTGAATGCGGTCGTTGAGAAGCACGGCTGGAAAAGCCCAGTCCTCGTGCGCGCTCCAGATTGTGGTTTCTTCTTTCCAGGCTTCATCGGTGAGTCGCACATTATCTATGATACACACGTGTTTTTTGAGGGAATAATCCTAATCTCAATGTTCAGACACACACATCCATGCTTCACAATACCCAAATGCTGGTATCTTTGGGAAATCGACGCTCCTCGACTGGCTCGAGACCTATACCTTCCCTCTTGAATCATCGCTCTCGTCACGGCCAAAGGCCAAAACCGTCTATACACGATGTGTACAGCGGACGCTCTCTCATGGGACAACGACTGCAGCATATTACGCCACCGCTCATGCTGGAAGCACAAATCTGCTCTCGGACGTCTGCCTGCAGCTTGGTCAACGGGCCTTTATCGGCCGCTGTAACATGGATAGCTTGGCACCGGATTGGTACAAAGACAGCTCTGCTTCCACTGCAGTAGACGATACTCGGGAGACAATTGCGCACATTGCATCCATTGATCCGGAGCATAAGCTCATCACGCCGATTCTTACTCCCCGCTTCGCCCCAAGCTGTTCTTCTGAGCTTTTGACACAGCTCGGCAAGTTGCATGCAGAAACCGGTCTACCATGCCAGACGCACATTTCCGAAAATATTCCTGAACTCGAACTTGTTCAAAAGCTATTTCCTCAATATTCATCGTACGCCGACGTATACGACGCCCACGGCTTACTCACACCAGGCATGGTGCTCGCTCACGCCGTGTACCTGACGCCAAAAGAACAGGCATTGATCAAGGCGCGCGACGCTAAGATTAGCCATTGCCCGGCTAGTAACTCATCCCTTTCATCCGGTTGCGCAAGAGTCCGCACCTTGCTCGATCAGGGCATCACCGTTGGTCTCGGCACTGATATCTCGGGCGGCTACTCTCCCAGTGTGCTCGAGGCTGCGCGCCAGGCTGCGCTGGTCTCGCGACATGTAGCCATGACAGATGGCGATGCGGCCAAGCTATCGGTCGAGGAGGTGCTCTACCTCTCCACAAAAGGAGGCGCGCGGGTAATGGGCCTCGACGCTAAAGTCGGTTCCTTCGACAAGGGGCTCGAGTGGGATGCCCAGATGATCAGCCTGGGTGTCGTTCCCGAGGGCGGCACGATGGGCAACGTGGACGAAGGCCCTGTCGACATTTTTGGCTGGGAAAGCTGGGACGAACGTGTTGCAAAATGGGTCTACAATGGAGATGATCGCAATACGCGGGCCGTCTGGGTCCGAGGCCACAAGGTCCATCAAAAACCCTAGACCAACATTACCTCCTGGGAAAACCGCCCTCCTTGATATTCAGATATATATATATATATATCGACTGGACTTGCATGTTTTGATATTTTTGATTGCTTCACCTATCCGGCGGCATTGACCATTTATACTTGCAACTTGAATTTCCAGCTTTTACTTGTCTAGACATTCAAATACCCGATATTGCAGAGATTTGTTGTAATATTTTCTTGGCATGCATAGATGCATATATTATTTTATACACGAAACTAGAATATTCTTTTAAATAAATCGTATAGTTCGTATAAAAATTGAGAAAACATTGTGTCCAGAATTTTGTTGTGGCTGTTAATTCAGAGCAATGGTTGATAGCAGTGTAATTATTCCTAGGAGACTCACTGGCGATTACTCCAAAAATTCGTCGTCGGCAGTCCAGAGAGCATTCTAGAAAAGCTATTGCGTGGATTCCATTCAAAACGGAGAGATCAGCGTTCTCCAACCTGTTCAGTGGAAACATCATACTACATTCGGCAAATCATCCCGACGTCATACGGTATCAGTCCGCCCTATCGGCCACAGCAGCCGATAAGTTAGCTTGCAACTTGACAGCTTCATATGTTTGCCACCTTTAATGATAGTTGATTGAAACATTGTATAAAATCATTGTAGATACCTCCTTACAGCTCTTCATACCCCCAGCCAGTGTATACCATCCGCAGGTCGTCTTCCATCTCTCCTGCATTGTCGTACCGGGCCTTCCCCGAAATCACTCCCACCATGTCCAAAACTGTCATTGTCGGAGGCGGCATTATCGGACTTTCCACCGCATATTATCTATCTCAATCACCAGGCGCTCCCTCTGACCAAATCCACATTGTCGAAGCTTCTCCACGCTTCTTTGCCTCCGCTTCTGGCTTCGCTGCAGGGTTCTTAGCGCGCGACTGGTTCTCCCCTGCAACGGCTGCCCTAGGAGCGCTCTCTTTCGACCTTCACAAGGAACTAGCAGAAAATTTCAACGGACGAGAAAGATGGGGCTATAGTCCCAGCACATCTGGCAGTTTGAATCTCAGTGGTGTCGCAGGCGGGCCCCGTGGCGAAGACTGGCTGCGAGACGGAACGAGTCGTGCCGAAGCAGCGAATGCTGCTCAACAGTTCTTCAAAGAGGGCGAGGGCCCGTCATGGCTCACGCATCCCAAGGGCACGGATCTAGAACTACTCAGCGGCGGGGAGAGCACAGCCCAAGTGTAAGTTCTGAATGTGGGAATCGTTGATATGTTCCATGGGAGGGCGTTAGCACCTGACAAACTGTAAATCTAAACCAGGGACCCCCTGAAACTATGTCAATTTCTCCTGGAACAATGCAAAGTGCGCAATGTACAAATCCATCAGCCTGCCGAAGCCATTTCCATCTCGCAGGATCTACGGGGCGAGATCTCCAGCGTGCGCATCGCGGAAGGCGAATCCGAGACCGATATCCCTTGCACCCATGTCGTTTTCACGGCTGGCGCATGGACTCCTACTGCGTTTTCCAGAGTGTTCCCTCAGGCAGGTATTAAGATACCAGTGACGCCGCTAGCTGGACACTCGCTGGTCGTCAAGTCCCCGCGGTGGACAGAAGAGCACGAGATTCGCGGATGCCATGCCGTCTTCACGGCCGACCCACGAGGGTTCAGTCCAGAAATCTTCTCCCGACTCGGTGGAGAAATATACCTCGCGGGTGTGAACTCAAGTACGATCCCGCTGCCAGAGAAGGCGACCGAGTCCGAACCACAGCGCGAGTCGATGCAGCAGTTGGAACACACGGCAAAGCAATTGCTGGGAATCGCGTCAGATAAATCTACCGCTGAAGGTGAAGGGGCAGGTGCCACTGTAGGAGGCCAATTGAGTGGGAGTCTAAGTGACCTGGAACTTGTGCGGGAAGGGCTTTGCTTCAGACCCGTCACGCCGAGCGGCAAGCCCATCCTCACGAGGATACAGGATGACAAGCTGGGTTATGGAATTTCGACCCGCGGCGGTGGCGAGGGCGGCGTGTTTGTCAGCGCGGGCCATGGTCCGTGGGGCATCAGCATGAGCTTGGGCACAGGGAAGGTCCTTGCAGAAATGGTTCAGGGGCTGCAGACTTCTGCCGATGTTAGTGCACTGGGTATATAATCTAAGCCTAGGATCAGCAATATGGCAATATATTCGGGCTGCATATATGGGATTGGAGCCGTCATGCTCGTTCAGGGTAAATTTCAAAAAGCTTGTTGCGCTGCATCCCTTTGCATTTGGAACGATATTTTTTGAAAGAACACCTGATTGAAAATGGCATCACGCTCTCGAATCGAAGTCCACGCAGAGGATGAACCACGCGAAGGATGAAATGAATGTATCGCTCCAGTCGAGAGTAAAGGTCTGGAATATATTGATATTTAATTCCTCGTGAACAGACACTCATCGATGTCCTGGGAATCATTCATCCCCTGCATGTACATGAAAATAATAGAAGAATTCGTATCCTAGACGCCCGGCCGGGATTATTGCCTATACATAAAAACTCCGATATCCTTAAAACACCCGTATGAGATATTTGCCTCGACCATCGCATATCAAAAAGAAGCCGCCCGCAAGCCCGCAGAAGAAACGCCCGTCCATTTGCCAATCACACGCAATGAGACCTCACACATCTGGGTCTCACCCAGAATCGTGCGGCCCAGCATTATATTTGTCTGTTGCGCTGCGGAAAAGCTCTTGCTGTTGTCGGAGTAATTCTTCCTCGGAGAGTCCACTCTGCTCCATCTTCGACTGTTTCTTCTCCCGTGTCTATTTTTCCACAAGTCAACGTCAGTTCCCCCCAGAGGCTCAACCGTCAACAATACTTAAAGTGCCTGACTCGTACCTTTTGCTGTTCTTTATGCTCGTTCGCAACCTCCAATACATCCTGGACGTAATCCTGAAACCCCAGCTCTTCCAACGCCTTGGTCACATGTTCGCAGGCAATCGTCTTCTTGGCTTCCTTTTCCGAAATCTCGTTTGCTTCCGACGAGACTAGCGTGATAAACTCGACGCAGCATTCGATCAGTAGGTCTCGTGCGTCTTTGGCAAATGTCAGCCCGGATGACGCAGGCAGGATTTCCGTAATGATTTTCTGGACGGTCGCTGTTGCGCCGAGTATGTTAGTATTTTTTTTTTCCTTTGAATGGTAAGAGCGCAGTTGTATCGTGTCTTCGAGAGAGTGCATGACGAGCTGAAAAAGGGCAGTTTGGCGCAATGGAATCAGGCTGTTCTTGTAGCGCAATAAGCACCCAACGACGTAGGACGTACCCTTTGGTAATGAGAGGTCCTCATTTCCTATACGCGATTCATTAGCCTCTTGGACCTTAAGCTGAATGTTACAAAATGCCGCAAATATTATCTTGCGCGTGCCCCTCCAGCGAGGCCAAAGTGCTCAGACATACCTCCAAACTCGCGATCTGACATTCTCGAATAGGCCTATGTGAAGGGCTTATTGTAAATGCCGAACCAGGTGACAGTATTGACGAATGGAGATACAGTCGCCTTGCGAAAACTGTAAGAATAAATTGTAATTCACACGAGCGTCGAGAATTGTATGTTTGAATGTAATTCTATCACCGGAGCGTACAGGGGGGACGTAATAATGCGGTGCAGCTCCCGTTGGATAAATACAGTTTGCGACGGAAGATGCCGTGGGGAGTTGGTTACTACGTACCCTCGACCCTCTTTCCTCGTTCTTTTTTCTCGCGAAATTTACGCGACTCAGGACCCAGATCATTTCTCGTCGGCAATAAATTTCACACTGCGCTCTCAGTTTTCCTCTTTCTTCTTCTCCTTTCAATCTTCCCTCTCTCTCTCCTCTTCTTCCAAACAGCTCTTGCTGTGCGATCAGCGATCAATGATCAATGATTAGCACACCCACGCCTGTGGAATGTGCTGTATTTCACAATGAATACATGAAATGAAATGATATTGCGTCTATCATAGATGGCTTTGCAGCATTATGTCTGCAAAAAGCGTCCCTGGCTTTATTACAAGTCAGGGACCAGCTTAACTAACTGGTACGTATACTTTTTCTTCCCTGATGCCTTTCTGCGTTTTCAATGATGAACCTTTGTGTCGCCCCTAACAGACCATTGAGCTTCGGCTCTTGTGGTGACTTACCTGTCCTAGCCAAACGGACCATCTGATATTTGCAAATCATTTGCTACTTTTTGTTTCGTTATCTACTGCCGTCTTCAGACTTGGCTAACTAGATACCTAGACCAGCAGATTTTGTAGCTATCTTTGCATCGGCTCGACCTGTGCTCTAGCAGCGTGATGGCGATAAGGTTGAAGCAACCTTAAGCTTGGTTCCATGCTACTAGGGTAGGCGACCACTTCACACATGCCCTTTGCATACGGGGGGTTGTTTGCGAGATGAATAAATTGCCGAGTACTATCAAATTCAGATCAATCATGTTGATCACAGCTTTTTATTGCACTGGCCTGGCATGCAAACTCGACTTGATCTCTTCATTACGAACTGGATCAGTGTCAGAGCTCTCGCCAAGTTGCAAATTCAAAAACTGGTTGACCTTTACAACCTTTGTGAAGACTATCTCGTATAATGGTAGGTTTGCATTTCTTTTACTACACTATCCACATCCGCACTGGCTTAGGATTAAAACACTTTTTCCATGCTAAATCTCAAGGCGTCGAAAGGCGTCGCATGCGGAATACCAAAAGTCGAGCTTTTCATCTTTCGGCTGAAGCCCTCATCCATACACACCTTTGTTGCAAGTCTGTCATCTCAGAAACGTGTTGCTGACGGCTTCTTATACAGATCTATATCATGCCATAGTTTACGTTATCATAGTCTAATTTAATAATGATACCCCTCCCATTTAAGCTTGAAACTCTTTTAGTTCCTCGTCGCTCCAACTGCAAATTATTAGTGAAACCATGATGTGTAATTCATGACTTGTCGTAGACTTACTTTACAAACTGCCCGCTGAGCTCTTTCGGCGCCTTAAGTGCCAAGTTTGCCTAGCCATGTCAGTCATACTCTCCATAAGTGTCACCAAGTCCCATCCTGTCCGTGAAAACCTACGATTACTGTTCCAGGCTGCTCCGGCTTCAGCAGCCCGCCTTCATTCTTGAGCTTGGAGAACTTCTCCGCCTCTTTGGCGTCCATGTATTGCGTATGCACACCTCGGATATCCGTCTGCATCTCCGTATCCACGACGCCCGGACGAAGCGCTACACTCGTGACACTCGGTTCCTCGTTGGCCAGCGTCTTTGCAAGGTGGTTAATCGCCGCCTTGGACGAGCCATACGCGCCCCAGCCCACGTAGCCCGAGTTCGCCGCGCCCGACGACGTGAATACAATCCGACCTTGACTCTCCCGCAGCGCCGGCAATGCCGCTTTTGCCTGTGTTACTTGCGTCAACACACTTGTTCTTAACTATACTTTTTGGATCTGCCCCTCTTCACTCTTTCCCCCTCCCTCGGGGGCCAACTCCCGTATCTTCAATGTCAAGAAAATTTGGGAGAAAAAAAAGAGAAGACCGTGACAATCTGAGACTTACAAACGCCACCGCCCCGAACACATTCACATCATACGCTCTCCGCCAAGCATCGATATCCGCGTCCGCGATCCTGCGCACGGGATCCAGCACTCCGTGATTGACAATCAAAGCGTCCACCCGCCCCCACGTGTCTAGTGCCACCTGCACTGCCTTGTCCGCCAGCGAAAAGTCCCCCGCCAGATCCCCCGCAACCACTTGCACTTGCTCCGGATATTGCTTCTGAAGGGCCTCCAGGGGCGCTTTGCTGCGCGCGAGAACCACGACATTGTGCGAGCGCGGCGGACTCAGGAGGTATTGTGCCACGGCTTGGCCGATGCCTATTTTTGTCGTTAGTATTCAGTATTTAATATTTGTATCTAGTAGTTTATTCGTATCTTGAAAGTAGATTCTCCTCCCCTTCTTTTATTTTTTTTCTTTTCCTTTGGGGGGTTTTTCTTAGGGGAAAGGAAAGAAATAATTTGTGTAGTTTGGTCATTAAAGATATGTCATTTGCGTAATGCATATCGTGAAACGTGGAATGTGAAATGCATAGTATGAAATGAGGGGATGGTAAAGCATACCTCTCGAGGCGCCGGTCAGGATAATGACTTTGTTCGGTGCCATTTTGCCTTTCGATGTCGTTTTCAGGATATGTAGTGGTAAATTGAAAATAAATGTCAAGGAGATGTTAAGTTAGTACGTATGAATATTGAATTGAGAACGTAAAAATGCTAGAGGGGTGTGAAGGACAGAAATGGTGGAGCGAGAGATGTAGGACAAGTGTTTTGGTACGGTGTAGTTACAGTGGAGAGTTGACCGATAGCGTCATTGGGCGGGTCGCTATCGTCAGAAGCACTCGCTATCTTATCGCATCTTTGCAGAGACCCTCGGGATTGCAGTTTCAGTAAATAAGGTATCAGGTAAGTGTAAACCACCTGTAGGTAAGACAAATTAAGGTAGATTGCAGTCATCAGGTCTCGGAACATACGTGGAAAAAGATTATATGGTCTAAGATTACGACTTTGAAAAGTAAAAGATATATTGACTGAAGAATATATAGTTTGGATATTAAGCCAACGGTAAATAATATCACTGAAAAAGGATTTTGAATTGTTGGGGATTTCCGATAGCTGGAAGTATAATTCAGACGTAGAGAAGCTGCTCAAGGGAATGAAATGTCAAACAGGTGAAAATGTCAAATTCAACCAGAGGCATTGATAATGTCCTCGAACCAGTCAAATATCAACTTGTTGACAAGACACGCTGCACCAACGTGACAGTGTGCGCCTGCTGCATCCTCCTCGGTGAGGATCACTCTAGTTGCATTCTGTTTTGCTTTGCCTTCATTTATCGCATCCGTTAACATCCCAGGCTGGCCCTCAAAGAATAAATCATCAGCTGCCTCACCCACCCAGACGGGACAGCTGATCTTCCGAGCTAGGCCGCCTTCCAGCGACATGAGCTGGGAACGCTCCAAGTACTCTGCCGGCGAAGAGACATTGAAGCTCCACATGCCGTGCGTGATGCCCCACCGCAGTTTCGTCGGCAATTGGGCTGTGCCAGATGCCTGACTGACCTGCTTAAGCAGTGCCTCAACAGCGGCTCCAATCTGAGCATCGGAGGGATCTTTGGTCGCCGATTCCGCCGTGCCTTCAGATTTGGCGACAAATTCTGCAATCTGATCCTTGATCTTTTGCGGAGTCATTGTGTCAAATGCCATCCCGATGCTGTATACACCATCGTTAAGAGCCACTGCAGCTAGTCGGTGTGACTCAAAAACCGCAGCACGTGCAGCGAGATATCCCCCCATCGATAGACCGATGAGGCCGACCTTTTTGTGGTCGATTAACGAGGCCGGATGTTTAGGATCTGTTGCTGAAGAGTATGACAGGTAATAGTCCAGGACGGGAGAAACCACTTTTTCCCATTCGGGAATAAACCCAAGTCCTTGCTCTCGGCGGACAGTACACTGGCCTGGCCCTTCGTATGTGATGACATGGAATCCTCGCTCCAGAGCGGCGAAGCCATTGAAATGCATCGATTCTTCCTGTGCGCCATCGAAACCGTTGCCTATGACAATGGCTGGCCTTGGTGCTTTCGGGTCGAGGCCAGCTGGGGTTATCCAGGATTCATAGAAAATGGTGGGCACTTCGAAACCATGTGCTTTCAATGTTATCCTTTTCCCGGGAATCGGCAGCAGACTCAGAGCCTTGTCGAAACATCTTGCCTGTTTCTGCCATAGCCCTCGTATGCGCGGATCCTTTGGGTTACCGTGAAGATAGAAGTCCGCGCCCCGAAAGTAGCTGGATGCGCGCATGTAAAAGTCACGAGCGGAGACTGGGTGCTTGGACAAGTCGATTTTGTTGGCTTGCGATTCAATGCGCTCTGCCAGATTGTTGAATTCTGTGTACCATGATTCAAAGTCGCCAGGTATAATCCGATCAGCGAGTCGGAGAACTTCAGCAACGTCAGACCCAGAGTAGCGTGCCAATGCCAGAAACCGAAGGAGCTCAAAGTGAAAAGATTCGTCCGAGCTGAGTGTGATCATGTTCGCTATATATCCTGCTGAAAATGTCTCGAATTTGTTCAACGAATTGGATGAACAGTTTGCTTTTTCGTTGCGATTGCAGCCAGAGGACGAAAGAGCTTCTAGAGCTTTTACAATTGACGTAACAATGAATAAATAACAAGACGTGCAATCTGCTCCTCAGGTAAAGTCGTTCCTTTCAATGCCGGGAATGTCTTGTCTCGTTCGCGATGTGGAGAACCTGAGAAGCCGAGAGGTTTCCATCTCGAGCAGTCCCCGGGATTGAACCATGGACAATATATCCAAAAGCGTCAATATCCGGTCGTATCGCACGGAAGTGGGGTGAGAGCGTTGCAAAGCTCGGCGGATAGCTAAATAGACTACGCGTGACTGGTTTTGTTATAGAACCAATGCCCTCTGGGCTAATAGCACAAGGGGCAAGCACCATCCCCGGCACCATCGGCTCGGTTCGTGGGGAAGAGAATCGCGGGGTTGTACTGGCTTGATTCAGTTTCGCTTCTTCCCTCAGATAAGTCTGGCGAAACTTGGATGTTTATTGCATATGGCCATTCTACAACGATAAAATGTAGTTTGTCAAATATTGTGATGGTGAAAAGTTTCTAAGAAACAGAGTGAAACAAAGCCTTGAACTGAAAAGAAGTTGCACCTCGCGCTACAAAAAATTATCATGTATGATCTAGTCGACAAGTACATCTCTACTTAATTCTTTCATCCCAGTCTCCAGATTCATGAATGATTATGCCAGCTGCGATCCTGAACGCCAGTGCCCCGGTTGACAATGCCCATGGTATTAGAATAAAACGCATAGTCCCCACTTATTCCTCTTCTTCGTCATCTTCAGACTCTCCAACACGCTGTGTACTAGGTTGAGCTTGTGCTGCAGGTCCACTCCTCCTCCGACCCCGCATGTATTCTTCTGTTGTTGTAACTGCTCTCTCGCCCACATAGTTGTTGCCCGTCCATTCACGTTTGCACTGAGGGCAATTTGTCGCTTGTTGAGCCCTGAAGAAATTTTGCGTGCATATGTCATGTAATCGCACAGGACAAGAGCGTTCCGAGCAGCGTTGCCCCTGTAATGAAGCATCCGATTAGCCTGTTGGATTTGTTTATTCGCATGTATTGCTTACCACTGTGACAATATCTTTGCAAGCAAAGCATGTTTTTATTCGCTGACTGGGCTCGCCGCCTTCATCATCTTCTTCCCCAACATCATTATATGTCTCCATGAGCCACCCTCTTAATTCAATGAGCGCTCTTGGGCTCAATGAATAGAATCCAGCAACGCTCTTCTCAAACCAGCCTTCAGCCACGAGTTGCTTTAGCATCTTCTCTGCTTGTAACATTGTCAAGCTTTGGCCGCTGCTACCTTGCGTTGCATTTCCATTTTGCGACTCCCGACGTGCTCTGTCAGTTGGGACCTTGTTGAGCTGCAACGCCTGCATTGACGTGATGGCCATGATTTCTCTCCTGGGAGTATTAAAAGTCTCAAACATAGCATCGAGGATGCGCTTTAGATAGGATATTTCGTCTGCATTGTACGTAGTTGCCAACTGTGTCATCGGATCAGAGGTAGTGTTGACCAAGGCGAAGATCCTTGTGCGGTCTATCTGGGACAGGGTGCTGCGAATCTCGAAATCAAATGGAGAAATAGCATAATTGGCCGCAGCGATATAGCTGTTGAAGTCTGCCTCAGTGACATCCTCGGGAAGTGTCTCACGGTCCTCTAATTGGCAAATAATCCATTAGCAATCCGATACGGATGCATCCTTGAAGCAGGAACAGCGGAACTTGCCATGCACCGTGAAGATGGCTGCGAGTACAGGCTTGGCCTCTGCCAGGGTGAGCACTCCTCTCGCCAGGAATGCTTGTAAAAAGGCACGATTGCCATCGTTATACTGGCCACTTGTCTCGTCCGACATCATGGGGTTATATGAGCAAGCTGGTATGGTTCCCGTCAAATTCAACTCAAAGGCAGTTTTGAGGCCGAACGCGTCTCAGCGGGTGGCACGCGACAAGCGAGAACCTTCAATATACACGATCCCATCAGATAAGATTAAGTCATTCAATCAGTATATTGCTTGGCATTACAAAAGTCTCCTATCAAACATGACTGAACATCATCATTGTGGACGCGGTTTGGTACATTATATTGTTCAAGATGGACTATATCATTAATCAGATGTCACAGACACCTTCGTCTTGTCTTAAATATGATCAGTCTTGTGATCCCTCAGAGGCATATGATCTTGTTAGAATGGAAGAACTTACAGAATGCAACATGGTCCTTTATGTTTTGCGCCTTATCTTTTGGCGTGGGGTAGTACCAGGCCGCATCCTTTATCACCGTTCCTAGGTATGAGGCATCAGTGACTTGTCTCCCACCAGCTCTAGAAGGACACACCATCGACGTTGATATCATAATATGAAGCCTCGCCTTTCCAAGGACAGAATGTTTTGGTATCTGTTCCCGTGAAATATTTCTCCTGAATTGAACTGCAGGAAGCGTTACTCGGCCATTTTCAAATAGATGCTTCAGGATTTAAAACCCATGAATCACTACACCTGCTTACGATTTTGGAAACTATAGGAGATCAGTGATCATATTTTCACACAAAAATCCAGGTAGAATAGAGGGTTTTACATAGATATTTCCTTCAACAAACTCCCATTTGTCTGTCTCGGCAACAATCCTGTCATGGACTTTGGCAACAGCGTGTGGCATTTTGGATGGTTCACAACAGCTGGGTGGGGAAAATAATCCGAGTTACGGCTCGAGGAATTCTGAAGACAATGTTACAATTAAATGATGACATCTACGATAGATTTATACATTATCTGGGAGTTGGTATATCTGAATGCTGACAGATCACCTCCCCGCATGTGGATGGTGTGCTGTAATCATCCCGGTTGCCCCTCGCCCCTCGCTTGACCCAGGACATCGGCGCTTCATGTGCATCTTACCGATGTACAAGTCCCGATAAACCATCCCTTGTCCATCTGTCATTTTGCTTTGCATAGGGCGCGGAGATCTAGAGCTCAATTGGGTTTGCGAGATTGTGTATATATTTATTTATCTGTATATATTTCATTTGTTTCCAAATCATTTATATTCTTGCATTTTCATTCATTTCATTTGTCAAAAACATTGCGATTAATGGATTCGAGGCAGTTCCGTCAAGCCGCTCATGCTGCGGTGGATGAAAGTAAAACAACCTCCTCGTGTCTTTGACTTTTTTTTCAATTGCTAATGAGAATAGTCATTGGTTACTATGAGAACATCCAAGACCGGAGAACGCTGTCGAATGTCGAACCAGGATATCTTCAGAAACTTCTTCCTACAAGCCCACCACAGACGGGTGAGCCATGGGAGTCCATACAAAAGGATATTGAGGGGAAGATCATGCCAGGTTTAACCCATTGGTAAGGCAAATCTTACTGGAAACGATTACCTTGCTCATGGATAATGCTAGGCAATCACCCAACTTTATGGCTTTCTTTCCCGCCAATGCTACTTATCCGAGCATGCTCGGGGAGCTATACTCCGCAGCCTTTACCGCTCCAGCGTTCAATTGGCTTTGTTCACCCGCCGTGACGGAGCTAGAGACTATAGTTCTCGATTGGCTTGCACAGGCCCTCGCACTCCCATCCTGTTACCTGTCTTCTAGCGAGGGCGGGGGAGTCATCCAAGGCTCTGCGTCCGAGGCTATCGTGACGGTGATGGTTGCTGCTAGAGACCGATATCTGCACGAAAAAACCAAACATCTAACAGGAGGCGAAAAAGACCAAAAGATATGTGAACTTCGAGGCAAGCTGGTGGCGCTGGGGAGTGAGATGAGCCATAGCAGTACCCAGAAGGCAGCTATGATCGCCGGAGTTCGGTATCGATCTATCCCTACCTCCATTGCAAGCGACTTTAGCATGACCGGCGATGGTTTAAATCGAATACTAGAGCAGTGTCGACGGGAGGGACTGGAGCCCTTCTATTTGACGGCAACCATGGGAACGACATCTACCTGCGCGGTGGACCGGTTCGACGAGATTGCTGATGCTCTTCGAGATTCACCGCTTGTCTGGGTCCACGTGGATGCTGCTTATGCTGGGTCTGCATTGGTCTGCGAAGAATATCAGCACCATGCGAAACATTTTGAAGCGTTCAATAGCTTCAACATGAACATGCACAAGTGGCTGTTGACGAACTTTGATGCTAGGTAGGGTCCATGTCTAATCCTCCATAACAAGATTGACTAATTTAAATCTAGCTGTCTGTTCGTTAAGCGCCGTCGCGATCTTATCGATGCTCTTTCCATTACCCCGTCATATCTCCGTAATGGCTACTCTGACTCTGGATTGGTCACTGACTACCGTGATTGGCAAATTCCTCTGGGAAGACGTTTCCGCTCGCTGAAGATATGGTTCGTCATGCGCACATATGGCATTGAGGGATTCAAGGCCCACATTCGCCACCATGTCAAGCTCAATGACCTCTTCCATAGCTTGATCCTATCAAGGCCGGACCTATTCAGGATCTTGACTCCGCCAGCATTTGCGTTGACCGTATTGAGTGTTGTGCCGCGGGTGCTCTCGCCCAAGCTCGCCGCTACCACTCATTCGGACGTCGAGGCCTTGTCTAATGACTTTGTGCCTGATGCCTCCAACCAGGCTATCCTGGAGGCCAATTCAGTGACGCGGGACGTCTACGAGCTTATCAACAGTCGCGGCGAGATCTTTCTGACTAGTTCCATGATTGGCGGTATCTACTCAATCCGAGTTGTTAATGGCAGTCCTCAAGCACAAGAATCGCATGTGCACAAGGCTTTTGATATATTGGTGCGGACCACCGAGGAAGTATTATCATCGCGGTAATTTTTTTTGACGAATACACCTGCAACATAACGAAGATGGCGACGCTTGATCATTTCCGCTTCGATACCTATAGAAGTATAGAACGATGGGCTCAGAGCCATCCTCAGCAAAGTCGTTTGTTCGGTTTCTTTGCCACGTCAAGCCAGGTGGATGTGTTGAAACTTAGACGGGAATGGTTATATATAAGAAAATCACTCCTCAGTGTATATAATGTATCATAAAAGACAATCTCTTCTACTAGGCCCCTTTGCGCTCCCTTCCATGGTCAACATGCATGCTATTTCCTGTCACTGAACGGATATCAACGAATGCTCGGCTATTCCAGGAGATACACGGGATGATCTGGTATGAGGGTAGGATTCGCTTAATCGCCGTTCAAGAACAGTTGTACTTGACTTGTTGCGATAGTCAGGGTAGCATATGTGGATACGGGACTAGATCTCCTCAGATGGGCTGTTTACAGCGTGATGCCTGTGACCACCGTCACACAATTTTGACCTCTACCCTGTACAGTCATTGTTGCATCCACAGTTGCACACTTTTTACAAAAGTACATTTGTCACTGCTCCATTTTTTAGTCGATTGGAAATGGACAGGGAAAGAAATTGTTCTTCGACATGGCGCCGTTCTACTTATTGTACCGCTGACCGGTTCGTGGACCCGGTCCACCACTCTGATTGACATTCCCGAAATGACATTCCCGAATGAGTATTTCCGAACTTGCCGGGAGTAGTGGGGGAGCGCCGTTAATTAATACGAGTGCAGGCCACTGTCTCCTCGGTATATCTACATGAGGTACGTGGGCTTTTCAAGGTACGTAACAACTGCTCTTCTCTGGCTTCCCGCCTACGAAATTTCCCATTATTATTTCTAACCTTTGAAGTAAGATTAATAGGTGCTCCGGGTAAAATATGCAGGGATCTGCATCCATTCGTCTTCTTGGTGTCTTCGTTATCGGTTGGTCGGTGGAACTCGTGGGCGAAGTTTACCGGGGAACTAAGTACACGTACCGCCATCTTAGGTATGGAGAGGTTATGACTGGCTTGATAGGACATTTTAGGGTCTCCCGACTAACGTCGAGTCATCTCAGCTAGAGTCGGTCTCTTATCGTCCGTCCGGCTAAAGATCCACCAGGAAATTTTCCCGGTCCCTTCCGCCCAAAACACCACCGCGTCCTCTCAAATTCAGCAGCCTTCATTTTTTACGCTCTTCGACTTCTCGTTGCTGTGTACGAGTAGCAGGATCGAGGGAAAGCCTTCATCATCAGAGCGCCTAGATCTGTCATCTCATCTTCTTCTTGGCTGATTGCCCGACTCTTCCTTTGTATATTATACAGTGGCATTTGGGATGCTCGTGTGACGCCCCAGGTTGGATTTCTGCGATATAATCCTTTGAGCGAACTCTCTTCACACTCTGGCCAGTTTTGAACTGACCTGCCCTTTCGGCTCTCTCGATTCCTTCTGTTTTTTCTTTCTACCTACTTTGTCTTCGCTTTTGCCACCATGGCCACAGCAGCGCGAATCGCAGCGCGCTCCAGCCTGCATAGGCTGGCAGTTCGTCCTGCGAGCGTGAGGGCCCCGGGAGCCCGTCTCTCACCGTTTACAGCCTGCAGACAATGTCTGAATGCCTCTCGAGGCCAACCAGGTGCTCAGCTCCGCACCTTCTACTCCAACGCGAGCGCTGAAAGTGCCATCAGCGAGTCCGCCGACGATCTTGCCGCGTCCCAAAAATCCATTTTTGCTCCGCTGGACACTTTTCCTCGTCGGCATATTGGGCCTAATTTATCCTCTTCTCAAGAGATGCTCAAGGCGCTGGATCCGCCCGTGTCGTCTCTCGATGACTTTGTCAAGGAAGTGCTCCCTGCCAACATTTTGTCGGCGAAAGATATCAAAATTAAGGGCCCCACCTCCGGAGAAGAGGACGGCTTCACCGAGAGCCAGTTGCTCAGCCGCTTGGTAGAGATTGCCAAAGACAACACGGTGTTGCGAAGTTACATTGGCTCTGGCTACGCAGGAACCAGGCTGCCAGAGGTCATTAAGCGCAATGTGCTCGAGAATCCTGCATGGTATACAAGCTATACCCCTTATCAGCCTGAAATCAGTCAAGGTCGCTTGGAGTCATTGCTGAACTTCCAGACCGTTGTCTCGGATCTCACTGCGCTCTCTATTGCCAACGCCTCCGTTCTGGATGAGCCCACTGCCGCCGCCGAGGCTATGACCCTTTCTTTGAATGCCCTGCCCATGGCTAGGCAAAAGCGACCGAACAAGGTCTTCTTGGTCTCACATCTCTGCCATCCACAGACAATTGCCGTTTTGCAGTCGCGGGCCGACGGTTTCGGCATCAAGATTGAAACTGGCGACGTTCTTGCCGAGAATTGCAAGCGCGTCAAGGAAGTCGGCCAGGACCTTGTCGGCGTCCTTGCACAATATCCGGATACTGAGGGTGGTGTGGAGAACTTCAAGGACCTCGCGGACAACGTTCACCAGGCCGGTGCGACATTCAGTGTTGCAACAGACCTTTTGGCGCTCACTGTCCTCACTCCCCCCGGCGAATTCGGTGCTGATATTGCTTTTGGCAATGCCCAGCGTTTCGGTGTCCCGTTCGGCTACGGCGGTCCTCATGCTGCCTTCTTTGCCTGCAACGACAAGGCGAAGAGAAAGATCCCTGGCCGTCTTATCGGTGTTTCCAAGGATCGAAGAGGCGACCGTGCCTTTCGTTTAGCTTTACAGACCCGTGAACAGCATATTCGTCGTGAGAAGGCTACGTCCAACATATGTACCGCTCAGGCTTTGCTCGCAAACATGAGCGCCTTTTATGCGGTTTATCACGGGCCCCAGGGTCTCAAGGCCATTGCGCACAGAGTTATCGCTGGCGCCCGTGTGCTGGAAGAAGGTGTTCGACGTCTGGGCTACGAGACGGGTCAACGCGGAAAGGATCAAGAAGGTCGCGTGTTATTCGACACTGTCGTCGTCAACGTGGGCGAGAACAAAGCTCGGAGCTTTGCAGACTGGGCCGTCGAGAACAAGGGCATCAACTTGCGAATCATTGACGAGGGCCGCATTGGCGTCACAGTCGATGAAACTGTTGAGAAGGTCGATCTTGAAGACATCCTCTCCGTCTTCAAACAATTCTCAGCACAGCCAGTGGAGCTGAACGTCGAGGAGCTGGCGGCAGACCTGAAGATCACCGCGGCTCAGCCCTCCCCAGCTGTGCCAGAGACCATCAAGCGCACATCTTCCTATCTGACCCACCCCGTCTTCAACACCTACCACTCCGAAACTGCTCTTCTTCGTTATATTTACCACCTCCAGTCCAAGGACCTCTCCCTGGTTCACTCCATGATCCCGTTGGGTTCTTGCACCATGAAGCTCAATGCCACCACCGAAATGGCTCCTGTTACCTGGCCCGAGTTCTCCTCGCTTCACCCCTTTGTCCCCAAGGACCAGGCTAAGGGCTACGCTACGATGATTGATGAGCTTGAGAAGGATCTTGCTGAAATTACCGGTTTCGACGCCGTTTCGTTGCAACCCAACTCAGGAGCGCAGGGCGAGTTTGCCGGACTTCGAGTGATTCGAAAGTATCTGGAGTCGAACCCTGACACCAAGAAGAGAGACATTTGTCTCATTCCTGTATCGGCTCACGGCACCAACCCTGCCAGCGCCGCGATGGCGGGTATGCGAGTTGTCACCATCAAGTGCAATAATCAGAATGGCAACCTGGATATGGCCGATCTCAAGGCGAAATGCGAAAAGTACAGCGAGGAGCTCGGAGCTATCATGATCACGTATCCCAGCACGTTTGGTGTCTTTGAGCCCGACGTCAAGGAGGCCATCGACCTTGTACACCAGCACGGCGGTCAGGTTTACATGGATGGCGCCAACATGAACGCTCAGATTGGTCTGTGCTCCCCTGGCGAGATTGGCGCTGATGTGTGCCATCTGAACCTCCACAAGACTTTCTGCATTCCCCATGGCGGTGGCGGACCAGGCGTTGGACCTATCGGTGTGCGCTCACACCTCGCGCCCTTCTTGCCGGGTCATCCCGTTATTCCCACTGGTGGTGAAAATGCCATTGCCCCGATCTCCGGTGCTCCCTGGGGCAGCGCCAGCATCCTCCCCATTAGCTGGGCTTACGTTAAGATGATGGGCGGCAAGGGCCTGACGCATGCGACCAAGATTACTTTGCTCAACGCCAATTACATCCTCTCCCGTCTTCGACCCCATTATGAGATTCTCTACACGAACGAGAAGGGCCGCTGCGCGCATGAATTCATCCTTGATGTGCGAAAGTTTAAGGACACTGCTGGCGTTGAAGCTATTGACATTGCCAAGAGATTGCAAGACTTTGGTTTCCATGCTCCCACCATGTCCTGGCCTGTGGCTAACACGCTCATGATTGAGCCCACCGAGTCCGAGAACAAGGAGGAGCTCGACCGCTTCTGCGATGCGCTCATTGCTATCCGCCAGGAAATTGCGGCTGTTGAAAAGGGCGAGCAGCCTCGCGGCACCAACGTCCTCAACATGTCGCCCCACACGCAAAAGGATCTGATTGAGGGCGAGTGGAATCGGCCTTACACCCGTGAGCAGGCCGCGTATCCTCTGCCTTGGCTCAAGGAGAAGAAGTTCTGGCCATCGGTGACCCGCCTCGACGATGGTAAGTGTTCTGCACACGTTACTTCATAATCAATTTACTAATAGCTTTCTTCCAGCATACGGAGACATGAACCTGTTCTGCAGCTGCGCTCCCGTCGAGACCCTCGAAAATTAAAAATTTCCGCCCTTATATTCAACCACTTGGCTAGGCCATCCTTTATTCACTTCAAATATGATATCTCAGCCACCATCTTTCACCACGAAAATTACGTACTTTGCCCGACTTTATCAAAGCATTTAACATTTTTTTTTTTGGGAGGCAAGCGATATTGGTTCGATCTACTTCATCATAGGCGTTTTTACTGTGCTGTCTCAACGATCAGCATTTTCAAACGGGCACGCAAGCAGAGAGATTTTGCATTCTCATGCTTGGGTTGTTTTCGTTAAAGGGGTAGATTTGGGTTCATGGCTATACAAATGGCGTCATTTTGTGGAGTTTGGAGCTCCCTTTCTATAGTGTCTATCCTGCAGTTGGCTTTGATACACGCTGCAAGGCACTGATTCAGACGGTTTAATAATTCAACAGCATATACCTTAGACGTTGGGGAGCAAGGCATTTAAAATACCTTGCCAGATGGATCTAGGGATTATAGATCAATAGATATACAAGAGAAATTTCCTAAAACAGACATGTGCGGTGCTTGTACATTGATACTCGATGTAGCCTTGTGGAAGATCATGTACGCTTACAATGATGGGGCATAACTGTATGGATCAGGGTTCAAACCGAGGTAAGACAGTGCAGGTTGATGACGTGCCGGGGACATGGTTGTTGATGGTAACCTCAACGTCAACCTTATATACGTTCGCTATTACAGGGTTCATCGTTCATCGTAGGTGGAATCATGGGGCAGGCCCCTTGCCCTGTCCCTCTGCATCGTCTGCTTCCAGATACGATGCTAGATTAAGTTATAGATCTTTGGTGCTCGCCCACGTGCATTGAATTACTTCTTTCGGGAATTGCCTACTTGGGGCACCACATATTCGAGGTCCTCTGTAGATGCACAGCAGAGATAGATGAAGCCACTGAAAGGTTCTGCAACCTCGGTCCTAAAAAGGAAATTCTGAAGAGAAAAGTATCTTTTACCTGATAGGGTAATGTTTCACTAGAGGTGACAGCAATAGTGATCAGAAGTTGCAGAACCTCTCTATTTTAATCAAAGAGAGGTGAAAAGGGCAATACAATACAAAGTAAACAAGAAAAAAAAAAGGAAGGGGAAAAAAAACGTACAACAGCGGGGATTCGCTGGTCGTCACCGACCCAACTACTAGTCCGCCGATCTGAGGCTTATGTATGGCAGAGCGGACGGGATGCCCAGTTCTCCTCAGTCTATGGTCGTACGTGCTCAAAGAGGAAATTACAAAATATATATTCCTACCTTGGCGGAGCAAAAGCTGGCAAGCTTACGTTTAATGTCAGTTACGAAGTACATGGCCTGCGTTGAATGGAAGCGAAAGCGGACCGACAACCGACAATCGACTACCTTGGATCCGCAGAGTGCAAAAAGTAGCGAATAGATGCAGTGCCCAGGAAATGATTGAAAATTTTAGTCTATTGAGGCTGTCATTCTTATTGTGGCTTTTCGCATTGCTGAAGTTACGCGGTCCGTTCGCCTTGGGAAGGTCACGACTATGATGCAACTTGTGGCACCAGCTACTTAACTACGGAAGAACAGAAGAGATACTTACTCCGCTACAATCGTCCCCCGGACCATAATAAACGGGGCCAACTTCCCCGCACGCCACAACCTGTCGATGGGAGATTTGTCTTGTGGGTGTGTGAGCGGGGAAGGGATTCCCCACCACCAGGTTTAATGCACAGACTATTGGCAACATCCCCAGCTTGGCCCACTCTTCGTATGATCAACAGTGGCTGACTATGAGAGGTCCGACGACGCTACCTATCTACACTTGGCACTTACAAGTAGTTTTACTCTACTAAACAGACACCGTCAAGCTAGGCATTTTTGCTCATCGCGTCATGCGTCGTCAATAAGTTGGACTCATTCGCGTGGTTTTCTTTCAGGCTTTTTCTCGGCACCTCAAACCCGCTCCGTCGACGACAGGTTATTTGCACTATCTAGTGCTTAGTGGCTTTAGCTTGGGGAATTCTCAAATTACTTGATGCAACATCAATTGCGCTCTAAGGCAAGGGGGCCGTGGAAGAGACGTTCGACATCCTTGCGCAAAGCTGTCTGTGTCTTCACTTGTTGATCCGTGGTATCCTTTTGCGTTTGGACGTTGCCAAGTCTTTTCGGTGTGAGCGAAAACAGTTTTTACATCTGTTTTTGGTGATGATATGGTGGTGCACACTGAATATTTGATCTTTGACGATTTAATTGGGCATGATGATTTTGAGTCGACTTAATGGGGGATGGTTTTGAATGCGTTGTGGTTGGTGACACGCTTGCCCCCATTTGATGGGGTTAGCCTTACAGTCGTCAATTTTTGATGGTGCTGCAACTTGTTTTCCAGAGCAGCGTTTCTGGGTTCCATTGTCCTTATTTGGACATGGACTGCCTTGCTGACTGACGCCAAAAACGAAAAATGGACTGCGGTCATGGTTCCTGTCTGGCCTTGACCTAACCTGGCTTGTGGATTGGACTAGTTCATGTTTTATTGGACAATTGAGCAGCTGGACATGCAGCATGGGATCACCTTGAACGTTCCAGTTTTGGCTTGGTAGCTTCACTATGCTTCCTTTTTGCCTGCCTATGGACTATTCCACGGTCGCCCCCCCGCTTCTGCCCCTCAGGGTTGACCAGGGCCAGGCCAGGAACCCCGGCATGAGTGATGCCATACAAGGAACTGGGGCCTGAAGTGGAGAGCATCGAATCCCGGAGCTTGGCTTTCTCGGGCTGTGTGAAGATGGGAGACCTAGCTCATTGACGGTCCTACTTCTACCTGGCTTTCGCCGCTTCTGATTCTTTTATATTTTTTTGCTTCCTTTCTCTCCCATAATTACCTGCTTGTCTGCTCTTTGCCTCTTTGTGCTGAATGGCATGGTAGTTTTGCCCAGCAAGCGTCTTTCTTTCTAGCTTGCTCGTGGCTTCGTTTTGTGTCGCCTGTGACTTTTTGCGACAGCTGTTCTTTTGAGATTCTCCAAATTGAAACGGAATTCCGAAGCCTAAAAGCATACGAGAGCGCAATACATTTTCGGCGCGTTACTTGCCACAATCAGAATATCGGTGTTGTCACATCCGCTGTGATTGTTCACCATGGCGTCTTCCCTGACGAGGGGGAATCTGTTTCGACAGCATCGCGGCTGGCTTTTCGTGCCGTTCTTGCTGGTGGTCTTGTTCGCAACATTACAATGGTCGCATTCTGCAAACGGAGAACCTCGCCGACTTGTCAAGCTTGACAGCCGCGCATATGAGCTTGATGAAGGATTGGTGCTAAAATCCCCACCAAGGCGTGCTCCCCGCGCCCCACTTTCTCCACGCTCCGGCCCTCCGACGTTGGCGAAGCGACAGAACGTCAATGTCTCAGCTACGGGAGCTGGCACCATTTACCAGACACGGTTTTCCAATGTCACCTGGAACAATGATGCCTGGCATCTTACTACCACCAATTTGGACCCGGGTCATTACCAATCGCGCATTTCCCTGGGTAATGGTTACATTGGATTGAACCTCGCATCTCTCGGCCCCTTTTTTGAGGTCGACTTACCTGTGAACGGAGATGTGATCAACGAATGGCCCCTCTTCGAACGAAGGCAGACCTTTGCCGGTCTCGCGGGCTTCTACGATTACCAACCAACCACAGAAGGCGAAAATTTTGTTTGGTCCCTGCAGTTTGGCGGCGAAAGCATCATCAGTGGCATTCCACATTGGGGTGGCATTGTGGTTGAGCTTCCTACTGGTCAATATCTCAGCGCGACCACGAATGCATCTGAGATTTCTGACTTTAGCTCGACGCTCGATATTAAGCGTGGCTTAATGACATGGAGCTTTACCTGGACGCCATCGAACGCCAATGGACTCACCCTGGACCTTGATTATTCCATGTTTTTGCACAAACTGTACGTGAATCAAGCCGCGGTGCAGCTCCAGGTGACTGCTTCACAAAATGTCAATGTCACGCTGGTCGATGTTGTCGATGGCACCAGTGCTCTGCGCACAGTGTTCGTTGACAAGGCTTTTCAAAGCAACCAGCCGACGATCTGGACAGCTGTGCGACCAGTTGGCATCAGCAATGTCACGGCGTACGTGGCCTCAACGCTGAATGCTCCCAACGGAACCGTGGATTTGAGTTCGCGGGTCCAGATCACTAATAAGCCATACCTTGGCACCAATGAGTCTTCCATTGCTCAAGGAGTCAATGCTACTTTGAAGGCCAACCAGACTACTATCATCGAAAAGTTTGTTGGAGTAGCCTCGCACGATGCATATGACGACCCCCAATCGACTGCCATCAATGCTTCCATTAGTGGCCGTACCGCCGGTTTTGCCCAGTCTTTAGCATCGCATCAGGCGGAGTGGAGTTTTATTTTAAATCCCAACTCGGTCGACAGCTACGCATTCCCCAATGGCAGTCTTCCAAATGATGTTAACTTGGTTGAGAAGGCCATCCTCGCCGTCACGGACCCATTCCACTTGCTGCAAAACACCGTGGGAGCTAATGCAATTGCGGCAGCTGGAAACAACACGAATTTGGACGACAACAGTATCAGCGTGGCGGGTCTTGGATCCGACGACTACGGAGGAATGATCTTCTGGGACGCCGAGACCTGGATGTTCCCCGGATTAAGTGTTTCGCATCCCGAAGCTGCCAAGCAGATTCCGAATTACCGCGTCTCCAAATACCCGGCTGCCTTGGGAAACGTCAAGATGGCATTCGATTCATCTCAGAATAAGACTCAATTTTCTCAAGGCGCCGCAGTTTACCCATGGACTAGCGGACGTTTCGGAAATACCACTGGAACTGGTCCTGCGTGAGTTCTTTCCGGCTGCAAACCCGAAATTAATCATCTCTAACAGGTGCAAAACAAAATAGGTTTGACTACGAATATCACATTAATGGTGACATTGCGCAAAGTCTTATGGATCAATGGATTGCCACTGGCGACACCAGCTTTTTCAAATCGTCGTTATATCCCGTCTTCCAGTCCATTGCGTTGTTCTATTCCGAATTAATAAAGAGAAACGACACCAGCGGGGAATGGTACTTGACAAATATGACAGATCCGGTAAGTAAAACCGTTCCCAATTTTGCTTGAGAGGCCCTCGGATCTGATTCCCATTTGCAATGACAGGATGAATTCGCCAATGGCGTAGAAAACGGAGCATACACGATGGCGCTCATTGCAGACACCCTGACTAACGCTAATATTATGCGGTCCTTTTTCAACGAGCCCATCAATCAGACTTTTGCGGATCAGGCTATAAACATAGACCTACCTACAGACCCTAACGCCAATCTTATACTCGAGTATGATGGCATGAACGGCAGCATCAGTGTCAAACAAGCCGATGTAATCCTAATTGATTATCCTCTTAATTACCCTAACAACTACTCATTGAGCGATCTCGACTATGTAAGTGGTGTTGCACTTTCCCCTCTCTTCGCCCCCAAACCAGCGTTATAGATATGCAGTTGAACTAATTCGCGTCTGACCTGTAGTATGCTGCCAAACAATCCCAAAATGGACCAGGCATGACCTATGCCATTTTCAGTATCAACGCCAATGCCTTCTCCCCATCCGGTTGCTCGGCATACACCTACGACGTGTACGCCTCGAACCCGTACGTGCGAGCACCGTGGTTCCAATTCTCCGAGCAACTAGTGGACGCCTTCGCCGTGACGGGATATCACCCTGCATTCCCATTCCTTACCGGTATCGGCGGCGCCAATCAAGTCAACGTGTTTGGGTATCTAGGTCTCCGTCTGCAATTCGACAAGCTGCAAGTTGATCCATCGCTTCCTCCTCAAATCCCACAACTCAAATACCGTACCATTTACTGGCAAGGATGGCCCATCTCTGCATTTTCCAACCAGACTCACACGACTTTGTCCCGCTCCGGGTCCTCCCTCACGCCCCTTTCAACTGCGAACCAGACCTTTTCCAACACTTCCATCCCCGTCCAATGGGGCAACGGCGCAAACATCACCATGCTCTCCCTCTCCGTCAACGGAACAATCACTATCACGAACCGCCAGCCAGGCCTGATCAAGACTGCTCCCGGAAACATTGCACAATGTCTTCCCGTATCATCCGCAGATGCGTACGTTCCGGGCCAATTCCCCATTGGCGCCGTCGACGGAGCGGCCTCGACCAAATGGCAGCCCGTTGCAGCCAACGTGTCTGCCTCTATTACTGTCGAGCTCGCATCCCAAGCGTACCAACCCATTACGCAGATCCAGTTCGACTGGGGCCAGGCCCCGCCAGTCACGTATAGTGTCATCTTCCACAACGACTCCGTCTGGTCCGAAAGCGCATTATTCGTGTCTTCCTCTGCCGCAATCAACATCAGCAACCCCTATGATCCGAAGACTGTAGCTTTGCTCCAGAGCGTTTCTTCAAACACGACAAACGTGACGCTCTCCCCGCCAATCTGGAGCGGAAACTACGCCACCCTGGTGATTGAAGGCAACCAGGCCTCGACTAATCCATTTAATGGCACGGGCGCCACAGTCGCAGAGTTTGTGCTCGTCGGTGCGAATGGCACTGTTGGTGTCAATGGGACAGTAAATGGCACGACTGTTTAGCCTTTGTTATCCTTATGTCCATCCTTGCCACTTTCTATCTTGTTTACTCGTAATGTCACTCCTTGCACACACCTTCTTCCCCCTCCATTTTCGATATCAAAATCCCTTTACTCTTAAGCGCTTAAACCCTTGTGCTCTGTTTGGAGAACCGTCGAGGTTCCGAGGAAAGTGTATATTGAACTTAGCAGAATAGTTTCGTAAAACCCTGCAAATGTATCATATTATCCCAACATTGTTCCATCTTACTCTTTCCGGCCCGGTCTCACTCTGTCCCAAAAATTAGGTATTCTAGAGGCTAGATAGATTCCCCCTCACTCCTGCCTCGAGAAAACAGCATCGTAGAATTAAGATGAACTTCCCCGTACAGCGTACTTTGTCAGGCAGTCAGAGACGCATAGAATGGCTCCTACTCACAAGAAGACTGGGATTTCTTGACTCAACGATCCGTCCTTTGAATGTTTATAGTATCTTCCAGTTTTCCAGTCTTCAAGTCTTCAAGTCGCCGGTCGAATAGTTGGATAGTTGGATAGTAGTAGTACTACTGCAAGATCCGGCCTGCTTATAGCAAAACAATACAAACAAGAGCCAGCTATCTTAGGTATCTTATTCACTGCATTGACATTGACATTGAGAGTAATGTCCCATTGTAGGTAGCTTCGGGACCAAAGTACGTTCCTACGGCAGATAAGTCAGGGAATCCGGGTAATATGAATACAGTGAATATTGACAGAGATAATTGGATTTGGAATGAGGGCATCTGTTAGTCATAGCCTTGTAGGGCTGTAGCCAAAAATATCAATACAGCAATACGCCAATACAACAAACAATGATACAATAATATAAAAAAACAACAAAATAACAAAACCATTGACACATTGTTGTCTCTTGTCGAGTGTTCCAAGTATCTGTGGAATAACATAAACACAGTATCCGGCATCAGCATCTGTCGAGGAACATAACATCGAACAGCTCCCTGCAAAACAGAGGACTTGACATCAAGAAGAATAGCACTCGTCATCAACATCTGAATCTGTCAAGAAACAAGTATTTGGCACATCTTGCAAAGAGAATAGCATTTGACATCGTACTGACAAGAAAACCAAATAGTTTGTGTCAACTTGCAACTGTCGAGTCTCCAGCCATGGATGATCAACCAGTCCAAAAGGTCGAGCAAATCGAGCAGAACACACAGAGAGAACATGATGTACAGAGAGAACAGGAAGAGAAAGAGCAAAAAGAACGTCAGATTCTGTATTCTGCCTGGGGTGATCGTTCCAGCAAATACATTAGTCCATATTCACGGCACTTCAACAGCGCAGTGCACAAACCAATACTCAAAGTGAACACCAATAGTCACACCAGCGGCAGTCAAGACAGCACGCAGGGACAGTCCGAGGTTGGATCTGCAGAAAGTGCACCAAGGCATTATGTTAGCCCTTACAAACAGAATAGAAGACCGGAGGACGGAGACCATCACTTGCCTGTGAATCAGTCCAGATACCATCCGTATGCACCCCAGCATGACCAGCAAGCGTCCAGTGCCAATCTCTTGAATGAACAACAGGGTCGCCGTGTCTCCTCTCACAATCAGCTGTCTTTTCCAAGTGCTGCCAATAACACTGCATATCAACTCCAAACTCAGCAATCACACAGACATGCCCAGCAACGTGCACAGTTGATATTGAGAAGTGAAACCGATACATCCACGGAGCCTACATATAGGCAGTTGCGGTGGACCCCAACTGAGAGGATGTATCCTGACAAAGATACGGCTGCGCGGGATGAAATGAAAAAGGAGAGTCGCCATCAAATGCAGCATTCAGCTACGACACGCAATAATAAGCCTCGCACGAGTCGGAATAATGGAGCACAGCTCAGAGATCGTGAACACAATTTGTTGGCCAGGTATGAACTTTTTCCGGGGCCAGACCAACATTTCCTGTACTAATTGTGATAGTTCCGAAATCACACAAAACTCTTCTCGAGCGAATCCTCATGACCATCAGTCTCCAAACCAGTCAACAGTTCAGACAGCCATCGAGGATCATAGCGACCAAGAGAGTGACCAGGAAAGCGCCCCGATGCGATCATGGGCCGGAAAGGACGTGTTGCAGATTCCTTCAAATCCAGCGAACCACTTGAACAAAACCGATGACGCACCCTTTAAGCGTGGGCAAATTGAACAAAATGAACAGACCACGCTCGAAAAAGCGCCGAATTTCCCGTATCTTCGGGAATACATCGTAGGAAGGGCCGCTAAGAATGAGGCATCAGTCAAAAACAGCGACACGGAGAGCATAATGCGCTTGGTAGAGCAGGAGGCCAAGCTCTACCAAGACAGAAAAGCGACAAAAAAGAAACGAGGAAGAAGGCCCAAGGCGAGGAGGGCCAAAAGAAAAGCTGCCGTAAAAACCACTTTCCAAGTCTGGTCAGAGGAGTGAATGACTATCACAGTATCAGTAGCATCATAGCCGTCGTTAAGGTCGAAGTAGGTAGATTTGCCGCCAAGACGTTCATCGCGTACGTGTATCAAAGCCAGGATGTCATTCTCCGCCTTTTTGCTTCACATGTCAAAGTTCGATATCCATGCGGTCAATAACTCATGAGCACGTCCATTTATTCCTGTAGAGCAGCTAGTGATCAAATCAGAGCGCTCATTAATGCAGAAACGCTTTCAAGGGAATTCAAAAAAGTCAATGCAAGGTGGAGACGAATATGGTGTATGCAGATACCGTAAATGCTATTTGCCCCTTTTGTATGTAACCTTAGACCTGCCCTTTTTAGTTTGGGTTTTCGGCGCCTCCAGTTCCTCCTCAGAGGCCACTTTGATGTCTTCGCTCTCACTTGGATCGTCGACAGATCCAGATGGGCTCGCAGGAGTGTCGCTTTGACTATCCTCATCACCGCTTTTGAGCGTTTCTCCCACAGAAGGCTGCCGCTCTACCATCGCCTCTTTTGCCTCCTCTTCGGCCGCTGCAACAATCTTTTTGGCTTCGCTTTCTTCCCAATTCTTTCCACCACAGTTGCTGCACTTCCACATGCCAACATCTTCTTGACGTTTTGCACCCGGTGGAGCAAGGCCATTCACCAACTTGCAATGCCGGCAAACCAGCGCTAGGCGGTTTTTCGGCTGCGTCTCATCTTCGCCGAGCAGCAAATCAAGTATGCGATCGTACCATTTCGGGCCGCCCAAGGACAGGGCAGAAGCATCTTGTGCTGATGTTGGAAACGCATTCGGCGCAAATTCTGGTGCCCCTGGACGTATGTCACGGAATGAGGCTCCCATGGCTGAGGAGGACAAATTAAAAGAGGCATCAGATGCATTTGTCATCGGTGGGCTTTTAGTATCAGGCAGAGGGCGCTGAGGGGTGATTGGTGTCGGCTGCCCGGCGTTATTTCGCGGAATATTTGCAGTCGGTGGCGGGACGATCCCGACTCTGCCTCCTTTTGGCGAGTTCGGCGTCTCTGCTGCCCCCTTTCCTCGTCGCTTTTTGGGGCCCTCCGGGCCAGCAGGAGGTTTGGAAGACCGAGCCGGAGGGCTTCCATACTTTTCTAGCAGTTGCTGTGTCGTATTGTATTTCGTTGCAGCTTTGAGCTTTTCAATTGTCGTATCCCGTTGCTTCTCGAGTGCATCTAAACTTGCCTGCACCCGGGAGATTCGGTACTCATAATAAGTCGTCAGAAGCAATCTCCCTAAATATATGCTTCGTCCAAGTGTCAGCTTCATCAGATTATGGCAATGGCAAGCAACTTACATAACCGGACCTCCAGCAACCGCTGTATACCCGGAGGGGCCCCACCTGTCCCATCCTATGACAAAAACCAAGATGATCGAAGAAAGTATATAGGCAAATAATGTATAGAGGGTCCATAAGACCTTGTCTCGCCGAGAGCGTTGACGAAGAGAATCTAAACGGGCTGATGTGTTTGACACCTTTCCGGAGAGGCTAGATAATGTTTTCTCGAAGGAAGCAGGAGAATTATTTTCGCCCTGCCGCTGTCAGTATTGCAAACTTGAGAAATAAATTACCTAGCAACTCACCCTCCAGGGCCACAGGGAGACCATGCTGTTGGTCAAGCAGTATTTGAAGTATAACGAGTGACGTAGGGATCAGGCAAACATGGTAGAAGCTTAAAACGGTGGGGAAATGGCTCGCTTGGAAGAAAAAAAAAAAGAAAGTGTAGTTTAAAATACTCGCAAGATATGAAGAAAATAGTCGCCTTGGAAATGAGAAGTTTCTGAACCAGATCAAGCCACAGGTGGTTCAGGATAGCTCATCCCCAGGTGTTGACGCCTGGCAGCTTTCAGAGGTGCTCCCTTTCCCAAATGGGATTAGTTATGTAAGCCGGTATGCACCGATGACAAGATGTCATGGCGCATAAAGTTATGCTGGATCTTCCAAGTCTATTCGTACATGAACTTGTATGCTCAATGGTCTTTAATGCAATGCTGCCTTTAATTTCAATGACGATTATTGCTCTTATTAGTTATAGATATGTTATTGCAACTATGCCCATGTAGTAAAACATTAAACGTGATTTTTAAGATAGATGTACATGCATTACGTTCCTTCCCAATCTGGCCTTTCGTCGCTTTGGTTAGTCCGTCCAGGTCGCCCTCGAGCGATGATCGAATGCGCTGGACCGAGCACCCTTTGTTGACACTCATATGGCTTGAACCACTGCAATCATTATTGTGCGCACAATCTCATCCAGCATGCGCATAATTTGAGTCTGTTTTCACTTCGCACACATTGCACCTTTGCTCTCGTTGCTGCATTGATCATCCACAATGTTTCAGGTAATTCCGTCTACGATTGAACTGGCCCTCTTTTGCCCTTGTGAAATCTGACACGATGTCCATAGCGCCTCAAAGGTGTCATCGACACCCGCATCGCTGAAGAACAAGCTCGACAACGGGCTGCGCAATCAGGCCCTCATCGTTCCGACTCTGCTGTCCGACGCCCGCTGTCTCGAAATGGTTCACCGGCCCGCAGGCAACTTAGCCAGAGGGACAAGGAGACACTAGAGAGGGAAGGAGCCAGCAAAGGCCCCGATCCCGCAGAATTTGAATCTGCCTTTGTCATCGGAGATGAGGACAGTTTGAGTAGGGCTGGCACGCCAAAGCCGGGCCAAGACGGTTCAGGCCCCGAAAGCTCGACCAAAAATCAGGATGGAGGAAACTTGGGATCAGAGGGGGACGAGGCAAAGCAGGCGAAAGCAGCCGCGTCTCCCCCCGAACTTCCTCCAGAAGTCAAGGCCAAACTTCGGAGGCTGGATAAAATTGGCTCCAAATATCAAGGTAAATTACACGGGCGCAAAGCCGCTGCGCAAGCTACTGTACTGACTTGACTAGAACTCCTCCGCTCGTATCGAATCGCTCATGCTCGCGTCCAAGCCATTGAACCTTTTGAGATCTGTTTACGAGAGAACACTCCACTTACCTCCATTAATGAGCCAAATGCCCTTGTCGAATACCTCAATCAGCTTACCCTCCAAGGAGATATGGTCATGCAAGAACTGAAGCGTGTCACAAGTGAGCGCGACGACTTCAAACGGAAATTAGCCGATGCCGAAAAGCGCGCCAAAGATGCTCATGATGAGGCCGCCGGGCTCCGAAGGGAGAAGGAAAGCAATGGCGCCACTTCTACACGACCGAGCGCTGAAGTATCTCGAACAGATGAACACTCGCTGGAAGATGCCCCGAAAAAGAGTGAAACAGCAGATAGCCAACCCGGCGTCGCCTCACCCGCATCGGCCAAATCTCCAACTTTTGGCATTGGAAGGTCGCTTTTCTCCCCAACACAAAAGCCTACAGAGTCGAGTGAGATCAAGGAGTCCGAAGAGTTCTTTTCCTACGATAATGAGCTCCCACGAGTCCAGTCAGAATTAAAGGCTCGAGAAGCAGAGGTGGAGAACTACAAGAGCGAGATGAAGACCCTTCAAAGCGATCTCGCAGCGGCAAAAGAATCCACCGAAAGCATGACACAAAACCTAGAAAAGGCTACCCGGGAGCTGGAGGCTCTTCGTGATGCTAAGGAAAAACACCAAGTTGAGCTTCGGGAGCAACGAAACTCCTTGGAAGCGACCACAGATGAGCTAAAAGAAAAGCTACATGCTGCTGAGCGCGACCTTGAATCACGGCCGAATGACGAATCTTTAGAAGAGGCAAAGAGTGCACTTCAGCAAAAGCTCACAGCAGCCGAAGGAGATGTCGGGACATTAAAAGCAGCTCTGGAGAACTCGCAGAAGGAAGCGAACCAAAGTAAAGAACTTGAGGAGAAGATATTGGCACTAGGAAAGGACCTTGAAAATCTCGACCAAAATCGGGTTCAGAGCGATAAGCGTATTGATACCCTTAATGGTATAATCAGCACTTTAAGAGGCCAAATCGCCGATCTGGAGAAGAATCGCGAGGATCTCTCCTCTGAGTTGAACGAAAAGGCTAAGGCAGCGCAAGATTTGCGACAAAAAGTTTCGGACTTGGAGAAGGAATTGGAATTGCTGAAACAGAGATCCGAAATTGGGGGTGCTCCCAAATCTCCTGCGTTAGCAAACAATGAACCTACCAGCGCGGCAAGCCCTGCGAACCCTCCCCAAAGTGGTGGTGGTGCCAACAAGAAGAAGAATCGAAAGAAGAAGAAGGGCGGAAAGGCCACGATGACAACAACTGATGGCGCACAGAACAGTGGCGCTCAATCGCCATCTGTTGCCTCAGAAATTGCCATTCCTAGTCCTACTCAAGCACCTGGAGACAAGGCGCAGGAAGATCAAACTGCCTTGATCGAAGAATTGCAAACTCAGCTCGAGACGATGAAATCTCAACTTGGAGAAAAGGAAGCCTCAATCGACCGGCTAAGCAAGAAGTTGAAGAGGGAGGAAGAGTTGCGGGAAGAAATCGAAGGCCTCAAAGAGGACCTGGTCGAAGTCGGGCAAGATCATGTTAGAGCGAAAGCGCTTGTAAAGACGTTGCAAGGAGAAAAGTCGTCTCTATCAGAAAACGTTCACAAACTCGAACAAGAGATTACTGAACTGAGGAAGAACCAAGAGTCCAGCAGTGGCGTATCTCAGAAGGAACACGACGATTTGGTCGGAGAGCTCGAAGACTTCAAGAGGAAAACCTCGTCGCTCCAGAAAGAACTTGAGGCTGCGGAGAAGCTCGCTGCATCGCGATTCCGAGAATTGGCAGATCTGAAGGAGATACTTCAGAAAGCCCAGCCAGAGCTGACGTCGCTAAGAACTGAGGTCTCTACCCTCCGCACTGCCAAGACGGAGCTCGTGCAGAAAGAGTCAGATATAAGGACGCTAGAGTCAAGACAAGAAAGTTTACGGTCCGAAATTCAAGAGCTCCGGAAGGAGGCAGCAGAACGCGATGCGGACATTAGGAATCTGAGAGAAAAGGCAGATCAGGAGTCTAATGGTCGGATCAAAGCAGAGAGCACTACCCGCAACGCGCAATCCGAGCTTCGTAAAGTGGAAGGCGAGCGTCAAGCTTTTGCGGATCAGATCGAAAACATTAGCAGGGACCTCGTTCGTGCACGCAATGAGGCGAGCGAGTCTCGTTCTCAGCTCCAAGATCTCGAGCGTCGCGTGGCTGAGCTAAATAGAGAATCTCAGGCCCTTAAAGAAGAAATTGAGCTCAAGACAGCCCAGCATGCGAGCGCGCAGTCTCTCATGGGTAACATGCGCGATCAAACTGCAGAGATGGCCATGCAGATGAAAGAGGCACGAGACCGCTGTGAAAGTCTCGAAGAGGAGCTTGGAGACGCACATAGACTCCTCAGCGAACGAAGTCGAGAAGGCGAGACAATGCGAAGACTCTTATCTGACGTCGAGAGTCGTGCAGATGTCAAGGTGCGTGAGATGCGCGAAAGAATGGAAGTGGCGATTGAAGAACGAGACCGCGCCGAAGAAGAAGCTAGTACGGTTGGAAGGAAACGCGCTCGCGAAGTGGAGGAGCTCAGAAGCCGCGTCCGTGAGGCAGAGAGAAGCCTCAAGCAAGCCGTAGAGGATAAAGAAGAGCTTGCGTCCGTCCAGAAAGAATGGCAGACGTTGCGGGAAGGTCTCGAGCACAAAGCCGAGCAGGCAGCCCTAGAAGTCGTTGATGTGAGAAAAGCCATGGCCCAGCTGCGTGATGCTCTGGACGAGAGCGAGAATCAAGCCCGCGATTCTGAAAAGCAAAGGCTTGAGCTCAAGAATGCAGCCGAGGAGGCAAAGACGCGCCTCGAGAAACTGCAGAAAGCAAACAAGTCAATATCCGAGGAGCTCAGGTCTCTTCATGCCGCCCGCAACAAGGCAATAGAGTCCGAAACAACCTCTACTCGCACTTCACGAGATTCTTCCCCGCAGCCAAGAAGTTCGAGGCTGGGCAGCGATGCAAGTAGCCCTGTTCCAGGATCAATTGACTATATTTATTTGAAAAATGTACTTCTTCAGTTCATGGAGCAAAGGGAGAAGAGGCATCAGATACAATTGATACCCGTTTTGGCAACATTGCTCCATTTCGACCGGTAAGTCGACACACTGCAGATCCATTCTCACCTCAATCTTCGGAAACCTGAATAATTGACTGACGGATTGGGGTGAAAAACAGAAAAGACGAGCAGAAATGGATGTCGGTGATTTCATCGAGGTGATTCGCCTGAGCGCTTAGGGGATTGTATAAGCACATTTTTGTGGTGGTGTCATAATTACTCAATTAATGATTGATGATTGTTTTGATTGGATTGACTTTTTGCAACATTGAACACCTTCCCAATCATGTCATACTATGGCGTCTTTGGTGCTTGTGTATCCGTTTTCTGGTCTCAGTTTATCACGCCCTGCAACATTCCAGGCAGCACGTGTCCTTGTTTTGGTGGATGATCGTTTCTTGTGGCATAGCAAAATCGTACAGTTAAACAAGTTCTCATATTAAAGCTATTGAATGAAAAGGGCCCGGGAAGTTGAAGATTATTAAATCCGCAGTGCTTTCAACTTCTCGATACGGTCAAAGCTCAAGTCTTTCCCCTCCAGTTGCCGCTCCATACGTATCTTCCACTATACGTTTGCCTAATGATGGTGGTGAGGATGGCCTTCATCGGCTTAGGCCTTAGGAATAACCGCAAGCACACTGTTCACGGGAATATTTCCCTTATCCCAGTTGTCATACGGACCGGGATATTGGAACTTCAAGTCGACATTAGGTCTGAAGAGGACACAGTGAGTTGAGCCTCCAAAATGGAACATGCCAATGTCCTGGCCTTTCTTCAGAGTGTCCCCCTCCTTTACAGTATATTCGCACGAGGAGACTTCGGCCATGCCGATGTGGACAATGGCCATCAAGCCAATGTCCTTATTTTCCGCCTCGATGTAAATGATCGAGCGGGTGGCAACTTGCGATATGAAACCCTGAGACCTATCAGGAGCAGCTGGGTCCGGCCCCTCCTGGTCTTCGAACCCCTGGAAGATGTTTTCGCAGTAATAAGTCCCTGGCACCATGACAATCTTTTTCACAGTACCGTTGACAGGACTGTGCCAGCGATGGTAGCTCGTTGCACTCAAGAATGCCTGATACACTGTTCCATCAACAAATTGAGGGGCGAGGTCATCGTTGTTGAGCATGTCCATAAGAGAATAAGGCTGTCCTTTCAACCAGAACAAGTCATTGGCTTTTACGTTTGTCGAGAGTCGCCAAGGTGCAGACTCGCACCCGTTCACAATGACATTTTCATTCTCCTCCCCTTCAATGGGGCGAACATCGGGGTGGAACCGACGGGTGAAAAAGTCGTCCCAGGACTTGAAGCCATAGTGCATGTCTTTGGGGTTGCATTTATACAATTGCTCGAATGTATAGTGGGTTTCTTGGGTCGAGACTTTGTTGCCTTTTTCCTCGAGTGCCTTGATGGCCTCTGGACAGAACCATTGGTTGGCGTCTGTGCCAAGTATGTATGCTGAGTCGCGTGAAGCAAGGAATTTGGCCCATTCATTCAGCATGAGCTTGAAATACTCGTTGATCTTGGGGAATTGGAAGAAGTAGTATCCTGGCCAAGTGCCCATCGGCCAGTCCAAGATGGCATTGATGGGAAACCCGATAAGGCCCACGTCATTCGCATGCGCGCTCCACTCGGGAGCCCGTTGAATGATCTCGTTGAAGAGTTGAAACATGTGCGGATAGTCGCGCACCTGCGGCTTCCCGAGAGGGTCTTCGTTGTACGGTGGCTTGTCCGGGACCTGTTGGAACATGAAGGTTGCAGCTTGTCTCGCTAATGGATGAGTGTCGATGAATTCCTGAAAGTCTTGGAGGACCGGATTGAGATCCTTGAATGACCAATTCTTACTGTCCACATGCTTGATAAGATCCTTGAGCCATCCGTGGACAATAAGATGGTTATCTGGGAGCCAGTGCCCAAGTCTAGGAACGACGACGGGTTTTGTGGACATTGTTTTGTTCTGTGCTAGAATTCGGCGGAGGATGCCTTTGAGCTGGTTCAGAAAATCTGTTCTCAATCTGATGATGATTGTGAACAGAGAGACGATGGGGATCCTTTTATGTTTGACACGCTCCAAAGGAGAAGGCACTTGCAGGAATCCACACGCTTCCAAATATCGTCATGCAGCTGAAACAATACTGACGTGGCTTCGAATTTCAGCTACATGCTTCATTCTGATCCAGCTGAACATCGGCTCTGGCGTTTCGATGCAGAAGAGTGACGGGGATTTAAAGCCACGAACTGGGGTTAACCCAGCTCAAACTGGTGGGGATGAGCAAGAAAAGGAGAGGCAACCCCATTTCGGAGCTGAAGATCCAGGCTATTCCGATCTGTGGCTTTTGGCAATTAGTATTGCAATACCCTTTGGATACGCTTCCTTTAGGTCATTGTCAATCTTTCAGCATTGACGGATGCTTGCTTGTGCATGAAAATTCTACACAGCATATCCCCGCTCCAGGTTTGGCTGCAGTAATATTGAATGCTGTCATAATACATTCTTCCCTATCATGATTCTGCAATGTTCTTTCGAGAGGCCTACAAATTACAAGGTTGCTGAGTGGGGGAGGTTGAGGCAGTTCATGCATACAACATGGACGCAGCATATCATGCACATGTAGGGTTTGACCTTTGAAATGATCCAATGAAAGATGCAGATGAAAGCTGATGCAGGCGTTTTCAGCTCGCATCAGAAAGATAACTGAGTGTCCTGGTGTCGTTCTTCAGATGATCAAAATCGCGTGGGGAAGCGGAAAGCGGCAGGAGCGGGGAACGGCCCGACCAGCCAAGCGAGAGTTGCAAAATATGTCATTGCTCCTCTCATGACATATGATATTGACATATGATATTTAGCACTGAGGCCGGAGAAGTATCTTCTGTTTAGAATCAATTGCTAATAACTTTGCAGAGCGGGGTTCAGAGAAAGAAAGAAGCTATCTAATTAAGGCGAAAGAACAGGAGACCAAGCGTATTTGTGCATTACCTGTCTTCAGGATTAAAAGCCCCCTACAACTCAGCTTATAATACTAGGTCGAAGGCAACTTTGCCTCCAATCAAATGATGCACTTCATACAATCGATGTATAGAAGGAAAAGGCGTCGAACACTACTCTAATCTCCGCCGGTTTCAGATTTTTATGAAACCCTTATTGACGATATCAGTACCGCAATTTTATATTCAACTCAAGCCACCGGTTTCCCATTGCATAGGGAGGCGCAGTCATTGATACCGATTCCTCTGGTTTCGGGCATGGATTTTTTCGATTGGCGCATCCTGGCCATTATTGGCATGTTTACTTGCACGTTATTTCTCTCATTCGTCACTGTGGATGGGCCCTTTCACTTTACTATCTAATTTCCTCTTCTGTCTTCCGGTGTCATTAGCTGTGTCTGAACTTACTCTAGTCACAGCTTCAATCTTAGTAATCTATATGTTTTGCATTGAATAGGCTTCTGTTGCATGCATGGACATACCATAACCATCAAGTGCAACCTCCTTTCGCATAGAGACTCGCGGCGTGGTGTTGATATTCGGGAAGGATTTTCTGTTGTTTGCTAGCATTTTCATGGCATAGGGGAATACTCTGGCTCGACTTTTGGATACAGCACAACATAATGCTATTCCATGTCTTCCTCATCTTGGAAGGTACCGTTCATATGGCTTTCTGTTAGCTGCTCATCTGCGCAACTGCTGAAAGGTCTTTCACGCGCTAGAGTTCTGTGATAGCTAGCAATTCTTAGTATTACGAACGCGTGTTTTGGTGTTGCCTTGTAATTTTCGAGCGGCTGGCATCGGCGATGCGAGGGCCCCTAGAGCAATCCTGGCCCCTGACCGCAGGATGCTGTGATCATTTCTTTAGGCCACTGAAATAGGTTCTATATAATTCATGCCAACCGTCCTTTCGAAATTCAATGCTATATTCAATTGAGATTCATGAGACTGGCATTTAACACACCATATGCGGCAGAATCTGTCAGCAATAATATGCATCTGGATGCTTGGCATGAAGCCGTACCAATCACATGATGGATGGTATTTATAATGAGGTACGTTCAATTGTTTGGTAATGCCCTGAAACACTCAATTACTCGACAAAATTCAGGCATGTATCGCAGATTCCACATGCTTATTATATGTGAGAGTATATCGGAATAGTCAGGCTGGCTGAACTGCTTCAGGTCAGGCTTCGATACACCAAATGTGCCAGTATATGAGACCTTGGTTGCATCATTGCACAGCACACATGTTCTGACGCAGCCCTCCCGAATACGTCTTTGGACAGTTGTCTCTTCTCAATCAGAAACCCTGCTTGTGGCGCATACACCAGCACAACAAAAGCTTAAGGGAAACAGGGCTGGACTGCGCAAATCAGTTCTAGAGTGACCTTTATCTTCCATCGTGCCGTAACCAGATTATCTCATTCTTCATCTCCGATTCCTCATGTCCAGTCCTCGTTGATTGTTGTGATTCTGGTTTGTCAGTCTCTGTCTTGAATTGTAGAAATACATGGAATAAATCACTCATATCAGATCATCATCGATTGACGCCAACTTCACACAACAGTTTGAGCGATTGGGCGATTGACCTGACCGAGATCAAGAGAGAGAACTGGTCCGCCTCCTTTTTTCCTTTTTGACGCCGTCTCCATCTCTCTCAGTCCATCTGGTCATCTCAAGTGTCTCTTCCCTCGCTCCGATTTCTCCATGCGATCTGCTCGCTAGCGTCAATTGCGGGAACCAACATTGGCGTGATCCCCATCCAAAGCGACCCAGCCATTTTGCGCTGCTTGACCTTTTTCCCCCCACTGTTATATTTCCTTGCTGAAGTTCAATTCCCCTGCATCAATATTCGCACGAGCAACCCACCACCTCTCTAACTATCGACCCCGCCACCCGGATTCTGTTCCGCCCCAGTATTATCCTCTGCGTTGAAGGGTGGTAATTTTCAAAGGGTCGCCGACAGGATGAACGGCGACAGCATTACCAAGGCGGCTATTCAGAAAGCCAAACAAGTAGCGAGCGCTGCGAACGGCAACGGGGGCAAGAAGCGAAGGAAGGGTCAAGATCTCAAGCCCATCGTCACCACCGAGAATCAACAATCACAAGGTGTCAGTCCGCAGAGCGCCGTCGGTATGAATAACTACAGGTACGCCCTTGAATTGAAATAATCTCTTTTAATTGATCATCCCCTTGCCGGTCTCCTCGTCTTCGCCCCCAATCGGTCTCTTCCCCCACCTCCCGTTTCCCCCGACTTGCCCCCGTTCCCTGATCTGTCGCACAACATCACTCCGATACCATCATCACACCTCTCCAGAACGATACGTCATTTGAGATGAGCGATCGCACAACTGACCCTCCCCACAGCAGCTCGCAGGGCGTGAACACCCCTCTGGCACCACCGCGACCAACATACACGACTCAGATCAGTCGCTCGCCCTCAATGTCATCAGAATCCGACGACCCCGCCGCCGAGAACACTGCCGATGAGGAAGACTCGGAGGATTACTGCAAGGGAGGTTATCACCCTTGCTCTGTCGGAGAGTCATTCAAGAACGGCCGTTACACTGTTACGCGCAAACTGGGATGGGGCCATTTCTCTACCGTCTGGCTTTCACGGGACAACGAAACGGGAAAACATGTCGCTTTGAAGATTGTCCGGTCGGCCGCTCACTACACTGAAACTGCCATCGATGAGATCAAGCTTCTAAATAAGATTGTCCACGCGAAACCCGAACATCCCGGTCGCAAGCACGTCGTCAGTTTACTGGACTCTTTCGAACACAAAGGTCCCAATGGCGTTCACGTCTGCATGGTGTTTGAGGTCCTCGGTGAAAACTTGTTGGGCCTCATCAAGCGGTGGAATCACCGTGGCATTCCGATGCCGCTCGTGAAGCAAATCACCAAGCAGGTGCTCCTCGGTCTTGACTACCTTCATCGAGAGTGTGGTATCATTCACACAGATCTCAAGCCTGAAAACGTACTCATTGAGATTGGTGACGTGGAGCAAATCGTCAAGACATTTGTCAAGGAAGACTCGAAGAAGGATGGCAAGGACGACAATCGCAATGGCCGACGGCGGAGGCGTACACTCATCACAGGCAGCCAGCCGCTGCCTAGTCCACTTAATGCAAGCTTTAGCAGTAACGACTTACGATTTCCCGGCAGCACACAGGGCTCCACGAGCAGCCTTAATAAAATAATGAAGGAGAGTCAAGGTAAGCGAACGTGTTGTAGCCCTGCGCCCAGCGCCCAGCGCGAGCTTCATCATATGGAATCTATTCTGACGCCGGCTAGGCTCTTCTTCCAACCTTTCAATGCGAGAAAAGCTAGGCATCAGTTCCGCCGACGACGCGACACAAAGCGAGAGAGAAAAGACAGAGTAAGCTGTCCGCATTGCTTAATAGCTAAACCCGGCAATTCTCTGACATTGATCTCCCAGGGATATCTTGACGCAAGACATTTCTGGCATCTCACTCGATAAGAAGGCAGCATCGGAACAGAGCTCGCAGCAGGATCTTGAACACGCGATAGATACCATTTCCGTAAAGATTGCAGATCTAGGCAATGCCTGTTGGGTTGGACACCATTTTACAAATGATATTCAGACCCGACAATACCGCTCTCCTGAAGTCATCTTAGGCTCCAAATGGGGCGCAAGCACAGATGTTTGGAGTATGGCAGCAATGGTACGACCCTCCCATCCTTCTTGAATGATTTCTCTACGGAGATGACTTTGATTGGATTTTACCTCCCATGACACTCACACGTTGTCCAGGTCTTCGAGCTCATCACAGGAGACTACCTCTTCGACCCTCAGTCAGGCACCAAATACGGTAAAGATGACGATCACATTGCTCAAATCATTGAGCTCCTGGGCCCCTTCCCCAAGTCACTCTGTCTCTCCGGCCGGTGGTCACAAGAAATCTTCAATCGCAAAGGCGAATTGCGGAACATCCATCGACTACGGCACTGGGCTCTCCCTGACGTCCTGCATGAAAAATACCACTTTAGCATCGACGAATCGAAACGTATCTCGGACTTCCTCATCCCCATGCTTGAGCTTGTACCAGAGAAGCGCGCCAACGCAGGCGGTATGAGCGGCCACGACTTCCTGCGCGAAACAAAGGGTATGGACGGAATCAGTCTGCCTATAGCTGTAGGCAGTCGTGGTGAAGGGATTGAAGGGTGGTCTACCGAAATCAAGAGAAGGTAGTGTAAACCGGCATCCATTAGCGTTCGGTTCGCACTCTCTTTTTTTTTACGATACATGACTGAAAGGAAATCCTACACTCGGACGCTGGGCTGCGTGATGCCAACGACAAGGGTAGAGAACAAGGCCAGTCAACATAGGGGAATACCTGTTGTGAAATCCGCGCAGTACAGTTCGAGCCATTGGCGCTGAAGGGCGGCACTTGATGCAAAAAAGGGACTATTTGAATACCTTAGTTTTAGATAGAACTCGACAGCGCAAAGCGAAAGAAGCAAACGTGCACAACTCGCGGAGGGGTTAATGGGTCACACAAGCTGTAGATGGATGACAAACGAATGACGGGATGATTGACGGAATTCGACGAGATAATTAATAGCATTCATGAATGATAGGATTCTGGGAAAGCAGATTACTTTTTTTTTTCTCTGTCTCTCTTTTCCCCCCTTCTTTTTTAAGGTCCATTATAATTTTCTCTTTTTTTTTTCGTCTTAGTCATTTCCATCATCATCATCATCTCCTAACGTCATCAACCCGTCTTGCATACGTCGATTGATATAATCTCTCGTGATCATACCGTCCTCAACCATTTTATTTATTTATTTTCTTTTGTTTGTTCCAATTTCCTTGTCTGATCTGGAACCCATACAGTTCGTTATATACACCTCTATTTTCTTTCTCCTGTTCCATTCTCTTTTCTTTTTTTCTTCCCCTTGTTTGTTTCCCTTTTGCCGTTGATGTCCCTCGCAGGCACGTGCCGGCTGCCACGCTAGCGTCGACCGTCGTCGGCAGCATGGCGGTGTGATTTTTCTACCTCGTACATGAATCTTTGCGCGCTGTGATATTTGTCTGATTGGTATTTTCGTTCGGGGGCGGGGTGGGTGTTTTCGTTTTCCATCCGGCTGTCCATCTCCTTGCTCCACAAGTCTCGCCATCGTTCTAACCAGTCAAGGATGGTAGAAATTAATCCGGCCTCGGAGCCTCAGAGCCGCGGAGAACTGATCTACGCGCTGTCTTATCGTTGAATGATTCGGGCCTTACTTCTTCAATTCTTTCTTATCTTAGACTAATTCGGTTTATCCAAATGCCTTTGAACGTTTTTGATTTGGCGTCCTCCTAGAGGAGCTTATCCCCTTGTCTATTTTGGCTTTTCTTTTGTATGCTACTGTATTAAAATTTTGAACGGTTTTGTCTTCAAATGTTCAAGATTACGACAACAATTCTGATATTTTTTTGCTCTATATATTTCATGTTGTTCCTTCCTCATTTACTCCGGATTTGAAGTCCTTTTTCGAGATGAGATTCTTGAGTTCTTCTCGATGTGCGTACTTCCTCGTACAATGACAAGCTCCAACAACGACCGGAAGGTTCGAATCCAGGTTTCAAGACTTTCAGAATTTCAGGAAAGAGAGTCCATCGGCAGGAAAAAGAAAATTCATCACATTGAAATATTACATGATCAGATACTGCAGCTACTTTTGAAAAAAAAAAAAAAAAAGGTTTTAATGATAGACTGTTACGAGAAAGAGCCTAACTAGACTTCACGCTGAGGCTTTGATTGCGGTAGGCCAATCTGGCTAACATCATAGCCATTCTCTTCCAAGTAGGCACGGAACCGCGTGTCTTGATCCTCGAGTTCTTTGGGGTGCTGGTAAAACTCAAGGTCAGTATCGAATCATTATATGTGACTGCGTGGCTAAACCCAAAAGATAAAATATTTCAATGCGACCTGAAAACTTACATTCGGAATCAAAAACCACACAATCAGTGTACCAACTACTGAGATTGCACTTCCAATGAGGAAAATAACCTGGCGTCCCTTGACCGGGTCATCGTAGGAGCTCAAGGCGCTGCTCAACACCGTCGTCCCAATCGCTGCTCCAGCCTTTCCAACTGCCGCCGCAAAACCGAGAAAGTGGCCTCTCAGCGGCGTCGGGAATGATTCGGATGACACGAGAAAGTTACAGTCGCCGGGACCAACACTCAAGAATGTCTGAAACAAACCATAGAGTACGACGAAAAGCGGAAAGACGTGCTGCAGCTGCACCATTGCACCACCAATAATGAAGCCCAGGATGGAAACAATTGCCCATCCGAGAGCGTACGTTTGTCGCCGACCAATGATGTCCATGAGCCAACCGCCAAAAAGAGCGCCAGGGAGAGCAAATGAGTTGATAAGCGCACTCCAACCTACGCTTTGCAACAGAGTCTGCTTCTTTGAGAATCCTTTGACAAGAGTCGGAGCGAGCAGATTGAAAGGGTAAACGACGAAGTCGTAGAGAAACCACGCGCTGCAGCATCCGAGCAAAGGCCGCCAGTACATTTTGAGTGCTAATTTGTACGGTAGCTTGTGCTGGATAGCATGCCTCTCATATTGCCGGGAATCAATCATGGAGATGCGGAAAAGGAAAATGCCAAGAGGCAGCTGATGGAGTTGATATCGTTAGGGCTCGCTCTAGCACATATGGGGGGTGCTTTAAAATGCTACGAGGAATACAGTGTGAGATGCACATACGATAATTCCGATTCCAAAACAGATTCTCCAGATTCCTTCATTCGCTTTGCCGTGATAGGCGGCAATGACGATGATGGAAACGATGCTCGATGCCACGAAGCCAAGAATAATGGAAAAATTGGTGGAAATGGCAACGAGCAGGCCACGCTTCTTCTGAGTTGCGGTACTGCCATCTGCAGACTCGAGTGCTTGTGCGGTGCACACAGCGTATTCTCCACCTACAATCATCATCGAGGTTAGACAAGCTGGAGATACGGACAGTGGGGCTACAGAAGTGATCGCTGACCAGCTCCAACGCCCGCAATGCCGCGAGAGACAATCATCATCCAGAACATCCCGGTCAGCGAGGTTCCGTGCGAGGCAGTGGCCAAAACGATACCCTGTTACAAGCAATTAATATCTTTTCTCGAAGGAGCTTGAGAACCGTTCCACATACAAAGACAAGGAAGCAAGTCGTTGCAATGACTCCGATCTTTCGTCCAAATCGGTCAATGCAGAGTCCGAACAAGATCATGCCAACGACTTCTCCAATGAGAATCGAGTTTGACAGTCTAGTCTTGATGCTAGCAGTTAAGACCTTTGGGTATCTATGAAAAGTCAGATACTTCCCAACTAAACCGATCTCCGGCGAACACATCAGATTGCGGAGCAAGACTTACAGAACGGCCATGACACTCTGCATATATCCAATGATTTGAACATTGTAGCCGTCCGAGAAGAGCGCAAAGCCTTGCACAAGGACCATGAAAAATGCCCTCCATGTCCAAGTCTTCTTCTCGGCGGTATCGGACGACATCGAGCCCTGCTGCTCAACAACCCCAATGGCTGTGTCATCCTTACCTGACACTGTCATGTTGTGAGGAATTGCGTAGCTTCCCGGTCAGGGTGCTATGGTCGTGCCTTCCTAGGATAACTGGTCAACGCGGTCAAAGAGGTGTATAATCTTGCTTTGTATATCCACAGACAGCAGAGGCAATGGCATTGGAAGAGGGAACAGCATTTTATATTGCTATATTCATTGACGGTATTCTTCTCTCGCGGAAAGCATCCGCTGAAAGTTATTCCTTTGGGCTCCATGAACGTAACAAAAAGCATTTGCCAAGCCACCGGTTGATATCCTGGCCTGTAAAGAAAATTTTTATACATTTAAAATACATTTATTTCCTAAACACGGTCTTGATCAGTTTGCCACGTGGGAGGATCCGTGCTTTTCAGGAATCCTTTGGAGTGCTTGGCACTAGTTGTCGCCGCCCACGTGTGAGATCAATGTGCATGGGGATAGCCATTCGGGACGTCTTATGTGGAGAAAATCCGAGATAGCATAAGGCCATTTCCGCAGAATTTGACTCCAAAGTAGAAACCTCAGGCGATCCAAATCGGCGGCAGAGAAACCCGAACGGAAATACTGACTAAGTGACCGTTATCGGGGAGAATAGTTGGGCTATGCAGAAGCAGATTAGCCGCCTTGTCAGTAAAACTAAATCAGTGAAGACGTGTCTTAAAAACCAGTGATGCCATTAAAATCAGGGGCTTTGAGCAGCCAGAGCGATGCTCATCGTCACATGGTAGATATGGTTGGATGGCGGTGGCTTCAGGTTCCTGCCGAAGAGCGGGACGACGGCGACGGTTCGATGGCCAAGACGCGGCCCGAGAGCAAACAGGTGGGGCAACTAAACCTGCCCTCTGAAGTTCTGAAGTTTAACCACCTTCGAAGCAACAATCCAGTTTATCCATTACAAGATGAGAATTGCATGATTTACGAAATAGAATTACAATCAAATTAAATTGTCATTTCCAAGTGCTTCATTCTCTTCGTGACACATCAAATAACTGGGTTTTAACTTATGCACCAATTACATGAGAATCAAACTCACAACATGGCGTCGAATTCTCGTGCAAAGATAATTATTGATACTGATCCGGTAAGTTCTTTTTGTGCCATGTGACTTGTTGAAATTCTGAGTCGGTCATGTCTAGAAGTGTTTGTTAAGCTGAATTTCTGATCAGGGCGTCGATGACGTTTTGGCACTGTTGCTCGCACTCTCGGCGAAGGCGGAGGAGATTGAAGTCCTCTTGGTATCTCTTGTCTACGGAAATACCAATGTTCACGGGTGAGTTTGAGTTGATGAAGAAATGCTCATCATTCAGCTCGCCGAACGTATTTTATCAATCTATAGATGATTAACCTTAGTTGGGTTTCTTGAAATTTATTGCTAATTTATAAATCATAATGTCTAGCTGTTTGCGCAACCTTCTTTCAATGTTCGAGTCAATAGAACGCGAACGCAATTGGAGAATTGAGGCCGGATTGCCAAAGGGGTTTGAGACCTTGGAAAGACATCCGCCTGTAGTCGCAATTGGCGCCGAGAAACCACTGGAATATGAATTTGTGCAAATGGATAGACACCGTATGTTTCATAGCAGCCATCATCCCTCACTATTCACGAATTTCTACGTAGAGTCCCCAGGCTCGCAACTGACCTACCTACTCTCAACAGATGGAAAAGACGGGCTTGGTGGAGCGTCTTCCTCTGTATTATCTTCCCTACTTTTGACCAATTACACTCGTTAGATCCTCACTAATTCCGTACGATAGCAGCCTACATATCCCCAACCTTGGGAGCATGCCTTTCGTCCATATCCACGGGAAGGCGGAGTCGCGGAGGATCTGCCGAACATCAGTGAGACGCCGTCACATCTACTCATTCCCAGCAAATTACCAGCGCATGAAGAAATCATCAATGTTCTTTCCAGCAATGATCCCAGACACTGTCAGCATCGTTTGTCTTGGCCCAATGACAAACATTGCTCTTGCCGCGACCAAGGAACCAGACGTCTTTCTCCGGGCAAAAGAGATTATTTGTATGGGAGGAACATTTGGCGTCAAAGGAAAAGTAATTCTTAGCATCTCCTTTCATCTATTACATACTTAACATGCGTCTAGGTCTCTCCCTATGCAGATTTTAACACGTATATGGATCCCCATGCTACCGCCGAGGTCTTACGACTGACGGCCCCTTCCTTTGTCGCGGCATTAGACAATTCCGACAAACGCACAAGACCCCTGAACTTTAAGTTATTCCCTCTTGATCTCACAATCCAGCATAAGCTTTACGAGGATTCATGGTTGACTTGCCTCGAGTCGCGGCCCGACAGCCCGCTCGCCAGGTGGGTCAATGGGTTTCTTACATCTGCCTTTGACAAGTCCGCAGCAACAAGACAGAAAGAGCAAGGTGCCGTAGTCCGCCATGCTGGAGAGTCAGGTGGAAGTCCGGAAAAGGGCAGAAGTATCTCGCTCAACGATCCGGTGTGTCTATGGTATTTCCTCGCGTCTTCTCAATCGCCGCAATCTTCAAGCTCGTCGGGGTCGTCATGGACATATGATCATCTCCACGACGTGACGATTGAGACGGATGACGCAGAAACTAGAGGACGTTGGACTTGTACAACCAGTCAAACACCTGATCCTTTATCTTATTCGAGGCATGATATACAGAATGTTATTACGCGGATGATCCAATCACCACCGCCTGGCCCAGATATGTTTGGGCATGCTTTACTTGATAGGATTTTTTCTTGCCATTACAAATTTTAGTACCAATTTACATTATTATTATTATTATTCATCATCTTCATTCTCATTATTCGAAAAAATACATACGCATCTCAGTAAATTATATCCATAATATCAGCATATTTAATATATCCATTTCTAAATTTATTCATCTATATCGCAGAAGCAACCTCATAGAATTACTCGAAATTCTTCCCTCTTCCCTAAAGCGCTTCCGCGACTGCAATATATGCCATTTTTCTCATATACTTCACCCGTCTGCTGCATCGCAATAACCATGCCAATCAATGTAAACAAAGTCTGGCTACTGTCAACCTGTCATTCGTACCTCTGTACTCTGTACTTTGTACTCCTAATCCGATGTCGCCGACCGAGGCCCTGGGACGTTGCGCAACGTGCGTTGGTTGTACCGTAGTTAGCGTACCCTGGGACGAGGGAGGCCAGCGCTGGCAGGAGCGGGTTGGCGGTGGCCCAGTTCAGACTAACAGCCAACGAATCAAACCAAGTTTATGTGCATTACATAACCAAGCAACAAGTCGCGATGCCAGAGTGGTTAATGGGTGTGCCTGCTATCTCCTATCAGGGAGTGCAGTCACAGCACATGTCTTCGGACGCGCAGGTTCGAATCCTGCTCGCGACGACTTTCTTTTTTGTTTTATTTTATTTATTTCTTTTTTAAACTTACGAAAAGAGATCACTGAGGTTCGATATTATTTGTCTTGTATTTTATTTATTTTTGAATTGGAATTAATTGTAGCTTTCAAAAGAAAGAATGGATAAATAAAAACCAAAACAAAAAAAACACGCAAAGAAAAAAAAAGAAAAAGGAAAGAAAAGGAAAGGCATAGGTGTATACAAAATGCCAAGTTGAATAATGTTTGACAATGCTAGATTTCGGTATGCAATTGCGAATGGCTTAATAGGGATATCAGAGTACGATTTAGATACATATACGTGCACAGATAGGAGATAGAGATAGATGAGTTATCAGGTCGGCATCTGACTTGAATGCAAAGGGTAAATTGAGAAAAGAAACTCCATTTTATGCATATGGAAGCTGAGTCTACTGAAATGAACAAAGGGGCATTTTTATCGCCTCAAGTAACCTTGACCCAAACCATAACCGACCAACGACCAGACGAGACCACGAAATTGACCAACAGAAGAAGAGGGGAAAAAGGAGTCAGATGTAAGATACAAGTACAGAGCGATTTGCGGCACGCAAATGCTGCATTGAAACATAACATAGAAAAGGGACCACCGATGATTGCCAAAGAAAAAAGAAAAAACAGAAGAAGTATTGAGAAAGAAGAGGACAAAAGGAAAGAAAAAGTAACAAGAACGTAATCAATGATATGTCAGCCGTTTGACAGGACTCTCATCTACATTTGGTTTCCCATCTCTTCCCGAGGCAGCAGGCGGTAAACCATACGGCTCATGCCCGGGTCCGAGTGGATATCCACTTGGACCGGGCTCGCGAGCCTCTTGAAAGTGAGTATAGCCATCATAAGGACGATTGAAGAAAGCGGACGGCCCTGGGTGTTGTTGTTGGGGAGGGTGATATTGAGGTTGAGGAGCATGCATAAACGGTGCGGCGGCATTGAGAGATGCTAGGGCCTTGTTCCGGAAGAAGCCGAATGCAAAATTGGAGATGCCAAAGCATCCGAAAACAAGGAAGAGGGTGAAGAACTAGACAGCGGAGGCAGAAAAGTTAGATTAGAACAATTATGGCTTATAGGCAAGGGGACTGGCAGAGGGAAAAAGAATGGGAAAGATGCTCCTGATTTAAAGTGAGGCAAAGGAATAACGTACCATAGCTTTATAAGAGATGGGTTCGATAAAAGAATTGAAGATTTCGGCAAAAGTATGAGCAGAAACTCGTGCGCGGCCGACGAGATTCGGGTCCCTGTTCATGCATCGCTCCCAGTTGTTGCAGATTGTTTCTACCGCAGGGACCCGATTGGGGCCATCACATCTGTTGTCGACGTAATTGCGCGCGCAGACGGACATTTCTGCGAGTGTCTCTGCAGCAATTTCTTCGCTCTTCTTGTCAACATCATTGCGAATGGTCGACCAGAAAGCGCATATAATGTATATGAAGAAGAAGACAAGGAAGACGTTTAGCAGTAGCTGGGCATAAAAGGAAAGAATGTGTGGTAAATTGGGATGATTTTCGATGAATGCGAAAACCGAGCTCAATACAGCTTGTTTGGCGGATGACGGTGCGTCTTGGTTTCGAAGTTGTCGATGATCTGAACTGATTCGTCTGCGGCCACGCACATCATCGGAGTCGGATTCATAACTGTCATGTCGCCGATGGGTTAGGCGATGCTCTCGTTCGGCGTCACGGCGTCTTCTTCGTTGTACGCGTTTGAGAATGCCGTTGTTATAGTATTGTTTGCGGGAGTCACCATGGTCGAGACTCGTCGTGGTGGTGCGAAGCTTGTCAAGGAATGTCTCCTTTTTCTTCTCTGTTGGAACACCAAATACGTTCGAGAACTGGTTCTGATTGCCGTTCAGCCATAAGGCTTCAGCGGTCGCAGTAGCCGTGTTTGAAGTTCGAGTTGGCTCCGGTGTGTCCTCGGCATCTGCTTGTTCGGGCGAGGAAGCATTTTCTGCTCCAGACGAGAACATGTCCACGTCAAATTTGCGCGGGGTCGTAAATGCAGGGTTTCGGAAAGCAGGAGGTAGTTTTACTCCCGGAGTGCCGGAGAAGAGGAACGGTTGTGAGTTGGGATCTCGTAAAGATGGAGCCGAAGGCTTCGAAGGCGAGTCGAAAATGCTCCGAGAGCCTGTAAAGATGAGTTAACCATCTGAAAATATTGAACGAGGCCTTGTCAAGACTAATAGGCAGTAACGGGTAGGACACATCTTCCTGCTTTTTGTGAGAGCCATGGAAAAAACAGAGTTGACCTACGTTTCTTTCCCAATGCTCCATCATCTTCAGCACTGCCTCCTTGCTGACTCTTCTGTCTATGGTTTACCGCCAACCGATGAAACGGAGAGGACTCGTCCGCCGGGCCCAGGGTTTGCCATTCAAAGTCCATAGGACTCTCGTGTGTTCGAAGATTTGACATACTTGAAATCCGCTCGCAAGACTAGCCACAAAGCCCTGTTTTCCCGTATGACTGGTGCAATGTATGTATGTATGCCAGAAGCGCAATCTCGTTATCCCAGTTCTTGTATCGTTTTCGTCAAGCCCTCCTTCGGAGTGTCCTATTCCGAGAGTCTGTAGTTCCAGATTTTCAACCTTGATGGTAACGTGACGGCGAGTAAGGAATGACTGTGGATGCAAATAGCGCGGCGGCAGTTAAAAGCCTTGCAGCCGATATAAAGCTTGTGAGAACAACGATAAATCCGATGGAGAAACAGTTGCTCTAGGGCGATCCTTGACCAAAATCAACAATCCACTTCACCTAGCTCTTCGAACACCACATTCAATATTCTTTCCACCTTATATTCCCTCTTCAGTATTATATCAATCCAAAGTAGGAACCTGAACTCTCTTCGCCGTGACTATAGTCCAGTGAGCGGCGTCTCTCGCACAAGCATATAGCTCTCTCCGTGCTCGAGGCGGTTGTATGTTCTGGTACTGCTGCTTCAGTTTGGCAATATGTCGGAACAGTTCACGGGTTTGAAGCCTCGGAGAGCCTCACGTTGACGCCGTTGGGGTCTCGGCAGCTTGCTTGAATTCCGATATGCAAGCCTCGTGGAAGACAAAGGAGATGCCGACTACAAAGACAATTGACAAGGTAAACAAAAAAGTACGTAACTCAGTAGGTTCTGAAAGGCCACTCGCTCGGCAGATCGACCCATCAAGCGAGTTCTGGCCCGTGGGGCCAAGGGGCGAGGGGGGCAACGCAGGGTTACAACACGTGCTTTTGGCTCGAAGTCATCGTTGTTTTTCTACAAAGAAACTCATGAAAGAGATGGAGATACTGCAATCAGTCTGTAATTTCAAAGGGTTTATACTGGTTTATATATAATAGAGTATTAAGAATAACATGCGGTGAAGCGAATTATCATCTACAACAGACACGCTGTTAAGGAGAACCTATGCAATGCATCGCAACACAACGACGAAATAACACGTCCAGGATAAAGCAGCCCGTTCTACTCCAGTTGCGCCAAGTGAACCGAGTGATGCTTTCCAAATCGATGACAATAATCGTAATGCATCAAATGCTGCCAGAAAAAAAAACACCCCCGGACCAAAGTAGTCTGCCATCCAGAGGGGGCCCGTAAACAAGTACACGCAAAAAGGTATCAGTAAAGATGTATGCGAAACCCAGTCGTGGCCCGTCGTAGCGATAGATAAGTGAGGCGTCCGAAGCGCCATCAGCCTCCACCTCAAATGAGTTCAAATCCGTCAGCATCGGTCGTGGCTGGACCAGCCATGTTCTCGGCGGCCTCGGGTTCTTTGCCCACGACCTCGTATTCCTCTTTGATGAGCTTCTCAGTTTCCTTGGTGTGGAATTTCTCGACGGCCTTGGTGAGAGCCATGCTGAGGATTTGGCTACCCTGCTGGGGGCCACGCTCAGCATCATAAGAGTAAGCAATTTCCGCGTCCGGTTCAGGAGCAGCAGAGGCCTCAACAACGTCGTCATCAGACGAGTCAGTCTGGCACTGCTCTTCAAGAATGTCAAACTTGCGAGTCATGTTCATGCGATGCGACACGCCCTGGAGCAGCTTGGCATTGCCACGGCGAATAGCGCTGTTGACTCTTACGGGCTGTTAGTAAGTGCACTCTTCACATTCAGGCGCTGACGTCGACCTCAACATACCTTTGCTGTGGGTGAATCGGTCGTCTTGTCCCGGGAATAATAGGTTGACGTCGACCGGGAGCGTAGGTTGCTACTCCGGCAGCCCACTTGTGTTTCTGTGCATGGTGACGCTGGTAGGCGACAGCATCGCCGCGCAGGTCACCAGTAGAATATGTCTGCTCCATAATGTCTGCTTGTATATATAAATGCGGCGATGGTGATGAAGGTATTTTATAGATTATTTTATTGATTCGTCAAGTAGACGGAAGCAAAATAGGGACGTTAGGGCAAGGGCCAGTTGAAGCTGGTGGAAGAATAATAGAAGCTCAAATGACAGATGGATAAGGATTAAGCCAAGTATAAAGCGAAGGATATACAAATGACTCGAGCCGTCACGCGGATTAGTGTAGAGTGTCGACGTATGTTTGGAAAAGGAAAGGCAAGCAAGTCACAACGGAAGGTAGACTGCTGATGCTGGTGTACCTAGATAGGCAGTTGTGAGGCGTAAGGCAGACAAGGAAAGAGCCAGGTCGGAGACGACTGAGCTCTTTTCGTCCACGCTCCAGCCTTATTACAGAGGTTGTGTAATAACCAAGGGACAAAGGTGGAAGATGACTGAAATAATTAGCACCACTTGAGTCATGAACTAGGCAAACGTGACAGAATGACTCCCAATGACGAGCGGGATGGCGGGATGACGAGATGACTAACCTCAAGTAGAAGGATGACTCTTGTCTCAGCACGTTTGCGGGACGACAGACGAGGCTTGTGAGGAGCTGAAAAAGGTAATGAAGAATGAGGCAGAGGAAGAGACAGTTGGAGTTGGTTGGGGGGAATAAAGGCGCTCTTTATCTATTTGCCCCATCCTTCTTCTTAAACCCCATGCCCCTCCGTTCTCATCTCTTCTCCCAATCTAGACAAGTATGGGATGGATGGCGGAGAAGATGAGCGATTACCTATAAGGACGGTAGAAGACCCACGAGGGGCTGGGCTGGCTCAGGCTGGCTCATCTCGTCATGGAGGAGTTGCCGCAGTCATGGACTGCCATCAGGGTCCTTTTGGCTGGATCAAGGGTGCAAGCCACACTGGCCAGGAGATCAAGTGCCTCACACGGATATCGGACATAATGCTCGTCATTCTTGTTTGATTGAGACCATCCCGAGAACTACCTAAGCTACTTTAACCAAGAGATAAGCTTGCCGGAGGAGATAGGAACCATGACCTGATGACTTCCAGGTAAAACAGGTAGAGGTACCTTCACCTCTCCGTGCTCTATGGCATATAATGCTCCTCAGACAGGTACTCGTACTTTACCCACACTCATCATACTTGGCCGGATGCAGAATTGCTGTGCACAATGATAAACGTGGGGGCCTTTGGGTTGTTCTGTCGCGAGCACGAGCACGGAAGCTACACTGCCTCGGCAGGAGTTATCGGGTATCTGTACCCCAGACGCAGGGAATTTTTCCGGTTTTCTCGCGTATCAGTACTTGATTTTTGTACTTGATACTATCTTCAGCTCAGGTCCCTTCAAATGACGACAAACCAGACGCTTTGGGCGCGTCTCCTGGTCTATCAACCAACAAACAGTCAACAGATATCCATCAAACAAACAACGACATTATCGCCAAGCCCCGAGCAAGCGTGAAACAGTGTTGCTTTTATGGAGTACACGCATCATCAGCGGCACGGTCACTGTCGATGTCCCTCTCTTCTTGACCTGGTTCGTCTCCCCCCTCGCCCGTCTCCTCCCCCTCGAGGATTTGCCAATGCGCTGTCCCGTGCTATCTGACTATCTTGCGTGTCTCTTCCTTCAAGTCCTCGATCACCTTGATCGTCCCCATCCTCCCCTTCACTGCTTGATGCCTCCTCTGCAGCCTCGCTGGGCAGGACACTCGGGAACCATCCGTACCGAGAAAAGTCTACCGTGAACTCACCGAGGCTCCCCCGCCCCACTTCGACCCCTTCGCGGCGAAGAGCGGCCGCTTGCCGCGATGCTCCCGACGCCCTGTAGATAGATGCATATGATCAACAATCAAGCTGATGACTTCATGTTGCCTAATCCTGCAATATGCGAAACTCGCCGCGATTCGTGTGAAAGAGCTGGCGACATTATTCCAGAGAAGAAAAATGAAAGTAATCAAGATCAACTCATGAATTTAAACACACCTTGGTGAGATTATCCCTTTTGCATTAATGACTCGCTGCCATGGTACATTTCCTTCATGAAAAGCGAGATCCGATCTCTCAGACGAGGGCAGATGCTTTAGACTCACGCCGACTTGCCTATCATAAGTTAGTCAGATAAAAAAAAATGAATTCTTGGAGTGTTTGAGGCTTGCTCATTTGGTCCATAATTTTGACATTTGTTAAATTAATCCCAAATTGAGGCATATTGGAGGAAAGAATGTTTAAGGCCGAGAGAAGCAATTGACCACTCACCGAGGACGTTCCGCTGTAGAGAAAACAGTACTTGTTAGCATAACCATCTTCCTCAGCTGCATGAGCCCATTTGAAACGAGGGTGCTAATTGGGTCATTGCTGAAACTTAAGGGTGTTTTTTAATGCGTGGGAAACCATATATTGACAACAGTACATCCTTGACTCCTTGAAAGACAAAAGGGTTGCGTTGACTTACGGCAGTCGAGTAGTGTAGCAATATGGCCATAAGAAGTGACTTTGCCTCTGGGGATCTCTTGGACGGCTTCGTAGACTGCAGCGAACCAAGCCTCTGCTTCCTCAGAGCGAACCATGCTGAGAGTCTCTTCTCGATTGGCACGAGAGTACCTTAGTATGCCTTCTTCGCATAAAAGGTAGCTTTTTGTCCGCCTTGTTGATGATTCAAGAGTAAGGTAGAGTTTTGTTTAGGGTTCTGATGCTGTGCATTCCTTGTGCAGGGTGCTGCACTATTCTGTGCTGGACTGTACTATAGGCAAACTCCTTGAACGGGCACCGGCTCCTTTGGTTATAGGTTTAGCTAGAGCTCACAGAGAATTGCACCCTACGATTGCCGAGTAGATTGTTTATGGTTATAAGAGGGAGATTTTAGCTTACAAAATAGAACACTTGTAGAAGTAACTAAGGTATTGAATAAATGCAATATTGCAGTGATCTATACTACTACGTATACAAGCTAATACATATTTAAAGTAATATTTCTGCATGCATAATCAACGCATAAATTCATAAATACCTACATTCTTAGACTTGGGGCCTATAATCAAGTTCAGATGGAGATTCTGCCATAGTCGGAAGTAGCCCCCTCCGTAACTTACCTGTTGCGCGAGTCCGTTAGAACTTGGTGTTCTGAGTAGCGATACGGCCGTAATCGAGAGCCTTGAGCAACGAACAAAGTACTGATACCTCGTGCGGCGCGCTCAATTCCGCGCTCTCATCCAGCGGCATCGGCTCCACTAGCACCAAAGAGGGATGGCGCGCTTTGGTGGGGCAAATGTTTCAACAGCGAAGATGCTATACGAATACGACTACGACGTATCGACTCATACAAACCCTGATACCGACGGAGCATATTCATCGGCACAAGCATATCACCTTTGTATCCTTCCAAACAGAGATTCAATTATAAAAAGGAAGATCCTGCCACCAATTTTGCTGCAGGTTCAATTTCAACGTTTTCAGCGTATATAGAGACGCATCATTTTCCGCTGACGGAAAGTTCGCCAAAAAAATTCCAACTCTATACACGGCGTCGAGTTAATATTTGATCTCGCCACCCCGCAAACATGGAGGCCATTAAGAAGACTTTTGCGAGATGCAAACAGGAACAAAGAGTATGAATCTACAGGAGCTGTATGGAATAATCTCAGTGCTGATTATTTGACAGCCTGCTCTCGTCACCTATGTGACGGCCGGTTACCCAACTATCGAGGAGACGGTTGACCTCATGCTTGGCATGGAAGCTGGTGGTGCTGGTAGGCCAAAGGGACTGCTGCAATACAGAGAGCAAGAAGATTAACACTCTATTACAGACATCATTGAGCTTGGTGTCCCATTCACGGATCCTGTCGCTGATGGACCAACAATTCAAAAGTCCAACGTCGTACGTCTCGGACCTGCAACAATTTTCCGATTTAAGAACTAAACATTGATTAACAATATCCTAGGTTGCTCTGCGGAACGGTGTCACCATTTCCATTGTGCTCGACATTGTTCGGACTGCGCGGTCGAAGGGCCTCCAAGCCCCCGTCATGATGATGGGATACTGCAACCCGGTTCTGAGCTACGGTGAGGACCGTATGCTCAAGGATGCTCGGGAGGCTGGCGTCAATGGCTTCATTATCGTTGATATGCCGCCCGAGGAAGCTGTTCAGTTCCGCGCAAACTGCACCAAGGCTGGGTTAGTGTGTCGATCAACGGTTGAATAATAAAATCCCACTGACGATTTTTAGCCTCTCCTACATTCCTTTGATTGCCCCGGCCACCTCTGAGTCTCGTATGAAGCTGCTCTGCAAGATTGCCGACTCCTTCATCTACGTTGTTTCCCGCATGGGAACTACGGGTGCCTCTGGCACCCTCAACGCTTCGCTCCCCGACTTGCTCCGCCGCGTCCACTCCTACTCCGGAAACATTCCTACCGCCGTCGGCTTTGGTGTCAGCACCCGCGACCATTTCCTTAGTGTTGGCGCTATCTCTGAGGGTGTTGTTATTGGCAGTCAGCTCATCAACGTTCTTGCTGAAGCCCCTGCCGGACAGGGTGCAAAGAAGGTCGAAGAGTATTGTGCCGCCATTACCTGCCGACGACCCGGTCAAAACGGTCTTACGAGAGAGGTGGGCATTGTTGAGGCTATGGGAGATGCGCAAGAACCCAGCGGAGTGTCTGTCGACAGAGTGATTACCGAGAAGGAGGCTGGTTCTGGACCTGGCCTTGCGGACCAGATCGAGGCCCTGAACGCTGACGGTGCTGCCGATCCTGCTGTAAGTATAAAACAATTTTTAATGGAGTCGAAGCTGACTTACGATACGTTAGGCGCTTCCGTCACGATTTGGCGAGTTTGGTGGCCAGTATGTCCCCGAATCGCTCATGGACTCCCTTGCGGAGCTTGAAGCTGGCTTCAACGCCATCAGGGATGACCCCAAGTTCTGGGAGGAATACAGATCATATTACCCTTACATGGGCAGACCCGGCCATCTCCATCTCGCTGATAGATTGACCGAACACGTCGGAGGAGCCAACATTTGGTTGAAGCGGGAGGATCTCAACCACACTGGTAGCCACAAGATCAACAATGCCATTGGTCAGATTCTGCTTGCAAAGCGTCTTGGAAAAACCCAGATCATTGCAGAGACTGGTGCAGGTCAGCACGGTGTCGCCACCGCCACAGTATGTGCCAAGTTTGGCATGAAGTGCATCATCTTCATGGGAGCCGTACGTTTTCCATCTCTCTGGCTTTCGCAACTCAAGTACTAATTCCTTTGATAGGAAGATGTCAGACGCCAGGCACTTAACGTGTTTAGAATCAAGCTTCTCGGTGCCCAGGTTGTTGCAGTCGAGTCTGGCTCCCGCACCCTGCGTGACGCTGTCAACGAGGCTCTCCGCTATTGGGTGACTGAGCTCTCGACAACCCACTACATTATTGGATCGGCCATCGGCCCACACCCTTACCCCACCATCGTCCGTACGTTCCAATCTGTCATTGGAAACGAGACCAAGGAGCAGCTCCAGAAGTTGCGCGGCAATCTTCCTGACGCCGTGGTTGCCTGCGTTGGCGGTGGTAGCAATGCTGTTGGCATGTTCTACCCATTCTCCAAGGATCCCAGCGTCCAGCTCGTTGGTGTTGAGGCCGCTGGTGAAGGTCTCGACTCTGGCAGGCACAGTGCTACCCTCACTGGAGGCAGTAAGGGTGTGTTGCACGGTGTCCGGACTTATGTCTTGCAGGACAAGAACGGTCAAATCACTGAGACACACTCTGTTTCTGCGGGTCTTGACTACCCTGGTGTCGGACCCGAGCTGAGTTCTTGGAAGGACTCTGAACGGGCCACCTACATTGCTGCCACTGATGCCGAGGCATTCGAGGGCTTCCGTTTGCTCTCGCAGCTCGAAGGTATTATTCCTGCCTTGGAGACTTCTCACGCCATCTCCGGCGCCATCAAGATTGCCAAGGAGCTTGGCAAGGGTAAAGACATTGTCATCTGCGTTAGCGGCAGAGGAGATAAGGATGTGCAAAGCGTGGCAGAGGAGCTTCCTAAGCTTGGCCCCAAGATTGGCTGGGACCTGAGATGTAAGTGATTCCTACAAGTACTTCTGATAGTACCTAAGCTAATGATCATACTCCAGTCTAAAAACTTTGTAGATATCTACATGTTGTGTGATATACCACGAAAAGCATGCAATTTTTTTTTATAAAGCGGGGTCATACCGGCGCTTAGTAACTCTGAATATTTAGAGGTGTATTTGAAAATTTGAGTATATTTATGCAACTTCTTATTTGACTCGTTTGGTATGCTTAGCTCTAAGTGCAAGTGAACACAATCAAAAGGCCCCCTTCAAGGGAGCTCTGATTCCTAAAATTGGTGACGGGTGTACCGCTTCCATGGATTTTGAACTGTCAAAGGTGTGATTTCGTAATGTATTGGCTCCAAATTAATAGATAATTCCTCCTGTGTGGCTGTTAAACGTGTTATATGGCCTGCTGTCAACCGTTAACTAAAGGATGGTGGAGTTACCCACCAGCCACCGCGCTAATAACAAAGCTTATGGCTAAGGCTTAAAGCTCAACACTAACGAAAGAATAACTGCTCCGGGTAACACCTCAATTAACCTGACAGGCCGAGCACAAGACTAGCATCATCATCCATAGCTCCGGAGAGACCTACATATTCCTTTCTCCACCAAAACTCATTCCCAACTTTCCTCACATCGCCGTACCAAAACCCACCACCATGTCTCTCGCAGACTACCTCGCAAAGAACTACCTGACCGCCGATCCCCCCGCGGACAAGAAACTCAAGAAACGCAAGAGAAAGGGCGCCGCTGCACAGGCCACCGACGGATTAATTATCGCCGACGACGATGCCATGGGATGGGAGAACAACAGGATGCAAAACGACGACGACGACGATCCACTTACAGGTGCGTTACCATTGTCCTTCATTCTCTTCCCTTTTCTATTGTGCCGTTTCGCGAATTTTTTTCACTTGTCAATCATTGCGAATCTAGTCGCCAATTTCATAACATCCCCCCGCAGCTCTTCGTGAATACATAACAAACCTACTGACATTTTACAAATTACGTCTGCAGTCAACGCATCCAGCGCCGAATTTCGCAAATCCAAAAAGAACAACTGGACGACCGTCGGGACCAGTGCTCCAACCAACAGCGAGCAAGCCGCCGCCGACGCGATTCTCGCATCTGCCGCTGCTGAGCGCAAAGCGCAACAAACTTCTGTAGACGACGAGGACGGACCTACCATTGCCACCACCGGCGCCTCCGACGCCAACAACTATGTCAACGAAGAAGATGATGCAAACATCACGAAGATGGAATCCGGCGCACACGCAGGTCTGCAATCCGCGGAACAAGTCACCGCCGCGCTCCGCAAGCGACAAGCCGAAGAACTGCGCCGTTTCCGCGAAGAGCAAGGCGGGGATCCAACCAGCGGCATGGGTCAAGAGACCATCTACCGAGACGCCAGCGGCCGAATTATCAATGTGGCAATGAAACGGGCGGAAGCGCGGCGCAAAGCCGAAGAAGAAGCCGCGAAAAAGCAAGCCGAACTGGAAGCGCAAAAGGGCGATGTACAGCGTGTGCAACGCGATCAGAAACGCCAGCAACTCCAAGATGCAAAATATATGACGGTGGCGCGGTACGCGGATGATGTGGATCTCAACGCCGAGTTGAAAGACCGCGAACGCTGGAATGATCCCGCGGCGCAGTTTTTGTCGAGCAAGAAGAAGGGCAAGAGCGTCACGGGCAAACCGCTGTATCAGGGTGCAGCGCCGCCGAATCGGTACGGGATTCGTCCCGGTCATAGATGGGATGGTGTCGATCGGAGTAATGGCTTTGAAAAGGAGTATTTTGCGGCGCAGAATCGGAGGAAGAACATTCGCGACTTGGAGTATGCATGGCAGATGGATGAATGAAGGAAATGTTGGAGAATATCTGATTTTCGTGTGGGGAGTGGTTTGCACAATTTCGACAATACGCGCAATGCGGCATCAATTGCCAAAGTATATTTATCACGTTATGGGTTTCAAAAGCGACATGTACGGTTGCATGGGATGATTTCATTGTATATATTACTTTCCTATAATCTTTTCCTTGGTTATTGCTGGACATACCACGGGGCGTTTAGGTGCGGGATAAGTGGCATTGGAATATTAGGGACTTTGTTTCGTGGAGGCGACAGCGGGAATGCCCATTTTTCTCTTCCCGTCATTATCATAATACGCTTGAGAAAGGAAGCTTATAAAGCAAAAAATGCTCAAAAGCTTAGTGGTTCAAAAGCTCATGGTTGAGCTTACTTCTTTTCGCCGGGTGTATTGCCTTTTTTTAATGTTGCAATGGATCGTACGGGTGATAAAGCGGATATTACTGGTCCTTCTTCGACTCCGAAGGCGCCGACTTTGCAATCAAGTCCGCACCGACTTGCAACGTCTCTCGCCAGCCCCGTTGTCTCGCCCAAAAGTGCTCTCCGGGCTTGGCCTCTCTGAGACTAGCCTCACGGGCCTCGTCCTCGAGACTCTTGCGAGTAATCTTCTCTGGTTGGGATTGCTGGTCCGTAGTAGTAATTGGAGCGTTGCCAGCCTTGGCTTCCTGACCGAGCGACTCCTCAAGATACCGCTTGCGCACAAGGTATCTCTCCTTGCGCTCCTTGGCAAGGCCGGGAGACTCCATCTTGGCAAGGACCGTGCTGACGGCAAGTCGTACAACGAGATAAATATGTTCGGAGAAGAAGATTATCAGGAGAAGGACCCAACCCTTGATGCTTTGTGGGGTGCCGCTAGGACCCATGGAGTCACCGCTGAACATGTACACGAGTGCAGCACTTGTGATACTGCCAAACCAGGACAGAAAGCTGAGGCTGTCGAGCCATGGTCCGATAGAGTCTGCGCGCCAGGGAATTGGTCTTTGCATTTCGATGCAGATTTTGATTGCATCTGTGCGGAGTTCAAGCCAGTCGTTGATGAGGAAGGAGACTGCTGTAAGAGGCCAGACGACAGAAAAGAGAGCGAGATAGCCAAACTATGGAAGACAGCATTAGTGATTTAAGTCATCAAAATGAGGGTTTCCTAAGGAAGAGTTACCTGAATGCACATTTCTCGGAGGTCGTCAGTGACATCGTAGTGGTCCAGCTCCGCCTCATTGCGAACGCGAGTCAAGAACGCTGATTCCTCAGGGATATCATTGATGCTCAAGGAAGGAGTGGCACCTCCCTTCTTAGCAGCACGCTCGCTCTTGATCTCCTTGTACTTGTTAAAGCCACGACGCTTGACATAGGGAAGAACGACTTCCATGCCGAGATTTACAATCTGCGCAGTTACGGTGAAATAGATGACCTGTTTGCGAAGCCGATCAGGGTTGATGGTGAAGCCAGATTGAGGAACTTGAAGTTGCTTCTCGTGCTCAGCAAAGGGTTTGACTGTTAAGCTGAAGACGTCCAAGTAAGGAACAAGCAGACTGCCAAATGGTACGTAAACAAAAGCGGTGAGGATAATGGGAAGATAGGAAGTGATGAAGTTGAGGACAAAGATTTTCTGCGTCATTGCAGCTTCGTAAGAATCATTGGTCTCATAATTTTCAAGGTCGTTGAGTTTGCGGGCAATGGCAGTCAACAGAGCCAATATCGTGGGCTGAAGGATGGTCAGAAGACCAGTTGGTAGGAAAACCTTGATAATATTAGCCTCTAGCTCCCCTAGGGTTATTCCTTGATGTGTCTTACCAAGACTGATTTGAAGGGGCCATTGTAGACTTCTGTAATAAAAATCTCAATGGCAAAGCAGGTAGCGATGATGCTGCCCAGTGCTGCGCTAGCCAGAATGGCAAAGGGCAGCTGCAGGACTTGTCGACTGAAACGCTTGGTTGCTGGGAAAATTTTAACCATTTCACCTGTCACAGGATCCTTTTCCTCTTTCTCGGGCCTGAAGCTCGCTCGAATAGTCTCAATCGCAGAGACCCCGCGGACTCCCCATCGCACAGCAAGGTCCTTCTCCTGATGTTTCCAGTACTCGACAAAAACAATGCACCACAGACCATTCACGATTGCGTAAATGGGAGAAAAGTATCCCAGGAGGACCCAGCAGGAGAAACCGAAGAGCGCTGGAAAGAGAAGAAAGGCAAAGTAGGTCTGAAGGAATGCAAAGTAGAATGCAACCTAGCGCTTCATTTAGTATTGCGCTGTTTCAGCAAATATGATGACTGCCTGGAAAGAACGTACCTTTTCGCCAAATTTGTTTCTTATATCATCAAGGTCCTCAAGAGTGAGCGTTGAGGAAGTGCTCCATTTCTTGATCCATTCCTTATTGAAAGTGTGGTCGTGGAGCGCAAAAACAGATTCGACATTCTTCCATTCGCCCTGCTTCGGTGTGATGCCGGCTCCACCCTCAACGCTGGGATCTGTGATGCGTGCGTATACAAGCCTCAGTCGTTCAGACTCAACTGCAGGTTCCTTGCTCAAAGATGACTGGGTCTCCTTGTCCGGTTCTGCAGCGCGGACTCCGTGCAACCAATCTTTGACTCTGCGGTAGAACGTTAAAATGGAAACGCTTGACAATATCGCACCACTTCTACGAACCTCGACCTGTAGATCTCTCCAGTTAAATGACCCTCAGAATACATCTTCACGAAGACGAGCACCGAGCAATCGTCTCCTGGCCTAACGGCGGTCGCGAGCCCCACATCAGTCAGAGCACGGATAAGCTTCTCGAAGCCGGCCTGTGCCTTCTCTTTATCTGTGGAACAATCTTAGACGCTATATCATCCGTTATCAAAAAAAGTTCTCGGCTCACCAGTATCCTGGAATCTATAACAAATCACATAATCGACGTCAAAGTTGGCCTGCAACGCATTGCCGTGAGTCGTGTGAGCCGTCATGGTGAAAGCAGCCGCGATTGCTTCAGCGGTTGCGAACAGAGAGAGCGCAAGAGTGGATGGAAGGGTAGCAAAAAGAAGACTCTTATAGCACTGCCTTCTTTAACGCCCTCATCCAAGCTGGCTTGGAATGGAAAGCAAGAGACAAGGAAGTTGGCAGCTGCTGGAGGTGCCGGTGGGGAGTTGGGGAAAGGTTGCGGTACGACGAAACGCGTATAAATTTGGCAGCCTGAGCAGGTACCCGTTTGTTTGGCTGGTGAACGGGCCGTCCCACGTCATCAAGGCCCAAAAGAGGTTAGCCCAGACCCCGAGATTCCCATCTGCTCGCTTGTCGGAGATTCGGTAGAGGATGACCGATCCTCCGTTATCAAGATCAGATAAGCCAACTCTAATTTCCGAATGCCAAATTAAGAAATTACTCTCTACAGACACCCAGAAGGGGGGAGAAAGAGAGTCAAAGTGCTCAGTAAGTGTCGATATATATATAACGGAGATGCATGCAATTGAAATCGTTTTGATACAAGGAACGGGCAAGACTCAGTCAGTCACTCGGTTCTCGTAACTCATCTTCTCTCCTCGAGTCAATTAATTGTCATATTCCCGATGCTGCTTGTGAAAGGGTTAGTGACTGTTATTGACTTGAATTGCCATAATCTCCGGCCGCAGTCGCATAGCGATATAATCAATGGCATTTCCCCGTTTTCCATTTGTAATTTCGCTCCTTTCCCTTAGGTCATACCATCTTTAATAATTTTCGTTGGTCTCCGAGTCGCGAGAAATAACCTGTGGACCCACATCTCCCGTCTTTCGTTTCGGTCTCGCTCGAGATATAGCAGTCGAACCATCCAACCAGCACAGTTTAGCTCATCCACGTGTCCCACAGTCGCAGTCGTGCGCTGCACAGCAGAGGACTCCGTCAATTCAAGGATTCCTTGTTCAGCCGCAACTCTCCCGGTGGTGCTGTTTCCAGCGCACAGCTCAGCGCAGGAACGCGAATGTCTCATCTTGATTCAATATCGCAACGCGATGAACCTTATATAAGTTAGAAAACTCCACGGTTTCCTATTACGCGCGGAGGAGCGGCCGATACAAGTTCGTCATGCCTCTGATCGTCTCAAGAAGGGGTTCCATTTTCGAGCCGCTGTCGCCCCTTGATTACTTCTTCGAGTCCCCGCTCAAGTTTATCGCCTGTCGCGTGTACCTCTTCCTGCTGTCACTGTGTCGGCCTCCGCGACCATCAGGACCCAAACGGAAACCGCTGCGGGTGGTCTGCGTTTCCGACACACATTGCCATACGCGTCCGCTTCCCGATGGCGATCTGCTGATTCACTCGGGAGACTTGACGAATATCGGTAGCGTGGAACATATCCAAGCCCAGGTTGACTGGCTGAAGACGCTTCCGCATACGGAGAAAGTGGTGATCGCGGGTAACCATGACAGCTATTTCGATCCAGCTTCAAGAAGAACGGAAGATCAGGATAAGTCAATAAATTGGGGCGACATACATTACCTGGAGCGATCGTCGGTGAACCTCACATTTTCCACGCACGAAGGAAGAACACTCAAGATCTACGGTGCGCCGCAAATCCCTCAATGTGGTGGTACAAACTTTGCTTTCCAGCACCCGCGTCACGTCGATACGTGGTCCGATTCGGTTCCCATGGATACAGATATTCTGGTTACGCATGCCCCTCCAAAGTACCATCTTGATCTTCCAGAGGGCTTGGGCTGCAAGTTCCTTCTGAATGAGGTCTGGCGGGTAAAGCCGACTCTCCATGTGTTTGGTCATGTCCATGCCGGTCATGGTCAGGAGATTGTTTCTTGGGACGAGGGGCAGCAGCTGTATGAAAGGATTGCTGCAAAAAGAAGCAGTGGTATTTTGGCGGATATGGTTGACATCCGCGGTTGGCTTGACGCATGGAAGATTTTCTTTTACGGCATTCGGAGTCTTTGGCGATCCAGGATAAACGGTGATAGCACCGGAATGGGTTTGATGGTCAATGCGGCATTGGTGTATAGAAGTACTGGCAAGTTGGGAAATCCCATCGAGGTAGTCGAGTTATAGATTTTCTCTTTCCTTATACTCATGGCAACGTCTGTACAGGAGCCAATCCGACTGCTCGTGTATTTCAATTCTCTTTTTCCTCTTGAAAAAGTCCAAGACTCTACTTAGATTCCAAAAGTATTTTACTTTAAGAGAGCACATGCTCCTAAACGCCATACTATATCCGCTATGCAAATTGTTATGCTTTTTGCTGCAGTACTATCCGTAGCGCCTCAACCAGAAATTCCGATGAAAGTATCCAGCAGCCTTATCGCACAGAGATGCTCCCAGATTTAAAACATATGCAATGCAGAATGAAGACGATATGAGAATTTCATAAGTCATGAGCCCTCCCACACACATGCCGCAGGTGACCTAGCAACACTTTCCCTTTTTACGCATTTCTTCTCCTATGCCAGGGTCAATGCTGTCCTCGCCGATGCCAATGTTCTGTGGAAAGCCAAGCCAGGATCTCCTCTTATCGCCATGACCGACCCGGAAGCTGCCAGAACCATCATTTCCGGCAGCATCGAAATAGCCCGTGTGTCCATCGGAGCCTGGAGTCATACCTGCCTCCAGGGCCAGCTCTCTTTCGATCCTCTTGTTTCGTTGTTCGACAAGCTTGCGCGTGATGACGCGGAAGACCTCCTCGACTCCTTCACCGTCCTTAGCACTGATCTCGTGACAACAATCCCAGCCAATCTCTTGGCCCCAAATTCCCGAACTTCGCTTGCTGTCAGGGTTTTGGAACCCACCGGGCGTGCTCACAGCCACAGGAGGCGCTGTCATGAGCGAAGGGTAGAGATTCTCAGCAACATATGCAATGCATTTTTCAAATGGGACTCTGCGCAAGCCTGGGTCTTCAGAGACGACATCGCTCTTGGTGCCGACAATGTGAAGCACAACCTCATCGCCCAAGTTTCGTTTCAACTCAAGAAGCCATTTCCCCATTTCTTCAAAGCTCCGCTCATCGGTCACATCATAGCAGAGCACCGCCGCATTTGCACCACGGTAGTAGAGTTTTGAAATTGAACGAAAACGCTCTTGTCCCGCAGTATCCCAGATCTGTAATCGCACTGTCGTATCCGACGTGCTGTCTAGAACTCGTTTCGTAAGGAAAGAAGCGCCCACGGTCGATGCCGTGCTGGCAGGATGGAAAGCATTCTTCACATAGCGGTGTACGAGCGAAGTTTTACCAACACCTGTAAGCACCATAAATAAAATGTCAGCTCAGCACACGCCTTTTAGTTCCCCCTCTCCTTAATTCCTTTGTAGAAAGGGTCGCGACGATGAGACGACAGGTGAAGATTCCTTACCCTGCGAACCCAGCACCACAATCTTCGCCTCGAGACTGCTGCTCATGCTGGTGCTCTGCTCCCAAGAACTGCTTTCACAGTGGGAGAGCAGCAAAGGGCGAGTGGGAGAGGTAAGACGGAGCACCTGGGGGGGAAGGCTGGTTCAGCTCCAAGTTGGGCCGCAATAATGATACTAAGGCAAAATGTCATTTCGCTAGGACCCTCCCGCAGCCTAGTCTATCCGTCGCTCGGTGAGAAGTCAGTCAGAGAAAATACGACTGCCAAGCAGATAAACTTTATATGACCTGCTCTGACATTTTCAACTTCGGAGCGGCCTGAAGTTTGGAACCATGAAGAGTAAGTTTCGAGAGAAAGATTACTGCTACGAGGCATCCGGCGCAATGGGGGTATAACACTTGTTGCGACCTGACTGAGGAATACCTGGTCAGTGCGTCGGTATCATTAGTTACATGTCGCGTCCCATTGAGTTCAAAGTAAATATGCTGAAGAATTTGACTATTTGTACAGATTGATTACTCCTTGGGAGGAGTCTCATATAATAGGAAACAGCATACGAATTACCGACACCACAGTTGGAAGGCCATGAATGGGCCTGGACGTTGCAGCGTGCCCATTCAGGAAGTGCCGCCTACGGTTATGTCATAGTTTGGCCATCTAATCCGGCAGATTTATGACATCATTGATAAGGACCAGAGACACTGAAGATTAACGTGAGAGCCATTTTCGAAGGGTATCAGATTCACCGCCTGGTTGTTCGTTCTGCCCATCACCTTCTCACCGTGTTTTGCTTGGATTATTCCTGTTCGAGACAGAAGAATCTACTTAAAGATTAGTTAGTGGGAGCTGCCAGACGAGAGAGGGTGGCGGGGTGGGGCGGAGCGGGAAAGCCATTGCTAGCGATAGCTGTTGCAAGTTAAAAGAAGGGGACTAACTCCATTCCAGACACATCCGATCGACCGAGGTTAATTCATAAGGTGATTACCCCACCATTAGTGACCTTATAGCAAGTATCATGGATTGAGACTGGCCTGAATCTGGAGATCCTTTCGGGTCTAACGGATCAAAGGGAAGTCCATCAGTGTAGACAGTGTGCGGAACGTGACGTCGGCATTTCACACCCTTTTATCGCATGCTCTTCGCGTGGTTCAACATGCACGCATGGTCTTATATACTTTGCCGCTGTATTATAATCCACCCTGGTTGATTGGTCTTAACCGATCTCCTTGGCACGCCCCAGAGCTTCTGCCTTTCACCTGTTCCATAACATTTTGAATATTGACTCTAATCGTTTTCTGGATATTCTCATTAGAGTTTGGAGCAGCTTCTTGTTGAATGTTCGCAATTGGGTAGAAAACAGCTGAGCTGCTATTGAGCCAAAATGAATCGCCAAGGCCAAACCCAACAGCATAAGCTCCACGGTGATGAAGTGGGGAAACATAACTCTCGCGAGTCGTGTTGGGTCATTGTGCATGGACGAGCATACGATGTGACCGAGTTTCTACCTGAACATCCAGGTGGACAGAAGATCATTCTCAAGTATGCGGGAAAAGACGCCACCGAGGAGTTTGAGCCCATTCACCCGCCAGATACGCTCGACAAGTACTTGCACAAGTCTAAACACTTGGGCGAGGTGGATATGAACACTGTGCATCATGATGAAAAGCAAGCCGACCCTGAAGAGGAGGAGCGACAAAAGCGAATCGAGCGCAAGCCAATTCTCGAACAATGCTACAATTTAATGGACTTTGAAGGCGTCGCCAGGACTGTCATGAAGAAAACTGCTTGGGCTTACTACTCTAGTGGTGCCGATGACGAAATTGTAGGATCTCTAGACTTAATTATTACCGTTGAAAGGGTGATGGCACTAACGAATGCGACTCAGACTTTGCGAGAAAACCATTCGGCCTATCATAAGATCTGGTTTCGACCGCGGATATTAGTCGATGTGGAGAAGATAGACCTTTCAACGACAATGTTAGGCACAAAAGTCGACATACCATTTTATGTCACTGCAACGGCTTTGGGAAAGCTTGGCCATCCGGAAGGTGAGGTGGTGCTGACAAGAGCAGCTAAGAAGCATAACGTGGTGCAAATGATTCCAACGCTAGCAAGTTGCTCATTTGATGAAATTGTTGATGCAAGGGAGGGCGATCAAGTGCAATGGCTCCAGCTCTACGTAAGTTTTGAAGTGTCGGGGTTGATCGGAGAAAATCCACAAGGCTAATATTGAACGATTCGTAGGTGAACAAAGATCGAGATATTACCAAGCGTATTGTGCAGCATGCTGAAAAAAGAGGGTGTAAAGGGCTGTTCATCACTGTTGATGCACCACAGCTCGGGCGACGCGAGAAAGACATGCGTAGCAAATTCTCAGACGTGGGATCAAATGTTCAGAGCAGCAGTGGCGATAACGTTGATCGTTCTCAAGGCGCAGCTCGCGCCATTTCCTCCTTCATTGACCCATCCTTGAGCTGGAAGGATATCCCCTGGTTCCTCAGCATTACCAAGATGCCCATCATCCTCAAGGGTGTTCAGCGAGTTGAGGATGTTATCCGAGCCATCGAGGCTGGGGTTCACGGTGTGGTTCTCTCGAACCACGGCGGCCGTCAGCTTGATTTTGCGCGGTCCGGTATTGAGGTCTTGGCCGAAGTCATGCCAGTCCTGCGTGAGCGTGGTTGGGAGAATCGCATTGAAATCTTCGTTGATGGCGGCATTCGACGAGCGACGGATATCATTAAAGCTCTCTGCCTCGGAGCAAAGGGAGTCGGCATCGGCCGGCCATTCCTGTATGCTATGAGTGCATATGGTCTCCCGGGTGTGGATCGCGCCATGCAGCTGCTCAAAGATGAGATGGAAATGAATATGCGTCTTATTGGATGCTCTAAAATCGACGAACTTAACCCTACGTTAGTGGACACCACAGGTCTCAATGCCCATTCCACTTTGGTTCCCGCCGACACACTGGGATTAAGGGTTTATGACCCGCTAGGTTCGCCACGAGAGCAACCAATACGCTCGAAACTGTAAACTGAAGACGCGCAAGGGTATTTGGATAACGGCTGTATAACTCTATAGACGTAGGATGACTGTCGCGTACTTTGGTGTTCTCATAATAGCATAATGTATTAGAAGAAGTCATATAGCAGTGTGGAAGCAAGGTATGGTTTTGGAAGGTGCTTGCTGATTTGGCTTATCCTTCGGACAGTATCCTCTCAAGCACCTTCCTTGTTAGACCATGCGACAGGCAGTTGTTAACTTTGCTTTCTCTCCCACACGTATAAGACGTCACCAACCCATTGTTGGGAACAACAGCTTTCTCAAATGTCCACCATGTTACAAAATCAGCAAAACGAAGGATTCGTGCATATGAACTGTTTATCCACTGAAGATTTTGGCATCCTGCGAGTTGGCGAACAACCACCTGCCGCCTTATGACAATATTGACAGGTTCGTCTAGCGACTTCAGTGATCCATGCTTCTTGTCGGTTCTCCACTCGAGATAAACGAACGAACCCCGCCATGGTTAAGATCCAATCGGTCCGCAGGTAAGCCAGGGGCATTAGACGACTGATAAGGAGCTGTCGCTCATCACTAATCGAATCATAGAGCGTACAGTCCTGAACAGAACACACTACCGTTGCTGCTCCAAACAATGGAGGAGGGACGCGTGCCCTTGAAAAATCGGCGAACGCAGGGCACGAGCACTGAATATCCCTTTATTTCGGTCGGAAAGACTTTCATCATGCTTAGGGGAGATATGGGAGGTCTTGTTGTGAGATTACAGCTATACCTTTCTGAGAATGAAAGGAGTGGCTTGGATATGGAGACGTGTCGTACCGCGGCTGATAGGGCAACTCATTGGCTAGCAGGGGCTGTGTCACTCGACGAGGCTGCCGCTCGTCCAAAGCAGATATGGGACCGCTGACCGGCTTACTGGTCGTGTTATGCGCACCCTGTTCCCCTTTCTCAGCTCCCAGCATGACCCTTACTGATCAGGCAGTGTGTGTGACTTGCTAAGCTGTGTTTATTCTCGAGCTCATTGTCGTTCAACTTGGTTTATCTAAGAGGGTTCATCAGGGGAGACTCTTCGCGAGCCTTTACCGCCATGTCGGGGAAGACCGTCAAGGATGTGAAGGCATATGTCGACGAGATTGTCGACGAGTTTCGCACAGGAGCGCAATGCATGGAATCGAATCGCAGGGGCCATGACTGGCCTGAGGCAAAGATACAGGAAGCAGTTGACCTCTATGAGTCGCTGTTATATGGGCAGTCGTCAGTCCGCTCCGAATTCGAGAATCACTTTCACCGTTTTGGAAAACCGTTTCAGGCCGGTAATGGTATGCCTCACAAACGTCCGATACTCTGTCTGCCTGCTCGTTCTTTGTATTCGGGAAGATGCTAATTTGGCCACTACGTTCAATTCAGAGAGTACTCTCGCATCATTGCAGGCTACGTTGGTTGATCTACAAGCCATGACCAACTCATTACTTCGAGGATGGGTACGGGATGCCCTCAGCTTGGACTTCACAACATTATACGATACGGCAAATGTAATTCGTAGCGACACCCTAATGGCCTTGGGTCAACTCTGCCGACACTTGCGGGAAAGCCTATCGACCTCGGATGAACCACCAAGCCTCTCTTCAACAAGGTCCTCCTTTGAAAGTTTTCAAACTGCCATGCCGCCTGCGCATGAAGCACGGATCGCGAATGGTCTGTCGTTGCCTGCCAATCTTAGCACTCGACGACTGTCAATCCGGCAGAGCCCGACACGGATAGTATCCCTCTCCAGTCACCATTCCCGAGAACAACTATTTCCAAAAGACTCGGCGATTACTGTAGACTCCAAGTTTTGTCTTCCAGATGTCGCCATTGATACGTCTGACCTCACCACTCTAACAACACTGTTCCAAAAGGAAGAAGCCGAAAAACCTGCCCGACTCAATACCTTGAACCGGGGCATGTCTCGAGGTATTGGATCGATTAGAAGCCAACGGCGAGTCTCTTCTGACCGTGGAAGCGATAAAGAAAGCGTCATGAACAAAGTCCTTTCCGTTGTCGGTTTTGGCTCTGGAACAAATAGCAGCAGCGCTTCACACAGCACCAGCAACAGTAATAGCCGCAGGAACAGCGCCGGCAAACCTCATCATAATAATGACAGCATGTCTCCCGTAACCTTGGACTCCCCGGCCTCTACAACGTCCGTTCCTCGAACTACTTACTCAATTTTCCCCGCAAATATGAGCTCGCACGCCCCCGAGGTCGTCAATCCTGACATGCTGCCGCTGCGCATACCACCCACGTGGCCCTCTCCCAGCAACAATTACAGCGGCTTCTGCAAAGGCGCATGGAAACTTCGCGAAGGCCTCAAAGGCGCCATGCGTCTTCGTGAACGACCTATAGGCATGTATGCCACGTCTTATTACTGGCGATGCGACAAGTGCGTATTCGAGGGTATCGTGCATGGTCCGGACAAGCGACATGCCGCCTTTGATGAACGAGTCCGGACCGCTCATGGAATCCAATACCGTTGGGTCTTTCTTGCCAAATGCCATGTCTACAAGGGACAATACACCCCCGATCAAAGCGACTCGCTCGGCTGCATCTTTTGTTGTGCCGAGGGCCTCAGGACACCCGCTTACGGTAACGTCGAAAGTCTCTTGTTTCACATCTCTCAGAAACATCGTAATGCTGGCGATGTCTTGGGAAGGGAGTTGTTAAGTCGCATCAAGTGCATTGTTGGCCGAGTAGCTCTTCCAAAAGAGGATTTTGAGATAAATATCTTGCCTGCACAAGAGATTGCCGAGTTGGAAGCAGATAATTAGATTGATTCTCTGTTTTCTTTCTTTTCTGCTTCCTCCTCCCTCTCTTCTTTTTCTTCTGTTGTAAACTTCACTTGTTCGTCTACCCTTTTATTGATCCCCTTGTTGTTGATTTTTTCTTTGGCCATCTCTACGCCAGATCTCGTTCATCTCCGTTGGTTGGTCGTCTTGCTGCTCGTTGTTTTTTATATACCCATTTGATGCCCGCTTATTTTTTTTTAATTTTTTTCCCCCTTTCCTTTTTGTTTCAACGCAACTCCCATTACCTAACTTGGCGAACGCAATGACGATGTTATGAGCCTTTCTTTTTTTCCCTCTTTCTGATGCGCATTCGATATGAAAGTTCAGCACACAATTAGCGAATTTCTTGCGTGCATGTCACCGTCTCAGCATGTTAGCATGTCGGCATGTTCAATTGCAGCGAAGGCGGGAGTACGAAGTATGTTTTTGGTAGGAATACCAGATTCAGATAATATGTAGCAAATCAAATCAAATCAAATCAAAATAACACTTAGTTTGGTAATGTAATTTAGTGTAGATATTGAATTGAACTTGTGATGCTATGTAATACTCCGTAGTATACCGATATCAGATTCAGAACGAAGCATCGTATATGTGTGAATTGTTAAGGTGTTGTGATGTGTTGTGGTGTGGGCAATACTAAAGCAAATGACCAGTGATTGGACAGAGAATGGAAAAACGAGGATCTAGGATCTGAAATCGAAACAGACTTTGACCATTTGAAAGACGAAAGAAAAACCCGCTCAAACAACTCCAATAAAGTTACTGAGATGACATGAACATGACAGAAAAGGAAAAAATTAAGGCGCCCATATGTCTTTGTTGGGAAAACAATAAGAAGAGGAAAAAAGAGGAAGAAAATAAAGAAAGTAAGCAGGCGGGAAACAAGATGATGTCGTCACCGAGTATCAGATGAGAGAGGAGACAAAGAAGTAGTCAAGAGGTTTGAGGAGACGGTGTGAGAGATATAAAGGTGCGGGGAAAGTAGAGGAATGGATCTCTGGTTTTACATGAGGATACAGCATGAGTTTTGCTTCTTGGCCTATTTCCATAAATTAGTAAAATTTCTCCTTGTTGCTGTGTATATGGGTAGGTGTGATTGAAAATGCTACGAAGAAGTAGGAGAAAGAATGAGAACAGACGGGAAGGGAAATGAAAGGAAAACGAACGGAAAGGAATTAGGGGGAAAACAAGACATGAAAGTAATGGAAACGTAAGAACGCACCTGCGTGTAAAACATTTTACTCTGAGAACTTAGACCGTCACTCTTGGCCACCAGGCTGTCAATCTTCTCGCCACGCTCCAAAACACTTTCAATCGTCTTGTGCAGCACAATCTTTGTCTCGTCCAGCTCCTTTTGGATCTTCAGGATGCTGTCCGCCTGGTGCGGGTCCTGGTATTTCACAATGTAGTCTTTGAGTTCAGGAAAGGGAAGCTGGCAGTCGGCGGTCGTAGTAGACCATGAGGAGCGCGGGTTGCGCGAGAGGAACTCGTCGACGACCTTGGATAAAAGCTGGTGCGCTACGAGCGGTGGGTAGTCGTGGTCGCTGATAATAATGCCTGCGACGCCTTCGGACCGGCCAAATGCGTGAATGGTGTATGCTAATAAGTTGTTAGTATCGGATGCGATTGTCCCGGAAATTGTATGATGCTTGGGCTTCGGCCCCGGTGTGTTGTGAGGACAGAAAGGTAGGTATCCCGGATGGTCAAGGGATCAGGTGCCGCTTACATTGCTCTTCGACGTCCTGTCGTTGTCCGGCACCCGTTGATTCGGCGACTTTCTTACTGAAGAAAGTCATGAATTCGCTTGCACTGGACATGGAGAACAGAAATTAGTATAAATTATAAGGAGGAAGCGGTGGGTTACGGGATGCAGCTGCGATTCCGAGATCAAGGTGAGGTAACAGGGTAGAGGTCCAGAATGTCGGGAAATATACCCTCCTCTCGTGAAGCGACCGAATGTGCTGAGATCCTTTTCCGCACATAGCTCGACGGCAGGTGACGGCTTCTCATTCTTCAGAACCTGTTTGGTTTGAGGTCGCTCGTCAGTTTGTGGTCCATTATGAGTGACGCGGTGGTCTAGAGCTCGGGGAAGTGCCCCGCCACGAACTGCCTCCAAGGCAACGAGCTGATGAACATTGGGGATGACTTGAAGAGACGTACTCCGATGTAGAAGAGCTTCATGGTTGCGAATTTATTATAATCTGGATCTTTCTTAATGTAGAGAGGCGAGAGTGGCTGGTGAAAAGAGGTTTGTACAAGCTGGCTCAGGGGAAGCGGAGGTAATGGTTTCCAGATGTTTTAGATTGATAGGGTTCCACCTGAAGCGATAGCGGTGATGGGCAGTAAGTTATTCGCGATGTTCATTGTCACTGCTGTTCTCTTTGGTCTACCCGATTCACGAGCCAATCAGAATTAAGGGTCTTAGTAGCCGAGAGATTTGATATCGACCCCAGATGTTTCCTCTGGTTCGTTTGATTCCATCCCGCATTTAACATTCTCGATCTTTACTCTTGTCTTCACGAGGCATGAGAATAAGCACGACAGACGAATAATTGTATTTCAATGTTTGACGAGGGCAATAATGTAAGCAAAGTATCTACGTAATAATAGAATGAATAGGGGAATTACATGGTTAAAAAGCAAAGTTAAAATCCCCACTGAACCAAATACTTATCCAAGGTTGTTGCACTATGCTCTTTCATCTTCTCCAGCTGCTCACTCGACTTTTTCTGAATAAAAGATTCCATGAAATAGTACGCTTGACACAATTCCTGCGAGAACCACCACAGGTCAGCAATATCACCCGCTGCTCGGATGGTGGAAGGCCTGTGCGTGACGCCGACGTGCCTGAGTGCGGCGTCCCAAGCGCGTGGAAGGTTCCATTTGTTTGATTGAAAATTTGGAGGGTCATTCGATTTGGCTTCTGGGTGCGCTGTTCCCTTTTTGGAAGCGTTACCATCATCATCATTCGCTTTGTCTGAACCATGCCCGTCTTCGCTGGGGAATCCAGAAAGGAGCCAGTCTCTCAGTCGGCCCAAGGGCTCAGCCGAGCCTGGGAGGAGCCCGGGAATGTCCCAGAATGAGAAGAGCCATTCGGAGATGGGGCTGCCAATGTGGGCAAAATCAAAGTCCATGACGGCCGTGAGCCGATAAGTGGACGGATCAAAGAGGAGATTGGGAAAAGCTGTAATTGTCGAGGAACATCGTCAGTAGGAAACGGAAGATCAGGCTGATGTTTGTTTTTCTGTGATCTTGATGCAACAAAGAAGAATGGAAAAGGCAAAGCGATTGATTTTGGGTTGGAAGGGGTTCATTCTTCAGGTAGCAAGGAAAAGGATTTAGGGAAATAGGGGAATCGTACCAAAGTCTCCATGAATCAGCGTAGGTCGGTTTTCAGTCTCAAACTCGCCGGATTCTGATATCTTAGCCAAGACGTGATTCAAGCCAGTGGCACTGGTGAAAAAGGCGTCTAGGCGTTCGCGGAGCAGCCGGCCATTGGGCTGGCGGTAGTCTTTCCACCGGTTCAAATGAGCGCTCTGGTCACTGGCGTGGAGTTGCCAGGTGCACATTGCTTTGCAAAGATCCGGATATGTAGAAAAGGGCCCACCGCAAGGAATAACCATAAGTGTGTTGACTATTCTCGCAGCGCCGCTGATGCTTTCTTGTTGATTTGGCTGGAGATTAGCGACATAATCGAACCCGAGTCCGCCATATCCGCCGACTGTCTCAGGCAAGGTATAATCCTGCAAGGATTTAATCACCTGCGCCATCTGGCGCAGAACAAGTGTCTGTGTTTCTTGATCCAGTCCCGAGATATCTTTTGGCGTTAGGTTTGTACCCGCCATGTATTCTTCCAGTATCCATCCAGGCGTCGCTCTTGTCGTTAGGCCCGACACAGAATCCAAGTCCGAGCCATCATCTTTGTATTGCTCCCACGCATAAACTCGCGGAATAATCGAATTATAAGGCAAGCTGTCGTTCGATAATGTTGAGAATAGAGCCATATGGGAAAGTGCATCACGTGCCAAAGCCAAAAAAGCAACTTCGTTTGCTATCCGGACTGAATTTTCCAGACTGACGTCCCTTTTTGAAATTCGTAACAGTAGCTTGGACGTGCCAACAGGTATTTGCGAGGAGTAGGGCTTCAAAACCGAATGATGAAGAAAATGATTTATAATCCCGGACGATGGCGCTGCTTCTGAAAATGGCCGATTCAGGTCGATGCGATAAACATGATTATTTTTGGCTCTTTCAATTTTGTGCACGGTGAAGTCTTCAAGGTCAAATTTGTCTTTGAGTATCGTGCGAATTAGCGACGTGTGCTCAGGATTTAGAGGGCTCGACATTTTGTTTCTTTTTAAAAATAAATGCCTTTGAATATGAGGAAAAGAAGAAAAATGTGATCAGAGGAGACAAAGATAGGTTTTAAAAGGCAGACAAATACAGTCGCGTGATATCAGCCTACGGCCGCAACAAAGAAGAGCGGAATGGTAAATTGGCAAGCCAAGGCGACAGTCGAATTAACCAAGGGTCTTCTCCATTCCTTTATATCCTCCTTTTTCTCTTCCCCTCGGTCTCTCAACCTGGTAATGGGTTACTCGATGAATTCGATTCGGGCCAGGCAAGGGTTTCGACTGGTCGATGACATCCCAACCTGGGATAGAACATATCTAGGGAAATCCTGGTTTGAAACGATGATGCTGATACCCAAACGCAATCGCTCTGAAATGGAAAGGGGTCCCATGTCGTTTCCTCCTTTCCTTGGGCCGATCCATCCTCCGGCTGCAAATGCAGAGAAGCTGTCATGGGGTGCCATTGGGCGAAGACGTTGCTGAGCCGCACGGCAGCAGAAATTAAATATGGGCATCCCTGACAATGAGAGACTTGCTCTTCCGCCTTGAGTCCCTGATAATTATTTGATTTATCAATTCGAGCATGATGGAGCTAGGCAAATCCATTGGCAACTCTGTGTGGAAAGAATCGACTCCCAATGTAACGTTGCTCGTATTTTGCACTACTTTGGCTGCTGTGCCGTCTAGTACCAGGCACAATAATGCAATCATTCCGTACCTAGCGGCCCCATGGAAGGCTCTGGATATGGCGTTGATCCGGGGTATTAATGACGAATTGGAAATTCCCCACATCCTTTCCAAAGCCCCGTGGTAGTTGGTCGAATGACGGCGAAACTGATGATTGAGATGGAATGCACAGTGAATTGTCTGCTACGTACCGGGATATAATTCCTTGAACGACCGCAATTTATCGGAAGAGCTCGCTGCACTTCTAGTAAGGCGTCAGTGGCTACTGACCGCCGATAGAACAGCCTCTTCGTAGAGGTGTTGACGTCCCATGTAAACAGTTTATCTTCGGTTAGACTGACGGTAACTAATGGACCGAGGACTTTGGCGGCAGCGGCTTTGAAGCGGCAATTTGGCGAGCGTTAACTTATCGATAAATTAAGTGACTAATAGACGAGTCGAGCTCTTGCCAGTATAATAAATGGATTTTCCAGCAACGTCTATTCGTCGTCACGAGCAGTGAGAAAAGCGTCACATTATTTATATTGTCTGCATTTTGCTAAATCTGATTTTAATTGGTTCCTGCAGTTCTTGAGCATTTCTTTTCTTTATTTCACGAACCGTCTCAAATTTGATTTTCAACGCCCATCTTCTGACTCGCCGAGAATCTAACCTTTCGGCCGACATCATGTCTGCATCAGTTCAGTCCGCAGAGACGAACTGGCTTGAGCAGTTGCAAGCTATGCGTGCAGCTATTGCCGATCTTAAATTGCCTGGCAAAGAGAACCTAGATGGAGTCTCTTACGGAAGTGACATTGAGATTGATGATGAGGAGGGGAATACAACCGAGTCAAGTGAAAATGCCAGTGATGGGATCTGGGATCTTATCTATGGCAGCGAGGACGAAGATGCAGACAGTAGTGACTTTAGCGATGGAGTAGAAGATCAGTATGCTACTGCTGAAACAGCTGGTACTGGATATGACCATGCATGGCTGAACAGGAAATGTTTCGAATTTGCTGCGCGAGGGCAAGGCCTTGATGCCTCTGCGCTAGTTGATCAAATTCTAGCCGTCCTTGCATCTGGTAGTTCTGGTATGCTTGCACCACTAACCCAATTCATCATGTCGTGTGTTGACGAGTAAAAGATGAGGAGCTGCAAATGTCCCTTGCCGACATCGTTGGATATGATGACCTCGATTTTGTCATTGATCTTATATCCCACCGAAAGGATCTCATCTCTTCAACTTTTGCTGAAGATAAGCCCCATAAAGGTACGTTGGGCCGCCTTCAGACAAAGCGTGAGAGGGAAGAATCTCTCCGAAAGCAAGACTTTGAACACAAAACTGCCACTCTTGCTCCACATATGGACCGCGAGGGCCCTCAGTATCCACATGTATACAAGTCCCATGGTGCAGGAAACACGCTTTCAACGGGTGGTCGTAAATATGCTCTTCCTCACGGCAGCGAAAGAAAAGAATACGAGGTACATCATGCTCAATCTCTACGTTGTGGACTATATAATTGACAAATTTGCAATAGAAATATGAAGAGTATTCTATTCCTGCAACAAGAACAGGCACTGTTGGCAAGAACCAAAGTCTAGTCGAAATCGCCGGTCTCGATGGACTTTGTCGAGGCACCTTTAAGGGTTACAAGACCTTGAACCGGATGCAGAGCTTGGTTTATCCAGTGGCGTATAAAACAAATGAGAATATGCTTATTTGCGCTCCTACCGGTGCCGTAAGTACTTCGCCAACTCACCCATTATAGATGGATTTTTACAATGGAATGTAGGGTAAAACGGACGCTGCTATGCTCACCATTCTTAGTGCAGTCGCAAGAAATTGTACCCCTAGTCCGTTCGACGAGCCTGATGCCACCGATATCACAGTTCAAGTGGATGATTTTAAAATAGTTTATGTCGCTCCGATGAAGGCACTAGCAGCCGAAATCACGGAAAAGCTTGGGAAACGCCTTGCCTGGCTAAATATCAAAGTCCGAGAGCTTACAGGTGACATGCAACTTACCAAGGCGGAGATTGTGCAGACACAAATTATTGTGACTACTCCCGAAAAATGGGATGTGGTAACTAGAAAGAGTACTGGAGATACTGAACTTGTACAAAAGGTGCGACTTCTTATCATCGACGAGGTCCACATGTTGCATGATGAACGCGGTGCTGTGATTGAGTCCTTGGTTGCTCGTACCCAGCGACAGGTCGAAAGCACTCAATCACTAATTCGAATTGTTGGATTGTCTGCCACCTTGCCAAATTATATCGATGTCGCGGATTTTCTCAAAGTTAATCGTTACGCTGGGCTCTTCTATTTCGATGCATCTTTCCGTCCTGTGCCTCTGGAGCAGCACTTCGTGGGTGTCCGAGGAAAGCCAAATACTAAAACATCCAAAGAGAATTTGGAGATTGTCAGCTTCGAAAAGGTAAAGGAGATGCTTGAACTTGGTCACCAGGTCATGGTCTTTGTTCATTCTCGGAAAGACACAGTCCAGACTGCTAGAACTCTTTATCAAATGGCTGGAGACCAAGCATGTACCGATTTATTTGACCCATCGGATCATCCGCGGTACGAAATGGCAGTCAAGGACATGAAAAACTCAAAGGGAAGGGAGCTTCGAGACTTGTTGCCTAAAGGTATAGGTACTCATCATGCGGGAATGGCGCGAACAGATCGGAATTTGATTGAACGATTATTCACCGAGGGTGTGCTAAAAGTCCTTTGCTGTACTGCGACACTCGCATGGGGTGTCAATCTGCCCGCCGCTGCCGTCGTCATTAAAGGTACCCAGCTGTACAGTGCACAGGAGGGTAAATTCGTTGACGTTGGGATCCTTGATGTCCTCCAGATTTTTGGCCGCGCTGGTCGCCCTCAGTTCCAGGAAACTGGTATTGGATACATCTGCACAACGCATGACAAGCTAACGCATTACTTGTCTGCTGTCACGCAACAATTGCCCATAGAGTCCAAATTTTCGACGAAGTTGGTAGATAATCTCAACGCTGAGATTTCTCTGGGCACTGTTACTTCCATTGCCGAAGCCGTCCAGTGGATCGGCTACTCCTATCTTTTCGTTCGAATGCAACGGAACCCGATGAGCTATGGAATCGATTGGGCTGAGATCCGAGATGATCCCATGCTGGTCCAAAGAAGGCGAGAGCTGGCCATTAAGGCGGCGCGAGTGCTGCAGCAGAGCCAGATGATCATTTTCAATGAAGTGACTGAAGAGCTGAGGGCCAAGGACGTTGGACGAATTGCTAGCCAGTATTACATCCTACAGACCAGCGTTGAGATTTTCAACACCATGATGCGTCCAAAGGCCACAGAGGCTGATATCCTGAAGATGCTCAGTATGAGTGGAGAGTTTGACAATATTCAATCTCGGGATACTGAATCCAAGGAGCTCTCCCGATTGAGAGAGGAAGCTGTAGTCTGTCAGGTGGATGCAGGAAATGATCAACCACATGCAAAGACCAACATCTTGCTCCAGTCATACATCTCGAGAGCGCGCCTCGAGGACTTTGCCCTAGTTTCGGATTCAGCTTATGTGGCTCAAAATGCAGCAAGAATCTGCCGAGCTTTGTTTATGATTGCTCTTAACAGAGGCTGGGGCCATCAATGTCTCTCTTTACTCTCCCTGTGCAAGTCTATCGAGAAACAGTAAGTTCATTCCCATTGGACCGACGACCCTGTCAAAATGTATATTAACTAAGAGACTAGAATATGGCCATTTGAGCATCCCTTTCATCAATTTGATCTTCCCCAGCCAATCCTTAGGAACCTGGATGAAAAGGATGGAATCACATCAATTGAAGCACTGCGGGATATGGAGCCAGCTGAAATCGGCCAACTTGTCCACAACCAAAAGATGGGTAATACCATTTCCAAGCTTTTGGACAATTTCCCCACTCTGAGCATTGACGCTGAGATTGCCCCGCTGAATCGTGACGTCCTGCGGATCAAGCTCTATATCACGCCAGACTTTAGATGGAACGATCGGCATCATGGAACCACAGAATCCTACTGGATTTGGGTTGAGAACTCGGAAACCTCTGAGATATATCACCATGAGTTCTTCTTGCTAAGTCGGAAGAAATTATACGATGACCACGAATTGAATTTCACTATTCCGCTGTCTGACCCGCTGCCCACGCAAATATACGTGCGAGCAGTTTCAGATCGTTGGCTCGGTGCCGAGACAGTAACTCCTGTGTCTTTCCAACATCTAATCCGTCCGGACACGGAAAGCGTCTATACTGATCTGTTGGATTTACAACCTCTGCCAGTCTCAGCATTGAAGAATCCCTTGTTGGAAGAGATATACAGCAAGCGTTTCCAATTCTTTAATCCGATGCAGACTCAGATCTTCCACACCATGTACCATACGCCTGCTAACGTTCTTCTGGGATCGCCAACGGGAAGTGGTAAGACAATTGCTGCGGAATTGGCAATGTGGTGGGCTTTTCGCGAGAAGCCTGGCTCAAAAGTCGTCTATATTGCTCCGATGAAGGCGCTCGTTCGTGAGCGTGTGCAGGACTGGGGTGGTCGTTTGACCGAACACATGGGGTTGAAACTCGTTGAATTGACTGGAGATAACACTCCGGACACTCGAACGATTCGTGACGCAGATATCATCATTACCACTCCCGAAAAATGGGACGGTATCAGTCGAAGCTGGCAAACCCGTGACTATGTCAGGAAGGTTAGCCTTGTTATTATCGATGAAATCCATCTTCTTGGCGGCGATCGGGGTCCGATTCTGGAAATCATCGTTTCTCGTATGAACTACATTGCTTCCCAAAAGAAGGGTGCTGTACGCATCGTTGGCATGTCTACTGCATGTGCGAACGCAATGGACCTTGGAAACTGGCTTGGCGTCAAGGAAGGCTTGTTTAACTTCCGCCACTCAGTCCGACCGGTACCTCTGGAGATCTTTATTGACGGATTCCCTGATCAACGTGGTTTCTGCCCTTTTATGCAAAGCATGAATCGGCCTACTTTCCTTGCTATCAAGACACATTCGCCTGAGAAACCCGTCATTGTGTTCGTCGCTTCCCGTCGACAAACGCGGCTTACCGCAAAGGACCTGATCAACTTTTGTGGAATGGAAGACAATCCTCGGCGTTTCGTGCGCATGTCGGAAGAGGACCTTCAACTCAATCTTGCTAGGGTCAAGGACGAAGCATTGAAAGAGGCCCTTGGATTTGGCATTGGACTCCATCATGCTGGTTTGGTCGAGTCTGACAGACTTCTCGCCGAAGAGCTCTTCGCGAATAACAAGATCCAAATACTGGTGGCCACCAGTACGCTTGCATGGGGTGTTAACCTTCCAGCTCACCTTGTCGTGGTCAAGGGAACTCAATTCTTCGACGCTAAGATTGAAGCCTACAAAGATATGGACCTGACAGACGTCTTGCAGATGTTGGGACGTGCTGGTCGACCACAATTCGATTCTTCAGGAATTGCAAGAATCTTTACCCAGGATTCGAAGAAAGCCTTCTACAAGCATTTCTTGCATACGGGTTTCCCTGTCGAATCAACTCTGCACAAGGTCTTGGACAACCATTTGGGCGCCGAGATCTCGTCTGGTACTATTGTAACGAAGCAAGATGCACTCGATTATCTTACCTGGACGTTCTTCTTCCGCCGTCTGCACAAGAACCCCTCATACTACGGGCTTGAGATCTCTTCTGAAGAGCATAATACCATGGCTGCGCAATCCCTGGCAAATGATTACATGATTGATATGGTGGATACCTCTCTTTCTGAACTGGCTGATTCGGGATGTCTGCTGGCGCATTCGAATGGCGACGTGGATCCTACCCCACTCGGCAAAATCATGAGTTACTATTATCTCTCGCACAAGACCATTCGACATCTGATTCGCCATGCTAAACGCAACGCTACCTTTGAGGACGTGCTCTCATGGATGTGCTGCGCAACTGAGTTTGACGAGCTACCGGTCCGTCATAACGAAGACCTCATCAATGCAGAATTGTCTGCCAACCTGCCACTCAAGGGTGAGGCCCTCGGCCTACCCATGTGGGATCCGCACGTCAAGGCACATCTTCTTCTCCAGGCATTCATGTCTCGCATTGATCTGCCCATCTCGGATTACGTCGGTGATCAAAACTCGGTGCTGGACCAGAGCATCCGTATCATCCAAGCCTCGATTGACGTTTTGACCGAAATGGGATTCCTCTCGAGCTGTATTATGATGATCACTCTTCTTCAATGCATCAAATCCGCTCGCTGGCCAACTGACGGACCCTTATCTATCTTCCCCGGGGTAGACCTAGAAAAGGAGAACAGCCGTATTGCAAATCCTGCCACGACCTCCCTTAGGACTCTTGTGGAAGTCACATCGGCCGTTTCATCCTCTCCCCACCCCGTCTCTGCCGCTGCTCCTACGGCCAACACAGGAAACAAAGCAAGAAAAGACTTTTTACCCCTGGATACCGCTTTCAAGGTGCTCGATGTCCCGCATTCCGCTCGAAACCAGTTCCGACGCGTCGCTTCCATTCTTCCCAATATCAAAGTCCAACCCGGTAGCATCAACCCGCCGAAACTTGACCTTGCCATCATTCTCACTCGCCTGAACGGCATTGTGCCATCTGGTTCGTCATCAAACAGCCCGACCGGAGCCGGCGAATACCGTATCTGGGCACCGCGATTCCCCAAACCCCAGACTGAAGGTTTCTTCATTATCGTAGCCGATTCGGCAAACGACGACATCCTAGCTCTCAAGAGAGCGAATTGGCCACCTGTGGAGAAGACCCTGGAGAGAGCGTCTCAGGGTAGAAACAACACCTATACCAATAGTAGCGTCAGCACGAATAACACTGCCGCGGATACACAAGAACCAAATGGCAGTACAGCCACCGGTAAACCCAAGGATAAGGGTAAAGGCAGGGCGAAACCCACACCGCCCAAACCCACGGTCCGCTCGGTCCTCAAATTGCCCGAGTCCGCGGCCGGCAAGACGGTCGATATTTTCGTCATAAGCGATTCGTATATCAATATGACTTGGAAGATTGAAGGCGTGGAGATCCCCAACCTGCCTGTTGAGCCGGCTATTGTGGAGGTCCAAGGGGACGATGTAGCAAAGGGGAAAGAGAAGGGACAGTGGCAGTGAACGTTGTAGGAATTGATCACGGTTGTTGATAGTGATAGTAGTGACTGTGATAGTTTGAGCCTACTTTTTTGTTTCTTCTCTGTCTAGGCTGAAAGCTTGTAGACGTGACATACGATATAATCTATAGATGAGTTTCCGATAAGACATGTACGGCAAACAAGCACGGGCAAAAATATTTGGTCTATTCTATTGATTGAAATTGTAGATATAAGTTCCAGACATGTGGGGAAAATCCAGGATAAAAGGCTCTGCCTTTTTCTCTTTTTAGTAAGACCGTATATAAACTGAAAGTGCATCGGCCAGAAATTTGGAAGGAAAAAAAAAATAAAAAAAAATAAAATAAAGGTAAAGGGAAAAAAATCGTAAACGGTCCAGCCAGGAAGAAGTGGACTATAACAAAGAAAGGGGAGCATCTATGATAGTGCGCGGACAGAGCTAGCTGTCGAGGTTTGAAAAACGCCGGACCATAGGGATAACAAGGAGAAAGGAGAAGGGAGGTATATGAGATAATGGTAAAGAAGATTCGTAAGACGACAGTTACTTTGGGAGGGAAAAAATGAAATGAAATGAGAATGAAAAGTAAACTCTTTGCATGGAAAAAAAAAAATGAACTGAAATGAAATGAAAGAAAAATAATGAAAAAGAAAATCTAAGATTCCTCCACACTGACCATTTGAGACTTTCGGCTTGCGTCAGGGTTTTGCCACGAGTCGATCAATGTCGGAGTAAGCGCGAGATGGTCGAACACTACCGGGTGAGACTGGGTTGGGTTTCGTCTCTCGGTGGCGGCAGTAGCGGCAGCGGCAGCAGCAGCGGCAGAGGTATTAGCCCCGCCTACGACTTTTCTCGGTACTACGGTATTGTTGAAAGCATTCAATGCGCTCGGGAGTGGGTACTCGTCGAGCGTGCTTGTGATGGTGGGGGTAGTGGTGATTCCAGTGGTGGCAGTGCTGTTTGTGGGTTTCCGCGCAATGACGCTGCCGATGGAAGACATGCTGGTGTTGGCGGTAGTGTTGAGGGTGGTCGAGGTGGTGTGATTGTCGTTGTCGGTGGCATCTGTCTCGGCTGTGGCGGATGACGACATGGACGACATGGTAGATGCCATGGTGGGCACGTTGACGGGGACAATGGCCGGGGCATAACGGCTGCCGTTGGGCCCGTTGCGTCGGGATATTGATATTTGGCGAGCAATTGAGACTTCGGCCGTAGGGGTGGCGAGGACGACTGCGAAATCCATGTTTTGGTTAGAAATGAGATGGTAAGGTAAGACATGACAAAGGCCGCGGGAGAGAGGAGAGCAGAGATAAAAGGAGAGCGGGGAGATAATATACCTGGCGGGTTGCTGCGGCGGCTGCCCATTTGGCTGGATCTCCTGCTGTTGCGGTTTCGCGGACGTGCATCGCCGGTGTGAGCTCGTTGGCGCTCCTGGGAAGGCGGTTTCGGTAAAGGCTTGGAATGGCGAATGGAAGATCTACGAGTCCGTGGATGATGATCCGCGGGAAAGGCAGGGTAAGATGCTCCAGTTTTGATGCTGGGTCTTGGCTTGAGTGCCTCGCGCGGAGCATCAGATCTCCTGGTGCTCTCTCGTCGTCGTGCTCCGGTGGGTTCGGTATAGGAGCGCTGAAAGTGCTTTTCTACAGGCCCGGAGGTTGGAGACGTTGGAGAGCCATCACCACGGCTGGAGCACGGGAAAAGCGAGAATGACGGTGAAGGGAGAGGCGAGGTTGCACTTCTCTGAGGACGTAACTGGTGTTGAGACCTCGGCTGGGTATGCTAAAAATAAGAAAGAAAAAGAGGTGAGAAATTGAGACTCTCATAACTGTTAGGTAGAGTAAAGAGCGTACTTTTGAAACATCAGATCCTTCTTCCTGCACTGGCTCAATGCCAAGCCGTGGTGATTTTGACTGGAACCGTGGAGGCTCAAGGACATTTCCGAACATAACACTGTACCGTTCCATTTCAATCTTTGGAATATCCACCTTTAGGAAAGACTCCTGTTGTGGTGTCGTGAATTCCGCGCCTTCGTGCGGCCATGTCGGGCTTTTCGGAGGCGGTGCTGGTCTAATCAAATCAATATCCAGCGGGGGATATCCTCCCGGTGGATCCGTTTTGCTGCGGTTGCGAGCGTTGGGATTCGATGTCAGAGGCTGTTGCGGTTCCGTCTTCTTCTTAATTGTTCGTTTCCGGCCTCTAAGGGCAAGAGAGGCGGATCGGCCGAGGCCTTTATTAAGTTTTCCTCCATCACTGGATTCCTTCAAAGGCACCTGGGCGATTTGGTAGATTGAGTTGTCCACGGACGGCAGACCATTTTCTGGAGACTTCCTTCCAAAGAGCCCTCCAAGGAACTTCCATTTTCCCGACTTTTGCTTGGATTGTCCTTCATTGCCTTGGCCGTCTTCCGCAATGAAAGGGGGTGCTCCACCTTTTGGTGTTTGCAACTTGGACGTGTCGGCACGTTTCAATGGCTGATTCCTTGATTCGGGTACTGTCGTGATGTCGTCCGCTGGTAGACAGGGAGGAGTGCAATCAAACATGATTTTGCGGGTTTCGGTCTTCTGAGTAGATTGATTCTCGGTTTCACGCCCGGCATTAACTTTAGGTCCCTGACCTGGTGGTGACATGGCGGGTTGCTTTCGGAGCATGGTCCTTTCCTTGGAACTTGCACGCTGATTTGCACGCGCACGAGAAGTGCTTCTTTGAGGAGCAGAGGAAGTAATAGTTGTCTGGGTTCCGTAGGCTATTTGATTGAGGTCCTTGAACTCCTCTTTCACTGGAGCAGGGCCTGGTAACGGTTTGGACTCGGGTTTGGATGGTAGAGCTTTGAGCTGCTTGAGTTTGAACGAACGAGATCTTCCCAATGGGACATTCATGATGAAAAAACAATTGTAAGAAGACCAGCTTCTTTCACACGAAATGAACGCGTCAGACGAAAAGAGTGACAATGTACGAGCCTGAGCTCGACAGCAAGGGCAGTCAAAAATGGACGGAGATGGCGAACTCGCGCTGCTCTCCTAGGGCAGAAAGAAGGGAGCAAATAGTTACAGTAGAAGGGGCAAAAGCCGCAAGAGGGAGAAGTGTGAAAGAAGAATGGGCCAGCATAAAGGGCAAAAGAAGAGAGCTCGTCAAGAGGGCAGCAAGGGAGAGTTATTCCTTGTGCCTAGTCGTCACTGATGGCGGATTAACAGCAAGGATCACCCAAGGCGGGTAGGGGTTGAAGGGGGCCAAAATGCAGAGAAATGCTTTGATTCTGTGCCGCTACGATGCAGCACCATTTTCAACGGGACACGAGGATGGAGAACGAGGCAGACGCTAATCATGGACGAAGCTTCTGCTCGTTGGTTGTTACGTGCGGATGTGGAGATGGCGACGATGGCGGTCCCCCTCTCTCATCGCATCCGATCGAATAATCTCATCTCCATATCGGAGTAGTCTACTAGCAACCTAAGTGCACGGTCCAAAAAAAGCTCCGATGTCTCAATAATGTGGCCAATTTGACCGGGCGACGCGTGGGACGGAGTGGAAGAAATGAGCGATGCGGGTTGAGTGTCGGGTATGTTGACGGGTTCAATGTTTCACCTGTGATAATGGTGCGAAACGATCCCCTCGCGTTGAAACGGATGTGCCTGCAATTTTAATCTCACGCTCCCCCTATCAGGGGCACATATCAACCGAGATTCCACCAAATATCAAAGGAGGCTGCCCAACTATAACGTGGCGGCACAGACTGCGATCATCCCTGAGGTTATTTCGGCTGCATGTAACTTGCGCCGCCGATGGCTTTTTGATTATTTTTATACATTTCGTGCTGTACTTTATGAAACTGGGATTCTGGAAGGGACAATAAGGCTTTCCGATCTGATGTCGTCAGGGGGCAAATCAATGCACGTCCATTCGCTAGGAGAAGACGACGTAACCTTAATGAGCGTAAATAGTAACCTGTTGAAATTGATTCATTAGCATCACCGCAGCACGAATATAAGCATGATAAAAGCAAGCCCTGCCATTGACTGGACCGGGATTTTGTTGAATATTCAATATATTCCATGTCGTCCAAAGCACGCACTTGCCCAGAAAAGAGAGGTGAAGCTTCATGATTGAGTCACGTGACAATCGAGTAGATGCATCAATGGTCTGTATAAAATGCCGTATAAGTTATTGTGGTTCCCCCTCGCCCCTCCCGTTCCGCCCCGCTGCCGTTTTAGCCCGGCGGGGCAGTTGCTGTTCGTATCGGTACTTTGCTCCTATTGAGTTGCTCAGGTTTCGAGCCCCAGCCAAGCTGTTCATTGTGGGCGTCTCGATACGGTGTCAACGCTCAGAGAAGTCCTTTTTAGGGAGATGATGATGAAGTCGTGTATTCATATTATCGTATATGATTCTCGATTGTCTTGTCACGACGATGTGGTAATCTTTTGATCAACAGGATTGGGGTGATGGACGGAACAAGCATATAAGTACCTGTACGAGTCTCGCAATGATGATGAGAGCAACGAGCCCCATGGGCGTTGACCTGGAAAGCCTTACGTAGTTGCAGAAACAGAGAGGCTTTGCCTTTGGCTGAGTGGAAAGGATAGTGTAGACTTGAGCTGTGGCGGCCCACCCCACTTAACTACCTACCTAAGGTAGGTTACCTGCTGTGCTGTTTCTGTGCTGTTTCTGTGCTGTTCTGCTGTTCGCGGTGAAGATATTTCTTCCCTTGTGGCAGTTTGACTGACTAAAACTGCCCTTTTCTGCCCCCTTCACCGCCTACCTACAGCTACCTTAGCCCACTCTCACCTCACACATAACCCCCCTCACTCAACCTCTTTTCCTCTCCAACCGACCGAATCTTTTGTGTCCCACCTACACCAATCTTACCTGCAACTTTCGATCTGAGCAAATTTGTCTTCTGATACCTTCTTCTCGTTTATTTCGTATTAGATTTTCTTACTTCGTGCACAATGTCTTGGCAAGGTGGGTGATTCATCTTTCTGATGCTATATTGTTTGTTGACGCTGTCGACGTGAACATTTGCTGACTGCTGATGGTGATGGTGAATAGCCTACGTTGATACCAGGTAAGCTTTCTGGATCGCTGCGAAGCGCCCGGTGTCACCCTCCTTTGTCGGCGAAACACCTTGTGCCATTCGGTTTGCTCGCCCAATACGACGCTCTCGACTGACTCATCTCGTTTTCCTTTTCAGCCTGCTTCAGAGCGGTAACGTCGACAAGGCCGCTATCTACAAGGTCGATGGCTCGCAAGTTTGGGCTGCCTCTGCTGGCTTCTCGGTACGTGCATTGTTCTACCCGTTAAATCCGATAGTCTCTTTACAGGCATTCGTCGAGATTAGCGTTCTATTTCGCCGGCGAGCTTGCGCGGTTCGATATCATTTTGGAGATTGCGAATGACGTTGACGACTATGAATTTGTCGAATCAGCCATCGCCATAGCAATATCTATTTCGTCTACAGAAAGCATAATATACTAACAAATGGTAATGTCAACAGGTTGCGCCCGCGGAAATGACCGAGGTTGTCAACGCCTACAAAGACAGCTCCCAGGTCTTCGCCAACGGTCTCCATGTTGCGGGTGAGCGGTACGTTGTCATCAAGGCCGATGACCGAAGCCTGTACGGCAAAAAGGTGCGAATACTCCTTCCCGAAGAGACGATCCATGTCAAATGAGCTTGACTAATAGAAAATCATGATTGCAGGGCAAGGAGGGTCTTGTCATTGTCAAGACGAAACAGACTCTGCTCTTCACCCACTACCCCGAGGGCGTCAACCCTGGCTCGGCCGCCAACACTGTCGAGGTGTTGGCTGACTATCTGATTGGCGTTGGATACTAGAAACGGAAACCAAACACACAAACCATGTCCGCGTGACGAGTGAATGGAACGACTCGACGATTTGCGCCCTTTAATCATTTCTTGACATCTTCGTTATATTTTTTCTTCTTTTTTTTTTCTTCTCATCTCCGTCGTGCACTCCGCCACGCGCCGCACCGCATGGTTGCTGTAATTTAAGACACGACTCGTGCGTATGCGGGAGCACATCTCGTCTGCAGAAGTTAGGATTTAAATAGAGAAGGGCTACTCAGCCTTCATGAGAGCAGGGCTGCAATACTTTTTGGGGGAGTCGGAATTTTCCTTCGTATCCAACTTTTTGTGTACATGTGACTTGGAGATTTTCAACGCCAGAAGCAGTCGAATGCTACTGAAAAATAGTCTACAGGTTCATCAAATCATTTCTCATTATATTACACGTAGCATATGACGAATGCCTCGCCTCGCCTCGCCGCTCATCCCTCCGTCTATCAAACATGGATATGTACAAAATTGTATGGGAAGAGATGGTTTCGCAGACCTGTGAGCGTTGACAATCAAAGATGTAGGGACCCTGGACTCCAACATCATGGAAAGCCTTTTTAATGAGATTCCTCAATCGAGGAACCCAAACAATAGCGGAGGTCTAGCGCCCGTACCTCTGCCGGAGCCGCGTATATACTTACCTCTATACTTTCTTTGCTTCCTTGCGCACAGTGAACCTTTCTCCAAGGACTTATCGAAAAGAAAACTAAGGTTCCGCAACCAGTTCATACCAGCGTATCCTTTGCACGCCAGCAGGTAGATGACATGCAATGAAAAACTTAAAACCAAAAAAAAAAAGGTATGGAACCTATATCACTATTGACAAAACGCGTACACGGAAATGCAATTCCCGGCGTGAAAAAAAAATGAAATGTAAATCAAACGGGAAGTTCAGCATTTCTCCGTCCGCCCGTCGCGCCACTCAGCCTGTTCAGCGCAAACGCAAGATAGGGTCCAATGACAGGAACATTGCGGACAAAGCCCGCCGCGGTCGCGAAGAAGTCGCCAAACAGTATCAGGATGCCGTAGAGCTCGACGCAGAAGCCGACGAATGGCCAGCGCAGCAGGATCAGGAGTATGCCGAACAGGAATGCCGCTGTGCCTTTGAGTTTCTGCTGGCGCATGAAGAAGTAGAGTGTTTTCTGGGGGCCGATGATGAGGGTCAGGCCGAGGAGAAATAGGATCTAATAGCCACTTGTATTAGTACCTATGTTTGTGGTAATACCTCTAATAATCGAGAAGTGGTGGAATGTAGGTGGAAGGTGATTGAGGACGTACGTTTCCCATTGCGAGCCTGCGATTAATGATTGGTTGTTTGTTAGCAATCGCAGGTCAGGAAGAGAGAGCAGGGCAAGAATCCGCTTGTCCCGGAAATTCAATCCAGGAAAGCAAGAGTATGCAAAAACGTACATGGCTCTATCGAAGAACATGATCACACCGCCGGTGAGGAAGAACATTCCTGTTCACCATGTTAGATTTATTTATTCGAAAGTACAAAACATGGATAGATCATCAGGCGCGTGCGCAACGTCGGGTTCAAAATAAGACATTGGGTTTTGACAGGTGCCATTCCGTAGTTCTTGGCGATGGGAAATAGAGGGTTTGGTATAGTTGTGTATTGTATTGAGGTTCGGGATGGAAATAGAAAGCAGAATAACAGCCACATCCTATGCCTCGCGACGCGCAGGGCATTGAGGACGCCAGTATTATCCTTGTTCTTTTTAAACATACCGCCGGAACAAAAGGCCACTCCTATCTCTGTACATGGCACGTATTGTTAGTATTATATACTGAGATATACGACGCGTGTAGCCAGAAGGAATTGGCAGAGAAAGAGAAAACGTACTCTGCATGTCGGACAACCACATGCTAGGCATCTTTGCGACAGTCTACCGCAATGGCAGGTTGGATTGTTATTTGGTGGATTGCGTATGAGCAGCTATTTAGAAGTAGCTCTAGTATATTATGTATGGATGATGCCTTGCGGTAGTGGTCGTGGTAAATTCAATTGTCGTAAGGTTGAATGTTGACAGTGTGCTCATAGAACATGCGACGAACACCTGTATTGTTGCGTTGAACTTCGGGCGAAACAACCAACGACAGGAACCCTGGAATTATTTCCCCTTCTGCAGGGGGTCCGCGTTCATCGAATGCGATACCTGTTTATAAGTAATTCCTATGCATTTTTTACATGAAAAGTACAGTAAAGAAGGTACTTGCAGATAGAGCGGAATTTGCCAGGGTCTGTGCTTGTAGCGTCCCAATGTCAACTTTTTGACGACTTCCTTTTCTTCTACTTTCATCTTTCTTTTCAATCACCCAGATAAATGGACAACAAGCAACACCACGGATGGATGTGTTTACAATGATATCTAACACACTTCTCCGTTCACACTGATGAGCTTGAGCTTATCACGTTCTTCTCATACAAAACCACGAGGCCGTAAGACGCTTCATACTCGCTCTGATATTAACCCTCTTACGCACAGCATAACCATATCTATACATCTGTTTCCGCCTAGGCGACAATGGCAATTGTCATTGTAACTGAGTCTCTGACCCGTGGGATTTTCGGTATTCTGTCTTCATGGCGAAGAGCAAATTATATTCATTTTTAAAGTGTCTTGTAGCTCCAATTAAGCCGGAGCGCCTTCTTGAGCCTTGCTTCGAAAGGGGCTAGGTGGGTGGAGGGGGCTTGACTTGGAGGGCTATACATTCTATCGTAATCGATTCTACTCCTTTATTTTTAACCGCAGAAGAGATATCAGAGGATTTGGTGTTGAAAAAAGTCATTCGTTGAAATTGCAAGTAACATATCCGCTGAGGCGTTGCACTGATATCTGCTGCCATCGCCAAGGGATGGAGACAAGTGAAGAAAGTCTCAAAGAAACGCAATGAAATGTTCAACCCCGCTTTTGCTGACTTGAGCCCATACTCATTCGCCCTGCTCGACAGAAAAAGAAAACAAATCAATGGAGCGCTGCGTAGCATCCCAATGACCCAATAACTCCTTAAACGCTATTTCCCATGCCGTATATCATCCTGCATTGAGGAAAACCCCTCCTCATTTCAGCACAACATGCGCGCCCCGTGCTTCCAGGTATTGTTCCGCCGCGCCCTGTCCAAGAGTCCGTACGACGCCAAAAATCTCCTTATTGTGATATCGTAGCCGCGTCTTGGGATCCGTGTATGGTGCCAGCAGTCCCGTAAGGTCGCAGTACCGCTTTTGAGAGGCCGGGTGCAGTGAGGGTGCAGACTCAATGTTCGTATATGTTGCGACAGGACCATCGGAGACTGCAAGGCCAGAGAGATTCTGCGTTGCACGCGCCACGCTGACGTTGTCGGGACCTCCACCAGCGCCGGGCTGTGGTGTGGATACTCCGCTGTTATTTTGAGTTGCCATGACCGATGCTTCTTTGCGACTCGCATCTGCGACGATCTGCTTCACATTTTTATTTCTGCGAACAGGCGGATTCCAGTTGGGGTTCCGGAACGGCTTGGGAACCGGGATGAGATCCAGCGAGTCGAGGAGCTGTTGGTGGGAATCATCGGCGGCCGGAGTTGCAGGGGCCATTGCGGAGGTCACCGTTTCACGAGCAGAAGGATAGTTGCTTTCAAGTATGATTGATCGAAGGATTTCCCTCAAATCTTAGCAACGTGAAACGCGTCAGGATAATTGAATCGAGTATCATCAGAGTAGTGTCCGCCGTGAGTTCATAATTCCTCGTCGCACTGCACACCTCGAAGCTTCGGAGTTGATAGCGAGCAGGGTAACCGCAAGGTGGTGTAGTGTAGTGTTTGTTTTCAACAGTCACGTATCTTCATTTGCAGACCACAACCTCGTCAAGTGAGTGCCATTTTCTGAATTTTTAAGCTTGAAAAATTTGAGTAATTTTGCTTGGCAAGAGGTTTAGGTTGTTACTACAATGGTGAGATGTTCTATCAAATACTTGAAGGGGTACGAGTTATATGCTAACATGCCAATAGGAGAGCCCTCATGAGCACCAACAAAGCCTGTTGCTGTCACGTATTATTACAAACGTGGTAAGTTACTCATGGCGAAAATTATATGGTCAGCAGCTGACACGACTGAAATACCTAGGGCAAATTAAATGAAGCTGTCATGGTCCTGAACCAAAGCCTTCAAGTAAGCTGGGTTCTGTCACATGATATATAGAACATCGACATCTCACACCGCGTTTAGGAAATCAATATTCAGAATATGAACGTCGAATTGGTAGCACAGATGTTCAAGAACTATCAATCGAATGTTTTATTCCATCTCGAAGGTATGCAGCTAATCAATGGTTTCATGATTTTGTAGGGTCCCAAAGTTGGCTAATATAACTACACAGCTACCGACAGCCTTCAACCCCCTTCATAACGGACTTTTGTGTGCTTGTCAATATCGCATTTCCTACTGATGAATTCGAGCTTTTATTGGTGTTTTTCTGGCGTTATACATCTTTGTAGGCTTGCTGTATAATTATCAAGTTTAAGATTGTAGATGAAAGCCATAAGTTATCAGTTTAGCGAGTCAACCCGCATGGAGTCTATTCATTGCGGAATGGTATGGGGTAAGAACCATTAATGAGAGCTTAGTGTGATAATTATCTGTCCCTCATAGTATCTTGACCAAAGGAGCTTACACATGACGTGCCCTTGAACGAAACCGCCTCACGGTCCCCTCGCCACTCTCATCAAATCCTCAAGGTAATGGTTCGCGCAATTCGCATGCAACATTCGCCGATGTGTCGATGAACCCTGAGACTCTCGAGACTGTTTTCCTGACCGCCTAGCTCCTCGTCGATTGCCGTTGAGACGAAACTACCAAAGCAACATGACGCAATTAAACGGCACCATTACTCCAGCTCCATCAGGAAGGAATACGCCCAAGCCTGCTCCTAGAATATGGAGCGTGAGCGATCCGCTATTCCGCGGTTCCAGAGCGCCACCGCGACAGGTCTCCATCCAACCTCCGGCGCAACAGCCTGGGCCCGACGCGGCCATCATTATTGACAATGGTGAGCTTCAGTGCATTTGGTAACATTTCGTTCTGCGCCAGGCAATGCTAATGTCATAATTACAGGCTCCTGGCAAACAAAGGCCGGTTGGTCGTTCGACAAGACCCCAAGATTAACATCACCTCCCTTGATGTCGCGCTACAGAGATCGGAAGATTGGCCGCACTTTATGCTTTGTCGGCTCGGATATATACGCAGATGCGACTACGAGAGGGCAATCCAAATATGCATTTGACCCGGGCAGCAGTATTGTCGGCAACTGGGATGTCATGGAAGGGATACTGGACAACATCTTCCTGAAGCTGGGCGTGGACGGAGCAGACGGTGGTGTCGGAAGACCGATTGTTATGACGGAACCGGTAGCCAATCTGGGGTATTCGCAAAAGAGTATGTCTAGGCTTTCACTGCTTTTCTTTAAGAATGGAGGAGCAAATGACTGATCTTAATGTTCCAGCTATGACGGAAATTATCTTCGAATGCTACTCCGCGCCATCACTGGCATACGGCATCGACTCGCTATTCTCGTACGACTACAACAAAGGTTCGACGGGTCTGGTCGTGTCATCTGCACACACATCAACGCACATAATCCCCGTAGTGGACAATCGAGCACTGCTCACTCAGGCCACGAGACTCAATTGGGGCGGCTACCAGAACGCCGACTATCTCATGAAGTTGCTACGGCTGAAATATCCCACGTTTCCTGGAAAGCTGAACGATACCCAAGTGGAAGAGATTCTCCGCGAGCACTGCTACATCTCGCAAGACTATGAGCGAGAACTGAGCAGCTACCTCGAATGGACAGGCCTAGAGGAGCGCAACCACGTTGTGCAATTCCCTTTTTCGGAGCAAGCTGTGGTAGAGAAATCACCAGAAGAGCTTGCCCGAATGGCAGAAAAGCGCAAGGAAAGCGGCCGACGGCTCCAAGAGCAGGCCGCAAAGATGCGATTAGAGAAGTTGATCCGCAAAGAACAAGAACTGGAATACTACAAGTCTCTACAACAAAGAATCACTACAGAGACGAAAAAAGAAACGAAACGCCTCCTCGATGCCGAAGACTTCAAAGACGAAATTGCTCTCGACAGACGGATCAGAGAACTGGACAAGTCTGTCCGCAAAGCGCGGACCAAGGACGTTGGCGGCACGGAAAACGAAGAGGATGAAGAGCCTCCCACGTTCCCGCTCCTCGATGTTCCGGATGAGGAACTTGACGAAGCTGGACTCAAGCAGAAACGGCACCAGCGGCTGATGAAATCCAACCACGAAGCCCGACAACGTGCCAAGGCAGAAAAGGAACGCGAGAAAGCCCGTATTGCCGAGGAAGAACGACTCGACGAGGAACGCCGCGATAAAGATCTCGAAGGATGGTTGGATGAGCGACGAACAGCACGGAGCGTAGGTCTTCTCCCAAGCCGCCCCCTCTTTTGCTCATTGCACGACCCACGCGCCGCCCACAAAATCTTCTGCTATTTTCCCTTCCCCCATATCCAAACATACTAACACCTGCCTTTCCCGCAGACAATCCTCCAACGCATCAAAGACCGCGAGCGGCTCAAAGCCGACCTGGGCAATCGCAAATCACTCGCCTCGCAAATGCGCATGAAAAACATTGCCAACCTCGCATCCGACACACCGGGCCGAAAGCGGCGACGGGGCGGCGCCGCAGCAGGTGGCGACGACGACACGTTCGGCGCCAACGACGAAGACTGGGGCGTGTACCGCCAGATTGCGACAGGCGAAGGCAGCGACGACGAAGACGAAGAAGACATGGACACCACGCTGAAGAACCTTGAAGCGCAACTGCTCAAATACGACCCCAACTTCACCGAAGAGCACACGCTTGCCGCCCAGTCCGACTGGTCGAAGAGCCTCGTGCACGCCTTCTTGCGCGGCCCTTGGCCCTTCAACCCAGAGAGTCAGCGCGAAATCAACCAGATTCATCTCAACGTCGAACGCATTCGTGTCCCCGAGGTCGTCTTCCAGCCGTCCATTGCCGGCCTCGACCAGGCAGGACTCGTGGAAATCGCCAGCAATATCATCACCCAGCGCTTGCCCAACCCCGTGCATCGCGAGAGCATTCTCAAAGACGTCTTCCTCACGGGCGGCAACACCCTGTTCAAGGGCTTCGAGGACCGCTTGAGAACAGAGCTGAGAGCCGTGCTCCCCGCCGGTGCGCCCCTCGCCGTCAGGTCCGCAAAGGATCCCATCTATGATGCCTGGAAGGGCGCCGCCCAGTGGGCAGGCACCCAGCGCTGGAAAGATGCCCGTGTTACCCGCGAAGAGTATCTCGAGAAGGGACCAGAGTATTTGAAGGTACTTTTGTCATCCCCGTTTTGTTCTCTCTGTCTGTATTATTCCCGTTTTGTTCTCTCTGTCTTTATTGCTACTATTGTTATTGTTGCTTTCTCTTCTCTTCTCTTCGTTTGATGTTGATCAAAACCAGCACGCTAACATCATCACCTTTACTCACTTCTACAGGAACATAATCTCGGAAACGCCTACGCCGGATAACTTCCAACCCCCATGTCCAAAGCCGTATCCGAATCTTAGTCCATATCAACAGTTTCTACTTTTACGCTTCACACACTTCACACACTTAGACCCTTCATGCCTTCATGCCTTGAAGCCTTGAAGCGAAAAAGCTACTGGCATTTCAGCATCGTCAAATTTGCACTAGCAAAAAAAGCTTTTCAGATTCTCCACGTCCATGTTCATCTCCATGTCAATGTCAATGTTCAAGTGCAGTGTGAATCGGAGAGTTACGGGAGGGGATGGCGGAGAAGTTCTGAAGAGCAACTCGTTTTAAAAGCACAATGCACAATGTCGCCTTGGCCCCCGTCTCATGTAGTATTACTATCGCCACTATTCGATTACCTTTTCTTTTTTTTTTTTTTCTCTATTTCCCCCCCTTTCCTTAGGAGTTTACGTCAATTAAAAAGCTCAATTTAACTTTCACCATACCGCAAAAATTCTTCACCTGCTGGGCTTTTAAAAATCTCTTGCTGCATACGTAATAGTTCTTCCATGTCTCTCTTCTGCTTCAAGATATTTGATTTGAAACCTAAGCCCTAAGCTTTGAAAGAGTCGATCTTTCCCTGATCGATTCGCGCCAGAAAATCAATGTTAGAAAAAGAAAAGAGAAAAAGAAAAAGAGGAATCCGCGTAGAATATCAAGACGACACATTGCCCTTTAGGTTCCCCTTTGGAGAAAAAGGTGGGAGCAGAGTATCTTGATAAAGTCGAGAGGAAAATGGTGGGGGAAACAGAGAAACTGAGTTAAAGGAAAAGGCAGTCCGCGAGCCACGCATCAAAACGCCGAAAGAAATGCCATGGGTGAGGAGTGAAAATGCCAAAAAAGGGGGGGGCAGTTGAATTGCATCGTCATGAATCAAGGACAAGAAGGGACAAAAGGGGGAGGGGGGCGCTGTGCATGATAAGGGGCGGGGAAAGGAAGCTGTCTGTGATAAGAAAGGGAAAAAAGACGGGATATAGAAAACGTGCGAAGAAGGGTAGCGTACGGCTCAGAATCTTCCCTTCAACGATAATGGACGAGGATAAACAACCACAACGGCAACCTTGATACTCCTTTTTAAAAAAAAAAAAACCCCCCCAGCTCGAAGGGTAAGAAATAAATAAACAGGGGCGACAAGTCGAAAGTAACACATGTAAGAGGGAAAGAGAAGATAGGGGGGGGAAGAAAAGAAAGGAAAAGACACTGGTTAGCATGAACCCATACCGGGACCAGATCAGGATAGAAGAGCAAAAACGAAAGTGAAAAAAGAAAAGGGCAGCGTGACGATTAAGTCGGCCGATTTGGATCTTGGTTGACGCCGGCACCGAGCTCTGGATTTGGCGTACCGTTCTGAGCGCCGCCAATGCCCTCGTTTCCATTTTTGATGCGCTTGGCAGGTGGATACTCATTACCTGCGGTGAGATAGGACGCAGTATCATCGGGTCCGCCGGGGTGGTGCTTAGTTACGTTTCCCAGATCAGCGACGGCCTGGGCAGCAGATGCTTGGAGACGGCTCATGGCCGAAGAACCCATTTGCGCAGTAGGCGCCGGGCCAGGGATATGTTGCTGCTGTTGCTGTGGGGGTTGCTGCTGCTGCTGCGGGATGCCGGGTTGGGTCTGGATACCGTGGTGCATGCCAGGCTGAGGAGGCATGCCTTGAGGCTGTAATGGATCCATTGATCTAGGGTGAGGCAGGTCAATATTCGAGGGGGCAGGTGGGTAGTCGCCCTGAGACTCTAGCAGGCGGGACTGGAGGTTAATAATGTAGTCGCGCAGCTGGTAGTTTTCGGCTTGGATGGCCTTGTAATTCTCGTCGAGGAGGTGGTAGTCGCGAACTTGTTCTTCGAGTTTCTTTATGTATCCTTCCTTGCGCTGTCGAAAGGCACGCTGTTGTTTTGTTTTGTGAAATGTTAATGAATAGTCCTTACGTAAGCTCCATGATGCCGTAATATGGATGGGATGATTTTGGTGTTGTAGTGTGAAGATGGTATTGATGACAACGATGTGACAAAGCAAGAACGAGCGGAACGAGAACAAGAATCCAGAAACAACTCCAGCAACCTCTCTTTTTTTTCGCTCGACGACAGAATACAACTTTTGCGCGCACATTCTTCAAGACAACTACATTTGCAAAATGGCGAAACTTTTTGCGACCAAACTTTACGGGATTTTGAAGGCACCGGAAAACCAGGGACTTGAAAAAGAAAGAAAATGATGGCATTTGTTTTGTCATCGATATTACGTACCTGAGCTGCGCGGTTTTGTGCCGCGCGTTTCGACGTTGAAAGCTCGCGTTTTCCACCAGCCTTTTTGAGTTCGGCCGCAGCTGCGGCGTTGGCTGCTGCCTCGTCGCTGAGATCTCCCGCGCCTGGCGCTTCACCGCCCGGGCTGGGTTGCAGACCAGGTCCAGCGATGGCTGGGTCAATATTGTGATCGTGCGGGCTCATGGAGCTTCCTGACCCAATGTTATCGAGATGGTGAGTGCCAGGCTGGGGTGAGTGCACCTGCGCGAGCAGATGCTCTCGTAGGCCTACGGACGCGCGCGTCAGTATCGAGAAACTTCTTCAATAATTCCTTGCGATCGCTTCTATCAGGAACGCGACATACTTATTTCAGCAGCATTGTCCTAGTCGGTCCTCAGTCAGCGAAACTCTGGAGACGCGATTACAGCTTGATTTTCTTACCTGAGCAGTATTTTGCATGGCGTGTGGCGCCGGAGCTATCGCTGGCTGCATACTCGACTGCATCATATTCAGCGATTGATTTCAAACGCTGGCGATGAAAAGCCGATTTGAGGCAAGTATGATCCGAATGGAATAGAACGAATAGGACAAAAGGTGAACTGCGCTGTCGGCGAGTGCCGCAGACCTTGTGGTGATTGATGGTGGAGAGGCGAATGAAGGTCGCGCCGCAATGCACCAGTATTGTGGGGAGTAGCTCTCTGGACAGCAGGTCTTCAAGCAAAAGATACTACACGTAAGAGGGCGCAGCAGAGACACAAAAAAAAAGCTGTGGTATAAATTGAACAATGTCAGATGGATTCTAAAGAAGAAAAGAAAGCATTTCTGGCTGGAAAGGCTCTGGATCTCAAGGTCGAGTATAGCCGGGGCGTGTTCGCTTCTCTCGGCGTCGGATTGGGTCCGACGAAGTTTGGCTGCCTTCCTTTTCCCACTGGTGCTCTCTCGGTGGTGCTCTTCTCCCGGGGAATGCTGTTGTCATAGATTGTCTTTTTCTACTGATTGATTTTGGCTGTGGTGAATATATATGAACCCAAGTATATTCTAATTGTGACACTTTGCATCTTCAGTGCAATCCTATCCAAGCACGGGATAATTCACTTCTCATATCAATATCATCGTCCCTCGTTCCTTCCTAGGTAGGTAGCTGGGGACGAACACTGTTGCCTCCACTTCGACTGGCCAGAGTTACAATTAATAAGCCTTGAGTCAGTTCCGCCTCGTGATGCCGGATACGGCTATCCCGTTCCGGGAAAGGTAGAGCTACCTCGCGTTGCACAAAATTACATAATGTACAGTACTCTCAGAGCCTCAGCTCAAGTATCAGTACCTCTTTGCGCTGTTGATCGGCTAATCGGCTGACTGATCCGGCGGCACCCCCACTTTGGCTGACCGGGGTGATGACTAAGTGTTTCCGTCTCATCGGACATAGCACCGCCGGTCCAACTATCCCCGACTCGCTCCGGTACAACCATTGAGATTCGGACAGATCCTGCACAAATTAATGATGATGTGCAGAATACATTTATACAGACCCTGCTCAAAAGGGTGTATGGGATGTGGTGATCTTTAGAATACGTATATCTCCCCCAAAACAGTAAAACACCCTTATCCCCCCTTCTCCTTGACACAGATCCTGTTGCTCCCTGTATGCAGTGAAGTCTATCTCCATCCTATTATACATTTTATATACTCGAAAAGATAAGAATCCGTCAACAATGACGCGATCGATGCCCATATGACACAATAGTCGGCCAGCCGATGCTATATGATACAGTAAATGAATGCTTTTCCCGAGTAGTTGAATCTAAGTTGCAATGCCAGCAAGGGTTCTAATCCAAACCCACAGCTTCGCGCACGCGTGTCATGGTCACTGCCGCATTTTGGCGAGCCCTCTCTGCTCCCTTGAGGGCGGTTTCTTGTAAATAACGGCCTCCGTCCGCGTTCAAGACGTCGTGATACTTTTCGCGAATTGGCTGGAGGTGCTCGATGATGCAGTCTGCAACCCGTTCTTTGAAGGCACGCATGCTCAAAGATTCACAGTCCGTGGCCAACTCCTCACAAGAATGCTTTCCGTCAAGGGAATGGGACATGAGCTCAATAAGGTTCGACACGCCAGGACGCGCCGAAGGATCGTACGAGACGCCCTCGATTGAATCCGTCACAGCTGCTCGGATCTTCGCATGAATATCATTCGCAGAATCAGTAAGAATAATTCTCGAACGAGGGTCTTCGTGTGATTTGGACATTTTTAGATGCGGTTGTCGTAAAGACATGACCCGCCGAGCAGGAGCTAAAAAGATCATCAGTGAATGTATTCCATAGCTTTATACAAAGAAAGGACACGAACAAATTATGGTAGTTGGCTGCCGGAGAACCTTGCCATATGCGGCATTGAAATTTACGGCACAGGTTCGAGAAAATTCAAGATGTTGAGCTTGGTCTTCACCCACAGGGACGTGAGTTGCGCTACATAACGTCAGTCATTGAAAAGGGAAAAGCTTGGGAAGGCTAACCCGTGAACCAAAACATCGGCTGCCTGAAGGACTGGATATGAGAATAGACCGGCCTTGAGCTTTGACTTGGTCAATTCTGCTATTGGTGATGCATCCTCTGGCAGATTAAGCTTGCTCTATTCAAATGTCAATAACTTGAAGAACAGGTGACAGTGGTAACAGTTAATAAGTTGGGAAAATCCTTAACTCACCTTCCACTGCGTCATCCGAGACAAATAACCCATTGATGCTGTGCAGCATAATATCCACATGAGTTCAGAATGTGCGGAAACCTAGCCAGTAAATCATGTTAACAATTGCCTTTCTAATTGCCGGCGTCTAAACGCCCAAATACCCTCCGAGACCTCTGAGTGCAATTGACCAGAAACACTCAAGACGTACAACAGGCGGACCTTCCGGCGTCCGCCAATGCAAACCAGGACGCCAACTTACATTGCTTTGATAAAAAAGCATAGACTTATCCGGGTCCAATCCTACTGCCAGTAATGTTGCAAGGGACTCCCTCTTCCATTGCCGGAGCTGTGCTGGGTCCTGTCGTATTGTAATGGCATGCAGATCGACTATGGAATATAACACTGCGGTATCTGGCTCTTCTGCAGCTTCATTCTGTAGTTTGACCCATTGTCGTAGAGCACCAAGGTAGTTTCCCAGGTGCGGGACACCGGTGGGCTGTATTCCGGAGAAAATTACTTTGCTGGGCTGTTTGGGTGTGGACGGTTGAGACTGCGATATGTTGTGGGATTCGGAGCTGGTAGATGATGGTTCTCTCGCTGACGATGCGCAGTCAGGCGAGAAAGTCTGTCTTGGCGAGCTCGATGTCTGAAAGAATCGGGCGGTAGTTGAGCGACTTCGTTGCTTTACGGGACACGGCCGTTGCGAATGCCAGAAAGTGGAAATATTCCGGGAGAAGGATCTGGAGGATGTAACAGGCTGCGGTTTTGGGGCTGTCAGCCTGCTCGCGGAGCAAATATTGACACCGCGCATTGTTGTCGCAGACCGTGGCTGGCCCCTTTCGACCTTGAGGACCCAGATAGCTCTGGCTGCGGAGCGATTGCAGGTTGTGTTCTTGTTGTTGATGCTTTGGTGGTTGCGGTGATCTTCAGGGTCTTTAGGGCCACTTGCTACCGAGACCATATGCCGAAAACGCGATAAACCATCTGAGGACAATTGGGCTATAAAACACAAGAAATCATATAGTCGCGAATCAAGATATATTCAATAAGTCTCTAAAGAAAATTCCTGACCAGATTGAGAATATCTACATGAATACCGAAAAAAGAAATTGGTGACACGCTATTGTACAAGTGCAATTGCAAGTTTTATATCGCCATGACAGGCGATTGCATGGGCCAAATCTCCTGGAGCCCCTAAAAACCCGACCAGCATTATGAAACACCGTAATCAAGCTCCTTCACTCTATAAAATTGAGCTTAAACATTAATCCAGCTGAAGGCACTGTTGCCCTCGGCAGCCTTTTTATAACCTTCTCGGTTCATTATCTCTAGGACCTTCTCCGAGGTCTCGCGCGACTTCTTACGGCCAAAGTGAGCCCACTTAGACTCGGGCACTGGGTCGGGAAGTTCTGATTGAGATCTTGCTGAGCCTATTCAACACTGTGTTAGAAGGGGGAAGGAAGAAAGAGTGTTCCCACTCATGAATAGTCCAGCTAACTCACCAAGCTTCTCATGTTCCCAGACATTTGCCTTCATACCTACACCATAATAGGCATGTTGCCTCAAAAATGCAAGCCATAACTCGACAGTTTCCGGGTGGCCATCTTGGATCTGGATCAATCGTCGTAGTGTTTTTCGCTCATAGTTTTCCTGGCTCTTCTTGTGGACGAAATTACTCCTTGGTACCGTCCATCTCTCTGTGATTCGTGGAAGCGGAACCGGGCCAGAGGCCGGCAGTTTCAAATAGTAAGCGGCTCGAAGGGCGAAATCGCAGAAGAATTCGAGATTGCGAACGCTATACGACCGCAATTGAAGATCGCAGGATGGCAAGCCGTACTCGGCGTGTCGTCGCAACGGTTTCAGGTAGACTGCTTGGACGCTCCGAGGTAATCTAGGATTGATCTCTGGTTTTCCTTCCTTCGCTGGCGCTTGCGGGCTGTAGATATAGTGATCAGAGCAAGTTCCCTGGGGGTGTCTTCTTTCTTTAGCACCTCCTGACTTACATTTGCGAGCTGTTGTTCTGTTGAGGAGCGGCAGCAGATTCCTGTGACCTGCAGTTCCATATCAGCAACGACCACTTAGGAAGTCAACTCAACAGTTTAATCCTTACAGGGTCGCCGATGGCCCTTGTGCATTTCGAAGCCATGCTGAGCTTGAGATGCATGCGCGTGACGGCTGTGCGGACCAAAGAGGGACAGCCTGGCGGGAACAAAGTGTCAGCATTTCCGGTCAATATGACAGCACCACATCACGAGGACTGACCTTGAAGCCTCGCACCAGGCCCCAGGGGGATCGCGAGGCCATTGAGAAAGCCATTTCAGTGACCAGATCGTCAACACAAATTGCGACTGGTAAAGTGTTGCATCGGTTTCCTGTAGAATCTCCGTCCGCGGAGGTTGCCGTACTACGGGTGTTTGGTGGCTCCCGCCAAAGAATTTCTCTCGTGAGTACATGTACCGCTTCAGGCACACTGCGCAGTAACTGGTATAAATACCTGAAGAACAGCTGCCCTCTTGGCGTCCCCGGATCTATCATTTACGCTAGAGACGGCTTTATGAGAAGCAAGCAGACTGATTTCTGATATTCGACTGCGCAGCTATCTTTCATTCAATATGGGCGAAATTGCGCCGGCAAATATCTACCTAAAGGCCAATGAAACAGCCCAGTTTCTTAGGGAACGACTACCAGAGCCGCTGAAATCCCCTCGGGTTGCTATTGTTTGCGGCTCTGGTTTAGGCAGTCTGGTGCAGACTCTTCATCCTGAACCTCTCTTTGCCATAGACTATCATTCTATTCCTTACTTTCCAATTTCTACTGGTAGGTGACTGAGCAACCCATTTTCTTCCGCTGCGAGTGCATATATCACGGGCATTGTAACTTATACGGACGACCCCACGTGGGTGACTCGCAGTTGCCGGACATGCTGGACAGCTCGTAGCTGGGTTCCTGGGCAACACGAACACTCCCTGTGTTTTAATGGTTGGACGATTCCAGTTGGTCTCACATCAATTATCTTCATGCAAAATTGATGGAACGATTAGCTGACGGTGGGGATTCATTCTTTTCATTCATCTAGCTTCTATGAAGGGCACAGTCTCGAAAAGGTCACGTTCCCAGCTCGAGTCTTCAAATGCTTGGGGATCGATACTATCATCCGTGAGTAAGTCCAGCAATTCCAGGCTGATGTTTGCTAAAGAAGAAACACCAGTAACGAACGCTGCTGGCGGTCTTAATCCGGATTATGCGGTCGGTGATATCGTAGTGATCAATGACGTAAGGATGCATCAGCTATCCCCAAATGCAAAAAAGTATGCGAAGACTCTAATCTCATGATCTCTAGCATCTGAATCTGGCTGGGCTCGCGGGCGTACATCCTCTTCGAGGACCCAACGCAGATGAATTCGGCATCCGATTTTTGCCCCTCTCAGACGCATATGATTTAGAGCTGCGGCGAGAAGCTCATCGCGCCTGGTCCCAACTTGGTCCTGACCGCCGTCGAAGGAGAATTCACGAAGGAGTATATGCATACGTGTGCGGTCCTACGTGAGTTCTGAAATACAGTGAAGAGACCTCAGCACTTCAATCTGATTGCCTCACAGGTACGAGACACGTGCAGAGTGCCGCATGCTCCGCCGTCTCGGCGCAGATGTCGTTGGCATGTCAACTGTACCAGAAATCGTGGTGGCTCGTCACTGCGGCCTTCGAGTTCTGGCAATGAGTCTGGTCACAAACACCGCCGTCCTCGATCCAGGTCCACGAGGAGACGATTTCCATTTGGACGAGACAAGCAGCGAGGAATTGCACAAGGTCATGGAAAAGGGCATGGCCAACCATGAAGAAGTCATCGAGGCCAGTCACCACGCTTCGCTAGTCATGCAGGTATGTCGAAACAATCCTAGATGCAATTCTCGTCTGCTAACAAACTGCAAAGGAACTGGTGCGGCACTGTGTGGACGACTTGAGCATAAAGGCCGGCGAAGTAAAGGGATAAGGTCATTCTATAGTTTCAACCGAGCCTTGTAGATAGAATCATCCATTTGAGATTACAGATTCTTGGTCTGCTCTGGCATATGGAAAATCGTGAAACTGCTGCACGAGTCCACTTCAGCCGGCTGGGTTCTGAGAAGGCTTTGAGCTCCTGAGACGGATTTCACGTCTCGCGTCTCTGCCACAAGAGCGCTTGGCGTCCTGAGGAATGGTTGTAGGGTCTTGCGTAAAGCCAATAGCCAAGAAAGGTTCTCAGCTTCTGAGTCACAAAACAGCTCAACCTCGTTTAGAACGCTTGGCCTTGAGCGCTTTGTAGTATGCCTTCTTGCCGCTCGTTTTGGAGTCTTGAATATCGTTGTACTTCCTCTTGAAGCGACCAGACTCCTGTTCTCCAGCAAGGATCTCCCCCGCCAATGTCTGTTTTCGTTCTTTATTGGACAATCTCGAACTGTAGAACTCGGTAGGTCCTTCAATGATAGTGCCAACCTGCGAGAATTCTGGCACCTTGTTTCTTGAGCTGTCCTTTTTGTAGTGGCGTTTAGGGTCGAGGACCGATCGCATTTGCAGCAGCTGCAAATCCTGCTTCAGCTCCGGGGTGACGTTTGTCTTGGGCATATTGAACCAAGCGCCACCAGCGTCGGCCTTTTTCTTCTATAGGCGCAAGAGCGTCAGCAAGATGAACTCACATAGAAGTGTCAAATAAAATGATTGAAAACGACAAGCCTCAGAGTAACTATGATTTCTCAAAGAGAAGACTTTCATATGTGCAGAAAGGTGCCCAAGACGGGAACCGTAGAATCTGCGTCAAGAAAAATTTGGGATAAATTTCCTCATAGGCAGCGCAAGGGAAGTAATAAAAATAGATGTACAAACCTCTTGAAGCTTGGCCTTAACCTGGGCCGGATCCTCCACCTTGCGGAGACCCTCAGATTTCTTTCGCTGGTCATTATTGAGCAGGCGAGAGGAGTCAACCCGAGCCATCTCTCCATTGGAAGTAACATAAGGTTGCGGCGCATTGTTGGGCCCTAGAGTAGGGATCCTTGTAGACCGTTAGGTTGGGTCCCCCATCAATTGCGGGCAACGACGCGCCAAAGGCGAAAAAACTTACTTTGGAAGAGAGGCTAGTATGCTCTTGCCGGCCGTCGCAACGGCGGCGGTGGAAGGTCGCAAGCGCTGCTCGGCATCCTTGAGCAGCTGAGTTATCTGCTCGGCAGACAGGTCATCTGCATCGGAAGCAGGAAGAAGGCTGCCGACCGCCATCGGGCCAGCCGACTGCGTTGTCATGATGGCAGGCTTTGTTGGCTAGAAGAATTTTTGTGGAGGGAGAGCTTTAAGAAGCGTGGGAGAGAAAAGGGAAAAAAACAGTAAACGAGAGACGCATATTCGCTTAGTCATAAAGTACAGGGATGATTGGGTTCCGCAACCAAAGGATTGAAGTTCTGGCGACTCGCGACTTCGCACATTTGTCTGGGAAAACCACCGTACCGAGTACCCCTGTTCATGAACACCTTTGATGAGCCTGTACTTAAAAGGTAACAGGGTAAGAACACATACTCCGTATGCCGGTGAAATGATAACAACTGTGATTGAGCAGCGTAAGCCTCACTTTCATGCCACTGTTATCATTCTTATTATAGTGACGGTGCGCCTACGACCTACGTATACCACTTGGAGCTTGAATTTTCAAAAACCAGGTCATGCAAACATTAGAAAGGTTGATTTTCCCTCCCTCTTCTGACTCTTCTGAATCCTATCAACCATCTCTACTACTGCTCAAGCTGCGCCGTAACAATGCAGCCCCGGGGCAAGCCTCATCTCCGATCCCGTTTCACCAGCAAGCCCAATCTCTGCGCTCAGAGAGATGTGCTGTTAATGCCTCAGATCAAGAAAAAAATAATTGTAACCTGGGTCAGCTACACTCTGTATGATGTGGATGTAGCCTGATTATGAGCCCACCAACAGAAAATGATTAGGATACCCAACTATAGCTTCTATCTACTCGGATTAGAAATGTAGGTTACATTATCTAGATACTGCAGGTTTCGTGCCAGCAAGATTAGCAGTTGATTTCGCATAGAATGCGTGAGCTCTTCTCCGTTGTAGGAAGTTCGGCTAGAAGAGGATTTCCAGGTTGAAATAATTACAGGGTTCGATTTGGGCATGCCAGCCGGTCGCAGAGCGATATGCAATGCCAGGTTTCTTTCGGTCTGATTGGCGAAATAGGAAGGCCGTGCTGCACGTCACGAGTCAAAACAAATCGATTGCTGTGTGCAAGGCTTTGATGACACTCGGGCTGGATTGATGGGCGTCATCGGCTCAGAGAGGAAGAGATACTTGATGTGGCTTTCACAATCAAAATCTTGCCCAAAGGTCTTGTCAGTCAAGTCATCAAGTAAAACTATGATACCGTCGTCTGAAATCCAAGGTGTGAAGTCAAGTGTATACTTTAGGTTATATAAGGTACCTAAGTTTAGGTAGGCAAGGGAGGTGTACCTGTACGACCTAACGTGGACTCGGACTTGGTGACGAAAGTTGCAGAGCCCATGGAAATGTATATCTAAGTCGGCCGATCTTCGCCTTGAGAGTCTTGTTCCGACTCTGTTCTTTTGCGCGCCTGTTTTCTTTTTCAGGAAGATTGGCCGAGTTGATATTGATCTAAGTGTGTATTGTGAGTGTGCTCGTTCTTGCCTTAAAGTTACTTGGCTCTCATTGTCTCTTCTTTCCCAATATCAGTGATTGCACAAGTCACTATTGCTCTCTAAGCTCACAGGGCCCAGATTAACGAATATATCGCGGCTAGAGTACCAGTAATTCTCACTTGTTGTTACCATCCACCGCAGTCGTCCTCTTATTCACACTCTGCCTTTCTCGGACACCCCAACGTACCCGGAGCCTACAGCGTCCTGTAGTCGATCCTCCTCTGCTCGGCCCAGCGACTCGTCCAATTCCATTGGCCGCAACGATCGCGCAAACGGACAAACGGGCAAACAGATGGATCCGCAGAATCCGCCCGGCTCCTCCCACGGCGGGCAGCAACAGGAACGCGAGCAACCGGTTTATGACATTAGCAATGGCGGACATTATGGTATGTCGAATCCCTTCTGCCTCAATGACCCCGCGCGATATCTGCTCTCACGTCTTCGCGATGCTCCACTTTGCCCTCGTACTATTGCGATACGCTCGCGCCTTGTGGACGACAGAAGCTAACACCACTTGGATCTGTAGGTGCAAGTGCGGCGGTATGTCACATCTCAGTATTTCCTGAGCGCGAAATGCGTTCAATGACAATGTCAAAAAAAAAAAGACGACGGTGCTAATGCGACTGATAGCTTTCGGCGAGAGGCTATGCTCCAGTGCCCGAACTCTACACGGGAACATGGGCCAATGTGAGTCGCGACCATGATTTAATCATATACTAACGCGTCACAATCTGATACTCAATGTTTAATAGGTGAACCAAGGGCTCCATGGGAATTACCGGGACATCCTGACGACGTATTGGCAGCAGACCATCAACCAACTGGAAAATGAGACGCACGACTATAAGATTCATCAATTACCGCTAGCTCGGATCAAGAAGGTGATGAAGGCAGATCCCGAAGTCAAAATGATATCTGCAGAGGCACCCATTCTGTTTGCTAAAGGATGCGACATCTTCATTACTGAGCTTACTATGCGCGCCTGGATTCACGCCGAGGAGAACAAGCGACGGACGCTACAGCGATCCGACATTGCATCAGCTCTGGCTAAGTCTGACATGTTTGATTTCCTGATCGATATCGTTCCTCGAGAGGAGGCAACTTCACATTCGAAGAGGCCTGGTGGCCAGGCCGGTGCTGCTGGTGCTGCTGGGCAACCTGCGCCAGGTGCTCCAGTGGTAACGGGACAGTTGCCTTCGCAGCAGACAGCTGTCACGCAGCCTAGTCATGGTGCACCACAGCATCATATGGCTCCCCCGGATTACACTTCTCTTGGCCAGCATGCGTTACCGACGGAACAAGATTACCGAGCGCAGGCAGGCATGTATGCTGGTGCCGTCCAGTCGGACCCAACGGGTGCCTATGGTCAGCCGCCGCAGCAAATGTTTGAGGGCATGTATGGCTATGCTCCCATGCCGCCGCAGCAGGTAGGTAATCTCGATCCTAGCTCATCGTGAACGCGGTCGATACGTTCTGCCGCTGTCGGCCTGCATCATTGGAGGACCGTCGTTGGTCATTGGATGCTTCGCTGATCGGTTCCCTTGTAGATGTATCAAGTTGGCCAGCGCGGCCCGGATCCGTCTACGGGTACTGATGCGGGGCATCATTACTCACGTCATGACGGAGGCGATGGAGACGCTGATGCGGAGGGCGAAGGCGACTACGAAGTGGGTTAGTCGGAAAGGCAGGTTAATTGTTTGTTGAAGAGGCTCGGGAATTTTTAAAGGATTTGATTGAAGACTCGGACATTGCGGGTATTATTCGAAATTGTTTCGTTTCCATGGCACAGCACTAGGAGTTTTGTTTGGAATAGCAGCAATTGCCAGTCGGGCAATTTCAGCGAGGAAAATAATGCAGCCTATATATGTACTGCTGTCGGGTACAGATGAGATCTGGCGACAGTAAGGGCTATAGAGTACAGAGCGGTATACAGATTGGTGATAATGAGGGGTTCTAATTGTCCTTGCATTCTGCCATGTGCACATATGAACCAGCCCTTCTGCATTAGTGACGACAATCTTATCTAGCGCCCAACTCTTGACAACCGTACCCCAAAGCTCCTGTCTTGACAGCAAAATCTCTAAGAGTCTGAGATATGGGGCGAAGAGGCTATTGCTGAATTATCCTAGTGGCGATCCACGTGGAATTGATCGTTCTACGGTTGTACAAATATCCCTTTATAGAGACCCTGTGTGGCCGAAACCGCCCCATGGGTGCGTCTCTCCTCAGGCTCTCTTCGGTGTCTCGTCAGGAGGGTGTCACTAACGACTAACACTGGGGGAAGTTGCCGAGAGTTCAAACTCACCCTGAATCTTCCAACTAAATTGACCTTAAAGCCCAACTAAACTCCTCTGACTCTACGGCGGTCTATTGCATCGCCCCGTCGACCATCGCGTTATCCCCCGACTCAACCAAGCAGGACTCTCTCCAGGGGCTTTTAGAGTTGTCAAACACAGTAGACTCAGCCTGACATCATTCCATCGGATCGTTCGGTCGCGCAGGAGTAATTCTTATCGCTGAGAAGCAAATCTCGACCTCTCGGCGTGTCCTCTGCGCCCAGACAGGCTCCAGGCCTCTATCCGCCACCGGGAACGTGAGATATATTGGAGAGTCGTCGCTGTCTCGCTGACCAAGTGATTTGGTGCGACACTCAATCTTCGATTTCTTCTCTTCTTCTTTTGCCGCAACGACCGACAATTTCTCGAGCGTATCCAATTACTTGCTTCCTATCTTCGATCTCGCTCTTTTTCTTTTTTGTCGTCGACCTGACGATTTTTCACGTTTCATTAATATCCTTGCATCATGGCTAGCACGCGGAATTACGACTTTCTTGTGAGTAGAATCTCTCTTGGAGCATGAAGGTTGGGGGCGGACTTGCATAGCTTTCCGCGTTGAGCTGTCCGATCGGGAGATTAACGTGTAGATATTCAGATCAAACTGCTGCTTATCGGTGACTCGGGCGTCGGAAAATCGTGTTGTCTGCTGCGTTTCAGCGAAGACTCGTTTACGCCATCCTTTATTACGACCATTGGCATTGACTTTAAGATAAGAACCATTGAGCTCGACGGGAAGCGGGTCAAGCTACAGATATGGGACACTGCTGGTCAGGAGCGGTTCAGAACGATCACGACGGCTTATTACAGAGGCGCCATGGGCATTTTATTAGTTTATGACGTTACGGACGAGCGTTCTTTTGAGAGTTAGTCGCATGCAAAGTTATACGTCAGTCGAGATGAGCTCAGATTTTGCTAACGAGGCTCTAGATATCCATACATGGTTCAACAACGTGGAGCAGCACGCAACGGAGGGCGTTAACAAGATCCTTATTGGCAACAAGTGTGACTGGGATGAAAAGCGAGTTGTGTCGACCGAGCGAGGACAGGCGCTGGCGGATGAGTTGGGCATTCCGTTCATGGAGGTGTCAGCAAAAGCCAATATCAACATCGAGGAGGCGTTCCGCAGCCTTGCCAGTTCGATCAAGAAGCGAATCATGGACAGCACGGATCAGGGCACGGCACAGCCCAACCAGAGCGGCGTCAATGTAGCGGCTGGCGCCGGCGGTGCGGGTAGCTCTTCGGGAGGAAAATGCTGCTAGATTCAGCAAAATTGAATTTGAGTTAGAGCAGAGGATGAGAGAAGACATGCATGTTTTGAGGCCCGAATACATAATACATCTGTGTGTTTCTTTATAGGATGCGCAATTTCTGATTCCCGTCATGTTCCGGATTCGTGCGTCTACGGTAGTCTTCCTTTTGTTCAATTTTCTTTACCTCCATTACTTTCCTTCAGCTTTGAAAGGGGGAGGTCTTCTTGTCTCTTCCTTTTTGTTTTCTTGCATTTCTACAGGACGTTTTTCATGTTCATCACGTGCTAATGCTTTGTTATATAAAGGGACTACGGTCTCATTCGAGGATACACTTTGTTTGCCACATGTCTGTTCTCTCATTGTCCTGATGAAATGCCGATACACTACAACATGTTTACCAGAGAAGCTGGGCATCTACTAATGGCTGCGCATCCTCATATTCAGGACCAGCCTTTGCTATCGGAAACGCTCGGCGGTGCCACGCGCGGACAAACCGTCTTGCCTCGACTTCCCTTTTGAACGTGATGATCCATTGATCTTGCGACACCACGGCTTGACCGCTGAGATCGTCCGTATCTGCCTCCGGTTCAGGCATTGGGACTGGGCCAGAATTCGTCAGCTTGGAAATTTCAGCACCATCCTCTCTGTCCAGCTCCCATGCTAAGCCCCGAACCCGTTCCTCTCGCGCAAGAGTATCCCGAACCAGGCCTGTTGACGGAGAGTACCCCTCTACGGAAAAAAGAACAGCCCTTCCTGCCTTATTGCCCTCCGTAAGCGCCTCGTACCCACCATGTTGTAGTAATTTATTGACATGTTTTGACATTGGCGGCACCAGCATTCGTAAGTTAAGGTCCTGCCACGGCGGAATAACCGCATACGACTGGAGAAGTGCATAGGCGTCTTCGCCATCGATTAGGTATCCAGGAGGTGGCGCAATGGTTGAGAGCGGAGAATGCGGAGCGTGTGTTTTGGCCATCTTATGTAGACGCTGCACATTTTCCTCATATACCGCTGCGGATGCTGGTCGAGAGAAGATCAAGTAGTAATGTTCCTGCTGTCTCAACGTTTTTGGATCTCGGCCGGGGATAACTGCGTGACTGTTGTATCAGTATTGGGTTCAATAGTACGGGTTTTATTCGGAAGCATAATGCACTTTTTGCAATGTCGCCCATATTTCTCCATCCATCAATGTGCTTTCCGCTCGGAGACAATCTTCGGAAATCATCTTCATTCAGCGACTTGCTTGCACTGTATAGCACCAAGATCGTAGTGTCTTCGCGACGGAAATCTTCTTCTTGGCGCTGCCTTTCTCGTAGGCGCTTCCACTTGTGTGAAGCCTTCTCCCCTCGCCAGCCAGTCACGTTGTCTATGGCCGTTGAAGAGTCATGTGAGGCAGAAAGGCCGACATCATCGAGGGATAACCGAGGGAATTGGTCCTCGTGGGAATTGTCGTCGCGCTCTGAGCTGGAATCGGAGACCGAGGAGCTCGCAGTTGTTGGCTTATTAACGTGCCGGTGTATTCGAGCTTCCTCTGGGAAGAGTTCCTCCAGCAGAGATGCCGCACTTCTTGTAGATCTAGCTTTTCTAGAGTTGGAGTTATTGTTCTCAGGCCTGCTCAAATGTTGTGCGAACCGCCGCACGTGGTGGAGTTGGCGGGAGCTCCATGCCGGAAGAAGCCAAGAGGGAGGTAGAGCCCGCGGAGGCAGTTTTAATCTCAATACTGTCATTGCATAATCCAGAGGCTTCTTTGAGGTTGTTGTATATAGGATAGAATAATGCGCAATTGCGTATCGTCTCCCCGCACGGGTTGTATGTCTGGGGTTGGGGTAGGAATAACCAAGCGTTTGTTATCGGTTGGAGCTCCAGCCCAACCAAAGAGACGAATCGGGTAAAGATTTCAGGGAGTGGGTCGGGGCTAAACCATCTCTAAAATCCCACTTCTTGTCTCTTTCGCGAGTCGAACTAACTTACTGCTGATTGATTTGATAGCGGATCTGGGGTAGATATCGACTTGAAAAAAAAACATGATATAAGATTTTTCTATTCATGTGCAAATCAGTCCATGTTTCTTTCTTTTGTCTTAACGGTTGCTCCTTTGCCTTTACTGGGTTGCATGTTTGATTAATTTTTGATACCATTGTGCTTTTTGCGTTGCGTTTGGAGGAAGAAGAAAAAAAGTTTTTTTTTCCCTTTCTATCATATCGTCCATCTCTCATCATGGCAGAGGGACCAAAATATACTGTGCGGCCCTTCTCCAAGCCCGCTCGCACTGATTTGAAAGATGCTTTTAGAGTCTATCTATCGCCTGCATCATTACTGCAGCTCAGAGTACGAGCGGGAGATGCGTGCTTATTGACTTCACACGAAGGCATCCAAGCGACTGTCATTGCTTGGACGGCTCCAGAGAAAATACAAGATACGGTCGTGCAGACGTCCAAAACTCTCCAGGCAGCATGTCGTTTGAAGCTGGGCGAAAAACTCTCTTTGATCAAGCAGGAAACTCTTGTTCCAGATGCAGATACTTTTTTCCTGGCTGATATCACGCAGTATGCCGAAAAAGAAGAGGCGTGGACTGGGAATGATGAGTCTCATTGGGAATGGTATTTGGAGTATATTCTAGGTATTTTTACCCCATGATTGAAGTTTCACAAACTTTAAATCCGACCGCATACTAAATTTTAATTTTTCTATAGGCAGGGCGGAGTTTATTACTCCAGGCATGGTCTTTGACCATGTCGATTTGAAAGGCTCCAAGAAGAGTTTTCGTGTGCTAAAGGCACGTTCATCCAAGGAGACAAAAGGAGCGTTAAATACCCTCTACAAATGCACAAAAGAGTCAAAAGTGAAGCTGCGCGAACCATCCCCGGAAGAAGTGCAGGATGAATCTAGGTCTATTCGTTTCGAGATTTCCTCTGGTAGCATCGGCGGGCTCCACTCTCAGGTTCGACAAATTAATGAGCGCCTTTCGATTCTGAACTCGGATCAGTATGGGCTGAGAATGCCTCACTACTACCGCCGACGAGGAGGTATTCTGCTCTATGGCCCTACCGGTACTGGCAAGACCTTACTTCTTAACAAGCTCGCGGCTCTTTCCTGGCGCAAGATAGTCACAGTCGACAGCTCAATCATAGGCCGCTATGTCGGCGATAGTGAGGCGTCAATCAGGAAACTCTTCCTAGAAGCTCGCAATAATCAACCTAGCTTGATAGTCATGGATCAGCTAGAAGTTATTGCGACCAAGAGCGGGCGTTCTGAGAGCGCGGCTTCTACCAATATACCCCTCACGATAGCCTCTGAACTGGACAAGCTCGAAGGCACACGAGTGTTTGTGGCAGCGGCAACTCGCAAGCCGAACGAGATTGAGGAGTCTCTACGCGCTCCAGGAAGGCTTCAATACGAGATTGAGATCCCGATTCCTGATGCCAACGCCCGAGTGGAGATTCTCAAGGCCCTCCAGGGCCTATCGATCGGCACACAGGACTCCACATCCGAGCGCCTGGGCGAACGCACACACGGTTATGTTGGTGCCGATCTCGATGCCATTATACAACTCTCTGCAGAAAAGGCTCGGTCGCGATATATGCGGGCGATGCCTCCTTCAAAACCTGCTCGGCCAGCTGCAACCGAAATGGACGGCCTGGAAAACGGCGAAACTGACGAAGAGCAAGATGCGCGTTTAATTAAGGTCTCGCAAGACGACATTGATAATGCTCTCCTCGAGATTCGCCCCACCGCCATGCGAGAGGTCTTTCTTGAAGCGCCCAAAGTTCGATGGAGTGACATTGGTGGCCAGGAAGAAGTTAAGCAAAATCTACGTGAAATTGTCGAATGGCCATTCAAGGTACGCCTCCTCCTTTTCCCTCTACTTTTTTTTTTCCTGCCAATATCATTCATGACATTTTACTTACAACCAACAGTACCCCGAACGCATGAAACGTCTCAATATTGAGACCAAGAAAGGCCTCCTCCTCTACGGCCCCCCCGGCTGCTCCAAGACCCTGACAGCGAAAGCTCTCGCCACTGAAGCCGGACTCAACTTCATTGCAGTCAAAGGCGCCGAACTGATCAGCATGTACGTCGGCGAATCCGAGCGCGCAATCCGAGAAGTCTTCCGCAAAGCCCGCGCCGCAAGCCCGAGCATTATTTTCTTCGACGAGATCGACTCCATCGCCGCGTCGCGAGACAGCGGACACCAATCGAGTGGACTCAACGTTTTGACAACCTTGCTGAATGAAATGGACGGCATTGAAATCCTCAAAGGCGTCCTTGTCCTCGCCGCAACCAACAAGCCTGAGATCCTGGACCCCGCTTTGATGCGGCCCGGCCGATTAGATACGATTCTTTATGTCGGTCCGCCCGATTTCGCTGCCCGGAAGGAGATCCTCAAGATTAAAACCACCAAGATGGACGTATCTCCAGAAGTAGACCTGGATGCTCTCGCAGAGAAACTAGAGGGTTACTCTGGCGCCGAGATTGTCGCGGTCTGCGAACGAGCAGGGTATGCGGCGTTTGGAGAGTGCGAACGGACAGGTGTCGAGGAACAAATAGGCACAAGACATTTCGAGTTTGCCTTGACAAAGGTCGTGAGGCAGATTACCGATGAAGTCAGGGAACAGTTTGAGAATTGGAGCGTAGGTGGAACGAAGAAGTTGTAAAGTGTTTGATTGTGATACCTCTTTGCTTGGACTACCTGTAAATAGCCCTGTGTAGAGTATATGTACATATGATTTACGTATATAAAATATCTTTATCTATCAGTCGTCAAGAGGCTTTCTCGTCTGCGGGGTTTTTTTTATATTTTTTATTTTTTATTGTTTTTGACTGAAATTTAAGTACCTAGATCCTCTCCTCAACCTTTATCCTCTGTTTTAAACCGATGTTGCATACCAGACCCAGAATCACTCATTGCTGGGCTGCAGCTCAGGGGTAAAGTTGCGCACTATATAAACAGTCTAAAGAGCCTACAAATCCTTTACAGACAGTTAATACAAAAGATCGAAATGTTTACTGTCGATCTGGCTGTGTACTCTCATTTACCTTAGATGAATCCTTCATCTTTATCCGCTGATGTGCAATTCCCAAGTGTCCTCCACCATTAAACCAACCTAACAAGATTAAATTAAAAACCACCAAAATTCAAAACCATTTCATCAAAAATACAATATTCTCACAATCCAATCCTGAATCCATCAAAAGCGTTCCCCCCTTTTACACCCTTTCCCTTTTTTATCCCCTTTCCTCTCTCTCGACGTCCTTTACCATTTCGAAAAAGGTCCAGCAACGTCTAGCTTGACCAGGTGCGAGGCGTCCGTTTGTACCACTGCGAGGGTTGGATAACGGTTTATAAGTGCTTTTGAGATACGAATTATCAAGCGTTCCAAAATAGGAATCTTACTACCAACATCCGCTCGCATGGCGTAGTTGGTAGCGCGCATCACTAGTATGTCTGCTAGGTTATGATGAGGTCCTCGGTTCGAATCCGAGTGCGAGCATTTACATTTTTGTCTTTTCTTTTTTTTTGAGCTATAATTTTTTCCCTTTACCTCCTGTTCTCTTCTTCGCGCATACCTTTCTCATCCTTTTGGTCTTTGAGATATTTAGGATATTTAAAATGGTTGGTTTGCAGGAAGAGGAGTGAAATCAATGCAGAAGGTGTCATATGAGCTGTCCATGAATGCTAGCACGAAGCGGATTCAGAGTACGGAGTAACTTATTACGATCATTTACAGAGGTACTACAACTCGAAAGGAAAACCAATTTTAGAGGCATAGGTTAGATTTTAGAAGGCAATACTGAGCGAACCTGACACTATGCTAGGAGCCTTGCCAATTCTCAACTAAGCGTAACTGGAAATAATTGGACGTTTCACTATAGAGAGGGCAGAAAGTGGTTAGTCCAGTTATTCCCTCTGAACTCTCGGCTGCTTTTTCGCTATGACCGGTTATAACATTTGTGTACTCGGGGCAGCCAAATTGTATTGAATTCAGGTACTTATTAGAGAGATTTTGTACTGTAAACGAGTTAGATATTCTTCTGTCTTTGTTTAGAACAACTATATCGAAAACATACTACAATCGAGTAATAAACATGCAAATGTGAAGCAAGGTTTCCATAGAAAGCTCAATCTAACTTTTAATAGTCTTCATTTAATAGTCTTCATTTCTCGAAGATCTCGTGGTCCAATTCAACACTCAATACCTTGCGTTTCTTCCTTCTATCCATCCCACATACCACTCAGGTATTACTTGCTCCGAGCTCGTAGAAACGCTGTGTTCTCAACAATGCTGCACTTCGCGAAGGCATATTTTTTCTTCGCATTATAAGACGAAAAATAAATAATTGAAGTTGAAAATTATAATCTAGGCCAAAGTAAAAAAGGAAAGAAAAGAAAGAAGGGAAAAGAGATAAAAGGGGAAAAAAAGCAAAAAGCAAAAAGAAATGCTCAAGTGCTCGCACTCGGATTCGAACCGAGGACCTCATCATAATCTAGCAAAGGAATACTAGTGATGCGCGCTACCAACTACGCCATGCGAGCGGGTTTTTGTTGGTATTGGGTGAGCTTGTTGGATAGTGCACGCTTATCGCGATATATGAAGCAAATTCCTCCCATTTGGGCCTGGCGTTTGGGGAGTTAGTTGCCTCGGTGAAGAACGGTGAAGAAGATGATATTGATGTTTCCATGCTTCTTGAAATAGCTTTGGAGGAATATATCGAGTCTGCTTTCAGCTCACAGGCTCTCAAGGATTTCTTGGGCATGTTTTGAGACTTGAAGAATTCCTTTTCTCGTTCATACATCCGTGTTAATCATACCATGAGGCAGTCATGAACTGGAATATGCAGGTTGCCAATTCTAGGCTCACAGTCATGCCGAAGGGAATAGTATATTGTGCAGCCGAAGGCAGGGAATTACAAAAAATGCTAGCAATGCCAAGTTATGCATAGGACAGTAATTAAACAAAGCCGATGCGTCCTAAGTGTGTTCAGTCCAGTTATCAACTCCCATACAATGCATCGCTATTCATACAATTCGTCAAACGAGCCAAGTATCGAAACCAAAAAGCCACCAAATCAGTCAGTAAGTGGACAAGCACAAGCACTAAATACTGGCGCGGCGAGGAGCAAGTGTTCTTCGAAGATTCCTCTTCTCCTCTGTCTCCTCCATAAGAGGAAAGACGCCCTTTTCGCGGAGCTGTGTAAGATAGTTCCTGCCAAAATTGTACCCAACTTCGTAAATTTCATCAAACTTGGCAAAGTCCAAGGTTCCATAATGATCAATGGGAGGTCGCATGTAGAGACATCCAGGATAGGTCTTTGCGCGCTCGAGGGCATCCACGCTAGAGACGTATGCGAGACGAGCTTGAATCTCTGAGAGAGTAGGCGGATTAGGATATCCTGAGAAAGGGTTCCAGCGATTGATAAAGGCCCAGAAACCGGACAATGAGTCTCCAAACGCCTGTGGAGTATCGTCGTCAATGCTTCCAACATCGACGGCGAAAATGACTTCGGCACCGAGTGATTTCATGTGTGCAACCGTAAGGTTGTCCACGTAACCGCCGTCAAGCAGCATACTGCCCTCGTCACAGAGCGGCGGAAGCAGTCCAGCAAGCGACATGGAAGCGCGAACATAGCGCCACGCGTATCCGCTGGTATGTATCTCGGAACGGCTCTTGCTGATATTCGTAGTATTGCAGTAGAACTCAAGCCAAAAATCTTCGATTTGAGAATTTCCAAAAGTTTTGAACAGGCCACGATTGAATTCGTGCCCAGTGGTGTATGAAGCGCTGCAAACTTTTGTGTTAACCAATTGCTCCTTACAACGTGTGAAAGGGGTGAACTTACGAAGGATAAGTCAAGTCAAGAGCGAACCTCCAAATGCTCCCCATTCGTCCTGCAAACTTCTTCGCGCGTCCATACATCGGCACAACATCTGCATCCCGAGCGTACAAGGCGCCGATGAAAGAGCCAATGGAAGTACCGCCAACAATGTCTATCGGTATTCCTGCTTCTTCAAGCGCACGAATAACACCGACGTGTGAAATTCCACGGGCGCCGCCACCGCCAAGAACCAAGCCAATAGATTTTCCGCATAGACGACGAGCAAGGCGATGAAAATCGCTCTTGAACGGAGCTTCGGCGGAGTAAAGAGGCGTCTGTCGAATGCGGCGAGATGTATATTTTTGAATTTCAGCTTGAATCACCTGAACACGGTGCTTCAAAGCCGATCCGAACCGACTGGGCTGCGAGCTAACAGGCTCTGTGCTTGATCGAAATGTCATTTGAATGTGGTGATGGCCGCCATTGATCCACATTCGATTTCGTAGCCAGGCCCGAGTCAGACCAGGAGGCGAATACCGCTCTGTGTGCAGCAGAACAAGTTCCTTTCGTGCTGTTGTCTTCATACCAACAAGGAATCTCTCATATTCACCAATGGCTGGGGAACCTTCAGCCAGTCCCACCAGAAGAATGCAGTCAGCTTGGCTGATGCAGGTTTGTGTCCAAGGCGCGTTAACTGTTTGAGGTCAGAAACAAGTTTTTGCTGAGTATAGTGTCTAGAAGAGCTTACCGTTTGTGTCTGCTACGTAGAGAACCATGCCGTACTGTAGGGAATTGTGAGCTCGCCAGAAATTTCGTTCAAATAGGTTGTTTCACTAACCTTCTCTTCCAAATCTGCCAAGTATTGAGACAACTTGAGCTTACCCATACGACTAAATGCATGACGGCCGAGGTGATTAAGAATGGCACCTTGATTCAAGGAAGTTACGCCATTTGTCGGGCCTACCTGAGACAGGGCTCCACTGAGATGCGCAGCAAATTCAACAACAGGGACGCCGGCCGTGACTGGAAGGATGGCAACAGTGCGGAGGTTGAGTGTCGACGAGACCTTCTTGCTTGTGGCGGGATTCGTTCGCTCTTTGCCTGCATCAAACACAGGATCCTCGATTAATGCACGCATACGCTGCGCAATAATCTTTGAAATTTTAATCGTGATGCCAGGGTGTTCAGAAGCAAGGCTATTGAACAAGGTTTTGGGGAATTTGGCAAGCTCTGAATCACGAATGGCATGTAAAGTGGCAGGTCGAGTTGACTCTGTGAGCACCTCAAGCTCACCAACACTCTCCCCTTGACCATATTCGCCGGTGACCTTCATTTCACCATCATCGTTTTCCCTTACGGACCGTAGACGTCCATTCAGGACAATGTATATTGCGTCGCTCTCGTCATTTTGGTGATATATTACCTGACTAGCATTGACTTGAACCCATTCAAGGGCAAAATCAATATGCAGGATAAGACGCGGAAGGAGGCTAGTCAACCGCTTTGCCATGGTCAACAAAATGATCGGATATTTCTCAACAATCCGTTCAAGAGCGGCTCGAGGGAGGAATCCGACATAGACATCTGTTTTTGCCCGTACATCAATGAACGAGCGATAAGAGGAAATTGTACCAACATAGCCGGCTATTCCTCCAGGCTTTATGAGAAAAAGATTTTTACGCGTCTTCTTTCGCTTTCCAGAGCTTGTGGCTCCGCCAATAGGGCCAGCTCGGGATGAGCCATGCACAGTCTGTGATGCTGGCACGTATTCATCTTGCGGGGGCGCACCCATTGCTTGCGCAGGGCCAACTACGCTCGATTCTGAGCTTCCCTCTTCTACCGGGATACTGACGTCCAAGAAACCGTCAATGACATAGTATAAGCCGGGATTCCGCTCGCCCTGCTCTACCAGCACAGCACCCTTCGGAAAATAGACAATTTCAATGTCATCCTTCATTTCCTGATGCAGTCCAGCACCATTTGCAGCTCCAAGGCTCACCAGAGAAGATACAGACTCAGTGTCTCCATCGGCTGAGCCTTCGTACGGGTCAATAAACCCGAAAGCATTATTGAACACCGCTTTCTGCCTTCGCGAGTCATATTGCACCAACCGAGGAGATTGCTCGACGGACTCAGGCCTTTGTATGTGATTTTTTGCGTCAGTCAATCCAATGGCCTTGAGCATACATTCAAGAATAGACTCTCGAAATGTAATATCTTCATCCACCGATTCTTGCCGACGTAAGGGACCGGGATCCAGCTGAGATGTCCCGTCTGCCAGTGGATTGAAGTTCTTCTGTCCCAGAGGACTGGTGGATTCTTCCGAAAGAATCTCTGGAGATTTGAACGGCTGACTCAATTGGGTCCGCCGATCGGACTGATTTGGAAAACCACGCCGACCATATCTGGCAAATTGAATATTCGTAAGCAAATCACCCGGACTGACACCTATTCTCTCGCGATCGTAATGACCTTGCGCAATGGTGGTCACACTCGAAGTGTCTCCAGGATTTGTAGGCGTTGCATGAGCTGCGGCCTCCCGTCGCAGTCTACTACTCAACCTTCGTCTGCGACCCGCACCAGGATTATGTAGCGCAATGCCCTTCATGCCCTCTTCATGACCAATCCGCTCCCGATCGGCGACAAACTTTTCTTTCAGCCTCTCAAGGGCTCCGCCGCGAAGGAAACTAGGAAGATCATAGGAAGTGTATTTATTCATAAAGCGTTCAGTCCTGAGTACTTCACTTGTCAGACCTAGATAGGAATGACCAGTCGCCAAGGTTACGCGCTGAAGCCGTGTGAGTATGACCTGGACGATGTGGGCCGTGGCTTTAGGATATACACGAGTCAACCGGCGGAACGCCGTAGCAGGAATGATGGCAATTGTTGTATCAACGGTTGCCCTGGCTACAATGTCCGGATGCACCGACTTCGTCTTCGGCTTTGATCTGCTCTCTCGCGACTGGTGGGATACTTGTGGGTGCCCCTCTCTATCAAGATACAGTGGAGGCACACTTGGCAGTCGCCCTCTCGCCGTGGTTCCAGTGAGAGTAGATGAGCGTCGAGTGCGCTGCGAAGGTGACTGCAACGAGCCTTCCATGCCAGGACTGGCGGGCATCGAGTCTGCTTCGCCATTGCTCAACACGGTCGTGTCGGCGGCGAGGAACTGCGAACTTCCTGGCCCTGCGCTTGACGCACTTGAGGCTACGCCAGATTCATCCTCCTCATCATGACGTAGCTTGATGTCTTCTGTGAAAAGGGACAATATGGAAAAGAGGGACGACATTGGTGCGCCATTCTTCACTTCGGTCAAGAGGTGATATCCTTGGTTACCGTCATCCGGATGCACTTGTTCATCCTCGAACCCATTCTCCCAAGCTTCTGCATCAGCACCTGGTCCGTCTCGCTTGGACTTGACAAATATTTGAACCAGCCCATCTACTACCAGACAGAACCCCTTCTCTTCTTCCAATAGCAATGTTTCCCCAGCAATGAGTTTCCTCGTCTGCATAGTCCTGGTCAACTCGTGAAATACAGGTCGTTCAAGGTAGCCGAACACCTTGATAGCACTAAGAAACTCGTCCAGATAGCTTGCAAGCCCGGGCTTTGAGTCTCCTTCTTGAGTATCCGGAAACAGATCTAATTGTGGCTCCTTTCGCTGCGGCTCTGGTGGTAATCGAGAATACATATTCAGGAACCGGTATCTGACTACCCAGCTGATAAATGAAGCAAATGCCAGCAGGATTAGCATCAAAGTAGTGGCATTCATCGTAAAGGTTAAGCTCGTTGATGCTAGCGTAAACAACCATGTTGGGAGTGTAATGGTCGTGAAGGTGACGAGAAAGTATAATATTCCAGGAACGATTCGGAAAATCATGATTATCAGACGAAAGAGCAGACTAAATACTGAACTGCTCTTTGCGGCGTGTTGTGCAGGCGGTAGAGTTGCGACTGCAGAGGCTGGCGCATCACGGATGGCCGAACTCAGCGTCTCAGCTAGAGTTGCAGGGGAAGGTGAAAGCGTGGCCATATTCGCCGTCCCGTGGAGATAAACTTGATAGCTGAAATGCGTAAGAATGTTGGAGTAACAGCTAAATTTGCGTTATTGATGCGCCGACTCCGCACGACCCTGGAAATCAGCCCTTCCTTTCCCTCCTACACACCTGGCTCCAGTTGAGCCAGGTTTGGACGGAAGGCTAGATTTCCTCCAAATTGTAGCTCCTTTCGCCGCTACCTATGCTTGCATCTAAGCCAAGCCTGTCCCATCTGACTCAAAGCTGCTAAATGAGAGCAAAGGCGGAAACCTCAATCATACATGTATGTTTTGGTGTCAACTTAGAGCTCTAAATCCTTGGGAAGATCAACACAAGGCTTGGCTTAGTCATCAATGACACAACTTGTCAACACGATAAGCACATGAAGGCAAGAAGTGATGCAACATCGTATCTTCTACCGATTTGGAGGGCCAGGCGTGGTCGGCAGCCAAGACTAGGTAATTTCCATGAAAATATTGGAGCTTGGGCATGTCCAGAAATTTCAAAAAAAATCTCCCTACGTATAAGCTAGGGTATCTTCTATCGTCAGTTGATCATTATGTTATTTATCAATTGAATTTGTATGAGAGCGCATACAAGTCAAGAAAATGCCTAAACAATCTGTCATACTAGAAAGCTTTTATTGAAGCAACGGTCCAATGCAAACATTCTATCAATTACACCATGGAATCTGATAAGTGACACAAATTGCCCAACGCCTATTTGAACTAAAGCCGGTAGCCCTGGCCGTGATACCCTGAATTTTTATAATGCGGTTTCGTGAATACCCTGAGGACCCAATTCGTTATACTCAACACGAGACATGAACCCCTTGCTCAGGCCCTGGTCAACTACGAAGATGACCTTTGCGGCGACCTGGGCTCCTAGGAATGCAGCCTCTTCAAAGCCAGCCTCCTTCCATTCGGGGAAATATTCGGGTATTTTGACAATTTTGATGCTGGTAGGTGTCTGACCGTGGGAGGAGTGCACATTGTGGACGCCAGCAACAGAATTGGATTGGTTGAGCGTAGGGTTAGAGGCGGTTGTGGCGGCATACAGCAGTGGATTTACATTACTGCCAGTACCACTGTGCGATAGAGCGCCTGGAGCCTGGGGCAGGGGTGTGCTAGCGCCAGTAGCGAGGGGCGTAGAGAGATTTGAAGGCAGCTCAGAGGTGAAGATGGTGGCAGAAGAAGGAGAGATGAGATATTTACTATTCAATGTCGAGAGTAAGGCATCTTTGAAGCCTGGAGTTTTGACACCATTAGCAATCGGAAATCTGAATTGTCTGTTATTATGAAAAGGGAAAAACAAACCTTTGACTCGGGACCCATTGCCTAGAATTATCATTGACTCCCACAGCTCGCCTCTTTTGCCAATATCCTCTACGGCAAGGATGGTGCGGTGGATTGCGTCGGCAAGACGCTCCAGAATCCCGCCGGTGGCAGACATGAATCTTTCCTTGCCAACTTCAACCTCTCGTCTTCGAATGCCTGATTGGGGAGTTGATGAGAACTGGATCTGCTGTTGTTGCTCAACTTCCTTGGCGTCGTCTTGCTTCTCTGGAACCGGCAGAGGAGCTTCAGTGGGTTGCGCTGTTGCCGTGCTCGTCTCGCTGGAGGCCCCTTCCGTCTGCACCTCACCCGTGGTAGGTTTCTCTTCCGACCCAGCAACAGCACCGTCGTTAGCGGGCGGTTCAGGAGTCTTCTGCCTCTTGGCGTTGCGGCCCTCCTCCACGAGCTCCTCTTCAGACAAACGTTGTTCGTACATGAAGGTATTTCGGTCCCTCTTTGAGTTGGGAAGTTTCGTTTGTTTCGATGGTGGCGCTTCACCAGAGCCAGCGCTTACTTTTCTAGCTGCAGCGCGTTCTTGTCTTTCTTTCTCTTTCTGGGCGATATATTCCGATGTCTTTCCGCTCGCGACGATACCTGCGACATCAATAACGCCCTCAGTATCATCTTCCTCCTTTCCATTCTTGGGCTCGCTTCCTGCGTCCGTATCCTGTCCAGGTCCTCGCGGAGCATCACCTCTTGCGCCAGCAGAATCACGGTGACCGGGTCCCGATTCACTTGCACCCGTCGACACCTGGGCGGCAGGATTGACCTCTTCTTTGCGCCGCGTCTCTGAGCCCGGTAGGGCGGTGCCAGAGGGCAATACTTCACATATGTTACTCCGCTTGAGTTGCTCGCACATGTCGCGGGTGAAGCCCTTAGAACCGAGTAGCCCAAACAAGCGTTCCGTCAGCGCATTACCTCCGCATCCGGATACAGCAATACCCCTCCCGACGTCATGAACCAAGAACTCGGTGACGGCGGTGACGTCTGCCTTCTCATATCCCACGTCGACAACGGTCCCGCTTGGCACGCCATAAGCGTAGCAGACTGCCAAGGCGGAGTCCATGATGGCAAAGGCAGGGGTCTTGAATTTCTCAAAGAAGAATTGGGTCAGGTTCTCGTGATCTTGAGCTGTCCATCGAGGCTGAGAAATAAGAAGGATCGGCGTGTGGAATGGGGGGCTTAACGTATTATAGATGTGGGTAAGCAGTGCAAATAGACAGGACCACTCTGTCACGCGGCCTTCTTTCAATGGCCACACGGCACCCTCATCAGAGTCCGGATCTTCTCCATACACAATGTCGTATTCCTCTTTTTCTGTGGTAGGTTGCACAGTCTCCGCTTCTGGTGCCGCTTTAGGCTGATCTTGGGTGGGTGTAGAGTCCGCATCCTTCATCTCAACATCCTCGCCTTCAGTGCGAGGTTCTTCGGGCTTCTCCTGTGAATCAATTTTCCCTGCCACTGGCTCGGTACCACCAGCCGTTGGCTTGGCGTCCTTGCTCTCCATCTGCTGAGCCTCTCCGGCTGCAGTTTGTTGGCTGTTACTCTCATCTTTCTTATCGCCATTTTCCACCGATCCACTTAAATCAGCTATCTTCGGGACCTTCCTCGCGCGCACTTTATGGGGCTCCCATTGACCTTTCGTTTCTGCAGGGAACATGCGCGTAGGAAATCGAAGACGGGCCGGTGTGAAGGACTCCGGTAAGCCGAGCTGCGCGAGTGTCGTCTGCGATCCAGGTGCAATAATCTAGAGGAGCATCACGAGTCAGTAAAATTGGCCTTGCAAGTTGCGACATATTACGAGGGTTTGCAAGTCTATGCGACGCGATATATAGAGAATTGCATACCAGAATGTGCTCATCTTTGAAGGGCGGCATGGTGTCAGTGAGCGCTTCGAGGCAACTAGGCGTGCCTCCTCAGTTTATCTAGATTACTTCGGTTGCGTTATTTCATCTGCAGGCCAGCTGAGCGACTGCGCTAGATGTGTTGAAATCCGTAAGAAGAGCTACACGGACACGCGCGCATGGAGAAATGAAAGAGCTACAGCCACAAGTGGTCAACTTGGTAGAGCTGAAAGGTGAATGCGGTATGCTATAGGAGCCATTTGCGCGGTTCCATATCTCAATAACCATCGAATCGATGTCGGCGGCTGGTGAGGTTTTTGGGCAATTTGAATACATTTTGAGCACTTATCAGTATTAGATGCAGAATGGTAAGTCTAGATTTGGTATTTTACAAAAGATGCATCTTAATTTCTTTCTTTTTTTTTTTTTTTTTTTTTTTTTATAATTTTGGGGGGGTTTTTTCTTCAACAATTTTTTTCAACGTTATATTAATTTCTTGTTCGTCGAAAAGCACGAAAGGGCGGACGGACAACTATTTTCGCTTTTTTTCCTCTGCTCTATATACAAGCTTACTCGCCTTCCTTCTAACAGTTAGTCGCGATGCCAGAGTGGTTAATGGGTGTGCCTGCTATCTCCTATTAGGAGTGCAGTCACAGCACATGTCTTCGGACGCGCAGGTTCGAATCCTGCTCGCGACGTTTCTTTTTTTTTCTTTTTTTTTTTTAAAAATTTTTTTCGGATTGACACAACCCAAGCTGAATTCAACCGTAAACATCTTATTTTTTTTTTTATCTAATGAAGCATTTAAAACCGCAGTAAAGCACGTGGGGCTGGATATTTTTAACTTTTAACTACATGGTATAAAGATTGCTATATTAGATCTATAATTGTGATTTTGGTGCAAAATAATCGCCCTTTTTGTTTGCAAGACATTCTCTTGTAACATCATCTATTCCATTACATCCTGCCATTCGTAACTGCATTTCAAAGTCGGCAAGTAATGTCCTCATAACATGTCGAACCCCTTCTTTGCCAGCCAGTGCTAAGCCCCATAGCACTGGGCGTCCAATGGAGACAAAATCAGCACCGACTGCGATCGCCTTGAAAATATCACTGCCACATCTAATACCAGAGTCGAAACCGATCGTGATTTTGCCTTGGACTGCGTCTACAATCTGTTGCAGAGCTTGAAGAGATGGGATAGCACCATCCACTTGTCGGCCACCATGCTAAATATGGCCCATCAGGTTAACCAATTATTTATTTTCTTTTTTTGGCATGTTTCCTACACAAGCAGATGTGCTGAACTCAAGAGACACTTACATTACTAACAATAATTCCGTCCATACCATTCTCCACAGCTGCAATCGCATCGTCGCGGTGCTGAATACCCTTGACGATCATTGGACCTGAACCCCATAAGGACCGCACATGAGCTAGTTTGTCCCATGTAGGGCTCTGGTCGGATACAATTTGGTCAAGGTGATAGTTAGCAACTTCACGCTTCTGTGACTCGGTCAAAGTTGGCGATGATGTATCAAATCCTAGCACTGACTGTACGTAGGCGTCATTTTTTGCAATTGCTGACCCCGTAGACGCCGGATATGGAGAAAATCCATTGTCTAGATCGCGTGGCTTCCATCCTGCCTCCCTAGAAGGCATTAGCATATATACCGTATATCTCAAAACAGTCTGTACTTTTGGTCGCTTATCTCCTATCTTACCATGTATCAACTGTGACGACAAGGGCCTCGTAATCTTCACGCTTGGCTGTCTCGATCATTGATGCCATAAACTTCACGTCCTTGGTCATATAGAGCTGAAACCAACGCGGATTCTCCTTCCCGTTGGCCTGCGCTATATCCTGCAAAGAAGTGCTTGCAACTGTACTCAGAATGAATGGTAATCCCAATTCCCCAAAGACTTTGGCAGTGCTCTCTTCTCCTTTGCCTTCAGACTGGTCTATCAGCTTATGCAGCCCAATCGGGGCCATGGTGACTAGTGATCACGAACATCAGTTTTTATATTGCACAGAAAAAAAGCTGTGGAAAGCATACTTGGTGCAGGCAGCCATCGCCCAAATATCTTGCGTTTCAAATCCAATGCATTAGTTTGAGATCTTAGCATGCGTGGTATAATTCGATACTAGCCATTGAAGATTAGTTAAACACTCAATCTTCCGGATTTAGATAGCCCACGAACCTCATTGAAAATATCGAGATTGGCTTGCAGGGTTTTGTGAGTTGAGCTTGCGCCAGCAGCGAATCCAAACGCCTCTGGACTTAGTACTTTCTCAGCCAAACTTTCTAGCTTATCAATGCGTGTCGTGAACGGAGGTATTGAGTAGACTTTTGTTCTCTTGTCAATGATCTCCTGTCCATATTTAGAGAATGCCATTTCACGAGTATTCTTGGTCCTTGAACCGTTGTGGAAACTGGATCTAATATTGAGGATTGTTCTTAGGTTTATTTATAAAAGCATCCGTATTATATTTTTCTATATATTTATTCGAGTCGATGACAAAGACAGACTGACCCCGTAACTTATTAGCAGAGAAAGAAAGCCTGGGCGAGGTATACCAAACCAGCACCTTTGGTGCATGACTCCCCTGACAGATTTGGTAGGTTTCCCCAAGTCTCCCGCCTACACAGCACGCCGTTCCCCTGCAAACCATCTGTATAACGACAGGTTCTCTTTCGATATGGGGAGGTAAGCGAACGCGAGCACTGCGGCACTTACCGACAGGTCCATGGCCGCCGTGGAATTGGATGCATGTGCATTTTAGCAGTGGTAGTTTCAGCTGCAACGGCGGTACTGAAATAAGGAGTTGATTTCTGAAGTAAATTAGGTTTGTTCTTGATCTTCATAGAAGATGCCTTTGACGCGGTAGAGGCCTGGCCACTAAGAGGGTGAGTGTCACGGCTAGACGTTGGTTCGGGACACCCCGAGCCCCGGTCCGTCCAAAAATCCGAAAGGGAAAGGAAACAACCAAAATTTCGGAACCCAAACATTTGCTGCTGGTTGATCTCAAGTTTGTCCAGAACGTGCAGCCCAATTGTGGGTTTGAGCATACAAGCATTATACATAGCTTGCTGATTCTTACGTTGTTTTTTCCTGCCAAAATTGTAGGTTAATGAGGACGGCAATAGCGGCCTGGAGTTTTCGCACATATACTCGAATAGTTTCGAATAAACGTCAATTTGCTAGCCCCAGCCGGACTCGCACCTCGGCTTTGGTTGCTTTGGGTTCCCCTTTTCCTATCGTTCGAGCATCAAGCAGCAACAGGGGTGGTTTTCTGAATTTCATCACGAAAAGCGCGTATTCCACGATGGGTGGTGGAACGCAGGAAGCGGCGCAAGAACCGAATTGCAACGGCAAGAACAATACCCCACCCGCGACGACAGAATCGGAAAAGCAAGTCGTGAACCAGATACAGGATGCTGCTTCGACACAACCCGAATGTGACGTCGAGTCAGCGGCAACAACTGGAACAGAAGTGCAAACAGCAAGCATTAGTGACCCACCTCGTGCTGGACAGCGCGTGATACACAATGGAAAGGAGTTTACTACGGTCAAAGAAGGTCTAGCCTACGTCCTAATTCCTGCCAGGTCGCTGAAATCTGCACAGCAGACTGTTGGCGGAGGAGATCAGGCCCAATCAGTGTTCTACAATCCTATTCAGCAGTTCAATCGTGATCTCAGCGTGCTTGCAATCAGGGCATTCGGAGAGGATTTGACGGCGGTCAGGAAGGAGAAACGGGAGAACAGGAAATCGGGAAAGAAGAGAAAGAGGGGTGCCGCTGGAGCTGGGACAGCAAATGAGTCGGGTGAGCAGGAGCAAGGCCATTCGGTTAGGAGAAAAACGGAGCACCCGGAAAATGGGGATGCTGAGACGGCGGCAACTGATGTTAGAGCAAAGGCAGACGATAATGCTCAGGAAAAAGTGGTGGGCAACGAGCCAGCTCCGGTGGATCAAACGGCGTCAGCTGAAGTGTCTGCTCAAGCACCGAAGGCAGATGCTCACGATTGCGCGTCAACATCAAACTCTTGGAGACCGCAATTCACCATATTGGATGCGCTATCAGCCACGGGGCTACGTGCGTTGAGATACGCCCAAGAAATTCCATTTGCTACCTCTATAACGGCGAACGATCTGTTACCCGATGCCACAGAATCCATCAAGTTGAACGTTGAGCACAATAAGCTGGAGGATAAGATAAATGCAGTGACCGGCAACGCAATTGCTCACATGTACAGCTTTGTGGGCCAGCCGACCCAAAAATTACCTGAAAGCGAACATTCGGCCAGCAAATACGACGTGATCGACCTTGATCCCTATGGAACGGCGGTACCTTTTCTCGATGCCGCTGTACAATCAGTAACTGACGGCGGTCTACTCTGTGTAACCTGCACAGATGCTGGGGTCTTCGCGTCTACCGGTTATCCCGAGAAAACTTATTCTCTTTACGGGGGTCTACCATTAAAAGGCCCTCATGCTCATGAAGCAGGGGTGCGTTTGATTCTCAACTCCGTTGCCACCTCTGCGGCACGGTATGGCCTTTCCATTGAGCCTCTTCTTTCTCTCTCTATAGACTTTTACGCACGGGTCTTTGTCAGAATCCGGCACTCACCCGCCGAAGTTAAATTCTTGGCAGGGAAGACCATGTTAGTCTACAATTGTGATGCTGGCTGCGGGGCATGGACAACCCAGCTACTGGGTCGTCATCGATTGACAGAGGGCAAAAAAGGAGTGCCCTACTACAAGCATGGTCTTGAGCAAGGGCCTTCAGCCGCCCAGCGATGCGAGCACTGCGGTTCCAAGACTCACGTAAGATCCATCTTTGCCAGCAAATTGCTTTGATACCCTTGCTTTTTTCTTTTTGTAACGGAATGCTAATTTGACTGAAATTGCAGATGGCGGGTCCAATGTATGCTGGACCTTTACATTCCCCAGAATTCATCCGCCGCATCCTGAGCTATCTGCCGAAACTTGACTCCGAAACCTACGCAACAACAAATCGTATCAAGGGCATGCTTGTGACCGCGCTTGAGGAGGATCTCAATCATGCTGCAAACAGGGATGAGGATATCTCATCCCCTCGGATCGCGCGCATGGATCCTGCCGAGATTGATCACCATCCTTTCTTTTTTGTTCCAAGTGCCGTTGCTAAAGTGCTCCATTGTCAAACACCACAAGAAGATAGTCTTCGCGGTGCGCTGAGAGGTCTTGGATATCGAGTCACACGGAGTCATACCAGACCAGGGAGCATCAAGTCGGACGCTCCCTGGTCAGTGATCTGGGAGATGATGCGTGAATGGGTCCGTCAAAAATCTCCCGTCAAAGAGGGCGCCATCCGGCAGGGCACCGCCGGATGGGGCATTATGAATGGACCACAGCCCCGCATGGGGAGCCACGCGGCGTCCACGGCTAATGCTAGTGAAACCGCCTCTGACGCTTCGGCTGCAAACGAATACAATGCGTCGCCCAGCACAGCTTCACGGACACTCAACGTTGTCTTTAATGAAACGCTTGGGCGCGAAAAGGACGGGCGACGGTTAGTCCGATACCAAGTCAATCCACGGGCCAACTGGGGGCCTATGAAGGGAGCCAAAGGAGGAAATTGAAGGGGGAAATTTGAAGTTGCAGGTGCATTCCCCCGCAATGCGCCAATTATCACCCGGTTGGTATTATTGCTCCGCGATTTGGTTTGTCGGGTCAAGACCCTTTTTCTTGATCTATCATGCACGTGGGATTTGAGCGCTTGACGTCGGGGGCTTGGTACCGGTACTTTGATACATGGGCCGACCAAGCGGTCGTTGCATGCCGATAGGGAAGTCCAATGTCGCAGCCGGAGTAAAAAGGTTTCCAGTACAGAAGGGTCAACATCTCCTGGCTTGCAGACGCCAAAACTGCCACGCACGCCACCCCGAAAGCGCTTCGACGCACGGATGCGGGGTCTCGCATTGGCCTATTTCTTTTGACCCTTGAGGGGGCGTCTGAGCGACAAGGGGTCGACATACTTTCTTTCCCCCTTGTCGTCATTATTATTGATCGCATTAAACCGCGCAACCCGGTCAGACGCATCTTGCGGTCAAGTGCGTTTGGTCATGACTCTCAACCAAGGTATCTTACTCGATGACGAGATTATGTATATAAACGAAATGGGGCGAATGGAGGCGAGTTTGACACTCTGGAAAAAATGAAATAAAAAAATTTTTTGACGAGGAGCGTTGCATCGGAGATTTAGTTTGACGTGCCATTGTACAGTGTTACTATTACGATTCATGATTTGTCCTCGAAACCTGTTTAGGTCTTGCCTGCGCGTGCGCGCGACACATGGACACTGGGACTGGCAGAAACTCGCGATGTGAAAGGCAATACGTCCGAGATCAAGTCTCATTGGTTTTTCTTTGTTCCTCAGGCTGAAGAAAACATGGCGCTCTCTGCGGCCGTTCTTCGGAGATTCCAGAGCCGCCCTCGGGCGTTGCGAAACAATAAAACAACGTGGATACAAGCAAGACAATGCTATTCAAGCTGAAGTCGGGCGTAGCATGTCTGACCTCGGTCGAGCAGTCTGGGTCGGTCAGATCCGATGGGGGTGATAACGGGCGATAAAACCATTAGGTCGGGATTCTTCAGCCCTTGGGCTTCAATTTCCCTTTTCTTCTCCTTTGTGTCTCCCTTCTCTCGTGGTCTTCTTGCGGGTTTCAGACGCGGTTTCGCATGATGTCTCAGATGGCCTAATGCAGCCGAATCGGACCGCTCCTTATAGGCTGAGACCTCTTGCTTGGACTTTGTTTCTTCAAATCATTGCCAACTCGAGTCAACAATTGTTTTGGAAAACTCGACGATGATTGTCTCTCCAAGGCCGTGGTCTTGTCCCTGCCAGAATCTGACAAATTCTCCTTCTGAATCTTCAGAAATTCAGAATTTGTCCGAAGAGATACAGTCAGGTCCCTTGCAGTGATTCAAACCAGACAAGGCTGAAAATCCGCGTAGGGATCTTCGTTGTAGACCAGGTGTTCCTTGGCGTTAGCTCGCCAAATGAACAAATTGAGTAGGAATCTATCAGACTTTTTTGGCCGGGCCACGTTTCAATTAGTAACATTAATCATTACCAGGTTTAATGGAATGACGATCATCATCAACATCTCAGGAAAGAAGTGATCATTTGTGTGCGAGCCGCCGCCGCCGCTTCATTGTGGTTTCGTAATTTGACCAATTTAACATGTTCCCCACTGCTTTCGGTCGCCGTACTCGTACTTTTACCTTATTTTTTACTTTGGGCAGGAGTATCCAAATCCCAAAGAGGATTAAAACATGAGAATAGTGTCGTGGCCTTATGCCGGGGAGGAGGTGATAAAAGTGCATTAATATTATTTTATTATTACTCTCATCTCATCTCACACATCGTCTCTGTCTCTCTCACACTCTTTCCCCACAACCAACGGTCTACGCCGTCCAATTGCCGAAGCGCACCAAGACATCAAACGACACACGCCCGGCACTCACCTCCTTCACTAACACCTACCTACCTACTTCTCGAGCTGCTGTCTGTCCGAGTACATGCATCAACTCCTCCTGCCTCTTTCTGCCACACCAATTCTCCGCCCTTCATCTCTTTTCCGATCCATTCAGGGTGTCTGAATCTGAGAGAGGACAAAAGGAGAAAAAGACACCTGAGCGCCCACACACACGCACACCCCCTACCCCCCCCTGCGCGAACCGCACACAGATGGATCACGGGTGCACAAACCAAGGTAAACCTCCACCATCGAACACCCTCTTTTCTTTTCGCAGTGCATACCTTCCGTGAGGCGCGGTAAGCAAGATTACTGGACTACTGTACGGCGCATTAGAGCTCCCCCGCCTTAGGACCACGCGCATGACCGCTGGGAATGACGAGTGTGGTGTTTTCTGTAAAATTATCTTTCTTTTACTGACGTCTTGTCCGCATTGCTGATTCGGATTGATTGACTCTCAGTTTCTATTACTCTGCAGTTTTTTTGCTTGCGGATTAGATTGCCTTGACTTCGGCCGGTGTGCGGATCACTCCTTTGTTGATGTTTGCCCTTTCATTCTCCATACCCATCACGCACACAACACACACACCCCCCCTGGTCAGCTCATTTTCTGTAGAGAACCACAAGGCTACTGGATCATATTTTTCTTTTTGTTTTCTTGAATGCCTTTGTTGGAGGCTTCTGATTTGTGAGTTTTGTTTGAACGCTACGAAAACGGGATCTGCAAATCTTATGCGCGTCCAAAGAGCTTAGTTTATGTTGCATTTTCGAACATCTCATTGTTTCGCCTCCTGTGTTTCATTTATTGTGCTCAATTCTGCTAGACATCCCCATCAAGTGGGTTTTCCCGAGTGGGTTCCTCTTTTTGTCACGCCGCAGGTCAGCACACACTTTTCCATCTCACACCCACACCGCACACACTGTGCGGAAGGTTTTTTTCGGTGTCTCTGCCTCGCGAGAGGATTCGTGAAGGCGAATCCTGGGGTCTTCACAAACTGTTTTGACTCTGACCTTCTCAGGCGGTGTTAGCCACTTCCCTCGCCTGAGTGAACAGGCAGTGACGACATTCACTCAGCAGAACGGAGGCCTTGAACAAGTATATTATGATCCTTTGTCCGCCTCGATTTTGAGGGGCTTTGAAATAGACAGCACTGGACATATAAACTAGAGCGCCTCGGCCTCATCTGGACCATTGGCAGCAATCGTGATCATTCATTCTATTTCGGTCTAGATTTTTTTTTGGAGCTTCTCAGTTTCCATCTCTCTCTCTCTCTCTAAACCATTTTTTTGAGTATCTCATCTCAATCGTTCTTTTTGCCCACTATGCCTTCCAGCCGCAGGTCCGCCTGGACTACTCTCTTCACGGGCTGCCTTGTGTGGTCATGCTTGACCAGGCGTGCGTCTGCAGATGTCAAGGGCGTCTTTGCACACTACATGGTAGGTCCTTTCCTGCAAAACCCTTACTGCATAGCTACAGCAGAGCAATAATTAACGTTTTCTTTTAGGTCGGTGGCATTACCCAAGACCATGCCAATACAGATATCCAGCAGGCCAAGGCCCTGGGCCTTGATGCCTTTGCACTGAACCTCCAGGCCACGAGCGGAGACTGGTTGACGTCTGCAGTGCAGTCGCTCTTCCAGGCTGCAAACCAGTATAACTTTAAGCTCTTCTTCAGCTTCGACATGGATGCCTTCCAAGACCCATCCCAATTCATTCCTTTCTTCCAGCAATACGTCAACAACAGCGCCTACTACCACTACCAGGGCAAGCCCTTCACCAGTACCTTCTATGGCGGCAACCTTAACTTTGGCGAGTCTTCTCCCAATGCGGGATGGCAGATCCATTACCGCGATGCCCTCCTTGCCGATGGCATTGACACCTACTTTGTTCCATCATTTTGCGACAACTCCAACGGACCCAACAATTTTTTTGAGAATTATCCCGTTGTCGACGGCGTCATGGGCTGGGACAGCGCTTGGGTACCGTCATCTGCCGGAAAAACGAGCGTCAGCGACTCCATTGACAAACAATACATTGCTGGCGCTCGAGCCGCTAACAAGACTTATATGATGCGTATGTTTACCTCCCCTTCTCCCTTTTCCATTGCTGTTTCAAATTCCCAAGAACCCAGGGCTAATTTTTGTTTTTCTCCCTTTAGCTATTTCATCTGTTCAGTTTAAGCACATTGACAGCAACCAAAACTGGTATCTGCGCGGCGAGCTTGCCCTGGCCGAGCGCATGCCCCAGATCCTTGCCGACGGGCCGGACTTTGTCGAGATTCTCACCTGGAACGATTCAGGCGAGAGCCACTACATTGGCAACGCCTGGCCCGAGGCTATCGCAGGAACCCCCATCCCTGCGTACACCGATGGCTACGACCACTCGGGCTGGCAACACTTGATCCCGCCCTTCATTCAGGCCGTCAAGTGCGGCGTCACCGACACAAGCGACATGCTTCCCCTCAACGGTCTCGCCGTCACCGGTGCCTTCTGGTACCGCCCTCTCCTGGGCTCTGCAACCTGCCCGGACGACTCCTTGGGCAAGCCCAGCGGCTGGCAAAACACCGAGGACTCTGTCCTGGTGGCCCTGTTCTCCGCTGAAGCAGGCAACACTGTCAACGTCTACAGCAACGGTGCCCTCATCGGAAGCTACAAGACTGTCCAGGGCCTGAATAAGTGGGATGTCGGCGGTATCCGGGTCGGTACCGCCCCGAAAGTCACCGTCCTCTCCGCGGATGGAAACAACACCTTGACCACCCAGTCTGGCTCGGTCGCAGTGCAGGCCGATACCAACGGGACATGCAACTTCAACTATCAGGTCTTGGGCCTGTAATTTTTTTTTGAGAAGTTGTTGTAGAAGGTCTGAGAAAGAGGAGAGCAAAACAAAAGAGAAGGCGAATGTACATGATCCCTTGTGAGATTCGGTTGAAGAGAGGAAGGTTCCCCGAAACGGGGAACGGTATATACAACATCCATCACCCATATGCACATTTTCAACTTCCTACATATCGAAAGACAAGGACATACGCATTTGCTTTTTATTTTATTTTATCATTTGGTTTTTATTTTTTATTGTTATCTTTGGTCTTTTTGTCTTTTCTTGTCTGGAGTATTCTTTATCTTCTTTTGTTTGTTTGTTTCTGGTGAGGTCTTTTGTCCTTTCGTCTTTTGTCATGTTCAAGTATTTTGTACTCTTGTCGCTTCCCTTTCCTTGTGTTCTTTTCCTAATGTGTCCCATGTCGTAATGTATCTACACGCTGCATTGCACCGGTGTCGGCATCGGTCTGCCGCTTATTGTTTTTGCTTAAATCGCTGCATTATTTTCTGTTTTCCTTATCTCGTTTGCATTATTTCGTTTTGCTTAAACTCGTTACAATTATCAATAGTTGCCTCTCTACCTAGGTAGTTTAATAGATGCTGGTCTCATCTAAATTTTATTTTTACTTATTATCGCTATTATCTTAGTTCTCTATATTTCTTCTATCGACTACCATCTATCTCTTCGGTTGACTATCTTATGTCTCTCTTGCGTATTGTCGGCTACTATCTTATATCTCTCTATTGACTACCTTATGCCGCTTCCACGACTCGATTTCGCTAATATCTTACATCTTTTCAAATACTCAAATTCGCTACTATCGGATTCTTCCAATACTCGAACACGCTGCTTCATGTACGTGCGCTTGAGGACATGTGCAATGTTCACTTGACTTACTTCGTTGACGGTCTATGTTCTATGCTTCTAAAGAGTACGTTGTTCTGCGATAGAAAGTTTGACATTAGACATTCGTTCCTTCCACTTGGGCGTTGCCCTTGACAAAGTAAAGGACAGCATCCCATGTGATGAACGCCTCCCAGGGACTCGTTAGCTACGAAAATGACACCCCTGTCATCTAAGTCACAGGGTCATTTTCTGTTGCTGTTCTGTTCTTGTTGTTCTCGTTGTCGCGACCATGTAAAGACAAAGGACTGAGATACAGGTACCAGGACAAAAATCCTCGTGTAAAACAGAGATAATATCGAGACTTACATGTCCTTTGCTCGAGTCTGACTGCGTTCGTATTGGCTAGTTTTTGCTCTTTCTCTGCTGAACTCATGTGTGTGTAGTCGGGGAGGTTCTCGGCGCAGCGAAATCGAAGTCGTCCGCGCAATACGAGGGTCGTTGTTTGGGATGGGCAAATTCGGTCCGACATCACGAAAAATAAGGTGCAAGGTGCCCGTCCACACCGGTTCCCCAAACTTCGATAACAAAGATAATCTCCCGATCCCAGCGGTTCCGAAATCATACGAATTAGTCTGGGCGGTTCTCGGGCGCAGCAAAGTCGTCGGGCGTGTTCCGAGGGTCGGTGTTTGGCAAGAGCATGTCGAAGTTCGATAACAAAGCAGAATCCCCGATCCCAGCGTTCCGAAGCAATGCTGCGGAGATCGAGGAACGCTGAGTCTTAAAGGGAAACTCGGAGATGAACACTAGAGGCAAACCTGCCAAGAGGCAACTGAACACCTATTACAAATACTGGTTCTGAAACAGTCAGTCCATCCTGTGCCCTCGGTGGCTGGGTCTCGGGGGTTTTGCGGCCCTGGGTCTGGCCCGTTAGAAGTCTCTAGGCCTCGTGGTAGTTCTCGTCTCCTGGTTCTCGGCATTTTCCTCAATTCTTTTCGTTTTTGGATCAGAAACATTGAATCCGTTGGTTTTAGTTCCGGTGCAAGTGCCGGTGCGAATACGTTTCTCGGTCAAATTTCACTTCGGAAAGCAGTTCCGGATATGTATGTTTTACCAGTATGCTGTGTTAGACCGGAGTGTTCCCGGCATGGCGCCTGTGCGCCTGGACTTTTTTTTTTCTCTCCGCGGAGTGTTTCTGCGGCTGCTGCCTGCTCGTACCTAACCCTCGTTTTTCTTTGTGCCGTTTGAAACAAGGTGTTGAGCTTTTCTGTCTCATTTGGCAGGGATGGGTTCTCGACCTTGAGGGTGTGTAGCTTCTACACGTCGATGAGTATTCTGGACCTGGCCTGGCCTGTGCGGCCTATGCGGTCTGAGCAGTTGTTGGCTTAAGACGTTGCGTGAGGTGCAAGTAGATGTTACTCGATTACAAGTTGTCAGTGGTTTCAGGAGACTTTGTCTTGAGGTACGAGATACATGGATTTACGATCTCGTAACTTTCATGTTTTGGATGCTATTCCGGGCATATGGAAAAATCCGTTTATGGTATCTCCTCCGGAAAGGTTTCATCCTCGAGTTTTAAGACATTGACATGGCTCGATTAGGAATCGATATGCGAGAGGCTGTGGTCGTGCAAATCTCGAACGGGAAGCTGGGCGCTGTTCACAAATGTAATTGTCAAGGTCTCTAAACTGGAATTTGGGAATAGAGACAACTGGTATTCTGGGTATCAGAAATTGGCCGAGTGGCTTGTGATGTTTTGACAGGATTTTGTATTGTTCGCTGTGGCAGATCGATGGCGAAGTAACTATATTTAGGCATACATTCGAGCCGCGAGTGTTTTGAAGCACTATAAAACCTGAACATGATTAGCGATATGCTTCACTTTAAATTATTTATTGCAGTCTGCTCAATATTCTCGCTGATTTGGATGGGGTTTCATTTCCTGGGTTTGTGCTATGGTTTGGCTTCTAAAGAAATTGTCAGATTTCATTAGTAGTTTGAAAAATGAATCTCCCAAGACTAAAATAAGATCATGAAATGGATTAACGGCATATGAATATTTATCAACAGAAGCTGTAATAGCTCCGTATGTTGGTGAAGCTTCCATAGCGGATGGTTAGCGCACAGGGTCAACCCTGGGAAGATCGGGGAGTAAATAGTTAAGTTTAGCTAAGGTTAGCGGAATTAGGCGGGCGCCAGGTGCGCCATGGGGTTTATCGCCGCCCGCCTTCGCTTAGATCCGCTGCGGCTGATGAGAGGCGAGCACCTAAGCACTTCAGTTATACTTTGAGCTGCCATAGAAGATTGGTACGCTGCATCAGTACTTCCTTAGTAGCGCTTAGGAATAGTCTATATCCAGACTTCCCACGAATCATCCCAACGTCATCGATTCACCAGCCAACAACCCCCTCATGGAACCAGGGAAACCTTGAGCTATTCATCTTCATCCGTGGCTCTTTGCCGTCGGGTTCCATGTCCGGATGATCTGCTACTCACCATATTTCTCGTCTCTCATTTCGCTCCACCAGTGCCTCAACAAAGTAATCATAATGTCATGACTTGGTGGTCAGTGCAGCCTCCATCGGACCCCTAACCAATTCTTGCCTACTGCTGAGCGATGGCTAATGACGATTAGAACTGTTATGCTGCTTTTGTACGACAAGGATTTTCTCATGAAATGGAATCCACCCTCCATCACCCCTCGAATCTCCCGGAAATGGAATCGGCACTTTCCCCCCACCGGAATATTTTGCACTGAGAGCCGACTAGATGCTCTGCATTGCCCTGGTGGAGTGAAGGAGTGCAGCCGCTCGAACCGATTATTGGAGGTAAGATGACTCTGGACATTCAGGTATAGCCTGCACATGCTGGCGTCATCTTTTTGTCCAGCTCGAGCTTTACTCTTAGGATGACTTGGATGAGCTCCGTCTCACTTGGTTGCCACGCAATCAATCCTAATGTGGCCATTGCTTTTCCCAATGAGACGTGGTCAAGTCTCTGGGAAGCATTCGCAAGCATTGGCACTGGCTTGGATGCTTTGGGGAGGTCCTATATAGCCTGCTGTCCCCGCACTGCCTATAACTTGACCTCTGACAGTTTGAATTGAATTGAGTTGAATCGCAACAGGACTGACAGAGGACGGGCTTTAATTGACTTGAGATTGTTATCTGGGTGAACAACATCTGAGAGACACTTGTCACAATGTTGGCGAGAATCGCACTCGCGGCTGCCCTCTTGGGCGTCGCGGTTGATGCCTTGCCTGCTCCTCAGGCTGTTTCTTCTCCACATATATCCGGCCCAACTAATATAACCATGCCTGGAATACCTGGAACAGGAATGCCTGGAACAGGAATGCCAACGGCAACTGCCTCAGCCATGTCGAACATGACCATGGCCAATGCGAGTGTTCCTGTGCAATACACCTCAGCAGTCTCACCGCCACCAGTGGTCAGCAGCCAGTTGACCGAGGCATCTCACGGCTCATTTACAGGACGGGCGACCACCACCGGTGCTCTGTCATTGAGCGTACAAGCACAGTCTATTCCCGCTCTCCCTCCAAGTCCTGCTGAGACGAACGGTTATCCTAGCGACGGACAATTGCATGAGCCTGAGCCTGCCCCGTTTACCCCAGCTGGTGGTGAGGGAACAAATGGATCGGAGCCGGTGTACCGAGTGCAAAGTGATTTTGATTTCGAATCAATTGTATGACGCCTGCCCCATAGGTGTAGCCGGTGATTATCTAACTTTTATTCTGTACTAGGCTCTCGGTCTCTATCAGGAGTACATTGAACTAGACGTTTTCCACAATGGCTTGGCGATGTTCTCTGCTGCGGATTTTCAAGCTGCGGGCTTGACCGCCGAAGACCGCTTCTTGATCGAGTTCATGGCTGACCAAGAGGTCGGCCATGCCACCCTCCTTACCAACATTCTCGGACCTCAGGCAGCGCCCAAGCAATGCACTTATAACTACCCCTTCCAAACGGTGCGCGAGTTTGTCGACTTTAATCAGAAGTTGACTCGTGTTGGCGAGAGTGGTGTGTACGGCTTCCTCAACCACCTGGACTCTCGTCCTGTCGGCCAGCTGCTCCTTCAATCTATCAGTACCGAGGCCCGCCAGCAGATGATCTTCCGTCAGTTCGATGGGCTTTTCCCAATGCCTGTGTGGTTTGAAGTTGGAATTCCTCAGAGCTGGGCTTGGACCTTGATCGCACCATATATCAGTAGCTGTCCACAAAACCAGACCCGTCTGGCTTGGCAGAACTATCCGGCTCTGCATGTCATCAACCAGCCCAACGCCGCTCGCACCAATGCGAACCAAACCGGCTCCAATGAAACCCAGGGCTTTTCCATTGAGGCCCCTCTCAACGACGCAATTGTTCCTAGTTCCAGCCTTTGTGTCAACGCTACCGGCGTGGGCTCGAATTGCAATCCGGCAATTACGCACAATCGCTCCATTCCGTTGTCGTACCCCGGCCGATTGGTTCAATTGCAGTGGGACGCCCCCGGGCAGCTCGTCGGCCCGAACAACAGTTATGTCACTTCGACCAGTGCTGGTGCACCTTCGTGGGTCGCCTGGGTCAACCAATTGGTATGTTTACCTTTGTCGCAGCTGGATAATTTATGTTTCTGCCCTCGCTCTGTTTGTCCCAATAATAGACAATCACTTTTTGAGGATCAAAAAACAACAATTGGTCGATTGGTCTAGTGGTATGATTCTCGCTTAGGGAGTCGGAGCGCGAGTTCCTTCTCAAAAACCTAAGTACAATTTGCGAGAGGTCCCGGGTTCGATCCCCGGATCGACCCAATTCGTTATCATTTTTTTTGCTTTTTATCATTTATGCCACCGCCTCTCCTCTCTCTCTGTGCCTCTTCTATGTTTTCAAAAACTTCTTTCTCCTCATTTATCATGCATTTTGATTGCACTTCAATTTGAGATTAGCGACTAACATCTCTCAGAATGTGACATACTCCAAATTGACGCTCACCGGAAACAATACCGGCACGACTATCCAGCCCAATGTCTCCACGTTCGAGAACAATCCAATGGTGCGTTTTCCGTTTCTTGATTGCATAACAAATGAAAGATACTAATTCCTCTATTCTAGATCAACGGCACTGTTTTCATCGCTCTCGTGGACACTCCGCTCGCCTTGAGCCCGTTCAACCTCAGCCAGATCAATCCTCATGTTGCGGCTTTGACTTTGTACCAGGCTGGTTAATCATGTCCCTTGTCGTCACGTTCATTTGGTAAAATGGTACAATGAGAGGGAATGAGAATGGTTTTCTTATACTTCCTTTTCTCTTTCGGTACAATGGTAGGAAAAGCGCCTGATTCAGTTTTGACTTTATCAAAGGTCGGATACTATGTCGAGGAGTATCCTATTTCGGATGACAATTGGCGTTCACTGATTTTCCATGTGTATATTGTAATGGTGATATAATGGTAATAATAACGGAGTTACTTGACTAAATTTCCTTATCTCGTTCTAGAAGCACGAATGAATCAAGAAACGCGAAGAAGAGTCAAGAATGCATAAAATTAGGTGATTAGTATTAAAATCGGAAAAAAAAAAAAAAAAAAAAAAAAAAGAAGGCTTGCTCATATGGCGTGCAGACTAGAAAAGCCCAAGTGGTAGGGGGGTATTATGGTGGACGAACATTATGGAGTATGGCAATAGCCAAATAGAGTGTAGGGGTATTATTAAGGCTTCTGAATCATAAGTGCTTGCTCAGCGCCGGTGCACACGAGTATGAAATTCAAAAGGAAGGGAGAAAAAGGAAGGAGGGAGAAAAAAAAAGAGAAATCAGAAAGTGAAAGAAGCGCCTCTCTCGAAGGGCATTCGAGAGAGAATCAGAAGAACAGCTGGCTCCAACTTGGCTAGGACGGCCTAGCCGGGGGGGGGGGGGCCGGGGGCTGGTGCTGCAAGATCCCAAGTTCCAAAGTTAAGAGGACGATGTGCCGGTAGGTGCCGGGACAGAAGGGGCGCCGGGTGCCGCAGCGGCAGCGTCAGTAGTGGTGGTAGCCGCAGTGGCTTCATCGCCGGCCGCAGTCTCCTTTCCGCTAGCCGCAGCGGTGGTGGAGGAGGGTGGTTCAGGAGCAGTGGCCGCCTGCTTGGTTGGCTCCAACTTGACCGTCTCGCCCAATTCCTTGAGCTCGGGTCCTTTACCACCGTACGCTTTGGGCACGTTGCTACCGAGCTCATTGACAAGATATTCTCCATAACTGAGGACGGTGAACTTGCGCACGGTCTCCTTGGCGAGGACGAGCTTGACGGCGCCAAAGACCCAGCCCATCACGACAGGAACATTGACAAAGAACTTGCGGCTCAAAGTCTCGGGGTAGTGCGCCTGGAAGATTTCAATCGTCTTCTTGGATGCGGCTTTGATATTGGGGTCCATGCGCAAGAACTTGACTGAGAGGTAGTCGTGGATTTGCATAATGGTGTACGGGTCTGCTCCGGCACCGTGGTCGGGAATAGAAGTAGTAGCGGACGAGAGATTGAGCTGTGCAATGGAACGCTCCATGAGGGCAACGCGCCAGCGGAGAAAGCTATTTGGGGAGTTGAAGCGTCAGTATTGTTTTACGTGGAGCGTGACGGTCGAGAGGGCGATGGTGAATTGGCGGAAACCGGGAATCAGGAGGAAGGATGTTTCGTAGGGAAAAACAAATTTACAAACAATTAAGAGGAATATGACATACCCGTTCAAGTCTCCAAAGGTAGCCTTGTGGTCCTTGACTGCGCCGTAAATGTTCCAAGTCACCACTTCTTTACTGTGCCCTGCGTTTTCGTCATCATTGTCAGTTAAATCGCTCTCTCTAGACTCCGAATGCCCTATTGAACTGTATCCATTTGGTATGAAACCAGACACAACACATGCCCAGGGCCCACACCAAAAGACAGCAGCAGCAAAACGTGCCACGTACCTTTGCCATCAGCACTCGGGACACCATCTAAGACTGTAATATATCCCAATCCTCCAAATCTCTCCTCATCAAAAACCTCATCCTTTGCCTTGAGAGGCTGGAACTCCTTGCGCCACTTCAGCGTACTAAACAACTGAGATGAAGCCTTGTCCACGTCGTTCGAGTTGGCGCGGAGGAACTTTTGCAGAATGAGGTTCGTGCTGAATGGAGTCGGCTCTTCAGCGGAGAGCGTGACACCATACACTTCAGCATAGTCGGCCTCCTTCAAGAGCTTGGGCAATTTCGACTGCAAATCTTTGAGCGGATGCGAGGCGGCAAGTTCAGGCCAGACTGGACCGGTAGTGTTCGAAGCAGCCGTGGTAGGTGCGTTAGTAGGGACAGCGGGAGCTTGTTGTTGTTGCTGCTGCTGGGTGGTGGTGGTAGCAGTCGTGCTTGCAGTCTGTGCAGGTTCCGGTGGAGCAGGTGTAGCTTGCTGAGCGACATCTGCACCTGCGGCAGTAGTATTGGTAGTAGCTACGGGTGCCTCAGACGGGGTGGGAGCTGTGGGGGAAGTCGTGGTAGGAGTTGGCTGAACGCCTGGTTCAGTGGAGGTGGGTACTGGTTCAGCCATTTTCTGACCTCTCGAAATTTCGATGCGGATAGTTCAATGACAAAAGATGTAGAAGATACTCAAGGATAAAGACCAAAGAGATGTGAAGATGAAAGTTAACAGCGTGTTCGACAACCAATGGCAGATTGACTTGTGGGTGTTGTGTTTTGGGCGTGGGAATCTGCCGGAGTAGTCCGTAACAGCGCGGGAACTTTTTAAGGTTTCAACCGTTGTGATGGCCCCCCCTGGTTGATCGAGCGAATCCTATTCATTTATACACTCGCTACAAGTCATCTTATCAATCACCCTCCCTATCGAATCATATCTGACCACCCCTCTCATGAGCATAACTCGATATTATTAGGCACAATACAAACGTGTTTGAAATTTCAAGAGATCAATTAGGACTATCTATAATTAAGGGACTATCATAGCAAATTGCAATGCGATTGCGAGAACGGAAGAAAGGAAAGTGAAAAAGGCCATTTGGCATGTCTAGCTCATCAGAAATTTACATCCTAAACGCCGCCTAGAAAAAAGAATATTGAAACAATCAAGCTTTGATATCTTCGCTCAAGCAGCAGCAGCCTTAGCAAGCTCTGCCTTGTTATCCTCATACTTGTCCCAGTTGGCCAGAACCTGGCCAATCTTGGGCGAATTTGTCAACCGGTACACATCCTCAAAGTACTCCTTCGTGATCTGGAACGGCCGTGCAGTCACGTTAGGAATGTACTTGCCAACGAGCTTGCTAGGATCAATGCTCGTCCGGTTGATCTTCTTGAGCAAGAAGCTACGGAACGGCTTGACACCAGAGCGCAGGAAAGTGCTGTGGAATGGCACATCGATACCCCGCAGAGGGATAGTAGCAAAGCCACGCTGAAGCTCGATGGGCTGGGGCTTGGTAGCAGTCTGCTTGGCACACTCGCGAATGATCTCGACGAGGTGAGCTTTGACGTCGTCAAGCGACATGGTCTGCATGAGAGCCTGAATGTCAATCTTCTGGGCCTTGAGGTAGTTGAGGACATTGGTCAGGCAATCAAGGGCGCGGAGCTAGAAAAGGAATGACTCGTTAGCTTTATTTGCGTTACAAAATCAAAGGACCTTGGAAGTTGGGAAAAACTTACATCGCCGGCGCAGACGTATTGCATGTTGGCAACGTTGTAGTTGACAATTTCTAGGAGCCACTTGGTCTCCTCAGAAATGTTTTCAACAACATACTGCAACGCCTGTTCGTTGAAGGTCTTGGAGATACGGCTTGGGTTGACAGCAGCCATGGAGTAGTTGGAGCGACCTTGCTCGTCACGCTCGACGGCGACCTGCATTGTCAGACCACGGTAGAACACAACCGAGACCAAGCTCTCAATCGGCATGACCTCGGCCAGCGCGGCAAGGGCAGAGTACTCTCCGAGAGAGTGACCAGCAAAGCTGCTGTCACGCTGGACAAGCCCCTTGTAGCGCATGTCCTCAAAGGCAGCCTTCTCCATGAGAGTCAAGGCAGGCTGCGTAAATTGAGTAGCGGATAGCAGACCAGAGGGCGACCGGTAAGTGTATGAAGTGGTGGTCTCGTCAATCTCCTTGAAGATCTTTTCCGACTTGATCGAACCATCGGCAGAGACGGTCTCGAAGGTCATGGAGATGTAGTTCTGACGGATGGCCTTTCCACGAGGACCGCCAAAGTAGATGGTGAGCTCTTTGGGATTGTTCTTGACAATATTGACAATGGAGAAACCATAGTTGTCCATAAAGTGCTTGTCGGCCCGGTCCCAGACCTCCTTGGCAACAGGGCTGTTGGCGTACAGTTCCATACCCATACCTTGCTCTTGCGAGCCCTGACCGGTGAAGACGTAGGAAGAGACGGGCTGCTCGACCTCGGCCTCACCTACGAGCACCTTGTCCTCGGTCTCCTTGTTGCTGGCCTCAATCTTGATGATCTTGCGACCAGCAACCATGCCAACGTGTTCGAGCTTGACGTTAATGTTGTCGTTGGGCAAGACCATGCCAACGAGCGAGCAGTGGAAGCTTCGCACGCGGCCAATGTTGTTCTCGGCCGCCCATGTTTCCACTAAGCTGCGAACAGCAGCGCTCGAGTACATACCGTGAGTAATGGTGCCCGGAAGGTTGGCATAGTTGGCGAACACACGAGAGACATGGATAGGATTGTAGTCACCAGATACCTTGGCGTACGTCTCGTTGCTGGCGGGGGCCTTGAGAGCCAAGGGAGTCTTGCCGCTCAGTGGGATGGGGTTCTCAAAGTTGACGGGTTGCTCGATAGAAGAACCGTTGCGCTGGAGATAGTCAATGACAGGGTTGCCGTGCGAGTCGCCCGCAGAATAGTCGACTGAGGCGATCTGGATGACCTCCTTAGTGGGCAATTCCAAAAGGACCTGACCAACCGTCTCGACGTTGCTGAAGACTGTCTCGTTCTTGAAGCGGACCAAGCTTTCAAGACGGAAAGTCAGGGTCTTGTCGAGAAGGTCAATAGAGGGATCATCGAGATGAAACCATTCCTTGGATCGAAGCACGGCAACGTCCTTGGCAGAGCGAAGATGGACCTCCATAGGCGTCTCAGTCTTGCGCTGGAAAGTGTTCTCGAAATCAGTGTAGGTGCCGCGGTACAGAAATTGGCTGGTGACCTCCATGATTGGCTTGCCGTCACGTGTAATGGTACCGCAAACCTCAACCAGCTTACCAGAGGCCTGGTTTATGACAGCGTTGACCTGAGCGTTGGTGTCCAAGACGTCGCCCTTCTTCAGGGGCTCGGCGCCTGGAAGCATGCGGAAGCCATTTGACAAATGGACGAGCTTAAGCAGGTCGCCATCAATGGCCTTGGGGAAGATGGGCTTGGTGATGGCCTTCCATCCAACAACGATGGCGAAGTCCATGGGCGCGAACACTTCCTTGCCAGGACGGTCAACGAAGCTTTCGCCAGTGTTGCCAACGGCGTGAACAAAGTCACCAATGGCCTGTCCGGTGATGGTGGCACGGCCACCCTCGAAGGTGCTAGTGACCGGGGTGTCGAAAGGCACAGACTCGTCGCCGAACCACACGCGATAGTAGAACTCCTTGATACGATCGTTGCGGTCTTCCATGACCTCGCGGATAGGAGCATAGCCAGTCTCGGGGTGGTAGGTGAATCGGAAAGGAAGAGCGACAGGTTTGCCGAGGGCGGTGCGGTGCTCAATCATATTGACAACAATCTCCTTGTCGCTGTTAAGACTGACGCCAAGGGTCTGGACGTAGAGACCGGAGCTGGCAAGCTCCTTGACGCTGATGACAGTCCGGGCTGGCTCGTTCGGGTGGGCGATTTCGACGACCATACCGTGGCTAGGAGCAAAAATGCGTCTCATCGGGTTGGTCTGGAACTTTTGGCCTTGAAGGAAGACATCTGCAGTAAACAAAGCGTGTCTCCACGAGTAGCTACGACCAGCCAAGACTTGCAGCCAGGGCTCGAGTTCGGGCAGGGCCGCGGCAGGAGAGCTAGACAAGCGGTAGACGGCCTTGGTGCCATCGTCAGAAGCGGTAAGACCCTCGACATTGAGCTCGTCGCTGGCTTCCAAGAGCTTGCCACCAAAGTACTCAACAACGGGGACGGCAGACTCATCGCCGCCATACACATCCTTAATCAGACCCTGAATGTGAGCCTTGTGGATGTTGCCCAAGATGTCACCGATTGGCTCATCGACGATCTTGGAGTATCGGACAGCCATGGGGCCTTGAAGGATACAAGTCCTTCCGACGTCCTGGTCGACGACCGCCTGCAGATCCTCAGATTGCCAAAGCGAGTCCTTCTTGAACCAATATTCAAAATTCTCGTCCAAGGAGGGGACGAATGGAACTGGCTTCTGTCCGCGACGCTGGCACAGCAAGAGGAAATGGTGCACATCCTGTGCGTTGATAATCTGAGTGTCGGCCTCGGGATAAGCCTCAACGACGCGCTCAATGACCTTGAAGGGCTCATTGAGATCAGAGTAACTTTGCAGGACAGAGGCCTGGCCAGCTTTTCCGACGAAACGCTCCTCGACACGGCGAATAAAGTCGCCCGCGAGACGAAGGAGCGAGACATCAATCCAGCGGGACTCGTGCTTGACGTACATGAGCTCGACCATGCGGCGGACGACCTCACCGTAGGTCATGTCCTCAAGATCCACCGACTCGCCGGCCTTGTTGCGACCGAACCAGACTTTCTGGAAGTCATCGTTGAGCTTCTTGATGATGTACTCTCTCTGCTTCTTGAGCTCCGGAACGCGCTTAGCACGGTCCAAGCTGAAGATCTTCTGGTCCATCTCAGCCCAGAATTTGACACCACGGGTGGCCAGCTTGTGAATAGGCTCGCCCATCTCGGATCGAACAGTGATGACTCCTCCGGCGGGGCCCTTGTAAGTCTTCTCCCACTGGCTGTCGTCGACACCAGGCGCATCGACAATCGCCTGCTTGGCGGCCGGCGAGGTGTGACACTCCTTGGCAACCATGCAGCGACTACCAAACATGCATCCGTCGAAGGGCATGGGCGGGTAACCAAACTTGGCTGACCAGGCACCGGTCAGGTACGGGTAGGTGTCCTCGGAGCCACCGAAACCACTACCGGCAACCAACACGATGTTGTCGCATCTCCGAAGACGGCTGTACATTTGGACAATGGGCTGGTGGAAATCCTCGAAGGAGTGGTGACCACCGCCACGACCACCAGTCCACTGCAGGATAACTGGGAACATGGGGTTGGCCTTGGCAATGTTGACCACCTGTTGAATTGCGTCCATGGAGCCAGGCTTGAATGCAATATGCTTGATTCCGAGCGTCTCAATGTACTCATTTGCGACCTCAATCGATGGCACACCAGCGCCAATGGTCAGACCCTCAATAGGAATGCCCTTGGCACGGAGCTGGCCAAGGAGGGGTATCTGCCAGGCCATGGCGGCGGGGTTGACGTAGATAAGGTTGACAGTAATACCACGACCAGCAGGAACCGCCTTCTCAATCTTCTCGAGAGCCGCCGTCATCATGCCAGGAGTGAAATAACCACCACCGGCCAATTCAATGTGGTAGCCCGCGTTCATCGTCGAGGCGACAAACTCCCACGGGACTGTGGAAGGTGTCATACCAGCAACCATAAGAGGAGGCACACCCAACAAACGGCTCATCTTGGTGTCAACAAAGGTCTGACCAACTGAGGTCTTCACAAGGCGGGGACCATTGTCCTTGACCCAGTCCACGGCGTATTTGACAGCATGCTGCTCATCACGATCAAAGAGCTCGGGTTTGTAGCCAACTTCGACGTTGGTGCCATCTATGGCGCCAGCCAAGATGACACGAACTCCAGTGCCGTCCTTGTTGCGGTTGGTGAGGACGCCAAGACCAGAGATACCGCCAGGGCCGAGGTCGAGAATGTGGGTCGCTTGGGGAAAGACGGTAGCCGTCTCCCAGTTGACTGTCTCCCGGGTGATCATTCGGACCAAGGTCGGCACAATATTGGCATCACCATGCTCACGGAGGTCCTTGCCAGTGTTGGTGTCGAAAACAGCGATACCCAGGCTCTTGCCGCTCAGGTGAATTTTGCTGAGGTCCTCCTCAATGTGCTTGTGAGCCTCGGCGAGGTAGGGGCTATGGAAGGGAGCGGTGATAGGGAGGAAACGGTTGACGAAGCGAATCTTGCGCTCGGTGTGGGGAATGCGGTTCTGATCTAGACCCGTGGGGGCCTTGACTTTGCGAAGGCGCAGATTTAGACCATAGAGCGAAATCGGGGGACCGGTAACAACGAAGTTCCGGGCGCTGTTAACCAACGAGATGGCGATGTGACGCTCCTTGGGCAAGTGGTGGTTGGTGGCATCGATGTGCTCCTGAACCGCAGAGCGAGGAAGGTCGCGAATGGACAACATGGGAGTGGGAACGCCCTCACCGCCATCGATGGAGTCCTGCAACACCGAGGGCGCGAGAGAGGTCTGCGGGTAAGCCTGCTGGCTCCGCGAGCCGATCCAGAAGAGCATCGTCAGCGCATCGGTGGCAGCCTTTTCAAAAGAGTCCCAGTCGTCGGCGCTGGCAATGGCAGCCGCGGTCACGACGCCCTGGGAGTGACCAGTGGTACCGCTGATGCGCTCGCGCAGCTCACCCGGGGTCTCGCCGAGGACCTTGCAGAGTACAACATAATGGGACAATTGCACCAAACCGATCAAGGGCAAACTGACAGGGGCGGAGACTAGGTAGTCTATATCGGGCTGGCTATCATGGTCGTGCAACCAGCGCACGACGTCAAGACCTTTTGAGTAGAGCTTCTCGGCGCGGGGATCACGCGAGAGACTCTTGAGATGAGCGGCTGAAGCGGAGATGAACTCGCCGACGAAGGAAGGGTAGGTAGTGTAGAGTTGATGAAGCTCATCAAAGTACTCCTCAATGTTACCCTGACCACCGAAGACGGTGTAGATCTTGGCGTTGCCTTCTCCAGCAGCCCGGAAAAGCGCAGACTCGTGGGGCCGAATGGGCCTGCTTGCGGCATCGCGGGCCGCATAGTAAGCTTGGACGACAACCAGCTTCTTCTGCTCAATACCGGGAAGAGCGGAGGCGACCGCGTGCACCTCATTTCCTCGCAAGAAGCCGCGCTCAAACTCGGTCAGGACGAGTTTCAAGACCTCCTCGTATGATCCTTGCGCGTCATCCTCGCCGGCCTCAACTTCCTTGGCAACGAAACCAAGGTACCGGGCGACCAATTCGGGCACAGACGAAGGCTCATCATCTTGGGCGAGCTCGTCTGTCGGTTCGGGAAGTGTAGCGATAAAGTTATCCTTAAGCTGAGAAGCGGAGAAGTGGAGGACGGTAGGAACGAGGAAAGAGTGTTCGAGCGACCCGTGAGTGAGGGTGAGAGGACGCAATGAAGCAGAGGAGCGGGGGGTCGAAACGCCCGTAACTGGGCCTGAGGAAGGACCTCCGTACATGATGGAGAATGACTGAGGATAGAAAAAATTGCAACTATGATATTCCGGTTCTCAACGCCGGATCTGCCAGTTCAAATCAGCTTTGAATCCCTCAATTGCATTCGAAAATCTAGCTGATGAAACGATCAACACAGTGATGGCAAGCCCGGGAGCAGAGCTTTCACGAAGCTATATCTTTTGCGGCATGATCGAATTGTGCAAAATGCACTTACCGTGAGAAACCCAAGCTTTCTATGCCGCTATTTCTCAGAAAGCCAAATTAAAACGCCAAAAAGCGCTGTCAAAGTAAAAGGAAAAAGTTCGATGTTCGTATTAATTCCCCAAATGGTATATTGTTAACACGGCCACGGGGGATGAAGCAAGTGTGGAGTGGGCCGTGAGGAGGTCGTAGTGGAGGAGAGAAAGAGGAGGAATAATGGAGAGAGAGAAAAGATGATGAAGAGGGAGAAGTGGAGGAAGATGGTGCGTCGAACGGACGGGTTTATGGGAGGAGAGAATAGCAGCAGTTGAGGGTCCGCGGTGTGGAGGAAGATTGGGATGGGACCAGATTGAAGTGTTGCCGTCGTGGAATGGTAGCGTGTGTGGTGGAGGTGTCCTGAACAAGCTGTGCAGTTTGATGGATCAGAGTGGATAACTTAATGGGACGCAAAACGGAGCTTGGGGCGGCTCCGACATTTGGCGCGAAAGGTAAAGGCAGCACCAACAAGGACCTACGGGTAAAAATGCCCTGGTCGCCTTTTTGCCTGTCCTGCAAGAAGACACGAGCTTCTCGACACTTTTACTGACCCTTGGACCCAAAGCCCTTTTTTTGCAGAGAGGTTGAGCGACATAGCTCCAATTGGGATTAGCTCCACAGAAAGTCCGATCCGACGCTTACTGGGGTAAGCGAAGCGTTGGGACTGGGATCATCAACACTCTGCTCAGGGTCAGGTACCCGCTAAAGACACACGTCTGGCGGGCACCCTGCATCTCTTTCTTTTCCTCGTCTCCTCTAGTAAGGAGTACGTACCCTATCCACAACTCCCGCAACCCACATATCTCCTCTGTACATACTCCGTACGCCGTCTTGCTACCGATACTATCACCAAATCATCACTCAAGCCACTATTCGACGATGGGCTGAAACTCGGGCCCGGAGCTTGGGGCTCATAATTTTGATGACTTCGGAACCATGAGTTTCCAACTCGTACGAGTGACAACGGGGCCCAATCTCGTCCCTTAGGTAATGCATCCAAATGCTTCACCCCCACGAAGGTCGTCGGTACGCTGCCCTGTACATACTGCACGCACTCATTTTGTGCCCCAATCCCCCCCCCCTTTGCCCCATCGCCACAATCACCGCATTCAGATGGCAATGGGTGGGACTGGCGCGTGGGCGACCTGTGCGACATGCCAGAAGAATGATCGTCCCCCATAGCTATCTCACCGTGCATGATTGTTGATGCCCCAGGCTATGGCAAATCTAATCCTGGAAGTCGATAAGAGTCAAAACGTCAGACCCATCCAATAGCCCACAGAGCCTGGGGGAAGGTTGCCCCAGCAGTACATTGTCGCCGCTTATACGCTGCGCTCTCACGGAAGCACCACAGCCGACGAGGTCTGCGTGGTTGGTGGGTATCCGCGCCACAGGGTCATGTCGGAAGAAGGATTATCGAGGGCTCCGATGGCCACGAGAAGTTCAGTAATCGGTACCTTGTTAGTACCGGACCAAAGGAAATCTGCCCGGAGCAGTTGAGTATGGTGGGACAGGGTCCAATTGGTTCCGGAGTAGTCTCGGCACTTGGACGTTCGTCTTGACCTGAATCGAGAAACAGGAGCAAGCGCATTCTGAAGGCACACGGCGTACGGAGCTCCATGGAAGAGAGAAGAAGAGCAAGAAAAATCGAACAAGGGCAACAGTAATGGCAGCAAGCTCCTACAGTATTGAACTAGTACAGAGTAATAATAATCTCTCTCAGATTCCCTCAATAGATCTCGCGAGTGCAGGGGATAGAGCTCAGGGAGCTTACCGCCGTAGATGACGAAGATGATTGATTACGAATTACAGAGATACAGGTACACGGCATCGATGAAAGCCTGTAGGGCGGAAGGCAACACTCCGCTTACCATCTTAGCACTCATCGTGATGACGATCTATCAATTCAATTGAGTTTCTAATCAAATTCGATGACGATTAAATTCATGTTGAATGTTTCAATGACCGCATTCATGCTAAAGGTTGCCTTGTGGCTTTTAGACGAATCCCTGTCCTGGTCGGGTCGGAGATCATCGTTGTATGTTGACGAGGATAATATACATGGCCCGCCTGGCCGTTGAAGGTGAAGGCTTGGAAGAAGAGGGAAAGAATCGGTAAGGTACCGATTGCAGCTACTGGTACCCTCGTACGGAGTAAAAGTCGTTGTTGTGGAACAAGGAGTCGTGTGGGAAAGGGAAGAAGGTGGAAATGGTGGGTCCTTATTCCCTTGGGCCGGTCGGTGTCAACCTTTCCTGGTTAAGCCTAGTCTCTCCAACGATTTTTTGCCCTGAGACAGTGGCCAGAGCGGGCGATGGTGTCGCTAAACCTTCCCCGTCCCTCTTGGGGCGTTTGGGACAGGCACCCAGCATTCCTGCCACAGAACGCCTGTCTGTCTGCCCATCAACGGCCGTGCGGCTGCCAACAGCTTTTTAGACTGTGCGGCAGGACATGCTGTAGAGTATGATTGGCGTAGATCGCGCTTATAGTTTGTACCGTAACACAGAGTCTCGATCCCCAATTATTGGATAGACGGCTTGCTGGGGGCCCAATAACTGCTGTCTATAGCAATAACGAAAGCTACAATTCTTTCCTTATGCACACACAACAGACTCACCCGAACTTCAACACCCTTTAGCCCCCTTTAGAACAGCCCACGCACGATCCGTCGCCCTTCTTTTCGTTCGCCAAAGCGCCCCAAAGCAAAATGACACCAAGTGGAAGCTCTAAACCAGCATCGGTAAATGGTACCCCAACCCCCGGCCCACGTCGGATGCATGCTCCGGACACAACACGGACGTAGCTCACCCTGGTCAATCGACAGCCAGGCTGCTTCTTTTTGGGGTTCCTCTCTCAACACCCTTTGCTTTGGTGCAAATCTGCCCAGACAACTGAACGTTGCGAGAGTCGATCCTAGGTAAAAGAGCGGACCGTTCTAAGACGGCAACCCTACCCAGCTTTGCCTCTCCTCCTCTCCTCCGTCTTTGATATTCACTATCCTCCCATTCGATTCTTCAATTGGGCATACCTCCTCCTACTCCCTCAACTTGCCCTCCATACTCTTCCTCTTTTCTTTTCCCCCCTCTCCTCAAACTCCAACACCAGGCAGGAGTTTTTGCTCTTTCCTTCTCTGTCGTCTCGACTACAATCGTGCTTGGCTTGTGGACGGCCTTCACGATCTTCCTTTTATCTTCGACTCGAATCACGTCTCGAGTCGTTTCGACACATGAACATCTTTTTCCATCGTTGACTTGACATCTTCGCCTTTAGACGACCCCTATCGTGGTCCTCACTTTAATACTTCGTCGATTAATTTTCCAAAGTTTTCTGGACGTCTCAACAAACCGTCATTATGCGTCCCGAAATTGAGCAGGAGCTCGCGCACACGCTCCTGGTGGAGCTACTTGCATATCAATTCGCCTCTCCAGTGAGATGGATCGAGACCCAGGATGTCATTCTCGCTGAGAATACTACCGAACGGATTGTCGAAATTGGTCCCGCTGATACACTTGGTGGTATGGCCCGGAGGACCATTGCTTCCAAATACGAGGCCTACGACGCTGCCCTCTCCGTACAGCGTCAAATTCTCTGCTACAACAAGGACGCCAGAGAGATTTACTACGAGGCTGATCCCGTAGAGGACGAGCCGCCGGCGGCTGCCCCTGCTGGAGATGCCCCTGCCGCTCCCGCCGCCGCCGCCGCCGCCCCGGCCGCAGCTGCTCCTGCACCCGCCGCAGGTGCTGGTGCAGGCCCTGCTCCTCAGGTCGCCGACGCTCCTGTGCCTGCCGTGGACATTTTGCGGACTTTGGTCGCTCAGAAGCTTAAGAAGGGTCTCCAAGATGTACCTTTGAGCAAGGCTATTAAGGACTTGGTTGGAGGTAAGTTTAGCCTGGTGTTTTTTCCTCGAAAATTGTTGGGACGCCATAGTAATGTGAATTTTAGGAAAATCCACTCTCCAGAACGAAATCCTTGGTGACCTGGGCAAGGAATTTGGTTCTACGCCCGAGAAGCCCGAAGATACGCCTCTCGATGAGCTAGGTGCTGCTATGCAGGCCACTTTCAACGGCCAGCTCGGCAAACAGTCAACCTCTCTCATTGCCCGTATGGTCTCTTCCAAGATGCCTGGCGGTTTCAACATTACCGCTGTTCGTAAATACCTCGAGACCCGCTGGGGTTTACCTGCTGGTCGACAGGACGGCGTCCTTCTTCTGGCCTTGACAATGGAGCCTGCCTCCCGTCTCGGTTCCGAGGCTGACGCCAAAGCATGGCTCGACGATGTCTCGAACAAGTATGCTGCCCACGCCGGCATCAGCTTGTCTTCACCCACTGCTGGTGGTGACGGTGGTGCGGGTGGTGGCGGCATGATGATGGATCCCGCTGCCATTGACGCTCTGACCAAGGACCAGCGTGCTCTGTTCAAGCAACAGCTCGAACTCTTTGCGCGCTACCTCAAGTTGGACCTTCGTGCTGGCGACAAGGCCTTTGTCAACTCGCAAAAGTCTGAAGCCGCTCTACAGGCCCAGCTTGACCTCTGGAACACTGAGCACGGCGAGTTTTATGCTACCGGTATTGAGCCCACTTTCAGTCCCCTCAAGGCCCGTGTCTACGACTCGTGCTGGAACTGGGCCCGTCAGGACGCGCTGCTCATGTACTACGACATCATCTTTGGCCGCCTTAAGGCTGTTGACCGCGACATTGTCAGTCAGTGCATCCGCATCATGAACCGCTCGAACCCTCGGCTGCTCGACTTTATGCAGTATCATATTGACAACTGTCCCACCGATCGTGGCGAGACCTACCAGCTCGCCAAGGAGCTTGGACAGCAGCTCATTGAGAACTGCAACGATGTCCTTACTGAGGCCCCTGTCTACAAGAGCGTCGACATTCCCACCGCTCCCCAGACCAGCATTGATGCTCGCGGCAACATGAGCTTTGCTGAAGTGCCTCGCCCTAGCGTCCGCAAATTGGAGCACTATGTGCGTGAAATGGCAGAGGGTGGCAAGATCTCCGAATACGGCAACCGTACCAAGGTTCAGAATGACCTGCAAAAGATTTACAAGCTCATCCGTCAGCAACACAAGCTGTCTAAGTCGTCTCAGCTTCAGATCAAGCAGCTTTACAGCAATGTCATCCGCTCTCTCGCCATGAACGAAGGCCAGATGATCCCGTTGGAGAACGGCAAGGCTGCCAACGGCCACGCTCGCAAGCCTGGCCGCAACGGCACCCGAGGCTTGAATGGCAAGCAGGGTAAGGTCGAGACCATTCCCTTCCTTCACCTTAAGCGCAAGGAGGAGCACGGATGGGAGTACAGCAAGAAGTTGACCGGTGTTTACCTCGACGGTCTTGAGAAGGCCGCTAGCTCTGGTGTCACCTTCCAGGGCAAGCAGGCTCTCATGACTGGTGCCGGTGCTGGCTCCATTGGTGCCGAGGTGTTGCAGGGTCTCATCAGCGGTGGCGCGAAGGTCGTTGTAACGACCAGCCGTTTCTCGCGCGAGGTCACTGAGTACTACCAGGCCATGTACGCCCGCTATGGTGGCCGTGGCTCCCAACTCATTGTTGTTCCATTCAACCAGGGCAGCAAGCAGGATGTTGAGGCTCTGGTTGACTACATCTACGACACCAAGAATGGTCTTGGATGGGATCTCGATTATATTGTTCCATTCGCTGCCATCCCTGAAAACGGCCGCGAAATCGACAGCATTGATTCCCGCTCCGAGCTTGCTCACCGTATCATGTTGACCAATCTTCTCCGTCTCCTTGGCGCCGTCAAGGCTCAGAAGGCCGAGCGCGGCTTCGAGACTCGTCCCGCTCAAGTTGTCTTGCCTCTCTCCCCTAACCATGGTACCTTCGGTAACGATGGTCTCTACTCAGAGTCAAAATTGGCGCTTGAGACCCTCTTCAACCGATGGCACTCTGAGAGCTGGGGCAACTTCCTCACCATCTGCGGTGCTGTCATTGGCTGGACTCGTGGTACTGGTCTCATGGGAGGCAACAACATTGTTGCTGAGGGCGTTGAGAAGTATGGTGTTCGTACCTTCTCTCAGCAGGAGATGGCCTTCAACCTTCTTGGCCTGATGGCTCCTTCGATTGTCGATCTCTGCCAAATGGAGCCTGTCTTCGCTGACCTGAACGGTGGTCTGCAGTTCCTCCCCAACCTCAAGGAACTCATGACCGACCTCCGCAAGAACATCATGGAAACTAGCGAGGTCCGTACCGCCGTTACCAAGGAGAACGCCATCGAGCACAAGATTGTCAATGGCGACGACAGCGAGGCCCTCTACAAGAAGGTCACCGTCGATCCTCGTGCCAACCTCAAGTTCCAATTCCCCAACCTGCCTGACTGGAAGTCTGAGGTTGAGCCGCTCAACGGCAATCTCAAGGGCATGGTTGACCTTGACAAGGTAGTTGTCGTTACTGGTTTCTCGGAAGTCGGACCCTGGGGTAACTCTCGTACCCGATGGGAGATGGAAGCCTATGGCCAGTTCTCTTTGGAAGGCTGTGTTGAAATGGCCTGGATCATGGGTCTCATCAAGCACCACAACGGTCCTCTCAAGGGCCAGTCGTACGCTGGATGGGTTGATGCCAAGACTGGCGAGCCCGTTGACGACAAGGACGTCAAACCCAAGTACGAAAAGCACATTATTGAGCACTCTGGTATCCGTCTGATCGAGCCTGAGCTCTTTAACGGCTACGACCCGAACAAGAAGCAACTTCTCCAGGAGATTGTCATCGAAGAGGATCTCGATCCTTTTGAGTCGTCCAAGGAGACTGCTGAGGAATTTAAGCGCGAGCACGGCGACAAGGTAGAGATTTTCGAGATCCCCGAGTCGGGCGAGTACACTGTTCGCCTTAGGAAGGGTGCTACGCTTTTGATCCCCAAGGCACTTCGCTTCGACCGCCTCGTCGCTGGCCAGATCCCCTCTGGCTGGGACGCCCGCAAGTACGGTATTCCGGAGGACATCATCTCTCAGGTCGACCCCGTCACCCTCTTCGTTCTCGTCTGCACTGTTGAGTCGCTGCTCGCCTCAGGTATCACGGATCCTTACGAATTCTACAAGTATGTCCACCTCACCGAGGTCGGTAACTGTATCGGTTCCGGTATTGGTGGTACCAGCGCTCTGCGAGGCATGTACAAGGACCGCTACCTTGATAAGCCCCTGCAGAAGGATATCCTCCAGGAGTCTTTCATCAACACCATGAGCGCCTGGGTGAACATGTTGTTGATCTCTTCGACCGGTCCCATCAAGACACCTGTTGGTGCTTGCGCTACTGCCGTTGAATCCATCGATATCGGTTACGAGACCATTGTCGAGGGCAAGGCTCGCGTTTGCTTCGTTGGTGGTTTCGATGACTTCCAGGAGGAAGGATCGTACGAATTCGCCAACATGAAGGCTACCAGCAATGCTGAAGATGAGATTGCTCACGGCCGTACTCCCAAGGAGATGTCTCGTCCTACCACTACCACCCGTAACGGCTTCATGGAGTCCCAGGGTTGCGGTATTCAGGTTATCATGACCGCCCGTCTGGCTCTTGACATGGGTGTCCCCATTTATGGTATCCTCGCCCTTACCACTACGGCCACCGACAAGATTGGTCGTTCCGTACCCGCTCCCGGCCAGGGTGTGCTCACCACTGCCCGCGAGAACCCCACCAAGTTTCCCTCGCCCCTACTCGATATCAATTACCGCAAGCGCCAGCTCGCCCTCCGCCGCAACCAGATCAAGCAGTGGCAGGAGTCAGAGCTCTTGTATCTGCAAGAGGAGGTTGCCGCCATCAAGGCGGGTGGCCAGGAGATCAACGAGGCCGAGTACTTGCAGGATCGTGCCGAGCATATTGAGCGCGAGGCTGCTCGCCAGGAGAAGGATGCCACATACAGCCTTGGCAACGCCTTCTGGAAGCAAGACTCTCGCATCGCTCCTCTGCGAGGTGCCCTCGCTACCTGGGGTCTCACCATCGATGACCTTGGTGTTGCGTCCTTCCACGGTACCTCAACCAAGGCTAACGACAAGAACGAGTCTGAAGTCATCTGCGAGCAGCTCAAGCACCTTGGCCGCAAGAAGGGTAACGCCGTGCTTGGTATCTTCCAGAAGTACCTTACTGGTCACCCCAAGGGTGCGGCTGGTGCCTGGATGTTTAACGGCTGCTTGCAGGTCCTCAACACTGGCCTCGTGCCGGGTAACCGCAACGCCGACAATGTCGACGAGGTCATGGAGAAATTCGACTACATTGTGTACCCAAGCCGTAGCATCCAGACGGATGGCATCAAAGCCTTCTCGGTCACTTCGTTTGGTTTCGGTCAGAAGGGTGCTCAGGCCATTGGTATCAACCCCAAGTACTTGTTTGCTACCCTCGACGAGGCGCAATTCGAGGCCTACAAGATCAAGGTTGAGGCTCGCCAGAAGAAGGCCTACCGTTACTTCCACAACGGCATGATCACCAACACTCTGTTCCAGGCCAAGGACAAATCGCCGTACAGCGAAGAGCAGATGCAGAGCGTTTTCCTTAACCCCGACGCCCGTGTCACCGCCGACAAGAAGACCAAGCAACTCACCTTCCCCGCTACACCTGTCAAGAAGGTCGCCGATAAGAGCAAGACCGACAACACCCGCCAGGTCGTTGAGTCGCTCGCCAAGGCTGCCGCTACTGCCAATTCCAAGATTGGCGTCGACGTTGAAGCCATTGATGCCATCAACATTGACAACGACACGTTTGTCGAGCGTAACTTTACCGCCTCTGAGCAAGAGTACTGCCGCAAGGCACCCAGCCCCCAGGCCAGCTTTGCCGGTCGGTGGAGCGCCAAGGAAGCCGTCTTCAAGTCCCTCGGTGTTCCTAGCAAGGGTGCTGGCGCTCCTTTGAAGGACATTGAGATTACTAGCGACGAGAAGGGTGCTCCCGTTGTCACTGTAAGTTTCTATCAATACCCTTTTTCCACACAAGAACAAACAAACTAACATGTTTAATTACCCAGCTCCACGGTGATGCCGCTGTCTCTGCCAAGCAAGCCGGCATCAAGTCTGTTGATGTCAGTATCTCACACAGCGATGCCCAGGCTATTGCCGTCGCCGTGTCCAAGTTTTAGATTTGGTCATGTGGCAGAGTCCGAAGAATGGTCGCGGACGATATGGTTGAAGTTAATGCTTTGGGATGAACTTATCCCTCCACGTATGAGAGGCACTTTTATAATTATTGTTTGATGCTTCAAAGTCCAGCCGGGTAATATTTTTTTTTGCTGGCGCTTTTTCACTTTTCCTTAGTTTTGGGATGCGGGTTTTCCCTCTTGTACTTTTTCTATTCCCTTGTGTGTTTTTCATTTCCAAGAGCGTTCATTTCTTTTGTTGAATTGACTTTCTTCCGCCTGCTTGCACTTGTGGTAAGGGGACAATTTTGTGTTCTTCCTGTTACTCTACTAGACCATGTATGCGTTTTATGCATTCACAAGATCTCAGCTTACTAGTGTCTGTCGCCTGACCTCGAACCCGCTCATATCTCATTCTCATTTCCTAGTCGACTTGTTCTTACTTTTTCTTCCGTCCACAAAGAGAAGTAAGACGTCTAAGAGGGAGGAGAATTAGGAGAGGTACGAGAGGCTGACATACTTAGAGCTGGAAATGAAACATTATTATTAGACTTACTACTACTACGTATTGGATTAAACTTTGTGTGTATGTGTGTGTATGTGTGTGTATATGTATGCCTATCATGCTTGTTGGTTTTCCCGGTGTGATGTTCATTGGACACCTTGACACACGCTTTCCTCCCTGACATGTTTTCGTAGGTCGCTATCCCACGTGGATTTCTGACACCACTTTACCGCAGTACACGGACGACGTATACGATTTACAGCATGAGACATACCTACCTAATGTTCAGAATCGCAAGGTATATACGAAGTAGACTAGGTAAAAACACTATAGTTACTCCCATCTCATCTGCTCCACCCAAATCATTAGATCGTTTCGATCACGGGGCCCTCGGGCCTTTAATCGAATCAAACAAAGTCAAGTAATTACTTAGCCAAGCCAAATTCATGTGTTTCTCTGTCTCGCACACGACCTTTTACGGCACTAAACTAATTAAATTCTCTTTGATTTGATAAAATTAAATGAACTAATGACAAATATGATTGAAAACAAACTTTTTTTTCCAATTTGCCCGATCGTTCCCGACCCCAATCCCTTTTTTTTTTCCTTGAAATTCATTTTGGGTTTTTCTTGGACTGTCGACGGGAATAATTAATTGCGTACTAGAGTCGTGCGTGACGAACGTAAGGGGGGATACATAAGTATAATGAACCGGATGGATGTGATATGTAATGGACGGACGGATGGACGAAAGGGATACTGAATAAAGGACGAAGGAACATGAAGAATACTGAATATAAAGGACGGGATGGGTAATAGAGAGAGTGGAAGATGGATTTCTGGTAACCGGACGAATTGACACAAAGTGTGACGGAAGGATCAAGAATAAAGGATGGATAAGGATAAGTACGGATGGATAATAAATAATAATAACAATGCACAGATGAAGACAGAATATGACGGACGAAGAAATAAAAATAAAAGTAAAAATAAAAATAAAAATAGTAATGGTAATAGTAATAAGAGTAATGATAATAATAATAATAATAATAAGAACGTAAAGGAGAGGAAAAATAAAATAAAATAATAGAATTAAAAAACCAAATCGAACCCTATAAAACTACCGCTTACGTTCATTTTTTGCATCTAGTTCTTCCAATAGTTCCTTGTCTGGGACACTTCCCTTGCCGACGTGTGACATGATAGTCCAGGCGCGACGAAACTCATCCCTGATACCGACGATGCCATTATGCGTGACGGTGCGCGCAATGTTATGATCGATCTCAAAGGGATCTTCAATGGCAAAGAGATAGCGACAGCGAACTTCTTTGGTATGGCCGCTCGCATCATCAGTCGTGACGGTTCGGGCGCCTGTCCAGCCCTTGTCCTGCTTGGTCAAAAGACCGCCTGGCGTGCGGAGCGAGAGCACGTCTGTTCCCCACGTGAATCCATGACCGGGAATGTCTGCGCCGGTATGGGCATAGTATGCGAAGAATTCGCGAAGGAGGAGGCCGAGAGGTTGCTTATTGTGCGTGAGCATACCCTTGTCGGCGAGACGCTTGATCTCATCTTCGGCCCGCCAGAACCGGACGTCGTATCCGTCGACACTGGTCTCGGTTTCGAGCGAAGAGCCCCAAGATCCGTGGCTCGGTGATTTCCAAGCCAGTTGCAGATTTGGGACCACGGGCGGCTGGGCGATATTGGCGAGGTAGTGGAGTATCATGAGAACGTACCCGTAGGAGGAGAGCGTGCCGTGGTAGGGAGTATTGATTTGGCGACGCTTGGCCCAGGTTTTGATAAACAGGACCATCGGCCGAACACGCGGATCGCAGTGGGAGTAGCAGCGCAGGAGAGTGGTGTTGTGGAGTGCGAGCCGGTTGGAGAAGTTGATGTCGCATTGGATGCCGACGCCGGATTTTGGGAATTCAAGACGGTCGTGTCGTTTGGAGGCAGGCCCTAGAAGTGTAATTACCTTTTCTTTGGAAGCACTGATATTTGGATCTGACGCGCCAAATTGGCGGACGAGCTTGGTGTATTCTTCGACAGCAGTGACTTCTTCTTCGCTGTGGGGGGATGAATGCACCCTGGCGTCGTAGAGATAAAGCTCATTCTCTGTCGCATGCTGGAGTTGCAGTTCGGCGAGAGAGGGGCTAGATCGTGTTGCGAAGAATTCTCGGACGTGCATCTTTTCAGAGTCGCCGCGGATTCCATCCATGTAGCGCAGAACAGTTTCATCGAATACTTGGCGCTCTCTGTCGGAGAGAACGCTCTGAGCGTTGCTGTTGTCATCCAACCCTCGGCCGCCAAGCTCTTTGAGCAGATTGACTGCTCGGGAACAATAGTCGGAAGACTCCTCGTTGGACAGCTGTGAAAGCGTCGTCAGGCTGATGGATGGGAGTGTCTTTAAGTTTTCCCAAAGAACAGTTGCCCTCTTATTAAAGAGCAGGATTTCTCCTGCGTCTTCACATTGTAGCTTTTTCCATTCTCGGACCCATTCTTGTCCGAGATCCTCCTTGACCTCGGTGGTTTCAGAGACCCTTCTCTTTTCCCATTGTATTACAAGAGATTCGGCTTCTGCTTGTGTCCAGACGCCGAAGAGAGATCGATAAATATTACTGTCAAAGACCATGGACGGGTTGTTTTGCAGCCTTAGCTTGAGATCGTCTTGCTCAAGTCCCGCAAGATAAGCAGCACCAGCACGGTTTAATATGTTGCCCTCTTTATTTTCAAGCGGCTTGTGCTGCGGCAACGTGTAATCCCTTCCCCCGATACTCTCCATTAATCTTTTCGTACGACGGTAATATTGCCGAAGCGTTTCGCGAGGCAGTTGCTCGAGATTGTTAAGCTCAGTTTCGGGATCGCGTGGAGTATTTTCGCTTTGTGACGGTTTGGTCGATGTCCCGGCCTTGTGCATTTGAGAAGCAGGATTTTCACGATCTTCTGCATTCTGGGTAGCAGTCTGATCCTCTTCAGCGATAGGCTTGTCCTTTTGTTCTTCCCACTTTCGCCGCTCGTCTCTCAGCATCCGCAACAGATCCTCAGTTGGATTTTCACAGAGCTTGATAATGGGAACTCTGGTTCTTTCGAGCAATCGAGCACCAATACCGAGATCTAAGAGCCTCTTCTCTAAAGCACGTGGGATTCCAGACTCGGCGGATGATGGATTAGGAACCGATTCAGGGGACAAGAGCGCCAAATCCATGTCAGAAGACTGGGTGGCGAACCCAGAACCAATACTACCAAAACACTTGAGAGCTACGTTGCTCGAATCGAAAGCATGATTATCGGATTGCTGTTTCTCGTAATCAGCAATAGCTTCAATGCATATTCTCTCAAGCATTTCTCTAAATGCATCCTTCTCCTGCAGCTCTTTCGGATCAATCCCAGCCTTTGGCACCTCGTCGTCTGCCAGTTGTTGAAGATATTCCGCCTGCTTCTCGACCTCTTCTGGTGTTGGTGGAAACCGAGATCCAACCATGCGGGGCTGGCGGGGTTTGGTATGTTCCCGGGGAGAGTGAGACGGTTCATACAGTTGTCGGTTGCGTGGAGGAGGCCGCTCGCCGAATCCTTGGGACCCTTGAGTAGAGCCGCGCCGGGGATGCCCATGATTATTTGCAAAGGCCTGATTCGCAACTGAAGGCGGTGCATTCTGTCGCCAGCCCATCGGCTCTGGTTGCTGGTATGGGGACGCACCCGTGGCACCGACCTGTCGGTTGAAGCCGACATAAGAATGAGCGCCACGGGTTTGACCTTGAGACCTTCCTCGGCCATAAGGCCTACCACGGTGGTTACTCCCTTGGTAAGGGGTCTCTGATACATGAAATTGAGTATTATTTTGTCGCTGTGGCTGCTGATTAGGATGTCGATGATGGTGTTGCGGGGAACCACCAATCTGAGGGACGCTCATCTGCGAGGAGACTGCAGCTTCTGCTTGGTTGAGTTGCCATTGCCGACTCTTCTCCAGGTAGCTCTGCTGAGCTTGAGGAGGTGCTAGCCTCATGTGAGGGGGAAGATCTTGAACAGGAGGATTGCCCGGACCCGCCTGGGAGGTGAACACCTGCTCATTTTGCCGGTCCTTTTCCGCATTTCCGAGAATGAGACCTCGAAGTCGATTTTCAAGGGTTATCACATTAGAGACTGTAGACGCTCCTTGCTCCCCCGACGGTGGGAAAAGACCTGGTGGAGGGGGAGGTGGGATTGGAAACCCTGGTGGTGGTTGAATGGGATGAGCATTTGTAAATTGTTGAAACGGAACATTATATGGCATGCCACTCTGTGGGTGAAATACAGGAACTGGAGAGCCTTGGTGAGGAGGCATGGCGTGCTGGTTGAATGGAGGAGTGGCATGTGACCAGTGCGGGTTTGCCCCGCCTCCAGGCGGCTGATTATTCATGGCAATCGTAATTATTCAAGAAGAATAGTAGAAGAGAAGCTGTAATCACCGAAATGAGTGATGCCGTTGGACATAAACTCAGAAATTGCAAATCAATGAGCGACTTGAACTAGAACATGAAATATGTGTTCAAGCTCAGGAGTGATGCGCCATGAATGACATGAAACCTGAAAATGTCACAAAAGAGTACAGAAGTCCCCCGAAAGGAAATTGGCAATACTCCAAAAATATGAGTTAAGTTGCCATGTACTCTGTAAACAGTATTTGAATAGCAGTCTGTTCAAGCTTCACAAGCTGGCATAAGAGTTATGCAGCAACCACGAGGTAGCTGGAGAGATCTCGCGAAGTAGATCTGACGGTCAACAGAGATCTGTAAACAATGCAAAAGCCGTGCCCAACAAACTGCAACCAGCTTAGAAAAATCAATTGTAATCGCGAATACAAATGACTGACAGCGAAGATAATATTGTCTTTGTAGATGGGCTGATTGTTGACAAAGAATCAAAGGTTGTCAATGGCGGTTGAAGTGAATTAGAGTGCTTACATAAGCAATGACGCTGGACACACCTCAAGTCACGTCTCTCGCTCTCCTCCATCAAACTGATAATAATGATTGGACTTGTTATTCTTGTCCATAATCAATCCTCTTTCGTGCCACCATATTAACTCATTCATGTAAATTGAGGCACTTTGAGGATCGTCTTCTTTTCCAGCTCGTCCATCTGCTCGACAGTGGCTTCGTGTGCTTGCGACGCTTTTCGCCTCGATCGTTGAGGGCGAGGGTCGGAGTTTCTTCTCCTGCTTGTCGTCAGTCCTCTTTTCATTTCGTGATTGTTCGCGTTATCGAAAAGGCGCAAAACAGATAGCGGCGACGACTTCTCGAGGAATAGAGGTCTGACTCGATATCCGATCCCTCTTGTACCACTCCACCCGACCATAGGTCGCGAGCAGCAAGAATGAGCGCTTCACCTTCGAATGTGCCTTCAGGCAGGACGCCTAACGGCGGTGGTCCTCCGATGATACGACGACCTCGAATTGCAGACCCTCTTGTACGTCCAAAAAAACGAGACCGAACGATGCGACGACCGCCCTCGGGAGCCGTGGGCGGGAATAGACCTCCATCGCAGCCGCCTCAACAGCCCGGTACAAATGCCGCATCAGCAGGCACCCCTCAATCGACACCAGGACCTCGCAGCTTGGCTATGGGTACTGGAATTGCGGATAGTGGGTTTTCTGCCGTGCCGGATGGTCCTTACACCGACTATCCACTCGTCACAACGAAACGCGCGCTCTTGGAAGGTCTTCGATACCATGTCGCCAAGTTTTCCTCGAAGAAGTTTGTGGATCCGCGAAACGAAGCGGAATTTACAAGGCCAGTGAGGCTTCATCGGCGTGATCCGCGAGCCCCACCAGCAGGTCCTGGTGCGGCGAAGACGGAGGATGTGTCAATGACAGATGTAGATTCCAAAGAGGCTCTTATGGATGACAAAGAGAGGGAGAAGCAGGAAGCTCTTCGGGCGGAAAAGGAAGCTGAACGTGAAGCCAATCTGGCCCAAATCGCTCCGGCAGCGCATACCAATCAGCCAAAGAAACCCAACGCCTTCAAGAAGAAAACTCAACAAGTATTTCGAAATGACAAATCCGAGGAGGGGCAAGCACAGTCAAAATTGCGATATGAAGAGGCACTTCCATGGCACCTCGAAGATTTTGACAACAAGAACACATGGGTCGGGAATTACGAATCGGCATTGTCGGAGAGCTATGCTATCCTAGTCATGGAACCTACGGCCGTCTTTCGGATGATTCCCATTGAGAAGTGGTATAAGTTCACTGCCAAGGCACAGTTCAAGACCTTGACCATTGAAGAAGCAGAGGATCGGATGAGACAAAAGGTCAAGGAACCTCGATGGTTCATGGACTCGCAAAGACAGACTGCTGAGTCACAGAAAGCGGCACAAGACCGTCGCGCTTACAACAAACTCTACGTGGGGAAGTCGAACAACGAGGACACTGGCGTTGGCCCGATCAAAGCTGAAGGAGGAGGAGACGCCGATGATCTGGACTTTACCGAGGATCGATTTGCAGACGATGAAGAAAACCAGCTGTTTGAAGGTGATGAGGAAGAAAATAAAGAGGCGGAAGACCGTATCAAGCGTGATCAGCTTCAAGCCAACATTTTCGACCTGAAAGATCAAAAAGAGTATGAGAAGGCTGAGGCAGCCGAGAAGAAGGAGAAGGAGTTGCTGAAGAAATTCGGGAAGACTACGAGGAAGACGCTGACGAGACGGGAGAAGAATTTTATCTATGCGGATGATGATTCGGACCATCCATATTCGGAAGAGGTATTTAAATCTACATCTGGTAATCGTTTTCCTTCTAACCGTGCCCCCAGAGCGAGTCAGAAGATAGCGAGACTGAGCGGTTAAAGGACGAGGAGCGTAAAAAGGAGGAAGAAAAGAAAGCGGTAGAGAAGGGCAAGCGAGAAGAGTCGGGTACCTCTTCCAAGGGAACGACGACTCCTTCAGGCCGCGATAAGCACTTTGATGCGACCAAAAAGTCCTCGACTCTCAAGCGCTCAGGTTCCCCCAATTTATCTGAAGCTAGCGGCACGGAATCAACTCGGAAGAAGCATAAGAAGAAGCATGGCCCGTCCTCTCAGCCGACTGCGTCGGCGCCAGGATCGCGGCCCATGTCGCCAGCTCCTTCAGAGCCAGGGCGACCTTTACAGCAACGCAAGTCAACTGGAATCAAACTCATCTTCAAAGCACCCAAACTTACAAATGTCTCTTCAACAGCTCCCCGACAGCCCACTCGTGCCGGATCAGGCAGCGAAGCCGAAGCCACCGCCGGCGAAACCAGCGACGCCGGGAAGAAGACCAAGATCAAGTTGCGTCTTGGCGGTTCTCCCGTCGGCGGTACCCCGCAAGGCTCCCGAGCCGCAAGCCCCGAAGCCGGACAAGCTGGTGCCATTGGCAGTCGATCAGGAAGCCCGGATGGCCCCAAACGTAAGTGTTGTATTTCCGCAGTTCAAGTTATTCGAATGATATTCATCCCCATTCTCCGTTCGATTTCCTGACAAAAGCAATCGTGTCTACAGTCGCAGCTGCCACTGCCGACGAAATCATCGCCAGCATTCCGAACGAGGGCACCACCATTGCCGCTCTCCTTGCTCGATTCAAAGGTCGCGTCGGCGACCGCCAACGATTCATCAGCCTTGTCCGCGCCCACTCTCGGTTCGGTCCTGACAAGCTGCTTCGCCCAAGAGGTACAGCCTGATTGTCAAAAATTTACACTGCAATACAGGTTAGAGCCAGCCGTATGGCATAGCGCCTTTTCTGCCAACCCTTTTCGATTTTCCCGTGTCAACGTGATACATTAAGCTCACTATGTCTCCGGTCTCTATGTCGGAGACCTTCCACCCGGGGAAGTGTAATTATTTTTAACAAAAAAAAAACCCCCCATAACCGCAGGCTCATTTTGCGCGTTTAATAACTGCTTTGTTTCATCTTCTGTGTCAGTCCGCGTACTGGGATGCCATACCATAGGTTCTATGCATCTTGTCGCTTTCTGACCTAAGCCATATGCGATAGAGACAGGTCTTGGACTGGCCTGAAAAAATTCTTTGAGGCGCGCTGCCTTTGGCCGCATAGATCAATAAAATGAGTAAAACTGATTTGACGCTGTACCGAGTGATTTGTGACTTTATTGATCTTTCTATTGTGCACCTGGAGGTTAAGACGTTGCGAGAAGTGAGGGGCAGGTAGCTCTTTAATTAAGGTACATTTATATTCGCTTGTTTGGTGAGCAAAATCTTGTATCTGTTGATCTCGTGTACTTTGTCATCAGCGCAACCAAGATCTTATCGATTAGCATCCGTCAAAATCACAAGCAACAAAATTTCCCCGGTTTTTGACTTCCAACTCTACTCAAAAGTTACACCCCGCATAACCTTCGCTGCCCACCATGCCTACAGAGATTGAAGAGGTGAGTAGCATGCATGATCAGGTCTCTCGTAAATATAAGAAGAATTGGGTGTCCGCTGACTCGTCTTCTTATTGCAGCTGGTGGAATTCCTCCACCATGGAAACACCCAAATCCGCCAAATCGGTGAGTGTGACATATTTGCGCCCAGCAAAGCGGCGAACGCAGTAGCAGTTGCAATAGCATGAACGGGGAATAGAGATTCGGAGAAGATCGTCTGTCCCATATACGGACGTTGAAAGAAGAATACGCACTCAGAACGAAAGTGCAGCAGAAACAACGTCGAGTTCCGGAAGGTTTCTTTGCGCTCATGGAGGGAGGAAATATTTGAAAAGGAAAGGACATAACAGATGGAGCATGACAGAGGAGATGGGAGGCAGAGACGGGCAATTGATGATTGCCTTCAGAACGAGCTTGTCCTTGAAACTACTATCCTCAATTGCTACTGCGACTGCGCTCGTTCACTGAAGCTGATATGCGCATGGGTCTTTAAAGAAGAGAAGCGAAGACGAACAGAAGCTGACGATGCAATGCAGCGGCGGAAAACCTGGTTGGCTTCTCTACAGCCCAACCTTCCCTCTTCAAGCGTGTCCAGCTCGAACCGATCAAGGACCTGAAGCTGCTGGTCCGGGATTACGGCGTAAGTCTTTTTCCTCGCAATAGCAATACTTACATCTCCGTTATTGCGAGATCTGGAAGAGTCAAGTAGCGAAAGAGCGTTCGCTGACATACTTTCCTAGCCAATTGCCAAAAATGCCCTGACGATGCTGATCAACTTGTCGGACGACAAGGAGATTGTCGAGAATTTGGCCAAAGATGATGTCCTGCTTGAATCGCTGCTGAAGCGGATAACTGTACGTTTTATATCCCTTAGACCACCACTGCGCTGGCAATAACCGTAAAGGAAGACACCTCACAAAGTCCCGTAGCCATGTGGAATAGATCCGGGCTATGACATCCAGACCTTTTAGAAAGCATGCATGCTAACACTCCACATCAAGAGTCCGAAAGATCCCAACGCCAACGAAATCGCCATGCTCCTCGCTAACATGGCCAAGTCAGACGAGATGAAGCGCATCCTCGCGTTGGAGCGAGATGTGCCGAAGGATCTCTCGACGTCCAAGAACGCCATGGACCAGCTAATGGACTGCTTCGTCAAAGGCGCAGCAGGCAGCTACAACAAGCATTCGGACTACGACTACCTTTCATATTTCTTCGCAGACATTGCCAAGGTGCGTTCTCTTCTCTTCTCTTCTCTTCTCTTCTCTTCTCTTCTCTTCTCTTTCTTCATCCTTCCCACCTGTTCCCTATTTTCCTTTCCCCTACCATCTTATCCATCCGCCCTAACTCTACCCTTTTCCTTACCATAAATTAAAGTTTCACAACAGTTCGAAGAAGGACGAAACTACTTCCTGTCCACCCGGCCCTACGACTCCGTCATCCCGCTCAGCAAAATCGTCGTCTTCACCGAACACAAGTCCCATATTCGGCGCAAGGGCGTCGCGTCTACCATCAAGAACGTTTCCTTTGAAGTCAACTCGCACCCTCTTCTCCTCTCGTCCGACGAAAACCCACTCATCCCAACCGAGGACAACAACAGCACCACCAACATCGACACCAGCGGCTCCACGGGCGTCAATCTTCTCCCTTACATCCTCCTGCCCATTGCTGGTCCCGAAGAGTTTGCCGAACACGAATCCATGGCCATGCTGACAGACCTGCAACTCCTCCCGCCCGACAAGGAGCGCGATCCTGACCCGGCTATCATCACGACTCATCTGGAAACGCTCCTGCTCTTGACAACGACCCGCGAGGGAAGAGACTACATGCGCAGCGCGGCGGTGTATCCTCTTGTGCGCGAGACGCATTTGCATGTGGAGAACGAGGAAGTGCGCGAGGCTTGCGATCGCCTTGTCCAGGTCATTATGCGCGACGAGGAAGGCGAAGAGAAGCCTCTCCCGCCCATGGCCGAGGAGGAGCTGCAGAAGCTCCAGAAGAAAGAGGCGCAAAAGGGAGGCGTGGTTGGTGAAGTGAAGGAGGCTGATGATGAGGAGACGATTGAGGAGGTGCTTTGAGCGAGTTCTTTTTTCTCTTTTAGCTTAATTTCTCTATCCCATTTTTTTTGTCTGTTTGTTTATCTTTCTCTCTATCCCTTTTTTTGTCTCTTGATTTCTTTATTTTTCCTCTATCTCATATTTTTATCCCTTTGTGTATATGTCTCTCTATCCCGTCTCTTTCTCTATCTTTCTATATTTTCCTTTCCATCTTTTTTCCCCTCCTCTTCCCCCCTACTTCTATCCTCCACCCCTGCTTTCTTCATCTTTCTCTTCATTCATATATATTCTCCCATTTCTCATTTCTTGGATCTTGGATCCTATAAGTTGATAAATTTTTTTGGATTTTTTTGGATTTTTTTTTTTTGGTTATCCCCCCTCTTACTTCCCGACACTTTCAAAAGCTCCTTTCCAGTCACATCTGTTCGTCTCTTCATTTTACGTGTTATAAACAACCGGGAATAGAAAAAAGTCCGTTTCTTAGAAGAAGATAAGAGAGATTAAATTAGCTACAGCTTATAATAGAGTAAACCGCGTCAGGCTGGGCTTCAATTTCCTCAATAGGGATGAGGAAAAGGAAAAGTTTATAGATCAGATATATATGATGAAATGTATCTGAACATTATCAGTGATGCTTGTATTCGGAGAGTTGTAGTAGACGTGTTATAATGCAGATGAGAAGAATGTTGTATGCTTGTATGTTTGCTATGGTGGGTATAGCAGGTATTGTGGGTATAAGGTATCTAACTCCGAACTCATGCAATAAAAACAAATAAAATAAAACAAAAAAAAAGAGAAAGAGAAAGAAAATAAAAATGAAATAAAAGTAGAAAGAGAAATTAAAAGAAGACAGAAAGAGAGAGAGAGAGAGAGAGAGAGAGAGAGAGAGAAAAGTATCGTAACTCGAACAGCGCTCCAACCTCCTATCTACCCTCCTTCCTCATCCACAACTTTCTCTATGGCTCTCTGGACCTCGTAGGCCGCATACCACGCTCTCATGTCGCGAATATACTGCGCATCCAGGCCCTTGACACTCGCATCCGCATCCACTTGTTCAGTACTCCCCTGCGAAATCGGGACAAGCGGGACAAGCGGGACAAACCAGGATTTTCCCTCACAGTCCGACTTGTACGCGTTCAAACTCGCCCCTTCCCACTTGTGATTCCTCAAGTGTCGAAACAACGCGACTGTGCCGACGGCCGGAGTGAAGTGTTCGGGATCCGCATACACGCTGAGCAGGACCCGCCGGGTCGTGGTCGGGTCCACGATGCGAATGTCCCGCTTCAGATCCATGTTGGGCCGCTTGATCAGGTGCGGAGAGACCCAGTCGATGATGGCCACGACGGAGAGTTTGTAGTTTTGCCGGTAGGGCACGTGGGTGAGCAGAGAGGAGAGGGTGTAGATTTTGCTGCTGCGCGGGCATGTCGAGGGGGCTAGGGGGGATGCGCGGGGTTGAGAGGGGGGTTGGATGGAAGGAGGGGGCGGAGGCGGAGGCGGATGCTTAATGAGGTGGGTTGAGGTTGTTGGGATAATGGAAGGCGATGAGGTATTCCGTTCATTCTCCTTGTTTTCTTTTGCGTTTTCCTTCTCTTTCTCGTTCTCTAATTTTTCGTCGGCGGGAAAATTAGTTGTAGAGGAGGAGAGTGACGGTGGTGGTGGCTTTGATGGATATGAAGAAGGAGTGATGTTGGATGAGCCCCCGGATGTAGCTTTTCCATTTGATGTCGTTTCCTGGAGTGCAGATGAGCGACCGGACGAGGTTGAAGAGTGGACATTTGAGAGATGGAGGTCGTTTGCACGTTCATTTTCGACTGGATATTGGACTGGATATTGATGCTGTATGTCTTCTGTTTGAATGGAATTGGAGTTCGTTCGTTTGCGCTTGAGAGCAACACCAGGTACGGCATCTTCAGAATGAGCTTCGCTGGCGGTTTCGGAGAATTTGTGCATCGCTGGCTCCACAGAGGTTTCCGCCTCTCTTTTTCTTTTTGGCCTCTCATGCCGCGTTTCGAGCTCCCAGCTGGCTATTTCGCCTTCGCCTTCGCCTTCGACGCCATCGGGTCGCTGGCCCACAAAGTAGAAATCGGCAATAGCGAGATGCCTGTCATTTCATTTCATTTTATTTTAGCTGATTATTTTTTTTTCTCTTGGTCTCTGGAAAACAAAAAAAAGCTTGGTCACCTACACCACATATCCATCGCCATTCAGTCGCCGGGATTTCCGCAGCTGATATTTTTCTAGCCGGACAAAGGATCCTTCTCGGACATAGTGAGTGACTACCAGCCGATGCATTTCAGCCCGGAGAATAGCTTCAAAGTAATAAGCATGATAAAGATTAAAAGAAAAGCTGGCTGGAGCAGTCTCATACCTTGGATGCGCTTTTCTCCATCGCTGAGCCATAGCTTGAATGCCTCCTTTGGTCCCTGCGGGGTCTCCACAGGCACGATGCTTATCTTATCCACGAGCAGGATGAGCGACGGCACACAGTATTCTGTGCGTATGAGTTCTAGAATGCATGGTTTCAGGCGGATAGAAGATGCTTCATCTTCTGCTACCGCATCGTCGCGCTCGTCAAAGATTTCCATATAATCGGCATGGGTACATATGCAGGCAATGCTTCACTTCAACATCCCAGGATTCTTTATTGTGGGGTGCATATTCAAGGATGTTTCCAATTTAACTTGCAGACACGAGAAAACGCGCCTTCGAAGGCACACGCGCGCGCGGAAGTGTCAAGTCGAGGCGAAAAGGGGCGGGTCGGGTCGGGTATTCATACCCCCTCTGTGACTGCTTCCCCTGTCTAGTCGTCATTAAATGTCAGTGCGCAAACATCCTTCCACTTTCAATTGCATATATTAACTAGGTACTTGATGGCTACGTCGCGAGCAATTGGTATAGTCACTGATGGAAAATACGCTGCGGATAAATCAATCTCAATAATAAAACGGAAAAAGTCTATTCAATTTGATTTTCTGCGCCTTGCTATGACTGTCCACTCCTTTGCAAGAATAAACCCTATTCTGGTGACAATTCAATGCGTCAAAAACGAAGAGAAGATACTCTGGATGGATGGATCAGTCGGAGAAAGAGGCGGCGAAGCGGGATAACCCTCGACCCATTGCCCGCTGTGCTTGAATCGCGGCTGTCGATTGGGATGCGATCGAAGATATGGGTCCTGTTGGATCTCCAACAGTAATTCGTCATCACTAAGTTGGAAATACTGCTTATAGCAGCTTTCCACTTGGTTGAACTTATTGAGAGCTGCTCTGATCTTCGTGGCTAGGGTTCTTTCATTACGGTTCTCGCCAACACCGTGAGGCAGCCAGAAGCCAAAATACGACTTTGATGTCCCGGCCATGGCATATCTGTCACAGACAATGGTCCTTGGACGCGGCCCAGTGACGAACAGCTCTGCGGTTTCCATGTTGAATTTACCGAGCATTCCCGTCGCCTCGATAGTGTCAAAGAGCTTGGGCGGATCCGCGCAACCCCGTGCTATCATTACTGCAAGCCAAATGATTGCTCCCTCGAGCCCTTCGCAGAAAGGATTAGTGCCTTCATGACGTTTCTCCATCAGGCTCTTTACCTCGTCAAAACAAACCAGGACCTGCTCAACGAGCGCCACGGAGTCGGTCCCACGGTCAAAGCTTATGGGCGCCTCGAGACTCACTCGATAATCAAGAAAGCCGCGTTCTACAAGAACTGTAAATAAGTCCCAAATAGCCGACTGCTGGCGGGACCGCCAGTACAAAGCTTGCAACAACATGGAATAATTTGGGTTTGCAAGCTCCAACTCCCCTAGAATCGCGCCGTCTTCTCTCTGTGGCTGGTCGAAATCGCAGTCGGCAGCTTCTGCCCGAACCAGATCGGCAGCTCTTCGTCGAACTTCTGGGTCAGGGTGCTCCCGTCGAATCGTCATTTGATTCAAGACGGTCAGGTCCATGGATGGCCACTCTCGTCGTCTCCGGCGATGCATTAACTCCAAATGAAAATCCACATCCACAGAATCTCTCAGCAAGAGATCCTCAACGAGTGCCAAAGCCGCTACTTTTTCGTCTGAGAGATAACTCGTGTAAGTGGACCTAGGACTGCCCACGATGCTAGCTTCCAAAGCGTCCTGCATATACCTGTCATGTGTTTCGACAGTGAGAGGTCCGCTAGGATTCTGCTGGAGATGTGGGAGCTTTATCTTGGCGAGTGACTGAATAAATGGCTGGGAGAAACGAAAATTTCTCACTCTGTTGCTAACAGATCTTGTCGCTCCGTAGTGTTTTTCATCTTTTCCAGCTGCGGCGACTGCATAACGACCGAGTTCATTTCTGGCCGCTATCAACTCAACAAGGTGACCCGAATAACAGTGGCTGCCAACGGCATTCACCTGAACACCTGGTTTAAACAGCGACAGGAGCCGTACGATTGACTCTGAAGCTACCAGGGAATCCCCGATCTCGATTCCGCCATTATGCGAGCCGTGACATTGGAAAAAGATGTTCACCACATCCCCAGAGGCTGTTTCCTGAGCCCTCGCACGGATCCAGAGACCAACCTCCTGCATCAGCTGCCCAGGGGGCACATAATCGTACCATTGCTGGTCACGGTTCTGCTCGAATTTTTCGCGAGTGAAAACAAAAAGCGGCTTATTGTTGGCTCCAAATTTTCCAAATTTGATATCTTTGATGCCTTGGTTTCCGAGATGCTCGAAATGCTGGTCCAACGGAAAGCAGGACAGAAAAGTGCCTTCTAGAGAGGTGTTGAGAAGATTTCTGAACGCAAGAGAGATTCCCATGAAATCGCCAAATATGCCGGCGTCCGCGTTCGATTTAGGTCTGTCCACACCACAAATAACCAATACATACATCCTGCCATCAGGCCTGCTGGCTGGAGCTCTCTGAGGAGGCGGCACTGAAATGGGCGGTGGCTTAAGTTTTCCTGTCAAAAGGTCAGCTTTTGGATCGTCCTGTGGCTTGGAATCTTTGAACATTATACACACCCGCTGAACCTGATGGCATAGAGCCAAGAGAGCGTCTTCCTTGCTGCATTGTCAAATTAAGAAAGCGAACTGTTTGAGGCTTTTGGGTCTTGGATAAACGGAGTTGTGGGATAAAGCTGAGAGTGCTCCTAGCCAAAAGAGCTGAAGATTGAGAAGATGCTCGAGAGTCTGTCAGATCATGCTGCAAATCCAGTGGTGATGGGGCTATCTTATAAGCTTCCCCAATTCTCTCTGACGTCCGGATGGCGACTGGGAAACAGTGCTTGGGAATACTAGCTCCACTAATCGTCGATTGAATGTAAGTGCTTGACAAATCTCAACTATTCATTTTTCATTCACCTGTGGTCCTGTGGAAATGCAGTCAGCCGGATACGTATTAGTTTGATATCAGTTAAGCTATGGATTTGCAAGTTTTCCATACTACACTGTATGTAGCTGGCCGAGCCGTATATTCAAATAACGTATTATTGGTCAATCATCACCTTGAAGGGAACAATCAATCCATGTTTGTTCGTGTTCAGAATCCATCGTTTCTACGTTTTGTAACCTGCCAAACAAGGCAGCGAGCGAGCAAGCAGTCAATTTGATTTTTGATGATCAGCTGTTCGCTGCTCATTGAGTTGTGGAAGTGACTGGATAGTTCAGATTTGGGATTAGTTTGTCAAGCAGCTTGGTCACTCCTTCCTCATTTACATATGTCGTTTGCAGTTTAGTTCTCGTATGCCCGAACATTTGATACATGGAAAGTGATTCCACGTTTGCCTTTTCTTTTTGTGCTAGATGGTTAGGTGCATCCAGCTTGGTCGCTCCTTCCAATTACGTAGATTTTGCTCCTTATCCCTCGTTTTGGCAATATTTTATGCAATGTCTACTTTCTTTGCCCTTTTAACGCTATTTAAAACTCTGTAATATATAATTCCGTGGCAATCGAGAATATCAAAGGAGAAACAATCCATTTATCATTTGAATCATTTGATGTCATATATGCTCTCCGCCCCAACGTTCTTTTCGCTGAGAATTTTTCATCAGATTCTTGTATATCCTCAATCTTCCATTTCTTTCTGGACAGCTTTCATCATTCATTATGAATCCATGGATGATGAAGCGGAAAAAGCATCCTATGTGCCGTGATGGAGGAAGTTTGGGTTTTCTGATCATTGATATATTGTAATCTAAATGATAGCCATCATTAAAGATGCTCAAGCTCTATTTCATACTCCGACGTATGTTTGGCAACTTTTTCCAAAATGGTCCACCGTGGAGGTCAGGAATGATTCGAAGGGCATAGTTATTGGATAGGATTGCTGACCAATTACTTAACGAGACGAACCCTGGTTATCTAACGTATTCGGCTATTTGGTGTAGACATTATAACTGTAATGGCGTCTTTAGTTATAACCATCATAGCTAACATTTTCCTTCTTCAGCATAATACAGTTAAGCATACCCGAGTTCGCTACCAAACTTTTGCATGGTTCCGCTCCGCAATGTGGCATTGTTTATTATAAATGAGCTCCTATCTACCTCATGCCCAGAAACCTTGACAGTTTACTTCTTTATTAGATCCATCTCGTCACTTCTGCGATCATCGTCAATTCTAAGCAGCCGAGTGGAGTCCCTGCATGTGCAATTCAATATGTCACTAAGTCACGATCATTGCCCCGTCACTGACGGCCTTCTGCACGGCCCTACCCTGCCACGAGTTCTCGCACTACTTCATTGGCTACAGTTCACCCTTCTTCTGGCGGTCAGATCGGGCAGCGATTTGACTCGCTCGCTCCCCATGCGTTAGCACTCATATTGTTTATTCTTTATTATTCAGGGCCCGCTGGCTGGAATGAGCCATGGTAGATGCCAGCGAAGAGACATCAGAAGCTGCGATAATTGGAGAGACTGGCCGCAGACGTGTCCGACGGGTTCGAAGAGCTGATAGAGTTCCGCAAAGGGCATCGGGTACAACAAACGCTGCAGATGCTATGTCGAGACTTGCAGGTACAGAGAACTTGGACCTCGAGCAGTTGCGCAGAGCCAGGACCGAATTCTATGACCGTCCGTCAGAGGAGCGGATACGAAAGTCAAAACCTAAGAATATGACCAACTTGAAGGCGGCCCGATCACCCGCCGCGACCCCGGTACGAAGAGCTACATCCAAACAATCTCGAGACAAGACGACGCCCCGGCTTGGCAAAGGCAGCCATGCAGGCGCTACGATTACCGCAAGGGACTCGACCAAGAACCGAGCAGCTGCAGATAATTCGGCCTATGTATATGGACCTCCAGACCGACATGAGAGCGGCCACACGGCTCGGAAACCCGCGCGCTCCTCGACCTCATCCCCAAAATCGAGAGAGCGAACTTCAAGATCGAACATGTCTCAGTCCAGATTACAATCGGACTCGAGCAAGAGAGCTTCAGACAAGCCTGCCAGACTTTCCGCGAAACGAATGTCAAATCCCCAGATTGGAAATGCAACCGCCAAGAGCTCACCCGCTCCGAGCCGCAGTGCGACTCCCAAGGTCGTTAGGTATGGGCAAATTGCAGAAACATGGGGAATCTCAGTTCATTCACTAATCTTTTGGATTTGAAATTACAAAGGAGCACGTCTATGCAAGAGAAGCCGACATCAGCATCTCCGCGCCCAGGCGTCCAAAGAAGCAATACGACTGCGACCAGCCAAGGGCAACCTCCGACCTCATCCGCACCTACAGCAGCAGAACCATCAATGGGCAAAACAGGGACTGCGACTGGCCCAAAGCAACGTCGAGGCAGCGTTGGCCTCTTCGCTGCATTGTTTGGGCCATCGCCTCAGCGACCTGAGAAAAAGTAAGCAACTTTCACAGAATTGATAACTTCTAAAGCTAATATTTGCCCTTTCTAGAGTCGCATGTCTAACCTGCGCGGCAGACGACGTGCCAATGTCGAAATCGGCCAAACTTGCCTGCGGCCACCGCATGTGCCATGAGTGCCTCAAGCGTGTGTTCACCATGTCTATCAGCGATCCACAGCATATGCCACCCCGGTGCTGCACCCAAGACCATATCCCACTACGTCACGTGGATCGATTATTCAACGACAAGTTCAAGATGCAATGGAACAAAAAGTATCAAGAGTACACAACCAAGAACCGTATCTACTGCCCGACGCGCGGCTGCGGCGAATGGATCAGGCCTGGCAACATCCAGATCGACTCGAGCAGCGGCCGCAAATACGGCAAATGTAGCCGGTGTAAGACCAAAATATGCTGCCTCTGCAATGCGAAATGGCATACGAGACGCGAATGTCCCAACGACGAAGAGACCAAACGATTCATTGAAGTCGCCAAACAAGAAGGATGGCAACGATGCTTTAACTGCAAAGCCATGGTCGAGCTCAAAGAAGGGTGCAATCATATGACATGGTACGCCGCCTTGTTTGCTATCCTTTTGGGATCCGTCATGATTCTTCTGGTCAAGCTATGGAGATTTTTTTCATCTCCACCCTCAGTGTCATCGATGATGTACCCTTTTCTTACTCTTCTTTTTCTTCTCATTTCAATCTTCTTTTTCTTCATCAAGCACTAGCTTACTTGATTTTGCTCGGACATAGTCGCTGCGGTGCCGAATTTTGCATGATCTGTGCACGTCGTTGGAAGACTTGTGATTGTCCGTGGTTCAATCATGGCGCTATTGCCGACGGAGACCGTCTAAACCACTTCAATGTGCCACAACCACAGGCAGGCGCGCCACCGGGGTACGGCCACTATAGGCGCGCGACAGCAGACGATATTGGCGGCTATCGTGGCGGCGCGCTTGCATACCACGAGGAACTAGGACAGCGTCGACGACAAGAGCAAGAAGACGAAATACTTGCTCGACGACTGCAAATCCTCGGCATGGAGGATGATGACGAAGATGGACATGAAGACGCAATCGTCGACGCCGTATTGAACGACTACGCAACCCGCCGTCGTGCTCGTCGTCAGCATCAGCATCTCGTGCAGCAACAGCAACTCCAGCGCCGACGAGAGCGAGAAATGGCACGTGAAGAACAAGCCCGCCGGGAATATGGTCAACAGGGAGATATTTTTGGAATCGGTAACACGACCGACCACTTTATGAATGAGGATTACGTGCACGCCCGCAATCCCGCAAACCTTTTTACTGGACATTTCTTCGACAATGCTGCTGCCATTGCGAACCAGATGCGCGGTCTCGATGATCGACAGGCATTGAATGGTTCCTGGGCTCCACCCGGCTTACTCGTCGAAGAGCAGCCAAGACGAGATACCCGTACATCGAAAAGAAACCGGCGCAACACGAACACACAAACGAGGGAAGGAGAAGATGCCTCTCCGGCTGCAAATCCCACACACGGAAGGATGAGTTCTGATCTCACCACGGCCAATGTGCTCAACCGTCCAGGCGCTGGTCGTCGACGACATACCCTCATGGGCAGTGACGGCAAAATCGGATCATGGTTGCATAATATTGGCTGATGCGGGATGTTCTTTTCGCCATCACCATTAAGATTATCATCTAATTTCTCACTTTTCTCCTACATCGTCATGAATTTACGATGAACGACTTTGTCATTGCATCGCCGTTATACTACAGTATTCTTTCAACTCATCGACATTCACGACTCAGCGACTCTGCCTCTTACTGGACGAATGCATCTTTAAAATTATACCTTTTACATTACGAGCTCATTTCTCATTCACGAAACATTTAGCTACCCTGCCATGATACCAATCGTTTTTTGCATTATTATACATTGATGCTCTCCATCTTGCAACCCGTTATATCCATACTGTTTTAGGCCTTTACCCGACACTTCATTTATTAATACCTTTATTACTTTCAAACCATAACTGGGAAAATCTGCTTTATTATTTCTATATTTAATTCTATTATAATATTCACCTTTACCCTTTAGCCCTTTTCATTTGGATCTGAATAATGCGGATGATATTCCCGCCGAGAACCTTGCTGCCTTGCAAGTTGCGCCAAAATCAAGAGACATAAATATCACCGGTTAAGAAAAAAAAAATGGAGATGTAATCTACTTGACCGACTGTAATTCTCTTGCCCTTTTCCCATACCGATTACACTGCATTCCAATTCCGATGGGCGATTCATGCTATGTTAGCCGTTCTTCTCCTGATAGTATTGTTATGTATATAGAAAGCTTATAGAGTTCATTTTTGTTTAGAGAGACACACCGCACTTGTAACAGAGAGATGGAAGCTAGGCCATAACACAGTAACGCCGAGTTGAGAAAGGTTCCGGTGGTTTAGAAAAGCTCATTTGGTGTATTGGACTAACAAACGGACCCTCGAAGGGACGATTCCTTGGTTAAACTTACAGTACTAGGGCACGAAAATCTTCCCACCATTGGCTTAACAGGGGAAGATGTTTTGCCATAGATTAATCAACAACAACTAATAGTATAGAAATTTCAAAATAATACATAGATAGAAGAGTTTAAGCTATATATTTCCTGTAAATATTATATCATTTTATTGTAGAAATTCCCTCCTTATTCTAGTCTGTATAGTACTGGCTAGAAATCATTAGTTTTCCTCTAAATGTCTTCTACAGATAGTAAAAAAATAGTTAAACAAACTCAATAAAAATTAATATAATATGATAAGCTAATGAATAACTTTATAATGTATATAAACTTAGTAATAATATATTGGTTGTTGAGAAAGAGTCATGATGTCAAATATTACAAGTTTTGGTAAGGTTACCAAAATGAGTAAATATTGGTGACCCCCGACTGCTTTTTGCCATTATCTCTAATAAAAGAATTAGTAAATACAAGACAAAATAAGATATAGTAGTACATACTTGGAGTGTGCATTGCATTTATGTTTATCAGTTTTGGAGAAAGTGTAAATACTCCGTACGGAGTACAAGCGAAGCAATTGGCTCAGAAAGAGCAAGAACACCCGATCCACTCCCTCCCCCATAAGGCGATTCTCTCCCATTCCTTGGAAGGCCACGGCGGCCAAATTGTTAGCGGCCAGCTGATTTTCCTTTCTTTAGACCACCCTTCCTGCCCAGTCGGGACTCGGGTCTTCCTGTTCCACAGTGCCCATGACATGCATGGACAGAAAAGAACGAATGGCAAAGGGCTTCATCTTCAACTATCTAATAGCCAAGAAACTCATTCCAAGAGAATTTGTCAAAACTCTCCCAAATCAATTGTGTCTCGACTCTCATCTAGCCTGCTGCCTCATAGTACAGCCGTTGTTCCTGTATGCCAGAGTGCCCGTGAACCAAGCGGTCAAACCAGTACCAATGCATCCTACTACCAAGCCAAACAGCCAGCTGCCAGCGAGCCCTGAAATAAAAAATTTCCAAGGGCAGAGGAGATGCTAGCATTAAGTCAAAATTGGTCTCTTTGAAAGAGTGAGTCTGAGTGACTAATAAAAAAAAATTATAACATAGAAAAATTCTCTAACCTTGTTATACAATCGTATGTGACGTTGCACTTGGACATGGAACATCATCATTACAGTCAGGTATGAGGGAAACATTTGTTCGTAAATAGACTGATTGCCTTTGGTCAAAGCACAAGGGCTGCTAATGTGGTCTGATTCTCTGAAGTCGCCGAGTGTTTCCAATATGGTCGAGAGAACGTATTATTGGAAGAATATCCATGTTTTTGTAACAGAAGACCAATGGGTTGTCAGAGTCAGTAAAAGTCCTCTTTTACTCTCTTTGCCAGAGTTGGCAGCCAATGCCTTTCTGTAAACGAAAACGTCAGCTCTACCAACTGTCCAGGTTTGCTTCGAGTCTTCAGATGAAGTTCCAGCCAGGATATTACCCGGCGGTTTTAGACTCATACTGGAAATTTTTGTTGTTGCTTGTGATACGACCTTTGTGCTTCTTCCTTTCCGACTAGCTTTGCAGTCTTCCAGTCTTTCCGGGGTCTCATGCGAGAGCCTTTCAGTGCTCAATTGGTAGGATACTTGGATACCTGCGGTGGAATCTATCTACTAGGTGCTGAGTATTTGAAACATCCTCCTCCAGCTGCTATGAGCATGAGTCATGACCTGTCCACTGTAACGGATATAGTCACTCGTTGTATCCTTTCTTTGAGTTAAAAGTATATCTTTCATCTAATAAGTATTTAGATCAACTCATGCTTTGCAAGTTTCTAGATTTCTTGAATAGCTTTAACTGTAGTAGAACCAGGCCGACTTACATTCGGGCCAGATATGGCGATCGAGACTCTGTCGGAAACCAGCCATAGCTGTGACAGGAGTTTAGGACATGGTCCAACATCTTTCCTCTCAGATATTTTAAAATCGAGCAGCGCACAAGCCATTATCCAATCTGACACCCGGTGGCAGATCAGCGTCAGGGCATGTATCTGCTTGAGGGCTTGGATCTGCCGGTAGGCTGTGGCCAGGTAGCACCTGTTGGTTTGCCAGAACTCTACGGAATCCTCATCTCTGACTCTTTCTTTGCTTCTGTTCTGTTTATATCTGCCACCAAAGCACATTAATAGATAGCTATGGCTGTAGAAAAGTAACGATCGCTATTTCGTGTGGTCAATGCTTGCAAACGTTCCTTTCGTACTCTGCGCCGATGGTATCATTGCTCTCTGGTTGCCTTAGGGCAGTGTCGGATTCTAATCCTATCTATTGACGACTGAGGGGTGCACGGTGTGTAGTTGGGCGTGCCGTACGCCTGAATCCATAGTGATTCTGCCATGCGACCGTGTAGTAACCCTTTGTCCTGGTAACCACAGGCCGCACAGCACGGAGTGAAAGAGTGAAAGCATTCTGAAAGACAAAGTCGACAACAGCGGAAGACGACCCAGAAGGGTGACTCGGAGAACCAGGAAGAGGAGAGCGAGAAGAATGGCGAGAAGGACTCCCCGTGGCGGATCCAGCACCCGTTGCTGCCTCTCTAGCAGCCTAGCTTGTGCAATAAATTCCTCCATGTTGGGATTAACTCGCCAGTGGGGACGAGGCTCAGCATCAACCTGACATTCTGCGGTAGTGCCCCATGGGAGTCGCACAAAGCGCAACGAGCCATCAGTTGCCGCTGATTCTTCCAGCATTTAAAGTGGCATATCATGATTCTTGACACCTGCGGGAGAATTCTGTGGCATTTCACCTTTGTCAGAAGAAGGGCGAGGCGAGGGCAACTGAGGATCACCATCATTGCCTCCAGGATTGGAGGATAGGTATTGAAGAAATATCTTCTCCGAACACCAAACCAGGATGATTTTGACTGGCGACATAGAACACACCTTGTAGACATCTGCCGTCATTTTGTGTCCGGAGGACAAGAGAGAGGCAGAGAGACTGGAGCAGACCGAAGAGCAGAACGCAATTTTCCACGGCCATATCTAATCCGTTGAGGTATGACCGTATGCCATCTCTCTTCAAAAGCAACATCCGTTTACCTCGCATACATCTCTCAAGCCAATAATCTTTATAGGAGTAGACTGTAGTTGAAGCCGGGCACCACCCACAACATGGCCCAAAAGAAAGTATCCACCTCTCTACAGAAACGAATCAGCCACTGTTCAATAAATGAGGTTCATCCGGTCAAGCCCTCATATATGCAGGCGGTAGATGGTGCAGAGACGCCGTATGGCGGAGGTGGTAAAGATTTAAACCACAGGAATCTACTGCGTATGAGCAGATCAAAACTTGAACTTTTTTTTTTGCCCATTTGGTTCTCTTGAAATTCATCGTATCAACGATGTTACACCACGGTTGATTCTCGCCTTCTTCGTGACGAAATACGACTCGATCCAGCCCCGGTTTTCTGTTGCATTTGCCTCCGTTATAAACTCTGCCGTTGAAAAGTTGGGAACGACAATCGATTGTCGTTTCCAGTCGGAAATTTTTTGAAAATCGAAATTTGATCTCGTCGGAATAATCTTTGAGCATCAAATTGGAATATCAGTTTTTTGTTTGCTTGTGTAGAAACAATAGACAGCAGGGAACTGCTCTGTTATTTTCTAGCACCCGCTCTCGTTGTTTTCTCGGCCCTAGGCCTTCAACCAGCCCCGTATATTCAATGAATCCTCGCGGCTGCGAGACATATTTTCGAGATATTGGCCGCGGGTTTCTCCCTTTCTTTCCATTCTTCGACAGTTTGACTTGATAGATAGACTCAATTTCGTTGCTCTTGTATGGGAGATATATATCCAATGACAGCCTCAGATAATATCGAATTGAACCTGCCAGGGGCATGCTCTATCCAGAGAACGAGTACGGTGAAAAGCTGTAATGTTCCAAGTGAAGAAAAAACAAAGCCCCTCTTAGAATCGTAGCCAAGCTTGGAAAATCGTGAAGAAAGAGGTTCAAAACAGAGATGAATGGGTCATTTCCCCTACAAGTTTCGTTTTCTCGGCCTCTGAAATCTTTGCTTTGTCGTTCCTTTCTTGGCCAGTTGTTCTGTCTCCAGACTCCAGCTGAAGCAGGCTCTAGACCGAAGAATAACCATGGTAGCCGCCAACACTGAAAGGCAGGCCGCAGGATATCTCAGTAAAGGTTTGGTAGAAAGCAGCAGAAGTTTGGAACAGCATTTGCGCCACGAGGCAGGACAGTTATCCTCTGTCTTGTGCAGACTCTTCAACTGGAGAGGGATAAACCCCGCCAGAAGTTTTCGGCTTTTTTCGTCTTCAAGGGAAGCAAGTTCTGCGAGTCCGATAGAGATTCCGTTGTTGTGAAGATTGTTCAATTCAAATGTCTGCACGTGCAGAGCCAACAGGCATAATACGGTATACCGTCGAGGCTTTACTCCCATTTCGATTGGGTGACGACTCCATGGATGGCCATTCTCGTCGTCTCCGGCGATGTATTAACTCCAAATGAAAATCCACATCCACAGAATCTCTCAGCAAGAGTTCCTGAACGAGTGTCACTCAGCTCTCCATACCTGATTTCTGCAATCCAGAAACATTATGAATTTCCATCCTCTGCGGAAACTCTAGTCGGTAGGCATAGGGGGTGATAATCCCCGTAATTTTGGCCCCTCCTGGGTTCTTCCAATTCAGCTTCTTCAAAGGTCTTTTTGTCTGAATGTCTCAAGCGTCTAAGCTTCAGGGTCTTCCCTTCCTTTACTAAACCCGTCACATATTTTCAACTCGACTTCTCTCGACAGACCCCAGTAGCATTTATTCCACTGCCAATGTATATATAACCCCAAACTTGAAAAGAAAGGTGTGAGTGGTATTTGCATGCTCAGGGTTTTGCACAAATATATAGCCGCCAAGCTATAAGAATACTCGAGATTGCTCATAGGGGCTCTAGAGTCTGGACATGTGTCTTAGAAACTGCTTCGACGAGGAAGAGAGAATCATCTAGGATTCTAGAGCGCGAGCGGAAAAGGGAGTTTTATATACTTGATGATATCGAGGTGAATGTGAAAAGGAATAGCAGAATTGGTTCGAAATGGAAGGGAATGTTCTAGGCATCTCCTAGGCAGCCAGGCAGCCAAGTACGAGTTTGATAGGCAACAAACCAGAACGTCTCGTGATTCTTGTGAATTGCAAAGGCATGAGAATTTAGTGATTCAGTGGCAAGCATGAAGATAGGAGAGTTTGCAGAGTGATTGTTTCGCTTCTCTGGATTTATGCTTCGTTTGGTGGAAAATCGCAAGTGCCGCCGTAGGAGATTGAGGGAGAAGGACGTGAATCCCAAAGGCTAATGAATTTGGCAAGGGGTTTCCTTCCTGGGGGACGCGAAGATAGGGCTTGCACAAAAGAGAAATTTAACAGTTTGTATTTGCTGTCGTTAAATACAGGCATTTATTTTTCGTCAATTGTAGGCACTGATTTAAATACAAGAAGAAGCCATGGAATCTCAATGCCAAGCCCAAATTACTTGAAAAGATATGCTGCCAAAGGCGAGATGTCAATGACATTTATTGGTACAAATTGCCAAGCTATATGCATGCAAATATTTGAAAGATGATAAGAATAGGAAGCGCGCTAGCGATGCTGCAACATGAAATCTATACGTCAAGTTCGTAGCGGGCATTAAGAATAAGAATAAGAATAAGAGTATATGAACAAGAAGGTTTAATGCATCACCACGTATCTGGGCCAAAGTGCTCGCCTGGCGGGACAGTCCGGTACGCACAGGCCTGCCAATCGCATCCCTATCGACACAGTTATTAGTGATGCCGAAATGGAAAATGGGCGTCAATACCAACCTGTTTGTAAATCTCTGTTCCCCACCATTTGAAACCTTCCATGATTCCGGTATAAGCAAAGCCAAAGAAGACTACAACAACGCCAAATGCGAGGCCAGAGTCCAATGCGGCAGACAGAGTCATGGTGTATTTGCTCCACCACGCCGGGGCGCGCCGACGAATGAGATGGTTGAAGATGTAGCACGTGAGCGTCCACACAGAAAAGTTGAGTCCAGTCTGGAAAACAATGAATTAGCATGGGAACGGCAAGTCATCAATAAACTAGATGGAGGTAAACTGACCGCTGGCGGAATCCAGCTCAAACTGCCAAACAGCACTGGCAAATTCACTCTTCTCCACAAGCTCCGCCGGTTTTTCCTGCCAAGAAGCCAAACGCCAAGTGGCGCGATAGCCCCGAACAAGAATGCCCAGACTAGGGGCCGGTACATTCCTCCAGGACCAAAGAAGCGTCGTGGACCTACGACGCCCCATAAAATGCTACCATTGAAGTGTACACGTGCAATAGGACAGGTGAACCCGTTGATGGCTTCAGGTGTGCAAATGTGTGGAATATTGCGGAAGGCCCAGTTCAGAACGCCGATCTGCGTCAGGCTCGAGACGATAGTCGCAGCCATCTGAACCCAGAACAAAATCCTCGGCGGTATTTTCATATAGTGGCCCAGCTTCAAGTCAGAGGAGAATTTGAGACCCTGCATTGAGGTGATCTAAATTGTTGAGAATATTAGCCAGTGATTATATCAATCGATGAGTGAGACACCTACGTAACCATAAGTGACAAATACCATATTTGCCACAGGTCGGCCAGGGAAAACAACGCCACAAATGAGTTGGCAGATAAGGTAAAGACTGCTTTGTTGATTTGTAATGGCCATGACGATTCCAATAGGAATGAAAAAGATTGCGCCGATACCCAGGGCCATCAACAAGCCATACCAGGGCAGATGAATGGGGTAACTAAAGGAGTATTAGCAAGACTCGTTCTGGAGAACGCTTCATCCGAGCGAATTGCTTACTATTCGACGACAAATATCCCAATCGCTGTCATCGTCACAAACGTAATCAAGTACCAACTAATTGGCGCATCTTTGTATCGTCGCATGAGCCGGCAGTGTACATCCTCGCCACTCATCAATGTATCGAGGCCTGGGTCAGACGCGTTTCCACTGCTCAGTGACCGCCGGAGCTGATTTTTGTCAGGATCGGGACGCGCGGTGGGATCCACGGGCTGATATTCGGCCTTATTATCTACCCTGTTCTCTTGCAGCGACCGTTTCCATTGTCGCCAAATATCCTTACTGTGCCAGCAGATGGTATGGGTGATGAGAGCTGTCAGAGCTGCAAACTGGAGTGCGTAACTAAGGACATAGGTGATGGGAAGGAAAACCCGGCTGTACCGGTGATATGCCTCGTTGTCAAACACAAAATCCTTGGTTAAGATTCTGCTGACGTCGTATGGTTTTCCAGTGTTGTCGAACACAACCGACGACAGGATGGGCATATATGACGAGAACATGACATTGGTATAGTCTCAAAGACAATTAGTCTATAATTCCAGGTATGGTGACAGATACGATTATGGTCTTACAAAAAATAGGAGCCATGATATACATGACAATTACCAGACCCCCAACAACGTTGAGGGCAGCCCAGAAAGGCGTAAGCAACGGGGAGCCAATATATGCAATCTGCGACCAATCAAACGTGATAGGAAACAGGCCTAAACCAGATGCCACGCCAAACTGCAAATAGTTAGTATTCCTAGGAGAATCATTGGTCATTACCAAAGGAGGGTCTTACAAGATTGGCAATGACAGGACTTTTCGGAGCAAACCACGTGATAACGTTGAAATAACTCAGCGCCGGCATCAACAAACCGGGTAAAAAGTAAAAGGCGAAACTAGCACCCCAGATGATCATGAAGAACTTCCAACGTGATATACGCCAGCCATTCGCTATCCGATTCTCCTCTTTATGCAATGTTCTAAACATGGAAGTGGACATAAGGGTGCCCGGCCAGATCATACCACCAGGACGAACGAGGTAATGCCGGGTAAGTCCAGCGAATGTGTAACCTAGAATCTGTGTCGACAGCGTCAGAAGTAACTGATAGACGATGCCAAGATCTTGATTGTAGAATTTTGTTTGCTCGACAATGACCTATGCTGAAAATTAGTGGCGGGACTCAAATGCGAGATATTTCCAACCGGGACCTCCTACGTCAGTTGCAAAGGCAAAACCAAAAGAAACGTTGCTGCTAATGTAAACACAACTGTGTTCCTTTTCGTTCCATCGCCCCTGAGCGAGCCACAGTCTCAGCGATCGTTTCCAACTCCTTCGACTACTCGTCACCGGTCTGCTAGTTTCGTGTGCAGGTCCTGGACTTGCTTCACCAGTAGGCACTCTGGATAGAGGAGCAGCCGTGTCTGAGGGTTGACGCAGATCATGCGGGACCCACTCCGAATGAGCGGATGGGCTTCGTCCTTGCAAGACGCCATCGACGAAATATTCTTCGGGATCGTCTGATCGCTTGAGAAGCTGATCCCAAAGAAGGCCAAGAGGATGGACAAGCAAAAGAGCAATAACAGGAGTAATGCTAACGCTGGGGTATCGCAATGAGAAGAAAAGATTTGTTGAAGAGCCGAGCAATGCAAACATCATAGAAAGAATCCACATGCGAGGGGCTAAAAGTTGCGCAAAAGGTATTAGTGTGCGCTCGAGGATCAGTCTGGTGACTTGAACTTACTGCTAATAGAAAGTGTAATATTATCTACTGCGGAAACCGAAGCCCGAACCTGCGGGTACCTGAGGTTGCGAATCAGTCACACATCATATAGAGAGGCAAAGTTGCCAATGAAACCCTAGCACTTACGGAGAATTGTCAGGAGGGTTCTCAGCATCATCCTGTTCGGAGCCGTCATCCTCCATATCAATCACTTCTTCATCGCTCGTTTCGGAGCTTGTCACGTCACCGGTCGACGATGAAGGGCGATCATCGAATGAAGTGTCGAATGCCTCAACGCTTGGCACACCTGCACCGGCGGCGAATCTCGACTCCAAGCCGGACTCATGAATTCCTTCCAATGCATCACTGTGCGTATCGGCCAAGGCCTGAAGCTCAGCCCTCGAGATGGACGCTCGCCGTTTCCGTTGTTGACGTCGTTGGCGGGAAGATGACTGCCCTGAAGCTCGACCAGTGGACCCGGTCCAGGATCTTGAATCGATCCGTTGTAATCTCGACGATGCTTGGCTTACAGGTTCGCTTCCACGTCTCGAGATATCGCTCTGGTCTTTCCCTCGTCTACCCCTGGAAGGGCGTCCATCGTCATGATTCGATTGCCCCGCATCGAGAGGATCCTCATGGATGGGCAGCGCACCGTACGAACCCGTTCCTTGAGCCGGAGAGGAACGGAGCAGTAAGGGCGTCTGGGACATGAGGCTGGAAAGCCGCCGAAAGAAGCGCCCAAGCTTGCTTGTCGCGTAAGCTTGAGCGTCGTCGACGTTGGCTGTATAGTCGTCTTCAATTACGTCGAAGTGTCCAGAAGGACGGCGACGAACAGCGGCGGCAGACGAACCGAGGACGTCAGTGTCACGACCATGCCCTGGATCGAAATCGTCGGATAGAGAACGGGGGGATTCTATGGATGTTGCCGGTGAAGGCGCTGTAGGTGGTGAGCCACTTCGCTGAGCTAAAGACGACATGTAAATGTTGGCGGAGCTGTAGCTCGAGAGACCACGATATGAAATACGAACATTGACGTAGACACAGCAAAGGTGTAAGTTAGTCTGTTTGATGAGTGACCAGGCACAAATCAAAATATGGAACAGGTGAAAGGGTCGCGTGAAAGAGGATGGAAGTAAGGGATTAACGTTCTGGAAAGAAAAATGTGTAGGAATGGGAGCTGAGGAAAGGCTCTGGGCAAAGCAGGGGAGGAATTGGGGGGGGATTCAGCTTTCTGATATAACGACGATAGGCCAGGCAGAAGGGGGGAAAGGTCGAGAGGTCATCAAATTGGCTAGATCGGCAGATTATCAGATGACTCCGACAAGCATATTATCTAATCAGATGCACACTTATATACAATAGGTTTAGCTTCCAAATTGCAAGGTTCGGGCACCGGGAAGGCTAGTCCAAAAGAAGAAAAGGTGTCAGCTCGATGCCGAAATCGGGGTGGAGAAACTCTCGCAGTGAGGGGCCAAGATTGCACAAGGTGAGGGGATTCATAAAAGAATACGGGAAGAGGTGTGAAGCGGTGAGTGACACAGGCGTATAAAGAGTAGCAGATGACGCGGATGGTAAAACAAACGGAATGTAGGTTGCCACTGCTCGACGTGCCATGAACTATTGGAAGTGCAACCACTCGTCCCGTAGCCATTGCGGTGTGTCCATCTGATAAGTTTAAAGGAATGTGTTGTAGTACAGTATTACTGCAGGAAGCAGTGTTCATTTGACGACCAGAAAAGGAGATGAGCCGTCCCTGGCAACAAATCGGATCAGATATGAGCAAGGCTGATTGTACACGAAAAGGGTGGGTCGCACGCACAGAGGTGATATTTGACAGCGATATAGCAGATGAAAAGATATTCACTTTGTATTACCATTGGCTGGAGAGAGCTCGCAATGCAGATCAGACTCCACGGGACGATAAAAGCAATAATTTCGATACAATAGCATCTTTCTCTGTCCAAGTTTGACATGTTTGTCTAGAATTGCACGTGCAAGGATGCAGACAAACATTGGCAGTGTTTGCCCTCCCGTCAAGCTCGCTGATTGGCTCAAGCTCCGGGCGGTGAATAGAAAGCACTGATCTCATATGGCATTGAATCAACAACGCTCACCAATTTCCTTTATATCTTCTCTTCTTCACCAATCGGACAACTCAATTGATTTAAATCTCTTCTCTCCTCATCTTTGAACCTTCAACCTTAATCATCTTACCATTCTGTCATCTCAAGCTTAAAAGTAAAATGTCGGCTCCTAATCTCCAAGAGATTCATGACACCCTCATCGAGGTGGCCCAAAAGGCCGGGGACATGATCCTCAACGCCCGTCCCTCGTTCCAGAGTGCCGGAAACAAGAAGAACTGTGAGAAATACTTTTATATCTAGCTCTCTGTTATCCTCGCCGGCTCCGCTAACAATTTTCGACCCTCTAGCTGTCGATCTTGTCACTGAGACTGACCAGGCCGTCGAGAAGATGGTTTCTACCACTCTCCGCGAGAAGTATCCCGACTACAGGTAAACCCGCAACACTCCAGCAGCCTTCAATTTATGCCTATCTCACTAACTCGTGTTCAACTATAGCTTCCTTGGCGAGGAGACCTACAAGCCTGGCATGACCCTTGGCTCTGGGCCGACCTTCATCTGCGACCCCATTGACGGAACCACCAACTTCGTGCACGGTCACCCGTACGTCTCCATCTCGCTGGGATTTACTATTGACAAGCGTCCCGTGGTCGGAGTTGTTTACAACCCCTTCCGCAAAGATTTGTTCACTGCTATTGAAGGCAAGGGAGCGTTCCTAAACCGCACTACTCGTCTTCCATACAAGCAGGAGCCTGAGCCGCTTGAGGGTCTGAACAATGCACTCGTGGCTGTTGAATGGGGAAGCGACCGCCACGGAAACAATTATGACATCAAGTGGAACACGTACCGTAAGCTGGCGGCCAACAAGGATAATGGCGGAAGCATGGTGCACAGCCTGCGCTCGCTCGGCAGTGCCGCCTTGAACCTCTGCCACGTGGCTACGGGCACTTTTGACGCGTACTGGGAGGCTGGATGCTGGGCCTGGGATGTCGCTGCCGGGTGGGTCATTCTCAAAGAAGCTGGCGGTTTGATTGCCAGTGCTAACCCCGGCGAATGGACTCCTGCTGTCGATGGACGCAAGTACTTTGCCGTCCGGGGCGCTCCGTCCGGCCAGAAGGAGCTCGTTGAAGAACTCTGGGCCCAGGTCGACGGCAAGTTTGACTATTCTGCCTAAGCGCCCGAGGTACTTTACACTATTAAGCTTGTTTCCATTTCACGATGACTGATATGACGAACCATTTTACGAAATTCATGCCACCGTCCCAAACAGGCCACCAAGGTTTATCTTAGGATATGATGAGACGTGAGTCCATCTGCAAAACCCGACATTAGCATTCACTCTGTTTATTTTCACAAGCACGTTCATCTAAAAAAAAAAGATCCTGAAGATAGGATGATAACATAGAATAATCTCTACTAGACTATTCAATTTTATTTTCATAACCGCATCAGTAGCTCATTGCTTTGTGTATGTGAATCTAAAGACGAAATTCAAGAGAGAAAAAACAAAAGGTCTTTCAAAGCGATCAATAGTCTAATGAACGGAAATGTACAAAAGCCCAAGGCTCGCTCGCCCACTGGTTTGAATGTATTTAGTACAGTACTAGACAGTACAGCGCATTGTATGCTAGGTAGTATATAAGGTATCTCCAATATATGAATGAGAAACTGACAATAAACATATACAGAAGGAACGAAGTCGTTTTCCAAAGTATAGCACAAGTGTAAATTGAACATGCATAGAATGAGAACAAAATGAGCATATTCGGGAAGGCCCAAGCTGTTCAAATGGTGGGAAAATGAAATTTACAGATGAAGATCACCAAGTGAAGGCCAATTCGAGGCGATTTGACCGCAGTGGTCAACTGCAAAGAGTGACGCGTCTGTCGGAGGATCAATTGCGGCAAATTGCCGAAGCGGTTTGACAAAGCTGCCAGCCGGGAGCAATCAGGTCGCAGTAGGTGTATCGTCAGCGGAGTTTTGATCGCCGACAGTTTCGTTTTCTCTCTGCTTTTCTTTCTCCGCAGCCTTTGCCGCTGCTACCCCAGCATCGTCCTCATCGACGCGGGAAGCGAGCCGGGCAGGGACAGTCTCCTCGCCTGTGGAAGGGTCCTTCTCTGTTTCGTCATCCATTTCCTTTGCCGCTTCGTTAGGCGGTCCCGAAGTAGATGGGGATCGAGGCTCCGGGCTAAACGCATGAGGGACCTTTTCTGACAGATTGACCGCGATGAAGCTCTTCGGTAACTTGACAGTATGGAATTTAGCGCGAAGAGTCTCAATGACCTTCTTCCAGTCGATATGAGGAGTGAGACTGCGACGTGGAGCAGCCTTGATGCAGTGCTTCGAATCCAGCTGCACGTCCATTGGATCATAAGTGTGACAGCCGGGAGAGATGGTGATGCGAATACTATAGCTAAAGGTGGGTTCAGAGGGTGTGTTTCCGTTGCTGGCATCGCTGTTTTCGCTTGACGGGTTCCTATTCTCGGATTCGTATAGCTCAAAACAGATCTGAGAGAGATAGTCAAGTTCAGGAATGGCGTTGCGCGCAATCTTCGTCTGGATACCGCCTTCGAGGATACAGTTGAGTAGCGTGTATATATGGGATTCTTTAGTGAAGTAGACGAATGATTTGGCGCCTTCAGAAGCTTGTACTTCTTCAAGATCGGTAACAATTTCTTGAAGAAGTGGCAGGGATGTGAGGAGGCCAATCTCAAGCTTCTCGCTATCAGAGATGCCGTATTCCTGGGGTCCGACAAAGTCAAAAAGGACCTTGGCAAGCTTGTAGAGTTCGCGAAGCCTAGTCAAACGAGCATCGAGCTTGGCTTTCTTCTGCTGGTTTCCACCGGTGTAGAGATTGAAATAGGACTCCTTTGCCTCCTCAGATGTTGCCAGTGTGGCTCGAGGTGAGCTAGGCTGCAGCACGGATCTGCGCCGGAGGCCGATACGGTGCGCGAGATTACCCTTTTCAGGAGCATTGTCACTGTTCGTAGCGGTCGTGTTTGTCGTGTTTGTCGTGTTCGTGGTGATGGTGGCGGTGCTAGAGTTGGGGTCGATCCTCGCAGCGGCGTCAGGTCCAAGCTTAGCATCATCCGTTTTCTCGTCGGTTATGATCGCGCTTGCATTGGAGATTGCATCGTCTTCGAGAACTCCGTCGCTAGGAGTAAAGACCCACTCCAAGAACTGGCGGTTATGAAGTGCATCAAACTTCATTGTATCGTACAATTCAGATATCTTGCTGGGGTCAACCTTCTCAGAATCGCAGAACTCGGCGAAGAGCTTTTCCCATCGTTCCTTGAACAATTCCGCATCCTCACCGCAGCACCACCGAGCCTGAATCTGGGACACAGCCTGAGCCTGAGCCAAGGCTCCTGGAGAAGTTGGGCTGTGATCAGGTTGCTCGTGTCCATTTTCCTGGGCAGCTAGTGATGAAGCAGCACTGCCAGACATGTGAGTAAAGTTGTAGCGCATAACTCTACGATGAAACTTCATGAGATCGACAACTTTAGATAAGACAATAGAAGGCTCAGGCATATTCTCCTTGGGCCAGGCAAATTGGGGTGGTGCCTGGTTGCCCTCACGCAGGAGAGTCTTAAGCTTCTTCTTGACTTTATCCATCTCATCCTTGGCAGCGTTTGAATCGTCCAAAAGGTCTTTTCTAACGGAAATGTAATCTTCGGGCAGATCTTTCTCATCAAGAAATGCAGTCGCCCAGATGTGAGCTGTAATATGTCAGCACGCAGCTTAAAGATAAGAGGATTAAGACAGCTTACCACTTGCACGGACTCGGCGCTCAGAGCTGGTGAAGACAGAGACATCATCAAGAGCTTCTCTATTCATTAACAAGAGATCATTACGCATATTTTCTCCCAAATCCTGCGCTTGATAGCGAGCCGAGTGTGTAGGTTCGCCACCCCACTTGATGATTAGCTGAAGCTTGTCCAAAACCAGATTATTTTCCGCAGCAGATATGCGAGATAAGGTGACATCGGAGACTGAGTCGCTTCTCGACTGCATCCGTACCGGTCCATTGGGCGGCTGGTCAGAATGTTTCGCATCGGGGGTGCGTTCGGCAGCGCTCTGCTTCAATTTCTCCTTCGGCGAAGCGTCGGAATGCCCATCCTGAGACGTGGTTTCCTGCTTTCTCTTCCGAAACATGGGTTTAATCTGGACTTTTGTACCAGTCCAACTACCCTTGCGAATGAGTGACGTTCGAAGCAGTTTCAGCTTATCAGGGTCTTCGACTCCTTCTTTCAGAGCCACCTGTACTGCATTCAAAACGCTACCCAAAGCGGCCTCGCCAACGAGCAATACTTCCTCTGTATGACCCTTGAGAAGGTCAACAAAAGGCTTGGTATGGAAGGTAAATTTGAACTTCTGTTTCGGCGTTCTGTCGGCATGTCGGATAACTGTAACCATACCCTTAAGCTTCCAAGAATGCTTGGGCGCGGGAGGCGGAACAGGCGATTTTTGCTCCGCCGTGGACGCTGGCCGAGCAGGACTGCCAGTGGAGGGCGGAACAACGGGAGGGGGTAGAGGGTCGGTCATTGTGGTCGGAACTGACGACGATGGAGATGTATCCATATGATAGTTCCTATCCAAAGTCGGTGGAGAGGTAATTGGCACGGTCATCGCAGGATTATCAGGAGAGGCGTTTCCCTGCGCGCGTGTGTTCTGATGTGTCCCGTGATGTCCACTATGGTGACTTCCATGCCCGTGATGATGGTGGGCATGGACCCCAATCCTAGACATGCTTGGCGACCTGAAAATTGTTTTGAGTGCGGATCGATGAGAATGAGGCTGCTGCTTCTTCGCGGGCTGCCCGCTAGAATTATCTAAAACTTTTTCTGCAGGAGCAGCTGAATCGGTCCTTCCTTCTAGCCTTGCCTTCTCGGCCAGGAACATTTGTCTCAGAATGCTCGCGCACTTGTCATAGTACTCATTATTATCTTTGACAAAGCTCCATCCGTTGACGTCAATGACGTAGCTTTTAGTACCGACACGTAAGAGATCGAAACCGCAGATCCGCTGGCCAAAGGCGACTGAGATTCTAGCAGCCATCGCAGCCTCCTCCTTGGAGAGAGCCGTGATGTATCTGATTTCTTTTCCATGAGTATTTCGCCGGACCAAGCCATCCACGACAGGGGACTTTCGTGTTTCAGCATGGCAGAAGTCCGGTCCTACCGTGTAAGCTTTGACGTCTTCGGCATTATCAACGCGTAAGAACTGCTCGTAAATATAGCTTCCCCCTTGCTCCGTGATTGCCCTTGGAATCGACAGATTCTCATCAAACTCAGAGCTCTTGTTGCCAACTTTGCGGAAGAGTCTTCTTCCACCACCACCCGAGCTCTTGGGAAAGTAGATGTGAATGTTGTGATCTTCACCGCTCACTGGCTTCTCCACGAAAGGTTTCGTCAGTAGAGTGCCATTCACACTCAGCGTATCACCATCATCCAAAAGCTCAACGTTTTCGGGAGCTGGAGTGCCGCCTCCCGTACCATCTTCGGGTCCCTCAAGTTTGACGCCAGTTATCTCGAGCACGTGCTTGGCAAGTTGGGGCGATGACAATATCGGGCCGCCGTCGCGATTAACCTCGACTCTCTTTGGTGTAGGGACATTGATCTGATCGAGAATACGGAGACAGATGCGGCGATCCCAGAGGACCTTTTGCATGGGAAGGTCATTAACGCAAAAGGGCTTACGGAGTTCCGCATAGGCGAGCGCCTTGTCCAACGGAAATCCGTCAGAGAAGAAAGAGATAAGGAAGTCGCAGATAGGCCAATTTTCCACATCTTCATCGAGGATGACCTTATCACCAAAGACAACAACCTCAAATTCTTTCTTCGCGATGAGCCGGTTTAAGATATTCCTACTCGGCTTGCTTCGAGCCTTTACATCGAGAGCGCAGATACCGATTATTCCCTGAGGAGCCTTTTGATCTAAAACGATGGACCAGTCAGCTACTTTATCGAAAACGATTCTTCATAATCTTACCCTCTTGCTCCTTGCTTTCCTTAAGAGCGCGCAGTCCTCTATCGCTGCTAGGACTGCTTGCCGCAGTACCATGACTGAGCCTTCGGGGTTGACGGCTTCTTGAACGGCCGGGCGGGGGCTGTGGTCGCCCGGAAGGTGTAGCCGCAGTCGAATGACCTTGCTGGGAGAAAAGAGAGTGTTCAATGGGAGTTAACTGATGCGGACTGTAAGGTCCAGGGCTTGCATGTTGGGCAGAGGATGTCGTAACCGAGACCGGATCTACGGCTGTCGTTGGATGATTCAAATGGCCCTCGCTTTGACCTAGCAGTGTGTTAATGTCTTCTTCTACTACAGAGGAGCATCAAAACCCTCTTCTCTTGCGATTACAATGAGGTTCCCTACCATCGTGAACAGAGCCAGCATTGGAGCTATCACCACTTGGGGCTGAAGCTTGCATCGCCGAGTTTAGAGAATATAGTGAGGAAACCGACATGCGTTTTGATTCAAGATCGGTACTTGTTTGCGCAGATCTCCCTGTCTGTGGGCCCCCCAAGTCGGAGACAGTAACACTGGAGGAAGATCCTGTTCCATGAGTACGGTCTAAGCCAAAGGATGCCTCCGATCCATCAGCCCAGCTGCTGCTGAGTGACTGGGCGCGGCCAGTGTGAGTGTCCATATTTGGTGTATGTGCTTCGTTTTCGAAACCTTTGAAAAAGGATTTGCTGAATGATGATCGTTTGTTTGCGATTGGTTTTGTCGCCGGAGGGGGCATAGAAATGCTTGCTCTCTCGATATTGCTGTCAGCTATACCGGCCTGTGATTGTCGACCTTTTCGGTTCGGGGCCGATGCATTAGCTGAGGCGGAGAGACTGAGAGATGGCGGGCCAGGCCTGTCCCGATGTGGATGTGATTCCGTATCCTTGGTGTCGGCGGCAGGGCTGGAGCCTTCGTTTGAGGTAGGATAGTTCACGTTGTGAGAGTGATCGGCCTCATTCGGCCCGCTGCCTTCGACTGAAGCCATGGCCCACCGGGGCTTGGCAGATTTAAGAACGACTAACGGCTCGAAAAAGCACCCACGTGTTCTACCCAAAATTCAATTGCGACTTACAAGCCCAGATTATTGCATATAGAAGATTTTAGAAGAATTGTAGGGCTGCGAATTGCGGGATAGAAAAATTTCCCGTCACCAATAATGGCAGTAACGTAAGAGATTCTGATAAGTAGTTTTGCTGCGATATGACGGAGTTTTTGGCGGGGACTCAGTATCATTGGAACTATAGCCGAGAGACCCTCGTGTAAAACTTCCCTTTTAACAAATTTATCGATTATCACCAAACAGAAAGTTGCGAGAAAGTTATCCATACCGCAGTACTCTTCCCTCCCATTGCACACAGGAGCCCCAGCGCCCTTTTCCCAAGCACAGGTAGTTATTGATCAGAGGCGCCCGATCATGCCTACTGCCGTGCCAGTCGACGACCATGGCGGTCCTTTGACAAAGCGGCGCAAGACCGCCGTCGTGCAAAAGGCACCAAAATCTCAAACGTCGCGCATCTTTGCGCCGTATAGGGTCCGCTTTAAACCTGCCAATTTAGATACGAAAGTATGCTGACCGGATTTATCGATATAGACGATAGGTCTCGTTTCACCGACTCAGGTCCCTTTTACATCAATTGGTCTAGGAAAGACTACTTTCCAGATCACAACTTCGGTCGGGCGCAGCCTACAAACCTATGACCTCCGCCGAGGACTGAACCTCGTTTTCTTGAGCAGGCCTCAGACACCTGAAGAGATAACAGCGACGATTGCGTGGAAGGGCTTTGTCCTGGCAGCGTGGGGTGCGGCCAAACCTGGTAGCCCCGTCGGTGTCTGGATTTTTCAACGTGGTAAAAAAGTCAATGAGCTGGAACTGCCGGCGGATCTGAAGGAACCCATCCAACAACTCCTTGTATTTGGTTCGTGGATTGTGGGATACGGCTCTACTCGAATCGAAATTTGGAAATCGGCCACCTATGAGCATTATACGACGCTTTTTCCTCTCGGTGGCAGTACCACTGGTGCGGTTCCGGTCCTCTCAGGCGGCATGTGCACGATGCCTACATACCTTAACAAGATATTCATTGGCAGGCAGGATGGAGGTGTCGAGATTTGGAACTTGAATACAGGGTAGGATATGGTGTTCTCAATTTTGAGAGATGCAGATTTGCTAAGCTCATAATATTACAGGCGTTTAATCTACACGATTCTGCCCGAATCCTCCGACTCCGGTGCTGTGACGGCACTTCAGCCTGCGCCGGTGCTCTCTTTGCTAGCAATCGCCTATGCCAACGGTACTGTTGTGATTAAAGACGTGCGTCTCGATCGCGACATTTTGAAATTCAACCAAGGATCGTCAACAAAGACGCCAATTTCGTCAATCACGTTCCGGACTGACGGCCAGGGGGCCGGAGAGGATGGAAGAATGGCTGGTGTGATGGCTACGGCAGGCTCGGGGAATGGCGATGTTACTCTCTGGGATCTCAACGACGGTGGTCGCATCATGGGTGTGCTTCGTGGAGCCCACAATCCTCCCTCCGCGGTACACGGTGGAGTATCCGGAGGCATTAGCAAGGTTGAATTCCTGCAGGGACAGCCCGTGATGGTTACCAGTGGTCTCGATAACTCTCTGAAGTCTTGGATCTTCGATGAGACACCATTCTCGCCGATCCCTCGCATTCTTCATTCTCGCACGGGGCATGCTGCGCCTGTGACCCGTCTCGAATTTCTGCCTTCGGACTTTGACGGCGCGGAATCAGGAGGGAAATGGCTGTTGAGTTCTGGAAGAGATCGTAGCTTGTGGGGCTGGAGTCTCCGAAAAGACGGCCAAAGTACGGAGCTGAGCCAGGGCAAGATCCGTAGCAAAGCAAGGAAGCTGGGCATTCTTGGTGCAGCAGCGGGAGCCAAGGACTCGAGCGCGAGCTTGGAGGACCTCAAAGCCTCTGAAATTAGCTGCATGGCTTGTTCGCTGAGCCGGGATGGCGGCATGGGAGCTGCAGCTTCAAGTGGAGTATGGACAAACGTCAACTCGGCAAAGAAGGGGGATGTGCTTGACAGTGCAGTGACAGGTTGGGAGAGTGTTGTGACCGGACACAAAGGGGACAAGTTTGCAAGAACATGGTTCTGGGGCCGAAAGAAAGCTGGTCGTTGGGCGTTTGAGTCTGGCGATGGGACCGAGGTCAAGGTATGCATCTCGTTATATATATATCTTCAACCGGGGTACAGTTCGACTAATGTTTTTCTGATAGAGTGTTGCCATTTCTCCCTGTGGTACATTTGCTCTGGTCGGCTCTGCTGGCGGAGCGCTTGATATGTTCAATCTGCAATCTGGTCAGCGCCGGCAGCGCTTTCCCGCTCCCTTAACACCGGCGCAAGCCAAGAAAATCAAAATGCAGCAGGCTGGCTCTGAGCTTTCTGTAGCGTCTTTGGCAGATGGGTTCAAGAAGTTTGGTCCCGGACAAGGAAAGCACACCAAGGCTGTCACGGGAATCATGGTCGATAGCCTGAACAAAACCGTCATCAGTTCCGGACTGGACGGAAAAATCAAGGTACGGCCTACAATGTAAGGTCTCGTTGACGAATATTTCTAACATTTAATAGTTTTGGGATTTCGCCACTGGTACTCTCCAAGATGAGATTGATTGGTATCCAATGAGCGCCATCACTGGTGCGCGTCATCACCGACCGAGTGACTTGATCGCTCTCAGTTGCGATGACCTTTCAATCCGAGTCGTTGACATTGAGACCAAGAAGCTCGTCAGAGAACTGTGGGGTTGCGTCGGGCAGATTAGCGATTTTGTACGTTCCCTCCCCCAAAAAAGCTCCTGTTATCTACCAAGTGACGCCACTAACTATGACTGCAGTGTTTTTCAAATGACGGCCGTTGGATCGTCGCAGCTTCAATGGACTCTGTTGTCCGGGTGTGGGATCTACCTACTGGCCATCTCATTGACGCTGTTCGGTTACGCAGTGCTTGTACGGCGTTGGCCTTTTCCAACACTGGAGAGTTTCTTGCCACTGCACATGCTGACGGCGTTGGTGTCAATATCTGGTTTGTTTCCCTCTTGTTGTGTTTTTTTTTTTTTTTTTTTTTTTTAATAATTTTGTTTTTTTTTTATTTTTTTGGTTTTTTTTTTTTTTTTTTTCCTTTCTTTGGTTACCCAAAGCATTTTATCCTCTATCTTACAAATCACTCCTCCTTGCTAATTGCTAATACCGTACTAGGAACAACCGGAGCCTCTTCACGCACGTCTCGACAAGACATCTATCCGAAGAAGAAATCGCTGAAATCGACGCTCCCACCGCTTCTGGCGAGGGCGGCCAGAATATCATCGACGCGGCATTTGACGAGGACGAGCCCGAAGACGGGTCCGGCCTCGACACGGCCATTAGCACAATCGACCAGCTCAGCAAGGACATTACCACGCTCAGTATCGTGCCCAAGTCGAGATGGCAGACTCTTCTCCATCTTGACGCCATTAAGGTACGTCCATCAAGAGGATTTTTTTCTCCTCCCTCCTTTTTTCTTTTCTCCCTTCTTTTCCTTTATCAGTTTAATAGGTCGCCTTTTTCTAACATTCATGTCTATTAGCAACGAAACAAGCCCAAAGAAGCACCAAAAGCACCTGAAAAAGCGCCCTTTTTCCTTCCTTCTACCTCTACCGGAGACGACAAACCTTCTGCTATTTCCACCACCACTACTTCTGCTGCTGGCGGTGCTGCCCCTGCTGGCGCAAACACAATCACAGCCGCCGAGCGCTCGCGCATCGCCAAGATGGCGCCCGGCGCGTCCGAATCGCGATTCACGTCCTTGTTGCGCTCCGGCGCTCAGTCTGGAAATTGTAAGCCCCTTTACCCTTCTTTTTTTTTCCCTTTTTTTTCTTTGCTTTGTTGGGGGCAAGAAGGGGGATAATAAAAAAAGAAAGAACGTATACTAACCACAATCTCTCATCGCTCTAGACGACCCCTTTATCAACCATCTCAAAACCCTCCCCCCCGCCGCCGCAGACATTGAGCTCCGTTCATTAAATCCCCTCTCCGCGAGCGCCCTCGCCCCCTCATCAGAAGAAGAAGACGATGATGAGGATGACGAGGATGATGGAAGGAGAAGAGGAGGACGAAGCGAACTAACCACCTTCATCACCGCACTGACATCCCGCCTGCGCCAAAAGCGCGACTACGAGCTCGTGCAGGCCTGGATGGCCGTCTTCCTGCGCGTGCACGGGGACAGCGTTGCGGCGGCGGACGAAGCGGGGGCGCGGGCGGCGCTGCTCGAGTGGCGCGCGGAGCAGCAGAGCGAGGAGCGGAGATTGGGTGGGTTGGTTGGGTTTTGTAGTGGTGTTGTTGGGTTTATGAGGAGCGCGAGGGTTTAGTCGTGTCATACTGTATCATCATTTATTTATTCTTTTTTTTTTTTTTTTTTTTCGTATCATTATTTTTCACACTCTTTTTTTATTTATACTATTATTATCATTTTTCGTATCGTTATTATCATTGTTTCTTTTTCGGTTTATTTTGTTTTGTTTGTTTTCTTTTTGGAGGGGAACAATTCAAGAAAGGCATTCATCAGACAAAGGAAAGAAAAGTCATATCATTGGAGTTGGAATAATGGAATGTTTAGAACTTTCGTCTGCTCAATCTGCTCGAGAAGTGGTATATAACTGTATAACTTGTATAGCATGTATAGCATGGCAGGTACATATATATGACAGTAAAACAAAATATAACGTGGCAGTCATGGCAGTCATATATATGTGACATTAAACAACAAAGTACTAAAAAAAGATAGTAAAGACGTTGAGAAAGCACGCACAATCAAGTGCTGAAGATAAACATATGACGAAAACTAAGGAGTGCCCCTTGAGAGTCTCCTCCTAATGTTCCTGGCCCACCGCCTCCATCTCGGCGCACTCCAGACCAAAAACAAAAGAGCCAATTGCACCAGCCCCATGACCCGGACCGGCGGGTTTCCATACGAGTAATGGTAATTGTAAGAATAATACGCAAAGGGTAAACAGTCAAAGACCGAGGTGACGGCGAAAACCACAAGACAAAAGACCCAAACGACGCGGCGAGATTTCCGTCGAAACGCCCAATAGACTTGCCCCATTGCGAAAAGAATAATGACGACATCGGTGACGATGGAGATGATGAGATAGTTATCGGTATAGAACATGGAATACCGAAGCTTGGGGATAACCCAAAAGAGAGCTGGAAGGATAATGTAGAACACGAAGACGTAGAGGACTAGAATAACGATATAAGTAATGCGCCAGTAGGCGCGATACTTTGCGGTGAACTGGACAAAATATCGGATGACGGCGCCTAAAACGAGGGGGACAATAATGGAGCCAAATGCGAGTGGCAGCGAAGTCGCGAAGAAGGTACTGAGTGACCAGATCTTGTTGGTAGGATTTTCACCCTTTTTCGGTTTTTCCATTGTGACATTCATGCCGAGGAAAGACTGGTTCTCAGAGTCAGTATTATTCTTGATTCTAATTGATAAGGGAATGGTATGGTTGAGGACTGACCGTCATGAATGAGAGCGGAACGTAGAGAGCGAGCAGCACCGTAATTATCATTGTACGGCGATTTTGTAATAGGTTAATGTGCTCGTTGATCTGTTCAGCGTTTTAATAGAATATTTTATTTAGGTCATTTGGAAAGATCGTAGTCTTACCATCGTACGGAGACCATCAAAACCGTTGATCCGCTTTTCCAGAGCGCGACATTCGCCTTGGAGAAATCCCAAATCAACTTTGAGACCCTCTATCCGTTTCTCAAAGGAGGAGATTCTTGCATCGGGTATGCTCTGCCCATATCCTTCGAGGAAAAGCTTCACTTCCGAAAGACACAGAAGGGAGTGCGCAGTATCCTCGACAGCCTTGTTCAGACAGTCACTCAAATGAGTAAGGAATTGCACTTTGCTTCCGGAAGGTCTCACTCGCCCTTCATAAAGCTGTTCAAAAAGTTAGTCCCCGGCGGCATTTAAGGTGGATATTATATACTGACCAGATTATTGCATTGGTCAATGGCATCTTCCATGAAATGCGTCGTATCGTATACCATTTGCTCAAACACGACAAGTATCGACGTCATGATTTTGTCTTCGACTAAGAATTGATCATCGTCCTCGTTGCTATGAGGCAGGAGCGATTCTCGAAGCCTTTGGAGTTGATTAGTGTTCTCCACCAAGAGAATCATCTGTCGAGAATTTTTGTCCTGTGCGGGTAGCATGTTGATTTGAGCATATCTATCGGGCGGAGCACGTCGGAATGGCTGCCACACATAGATGTCGAAATCAATGCTATACCTGGGCGACTTGGCTTGCCAGCGAAGAGTAAAAGAGGTGCCAGTCAAGGAATTCAGATCCAGCAGGGGAGGAGGGGAACCTAGTACCAGTCAGTGGAAATTCGAAAAGCCATTTTGATATTTCAGGGACAAACCAGCAGAGGGCAGTCTAAGAGAGGTTCTCGCAGGCTTATTGACCCCAAGCAAACGCCAAACGACGTCATTCTTAATTCGCCACTCTTTAGCAAGAGTATGAATCAGAGCCTGTCGTGGTGCACCGTACAGGCGGCTGATTTGAGCCTTGTATGAGGCTTGGACGTTTTGTCTGAACGTAAACAAGTCTCCAATGCAGTTGCTTTCTGCTGCAAGAACGCTGAGACTTGTATGTTAGCATGCTCCTACAGTTACGATGAAAACAAAGAAACGGGAGGGGAAAGAGCATTTCATCTAGCGGACGCACATACCAGAGCTGTAGAAAGCAATTGGATTCACTGGTCATCAGCAGAGAACGTAAAAGGCGTAAATTTTCAGAAAAGTTTGGCTCGGCGGGAAACGTGGAACGCCGGATAATTCCATCATCTACAGGAGCAAAATAAGCAGGGGAACGTAAGCAGATATCAGTGACAAGATTGAAGAAAATAAAATAGCCAGAAGGCTTGGCAAAATCAGGATCATGCAACAAACTTAGTGAGGTCGAGCGACCACGTGTCTTACGTTTTGTATGCTGCCGGTTTTCGAGCATCATGTCGTCGCCAGCCGTTTGATCTTCTGGTACTGCAGCAGCAGCTACAACTGGAGGAGCAAATGTGTTTATCCATATCAACGACTCAAAGAGTCTGCCAGAAGGATGTTCCTTGAACTGTGAGTAATCGCGGAGAAAAGCAAAGATTTCCTGGTCATCTATAGCTCGCTCATTAAGGTCCGACTCTAATTCATCCAGCTGATAGTGTCGTCGCGGTCCAGTAGGAAGCAGTCGCCGCCGAGCATTCGGGGTGTGTTCCTGATCCAGGAGCTGGATATCACATCGACTAGCATCTTTAGAGGCACTCAATGAATCGTCGGCAAGGGCACTCGAATGCCCTGCGCGATCGTTATTAGAAAGCATTTCAAGCTCCATGGAGTAAGTCTGAAGCAGTTTGCTGTTGATGAGCTTGTTCCCTGTCTTGGGAGGCGCGTGGGCCGTAATGGTCTTGATGCCAGAGTCTGCTGCATGGTGGCCGCACTGTCTTTATGACTTTGTAGAGGGCTGACTCTCATTTCCCCAAGGTGGGTTCTGTGCGAGGCTGGCCTTACGCCACGAACCTTTTCGCGGGCCGCCCCGGCAGGGGTTCCACGCCAACAATTAAATGAGAGGTACTCGAAACAGATAAAACAAAAGATGGAAAGGCCGGATGTCAGGACAGCTATCATCGTGCCGTGTTGGAATCGATAGTTGGGTTCTGCGAGACTAAAGTCTGTAACGGCTGGGTCTGATTGATGTGTAGCTACTAAGTTAACTAGCTGCCAACTGCTGCATGGTAGCGAAACAGCGGGATGGCGGGTAATCCATTACCTATGGTCACTTTCAGGAATTAGGGCGCCACAATGCATGGGCCTCTGCAGTCAGACGGCAATCATGCTACACAGTAAACACATTCCGTGTCGGGGTTGGCCCCTCGCCCAATCCAATTCACCAAATCTTCATCTGACAGACGTCTATAATTACAAAGCCATAGGAATTTTCCTCGTGCCTACACAAGCAAGGTAGAAAAAGTATTGTAAAACAGGCGCGGGTCAAGACACGAGGCATCCCCAAACCGAACGATATTAAGGCATATAGCTTAAGAATAATGTATAGTTAATAGCTAAGGGGAATAGAAAGATGGTGAGTGGTTAGTGGCAACTAACCCAGTATATATAACTGATCCCCTGCCTACGTGGGGGCGCTTTTGGCTGAATCAATAGCTAACTATCATTCGAGAGTTTTAGCGACGGGAACAGCAACAAAGTACCAGATACCCCTATTAGCAAGACTCTGTGTTAGCTTGTAGCTTACCCTAGTAGGAAGGTTTTCTCCCGCTCGGCCCCCTCGGCCGAGTATTCTCGCGCGGAACGTGCTCGGCTAAATAACTTGATTCAAAGTGACTTTACTGTGTACAGTACGTTACTCCGTATAATACTAAAGTAAGTTAGCCATTATTAGTGTATCTTCCTAATAAGTTATGTTATGTTAGCTCAGCTTAACTTAACTCTCCCAGAACCCTCCAACCCTCCCGCGTGTCGGCCCGGTAGTATTCAACCATCACCAACGCCCCAGGTATTTACTTTGCCGGCAAGCTCAAAGCCAGTCTATAAATCCTGGTTTTATATCATACCTACCTTATAATATTCAAGCATGTAATGTTTAGAACTAGTACTTTGATTTAACATTGAATATAATTTACTCTCAAGTAATACAAATAGAGCTACTTACTGGATTATCTATTAAATCATTGACTATTATCTTTCAGAATTTCTCTTTGTTGATAGAAAATTTCAAGATTAATTTATATTCAAGACACTACCTAGCTATTGTGAACAATAATAAGTATCAGCCATACCCAAGGTACAGTCGAGATGAGATGGGCAAAGCCGAAGAAAGTGACATTGGTGATGATTCGGAAGGGGATACCAAATGTTCAACCTGATGATGGACAAGGGGCTAATACTGCGGGGTCGGGGGCCTTGCTAAGGTAGTTTTGGATAAACGGTAAACCTGTGGCCAGCCTGTATTCAATATGAGAATTGGTTCATTACAGGAAGATATTTTCGGATTTTCCCTTTCTCGCTATCTGTTTATCTGTTCAATAGGTGTCTAAACATATCAATAGCTTTTCTTGAAACCTACTGAATCCCTAATCTATTTTCCTGTTTTCATGAATGTATTTCTCAGTACCTAAAGTATCTATACTTTCAGAATACTTTAGCATTTGAGATCTAAGTTGATGTCGAGGTAGATACTATTCTAAGGTATAAAGGAGAATCTTGAATAGAGGTAATGAAATATAACAAAATTTATAGATTGTGTATATCCTTTTCATGACAGATATCCTATGAATGAAAAATTGCTAGCTTATTTGTTTCTTGGCCATTACTAGTGTTTAATTCTATTGATAAAAAGGCTTCTGTCCTAAACTTTAAAGTGTGGCAATAATGGTCGAGAGACTACACCGGAGGGTTGTCCGACGTCATCGCGGCTCACGTAGCTCTGACCGCCTAAAGTTTGATCAACCGCAGTTTCCCCCACAGCACACTAACCTGACACAAGAGCTACCCGACAGCGACTCAGCCCAACTTGTCAACCTGAACGCCTCCTCTACCACCCAAACCACAATTTTTTTCTTTCCTGCTTTGTCACCTTTGCGGACAAGCTTTCTCGCGCCAACGGCATCTTACGCCATTGTGCAGATCCTTGACCAAAGATTCGACCCGTCTTTATCCCAGCTTTATCGGCCGTCATCCCCTCCTGCTGACCCGATCACTGCTGTACGCGCACTGCAACAAGAAATCTCCCACCCCTCCCAAAACACATGATGGGGCTGTCCTACCAAAGGGACTTATCTTTGGTTCGAACATGATAGGTCTTTGCCTATCTATTCCAAGTCGCTTATATTCATAATCGACACACGCCCCAACGTCACGTCAGACCTCTACCCTTCTTCGACATGGCGACGTCAAGAAGGTCAGGCGGGCGCTCAGGCTCGCAACATCGTGCACGTGCTCTACACGGTATTCTAAACGACCTAGATCTACATTCTGAATCGGCATCTGAAGATGAATCCGTTGAACTCGAATCTCCATCTGCCACCTTAGTGGACGCTGGTGTTCCTGATCTCGGCGTTCAGGAACAGGCAAGCTTCTCTGCGCAAGAGCGTGCGCTCTACGACCACGCTTCTCCACGCATTTCTTCTCCTCATTCGACGCATCTGCCCCAGATGACGAGTTCCCCGCCGGCTGCGTCAGGCCAGCCCTTGACAGTCTTGACTTCGGCTTCTCCAGCGTCCGGTTCATCGAGGCGAACACCTATTCCGAGAAATGACGCGGCAGTCTCTTCAGCCTCGACCTCCACATCTGTGCCTGGGCCTCGAGCGGAGAAGGATACAGACGATCCATCAACCCCGATCGAAGTGAGAGACCCATTGGAGCGGCTGGCAAATCACCCTCAGATTGCCCTAACGCGGCTTTTCGCCGCCAGTGATGGTACTCCTGCTTCGGCTTCCAGGCAACCATCTTATACAACTCCCTCTGCAACTGAGTACACCCGAGGCAAGAATGAAGCGTCTTTTACTTTACCTTGTAGTTGGCCGCTGACTGTGATCCAGCTCCATCTTCAGACATCGCGACGCTGCCGCAGCATCTCTATACCCGCGGTCTGTTGAGTGGGAAACACTCCGACATCGCCGTCTACGCCTTTTCAACCAGATATGCCTTGCATCGCATCATTATTGACCGAGCGCCCTTTTTCACCTCCGCCCTTTCCGAGCCATGGTTTGAAAGCTCGTCCAAAGAGATCACGCTACATCCCGAAGACATTGATAGCAACATTACCCAGCCAGCCTTTGAACTTGCCTTGAAGAGACTTTATGGTTGTCACGATAGTGCAGAAGAGGACACAGAGGCCGTCGGTCTCTTTGCTACGGGATGCTGGCTGGAGATGACGGACTTGATTGACGCTAGCGTTGAGTCTATTCTGCGACAAATGGCCCCGTCCAAGCTCTCGCGCTTGATCAAGCTTGTAACCCGTAATTACTATGGAAAGCACGGCGAAAGGATCCTCGCGTCTGCCAAGGCCATGCTCTGCCGCGACGGTTGGGAGATGCCCGTTCGGCACTGGGACGGTGTGTCGGGAGATATTGCCAGGGAAATCGTCGGAGGTGATGGGTTCTTTGTTCCGGGAGAGTGGGAAAGGTGGCATCTGGCCAAGAAGATTTTGGATCGGAGGCTCAAGGGCCTTGCTCGAGACGCTGGACTCTTGAATACAGACGGAACGCCCGCGCGGGCGCCAGATTCCCTCGGCCTCATGTCGTTCCGATTTGACTCTGTGTATCGCCGCAACTCGATTTCCGGCGGTCGTCCGACAAGCGAAGGTTCCGATTCGTGGATTGCACTCTACTCTCATCCCGACATCACGCCTTTGCTCGTTTTGCTCGATGAAGGAATTCACTATGTGCACTTGAGTTTCGAGCAGCTGCAGCACATTCGGATGCAGCGTGACATCCTCGGGCTGCCGGTATTGCCCGAGCGTGTTCTGTCCAATGCCCTTTGGATGAGCATGGAGCTGCGCCAAAGGGTTATGAATGCCAGAGATACGGATCTCGAGCTGGGCCTGAAGAAGTCTGCCGATGAAGGATCGGAAGACGGCTCCATCGTGAGCCCGGTGGCAACGAATGGTCTGCCCAGCACAAGCAGTTCTAAAGGCAAGCGCACTCAGGTGCCTGTTGCAGAGGACGCCGAGGAAGATCAGCCCGAGTCTGGTAGCTGGGATGGTAATGGAAAACCGAGAAAGTTTTGGATCCCCAATGTCGATTGCACTTGCTTCATGGGTGGCTTCCCCGAGGCCGCCCATAATTCAACCACCCCGCGTGCCGCACCAGGCTCCTCTCATGGATCTCGACTCTCAGCCAGCTTCCAACCACAGGATGTGCAATGGGCGTCGGATTTCACCCTCTTATCTGCGGACCGGCCCATGTCTCCACCAGAGGGGCCCGCCGCTGCCAACGTCACTCCTCCCGCGTACTACACCCATGTGCCACCCTTCAGGTTTTCTGCCGAGTTTCCTAATCCTCGCCTTCTCAAGGAGAAGAAGCGAGTCTATTCCCGAACTGTTTGGTACGCAGGAAGTATGTGGAATCTATATATCCAAAAGGTCCGGTCAACCAAGAACGTCCAACTTGGTGTCTATCTCCACCGCGCCAAGGAAAAGGACGAAGTTGACGCCGTCGCCGCTGCTGCCATGTATGGCTCTCGAGGCACCGTGGATGAGCGGATCGGTCAGCTCGAACGAGAAATGTTGCTCCGTCGCAATGAACGTCGTGCAAGACGTCAAATGGACATGACTGGAGACGGCGAAGAAGACACGAGCGGATCCGGTGGAGAGCCAGACATTCTTGGGCTCGGGTCATCTGTGCGTCCAGGGGTGCATCCGACTTTGAGCACCTTGCTCCGGAATGATGGTACTAGACGGCCATCGCCTCTACCCCAAACGCTCAGCACTGATTTGCCCGATCGCGATGCCAAAGACGATGAGCGGCTGGACCTCGTCGAAGATGGCACGGTGAAAACGTCTCCTACTTTGCCAGGCTATCATGATGCGCGGCCCACCATTCGGACTTACTTTAAGATATACTCCCCCAGCAAGGGCGGCCGTATGTTGAGCGTCTATGAGAGTGCACCGGATAAGTTCAACTTTAGTCAAAGCTGGGGCTGGAAGAGCAGCGCCATGGTCCTAGATGATGGACCAACTGGATACGAAGAGGGAACGCAGGCGAAACACAAGGAGGGACGGTTGCGGTTTATGGTAGTGATTGGTAAGTCACGTCACTCTTTGAAGGGCATGATGGCGAGACTTTTTTTTTTTTACTGACGCTCTATCCCCAGGAAATGTTTAAAGGAGAGAAGTTGCGAAGGGATATAGCTTTTTTGCATTTACAGGTCATCGATGTTCAGGTATCAGGTTGCATCGTTACGGAGCTCTTTACCTTATTCTCCCTGCTTTTTTTTGCTCCTTTGATTCGTTTGCATCATTGTCCTCGTTTGATCTGGGCCTCGAAGGGAAACGAGTGTCATACTTTTAAACCGGCGTTGTGAATCGCATTTGGTTAGGTGGTGTATGGAGCTCTATAATGTTTATACCATTTCATTTTTGACGGGGTACCTTTGAGATATAGCTACCTAGTCAAGTTGCTCTTTGCACAGATTGCTCTCAATACAATATGCTCGTGAAGCGAAGGTGCCATTAACTTAAGATTATATGATTTCAAGCGCAAAGAAGCCAATCACGAGAACACTGTCCTGGTAACGAGACGTGATTAATTGTATTATTTGGGACCCAGTGAGATTCAAATTCAATACGAATACGGATCTGGGCTGGCAGGTGACAAGTCCCAATTTAGCTCTCACCTGTGAGCGATGGGCACCAGTCATGGAAAGCTGGTCCGAGTTCGAACGTACCTTGATCATGTTGAAAAGTACCTTTGGATAGAAGGTCACCATAAATTACCCGAGAGAGTGGGATGAAGGTACTTGAGATTATTCAAACGGTACAAAATACCTTTGTACTAAGAGCTGATGGACCAAGCACCCTCCCCCTTGCGCACTCGGCCGGACCCCTCGAACCAGGGGGATCGAGGATGTTAAAGTTGGGTTGCAGCTGACGATCAAAAAGGACACAGAACAGTTGGCACATTTGATTTTTCTGTTGATTCTCTTGTCAAACTGAAATCGTAAGATACCACTTTCTTCTCCTCTGACTTGCCCCATCTCTCCAACAATTCCTTCTACCCTCGTCGGTCTCACAGGCTAAGCTTTCCCCAAAACAACACGTCATCAGACCATTGTTCTGTTCGCGATCATATTCGACATTATTCGCGATCATATTCGAACGTTGAACCACGACGAAGGCTGACTTATAAGGCTGCTCAAGTACAGTAGAGTTCTGTATCGTGATACTACGCAGACGAAGACAGATACCGATAGTCGAAGAATAACCACGCCAGACAAAGACGGATACCGATAGTCGAAGAATACTACGACAGACGAAGACGGGATACCGATACTTGAAGAATACTACGACAGACGAAGACGGATACCAATAGTCAAAGAATACTACGACAGACAATATGCTCAACGTGCCATTCAGACAGGGCGCTGCGGGCAGCCATGCGAGTAGCACCAAGGCGGTGATTCTTGTGAGTTGTTTTCTTTTTCTTTTTGCGAATTTCCATTGAGATAGATCGAATGTATTTTGGCAAGCAAGTTGTGGGAATGGATCCGGTTCTTGCATGGCCTAGGAGCTGGAAATGGAGAGGCTGGGGCATTTGGGGAAGGTGCGGGTCGAAATGTACAGCGCAATGGCTGGAGGATGATGGGTCCGAAGGTGCGAGGAAACGTGCGGAAAGAACAGATGTAGGAGGCATCTGAACGAGCGACATGATTTGAAACCTTCCCACCGGAGGAGAAAAAAAGGAAAGGAGATTGAGAGGGAAACAACATAGAGAGCAGAATGCCGATCAATGAAGCTCGAGGGAATAAGTTTAGATTGCTGGTGGAGGGGGGAATATGTCGTTGTGGGGGAACAATATTTTGGCACGTCGAGTGATGGCGGAGCGCTGGGCGCATCGCATTTGCTTTAAGGAAGCCAATTGATGCTTGATCTGATGGGGCTAATTATCTTTCTATATAGGTTGGTGGACCTTCAAGAGGAACTCGATTCCGGCCTTTGTCGCTGGATGTGCCAAAGGTGCGTATATAACCTATTCGTAGATGGAAGAACGGAAGCGCAGCACACCTCAATTTTGCTGCAGACGGCTTCTATATCTTATACTGTGAGCCTTACTGACCACCTCCCCTAGCCCCTCTTTGATGTCGCTGGTCATCCTATTATCTGGCACTGCCTGAAGGCTGTGGCCAAGGTCCCTGAAATCCATGAAGTGTTCCTTGTTGGTTACTTTGATGAGTCTGTCTTCCGTGACTTTATCAAGGATGCTTCCAAGGAATTCCCTCAGCTCACCATCCGCTACCTTCGAGAATACCAAGCCCTGGGAACCGCTGGTGGTCTGTATCACTTCCGCGATGCTATTCTCAAGGGCCGTCCTGAGCGCTTCTTTGTGCTCAACGCCGATGTCTGCTGCTCGTTCCCGCTCAACGACATGCTGAGGCTATTTGAGGAGAAGGATGCTGAGGCGGTCATCCTGGGTACTCGTGTCGGCAACGATGCTGCGACCAACTTTGGTTGCCTGGTTTCGGATGCCCACAGCAAGCGGGTTCTGCACTACGTCGAGAAGCCTGAGTCGCACATTTCGAACTTGATCAATTGCGGTGTTTATCTTTTCGCCACCGAATGCATTTTCCCATCTATCCGCAGTGCCATCAAGCGTCGCACGGACCGCCCGCGGATGATTTCCTACCCTTCGTCCGAGAACCTGGACACCTCGTTTGTGGCTTCCCAGGCTGAAGAGGACGGCGAGAAGAGCGAGGTGCTCCGTCTGGAGCAGGACATTTTGTCTGATCTCGCCGACAGCAAGCAGTTCTTCGTCTACGAGACAAAGGATTTCTGGCGCCAGATCAAGACGGCTGGCTCTGCCGTCCCTGCCAACGCGCTGTACTTGCAGCAAGCATTTCAGTCTTTGTCTGAGGAACTCACTCCCCCGTCGGCCACCATCTTGCCGCCCGTCTTCATTCACCCGACTGCCACGGTGGACCCCACCGCCAAGCTTGGCCCCAATGTGTCTATCGGTCCCCGCGCCGTGATTGGCGCCGGCGTTCGCATCAAGGAGTCGATTGTTCTCGAGGACGCCGAGATTAAGCACGATGCATGCGTGCTGTACTCCATCATTGGCTGGAACAGCCGTGTTGGCGCCTGGGCTCGTGTTGAGGGTACCCCCACGCCAGTGGCAAGCCACACGACGAGCATCATCAAGAATGGTGTCAAGGTGCAGGCCATTACGATTTTGGGCAAAGAATGTGCCGTTGGCGAGGAAGTCCGCGTGCAGAACTGCGTGTGCTTGCCATTCAAGGAACTCAAGCGGGTGAGTCGGTGTCTATGGCTTGTTACCTTCATTTTCAAGGTTGCTAACGTTATATTTAGGACGTCGCCAACGAAGTCATCATGTAAAAAGGCTTTGTGAGCTTTCACATTTCAACGTCTCATCACCAGCTCATTATAATATCTCGAATAAATCATCTACTGGTTCTTTTACTCGCTGACCTTTTCTCGGATTTCTTACTTTTCTCACTTTTCTATTCTTATACTTGTTCTATGCCTACGGGTGGTTGAATTTTTGTCACAAAGAAAAATTTCATTTTAAAATTTCTGTTAGTTTCAGAGAAATTAGTCGATATATTGAGTGTCTCTTTCTTTTCTCCTTTAAGGTCACAACAAGCCTGTCACTGCAAAATTCAAACTCTTGCCTGATAGTTTGTCTCGAGTTTCAGAATATATCTAATCAATCGCATCTTATCGATAAAAAAACTCACCATACCTGTTCAGGTATGGTGTCAAAGCTCCCTGCCCTCTCAGAGACCCTTGACATTTGCTCCAGTGAAGACATGCCTGATGCATGGCTTAACGCGTAAACGAACTGGATGCCTTATGAGAACAAGACCACCCTGGACATTCGTCGCATACTCCAGCGTCACCTTCTCACCTTCTCACCTTTCTTACAACTCATTCGATAAATACCATTGAATTATAGCTTTGCGGTTTTGTGAGCCATCTTTGTTTTCCGCGACGAGCGATAACCAGCTTTAATTCGAGCGTTGCGAGCCTCAACCTTGCGCAACTGTCGGTAATATAATCGCATCGCATCCTGGCATCGACTTGACTTGTCTTGGTCAGTTATTTCTAGCCAATATGGCAACCTACGAAGGTATGAGATTATTCCTCTCATAACCCTGGCATAAAGCCCATTTGCGCTTCAGGCGTATACTGTGTCTCTCTGTTATCGCGATATTCTGATATACACTTGACATTGAGCCCATACTTTGCTTCAGACTTATACTCTGTCTCTATGTTATTGCGATGTCTTCATATCCACTTGACCAACCATTCTACTTTACTAACCATATCCGCCTTCCGTCATACCTCCAGTCGAACATAACATCCCCGCCTCAGAAGCGCAAGCCCAGCGCGAAGGCGAACGCGAGCGGTCTCACAGCACATCCGACGACATCTTTATACGGAATACCACTGGCTCTACTGGCTCTTCGGGCGGATTCGCATCCGCAGAAACAGCAGCAGCAGGCGCAGGATACCATCACCCGCGCCGCCCGGATCTTTCGTCGTTTTTCTCTGCGCTAGAACTCGTCGATACAGAGGGCACCTCGGATCGCGCGCATAATAATATCCATGCCATCCCGACGCCGGGAGACGTGGCGGCGACGTTTCGCACATTGGCAGATGCCTTTGCTGTCATGAGGAGAGATGGCGCTGGTGGAGTCGACTTGGGTGCGGGAGCGGGCGTTAATGTGGCGGGAGCGGGAACGGGGGCTGCGACAAGAGCTGGTGCGCAGGAACAGGAGAATGGGGGTAAGTAACTAAGTTACCTGTGGAGAATCGTGTGGTTTGTGTTGTGTCATTGTGTTTGAGTCAGGTGGAGTTGTAACGTTTTTGTTGGCTTCGTTGAGTTTGAAGACGAGGTGATGGCGAAGTAAAAGTCAAAGGGGAAGAAAACGCCACAGGGGAAGAAGGGGAAGTGGTGGTAGTGGTGACGATTGTGAAGATTTAGAGGAGAAAAAGCTAACGAGTCAAGTAGGATGGGAATCGCTCATGGACCAGCTCATTGAGCAATTACTCAACGAAGCAGACATGCCGCCGCGCGAAGTCCGCGGTGTCGGCCAGGGTTTCTTAGACGGTATGTAACCCTCGGGCACTTCCCTCAATATTTTATATGTCTTTCACTGTGACTATCTCGCTCTGCAACCACACTCTCATGCTACCAAACCTTGAGCTGACATGTTATGTCTATAGCGCTGGATCGCGTTCCCAAGAAATCTCTCAAGGAGGGAGATACTTGTCCGATTTGCAATACGCCTTTTCTTGAAGGTATGCGGTTCCTTCTCTTTTCCTTCCACTTGTATCTTTCTTTTGGTCCCTTTTCTTTTTTATCCTCCTCCTCCTCTTCTTCCTTTCCCTTTCGTCCCTTCGTTCGTATCATTCCTACAACTCTTTTTTCTCCCCCCTCTATCCGTCTCCCTTCTACCCTTCTACCCTTCTACCCTTGACTTATCCATACTTTATCCTTCTTTACCCCGCTCTACCCTTGACTTATCCTGCTTCAAAAAATGGCCGGGGGTCCGAATGATACCAAAGAAAACCCAAATAAAAAAAAATTAAAAGGGGTTGGGGGTACGAATGATACGAAAACCAACAACAAAACAAAACACCGTCAAAAAAATAAATTAAAAAAAAAAAAAAAAAAAAACTAACAACTTGGACAAAAAGATCCCTACCCCCTCGTCGTCCGCCTGCCATGCCACCCCTCGCACGCCTTTGACCTCGAATGCATCGGCCCCTGGCTGCGTCTGCACGCCACATGTCCGCTCGATCGCAAGGACCTGCTCGAGCGCCGCACGCGCGACGGCCACGTCGTTACGCCTGTGAGTGCCGTCCAGCCTGGCACGAGGTCCGGTGCCACTAGTTCCGGTATGTCCGGCTCGGGGCCCGGTTCCGGGGCTGGGGCTGGTGGAAATGGAAGTGGAAATGGAGCAGGAGCAGGAGCGGGGGCAGAGGCAAAAGGTGCACAGCAGCCTGAAGAGGAAGAAGAAGAAGAAGAAGAGGAAGAGGAGTGGGATGATATGTACATGTAATTTAACTCGAAACATTCAGTTTTTTTAAGGTTTTTAAAGTTTCAAGGACATGCGTATAGCATTTACGAAAAATGTTTTTGCTTGGCTTTAATTCTTTTTCACTTTCATTCTTTCATTGAAATTAATGACAAGAACCAATGTAAAACGAACAAGGTAGGAGAAGAAGCGTAAATTGGTCGTTTTGAGATGTAATGAGACAGGTTTTAGGATATGACGAGACGGAAAGTGCTAAGCTACGAAAATGAGAATGCGACGTTGCAATGCAATATAATGCACTGCGCGAATAAGATATGCGTACTACCATGTCAGTAAAAGCGATAGGGTAAAAAGCGACAAGGGTAAAAGGTAGAGTAAAGGTAGAGTACAAGGTGTTGCAACGACAAACGACAAACGCCATAAAGGCAATGTAGGCTTTTCATGCAAAATGCAAGATCCTCGTCAATAAACTCCTTGAGAAGGAAGCAGAAAAGGTAAGAAAGCAACGGTCAAATTGAATATCCATGGCAATCAGTACGTCCTCAAACTTTTGCCCATAAAACATTCATCAAGTCCAGTAAAAAAGAAAGCTCCGTCAAATCCATTGGTGAAAACGAACCCGTCCTATAAAAACGCGCCTTGCTAGTCCCATCTTGATAGCACTTTTGATCATGAAAGAAAAAGTAATATGAGCACCCAAACGGAAGAGCAGATCCGGGGCTCTGGCTCCAAGCGATTACTTCCGGTTGGCAGAGGCTGCAGCAGCGGCAGCCGCAGCGCTCAATCCATCCTTTCTTCTCAGCCCAACTTTACCTGCGTCGTCGATGAACGTTTCGTAGCCTCTCTTGTCGAGGACTTCACTGGGCACAGCCATCTTCGGCTCGAGTTCGTGAACAAGTTGCTGGTTTTCACGGTTTCCTTCGAGGAGGAATCGGAGACACATGATTGCGTGTTCGCGAATGTACGGATTATGCTGGTCGAAGCGGCAGCAGGAGAGGATCTGCTCCATGCCGCCGTACTGGCGGACCTGGTTTTGCACGGTGGGTGATTTCCATACGAGCGAGGAAAGAACGAGAATGACGAGTTTCTTGAGGTTGCGCCATTCGAAATCCTGCGGGTACTCGTTGCCGAGGCCGTGAGCGGCTGCAGCGTCGGGGTCGTCGACGAGCTCGTTGACCGATGGGTCGAGGGAGTATGGGTTTTGAAGCGTCGGTGGGAGAGCGAGGGGTCCGTTGCCGCCATTGGCAAGGGCGATTCCGGGAGTAGACGAAGCGCCTGGGTCCGTGTCAAAGGGCCGTTCCACGGACACGACGGGCGGCGGGGAAGGATTGGCTTGGGCAGGGGGAGGGGGAGGAGGCGGTGGTGGTGCCGGGTTAGATGTAGTTTTAGCTCCAGCTCCAACTCCAGCGCCCGCTGCTGTCCCGGTGGTAGTAGAAGGGGTAGCGGGGCTAGGTGAAGGCGGCTCGTCAAATGAACCCTTGGGAATGCTTTCCTCGAGTTCACGCAACAAGGTGACGAGTTCGTTGACGAGCTCCCACTTAATTAGAAGAGATTTCCATTCTTCGTGCTCGGTGAGAACAGCAAAGAATTCGAGGAATTGATATACGCCTTCGTAGACGCGTTCGACGTCCCACAAGTTCAAGGGGAAAACGTCCGGGATGGCGTTGCCTGCGTGAATCTGACCTTGAAGGTAGATTAAAGCGCAAGTCTCTGGGATGATGGACTGCCGGAACACGCTGAAAAGGTAGCGAACCATGACAACCTCGACACGTGATGGGTACAGAGGCTTGGAAGGAGAAGTGGCCCGGCCGGTGACGGGGCTCGATGCAGTTGCGGCCGCGTTGGCAATCGCTTGCTTTTGCCGAAAGATGGAGGTGAGAATCTTGACGATGACAGCTTGAGCGGGAGAGATGATGTCCTTGGCTTCGCCGAATGTCATGTACGTAAAGGGGAGAAGACCATTCTCGAGAACCGCTTGCATGATTTGCACCATGAGCTTGGTATAAAAGTCTTCATCCTGCAGATCCCACGCTGCAACAAAGATCAAAAGCTCACGCAGCAAATTTCGTCCCACCTCCTGGGCGAGGAGAATGTTGCAGCGCACAGCTTGCATATTAGTGACGGGCTGTGTGCCATCGGGATTTGCATTTCGGGATCCCCCAAAGGCGTTCACGATACCGGTCTGAATGATCATGGGAAGGGCTTCAATCTCGTGCGGTCCGAGAATTAAAGGAACATCCGTGAGCAATCCCCGCTCTTGGTCGCCAGGCCCTTGGTAGTCATCGTCCTCGTCTTCCAAACTGCCTTCGCCTTGCACCCCGTCAGGGTCATCTCTCAGATCACCGTCCTCTGATCCCTCAAATGGAGGCTCGTGCTCATCTGTCAAAGATTGGTCGCGAAGCCGGTCCATTAGCTGCTTCTTCGCAGTCTCAAGAGTTAACGCTGCGGCTTCCGGTGTCCGCGTCATGACCTTGTCCTCCTCCGTAACGGGGCCAGAAAAGTTGGGCGAAGGGAAACCTGCAGGCATACCCGGGTCTTTCGGGGTTAGTGGAGATGTAGTATTGGCGCCCTCTCCCTCACTGGAAGAAGCTAGCGCATATCTAAGGTTGACAATGTTTTCCAACGAGGCCGCAGATCCCTTCTTGACACTTTCCATGATCAAATTGTCAATTTGTTCGTACAAATCCTCGGAAACTCCCACGCGCTCTTTGCCTTTGTTATCCTGAAGAGGAGGTATGCGGGGGATATGCCCATCCAAGCCCTGCATGCGAAGTTGTTGAATCTCAGCGGCTAGACCGTCCACTGTACCCCTAATTGCACGAATGGCGGACGCTTGGAAGCTTTCTTCTGAACTGTCTTGCAGCCTCAGTTGCTCCACTTCGGCCGTCAGTCCATCCGCAGCCTCTTTAAATGTTTGTACAACCCTTGAGGCTTCCTTGGATGCCGAGGATGCTACTGTCTCTGGCGTGGCAGAGATATTCTCTCTCGGGGGAGGAATGTTGTGGGCAGGGAGACCCTGAAGGAGACCGCAGCTTAAAGAGTCCATTTCCGCCGTGGGGCAAAAGAGATCGAGCCACAGCAGCAGCTTTCGTCGTTCATTGCCCATGACAAGGTTGTGGAGAAATTGGAGGCATGTGATCAACAATTTCTTGTCTATAGCCATCATCAGTCAGCTCATTTCTGTTTGCGAATCCTTTTTGCATATCGACCAAAACATGGAACATACAGGCATTAATCGCTCTCTGCCACTTCTCCTCGCTTCTGGTGCCAGCCTCTCCGTCGTAACCTCTTGCGGTGACTCGAACGCAAATGTCAATCAGTTTGAGCACCTGAGCGTCAAAGCCTGCAAGAGCAGCGAAATCTTGCGCTGTATCTTTCGTCGCTAAGCAGTTCCGCGCAATTATGCAAATGTCATTCACCCGCTCAATATCCCTAAACAGGGTTGCGAAATTGAAGGCGATGACTGTTGAACATGTGCCAGGGAGCGTGTTTGGCAGAGAGGCGACAGACTCTGGGCTCGAGAAAGACTGCCGCTCGAGTTCCGGCGTAGCAGCTGCTAGTAAGTCGGCCATGCCGGCCCATATTTCTTTGTTGAAACCTAATGCCTCTCTATTCCACAAAAAATGAATTTAGCTTCTTCGTCCAGAAAGAGAGATTGGAAGACTACTTCTCAACTCGAAATAGCTTTCCCCACTCACCTGACATATGCTTTCCGCTGCGTCAAATCTAGAATGACCTTTCCAGCCTCTAGTGCATTTTGGATCGTCGACTCCTTCATGAGGCCGGGCGTGTCAAAATGCGCTTGGAAAATCAGCAAAACCAATTTAAGCTGTACGACATACGGGCTGACCGGCCCTGCCGCCGGCTTTGCCTCCAACAGCCCAAGCTTTTCCATTCTGTGAGCAACTAGATTCTGGTAACGGAATCCGATGCGTAAATACAGGTGAGAGAACCGGGCCTCTCCCCACAATCTTGGAGCAATAAATCCAGGAAGATGAAATTCAGCGATTGGATCGACCTTGCAGTCAAAGTCTGGCTTTGCCCACCCAAAGGGCACCGAATCACAAACCGGACAACGTGACAGAGTGGGTTCCGGGCGGCGAAGGCGCTGATAGATATTCCAGTGCAATCTTCGAACTTTGCACACCACCGTATGTCGTATTTCTTCTCTCTGCAGCTTGGGAGGATTTGCCATAAATTCTTCCCAATCTGGGACCGTGTCCGGATCAATACAGCGATTGGTATCCATCGCTCTATCTTCCTCAACTCTCGGTGTGGCTGTTCGCTTCGATTACGCTATTGAGAGATGGTGGATGTGGGCGTAGAGAATGGAGATGCTGACCAAACCACCCCACTAACGCCGGGTAACCATGGGTTTCCCTCGTCTCAGGTTATTATGTCATACGGCGCTAAGCTCGGTCATAAAGCTACGTTAATTGTTTATCTTCTATTCCAAAAGACATCATGGAGATTATCCCAGAATCCCAAGTCATAGATGTTCTCCACCTCTGCCAGACTATATATAGGTTTCCACTTATCTCCAGTTCCCTCACCCTCATCCTGCACTTCCAGCACCGAACGATGGATCAGCAGCTGGTCACTCGAGACCGGCCACTTCACCTCTGATTCGACTGCCTCATTGCTTCGACTTTGTCCTGACTGCGTCTTACTTGCTTTGAGCACGAGACCGTCATAAATGGCCTCTCTCCAGTCAGCCCATTTGCTGCTTTCGTTCGTTGTCATTCCAGCCCAGATCAAATAAATGTGATATATAAGGAATCCTCCAGACAGCGGCATACACATGAAAGCCAAAAGTCCCACAGCTCCTATGCGTATTTCCTGAGAGAGAGCCCAGCTCCAGTATTGAAAGTACAGGCTCCAAGCCATCCCAGTGCTCCAGTGTTGACCAGATGGTCGAGATATTTCAGTTTTCAATCGCTGGGAAAGGAGTGCATATCCAAGATACGCGCCGTAACAGAGTAAAACGGTGACACTGATGAGGAGGTAGATAAAATGAACGTAATTGTCTCTGCCAAGGCAATTGTTCACCCAGATGCAGTGATGATCATGTTTAGCCACACAGGCTTTGCAGATGCTGCAATGCTTGCTGCGGGCCGGCTTAAGCAGCTTGCAGGTACGACATTGAATGCCTGGCTTGTAGAGGACATGATCATAAGGATAAGCGCGCATCTGCGCAGCATGATTGCTCGCAGTAATGCGAGACGCATTTGATGTTGCTGCGAGATATATATAGATGTAAGGGGGCGTAGCCACGAGGGGCACCAGCAGGCGATGCCCTGAGCCTAACCTAGGCCAAGCTTTCGGAATGAACATGCATTCAGATACCACCAAAAGCCCAATAAACATGATCTGAAAAAGAGCTCAAACTTAGCATGAACACGTTAACCCAGGCAAAAGAATTTGGATTTCTAACCAACACCAGTGGATGCTTATCATGCATCAAGTAATTGCCCAAGCGGGCCAGGGCAGGTGATACATGGCCCCCACAGAAACGATAGTCAACGGAGCGCAGAAAAGATGGAATATGGATCAATAGCAAACGATGAAGTGAGCCGATTGGGGTATCTCTACACAATCGAGTAAATCAATTTAAGAGCCATCAACAAAAAGACTTGGACCAAATACGCCGTACCTAAATGCGGGGAGCCGTCCAAAAAGTGCAATGAATGTGCAAAAAGAGATAGCCGTTATGGCAAAAAGCAAAGTCTTGAAAGACACCAGCATATTTGAACAGAATAGCTCTCATATAAACTCTAAATTATACCGTGACGATTCATAATCACATATAATAAAGATATGAATGAATATGAATAGTTTCGTCGTTGTGAGTGAATTGGCATTGCGAGTATTTGCCATCTGGAGTTGTACAATCTCACTCGCTTGGCTTCAGCCTCCTTACAAACGCGCTCACCAGCAGTTGAGAGAAGTCGCGACACGGCTACTTGGATCGCGTAAACTCACGTTCACTGTCCACGCCTCAACCTTAAGTGCATCTGAGGTTTTCCAATGACAACTGTGAAACATTACATCTTCTCTGAGATTCAATAGTGGAAATCCAAGTAGAGACCGATTACTTCAATCAAATGCTTTAAGCCCCACCGTTGAATAGGCCGACTAAGGGCAACATGGGCACCCATGTAGTTTATGCAAATGTCCCTGCGGACGGGGAAAATCGGGGAGGGTTATTCAAAGATATGAAATTTTGGATCTCCGCAAAATGCCCTCTGAGAAATCGGTTCAAGGATGATGTGTTGGTTCGTTCCTAATACTTTTATGACTCCAAACCTCAAAGCTCAATTATACTCTAGAGAAACGGGGGCGAAGTAGTCCAACGTGAACAAGAAGCCCATTACCTGATCATTGACCATCTAAAGGATAATGGCCCGGGAAAGTTAGTAAGGTGTCCTAATTTTAGAAATTCTTCTATCACTGACTTCGAACAGACACTCGTATAAATATATTGAAGATTGCCTAAAGGCGGGTCGGGTTCTGGATGCATCGGACTATGAGCAAAAGCCTATCTCGCGTGGCATGGGTGACGATCATGATAGAGTAAGGCGTATAGCGACCCCAGTCGGACGGCATCGCGGCGGTTCAACCAGGAAATTTTTCACGGTCGAGGAGGACCAGTTGCTCTATGACTGTGCGATTTTTGCCGAACAGAACGGTGAAAAGCTTGGTGGTAACGAATTTTGGAGAAAAATTGAAGCAAAGGTCAGTACTCCCAGTTATATCTATCTTTAATTATTGTGATATGGGCTCATGGCTTCAGTTTCCTCGTCACACTTTTCACTCATGGAGGGATCGGTGGCACAAGTATCTGAAGTACAACCCAAGGCCGGAACTCACGCGTGGTCAGTCGAGGACGGCAGCTAGGGAGCAGCAGAACAGTTGTCATGATGATAGTGTTGAAAATCAGCCAGACCCACCATTAGATCAGACGAATTCAGACGGGCCGACATTAGAAGCCAAAATGGAGACTTTACCACCGTCTTCGGAACCAAAACTTTCGATGCGTGACGCACAGATTGAAGTGGCTCCACCAAAGGAGGAAGGAAGCACTGATAATAATATGGCTGGAGATCCTAGTCCAATTGTTTCTCGGATCTCTGAAACAGAGCTTCAACGTTCACAGCAATCCCTGCAGATGCCACAGAAAGCACAGGCAGAGAACGAGCGACAATTGGACGTCCAGTCCAGAGACAATCGTCATGAAAGAGATAAACAGCACGAGCCATATTTCCACAATAAGCCAAGGAAGCGCACTCATGACGAAGAGGCAGAGGTGAAAGAACCGCAAATGCCGATGCAACCTCATCCCTCAAAGCGCCAGAGAAGTCCAACCTCTAGGCAAACCATACAGTCCCAATCATCAAGAGCCGAGTCTACCAAAAATCCACTTGAGGAGGTCAAAGGTGAAAGCCTTTCGTCGCCGCTGGACAAACCAATGCCACATGTGTTGGATGGTGCGGCGGATGAAGATGAAGAACAACCGCAATTTGTCAAACCCGCTACAACTCTTGATACTCAAGCAATATTTGCTTTGGATACTCAACTTCTGGACCTGGACATTCCAGAACCTGAAGGTGGCTGGGAGGCGTTTGGGGAGCCGGCGGAAGAAGCAGAACCAGAGAGATTGCAGTCTTCCGTGGCAGATGGAGACGAGGTTGGCGATATAGATGGCTGGATCGAAACTCAGACTTCCGCTGGCTACGAGATGGACAACGTCCTATTGGCACTTAAGTGCACAAGCATGCAAGCGGATCTCGCGCAAATTGTGCTCGACTCTTTCAAGAATGGACATGGAATTCCGCCGGATATCCCGGGAGTGTGGAGTGAAGAAGATGATGCCATATTGGAGGGATCCGATGGAAGAAAATTACGACAGGTGGAGGAGAAACACGGTGCAAAGGCGTTCAATTTGCGGATGGAGTTTCTTGAGTCTTACCGCGAATGCTGATTGATGTCGCGGTTTGATTTGATACTAATCGACTATTTTAATTTTCCCGGTTCTTCTATCAAGAGATTTAACAACGTAGTTCATTCTTGACAGCTCAACGACTTGTAATATTATTATTTGTCCCTGCAAGAACATTGTGGTCCAGTTAAATTGGCCTAGACATCCGCTGTAACCGTAGCGAGATCCCGCCAGACTTTGGCACTGCACACCTGCTATTTCTCAGCTAAACTCGGGCTGCTGGACTCACTTAACAGCTTGGTTTTCGCGTCACCTGGAAATTTCTCGCTTCCCCACAACGGACTTTCTCACTATCCGGGATCCATTTCAATCTCCATCAAACTCGTGCTCTTCCTCCGATATTAACTTTTCTTGCCCTTTCTTGCCACATAAAGTCTGGCATATGCCAATAATCAACCCCGATCAATGTAAATGGGCGTCCCACATCTCGTTACCAATCTCCAAGCTCATGCCTCTTTGGTAGTGCTTGGGAGTCCTGTCCGGTATGGAACTGACTGCCTGTCAAATGTTCTTGCGTAAAAATTGCTACTAACTGTAAGTGACTATAGGAGTACAGAGACTTCCCGTGATACAATAATCATTGATGGACCAGGCCTTGCATATCATCTCTATTATCGATGTCTAGCACGAAGAAAAACGGCCCGGAATGCATTTGAGGCAGGATTGGATTATGCAGAGCTCGGAAGAGCAGCGGTGGACTGGGTAGGCGAACTCTCTATGAGGGGCATTAATGTGTAAGTTTTACTCCTGAGCTTAACCTTGTCTTGCTGTTCTTGTTATTGTTCTTGTCGTTGGCGATGTCTTATGCTGCCACTATGTATATCTGAAGTTACGAAAATTATCATTGAAATGTTCTCGAGTTTTTTACTTGTGTGGTGTTCAAGACGTCATACGGCAGTTAGGCGCAACCTATTCCTAGTTCTGCCCTGTCTTTGCACATTTGAGACGGCGTTGGGGATGGACATGTGCGTTCTTGTTTAAAATTGTGTTTTCCTTGGATGATTAAAACGATCTTGTTTCGAGTCTGAAGATGGCGATTTCTCATCTGCGTCTAATGGAAAGTTTTAGCTGAGCTCGCTGCTTGCTCCTTAGTTCATATAATCAATTTTTCCCCCTACATTTTCCCTTTTGCTAAAACTCCAATACCCTAGCAACTAATTATGTCGTAAAAGGGCCAAAATCTACTTTGACGGCTATCTTCCACCAGCCAAACAACCTACCCGAACGCAACGCCTGCAGTCGCATCTCAACCAGCTTAATAGGCACCGGACATTGACCATGAACGGCTTCGGAATGGCTGCTCTTAAGTCTCAAAAGGAAGTTATCCCTCCTGCAAATGCAGTATCCTCAGTAAAGGACCACGGACTGTTCGATTTCCATGCAGCACCATCACGCCTCACCTCCCTCCCAGCATCGACCTTCCTTGTGCCCGGAATAATTGAAGCACTTTCCAATAGCTCTTATGCCCCTATTACGGAAGTAGTTCCAGGTGAAGCCGACATATTCTGTGCACAATATGCAAAGGACCACGGGGGTGTGATTTTGACTGGCGACTCTGATCTCCTAGTGCATGATCTCGGTCCGAATGGATCTGTGGTTCTTTTCAGAGACATTGGCTTCTCGGATTTAGATGGCAGCAGCTTGGGCGAAGATGAGCACGCTCTAGTTGGGTTTGAGTATAAGCCCATGGAGATTGCAACGGGGCTCGGACTTGAAAGCCTTCTGGGATTGGCATACTGCATGACTCAAGACGGCAGTGAAGGATTTACGCGCTGTCTACAAAAGGTCAGGTCGGGCAGTGTTGGAACAGATGCTGACCCAGCATACCGTGAGTTCTGTCAACAATACCTCTTCTCACCACGTTCGCTTGCTTTGCTTCGCAGTGAGAAGGAGATGCTTTCAAGAGAGGCCCTTGAGACGATCTTGAGACGAAGTGATCCGCGAATATCGGAGTTCATTCACTTGTTTGCTTTTCCTGAAGATGCTCGTGGTACAGATGAGGTTGAAGTGTTCCTGCCATTTCTCATAGATGATCCCTCCAGAGCATCCGCTTGGAAGGTTGGCCTGTTTGTACGCCAAATGGCCTACTCGATTGCAAATATCTTTGTGCCAGATGATGTGCACGCACATACTTCGGTTAAGGAATGGTCAAGGAGAGGAGTTGAAGTATGTCCACTTCAGACTGCTTTACTGTCGCTGGAAGAACTCTCGCAGGCGTGCGAATCGTTTCTGTTCTTGATGAATAGAATTTCCTCAGAACAGCCCCAGTTGTCAACGGCAGATACTTGGAAGCTGTACGGGGCCTATGAAGTTTGTCGATGGCATGCACAAGAAGGGAAGGCAGTTCCGTCATCATTCGACCTCGAGCAAGTTGTGACAGGACGCCTAAGGTCTACCACTTTAAGCTGGTCTGTGGTTCATCTCTTCGCACAACTTCATGCTGCATTGTATTCTGTCAGGATGCTCCAGCAGGTTCTGGAGGTGTCCACAAAGCTTATCATAGCGAGGGAATACCCAAGTTCCAGTACACTGGATATGCTCTCCGCTCTCAACTCGTTACTTGCTGGGCTGCCTGGTATACATGAACTTTTTTCATATCAATTGCGTCTAGCGAATGAAGCGCAAGAGGAGCAGAGTAGCGATTCCTGGAGCAAAGCCCTTACTTTTATTTTTGAACTCTCGGAGGGCGAAGAGTTAGATATGGAGATGACTGGCGAAGTAGCACCGACCGAGGTAGATACATCGGCCAAAAAGGGAAAGAGGTCGAAGAAGAGGCAAAAGGGAAGAAGAAAATCCAACAGGAAAATCAGTCGGCCTGGTACATCATCGAAAAACCCATACGCGAATCTTGGAGAAGGATAAATCTTATAATTCTGGTATAAAGGCTGGCCTTTTGAAGACGTAAATCGTATTCCCATTTCGCGTTTAGGTGTCCAGCATTTGGTGCAGGCCACACAAAACTGTTTAATACACAACGCAAACTCCAGTAAAATGAAAATGACAAAAAAGGAAAATCATAGAAGTGGCATCGATATCAATACACGTGTCGAAGAGAAAAACGAAAAGAAAGTTGGATAAAAGGTGACTCCCGAATCTTTGTGCCGATGCTCCTCTTCTTCAACTCAACTCATATGCTCACTGAAGATGCTCCGTCTCTCATTAGCACCATCCTCATTTCCTCTTCCCGAGGCGGTTTTGGGGTTAAGAATAGGTGGCTCTACCTCCACTGGTCTAGGACTCACACTTCGCAAATTCATTCCGGCGTGGCCGGCCTCAGCTGCGTTCGAGTCGTCAAAGGGGTCCCGCGGCTGTCGCCCCCTTCCAGTCGTCTCTTCATCATATCGACGGTCCAGTTCGCTCTGACCTCCACCGACAAAGTCCGACACATCCCGGCTACGGCTACGGCCACGAGCTCCGTCTGGATTCGATCCGGATCCGTGGTAACCATAGCCACTGCCTCCGTACGGCTCGTGGTCATCACGTAGGCCTAGTTCTTGCTCTTCGTAGTATCCACCAGGACCATAAACATCAGCCTCGGTGCCGACACGAGCATCCCATGCTTCGTCCGGGTCCAGTGGCCCTCTTCTCCCACCTCGAGCTCCTCTTGGCACAGCGCCTTCGTAAGCACCACCTGCCGTACGACGATTCTTGATGGATCGGAATTTATCATTAAACCAGCCCGCGATTCCAGTGTCGCCCGAGATCCCGTCCGAGTGAGAGAAGGGATTGATGTGCGGAGGAGGAAGGCCCAACCGCTGCGCCTGCATGTAGCGGTACATGTACCAAACCACTGCGGCGAGAAGTGGAACGCATACGATGATGACGATGAAGATGGCAAAGCCGTGACCCATCTTGAATAAGTCTTCAGTATGTATCGTCGTCAATTGAAATTGGTTTTGTCGGAGAGAACGCGCGAATTAAGGTAGTGTCGTTGGTCCGAGCGACGGAGGTTATGAAGAGCTTCGGGAAAGGTACGTAATCAGGGTAGATGAAAGGAACGAATTAGTGAATCTAGATCGCAATCTATATTTGGTATCTTGTCGTCGATCAATGTCCATGAAAGAAGAAGCTTGAGAATGTCTTTTGTTCTTGTTTGTGTTATGTCGTTGCGAGATCAGTGAAGAAAGTGGAGGTGGAGATGAAGTTGGTACAACGAAAGGTAAGCAAGGCAGGGGAAGAAGGGCACAGCGTCTAATTCGCTTTTGAGGGGGAAACACGAGCAACATCCGGCATTCACGCCAATAGAGGCAGCTCACAGGGTAGGCTATATCTAATCACTCGTATAGAACTCTCTCTTGATAAAATCAATCTTCTGTATTAAATATATACCTTTGAAATCACAGACACTGCTTCTTTGAACGTTTTCGTGACATGAGACTCTTCAACTACACAATAAGCATCAAAGAACAGTGAGCCACACGTGAATATATAATGAGATCTGAGATACCGTATTACTCTGTCAGATAAGATGCCATTTCTCGCCCTCTCATATTGGTCTTCTCTCGCGTCATCCTCGATATTGATAAGCTGATTCAGAAATAGTCCTTAATGCTCCCCACACGGAGAGGGGAAATCATAGGGTCCCGGACCCCTTACGAATGATGACTCCCCACCAAAATGATTGACCCATCCCTTTACTGTGCGAATGGTTTTAAAAACGGCCCCTTCGCGCCCCAGAAAATAAAAACCATGACCCCGCCAATACCTCATCGCACAGCATTGCTGTCCTTGCTGCAGCCTCGCGCCTTCTTCGATACTCTAACCTTCTCTGCTTTGTCTGCCTGAATGCCTTCCTTGAGTGAATTGGAGAATCAGTCGCGGGAGACAACCACCAACGGTGCTCTCAATAATCGCTCGGTCGTGTTTCACTATGCCGCGCTCTCTGCGGACGATGCATCCACCTCTCGACTGTCCTGGAATTTCATAAATACGGACAGCGGAGAAGAAGAAGGAGACGATAATGGCGGCATCGACCGGTCTGACATTATCGCCGTTTTGGATTTGAACTCGCCCGACATACCCGTCAACGGCCACGCATCGCTAGTGAGACATGATTCTGAGACCGAGAATGACCTGGTTTCGTCTTATAAGATTCTGGCACTACAACGTGTGAATCAGCCGGCGGAGGATACAACTGTCCAAGATACCGAAATTGGAGACTCGGACGCCGGATCAAATAAATCAACGGACCCCAAGATCGAAACACCGCCCAGGTTGACCTTTCGTTCGTTCATTGCGCGCAACCTTCCCAGCGAATTTCTTGAGGACTTCTCGCCGCTCAGGCAGCGCCCCAGCTACCTCACCATTCCATCCAATGCCGATAAATCGCCAAACCTACACATAATTGTGTCAATACTTTCGGGAACACGACTCGCGCATGGCTTTTTCGAGGATATCGTCCAACCAACACTTTCCAACCTCGGAATTACACCAGACCAATACATTGTCCACGAGACAGAATCAGCGCATACGGTGACCGACCTGACGCGCTCTATATTCCTTCCACGCGCACAGGATGGCGTACAACAAACCATCATACTGCTCTCTGGTGATGGCGGCGTCGTGGATGCAGTCAACGGACTGCTTTCCAGCAAACGGAGCGATCACTACGTCCAGCCCCTGATCGGTTTACTTGCGCTAGGCACTGGCAATGCCCTCGCGCATTCGATGAACATTGTAAACGACTCTACACTGGGACTATCCAACCTGCTCAAAGGGGCACCACGTGCGCTCCCGCTCTTTCTCGCGCGCTTTTCTCCTGGCTCCGTTCTACTCGTGGACGAAGGCCGCAGTACAGAGAATCTTCATATTACAGATGAGCAGGGATCAGGCGCCATCTACGGCGCTGTCGTCTGCAGTTGGGGCTTCCATGCCGCGCTCGTCGCGGATAGCGATACTGTCGAGTATCGTAAATTTGGCGCGAAGCGATTCCAAATGGCTGGCAAAGAGGCCCTTTACCCTTCAGATGGGTCCCCGCCGCATGCCTATAAGGCGAGGGTGTCGCTGATCAAGCGTGCCCAAGGCAACCCCTACTCCTATAATTACGAACTAGTTGCCCGCGATTCCCACAGCTACATCCTCGCTACACTTGTCTCGAACCTCGAGAAAGGATTCACCATCTCGCCCGAGTCCCGGCCGCTTGACGGGCGTCTGCGGGTCATTCATTTTGGCCATATGTCCGGCGATGACATTATGGGACTCATGACCCTTGCGTATCAAGGTGGTTTGCACGTTCAGGAGCCGACCGTGTCGTATGAAGAGGTGGAAGGCCTGCGGATTGACTTTGCAAATGGTTTCGAGACTGATGCTCGCTGGAGACGAATCTGCGTGGATGGAAAAATTGTCCGAGTCCCAGAGTATGGATGGACTGAAGTGAGAAATGTCGATGGCGGGGTTGTTGATGTTGTTTATGCTTGATCTCGTCTTCATCTTTTCTTTTTCTCGTCGTTCTTTGGCCTTTACCATTTTCGGTTCTTTGTTGCATTTGTGTTTTACTTTGGCTTTTCATAGTGTGGATGTCTGACATGTAGACAAAGCGATGACGAAGTGGAGTTGTTGGAATTTTGAGATGGATGGCCCTGGCGGTAACCTTGTGTCTTTGGGTGGTTTATTTGTGGGATAGGTGCATTTAGAGACAATCATCTAGAACGGCTTTTACTTTACAGATTAATTACTCCTATAGTAACTGAGATTTTTGTTTGTCAATCATACACAATTCATTCACATTGTTTATGTAGCATTGGAAACCATGGTCGTCCGCTATCACCATTGAGCTGGACTCATTATTCTTACGAGTGTTAGTTGTGGCGGAGAGTCATCAATATTTCTGACTATTGAAAGAAATGAAAAATGTGAAAATATAATAATAACTGTACACCTTCATCTCATTAGTTTTCAGTCAATATGATAGTCAATATGATGTCGCGTGACGCGTGACCCTCGTGCAGAGTGGTTTCTTTCACGGAACCGAGGGAGTGACAGGGGGAGACTGAAAGGCAGGGAAGGGCGGAGATGACTAGAGTTGACCCAGAGTTTTAGTTATACTTTCACCCGCTAGGTCAATTCGTTGCCGCAATGCCGTCAACGCCGTCATCCACCCCAAGCACCACTTTATCGCCATCCCTGATTAATACCATTGTCACTGGTCCGGTCGACCTGTCGTCCTCTCTAATCTACTACACCACAACATCGCACGGCCTCAGGCAGAACCTCAACAGACTTTGATCAACTAAAGTCGACTGTTAAGACTGGAAACTCGTGCTAGAAATCGACCCATTTTTTTTTTCTTGTTCCGTTCCGCAGCCGACCTTCTATTGACTGCAACCTGCGGAACTGGCATACCACGTTGCCGCCCAAGTGACATGACGTCGGTTATAGCGCATAGCCATTGCGACTTGTTGTTTTTGGCGCATTCTTGATACTGCTGCCAACCCTGCTTGGGTCGAATGACGGCTGTCAGAGGGCACACGACAGGGCAATTTTAAAAGTGTGATTGCTTCCCGGAAGATTATTCGATATACAACAATCTACGCTTCCATTCGGCGCGCGCGGGATTACATAAAAGGCGTAGGGCGTTGTGGAAAAGACACGGATCGAGCGAGCGAAAGGACTTGGGGTTAGACGGGGTCCAGCGGATACAGCGGGACGGATAGAGGGCTGGACTGGAAGGAGATATAGTGGGATAAACATAGCGGACGAAAGCTGGATGGAGAAGAAGAGAATCATTACAAGACAGAAGAAAACATCACTTCAACAGACCTCAAGCAACACCTCTGGCCCATGAATGTTGCTCAACGCGCGCTGTTACAGCCTTGCTGAGACCCCGGACAAACAAATTCGACAACACACGTCAATAGAGACTGGAGGAACAATCGAAACCCAAGCCAGAGGAGGAATATCAGCTTCCGCTCACAGACAGGGAGCAAATCCCGATCCGTCTATCAGCTCTGGATCTCATACACCCTCCCGCTTCACCAGCGGCAATACATTCTGGGCTCTAGCACCGACTCGACTCGACGCGCGCTGTGCCCAGAGGCGCGCAAAGAAGATGCTGCTTTTGCATCAAAAAGGCAGTGTCAAGGTTGGTGAGGTCATACGGTATGTATTTCCATGACTTGTTTTGGAAATGGTCCATGCTTATTTCACCTAGCTATACCCTAACCTACACGCCGTCTGCTGATCGAATTCTTCCGCCTCCTTCCGAGCTTCATGTCAAAATACGAAATTGCTCTGCCATCCCACTCCGCGCGGCATATTTGCATGGCCCATATACTCTCTATACAGCAGTGTATCCCGCGATTTTCGATCCGAATGTGAAGCTCGAATCGCCGGAGGAGAACGGTATCCCACAATTTGAGTCGAATCTCAAGGCAGGCGGGACATGGAATGCAGTGTTGCCTGTGCCAAAGAGAATCAGAGAAAGTATAGACGGCGAAGAAAGTATCACATGGATCATCGAAGTCACTTCTCAGGTTGTCTTTTCCACCTCTGCCACTGTGAGCTATGAATTGCTCGTGGGAAGGGACCAGAATTCTCTCGACCTAGGATCTACACTACTGGGAGCAGGTGAAGAATCGAAAGCCGGACAGCTACATGACCATCAACAGAGCCGCAGGCATGCAGAGAGTCATCACCATCATCATAATGCACAACCGGCAGGAGTTTTTTCAAAAGCTGTGGAGCTTGTTGTAGACGATACTGCGAGCCTCTGGAACAAGCCGGCCCTACCGGTTTGGCCCCAAGATGGCGGCCTCAGAGAGGGCAAGCCGGGCTTACTTCGGTCCGATACACGCGCCTCACGATCTTCAAGGACCTCACGGACGTCGCACAAATCAGAACATGCTGCGGAGCATCCATCGGAAGGGAGTAGGCCGGGTAGCCGCCAGGGACCAAAAAAGCCGAGGAAGCAAAAGAAGGTGCACTTAGTGGTCTTGACACATGGGCTTCACAGTAATCTTGGCGCCGATATGCTCTATCTCAAAGAAAGCATTGACGCTGCGGCCAGGGAACGGCGAGAGGCTGTATTGAGAAGACGTGCCGAGCGTCGTGCGGCGCAACGGCAAAAGCAACCTGCAACTGATTTCAATGATACCGAAGACGCAGCGTACAGTCATGACACTTACTTGAAGCCTGGCCCTCGGCCATCAAGTCGTGATACAGATATCGATGAGGAGGATGACGATGACGATGAGGAAGAGGTCATTGTAAGAGGCTTCCCGGGCAACGCTGGGAGAACAGAAAGGGGCATTCAGCACCTTGGTAAACGTCTTGCCAAATATGTACTGGCAATGACTTATCCGGATCAACCGTTTCTTCCAATCAAAAAATCTGTCAGGAGAACCTTGTCAAATTCACTGACCGGACAAGCCCCCCACGATATGCACTCCGGCGCGCCCGTCCATGCAGGGAGTAGCATTTACAAGGGACCAAGAAAAAAGGGCGAAGAGCTGGCGTACAAAATCACTAGCATAAGCTTCATTGCCCATTCTCTAGGTGGCCTCGTTCAAACATATGCTATTGCTTATATCCAAAAGCACTCGCCTCACTTTTTCGAACTGATCCAGCCAATCAACTTTGTTGCACTGGCAGCACCTTTTCTCGGGTTAAGCAACGAAAATCCCCTTTACGTGAAATTTGCTTTGGATTTCGGTTTAGTCGGACGCACGGGGCAAGATCTAGGTTTGACCTGGCGAGCTCCAAACCTGGCACGATCTGGGTGGGATGCCCTTGTGGGAGGACTGGGCGGTGCAAATCAGAAACGTCATGAACAGCAAGATCCAGGGGCGAAGCCGCTATTGCGTATTCTTCCCACTGGCCCTGCGCATCAAGCTCTCAAGCTCTTCCGCAACCGGACAGTCTACTCTAACGTCGTCAATGATGGCATCGTTCCACTTCGAACGAGTTGCCTCCTCTTCCTCGACTGGAGAGGCTTGGGCCGTGTGGAGAAAGCTCGAAGGGAAACAGGCCTCGTAGGTACTGCCCTTGGCTGGGGCTGGGCGGAGATCACAGGGGCGAATTCTACAGCACAGGTTTCACGCTCTGGCAAATTCGGGTCCGGCGAACAGGCCCCCGACATGGAAAGCGTCGGCAGTAGTACTCCTGTCCGCGGAGAAGGAACGACGGTTCCACTGCCCCCAGAAAATGCAACGGAAGAAGACCGTACATTTCAAACTGGAATAAGCCGACTACCTACTGCACAAGCTGGCGGAATCTCGGGACCATATCAAGACGAGGCATCTCGTGCGGGCAAGTCACCGCAACCAACGAGTACCCAGCAGCAGCCATCGAACCCCCTGAGCGGGCTACTCTCCTTTTTCAACCCAAAGTCGCAAAAAGGCTCCAAGTCCTTGAAGATTATCAAGCGTAGCCAAACAATGCCGTCCGACAACGGGGAATCGTCTCCCGATCGTCCAGCAATACATTCGCGGGATGAATCCTTTGATGCATCAACGGAGGTTAGACCAAGAGTAACGAGGGGCGATTCAGTCGCGGACGACGCCGGCAGTTTCATTGCTCCGCCAAAAACGACAGTGTTTGAGTCTGCTGGAGATATCTTGAACCCACCAATTCCCGAACTCGAATATCTGATCGATCCCACGGAACGTCCGCGCACAATTTTCCATGACCGCGTCTACCACCCAGACGACATCCCTCCGCCTCCAATAAAGCGACGAACGGGCATTGGCCGCTCGTTTTCCCGCGACAAGACCAATAATGCTGAGTTGTCACTCTCGCCCGAACGCCGCGACAGTAACCAGAGCAGTTCTACGTCTGGCTCGATCGAAATTGGGAGCATGAAAGTTGAGGAGAAGATTGCACGAGCATATCACAAAGACCTGTCGTGGCGCAAGGTGCTTGTCCGCTTAGAGCCAGACGCGCACAATAACATGATTGTCCGCCGCATGTTCTCCAACGCATATGGCTGGCCCGTCGTCAAGCATCTCGTGGATACTCACTTTGCCGATACGTATGCCGCGCAGACACGCGACGAAGATGAGCCCAGCCGGGAACGCGCGAAACCCATGGTGGAAGGAGTAGGCAAACACGGCGAGGAAGTGAAGAGTAACAGCAACCTCTTGCAATCGAATCAACCGCAGTCCCAGCCCCAATCCAACCATGCCCGCTCTGCGAGTGAAATGCGCGAAGCTCGGGATCAAATCACAGACTTGAGGTCATCAATGACCGGTAGTTTTGCAAGTACTCACAACAGTGTCAGCGGCAGTGGAAGCGGCAGTATTCCTGGCACTGGCACAAATCGATCCTCACAACAACAACAACAATCGCCCTATCATACTCTCATCCGAGACGAGTCTGGCATATGGACAGATGCCGCGTTCGATGGAAGCCCCGATTCGGAAATGAGCTCCATGCATGATCATTACTTTGCTAGCTCGCCCGAGTCCAGCTCCATTGACCATCATAATTACTTCTCGCCCCCGCCTCGACGCGTCCTCTTGCATCGTTCCAGCCAAAGCCATTATACCAATCACTCGGAGCCTCTCGAGTCTTTCCCCGAAGCTGATAACGATGATCCACTCGCAATTGTCCCCGCGTCCGCGAAGCCGGAGATTGCAGACCATTTGACTGCCTCGCCGGTGCAAAGTCGTCATACCCTCGCCCCAGAAGATAATGACCATGAATCGTCGTCCTCACCACTCCTGCATAGTCCGAAACTGGGAATGGGAGCTGGAGCTGGTGCTGCGTCTGCGGTAGAAGTAGGATTGCGGAAACCGGTAGAAGAGTGTTTGGAGCAGGATGCTCCGGTAAAGGCTGCTGCTGGTGGTGCAACTGGTGGTGCTACTGGTGGTGCAGGGGACGCAGCGGGGCTGGATAATAATGGACCTGGATCGAAAAGTCCTGGATCAAAAGCGTCAAGTCATGTTGCCGAGAGAGTGGCCCGGCTTAGCTTCTCCAAAGATCCTACTGAGCCCAGTGGTTAAATCTTAAGCAAGAGCGGCGTTGTGCATTACTTTTTTTTATTCCCTTATTTTACATTATATTATTTTCTTTTTTTTACATCTATTTATTTGTTTTTCCTCATGATATCGGTCCATGCCATGATTAGCACACTGGCATCAATGTATATCATTCATTCATATCTCTATCATATCCATATTTTTTAATCTACTTACATTATGTATTACTTTTATTTATCTTGATATCTAGTCTCTATCCTGTCTGTGTTATATTGACACCATCAGCATGTATTGGTGTGAAAAGGTGAAGTAAATATCAATTTCAACTTACAAGAATGGATTATTATATTAATTTGTTCATGTCTAGATGTGTTGTTATCTACCTAATTCATCACCATGGCATTCTGTACTATAGAGTACAAGCTACATCATCATTATCAATTTATCATTATTATGATCAGTATTGTCATTGATTTTATCTATTTGGAAAGGCTAGATCAATCTATCAAATGACTTCCCACTGGGCATGATTGAGGTCAGCACGAGGTTTATGTATATGATCTAGGGTGTCCGTTGGTCTGGTCTGGGTCGGTCTTTGCCCGAAATTTCCACACCAAGATGGTCTTTGGTCTGCGTTGGTCTTTAAGGTAAAGACCAACATCCAGACCGGGCGTGGGCTTTTTTTTAACTAAACCCATCTATGCATAAATCTGGTATAAATGTGCATGTTTTGGGCAAAATCACCTATATTCTTTAGCATAATTTTGCTGACTGATTGTTGATATACTTCCTAGAAGGATAATGTTGGTGGCTATCACAGACTGGCAGAGGCATGTTCAAAAGACCGACCCAACGTGGTGTGGGTACGCTGCACGAAAGACCAAAGACCACCGGCGTCCACCGGCCCCGACGGACACCCTACATAGAACCCAGCTATCACTCATACTCTGCCTTTATTCCAGCTTGCTACTTTACTTCATGCACTTGGTATCACTATACAGTTACGAGACACGGCTCTTGCAAGTCTATCAAACGCCTTCTACTAGCTATGATGATTGAGGGGGGCATAAGAGCTACGTACATTTCATCTCTATCTCAATATAAAGGGAGTGGGATAATAATATAAAAAAGAGAGAGACAAGATACGGTAAAGTAACTCAATGGCCCTGGGTCCTCGTCATTGATCACCGTTTCGCCACCTTGTTGCAACCTCTTCCACGTCTTCCTTGCAGTGCACTCTTCCGGAAACCCTTCGGACTTTACACGATTGAAGTGCTTATTCAAATGAAGCAACATGATTTAACTTCAGCCACCATGCCAGCTGCTTGTATCAGTCGACATCTTAAACATTGACATTATGCAAAAGCAGATAGACGTACCATCTGAGCACGGAGTCGGGCTACTTGCGGGCGTTTTCAATTTTAGAAATAAAATCGTCGACATCAAAATTTTCACGATCAAAAGGGATTTCGGCGATGATTTTGTGCGTTCCCTTATGGCCATCTCCTTTATTCCCTGTTCTTATAAAGTCCTTGACCGCATGGTCCTTGGCCTGCGCATTTTCTTGGATCCTAGCCACAGCCTTGGTCGGATGTTTCGGGTCTCCATGGACATCAATGCGAAGGTCCTTCGTATGTACGACATTGTTCTTGGTCGCAAAACTTTCTGTCAAATTATTCGTGATGCTTTCCACGTGGCTTCTAACAGCTTCAGACAGCTCAGCAATGGCCGCTTTCCAAGGCATATTGGTTATTTGGGGTCGGGAAAACGATGTTTTCAAGTTTATTTCCGCAATGAACTCAATGTGAATCCTCAAAATCTGTTAAGCATGGAGGAATCACCTGCAGCATGATTATGGACTTAAAGTAGAATTTATAGAAGGCACCAGGAGCCTGAGATATTATTTCGGGGTGAATATCAATTTTATTGTGCCTTGTTTGGTGAATATAAAGTGTTATTGACTACTGGTAAAGATGCCCATTCAATGGGTGCTTCGTCTTACTAACACCCTTTCTTGGACGGGAGTGGGAAAAAATAAATATTAAAAAAAAAAAAAAAAAAAAAAAAAAAAAAAAAAAAAAAAAAAAGGAAGCCGACGAAGAAGAAATCCTATGAAGAAGAGAATGTAATGGGTATTCGTTCAGTTTCTCCATTAGCTTAAGGCTTTGCTTGAGAGCGGCACAAACTTCCTCGGGCAACACCATCTTTGTTTACTATTTACGAGATGCCATCAAATGTCATTGGACTTGATTCTAGATTTCGAAAAACATAAACATTGGACAAATAAATTCATGTTGAATATTGATTGGGTCATAAGTAAGTGTAGTACATAGTCTTTCAAGTATAGCATCCTTCGTAGTGGGTGAATATAAATTCATTGTCGTACAGAATATGCATAATTCACAGATTGTTCGGCAACACAGTAGAAAAGACCTAGCCCTATGGCTTACCGAAGGAATATTATTTCCTTTACAAGCAGCTGTTCTTAAAAGCACGGATTCTAACAAATCTGATCTTGAACCAATCCATAACAACAGCTTCAGTGTAGCAAGGAACAAGTGTTTATTCTCACAGATCTGTGAAAGCTCACGGATTGACAGCCATATTACTGTTTCTCTTCGTCCTCAGCAGCACAATATGAGATTCTGTTCATATTTCTGCTTGCTCCGTCCAGGTCGGCACCAGTCAGAACGTGAACAACCAGAACTCTTCATAGAGAGACCGGATGGTTCAGGTGGATAAGGCTCTATCATAAGTAAACTCCTATTCGATGGATCCAAATGACTGATGTTGCATTCGCCTTCTTAGAAGAAAAGATTCTTGAAGAGGTCTTATTCCAATACACGAGACACCGATGGCTGTAAGTAGAGCAGCACGAAATTATTTTCGAAATCATGGCTCGCCGCTCACTTCAGCCCAAACAATAGATTCAACGAAAAAGCTGAGCTTTCCAAGCGTTACCTAAAGTTTAACCTGCAACAGCTTATCGGAGCAGCTGTCAACGTCTGTGAGGGGGCTCGATGCTGTAAGTTTTCGTCACGCCCTGTGCGAAAGAGAAAGGTTGATTAAGCTATCAAGCAGGCACCAAGATCACCAAATGCTCAGAGGGATTGTACAACAAGGCGTTCATCTTGACAATGGACAACGGCGCCGAAGTCTTTGCAAAGCTCCCAAATCCCAATGCCGGACCTGCTCGTTTCTCAGTCGCCTCCGAAGTCGCGACACGTGTGATGGTACGATCAACAGTTCTCTCTCACACACACACATTTTCAGATATATTTGTTAAAATCTCATAGCTCCGGGACTTGTTTAATATTCCTGTCCCTCGAATCCTTGCATGGTCGAATGATGCAGCAAATAACCCGGTCGAAGCAGCCTATATTCTCGAAGAAAAAGCGCCTGGTGTTCGGCTCCGCTCAGTCTGGGATCAATGGCCGCGAGAACTAAAGCTCCAGCTGATCACTCAAGTGGTTGACATAGAGAATAAATTGAGTACCATGACTTTCGACCAACAAGGTTGTATCTATTTCAGGGAAGACTTGCGCTCTCTCATTGGGAAAGCGGAAGATATCCGCATCAATTCTGTTGCTCCTGAGGCCCTCAGTCGGTTCTCCATGGGGCCGCTCACGGCGAACGAGTTTTGGAAAGGTGACAGAAGGGAAATGGAACTTGATCGGGGTCCTTGTGAGTTAAATCACAGTATTTTCCAGTTGTTTTCTCATCTGTTGTAACTATTAACAATTTCTACAACAGGGAGAGACCCAGGCGATTACACACGCGCAATGGGACTCAATGAAATTGCATGGATTCAGTCACAGGCACGCCCACGGATGAACTATTACCGGTCACTTCGAGAACAAGAACTCCCTGAAGACGGCCTGGATCTTTTAGAGAAATACATGAAAGTGTCTCCTTATCTGGTTCCCCGATCAACTGACGAGGCGGCATCGTCCAACGTTCTGTGGCATCCGGATCTCCATCTGGAAAACCTCTTTGTCGATCCAGATACGCATCAAATCACCCGCATCGTAGACTGGCAGTCAGCCTGCGTTGCGCCATTATTCTACCAGTATTGCATCCCTAAAATATTTCAGTGTCATCGGCCCATTCAGAAGGGCTGGGTCGTTCCGGGACGCCCAGAAAACTATGACAGCCTCAGCGAAGACGAGCAGGAGAAGATCGACAAGGAGCTCGAGAAGGAGATTGTACGCAAATACTACACTGCTCAAGTGCTCAAGCGGGCGCCTCGCCGCTGGGGTGTTCTTAGGGACGTAAGCCTCAGTGAGCAAAACACAATCTCCGCCATTCGTAAACCAGTCCTGTTAGTGAATGGAATCTGGGAAAATCGTGATTTATTTTTTCTTCGCGATTCCCTCATTTCATTCTTTACGGATTGGGAAGAGCTTTTTCCAGACATTTCTTGTCCTATCGATTTCACTGAGAAAGATATCGAGCTGCATTTCAAAGAGAACGAGAATATGCATGGCGTTGGAAAAATGCTTTCCTTATTTCGCGAGGAGGCTGGGATCGATGTGGACGGCATGGTCGACCCCAACGACTACGAAGTTGCACAGAAGAATAACCGCAAGCTCAAGGACATTTTCATTGGTCTGGCGAAAGATGATGAAGAGAGAGAGCTGTTCACCAGACTTTGGCCATATCAAGAGCCTCAAACCTAGGGTTCCAGATGCTTAGACCCTGCTCATCAGGTTCGCCGCTCCCCACTCGCCGCTCGCCGTTCTGCGTATTTCCTTTCCTTTTTTTTTTACATGATATATCCCTCCACACAATCTTCCTCCCGTGGTCCTGGATTTATTTTTTTTATTCTTTTTTTTTTTTTTTTTTAATTTTTAATTTTAATTTTGATTTTAATTTTTATATTTATTTTTATTTTTTTACCGGAGCCTGGAGGTAGACCGTAGACCGTAGACCGTAGTCCTGGGCCCTCGGGAGCACGAGCAGGAGCATGAGCATAAATGATGCTACACTTCATTGTGATTGGAAAGGTTTTTTTAATTAATACTAATGCAGTCATGAATAATCCTATCTTTCCACCTATCTAGCCTAAGTGTCATGCTTTATTTGCCCGGTCTGTGCCCATTCTTTATTTTTATTTTTATTTTTATTTATTTATTTATTTATTTATTTTTTTCTCTACTATTTTTACCATAGCTTCTTGAGTCCTGGCCGAGCAAGCCTCGAGGCAAACCCACGTAAGACCTTTTACATTTCCACCGAATCTTTTGATACCGAAACTTTTGCAATTTATGAATCAGGGACCAGTATAATAATTAATCCTGCTATATAGGCTGCCGGGATGAGACACCGTCGGGTTAGGGTAGGACCGTTGGATATGGCTCCCCCTACATCCCTCCCGCTTGGCCAACCACCCGGGTCAAGTCGGGTTGGGTTATATACTGTATTCTACTCTGTGACTCTGTCTAATCTATATCTTAGGTAGAGTTTGATCCATATCTAGAGACTTGTAGTTTGTAAAGCAGTCATATAATATATTGTAACATGATTTTATTGGCTTAGTAAATACTAAAATAGATCCTTATAATATTATTGTTTTTATTGAGATATCTAGTAAAATACATATAACCCTAACCCTAGCCCTTGAGAAAACATTATTTTTACTTTAGGGTTACTACTATTGAGAGATAAGTCTAGGATTACAAGAATCAAGCATCTTATACAAGTCAAACTACTAAAGCTATCTAGCTAATCTCAATTCTTGAAACAAGAAAATATCAAATCTTGGAATCATTTCCAGTAATAATGTATTGCACACGCTGGAGTCTGGACGAACTGCATGTCCTTCTGTTGAATTGTAACCTGCTTTGCATGAATTGATTCAAATACTATGATACATGTAAACATGTTAAGCCTTTGAAATTAAAAAGTAAAAATAAAAGAACCAGGAGACGATCAGATTTGGGACCGACATTTGAATCAGCCATGGAGCTGCATTTTGTAACTTGAATCCGGAAGCTTTGTCTGCGGGCCTGCCGCTCGTGACACCCAGAGGCTAGAGCCCAGGGGCCAGCACCAAGTTCTTAAGTTAAGATATAGGAATTCAGACATTTGGGTCCAGAGATAAAGCTCGTGGAAGTTTTTAAGAATGGGCAAGAGAAAATCTATCAGCACGACAACTTGTTTGGAGGATTCTTTTCCAACCGCGGCCTCTCGTGAATCAGAGTTTGTTTGGTAGAGGGTCCTAGACTCCTAGAGTTGTTCTTTGACTGGTCATTTCTTTTTTTTTTTTTTGGATATGTGTATGGTGGTTTGATATGTGCTTGTTATTAGTATAGAAGGATAGACTGACCAAGATATGTCTTGAACGTCATGCTTTGGAATACTTGAGGTGCGGAAATCAGGTCCCCGAAACTCTTGAGTAAGTTTCTGGGGGCTTGTGAACATAACAACATCAACATGTTCCACGGTGGTGGCGGAAAGTTATATGGTTCGATCTGGGTTCGCAAGTAATTATAACTGATGCAGAAGCTGGTGTTTATGATATCTGTAGTAAACATCAAGTCGATAGAGCTTCTGCAGCTCCGAGTTATTCCTCTGGCGTAATTCTCTACATCATACTTTCGTAGTAAATTTGTAGAGTTATTCAAGTTTTCTGAGAGGGCCATTGCGTTTGTTGCATTCATGAGAGTCGGAGAGGTGTTGAGGTAAACTAAACAGTTTTTTAAGATAGAAAAGGCGTTTATTCATTGAGGATGCATGCGAGAAATGGATAGGCAGACATAATTATCCGAGATCGATTCCGTCGTTGTCTTGGGCTTCTGGCGTTGGTCTTGTAATTGACTTGACTCTGTTCTCTGTTCAAAGACCGACAGCGCCCATTTCAACTCATTTCCCACAAGAATCTTCCTCCTCTTTTTCGATAAAGGAAGTCAGCATTTCTTTATGCCCTTGGATCAACGCCAGTAGTAAATGGGTAGCAAATACTTGACTTCAGGGCATCACGGATCTACAGCTCAATGACCGCGACGATAAGTTGAGCGTACGGCAAGTTGGAGCAGCCCATCCGGTTCAATGACAGGCGTGCCACTCGAAATAATGGGAACCGGTATAATGTTTTTCCCGAGATAATGTAGGACTGGACAAGAAATATAAGGTATATTCGTCTGAATTTTCATGCTTATCCATGATCACGGCTGCTGTACATGAATTCAAAGGTTGTAAGTACAGACAGCTTTGAATATGCTAATCTCCGCTGGTCAAATTCTCCTTTTGTTGTCATCCCAGGATGCTAGATCGCTGACATTCGGCTTTCGCTTTTTCTCAGCTCTCAGCCCAAGACGCATCGAGGCCTTTGGTACAATGTCCCGATTTGGCTGACTTTTTACTGTCGAGCGCGCTGATGTATCGGCCGGTTATTTGCCATTTTTGGCGACGGAGGACCGATCTGAGCAACAGAGCAGGCAAAAGAGTGCCGTCGAGCTCTAATTTCCGCCACATGCAAGTCAGTCAGGCTGGAGATAATTGGTTTGTTATAATTCTTACAGCCAAGGAGGCAGAAAAGGAAACAGCCACGAAACAACGGCAGCCAAACACGCAAACACATCGCAGGAGACAGCCTGCACAGGAAAAGCGACGAAAGAGCCGATGAAACTGGCCTTGTGTAATGTCGATCCATTGTTTGCATGTGCAAAATGCTGTTAAGGCGACAGTTAGAAAACGGCGTCCAAGCACCAGCGCAGACGATCAAGGGAAGAAAAACACCGCAGAAAACGTCCAGAAGCAAGGCCCAGAAGATGCTCCGAAAAGTGTATTTTGGGATTTGAACAGAAAAAGAAGGATCGAACAGAAGGCGACTGGCGAGGTGTTTAACCCAAGCGCGTCTGAAAGAAAGCAGCGAATCAGGCCTGGACTTTCGGATGCTCCCTTCTATCTGACTGGCCTAATCCCAAGCTTTTCAGAGAGATAGACCACCTGGTGGGCTAGACTGGTGGCGGAGAGACAGTGCTTGAGACGGCTCCGCTTGATATGGATCGTACCAACAAAGAGAAATTTACGTCCAGATCATTAACTGTGGCTGCTGACAGAAGATGTCCACCAGTGTTTCTTTGAGCTTTCCTGGCTCTAGGAGATCTTCTGCTTTGAGAATTTGCTGTTGGTCGCGATACTGCTCATCATGCCTTCTTTCCAGTTCCTCATTTGCCACTAGTTGTTTTACTTTAAGCTTCTTCTTGTGCATTTCTTGATCTGATGGGCCTCGTGCATGCGATGGATGCTGATACCCCAGACTTTTCAAAAGTTTGGAACTTGGTCAGTCTATGGGAGATGTAGACGTGAGACAATGTTGCCAACAAGTTCTTATTTTGCTCAAAGACGACTCAAAGATTGTAATCTTCGACAAATGCAGCTTACGGTATCGGTCCGGAAGACTCGGTGCGCACAACGACGGATGCGGTATGCAAAATTGCCATTCCTCATGCCATTTCTAGCAGCAATTTCTATGACGATAAGAGTAATGCTCAGGACAATGGTGCTTTCATTTGGCTTTGCGTTTCGCCTGCTCCGTGCCATCTTGATATTTGCAAGTTTGGCGGACCTCAACTCTTCAACCGCAATCCTGTATATTCGCGGCAAATCAGCTTTTATTGTAGTCTCGGCGTTATCATCGATAGACGCGTGCTCGTCGCTGAATTTCTTCCGGCCAGCAGTTCTTGTAGTTTGAGAAGAAAGATCTTTTCTTTTTTCAGATCCGTAAATCCGCTATGTCTTGAAGGTAGCATAGTCCAGAGCCTTGACTAGATTGAAACCAGTGATCTTGTTGCATAAGTAGATGCAAGGAGATCCTGCAAGGCCACTTGGGAGACCTATGTAACTTGGTGCATGATGGAGATGTAAAAATTGAGTGGCACCTCGAAGGGAGTGCTAGACTTCTATGAGAGGTCTGCCTCCCTTTGGTTTTATTTGCCGCTTGCCCTTGCGCTCATCTTCTTTGCTCTCAGACTTTTTAGATTGACTGACGTATACAAATAATAACCCCCTTTGCGTCTTGGAAACGTGTGATGGGATATTATGCTGTATGCTGTTTCAGCAGCAGAGCAACTATATTCTCTTCCACATTACGGGTTTAATCTTTCGTATCTGCCGGTAGCTCTCGAGAATGACAGATTGTTAGTGCGTAATGAGCTGTAAGAAGACTTCAAGGTTATTTAGTTGTTCAACTTATTGTTTCGGAAATGAATGCCAACTGACTATATGCTTTTGGTAATTCGGTCTAGCAGAGGCTGGCGGCATCGGCTTCGGATCGATAGATGCCACATCGAGTACTGCTGATGAGGACATTATGAAGGATCTCCAGAAAAAACGCAGTTGAAGAGCTGGAAATGGAGCATTTCAGTTCTCGTTTGATGAGAGTGAAAATTCCGGACTTGCAAACGCTCCCAAATCTGACATGCCTCTCCGCTATGTTCAGTAGAAATGGGGCATTGACGATATTTTCTTTGCCAACATAAGTGGGTTAAAAACCGGGGTATTAATCCCAGTTTCTGATGACGTGAATCAGGTTGTCGATTGGTTATGACAGATGTAGCTGCCCATTTAGTATGAACTGTCGGATTGTTGCGCGCTCTTCTTAATTGTTTCTGATCGATTTCCGTCACTTTGCATAACTACCTTTCAGAAAAGTCAAGCTGTGTACTCTGGTGCTTTGACAGACTATTTGTCCCCACTAGAATTTGCTGCGGGAGACGAGCTTGGTCGATTGGAATACCTCTGCAGGCTCCATCGGCGACATTAAATCTGACTCTCTCAGCCATTGTTCCTCTGACTGACCACAATAGCTTTGCATTCGGCAATGGTGGGAGAAAAGAGGACCGGGCGCTTGTTCCGTGCATATTAATTTACGTTAAAAAGCCTTATCTACTATCAATTTTTTTGCTCAGCCTGAAACCAGGCTTCCTCCTCCTTCCCCATCCTTACTTTCTGGCTTTTTGTGAAGCGCCTTTGCGTCCTTGTCTCGCTGCCGTCGGCGCTTATTTTTCTTCTTCCTCCTCTCCCTATTTCTTTGGTTGACCTCTTCATTGTCAGGTCTGGGCAAGATAGGAGATGGCCTCCCGTTCGGCCGCCAGTGAAGGATATACCAGCTTTGCTGGTCTCGGAGGGCTTGGTTGGACAGCCTGATAGTGGCGTGCGGCTCCGGAGTGGGATCGGCAGCACTGGCACCTCCGTGCAGCCCATTGCTGTCCGGCTCAGTGAGACCACGGCTTACTCAAAGAATAGGCAGATGACCCCACTATAGACCTCCGATTCATCAAGGATGGTTCGGGATGGAATGGCAAAGGGCAGGATTAACCACGTGCAAGCCCTGGCCCCGTGAATCCGTGATCCATGGAGGGATCAAGTGCCGGGGTATATCCAATGCAGTTGAAGCCAGTCGCTGGTTCATTTCCTCCTCCAAAGTATTCATGGTCTTCTGAATATCCGTGGCGTGGCTGCCGAGAAAGGGGGGCGTCTGCGATGACGCTCTCGTCCCCGATGCTTTCTTGGCTGCACCACTAGGTGGTCGTTTCTTCTCCAGTCCGGGCATCGATCACATTAATAATATCCAGAGGGTGTATCCGCGGTCGAGGTCAGAGGTTAAGTATTATTATTAGCTTGAATGCCTCATGCATGCTTCAGCAGCTATTGATACCTCAAAGTTAGCGTTTATCATAATGCGCGTCGATACGGACAGAAACCTAACACCTGCGCCGAAGTGCATGTTCTAATGGTTGGGTTGAGCTAAAGTTTAAATCATGGTCAGTAGTTCTCTTTATCAATGCAATTCAGAGCCCTTTGTGATTTCCTTCTTGTCAGGACGAGCGAAGATTTTAAGAACGTTGGCCTTGATGTACGCTGGTAAGATGGAGTGCAGCAGCAATTTTTAACTATTCACTATGGATGAGGATATCATCCAAATATGCTGTGCAGAACGAGGCGGAGCCATTTTCCAGCGGGCAAATCTAATACTGCATAGCAGTAATTGATATTTTGTGTTCTAAATCGTTGAAATGCAGTTGTAGGCACTGGATTTATAATCCACTATGCTCCAAGTTATCTGTTTTACGGTATTCAAAGTGCCTATTTTTGTCATCTGTGACTAAATTTATGATTATCAATTCAATATCCGCGTTGCCCGAGATATGATTCTTATTATTCAATGAGATAGATTCCAGCTGCTTTCCATTGGGAAAAATGAGCAGCGAAAGCACCGGAGAGTGAGCACCTTGCTCACCTCTTCTGTTTAATGAGGGTAGCAAGTTCTGTTGTGGCTGCGGTGGTCAGATATAAACCTGTCCCAAGTTTAAACATCGCTGACAATGGCTCAAATGGTGAAGATTATACTTGGCCTCACTTGAATGTTAGAATGCGAGATACTCTTCGACAATGATTTCTCTTGCACGATCTGAAAATGATTGATAAGTCACTGCCTCGATGTTTCTGACGACCTGGTGCTGGCCTGTCACGATGCTTCCATAGGCTGAAAAACTATAAGAAACTGAATTCCATCTAGTGAAAAACAGTGTAATGAAGGTATTTGTGCACGATGCAGCCCCTGCGACAGATGGACCCAAGCGGAACATAACAATGCCCATGTTTTTATAGGCTTCCTTCGGTTCGATAAATAGCCGTGACAGAGAGACGGGAGTAATAGAATTTTCTTGCAGTAATACGAGAAGAGTAGGCTCGGTCGTTTCTTCCTCTTTCGCCCCCTGCACCCGCGAGTGGAGGAGGTAAGCTCTGGAGTCGTTGCCAAACACTGAAACAAACACATCCCTTTCGGATTGTCTTAGATCTCGACCATTTCCGCTAAATCTGATCATTAGGTCTACTGCGGACCAATGATCGCGGCCTTTATTTTTAAAAACTTGGACAATCCAATATCAAATCACTGCAGTAAATGCTCCAGTGCCTGGTATGGAGATATCTGGATTGTCCATTTTGGAGATTGAAGTAGTGACGTTTCAGGGAACGAATCTGACGTGTGAACTAGATTGGAATAGTGGCAAGAAATCAAAGTCCAAGAGCTTTCTTTTTCTGCAAGATATGATTCATGAAAAGCACAATGTTATGAACAGCGTCTTTTAAGAATTAATCACACTGAATTCTGTGGATTTTTAAAATATGACGGTACAATGGAGATTACGGAAAGAAAAGGTTCAACAGAGGAGAGCAAAGACTGGGGTATTTATACCTTCTGTCTCAGACCAAACACTGCTGCCTAAATCAAGTTTCTTCACCGACATCAATTGCCAAACTTCCGTGAAGATGTCTCTTGAAGTGAACTCTTCGGTGGTGAATTGTTATGATATTTCCCCATCGAGCATGGTCGAGATATTCAAATGGGTCTATGACTAATCCATTTGAATTTCAACTTCACTGATTGGCCAGTTAATTTCATGCGGCACTCGGAATCTGGGATCATCCGAGTTTCCTCCAGACGGCCGCTTTATTTTGCAGGACTTGAAGCTTTTCGTCAATATCGCAAGGGACAGTAGAAGAGGGGCCACTCTCTTGCGATTGCCCATCATGGCATCACTTCTCCAACCTTTCCCCGCCTTGCGCCGCGGTGCGCCTAGATTGTCCCGGGAATTCTTCACCTGCCGCGCCTGTCTGCGCACTGGGACCGGAGCATCTGTTCGCGCAGCATCATCCGCAGCTTCAGCTTCAGCTCTCCGTTCTCTTAACTCCGCGGCAACTGCGCGACGACCCGTCTTCAAATCAGTTGGCAAGACGCCCTTCTTACAAGCATTTCGCTCCAATTCCAGCCACGCCAGCAGCAGCACAACGACCAGTCCTCTAGGATCCCTCGGAAAGACTATTGGCGGAGCTGCCTCTTCAACGTCTTCCAAGACGAGCTCGTTCCCCGAAACCAGCAGTAAAATCGTCGCATACTGGCTACTCGGCAGCGCCGCCAGCGTCTTTGGCATTGTCATTTTCGGCGGCTTAACTCGTCTCACAGAATCAGGGTACTATCCCACCCTCCCCCTCCCCCTTCCCATCCCACCTTTCTTCCCACGCCATATAACTAACCACCGTACTCTCACCCTGCAGACTCAGCATCACCGAATGGCGCCCCGTCACTGGATCCCTCCCGCCCATGAGCGCCGATGACTGGGAAGCCGAATTCACGAAATACAAGTCCTCGCCCGAATTCGCCCTGCTCAACTCGAAAATGGACCTCCCCGAATTCAAAAAGATCTACTACATGGAATGGACGCACCGTCTGTGGGGACGGTTCGTCGGCCTCTCCTTCCTGCTTCCGACCATCTACTTCATCGCGCGGCGGCGCGTCTCCCGGCCCATCGCACGTAACCTCGTCGGGATCACACTCCTTATCGGCTTCCAGGGCGTATTAGGCTGGTGGATGGTCAAATCCGGGCTGAAAGACGACCTCTTCGCCCCCGGCAGCCACCCGCGCGTCAGCCAGTACCGCCTGACCGCCCACCTGGGCGCCGCCTTCCTCTGCTACGTCGCGATGCTGTGGAACGGGCTCTCGATTCTGCGCGAGAACAAGCTCGTGGCTGACCCCGTGAACGGCGAAAAGGCCCTCAACACCCTGCGTCTGCCTCAACTCAAATTCTTCCGGCGCTCCGTCGGCGCACTCGCCTGCCTTGTATTCATTACCGCCATGTCCGGCGCCCTCGTCGCGGGTCTCGATGCAGGACTCATCTACAACGAGTTCCCCTACATGGGTCTCGGGCTGACGCCGCCCAAGTCCGAGCTCTTTAGCGACTTTTACTCGCGCAAGCCCGACGGCAGCGATATCTGGTGGCGCAACGCCCTGGAGAACCCGTCCCTCGTGCAGCTCGACCACCGCGTCCTCGCCACGACGGCCTTCACCGCCATCGTTTCCCTCTGGGCTTACTCCCGCTTCTCCCCCGCCGTCAGGGCCGCCCTGCCCCGCAATGCCAGAAAGGGCATGCTCGGCGTCGTCCACCTTGCGTCCCTCCAGGTCGTCCTTGGCATTTGCACGCTCTTGTACCTCGTCCCCACCCACCTCGCGGCGACTCACCAGGCGGGCGCCCTCGCGCTCCTCACCGGCACTGTTGTCTTGGGTAGTCGTGTCTGGATCCCCTCTCGCGCGGCCAGACTCGTCGCTGCTCGTCTGAGTCGGGCTGCCTCCTCGTCATCTTCGCATGCGCCCCGTCCAACGCCAAGAGGGTTTGCTGCTGGGTCTGTCGGGCCAATTAAGTCGACTTCATAGTTCTCGTTTTTCTGTTAAATTATCCAGTTCATAATCCGGGGTTTTTTTTCTTTTTTGTCTATACTTTTCCTCCCCAATGTCCGTCCAGTTTATAACTTTCTTAACTTTCTTTTCCGCTTTCCATCCAACTCCTGATCCTTTGGTCCCCCCTCCTCCCCTCGTCGTTTATTATAAAGAGCGTCTCGTTTTTTTTTTTAATCTATCTGACCAATCCCAGCTCCTCGGGCCCTCCCCTCTACTTTCTCACCATGTATAACTATTATTTATACTCTACCTACTTCATGTCCATACTATAGCTTTCTTCCATCATGTAATGTATTTTTATAGTCTCCAAGGGAAAAAAAATACATAACAAGATGATTATATAGCCCATTTGAGCATTTTTATTTCGTGGATGATAGATGATAAGAACAATAAGGGAGAAAAAAAATTGGAGAAGAATATATTCTAGCTATCTGGGGTGTATGTTGGTTATAACAACAACTTTTATTTTTATATTGTTAAGTTCTCCCGTCTTCCAGCAATCTTTAAACTAAGGTCTTAAACTAGCTGGTTGGATTTTGTTATTCGTACGTCATTGGATATCTATTTGTGGGCTAAATTTCAAAATACGTCAGCAAGGTTTTTAAAAGTCGCGAGCAGGCGGATAGAAGTCAGAAGGGGGGAAAGTGTTGGAAAAGTATAGACTTACGAATACCCTCCTCAGGCATGGGCTCAATGCCAACAACCTCGGCCGCAGGCTTGTTGATTTGCTTCTCCTCCTTCATAAAGGGGAAGGCGAGGACTTCCTTGATGGAGTAGTTGTCGGTCAAGAACATGGCGAGACGGTCAATGCCCATACCCCAGCCCCCAGTCGGGGGCAGACCGTACTCAAGCGAGGTGCAGAAGTTCTCGTCGATGATCTGGGCCTCGTCGTCACCCTGGTCCTTCTGGCGGGCCTGCTCCTCGAAACGGAGACGCTGGTCAAAGGGATCGTTCAACTCGGTGTAGGCATTGACAATCTCCTTCTTGCACACAAAAGCCTCGAAACGCTCGCAGAGACCGGCGTTGTCACGGTGGTACTTGGCCAGCGGAGACATCATCTGCGGGTGGCCAGTGATGAAAGTGGGGTTGACGCACTTCTCCTCAATGAACTCGCCGACAAGCTTGTCGAGCATGCGGGCATTGGTCTGGGGCGGGGAGCACTCGACGCCGGACTTCTTGAGCATGCGCTTAAGGAACTCATTGGTCTCAGCAGTGTGCAGCTGGTCGCCCGGAGGGAACTTTTCGCCCAAGGCCTCCTCAAGGGCGGGGATCATCTCAATCCGCTTCCACGGCTTGGCCCAGTTGACCTGGTACTCCTCACCAGACTGGGTGTGGAAAACGGTGGTGTGGCCGCCAGTGACCTGCTTGACGAGATTGGAGACAAGGTCCTCGGTGATGTCCATCAGGTCGTAGACGTCGGCGTAGGCCATATAGAATTCGCAAGTGGTGAATTCGGGGTTGTGGGTCAGATCGATACCTTCGTTACGGAATTGACGGCCCATTTCGTACACACGCTCGAGACCACCGACGATGAGCTGCTTGAGGTACAGCTCAGGAGCGATACGCATGAACAGGTTCATGTCGAGCTCGTTGTGGTGGGTGATGAATGGCTTGGCGGTAGCACCACCGGCAATGGCGTTCATCATGGGAGTCTCGACCTCGATGAAGTCGCGGTCGTCAAAGTACCGGCGGATGTAGCTGACCATCTTGGAGCGGGTGACAAACACGTTGCGGGTGTGGTCGTTCATGATCAGATCGAGGTATCGCTGGCGGTGACGCTGCTCCTGGTCCTTGAAACCATAGTACTCGCCAGGCAGCTGGTGCAGGCAAGGAGTGAGCAGGACGACCTGCTTGGCGAAAATGGAAAGCTCGCCATCCGGGCGGTTCTTGGGGTTCGTTCGGCCGGGGAAACCGACAATACCAATAATGTCACCTCTTCGGAGGTGCTCGTGCTGGGCCTCAAAGGGAACATCGCCAGTCGACTCCTGGGCTTGGCACATGACCTGGCACTTGACACCCTCGGCGCGAATGTCGTAGAAGACCAGCTTGGAGCCAGAGGCACGCTTGGTGTATATTCTGCCCGCAATGCTGACCTCAATGTCCTTGCGCTGCTCGCCGGTCTTGAGAGACTGGTACTCCTTCAAGAACTCGCGCAGGTCGGTCTTGACATGGAACTTGTGGGGGTAGGGGTTGGGAGCCTTGGTGGTGCGGAGCTTGTTGATTCTCTTGGACCGAATCTCAAAGTATTGCTACCAAATAATTAGAATCGCTGAATAGAAGGGACATGGTTTCTTGCTTCAATTTGCGTTGCAAGGCAGCTCATTGCAAACAGAGAAGAAAAAGCGGGGCAATGTGGTTGAAGGCAAGGGAAGATAGAGAGTCACTCACGTTAGGAGTCAAGTTGCTCTCGTCATCCTCAGGGTTGACCTCCTTCTTGGGCTTGGGAGGCGCGGCAGCAGCCTTTTCCTTCTTCTTCTTTTCCTGCTCACGCTGCTTCTGGCGCTTCTTCAACTCGGACTTGGAGACCCGCTCACCGGTCACCTCGTCGAGATGGAGGTTTTGGAGCTGTTCGGCAGTGTTGTCGGCCATTTTGATATTTGCGGATCAGCGCAATATGGCCAATGCGTGATCGGTGGTGGTTATCAAGGATTTAGTTGACCGAATAGCCTTGATCAACTATTTTCCAACCTTTGTGGGATTTATATCAATTCGTGGTGGGGTTGACTCAAATTGATCCGATATTTTCTACAGCTGTCTGGGCATGCCTTTTGCGCAGCTCTGCCCACTGATAAGATTGTGGATGATCTTGGGGACACCACGCACGCCTGACTCACTGCTCTTTATAGTCAGTCATATATGCCCATCCACAAATTTCCCACCTGACCAGAAAAAGTTGAAAAGTATCAGGTCAAATCCATTGCGGCGATTGGAGTTTAATTCATTCAATTGATATTCTTTTTACATTGACTCTGCAGCCGCAACGGGTAGAGTTTCTAGACTTGCCCCCCATCTAGAACCCCCTCCGACCCTGCGTACCCAAAGATTGAGAGAAGTAAATTACGCCCCCTGTTCAATCTTTTGCTTCAAAAACCTTGCATATAATTCTGGGTACCACTTCTGCCCCACATCTGGATGACTCATGATACGATTTCTCAAATGCGCCTCGCCAAACTACAGATGCCATCAGTATATTCCAAAGACCTCTCCCAGTTCTGCATCTAGCGACGAAAAGAAATAATGCAAAGGGGCAAAAACAAGGGGGGGAAAAAAAGACAGACAACTGCAATAGAAACTTACACAAGAATAAAGAGGAGAAAGAAATTCACTAGGCACATCGACTGCCTGCTTTGCGCGGTGATCAATCGTGGGGATGCGACTCGTGATATGTGCCGCCGAATGCTTGAGCTGGTTCAACGTAAGATCCTTCCTGATACCGCGGAAATAGGGAATGCTATATCTTGTTTGTGCAACCGGGGCCTTGTAAATCCAAAAATGTTAGTCCTGTAATTGCTGCAGACTCTAGCAAAAACCACCCTGCTGTAATCTACACAGCAGTTCCAGGTATCAAGTAACTTACAATAACTCGATGCGTCGTTGCTGCACAGACACCGCCTGTTAGAGCTTCAAATCCTTGCTGGATATTTACGACAAGGCTGCCTTCAACCGGGGGTACATCAATCCATTGACCGGCATTATTGAGGACCTGCAAGCCTCCAATGTTGTCTTGAGACAAAAAAGTGAAAAAGCCCGAAGAGTCTTTATGAGGACCAACACCTTGCGAATTTGGCGGAGACGGCGGATATTTAACAAACTTTAGCCGGTCCATCCTACCAGCAAACTCGTCAAACGTCGTAGGCGCCAGGCCTAGACTTTCAGCAACATATCGTATGAACGTTTCCGCTAGTCTCGACACGCTGCTCATGTACTCTTCTACCAAGTCTTGCACGCCAGGAATATCGGGATACTAAGATACGATGATGTTTAAACGGAGTTCACTTAGGTGAGGTGAGAGCATGAAATCCCGGACTCGAGCCGGTGATTCGAGAAACATACCTGGTTGTTTCCCTCCAGTCTGTCCCAAATCGGATCCTGCTCCGTCCATTGCTTCATCCCAGGCGTGGCAAAATCGAATTGCTAGAAAATTAGTATTAATATAAATTACTGTCACCCGCGATCTACGGCCAAGTGCTAAGGAAACTTTCGTATTTTAAGCAACTTACTTCTCTGAAGTCTGTTTTTGACGCCGTCGTTTCTGCTCCGAGGCGCGTATAGCCCAGAAAGGCTGGTGAGTTAATCATATTGCATGCTTCTTTGACATTTTCTGGTGCCTCGAATAATTCAGGCAATCTGGCATGTGCTTTTTTGATCAGATCCTTTGTATAATTAGCCATACAGTCAAAAATCCAGCATTTTATAGAAGGCAAACGATCATAAGAGAAGAGGTTCCGGATTTTAGAGAGTGAAGGCAGAAAAACGTACCTCCAATCCCGTATTCGTCAGGTACATGAACCCCACCACAAAAATCGCTTCTCTGAGCTGCGAGAGCGCTTCATCTCTCGTTTCTCGGTTTTGAAGCCGAGAAAAGTCAATGGTCGGGACCGACGAGAATGTGTTACTCATTTTGACCAGCTATCTGCTTTAACAATCGACTTGTCGTAACCTTGTCTATGATACCGAACATGAAACCTTCGGGGGGCGAGCTATAGACTTTTGACAATCGACTTGTCGTAGTTTTAAACCTTATTTATGATATCCAGCATGTAACCTTCTTTTCTTAACAAATTATAGAAAAGAGACTCGCGGTACAGTGCTTTGTATGTATCTTGAAGAATCGCGGCGTGGTTAGACGTTCATATAACCCCGTGACAATTGGACGCTAGCGCTGATGTCGCAATCGCATATGATGCATGGCTGCTCAGGTACGGAGCATACGGAGTAAAATATCACATCGGTAATATTGGGCGGGGGCGGATGTCTTCACATATAGAGAGCAAAAGAGAAAACCAAAAAAAAATGCGGATTTTATTTGAGCAAAGGATATAGGTAGTTCACAGCTGAAGGTAGTCCTGGGGTTAGTGGGATTGCATTGATCAGAAGTGGTCGCGGGAATAATAAGGACGATCCAGGGATGATATCGGGGGGCATTTAAGCAGCAGGGCGGCCATAAGCGGTCGTGGGGCGGGCGGATAGCCGGGCCTAGCAGCCGGTGGGCAAGGCGTAGTGGCATTAGGCATTTGGGGCGAGTCGGCATAGCGGCTTGCCTAGCGATGGGTCATACGTAGTGGATAGTCAAGAGGTCTGCCACTGTACTTACAACGATCTCTGCTAGATATTGTATGCATGAAGCCATGAAGTGGCGTTCCATGAGTATTAAAACAGAAAAAATATAATGGAGGATGCACGATGATATGTATTGTCTAGTATCTCTAGTCTAACTAACATACAGTCCGTAACAACTACAATGTGCGAATTCTATTGACTGATATGGCTGGCAAATAAAGTCTATGTCATCATAAAATGGACAGCTTTAGATAAGAGATACTAGACATCGGAAAACTTCGCAGGTAAAACCATCAAGGCGTCCAGCGTGGATTAATCATCAGGCTAGGCTTGAGAATCTGCCGGGTTTCTGGACTTTCCGCGACTGACGAATCGACTGACCATGTCAGTAAGGGAGTCCTGGGCTTCTCGAAGCGTTGCCTTTTCATGTTTGAGTTGGGCACGCCGAATCTCGCGATTTGGGTCCTCGGCCATGAGACGAGCACAACGCTCCTGAGCTAAAAAGTTGATTGTACATTAGCAAAGATACCAACCGCTACAGTGACCCTTATATCGACTTACCGTCCAACTTCTCAATACCGAGTCCATCAATCAATTGCTGACAGATGCTAGTCTTGCATGAAACAAACAACTCTCCGTCAATAGCCTGGCAAACGGTATCCACGAACCGGCTGGCCGCAATCATGTAATACGCTTGGACAGTCGCCATGGTTTCAATCTCCTTGCGAAATGTCTCGATGCCCAGCTGCTCATCGGCCACGTCCCTTTCTTTGACTACCCGGTTCTGTTTCTCCTGCTCAAGGATAAAATTGGCAACACGAGCTGCTCGACGCATAGTCCGGAGCCGGGCAAGGTTCTCCCGCTTTAACTGGTCAAACCAGACTGCGTTGAATGTGATCGGCTTCGAGACTTCCAAATGACAAGTTCTCTGGATGGCGCTGAGCTCCTGGCCGATCATGGAGTCGAGATAGTCGTGAATGATCCGGGACGCTTCAACAAATAACTGGGTCTGCTTCCATTCACTCAGGACATCTTCGAACCGTTCAAGCACCAATTGTTTCAACATATTTCCAGCAATATTGACAAGCTCTTGCGCAGGCGTGATCCAAAATGCGACACTCTGTTGGCTGAGCACTTCAATAGCTTTGGGATCAACTTGATTCGGAATCCCAGCCGTCTGTGCTGCCTTGATAACCTCTCTGACATCTTCAAGAGAAGAGGCTTTTTGCGTCACTATTGTCCAAATCAGCCTTATTATCATATTAACAGACTTCACAGAAGCACTTACCAGTGAACTTCTTTGACGGCGGTGGTCTCGCGTTGAATTTGGGCTTTTTAGGAGTAATCGGCACGGCATGGGGTGTCGCTTGACGTTTCCTGTCCGTACGGTCGGGTAGTATGGTTTTACTCACAAGCTGTGGTTCATCTTCAGCGTCAGAGAGTGTCAAATCTACTCTAACATTGCTTTTAGTCGGAGTGACAGGACCGCGTGGGGGTTTGGATTGCTCCTGCAACTTATTCATGGACGACTTCGGAGTGTCGGTAATGTCAAGGAGAACCTTTGGAGTCGAATTCATGATGATCTTTGCAAATTCTTCCGCAGTGCTATGCCAATTCTTCTTGAACAAATTGTATGGGTAGCCCCCGTCGATGCGTTTCTCAATTTCATTCTTCAGAGTATAAATTTTTCCCGTGAGAACGAGAGGCAAGTTCTCGGCAGGAGGCTCGGGCAGTTCTGCAAGTTCGATTTCGATTGTCGTAGCTTTTCTATTCACTTGCTCATTGATGTATGGAAGACTGTTAACAAATGTATTAGCCATTGAAGTTCGAAGAAATAGGTAGTAATCACCCGCCTTTTCACTATTTGCGCAATTAGAAGTTGGGAGAGGTCATTAGACAGTCTGTGGGTTCCGAATCGCTGGCTATATTGAGAGAGGTCTGATGCCCATGGTTCATTGCTGGTGAAGAATTCGAGTTCCTGAGCTCGTGCTTCAGAGTGAGAGATCCCTCGTCCTAGCATATCCTGATTGGGTTGCTTCGTAACGTAGTAGCCATGGCCGAGCTGATACCTTTCGCCACTTAACATGGATTCCCATTGCTCCCAGGACTCCCCCAGCTGAACTCGGTCAGGCTTGGTCAAGACACCGATCGTCCTATCCTGCGCTCCGACCTCTTTGATAATGCCAGCCGCACTAGAGTTTGCTGCGTCATCGGTCATAGGAAGCGCTAGAAGGTTGATGCAGTTGGGCGGTGTGATGTACTCCTTGACCAAGTTTCGAACAAGTGGGACAAGGTACGCCTCTTCAGCATTCTCGGTGACATTAATGACTCCAGGAAGGTCAAAGAACGAGAGGTTGGGAAGCCCTGGGCCAGATATATCCAGACGAACAACGTTAGGAGAGAATTTCACTTGAAGTGTGCGTGGAGTATGCTGATTGAATCCGGGCATGTACTTGGTTGGCCTGGTTCCAGGGTTCAGCGTGGCCAGCTGCGCCCAGTGTAGTACATCCTCTACGTCGTCTTTGTTGTAGAGAGTTGCAAAGAGAGTGTCCTCGGCGGGGTCTTGAGGGATCCACGGGCCAAGGTTAACGCTTGGTTGAGGAGTTCCTGCAATAGAGCCGCGACATACTAAAAAGGGATCGTTTTCGTTATTTGCAAATGTGTCATGCATATAAGTCTTGCGCAAGGAGACTTTACAAGTCCATCTCGCAGCATCACTCGTGTCTTCAGTGATGTTTATTTCAAGGGGGCACTGTTCTAGTTTTAGCTTGGTAAAGTCTGCAGCAAGTAGGAAGATGAATTTACCCTGGTACAGCATCCTACGTTGCGTGGGACTTTGATTTGCGAAAGAGCTTCGATCAACGAACTCTTGCCAGTGCTCTGATCACCAACGACAACAATCTTGGGGAGTGGAACAACAAGGTCTTCAACACCCTTTTGGCGGAGAGCATTAATAGAAGATACAAGATACTTGTGTTCCTGGTAATCCAAGGAAAGCGCTCTGTCAATATCTTCATCGGCTATGGTTTCCTGGTTGACCGCAGGAGAGTGCGTTCTGGAGGTGATGCTGATGATATTCCCAGCTGGCGTGCGAGAAGGTCTATGAGATGCTCCTGCAAATTGAACTTCAGTAAAGGGAAAACTAAGCTTGAAGCAAGGGCAAGGGACCTTACTTGATGACGCTGCGCTGTGTCCCAGCTGACTAGTCTGGTAGCCCTCATCATATTGACTCTGAAGCCGACCATCTACCATATCGACATCGTTGGACTCCGAGAGAGAGGAATCACTTTCTCCGGCGAGAGGCTGTTGATAGTGCCGATACCTTGCCATCTCGTGAGATTTGCGGTCAGTAGCGTTTGCGGTGCTTGGGCCTTCTGCCTTGATGACAGGAGTTCCAGATTGCCGCCTTGAAGACATGGAAGTTGTAAGATGGAAGGGGAAGGTAAGTAAGAAGGGTGCTAAGGGGGAACGGATCCAGAGTCGAAAGATCGAACGCGGTTCGCTCGAGCAAACAGCACTTCAGAAACTCTCTTGAAGAGAGCTGAAGGATGGACCTCGGCGAAGGCCTCAAGTTTTGCCACGCAAAAGACCCAGGAAACCCGGCTAACCAGACGACGAGACGCTCCTGTAGAGCATAAAGAGGAAGAAATATTAAGAAGAGAACGAGGAGCGTGTAACCGCAAAACAAGTTCAGCGAACGGGGATGTTTGGCTCGACGAAAGGAGTGCCCGTGAGTTAAGTATCCTAACCCGTTTCTGGGAGACTGCCCACGGAGAATCCAATGCAAAAGGAGAGGAATTCACAAATAATTTGCTCAATTCTCGTCGTTGAGGCAGGCAAAGACACGCAATTGCGTGGGTACTCTAAACAAGAGTGTTCGGTGCAAACAAGGTCTTTGCAAGGAAATTCGTAAAAGATATCAAGGAGGGTCCGTGAAAACCTTCATATACTTAAGCAATCAGAAGCAAATGACATGTAAAAGCAGAGCACAAAACACGCAATTTGGTCTCTCATCAACAGCAAAGAATCAGCACGCTCTTTATAGTAGTTCCATCTGAGCATTTCCTATCTCCCAAGCATTATATTTACCCGTCTGTGAAACAATGACATATCCATCTCAGAGACACGAAAAGGCATTATACAACGCTGTCGTAAATCTTTCGTCCTGTTTCCTCCACAGCACTGCATCAGAAAATGGGGCCGAGTCCAATCGATTCCCAACGCATTTGTAAAAAGAGAAGACACATATTCGGCATCCCATTTGCAAAGAAAATAAAAGGTAGGGATGATACAGAAAAGGGAAGAGAGGCGATATATCAAAGTATGTGGACACTCATACGACACTCCACACTGTCACATCTCGAAATCCCTTTCATCTTCTAAGCCTTTTACAACTCCATGTACTCATTTCGCAGCAAAACCGTCGTGAGACCAGGCCTTGTAGAACAGCCAGGGTACCGTGAAGATCAGCGAGACTTGTGAAAAGGTGTAAGAAAGCGCAACACTAAGCGTGTCGTAAAGCATTGTAAACTGTCGTAAATCTGCACAATCTCCCAGGAGCAAAATGAGCGGGACAAGGTAAGCGGGAGCTGTTTTACCTGGAATATACTCATTTTTTAGCGAGTTTATAGCCCACAAAGGGCCATTTTGTAAGTACCTCTACACTAAAGTCCGAGAGGTCCTCGTGGTCGCTTACGCCAGGTTACGACGGTGACGCTCTTTTCTTCCATTACAAGTGGTGAAACGTAATGTAACTTCGCAAAGACATGATGAATCGGCGTCTTTCAATAATTGGACAAGCACACCTTGTTCTGGATATTGCATGGATGGATGGCTGACTAGATTGCTGACCATGTAGATGTCGTCGAGGGGACGACGGCTAAAATGCTACATAAAATGCTAATATGAAATGAATTGAAATGAAAGAGCAAGATTGGAGTCAAGCTAAGAGAATAGCAAAAATAGAAATAAGGCAATATAGGGTATCTAAAGTCTCAAAATAATGAACTCTGCTTCTTTGACAACTTTTTGCCACTGCGGTCATCACTACTACTTCTGAGACCAAAGAAACTGCGCTTCTTTTGGCCGAGATTTCGGCCATGAGCATCGTTCGTCGGGGCTAATAGGTTTGTCCCAAAGCTAGGGCCAGATGTATGATTCTGGCTAATGAGACTCGGACCTGAACCTGTACCTCGACTTTGACCAGGGCCATATGATTGATGAGGGACGGGCTGAGGAGGAACCGGCCGTCGAGCAGGACTAGGGCTCGGACAAGGATATGCATGGAGCAGAGGTGCGGAATGGGCTTGTCGCGGGGGCAAAGAAGGATATGCCTGCCCCTGCCCCTGCCACTGCGGTTGAGACTGTAACGGTCTCTGATGATGACCCTGAGACATGCGTTGTTCAGCAAGATAGACTCTCCTGAGCCGCTCAGTTTCGCGGTCAATTTCAGCTTTTCGGCGACCTTCCTCTTTTAATTCCGCTTTGGATATTTTTTTGGCCAGTCGTTCCCCGGCTAATTCAGTGCGCCGGCGCTCGCGGGCTTCGGTCTCTGCCTGTTGCCGCAATCGAGCACTTTCGACTTCAGCTTCCCACTGGCGGCGCGGATCGAGGTTGGACGCGGAACGAGGAGACAAGACACCCGAACTATGGCGTCTCAAGTCGGATGGTGGAGCCGACTGAGATGGGCCACTTATTGCAGGTCTGGCCCCGTGTGCTGGGTCTGAAAGAGCCGAAGGCTCATGAATTGTAGGAAGCTGTGGAAGGCTGGTCCCAGAGACTGCTTTTCTATGTATGTGAGGAGGCACACTTGCTCTTCTCGGTGGGGAGTACTCTGTAATATTGAACACCTGGCGAAAGTTTCCGAAGAACATATCCTTGATCACAGCCGCGCTGAGAAGTATGACTATTTCAAGTCCCTTGAAATCTTCCATGTCGACACGATGAAGATTCGGCTCGTAGATTGATACCGCCTTCATCGATTCGAACATGGCAATAGTAATATCTGGTTCTTTGCTCTTTCGAGGCTTTGCTTTCGGGTCGGTCGTCTTGCCGGACATTGTACACACCATTTCCTTTGACAGCTTTTCTTTCCTCCAAGTGAATTTTATTCTTGGCGTCGTCGGTGCGATTGTTGGATCGCTCAGACTGCGATCCAGAGATGAGCTCGATGGCTGTCGGAAAGTGGTCTGCGGCATTTCGAACTCCCAGCTCGGCGAACCACCCCATGTGGATTGTTTGTACTTGACGACAACTTGCTGGTCCGGCCCATAGAGCTGGATTGTAAATTCTGTCGGCTGAAGGGGTTGCGGAAGGGGAGGAATCCCGCCGTTCTTTCGAATCGCTTCTTGGGATAGCGTTGGATGTGTCCATTCGGGCCGCACAAGAACTTCAGCATAAGGAACATCTGGCATATAAGGGTCGAGCATAGCTACAGTGTAGCAGTTGTGCGAATCTGGCAGGGCGGGGTCCATGTGATGGAGAGCGTAGGCGGGCTCTGGTTCCGAGCCATGCTGGGTAAAGTTGAATGTCGCATGATGCTTGATGCCATCTGGGGCAATGCTAAGGAAGAAGGCTTTCATACACTGTTAGATTTTGTGACTCTAATGTTTGCCAGAATTCACCAGGTCTAACATGGCACATACTAGGAAGATTCTCGTCGAGCATTTCTTCTCTACGAGCCAAGGCTGGCAAGGAGTTCACTTAATGCCAGAGGATGTGGAGGTTTCGTCTTGAGGCATCTGAGAAAGTCGGATGCCAAAGTGTCGGCCAAATACCGGCGGCTCCAATGGCATTATGTTGAGACAGATCCCGTCAATTGAAGGAGCTAAAGGAACTACGTAGGGTTTGGTTGCGTCCGAGGGGTACGTGACGTGGGGAGCGACGGGAACAATGACGGTTGCCTTGTCCGGCGAACGCACCTGAAATAGAAACAGTCACAACACAGTCCTGTATCCTTACTGGCAGATCATTTGATACCTTATGTTATGCATTATCGGGATTATTGAAAATGCCTACATCCAATCATTCTCTTCTATCCATCTTTTTTCTTCGAATCATCCTTCTGCAATGTTCCTTGCATTTTCGTCATTCAATTGACCCCTCGGAGCATCGCCACACCGGAACCATGTGAAGATCCGTGGAATGCTTCGTTTTAGCGAGTGGCTGTGCTCGGGAGCGTCGTCATAGTCGCCAGCAGAGCCATGTACAGTATGGCTTCCGAGTTCCATTACGGAGTATTGCTGTTGTTTAGATTGAGCATGACTACAATATCCGAACAAAGTCTCTTCAAGAGTTGTTTATCATTGTTACGCCATATTCTCTAACCCCAATCCGAAATCAAGAAAACCAAAAGAATTGCACAGAGCTTAAACCAACTCAGGAATACGCTGCAGGAATCCGATCTCCCCTCTCCCCAGTGCCAACATATTTCCTCCCCTCTTCAGTTGTATCTTTCCAGACGCTCATCGCCTCTTCGACGCGCTCATTCAAATCGAGGGCAGTCGGTCTGCTAGGACTATTTGTGCGCAGCATATCATACACAATTTTTCTCAACGCAAAAGAATATCGACTTGGAATGGCTTGGACGTAGTCATGAGCTCCTCCCGACGAAGTGTCAAGCGATGCCGCTCCAGTCGGACCCGTCTCAGTGGGTGCTTTGCCCACCATCATTTCGTACAAGACAGCTCCCAAAGCATAAATGTCCGCCGCTCTAGTTCGAGGGCGCATGAATCCGCGAACCTCCTATAACGTTTCAGCATAACCAGACTTGCGCGTCTTGAGCGTTGAGGACACTGAAATCGCAAATGAAAACACAACACACTGGACTCACCGGCGCAAGATACTTATTAGACTCGCTCTTGAAAACCCGCAAAGGCATGATGCGATCGTGCTGTCGATCAAGCGCAATCAATGCCCGCTGGAACCCGCCGAGCTTTACTCGGCCATATGTCTCGTTTCCCTCTGGAGCGCAGAAATATACTAACAAGCATTATCAGTGCCATGCGCCGCACAGGTCAGCTTGTCTAGGAGCTAACGTACTCTTTGTCGGATTAATATCCGTCATCAAGACCGGTTGCCAGTCATCGTCATGCTGCATGTGCGAATTAAACGGGTAGGAAATCTTCTGCCCAAAATGTAGCCATAGCAGGGCTTGAGTCATGCCAGCGAGAACATGCCAGACCAGGCTCTCCGGTATTTCCCTTGAGAATCATTTCTCATTAGCATCTTCTCCCAAAATTTCCCAAGTACTCAATATGTGAAGGAGCTCAAACGCAGAACAGTGGAACAAACTTACAGCGCAAACTCGTCCGGTCTCCGGGAGAGTAATCTATTCAAGGTTCCTCTCTCGCAGTATTCCCACACTGCATAGTCAATATCTCCACCCAGCTCTTCTCTGTCTCGAACAATGCCCACTAAACTGACGAGATTCGGATGGTTCAACAGTCTCAAAAGCGACTCCTGGGCTTCAGCGAACGCGGGCAAAGTGTAGATGAAACTCCGAGCGAGGAAGATCTGCATTTCATTTCATCAACTCGCTATTCAGAATCCATTTGAGGTTATCAAAGAAAAGGCACGGTACCTTTCCATCAGTCCTTCGTCGCGTTATCCATAGTTTTGGAACCGTATCTAGTAATCTCGTCAGTATTGGTCAAAAGTCTATCTACAGCGACAGTATCAATCTGCTCACCCTTCCCTTCAAGCCATTTATAATTAGTATTTGGCCTTTGACCTGGCACTTCAGGAACATGCTTTAGCACTTCAATATGCTCGTATTTGCTGACGCTCAGTCGCCCACCAAGTTGCGGGTGTCGAGACGAATTCATTCTCGGCACTGTAATAGAGATCTTTTTTTTTCCTCGTTTTAAAACGATTGTATGTCTTTAGGAATAAGTTCGACGAAGGAACCTGCATGTCGCAAGTAGAAAGTTCATATCGTGGCCCATGGGGGTGTTTGGGCATCCTTTGTTCCATTCTCTTCGACACTTTGACCAGTCCGCACAAAGAACTCAACACTTGCCATACCCTACCTCAATCCCAATATTTTCATTATTATATCGTGCTCAATCTAAGGAATAAAAAGGATTGTAATTTCCAATACTGAAAATAAATCCAAGTTGCAATGTGCTATCGTGCTATCATTATTAAAGCTTGGCCGTAGATAAAGACAAAACCAAAGTGTCAGCGTATCGTCACAACTGTCGCAAGTCCTTCCAATATCTCCTGCGAAACCTGAAACAGCTTTAATATACGAATTGAGCCAGTAAAAACAATAGAGAACAAAGAAGCAATCTTTCAACATACTAACATCAACCTTGTCCAGCAATCAGTCCCAAATCTCCAAAACAATCCCCCATACTTAAAGCTGTCAATCCGTCTTACCATCGAACGCTCAAAAGCGAAAACAAAGCAAAAAGTTTTTCTTTATACCCTCGTTTCAAATTTCACATTTCTCGTGTGGATTTCTCTACCGCATTTTCCAAATCATCGTCATCCTCGATCGCAGAAGAAGAAGCACCGTGTCGAAAAACTGACGTTGCGGACTTCCAAATCGACGCAAGTTTTTCTCCTTCTCCTTCTCCTTCTGCTTCCGAAGAGGAAGGTACGTTTTCTGTTGCATTGAGATTATTTCCCTCCGAATGGACCGAGTCGCCGCCATGTGAGAATTTGGATAGAATGCTACTTCGTCGACGATGATGATGATTATGATTATGGGCTTCATCGACGTCGTCTTTGTCGGCGTATGCAGGTGAACCGAGAGTATCTGATGGACGTCCTAATCACCATTTTGTCAGCTGAAATTGAGGTCCGGCGGTGATTGTTTGGATAAGGGAACAAAAAAAATCTATACAATCTGGAGTGAAATATATATATGATAAAAGATATACTCTCCGCTGGGTTTATATAAGGGCGCTGTAGGGAACTTACGCAAATTCCCAACCCCTCCGCGTCCATAACTCACATATCGCTCCTCGACGACATGCGTTTCAGTCTTCATTTTGTCTTTTTCGTTTTATTTCGTCTTCCAATTTCCGTCTTCTTTCCACCTGATTTGTTTAATTTTCGAACTTCTTTTATTCGTCAAAGCGCAAGTGCACGATAATGCACGATAATGCGATCAATATGGGATCAAATATGACGTTTATATATCTTGTGTTGTCATATATGTCGATATAAGCATTTCAGTCCTTCAGTCATTCGTCTGTCAATATTGACAATATTGCATATCAAAGTGTAACTTTATATCTCCTGGTTGGGCCCTCACAAGGTCATATATACTCTGGGAGTTACCCCACAGCAATACCGCCTTTTCCCTAAATACTCTATACGCATGGACAAAAAATCCTAGATAAGCCGGCCCGCCCCCTTCTTACTGGCCGAAGCGGCAGGCCAAGCTTTTCTGAAAGGCCATCATCGCCGTCCGTAGCCCTGCGAGTTATCACTTTCCTACCGTGTCCCGTCGTCCCAATCGTCTCACTTGTCCCCCGCCAGGGGAGTCCAGGGTGGTGGTGCACGATACACACTATGACGCGCATGACGCCATGTGTGACAATGGGCGAAGTTCCAACCAGTATGGCCATAGATAACGGCAAGTACGACAAATTGGGATAACGTTTTCTATGTGACATTTGGAGAGAGAGAGATAAGGAAATTGCGTTGCGCTCATTGGTGATTCCCTTTTTTTCCATGAGATTTAGTCCGGGAACCTTAAACAACCCAAGTCAAAACAATCTGGGGGAGGGAAATCCTGGGGGGGAACGGAATAATCTGGGGGAAACAAGGGAACGAACGATTGGGCGCCTGGCGCCTGGGCGCTGCATTCGGCAAATGGATTTCGCGACCAGCCAGCCAACCAACCAACAACTCATAACATAACTACCTCCTTGGTTAAGCTTTATGGCAGACGGGATCGACATGGAGATAAGCCTCTCCGGGCGAGTTTACCAATCTTCACACACCTCCTGCGCACTTCCTTTTAATAATAGGAGGAAATAGCAGTACAAACCGTAGGAGGGAATACACATTTTAATAGTAATAAGGGTAAAGAGGAACGAACTTTATGCACAGCGTTGTAATAAACACACGAAAATTGTATAATAGAAGTACGTTCTGTATAAGAGTACGGACTGTATATTAAGTAGTAGCAATACAGAAGACACAAGATGTATAATAGAAGTACAAAAAACGAAGTATATGCATAATAGCTAAGATGGTACAGGTGAATTAACTTGATGTAGTACTCCGTACGGAGTATAGATTGCTAGATCGAAGGGTACTCGATAAGCCACAAACAGCGTCACTGACATCACACGTCGGTTGGAGTCCATTATGGAACGAATAGGGTGTGTTAGATTATGGGAGAGGGGAGGATAGAGATAAGAAGTCGTCTGCGTAGGAGAGTGCTTGTTGCATGTGATTATAGATTCTCAAAAAGGTTGGTCTCTTAAGGGACTGACCAAGGACAGCTACCATTGCAAATAAGGTGTTTCAGTGCTTAAGGTTATAGAGAATAGATGGGTACTTTCAGTATGAGCAAAGTGCATTATATTTGCAAGTCTGAGAGTCTAAGTCTAAAATGGGTATGCATATATGTAAAGGAAAAAGAGAATCGTCTAATATGAAATGATGCCAGTATATGCAAGTCATATCTCATAAAAAGACGAAAGAAACAAGATGTCTATCTCTCCAACTGAATCAAATCACCAAATAACTTCCGATTCACAAGAAAAGAAAAAAGATACCTCGCACAGACATTTAGGCAACCGCCTTGATCTCTTCCGCAGTGCGCTGCTGCGTAACTTCCAGCTGTGTCTTCTCGGTCTCAGTCAGAGGCTGCTCAGCGCCGCGTCTCCGCTCACGAGACTCCGCAGTCTCCTTGAGCGAGGCATTGTCGCCCTCCTCATCGACAAACTCATAGGTGCGGAATTCGCAGTTCTTCCAGCCGGTGCCCACGACGGGGTCGAAGCCCTCCCAGTCCTGGTTGAAGTGGTGCAAGAAACCACCGTGCGTGACCATGACAATCTCCTTCTCCGGTCTGGCCTTGAGCCATTGGCGCGCGGCCTTGGCACGGGCGGTCAAGGCGACATCAGTCGGTGCCCATCTTCCTTTCTATACAAATTCGCTGTTAGCTAATGCACTCCTTTCAAAGCCGGGGTATCGACGACCGCCAATTGAATAGCTCATATTTTTGAGTATTCAATGCGCCAATCGTGAACATTAAAGGGGGGGGGAGGGAACACCAACCTTGCTGTTCCAGTCCTCTCCCACACGCGAGAGATCCACAGGCTGGTCCTTGAACTCCTCCTTCAGTTTAGGCAGGTCGCTGCCGGTATCGCATTTATTATCGCTCGTTTCCTGAATCTCGGGAAGCGCAATAACCGTCAGACCACGCTCCGTCTCGGGCTGGAATCCGATCAGGCAAGTGTACATGGTTCGGCGAATAGGAGAGGCGACGAGAAGATCAACGTTCTTGTGGTAAGGAAACTTCTTGCGGAGGTCCAGACATTGCTGCTGGCCCAGCTCGGTGAGGTCAGGGTCCTGGATGCCGTAAAACTGTCGACCAAGGTTGTGAACGCCCTGGGCGTGACGGACGCAGTGGACGATGGGAGCCACTGTCGCAAGGCAAGCATATTAGCATCAGGCCCGAAATAACAAACAGCGTTACCATGGCATAGAAAACCACATGTATGAAGCCCGCGAAAAAATAGGACAGGCCCAACAAGAGCTAGGAAATAGAGCCGACTTACTTATTCAACGTGTTATATTGGAGTCGCAAAGTGCGGGGCAATTGAGTAGGTAGATGTTTTGTTGACGATATAAATTGTAATACAGGGGATGCAGCCCTTATATGTAATGAGTAACTTTATATGACTCAGGGCGGGATGGCAAAACGTGTCAAAAAAAGTATGTACAGATCTCTTCAAAATCGGAGGAGAGTACTCCGTGGATGAACTTGTGTATGGCGTTGTTTGGTAACCAGTCAGACGTGGGGGTGGGTAAACGAACCACGGGAATCAGGTGGAAGAGGAACGTGGGTGAGAGAGACTAAAACACCTCATACGTCAAAGAGTCAGGCGCTTCTCGCTTCTTCTCTGAAAAATTGTCTGCCTTTTGCCCCTCGGGTCCCTCCCGGCGCTGCCGGCCGTTCCTCGGGTTCACCCCTATTGGTTGGCGCCTCCAGTAATCCGCCGGAAGATTTCGGTTAAACGTTAACCCGGCGCTAAATGCTACCTCCTTGGGCGACTTCCCTTTTTGGACTCAATATCAACCCCCACGTTCTCCGAAGTTTGGACAGAAAAGAAATGAGTGTGGGGGTGAGGGGAAAGGAGACGGGCAAGAACTAAGAGAGAGATTATCAAGAGAACAATAGGTAAATGCGACATTAACATTTATATGCATAGAGGTACCCTTGAAGCAAAAAGAAAATGCTAAACCCTGCGCCGCCCGTGTCATACGATCCCACGCTTCTGCCCTCGAGAAATATGAAAAAGATCGATAGAGGAAATGTACAGAGGAGTAGAAAGGCACCAGCAACCGTGAATGGACTCACTCCTAAAACAATGCAGAAAGACAAGAACTGTAGGTAGCTTAGGAAAATGGTCATGCTCATAACCAGTCCCAACGCCGTCGCCTCAAAATAATCACGGAACGCCGAATCCTTTGCCGTTCTCTAATGCAAGTCGGAGTTTTTCTTCAAGTTTTGCTTTGCTGGAATATTCGGGTAACAGCAAGCGTCCAAAGCAAGTGAGACTAGTTGGCACTCTCTATTTCTTTTGGTTAGCATCTACTCTTCAATGCAAGGCGGAAACATCCAAAACTTACATCACTATCCGGCCCATTTCGTTGGATAACAAATAAAATGCTCTCCACTCCATTGACAGGTACGCGATCACTTGCAGTCACAAATTCCAAAAGGTGTCTCTTCTCCACGGGAGAGAATTGCCGGACAATCTGCCAAAACTGTTGGATGAGCGGGTGACCAGAACTATAGCCGTCCTCGTAACGAGCGGTGCGTTCCAGAGCGTCAATATCAATACCCTGAACTCCTTCGACGATGCTTTGGAAGGCTTCAGGAGAGAACATCTGCACTATCGTTAGTAAAGGACTTGATGAACAGAAGTGGTCTTGCTGAAGCAGTGGAGCCATACCGATATTGCTTTGCGGTCCAAACAGACAAAAAAGCCCCGAGCAAAAGCCTCATATTGTGGCCGAATCGACTTATCAGTCAACCAGAAGATATAGTCTTTGACAAATTGCTCGCGATTACTATTTGTGACCAGCTCCGCTTCGTCTTCCGATGGCTCATGAGACACAAGTTTATCTAGAACCGCGCCCTCTGTTCGAGAATGGTCGGGCTCGAAGTTAGTCGCTCTCTTCTTTCCTTTCTTGCTGGGACTGTTTGTAGGCGGCCACTCAGAATTCCGGTCGAATTTCAGCATATCTACATTCATCACCTTGCCAAAGGCGTCGAAGCTGAAGTCATAGGTCCTCATGAAGATGTCTCCCACATCACCTTCGTTCCATTCTAACAACTCTGTAAGGCCTTTCGCCAGCTCCGGCCACCCGTCTTGGATATGTTCAATCTTGGTGGATTGCTGGCCCAAGAGCTTTCTGTATAGAGCTTTTGGGAACGTAATAGGCAATGTCAATCCGTTGTAAATGGCAATCGAAAATAAGAGACCCAGTAGCTCGAATTTGTACAGTGGTTCCAACGAGCAAGGCCGGAACCAAGTCATTCGAGTTCGGGAATCCACGGTAAAGGTTCCTACAGAGATATTAGAATGGAGAAATAAAAACACGTTGAATGTTCGTACCGTAATCTGAGTTGAGCGCTTCGCTGATGACCAGTCGGAAAAATTCCTGTTGTACACCACCATGATCCACGCCTTCCTCACCTTCACCCATCCCCATTCTGACTTTGAGTGGCCTCATGAGTTCTCTCTTTTCTCGACGCCACAACTGATTGAGAGCATCCAGCAAGACTTCATCTCGACGGACTTCCAAAACCAAGTACGTAGACATGGCTGTTCTCAATCGGTTGTAGAGACGCTGGTCCTCGCGGCTCCCTAATGGTTCGGCAAATGACATCTGCAGAACCAGCCGCGTCATGGTTACAGAAGCTTCAAAAGCCTTTGACATGTTTGAATAATTAATCGCTCGGAAGTAGCTGACCAAAGATGAAGGCGGAAACAGGAACGGGTATGATAAGATATGAACCGTCTTGGGGTTACGAGAAGACGAGAGCCATTCAACAGGCACCTCCATCGGGTCAAGTCGATCGGCGAGGAACGGAGTGTGGAACATTTCAGGCGTCAGACTGAATCGCTTCCGATTATTGTCTAGACTTCGTGTTAATGCAATTCACTTTATCATCGTTTCCCCAGTACTTACAAAGGTAAGAAAGAAATTCCAGAGCTCCCCCGACAACGCCCCATCGCTTTATTTCTCCTTTTCCATCCCATTCTTTTAAAAGAGCACTGCGAAACCATTCCAGCGCAGCCGCTGGAACCGACCATCCCGGTTCAGCGATGGTCTTGGTTACAACTTTAGACCCGGTCTCGTGATCTCCCTTGACAGTTTGTTCAAGGTGGTCTAAAATGATATCGAATAGGCGCTTTTCTGATGTAACGCGACCCATGTCATTGTCTCCTTTGGCCTCAGATATGCGAGAAAAGCATACGCGGGCTGCCACGGCCCTGAGAAATCTGCCGACGAAGCGGAGAGCTAAATCATCTTCAAGAACATCAATCCCTTGAAGCATAGGATTGACTAGTGCGCTATCGGCCGCAAGCAGGTTCACATCCGGTACGACTTTTCCGTGAGCTCGTAGGCGGCGGATAGCAACCCACGACTCGAGTGAACCCTTGGGAACTGCAGCCGCTAATGCGTGAAGCCCAATAATGAAGAGATGTGCTGCATCCGATTCAACTATAAACTTTGGCTCAAGGATATGGTTTTCTGCTGATTCTCCTGGTCCATCAAGCCCACCCTCTGGCAGCGACGATGGCTGCGCGGTGCTCTTGATTCGTGGGCTTCGCAGAGGGGTGAGTTCGGTTGGTGACACAAAGAGCGACTCATAGCCCTGCCACAGACTTATAAACAACATGCTATCATTCCTCCGCATAAGCATGCGCATTGCTGTGTCAATGTCGCGAGTCTGAGAGCCTTTGGATATGGTGGAGGAAGAAATCTGGTCATGCTCAATCTCATCACGAAATGATAGAGTCATTGCCTCCGGAGAGGAAAAGACATAGTAGATGCTTTGCGCCAAGAACGCCCTCGTTTCTAGATCACGCAGACTGAGAGCACGTCTGAGAGACCGCTTACCACGAGGTAGATTGAGGTTGATCGAGCGGAGGAATTCACGCTCCTCGGTGCTGATAGGGTCTGCAGAATCTTCGAGTTGTAGTAATGCCATGGCTATTTCATATGACAGATGTGATAATGACTGGGGCGGGTTGAAAAGCTTTGTCTGAAATGTGTCTATAGGACCCAATTGATCAATTCCATGCGGGGTATCAATAAGACTTGTCTCCTTCGCTCGGGCTTTCCCATTCGAACGAGAAGGAGTTTCCCTTGGAAGCCGTGGCGTCTTATTTTCATTCCTAGACTCTTTTATTCGATGGCTATGATGCTCTCGCTTTGCTGATTTCGCATCATGTCTTCGCTTCTCCCGATGACGAGCCTGCTCCGGGGATTGCGTGGACGGGAAATACGTTGGATCAAGGGTACGACCCATGGGCGTATTAGGAGGAGGAATTCGCGAAGCCTTTGTGTGGCTTTGGTGAGAAAGTCGAGGTTTTTGAACCTGCAGTACAGGTTGCTGCCGTTTTTCAATGTGGAGCGAGCATGATCTTGGCCTATGGCCTTCTGCCAGACGAGTGGCGTCTGCTGCGTTACGCTCAGAATGCCCGTTTCTTTGCAGATTTGGTCTGCCATAGCCCACATGAGATTCTTCCCCATCTTCATCACCATCATCATCTGGCGCTGCTGGGTTTGCCTGAACCGAGGTGTGTAAGGTTGCTGGGGCACCAGAGACGGCATAACTCTCGTCCTGTCCAACTGGGCCAGGAGAAGCAAGCATCGACAAAGCGCTTGACTCTTGGTCCTCCTTCCCTTCTGGAAGGAAATTCAAGGTGGCGGTTGAAGTAGGGAGAGGCAGCCACTCGAGCATTTTCATTGAAATCGTATCAAATAAATTTTGCGTAAATGATTTGGGGTCCTTTTTTTTCTGTTCCTTTTTTTGCTTTCGGTCTTCCTGTTCTGCCGATTCAGACTCCGCTTCATTCTGCCTTGCAAAACTTGCGTCTCTAGGCTTTTGAGGTAACGACTCTTGACGGAAAGCTGGGGTTTCGCTTGAATGATTTTGTTTGGCAGAAGAGGACCAGCTCTTGTGCCGCGAGCCATGCTTTACATGCCTAGCAGGTTTTCCTTCCCGCTCTATATTTGATTGATGATTTTGATCCAGTGACAGGGTGGTCTCGAAATCCGGTGGGATAACCGGCTGATGTGGACAAAGATCCTTTTCCGGATCTTCTTGTGTGGCCAAATAGCATGCAACCGTGCGAGCGCTAACGGGAGTCAACTTCCGCAAGGGTGCTTCGGTAATCCTTCGACGACATGAAAGACATGTGGGAGTGGTGCAGGCGGGGTTCTGACAACCATAAAGTAGCTGATTGATATACCTAGGAAGTACTGTCAGCATGCTTGCTCTTGCGACAGAATTTGAGAAAACTCAGTCCACCACCTACCGCCTCACTAGGAGATGAAATCGTGTGTTCCGCTCTTCTTGCTGTACGCCCCAAAGGCGTCGTCGATCCCTTACATAGATGGTATTCTTCACCAGAATATCCGGGGCATTAGATGGTAAAGTCGCATAGGGAGTGTCGAAGGGATATCTCGGTGTTGACGAAGAAGAAGTCCCTCCCTGAGCGCCTGAGCCTCCTCCAATAATTCTAGTCATATCATCGGCCGGGATTGTATTCCGGGTGCAGGCCTGAAACTCAGGTCTCCCGGGATGCGAGTCTCTCGGAGCTTGCGGCGAGCGGAGATCGGAGTGCGAACTCGTGTTTCGAGGGCTATCTCGCCCAACACATAACAGCTGAAAAGGAGTTATTGATATTTTTAAGAACTATAAAGTCCTTACTATCCATCTGAGAACCTCCGGTATGCCTTGCTCATTCATGTGCGAAGTGTAAGCCTAAGACGTCATTCACTGTTTATTGCCAGTCGGATGTGGAAGCCTGGCGTGAAGGTTACATGGTTGGTTGCTCTGGATGACCGAAGCCAGACGAGCAATAGCCACATTGGCGCATTCAGACTACCGGAGACATTAAAAAACGAAATGACAAATTAACTGCGATTATTAACGAATTTCCTTCTTCACACAGTCACAGATTTCTGAGACTTCTTTGTCTGATCCACTGTTGTGTGATAGAAGACGACAAGTTCAGTGTAAAGATACACTGAACGCCTCGTTGTCTCACTCAAAAAAAAACTACTTGTTTCGCTGAATCTGCTTTTTGGCCTTGTCAGCCTAAGCAGTCACATATTTTCATTGTGTCATACGGAAGTTTTGACCGCCTTGCCCCACTACTTACAGGGTCTGAGCGACACTTATCACTTTATCGCTCAAATTTAAATTGTCCCGCCACCTCACATCAGTCTCTTTGGGAGCACGTTATTCCAGAATTTGTGAGAAAGCGTTTGCTTCAGACCGTTCAAAATGTCTGCACGAGCAAATGTCGCGCAGTCACACCCTTTTACCTGTAACACATGTCAGGTTGCGTTTCGAAGCAGCGAGTTGCAGCGCGGCCACATGCACAGCGACTGGCAGTATGTGCTCTACTATTTGGTATTTTGCAAGCAGAAATATGTACTAACGGGTGAACAGTCGATACAATTTAAAGCGCCGAGTTGCTTCATTGCCGCCTCTTGCTTCGGAGGCATTCGCAGAAAAGGTTTTGTCTGCACAGGCGTCCACCACTGCCGCTGCCGCAAAGGCTGCCTTTGAAAAGAGCTGTGATGCCTGCCAAAAGACATACTATAGCGAAAATGCGTACGCGAATCACCTTGGTAGTCAAAAGCACCGCGCAAACGCTTCTGCGTTGAAGAACCGGCCAGCGACCAACAAGCAGGATGATGAGACACAGTCTGTCATGAGCTCGACGTTTTCGCTTGGCGAGCCGGTGGAAGTTGGTTCGACTATCGAGGAAACACCCGCGGCGGAGAAGGAATTCAGCAACGTTGTGGACAGCTTAAAGAATGCAACTATCAATGACAAGGAGCCAATCTCACGGCGGCCCACTCGACCTCACCACAGCTCGCAAGACGCCAGACCCGAGCATCCATTGTCCCAAACGACTACCGAGACCGAAAAGGCAGATAACGAAGATGAAGACGCAGACGGCGAAGAAACCGAGGAATCTGTGCCTCTATCCAAGTGTCTTTTCTGCAACCTCGAGTCTCCCAGTCTCGATGTCAACGTCACACACATGAGCAAAAACCACGGCATGTTCATTCCTGAGCGACCATTTCTTGTTGACCTCGCTGGCTTGGTCAGCTATTTGTACGAAAAGATTGCGGACCTTCACGAATGTTTGTACTGCGGAAAGTTCAAGTCTACGGCAGAGGGTGTGCAAACGCACATGCGTGACAAGGGTCACTGCATGATTGCCTACAGCACCGAACAAGAAATGCTTGAGATTGGTCAATTTTACGATTTCCGAGGCACCTACTCTGATGAAGAGTCGGAAGAGGACTCGGAATCATATGACTCCGAGGAAGAAGACGAAGAATGGGAATCTGCCGATGAAGACGAAGAAGACGAAGACCTTGCACGGTCTCCTGGCGGTGGCGTCAAACTGGGCGCCAAGCGCGACGCACACACGAAGACGATGTTGACGACTGAGGATGGTGCGGAGCAAGAAGTCGCGTCTGGCGCCGAGGAAGGCGAAGGATGGGAAACCGACAGTGATGCCTCATCTGTTGCTTCTGACGAAATCACCGCTATCCCCGTCGATGTGTATCCTCGACGGGAGAAGCTCGTCAAGCACCGGCATCACTCTCACCACGACCCACGCCCGCATCGGAACGCCGACGGGTGGCATTCCCGCGCCCACACGACGCCACGTGCAGTTTATCATGATGACTTTGAGCTGCATCTCCCGTCTGGTCGCACCGCCGGACACCGCAGCTTGGCCAAGTACTACCGCCAGAACCTGCGCAACTACCCTACTCCCGAAGAGCGCGCCAACCAGCAGGCTATTGCCGAAGATGCGCACGTCTCATCAGACGACGAGCGCGGTGCTGGCATCGACGGCGAGGGACGCGGCCGAGAACTCCAACAGCGCGGCGGCCGTGACCGTGGCAGGCAAATCATTTCTCGCGCCAACGGCGGCACGGGCATGCTGGGCGTGACTGATGGCAAGAAGAAGGAAGTCAGCGCCACCGAGAAGCGCGAGACGAAACGCGGACAACGCGCCCAGGCCCGCTACCAGTGGGGTGTCGAAAAGCGGGGCAATCACCAGAAACATTTCAGAGTATGTTTACCTTATCCTTATCCCCTTACTCATTTACCCTTCAATTTCTTTTTCTCTTCCCCTTCCTACGCTCCATTTTTTCTCCTTCCCTTTTCTTTTCACTCAACTAATTTCATCTCCACAGGATCCACTCCTCCAGTAAATTACCAAACGGTCAACCCCAGCGCTCTTCTTGCTGGAGCCGCGTGTGCTTTCTCTTCCAGTTTCCGGTTCTTTTTTCCTCCTCAGTCGACACATCTTTCCCCCACATGGATTATTAGGGTTTACCACGAATTCTCCTAGTCTCTCTCCCTTGGCAGTGTCCATCTTCTGATTTCCTTCTCTTGGCATTAGTCCTCTTTTCCTTGCTCGATTTTTCTGTCCCTTTTAGATTAGTGGATTTCATATGATGGTAGTTAGTCCATCGTAGTTTCTTTCTCCTTTTTTTCGTTTCGGTATCCTTACTCTTCGGTATCTTTACTTTTCGGTATCTTTTAACTTTTTTCTATTGGTTATCACACTAGTACTGTTATACCATTTGAATGTGGTCCGGACTTTTATCTAGCTAGCTACCTTTCTTCCTACCTTTCTTCCTACCCATTTCCTCCCCCTTTTTTTTTTTTCCTGTTAGCGCTGCATTTATACAGCATCTTTTTTTTTCTGCTGTATTCGTTTAGTTTTTCCTGCCGCCGTCTCTTCAAATTCTCTTCTGTTCATGTGCCTCCTTACATACCTACCTAGATCGATGACACTATACAATTGTATGCACATACATCCATACATCCATGTATACATCTCGCCATGTAATCATGTCTACATGTCTACGTGGGATTATTTGAAGTTGAACTTGAGAGTGTAATTGAAATTGAAATTGAAAGCAAGATGCATACAAAGTACAGTGATATTCTATTTTTGCATATCTTGAAGAAATGCACTATTGAAAATCGGAATTCGAACTGAAACTGAATTCGAAATAATAATCTAAATAACATAGAGCCAAAGGAGACAACAAAACAAGCTTAAAAAACATGACTTAACAAAATAAGAATAAGAAAAAGCAAAATAAAAAGAAGAGGAAGAAAAGAAGAAGAAGAAGAAGAAGGGTATCTACGCTTTGACGCTAGCTTGACTTGCTAAAGAAAAAGAAAAAGAAAAAGAGCGCAGGTCATCAAGAGCAAAAGGTCGAATTCGTAGAAAGCTTTCGGAAAAAGAGCGAGGGGAAGAATCAAACGGCTCAAAAGACTGCAAATGTAAATGTCAAATGTGCGAACACGTAAGGAATAGTCAAATGATTTTTGAACACCTAGAGGGAATGGGGAAGTGGGGGGGCAGTGAATCAAAAATTCTAAGATGCTCGCTTTTCTTGACATTGTCAAAGTGTGAGATGGAAGGGGAAGAAAGAGAATAGAGAGGGCAAAAAAAAAGAAGAAAAAAGAAAAAAGAAAGAAGGGATTGTAATTAGATGACATCTCTCTTTTCCATGTTGCCATATGTACTACCACTACCGTACATTGCCGACTGATTAATAATTACCGGGATCAATACGGATTGCCAGGCCCAGGCTTGTATGGATTGTACGGGACATAGCCGGCTCCTGGGTTCGACGGGGCGCGGTAGGGCATTCTGCCGCCTGGCTGGGGAGTTGGGTGCATGCCCATGGGTCCAGGTCCAGGTCCAGATCCAGGTCCGGCAGTCGCTGCTCGTCTAGGGAGCGGCATCGGGCCAGGAGCCGGGCCTGGAGCGGGCCCGTATTCCTCGTCCCCGCCGTCGCTGCTGCCATATGCATCGTAGATGCTATCGTCATAGGGGGAAGTGCTTGGTGGCGGAGCGGTGCCCGAGCGTGGTGGCAGTGCGAGGTATTGCTGTCGCGATGCGCTGGTGCTGTTGCCACGGGAAGGGTAGTGGAACTGATTCATTGGTGGGCGAGTGGCTGGCGGCACGACATGAGATGTGGGACTTGGCTCTGGCTCTGGCTCTGACTGTGGCTCAATCTCTCCTTCGGGCTCGACAATAGTAGCCAGGACAGGCTCGTGCAGAGGATATGGAGTCACAGGTTCCACACCATTGCCACTGGGACTCAACGGACTGGTGGCATTTTGGTCGGCAATTGGGGGATTGTGGACTCGTGGGTTGAATGCCACAAAGCCTCCGCCGTTGCTGGCTGCGCTTGCAGCTCGTTGGACACCAGTGGTGACTGGCGCAGTCTGCTGCTGCGGTGGCGGCGGTTGTCTTTGGTGCTGCTGCAATGGCATAGCTTCATACACAGGGCTCTGCAGGCGAGGCATTGGTGCAGTTGCAGATCGTTGAATGGGGTCAATCAACGGATTAGGTCCAAAGTTGGGACCTCGAGGGAATGCGCCGCGCGGAACAGCACCTGGAGGCCCTGGAGTCCGACGGCCTTGTGGAGTGTCCCAAGTTTGAGGAACGCCGCTCATGGGAGGAGCAGTATTGGTACGCATGGGTGGACCCATAGGCCATGCCCCTGGGCCCGGTGGACCTTGAGGTTGCGGTAACGGTGGTCGATTGAGAGGATCGGCATATCGTCGGCCGTTTGGATCGTATGGCGGATTTGGCATTCCTGGTCCTTGCCGTGACTGAGACGGAGAAAACGTTGTCTGGTCGCCATTCTGTCCAGCATCATCTCCTTCCAGGAAGCCTGGCGCGGTGTTAAGACGAGGTGGACCGGCTTGTGGAAGCTGCGGCCTCTGAATGCCGGGAGGTGCGGTTCGTCGGCCATCTAATTCTGCGGGGTCAGGGTACGGTCTCGGCCCAGGGCTCTGTCGACCTTGTGGTCCTGCCCACGGCGGACGGCCATTCGGGCCAGGACCTGGCGGCATTCCGCCTAACATCGCTGGCATCGTGTTTTGGCGAACAGGTGGTGGCATGCGCCGAGCCCCTGGGGGAAGAAGTCCTCCGCCGGGCGTCATTGAACGTTGGGGCACTTGGGATGCTCCAGTCAAACTACGTTCCAGCGGAGGGCGAGGTCCACCCGAATAAGCACCCGGATAGGGACCTGGACCGTTGGCGCCATCTGGCCCGCGGTATGGGCGAGTTGACGGCGCCCGCCCAGGAGGTCCATACCCCATTTGCCCTGCCGAGCTAAGTAGCGGCGCATCAGAGTCATAGCTTGTGTTGGACATTTCAGACGCATATGTGCCGGAACGAAATGGACCGGCAGGACGTTTCTCGCCGTAGAAACTTGTCGGGTCAGACGGTGCTGGACTGGTCCGACCAGTTCCCGTTGACGGTCTCGACGCGTAGGACGGGAGACTCGAGTCTGTGGCTTGTCGTTGCAAAGGCTTAATCTCCTTGAGCTCATTGACTTCTGGTTCGATGTTGGGCAAAGTTGGCGATCGCTTCGGTCCGCCAAAGGGCCCGTCGGCCTTGGCAGCTGCCTTGGCTTCTTCCTTTTTCCGCTTTGCTTCTTCTTTGTCAATGGCCTTTTTGGCTTTTGCGTTGACAATCTTATTCAGCCGACTATCAATCTTGCGTTTACAAAATCCAGAAAGACCATGGTCCGCTGCAGGAATGTGGTGCCAGAGGAAAATGAGATAGAGTACAATCGCGACAAAAAGACTAAGGGCGGCAATGACCCAGATGAAGAGCGTAAAAAGCATGCTAAATACAGTGACGGCTTGAAGTTTCTCCGTCTCTGCGAGAGTTTCAACGTTGATGAAGAACTGAATAACCGGGGAGTGGCCGTTGCTAGGGGCGTTTTGCCCCTTTGGAATGAATTTCGCATTCATCACCGAATATAGAGTCACAGCGTTGACAAATTGGCGTGGGCCCTCGGCAAAGACAATTCGTATCCATGCTGTAAACCACTTGAATCAGCTTTTTGTTCACGACGGTCAAGGGAAGCAGCATGCCTTACTCTTAAACGAGAAGTAAGCGAAAAGCGCAACATATTCCGAGCCTTTTTTACTCTTGGTCAATTCAGCAAAGACCAGAAATCGTCTCCATCCACGTCCAGTGGAACCCATGCGGATACTCTGTAGAATGACGGCCAGCGGGTCAAGGTAGCTCTCAGCGACATTGTCACGCCGGATGACGCGGATGGCCCTGAGCCATTCGAAACCCAAAAGTACCCAGGAAAATATGATACATGCGGCGAAGATCCATTTTGATATGTACAAGGGAATAGCCGGCTGTATCTGGCCCGACCAGCGATTGAAGGCGAGCAGGTTCACAGCCGTAAAGGTGTCGGCGGCGTAGACGGCAATGGATATGATTATTCCAATATATATTAAACCGTACGAGAACGGTGCTAGGCAGGAAGAAGATCTGAAGTCATTGAGATTCTGATATTTCCATTGCAATTAGCGCTCCTATTCCTTCACCAGCGTCAAGGATACACTCACAATATAACTCCATTTATGCTCTTCCCTGACTTCAGCCAGCTTTTCTCGCTCTCCACAGCAAGGCATTTTGGTTAGATAGCGAGAGAATATTCAAGATTGATATGTGAGGAAAGTTTGACTGGCCGGCCAGTCAACTTTGTGTGCTGTGATGGAAGCTGGACGATTCAATTCGTGGACCGCTCAGCGTTGGGTATCAAGAAATGGTGCTTCGAGGAGTTTGCAACAGGACTTCCTCGTTCAATAATTGTAATTTAGCAGACCGGCTGTTTTTGTTTCAGCTTACTGAGGCGTGATCGCACCGCGATCGCAGTAAAGAGAGGCGTTGTGTAAGGTCAATAATGAGAGAACACACATTCAATTGTGTTGAGACGGAAAGAGTGTGAGTTAGAAAGTTCTAGTGCAGAAGAAAGGCGACAAGATGCGCTGATAATCTCGACATTGTAGGGAAGAGGCGTGGGGGAGTCAAAAGACAATTGCGATGAATTATTGTGTCAATAGCGAGAGACAATGAGCGAAAAGGAAGCGCGGACAGGGGAGCGTCTGTTGGACGGCCACAACCCAGGTCGGCAAATCGGCGGTCGAGTCTCGAGAGAGTTGGGAAAAGGTAGAGAATGACAAGAGACAGTTCTGTTCCCCCGCTTCTTCCAATATGCCGAAACACCCCAAGAGCGACAAGATTAATAAAGCGAGCTTTCAAGGCTGTCGTTCTCGGGATAGTGTATTCCGGTGAAGGAGAGAAGAAACTCTGAGCTCACGATGACCGCGATTGGTGAACAAGAGAAGGATCTTGGCGCCGTCACTCCTGCTCCAGAGAATTTCACAAACTGTCAAAGAAGGACCGACGTGCAGGCAATGGAGGAAGATGAAGCACGCGCCGTACAACGGTACATGGCGAAGAGAGCGAGGGCGACTACCGTGACATGCAAAACCCCTGAGTAAGGTGGATCACCCACTCAAAATGTTCGACATGGGCGGGTCTGAGGGGACAAGACGAGAGGGGGGCCCCTTGTGGGGGCGGACGGTAGTTAACTAGTTGGCTCTCGAGGGGTCAAACTATTAGTTTCATTAAGTTTCATGCGTCTTGGTGTTTTAGATTGGACTTGTCCAGGGCGCTTCTGCCCGTCATTGGCCCATCCGCTTTAACCGCCCGTCACACTGACAGCCAAACTAAACTACAAGCGCCATCACTAGCAGAGTCATTAGTTCCCTAATTTAACCTCACCTCATCCACGGTTCGTCTTCATTATGGCTACACCCGAGTCTTCTAGCAAAGAATGATATTATATTAACCACAGCAAATATTGTAGTATTGCTTGAGCGAGTCTCGTCTGCGTAATCATAAATATTGCAGCGAGAAAAGTTCCCCAATAAGAATATCCATCGGAACTTGTAGTAGTAATAATGGAACTCTGAGCCCCGAATTCCCAGTAGACCCTCCGTAGGAAATGAAACTCCTCTAACCTCCCGATTAAATCTGTCAATGCATTCAGACTCTCCTGCAAGAGAAGGTAAGCGTGCAGAGAGAGAACGCGACAATCCAGACAGACTTGAGAAAGCAAATACCGCCTTAACGGACCCCAAAGACAAAGAAAAGAAAGAAACAAGAACAAGAGAAACCCAACGACATCCCCCAAAAATTCCAAAGCAATTCCCATCAAATCCCCACCAAATCCTCAAAACCCAAATCCACCCCCTTACGCCCATCCCCCTTTTTTTTTTTTTTTTCTTTTTTTTTTTCTCTTTTATGTTTTGTATGTTGTTGTTGTCCGGCTTTTCCATGTCTATATGGTGCTTTCTTTTCGGTTTGTAAATGGTCCAATGTGGTCGGTGCTGATGCAGATGTCTTGACGGGAGAAGATGTGATCGTGTGAGCGGTGGAGGAGGAGGAGTCCCGGGCGATTCATTCTCAATGCTCTCGGGCACCAGTCGAGGATAGAAAGACTCTTCTTGGCGCTTTGAGGGAGTTAGTTGCATAGACCACTTGTTTTTGGGAGCGTTTAAATTCTTACCGTGGGAAAAAGAGAGCAAGAGAGACCAGCAGACAAGACCGGAGGGGGAACAGATGAGAGAACAGCCGGCGAGGGGAACAGTCCCCAAGGCTTGGTCGACGAGGGCAAGACCAGCACGCCCGAAGAGGCGTGATTGAAAAGGGACACACGGGCCCCGGCACGGGAGGGACTACGAGTTCTGACAGAGAACGGCGAAGCATATCAGGGGAAGGGCTGGACTCAGGAGGACCGTTTGTTTGCGTGGACGGGAGAAGTGTTAGCAGAACACAGGAAACACAAGGCTGGAGACAACGATACTAGGTCACCTTGAGAGAGAAGACGGTGAAGTAGAGAGAAATTGGCTCGCAAGCTCCCAAGACCATCCAACTAGTAGGATATGTGGGGATGCCACTCGAGAAGCATCATGAGCCAAGAACAGCTGTTCCAAGTCCAGAGCTAAGCGCAGGTTCCAGACCAAGGGAAGGTGGGTGGAAGCGAGGGTAGTTTGACAATCGAGGGCTAGAATACCAGGCTCTAAAGATATTTGGCTAATGCGGCAAGTTAATTCCGTCAATCAGCAAACAGGTTCCGAAGAACCCGTTCAAGCCGAGATCAGGAAGAAACTGTACAGCCGCATTCACAAATATCCTTTATGAGCCGGATTCATGGCCAAGCCAATCTCCGCACACTTCTCCACCAACTGCCTTGCGGCTTCAACCACGCCGCTCTTGTCGGACTTTTCCCAGCTGGAGGTCAACGACACTGACAGCATCACCGTGTGCAGATAGGACTTCTGCACCACATCCGCTAGCGTTTCCGGCCCCAAATTCTTGCGCAACTCGTCCCATACTAGAGCGAATGCCTCCAAGCGGGCCTTAAGGTCATAAAGACCAATAATGGAACCCACTGGGCCGCTGCTTTTCGACCACGCCACGCAGCTTTCGTGCAGCTCGCGTCCCAGGTGGTACATCCGCTGGAAAGTCAGGTTCGGATCCTGCTTCCAAGCCTCATCTGTACCCTCTGGACCACGCGCTGACGTAGCAGTCACGGCCGACTCAGCTGGTGCTGGTGTCGGATCCGCAGGCGCTGCGGGGGCCTCTACAGCGGGCTTTCTGGATTTGGGCATCAGGACGTGCCTAAGTTTTCCCGACGGTTCCGAATCTCCCTTCGAGTCATTGACAGGCTCCGACTCCGGCTTAACGCCATGCTCGCCGTTGCCAATTTGAGCTCTCAGTTTGACCAGTTCCGTCTGAGCGTCCGTCAGCGCCGCCTCCATCCGGCAGACATCTTCCCTAGCGGTGACAAGTTGGCCCTCAAGGTTAGCCGCCGTTGACTGAGAAGCGTCCCGCTCTAAAAGAGCGTTCTGCAACTCGGTCTCGAGCGTTTGACCAGTGCCAACCAAGAGGGTCTTCGCCTCTTCCTCCTTCACCCTCGCCAAGTCTGCGGCCACCAGCTGCGATCCGAAGATCTCCAGCTGCTTGTGGGCGGTCTCAAGACTCGCCAGCAGTTCCTGCTTGTGCCCAAGAAGCTTGGCGTTCTCCTCCTCGCAGAGACTTTTCTTTGTTGACATCTCATTGAGGTCTCCCCGAAGAGCCCTCACCTCGGCCTCCAGGTTCTTCTTCTCCTGTTCAGCATGAGCCGCAGCTTCAGCAGCGGCAGCTGCGGCGTCCTCCTTTGTCCTGCTCAGCTCCGTCTCAAGGCGGGAGCATCGAGCACCCAACTATGGCATGTTAGTAAATGAAGCTCTGAGGAAGTGGTAGTGAAAAATGAACCAGCCGGGAAAAGAAAGAGAGCAAAGCCAAGGTGGAAGTAAAATAAAAGACTGAGAAAAAGCGTGCAAATGAAACATAGAAGTCAAAGCCAAGAATGCAAAATGGGTTATGAAAAACATGTTTTGAGAATTGCGCGACTTACCTCCGTCTCTCCAACGCAGCGCTTGAAATCCTCGAGGGCCTTTCTCGCAACAGCAAGCTCACGTCCATGCTGTTCGGCAACCCTCTCGGACTCTCGCGCTGCGGCGTTTTCGAACTTCGTCTGTACAGACAAAGCTCTATTCTGCCAGTCGTGGACTTCGGCCGCGAGACGACGTTCCATCTCCCGAGTTGCCTTGATCCGACGGTCAGTAGCCAAGGCATACTGCTCGCGCAGATGGGCAAGTCGATCCTCGAAGGTTCGTTCGTTCTTAGCAGAAGCCACCTTGAGCCGCTCGTAGTCCTTCTTGACGGTACGGAGCTCTTGCGCACTTGCACCCTGGCCAGCCTGGATCCGGGCTAACGAGGCTTCCTTACCGGTGCAAGTTTGCTTGAGCTCGCGTACATGGAGTTTCTCCCGTGCCAGGGAGACAACCAGCCACAAGACCAACAACAAAACCAACGAATCCCGGATGCTCTGAAGGGTAGAGAAGTGAGTTAGCATTACCGCTCCGTGTTAAATTTAAACTCTCAGGGGTTATACACAGGTGGGAGAGAGGATGGTAAAGTGGGCAAAAGGGGGAATGAGATTCAAAGAGGAGAGCGAGGAAGAGAAAGCAAAGGAAATGAGAGAATATTTACTATGATAGCATCCAGGAGAGCCTTTCTGGCTTCCATCCCGGTCTTGACCCCGATGCAATAACGGCGGACGGAAATCCTGTCCGGCGTCACGTAAAAGAGTGCTCCATCGCACTCCTCCGTTATTGCTCGGAGGCCAAGACCGAAACAGAAGCCAGACACACGCAACACAAGGTCTCCCAACGTCTCCTGGTACCTGTACAGGAGCTGTTGAATTTGTTAGCGAATGTAAACAAACAAACTAACGGGTAAGGCAAGAAGGATGTGGAAGGGGTCAGAGTATTAACTTACAATCAGGCCCCCCAGGAACTTGACCGGGTTCCTGAGGGGCCACAGGAGACCAGCATCCAGCCGGTGCTGGATGCGGTCGAACAGGGGCACCCAGGGCTCCCACCACAAGGACATTGCCAGCATGATGCTGGCGACCTTCTCAGAGAAGGACGAAAACATCTGGAGATGTCAGCAGTCTTCAGATTTCTAAGCTACGGAAGCTGGGATTACTTTTGATATGTTTGAGATGGTTGTAAAAAAGGTTTTGTTTGTGGAATGATTTTAGAGATGTGTAAACGGTGGGAATGCGGTTTTTATGGAGAAGAGAAGAAAGAAAGAAGAAGAAGAAGAAGAGAGGAAGGAAATGGCTTCAAATAGTTGTTTGTGTGCGCGGTGGCTGGCAGTAAGCGAAGGTTTTGAGTGAATATCTAGCAGAAAAAAAACTTGAATGGGCATTGAGAAGAGTTGCCACTGTGAAGGGGGGCTTCTGGGTGCATGGTGAAGTGAATACCAACAATGGAGGGGAGCCGGACATTGAACATTGAATAGACGGGTGGCGGGGATTGAATGGACGAACCTGCAATCGACTTCGGTCGTAATGAATGACAATAGAAGAATAGGAACAATGAGAGCTGAGTATTGTTGACAAACTTGAATGGAGCTCAGATTTTCTCCTTGATTAAAAGATTCCGTAGCATTGAATATGAATATCACCATCGAGACGTTTGATTCAATGTCTGCATTGCCGGGACGGGACGTGGAAGCAAGTTTGAGTCAGACATCAATATCACAGCAAAGGAATCACGAATAGAGCATGAATAGAGTAGGGTTTTTTCGTCGATATATTTCGATTCAGTAATCTATTGTTTCTCTAATGGCATCATATACCCCTGCGCGAGGTTGTTAGTCTGTAAATGGGAGATTATCTTCTTCATCAAAGGTATAAGCTTACTCGTAACATCAGGGACATTGAAGCTCTCGTACACTAGGCCCATATGTGTACACCAGCCTGCAACGCGCTTGACAGGAGCTTCAAGATGGAGGAACGCACTCTCCTGAATAGTGGCTGCTACTTCTGCGCCGACGCCAGCATTGGTCATGCTTTCATGCACCACGACAGCTCGGCCAGTCTTCTTCACGCTTTCGAGCACGGTTGTTCGGTCCCATGGATAGATTGATCTCAAATCAATCAATTCAGCCTTGACACCAAGATCCTTCTCTGCAGCGGCCATTGCGGCAGCACAGGTGTAAAGGGGAGCCCCATAAGAGACCAAAGTCAAATCCTCGCCTTCTTTGAGAACCTCCGCTTTTGACAATGGCAACAAATAGGACTCTGTTGGAACCTGCTCCACTGCGGCTCGATATAATGCTTTTGGCTCCATAAAGATGACCGGGTCATTACAGGCTATGGAGGCGAGCAACAATCCCTTGGCTTGAAGGGGTGAGCGAGGCATCACAACTCGCAGCCCTGGAATATGTGTGAAAAGGGATTCGGGAGACTGAGAATGGTATCTAGGCATAGGTCAGTCTTATTTCATCGATCTTCCCATGGAGGAAACTTTTTCATACAAAGCGCCGTGGCCCACACCTCCGCAAGGCATTCGCACAGTCAAGCCACCAATATGATGACCTGTTCCTCCCGAGCGGTAACGAAATTTGGCGGCTTCATTAACTAACTGGTCGAATGCAGGATAAACATAATCTGCGAACTGAATCTCTGCAACCGGCTTCATGCCTTCTGCTGCACATCCTATAGCAAATCCGACAATTCCCTGTTCACTGAGAGGCGTATTAAATACACGATCGGAACCAAATTGGGTGGCTAGGTTCATGGAGCAGCGAAACACGCCGCCAAAAGAAACATCCTCGCCGAAGAGAAGCACGCGTTCATCAGAGGCCAAGGCATGGGTGAGAGCGTCATTGATGGCCTGGAACATATTCATGCGCTTCGTTGTCGAGGACTGGACATTGGCGGGCAATTCAGGATTTGCGAGAGCCGACTGCGGTGCATGATGAAGGATTGGTGTCGATGAGTAGTCGGTGGAAATATTCAGCCGGGCATTGGGGAGATGTGTTGAATACAGTCTCAGGGCTCTTCCGATATAGCGGGATTGAGCAACAGGCCTCAGCTGCACACGTTTCAGGGGGAGAAAGCAGGCCATATTACAAGGATAGACGGCCATCATGTCTGAGGCACTGAATGCAAAGGAAAATGCATGGTCTGCGGGAGTAAAATGATGCTACAAGGCGAGTTAAAGGACTTCTGGAATGGGATACCTATCGGGTATTAGAAAAGAAGAAGTGGAGGTCCAAGGGTCTCTCGAACCCATACGATTGCTCGGGTGTTTAGGTGCAGTATTTTGTGCGTAGAAATGGTGAAGTTGCGGCAATGACGCCCCTTGGTTGCCGGCTACACTCGGCTTCCCCAGTGCGGGGGAACTAAGACCCTTTTGGAGAGAGAGACTCAGGTAGCGAGTAGCTTAATACTGTTTCTGTGCTCAGGCACGACAGATTTACCTGGGGTCTGTACGGGGGATCTGTCAGGGCACACTGCATTGTATTCGGTATAAGGGAAAGCAAATCTCTTAGTTATATCGTCCAGTAGTATGGTTGCAGTACGTAGCATTATTTCATGCGGGAGGAGAGAGACACGTTCGCAAACTTCTAAATATTCCTTTCGGCTAGCGCGTGGTTACAACCAATATCTCTCGCAAGAGTAAGAATACTATTATGCTAAGCTATATCTCTGTAATAAAGATATACAGCACGTAAATAAAATATCTCCTGTATGATTATTCTAAGGGGTTAGAGTGGATAAGTGTGCTCTTCTCCCACATTTTTTTTTTTTTTTTTTTCTGTTGGGATAGCTAGGGATATCATAATTTATCAACAAAAAGCTTTTTATAATCGCTGGGCAATGGAAAATGCTCAGGTTTAATTTCCTTGTTGCAGTAAAATTATGTAAATATTCACCATAATTTTATATCATTACGGAATTCAAAAATATAAAAAAAAGAAAGAAAAAAAGTGAAATTAAAATTACCATAAAATCAAGCACAATTCAGCCGATAGAAACAGGAGGACCTTGCTGGTAGGATGAAGATCAGAGATCAGTTACGACTCCTTTCAGGCAACCAGGTGTCGTGTGACTGGTTCCACATGGAGGAATTACTTAAGCAAGTATGACCTGTATAACCTGAGATGGATCCAACGGGGATTCTTCTGTTACGCAGGCAGGGAAGAAATTCTCGTTCGGTGGGGCAGAAACGGCAGGAACGGGAGAGCAGCAGTGTCATCGTTACAGTTATTTTTTCTTGGCAGCCGAAGCAAAGCATGAATGCACGGCATCTATATAGGTTGTTTATAGGTGTACTAGGATAATTTGCGCGACAACCTGTTTACCAATGGGTAGCCAAATTACGCTTCTCATCATGGTTCCTTCTGCTTTCATGGGTCGCTCCTGCCTGTTTCTTGGCTTCTCGTTTGCGCCCGCGCGGACGCACGCGAAGTAGCCGACACGCCAAAGCTCCGAGGGCCGAAACAGGGTTCAGTTCATCGCCATCGTCGGCACCCTCGCACCATCAAAACTGCAGGTGCAAAACCCACGCTAACAGCAAATCAGAGCTCGTAGCGAGGCCATACAGTAACACCATCGATGCTACCAAAATCTCCAAATCAGCTCGGCCCTTTTCCCTCCCCACTTACCCGTGCATAGCATTCTACTCTTCTTCTTCTTTCTCTCCTCCAATTTTCATTCGAACTCTACTGCTCGATCTTCAAATCCTTCGTCGAGTTCTCTCTTCATTCAATTGTCCCCGTCTCATTGGCAGTGACGCAATAGTTCCCCCTCACTTTGCAGCTTCCTAATTCCTCTTTAGGACAAAGCGTAACAACTTTATCCGTGGGGACGCGGATATTGTTGTTGCGCGTCCATCAGCCAAACACATCTGCCCATCATGTTACCTCGAAGTGCAATATCAGGCACACCTGGCATGGTGCGCCCCACGATGGCCCTGCCCTTTCTCAAAATGCTGTTTATGACTTTGCTTGCCAACCTTCCGATGCTTCGTGCAGCTCCTCTTCTATCTTCGTTTCCTGTCATTTTGGACGCCCCCGAGGGCAAACCTCCTACTGACCCTCGTCTTTGGGTTTATTTGGGTGTCGCCGTTGTTCTCGTTCTCCTCGGTGGAGCTTTTGCCGGTCTCACCATCGCGTAAGTGCTGGCGCTCTGGCGAATGTGTTTATTGACTTACACTGACCTCTATGCTCGCTTTTTAGTTTGATGGGCCAAGATGAAATTTATCTACAGGTCATTCATACTTCGGGCGAGGGAGCGGAGCGGAAACACGCTGGCAAGGTTCTCAGGCTCCTCAAACGTGGAAAGCACTGGGTTCTTGTCACGCTCCTTTTGGCCAATGTCATCACCAACGAGACCTTGCCCATTGTCTTGGATCGATCTCTCGGTGGCGGATGGCCCGCTGTTCTGAGCAGTACCGTTCTCATTGGTAAGCTTACAATTGCCCGTAAAGGACTCGGGCGAACTTTAACACGTTTGCAGTTATTTTTGGCGAAATTGCTCCGCAATCCGTCTGTGTCCGTTATGGCCTTCCGATTGGTGCTTTCATGTCTCCTTTCGTCTTGGTTCTCATGTGGCTCCTTTCTCCAGTCGCATGGCCCACCGCGAAGCTGCTTGACTACCTCCTTGGTGAAGACCACGGCACCACCTATAAAAAGGCCGGCTTGAAGACGCTTGTAACTCTACATAAGACATTGGGAGCGAGCCCAGCAGAGCGCTTGAACCAGGACGAGGTCACAATCATTACCGCTGTCTTGGATCTCAAGGCCAAGACAGTCGGAAGCATCATGACCCCAATGGATGATGTCTTCACCATGTCGGCTGATCAAATCCTGGACGAGAAGACCATGGACACGATCCTCTACGCCGGATACTCGCGAATTCCCATTCACGCACCCAATGATCCCCGCAATTTTATTGGTATGCTGTTGGTCAAGATGTTGATCACCTATGATCCCGAAGATGGCAAGCGTGTTCGCGACTTTTCTCTGGCTACCCTACCCGAGACTCGGCCTGAGACGAGCTGCCTCGACATTGTCAACTTCTTTCAAGAAGGAAAATCCCACATGGTGCTAGTTTCTGATTTTCCGGGAGAGAACTTTGGCGCTCTCGGCGTTGTTACCCTGGAAGATGTCATTGAAGAGCTGATTGGCGAGTAAGTTGCTACACCTTGACCTGGCCTACTCTTCTAGTCGCGTCTAATTCGGCCCTTGAACTTTTTTTTTTTTGTCGATGTGAATTCCTTGCTAACATGGCCTCTCTGCAAAGGGAAATCATCGACGAGTCCGACGTTTTCGTGGATGTGCACAAGGCCATTCGTCGAATGGCACCGGCACCTAAATATCGTGTTCCAAAGGGGGAATTTTTTGCAGAGACACCGACTTCCATAGCCCCAGGTAACGAGTCCCAACTTGAGAGCGGTCAAGCAGTTGAAGCCGTAGAGCAGGCTCTGGAAGACCAGACTGATGGTGCCCGCGAAAGACCCTCGCTCCAGGCCAAGCGTTCGTCGGTTCCAGAGGTCGACTCACCAAAGGCCACGTTCCTCCTTCGTCGCTCTTCCAGCGTGGCAGAAGGTGGCTCGGGGAGGGTCACCCCAGTCCAATTGAGAGCTACGGCGCCGGATCTGCGGCAACACCTGAGGCATCTGGGACCTTCCAACCTTGCTAGTCGACCGAAGCAAACGCGCTACGGTTCTGTCAAGATTAAACCTGCAGCTAATCTGCCCCCAAGTGCTGAAACGGCCGCAGCTCCGGTAACCGTTACGAGCTCCGCGCCGCAAGGTGGCATGGGCGAAGGCCTATTGGGCTCAGCCGGTCGTGCTGCTGCCGACGGCGTGCATGCTCTCCACCTGGGGTATGGGAGCTTTGACAAGACTAGCCCACTCCGTACGGTCCCTGAACACAATCGCGAAGCCCCGATCGTCGTTGGCGATGCGATCGCAGAAGAGCCGTCCAGCCCGACGAAGACTGCGAGCCCTAAGGAGAAGACCAAGTCCACTCCGGAGCGCAAGGACAGGCCCGTGTCTCAAGGCAGCATCATCTCTGTGCGTAGCCGGTCACGCTCCACTTCCCCGCTTACTAGACGTGATGCTGCTCGATCTGGAAGCATCACTGAGAATATTATCGACACTGGCGGTTTCCGGAAGCTTATCCTAGAGACCAATGATGGCTCAGATGAGATTGAGATTCAGACCAAGCACAATGCTGAAGCGGCGGACGAGGAGGATTCTGCTGGCCAGCGACCCGATATCATCCTCAGGAATACTGACGCGGTCGATGTGGAAATTGAAGCCTCGCCCCAAGAGCAACTTTCAAAGATATCTGAACCCAAGACCAGTCATGACGAACATCAGCCGAATGGCGATGTAGAGACTGAGAAACCAAACGGTATTGTTCCCCACGGCGATGAAAATCAGAAACCCGTCGCGAACCCGCCTGAGCCGAGTAGTAGCTCCGGCAAGAAGAAGCGAAGAAGAAAGAAGAAGTCGAAGAAGAATGGCGGGACCGGCACCAGCACCAGCGGCGAAAGCACCCCTTTGCTGGGAAATGCATAGACATATGTCTAACTGAACGAACGGACGCTATGACTTGAGTTTCCTTCTAGCCCATCGACCTGTTTCGCTTACCCCCGTTTGAAGCGCTCTTTCATCTGCAATCAGATCCTTGGCACTTTTGCCAAACTCCCACAACCTAGCATGTGTTATCACCAACCTCATCTCGCATGTGTATATTATCTCCATGTATTCCTCGCGGCAATCAATGCCACATCCTTGTCGCATCTCAAGGTTGGACCAAAATTTTATGTGTTCTCCCCGGAAGGAAGCGGACGTTCACCCCGTTCTTTTCACTTTCCTCTTCTTCATCTGCTGTCCTTTTATATTATGTCACCAGCAAGCCGGTGTGATTGCAATTCCGCTGATTGGGCTAAACCCTTTGGTCGCTCCAAGAGCTTGGACTTGGCGTTCTCTACCGTGTCTCTCTGCAAGGGTCCATTGGCTTCTGATTTTCGTGTATCCATACATACTAGAACAGGCCCTTCGAGTCTTGCCTGTTCCTTTTGTGGCTAAGGCGACGCAGCATTGCGAGTTGCCGGGTTTGGCCGGTTGCTTTCATTCTATGTACATGTATGTTTAACCACCGGGAAAAATCCGCCTGATTTTTATGAATTGGTGGGCCAGCTAGGGTATAAAGATAATGAGCAACGACCGTTAGTATGTTTAATTATCGCTTTAGCTCTACTTCAAGGCGAGAATAAGAATTCATATCCAAATCAATAACCTCAAACTTGCAGACAATGTGACACAAATTCTGAATCTACATGCGAAGTTTATCTAATCCTCAATTCTATCCCTCAGTCATGCATCATCTCTGAACACCCTAATCTGGGCAACGCCCTCGTCATCCACCCACGCTCGGAACATTCCCCCACAATTCATGTCCATTGCGATCTTTCCTTTGCCACTAACCAGCTCGATGCCAATTATTCCGCCTTCCCCTTCCCCGGTCACACCCCAGCGATCGCCTGCTGATTGCTGAAGCTCGCCTCCTGGTCCGGCTACTTGAGCTAGAGCTGTTGCTAAAGACGACCCGGATCCAGAAAACCGGCATATCGCTGCTGCTGTACGTACAGCAGCAACTCGTAAAAATGAGTCTCCATTGCCAGTTCCGGACATTGCAACTGCTCTTCGAGAAGGTTTACCGGATACTCGAAAGAAGCGTGTCTTCTCTGTAAGATAGTCATTTTCTGAGCTACGTTGACCATCGGTGTTTTGAACAAGACGCGTGTAGGTAGATAACCCAATACCAGGGATGCAGTCACCAATGACATATCGAAGAAACGATAAAGGCGCGTTTTGCAGCTCACGCAGCGGAGGGGAAATGCGGGCTTGTGGTCGGTATAGGGGCTGTGTAACAGAACGAGCGACTTGTCTATGCTCTTCTGTCCACTCCTCAGCCCAGAAACCAGCTCCAAGTGTAGGAGTATCTCCGATTCGGCCTGGCAGCTTGTTCGTCAAGCCTCCGGTGGAAGTGGCGGCGCAGAGTGTGCCCCATCGATCAAGCACAACACAGCCAACCGTTCCCTGAGGAAGATACTCGTGTCCATCCCAGCTAGGGTCTCCAACTGGCTTGAGGACATTACAATTAAAATCGGTTCCATTACAGCGTTCAACGGAGCTCTGAGAATTTCTTTCCTTCTCTCGCTGGAGGCCACGGATATGTTCATCCCAGCGCTTCTGGGTGTAGAAATATTCCGGCTCTACCATCTCGCATCCCCATTCGCGGGCCAGATCTTCAATGGTCTCGCCGCATAGCTGGGAGTGCGCACCAGCACCGCCCCCGTCATCTTCCTCGCCTCGAAGAAGCATTTCTTTGGCGAGTAGGATTGGGTTCTTGACTCGTCGAACGAGCATTACTCCAACGCCCCGCTTCCTCTTGCCGCGGGAGACCATGACCGAAGCTTCAAGCTCATTTGTGCCCGCCCGTGTGAACACCGCTCCACGGCCTGCGTTAAAGAGCGGATCATTCTCTAGCAGCGAGACTGCATAAGTAGCTGCATCCAGCGCAGTTGCTTCTGGTCTGGAGAGAAATGCATTTGAGGATTGGAGAATCCTCCGCATCGCGTTCGAGTATGTCACCTCAGCTTCGTGATCGAGGTTGCCCCGCTTAATGTTTCCGGCCCCGCCATGGATGATGATGCGAGGCGTGATGCCTCCCTCTGATGAAAGTGTCATCGCAGTTGTTACGGATTAGTACTGCAATAATGACAGGTTTCAGCGCAGAGGATGCATGTCGTGTTTACGTTGCCCAGTATCTCAAGCCCTCCCACTCTTGAGCTTGTTGCTGATAAGGGACCATCTAGGAGATAAGTTGGGTTTTAGTGCTTGATAAGGGGTCAGCACAGAGCAGCTGTCTAAGGTATTGAAAGTTAATTTATTGAAGGTCGCGTGACTGGCCAGCAGCGCAGACAATTCGTTAATTTTGTGATTGCTCGGTCCAAAGATACAGCGTGGTCCCGCCGAAATGTCGCCGATCTGGGAGATGTGTCGAGGTAACTGACTCTGAAAAACAAATCCCAAGCTGAATAAATCGCGGCAACTGAATACTCGTTCCGCTAGGGAATGTTGGATAACTTTGTCAATTCGACTGCGATTTGCGGTGCTGGAGAAGAGAACAACTGTGTATTTTATTAAAGTGAAACAGCGTTGCGTGGTAATTGATTATAGAATTAACATCTCATGGTTCTCGTATTTCCCGGCAGACAGCCTGTGGGTTCGATTCTGTTTTCTTCTATCCGGTGGATCCGCAAACGTTGATGATGCAAAAGCGGTATGTGGTTGGCTACATTACCACCAAAAGATCAAGTAATGAAAACCCAAACAGAAGTGAGACAAAAGCATAAGTAAAAGCAGGAGAAATGTTGTGCCAATGCCTGATCCCAAATATTTTGTGCAGCAGTTGTGCGCGATATATATCCATCTTTTGCGACCAATTGCACCATTCCAAGTCTTGATCCCATCATCACGCTCCATCCAATAATTTTCGACTCACGACAAAGCTATGAGTCTTGCCATGGACTGAATCTTACAAAATTATCCCAATATGGATTTCCCGACTTGGTCCGTAATAGATCGCACTGCAAGTCCATCCCCATCGGTTTCGCTCCATGAAGGTAGGTGGATTTCCTATTCACGAGCTATCCTGTATCCTTCCCCATCCTACCACCAGTCAACATCGCGAAGTTTTCTCCGTTGATTGGTATTCATATTTTCGATTGGGCCCCTCTCTCCATTCGCATTCTTTTTGTTGTTGGCTGCTATCGGCTTAGTCCAGCTCGCCGATAGCCCGACTAAGGAGCTTTAGCTAAGGACGGGAGAAACGCCAAAGCCGTATGGGAAAGCTTCCGTATCGGCATTGGTCATTCAGCTCTTCCGGCCGGGGTTTTCATTTTTGAACGTCATGTTTCTATCGCTTGAATTAATTGCTTAATTCTCTATTTACTTTATATTTTGTCGCCCCAGATGGCCGATATCAAGGCCGTTTCTGGCCTCTATGCTTACGATGCCGGCGATACTGACCATGGAGACTCAGATACTGGTCTGGAGCGATTAAAGAATGATACGGTCGTGCGACGACCGCGAGAAACGTCCGCGGTTGGCGGTAGCCCAACCTTGTTCCACCGGGTAAAGCATAACAAGTCAATTCTCGCTCTGGTGGTGTCGGAGAGCTATATTTATGCGGGGACTCAGGACGGGTGTATTTTGGTAGGCTTTCTCTTACGACTGCGATCGCCTGAACGTTCGGAACGCTAATCATCGCGCTTGTATGTAGGTTTGGTCATTGGAGACATACGAGCTTATTCAATCCATTACCGCTCACCGGGGAAGCGTTCTTGGTCTTCACGTTTCAGGAGAAGGCGAGCTACTGTTTTCAAGCGGTGGAGACGGAATTGTAAATGTGCGGTTGACGGATCGACAACACATCAGAGGACCATACTAATATTCTGCAGGCGTGGTGCACCAGGTCGCTGAGGAGGCTGTATTCAATCTATTCCGTGTACGACGTCGGAGATGTCTTCTGCGTTGCCTATTCGCCCACCTTGAAAACGATATATATGGGCGCACAGAACACAAGCATTCAGGTACGGCAGGATACCGTCATTGCTGCAGCTGTAGGCTAACGCGACCACAAGTGGTACGATTTAAAGCAAAAAGACCTCCGACCACCGCCGACGCTACAGTCGCACCCGAGTTTCCGCAGCCATCGGTTCTTTGACTCGAAAGGTCCCGGTGGCATACCATCGCCTCGCCCCGATGCGCGACGTCCGGATACGGTTCGTGCGTTGGGTGGTCAATTACTCGAGATTGAAAGGCAACATATTGTCCAGTATGCTCATTTCGGTTACGTGTACTGCATGCTCCTAGCCAAAGGTCTGGGGAACAAGGAGACTGGTGAGGAAGATATTCTCATTTCCGGAGGTGGTGATGGCACAATCAAATTGTGGAGTCTTGATGCCAAGGCAGGTGGCGCGATCACGGAGCTGGTTGCTCTCGAAAATGGCGACAACTCTGTTCTCTCGCTGGCGCTCGACGGAACGTTTTTGTACGGTGGATTGGCCGAGGGCGACATCAACATTTGGGACCTTGATACGCGGCAACTTGTTCGAAGCGTCAAAGCGCACAGGGATGACGTGCACACTTTGAGCGTTGGCTGGGGCATAGTATTTAGTGCCGGAGCCACGGGCTTTGCAAAGGTGAGTTGGGAGCCGAGTTGGGACGCTTGATCTACCAGTTTGCTAATTGGCGGAAAAGAAATTTAATCAGAGATATGAGTGTCTGTGCCGATGGCAGGCTCACCAGGGTCTAGTATTAGCATCAGCAGTGGCATGCTATCGCGGACAGCGAATTTATGTCACAGGAGGGAGCGACGATTGCATCGCGATTTGGGATGTGAATGACTGTGATACTTATCCTATCGGCAGCTCGAAGACTAGCAATGGTTTGTTTTGAGCGTCTCCCTACTTTTGTAACCATGTTTTAACAATTGCTCAGAGAAACTGCTTGGATCTCTTGCAAGATTGGTATCTTATCGGACTGTGTCATCAGATACACAGTACGCGGGAGAATGCAGACGAGGAGCGAGCTATCTACGGTCACTTTTCAAACGCTTTGGTGCTGTTACAGAAATGTTGACCACAGAAGATCACATCAATCCGGTCGTCTATGCAAGGTTCAAGGGGAAGCCCTCGGAGTCTGCGCAACGAAAGAAAATCCTCTTCTATGGCCATTACGATGTGATTGCAGCAGCTAATGATCACTCGAAATGGATTGTCGACCCCTTTTTAATGCAGGGCATTAATGGATATCTCTACGGCCGAGGAGTTTCAGATAACAAGGGGCCGGTGTTAGCTGCCCTTTACGCTGCCGCAGAGCTTGTTTCCGAACAAAGCCTGGACTCTGACATCATCTTCCTGATCGAAGGCGAGGAAGAATGCGGATCTCGGGGCTTTGAGGGAGCAATCCACAAATACAAGAATCTAATCGGCGATATTGACTGGATTCTGCTGGCGAACAGCTACTGGCTTGATGACGATATCCCCTGCCTTACTTATGGCCTGCGGGGCGCGATCCACGCAACTGTTCAAGTCGAAAGCAATCAGCCGGACCTGCACAGCGGCGTTGACGGCAGCGAGCTCATGGACGAGCCGTTAAAAGATCTGGTCATGTTGCTAGCCACTTTAACCGGCCGACAAGGTCGGATTAACATTCCCGGATTCTACGATCCAGTCCTTCCCGTCACTGATGCCGAGATTGAACGTTATGCGGCCATTACTGAGGCGCTCCTTTCGCGCAACCCAGAGCTCGGCGATCCGCAAAGCTTGACTGCATCGCTCATGAGCCGATGGCGCGATGCCTCCTTGACTATTCATCGCTTCAAAGTGTCTGGTCCGGAGAACTCAACCGTCATCCCTCACCGCGCGTCTGTCACCCTCTCACTCCGTCTTGTCCCGAACCAATCGACGGCGCAAATTCGACAGGACCTTATCAGTTTTCTCGAAGATCAATTCGCCAATTTGGGCACCAAAAATAACCTCTCCATCCAAGTCGATCATCAGGCCGAGCCTTGGCTTGGAGATCCAGAGAATGAAATCTTCCGCACTCTCGAGGCCGCGATCATGGAGGTGTGGGGACCTATCAACGGAAACAGACGAGGATCTGTCCCACTTACCAAGGCTTTCCCCAAAGTCCATACCCCGGTCACATCACCCACTGGCAAATCGCAGCCTGCGACATCATCAACGCTTACTAATGGCAGCGATCATTCTTCCGTGGCGGTTGCTTCTCCCACGAACGGAGGCGATGATGAATCGACAGTGTACGCTGATAAGCCTCGCAGACCGCTCTACATCCGGGAAGGAGGGTCGATTCCTTCGATCCGCTTCCTCGAAACAGAATTTAATGCGCCAGCGGCACATCTGCCATGTGGCCAGGCCAGTGACAGTGCCCATCTGGATAATGAAAGATTGCGATTGTCGAATCTTTATAAGAGCCGGGATATCTTTAAAAAAGTGTTTCGGGAGTTGCCGAGAAAGCAAACTCGTTGAGAGATTTCGGGAATACTTATACATTGCATGCTGGAGTTATATTGGATTGATTTTAACGGGCATTTGGCGGGGAAGGCAGCGGGGCGCAGTATTTGAGCATTATTTGTTGACATTGCCTCTGTTCCTTTCCATATATTTCCAATCTTATTTACTTCCGGGAAGGAACTTAGACACATCATGAAATCAATAAGAAGACTACATAATATAATCTTCATGTCCATTCCGGCGCCTGACACTACTAATTAACTATGTGATTTATGTGCCACTGATGAACCGAATCCGGAAGGGCGGTGAGGGTGAGTGTATTGGTGGTCTGTGCGTGCCATAGTTCCGCCTCCGGAGTTTATCCCTTGGATTTCTCCGATCCGGGTTATCTATGGCTGTTTAACCAACTGAGCTGTCCTGCTTTCATCTGTAGAATGTAAATAATATTTTATTACATATTTCCCATCCGCACTCTCACATGGCTCTTATGTCTTTCATCTCCCGATACACGTAATTTTGTTTTTGGAAAAGGCTTTGTCACTTTACTTCGCTTTTAATGAGCAGAAATGCCATTTCTAATGTGCCACTGAAACCCTTTCCTGACCCAGGATATACGCAGATACGAAGAATCACCACTCGACGCATTGAAAGAAAATGCCCGTCGACTCCTACGATGATGAGACATCGCTCTCGCTGCCTTTGAATAATGATACAGCCAACGTTAATATTGAAGCTGAGGGGAGATCAAAGACCATGGAGAATGAGAACGGGTTAAATTCCGAAATGGAGCTTGAGCGAGAGCTGGAGCTAGGCCCCGGTCAGGCAGCAACGACGACGACAGCAACAGTGCGACCGATATCACGACATGCGCCAGATGAGAAAGGTGAAGAGATGCATCGATCATCAGTCTCTTCTCAGAATGGGCAGCTTCTTTCCCCCGCGCTATCCCATATTTCGGAATCGTCATGGTTGTCGGAAGAAACGAGCACGACGCCGGGACTGGGATCGCCTGCTGTTCCTGCTGCTGCTGAGGAAATGGGTATGACACGGACCTCGCAGATATCGCCTTTTCAAAAAGAGAGATTATTTCACAGAGGAGAGGAAGGGGAAAATCAGGCGGCTCAGAATGGGTTGGGTGAGAAAGGGGCAACGGAGGACGATGCGACTTCAGCGCGGGGCAAAGGAATGCAGAGTCAAAAAGACGCGGACGAGTCCATGCTGCTCAGGAGAGTTCTGCAGTCTGGTGGCAAAACCGTACTTGGTTCAACATTTGGACAAGGCGCAATGTCGGCAGAACGACAACCACATAGTGACGACGTTCAATTACAAGGAGTTCCGTCACCCGAACTGCCAAATAACGATAATAGAGAACAGAGGAGGAGAACAAGCAACGGAGAGAGCGCGGGGCGCAGGAAATCATCGACACATGAACAGGAGCGGGAGCGAATCCTTAAGCTCTCGCCTCGGCAGATTCATGAGCTTACTTCGTCCCCGAAATCGATTCCGCTACACCCTGCTCCGCCGTCACCCAAAGGCTTGCCTTCTTTGGCGGACGTTCCGGGGATTGAGGGCCTAGGCATTGCTCCTTTGGAAGGGAGTAATACACCTAGCCTTGATAAGCAGCAGAACTTATCGGCTGGTAGAATCAGGGCTGGAAGTGCAGGAGGTGCGACGCAATTATCCGTGGATAACGTTGCGCAAAACACACCGACACCACTCCCTTATCCAAAGGGAAAACTGCTCCCCTCCGCTTTCAGCAGCACCGGACGTCCGAATCTACCTTCACGGACAGTATCTACACCGCCATCGATGCGGAGGAAATCGTCCTCGTCAAGACTGCAGAATGCGGCTCAGTCCCACACAAAAGCGAATCGTACCACTCCAGCGCCGTTACAGCTCAGTGAGTCAAAGGCAAATGCGCCGCAGCCATCGCCTGGGCCGGTCCCATCCCCGATGCCTCAAACAATTCCTCTTCCGCCTCTCTCACTTCCCACGTATCTCCAGCTCGAGCTGTCTTCTGATCGACCTTCTCCACTGTACATCCACCGCTCGTCTACAAGCGATTTCCCTTATGAGTCTTCAAAAATAAAATTTGAGCGGCTTCTCAACTTTCTCTTGTTGCCGTGGGAGTTGGAAAAAGTCTTGTGGTTTGGTACTTTGGCGTGTCTAGATGCTTGGCTCTACTCTTTCACAATTCTGCCTTTACGCTTCTTCAAGGCTCTAGGGATCCTTATTCGGTGGTGGGTGCAAGCGCTTGTCCATGAGACAAGGTACATTGCAGGGTTTGTCTATGTGGGGCTTGGTCGAATGTGGCGGCGACGAAAGCAATCTCATGAGAGCGAAAATTCGGCGCATAGTGGGCGATCTGCAGATGCAGTTTCATCTTCAAGGCGGCCATCATTGGCCGGGAACGTGGCTAATGGAGTCAATGGCTCGGTATCCATTGCAGCAGAAAATGGAAATACCACGCGTCCGCGCACAAACTCGGAACGGAAACATCACCAGCGGAGCACTATCTCGAAGCATCGAAGGACAAAATCAACCCCCTCAGCACTCCTTCCAAGTCATAAGGCGGATCTACTGCAAGGTTTTCTCGTGATTACGAGTTGCGCGGCGTTGATGCGGTTCGATGCCAGCCGGATGTATCACGGCATTCGAGGCCAAGCCGCCATTAAACTCTACGTCATATACAATGTTTTGGAGGTTTGTAATGTCTCCTATTCGCACCAAAACTTCTACTAACCCTTCTTATCAAGGTATGCGACCGTCTCTTTTCTGCTCTGGGCCAAGACGTGCTTGAATGTCTCTTTTCCAAAGAGACGCTCGAACGAAAAGCCGACGGCCGGAGCAAGGTCATTCGACCGTTCTGGATGTTCCTCCTCGCGCTCGTCTACAATGTCGTTCACGCTACGGCGCTCTTTTACCAAGTCATCACACTCAACGTTGCAGTCAACTCGTACTCCAACGCCCTGCTCACGCTGCTCATGTCGAACCAATTCGTCGAGATCAAGGGCACCGTCTTTAAGAAATTTGAAAAGGAAAACCTCTTCCAACTGACTTGTGCGGATGTCGTTGAGCGTTTCCAATTATGGCTGATGCTCTTGATTATCGCGCTTCGAAACATTGTCGAAGTCGGCGGTCTAAGTATTGGCTCGAACCTCTTTGGATCCTCGTCGCTGGGCGGCTCGTCCGGCGCTGGTAGTCTCGGCAACAACTTGTCGGCCAATGCTCCCTTGCACAGCGCAAGCATTCTGCCCAAGAGCTTTACCATTTTCCCCAAATGGACAGGCCAAGTGCTCGGGCCATTTTTGCTCGTGCTGGGCAGTGAAACGCTTGTCGATTCGCTCAAACACGCGTATATTACAAAATTTAATAACACCAAGCCTGCCATCTACGGACGCTTTCTCGATATCCTTGCCAAGGACTATTACTCAAATGTAAGCTTTTGATATACCCTCTCATAGTCACTTCCATCTTCCTTTCCTTTCTCTAATCTTCTTGATATATCTAGGCATTCGCAGACCAAAACCTCACTCGCCGTCTCGGTCTCCCTGTCATCCCCCTCTCATGCCTCTTCATCCGCGCCTCCGTCCAAGCCTACCACATGTTTCTCGCCACGCACATGCCTCCACCCATTGCGCCCCCTTCAACAGCCACCTCCCTATCATCTGTCGAATCGACATCCTCGTCACCCGTCACGACCGCGGCTCTGCAACATATTGACCTGATTTTCAGACGCGCGCTTGGCTCTTCGGCCTTTGGCGCCGGTGTCTCCTCCTCCTCATCATCATCTTCGTCAGCATCTTCTTCTTTCATGTCATTTCTCCCAAGCCCCGTGGCCAACGTTTTACGTCTTCTTGCCTTTTGGCAATGGTCGACCGACGACCTCATTGCCATAATGACCATGTTGATTTTCTTTCTCGTCATGTTTTTGCTCTTACTTGCGCTCAAGCTCGTTCTGGGTAAGTCTTCCCTCTTTTTGTGTATGTGTGTGTGTCTGTTGTTCGGGGGAGGGATTGGCGCGGGACGCGACTTGTCTTCCCTCCTCCCATACTATGCCCCAAGCACTTTTCCCTTTTCCCTTTTCCTTTTTTTTTGTTTTGGTTTTGGTTGTGTTTTTGTTTGTTTTTAAATATCGCTCCAAACTAACTCTTCGTCTCTTCGTTTGTAGGAATGTGTCTCCTCAGCTTCGCCCGCAGCAGATACAAGTCCATGAAACACCGCGAATCCATTGTCGTCGACACGGGAGGGAAACGCATCGGCGGCTGGGGCGTCGTCGAAGTCGACGAAGATAAACGCCGCTGGATCTACCACGACGATCCCGACGCCGCGCGCCAACTCCGCGAGCGCGAGAAGAACACGCGCGAAAAAGCAGCAAAACCAGACGCCCTCCAGTTGCATGGCGTCAGTAGGTATACCATGTCTGCCAAGCGGATTTGGTAGCGCGGAGTGAAGCGCGGCGTAGCTGAGCGGAGAGTGGGCGCGGTGTAGAGCGGCGCAGCGTGGCCTTACGTTACAATACATTACATTCACAGTGGTCGTACGTTATGATGCATGGCATACCGGCACGGAATCTTTATGTTTCCGTAAACCTTTAGGGCGCGCTAAGGTTGCGGTGCGCCAAAAGATATTTTAGATAATGTTACCATAATACCTCTCTTTCCTTTCTTCCTTCTTTTCTTTCTTTCTTTCTTTCTTTCTTCCTTACTTACTTACCTACTTATAGTTATAAGATGGAAGGATTGAAGAAAGTAAGATAATAACTCTAGCAAGTAAATCTGATGTGTACATGTGTATAGAACAGAAATCCACGGAGAATGACAATAATATATCCCACCAGCCTCACTTCTTTTATAGAATACGCTCCGTAGTACTACTTTTTGGCGTGGTCGCTTTGGGTGCCTTAATCTCTAGGGAGGTTTCTGGATGTACGGTATATAGCGCTTAGACAAAGTGTTTAAGGGAGTTGGCGTTCAGAGGGGAAGAGTATGCGTAACTTATATATAACGTAAGGTATATTCATTAACTCAGGTACTTGTACTATACTATACTATCCAATCCTCCGCTTTTTCCCCTTTCCCCCATTTTCCCGTTCCCAATATCGACTATATCGACTATTCACAGTTACTTTTTCGCTGCGAAGCGTAAGTTTCTTAATTTTATTTTATTTTATTTTTTTTTTTTGCGACATTCCTCCCCTGCAGATACTATAAGGATGATTTTGCAGGCTATGGTTTTAACAAACCACCTAGCGAGATAGATAAACTCCAGTTGCTACACAGATATCTACCCACCAACCACATCGAACCACCAAACACTATCTACCCACCAAACAAGGTAATCACCATACAAGGGAATTACCACCTGAGAATCCAGTCCTTGGCCCAGGCACTAGCTGTGCCAGTGACGTTCTGGAGACCAGTGAGGGCAAGGACCTTGGAGGTGGCGTTATACGAGACCGACGACGAGGGGATGCGGGCGCCGTTGAGCGTCAGGTTGGCGGAGGGAGGGGATGTGAAGCCCAGCACGGTAATGTTGGCCAATGGGTTGCTGTCTTGGTATGTGCCGCGCGAGGAGGCGGTCAGGCCGGAGGGGTTGGCGACGAACTATGAGGTGGGGGGAAGATGTTAGTGGGAATTGTAAAAGGCAGGTTTTGAAAGAGGGGGAGGAAGAAGAAGAAGAAGAAAAGGAAACGGGGAGAAGGGAATTAAGAGGCCGGAATTGATTAGAAACGACAAGGACAAGACGTGGATAGTGGACATACCTCGACAAAGAGAGTGGAATTTGGCTTGACGCTCTCGCCGTCGTCAACGTACAACTGGCCAGATGCAGTCTTTTCCAGACTCAAGGCGGTGAGCAAGCTCCAGGGGCTGTTGCGGGCGTCGCGCGTGGTCTGAGCGGCCTCTTGCATAGGAAGCACACTACCGCCACGCACAAAGACGGGGATGTGGCCCAGGGGAGCATCGATCGTGGTGTTGGCGCCAGCGGTCGCGTTCACGGCTGTCTGGGTGTACCAGTCGTACCAGACCTCACCGTGGCCAACGCCAGGGAAGACGCCGTCGACAGTGGTAGCCTGGGGCTCAAGGACAGGAGTAATGAGGAGTGAGGGACCAAGGAGGAATTGACGGTCAGCACCGGCAAGGGCGGGCTCGTTGGGGAATTCCCACGACAGGGCACGCATCACAGTCGAGCCAGTTGAGTGGGCAAGATAGAAGAGCGTGTACATGTACGGCAGAAGCTGGTAGCGGATAGCCATGGCGGTCTTGGAAGCATCAATGACCGAAGACCAGATGTAGGGCTCCTGAGAGGCGGAAGCGAGGGTGTTGTGGTTTCTGTAAAAGGGGAAGAAAGCCGACAACTGCATCCATCTGTTGCAGAGCTCTTCGTCCGCATTACCCGCGAAACCGCATGTGTCGACGCCAAACATGGGGATTCCAAAGAGGGAGAACGACAGCGCTTGAGGAATTGAGAGCACCATGTACAGCCACTTGGAGTAATTGTCACCTCCCCAGTGTCCAGCCCACTTTCCAGAGCCGGCAAAAGTGGAGCGGCCAATGATAAAGGGACGCTTCTCGGGGAAAACGTTGAGAAGGGCATTGTAGGTGGCGTTGAGGATTCCATAACCCCAGAGACTGTGGATCTCGTATTCCTGAGTGCCGTCAATATGAGTGGCGTTTGGCGAGATGGCGTGGACTGCAAGCTCTCCGTTGTTGTTATTGATCGTGTATGGCGGGTAGTTGACGTCACGCACGCCGGGTGTGGCAGTGATGCGGACATAGGCTTGCGTCGTGGTAGGAGACGCAGTGGCGAGGGATGCGGACTGGCTCGAGGATGCAGAAGCAGCTGCGGCCGCTTCGGTGGAGTTGGTAATGTTGAATCCCTCAGGATAGTTGTAGTCAACATTGCCAGGCTCGCCAGGCAGCAAGAACGATGGGTGCACCGGGTTCAAGGTTAGATTGTTGGAGCCGCAGCTGCCAATGCAGAAAGATGATACCTCAGACATATCAATCCAGATGCCATCAAATGAAACATTCTTTGACCATCTGGTCATTTCATCGGTCCACCAGGTGTGCGCGCCCTCAGAGAGCCAGTCAGGGAAAACGGTGTAGCCGGGCCACACGGCACCGACATACTGGCTACCATCTGGGTTCTTGAGAAAAGCTTGCACAGTATCACCGCGGTCGTAAATTGGGTATCTTTGCGTTGGTTCGTGATCAGCCAAATTTCATAAAATGATCGCAGACGAGAAAACTTACGCATCAGTGGCGTTCTCTGGGTTGGGCCGATAAATTGCAGAATCTACAATTGGGATATAGTGTCGTCCGCTGGCGTGCAAGCTATCAAGGAATTGCTTGCCTTCGGCATAACCAAAGGTGTTTGGGTCATTTTCGAAATCACGGTACAATTTCATATAGTCAATGTCGGTCCTGCGAAAGAACAAGTTTCGAGTCAGTTACATCCAGCGGATAGAGAGGACTTTTGCCGATGATTGACCCACCAGATATTCTCCAAAGGAATCTGAAATCTCTCAAAGTTGGACACAACATCGGCCAGCTCGGACCAGTTGTGGTAACCCCATCGGCATTGATGGTAGCCAAAAGTGAAATACTGCTGCATTGCAGGAAGTCCGACTGTGCTGACCTGGTAGTTGCGAGTGACCTCAGGTTGGGTCGGACCAGCATAGAAGTACAAATCTATGCTACCACCGATCGTTCGCCATGTGATGTTCTGCGGGTGCAGGAGGATCTCCTGACCGTGCGAATTGCGCAGGAAAAGACCATGCGAGTACGAAACGTAGTCCGCAGTAGCGTCAGTCTCATTTGCAGGAGAAGTGATTAGCGTCAAGTTGCCCGTGCTGTTGTCAACTTGGTAATAGCGGGTATCCAGGTAAAATGGATGTTGTCCGTAGAGATTTCTAGTCATACATTAGCCAATTAAGTCTGTCTTCATGCCAGCCAGCTGTTTGCAAGGCTCGAGGTCTTCCATATAATTGCATTTGATCAGTAGAGAATTGACTCACCTATCAACGACATCACCAACATCAGCAGCGTACATGGTTGCCGTATAATTGTTACCCAAACGAAGGGGTCGAATATGTTCACCCAGACCATACAAGTTGTAGTTCTCTGGGAGCGCAGAGACGAACTCGATGAACTGGTTCTCAAAAACAAGCACGGTCCCCTCTGTGGTGAACAAAGTGTCACCGGTGGATTTGCGAGTCACAGTGAATGAGAAACTCGGGTCATTGGACCAGGTAAAGACCAAGTCATTATCAGCGCTTGTGGCATTGGCATCAACATCCGCAGAAGGCTTAGGGACTAGGCTCTCCGGCAAGATGTACTGCGACGAATTTGAGGCATCAATCACGGCCGGGACAATGTTGATACTCAATCGATCGGCAGATTGATACTCAACCGTCAAGTTCAACTTATCAATGTCGGTACCGTAGACATTGCATGCTTGTCCAGCAAGACTCAACGAAGCCGTGAAGCCAAGCCCTGTTCGCACCACATTGGAAGCTTGATATCCAGGACACACAGTCTGGGCATCAACCGCTTGAGGGTCATTTGCAGTCGGAAGTAAGTTTGCGCCGACATCGGCCTCGGCAGGTATAGTGAAAAGAGGTCGCCAGCTCGTCGTGGTTGAGCTGGCATTTTGAGCATATGTAGGAGAAGAAAAGAAGAGCGACGATGCCAGTCCGCTGGCTACTGCCGCTGTGAAAAGTCGTCGTGCCATGATGGTCAACGGGGCCTGGCAGCAAATCAAGTACCGGTCTCCAACGCTTCACAACTTCGACTCTGACGATTACAAAATCCTGTCAAGAATGCGGCTATCTGGCTCATATTTATACCATGTCAGAATCGAGAAAAGAATCCCGTTAGAATTGTCCGAAGGGGTTACGAGGACCCTTGAGGCTCATGGCAGGCTATACCTTCTCTAGAGAAGCAACGAGTCAGGATTAAGAGGTCCACAAGTTTCCCCATCAAAACATCATTTGACACCAATTTCCCCGCAGAGATGGTCCGGTCGATGGCGGGCCGGTGAAGTCAGAGTGCTGACGAAAAGAGTAATGGATACCAGACATCGTCACTTCCGGGGTTGCAACGTGTGGCGTGTCTAGTGCATTGTGCCTGCAGCGGACGGTCCATCATTGCTCTCGAGAATTTCTCGCACATCAAGTGATCAGGCATCGCACCATGGTTGCGATAGGTCCATCATCATTGAGCCTAGTTCCCGAAATTGAATCGGTGGCCTCGGCGTGTTATTCAATGGAAGATTTCGATTCCAAGGTAGGGTTAGTTAGTGGTTAGGCTAGCGTCTGGGGGACTGCTATTTGGGGATGGAAGAGGCAGGAAATGCTGAATATTTCCCCAAAGAGATTGACATGAGGTTTGGCTTTTGGTGGGGCTCTCGAAGTCGTTCTCTCCCCTCATTCACATTCCGCACCGGCATTCGGCCCCAGCTCCCGCTAACGAGACAACCCGTTGATGTGGGGAAATTGACGGTTTGTACCCTCCGCCGATGGGTCCAGTGAAATTGAAGGCTCCTGCAAGCCCGCCTCCCCCGCGGGCTATGCTATGACGTTTCAATTGATTCCCCTTGTTCCATTTCCCCGTATGTCCCATGAGAGATTTTGCAAAACTATGAAGAACAATGTTCAAAGTGTTGCCTGATGATCTGCATCAGTGTTTGCCGATTCACAATAAGTTGTCCAATGGAATATTTATTTTCCCAAGCAGATCCAATAAAATCCTGGTCATAGTGTAAAGCCATGACCCGGACGCTGGAAGCTCAACACCACCCTTCCCACACCACCCATCTCGCTACCAAGGCACCCGTGGCGTAGGTCAATGTTGAAATCTCCCAGCTTGAAGCGTGGCGCAGGGCAGATCCGAGCCATGTGCAAGCAAAGAAGCGCAACACAAACTGCTAAGCTGTGGTTTCGTCAGCGCGTATTTTTCCAAGGACGGATCATAATTAATTTGCAGCTGTGAGCCTCATCCTCCGAAAGTTCAGTCGTAAGATTCAAAGTGCCCATTGTAGTTTATTGCGAAAAAGCATTAGAGCACCAGCTGGACTCCAATGTTCCCCACATCATATCGCGCGAGATATGAGCGGACAGGTGACTCTGGATTCCTTCCCATCTCGCATTGTACTATTGCATGTACTATACTATTTTCTATTCAGAACGACCAAATAAGTGCCTGGTTGGTTGACATTTCTATTGCTCGGTTGCTGAGTATCCGAACGCTCAACCCTGAGTTTTCGGTGTTATTTGTGCTGGTGGATTTCACCAACGAAAGCGGTGCAGGTGAAGGGATCTGGATCAGCAAATTGATCATTTTTAGCTTCAAATCTCCTGCAGCATCGTCTAAATCACTCGCCGGAACTTCAAAAACAGTATGATCTGCGCATGAGCCCTTCCAAGGCTTCTGGAGTACAGGCAATTCCGTCAAGTTCCAGGTCTCTTCTGTCTTCGCAAAGAGAGCTACTGTTCCCCAAATTTCCCCATTGGGACTTGCAATAATTTCCCCATTGAGACCACCATGTGCTGCTGGCCAAGATCTCATGTGAACTAGTAAGTATTGCCTTCGTTATACTAATTCAATATGCACTTCCGTAAAAGTCAATTGACAGGACCATGTGGGGTCAGTGGTTGGCCCGCATTGCGGACCTCAAGCAGTGGGTGATGGTATCGTTGGGGAGTTTGGGGTCTCGCGATACTTTACAGAATGTGACAGCCGGGGAATACTACTCCGCACGGGACGGTGATTTTCCACGGTTCAATACCAAAGTTCTCCACATTGGTGTGATTGCAAGGCAAATTTAAACGTCATTTACAAAGTCAACACAGAGTTGACATGTCTCTACAACCAAAAATGGGATATCTCGTACTAACCAGATCCTACATGTAAATAGCCTAACCGCCCTGCCACGATGAACAATCCCAAATCCAAAACGCCCGTACTAATGATGCAAGATCCCTGTCCATTATCGGTCCGATTATCGCAGATCCAGCCCCTCTAGCAATTGTAAGTTGACCGTTTCATCATGCTCAACCCGATCTCTTCTTTCTGCTGCCGAGAGCTCTCGAGCAGAATCATGTGCACGGAGACCAAGCTCATCTGGGAAGTTGCTGCGGACAAAATCCATGACCCGGGCTGCGTCCGGGACGTTGTTTTGTTCGAGCAATAACCGTGCGGTAACCAAGCTCAACTCAACAATCTTCTTGCGCCGTTTTACGGAAGCTTCGGTTACAGAACCCTTCGAGAGCTTTCGCAGATATCTCAGTGCAGGAGTACAATCTGGGGCACCTGACCGCTGAGCATGAAGGCTCGCAGCATACAGCTCAAAATCACTAGCCCAACATCGCAAAGATGTTACAAAGGCAGAAAAGTGTTCTGAGCGAAGCTCCATGTTGTGGGAGCTCGATCTCATTTGATGGGTGAGATACCTGCCAGTAGGTCCAAGAAGTTTAGCACTGGATCGCCAGGTGAATGGTGTCACATCGTCAATAATTTCTGCTCGATGCGCGACAGATTGTAAATACTGCTGCATAGCGGCATTGATACCGCCGCCGTTCGATATCTCGGCTTTGACAAGTGTAAGGAGCAAATGCCCTTTTGCCCGGAGCGCAAGCTGTGACTGAGACTCAACATTGACTGGGGCACCAGAGACAAGACTGGGCATCGGTCGTCTCAGCCACCGCCAAATTACGTCTTTTCGCCCTTCACTGACCAAGAATGGAACGATAGCCTTCACAAACTTTTCTTTGGTGAGAAACTCGTTTGAAGATGCCAATCCAGAAGACTGCATCCACTGCAGAACTTTGGAGCCTGCAGCAGAATTCTTCATTCCATTTGTAACTGATGGATCTGGTGAGCTGTACAAAGCCTTGGCGTGCGCCTCAAGGCAGTATCGAGCCATATCGATCGTGGCTGCTCCAGAGGCTACATGCTCCTCAAACCATCCAATCGGATCATTGACCATGTGTTGTGCTTCGCTGAATGTTCCCTTCGACTGGCCAGATGCACCAGAGGAAGAAGCACGCCGTCTCTTTGGCCCGTGAGCGAGTAAAGGATTGGTCAAGATTGATTCCAGGTGGCGATCAGCAGACGCCAATGATGAGTAATGGCTACCGGCATTCTTTGCTTGATGCTCGCGTGTCTTTGGCACGGATGCGGCTTTCGGGGACGATCCATTCAGCTGAACTGGATGCTCTCCTGTTTCGCTTCGAAACGGAGGATGCTCGCGATTAAGCTGCTGCCGAAAAGAGGATGTGAGCAGAGTAAGAAGTTGTTGTGACTCTCGCGGATTCAGCGGAAGAGGAGGGTTTATTTTAGCGGCAAGTGAGCGCAGATTTAGGATCGTTGAAGGCTTCATGATTTAGAGGAGCGATGGCGGAAGCTCGAATGCGAATTGTATCGATGTGTCTTGAACTCAGTCCACCTGAGCCTCAGCCACCCTCGATCTTGCAAACGTATAGCCCGTTGCGAAGGGAAGGAGGAGGTGTAGCTGTCCTGGGCAGTACGGTCTCGTAACAGAGATATTGTTGCTTCAACTATATGATTTTCCCAGCATCTGAAATAGTTGTGAATAAATTGCTGACTTGCTTGTGAATGATCAGTAGGAGTGGTGGAATCTTTATTTTGTCATTGATGATGACGATGACAGTGAAGATGGTGGAGTGAGCTCGTGACTGGCATCCGGCTTGCCTATCCAGTCGCTCTCGAATACCGTATATCTCGAGGAAGGCAATGAACGAATTTTTGCAGCAATAAAGGTACTCGATACCTCCTTTTTCGTTCTTTCTTTGTGGTATTTGAGCCGTATTCAGTACACTTCCTCACTGTCACATTTCCATGTCTTTCGCTATTGCTATGACGGCCTCTGCAGCCTCCCCGAGTCGCTTTTGCATTCGGTGCAGCTTTCGATTGCACGACCACACACTGATCGAACCTTCGCTCTAACTTAACTCTAAACTCATTCCCTTCAGATCATCAATCCTCCCCAGCAAAATCCCTCTTCCTTCTGTGGCAGAAGGCTGAAACGTTTCCCTCTTGTCTATCGTCTTCCCTATAGGAGGCTATTTTGCTTTCTGATTGGGACGACGCCTTTTGTTCTTCACCCATATTCCTGGCGTTAATCGAATCTTTACAACTCGTACCTCTCGTCGAACTCCCGCCCCCCACGATCTTTCTCTACTTTCTCCGATTAGTCGTCATCCGCGACTTATTCATCGCTCTTATCTTCGAATCGCGCTGTCCTGTGTTCCCTTTTTTACATCTTCTCAATTGAATCATAATGCCTGACGTGCAATCAAGGCAAGCCGCTCCACGTGGCAGGAGCTCTGCCAGAGGTGGCCGGGGTGGTTTTGGATCGCGAGGCGGCATCCGCGGCAGCAGTCGCCATCTAAATGGAGAAAAGGCCGATAATGCGCAGCCTGAATTAGACGACCTCGATGCTGAGACAGAGCTGCTAAAGAAGCAGTACTCCACAAAGTTTACCACCATGAAAGAGATGTTCCCCAATGAAGCAGATGGCTTGATCGTCTTCGCATTGCAAGAGACTTATGGAGAGCCGCAGAGCGGCAAGGAATGGGATCCCGAAGCTACGATTGAGCTTGTTATGAAAGGTATCTCAACTCAAGTCATTCTGAAACTGACTACAACCTATTTTCGCAATGAAGGCTTTCTCGACTAACTCTATTTTCTTCAGGTGTATCGGCATGGGAGAAAGTCGGCAAGAAGTCTAAGGATAAGACTCAATCCAAGCCCAAGGAGGAGATTACCCCCACCAATGAAGCAATTCCATCGACTCGAGGCTCGCGCGGCAGAGGGGGTTTCGAAGGCAGCCGTGGCGGACGCGGTCGTCCTGCAGAGCGTGGACGGGGCGTTTCGAGAGCTGGACGCGGAGGTTCGGCCGCACCTCCTAATGGCATCCGTCACCCCGCGAATAAAAAGGACGCAATTGAATCGATCAATGATAGCTCTAAGCTTTCTATTCCCACCGAAGAAGCATCCGCTTGGGACGTTACAACGGCAAAACCAGGGTCAGCAGGTACTGGCAAGGAGCAGGCCGCCGTCTCTGCTAGCGGTGCCCCAGCTGGTCTAGAAGCACAGAAGGTCGCTGAGCCTCCTAAAAAGAGTTGGGCCAGCACATTGTTTGCGAAACCTGCACCACCCGCCCCCGCGCAAGCTCCTCTGAAGACGCAACCTGCACCTGCGCCAAAGGAAACAGCGCCGGAACCTCCGGCAGCTGCGGAGCCAACTGAAAAGCCTGCCGAAGCTCCCGAAAGGCCTTTGCAACAAACTCAGCCACAGAATGAGCCTTCGCAGCCAGCGGAGCCTGTACCCACTGGCACCTCGGGTCTGGCACCTTCGGAGCCTCCGCAGCCAGAGCCGACCCCCAATATTGAGCCTTCCAAGCTTCAATTGACCGAGACCAACCTCGAGCAAGTTCAAGATGTCTCTGCTCCTGCCCCTACCGCAACCGCGGCTAGTACTGCTGCCAGCTCTGTCGATCTCCGTAGTGCAATTGGAAGCGTCACTCCGGCCACCGCTTCTCAACAGCCTAGTGCTCGTCTACCGCTGGGCGGTTTTGCTACGAGCGCTCTCAAGGCTACTGCAACTCCCCGAACCTCAAGCTTTCAGCGACGCGTCGCCGAGCAGCAGGAAGCTGTTGTCATGCCTGGTAACCACGCCGTTGACCGTGCTGCTGTCCAATTTGGCAGCCTTGGTCTGAACGGCTCGGTCGACGAGCTTGATGTTGATGAGGATAGAGAGGAGGCCGAAACCCGCGCGCAACCGCCTCAACATTCGCCCGTTGCCCATCCTGTTACTTCCCTTCCCCCCGCTCCCAAGCAGCAAACTACTGAGCAAGCTCCTCACGAGCTCCCGCAGACCTCCAGGCCTGCTCCTGGCCTTCCTCCTGTCAGCCAGCCTCACCAATCTCCTCAAGTTCCCCTGGCTGCTCAGACCATGACTCAGCAAGGGTCCCAGGGTGGCCAAGCCTTCAACAGATTTGGACAGCCTCCGGTGCCGCAGGAACCCGCTGCGCCTGTCCAGAAGCCTTACGATCCTTTTGGACAGCACTCTACTCAGACCCAGTACGATGCCTACCCTGTCCACACTCAACCTCAGGCTCAGCCTCACCAACCTGCCCCCACCACTCTTGGAGGTTTCTCGTCTGCTCCCGGCGACTATTCGGCTTACTATACTACCGACCACCAACGCAATGCCTATCAGAACTATTATAATGCTGCTTATGGTCAACAGGCTCCTCAGGCGCAGCAAGACGCATCATCCACTCAGCAGCGTTCTGGAAGTGGGTTTGGCCTTGGCCCTGCCGATACCACTCCTCAGTACCTCGCCGGTCAAACTCAGCAGCCGCAGTCCCGTTATGGCCAGCCGGCGGAGACGCAGACCAGTGGTCATACGACCCCCAACCCTAGTCTCCCCGTCACCGCCCAACCTGCTCTGCCCACTCAGCAAGCTCAGCACATCGCTGCCCAGCCTCATGCGCAGGCTGCCGCCCATACCGCTGGTTATCCCTATGGTCATCCTTACTACTCAAGCCCTTACTATGCTGCGTATCTCAACCAGGTAGGTGTCCAGTGTGCTTTTGTTGTCACTGGTTGCAAAGAAAGAAATATCTTTCGCTAACATTCGAACAGTTTGGTTATGGTGGTCACTACGGTGCTCCTTTTGGCACCAAGAGTGCCATGTATGGCCAGCCGCATAGCGCATATGGAATGTCCCCTCAGACCTCTTATGAGCATTCTTCATCCCCCGCAAATCTCGGAGGTTTTGGCCAGCCATCTTTGCAGGGCAGAGATACCAGCATTGGTGGCTTAGGCGATTATGGCCGTACTGGCTCATCCCAGGCCTCGCAGGCGCAACCTCTCTCTGGCAGCACTGGTGCATTTGGATCTGTGCCAGATGTATTTGGTCGTTCCGGCGCAGGCTTTCCTGCACAGACTCAAACCATTGGTCAGCAAAATGTACAACAGAGTGCCGATGAGCCATTGAAGCCTTTTGGAGAATCCAAGGCCACTGGCGGTCCTAGCCCATCGTTGACCCAGCCCGGTCGACCTGGATCCGCAACAGCTCATACCCCTACTCAGCCTACGCAGTCTGCATTCCCCCTGCCTCAGTCGCAGCAGAGCCAACACGCTTTTGGTGGATACCCAAGTCACTTGAACCATAATATCCATGGCAGCCAGGGTGGCCAGTACGGTGGCCTCGGTGGACTTGGCGGCCACCAGGGCGCTGGTCAAAGTCACGGAGCCACTGGCTATGGTGCTTATGGTGCCGGATTTGGTAACTACTATGGAAACAGTGGCCGAGGCGGTTGGGGAGGCAACTACGGCCATTAATTCCATTCTAGATACGGTTCTTAGGAACATGTCTTGAAAATTTCCTAGTCATTTCGATTCACTGTCGAGCTGCTTTCATCTCGGTTCTAAGCCTTTAATTGGACTGGACATGGGATTCACAGGGTCATTGTTTTACTCTGGGTTACACCTCTCTACGCGTTTTCTCGTGGGTCTTGTCTACTCTTGTTTTCTTTTCACTTTTCATTTCTTCTTTTCCGTCTCTTTATTTCCAAACGCTTAGTTGCGGACTGTTTTATGCGAAAATGAGAGGAAGCCAGGGTGGAAACGACAAAAAAATTTTCTTTCTTGTTTCATGGCTTTCTGTACACAACTTTGATTCTTTCCATCTCGGATCGTCTTACAGACGTCAAAAAAAGCAAGGCAGACGGGCTTTGCCGGGGGCAAATCACTGCTATCTGAAGTCAATGGAGCGATGTATTATAGTAAAACATTTTGCGTAACCAATTCAAAAAGGGACTGAGACGTGCAGAGATAGCCTTGTTAATGATACGGTGTATGTGTTGTGACCTAGGTATTTCCATCTGTTGCATGGTGTTTACTCATCCGACTTTCTTCTCTCAATATCGCCGAGGATCAGTTAACGTGAATATTTCTATTCAAAATCGATTAAAACAATCCATTTTATGTTTGACTTCACCAAGACTACTTAAATATCTATTTTTTTCCCCTTCGAAAAGTCCACATTTCAGAAATCGCCAGTGGTGCGAGAGCTTTTCCAAAAGCTCAGGGGCAAGTGTGTCGTCATCGTAGCCTTATAATAATATGCGAGGGTGATTCGGTTTGGTCAACAAGAACAGAGCGCTGCCAGCGAAGCTTCACTGCAGCCACCCCGCCAAAGGCGCTGAATCCGCAACAATGCCCATTTCAAAACGGGCCTTGAAGTCCTCGGTCAATTCCAAGCAAAATGCCAACGCAGGCTCCAAAGTCCAGTCTATTGATCCCTTCTCTGAAGCTCCGGCCAAGCTGACGCCTTTCCTCGACACACTCGATCCGTCCAAGTTCTACATTACCCACGTCGAGAACCTGCCATGGAAGTTCAAGCGCAAGGCTTTCTCTGTTCCCGTGCTCATGAACGTTGCCATTATCGCTGTCCTCATATGGCGAATTGTCTCCGTTTATCCCGTTTACGCAGCCATCATAAAGGACAACAACAAACTCAACCCAAGCGCCGCGAGCTGGCCGGAACTTAGTCGAGCTCTCCTCCGACGATCCGTGACCTTTTTTATCGACTTTGCCTTATTAAGATTTATTCTACCGTGGCCGCTATCCTTCTTCTTCGCCCGGCCCGCCAGCGCCGTGGCCTGGCGCAGAAGAGTGGGTTTTCAGGACCAAGAGGTTGTCGTGCGTACTTCACGTCGATGGGACAGGGAAGAGAGGAAGAAAGCTGCCAACGCGAATGATCCTTCCGTTGTCAGCGATGTTTTAATGGAGAAGCGCATTCTGCCGGCAATTGACCGTCGCTGGATGGAGGGCCGTACGAGTCTGATGTTACTGGACAAGAATTGGGATCTGGATTATGGAGCTATGATCACAGCGACGGATTTGGTTGATATGAAGGAGCTGGACATGGAAGATTTTCAGAAAACGGTGTTCATGCATACACCGAAAATCGGCTGGTTGGCTTGGAACGTTCATAAGCTTGACGAGGGCTCAGAGGAAGAAGCCAGAGGAAAGCTTATTGCATTCAAGGTAAGTAGGAACAGATACGACGGCATTGGTTAAGCTAGGGCATGCGGAGATTCTAATTTAAACGTCGTGCGCTAGGACCAATTGACCCTCATGGGGAAGGAGAATCTATTCTTTAGATGGATCGAGATCATTCAGTACGAAAGCTCTCAGCCTGGAGGCTTCACGCCTGAAAGACAAACAGCAGCAATGGTCAAAGCAAAGGCACTATTCGAGTCCCAAGGAGTCGACTTTGAAGAATTCACCCGCAGCATAGGAGGGCTAGAAGGGGTGCCTGGATTCGAAAAATCGAAATAGATTATCTACGCTGGACTCTATCGGAATCTTATGCTTACGGCAAATTATCTCGTTCTTTGGGTCGACCAATCCGGATTTCCCAATCGATAGTACCGAGATAATACCATGACTCCTAATGCACGGACCGTTATTTTCAAATTTGCATGCTCTAAGTCATGCCAGCTGTACTAAATATATGATCAGGGTCTCATGAACTTCTGCTTTGCCGGGCGAGATTCCTCTATATATACTGGCACAATATCTACCTAACTATGCATGGCGTGCATGCCAGTCCTCAAAAATGCATGTGCCCCTGGATCAAAAAGTGAATCAAGGAAAAGAGAGAGGATACGTGAGTTGCGAACGGCGCATTGGTATAAGAGGGAGAAATTCAGACTCCACCATAGCGTTCATGTGTCATCGTCCCTTTCAATTTCATAAAAAAGCATATATACTTCCTTTTGCATACTCAAGACATCTCTTGTCTTGCCTTCCTTGACCTTGTCATCGCTGATTCTCCACCATCTGTCGCTCGTTTTCTTCTTCTTTTTTAAGCGTGACTCTTCAGGCTTAACGGTTTTTCTAGAAGACGACCTCGCAGATTCCATCGAATTTCGCGCAACGCGTGAGATTCGATTCCTGGAGGATGAAATTGATCTCTTCTTCCTAGAATGTCCAGAAGGTGAATCTAAAGAGGAAGGTATTGAGGACTGAGAAGCTGACGACAACGGGGATGACCGACTATGCTGATTATTTTCGAGCTCAGCACTAGACTCCGGATTCTGTTCTTGCAAGCTCTTCCTCTGGTCAACAGAGTGAGGACTGATGGGTCTGGACTGGGCAGGGGTGGGAAGTGGACTATACGGCCCGCTCGGATTGTGACCAAGAGGTGTCGAAAATGGAGTCACCATTGTCTGCCTTCGAAAAGACTCATAGTGCCCGCTATTATGACTACCCTTGTGCGTAATCATTCCAAGCAGCGTATATTTCTTGCTTCTCAAAAGACTTCCTATTGGCAGTCGCTCAGGAAAGGTGACTTTTGCAGCATTCTTGGTCGAGACGCTCATCGGATCGAAAATAGATCGCGAGAGGTGTATAGCCATAATTTTTGGAAATGCGACAATCCTGGTATGTCGAGCAATACGCCTCTTGGGGGCGTATTTGGCATCAGGCAGAATCACCCCCTCCGGAGGAATTTCCGGATCCTCTTGAATAGCTCGCTCAAGCTTATTCATATCCTGCTCCATGGCCTCCCGCGCGGTACCTGTGGCGCTTGCAGCGTTCCGAGCTAAACAATCAAAGGCATGTTGAAGGCGACATTTTTCACACTTGAAATCCTCAATATACTCCGTTTTGAAGAGACTATCAAAGCACTCGTCCAATGAAGTCGAACTTTTCATGGGAACATGAAGCGTCAGCGTGACGAAAGTCGATTTGCTCGGTTTGGGCTGAAAGTGACATGTAAGGCATTCAATTTGTGATTCAAGGCAGCCCTCCAAGGGAAAGCCTTCTTCGTCCTCAACCACCTCTTCACCCAGTCTCTGCGGATCTTTCTCCGCTTCCGGGAAAGCTTTTTCGTCGTCATCATGCTGGGAAGCGCCTTTTTCGATCAGGGTACGGACCCTTGCTCGCGCAGCTCGACCGGCATGGTATTCGTCACTCAATCGTTCCGCTACTACTTGCAGGAACTCTTGAGCATCCTGCTGTTGGCGGCTGATCCTGGAGTCGAACGCTTGCTCCAAGGCCGAAATGAAAGTGCCCGCCGAAATTGTCTTCTTATATAATGGTCTTTCATTTAAATTATCCAGGACTTCTTTCAGCGCCGAAGTGACTACTCCCTGCAGCAAGCTTTCTTGCTTCCGTCTTTCAATTCGGCTCTTATTCTGACCTTCTGAGTCAACTCTGTAGACAATATTCCCATCGAGCTTCCTCCGGTGTATCTCTCGTATCAGATAAATTCGAAGATCTGCTAGTCCGGCCAGGGTTTGCAAAACAGAGTTGATGAAGCAGTCGTTTGCTGGGTTATAGAGGCCAACGACGCCTTTCTTGCGTGAGCTGCCGGAGTCATCGAGGTCTCCATCGATGAAGAAGGTCGGTCCAAAAACGTATACTAGGGTTGCTGCAGCCAAAGATGCTCCGGCAGCATACGCAGCTACAGTAAGTGGTTTATCGGGCATTCCGTATACGACCTCGGGGTCCACAAAGAAAATCTATAGCGTTTTAGATTGAAGTCCAAGGCCTCTCATGATGAGGCCGTGGAACGTAAATCCATGCAGCGCTATGGTAATGGCAATCAGATCGGGCCCCAGACGTTTCTCATGCAATCGGCGCAAATTTTCCGGGATAATGCGCAGCTTCAACCCTGCCAGGAACCTTTGGCCGCTGAGCCGAAGATACAAACCACATGGGGGAGCTGCATCTCGGCGTATTTGGTTCCCCTCACCAACCGGACAAGCTTTTGGGCTGTGTTCCCCAGTTTATTTCTGCGTTGCTGCTGAAGCCTGGGGCCCAGGGGTCGCGTCGGCTGGCTTGCTACCGAGGTACGCTTAATACGGTGGCCCAAATATTCCTAAAAGACAATCCAATTTACAACTTGACTTTGATTTGCGTGTGCATCAACGACACGGGGACTCATAGAGGCCTCATCGAGCAAAAATGGCATCTTTTCTAGGGTCTCTGAGATCTACTACATGTGCATCATGCATGAAGAGGATTTCGAGAGGCATTGAGTCATCGCCGAACCCTTTTGTTCAGCAAATCCGGGGAAAGAAGAAACTTGCGCAACAATCATCATCCCTGAAAGTCCGTTTGCTTCAAGATGTCCCAAAATATGGACGCCGAGGTCCGTACATCAACCGCCGGTCCTTTCAATTGCGCTTCTTAATGGAATAAAGCGATGCTGATACTGTACGGCTGATAGGTGCCATTATTCCCGTTGCCGCCGGCCGAATGCGCAATCAGTGGTATCCCAACGGAATGGCGGAATATGTTTCAACCATACAAATTCGCGAATTGGGCTTAGAAGGTGCCAAGTTTGAGAGAGATGCTACATTCCGGCCAGACCAACCAGAGAAGAAGACTGAGATCTGGGAGAAGAAGGAGAAGAAAGCCAAAAAGCACGAACAGATTGGGGTTGATGTTCCTCTTTTATCCGTACGTCGTCTCACCTTGTCTGTTCAATCCGCCAAACATAACATGGACTAATTTTGTTTTCCTGATAGCCACAACGGGTGACCGAAATCCTGACTACAGTTGTGCCTGAGAGAATTGAATTCTACCGCACGCCAATTGCAGTTCCGCGGGAAGAGAAAGCAACGCCAAAGTCTCGAAGCCGGGCCGTCAATTCTGCAGCGGCTGATCTTGCGGCAGCTTCAGAACCCGCCCCTGGACAGGAAGTTGTCGGTATTCACGGCTCTGTATCAACTGCTGACATTGCATCGAGCATCAAAGCGCTGCTCGGTGGGAACCAGGAGACTGCACGAGTTGTGCTCTCAGCTGAGGATATTCATTTTGTCGGCCGTCGCCGGCAACAAGGCGAGGGCGAGACTGATCGAGTCAAGGAGTTGGGTGATTTTGAGGTGGAGATCAGACTCAAAGGCGCGCCTGGTGTTGTGAGGCGGACGGTCTCGATTCAGCCAGTGCAGGTGCAGTAGTCGCGCCGTAAAAACGGAACGCGGCAAAGCCAGTACGCGAAAAATAAATGCAAGCTGTATGCGTGAGCGATATTTGTGTGGTGACAAGGTTAGACTATTTCCGGCCGCGCCGCACATTGGCAATGTATTACCGGTACAGATTAGGCATGATCAACCAGATAGAGTTTAATATCAATATAATTTTTTGTCTCATCTCTACTATTTTTGATGCTGTTGTTGATTTCTTTTCGTGCGTTTTGAGACATCTCTCACCACACCGTAGAGCGATTATCTTGCTCCGAAACACGTGTTTGGAGCGAATGATGTAGTGGGGATTACGAAACATGAGAGGTCCATGATGTACCGCTACCTCACGGCGGGGCTTCCCCTCTGCCCCTCACCCCTCTTGCTCGTGAGAAAATAGCAGACGTTGCGAGCAATCAATATGATTTGGATGGTTGGATAATGGACAAAACAAAAATCCGATAACTAATACTACCGAATTTTGATGAAGGAAATTACTTGATTTCACCAGAATTACGAGATACAGAGGATTATGATATAATATGACGGGTATGAGGTAACTTGGACGTCTCCCCAACATGCTTCCGCCAAGCGAGATTGAGTTTGGGACTTGACTCCGATACGGACGATCAATGAAGGCGGGAGGAAGGGGAAAATTACCTTTGTATCAGCATGACGTCGCCTGAGGAATCAGGAAGAAATCTTGGACACCGAAAGGGGGAGAGCGGAGATTGCTGAGGTACGAGGAGATACTGTGATGGTGCGTTCATCTGAGTCCCGGGAATCCTCATTATGCCCGCCAGAGGAAAGTTACAGTAACCGTGTCCTTGGTCAATTCACCGCTATAGTCGTGTGTAGAGGTACAAGATGAGGTTTAGAAAGAGTGATAAGATACCTCTTTTTTCTCTCATCGTTTCCGCTCTTTTCCTTCCAAGTAGCCCAAAGGTGATGATGATGATGATGGCCGTTCATTAGGTCGAAATGTAGGAGGAGTGGGTAGTGTAATTCATACGTTTTAGTCACGCAGCTTCATCTCCTCCCATTGGCAAATGACCGCACAAGAAGGAATTTGCTGGCGGGCCCCGACGGGGCTCAGCTTGCCAATTAGCGGGCCCTCCTCGGACCATTTGACGTCGTTGGCGTGGTGATTCTGTCCAACCACCCCACCACGCCATTGCCTAGAGCATAGAATCATCCAAGCATTCACCCCACCAAGCTGTGTCCTGTCATTCTCCGAACCTCGAGCTACTTATTCTTCTCTCATCCTCCCTAGCCTTCGACTTTTCAGTCTTCCAATTTTCCTATTCACTGTAAATCCAATTCATTCACATCTATACCCCAAAACCTTTTACGACTTTTACGACTGGTGAGTCGATTGCCCTCTCCCCTTCTTCTTGGCCGAGCTTCTTTCAGCCGCCACCTTTGCCCCACCTCGTTCGAAGTTGCCCCGCTTCACTGTGGTCAATTTCGTGACTTTTTCCATCGACATTGGTCAAAGAAGTTTCTCCATCATCATCAAAAACTCAATCGCTAATACGAGTTCAATCATTTTCAGTATTCCTACCGTCAAAATGGGTGCTACCGACATTCTGACCAGAAAGACCGGTGTCATCGTCGGCGATGACGTCTACAACGTAAGTTTCACTACCTCTTGCCATCAATTCCTGCTGCTCCTCCATCGACCCATACGATCCAATGGGCAGGGGCATCAGAATGAGAATGGAAAGGACTCTGGCTAACGTGCAATTTCGCGGAACAGCTCTTCAAGTACTGCCAGGAGAAGCAGTTCGCCATTCCCGCTATTGTAAGTCTTTTCTCATCTCCCTGACTTAGCGTCTTGTCCGAATTGGGAAACTAATTCAAGTTAGAACGTCACCTCCTCTTCCACTGTCGTCGCTTCCCTCGAGGCTGCCCGCGACAACAAGTCTCCCATCATCCTCCAGGTCTCCAACGGAGGTGCCGCTTACTTCGCCGGCAAGGTACGTTCTTTTGCACCCTCAAAAAGAAAATGGGAAATTTCTGTTCCGGCTTGTGATATATGGTACTAATTTTTGAGCAGGGTGTCAAGAACGACAAGCAGCAGGCTTCCATTGCTGGTGCCATCGCCGCCGCTCACTACATCCGCTCCGTTGCCCCCACCTATGGCATCCCCGTTGTCCTTCACTCCGACCACTGCGCCAAGAAGCTCCTGCCTTGGTTGGACGGTATGATGGACGAGGATGAGGCCTACTTCAAGCTCCACGGCGAGCCTCTCTTCTCTTCCCACATGATTGACCTTTCTGAGGAGAACCCCGAGGAGAACATTGAGACTACTGCCAAGTACCTCAAGCGTGCTGCTCCCTGGAAGCAGTTCATCGAGATGGAGATCGGTATCACTGGTGGTGAGGAGGACGGTGTCAACAACGAGGATGTTGACAACAACTCCCTCTACACTCAGCCTGAGGACATCCACAACATCTACAAGGCTTTGAACAAGGTCTCCCCCTACTTCACCATTGCCGCTGCTTTCGGTAACGTCCACGGTGTCTACAAGCCTGGCAACGTCCGTCTCCACCCCGAGCTCCTCAGCAAGCACCAGAAGTACGTCAAGGAGCAGGAGAACACCAAGACTGACAAGCCCGTCTTCCTTGTCTTCCACGGTGGCTCTGGCTCCTCCAAGAAGGAGTACACTGACGCCATCAGCTACGGTGTCGTTAAGGTCAACCTCGACACTGACCTTCAGTTCGCCTACCTTGAGGGTATCCGTGACTTCGTCCTGAAGAACAAGGACTACATCCAGACCCAGGTCGGCAACCCCGATGGTGCTGACAAGCCCAACAAGAAGTTCTTCGACCCCCGCAACTGGGTTCGCGAGGGTGAGAAGACCATGTCTGTCCGTCTCGCCACTGCTCTGAAGGACTTCAACACTGCTGGCCAGGTTTAAAGTGCTTTCAACGGGCAAAAAATGGTCTTGTGTGCACGGAAAAGATACCCGTGACAGATGACCCGATACGGGGATCGTTTTGGTCACAGAATGGGCCACGTGCCTTTGGATCATTTGGATTTCCTTTATTCTTTTTCGGTTTAAAGACGTAAATAGTGTAATGACAAATTGATGCCCATTTCACGAGACGAAAAAAATGTTCTTGTTCACTTTGTTTTTGTCCTAAAGTCATGGTTTTTCCGGTTTTAAAAAGTATTGTGTTGCTCTTTGATTGAGTTTTGATTGTCAAATGTATTGCTTGATTTATTATGGAATGGTAAGAGGACGGAGTTTCTTGCTTTTCGACTTGGGATGTTTTCTGGCCAAATTCGGAATCAATCGTTCACATCATGGACAGATACCACTTGCCCCACGGACGCCGTGAGGCACGCTGGTAATATTACTGTAAGAGCACGCTGACAATTACCGTTTTGGATGGCCTGCTAAGCGGCGCCCTCGGATGCGTGAGGAGCTATTAAAAGAACAGCATGAAAAGTTCGAAGCGATAAGTTACTGCACTGGAATTTTATCTGGTTGGAACTCTCCTGAAAGAAGCAACTATCAACGCAAGGGATGAGAAAGAATAAGAGTTGCTATCAAGGCTGTGATGCTGCTGCTGCTTCCTTCTTTTTCTCCTTCCTCTTCTGCCTATGGCCTCCTCGCATTAATAATAGTAAAATTGCGCGGCAGAGAGCAAATTAAAAAAGTTTAGTGCCTATCTTGCCCATATACCGTCTGACAGGCGAAGAGTGACTTGCTCCCCCCTTATGCCGAGTGCCAAGGGCTAGACTCGTATCGGCCGTGGAATAGAGCGGGCCAAGGGTGCGCAAGAGGGATGAATGGCCTACAGTTTTCGCGAGGCCACGCGTGTTCGGTGAGAGGAATTCAGCCCGACTAAGACATTTTCGGTCATTTGGACCCTTTTTTTGCCCTTACGATTGAATCCACACGCAAGCCCCCAAGGCATCAAATTCCCGTTATCCGCGATACGGCGCATCGTTACCTCTGGCTTTCCTACCCCCCCAAAGGTGGAGTAGACGGCAGAAGCTGCCACCTTAAGTCGACCAAAGTCTCCGTTCTCCTTAATTGCTGGCATCTTTGTATGGAAGATACTTAAAGGAACACCGAAACGGCAGCAACAAGACAAGCAAAGTTTCAAATCGGCCACATTACGACCGTCCCCACGCACCCCATTCTCATCGTGATTGTTGAATAGTCTGGAATCCTCAATAGTCCCCATCGCTTCATTGTTCTTTCTTTTTTTTTTGGGTCCCTTCATCTCTTCTTTTCCTTCTGACTTTTCTTTGATCCTGATATTTCAAAGTGCATTGTTCCCATTATTGTATGAACATTGTTGTGTTTCTTCCCTCTGTGGACTGCTCCCATATCCCTGTCCGTTTGAGACGATCACTAACTTACTCGGTTGCAACGCTCGCTCTTCTCGCCGTTGTGTCTATTTTCGTATCGTATTCCTCCCACGACGTCATGGCTTGATTCCTCCCAAAGGAAAAAGAAGAGAAATCATCCCTGTCAACGCCGATTGTGATTCTTTTGGGCAACTATAGAATACGCGGGGCTTTTTTTGGTTCCCTTGTAGTCGACTCTCATCCAAAGTGACTTCTTCGAGGCCGGCCTCTGAGAAGAAGAGAAAGAAAACAGAAGCAAAGGAAGAAGCCATATCATTCGCTTTTCGGAGAGAGAGCGAGAGAGATTGAGTGAGGGAGAAAGAAAGAAAGAAAGATATTGCTGGACCACTCTTGTCCGCTGCTGCCGGTTCAGCATCGTCTACTGCCACCAACATGGTGTCAGCACAGGGACTCGTTGCCCGAGACGGCACTGGCAATCAAGGCCTCGACGAGTTCTTGTCGCTGATCTCCAATCCATTTGCAACTAGTGTAAGTTTAATGCAAATCATACCCAATGTCAATAACTGAAGCATGCTAAAGCGTTTCACAGCTCCAAGTCAATGCCTTTTGGGCTTCTCTGGTTACTTCAGTTACGCTCACCGTCATTATCGCCCTGTGTTTTTCCTTTCTACGACCTTACAATTCTTGGGTGTACGCACCAAAAGTGAAGCATGCCGATGAGAAGCATGCACCACCAGTGCTTGGAAATGGCGTGTTCGCCTGGGTGAATCCGGTCATGACCACGCGGGAGGCCTCTCTCTTTGACAAGCTCGGTCTCGATGCCATTGTCTTCTTGCGCTTCACTCGCATGTGCCGCGATCTCTTCCTTGTCATGAGCGTCATTGGGTGTGGCATCATCATTCCAGTCAATGTCGCATTCAGCAAGTCGCCTGGGACCGGAAGCCTTGCTGATCGGGCGTTCATGATGATGACACCGCAAAATGTTGTTGGCAAACCAATGTGGGCGCAGGTTATCGTTGCCTGGGCCTTTGACATTATTATCGCCGTGGTCCTCTGGTTTCATTACCGCACCATCACTCGATTACGGAGGCAATACTTTGACAGCACGGAATACCAGCATGCGTTACACTCGCGCACCCTTATGGTAGGATTGAAAACTAGACTTTTCTCAGACATGGGATTGCCGGACTGACGGATCTTTTTTTTTTTTTATTTAGCTCACAGGAATTCCCAAGGCTTACCGAACGGATGAGGGCATTGGTCGTATCATTGACGGGATCAAGGCTACCCCAGAACCCCCTCGTTGTGCGATCGCTAGAAACGTCAAGGATCTCCCCGAACTGATTGAGTCTCACGACGATGCGGTCCGCAAACTTGAATCGTACTTGGCCAAGTACCTCAAAAATCCCGACAAGCTTCCTCCCAATCGTCCGACATGCCGGGTACCGAAGAAGGATAATTCCTACAAGGAAGGGCAGAAAGTCGACGCCATTGACTACCTGACCGAGCGTATCCGTGCCCTCGAGGCGGAGATCAAGGATGTTCGTGAATCGATCGATAAACGAAATGCGATGCCGTACGGTTTTGCCAGTTACCAGACCATTCCAGAAGCGCACGCTGTTGCGTATACGGCTCGGAAAAAGCATCCTCAGGGTGCGAGAGTTGGCCTGGCTCCTAAGCCGAATGACTTGATCTGGAAGAATCTTCCTCTAACCCAGAAGACGCGACGATGGAGAGGATTTGTCAACAACATCTGGGTCGCAGTCCTCACGCTCATTTGGGTCGTGCCCAATGCCCTCATTGCCGTCTTTTTGTCGAATCTCTACAATCTTGGTCTTGTATGGCCCGGCTTCCAAAAGCAATTGTATGCAAATCAGCGGTGGTGGGCCATTATTCAGGGTATTCTGTCTCCGGCCATCACTTCGTTGTTTTATCTCCTCTTGCCCACCATTTTCCGCCGCCTTTCGATGCGGGCAGGTGATCTTACAAAGACATCACGAGAACGACACGTGATGCATAAACTCTATGCGTTCTTCGTATTTAACAACTTGATCATCTTCTCACTCTTTGCGACGCTCTGGAACTTTGTTTCTGCGGTCATCAATGCCAAGAAGGAGAACCAGAATGCGTGGGAAGCGATCAAATCTGGTCATTTGTTTTTCAAGGTCATGTCAGCACTCTGCCAAGTGTCGACGTACTGGGTTACATGGATCTTGCAACGAAATTTGGGCGCAGCTGCGGATCTTGCTCAGATCTGGAATCTTAGTACGACTTGGTTCGCCAGGAAGTGCTTGAGTCCCACGCCAAGACAGTTGATTGAATGGACAGCTCCTCCTGCATTTGACTATGCGAGCTACTACAACTACGTAAGTGCCTGGTCACTTTTATCAGATTGATATGTTTTTTTTTCCCTTTGCTAACACCATCGTTGTGTCCAGTTCCTCTTCTATGCGACCATTGCGCTCTGCTTTGCCACTTTGCAGCCCATCATCCTGCCGGTCACTGCACTTTATTTTGGTATTGATGCATGGCTGAAGAAGTATCTCTTGCTGTAAGTGTGCCTTGAATTCCCTGCAATCTGTTTTCTTCAAACAGCAAATTCTAATTATCAAAACAGTTACGTCTTCATCACCAAGACCGAGTCAGGCGGCCAATTTTGGCGAGTCTTGTTTAATCGATTCCTCTTCGCCACGGTCCTTGCGAATGTTATTGTTGCTTTGGTGGTTGTCGCCAAGGGCACCTGGATTATGCTTATCTGCATGGCTCCTCTTCCCATCCTATTACTGGGCTACAAGATCTACTGCAACAAAGTGTTTGACGACAGAATGCATTACTACACCAAGTCGCTCAGCACGGATGCGGAGTCTACTCTTGCTATCCCACCCGAGATTGCCGCCAAGAATGCCCGAAAGAATGAACGCCTTGCCGTTCGCTTTGGTCATCCTGTCCTCTACAAGCCACTTATCACGCCCATGGTGCACGCCAAGGCGCAGCACATGCTCAGCCAAATCTATTCTGGACGTCTTGACCAAGACAGCGATACTGCCAGCGTGGCCGGTTACAGCGACATTTTCATGCAAAACATGACTCAAGGACATCCCGGCAAGAGTGCAAACGCTGCTGCGCCGTTTGAAGTCGTGCCCGAAAACCATCTCGATTTCAGCTACTATAAGAACCGCGACGAATTCGGCGACGAGCACGGAGGCGGCGAGATTTTTGGCCGTCCCATTGACGCCGTGTCTATTCGTTCGCCTACCCCCCGCAGCTTCTTTGCTTTCGAAGACCGTCCTGGCTCTCCTGCTTCTTCCTCTCGAGCCTCGAGTCCTGCGCCCTCACGTCTGCAACGCGCCATGTCCGGCGACACTGCCGGCTACTCCCGTCCTCCGCTCGAACACCGCTCCAGTTCGTCCGAATCGCGCGAAGGCCTCGGCTCGTCGGGCTACGTCGACTTGGGCGACCCCGGCCGCGTGGCAATGTACCGCGACTCAAACGAGAGCGAAACCCGTCTCCTTAATGCCGCTGCCTCCTCGCCACGGTCAAATCCTCGTGTGCAAGAATTCAGTCACGATCGCTCCGGTAGCCCGCGGGGATATCCTCGAGGGTATGGAAACGTGCCGCAGGACGAAATGGATTTGAGTTATGATTCATATCGTCGTGGCTACCGATGATCGGTTTCTAGGCCGCCGTACCTCTGCTTTTTTTCTGTTTCCTTTATTTATTCTTGGTCAGGCTACTTGGACAAGCTAACAAGTCCCTCTGCGGGTACGGCGTTTCGAGGCGTTTTCTCTCCTTTCTTCTTTCCTCTTTCCTCCTTCCTCCCTTTCTTAGTTTCTCCTCCCTCTCCTCCTCTGGCCCCTTGTCCATTTCAATCAGTGTCTATACATTCTTTTCTTTTCTTCTTTTCTTCTTTTCTTCTTTTCTTCTTTTCTTCTTTTCTTTCTCACAATTGCATTACTATCACATATTATCGCCCTTGACATATCATTCTATCACCATGTCTTATTTATTTATTTATTTACTTATTTCTCCCCTTATTTATCCATTATTTACGAGGATGTGTAGCTGAGCCAAGCACATCACAGCACAGCACAGCACAGCACATCGGAACTAAGAGAAAAAGAGAGGGAGGGAGGGAAGGAGGGAAGTAGTAGATGATAATTTGGAAAATAGATTTATTCATCACATATATTTTATCATTCATCTTTTATCACTCATCTTTTATCATTCATCATTCATCGTTTATGATTCTTCATTCATCATTTATCTTTTTTCATCCATTGTTCACCATTCATAATTCATAACTCATCTTTTATGATTCATGATTCATGCATCCATGATTCATGCATGCATGCATTTGTACATCTATGTCCCCCTTACTCCTTTTTTCTCCTTCCTTCCTTCCTTCCTTCCTTCCTTTGGATCTTAGACATGATGAAAATTAAAAGGTATCCTAAGCTATGGATAGGTAGCTATGGATAAGCTCTACAGTGTACATGTCACACGTATGCCCCAAAAATTGAATTGGGAACGATATCAGTAAAATTATGTTCCTCTCGTACATGAATCGCAGTGGAAACAGATTTGTTCACGACTCTCGCGGTCTCGCGCAACTCCCGCTGGTCCAAGTCACATGTCCAAACTCTCAAACCTACAAATCACAAATCATAGTCACAAGTCAAACAGTCGAAGTCAAATAAAATGCGTAAAGTATGCTATGCGATAAATATACATTTTTAAATCTATACTCTACTCTACTAATACTATATTTCTACTGTACTATACTACTGTACAACGTAGTATAATAGTACTTGCCGCTCCTACTGCCACTTCCATCGCCACTGCTACTGCCGCCGCCGCCGCCCCAACCGTCATCGAAGAGAGAGAGACAAAATCAGAGGGGGAAAAAACCAAAAGTAAGTAGGTAAATAGAGAAGACAGTGAAGATTAATATATTAAGTAAGATAAGAAGATAAGGAGATAAGAAGATAAAATGATAAGATATCAGACATCAAATAGGCTTGTAGGTTTGTATCAGGGAGCAAAAGGGCCCTCGTATTGCTTGTTGATTGTTTCTATCGGCCAAATGTCCGCAAGTCAAGAGTATGGAAGAGAAGAAAAGGAAAAGAGAAGAGAAGAAAAGGGGAACATAAGAGGGCCTACATATTGAAAACGAAAACTGGGACAATGATAAATCCCGCAAAAGGAAAAAGAAAAAAAAAAGGAAGAAGAGAAGATATAAATAATGGTAGTATAAAACCGACAATATGATATTGCTGCGTGGAACAGCTAGGAATGGGAGCAGCTGAAAAGGGAAAGGGAAATAAAATACCGAGAGAAGTAAAAAGGAGAAAAAAATAATTAGCCTACTCAATAACTGCTTTCAGTCTATCCAGTCTTGGCTTCTGCCTGGGCTGCCTTTTCATTGTCCCACTTCCACATGCCGCCAGTCTTTTCAGTCTCGCTCTTCTCGCCAATGGGCGCAGCAAGTTTCTCAAAGATCGGGTCGGTCTCGGTCGGGATAAAGTACCGGCGCTGCCACTCGGTGCCCTCTGCGCGCTCTTGCTTTCGCATCTCGCGCTGCTCATTTTCAATCTTGGATTTCTCCGTAGATGTAGTCTCCATATCACCGCTCAAGATGGCCTCGGCAACCTTCTTCCAGGCCCGGCGCGACTCAAAAGGGTCTTGTTGCTCAATGGGAGCAACCGTCAAAGGCGTCGTCTGGCTTGCCTTGGCATCGTATGCCTCAATCTCCTTCTTCGTGCGCGCATCACGGATTGTGAACTTGTCTGTCCACTGTCCGTCGACGGTGTACAAGGGCTCCTTTTCCTTGCCTTCAGGGTAAAGCACAGCGGTGAAGGTGTTCTTCTTTCCAGAGAGCCAGCCCTTGCCGCTGTAGTCAATCTTCGCCGTGTAGCCTGTGCTTGATTGAATGTACGAGCATTTGTTGAGCTCGACAAATGGCGCACCATAAATGATGCCCTCAATGTGAAGCGAAGGAAGCGTGATAAGATAGTCTTCGTCAAACTTGTCAACGTGTAGAATGGCGTGGCCGATTTGCTTCACATCAATTCTTCGAGTAACTGATGCCTTTTGACCGTTGTAGCCGGTGAGCTGCGGAGGTAATTGTGAGCAAAAATGCTCCCATAGGTTCTTTCTACAGTCGTCAAACTTACGCGCACGCCATGCTTATCGTTCCAAATATGGTATCCAGTAACGGGAGGGTGATGGCTATAGTAATTGAAACACGTTAGGGCAATTGATGGGAAAAGCATAGTTATGCCTGTGTGGAGGACTTTGCAACATACCTGACTTGCTCAGAGACCAGATGCGTGGTGCCAGCCTCATCGTCCCACTTGCCTAGAAACAGTTCTCCAAGGAAGGGATTCAATGGCTTCTTTTCGCTTCCCAGCTTGTCATTCCGGCTACTGTACTGCTGCTTCAGGGTACTGAGGAACCATTTAAGGACGAGTAACGCGCGCTTGGCGGGGTCGGGTTCACTCGCGGGCGCGACGAAGATGCTAGGGTGTTCTGCCCAGTATGAAGAGTATTCAACGAGCGACGTGGGAGAAAGGATAAATGGCGGTGCGGTGAAACTCGAAATGTCACCGTTGAATGAGGTCAAGGACTAAAAATCAAGCAAAGCCTAGCTGTTAATATGAGGGATTCTCGAACTTTGATTCCGGCACCGCCAGTGAGGTTTAGGCCGCAAAGAAGGGAGGGTCGGAAGGCAGCCGAGGGATCGTGGACACACCTTGAGGAGCGATGTCCAAGAGCCCGAAGAGCCCTTATTCTGGGCAGATCCATTCTCATCTTTTGGCGAAGGCGCAGACATGTTGTAATTGTATTAGTTTATAGTTTTGTGTCGTTTTTGGCCGGAGGAACAGCTGAAGGAAAGGGTGGTGGGGCTGAAAAGGGTCCTCGGATCCTGGGGGAGAATGATCGAGGGGGGAGGCTTCGCCGTGGAAAGAGATTGGAGATTGAGAAGGAGGGATCCCGCAGCGGTAAAGCCGACGAGTAGAGAATAGATGTTAATGGAAGGAGGGCAAAAGGATAAGGGAAGGAATGAATATTAGATGGTTGGGAACAGAATCCTAGCGGTCAGTTACTTTGGTTGAATTTCCCTGGTGGTGATTGCTTGCGGTTCAACTCGTTCCCTCTTTGGGGGCTTCCGCCTTCGCTTCGCTCTCCAAAACGTCATCCAAACCGCCTGATGAACAGGCGACACGTACGCAGGGCCTAATAAGATTCAATTTAGCTTACAAGAATACCAGTATCAGTTACAGATTTAGAATATAGTATTGACTTTACCTCTTGAGCTTCAATTATTGAAAAGCTTCATTTTTTTTTGCGGTAGCGGAAGGGTCATCTTGAATGTTAGCTTTCTAGTAACTGCCAGGTTAACTTGATATGGTATCTTATATTTCACCGGAGTTTTAAGAACAAACTCAAAATAATCCCACAAAAATGCTAAAATTTCAGAAATGAGAAGAAACCGTGTCTAATTTCGCCCAGCAAAGTACTTCAATTGTAAAATAGCATAAGTACGATAGAGTTAGCTTATTAAAAATCTTGGGCAAAAACCTCGTGCAGTTTTAGCTGTCGTGAAGAGCTCAGCCCGTAAAACGATGAGGGCGTATCCTTCAACGTTAAGTATATATTTCTCATAATTGCGCCACTAATCAACAATCAGCTCTCATTAGCAGAGTTGGTTCAAGCAAATCCTCTATGGCGCAATTGGCTAGCGCGTCCGGCTGTTAACCGGGAGGTTGGTGGTTCGAGCCCACCTGGAGGAGCTTCACACTTCCTTTTTCCAACCTACGCTCTCTCACAAAGAGTGTAGGACAATAACTTTCAATCCTCTATGGCGCAATTGGCTAGCGCGTCCGGCTGTTAACCGGGAGGTTGGTGGTTCGAGCCCACCTGGAGGAGCTTCAATTCTTTTTTGTCCCTTTTCCTTTTGGGGGATATTTTTTTTGACCTCGTTAGGAGAGCTCGAGGCTTGGGGATAAATGAAGTCATAGCCGCTTCTGGAACCTTGTGCTGAGACAATCATGAGTGAATAATAATCTTCTCGCGATCAGTCTAGAAAAGAGGGACAAATTTTTAATATACTATTATTATTCATTTACTTTGAATCGTTCAACTTTCATTGCTCCATTACAAAAGGAGAAATTTACCATTGTCCCGTGATAAAAGTTGCTTGGTCTGAGGAAATCAGTACAGATAGGCGGTAAGAGGCGGGGTGATTCCGTCAGACGGTCCGCCCGCGTGCCGATGTTGACCAACCCCACGTCTGGTAACTGATATACACTGCACCATACAAGAATGATGCTTGTCTCTTGACAATCCATTTGTTTCCTGGTTAGTAGAGGTTTTTCTTGGCTGCTTCGGAAGCTCTGTCGAATCCGTCACATTTGAGCTGTATGTGCGTGCCCAATGCCCCACATACCTGTATCAGTCTTATCAGCGCCATTTGAGCTACTCTGACTGCTAAGTCGTTCAGCCAGTGAACACGGCTCTTTTCTCAGACCACCTTCTATGAATCAAGACGCGACAGTGCATTACTGAATACACTTGAAACTCTTCAAAAGAAGCCATGTTTGCTTCGGTATGTTCACTTCAGTACCAGATCCTTGACTGGCTTCTCTCACCGGAAAGCTCGCGCGCACGCACCGCCGCCATTGCTCAGATCCTCCCACGTGGCAGCTCTTACTGACATCTCATAAAGAAAAAGCCGTATTCGGCTGTCTCTGTTCAAATAGAGCGCCTTACAAGCGAAATATACGAGGAGAATGATGTTGGAGGAATTGTAGACCTTGTCGAGGTCATTCGGCTTCAAGATAGCGGACCGACAGAAGCTGCGCGCGCGATCCGCAAGAAACTGTATAGCTTCCCCTAGCTCAAAAATGTCCAATTCAGCCCTTGTCAATGACTGACGCAAAGCGACTGTACAGAAAATACGGCAATGTGCACCGACAACTACGAGCTCTGACCATTCTCGACGGGCTGATCCAAAATGCGGGCCCTAGATTTCAGCGCACCTTCCTGGACGAACCTTTACTGGAACGACTCCGAATAGCAGCCACAGATTCGCTTTCCGACGTGGATGTGAAAAAGAAGTGCAAAGTCCTCTTTGGTCAATGGGCAGTAGCATACAAAGACACGCCTGGATTAGAACGGCTTACTGCGCTCTACCGACAACTGCCCCAGCGCAAACGGCCCCAGGCTCAACAGCCCTCAAAGGTGCTCAGAGAGACGGAAGAAGAAGCAGAGAATGACAACCGCAGCGCATCTGCTACCAGCGGACGCGCTGCCTCTCGATCCATCAGCTCACCTACTCAACCCACCCCATCGGCCTCCTCATCGTCATCAAACAAGCCCATCACCTTATCATCCGGACCAAACTTTACATTCTCGTCATCATCAAAAGACAAAAAGGGCAAAGTGAAGCCCTTCAACCTCGAAAAGGAGAAACCTCAGCTCCTCCAAACCCTCGCCTCCTCCTCCGTAGCCAGCACGAATCTCATGAACGCGCTGAGGCTCGTAAACCGCGAGAACAAGCGCGTGAGCGAGGACCCAGAAGTCATGCGCCGGTTCGAGACGTGCAAGCTCCTCCGCCGGCAGATTCTGAGATACATCCAAAACGTCGAGAGCGAGCAATGGCTCGGCGGCCTGATCCACGCCAACGAGGAGCTCGTCAACGCGCTGCAGACCTTTGAAGTGCTCGACAAGAGCACAGAAGTCGACAGCGACAGCGACAGCGACGAATGGGACAGCAGTCACACTCCATCTGGAGCCACCGCCGCTCGCACCTCGCCGCCGCTGCCCCCGCCACAAGGCTCGGGTACCTCCTCAGCCGCAGATGCCCTCGCGGGTCTCAACCTGGATAATCCCCGCGCAGACGTGCCCCCCGCAAAACCCCCTCGACCGACAAGTATTTCCATGCCACCACTCATGCCAGCGGCCGCGAGCATTGCAAGCCAAGCGACTTTCACAAGCCACGCAAATGGCAAAGGCAGAGTATCTGGGCATGAGCATGAGCCCGAACCTCGCAGCGAAGACGAAGACGAGGACAAATACGGAGATGATGACGACGACCCTTTTGCCGACCGCAACGCCATTCACACTCCCGGTGTTGAACGCACTGGAATGGCCTGGCGTTGATCTGATTCTGTCCTCTTTCTTTTTTTTCCCCTTTCATCTTAGTTGAGCCTTTTGTCCTCTTTCTTTTCCTTCATCTTAGTTAAGCCTTTTCGTCTCTTATTTTCCTTTCATCTCACTCAAGCCATTTTTTGTCTCTTTATTTTTTTTTCTCGCGCTCATCTTTTCTCCGTTGATATCTTTTTGGTTTATATGCGTCTTTTTTTGCCCCAACCCCACCCCCGAGCCAGATCTTACATTTTCCAGTTTATTTTTAATTCGTTCCTATGCTTCCCTGCTTCCCTCCCTTCGTCCTGTCCTACATCTTTTCCTAAAGTCCTTTTCTTTCCCCGAGAATCCGACTCCATATTACTTTTACCAGTTTCGTGGTCCATAGTCTAGTATCAATATTATTTGTAAATATCATCATAACCTCATCATAGCATCATAACCTCATCATAATCTCATCATAGTCTCACCATAACCTCACTATAATCATCTCATCATAATCCGATCATGAAGGCAGAGACGCAGAGATGCAGAGACGAACGAACAATCTTCCAAGGCACAGACGAACAAACACTAAAGCAAAGAACCAATTCAAAAACCGTCATATGATAAAATTTCAATTTGACATTCTGCCAAAATCTATATAAATTGAAATACGATAATAATCTGAAGCATTCTCGACACTATCTTTTTTCCCATTTGACGACCGGAAAAGAAAGATGACAAAGTGCTCTAGAAGGTCGGGGGGAAGTAAGATAAAATGGGATTGGAAAAAAAAAAAAAATAAAGAAACAAATTTTATCTTTTCTTGCCATACCAGCTGCTAGTCTATACAGCATTCCCATCGACACGACACAAACGCTTGAATTGCACATGTGCGCGAAGTGGAAAGCAGGTCGGGATAAAATACACAATGGATAGAGAGTGAGAGAGAAGAGAAGATGAGAAAAAGGGATCATAAAAAAAGAGGTAATTTCTGGCTAGATATGAAGAAGATAAGATGCAACAAACACAAAACAAAATAGACAATGGGGTTATGTGTCAATTGAAATTCATATCAGGATTTTACAACTCGTCGTGACCGCTGGGCTCATCATCATCCTCAGCCGCACCGGGACCGCCAGGGCCGCCATAAAGCTTGCTGGTGATGGGGTACGCAACACTGCTGAGCTTCTCCTTTTGCTCCTCAAAGTCCTCAGTGGTGGCGGTCTTAGCGTTCTCCTCGAGCCATTCGGCGGCTTCCTTGACGGCTTCCAGGATCTGAACACATGAAAAGTTAGTCGCATTGCACATGGAATAAAGAGAGAATAGACTTGTATCATGGAGAGTGACGTACGGTCTCCTTGTCTTCCTCGTCAATCTTGCCGCCAAGACCCTCCTCGTCATTGACCTGGTTCTTCAGGCTAAAGGCATAATTCTCAAGACCGTTTCTGGCCTCAATCTTCTCACGGACAGCCTTGTCTTCCTCGGCAAACTTCTCAGCCTCGGAGACCATGCGGTCAATTTCCTCCTGGGTCAAGCGACCCTTGTCGTTGGTGATGGTGATGCTCTCAGACTTGCCGGTTCCCTTGTCGCCGGCGGTAACCTTGAGGATACCGTTGGCGTCAAGCTCGAAAGACACTTCGATCTGAGGAACACCGCGAGGAGCGGGAGGAATGCCGGTAAGCTCGAACTTGCCGAGCAGGTTGTTGTCCTTGGTCATGGACCGCTCACCCTCATCTGCGTGAAAAAAGGTAAAGGGTTAGTCGAATAATTTTTAGACGAAACGCCTCGCGGAGAATGTGACTTACAAACTTGAATGAGGACCACAGGCTGGTTATCGGCAGCAGTGGAGAAGATCTGGCTCTTGCGGGTGGGGATAAGAGTGTTGCGGGGGATAAGCTTGGTCATGACGCCACCGGTAGTCTCGATACCGAGAGTCAACGGGTTGACGTCCATGAGGAGAAGACCTCCAGTGTTTTCCTCGCCAGAGAGAACGCCAGCCTGAACAGCGGCACCGAATGCAACAGCCTCATCGGGGTTGATACCCTTGCTGGCCTTCTTGCCACTAAAGTACTCCTCAAGGAGCGACTGGACCTTGGGAATACGAGTGGAACCACCAACCAAGACAATGTCATGGATGTCAGCCTTCTTGAGCTTGGCATCCTTGAGGACCTGTTCGACAGGCTTGAGAGTGCGCTTGAAGAGGTCCATGTTCAGCTCCTCGAACTTGGCGCGAGTGAGCGTCTCAGAGAAGTCATTTCCATTGTGGAAGGCCTCAATCTCAATGCGAGTGGACATCTGCGAGGACAAAGTCCGCTTGGCCTTCTCAACCTCGCGCTTGAGCTTACCCATGGTCTTCAAGTCCTTGGTGATGTCGACGTCGTTCTTCTTGTTGTATTGCTTGACGAAGTGGTTGATGACACGCTGGTCAAAGTCTTCACCACCCAAGTGAGTGTCACCAGCAGTCGCGAGGACTTCAAAGACACCATCCTCAATCGAAAGCAGCGAGACATCGAAAGTACCACCACCAAGATCGTACACAATGATCTGGCGCTCGTCACCGGTCTTGTCAAGACCGTAGGCGATAGCGGCGGCAGTGGGCTCGTTGACGATTCGGAGAACGTTGAGACCGGCAATGGTACCGGCATCCTTGGTGGCTTGACGCTGGTTGTCGTTGAAGTACGCCGGCACAGTAACGACGGCGTGAGTAACAGACTTGCCAAGGTAGGACTCAGCAATCTCCTTCATCTTGCCCAAAACCATGGCCGAGATCTCCTCAGGGGTGAAGACCTTGTCACCACCTCCGACCTCGACTTTGACGTGAGGCCTGTCATTCTTGTTTACAACGCGGAAAGGGAAGTGCTTGATGTCACTTTGAATGTCCTTGTCCGCGAACTTGCGGCCGATCAAACGCCTGAAGATGATTAGTCATTGCAATTATGGCAAAACTTTAGAAGTGATAAGAACACATACTTGATGTCGAAGACAGTCCTCGTGGGGTTCGCCGCATATTGGTTCTTTGCGGCGTCTCCAACAAGACGCTCCTCGTCCGTAAAGGCAACATAGGAAGGCGTGATACGATTACCCTGGTCGTTGACGAGGATTTCAACCTTTCCATTCTGCATCACACCGACACAGCTGCAGAACCGTTAATAGCCAGAAATATTAATTATTGATGCCAAATAATGTTGAACTTACGAGTAGGTGGTTCCGAGATCAATACCAATCACTAAATTGAGTTAGACTTTCAATTCTCTAAACCGACCAGATAACAGGATTTTAGCCTACCAGTTCCATAGTTTTCTTGCACATCAGAATCATTTGATGCGCTCGCCGTGTTCAGGAAAGCCAAAGGAGCAATGAACACAAAGAGAAGATAGAAGATGGTGGACCACGCCATGGGCGAAGATCCTCTGAGGCCTGTTCGTCCTGCCATGATGGGCAGTATGTGTCTAGCCACCCCAACGGCAGACTAAGAAATTTTGAGGAGAAAAAGGTAAAGAAATGCGCGACGACTGCGAGAGCTGGTTCAGTGAAGAACAGCAGCAGATTCCGCCAGCAAAAAGGTAATTGTTGATATTGAAAGAAGGGAGAGTGAGGATGAAGCTCAGAGAAATGGCGGAGATGGGGGTCGCTTTTAGAGCAAGCTTGAGACGCCAATCGAACAGGGTGGCCTTTGACTTTCACGAGAAAAGGATACCGTAGCCTCCTGGAGGGAACACCAATCAAATGTCGCCACCCCGAGCTTAAATTGGCGACGCCGTCACTTCTCTCTTAACTAACTAGGTAAAAGCTCTTACCCTTTTAGACACGCGCTTGCCCTGACGCCAACAATTGGGAACAAAGCCGGAGTCACTGAACTTTCGAGAACCATCCGTCCCCTTTTGCGCATACATACGCTGGACAGGACAAGTGCTTTTATTATTGGCGAAATTCATCATCTCTTTAAAACATAAGCAAGATGCGGTTATCACGTGGCTACTCTTCTTGTGCAAACACATCTCGCGGTTAATTCAGCCGTCTTCACGTGCAACCATACAATTATATAATAACTGTCGGCATCGTCATGGTCGTCGAGTGCTTAAAACCATTACTTATTGGGACCGTGTATAGTATGCCTAACCACAATGATTAAATGCAGCTGTATACGAGAGAATGCTCGCTATCTGTCAAACTTGTCGAGAAGGACACCTGAAGAAGACTTTCCATCTATCGAGGCCTACCACCGCCGATATCTTGACCCAACTGCCGGAGAAGATGCACGTTAGCGACTCAAATCCACAAGTACACATAACACAATTACATGATTGAAGGCCAGCGATCAGAGGTCTAGCAATAAGAATCAAGAAACTTACCCTGTAGCCGCTGATTTTCTCCCATTCAATCTTCTGCCGGGTGATGGGTAGTTGCCTTCTAAGGCTCTTGAATGCCCCCTCGCTCAGGTTGCTGAATGCCCTGTTCAGTTCCTCTTGGTATTTCTTCTCAAGACTGGCAATCTGTCGGATAACTTCTGGGCCCGTAGCCGAAGAGCTAATGGATGAGGTGATGGGCCTATCAGTGAGAAGCCGCACATTGCCGTCTTCATAATAATGCACATCAACCTTGATGTTTCCTTCTAGCTCGCCACTTCCTGGTGTAAACGTATAGATAGATCGCCAACGTCCATTCCTAACCAATTGTTAGTTCAGAGGACTCTTGGGTGTGATGGCTGCCCCTTAGCGATAAGTCTCTATGTGACGGGGTATCCTCACCAGAAGTTGTTGGGGCTATATTTATTCGCAACTAGAACCACCGCGATTGCGCTATCAGAGTTTGTGGGGTAGGCACCGTACGATGAGCTCGGATAATGCTCCTGGGCGTGAGCGGCCAATGCCTTGAGGGTTGATTTGCTATAGCAAAAAGAGTGAGCGGACGTGGCGTCATAAAGTAGCTGCAAATAGAAACCGGATCATAAAGTAGCTACTCACACAAGATCGGCATGCTGGGATTCCAGCACGTACGACTCTACAGCGGAGGACTTCTGTGTTGACAACAACCGTCAGTAGGTTCAATGGGTACTGCGCGAGATCAGGGCAGCGCACTTTGGTGGAGTGATCCACAAGGAACGAAGTCTGGGACTCCACATCAAAATATCTACCATTGCCGAGAGAATTGTAAGGGCTTATTATGACCTTTTCTCATTTAGCTTCAGAATAAAATGTACGAAAGGTACCTCGAGCTGGTAACGCACATCCTGACTGCTGCCGGGAAGCTTGACGGCTGCAAGTTGTTCTTCATTGTACTGCTGGCAAGCGGGGTCGAGAGTCTGAGTGGTATCGGACTGATCTCCGATCAGAGCTTTTATGTCTGGTGAATTTGAATCAGTCAATGAATCGTTCGTAAGGATCGCAGCGTGGTCCTATCTACCGGTAACAACATTCGACAGCTAGATCCGGGGGTCAGCTCCGCACAGGGTAACGTTCAGAGACAAAGAACTTCGGCTTACCTCGCCTGGAGGGGCATCCTTAATAAAGGAGGCAATGGTCCCTTGACTGGAAGACATTTTGAATAATTTCACGTTGTATAAATAGCTAATGTGTATGTTTCTCCTATCACAAGTCGTAGGAGCTGCGTCAAGTTGGCGGAAGCGGAATATCCCGAAGGCTTCGTAAATACAGTGCTCCCGAAGTCCCTACAGCTTACCTCCTCGACCGACGGGTTGGCGGGGTGCGGGCACTAGCGGTCCCGCTCGCAGCAAATCTACAACTACACCGCCAGGAACAAGACCATTTTTGTTCCCAGATATCAGATGCTACAATGTACAACGTCTTTCGACTTCTTTCAAAGATTTCTTCTCTATATCGAAATTGAATTTTCTAAAATCATGGTAAGTGATAGCTGCATGGTTATTCCCAAACACCTAGCCCCAGAATGAATGCCCAGTATATCCTGCACTCAGACACGCGCCATGAGAATATATTGCCAGGTATAAACAGATCCGGTAGGATGCGGAACAAGGAAAAGTGTACAAAATTATGAGACGATGCATAGAGTGATGGATAGTGACAAAAATAGAAAGGGAGATCTTCAAATACGAGTGAGACGGCTCGTCATTCAATGCTCATCTTCATGATACCATCGTTGGTGTCATTCATCCCTTGCAATCCAACTCGCTTCATAGATGTGGCAGTAACACCACTGCTGGCACTGCTGCCGCTATTTGCTCTTTCGCCAGGAGCAGCCCCTATACTTGAAGCTGGAGTTGGCTCACGATTGGCTCTTGCCAAGCCCCACCATGAGCTATCTTTCTGAGCCGGCGATTGTGTCAGGATTGGGCTGTTCTGAACGCTCATTCCAGGGGAAACAGCTCTGCGCTTTAAAGAAGTGGAGTCAAGTTCGTCATCTCGAGCTCTCTTGTTGGCCTTCCGTGGAACTTCGGTGATTGACGGATTCCCAAAAGGCTGTGGCGTTGAAGCACGCGATGATTGCTTCATTTGGGCAACAGCTGACGCAAGAATGGAAGATGAGGGTGGAGTAGAGACAGAGGGAGAGTCCATATTGACATCTTCGCTAGCACCCGAGGAAGCTCCTCGAGGAAAAGACGGAGGCGGGGGCGTGTGCATTCGCTCGTCAAACGAATTCCAGAACTCCAAGCCGCCTGAGTTTTTCATGGCTTGCCTTGAAAAGCTCCCGCGAGCATTAGGATCAATTGTACTGGTAGTCGCCTCACTGTTCATATTATTATCTTCCGGTATGTCTTCGAGCAAGTCATGGAAGCCAGGAACAACTGGCAAAAGAGACGGCGATACGTCTCGAGCGGCGTCACTCGACTGAGATGTATGAAAGGAAGGTTCCAAATCCGGTTCGCTTTCTCGTACTTGTCGTACCACTTCGGCTTCACGTCGGACATCGCTATCCACTGGTGCACCCTCTTCCAATAAAGCAGCACGCACTCGTGCAAACGTTTTTGTTTTTGGCTTTTGTCCATACCGTCAGTTAAAGGAAGTAAAGGTTTGAAACGAGTTTGAACCTACCAGTAAGCTGCCTCTTCGAGTGACAGTTCGCTTGATAACGCCTCGTCTCTCGTCCTTTCCGAGTGCTGCTGGGGTCACTCCATCATTCGCGCCGACAGAACGCATACACTCGTCACTTTCGCCTCCCGAAGAGATATGTAGGTCTTTTGTTCCCAGGCTCAGGCTTTCTCTCCGGGCTTCAATGTCCTTCCTTGCGAGATCTTTTGCAAAATAACCACCGTTAACAGTCTCGATGCTTCTGACAAGAGAAGGCGACCTCGGGCTTGGGCTGCCCAATATACTATTTGCACTGCTTGAACCTTTACGACTCCTTAAGCGGGCTCGCTGAAAACTCATGAAATTTGCTGCCATAGGCGAGCGGCTTCCAAGGATATCATTGCCTAAACCGCTCGGAATTGGAGGAATTTGATATCCATTCAAAGAATTGATGCTGCCACCGACATTTGATGGCCGAGAAGCGGCATATGTCGTATCTTCGGCGTCGTCCAAGTCCACAAAGTCGTCCTCATCCGACGAGCTGCTTGAGGGATCAGAGTCCAGCATGTTGACGCTACCCACGGAACTTGGAATTCCCTTTCTTTCCGAATGCGAAATGGTCGACCAGTGAGATGTTGAACCATTGCTAGGCGAGTCATGAGCACGTTGCGTATGATGAAGTCCCTTGCGGGAGGGAATCATCATGCCCTTTCCCGCCATGGTTGGAGAAGAATCTGGCGAAGACTGTTCTGCCAACGTCGAGTGATGAAGGTTCGTGCAAGCTCGTGAGAAATCAAGACCTCGGGAGCGGCGAGGTAATGTTGACGCGGGAACCCCATATGAGTTCGATGCGTCCAATTTTGGCGATAGAGGTACTTTGTTTATGAGGTTGGTAGCATTTAAGCCAGTAATGTCCCTACGCGGTAGCTGCAATGACAAACCATGGGCAACTGAGCGAGAAGGCGTGCCGGGGGTTGGTTTGATTGTTTGATCATCCTTGAACGATCTCAACGTCTCCTGGAGCTTCGGAGACGTCGAGAAAGAGCTTCCAGCATCCGAGAGCGAACGCCGCTTGGAGGAAAGCCTTGGCGTTGCCTGTTCGCTGTAGACCGAGGAGGAGCCGAGAGGATTGTCTGCTCCAGTATCATTTTGCTCGGCAGATTGCTGCACACCGAAGCTCGAACGCGTCGGTTCCTGTGCGACTTGTAAATCTGCGGTCGGAAAGGGTGATGGTCGTCGAGGTAGAAACGCCATAGCAAAGCCGTTAAGTATTTCGTGAACGCAATCGAGGAACTCTTGGTAGAGAAAGCATGGGTATATAGAATGGCATATTTAAAACTCTTTCACAGAGTCAATTGCTGGTACGCAAAGACCTGCGATATCATCATTCTGGGGAGAGCGGTTGAGGGGCCCCGTCGCCCCTCCGGAAGCCGTGGGCGCCTACCCGACTCGCGTGGCGCGTACAAGCGAAAAGAAACCCGCTCTTCCGCTCGCATCTGACGTATTAGAATCTGAGAATCTGTGGAATTGACGTTTAATTTATGTCCATGAACAATCGTAACATTCGTTCTTGTCTTTACCAGCTGCTATACGATATTAATTTCGAAATACAGTCAATTCTAAAAAATTAGTCACACCTCCATACTCTCACGACTCGATTTCTGGACAATTAATCCAAAATGTACTAATCCACCTTAGCTCGCCGCTCCATAATTTCGGCAGAATCGGAAATTCAATATAGAAATGCCTTTATTTATGCTGTTGAGAGCTAATTTATAGCAAGAGATAATTCTTCTTCTTTTATGGGGCTTTTGCTTTCTGTCGCGCGTGTCATTGGCCCCCTTATAGTCCTATGTATGCTGGCAGATGGTTTGCAAGGGATACGATTACTCTTTTTCAGAGACGAATCAGAGTCGGTATCACAAGGCAATCTAGCCAGCGAATTCATCTGTTGCTATTTTTGTACTTTGTGGGTGCATGTCCGTTAAGTCCGCTTTGTACAAAACCTTCCGCGGTCTAAGATCGCGGAACCAGCACCGTTCTCAGCTTAAAATCGAATAATTGCCCCACACTGAATGTGTTGTCTTATCTACACCAAGACATTTTTTTACGACGGCAAGAACAACAATTGGGTTTGTGTGGCTTGTACGCAGTCTGGACGGTGGGAGAATATTGCTGAATCCTGTACTTACCTTCTCGGACCACAATGGCAAACACCGGTCAAGCGAGTAACTACAAGCAGGGGTATTCTAGCCAGACTGTCGCAACGCAACAAATTCGCACAGTCGAGTCGGAGGCTGCTTTTCTACTACCATACATCAAAAGGACAGACTGCATTCTCGATGTCGGCTGCGGCCCTGGTACCATTACCACAGGCTTTGTCAAATATGCCAGTGAAGGAAGGACAATCGGCATCGATATTTCGGCAAATGTCTTAGGCAGGGCCAACGCAGTGGCTGACGATGCCGGCATTCCCAGAGAGGGGCCGGGCTGCATTATCTTCGAGGAAGGCAATGTCCTGGAAGGGCTCGCGTTTTCGGACAATACATTTGACATTGTATTTTGCGCTCATACCTTTGGGTACATGCCGCCACCGGACATGCCACTCAAGGCACTTAAGGAGATGCGACGGGTACTGAAGCCCGGAGGAATCTTGGCCACGCGTGATACTGTCGAACAGCACTTTTACCCGCGGAGTGTGGATCTCGACCGTCTCTGGGTGGGGAACTTCCGCCGAGCGGTGCTAAAAGGAGATACTAAAGCAGACCTTTCACCGCCTGTTATGCCGGCTTTGTTTCGTCGCGCGGGATTCGATACTGATGGCGGCAAGGTTCGTATCGGCACTGGAAGTACGGTGTTCTCGGGAGCAGACACTCGACGGTGGCTATCTAAGCGTGCTGAGAGCCAGTTGCAACCCGGTGATCCCTTATACCGGAGCTGGCTGGAGGCTGGCATCACCGAAGACGAGATACATGAGACGCTGCTCGCCTCGAGAAAATGGGCCGAGACGGAGGATGCTTGGTATGCGGCGTTGCAGTGCGAGATGCTCGCCTGGAAGTAGCTTAACGAATACTTCCCTTGGCCAACGAGCAAGCCCTGAAGTTTAACGCGAGCATAGAAGAAATTTGAATTGTCGGATATGTTTACCCATCGATTTAGTGAACTGTGAGGCTTGGATCTGTCAGCGGAATAAAAAAATGCCATCATATTTCGTTGAGCAGAGCAGAGCTCATTTAAATGGCATGAAAACCGAAGATAACACCCAGCGGTACTCAGTCATGCCATCTCCATCCTTTATTCCGGGATATAAGAATGTCCTCATCGGACGCCGCGGTGCTTGCTCTTTCTTTAGCCCACACGCTGATGGACTTTTCGCGGAAGAGATTGGCATTTATCGCAGCTAGCCTGGGCGAGTGCATTTACTCGGGCCGATGTCCCCGTGTATGGCCCTCGAAAAGTTATCGAGAACTGGCAAGATTCTAGCCTCAACGAAGCAGACGTTTTGGAAGACTGATTTTGGTCGTGATTTTAGTCGTGATATCAATCCCATTGCATGTATCTCTCAAACGGATAACCTGCGCCTGCCGCCGCTGTACCAGGCTATTTTCGCAGGTTATACAGGTGCAGAAGTGAATGAGCTTTTTGTCGCAATAGACCAACACGGCATTCATCCATCCCGCACATTGCTGTCCACTTTACCTTGACCCTCTTCAATCTATCCTTTTCGGTCAGAACCAGATGCGTTTGGCCAACCAGACCTCCACGCGAGGCGTTTTCGACCAAAGTTCAAACACGCTGTTTGATCTTCTCCTGAACTTCAAGGGCGACGGAGATGCGACTTGACTGGTACTCATGGACGAAATCAATTTGCTATGATAGAGTCACCTCCTCAGTCATATCAATGGCAAGGAGATGTGATTCCTGCTTTGAGGATTATTACGAGTACACTAGAGTAATAGTATCAAGGCCCGACTGGATTGCGGTCCGAGCGGGACTCATAGCATGCGCTAAGGAACCACAAGGCTAAGTAAATTAGGGAGTAGCTTTCAGCACAGGCCAGGGGTTTTGCAACAGGCCATCAAGAGACCCGAGCGTCTGGATGGACTTTGGTCCCGCTTCTACTCGCCTGAACCTCCACCCCATGCAAACAAATGCTGTTGTAGATTTTCCGTATCCATGTCATCTCATCTAATGACTCAAGGGTATATAAATTATGAGTCAAAAAAAATATCGAGCTCTTCTCGGTCCGATCAATACCGCGAGCACCCCGATATCGCACTTATGCCTCCGCAGCGACAAAACTGGCGGTGTATTTGTCTGGTACCCTCCCTGAGGACCACCTGGGTGAACCATTCCATATAGAGAGCCCCGATGCCACGTACCCTCTCTTTTGATTCTGGAAATTGATTCAATCTGATCTTGGCCGTTCAATGTTTGTCATTCCGCCATGGAACATCTCCCGACAGAATTACGAGACATTATAACGAGCCAACTCTCAATCTCTGATCTTTCAGCCTTGTCTCGCACTTCGAAATGTATTCGTCGACATATTGAACCGCTGCTTTATCGCAAAGTTGAATGGACGTGGGATGAATCCAGACCGCATCCTCCCTTTTACAAACAAGTCCGAACAATCCTACATCGTCCGGATTTGGGCGCAAAAGTTGAACGAATCAACCTTCGCGGAAAAAAGCCTCGGATTGCGCAAATCAAACGCGGAACCATTTATCGCCCAGACTACCGAGTCACAAGTGCTCCCTCAACATGCGTATGGAAAGACGAGGACTGGAGTGAGACGTTCTGGACGCGACGAAAAGACCTTGAAGCTGGATACTCGCTCATCAACTCTCTACAACTGTCTGCGGGTACAAGCTATTTTTGGAAAGAAGCACTCGACCAAGGCGAGGTTGATATGTTCCTTTCCTTACTTCTTCTCCATACCTCTGGCCTGAGAAGCCTTTGCCTAGGTCAAGATTTTCAGAGCGATACTCGCTACGTTGGTGTGATTTTAAATCGTGCTCTAAATGGCATGTCTGGTTTCCACCACTTCGAATATCTTGAGACTGTCGAGTACTGTACCGATATGGGCGACGCGCGGTATGAAGATGATTACACTGCCGAAGAGATACGAAGCTCCGTCTTGTTCACTGCCGACCTCGATCAAATCCTCCCGCTATTTTATTCGCCATCAATTCGCAGTATCTCAATGGCAATACACAAGACTGAAGTGTTCTGGCCTAGGAACGAAACGCCATGTTCGGCTCTGACAAGATTAGTTCTGCATCACACTCAACTCCGAGAAGAAGACCTAGGTCATTTGTTGATTGCAACGCCTAAACTTCGGTCACTCGAATACCATGTCTTTGCTGATGATGATTCGCGTAATGCGCCATTTCGCTACTCTCTTAATAATTGGCTACTGTGCTCAAAGCTTAGCACTGCCCTCAGGCACGTACGGCATTCACTTAAGCAGCTTTGGATTAGTTCCAAAACCATCGATTATCAGGGCATAAGTGATTGCGGACCTCCATTGGGGAGATTAGAACCAATGAAAGATTTCTTAAACTTGGAGACGCTGGCTATTCCCGCTGTACTACTTGGTGGGGAGTGGAAAGACAGCCCCTTCCACGTCCTTGCAGAGTTTCTCCCGCCAAATTTGAAGGAGCTTCGTCTTAGTGACGAGGCGACAGGAGATTGCGCGCATTTTGAGATGGGCGATTTAATCTTGCATCTTGAGCATTACTTAAGAACTTCTCGTTCCTCGACCCCTTCATTGCAGAGTCTTACAGTCAGAACCGACAGGTCTCGAGCTCCAGAGTTGCAGCAGAAATTGAAGGGGCTGGAAAAAATATCGGCAGATGTTGGGATCTCTTTACAATTAAAATGCTAATTCACCAATAGGGAGATTCTGATTATCCATATTCTTGTGCTCCATCTCTGGATTCTGAATATGCCATTGTTGAATGGCTAAAATTTCGCCGCAATCTACCGAAGTTCGGTGACCGACCTCGCCATGTCCTTGGACTTCTACACGGAACATTGTACGAGAGCCTCCTGGATATACTCCCAAATACCAGCGAGAGGCACGGGTGGCTTGGCATTTGCCTCAACCAAAACGAGGCTTCCGTCTTTTTTGGTCAAACTTGGAAAGTATAGTTCTTTCCAATTATTAACAGCGACGCTCATGAACCCTGGACGTTCACTATCGTTCGGTAGGAGTACTTTCATGTCCTGGTATGCCTTTTTCACAAGCGTGGCAGGCTGTCTATCGGTGAGGAGCTTTCTACGTAGCCGTGGAAAACTGGGTGATATACAGAGGCTGGTGTGGGCTTGGCGAATACCCAAAGGGCCTTGGCAAAAAGTTAAGTCGAGCCTCTGGACAAGAACCTCTAGCTTGCTGGAACATTGCGTGGATTCCACTATAAGGCTCTTTAGGCATGGCTATTCATACGAACATGAAACAGCCATAATCAGAAACCTCGGATGTTTGCGGCCTCGATGGCCTGACCTCGACAGTTCTGCAATAAAAGCATGTCGAACAATTGCTCGAGCAGGAAGACAGCTTTCAATTAAAACGAGACGACATCTTGAGTGTGTTTTAATTTGCTAAATCGGTTGTCCACATTTTATTTCTTTTCAGAGACGGTTGCAAGCTTGCAGAAAGCCACTATCGGTTGTCGCGCCCGGGGTCAATCGACAAAACCTTCTCATAATATGCTCGCCATCTGTCTTCATTCGTATTGAAGCTTGCACATACATCAATTTGAAGCCATTCTTTCCTGAAGCGTTTCAGATACATTGGCTCAGAAATTTTGGGCAATTGCGCTGTCCTAGGACACGATGATGCATATATAACTTACAGCACTGTTGTTTTCCAGTGTCCTTTTCCCCATCTTTTCATAGATACATTCATTCGCTTTGAATTTTTACTCCTCCAATTTTTCTTGAATATTCTTGAATTATGGTATATTTCTTATGATTCTCGATCAGATTGTGGAATATCCTGAACCTACACGTTCTTTTCTTCTTTTTCTTCCAAAAGTTTCAAAATAAACCTCTCACCGAGGGCACGATGGACGGGTTTCGGTGGTTATATAACCTCGCTAAGGCCTTGATCGCCTTTCACTTATTCGTCTCTCCCGCTACAGCCGCGCCACAAATTCATACTTCGACCTATCCGCGCCAACTTCAGGGTCAGGATAACGATACAAATTTTGAAGTCCTTCCATTTATCAAAACCTTCGCTGCAGTCGGGGACTCTTATTCTGTAGGCATAGGGGCTGGTAAACGCCTCGAAGGCCTGGGTGACTGGTACTGCTCTCGGTACGACCATTCTTACCCCTACCTGATCAATGGCGACGGACGACTCGGGAATGACAAGGATCGAGAGTTTAAATTTTTGTCCTGCTCAGGAGCAACGATCCCTGATATTACGGAAACACAACTGGGAGCGCTGGAGGACGGAAGCCAACAAGTAATCACCATTTCTGGGGGCGGAAATGATGCCGGTTTTGCTCACGTACTTAACGGGTGCATTTACCAATGGACTTACGGGACCCAGAAAACCTGCGATAAGAACATTCAACAGGCCTCGGATACGCTCAATAGTGCTCAGTTCTCTGAAAGTATTGACAATCTCATTAGTCTGGCTAAGAAGAAATTGAGTCCGGATGGACACATTTACTATACCGGCTATCAGCAATTCTTTGCGACAGACGATCGCCAGTGTGACAAAGTGAGCTGGTCTTGGCTTTTGGGGCCCGATAAGGAATACCTGACATTGGAAAACCGCCAAAAGCTGAACAGCTTAGTCAACCTCACCAATTCAAAAATAGAAGCAGCCGTGAATCGAGCTGCGGATTCAGTGGACTTTGTCAGCGTAGACAAGTCTTACGGGGAAGCACATGGCCGCTTCTGTGAGGCGGAGTATCCAGAACCGGAGCCAGACCGACCTGGGCTTCTCCTGTACGAATCGGACACGGAAGACCCGAAAAGTAAATATGCAAGGTTTGCCAACATTTTGCAACCCGAGGCAACGGGATCTGATCTGGTCATGGCGGACACGTTTGAGGGACAAATCGAAGCCTTATACCAGTCTTATCTTGCACAGCAACCGAACGCTACTAGCCACCCAAAGATTGGCCTACCACCTGGTTCTCTAATAAATATGACGACGAATATCAAATTCTCACTACCATCTAATTTGGCGACAACTGTCACTGTATCCAGAAAGAGCGCTTCCCATTCAAACGACACAATCGCGAAGAATGTTACTCAGCCAACCAACAGTGCAGACTTTGTCGAGATCCTGCAACACTTCAATGCCACGACTGACCAGAAAAATCGTCTGTACTTGAGCGCTTTTCTTCCCGACTGTCTCAAGAGGATCTTCCACCCACGGCCGAGAGGCCATCAGATGATGGCTGACGCCGTAATTTACCACATGACTGTGCGCAATGCTAACAAGCTCAAAGAGCCTGTTTCTACAGAGAATGTCCCGGTCAGAACATGAGCTATAGTATGGGCAATATAATGCGTCCAATAGATCTCTAAGTGTATCATATCAAATCTCTATTCAGTAGACTTGTGATCCATGTAGCAACAGGGAGTTATACATTCGAAGGGTTACAGTTATTACCATTCTGCAAATTACTATGCTGAATTGTGGAATGAAATTTAAAAAGCATTTCTTTTGACAGGAATTATATCGATCTATTGCGAACAATACATTAATCTTGTACGGAGATAGTGGTCAACATGACAGCGGAGTATTAAATAACTAACTTATCAGTTGGTTGCTGCCTCGTGATTAAGTAAGCCGGATATCTGGATGTTTGCCTGGGCGGCAATCCCCGTCGAGCTCCATGGTGGCCAAGTGACGAAGCTCACAGTCTACACAGTTGTTTGATAGCTTGCTATTCCTTCATTACCATTTCTTCTCCTTTAAGACAATAAAGATACCCTCTTACAAGGGAGTCAATCAGTTCTGAACTACATTTCGTTCCCTTTCAAGTTCGACTGGCTGTACCAGAAAGTTCCTGAGTGGAGAGTTGCGACTACACTCGTCCAGGACTATTGCGACTGGCATGACCTCAGACTGAGCAGAATCCAGTACAGTACTTCTGTTAAGGAGCTCACCAACCCTTTAATTTCCACTATATTCCGCAGGTCTGGTTCATACCAAGGAAATCTGTGTCCATCACGATATAATGGCGGGGTGGTTCAGTTCGAGCTCGCCTTTGGACGAGCAGATTGAGCGCGCAACGTCCTCCAGCTTGTTGGTCTATCTCTCAATTTCTCTTTATAGCTCTGGCTGACTCTATTATGTAGAGAGGATATAGCGCTGAGTCTGGAAGTCTCGGACATGATACGTTCAAAAACTGTCCAGCCAAAGGATGCCATGAGGTCACTGAAGCGGCGAATTGGAAACAAGAACCCCAATGTTCAGCTTGCCGCACTCAAAGTGAGTTTCTTTGGCATCGATCGCAAGCTTTAAATCATGCCCTAATGTCTGAAATCTCCAGCTCACGGACACCTGCGTCAAAAATGGAGGCTCGCATTTCCTGGCCGAGATCGCGTCCAGAGAATTCATGGACAACCTTGTCTCCCTGCTCAAAGCCTTCGGAGGCGCAGCAACAAATGAAGACGTCAGAAAAATGATCCTTGAACTGATCCAGTCCTGGGCTATTGCAGCCGAGGGGCGATCTAACCTATCTTATATCGGCGAGATCTATCGTGGCCTACAACGTGAGGGCTTTCACTTTCCCCCGAAGGAAACTGTGGCAAGTAGTATGCTTGATAGCAGTGCTGTAAGTGCACATCGGATATGTCGGCTGCTCGAACTTTCACTAATCATTGTTCAAGCCCCCGGAATGGATTGACTCGGATGTCTGCATGAGGTGTAGGACCCCATTTAGTTTCACCAACAGAAAACATCACTGTCGTAATTGTGGCAATGTCTTCTGTGGTTCATGCTCCAGCAAATCGATTCCCTTGCCACATTTAGGCATAATTCAGTCTGTTCGAGTCGATGACGGCTGTTATGCCAAACTCACAAGCAAATCCCGCGCGACACCCGGTCTTGAACAAGCACCTAGTTGGCAACCTCCAGGTGCAAGAACTCGTGCGCCGATGCAGCCTCGAGATGCACGTGTTGAAGACAGTTTTGACGAAGATCTCAAGCGCGCTCTGCAGATGAGCTTAGAGGAGGCTAAAGGGCATTCTGGTTCCGGTTACGTCCCCCAATCGACAATTCAGCCGCAGAAAAGCCCAGCTACTGCGAATGGCACTTCAGCTGCGCAGCAAAGCAAGGAAGAAGAGGACGATCCGGAATTAAAAGCAGCGATTGCCGCATCTCTTCGGGATATGGAAGAACAGAAGAAAAAACATTCGGCCAATCTGAAGCAGCAAGCTTCCGCCAATAGTGATTCCGCGAAATCTTTTCTGCCTCGAAATGACTACGAGCTTACACCCGTGGAAGCTGAAAATATTCACCTGTTTGCAGCCCTCGTTGACCGCCTCCAGACTCAACCTCCTGGAACAATCCTGCGTGAACCCCAGATCCAAGAACTTTACGAGAGCATTGGATCCCTCCGCCCCAAGCTGGCCAGAACATACGGTGAAGCTATGAGCAAGCATGGTGAGGATCCATTTATTTGCCTACTTTCAATTCAGCTAATTTAGTTTCAGATGCTCTTCTTGACCTTCACGCCAAATTAGCAACCGTTGTACGTTACTATGATCGGATGCTGGAGGAGCGCCTTTCGAATACCTATAGTCATCACACTCTTGGAGGATATGGAGCACCGCAACCACAACAACAGCGCGTATCTTCCAATATCTATCCAACTATACCAGCGACCGCCCTGAACGGTTCATCTGGTGCTGAGGGCTTCTATTCTCCAGTCTCCTCGCCCAGTCTTTACGCGCGCCCACAATCCACATTTGGCGGATATTCGGCGCAGCAAACCCCGTACGCCGATGTTGCGCCAGTGCCTGCCGCACCGCAATCCCAGTTACCGCCTGGCGGCCAACAGCAACCGGGTTATAGTGCCATCCCTTCCCAAGCCCCACCCATGTCTCAACCATACCCTGGATCTCCCCATATGCACCAAAGTGTACCTCCGTCTGAACAGCCACAAACCTACCCTTCTCTGTCTCATGGTGCTGCGGCAGCACCACCATCGGCACCATCAGCACCATATGCGACGGCTCAACACTTACCTGATCAGGCTCCTGGAGGCTTAGAAGCAGCCTCTTACTACCATCATAACGATGCTAATCAAGCATATGCCCCGCAACTTCCGTCAGATGTTCCTCCAGCACCCCTTTCCCATCAGCACACTGTCAGCGCTCCGCCCTATCAATCTCCTGAACAAAATTATCAACCCGTCCCTCCTCAGCAGCAGCCAGAGGCGATACAGGAACAAAACTGGTGGCAACCACATCAGCCACCTGCGAGCCAACCATGGCCACAAGCACAGCAACAACAGCAACCTCTGCCGCTGCAGAGCTACAATAATACTGGTGGCTATGGCCAGGATGCCTTTCCTGCTGCGCCCCAGCATCAACCGCAACCCAAAGCGGTAGAAGAGAGCCTGATAGACCTATAACGAGCTTTTCGGGATGGCGTTGGACGCAAAATGCACATTTTTCTCCTTCTGAAACCTTGCGACTTGTACGAAATCGTCTGGTTCTGATCTCGAGTTGATAGCGCAGATTTTTGAGTTTCGAGCGCTTGTTACCCTCTGTGTCATGATCTATTATACCAATATTTTCAATGTAGTTATCATAATGTTGCAAACTTGTCACATATTTGAGCAACTTGATTGTAAATTGAAGCAAGGAGAGGATATCTCAAGTGATGAAATTTTCGAAAATGCCATCTCCCTGGTTCTGTGTGTAAGAATGTGAAATTATTACGGTCAGGGTTATATAAAACTACGGGGTTACTTGCTCCCTGAGCTCTGGCTCGGCCCCACGCCCTGACGCCCAAGCTTAAGCGATGACCTCACCGAGGGGAACACTATTCGGTGCCTGAACTGATTGAATGCGATTATTCTCGGAATATTTCTTGTATCGCCATACCCGCCTCTAAATACATAGTATTTACTTTGTCTTTACTGCGGCCAAGTATACTTTCGTTTTTGATCACATTCTGCATTAGTGACTTTCGATACACAATAATGTCAAGACATCGAATCAAGAACGTCGACCTTGATGAAGACGACTTTTACGATAGCGGGGAAGATTATGATGATGGCGACGATGGTATGTTCAATCTCCAAACCACATTCATATGAGGTGGGACCCGCGCTGACCAGTCAATTTTGACCGTGCAGGCTTAACCGTCGAAGACAGAGGTGTGTCAATCCCGCGTCGCTTGAATGTCTCAACCTAAACAGCCATAAACTACCTTCGAATTGTCCTCCACAGCCCACGTACTCGATAGCTAATTCCTCCTCGATTCTCTTATCAGAGCAGCTCTCGCGCGGGACAAAGCAAGTTCGAGACGTCCTAGGCCCAGATATTGCGATCACGGATCAAGAAATACAAGAGACGTTATGGCATTATTACTACGATGTTGGGAAATCAGTTACTTGGATATTGAGTGCGTATTTCGGTTCCATTTGGCGTGTAAGATGGTCTTTTCCCTGTTTTCTGACTGCGAATAGATCAGCGAGCATCGTCACAACCAAAAGGCTCGAAGAAGTCAAAGAAGGAAACCAAAGCAACTGACACGGTTGCGACTCCCACAAAGAAGGCTGAAGGTGGGTCTGTCCTTTTTGAAACCCTCCCCAATTTTCCAAGTATGTAGTGATTTGCTTGGGAAATACTCAAACGAGAGCTTGGGAATGCCAATGGTGCGTCATGCTCTATACTATCTCAACAGCGCGTGTTTACTTTGAAGCTGATTTTCTGGACCAGGCGCTATCGACACCTACCCCTTTCCGATGTATCAGCCTGTGTGTACCGAACCGTTTTCTGTTCGAGATTTCTTCAAAGACTCGCCCTGGCTGAAGGTCCCTCACGATCGTCTGGGTGAGATTTTGGTTGAACCTCTTTATCCTCGAATGGGCTTGCTAGGAGGCTCGTCTTCAACGGGCGGAAAATCGAAGCTGGCGGCTTTAGCTGCAGCTAGGAAAAAGAAAGAAGAGGAGAAGAGATCACAGGCAACGGCATCACAAGGCAGTGAGGGATCACAGCAGAAGTCACAGTCAAGCTCTGTTGCGATATTAGGCAGATTGGGTGGCAAACGAAAGGAAGAAGCTGCGTCAAAAGCAGATGAAGATACAATTTCACCTGCTTTCCCAATACAGGGGGGAACACCCGACAGCAAGCCCGTTGAGCCCCCAAAACAGCCTGCAAAAGGCCCTAATCCTCCCCCCTCATCTCCACAAGGGGCGTTGAAAGAGGCCTCAAAGTATCCAACCCCGCCAGAACAGCAAGCAGACTCGACGGACCTTAAAGGATATCCTTCAAACTTTGCCAAAATAATGCTCGGCTCACAGCTGGATAGCTCGCGCACGGTTGAACCAAGCTCTCCAGATCAATCATTCACTCTGCCATACGTACTTGAAAAAGTTGATGTTGAACTGAATGATTTCGCAGGTCCGAGTCCAGACGATCTTGTAACAGCTGCACAAAGCGGCAAAGGTAAGTTACCTTTGTAAAAAAAAAAGAAACAATAATTTTTTCAATAAAATTGACCAACATCAGGTGGCAATAAAGCCAGCAAACCTTCTACAAAGCAAGCATCCACAGAAAAAGAGAAAAACGAAAAGTCCGCCGTTGCGCCTGCCGTCGAAGTTCCCAAACCCAAGAGCAAGAACATCAATGTCCTAGCAGAATACGAAAAGTCAAAACGAAAGAACGCGGCAAACTTTGTTGTCATTGGTAAGCACCATTGTTCTCGGACATAAGAGGAATCAGGGGTCCTTTTCTTACTAATATGACATTGCTAGGCCATGTTGATGCTGGCAAAAGTACACTTATGGGCCGACTGCTGCTTGACTTGAAAGTCGTTGACCAACGAACAATTGACCGCTTCCGAAAAGAGGCCGAACGTGTCGGCAAGTCATCTTTTGCATTTGCCTGGGTTCTCGACCAAACGAGCGAAGAAAGAACCCGAGGAGTAACCATTGACATTGCAACGAACAAGTTTGAGACTGAAAAAACAAACTTCACCATCCTCGACGCCCCTGGCCATCGCGACTTCATTCCAAACATGATTGCAGGCGCAAGCCAGGCCGACTTTGCAGTGCTCGTGGTAGACGCCAGCACCGGTAGCTTCGAGTCCGGTCTTAAGGGCCAAACCAAGGAGCACGCCTTGCTCGTCAGAAGCATGGGAGTTCAGCGGATCATTGTTGCTGTCAACAAGCTTGACACGGTAGGCTGGTCTCACGAACGATTCCAGGAGATTGAGCAGCAGGCATCCTCCTTCCTCACCAGCGCGGGCTTCCAGCCTAAAAACATCTCATTCGTCCCTTGCTCCGGCCTCACAGGCGACAACATTGCACACAGGGCCCCCGACGGATTGGTACCGTGGTACGAGGGGCCAACTCTCGTGGATGAGCTTGACAAGTCCGAACCCGCGTCCAGAGCGCTTGAGAAGCCTCTGCGTCTCACCATTGGCGACATCTTTCGTGGCGGCATCCAGAACCCACTCTCCATTTCTGGCCGCCTTGACGCCGGTCACTTGCAAATAGGTGACCCAATCGTCGCCATGCCCAGCGGCGAGACCGCATACGTTAAAGCTCTCGATGTCGATGAAGAACCTGCCGAATGGGCCGTCGCGGGCCAAAATGTCGTTTTGCATCTCTCTGATATTGATCCTATTCACCTCCGGTGCGTTCTCCCCCCCTCTCCTCCTGTTCTCCTTTTATTCTTATTCTCTTCCATTTTCCATTTTCCATTTACTTCTTTCCCCCCCCGTTTCCTTTCTCCCCTGCCTCTTTTCCCGCGGCTTCAAATACGTAACAACACTTTACGCCCGCTAACTTAACATCTCGTCAAAATTACAGAACAGGCGATGTCGTATGCTCACCTACATCCCCCATCAAAAACATCTCGACACTTACCATCAAACTCCTCGCCTTTGACCACATCACGCCCATGCACATTGACGTTCACCGCGGCCGATTACATACCCCCGGCCAAATCACCCAACTTGTCGCCACCCTCGATAAATCGACCGGCCAGGTTCTCAAGAAGAAACCAAAGCTCGTCCAGCCCGGCAGCGTCGCCCGCGTTGTCGTCCAGCTTGCGAATCCCGTCCCCCTCGAAGCGCCTAGTCGCATTGTTCTCCGATCAAACGGCGAGACTGTTGCCGCGGGGCTCCTGGAATAGGTGCATGTGTTGATATCACTGAGAATCAAAATTATTTTATTTTATTTCATAAAAAAAATAGTCATTTCCTTTTGATTGTCGGGCTAGATCTCAAGATGTATATCATATCATCTTTTATGCTCTACATGTATTTCTCAAAATCTAGACGGAATGAATAAAAAAGACAAATTAAAAAACAACCAGATGAAACCATCTTATGCAATGGGTCGCCATGAATTGCCAAGCTGATTTGATATAAGTTTTTGTGTAGTAAACACATACCGCATCTAATTGATGTAATAGATTCCTTGATACAAAAGTGACCAGAATACAAACCCCAAAGTAAGAATTAAAAAAAAAAAAAAAGATTCCTTACAACCACGTACTGACTTCATCGCTAGTGCATTCATCCATATTGATATCACCATCGGCATCATCGCCATTCTGACTCTTCCTTTCCGACGATGCCCTCTCACGATCTTGCGCGCGGGACAGTCGGGCCGCGAGCTCATGGGCTTCAGACAGACTAGCCAGTTTTCTCGGCTGGGGAGAACGCGTGCTTATTTCGAGACAGGCTTGATACGTGCGCTCAACATTACTTCTGTCATCTTTCGGACCCTTTTCGTTTTCGGAGGAGTCTCTGGCGTAATCCTCATAGCTTTTATCAAGGGCGTGACTTCTTTGGTTATTATTATAAGTTTGAGCTGTTGGAATGGAGATGTTCGAAGCATTCTTGACGAATTCTCGGACATGGTAGTCCTCTGCCATTTCGAGCGGGGTGCGGCCGGTGGCGTTTTCGCGGTGCACGAGTTCTGGGCGATGAGACATGATGAGGGCGGCGGCGTTGGGCCAGCCGTTGCGGACGCAAATGTGCAAGGGGGTGTCTCCTTCGCTGTTGAGGACCTCGAGGTCTTTGCCGCGGCTGTATTTGAGCAGGAGATCGACGACGGCAAGGCCTTCTTTTTTCTCGAGCTCTGACTGGTCGGACGCCGTGAACATGTAGCTGACAAGCGGAGTCTGCGCGCCTTGGGCCTCGGCTGTGCGTTCGAAGAAGAGGCCAGGGAGGAGGCGCTTGTCGATGAGATCGAGCATTTTCTGGACTCGGTCTACTTCGCGGTCGTAGTTGTCGGCCAGCAGCTGATGGATAATGTTGCGTCCGGTCTTGTCGCGTGTGGTCTGGTCGGCGCCGGCGGCGATCAAGGTGCGAGCGAGAGTGATGTGCTTGCGGTAGAAGGCGAGGCTGAGAGGGGTATATCCGACTTGGGATCTCGTGTTGAGAGATTTGGGGGCTACTAAAAGGAGATAGTTCAAGAGAGATCGTTGGCTGTCGCTGTCGTCATCCCTCACGACGGCACAGTGGGCAACAAGGTTTTCTATGGGATCGGGCGTTAGTTTTGAATATCTTGGGGGTTGGAAGAGAAAAGGTATAAAGTTGAGCCTTACTTCTAGTGCCGAGCCAGGATGAGATCAATTTGTCCAGGCTTTGCGAACCCCGCAGTAGAGCCTGGACCCGCACGTCGTCGCGATTCTCTTCTAGGTACTCCTTGTAAAGACGTGCGGGAGCGTCGCTGAAGAACCATTCGACTGATTCTATGCATCCTGCATGCGCGGCTATAAGCAGCGGGGGCCGACTGTTTCCATTCTTCCATATGTTCTCGTTCCTTCCATGCTGAGCCCAGTCTGCACGCTTGCGACCATAGATGCTTAAACCTTGATAGTGTTTAGGTTGCGTCTTGATCTGGGTGCCGAATCTTCGAGAGAGCGAATCAAGAGGGAGACCAGCACCTGAGATTCTAATCATTTCTGCCAGTGGGCCAATAGCTCCTAACCGGACGGCCGCTTCAAAATCGTCGTTGCCCACCTCGTACAGATGTGGCTCATCCTCTTGTGCCAAGCGTGCAGCAAATTCATTTCCGATACTCAAAATGTATTTGGTCAACTCAGCGTCGTTCTTCTGAATCGCATACCTCAGAGGATTCACGTAATTCTGCCACCCCTCAAAACCCGGAAGGATATTCTTGGGGAACACTTGCGAAGAGTCCTGGTCTGAAATTCGCGCTGCCCAGCAAAGCATTTCCGTGGGGCGAACCTTGCTCTTAACAGTTTTCGATACTGCGCCAAGGTCGTCAATGGTAAACTTCTCGTCTACCAGCTCGCCATAAATAGGCACTTGATCACCCTCTTCAGAGTCAGAGTCGTCCTCGTCGTCAGCCATGTTGTACTGTTTCCGAGGTTCTTCCGGCGGCTCGAATTGCACGTCCGCAATGTCAAATATGGCCCGTGCCGCACTGAGATGGCCGCGCATGATGGCAATGAAGAATGGCGAGAACCCTCGAGAGTCTTTAACCGCCACCATAAGAGGTGGGTTTTCGGCGTTTGCGCCCCAATGAGCCAGTGTCAGCAATTTGATAGTCTCAATATCTCCCATCCATGCCGCCTCGAAACTGTTTCGCATTGATCAGCTGCCCTTGTCTCACCAATCTTCTAGAACTTTGGGTTTACTTACAGTCGCTTGTACCCTTCTTCTATTTCCTCTGTCGTCACGGAATTATTGAATCTGAATTGAACTTTGAAGGGCGGGGATTTCCAGGAGGAGCCCGCACCGTCATTCGAAGGACTGCGCCTGGTCGGCTCAATGGACGGGTGCAATTCCTTGAAAGTCTTGGCGCCCTTGGAAACTAGGAGGGATTCGAGCTCTTCAAAGTGCTTGATGAGTCCTTCAATAAAATGCTTCTTCTGCGTGATGCCGGGATGCTCGTGGACCTTTTTATGCTCGTCTTCATATTGCTTTAATTCGTCGCTATAATGTCTCCTTTTAACCGCAACTTGGTTACAAGCACTCCAGTAAAGGTAGCTTCCCTTTTGAAAAGGCGATAGGTAATGATCATCGTCTTGCAACTCATTAGGCTTGGAATGATGGACACGTTCCCCCTTATAACTTCGGAGAAGGTTCAAACGGGAGCGGAGAAGGTCCAGTATAGTTTCGCCGAGCTTGTACTCCCTGTCGTTGAGATTTCTTATTACCTGGTGGCCTTGGACTGTGAGGCTATTGGGATCCACGCCGTATTCTAAGAGTTTCAGGAGACACTCGGGAGATTCGTCCTCAATTGCAATCTCCGCTGGCTGCTTTACGCTGGTATAAAATTTCCCCTTTTTCTCCTCGAGCGACGGTATATACCAGCTGTTAGGTAGATCAGGGAACGCTTTGGCCCAATCTTCATAATTGACTGTTGGGGATGCTCCGTGATGAAGCAACTTTTCCAGTGTGATACCGTCATGTTTGAAAACAGCTGTTACGAGCGGCCGGCTGTAATGGCCGCCCCAGGATTGTGTCTGAGATATGTGATTGATGACTCTCTTTGCGGCCGGCAAATCCTCCTGCAAAAAGATGTCCAAAACTTTCTTCTGTTTCAGTGCAACAGCAAAATGAAAAGCGGAGGTGGCCTTCGGATCCGCCTGTCCTGAAGATGCACCTAGACCGAGCAAGGTTCGAACAAGAGATTCTGCCTTTTGGTCCGCGCGTCGCATTGCAAGTGTAAGATTCAGAGCCACACCTTTTGCGCTCCAGCTATGCTCCGGCGGCGGCTTGGCCGGAACCAGTAAGTCTGCTCCATATTCGGAAACAAGAAGTTTGAGAAGCTCTTCATGAGCATGTAAAATTGCTAGATGCAGAGGCGAAACCCCGAAGTCCCAGGCCAGTACGTTGATATCGTAAATATCCGGCTCGTCTTCTTCGTTCTCAATCTCATCAAGCTCCATATCCGCAGTAGGCTGGGGTGAGGAGGGGTCTATCTTGACAAATGACCCCTCGGTATTGACCGCAACGGATTCCTTCTCGTGAGAAGTTATCTTATCGTAATCTTCATCTTCTTCAGCCGCCTTTTCGTCGGCGGCAGTCGAGTTCGCATTCTCAGCCACTTCCCTTGATTTGAGAGCCCTGCGAGCCTCTTCTTTCTTCGCCTCCTCTTCTTCATTCGCCTCGCTTTTATCCAAAAGGATTTTGACCATGGCCTGTTCCCCTCTGGCTGCTGCTAGATGCAATGCCGTCTTGCCATCAACCAACCGCGCAACGAGCCTTGCGCCATGGTCGATCAAGCATTGCACAATCTCGACAGTCGAGGACATGACGGCTAGGTGCAAGGGAGTGCGCCCGGTGTAGTCTCGCCGATTTATATCAATATCATCGTTGCTGCACCACTTCTCGACATAAGAGAGATTGCCCTCGACAATAGCCTGGCAAAGTAGTGCCGTATCCCCAAGATAAGCCATTGCAGTCCAATCATCTGTCGTGATGGGATTGAAGCTTCCGACGCTTTGTCGTCCTGGATCATCCTTGATAAAAGAGATGTCCCCAGAAATATATATCTTGCTATCGACCTCGGCTACTTCCTTTTCTTCGTCTGTGACCGGCACAGGACAGGATCCGCAGCAGTCGTGCATAATTTCATTGATAAACCCAAAAAAGAATGGATGGCGATGAAGGTGCACTTCTCTGTCTGTTTGTTCATTCCATTCGGCGTTGAGGAGAAGATCTTTGGTATAAAGAAGCCTCTCAATCTTCAGAGCGTTCGTTAGACTATTTGGTCCCGTCTGCCTCATCTGGGAAGCAGGAATGTAATATGACGGAGTGACTTACCTTTCGAGCGTGAAACTTGGGACCATAGGGGACGGAAAATGTATGATAAGACGAGACATCCTCGTCATCATCTATCCAGTCTGCAACCTCTTCGTCTTCATCTTTGATGTTGCCTGAAATCATTCGTTTTCTTCCCCTGGATCGATCAGCGTTTGGCCTACCCCGTTCGCGGCGTCGTTGATCGAGGTACGCCTCACGATCGCCTTGCTTGGGCAGCTTTTCCAGGAGAAGCAGACGAGCTAGACCCTTGGTGCTGGCAAAACTTCTTTCGAAAATGGTCGGATCGATCCGAGAGCGCTCTAGATCGGGCCAATAGACCTCAAATCCGCGTCGAGCGTATTTGGACAGCCGATTTTCGTAGGACGGAGAACGTCGGGTGAGATCGATGGTATTACACTGCGTGACAAATGAGGCAAGCGCACGTGGTGATGCGTAGACTTGCTTCCCATCATAGGCGACACAGGCGCAGTCGACGTCAAAGCCAGCAAGAATCTCAGAGACAGAACGATAGAGGCGAAGCACAATCTGAACGTGACGAACGGGATATTGAGATGCAATGGTAATCGCATGCTTGGTGCGGACAGCCTTTTCAGCAGGTTAGTAGTAAGTTACCGGAATGCATATATCGCTTTTGAAAAGTTGGAGATGCAGAGGAACCTAGTTGCGTACCGTGGTCTCAGACAAGATAGCATCTCTAATCTTCTGATCAATTTGTTTGATTTTCTCAATTGCCTGCTCTTCATTCAGACCGTAAATAAAGAGATCGACATCCGAGGCCGGGGCGAGCTTCTCGTGGTAGTATTCTCGGAGCAGGCGTTTGGATCCTTTATACTTTTCTGGAACTGGAAGAAGGGCGGTTGTAACAGCACTGCCAGCAACCACCACATTGCTCCAGTCCATATCGGCCAAAGATGATTCGCTGAAGATGCCGAAATTGGTGCGAAAATCCTGAAGCGTTGGCACCACCGCAGAAGAACCATTTGGCAGCCGGGCATCATCCATTAGAGGCATCATATATTTTCCCGTCTCTTCTGGCGTCTCTGCTCGCACATTGCGTGCTCGAACCTTGGCAAGGCCTTCATGTCCAGCATAGATTGGCACCAGGTTCACATGGTTGTCCTGAGCAGCTTCGTGCGTGGGCTGCTGCGAGAAGACTTCTCGAAGCTTGGATTCATAGGCCTTGAAAGGCTCAACCAGATCAACCACACGATCGTTGGGATGCTGAGAAAGATATGTGATAAAGTCCTTTTGTGGAACAGGAACAGAAGGAAGCTGAATTGGTTCAGAGGGTATCGATGGAGTGGCCATTGCGAAAGAGCAAAACAATTATTGATGCAATAAACAACGATTCAAAAAACACAATTGAGCAATGATAATCGAATGAATTTTGGAATTGACGACGATGAAGAAGAAGTAAAAAGCAGCCCGGATGAAGTGAATTTATATAGAAGCTACATGTTGTATTTCCCTCGCTCACTGTGGAAGCTAAGGAGCTATGAGAACAGACCATGTCGATCTGACAGGCAAACGCGGAGACACGTGACGCAGGTTTCGAGGCAGCAACACCATCGTGGGCAGAAAACGATATATCAGTTCATGGTGATCGTAGCTATATTCAATCGTTGCCTGGCACGGGATCTTGACTGTACTCGTAACTTTTCCCAGTTTCTAGATCATAAGAGGCGCATCTGAGATTCGAATTGACTAGCGATAGACACTCTCGCATAAGCCGATTAATATTTGCTATACTTTGATAAATGATCCTGCTTCAACAATCAATGATTATACTTTGCATTGAACTGTACTCAAAGACCTGTTCTTAATCAGTTTGCATCACCGAGTGCGATACCAAATCTGGCAGATGGATCGATTGCTGTTTCAAAGTTCGTTCTACTATTACCTCGAGGGATACAGTTACGTGTTGGAAACACAGCGCATACTTGGATATTGTTCATTGTCCTGCTCGTCATGTATCGATTGGCCCAATTGCATAATTCATTCAACCGTTGATGAATCTTTAGCATCGATTATGAGCGTAATGAGTATGCATAAGAATACTCCGATATGATAGAATACCGTGATATGTAGTCGACAAGTTAAGCCACGAGCCAATGAGAGGACAGGCAAAGCGCATGACAGCGTGGTGAGTACCGGTACCTCGGCTCTTCCCGTGTGTAATTAGTCCCTGGCTGTACCAGAACGAAGAGGTGGAGTGGAACTTTTGTCCCAAAATGTCAACTTTTTCTACTCATCAGTCACGTATTTTGAAGGATGAACATTTCATTTTACCTCAAAATATAGCATAAGAAAAGTTAAGGAAATAAATCAACATAATCGCTAGAAGGAATGATGGTGGTGGTAACATTGTGCCTGACGCTCGCGGCACAGAAGAACACGTTTTTACCTACCTATACGTAGTAAGTTCGCGGAATTAAAGCTACCATATGTCAGACATTGAAAGCCCGATCTAGTACCAATACAGTCAAGCCATCCGCGCCTTTTGATGACCGTAACAGAGAGAGTACAGCGTCGACACAGTTTCCATTTAACTGTACGGAGTAAATCTGTAGTCAAAGGGGAAAAGAAAGCCGGTCGAATGTTTCGTCTATCTGCCGGACCGACAGGACCCGAACGAACGAGGAAGACCCCAAGCCAAATTGGATTTCCCCCCGACTAAGTTTAAACCGCCCAATCCTCTCTCTCTCTCAACATATTTCCCATTCCCTAATCTCCTATCAGTAACTTAACCTACTTACTGTAAACCACTTTTTGCGTGACGAAAATCTGTCGCTCCCTCTCTCTATTTTCTGCCTCTTTCCTATCCTACTTGCAATTTATTCTCTGCAAGCAATATAATAGACGACGTCTAGTCGATTTAATTTTCCTTTCAAATTTCCCCCCTATCGTCACCTATCAACCCAAAAAAATGGCCTCCGCCGAGTTCACCTACAGCGACGTCGCTGAGCACAACACCAAGCAGGACCTGTACATGGTCATCCACGACAAGGTCTACGATGTAGCCAAATTCGTCGACGAGCACCCGTAAGTCGTTTTCGTCGAATCAATTCCTCACGTCGAGGCCTGCCCGCTGCATCCCTATGCCCTCGGTCTCTTCTCCAAACCCCGCCCTTTTGCTTCCTATTCTTTCGCAATTCTCCCTGTGCTCAAAAAGGCTAATTATCGCCCATCGGGGCCCCCCAATAACAGTGGTGGTGAGGAAGTTCTCTTCGACGTTGGCGGCCAGGACGCCACCGAGGCCTTTGAGGACGTCGGCCACAGTGACGAAGCTCGCGAGATCCTGGACGGTCTTCTTGTTGGCACTCTTAAGCGTCAGGTGAGTGTGTCCGTTCAGCGCTTTCTTCCCATCACGATTCCCGCCAACACCCAACCTTGATATAATTCTTCATATCTCTGTCGTTCCCATACAATTACCGTATCTATTCCCTCTTGTGTAATGGACACTGACCTTTTTCTTGCGTTCCTCCGAAATATATAGCCCGGCGACCCTTCCCCCAAGACCCCCGCTCCTCAGACCACCGCCACTGCTGGCGCTCAGACCGGCACGGGCCTGACCGCCTACGCCTTCTTGCTTGTTGGCGGCGCCGTCGCTTTCGGCATCTACAAGTACCTGCAGGCGAACTCGCAGCAATAAATGCAAAACAACGCGAATACCTTTTGATGCCCTCCATCCCGCCTCATGAATCTTTCGCCTGAACGTGTGGGCATGACTCTTTTTCTGTGTCTGTGTCTTGTCGATTTCCGCCTGTCTTGACCACTCTGATGCGCGCCCTACGAATTTTCGACCCTCTTCGCCTACCATACAAAGAACAATATCGGAAGAAGCCCTTTCTTTTCTTTTCGTGGAATAGAAATTTGTTAGAGTTTCAGGGGTTTTGACAGGATGGCATAATATCGGCGTTGAACAGGAGCAAGCGAGCGAGCGGAGACGAACATGGGTATCGTGTGTGCAATCAACCCTTGGACCCCACAGGCGGGGAATACGGTTTGATAGAGGGCAAAGGGTTTTCAAGAAGAGAGGGGAGAATGGCGCCAGATGAGTTGGGGAAAAGTAATGATGAAGTATGACAATGGTCAAATAGACAGCTTTCTTTCCCTTTCTACTTTTCACTATGTTTCATAGTATTTTTTCAACTTTGATCGTTGCCGCATATATTGTCAGCGAAGCCTTAGTATCACTTACAACAAAATACACATTTGTGGAAGCAGGCCATCACTACCCCTCGTTTCCACAAAAATATATCTCCTTATACATTCCAAGGAGCCAGAAAGAAGGGATAGCAACAAGGTGGATATAAACTTTGTGAAAAGATAATAAATTGAAATCACTCCGGATTTGGGCCCAAGGGGTAAAAAGGTTGATGAAAAAAAAAATTTCGCAAAGATTTACAGCTGGTATAAGTCATAAGAAAAGGAAAAGGAAAAGAAAAAAGATTCATTGATAAAGTAGAAATTCGCCAAAGGACCGACATACTGATCTGTTCTCCATCTCGAGATCCATCATGCCATTCCTTGATGAGAGTTACCAAAAGAAAAATTGTACCTGTGGCCTTATCTGGGCATGAACAATTCGCCCTGTCCCGGCGGGCCCTGGCCCTGTTGCTTATAGAAGTCGGTAGGACTACTTCCTCGAGCCGGCGCCGGTGCGGGTGCTCCACCAATAGATGAATACCGCGGACCCGCCTGCGGGGAGTAAGCTTGATAAACGCCTGGCGCAGATGGGCCGTTTGGACCGGGACCGGGACCAGGACCGTAGGCGTAGGAGGGTTGTTGGAGGCCAGGGCTTCCGGGTGCAGGTGCATGTCCGAGATCCGAAGAATGGTAAGGTGCGGGAGCAGTGGGGGCGCCACCGGCAGAGAGATCAGAGGCCGAGGCATGGCCGTAAAACTGGGCAGGAGGGGCGGAAGTTGTTGGATACGAATCATGGGGCGGTCGACCGGCGGGCCCTGGTCCAGTGTGTGTAGGGGCCACAGGCGCGTCGTATGTCGACGATGCTAGTTCTTGGGGGTTCTCATACACGACGCTCCCACCACCTGTGGATCCTCGATGGTGCGGAGGAGGAGGCCCGCCAGAAGGCGCATACGGCCCTGCTGACGGAGTTCGGACGCGAGGATCAGGGCCAGGGCCAGGATAATAAGCAGAAGAAGTGGACGGCTGAGGAGGCTGAGCTGGAGGAGCACCTGTGTGCCCGACGACGTAGAATGGGGTTGGGCCATTCTGGGGCACAGGATACTGAGGTTGTTCCGAGCCAGGCGGCCCGTCTGGGGAACCAGGTGTGTAGTACCGCTGGGGCTCTGGACGGGGCGATGAGACCTGTGGGGGATATCCTGCGGTCGGAGCGGCGCTGTATGGATACTGGGCCGCGGCCGGTCTTCCGTAATGCGTCTGTGGAGGATGAGACATTGAGTTTTCTAAGAGCGCTTCGTAGTCTCTTCGGGCCTTTATAAATTTCTCGTTTAGTTGCGTAAAGTCATCTACCGGTTCTTGTGTGAGCGAGTATCGGCACAGAGTAGAAGACAGAGACACCGACCTTTCTTTTGCGAGTATTTCCCAATAAGCTCAATCAGTTTCGGGCGGATAGCCAGTGTTGAGTGATAAAGTGTCTAAATTGAAGTAATCAGTCAGCGTCGAAAAACAATCTTGTCAGATATTGAAATGAACGCACAGTAATCTCTTCAGTGTCCCTCGAGCTTAGCTCCACGCCGCTGGTGCTCAGTAGCGTCAGCAGCTTTTCTACATTTTTAATCTCTGCGAAGACCTCAGCCTCCATTTGCGCTTCACGCTGCAGCTCGTCCGCTGTCGGGTCGGGAAGCTTTTCGACATAATTCAAGGGAAATATTCCCGTTTGTCCTCGAAGTGAACCCTTCCACCAGTCCTTATAGACAGACTCCAATACGGCAATAATGTCGCCTTTTCTAAATTGAAGTTCACCAGGTTCCGATGGCTGGAAGTCGAATAATGCACGAACGCGCGAAACCGTTGCGGGTGACATGTGAGAGGAAAGAGAGTTTGACTGAGCTGCGGCCGCTGCGGTATCTTGCGGCCCCGCCGAAGTCGCTGGTTCAGGAGCTTGAGTCGTTGACGGCCCAGGCACAGATTTATCCTTTATTGATAGCGCAAGAGCCATTTGAAGCTCCTCTTCCTCCCTTTTTCGATCTAGATCGGTTATCTCACGCTTACGAGGCTTTGAAGGGGGGTGGAGGTTCGGATCTAGAGCATGCGTTAGCCGTTATATCTTTTCATTCTTTGCGCGTGCGACAAACTTTGACTTTTGAGCCTCAAGTACGCCTGCTCCATTATGCCCAGATCCGGATCTTTCGAGAACATCTCCGTCCACTCAGCCATGCGCTCTAAGATCTTCGCTTTCACTTGTTGGTGGGTATTCTAGTAAATCGCGTCAGTTTCTGCTTTGGAAATTTCTTGCCTCATATGCTGGACCATACTCGGTCGTTTGCAAGCCGTAGCATTGCATCAGTGAAACTCCTCGATGCTAATTCTCTATGCATGCTGATCCCACAATTCTGGGAAAGCGAGTTTGCCAGCTAAAGAAGATCCAATCAGTTGCTGCCTACACAACATGCGTTGCTCCCGTATTACGGACCTCGAGTGTGTAAAGCTGTACGTTGGCGTTTCGGTGCGCAAGCCGTTTTATGAGAGATGCTACTACATCTTTTGGGCTTTATATCCCGTTAGCACATGTTCATCGTCAATCGTCGCAAAATGGGAATATACCCTGAGGTTTCAGCAGCCACCTTATCGCACACGTCCTAGGAGATGGTCAGCATAACTCAAGAGAAAAGGGCCAAGCAATCTAAATATACATACCAAGATATATTCCCAATTCTCGGAGGTGAGATTCTCGTCCGTTGCTTTCGCTGTTCAAACGTCTCAGAATCAATTTGTACAGTTAACGTGAAGACAGGGATAAGGCCTTGGTAGCTCACCAACGACATCATCAAATGCATTCTGCTGAGCCCGAAACATGTTGAAATGGACACAGTGCCAAATTTTCAAAATAGCAGTCTCGATGCGCTGTTCATCCAGAAACCAGTGAAGGTGAAAGCAGTGTGCCCTTGTGTGAGGCAAAAGAGTTTCCTACTCTGCAGTATGACCGTTGTCGTGACCCTGGTGTAGCTTGGCGCCTGCACGTTACGTAGTCCCGCGACCTGAAGCGGGGTGACTAACCCTTCTTCTGCTGGAGCGGATCGGTCCGTCCTGTCAATCTTCACCGACTTCACTTTTTTGCTCATCCTATTTGATGCGATGATATTTATGACAGTGAATTATAATCTACATCTTGCTGCATCGTTCAACATCGCTATTACCTCCTGAATCATTTAACTAAATTGATCTCATCGATGAGGCTTATAATCACAAATTTACACCAAAAGAGTTGGCAACAAACAGCAAAGTCGTGATCATTCATCGCATGAAAGACATGTAAGCTAGGTAAATCCATTTCTCGCATGCGCTATTGTCGACCTGCTCTTCGAAGGCCGTAATTTGTGTCATATAGCTTTAAGCCTGTACTGTTTCGTCTTTTGAATATAGAAAAGGAAAAGCAAAAGAGGAGGTAGTCTGCCGAAACAGAGACTGAAAGAGGAGATGACTATATAGAAAAATAAATGAAAAGGCAAGCAACTTCCAGTCATGAGAAAACATCCATAAAACGATATTCTTTGTTCCATCAATGCAAGGACAATCGCGACTGACAATGCCGATGTCCGCGTAGATTGTTCACTCTGTGAAAGTTGCACTTCAAAAGGAAGTATATTGGCTTTTCCAGCCATCAAATGTCCGCAAGGTTTACCTAATGATTTTGCAAAAGCAATAGCAGGTCAAGCTTGTCATCATGGTGCCGAAATATGGCTAAAATCCACCCCTCCATATTCAACCAAATCAATAACCGAAGATAAAATGCCGTGATTTAAAACGCCGTCGATCAGCTTTCGATCGAATCCCCCGCAAGAAGAAAAAATGTCATCCCAAAATGTGAAGTCTTTTCGCGTGTCGTAGATGAGAAATGAAAATCGTTAAAAATATGATAAGCCGCTCAGCCACCCTTGCTCGCCGATTCTTTAGCGCGTGATAGTCGTGCAGAGCGTACTAAAGGAGATAGGCTGATAAGGGGTTCTGCGATTTGCGTAAAAGGATGCTGCCAATGGACATTAGCAAACGTGAACTGAATCGTACATTGGTAAGAAAAGCTTACCCGAAGCAAGTCGTGAGCCGAGGCCCTCTTCTCAGGATCCACCTTGAGTGCCAGATGGAGGAAGTCTTTGAATACCGGTGAGAGGTTTTGCTCATCCTTGATTTGGGGCGTGCCGTTTGTAGCAATAAGGTAGAGCGCTCGCAGTGGTGATTCCGTCAAGTACGGCGGCTCCCCCTCAATCATCTCAATAGCCATAATTCCCAGACTCCAAATGTCCACCTTCCGCCCGTACTCTTTTCTTGTCACGACTTCGGGGGCCATCCAGTAAGGAGTACCGACCATGGTGGTTCGCTTGTTATGAGATTCATTGATTTGAGCGCAAAAGCCAAAGTCCGCTACCAACTGTCAGTGAGAGTGTTTGAATGCATCGCTCATACCACATACTCAGCTTGATATTTCCTTCCATGGAGAGCAGGATGTTATCCGATTTGATATCACGGTGGATCACACCCTTGGAATGCAAATGCTGCAATCCATTTAAGACCTATTATTGTAAGTGACGTGCTGAAATCAAACATGCCTCTCCCACTTACCTCTTTGCAAACCGCTGAAATCTGCCCTTCCGACATAATATTGTATGTAACGACATCCGTCAGGCTACCACCTTCCATGTATTCCATCACCACCCAAAGATCCCCTCGGAGCAAGAAACTGTCCATAAAGTTCACAATATTCTTGTGCTTGCTATCTTTCATGACCAGGATTTCGTTGATGATAAGGTCCTTCTTCGGTTGCTGTTCCAGATTCATCTGTTTGATTGCAACGCATCGGTTCGTTCCAATCTCGTAGGCCGTGAAGACTCCTCCAGACGCACCCTGGCCAATCTTTGTCAGATTTCGGTATCTCCTTGTTGGATCTGCATTCGTGCAGATGGCGTTCAACTTTGCAACAATGTCTATTCCATTGCTTTGGCGGACACGCTGCCGTGGCCGTGGCACGGGTCCGAGGCGAGGGTGTTGCGCTGATTGCTGCATACTTGATGGGTCCGTGGCATGAGCATATTGCTGCTGCGGCATCGATGGTAAGCCGGGCTGTTGGTATTGCTGTTGTTGACGCTGACTCTGGCTGCGCTCGAGCTGCTGCTTAGTCAAGGCTTGCTGAGAGGCCAGCATTGCTTGTTCCTGCTGTTGCTGATATTGAGCGGACGAATTACCAAAGCCTGGTTGCGTTCGCGGGGACATGACGCCATTTGCTCTCGGATTGGCATAATTCCGCTGCTCTTCCTGGGGGCTTGGTGAGGGCATCGTTGTGCCAGAAGGTGCATAGCCTACGGATGAGAGATCGTCCTTTGGAACCGGAGGCTCTCTGGATCGAGAAGGTTGGGGGGCAGCACGAGCAGGTATAAGGTTCGGAGACATTGGCGTCCCCGGTGCTCTAGGAGCTGGTCGATTGGGTATAATTCCATTGGGCCCGGACGAGCCAGGCGCTCCTGCGGTAGCCGACTTGGGAATTGGTGGAGGAGCGCGGGGATTCTCGAAGCTGGCCTCGTGGTTTTGGGGGAAACGTGGGCTGGCTGGAGGGCTGATCATCGGACTCATGCTGGGGTAGCCTTGATTGAGACTGCTCGGTGTTGCAGCCGGAATATTGAAAGCAGCTGGTTTGAGTTCTTGGGCCCTGGCGTGATCGAATTTGTGCCATACACCCTCATCGTTCCTGCCCTCTGCATTATCCTTGTAAAAGGTGACAATGTCCATTATGGTCTGCGGATTCTGTTCCTGCTCCTTCTTGGAAATGCCGCTCTCTTGCAGCATTCGCTGCCATTCCTTAGGAAGTCCCTTTCACAGAAGTCAGTCATGACATGTTACTTTTTCTTGTGACGACCAAGAGAAGAAAAAGGGAACGAGAAATTTCCCGGCAGTTATCGAGCACGTAACAAGTGAGAAGCTAGTAATTCACTTACCGTAAACTGTCCTGTTTCATTATCATAACCAACGTGAGTTACGTGGACTGGGTTCTCCGGGGCGGATATGTTGATCCGCCTCGGCGATCCGAGCATACTGTTCATGAAGCTGGAGAATCCGCTCTTCTTCCTTCCAAAGGGGACAGGGCCTTTCGAGCCGTTTGCTTCGTCCGAGTAGCGTTTTGGGCTTGCGATGCCACTTTCAGACTGAGACGGTGACGAGTCTGTTAATGCATCACCGACGGAGAAGCTCGCGGACTGTCTTAAAGCGGGTGCCATGGTGCGGGGACTTGATTTCTTCGAAGGGAGTGTAGTAGGAGGGGGACGAGGCGAGGGGTTCTGGTAGGTGGGGGATCTGGTATGCTCGACGCTCGTCCAAGCTTCACGCGCCTCAAACGGCGCACCGACCGACCCGTCGGGACTGCTCTCGGTCGCCGATTCTTGTGTGGTCGAAAGGAAGGACTGAGCGATAGGAAGAGCGACAGAAGAAGAGGTGAGATTAGGATCGCTTAGGTTTGGAGAGCTGGATGATGCGAAACTGGTCGGGTTGGGAGAGGTAGAAGTTCGATGATGATGGCGGTGATGGGGGTCGTTGTGATATTGATTGCGTTTACTGGAATGATCGGAAGTACCGTAGAAGCGTGGAAGGACAGGTGCGGAAGGAGTGCGCTGCAGAGTGCCAGTGCCAGAGCTTCGGTGGCTCTTCAGCAGTCGATTGCTCGGCATCTTGAGGTTGGCAAGCAAGCGGGCGAGCGGGCAAGCAAGGTTGTCTCTCTTTTCCCTCTGGCGCTTGTGTCTCCTCTTTCAGACAGGCTGGGGGCAAGGAGGGAATGCAGAGTGCCCTCTCTGTACGGGGGGTGGGGGGGTGGTTTCGTGATTCTCGTTCGCTGGCTGTGCGGGCTCCAGTTTCCTTCTGTTTCTGTTTCGGGAACCCGAGCAGAAATGTTCCACGTCGTGGGCAGGTACGTAAAAGTGACAGACAGCCAGAAGGAGGGGGGTTCGCTTTAAGGGAGGGGACAATGAATGTCCCGTTTGGTGATATGGGATTCAGACGGGGGTGCAGCCTTTGTATGTGCGCTGTGCTGTTCAGTAGTTACAGGACAGTACCTTTCATCGAAGACTGGGGTCCCTTTTTTCTTTCAAAGTTATCTTGGAGAACACGCGGCAGAGCAGCAGTCGATGAATCGATCAATCATATCTCCACCGTGATCGAGATCGCAGCCGTCAGTCTTTTTTTTTCTCCTTTGCAGTGCCGACCTGTCAGATACGATAGACAAGGTCCTCAAAGACCAGCAAGGGCTCAAGTGTGTTCTAAATCTCTGAACTACTCCGTACTATCTACCACGATACAAAATTGCAGTGCTAACCTGGTACAGTACATATTTTTTTGGGACGATCGACAAAGAAAGCACGGCGTTATTGTGCGGAGTGGGGATGGGCATCTTAATGGAATTATTGGGGGGCTTGGGCTAGGAAGCCGTAGCCTGAGACCAACGAGGCCAAGTACCTTAGGCGACGTTTAGGGGGCATCGTGAAAGGGCCGAGTACCGTCCGGTACCTGGAAAGTGGGCGCGACAGACCCGCTGGCGGACGTGGCCTCTGCCCTTGTCTTTCTTGGGCCTCTTGGCCACGGCTTTGGGGACCACTGTTAATGTCCCGAGGGCACAGTGCATGAGCGGCATGGATTTTGTAACTGGGAGAAGGAGCAAAGACAAAAAGCAAAAAAACAAAAAAGGAAGAAGAAGAACAAGCAGACCAAAAAAAATGTACGTTCTACGTTCCTGGACCCTTCACAAAAAGACGGACTTCACTGGCAGTGATTGAGGGACTCCCCCCCTCCCGTGCAGTCGATGCTCAGAGAGGAGACAGAGCCTGGGCGCGCTCACGGTTTGCCGAAGCAGAAAAGCGGGTGAAGCAGCTGCAGGAGGGGAGATGAAAGTACAGTGCTACCCTTCGACCGTCGAAACTGAAGCTTTTACTACTGACATGAGACGATGGAAGCTGCAATTACTGGCTACTCGTTGTCGACCCGTCCGATCAAGCCCTGATGCGCGAATTTGGGCCAAGGTCGGTCTTCGCCGAGGCAGCCAAAAAACCTTTCCATGAAATCTGGGGCCAATCCTTTCTGAACGCCATGCTGTGCCCCATACTGTGGCAGTCAAGCCTCCTTCGCAATCGATCCCCTGTCAAGGTTACAGTGGTGCCATCACCTATCGCGCGCCTGCAGCCCTTGTCCAGGATACTCCATTTCTCTGTAAGGCGACTCGACTTGATTCAACGGCCATTCGCTCCCCGTGTCAGTCCTCTGCAGGCCACCCAAATCGGTCGTGTCTCTCTGTGACGAGCACCACTTTTGTGCATCGCTCCGAGCGGGGATTGTCCTTTTTGCGGGACGGCTACAGCGAAAACAAATGCATTTTCAACCCGACCTGAGAATTGATGCAGATGAAAGAATATTCAAAATCGCCTCTATTTGTGCCTCATTCGCTCGGTCACCCGGGTGACAGAGGACAGCCCTGTACTATGGCAGCCCTTGCAGTGAGGACGCTGCAGTCTCATAGCTTTCCACGCTTCTGCTTCGTTCCACATTTTTAAAAGCATTTAGGTCTAGCGGCACACTGCCGGGGAAGTTTATCCGTGCCGCGCCCTCAAATCAAGGGCTTTTTGTGTCTCTTCATTCCTGAGGTTATCTGAAAGAGAACAATTGTCTAGCGAGTGGACCAAACTGGAATAGTTTGGAGGACTTGTAGCTCCAGAGGCATGCCACTGATTTATAGCCACGGCTCAAGCGTAAGAATGTCTATTGCAACGGTTTGATCGACACGAAGATTAAGGAGATAGGTGATCAACCATGCATATAAATTCTATGACCTCTGTATATCATTTGGAGGAGCTGAGAAAGTTTATCTTATTTTTTTTATTTTTTTTACTTATATTGAGAGGTTTTCGATATTAAATTCAAGACTTTTTGAGGGAAGTATCCCATCACTTGTCTGTTTGGTCTGAAACCATCTACTCTGGTAGGTAAATCTTGGATGATCCCCAAAAAAAGGAAGTCGAGAAAATGAAATCACTAGATTAGCAGTCCCTTTCTGCTCCGAAAGTTTATATCTCGGTGACTACGCCGTAGCTATCTCCTTATAACTATGGTAGTGATGATCGTCGCACTGGTCGTGTCTTTTTTGAGCGAGGCCGCCTCGGAGGGGTCTTTCCTCTCGCTCGTTCCAAGGGTTTTCCGAAGGGGCCAGATCACTTGTTTCGCTAGTTACCGGTTAGTTACCCGGCCGTGGTTGTAGCAGAACGAGCCGAGCCGGCCATAACGAGCGACGTGTACGGTTGGCGGTTGAATCTATGATGGCAAGAATAACCCCTGAGCCGGAAATTCCCCAGAGAATAATGGACCAACTGTCGGCCGGCCACCATCAAAAAGGCATCTGGATCATTCTCATCTACTACGTAGTAAATGTCAATTGTGACTGGTACACGTTTCAAGGATTACATATATCGATTACATATATCGCAAGGGCGAGGCTTTCAGAAGCTATGATATCGTCTGCTGTGCTCTGCATATAATATTTGATGTACCGAGCTCAGCCTTCCAGCACCTTCTCCAAACACCTTCTCCCTCGTTCGCTCGCTTCGCGTCACCCGTAACGTACCCCACAAGACTAGCACGAGTATGGCATTTCGTGCTCCGTATCGTGTGAGAGGCCACTCGACATCAAGCTGGCCATCTTTCCGAACTTCATCGCCATTGTTAATAATATTGCTTCTTCCCTCTTTTGGGACACCCCCGTGGCATTTTTAATTCGTCTCTCTTAATTTGTTCATTTGATTGAGGCTCGAAGCCTCTCTTATTATATGTCATAACCCCCTTGTCCCTATTCCTTTTCATTCGTGAACTTTAGAAATATACTGGTAAAACTGCATCACATTTCCCCCATTGCATCGACCTACGATATTGGTGAGCTGATGTCCTGTATGCTTCAATTCTTTTGGAGGCCACTCAACTAATCTTTCTTACCCCAAGTAGATCGTTTTTGAAGCATAGCGACATCTTGTCATTTCCATTTCCTAATCCAACCGATCAGCCAATCCGGTCCCCTATTATATTGATCCGCATCCCTGTCAACATCTATACAACTTGCAATTGCGAATAATGGCTTCCGAGGCATCTTCAAACCCGGCAACTGCCACCGGATCCCCTGCCGAGCAGCTTATGAAAAAGCATGCAGAGGATGCCAAACATAAGGCCACTGTCGAGGACGCCGAGGACGAGGACGACATTGCGCACCCTCCCCCGTCCAAGGCTAGCCACACTGGCACCGATGCAGACCCTACACCATCCACGACGGCTACCGCGTCTCCAGCGCCTAGCGTGAGTGGAAAGCAAAAGGCGCAGGATACACCGCTCGGCAGTGCCGGACCTGGCACTCCGGCTTCATTCGACGAGCTCTTCCCTTCGCTCGGAGGCGGGCCCAAGCCAAGGTCGCCAGCGCCCGTGGCTGCCGCTTGGGGCGCAAGAAAGCCCAACGCAGTCAGCAGCGCGCCATCCAATGGCATTCCTAATGGCCATAGCGCCAATGGACTCCCGTCAAGTACCGCCTCATCTCGACCTTCTACGCCAGCGTCTGGAATGCTAACACCAAATACTTCAGCTCCTGGAAGAGGTTCAGGTCCTCAATTAATGTCATTGCCTGGTAGATACAGCGAGCGCATCCAATTTGCTCCCTCGCAGCTGCTCCCCAGGACTCAACTCCGAAAACCTGTTCCCGACGTCCTTCGCGATATCAACAAGAGATCCAAGGCTACGGTAGAAATGAAGCCTGGCCCTGGTGGCATCATCGTCTTCGAGGGGAGGGGTCCTGTGGAGGCCGTCCGCCAAGCACTCAAGGATGTTGCAGGTCAATTAGGCTCAAAGGTTTGAAATCTCTAAATGACCCCCGTTTTATCTGCTGGGTATTAACAAGTTGATTCTCAGCAATCGGTCAAAATTCCTATTCCTGCTTCAGTTCGACCTCATATCATTGGCCGCCAAGGTACAGTGGTCCAGGGTATTTCTCAGCGGACGGGAGCTCGTATCCAAGTCCCGAAGCCGGAGGAAAGCGGCGTTCCCGCTGAGGAGGAGGATGACAGTGCCACCATCGACGTGTCAATTGAAGGTGATGCTGTGGCTGCCGAGATGGCAAGACGCGAGATTGAGGCAATTGTCAACGAACGTACATCAACCGTCAACTTGCGGCTGAAGGAGATTCCGGCGGAGTTTTACCCCTTTATTGCAGGTCCCCATGACGCCCGCGTCAATGCATTAGAGGAAGGTCGCGATTTGAAGATTCAGGTGCCTCACTATCATACCTGGACATCACAGCCTCCGCCCCAAGCCCCTTCGTCCAACCAGGCGCCTTCTTTCACCGCGCAAGAGGGTCTCCCGATCCAGCTCTCCGGTGACCGTCTTGCCGTGCAGCAAGCTCGCGACGAGATTGAAAGGCAAGTGGAGCAGCTGCGTCAACAGCTCACCATCTCGCAGCTTCCGATTTTCAGAGGCCAGCACCAATTTATTGTCGGTGAGAGGGGCCACTCTCTCCACGATTTCTTGGCTGAAACTGGTTGTGCGGTCATTCTGCCCCCAAGCACCGATGACACCGAGCTGTTGACGGTGACCGGCCCCCGTGAGAGCATCGAGGCTGGAATTAACAAGGTCATGGATCTTGCTGCCAGCATGCAGATGGCCAGCGTTGACATTGCTCGACAGCATCCGAACGCTGCGGTTGGAGCTCAAGCTCATGCTCGAAGCTTGACGCGCTATTTGCAACATAGACATGCTATTCAGCAGTTGGAGAAACTCTACGATGCTCACATTGTTCTGCCTCCCGCCGATGATGCATCCAGTTCATGGGAGCTCTACTCACGTGATGGCAAGAACATCATTCGCGCCAGATCTGACATTATGAATTTGGTGAATGGCCACCCGCCACAAAGACTGTTGCACTTGAACGTTGACCCTTTTTACCATGAACATCTACGTCAAAAGAGAGCTGAGCAGCTCCTCAATGAGTTTGGTGTGCAAATGGTCATTCCTGACGAGGTGGAGGAGGAGCCAGATGTTTTGCTTGTCTATGAAGGTCCTTCGGCCACAACGTCAGAGTATCAATTTCCCAAGGCTCGTCCCTCGGCTGATGAGGTGCGGGAATTCGAAAGAGCCTTGCATCTGGCCGAGGAGCAGGTTCTTGGCTTGACGAAAGGCTATCAAGAGTTGACGACGAAGCAGGTCGATGTCCCAAAGAAGTACGTCACATGGCTTTCGATCCTTTAATGCTAGTATGCTGATAGATATAGATTCCACGACAAGCTTCGACGATTCGTCAACCGCGAGCAGAAGGGTGTTCCCGCCTCCGAAATCCCTGTGCGAGTTGCCATTGGTGAGCCTGGAAGCAAGCGCAGCAGAAAGACTCGCCAAACCCCTGCAACCCCTGTCTCTGAGACTCAGGTTCTGCTCCGCGGTCCCAAAGATAAAGTGGACGAGCTGGAGAGCAAGATCCTGGAATTTGTCGAGCAAGAGAAGATTGACGAGCGGGAAAGGGGCTATACTATTAGCTTCGACTATCCTCAGAAGTTCGCGAATCAGCTGATTGGAAGACGTGGCGAGAATATCAAAAAGTACAGGGAAGAGTTTGATGTTGAGATCCAGGTGGACAACGGTAAGGTGGAGATCAAGGGACCCAAGGCCAAGGCCGAAGCTGCCAAGGGCCGGATCATTGCACTTGCCAAGAAGCTCGAGGACGAAGTGACACATGTTCTGAAGATCAAGTCTCAATTCCATCGTGACCTCATCGGCACCAAAGGGAGCCAAGTCAACCGGCTCCAGGAGAGGTACAATGTCCGGGTTAACTTCCCTCGGTCGGCTTCAGCGGCCGACGAGGGCTCTCCGGCCGAGACTGGAAGCGACGCGGGTCAGCGTCCTCGGGGTAGCCAAGCCCCTGATGAAGTGACCATCCGTGGACCGAAGCGTGGTGCCGACGAGGCCCGAGAGGAATTGCTCAGCCTTTTGCAGTGGACGATGGACAACTCACACACTGCTTCCGTGTCCGTCGCCCAGAGCCAGATTTCATCCTTGATCGGCCAAGGCGGCCGGGAGATGGACAAACTCCGCGTGGAAACTGGTGCTCAGATTGACGTTCCTGGCGCCAGAGATGCCGTCGATGCCTCTGGTCGCGTTGAGATTAAGATTAAGGGTACGAAGAAGCAGGTGGAGGAAGCGAAACAACTCTTGGAGAAGAGAGCCAAATTCTTCGATGAGAGCATCTCCAGAACCCTCGAGGTTGACAAGAAACACCACAAAGCTCTTATCGGTGGTGGAGGTAAGTCAATTTTGCTAGACTTCTGTCTGCTTTTGGCGCATGGTTTGCTAATCCGGCGTATTTAGGTGCCAACATCCGCAACATTGTCGTCGAAGCCGGTGGTCCTGATGACCGCAGAGAGCTCGCTCGTATGGTGCGATTCCCTCGTCAAGACTCTGATGAGAACACCATTCGCGTCGAGGGCCATAAATCGGTCGTTGACAAGATCGTTGCCTCCATCGAGGCCATTATCAAGGAGCGCGAGTCTCAGATTGTGGAGAGCGTGGAAGTCGCTCCTGAGAAACACCGGTTGCTGATCGGCCGTGGCGGCGAGACCCGACGAAACATTGAATCTCAATTCCGTGTCAACGTTGACATCCCCAAGCAATCTGCTACTGGTAGCAACCGATCAGCCGTTAAGATCACCGGCCAGCCCGCCGACGTTGAGAACGCCAAAGCCCACATCCTGAAGATTGTCAAGGAGCAGGAAGGCGAGACCATCCAAATCCCCCGTCATATCCACCACACCATCTCCGACAACGGCCAGCTCTTCCGCCGTCTGCGCAATGACCACAAGGTCACTGTCGACCATGCCGGCGAGCAACCCCCTCCCAGGCCGGCCGCTGGCGGCAGCACCCGCGCCCGGATCAATGGCGGTGCCCTGCCCCTCATTACGGACGAGAGCCAAGACTCCTCCGCGGACAATGTTTCCTGGGAAGTCTCTGACAACACCGTCGATGCCGACCAGGGCACCATCCCCTGGGTTCTTCGGGGTTCTGCCGAGAACATTGCCAAGGTCCGTGGCATCCTGGACAAGGCTGTGGAGCAGGCTCAGCGCCAGTCTTCGACCGGTTACCTCATTCTGCCTGACCCCAACACTTACCGCTTCGTTGTCGGGCCCGGTGGTTCCAATGTCAACTCTGTCCGCAGACAAACAGGCTGCAAGATCACCGTGCCCAAGGGACAGGCCAGAGGTGAGGCCATTGAGATTCTCGGCTCCCGGGAAGGCGTCGAGCAGGCCAAGGATCTGATTCTGGAGCTCGTCAAGAATGCCGGTAACGGCGGAAGAAGCTAGAAGAAAAGCTCATCGATGCTCAAGCTAGATGGAGTACAGTAGGATGTTGTTTTTTTTTTTCTCTTTAGACCGACGGAAACAAAAAATCATTACTGGAAAATCCCCCATCCCCATATGTATTGCATGCAAAGATTTGGCTAGGTCCTATGAACGTCTTCTTCTGTTTTCAGGGGTTGCTTCTTCTTTCTTCTTTTTATTCTTTTCTTGGATGAAGGAGATTTAAAAAAGAGCTTATTTTCACTTCTCTTCAATGTGTCTATTAAATTCCATTCAATTTTCCTTTTTTTCCATACATGTGCAGTCTATATCATAATACATTATCATTATCATTACCATTCCTATCATCGTCGTCGTCGTTGTCGTCATCATAGTGACTATGACTCCGGTCATCAGTCACTATCATTTCATGTTACATTGTTTTCTACAGTAGGGCAGACTGTTCAAAATCAAGTTCACCAGTGACAGACTGTGATATTCGCTTATTGATGATTTTGTTTCCATTGTGTACGAGCAAAGATGTTAAGCTACATTTAGAGGCCGTATTTCCCCGGTTTCTCAAGAGTGAGGGTGCGATTACACTTTGGTCAGAAGTGACTGTTCTGTGTAATCCCGGAAACCGGAGAAGCGAATCGCCAGCACAGTGGAATCTGCACCATTGCATGGTAAGAACGAAGTGAGCTGGCTTTCGATAACATCCCGTTTGAGAAAATGATCCGCAGTAGAGTAAACTGTCACAAACCCCCGATCCCCGATCCCCTAAGATGAGTAAAATGGATGAAAGTAGATATTTTTTGGTGTAAAGGTGCTTTTTGAAATGGAAGTAGATGAAAAGAGAAAAGTGAGCAAATGTCCGTAAATGGAGGACAGACGTAGAAACAACAACTCGCAAACTACTCGCAAAGTGGTATCTGGTCTGTTGTCGCAACCATGGAAAAACAACGTGCAAGCAAAGAATCGAAAGCGAACATGAGCGAAGAGATCATTACTGCGTCACGTTCGTTAAGATATCGAGGATAGAAAAACAATAAAGGCTGCTCGTGAGCAGGAATCCAGCAGGGTCTAGTACTCCGCGTATGAGAGCAAGACGAGACAACAGACTGGAGCTTGCGGACATCAGCGTTTAAAAAAAGGCTATTATGTCATGTCATGTCCTGCTTTAGACGTCAGGAGGCATGGTGAAGCCTTCCAACTTCTCGGCGAGATATTTGGCGAGAGCTTCAGCCTTGCACTTGACAATGTGCATGCTTCCCTGCTTGAGGTCGTCCTGGCGCTGAGCCGAGGCTTCGGGTGAGAGGCCTTGGGCGGTCACCTCGGTGCGAACAGCAGCGTGGGAGTCGGCGGCACTCGCTTCGGGACTAGTAGCGGAGGCGCCAGAGGAGGAAGACGCTCCAGCATTCGCTCCAGACGCTTCACCGCGGCTGGCGTGAGTGGTGGGAATAGGCATGCCGGGCTTGTAGCGAGGGCCCATGAGGCAGAGCAGAAGCTGGGGCATGATTTGGCGGACGCAAATGTTCATTTCGGTAGTCTCGACGCAGAGGGTCTCCAGGGTCCTGTCCTGAGAGGCAGTAGCCCTCTCGGCAGGTTGAAGAGCGTTGTGAAAGCTTCCGTTCAAAGCGGCAGTCGCATACTGGTTCCAAATGGTGGAGGCCAGAGCGGCGTGGTCCCGGAGAGTCTTGACATTGGCCGGGGTAGAATTGCCCACGAGAATACCAGAAGGAGTAAGGATGCTGCATGAAACAGAAGAAGAACGAGGAGTCAGCTTAGGGGGTCTTCTTCTGGTCCACTTCTCTCGTTTACACGCTTGGAACTCCGCGCAGAAGCTTCTCGGCAACAGGAGAGAGAAGGAACTTACAAGATCTCAGGATAGAGAGGGCAAGTATTCTGCGAAAGCAGCTTCTGAATATTCTTGGACTTCAACATTTTGTGTTCGACCAGCTGAATCTGCTTGGCAAGCTCAAGAACGACAGGCTCCTCGACGGGAGTATTCGGGCGTTGAGGAGGAACGGGAGGAGAGGCGTCTGGGACGTCGGTGAGGTCAACGTTAGTTCTGGGCATTTTGAACACAAGAGAATGAGATAAGTGAATAGAAGCTTTGAAGAGATCTCCGACGTGTTTGGCGGTCGAGATGTCGCGATAATTTCAACTTCGAAGTGGCGAGAAAGCAAGAGAGTGAAGTTGAGGAGCGGGTGCGAGATGAGGACATACCTGTTCAACGGCGCGAGTCCGGTCGTGAACCAAGCTCGCGTGGCTACAGTATGGCAAGAAAGCCAGTAAAAGACCTCTTGTACCTCTAGAATGTTTGTTGGAAAATGAGAGTGATGCACGGAAAAGCTGCACAAAGAGCGTCCAGCGAACAAGTGGTCGAAATGCCCAGAGATAGCCCAAGGTAGGGAACGTGGAGAACGGCGCAAAGACGGTCAAGAGATGCGGAATGGATCACTCAGACTCCTGACAACTGCTGTTGACATGCCTCGCAGGTCTGGAAGGCTAGATATTGACATTTATCGAACAATTGGAGTGTCTTCAAGATGTTCATGGTGGTTTGACGTTGGTGGTTTGATGGTTGTCTTTCCCGAGACGAGATAAGCTGCTGCAACGGCCCGAAGTGGAGCCGGTCCAGAGGGAGCTTACACGCGGAAACGACTAATGAAAGATAAAACGAATGTAAGCTTATTTCCGCTTTGATATGGCTTGATTTTGCATTTACCTACCTTATAGTTTCAGGGGTTAACGCCCAAACTTTTGACCTCAAAAAGTGCCATCTGACAGGTCTCGTGCATGACTTCCCAAAGTTCCCTCTGATATCCCCAACTTTATCCTCCCGGATTTCCCCGGTACCTCTTGGCTCGGGTACAGCAGACAAACCATTCTAGCAATGAAGGAAGCTTATACGGTGGACCACGATTACCCCTAACGCAGAATCAACGTAATATGACGTTGATCGGAGTGGTCATCATTGTTTACTCATAACTACGAAATATTGAACCTCTGAAAACTCCAGATCATGATTTCAAACCAATTAGCAAAGCTGTCTTCTTCAGAGTAGCTGTTAGATTAGAGATATAAGATGCAGCAAATCAAATGTAGTCAAATTCCGAATTTGATCCGATCGATATCCTTAGGCTCGAATTTATTTTGACTTAGCGATTGACGGTCGATTGGTCATAAAGTGGGGATCTTTCCCTCCTACTGCACGAATGCAATACAACATATGAACCACACTCCTTGTCCCATTCTGTAGAAACAATTGAACATTGCACGATACTCTTCAAAAAATCTGTCATTATGGCAACCGATACTTCCACCTACAAGCTGAACCATACCATGTATGCCCCCCGCCTACGGTCACTAAATATCTTCACCAGAGCTAACTGTTGGCAGGCTTCGGGTCAAGGACCCCAAGGAAACAGGTTAGTTTTCAGCCAGCGCACCTTGAAGACCATCCCAGTTCCCAATGGGATAATTGCTCCTATACAATCATCTACAAACTCGAAAAGAAGACTTTTCCTGGCGCGACTGACACAGACTCTATTCAGTCAAATTCTACGAATTCCTGGGTCTGAAGCTCGTCAACAAGCTCGAGTTCCCCGACAATAAATTCGACCTCTACTTCCTGGCATACGACTCTCCCAAGGCCGTCTCACATGGAAATCACTGGACCAATCGGGAGGGCATTATTGAGCTCACGCACAACTATGGCACCGAGACCGACCCCAGCTACAAGATTGCCAATGGCAACACTGAGCCGCACCGGGGCTTCGGCCATGTCTGCATTTCCGTCGACAACATCCAGGCCGCATGCAAGCGGCTCGAAGATGCAGGCTACAAGTTCCATAAGAAACTAACAGACGGCCGCATGCGACACATTGCCTTTGTCCTCGACCCTAACTCTTACTGTACGTATTGTACTCCGCCCTTGACTTACACTCCTTGGTTTTCTTGCGCGGGGGAATCCATCTCCTGGTTTGACATGTCGTCGACGACAAAAGCTTTTTTTTTCCCTTGATATAACACCTAACTCGATACAGGGGTCGAAATCATCTCGCAGAACCCGATTGAGAAGACCGAGGGTCTTACCACGACCGACCTCCAAACTTACCGCATGGTGCGTCACTCACTCCAAAATCTACAATAGGCCACCTTTTGCATTTCTCTCTGGATATTGACATGCTTGGTGCCTTGCCAACAGAACCACACCATGATCCGCGTCAAGGACGCCGAAAAGTCTCTCAAATTCTACCAGGACGTCTTGGGCATGACTCTTCTCCGAGTCAACGAGAACAAGGACAATGGCTTCAACCTCTACTTCCTCGGATACCCGCACGGCCGGCCGGCCCCGGACGCCTCTGCGCCGGGCATCAGCTCCGTTGCTGACCGCGAGGGCCTACTCGAGCTTACCTGGAACTATGGCACCGAGAAGGACGAGAACTTTTCATATCATAACGGCAATGCCGAGCCTCAGGGGTAAGTATTGATTGTCCTGCCCTATTCTCGCCATTTGCTTTTTTTATTCATCTATCCATTTATCACCTCATATCTCGACATTACAAACCATGCTAATTTGTTATAAAAAGCTTCGGCCACATTTGCGTATCGGTCGACGATCTGAACGCGGCGTGCGCCCGGTTCGAAGACCTCAAAGTCAACTGGAAGAAGCGGCTCACAGACGGCCGCATGAAGACTGTTGCATTCATTCTCGACCCGGACAACTACTGGGTCGAAGTCATCCAGAATGAGCAGATCAAGTCGCAGCCCAACTGGTAAAGTTGAAACAAAATTGGCAACGTGACGACCAATTATAAGACGAAACCGAAGGCGACAAAGATGATGATGACGACGACGACGACGACGACGAAGAATGTTGACGAAGCAGTGGATTTTTTTATGAAAGGAAGGGGTTGGCAGGGGGCAGGGCGGCGTTTAAATATACCAAAGTGCAGGTGCAGGTGTGGGTGTAGGTGTAGATGCAGCGTTCAAGAATGAAAGCATTTAGGGTAGTTGTAGATGGTTCGAGCAGAATACGCAAAGTTATGGTTATGCTGCTATGCAATATTCGGAATCCGGGAAACCAAAAAGTCCTTTTGTCCACAACCAAAAAAAAAGGGAAATCAAATGTTAGTTGGTACGTACGCCACTATTCATTCATTCATTCGATATGCATAAAACGTAAATTGAAAAGTTTTTTTTCCATTATAATAATAATAATGATGATGATGATGATGATGATGATAATAATAATAATAATAATGATAATGATACTAATAATAATAAGAATATAAATTGTAGGTAGATATTGTGATAAAAGGGTACCCGTAGCCGTATGATTTCCAACACAAAAAAGGAGAAAGAAGATATGTCTTGATGGAATAAGGCGAATTTCACAGATGGACGTCAGGACGTGCAACGGCAAAGGTTAAGTGAAGTTCGGAGAAAGTAAAGAAGTAAGAAAAAAAGAAGAGGAAGGAGAAGAATATGTCCGCGGGGGTTTCCCTTTTTTTCTTTTCTCGCGTGAAAGTAGCATTCGTTAAGAAACGATTGAGAAGGATTCGAAAGGAGAATGGACGTGAGCTTGGACAAGCAGCGTTTAGGGAAGGGGAGAAAGAAAAATTGGAGATAGGAGGAAGGAGGAAGGAGGGCAACGGCGACGACATAGAGGTGAAGAAGAATGAAGAAGATTTATGTGCAAGGCGCGCAGTGTGTGAGTAAGGTAGGTAAGTAGGTAGGTAGGTAGGTTACGTAGATAAAAGGTTGGTTGACATGCCATGACTGGACCGAAGAACGTCGTTGCGCGGGAGAATATGGTATGGCGAGTGGGTGGGTGATAAATTAATGGGGGATGTTGGAGTAGTGAGCTGCCAACTTTTTGGTCCTTCCAAATTCTTCTCCCCTGTAGAAGAAAAGTCTGCTGGCGTGCCCATGAGTCCTCAAAAAAGAAAAATGAGGGGCAGAATGAAGATCAAACAGTAGTCCAGTCTAGGACTCGCCACAGACATATTCGACCTGATCCCACATCCGTCGAAGGAGTTTCTCAACGTGATCGCGATCGTTCTCGTCTGGACCGCTATCATGATCGCTCTCATCGTCAGCCACCGCCGACTGAGACTCCTTTAGGGCGGACCCTCCTCCGCCCATGCCGGCGGTAGCAGAAACGACACGCGCGCTCAAGGTTCGTGGAAGGCGGGCATTTCGAGCGACAGCGGCGGGATCTCCTCGCAGGCTTTGACTGAGACCGGACCGGTCTCGAGCGCCAGCACCCACCTGGTGGGCGACTGTTGTTTGCCGTCGTGGTATGGGCTTGCGTTTGTCAGAGCTTGGGAGGGCAGTGAGTCGGACGAGAGCGTCCGCGATTGGGCTGCGGAAACGGCGAACGACGCGATACTCAAGCGCGGTTTGTTCGGATTGGCGCGCGAGGCGGGATTCGATTCGGCCATCCAGAGAAAGGCCAACGCCCATGCCTCCTGCTGCGCCAGCCCCTACTGCGCTGCCATTAGGTGCGAGAGCGCCAGGTTCCACATTGGAGCTGGCACGCTGCAGCCAGAGCTTTTGCTGGGTTCGCGAGGGATGGACTTGGTTGTACGGCAGATTGCTGCCGCTGCCGCTGCCGCTCGGGGTGCGACTTGGCGACTGGACGGTGCGGTGACCCAATGCGCGCGGGGCGGGGGAAGATGTCGATGATGAAGGGCGTCCTTGCTGTGAAGGAAGGTCGACCAGGGATTTGACCCGCTTGTGTAAATCGAGCGTCCCACCCTGGGAAGCAGAGTCCTGCTCGTCGGGATTTCGAGCATGGGTCACTACTAGGCTTTCCTTGGGCGTGGCCTGAGAGGCAGCGCCCAGGAACCGTGAAACGAGGTCGCCGGCCGTACCAGGGGTGCCGCTACCGGTAGAAGATTGCGTCTGTCCAAACGATTGCGGTTGTGGACTTCCTGGGGTGGCCGTGGCCGTGGCCGAAATAGCTGACATTTGAGGCGGAGCGTTATGTACAGGGTGTCGATGAAGCAAACGAGCAGTGATAATGTCTGCGTCTGGGGTCCTTGATTCCTGGGATCTCGCCATACCCGAGGTGCCACTGGAGGCGGTTTGACCTGAAACAGATCGCTGTCCTACTCGAGGAGGATCCTGAATTGGCGAGGGCGGCCTTGACGAAGGTCTTGATGAAGGCCTTGAAGGGGCTCGTGATGAAGACCTCGAGACCGGTCTCGATGACGTCTTTCCAAGTCGAGGAGAATCGACTCTTTGAGGTCGCTGGAGCTGCTGCACCATGTTGACCGGTTGTTCGTCCTTAGGTTCGCGCTCGCCTGCCGGTGTTGGCGCCATAGAATTATCGCGCGATATTCCTGGTGACTGGGAGCTGTTCTCCTCGACCCAGCTCGCATCTTGCTCTTCGTCATCCTCCATTTCACCTCCTATATGGAAATGGACTGCGCCATTCGTCGAGCGATTGCCCTGACTTGTTCTTCCCGGCTGCGAGGATGAGCGGGAGCGTCGGATGCTGACAGTTCTTTTATGTCTTCCAACATCGGCTCCTGAGCCGATGCGTTTCAATGATACATTGGAGGCGTTCTTCTTCAATGACACATGAGACGTGTTCCTCGACAGAGACACATTGGAACCGACACGTCGGAAAGTATGAGATTCCGTAAGCGGAGCAATAGACTGCGATCGGCGGTGCGGTTTTGAGGTCGCTCCTGATTCGCTTTGGGTCTGCTTATGCAGCTTGTTTAGGTTCTTGCCGAGAGATAGATTTCGGGAATGACCCATGCGATTCTGACCGCCAACAACATGTTGCCGCGGACCCCGATGCGGTGTGGTAACTTTGTGAGGATGGTATTGCGTTGAAGCTGGAGGGGTCGAAGGGGTCGAAGGAACTTCCACGGTGCGCTTGGACAAGGCGGGCGTGGATGCATGGCGTCTACCCAAAGGCGGCCGTTTCAATGGCGGCTGGGACTCCTGCGTGGGCATGATGCACGCCCCTTCACTCGTTTCTGACCAGTGTCAAAAGAGCGTAAATATTGGGTCAACTGAATTGAGAGATCGACAGCACTCGGAAATGGTGGCAGCCAGACCAATCCGGTGCAACGACGGCGATCGACTTTGACGACTCGGGACCGTAGAAGGAGACAATGGGTAAAGGTGATACAGTGTGAATACTTTGCTGTACCGAATGCACCTATGCCGACTGTGCGGCGGGTTCTGTGTCGTCTAGGATCCCCTGGTGAAGCTCAATGGGCCAAGCCAAATGAAATTGGCGAGCGAGCGAATGAAGACGGAACGCGGGAATTGGAATATCGATTTCACCTCTCAACCGAGGAAAAAGAGACGTATTTCATGATGATGCTGGTAATTTCCGATGATGAGCTCGATAACGTTCCTCTCTGGGGACGCAACGAGAATGGATGATTCGACAATGGTGCGTTGGGGGATAGAGAGGGCTGTGGAGGGAGCGGATAGGTTGGAGAGCAGCGAGAGTAGATGGAGATTGACGCCATTGTTTCGTTTGGGCGACGGGTAAGTTTAACAGTTGAATGGGTGGTGGTGGGTTGGGCTGCCTGGCTGGGGCCAGAACTCGCTCTTGCTCTTGCTGGTCCGTGGCTGCTTGGGTTGCCGTAGTATTATTATTCGTAGCTTCATCTCCTCCTTTCTCCATCAACCACTAAGTTTAACTAACTAACATGAGGAGCTAAAACTGTCGCTGCCTATGTGGGTTGGCTTTTCTCTGGCTGACCAAACTTGAGAGATTTTGAATCGTATGTGGAACAGACAATGAGACAATTGTAATATAAATTCCGTACTACTACCGGGCGTCGCACCGAATGGGGGATTCTCCCAGCAACCCAGCTACCCCAGCTTGCCGGGACTGTCTTCTCATCTTTTTCACATGCTGCATCACACCTGGTCAAGGATAATCCTTCGCTTATCCTCCAAGAAAAAGGCCTCTCTTTGGCTATGACAAGGTCTCTCTCCTTTAGTTACTTGTATACGGCTCTAAGAAGTCGTATCCTAGAACCTAGATGAATCGCATTGACTTTGTCTCAGTTATCTTCTACTATTCCTCGCGTGAAGATGCCCATGGCCCTATAGAATTTTATCCTAACATTCAACAAGCTACGAACATGTAAACTCAGTAACGATATTTTCGGCCCATAGATTCTCAGAGTTCCATTTTCCCCCCAACTCCTTGTTCAAGCACATTCTGCTCCGTAATTCCGGGCCAGGGTGTGGTCTTAGGTCTCTCTTCCCCCGCAGTGGTTCGTGTAGACACTAACGTATGATGCATGAAAATTTAGAGCATAATTATTCCACTTCACAGTGGTGGCCCAAACGTTTTCCGCCAGATCATCACAAACGCCGCTGCAGCGCACAGCGTCGCTCCGAATGCAATGTAAAGATTGGTTCGATCCACCGGCTCTTCATCCGGTTTGGGAAACCCTATGGATGGGTACGTCGCCGCCTCCGCAATCTGAACAGGTCTATTAGCTTTGTGTGGAACGTTACCAAGGGCTGTGATCCTCAAAGCTAGACTCACATGCACAAAGAGTTCGGAAATAGAGCTCCAAGTTACGCTGACGTGCAGTGGAGCAGCCATTTTCATGTCGTTTGTGTATTCGTCCGGCTGAAATTCTGTGCGCTGGACTGTCTTGTCTTGATCGGCTTTCGTTGCGGCGTAGACAGTGGGCAACTCGTCCAGCTGTGGATACTTTTTCTATTCCATGTGCATTAGCGGCCGGTGGCTCATGCGGCATCTGCTTTGCTCACTCTAGTCTCCAGAATATAGGCAAAACTGTCTGGGTCGGAAGAGTCGTAAGTATAGCATATGATGTCGCACACGTCAAGCTTTGCTTGATTCTCAAGTATAGCTGGCTCTAACTCTCCCAGCTCTTGCATCTGTAGGTAATGATAAGCCATCCGCCGGGAACAAAAAGACAAGACATGACACGAACTATGAGATAGCATTGCTTTCCTCCAGGTAGTTCTACGCTATTGACGGCGGTTCGGGGTTTGATAGTGGGGTGAAAGGTGGGACTAAATGGACGACTCAGAAACGCATCGAGAAGTGAGCTCTGCCGCTTATTAGCAAACTTCTATCCAAGGTAAAGGAAAACTCAACGTCGCCCTTCAATTACCTTTCCGCTATGGCTAGCGCCCAGGACGTAGCATAAAACGACATTCCGTTCCACTCTTCCCGGTCGGCGCCTACGCTTTCTCGGTTTCGTAACCTTTAGAGCAGTGGTGATACCGCCCCGTTCGGACGTTTCAAATCCGAGATATGCAAGATACTCTAGTGTGGTCTTGGGTTCGACGAAGGTGGTCATACTCCACTGTGCGAGCCAGCCTTGCAGCGTGATATGTCCTGCTTCGTTGCGAACAGTTGATGAAGGAAAAGACGAATCCGCCCACGATTCGGGCAATCCAGGCGTCGGCGCAAAGAGAAGCTCCAATTCAGAATCGCTTAAACCGCCATCGTTGTCTTTGTCGAAGAGAAGGAAGAGATCGACAAAAAAGCGGTAACCTGCCGGGCTAAGCTCTGCAGAGGAATATTGGGGGACTTCGAATCTAAGAGCACCGTCAGTGTATGCCTAAATTGGGAATACTATGCAACATACCTAGGGTGTAAATATGTATCCTTGAGGCTCAAACTGTCCGTGTAGTGAAATTTTCGAAGAATTATCCAGATTGTTTCATGACGGCCCTTTTCCGCAAATATCTTATTGAGTTGAAGGAAGCCATGCACATCAATTCCTCGCTCAGTCGCAGAGTCTGGCAATGTTTTTCGGATAGAAAGCTTGATATTCTCAAGGTCATCCAGAGACAATGGTCGCTCGAAGCATCTATTTTGAAAGTCGTGTATTTCCTTGTCGTTCAAATACCCGTCCTGATCCTTATCACACAGGTAGAATATTCGCTGTAGCGCGGCGACAGCAGCGGGCTTGAGAGAAAATTCTTTGGAATCAAAAAGAGGTGCTATCGGATGTGTGACTGCCTTCTGACACAGGAAAAATACTTCGTTGACATTGTAGTGCTCCCTTGCGCTTGTTCTAATACAAGAGTCCAACTCCTTAAACTCGGCCATAACCGGAAGCATCTCATCCTCGACAACCTGAGGAGTAGTGCCATTGGTCTCCAAGTCGCTCTTGTTCGCGCACAACACGACAGGAACGTTAACGCCGAGGGAACGGAAATAAGGCATCCAGAATAGCGCGACTCGCTCATAGCTATAATGATCGGAATAGACCAAGAGAATAACATTGCATTTCCTTATTTCCCTTCTAAGCGCATCGCGATCTTGAGGAAGGGCAGATGTATCCACGATCGTAGTCGTCACATTCTCTGGAGTGCCAATGGTCGGGGGAATTGTGACTTGAGGAAGGACGGATTGGATCTTGATCGTAACGAAAATGTCTTTGACTAGCGACGTGATGAGACTGGATTTGCCCGTGCCCTCATCTCCGCAGACACAAATTCGTACTATGGCGGGTTAGTATCAAGACCCTTACATAGTAAAGTATTGGCGGATTGGAAAAGTCAGGGACGCACCAGATGCCATGGCAGTCGAACATGCTCTTCAAACAAGCGGAATCCAACAGTTACGTAACCTTGGTAGGCAAAAATCAACAAGACCAAATCCCGAGCGGTCAACTATAGCATCATTAAGAAGAGAACAAAGGTAGACGATATCGAAACACAACACGCTGGTTCCCTTGTTTTGCCCAATGGCAGCTCCATCTGTAGGCTCGGAGCTACGAGATTATTTGCCGACCTGTTGTTGGTCGGAATTACGTACAAAGTAGAGGGGTTGCCGAGTTAATGCGACCCCAAAGCTTCCCCAGACTTCCCTATGACCACGACTTGTCTTCCTGAGATCGACATAGAGATTGTGGAGTTTTTGAATCCTTCCTCGTCTTCTATCTCTTGATATACGCTTTGATATCCGGCAAATGGTTGATATTCGGTCAATTTGAGTAAACCGTTCGAATTTGTTGTTCCTCGGGATTGTAAAGCCATCTGGTGTTTGCCTGTTCAGCGGCATTTCGGGCCGGCGCAACCTTTACAAGAACTTCAGCTTGACCTTGAGTATTGGCAACATTTTTCGTCCATATCTTCAATCTACAATCGATAGATACTTGGCCAGGAGGAGAAGAACATCCTGCGTACCTGTGTGCCTGCTCGGCAACCATCCTTCCCGATACGCTGCCATCCCGGCCAACGTACTCACCTTTATAAGACTCATTTCTTTAAGAACCGGAAATAACCATGTTGTGAGTGTATTAGAATCTGTAGGTTTTCGTTCACATATCTAATACAACTTACGCAGTGTTTTACCTCCACCTCCGCGATATCCTCTAACGAGTCCGTACATCACACCATATCTTAACGGCGCCGGAGGTGTTACGGAAACAAACAATATTCTCAGCCAGCCCACAGGGCCTGAACATCAACTGCTCGTGGGAGAGGGTATGGGAAACAGAAGATTCTTTTATCTTTTTTGACGCCTCCAATTGATGCTCATGTTTGTATAGGCACCTATACGCTGAAGGATGAACTTCTTCTTGCAACACCACCGCCGCATCCATCAGAGGCACCCATTCAAAACCCGAATCCCTTAGCCACAACTCCAGCGCCTCCTACAGCTGGTGTCAAATTATCGTTGACAGTCATTGCTCCGCGCAAACATACCACACGACTCTATCGCGCAAATACTTCTGGCAGCGTACGCTCTCGACTGGCACATACATATAGCATTGATGAAAATAGCAACGAGGCTGCATCTACGGGCAATAGTGCTAGGTCTGCTGGAATCAACCAATCCTTGGATTACGCACAATCACAAAGCATTCTAGATGTTACACCTGCTTTTGGAGAAGGAAATCCATCATTAATTCCAGTCAATGGGAAGGATCCTCTGAAGCGGAGGAAACCAAAGAACAACATTGTGAAGAGCAATTCATCATTTGTTTCCCGGGTGATCCCAAATGATACAATTACCAAAAGGTTACAGGAGCATGACCCTGAGGGCCTTTTCGCTTTTGCCAATATCAATCGCGCATTTCAGTGGCTGGACCTTTCATCAAGCCAAAAGGTATATGTCTTGCCAATAAAGTGTCATTCATGAGACAGATTCTTACATATCTTAGGCGGAACAACTTACAAAGATTCTCTTTACAAAAGCCCACGCCCTCTGCCATGACATCAATATTCTCACAAAAAGCTCTACTCATCTGGATGTGGTATTGGGCTTTTCCTCTGCCGACATTATCTGGTACGAGCCGATGTCGCAGAAATATGCGCGCATCAACAAGAATGTGCGTGTTCTTACTCCCTTTTTCTCCCCTGTATTACGTCTGACTCATCTACAGGGCATTATCAACCCTTCGCCCGTCTCCGATATCAGGTGGATCCCGGGATCAGAGAATTTGTTCCTTGCTGCTCATATGGACGGATGTCTTGTCGTATATGACAAGGAAAAAGAGGATGCAGCTTTTCTGCAAGATGAAAACGAGTTGCAGCTAGGAAAAGATCTTGGTTCTACCTTTTCAAATTCGCTGCGAGTGAAAAAGTCGGTGAATTCAAAGAACCAGAAAACGAACCCCGTGGCGCTATGGAAGCTTTCTAATCAACGAATAAACTCCATGTCGTTTTCCCCAGACTGCAGGCATTTAGCCGTAGTGTCAGAAGATGGATCATTGCGTGTTATCGACTACCTTAAAGAACAGTAAGTTTGACCCTTCCTGGAGTACAGGCATCACAAGCTCAGTCTTAACCAGGCTCATCGACTTGTATACAAGCTACTACGGTGGTTTTATTTGCGTGTGTTGGTCACCAGATGGACGATACATTGTTACTGGCGGGCAAGATGACCTTGTTTCCATCTGGTCACTTACAGAACGGCGCGTCGTTGCCCGATGTCAGGGCCACAATTCTTGGGTGTCTTCTGTGGCCTTCGATGCGTGGAGGTGTGACGACCGAAATTATAGATTTGGAAGCGTAGGCGAAGATAGCAGGATTCTTCTCTGGGATTTCAGTGAAGGGATGCTCCATCGACCTAAAGCCGTGCGTGCCTTCACACCGTTATCCATCCCTCTTAATTTCATGCATGTGAACTGATCAAATATCACTTGTAGGCTTCTGTTCGGCAACGCGAAAGTATATCCTCAAGTCAACCACTCCCGACGGCCGGGAGAAATCGATCAGAGAGCCAGGTCACAAACAGAATGCGTTCTCTCTCCAATGCAAGCTGGGATGAGGATAGCGAAGAAGTGATCAGCCATTCAGTTGAGCCTCGCTCTCGGGTTGCGATGTTGCCACCTGTCCTGGTAAGTACCATCTCACCTGGATACCTGACCGCGGAAAGAGTACATGGTGCTGATCCTTCACGTAGTCCAAATCGATCGATTCTCATCCTCTCAGTTGGATTGGTTTTGAGGAAGACTGTATAATTACTTCCTGTCGTGACGGTAAGTCTTCAATCGGAAGCCCCCGCTCACCTTCGATCCCATGTCTATGTCGTTTCCGAATTGGCGGGGGACACAAGCGTGCCCTTTGCGCATCGTGCATTCGCTGACCTGCTACCAGGTCACATTCGTACATGGGAGCGACCTCGAGAAGGGGTAAACGGAGGCCAAAATGCAACGTCGAGTTTCGACGGGCAGTGATAGCATGTGAATGCTTGCTCTCCAGGATCAATGAAGCCAATTCGACAAGCAATGCATTATTTTATTTTATTTTGGTGATCTATTTGTGATGATTGGGCGTCCAGCGGTCATTAAGCTATTCTGGTTATCCCGCCTGTAGGAGCGAACTTGCGGCTAGGCTCGGTTCTAGGCTCTGTGAATGGCATGCTTTTGGGCATAAAGGTGATAGACTCGGCAGGATGATCGGCCCTTTTTGGCGGGGCGCTACGATTGTCCGGAGTGACACCTTATCGCCGTAGGCTCACCGTTGCGAAAGCGAAAGGGGGCCCAGACGCAAGAAAAGGCTCCAAGCAACGCTACTAACCTTTTGGAAGAGAACGAAACTTGCCATTGCGGTATTTTATTGCACGTCGAGAGGATTGGTTTGTCCAGAACAAAATAATTTTCCGACGGACACAATATGATCATTCGATTTTTTCTGCAATCTTCGTACAACCCCTCATTGCTTTAATCAAAGCAGATCTATTCCTTTCCTGTTTGGTTGTTCGTCTCTGGCTGGACCGGTAACCTCGCTCAGTACAGAGGACCTTGGGGTACAAAGAGATCTGACACAATCGTGGAGTCTGTTGGGCACCAAAGGTGTCGTCCAATAGTACCGCCTACCTCTTCAGCATGTTCTCGTCCCAAGTGCTGCGCTGGCTTCGGCTGTTCCCGATGGCGAAACCTTACACGCGTACTCGCAGAAGCGATTCGGCTACGAAACGAATGGACAAGTGACGGGTACCTCGATCGTTATCAGACTTTCCAAGACCGAACAAGTACGTTTACCATGCCAGGGAGTACCCTTGCATGCAGATTTCCCCTGGGCTGGACATGGAGTTTTTGTTTGGCTGCATCGAGCAGCGCCATAGAAAAAGACTTCAAGCTCGTGCTCGAAACACGACAGCTGCATGGCCGGCCGCATCCGATAGTGCATCTGCCGTCACATCAAGGATGGAACCGGCAGGCGGACCGCCACGACGGTGCTGCGAGATAGAGAAGAAATCTCTTTGTTACGAATATATTGTTCTGGCGCGGCCCACTGTCCCTATCTGTGGATGAAAGAGGAGAAAGGTCCAGGATCGGCCAAAGACGGGGCTTTTGCTCCTGGCTGCACCTGCCCTTTGGACAGTTATTTTTTTCTCACTGGGCCGGGAACGGGTACAGTCGAGGACAGACGCCGCCAGGGCGGTTCGATTCGAGCAGCTGCAGAGACTACGGGACGAGTCCCGAAAAAATATAGCTTGGCATCAGCAGAGTTTTGGCAAGGACCATTGTTTCCGTACAGTTGGCCTGGATACAAATCCGTTCCGGCTTGCGTTGACAGCTGGAACTTTAATGATTGATCAATTTGCGGATTTCGAATGAATGCCAATTACTACTGCTCATCGATGTTTGGTTTACTCTTATAATCAAGTTGATGAGATGTGGCATAAATTTTTAGACCATCACATGGAAAGGGAATATGTAGCATCATCCAGTCATTCATCATAATCGTCATCACCATCGATAGCAAACTCGTCCAGCTTGAAAACAAGCCCAACCAACCTTAGCTACAGAGCACAACGTTGGAAAAACCACCCTCTTTCCTACAGCGATCTTTTGCATCGGCCCCACGCCTTGATTGATACTTCTCAAACAAGGCCCCGAGATCGTCAAGGAGAGAAACACAGCGGTATTAAGGGAGACAGCAAGTCAATTACCTCACGAGCTGACGCAGCGTGCATCCTCATCCTCATCCCCTCAAGAGATCTCTACAGTGTGTTGCGATCAAGCAGGGACCTTGGAGAGTCGCACCTTCCTCCGTTCTGTTCCGTCAGTCGGTACCCTGGCTCGTTTGGCGACTTGTCTTGCCGATCCTTGCGCGAACAGGAAAGGTTCATCCGGATTTGGCAGGGAGGGCAGGCAAGCAGGCAAGCAGGCAGAGACACCCGAACCTCCGACCCCTGCGTCACTACCGTACTCTGCACTTCTCGCGCTGGTTGGGTCGTTGGCCCGTGAGCACCCAGTACTTACTACGAACGATAATAGTCTCTCGACTATCTTTCCTGCAAAAACAGTACCTCCGGTAGGCCAGCCTCGATGCGTCTTAGTATCGCCGCCTCGCCGTCAGACGCAAAATCGTCCGGGAAAATATTATTGCCGGATATCCCACCTCCATCAGCTCTTACTTTTACTCCCCTCTGCACAGTTGGCTCTCAGGAGCAATCAAGGGAGAAGAAAAAGAAAAACGTCAAAATGCCTTTTGGCCCTTCGATGGCCCCAAACAGCTTCTTCGGCCACAATGCGAACGTGGTCAAGTTTTTCGAGATTAGGTACGCCTTCAATCCAGCAAATATGCTGTGAATATATGCGCAGTCCTTCCCCCCAAGCAGCAATGGACACGGTCGCTAAAAGTAATGGATATTCAATAGATTGGACTCGCGCATTATCGTCCTAAGCGGAAGTCCTCATGAAGCTTCAAGTGCGTTGCTCAAGGGCACCGTCGTTCTCTGTGTTTCGGAGCCGTTTCATGTCAAGAATATCCACCTTCGCCTGACTGGCACTTCGCGAGTAGCGTAAGTGTCCCGCGAAACCTTCTCCTCTTTATGACAATGATCAAGCTGTGCTGACTGGCGACATAAGTTGGGCTGCCAAGATCGATGCGAACAGCTCTTCGACCCGCTATGTGAAACAGGAATCTGTCTTTTACAAACATGAGTGGATGCTTTTGGATCCAGGGAAGCGAAAGACTGAAAACTTATCTCCGGGTAATTATGAGTATCCGTTTGAGGTGATTATTCCTGGCGACACGCCGCAGAGTATCGAAGGCCTGCATGATAGCTTTGTCATTTATCGAATGAAAGCCACCGTCGAGCGGGGCATGTTGGCGCAGAATTTGCATGCGAGACGGCATATGCGTATTGTCCGGACTCTGGACCCTAGTGCATTGGAGCTAGCGCATGCGATGGTGAGTCTCTTTGTCCTGCAACCTGACTGGGCGCTGTCTTGCTCATACAAAATTAGTCCGTTGAGAATATCTGGCCAAACAAGATCGAGTATTCGATCAGTATTCCGAGCAAAGCCGTCGTTTTCGGCACATCGGTTAATGTCGACCTTGATCTGGTTCCTCTCCTCAAGGGTCTGAAAATTGGCAAGATACAGCTTGCAATTACCGAGACTCAGGAGCTGAATACGGATGACGACCGGACTCGGAAGAATGTCCGGGAGGTGTCCTTTGTGGAGACCGAAATTCCCGAGGACACCGAGACAACTGACATTGACGGTCAGGAAGGATACCACGTTCATCGAACGGTGCCGTTGCCGCCTTCACTGCGAGACTGTATGCAGGATGTGGAGTGCCGAGGAATCAAGATTCGACATAAGCTGCGCTTTAACGTTCTTCTGCATAACCCAGATGGCCATGTTTCGGAGGTTTGTGCTGCTGTTGAAACCAATGCAATTGCCTTTTATACGGGCTAACTCATCAATCTAGCTGCGAGGATTTTTGCCGGTCATGATCTTCATCTCTCCAAACCTGACGCTCGATGATAATACCAATAGCCTTGTCGACGGCCAACTTGATCCGGAAGCTGCTCGAGAGATTCATCAAAACGCGCCGCCGCTCTACGGCGAACACCAGTTTGATCGCTTGTTCAGCGACATTGACCCGTCCGGTTATATGACGCCCGGTGATGAGGGAAGTGGACTCAACACGCCCTTCCACTCGCAAAGCCGAGCACATAGTCGAAACGCTTCGTACGAGAACCTGGCTTCGCTGAATGCCGTGGCACAAGCACCATCGGCGGAGGCGATTCAAAATCGTCTCTATAACCTTCCGGAGCCCGGATCCAGTCGCTGGCTACGACGAAATCACCAAAACAATTCCGGCTCGACTACTCCGGCGTACGCTTCGGAAATTGACAGAAGGACTCATTCACCCCCTCCAACTGGCTCTTATAGCCATTCTCCTGCCGCGAGCGTCCCTCTCTCTCGTCGAGGTTCTATCGACGACCATTCACCGGACCGTAACGGTGACAATCTCGAGCTTGACCTTACTTCGCTTTCCCGCGTACCCAGCTATACAGCTGCAATGCGGACCTCTGCCAGAACTCCATTGAGCGAGGATCTGCCAGACTATGTTACCGCGACTTCACGACCACCCAGCCCGGTCTCTGGAACGGCGCATTATTCCCGTGCTAATTCGCATCCGGGAAGCCCTTCTTCGAGCGGGCCGTCAAGTCCTAACATCCTTCCATTCCGACCTAGCCTGCATCACTTTACCAGTTCTCGGGGTCGATAGAATCTCATCGCAACCGAAATAATCTTAGGTCAAACCCCATTTCTCTGACATGCTTCTCGCGCGCAAAAAGTTTCTCTGATACAACACATACGACTTTTTAATTCTTCTCACTATTATCGCATAGACGGGGGTTCTCATTTCCATTTTTCTTTTTTGCCTTTTCAACTTCTACAAGGAGAAAATATTATCGTTGCACAAAGTATCTCGGGTTTCTCTGGTACTGAAAGCGGGAGTTGGGTACTTGGATTTGGACACGCTCATCATATAACGTTTCTCGATATCATGAGATTGCGAACATGTCGGTTCGCGCAGTTTTCAACCGCTTTTTAGTTTTGGGTCATATTATTTTCCTCTCGGGTTCTTGTACGAACTTAATCAACATAGTCTTATTGTCTCACAATTCATATATCAGCGGCCGTGCATGGTCGCTTATGGCAGCCGCTACAATATATAGTCAATCATCCATCGCACCACAAAAAAGATGATGATGATGATAAATGATAGTAATGATAATTCTTCCGAAATGGTCAAATCAAAATGAGTCTTCTCATCGCCCCGATGACGACTTTGGGAATGGCGCAGTATGTGATTTTTGTACGGGTGACGTGCTCTTTCTCTCTAGCCAGCTTGGGATTGGGAATGGAGGCGACAGACGCCACTGAAAGGCGGTCAAGCCACAGACTGTCTTGCCATTGAACGGCCCGTCGACGTCATCTGGCACATGGCCATCCTTGACCCAAAATCCTGCATTCTTCTCCTCAACTGCTCGGAGATCATCATGTAAATACTTTGAATGGCTGCATGTTTCAGATGGAGTAAAAATAAAGCAATCATCCAAATTTTCACATCTACCTTTCTGTATTAACATACTTGTGATTGGTTTTCCATTCTTTGCTTGTGACGATTCCTTGATTAAGGACCCTTTTGCTGTCCTGCTGTCATCGCTTATCGAGAGCTTTATCTGTTGAGCGTAACTTGACCACTTGTACCTCTGACGTCTCCACCCGCGCAAACTGAATTTAAGGGTTCCGAATTCGGGCCAGTATCCTTTTTGGTCATTCCACTTTTCTGTTGCAACACAGTTCTCCTCTTCAATTCCTTCACTTTGGTTTATTTTGAAAAGCACTGCCTCGTATTCTTAGCCACACTCAAGCTTACTCCAAAAGCTTAATCTTTCTATAACGAATCATGTCCTATCCGCCAGAGAAGGCCGGCGTCCCGGGCTCAGCAATTCCTCCTAACCGACAGACTTCGTACGCAAGCAACTTGTCTGCCGATGCTGTTCCCGACGAGGATCCCTCCGAGGTAGCGTATTTGCCTTCTATGCGCAAATCTACCCATCAAGAAGCTTATCACTAACTGCGCTTTGCTACAACTTAGACCTCGAAGCTTCTGACCGAGCGCTTGCAAGCTTGGAAGCATGCATGCGGTTATTTGGAGAACTATGTCGCCGCAACGGAGAAAGTTCATAAGGCACAGTCTAAAGAATACGAGAAGGTCCTGAAGGTGAGTGCCGTCATTTTCCCAGTTGCGTATGCGATCAAGGCTTAACCATACTCCAGACCGTGTCCGACCCGTTGAGAGAGGCCCATCATTTCGAACAACAGCTCGGGGGCGTTGCAGGTTTCTTCGAGAATGTCCGCTCGAATACCCAGGTAAGGCCGACTCTACTGTGTTATTGGTAGCTTGAGAACCCTCGTCTAATTATCGTAACAGGGCATTGCCAACTCACACGTTGAGACGGAAAAGGCTCTCAAGGGCTCCGTGCTGCCTATTCTCGAGAGACTCCACTCTGAAGTCAAGAGCAAGACAAGGGAGCTGACCAGCGGTGCTGCCAAGGGGAGCAAGGCAGTCGACAAGGCGCGCGTTGCGACCCAAAAGCACATTGAACTCCTCGGTCAGTATACCGCGAGCCACGATGCAGCGGGCGGAAAAATTGAGCCGAGCAATGACCCGTACATCTTGCATCGTGGCGTGTTCCACCGGTTGAACAAGCAAATCATCGAGGAAAATAATAACCGCCAAGACCTGCTTGCTGTGCAGAACAACTTCGCCCAGTTTGAAGCGCACGTCATTCAGACGCTGCAGCAGGCGATCATGTCGTTCAATCAATTTGTTGGCGGACAAGCAGAACGAACCAGAGCCATGTATGCGGATATGACTTCCAACCTGCAAAACGTTCCGCCGGATTTTGAATGGAAGGGTTTTGTTTCGCGCAATGACCACATTTTGGTCGACCCGAGCCAGCCACCTCGCGAGCTTGGCAATATTTCCTTCCCTAACCAAAACCATAATGCTACGCAGCCACTCATCCAAGGTTCTCTGGAGAAGAAGGGCAAGGTACTCAAGACTTACAGCACCGGGTTCTTCGTCGTAACTCCGGCCAAATACCTTCATGAGTTCAAGTCCGACGATGATTTCCGCAAGGACCCCAGTCCTCAGCTTTCCCTTTACCTTCCCGACTGCATCATTGGCGGTATCAATGGACAAAAGTTCAACCTCAAGGGCAAGGATACCTCCAAGGGTAAGGTCGGCAATGCTCTTGCCATGACGCACGAGATGGCTTTTAAGGCTCACACGCCCGCTGATGCGGAGAAGTGGATGGAGGCAATCCAGTTTGCTGTGGGACACGGTCCGGGGGCCCACTACGCTTCCGGATCTGAGACTTCGAGCCCTATCGAGAAGCAGCAGCAGCAGCAGCAGCAGCAGCAGCAACATCCTCCGCCAGTCCAAACCCAGGGGCTGCAGCAAGAAGGAAACATTACAAGCCCGCAGAGCGCCGGCACCCAGTTTGCTACTCCGCAATCTGCCACTTCGGCTCATGGTCCTACTGCAAATGAGCTGCCTATTCGGGAATCTAAATCTCAAGGTGTTGGCGTGTATGACGCCGGAGCTCAGAATGGCACTAAGTCAGGTGTTACTGGAGCCCCAGGGCAGTACTGAGTCTGTTTATACTGCTCGGGGTGGAAGTGCCTGCCATGCTGCCTATCAATTTGCTTGCGCAGATTCAGTCTGATGAAGTCTTCCTCAATTTACGATTAACGTTGTTTTGTATCAGCAAGATTGCCGTGGAATACCTTTTGACAACCTGAGTTTCAAGCTGACGTCTCCGTCCCGACGCAAGTAATGATGACGAACTTTATACCAATTTGTGTAATAATTTCTCTTCCCTGTGGTTCTTTTTTTGTTTGTTTGTTTGTTTTTTTTTTTTTATTTGTTTTTTTTTACTGTTGATATCCAATTGTTATCTAATATTTGGCTGGAATTTTTTTGACTGCTTTTTCAACAATTTGCAATCAAATTCAGTTTAACAATCAAGCAATGCAACAACATGCTCCAGATTAATTGGAGTTTTTGACCTATAGTTGCAAAGTGTGGAGTCTTTTCGTGCCGCGTCCATAGCGACGTCCCGTATCAATATGACCTGACAATGGCTAACTTTTGGGAATGGCCCACGCCAGGACGCCAAATAGGTGACAGTTTCGGTTAAGCCGGGTAGTCTAAGATGGCGCCGTGCGGAGAACCCCGCAAACTGAAAGGCAAAACATAGAGCTCCCCGAGGTTATGCGTCGCCAGGCGAGGGGTCATGATAATGATACATTTGACGACATTTATGATTACTCTGCAAAGCTTTGGCTTTGGTTTACTGTTTCTCTTCGGCTGAGATTTTTCGAAATCTCTGTTTAGCTGCATTGCTCCCACATTTACAATAGTATCCAGGATACTCTTCTTGTAAGATCCAATTTCTGGATACTGGTGTTGCACGGGATGTTATCCAGAGTCAACAATAACACGCAATCCTACGCATAAGCAAGCTTCAATTAATCTAATATTACTTTCTTTATATCTAGGATTCACTTCATTTCTGCACACCCAAAAAACAAACACAATGGTATCCGCCATAAGAGTTGCTCCTACGGCAGCCACACGAGCAATCAACTTGCTACGCACAGTTCAATATACCCATCCTCCAACATGTCCATGCCACTCAAATCCTAGCCACCACCATCATCACCAGAACGAGTCGTCATCACTAATTCACCATGCACGGCGGACCCTCACGACGCCCATTGACCCGTCACGCCAGAAAGAATATGCCTTTGAAATGGCATCGTCAAACATCCGGTTCGGTCCGGGATGCACCAAGGAAGTAGGCATGGACATGAAGAATCTCGGCGCGAAAAAGGTTATGGTCGTCACGGATGCCAATGTGGCCAAACTTGATGCCATGAAGCAGACCATTGAAGGGCTGGAGAAGGAGGGCATTGCATATATAGTATATGACAAAACGCGAGTCGAGCCGAAGGAGAGCTCGTAAGTTTTTACACATACCATATCTTCCTTTTACCCTTCATTGTGATCCTGTTCCTGTAATCTCTGAAGCCTCCATAACTCACATACATTATCAGAGTCAAAGACGCAATATCATTCTCAAAGGCCCACGACCCAGACGCCTTTCTCGCCGTCGGCGGCGGGAGCGTCATCGACACCACCAAGCTCATGAACCTGTACACCTGCAACCCAGACGCGTCTTTCCTCGACTTCGTCAACGCCCCGCTGGGCAAAGGACTACCCATCACCTCTTCCCTGCGTCCGCTCATCGCCATCCCCACCACCGCCGGCACTGGTTCCGAAACAACCGGCACCGCCATCTTCGACATGGAATCCAAACGGGCCAAAACAGGGATCGCGCACCGCTCACTACGTCCCACTCTGGGGATCTGCGACCCGCTCAACACGCGGACCATGCCTTCTGCCGTGCACGCCTCGTCCGGTCTCGACGTGTTATGCCACGCGCTCGAATCCTGGACCGCAATACCATATTACGAACGAATGCCTCGCCCCACGAACCCCATCTCCCGGCCGGCATACCAAGGCGCGAACCCGATATCGGATATATTCAGCCTCCAAGCGCTACGCAGCACAGCGAAATACCTGCCGCGCGCGGTCAAAGACCCAGACGACCACGAGGCGCAAGAACAAATGCTACTGGCCGCGACCCTTGCGGGCGTGGGGTTCGGAAACGCAGGCGTCCATTTATGCCACGCAATGAGTTATCCCATCTCAGGCCAGAACCCTGCACGGTATACTCAACCCGGCTATGTCGTCCCCCAGGGCCAGCCGCTCATCCCGCATGGCGTCTCGGTGGCGGTTACGGCGCCCAGCGTGTTTCGCTTCACGGGCCCCTCAAACCCAGACCGCCATCTAGCTGCCGCGGAGGCATTGGGGGTGGATATCTCGCAGGTAAAGAAGGAGGACGCGGGACACGTCCTGGCGGATAGATTGGCGCGGTTTATCAGCGATTTGGGCGGCCAGCCGAAAGGATTAAAGGATCTAGGGTTCGATAAGACGCATGTGGAGGAGCTGGTGCAAGGGACACTGCCCCAGAAGAGAGTCCTCGTGTTGGCGCCCAATTTGAGCGGTGATGAAGATGTGCAGAGGGAGAAGGATCAGTTGAGGGGGTTGTTTGAAGATGCATTGGAGTTTTAGGGACTAGGTAGTAGTATACTTATAAGTTCTCAGCTAAGTTTTCAGATGGCAGTCGTCAGTCGTCAGTCGTCAGTCGTCAGTTGTCAGGTGGCAGGTATACTAAGAGTCATATCACATGTGCAGTCATAGGTGTCAGGTATAGTAGGCTGGTAATTTGCATTAATATTTGACTACAGTATTGTAATCGTGTAAGCTTAGTCCTATTACCAGTCCATTATAAATATCAGACCTTTAACGCCTCCACTATACCCTCCTTCCCACCCCTCCTCCCCCCTTTTTTTTTAATTGTTTTTTTTTTCTCTTCTCCTTCTCCTTCTTCTTCTTCTTCCCCCTCTTCTTCCCCCTCTTCTTCTCTACTTTCTTTTCTTTTTTCTTTTTCCTTTTTTCTTTCCTTCCCTCCGCCCTTCCCCTCCCCCCCTTTCCTAACCTACAAAGACCACTTAAATCCTTTTGCGTATTTCGTATTTGAACCCAATGTGACATCCAATCTCGTACAATCCAGTTCCAAGTAACCCGATCTCCTTTTCCCCCCAACAATCTTTCTCGCCCCCCTCCTCTCCCTGTGGACCGTGCAGCCGGGAGCAGCCGCGCCCCTTCTCCCCCCTCCTCACCCCTCAACAAACCCAACCCTAAAAAGAGAACAAAACCAACCCAAAAAAAGGAGGGAAAAAAAAAGGATAATAAAATCACTGCGGGGGCCGCGCGGTAGTCGTGTCCGGCAAAAAGGTCTTGTAGCCCTTAATATGCGAGTACTTTGTGCGCGTGTTGAACGGAAACGTGGCGGGCAAATATGGCAGTTCGCCAGGCGGCATGGCGCCCTGGTAGGTCGCGCGCGGGTCGGGCGGGAGCGGGCTGTGCGAGGATCTGGAGGTTGGTGGAGGGTCGAGTTTGGCTGGGACTGTAAGGAAGTTGGTTGTTAGTATTCTGTCTTTTGTTTTTTTTTTGGGGGGGGGGGCTTCTTTTCCCGGATCTTTTTTTACGGGGAGGTTTTATATCTCGGGAGGGTTATACATATATATATATATTGAGGCGGGCGGTGGGAAGAAAGGAAAAAAGGAAAAGGGGTAAAGGGGGGATAGGCAGATATGTAGAGATGGTGACGACGACGACGACGACGACGACGGTGATGATGCGGAGTGAATGAAAGGATAGTGGAAGGACAATGGCTTGTACGAATGACTGTTGGAAGACTAGGATAACGGTACGTGCAGGAAAGGCGGAGAGTATATGTGTGTGAGAATGAGGGAGAAAGAATAGAGAGAAAGAAGGAGAGGTCGAATTAAAAGGAAAACGAAAAAAGGAGGGGGGGGAAGGAAAGGAGAGAAAAAAAGGGAGAAAAGGAGGGAGGACATACCAACTTTGACCTCATCCCAACCCATGTGATAATGCGGCTTCGCGATAGGTCCCTGATCAAACTGATTCCAGTGCCCTCCGCGCATGGGGTGGTCGCGTCCGCCGTGCCAATCGTCGCCGCCCCATTCGGGCAACATGGTGCCGTTCCAGATGCCGCCGCACCAGTGCGTGTCGACTTTCTTCCAGTGTTTCATAAAGGGGCCGAAATCCCAGGATTTCTTCTTGCGCATGTTGACGCCGTTCTTGTCGGTGTTTTCGACAATCAGAATGTACACGCAGTCGAGGTGGAAGACGGAGCAGACCTAGTTTGTTAGTTTTTTTGTGTCTTGGGTAGAGAAAACGACAGGGAAAATAGGGATGGAGATCAGAAAACAAGCAAGAAAAGAGAAGAAGAAGAGGAGGAAAAGGAAGAGGAAGGGAAGGAGGGAAGATAGGGAGAGGAACAGAGCGTCCTTAAAAGGAATATAAGAGGGATATAAAAGGAATACAGTAGGATACAATAGAATAATTACCTTAAAGCAGGTCCCGCAGTCTGATGGACGCATATGCCGCCCCGCAGCGACGTAATCGAGGTGCAACGACTCCCACGGCATTCCACAGAAAGGAGGCGGATCCTTTGCGGAGCTCTTCTTGCGGAAATACCATAGCGGGTGATAGTCGTGGCGGTCTTCCCAGAAGCCAATCTTGCGCTTGGCCAGATGGGCAAGAGAGGACAACGATGGGACACTGAGGTCAGACCAGTGAAGCCTTGCGGACGCGTCTCCCTGGGCAATGAGATCATAGCCATCAGGACGATCAGTCTTGTTGCAGGACTCAGTGGCATTTGTAGCAAGGGTATTATTGCTCTGGGGACTGGATGAGGATTTGCCCTCCGCGGCGAGTACTGCGCGGGCAAAACGGCCAATAGGTCCATGTCCAGCTGAGAAAACCTTTGTTGGAGCAGCAACTGTTGTCGTCAGATGATGTGTAAATGTATACGGCGACGTGGTAACGGTTGTTGATGTAGATTTCATGATCAGGCTCAGTGTCTGAGTGCTTGTCAAGGTGGTGATTGAAGGAGACGAAGCTGGCTGTAGGGCCACCGTGTAGATAGATACAGTGGGGAGTATAGTCTGCACGACATATTCTCCATTATCCGTAGCGGTGGCAGTTCCAGGGTCGCGTTCGTCAAGTTCATTCTTCTGAATTGGATCGACTGTGGGCGTCACGGTCTCAACAGATACAACGGTTTTGGTGAGCGTGTAGAAATGCTCTTTTCTAAAGAATCCCCTGAAAAAGTATTTCCATGCGTTCATGTGGACCGAATGCGAAGTTGATTCTGGCGCGGGTGTATCTGACCGTACTTGACTTTGTGGAACTGTAGCCGTGACTTGCGGTGATAGGAATCGAGAATGAAGATTCTTAAAGATGCTATCTCCAGAATGTGAGACAGTTGGCGCAAATTCAAGCTCATGGGGATCGATTCCCTCTGGTAATTGATATGGCGTAAGACTGAACTCTTCAGAAGGACCTTGCATTCTCAGTGTCGGCTGAGCATCAGCTACACCAATTTCTCTCGTCCTGAGCGCCAGCTCAGAGGGCACAAATGGTTCGGGCGTCTTTACTGCGACTTCCTCAGTGAGGGTAAGTACGTCAAGGCCTCGGGGAATATTGTTCTTCATTGTCAATGTACGATAATCGCCAATTCGTGGTCCCTCGTCTGGTGGGTTGCCTAAGTATTGTGAATAGCGATGCGGATTGTTCAATGCTTCATGGCGCCAGGTAGTAGTTGTCTTGGTGGTCTCCGTGCTAGTCTTTGTCTTGATAACAATAGCCATAATCGTAGTCGTAGTTTTGATCTCGGTGACTGTAGTCGCGGTCATATTATTCAACGGATACTTTGGACCGAAAGCCGTTGCGGAAGAGTTGCCATTGCTCTTGGTAGGCTTACTCTCGCCATCGTGTTCAACCTTTGGCGTCTTATAAGCAGGATGTCCAAAATACAAATGGGTCGCACCTTCGGGATAATCCTCTGGCGCCAAAGGACAGACCTGCAAGTGATCGCCATCCTCCTCCATGGTATGCATCACCATCGTCTCACGCGTGTCTCCCAGATCAGCATGAAAGTACGTCTTGACAAGATTGTCGGGATGTAGATTCTTGAGGAGCCCCGGCGGCTCAGCATCCCCAATCATAGTGCCGTCCCAGATGCCCCGACACTCGTAAGAATTGATCGGCCGATGAAGTTGAAGCCGCTCCTTTTTGGTATGATGCATCCCACTCAACCAAGTGTACATTTCCTCGCTGACCCACCAGTCATGCTGGCGATGTTTCCAGCTACCTTCGTGCTGGTCAACGAGTAATACTGGGTTGCAGTCTTTCTCGCCGCACAGCGCAATGCATTGGCCGCATCGACCACGCTCATGTCCAAAAAGCCAAAGGTCAGCGTAAGCCGCAACGAATTTCAGGTTCAGCGAGCTCCATGGCATGCCGCAGGCCGGATAGCTCTCAGTAACGTGGGCCATGGCCGTGAAATTTTCGTGCCTGAGGTGGTGACCAATTCGAACTCGCCGAGGTTCCAACTCCTGCGCCTCCGGCTCTACCGGAGCCGGAGACGCAAGAGAAAGAGGAAAGACATTGAGAAATAGAAGAACCAAGAGAAAGATTCCCTTGGTAACGACAGAGTAGACCATGATGATAACAGAGACAAGAGTCTCTATACAAGCTGAGTTGTATTGCTCTATCAGGAGCGAAAATGATATAGGAAAGAAGATTTAGATACCAACGAGCATGCCGCAGATAAACAAAGGGATAGGAATATAAAAGAAATTAAAAATTTCAGAACAAACGGCGGACAGAAATGAAGAATTAGCCCATCCATGGCGCAACGTGGTCATACACAGAGATGCAAAATTGCAGGCAATGCTTGACTCAATGAAGTCTGGTCATGAGACAAATTATACAGCCAGCTGGTTTTGCGAATCAAACCAAGCCTATTTTCAATAGATTCTCGATGCTTTTCAGCCGAAGCCATGATGAATTCGGCCTGGTAAAATTGTAGACACATTTTCCATTTGAATTGGCTTCTGGATACTTGGCCTATCTCGTTTATAGTCCACTGAATCTATTGACAGTCTGATGTTTGTCGAGAAAAGAGAGTAGTAGCCGGTTCCGTTGGAAATGGCCTGAGAAGTTGACACGATTCGGATGAGAGACATTTTAGGCGATACCCAGCACCTGACCAAAATTTGATTCTGCTCATTATTGATATAAAATGCAAATAAATACTATACTGTTGTTTTGAAAATAAGACAAGTCGTGTAGCTAATATGCCCTGGTGTAAATGCAGGTTATTATGCATGTTGTTGTAGGGCAGGTCAGCAAAGTCGGCGATGGAGAAATATTGAGCCGACAATGTCATGCCATGTTAGGGCTTCACCTAGCTTTTCGGCCAAAAGACTCATTGATGGAATAGCCTTTCGCAATTCTACTGATATTCCATTGTGAAAAAGAATCCTATACATAAATCATTCCAGGTTTATAATTTAATTCTTTCCTTTTTCTTTCTTCTTTTTTTTGGGCCTGGAATAGCCATGTCTTTGGGGGAGCACGTAAAATAATCACTGTATCAAGACCCGTATTTTATTTCGCTCTGGTGTATTAATTTAAAGCGTTTCAATTTTTTTTTCTTCAGTCTATCTCTAATTATTTAACTCTTCTAAGCCGCTGTCGCCATCCTATAAGCACCAAATTTCTACTGTACAGCATTATAGTCATCGTTCACACCTTCGCAATAATCGTGCAGGTGTAGCGATACCTTTCTCTACCCTCAATCCCTTCACCACCAAAAGGAACCAAAAAGACAAAATGAAACGCGCTGAAGAAAAGTAGAGAAATGAGACACATCCATAGTCAGTCGCATCTGAAGTGTCCTCTTCTGCCACCGCAGCAACCCATTGGAAATGCAATGGAAATATAGATGTACAAATCATCTCATCGGACTGCCAAAGTACGTTCCCTTGGTCGGTGTCCAGAACTGGCCGTCCGAAGAGACTACAGGCGCAGGTGTGGTTCTGACTGGCGGTGTTTCCGGCCCGTTATCCCTGAGCAGCGGAGGTGTGGCGGTGCCCGACGGCGTAGAAGGATAAGCGAAACCATTATTGTTATTGCTGTTGTTGGGCGCAAGTGTTGGGGTTGCTGGTGCTCCGGCCCCAAACATCATTGCACCAGTAGTCGTGGAAGTATTGTTGTTGCCACTACCAAGCTCTGTTCCAGCATCATTGCTACTCCCCGTGGGAACCTGTTGCACAGGCTGGGGAACCTTGTAATTAAAGTCTTTTCCTCGGGTATATATCTCTGTGAGCATGGCTGGAAGGATGCCTGCGTCAACGAATTCGAGGTATTTTCTATACAGTTTGAGCGCGGTGCGGGCGTCTTCAATCGAGTCATGGTTCTCTGTCTGGATGGATTCTTTAAGCAAGAACCAAGCGAGGAAACGGAGGGATAGACGGCGCTGGCGAGCGCGAATGAAGAAGAGATCGACGGTATCGACGACCTGAGCTTTGGGAACGTGGATGTTGATGGTCCGGAAATCCTTGGGCAGTCCGTGACCAACGAAGATGCAACCAAGATTGAGTAATAGCCAGAGCTTCTTGTATGCAACCTTGAGCGGGACAAGGGTGCGGCGGGATTGTTTGGGATCGAGGTCGCCCGGTTGAATGCCCGAGTAGGCGGTGAGATAGTCGACGACGGCTTCGCTCGCAGTGATGTAGTCGTCAATAAACGGCAAGCCCTCATCTGGGCCGCTGCCGCGAAGAACAGAAACACGAGCCAGCCCGAGCCGCGAGGGACGGATAGTCTCGCGGGTGCCGTCGGCTTTGATTTCGATTTCTTCTTGCTGGAGCGCAACGAACTCGGCGTCAATGGCAACCAGTGTGCCTTCTTGCGGTGCCTCAGTGGTCTGCGAAAGCACGCGATAGTCTTTGATCTTTTCAGATTGGTTGACCGTGTATTCACTGTACACGAGGCTGGTGTCGAGCTTCTCGCGCCATGTGTCGTCGATGAGATTCCGCGCTGATTTTATCTGGTAACAGAGCACCGAAGGGAGCTTCCATGTTTGTGCAAATTTCAATGCTTCATCCTTGGTTACTGGCCGGACGAGGAAGTCGTTGAACAAGTGCCATAGATTTTCTTCCTCAGGCTCGCGCGAGGATATGCCCACTGTAATAGAATAGATTGCGTAAGCTTTGATAAAAATAAAGGGCATGATAGGAGCGAAAGAGGAGGAAAATGCATGGAGCAATCACGAGCAAAGGAAGATCGTACCGTTGATAATGGACACCAGGTGGGACTTTTGGTGCTCCCCGCTGTTGACATCCGCGACGACTCCAATAAGCTCGTACACAGTGATGGGATGAATGCCTCGCTGTAGGTGTAGTTTGAGATCCTGGCCCTGGAAGCAGAAGAATTGGCCGGACTGGATGACAATGCCAATCTCGTCGGGAAGCCAGCCTGGTTTTGACCACAATTGTTTTGCCTCAGGGGTACTTAGAGCAGTGTTGATCATAAAGACAAGGGGAATTGACTCGATAGATTTCCTTGTGACGAGTTGCTGATAGCGCCGGCACTTGTCGCACCAGCCACGCATCTGGTTTTCTCGTTCCACACTGGCTTTAAGGATTTGGGAGAATGATGGCTCAGCTACTCGAGGCTGGTTTTTGGTCTAGAAACTGTAAGCGACATCCCAAAATGATGCACGCTCCGCAAGGGATGGGCCTACCTTTGTAGGGTATATAAGATCATTCACATAAGTGTTTCCCGGCCTAGAAGTCTCATTGCTGCAGTGGACGCATCGAATACTCATTGACGCAGTCGTTTTGAGTATCTGCGGTCATCAGTATACATGGTAAATAATTACTAGATATTGGAAGCAACTTACCTCCTCTATCTGAGTGGAGTTTGATGTAGACGTAAAATCTGTCGTTATCCTATCCAAAAGAAATCGGCAAACAGACTGAATCATGGCAGTAAGAGAGCTATTGGGAGAGCTTTCCTCCAGCAACCCCAAAGCAGCGGCTGTTTTGTATTCGTCAGCAAATCTTTTTCGGTGATAGGTTCGCAATCCTGACCTTGATGCAGACTACTAAAAGTCTTCAAGAAATTAGTCGCCTGGCAGTTTTGACCGTTCGCCTTGTCTAGCATATCGAAAAGATAGCCCAGCTCGCAAAGCAAGCAGGACTCCACCAAACAACTCGAAGCCGCGTGATGCAATGCAATATTGCGAAGGAGCGGAGTAAATTTTAAGAGTTGCAAGAGCGGGTTGGTGTATGAATTGGCAATGTGCGTCTCCAAGCCGGAATACTTGGTCTTGTTGTAATATCTGCCGGTAAAGTCAGCATGTTTGCGATGCAATTGCGGGCCCACGGAAAAGGGTGTCCATACTCAAAATCAAAATCATCAACCCCGAAACGGCTATACTTGATTTCGACATTGCGATACATGACAGGCACTTCCGCCTTGATCGGTGCACCACCAGCAAGTGCAATCTCGCCAAGAGCTTCAGCTGCATCACTAATTCGACGCTCGGTTCGAGGCGACGATGGCGACTCCCTTGCCTTTTCACTCAGGAACTTCGGTGCCATTAACGGAGCGCTGATCTTCTCGGCAAGCCGGGTATCGTGGACCTGATAACGACGGGTCTTCTTTGGATTTGGAGCATAGCCACTTGCGGTCATAGTAGCCAGAATATCTGGATCTAGCTTCGAAGGAGGGTTGCCGACTTCGAAGACTAAGTGGCTTGGCCAAGACGATAGAAGCGTATCGCGATAGTACGGCAAGCCAATCGAATGTAGTGGACTAGGGAACACAAGTCAGCGGAACGAACTTTTTTGTTAAATCAAATGCGCGGTTCGAAACTAACGTGTCAATGCTCCAATCCAAAGGTTGTAGAGGAACAACTGGGTCGGCAAGTTCTGTGGGGCTGCTGAGTTCAGCAAAATGAATCTTACTTCGCGATCCCCACAGATGAAGAAAACAGTCGCCATCCGTCAACGCGAGTGCCTCGCCTGACGGAGCCATTTCGAGGGCCATCAAGAACGAAGAGATATTGGCCTGTCGCAGATTCACAGTGTTTGGGTTCATGAGATCGACCACTTGGAGTTGGCCGGTCTGGGAAGCGACTATGCTGGTTGTCGACATTCTGGGATGCATTCGAACAAACGCTGCACCGGCATGAAATGGAATCGGCGGTAATGGTGCGAGCTTCTTAAGGTCGAACACATTCGCCAGGGGATCCAGCATGTATGCCTGCTGCTGTCGAGGTGAAACACCGCAAGTGACTAGAAAGTTGTTACGTGCGTCCATGTCATTGATATATCCAGCATGCGCTTGCCACTTTTTCACTACTTTAAATGAGTAGTGATCAAGCATGTCCACAGCACCCGTTTTTGTGGCGGCGCATATATAGTGGGCACGCTTCATCATCGTGTATTGATCGGCTGCAGGGAGCTGCAACCTGTTAATCGAGCAATCCACTATTTCAACAGAACTTGATCACAACTTACCTCCTCGACGATTTTGCCCTTGTCCACATCTACTCGAAACATGGTCGGCTGGCAACCGGCTACAAGGATCTCAGACGTGCCTTTGGATGTATAGCTCATACAGCGTAGGTCGATCATTTTATCGTGTCTAGCGCGAGTATTAGCCTTAACTCAAGCATATAATTGTAGCATGGTGTGGAGCTTCAATTCGAAACGCTGCAATAATGGGGCTACTAACGTGATATGCCACATTGTCAACCCTCTTCTGCTAGACATGTGTATACTTCTTGACGCTACAGAGATCACGCCCTTGTCATTGAATAGTAGCTGACGAACGGGCCCTTCAACGGAGGCATGCGCTCGAAATGATGTGTACTTTTGCAATTCAGGACCATAGAATGACGAAACTCGGCCCTACAAAAACTTCGTATTAGACTCTATTGCAAGCACCTAAGACAGGTCGGTCCAAGATGCTCCTTCTTCGAGACGGGTTTGGAAGACATCATTCCAGCTGGAGACCATGGTTCGACGAAAGCGCAGTACGTGCTCTATACCACCCTGACATATTCACATGGCTTTTCGTAACTTCAAAAAAGGATCTATGATCAGGACACTCACATATTCATTGCCTGCCCACAACAGTTCTTGACTATTATCAAACGCAAGCGTACTGGCGGGTGTTGGCATCGCATGGATTCCTGGCGGTGGAAACCCGACCCGGGCAATCTAATGAGAATCATGTTAGCTTCCGATTTCGGCTTTATCAAGTAATGAGCGAAGGCAAAGCGTGAAGGAGGCGAGTGAAACGATCCCTGAATCGGCCGTATAAAGCTAGATTTGTGGTTCACCGAGCCATGAGACACTCGGCATTAGAAAGCATCCCGAAGGCAATGAATGGATGCATCCTCGCGCACAGAGCTGCTGGGCGGCGATGAGAGCTACACCAAACATGACATCCATGCTCTTGAGCGCATTCTCATCCCATTTTCTTGTCCGGGAAACCAGAGCTTCCCAACTGCTGCTCAAAAATGCCTTGAGATGCACGCTGCCTTTGACGCCACAAATCCATATCCAAAAGACCTTGTTGCAAAAATTCTCGTATGCCCTCCTATTCTCGTATACCCTCCGCCTCCTGGAAAAAGACAAAGAGCCATTAAGAAAAACATACCTCGTCCCAATCGGTCTCCATCTTGTCGTGCCAATCCAACCGTCAGTCAAAGGATTCCGGCCTTGTTATGTCTCAACCATCAAGATTTTGATATCCGACGTGTCCCGATGATGATGAGCTCCGCTCCAATATTTCTATTCTTATAATCGATCCTTGAAGCCTGAGTATCTCTCTTGATTATTCCAGCAATGATTTCGAGACCGTAGAATATTGGCGCTGATGATTAAAGTATTCGAGACTATTCTCACGAACGTATCGCCGCACGATCAAGTCGGTATTCGGTATACAGACGATCCAGCCGTTCAGTCGTTCCGTCTTGCGAAAGAATATTTCAATTCCTTCCCCGTCCAAGTTTTTCGAATCAATAATTTCAATTCCTACTCGATCCGTCAATCAACCCAACATCGTCCTCATAATATTGATATCGTATCGACGCGTAATGTATAGAAATTCGGGTCGTTCGGTCAATGTTCCGTCGACGTATCTGTAACTTCGTCGTTCTATCAACTGTCGAATAATCCGGCGCTGGCTTATCGAGGAAAGATTATAACTCGGGGATCGTATCAGATCAAGGATCACTTTGCATCTGTTTTGAGCGACAGGCGCGCTGTTCTTCGTTCTCGGTCTTCTCCTTCGTCTCGAATACCACGTCTTCGCGTCTTCGCGTCTTTCTTGTTTCCCACGTCTCTCGATATCACGTCTTCCTTGTTCCCCTGGTCTCGAATACCACGTCTTCACGTCTTTCCGTATCCAGGTACGATGTATCAGACGCTATCGACGAGATCTCCAATCGAACCAAGACGCGTATGCGTTTTCTACCGTCAAGGTTCCATCCCGCCTGATCCTTTTTGCGCCTCTATGTTCTCGTTTTCGTTTTGTTGCAAGACGTAGTAGACGTAGCCTCGTAGCTTCGTAGTGGGTATACTGGACGCGAATTGCGAGAAAAGATACTTAGGTTCTGGCAGCGCGTAGATGAAATATCGTCAAGCAAGAGGTTGCTTTGCGCGCAGCAGTGGGGTTGTCGGTCGTTGTCGGTCGTTGTCGCTTTCAACAGCCGTACCGGGGGAAAAAAAGAGCTCAATTGAATTTGCGCGTACGGTACAAAGGACAGTATAATACTCTTACAAAGAATACCTACGGCCAGTACGCTGATGTCTTTTAATTCGGAAACACGTTTTCTTTCAGCGGCGATCTGGTAGTCTCAGCTTCGTTGGCCGTTGCGCGTCGCGAGCTCTAGGAAGATAGGTTAGGACGGTGGGGTCAAAAGGTGTACCGTAGTATGCGCCGATTACGCCGATAAAGCACAATCTAAGCTTGCTTAATGCTACGGAGTACCGTTAAGCGCGAGACTCGAAGTCGGCGGCCCCTGGCGGTAGACTCGAGGACTTCGCTCGGGTAAGAGCTTCGGGCTTCAATCCCTGCGCTGCACCTTGCCTCTGTACCGTACTTTACTGCAGCGACAACATGGCAATACCGACGTTCGTCACGCTGCGTACCTAGCCAGTCACGTACGGTACGGAGTAAAGCAGACAAAAAAGGGACAATTAAACATGATTTAGTAAAAGGCAGTCACAGCGAGACTAATATTATATAATATAGCCAATGGTCTAGATATAAAATTCGAGAAAAAATTGAACATTCTTGTTCAGCAAGCCCAGGATCTTCTCACAGCAAAAAAAGAATGAACGAATAGTTCCCTGAGAATGGAAATGAGAAGGCAAGCATCCAGACAGACAAAAAAATAGTCTATACTATTACAGATAACGACTTCGCAGGGCTTGACTGATGGAGCTCATGCGGCTGGCTACGCCTCCATGCTGCATGTTGCTCAGCAGCGCTTCCTCAAGAGCGGACTGTGTCACACTGGCATCTAAAATTGAAAATAATTAATTAGAAATCTTGCAATTGAGACGCGAGAATTCGTGCCACGTACCATCGAGATCACTGAAACTGCTTCCCATGCTCGGCGTGCCATCGCTGCCTTCTCGGACGGTGGCGCGTCGCCGAGGACTGAGCGCCGCAAGCTCGCCGGGCCGACGAGGACTTAACGGGCCGGGACCTCGTTGTTGTATAGGCGCGGCCTCATTTTGAGCGGCTGCTGCAGCATTTGAGCTTGTGGAGCTGGCTGACGAATGCTCAGTCGTCAAACGCTGCCTAGAGATGTTGCCAGGAAACGTACGCCGTGGCGGCGCTTGCTGCTGTTGGGCGCCGGTACGTAAGGTAGCATTCGAATCATGAGTAGGGACAGTGGAAGGGTTTGAGAAGGGAAGAAACGCAGGACTGCCATCGTCTTCCTCTTCATCCTCATCATCACCTTCGTCGTATCTACCTGCGCTTGCTTTGCCCGCTGCGAAGCGCGGCGGTCGACGGAAAATCTGACTTCTGTAGTTCTGCACGCCAGAATCAGAGTCAGAGGATGATGACGATGAATCTTCCTCAGGCGAGTCGTCATCATTGCTAGGAAGCTTAGGTGATTCTACTCCAGTGCTATCCGCGGCTCGACCGGCATCCGTAGCCTTAGGTAACGCCTTAGCGGCTGGTTGACTTTTGAGAGGCTGTGGGAATGAACTTCTAATAGACCGAGATGTTGTCTGACCAAGATGGAGTGGGAGGTATTGCCGACTTTGGGTCGCTGTGTTCGACGAAGAAGTGCGCGACAAGGACGTTCCTTATCCGTGTCAGAAGAGGCATTTACTGTAGTAATTTACAAGAGTTACCTGATATTTTTGCCTGCGCATTGAGGCCAATAGTATCAGGCCTTGGTACAGGGCTATCCCTAGACCGCATGGAAAGAGACGAAGGGATTCGAGGCGCTATTTCATCGTGAATAAAGGTGTCTCAAAGGCATACCGTCAGAACGCTCCTACCTGTGCTGCCACTTGGTCCCCTCTTCATTGTAGAGTTACTTTGTGGTCCACCTAGGCTAGTAGGTGTGGAGGTAGCAGAGCCTCCGGCCAAAAGTGGATTTCCTACTTTGCGCATCTGTGCTCGTACTTGAGAAAGTTGCCGTTCGTACAGCCATGCTGCCTGTTGGAGAAGGAAAGGAAGCGTAACCTCAAATTGGTCCGCACTAAGTAGATTTTCAAGTTAGTACTTTTCCTCTGCCACCTAATTTGGGGAAATCATACAGATCGTGCCCTGGTAAGCATTAGTCGATGATCTATCGCCTTGGATGCTAAAAGTTTGACAGCTTACAATTTATGTCTGCACTCCTTGATGCTTGAGAAAGCACTTTCCACAAAGATCGGTCTTTGGACGCATCCCAATCAACCTATGAGCATTTAGTTATGGTTCTGGCTTCAGCAGCTGTGCAGAAAGCGGTCTATACCGGGGGAGGATCAACGAAATCCCCTCGCGGGAATGGCAGCCGGATGAATACGGTAAAGTGAACGTTCGGTGGAGAAGGCCGGCGCTCTCCAGGCTGCGTCAATATGTGATCGGGAATTGCAGCCATCAGATGTCTTCAACTGATGCCAGATGCAATATTAAGTTGTGGACGGGCTAAAAGATACACAATATAGCTTGCATGACCTGGTCGGTTATCGATAATGAAGCTCCTCTGACAGTCATAAAGGCGGACGCCTCATCAAGAGCTCCACCAATTTGGTTAGCACGAAAGGCCCCATGGGCGGGTGGTCCCGTTAGCGAATGGACCCGAATGTGCTGGGGTAGGCTGTATGCCCGCTCACAACCAGTTTTGTCCGGTGCCCAAAGATACCAACAGCTCTATAACGAAAAGATGAATGCAGAACGATCTTAGCACCATCCTCGGTACTGTCAATCGTTTTCATAATACGCACTCCTTTGGTGTTTCGTGTGCTGTGAAGCGGAGTTTGCACTTTGACCGTACAGCTTCAAAGATTAAATCCGATCTCAAAAACTTTTTATTTCCTTTCACATTTTTATTGCCAACAGTCACAAAACATGATTTTTTAAAGACAGATCACGATGCAGAAAATTAGTTCAATGTATTTATTTCCGATATTTCAGTCTTGGTAAAATACATCTCAATGGTTTCAAATATCGCACAAATATACTGACAATGAATGGTAAAACTCAAACCCCGCCGGGCAGTAAAGTACACATTCAAGCAAATCCTACTTCAAATTGTCTTTGAAGCTTCATCAATAGGTAAGTAAGTGAAAGCCTAACAGTGAGATCAACACAGTAAATATCCCCTGAACGAAAAAGCAAATACCAAATGCCCAATAGAGCTCCGATCCATTGACTGAATGTATTATCCATGAGATTATACATCAGGTCCTGCCTTGATAACTTCAGGCGTCGCTTCATCCTCGTATTTCTTAAAGTTCTCCACAAAGAGTTTGCCGAGTTTAGTAACTTCATCTTTGAAGTCGGCCTGGCCGGCCCAGGACTTCTTGGGGTTGAGCAATTCCGAGGGCACGCCAGAACAGGTCGTTGGTACTCGAAGGTTGAAGGTCTCGTAAGTCTCATATTCGGCCTTGGCTAGTTCACCAGAGTGAATGGAATCGAGAATGGCACGGGTATACTTGAGTCTTAACGAGGTATTAGAATGCGTACATTGAACTACCGAGGAAGCTCGTGCTCAAAAGAAAACTTACGGGCAACGCTTTCCACCAGTGGTGGCGCCAGCACCAACCCAACCAGTGTTCAAAAGCCAGGCATTTGCCTTGTGATGAGCAATCTTATCTGCAAGCATCTTCGCATAGCGCATCGGGTGCAGTGCCAAGAACGGCTGCGCGAAGCAAGATGAGAAAGTCGCTTGAGGCTCGGTCACGCCCTGCTCGGTTCCAGCCATCTTCGAGGTGTATCCGGAGATGAAGTGGAACATGATTTGTTCAGAAGTGAGCTTTGAAATTGGCGGGAGGACACCTCGTGCGTCACAAGTCAGGAGAATGATGTTGGTAGGGTGATGAGAAGTGAGACACGGAATCTTTGCATTCTCAATGTACTCGATGGGATAGGCACTGCAGACAAATAAGCTCAGCCAATCTTGTTCCATATCCGTTGCATTTGCATTTCAAACATACCATCGTGTGTTCTCAGTCAAACTGGAATCGTCATAATCCACATCACGGGTTTCGGGATTGAAGACAACATTTTCCAGAACGGAGCCAAATTTGATGGCATTGAAGATGTCAGGCTCTTTCTCCGCAGACAGGCCAATGCATTTAGCATAACACTAGTAGAAATGTTAGTTAGAGATTCAGAGACGGGGGGGATGATCGCAAGAAAAAAACATACGCCGCCTTCAATGTTGAAAACGCCGCGGTCGCTCCAGCAGTGCTCGTCATCACCAATGAGGGCGCGCTTCGGATCCGCAGAAAGCGTTGTTTTACCAGTACCCGAAAGTCCAAAGAAGACTGTGACATCTCCATTTTTACCCTCATTGGCGGAAGAGTGAAGAGTAAGCACGTTGTGCTTGACCGGCATTTCATAGAAGAGGACAGTAAAGATACCCTTCTTCATCTCACCGGCGTACTCGGTGCCGAGAATAATCATTTCCTTCTCTGCGAAGTTGATCGCAACCGACGTCGCAGAGGTCATACCGGTGGTGAATCTATTTGCAGGGAACGACCCAGCATTGTAAATGACATAGTCAGGTCGGAAGTGCTCCAATTCCGCCCTTGTAGGGCGAATGAGCATATTCCGCATGAAGAGAGCATGGTAAGCGCGGGCGCAAACGACACGGACATTGATCCTGTATCGTTCGTCCCAACCAGCAAATCCATCAATCACATAGATGCGATTTCTCGTGTTGAGATAGTCGACGGCACGCTCTCTGTTGATTCGCCAGACCTAGAGCAAGCCCCAATGCAGCCAAGCGTCAGCCACAGCACGTGATGGAGGGGCATTTGCCGAAAATGTGGGGGGATCACAGCCGAGAATGCGGGGAAGCGAAGTGACCAAAATAACATGACAAGGGACCCAGCCCGGGGATCCATGAACGATGACGGAATGGGACGCTCTTTGCATAATAGAGCGACCAGGGAAAAATTGACATGAAGACTTCAAAAAGATCAAGCCAAGGAAAGGGACATAAAACTCACATCGGGCGACATGGGTTTATTGACAGGACCCCACCACACATCCTTCTCAGAGTTGGGCTCTTGGACAATCCGTTTGTCCGAAGGGGACCGCCCTGTTTTTGAGCCCGAATATGCTGTCAGGGCTCCAGTTGAAGTGATGGCTGTCCCAGTTTCGTAGACAAGAGCATCCTCGTAGAGTGCAGCTACTGAAGGATTTGCAACCTATTTCAAAAGTTAGAAATCTGCTGGCGTTTGCGGGGACAAGCCAACGAAGAACAAGTGTAGTACATACAATCGCGACACGGTCATAGTCAATGTGAGCCTTCTCATGAAGCTCTTCCTCAATCTCAGTGTGTTCCCTGGAAGGACTGTATTTGCGAATAAAAAGCTCCAAGTTAGTTGTCGCAATAGCAGCAAACAGTGGCAACAAGCAAGTCGCAAAAGCGCCAAGCCTTCAGAAGCACGGATAAATACATACACAACTCCACCAGGGTGCAGAGAAGTTCGATTAACGCTTGTTGACACCATTGTTTTTAAAGAAGTCGAGTGAAAATTTGTATGTTGTTGTTTCCAGAGCATCTGACGAGCATAATCCTCTGCGAGAGCGCTTGCCTGGGTGGGTTTGCCGCCGGGCTGATCGGGTTGCTTTATAGCGGACGCCATGGTTGACGATGAGCGTGAGTTGATGGAGCTGGAGCTTCTACCCCAGGATGCACTACGGCGACGATCGTGGAGAAGTGGGGCAGGTTGGCGGGCTTCCGAGACGGGAACTCCTAGATGACCCGAATGCCCTGGTCTCCGACGCCCAACCCGGCCAGGTCGCGCGAAAAAGAGTCGGAACATGCGATCAAATCGGATATTTCCCCTCCCACAGCCTTCAAACTCAAAGGTGTGACGAATCAGCTATCTTTGTCTTGGTGCAAAGGAATGATGAAATAATTTGTTTCATACGAGACAATAGTCTGCCCGTATTGGGGACTTTCCTCAGGTCCGAGCGGGTGTTACTGAAAGAGTGAGAGCGGGAATATGAGGAAGCATGTTCTACCCTGCAGAAAATCCGGAAACGACGTAAACAGAGAGCTAAAATGACAGTGGCAGAAGTGTGTCCAATAGAAGGGACTGGGTATGCTAGAGCACATCCCAAGCATGCAATCAACAAGCGGCCAAGGTCTGCATCGTTGCCTCAGGTGTTATTTTCCCTTCTTTCACGGATGCACTACTGCTAACTTACTCCTACCTCCAAAAATTTAAGTTATTTCCCTACCAGCTGACTTCATCGCCTCTGATACTATTCTGAGAGCAAACACATTTTACCCAAGCAGATGAGAACTTAACAAGGTCTGAAGCAGAAGAAGGTAATAAAGATAGACCAATTAGCCAGTAATAAGACTTGGTGAGGTTATAGTTCATGCCAAGTAACATATGCCTTATGCCTGTGCATGTCGCCGCATACATCGTGAAGAATTTCCTTGCTCCTCGGCAACCCTATCAAGCCTCCGTTGCTCCCTAAAACAAGATGGCCAGCATTTCTCGGTAAAACAATAAAAGGCATGTGAACGAGACAACCTTGCCCCCCCCAATGCCGCATAGGTAGTTTGGAGCCAAGAACGTCCAGGCAGCTCTGCAGCTGCTGTGCAAGCTGCCATTTAATTTGTGTCACATATTATCTTCTAGATGACTATAGGATTGGTATATAATGTCACATATTATCTTCTAGAGGACTATAGGATTAAGACACAACCATGGTCTTGCCCCTATCTACGGTTACGCCTCAAAAAATTAGATCGCCGTGTCAGTTACATCGTTTTGAGTTTTCGTCGATAAAACTACGTGACAAGAGATCTATCTAATCAGAGACAGTCAATTAAATTAAAGCTTAGAACTTTTTCTCGTCCTTCAATAAACCGAAGCCGATATAGAATCCAACCGTTCCTAAGAGATATTTCGGTTAATTTAGTGAGGGATGTCTCCGTTTCCCCAGATTGTTCAAAGTCCCGCGTGCTGCGTTACCGAAAATGGACCAAAGGGGGGATTGGGATGGATGATCGACACCCGGTAATAACCGGACAAATTCCGACGACGCAAGCATTATCTCCAGCCTTCCCCGCAACCAACAACGTCTCTGACTACTCGTATCTACCTACGTATTTGCTGATGCAGAGCATTGTCTCCTCTTCAGAGAGCCCATAGCGGCTGTGGTCATAGCTCCACGACCAATCGGAAGGAGGCCAATTATCTGCTCCAAGCTGGCTCATGGCGTCGATGTATGTTCCGTCTGGAGGTCCAGCCATGTCTAACGATGACAACGTGTTTATGCCAAGGATTAACCCATCGCTTTGGGGGGTTTATTATCATTAAACCCCATTTATGCAGTACAGCAGCATTTGTGTCAAAGTTGTCCTATCATCACCACACATAGTACCGCGCCTATTCGTAATCGCTCTTGGCAAACGCCACAATAGTGACAAAAATGTTGCACAATAATCATTGATAAGAGTGGTATCATACATAATAACCCATTATTAGTAAAACTATAGAGGAGATGAGAGAGTAAGTCCAAGAGCACAAACAACCTTTCCTGAGTAATCATAGGTTGTCAAAAGAATACATTTCGCTTGATATCAAATACGAAGGGATAAAATGAATATCCAACAATGTTTGAAGCGGAAAAAATCATTTCTCAGCCTCCACTTTTTCCTTGTTGCTGGCTGAACGGATCCGCGACTTGAGCCGATGGCCGCCTTTGAGCATCAGCCATGAGCAGAAAAAGACAACCATAAAATTAAAGATACAAAAGGCGAAGAAGATGCCGTAATCGCGCCATTTATGAGAATAGAAAGCATTGAACCCAGCAGCCTAAAATTGTGGTAAATGTCAGTAAGAAGCACTTCTTGAAGCGGCCGCCAAAATGAAAGTTCGGTCAAGCGATGACGGCTGGTGTGCCGTGCCAGGGGTGAACTTACGAATTGGTCACCATTGGCATATTGACAAAACATGCACATGCCATCCACCTCTCGAACGTATCCGCCAACCGCGCGCACAAAGCCTCGAGTGTATTGCTCGCAAGTCTGTCCCGCCGGAGGAGTAAACCGAGCGTACTCGCTTTGGGAGCAGTTTATAGGGATGCCGTGCGTAGCAACTGCGACAAACCCTTCGAGCAGATAGTGGAAGGGTGTAAGCCAATACATCCAGCTGCGCCAAAAATAGGGTAGTCCTGCGTAGGGTACTACGACACCACAGAAGGAAACGACGAAAAGAAAGAAGACTGGAACGAGCAGCGAAGCCAGCAGTTCGTTCGGGGCAAATGATGCAATAGCCTGTCCAAAGCCAACATAGTACACCTCAAACAGCATTAGTAGCATCCAGGTATATCCAGCATTGAAGCTATTCCGGGGAAACCCCACTCCCCAGTACCAACAATTGAAATAGATAGATCCTGCCACGATCGCATAAGGTAGTTCAACAAGTATCGCGGCGATTGTAAATGCTATCCAGGAATAAATTTTGGAGTTTGCTTCACGGGAGGTGTAAAGTTTTCGGAACCGAATAAACTTTGGTTGCAGTTGTTGAATCAAAGGAGGCGAAATTGTAAGAGTCATGAAGATGGAGAAAAGCCTCGACTGCATGTCAATTTGTGAACGGCCAAGTTTCCAGAAGGTGAATGTGTTGAAAAGTCCGGTAAAAATATGAAGCATGAATTTTCCAACAATATATTCAGGAGATCGCCAATAAGCGCTAGGAGAGCGGCATATTAGTACAATAGCATGGAGGGTATCACGGGTAAACAACTTACACAAAAGTGCGCTTCACAACTGTGGGGATTTGAGTAGCCAAGGGCATAGCAAACTCTCGCTCATCCCTAGTATGACTAGAGACAGTTGCCTCCCGGCGCTCGTCAATCATAGCTTCTATCTCCCGGAGCCGCTGGTGGCTTTCTGGGGACTGTTCCCAGACATCGCCCCAATCTTTGCCTTTGTAGTTAGGATCACCTCCGCCAATTACCTCGAGCATATACTCGGCGGGGTTTGCATCAGGTTTGCAGTGCTTAGCCCCATTGCGCTCGAAATAGCTTATCAGATCCTTGGAATCTTTCCCAAGGGATCCATGATATACAACTCTCCCGCCACTTTTTAGAAGCAAAAGTTCATCAAAATGTTCGAAAAGCACTGACGACGGTTGATGGATCGTGCAAAGGATGGCTTGGCCGGCGTTGGCGAGCTTGCGAAGGAACCGAATGATATTGAAAGCAGCGCCAGAGTCCAGACCTGAGGTTGGCTCGTCTAAAAACATCAAAAGCTCTGGGTCACGGTCAGAAGCATTGCAAGTACATAGATTCTGAAGGACTACTGACCTGGCTTGCTAGCGAGTTCAACGCCAATGGTTACTCGTTTCCTTTGTTCCAAGTTCAATCCGGCTCCAGGCACTCCGATCGTTGCGCCTGCAATGTCTCTCATCTCTAGCAAATCGATAACTCGTTCGCAATACTCGTACTTTTCAGCGAGGGGTACCTCCTTTGGCTGTCGCAGCTTGGCAGAAAATTGCAGTGCTTCACGCACAGTCGAAGTGGGCTCGTGAACGTCCATTTGTTCTGCGAAACCTGTTGCTCGTTGAAAAGACTTGGGGAGCGGCCGTCCATCGACCAGAAAGTTGCCTCTCACAACACCAAAACTGATTCTCTGCGCCAAAACGTTGAGTAACGTTGTTTTTCCCGCCCCTAAAAAAGGCGACCTGTTAACATGAAACAACTTCTCACGTAGGGCAGTGGCTTACCTGATGCACCAACCAAGGCAGTTAGCCTCCCAGGTCGAACATATCCATTGACACCTTGCAACAAGGTTCTGTGACCTCCTTTATAGGGAATCGTATAATTCACATCCTGCCACGTGAAAACAGTTTCGTTCCGAGCGACTCCTTTAGTGTGTCCTTTGTTAACATCTGAGTCACTTGATTCGCTGCTCAAAGGTGTAGCGCCACCGCCTTTTCCAGTTTCTTCGTCGCCACGTGTGCCAACCGCCTCGAGCGCCCGATCAACTGATTTAGGTGTCTGTCCACGCATAAAGACAGTCACCGTCCCGCCTCCTTTGTTAGGCTTTTGCAATTCCATCCCAAAAGCGGTTAAGCAGACGAAGAAGGTAAAAAAAGCACAGATAAATCCGACGTTTCTCCACAAATGAGATCGAGTATAGCCAAAGGCAGTGTGTATATAGTCAGCGCCACTGACTGTCGCTTGGCCTGGCCTGCTACCTTGAATTAGGCAAGACTGATGCCCAGGCTGAGCACCAGGTCCACTGGGCACAAGGTACGGCGGAACGCATTGAATCTGCAAATTGTAGAATTCGTTGGACATCAATGCTTCAAAACCATATTGGCTGGCAATCATCAACTTCTGTCTCCCGGCACGAAAGTAGCAGGATCTTTTACTTACACTGGGTTAATCCACCTAAGCCAGCTTAACCATGGATGCATACTCTTGGGGGGAACTGTTCATTGTCAGTGTATGTATGTTGACGGTTTGGGGTTGTCTAAACGGGGAAAGGGAAGATCATACTAAGGTAGCCTGTATACACAACCAGAGCTTGAATGGCAACGCCTGTGATTCTAGTTGCCACATCAAGAGATGAACACAAGGCGCCAATCGACCGAAAGAAAGAATACATGGTCATGGTCAAGATAAATAGAAGCATTAGACTGATAAAGAACTGTGATGCCGTCCGTTGGAGATTAGACATGAAATAGACAATTATGTCGAATAGAAAGACTTGAACCGCAACGAGCGGGACATCCACGACAACTTGTGCAATGGCGTAGGCGGCGGGCCTATAGAAAGAGCTATAAGAAAAAGTTAGTAAATTCTAAGTAATAAAAAAGTAAATAAATAAAGCACGACCGTCCACTTACAAGCTCTTATGTTTCATTAAAATCGGTCGGCTTGAGAACGCAGCAGTCAACTCGGCGAGAGCCAGAAGAGCGTTGAAAAGAAGCATAAAGAACATCACACCGCCGCGTTCAAAGACGCCTGAACTTGTCTTTGGCATGTTATAAAATAGACTTCCGACGATCAGAGCCTGGAAGATAATGCCTCCCCATTTCCCAATCAACGCCTGTCTATCTCCGAGCATGACCAAAAACTGACGATGCGTACAGGCCATCACCTGCCTGTGGAAAGGAAGTGTATAGTTCCGTTGCGTCTTTTTACTCTCCAGCGCTCGCCGTTCCTGCTCTTGCTGCTGCATTTCAACTTCAAGGGATTCAATGTCAGTCATAGTCTTTGTGGATGCGCTGCTGTTTCTGTATGCTTCCGCAAACTGAGCTGCCGATCGGGGAATGCGGTCTTCCCATCCTTCCTTAACATTACGTTCATGTTCATCGGTGACAGAGGTGAGAAAGTCGGCCGTTGTCCATCGAGGCAGAGCGACAAACCCAAGGCTTTCAAAATAAGCTCTGGCATCTTCAGTTCGCCCAAAGTAGCACAATTCTCCTTCATGGATGAGCATAACCTTGTCAAAAAGGTTAAAGAGGCTTTCTCCGGCTTGGTACAAAGCTACTGAGGTTGACACATGGGCCATATTTGTCAAGGAACGTAAGCTCTGGACGTATTCAAGGGCGGTATTGGCGTCCAAACCACGGGTAGAATTGTCCCAGCATTGAGTGCTGGCTTTTGTTATCATGGCCTCTGCAATGCTGACACGTTTTTTCTCTCCCCCGGACACGCCACGGATGTATTCGTTTCCCACTTTGGTATCCAAAGTGTGTTCGATCCAGAACAATTTGGCAACGACACGCAAAAATTCGCGGACATAATCCATGCGGGATTCACCCTCGTTCCTCGACTCCTTTCCGGGAGTTCTTGTCTTCAAAGCAAAAGTAAGGGTGTTCTTTACAGTAAGTGTTGCGTAGTGTAGGTCATCTTCCGGATTGTATAAGACTAGAAACGAAAAAGTCACAAAATTAGTGTTGTAGGGTTTGGATGGGTTTCATTCTGCGTACTTTCTCCACGGTAGTTTTTCATCATGGTATGAGCATCCGTCCCACCGTAAGTCACGCTCCCTTCGACGCTTTCATAGCCGTATCTTTGATTGCCTACGGCTTTCAGGAATGTCGAACATCCGGCCCCAGGTCGCCCCAGAACCAGTAACATTTCTCCAGGTCGAATGCAGCCGGTAAAGTTATCTAGTAATGTCCGCACAGGCGGTTTTCCTGCGGCTTTTCTAGGACCTTTTGTGATGACATTCTTCAAAAATCGAAACGGGCCAAGCAAGAGGCGACCGTTGGTAGCCTGTAAGGCGGCGCCGATACCCATTCCTTTCACAGTGAGGTTGCGGAAGATGACTCCGACGTGCCGTGTCTTCTCGTCCTGCGAATGCGCCTGACGGGTTCGACCAAACATGCGAGACATGAGCCGCTCGACCTCGACCAGTTCCTCCTCTCCCATGTCTTCAAGCATTGAATCGTTTCCTTTCTCGTCCGGTCCTTCATTTCCGCTCTGATTAGTCTTACGTCTCGATAGAGCACGGAAGAGATCATCTTCAGTGAGCTTGCGGCCAGATGGAGGCCGTTGGGGTCGAGAAGAGGTTGACTTGATCGGGGCGAACTCTTTGTTTCCTTCTTCATTCTCGTCGTCGTCCGATGTGTCATCGGAAACTGCCACCGGTGCATCTTCATGTTGCTTTGATGATCCTTCCTGAGGATCTGTCCGTGCATTTTGCGTTGCAATCCGAGAAGGAGGGAAGCCACCTGAATTGTTGGTCCTCTGATGGGCCGAAGGAAGATCATTGGGCCTTTGAGACGCGCCTCCATATGAGCGTTGTTGCGTTTCGTCAGCCGGCGTTTCTGGCCATGCTCCAGGGGTGTCCTCGATATGCGGAGTAGCCAAAGGACCGTTAGACATGCTGTAGAGGGTTTGTTTGTTCAACTGAACGCAAGGCGTCTTCGAAGACGCGACCACCGTTCGTTAAGTGCGCGACCAGGCACGTAGGCAGGAGGATCTACGTCTCAACCTTCCCTTGTACGCATTCGAATCACAAACGGCACGCTGTTGACAAAGTTAGGTAGGTAGGGCAAATCTATCATGCTTTCGCAGGAGGGGAAAAGAGGCTCGGAACAGGATTCAACACGCAATCTCATTGAATGGGACGAGGTCAGACAACACGGGCAATAGCTGTCTGCAATGAGAATAGCCCAATCATATATGATAACTGCATCCCGTAATGGTGTAGGAGCTCTAGCTTTTGCTTTCTCATGACGGAGTAAATTCCATCCGTCGTCCGAACGTCGATTCGCTCACCACTAGTAGTTGTTTGCCCCAAGGCGGACCAACGGTGGGAACCCAGCAGGGTGTCCAGAGACTACTAAGCAAGCCATATTTGCAAGCGAAACATCCTCTTGAAAAGCACTCAAGTTGCATGCTCCAGTAGCAGTGGTTTGCGAGCCAACATCAGATGCGGTTGGCTGATCTAAGCCTACGCAGATATCAACAATACGGACGCTCGTCATCATCATCATCGAGCATAGCTTGTAGGCCCCCTGTAAAGACAAACAGACAGGGAAGCAGCATCTAGAGACGCTGTCAATGGATGGGGGTGTAAGTGCTCGCACATGGTGTGCTGAGAATAGGATGGACCCCGCCTTCAGCTAGGTGCGCAAAGCAGTGCTTCCCGTCGTAACATATGAAAGTCGTCATGATTTTCTTCAAGGGCCAATCGCTAAGGTTGAAGAAACGCAAACGGAACTGTAAGGTACCGATCAACCGACTCGTGGCGGAACTATTACCCTCCCGACCCCGATTGAAGCTTATAACTTTCTCCAGGCTAAGCCAAGGAATGTCCAAAATGGACCATCGCACCATTGGTAATGCTGTGCAGTACAGTCAGTTTAATCCGCGGCAGAAGCACGGGGGATAAAGTAGCCGGAAAAGCTTAAACTCATTCAGGCCTCACCATGACTCCGACTATCAACGTGGAGATTTAAGCCTTCGAAACGTTAGCGAAAACCTGGGGTAAGCCGACCGAAAGGCGTTAACGATCCCATCCCGGATCCAGCCCTATCCGACTTTCCGGCCCGCGCATTTCATCCTGTTGCCTGCTAGGTGGTTAAATGGTTGGTATTCATGACATACACTACTCTTCGTATCATGTTATGTAGACGTAGCAGCTCGGCGAATCCATAATATCAAGCAAACATAAATTCTTCAAAGGCACCATGCATGAATTACTCTGTATAAAATTAACTTAGGGACTATATTCTCTTGAATTAGAGAAAACCTAGACTAATGTGAGAGAGCACAATGTTCTCTCAGACATAAAATGTATTTCATGCATCATCATCATCCTCATCATCATCGTCACCCGTATGGCTCTGGTACCCGTCCAAAATTTCTATCATCTGCCTCAACACATCAATAGAATTTACTCTCACCAAAGTAGAAAGAAGAAAATAAACGAATCCAGAATATGGCGCTCGCTGAAAGTCTACTACGCTAAACGCCACAAAACTCCATGAATCGTTCGTCATTACGCATTGCTCGAGGCGTCGGGGAGCTCTCCAATGACCTCTTTGAGAATCTCGGGTACAATGATGCTTGCATCGCCTTGGAAAAACCAATCGTCATCCATCAAGTTTCCATAGCCTCCTGGTGCGTCGGCTCGATCGACATTGACTACAGCCACTTTCGCGCCCTTGGCTCGGGCAATATCGACATAACCCGCAGCTGGATAGACTTTGGCACTGGTACCAATTACCAGTATGAGATCAATCGGCCCTTGGCTGATCCAGTCATCCACCGTGTCAAGCACTTCTCTGGGAAGCTGTTCGCCGAACCAGACAACACCGGGTCGTAGTAGTCCGGTGTGGCATTTTGGACACCGAGGAAGATCACGAATGCGAAGCTCGGGTAAAGCGACATCCTCATCTGCTATATCCAGCTCCTCCTCCTGGAGTTCCTTTGTAGCCTCCATCGCGTTCTCGAGCGATTGCGCAGCCTCGCTGCCAGTTCTATCCGAGCCTGAAGGGAGAGGTTCCGGTGCACGAGTGGGGATGGTCAGGGAAGGTACAATCGGGTCGCGGAAGTTGTTATGTTCGACGAAATCGCAATAAAAGTCTGTACACTTGACATCGAATAGAGAGCCATGCAGCAGCTGTAGTTTTGAGCGCGGATGATTCGCTCGCTGTGAAAGTCCTATAAACTCGTTGTGAGCAAAGCTACGAATTCTGAGATTAAACTTCTGCGCAGCTTACCGTCAACATTTTGACTGAGCGTCATAAACTCGTCATTGACTTGTGCAAGCTTCGCAAGCGCGTAATGTGCTTTGTTTGGCATCGCCTTAAGTGCCATGTGCCTTCTGTAGCTGTAAAACTGCCATACTAGACCTGGGTCTGCATCGAATGCTTCGGGAGTGGCCAACGACGCGGCATCATAGGTTCGCCATAACCCGCCGGCCCCTCGAAAAGTAGGAAGGCCAGAAGAAGCTGAAAGACCGGCGCCAAGTAGAGCGAGAATTCGTTTAGATGACTTGAGATGGGCATGGAAAGACTGCAAGTCTGCAGGAGGAATCGAAGCGCTGCGGACAGTGGACGCCATCCTTGCCAGCTGTTGAAGCCAGAATGACATATACAAGTTGAAATATTCAGCGAGTCTCGTTTGCAAATCCGTCTTACTTTGTCTGCGCGAAGGCGATTGTGAAGATTAAGGAGACATGAAAGGCGGTGAAGCGTAATCAGCTTCCAAGCTAAGGTAGCATGAAGCTTTCTTTTGTTGATTATTTGTTTTGGCCTGAGGCACTCAAAGATAAGAGTTTCCAGGGTGTGGGGATGACGTCCAGCGGAGGCTTCCGCGTTTTAGCCTTCGTTTTGCGTCAAAGGATGCTCGGGTCTGCCCGATTTGTCTTATTCCGCGGCTTGTCATTCGCAGAGGAGGACAAGATCTCTACGGCATCAACCCAATTCTCTGTAATTGAAGATGAGACGGAGCCTGCGTAGTGCCAGTCAGCTGGCTAGATGTGGAACAAGGCCTTTGCACAGCAGCAGCAGGCCATTGTGCACCAGCTTCGGGCAACACACGGCCAAGGTCGGAATTTCTAGACGGCGATACGCATCTGTGGCTGCCGCCGAGCTGCAATTCGGGCAGCCGCTTCACGAAACACACCCGCACATTCTAAGGGCTGGGGAAGGCATGTTATAAGTAGATAATTGAAGACAATATATGTATTAATTGATTGTAAACAGTAACTCCTGGCATCAGCGCTCTCGAATACGCAACCCGTCGAGCGAGACTTGCTGCGAAACTTCCGCATAACGGCATAGCCATTATTGCTTCTTCCGACATCAAGTACCGTTCTGGCTCTGTATTTTACGAGTTTCATCAAGACTCCAACTTTTTCTATCTCACCGGTATGATTGTTGGTGGTGCAAAACATTCCGTGCGAGATGCTGACAGAGAGAGTATACAGGCTTCAACGAACCAGAAGCTCTAGCAATTATTGGTAAGCGAATGCAAAGATGCAAAAAGGATTGCTCTCTAACATTCATCAGAGAAGACTGGCCCTGGCCCGGAACACATTTTCCATCTATACGTGCGACCCAAGGATCCGAGGGCTGAACAATGGGAGGGTGCTCGGTCGGGAGTTCAAGCTGCTCTGGATGTCTTCAATGCCGACGAGGTAGGATCGAGACGAGAAACATTCGCATTTTAAACAGTCAAAACTGATGATTGGCAGGCAGGGGATATAAATCAACTACACTCCGTCCTCCCTCCCATTGTCGCAGAAGCTAGCGAAGTGTATACAGACATTGTCACTGGCAAAAGCGCTCTCTCGTCCTTTTCGCGACTCTTCCTGGGGCCCTCGTCAAGAACAGAGGGCTTTGCCAAGATCCTCGAAAAGAGCAAAGTGAAACAACTTCGGCCCATCATCAACGACCTGCGAGTGATCAAGAGTGAGGCCGAGATTGCCAACATGAGGACAGCGGGACGTGCTTCTGGCAGAGCTTTTACAAAGGCAATGGGCAGGAGATTTACGCTGGAGAAGGATCTGACTGCTTTTCTCGAGTACAAATTCAAGACCTTAGGGTGCGACACTTCAGCATATGTGCCGGTGGTGGCTGGCGGAGAGGTATGCTGAATTGCATTATTGTAACAAATGTACGAAGATATGTACTGACGATTGCAGCACGCTCTCAACATTCACTATGTTCGCAATGATGATGTCTTGAGGTGAGACTAGCACTCCAATATTTTCTGCTTTGTTATTCTAACAAAGTTCTAGAGACGGTCAACTTGTTCTTGTCGATGCTGGTGGCGTAAGTCTGCCTGGTTCATTCTTGCGGAGCAAATATACTGATAATTCCAGGAATATGGCGGCTACATTACAGATATCACACGAACATGGCCGGTCAATGGGAAGTTTACGGACCCACAAAAAGAGCTTTACGAAGCCATTCTCCGAGTCCAGTGTAGCTGCGTATCTCTTTGCAGAGCAAGCGCTGGCTTCTCTCTGGATCAGATCCATCGCATTGCGGAGAATGGCCTTCGCGATGCTCTTTCACAACTTGGATTCGACATGAGTGGCAATGTATGAAGATCTTGTCGCTTCTCTTCTCATAGCTAATTCGTCTCCCTAGGCCCTGGAAACCCTGTTTCCCCATCATCTTGGCCACTTTGTCGGCCTAGACGTGCACGACACCCCGGGTTACCCACGAAGAGGCAACCTCCAAGTAGGCCAATGCGTTACGATAGAGCCGTAAGTCTTGACCTGTTTCGAGCTGGTTAATTGTAAATTGAATAAATATTTAACGGTGTGGCAGTGGAATCTATGTTCCCGATGACGAGCGCTGGCCGAAGCATTTCCGCGGTATCGGCATCCGAATCGAAGACAGCGTCTGCGTGCAAGAGGAGAATCCGCTAGTCCTGACGACTGAGGCTGTCAAAGAGGTGCGTACCATCGTCATGTTTCTTTTCTTCTTTCTTCCTTCTTCCTTCTTTCCTTCTTTCCTTCTTTCCTTCTTTCCTTCTTTCCTTCTTCCTTCTTTCTTTCTTTCTTTCTTTCTTTCTTTCTGTTTCTTACATGATTTTCTTTCATTCGTTTTGCGTCCACAAAGCTGATAATTATATCGCACAGGTTGTCGACATTGAAGCTCTCTCCGAGTCTTAGTCTACATATATAGTAGAACAGCCCCTGTACATGAAATGTAAAAAGAAAGAACCTGAATGTATAAATCAAAATTCCACTCCACATGAGCCTCAGTGTAAGATACGCGTTTTAGCATCGCAATGCAGCCTAAGCAGAGTGGTTCCGTACGTTTCTCGTACCATAAGACGCGATGCATACTGCAGTATACATATCCGCGCAATATTACACACTCTATTCCTACCAAATGCAGTAGATTGGATCTTACTTATACGTCCTACTGTCACGCATGCAGCGTATATGCAACGCATCTGCATATGCAAATATGCAGTACCCTTACCGTGTAGCAACTCGGTTTCATTCGACCAGCTGAGTAACGTAGTAACGTAGCCAAACAATTCTGTACACCGATAGCTCAGTAGTTCTGTAATTCCGTAGCTGCCGTGTGCCCAGCAGTCAAAGTTACTGTTGTTACCGCGATTTACACCCGGCAGTCCATCTTTATCTCTTCGGTGTCCGGACTCTTCCCTTCAATGCAGGATGCAAACTGCGAGATGCGAGATACAAGATGCAAGGGGGCGCGCTGTAAAATCATGTGCCCCCTATCTAGGGAACTGAGTTACTGTACGTAGTAAACGAAGATTGTTCTCTTTTACGTTTTCTTTTTCTTTTCTCTCTTTCTCCCTTTTCTCTCTTTCTTTCTTTTTTAGAGTTTTGTTCTGCCTTATTTGTTGGTTTGTTGGTTTGTTTGTTTGTTTGGGGAGGGAAAGCCAAAGGTATAAAATAAAATAAAATAAAATAAACCGATACCCGAGATTCTTGGATTATTGGCTCTATACTCCGTGTACGTAGTAGAGGACATAGACACTAGACAATAGAGCAATGGATCATGGGAGTCAGGACTACCTGCTGCCCGCTGCCTGCATACTCGTACGATAGGAACCGCGTATGAGCCATGACCACGAATTCACTGTTCACAAGCAGATTGTCTGATTGTCTGATTGTCAATTTGTCAATTTGTCATTTTGTCATTTTGTCAAATTGTCATTGATATAACGGACTCTGTATGACATGGTGACACCAATAGGACTGCATAGTAATACAAGGATCCCTATGAGGCTATGATAGGAGAGGGTGTTTAATCCAACAGATAGAAGGATTTGAACTGGGACAATTAGCGCATATTGGAGGGAGGATGAGTCACGATACTAAATAAGATAAGGTAGAGGGAGTACAATAATTCATTTGAATGGCACTGGCATAGGCACGGCACGGGCATAGTCCTAATACCGAAAACCAACCCACAGCCCACAACACACATCTACTCTTCTGCCATATAAGCAATAGATAGATGTTGAATAACGTTAACGTTAACGTTTAATCGACCGGAGAGCTGGAAGGCTGAAGGGCTGGAGAGTTGGAGGGATAGAGAGGGTTAGAGGATGGTTGGATGTGGATACCGTGGCAAACCACAGGAATGTTGATCCCCTACCTCCGTATAGTCCTACAGTCTGACCCGCCTACCGATCCTACCGATGTGTGTGTGTGGGCAGCGTGTATGGGTAGCAGCAGATCGAGATCCAGAAAAAACTATATCTTTATCGAGTAGATCAAAGGGAGGGGGTAATGTCGCAAGCCTGCAAGGTTACAGGGTCATAAGGCAGGTGTATGTCCCAATATAGTAAACAATTAAAAGTTAAAAAAAAAATAATAAGAAAAAGAAACAGAAAATAAAAACCCCCCAAAAAACAAAGGTAAAAAACAACAACAAAACAAAACAAAACAAAAAATGAAAAGAAAGGTAAAAAAAAAATTGAATAAAATAAAACAAACCAAACCAAACCAAAATAGTAAGATAAAATAAAAACAGATAAAGTAAAATCAAAATCGAAAAAAGGGGGTCAAGGCATCGTGATCGTGTTCCTTGCATTTGGTATGCAGTAGCGAGGAATACGCACGACCCCTTCGCCCCAGGCGGCCCCCTCCTCGCTCCCGGGGAAAGTCTACCTGCGGCTGGCGTCCTGCGTCCTGCTGCTTGGCAGCTTGGCAGTTTGGCGTTGCCACCCATCCTGGAACCAAAGGGGCGCTTGAACGGGTTACACAATGTATAGTGATACTGCGACTCCTCCATAATGTACAGAGCGTACAGAGTGTAAAGAGTGCACGGTTGAGGTTGTATGCTGAGAGTAAAGTAGATAATGTGGATAGTAGCAAGATAATAAGATGAGAATATCGATGAATGGCATTGGTATTGTACATGGTAACCGAAATAGCAATATTTGGGTAAATGGAATAGAAAGGAAATAAAAAATAAGATAAAATGATAGGAAAAAAAGAAAAGGATGGAAAATGGAGATGGTGAATAAAAACGGAGAATAGAAAATCGGAAATAGATGATAGGAAATGGAAAATAGAGATAATGGAGATTTAAAATAAAATAGCAAAACGAAATCCAGCCCACGACAAATAGAGTCTATTTCCTTTCATTTATTCCATTCTCCGCTGCCAAATGCCTAGCATAAGAAATTGCTCCGTAGTCTAAGAACCGATGCAAACAAGCTTGATGATAAAAAGATTAAAAGCCAATGGACAGGGAATACAAGTAGGGAATAAGGTCGTATCAGGCAGGACATTACCTCGTATAAGAAAATGCTCAATACCATACGGTGTGAAAAAAAAAAAAAAAGAGAATGAAGAAATAAAAAAAAGATAGGAAATAACAACAAAAGAACACATGAAACTAAATACGAGAAGGATGGGACCCGGCCGAGCCTCCTGAACGAATATACGTCGCCGGTGGCATCCGCGGCTGGCGTGTTGCAGGATGTTGCTGAAGCTCAACGTCATCGAAATTGTCCTTTTCCTGGACCGAGCCTGTCCGAGAATGTGTCATTTCCGAATGCGCAGAAAAGGCATCCGCCCTCGCGGCATGCTCGGCGTGCATTTTCTGCATCTTGGCCTCGTGGCTGGACTTCATGCTCATGCGGACGGCAAAGATGATGGAAATCACGATTCCCATCCCGGCGAGACCAATTCCAGTCCAGGTGGCGCAGCGGAATCCCTTGAGCGGATCGCCGCCGGCGACTTGGACCTCAACTGTGCCGGCAATACCGAGACCAATTGAGATGGAGTAATTGACCACAGTTGCGACGAGTGAAGCCGCAATCCCCTGATGCTCGTGGGAGACAAAGTTGCTGAGCATGATTGTTGATGCCGGAAAGCTAATATCCATTCCCCATGGCGTGACGAGGATCGCGACAAACCATTGTGCCCAATACGTCTGGTGTACCGGCGCAGTCGAAATGAGAATCAGGCCGACGCAAAATGCAATCATTGCAACCACCATCAGCCTCGCAACAGGTACCTTGTGGATCAAGAACCCAGTCGTCATGGACGCGAGCAGGCCAGAAATACCCGCCGGTGTCATCTGCGCGGCTGCATTGAGCGGCGTGAGATGCCGAGTCACAAGCATAAACCGGAACATGTAGTAGATCCAGATACCAAAGCTGCTCCACCCCGCTGCAACGCATGCTAGTACGTAGCCTGTCTCGCCCGATAAGCTGTGCAGTGGGACCAAGGGCTGTGCGGCCCGCAGCTCAATGAAGACGAATAGCCCGAGTATTATGAGGCCGATGATGAGAAGAATGTAGACGTACGGTTTGTCCCAGCCGTAGGCAGGTCCTTGGTTCCAGGCAAAATTGACGAGCACGAGACCGGTCACTCCAGTGATGGAGCCAGCCCAATCGAAGCCGGCTCTTCTGTGAACATTGTCGGCGGCGGATGATTCCATCGTGGGGATGATCAAGTAGCCTCCAATAGACAGGCCAACGCAAGCAATGGCAAAGGAATAGTACGTCCATGGCCACCATGCCAGCTGCGAGAAGAGAGATCCAAAGACGGCACCAACGATGAAACCATTGGGCGCCGTGGCTCCAAACATGCCAAATACCATTCCCTTTCTCGGTCCCGGAGGATAGAAGCGGCCCAGAAGAGCCAAGCCGTTTGGTAAAATAAATGCCGGACCAATGCCTTGCATGGCTCGACAGAAATTGAACAGCACATGACCCGAGTAGACGCTCAAGCCAGCAATCAGGGACCACAAAGCAAACCATATGAAACCCGAGCAAAACATGAGTCGATGGCCGTACATGTCGCCCAGTCGGCCGGCAATGAGAATAAATGTGCCCACGGTCAAGCTGTACGAGGCGGAAAACCAGCTGAGAAGGCCAGGGTTGGTGATGCCAAAGTCCTTTCCGACGATGTATTGTGTGGCAATAATCTGACCCAAGCCGGCTTGGGTCATCAATTGAGCTGAGCAGATGATGGCCACAAAAGCAATTTCATGTAGGAGGCTTAGTTTGGGCGCCGGCGGTGGTCCCGACGGGCTCGGGTTGGGAGCTTCTCCCCTTTCTTCTTCGAGTCTCATTTTGAATGCACGAGGTTCGAGTTCGAGGTCTCTTGCTGCTGCCAGGCTGGCTGATCGATCAGGAGAGAACATAGGATGGTATCCAATGGAAAGGGAGAAGGGCGATTTATATGTATTTTTTTTTAATTTTATGTTTAGGGTTCTCCGTCAATGGTATCGGACGTCTATTGCAGGGGGTTCAACACCCTAAGCTCCGATGGTGAAGCCACCTAGTGGGGGCAATCGGCGGCAATATGTCAAAAAAAGAATTCAAAGGCGATATAGAATAACAGCTCCATCTTAGTCGGACGACTTCGGAGCATTTGACAGCTTATATTGTGCGATAACACCGAACATCCCTTGGATTACCAAGCAAGGGAAGGGAGGACAAGAGAAAAATAGTGTGGTAGGCAGATTTAGGGTGAGGGCGGAAAGAATTTAGGCTATTTCTTAATGTCTAATCAGGATTGTGATACAAAAGAGAGACACGAACAAGGGCATACGAAGGGTGGAAAACGGTATAATAGGACTGTCCTGGAGAGCCATCGATCTAGAATGAATAGATTACGTGCCTCATCATGGCTGACGATCCCCCAGCTCGTTCTTCTTCCGCCCAAATTATTGTCTGAGGTTGGGCGACGTAACTATGAGAGCTGACAGTGGTAGGACTGGTGGTAAGGGTACCCTAACTGCCTTCACTAACGGTATTGACTTAGCCAGATGCACCTGCGGAATTTCCGCCTTGTCTCTTCCGCAGCCTCTTCTTACCTACCTACTACGGTAGGTATTCTTCAGCCACGCAGGTACCAAAGCGACACACTTGGTTAACTACGAGTACCCACCTTAGTCAATCCCACTCCAAATTATTTAATCATCAGTCATCTAGCCACCCGTGACTAACGCAACACAGTTAACCACATTACGGTGTGCTGGAGTTGACGCGGAAATAAATCCCCCTCCCCCTACAAACAAGCCCGCTCTACCCGCCACCGTCCAGTATGTACATAAAGGGCAATCCCCGCATTACCCGCACCTGATCCGCTCCGAACGGAGTTGACGCGGAAATAAATCCCCCTCCCCCTACAAACAAGCCCGCTCTACCCGCCACCGTCCAGTATGTACATAAAGGGCAATCCCCGCATTACCCGCACCTGATCCGCTCCGAACCCCGAGATAAGGCAATGATGACCTGGAATCAAGCAAATGATAGCAATTACATTGAATGATCATTCGAATCATACTCCACATTGGCCTTCTAGATATCGTATGTTAGGAAAAATTGCACTGGGATCGAGCTCTGATTTGCGGATGAGAAGCTCCTGAGCGGGTAATAAGCTGCCCTGCAGGACCACAAAATCTATTGTGCATCGATTTAAATTAAAGAGTTATCACGTACTCACCAATTTCAAGTGCATAAAGGTTTTTTTTTGTCGTTTTTGTTTCTTCATTGGCAAATAAATCGATTGTTTTCGTTTCAGTTCATTTGTATCATTTATTCTGAAAAATTTTGCCTCCCATTTCCGTAATCTTTTCTCACTCTTCTGCCTTCCAACAAGATGATGAAAGCACTCCGCATCAACAAGGATGCTTCTGGCGCGTTTTCCCTGAATGCCGTCAGCCTTCCTATTCCGAAATCAAAACCCGGATCTGCGCTGGTCAAGATTCATGCCGCTGGTATTAATAACAGTGACACCAGCAACGCCAAAGGATATTTTCCTAATACCACCTTCCCGCGGATTCCCGGGCGTGACTTTGCCGGCGTCGTCGAGGATCCTTCCTCGTCGCTCAATGGCAAACGCGTATTTGGCACCAGTGGTCATATTCTCTCTTATACCGAAGACGGCACGCATGCAGAATATTGTCTCGTCTCCGAAAAAGGATTGACCGAGATCCCGAAACGCCTGTCGTTTGTCCAGGCGGCATCAATTGGTGTTCCATGGACTACAGCATTGCTCACCTTAAAGCGTGCGCACACGCAGTCAAAGGATGTCGTCGTCATCCTCGGAGCGACTGGCGCGGTAGGAGATGCTACCACTCAGTTGGCCCGCTCCATTGGTTGTAAGACGATTACCGCTTCCCGCGGCGACACCACGGATATCAACCTGACCTCTGACCCTACGCTCGAGAGTGTCAAGAAGTTGACCGACGGTCGTGGCGCAGACGTCATTATCAATACAGTCGGCGACCCGCAATTAATGTCCAATGCGCTCAAAGCGCTGGGGTTTAGAGGTCGGCTGTCTTATATCGCAAGCAACCCTCCAGACTCTGAGCTCACTTTTTCCTTGAAAACTGTCTATCGCCAGGAGCAGACGATTGTTGGCACCAACTCCCTTGCTTATGAGCCCGAGGAAACAGCCGCCCTCTTGGCCGAAATAGCACCTGGTTTTGATGATGGCAGATACAAGATGAAGGGAGACGATGAGTTTACTCAAGTGAAGCTTGGTGAAGAGGTGGTGGATGTCTACAATAATTTCAGAGCAGCAAAGAAACGATTTGTTGTCGTTCCATGATGCTCTTGCTGAGTCTGTCGCTCAACTACCGAAACGGCTGCCATTTTCGCAATGTGGCCCAGATAATTAGAGCTTGTCAGTTTGCCATGATTTTTGCTTTTCTAGCCTATTTAAATTATTCATACCTCCAAGAGAAAATATATTCACTAGAATTTTATACAATGACTATCCCGATCGCATGTTGTACCATTTGACAGCCTGCGACATTGAACGTGAGTTGCATATCTCGCTATAAATTGTGATCATGATATCGTATTTGCAAAAAAACTATGGAGTATATCGATTTACCGTTACCATTGTTCAAGTTGCCTCGGCTTCATTGATTGTTCAGACAGAAAATAAATAATCGCCAAGCATTTGTGGAGAGAAGAATTGAGTCCAGGCCATGTTATCGGCAGTCATTCCTTCAAACAAGTTCGAGTCGGAAGCAACGTCTGACATAGGCTGGAGAATTGCAGACTCCATTTCCAAGCTGGCATTTTCCAATGCACAGACTTCTTCGCGTTTCCTTTCTAACAGCTTGCGGACCATTTGCTGTGAGATCTGCAGTGCCTCTCTGGCATTATGCGTATTGTAGCCGGCGGCGATCTCCCCTAGAGCTTGGGTTACGTCCGGAATTAAGCTTATACTGCTGGCCGTGTTGATAGAGATGAGAACAAGAAGACTTTGAAAGGTTGTGCTCAGAATGTTCCACCAAGGCTGTTGCTCATTGCAAAGTTTTCTAGCTTCAGCGACGGAACTGCGGATCACACCTAAAATGGATTCAGTCTGTTCGCCCTTGAGGCCCCTGCGGAAAAGTCGAAGCCGTCTGTAGCATTGGAAACACACGTCTGCTTTGAGAAGGGAGAAGATTGGCGGGCCATCTCCGAGGTCAGGCAGCTTTTCTAGAAGCGTTTTCATATCCGCTTCAACGTCGTTGTTGACCGAGTATCCGACATTGTCGGGTATCAATTCAGTCAAGGATATAAGTTTGTTAACGAAATCACCCTCTTTTTGCGCAGGTTTCAAGCAGTGAATATTGTTAAGTTTGACTCTTGATCGGGCCATTTCACCTGCGAAGAATCGGTTGAGTGACCACGCTACCCAAAAGACCCTGCGTCTAGTTTCAAGTTCTTCTGGTTCGAGTACTCTGGGCGGTACATTTCTATCGTTTTGAACGGAAACGATTTCTTGATGTAATCCCGTCGATTCGGCAAGGTGCATTGCTATGTTGATCGACATCCACGATATAGTAGGACGCGTGGTAAGGCGTTGATATAGTGAGAGCAAGATCCATCCGATCACAATGTATAAGGATAGCGTCGTTGGCGGTTGCGATATGGCTGCATCCAAAATTGTGTGAGCATGTCCGACGAGTTCTGCCTCAGCAAGACAGGGCATCTGTGGCGAAAACAAAGAGCCCAGCGCAATAACGATACTGACTACGGCCTCAAAATCAGTTCCGGCATTTGCTCGACTCCAATGATGAGCGCATTGAGTCGCATACTGTTCGGCGTCCAGGAGAGGAAAAAGAGGGTTCACCGCTTGAAAATAGGCGCTCGAGAAGCGTTGACAACAATCAAGCGATATTAGAGTGGTGATGCGGGAATCTATTCGAGGAATGTTCTCCAGCCTCATGCCAGTATTCCAAGCGTACGAATGTAATCTTGGGACACTGCTCAACTGCAAATCAACCCCAACATCACGCGTAAAAGCAACAGCGCTGCCCGGTCCAATAAATCTGCATTTATACTGTGTCATATCCCGAGGTGCAACTGAGGGTTGGGAGTCGCTTTTTTGCTCCAATGTCCCGTCATTGTGGCCTTCCCCGGGGTTTGGGGGCTTCTCGGAGCTCACCGGCGAGAGCGCAGTATAAGATCCAGGCCCCTCTGCAACAGGAGGTGAGGTCGGATCGTTTGTAATTGTTGCATGCTTTCGGCGATTGGTCTTGGGATAGGTGCATTCATATTCGTAGCGCATACATGTGCCGCAGGGACGGTTTCCATCGCACTTGCGCTTCCGCTGTCGACAACTGTCACAGGCCTTTTTGGATCTCACCCGGCTGCGAGCCGTGCGAGGTTCAGAGTTCTCCATTGTAGACAGCTACGCTGTCCACATCAAGGCTGTCATTCAAAGAAATTTCATGCTGCGCATGGAATTGGGAAGTGTCGAGGTTCAATCCAACTGTCGGTTTCGGAATGGCATGACGATGATGACAAAGGGTCGCGAGGATCCCGAAAACTAAAGTTGCCTGGATGGAACCGGAAGGAGAACCAAGATCTAAGTTCTCTTGCACTCGTTCAAATTCTGATTGATAATCCATCAAGTCAGCCACTACTAACGAAGAGTGCCGTCGCTGTACACTCAGTGCTACTGCAGTACAATATATGATGCAATAAAAAACATATCATACAAATAGTAGAGCTTAATGTAAACAATCCTTGCTTTTTAGACTCTCGTCTCAACTACAATAATTTTTTCTGCAGGCAAATTTCAAGTGTCGAATCTTGCATGAAGCAACATCTCAATCTACTAAAAAGGGGTTTTATTTTGGACATTGTGTAGTTCTTGTCTCCTCATGTTAGCCAACGACACACATTGCTGTCATCGCGTGGTTCAGTACGCGGATCTGTGGGGCATTATTGTAATTTCAGCGCCTTTTATCTACAAGATGGAGATATTTCAAAAGCATTCCTTGATTGCAAAGAACTGTATGATACAACCGTCTGCTTAATCATTTGTCTAATGGCTTCACTTGTGCCATGTTTGGAAACAAGTCGGGAAGGAAGAGCTTTGAAAGTGTTTGTTTTTTCAAGTTGGGTTTACGTTATGCAAGGTTAATTAACTTGTAGGTTAAACCCAAAGCGAAGGCGACACACACAGCCAGTGTTACCGGGATTCGCGCTCAAATAGTAAACGTCGCCAGGTAAGTGTTAGCGTCCTCACAATAAACACCAACCACTAACTCCACAACAACCCAAACCTCATAGAACTGCCCTCTCTCCTCCCTAATCTTGGCCGTGTCTCTTCTACCCACACGACTCTCTTTTTCTCTTCTTCTATACCTCGTCTTACCTTTCTTTTACTCTTTTGCTTCTACATTCATTTGAGAGAAAATTCTCAACCTTCGTCTCGTTTTAGTCTTTCGACCATGGCCGCTCTCTGATCCACTGCCGGGGCTTTAGACGTGTCTGTCGCGTGTCGAGCTCTAGCTTTCTTACCCCTCCTCACAAGACGATTGGGCTTATTGTGCCCGATCATCCTTTCTGAATGGCAGCTGTTTCTGTTCCTCCCTCACCCCAAGCACTGCCATCTACCATGTCGTCTCGAAGGGTCCCTCTGGCAAACGTCCCGAATGCCGCCAATTCTCCATATAGGGCCGTGGCAGCTGCAGCAGCTTCAAAACGATCTCGATCCCAAAGTAGCGTCCAACGCGAGCTCCCATACGGTCAAGCACCGCCAGCAAAAAAGCTCATGTATGAGCTCAACCCGTCGAACTCGCTCGAAGCGAGCAAACAACAACAACTGGCTCAGAGTGCCGAGGGTCGAGTCTTCACCAAAAGGTCTACAAACTCGCAGCCCACTGCATTTGAAAGAAGACTAGTTGCTGCACGTGATAAGGCTGTACAATTGAAGACGGCAAAGAATGAAAAGATTGTCAATGAAAACCTTGAAACTATTCGACAATGGCAAAAACATTATCGAAAAGTCTTTCCCCATTTCACCTTCTTCTTTGAGAGCATTCCAGAAGATATACGGGTCAAATGTTCCAAGCAGATCAAGGCCCTAGGAGCGGTAAGCTCACTCTGTCAATGTTTTGGAACCTTATCTAATATTATCTCTACAATACAGCAAGAGGAAAAGTTCTTTTCCAAGGCTGTGACACATGTTGTCACAACCCGTCCGATCCCTCCTGAACTCGATGCAAAAACTGCAGCCAATTTAGATCATACGCCTGCCGTGAATACTGCCCAAGAGGATCAGACGCGCGTCGACCAACCTGATCAACCTCGCACCATCGACCCGTCTCTACTGGAACGATCGTCAGATGCAACCCACGCCCAGTCACAAGCGTCTCAGTTGAGGTGCAAGTTCACTTTTGAAGCCCCATTAGGTCGGAAAATCCCGACCACGCTGCCTTTTCAGGATGCACACTCTAAGAAACAGCAGGGTAGTAGCGGTGACGTGCTACATAGAGCCAGAGAGATGGGAATGAAAATATGGGCTCTAGAAAAATTTCAGCGTATGATGACAACGCTGTTTGATACGGATACTGGTTCTTATCCGCAGCACACCCACAACACAAGAGGGAATGCCGCTGCAACGGCTGCTGGCACCAAGCTAGATGCCCTGTCTGTCCTCCTGCGTAATGAGAAGCTGAAAGGCCCCGCGGACCGAGATCCTACCGTTTCCACAAAAGAACTTATTCATTTTCGAGGCCCTTTCATCTACATTCATGACATGGAGGAAAAAAATAGACCTATCATGGTGAGGGAATACCCAAAAGTCGCCCATCGTGAGGATGGCGAATGGCCGCAATTTCGCAGTGTGGGTAACGGAAGATGCCCCTTCATCCATGACGGCTCTAGTAAAAGAGATCGTGAAAAGGAGCGTGCGCGGCTCCGGGAAGTTGAAGCTCAGAAGAGACTGGAGACAGCACCGAAAACTCGAGCAGTAACGGCACTGGAAGCTTCCAGACAACAATCTGCGGTCGTTGAGACAGAGAAGCGAGATTCAAATCAAGTGGAACCCACAGACAAACCTACTTCGAAGCAGACGCCAGAAATGCCCAGTGTTAAATTATTTGAGCCACCAAAAGCCGTTCCCGCAAAGCGAGGGAGCCTTGATAGAGTTGCGCGCGAATCCCAACCTACTACGTATTCTGCTTTTGGCGGACTTAATGGGCTATCGCGCCTACATGGGGGCGAGCCTGTTGCCTCCGGCGTGCAACCATCTAATATCACTTCAGCAATCAGATCTCAGATGATCTCGTCTACGGCCGCTGCACCCGGCGCAAAAGCTGGCACTAGCAAAGAGGTCCAGGAGCTGAAAAGAAAGGTCCTCGAGCGGAACAGTGTCCCATCAGCAAATAGTGTGTCCTCTTCTTTCCGAGTGACAGATGCTGCTGCGGCCGCGGCGGCTGCTGCCACGACAAGGCATAGTCGACCTATCCCGCAAACTCGATTGGCCAAGAGAAAACCAGACGGCATTCATGATGAACTTGGCGACATTGAAGAGGAACCAACCCCGTCTGAAGAGGAAGAAGCCGCAAGAAGGCAACAAGGGGTTCGAAAATTTCGCGAGCCCCAGAGAAGGGTTGAACGGAAGGAGCCTAAACCAGGATATTGCGAGAACTGCCGAGAGAAATTTGACGATTTTGACGAGGTATGAGTGGCCCCCTTGGACTCCTTGTTGTTATCTGGTACTAAACATCTTCATAGCATACTTTCTCGCGTAGGCACCGAAGATTTGCCCTTTCGTTGGACAACTGGGCCGAACTCGATGCTCTCCTTGCCCAATTGGATCGGCCGCTCAAGGGAATGTGACACCTAACCAAATCTGCCTTACCTTCGAACTTATCGAAACCTTGATCTGTCACTCCTCAGGAGCCTGTTATTGCGATATTCCGTCACAGCAGTGTTCGGAGGCAAGTGGCGCAGCTTACACTGATTCTTCTACCCATTCTCTTTATTCTTTTCTTTTTTTATACTCTTATCTCTAGAGTCGGACCAAGCCCGATTTTGAGTTTGTTTTCTCTGCTTTGTTAATTTTTTTTTTTTTTTTTTTGAAACGGACTGCATGGCGCGGCGCTTGTGAGGCATTACTGTTTAGATGTTCTCTGCTTCTCACTTCATCATTCTCTTTCGTCCCAGGTAATGCATTTATTTGGAACGCGTTTCATTGCATTGATATTGGAAGCCGCGGCTTTTATACAGGAACGCTGATAAGATGTATATGATATGAATTTTGCTCACTGGCACCTGCCACTTTAGCTGCAAATGTATGTTTTAGCTCTAGTAACTAGTTCCGTGCATCAGGTGATCTTGTAAATGGTCTATGTCTGCATTTGATGTTGATGTGCGTAATGTGCAATCCAAAATGAATTATCAAACGGTGGTCTGGACAATTCCTCCCTCTGGCGACCAAGAATCACCCGGTAAGTTCCGCCGCTGGAGTTCCGCACTTGTGTATATATCGCGTCCTCTTGCATAATATACACAACAAATGATAAGTTAATCGTCAAAAGTTAGAGCTTGGAAGACTTCGTATTCAAAGCTGTCGTTGACAGGATCCTGAGTCCTACTTCTATTAAATCATCCGTTTGCCTTTTATTTTCTTTAATGGCGAGCCACAGTCAGAATTTGGGCGAGAGCCAGCTCCTTTCTCGGGAAGACCGCCGTCCCTCCACTCGTGGTCCAGTATCAGGCAATAACCAAAATTCAGGCGCGAATGCAAGCAATGGCTCCAGCCCAAGCCCTGCTTTGGGAGCTTCTCGGTCGGGCTCAGAGATTACATTGGGAGCAGCAGCTGGTGCAGCAGCGCCTGCTATTCCTGACGATGAAAGCGACCAGCACTACCTCGCTGATGTTCCACTCACTATGGCAGCCTCAGTCATGATTGCTGCGTTGCCTCATGATGCTCATGCTGCCCTGGAAAATGCAGGCTCATTGCCACAAGAGAAAGGTCGGTGCAATTTCGTTTCTAGACTGGTTCATGCACAGAACTTTTCAAAGCCAGCTTTGTTTTTATATGTGTGATATGGTGTTCTTGTTTCCCTCATTCTCGCAACAGCTGTTGATATGCTACAATTATTGTTTAATGTTGGTTACTAGCATTATTATGCACCATGTCTAACTGGATCTTAACCTGATACCCTATTTGCTATGCTGTTGTGATTTTGGCTTTTGCTGCACGTATTTTGCTCGGCCGCTACATGTACATCCAAGCTAGGAATTTTGCCTTCTGTGAAATGAACATGTGTTTCAATCTTTGCTGACATTGTCGAAAGTCACTGTTCGGTTTCAAGCTGTGGGGTCAGCACCGATACTTCGGAAGAAAGTCTACACAATCAAAGCAAAATCGCCTTTCGCTGCTGTTGTTAACTTTCTCCGTAAAAGACCCGAAATCAAGGGGAACGATTCAGTGTTTCTCTATGTCAATAGTGTGTTTGCACCAAGCTTGGACGAGGAGGTAGGGAATTTGTACAGGGTAGGTTTCTCAAATAAGCTGTGTCTCTCATTCTCCGTCCATCATTCATAAGTTATATAGTGCTTCAAGCGGGATGATCAATTAATCATCGCATACTCCACAACTCCAGCTTTCGGGTAGTACTTTTATGAAAGGTAATGTATCAGCTTATATTAGGTCTCTGAAGACAGAAAATCTGATTGTATAACATTAAAAGGTTACAAGCCACCAAATTTTCATCCAAAATGCACTCAGTTCAGGAAAATTCAGACTATGCTGTATAGACGCCAATTCCCATGCGGATATGCCAAACGCTGCTGCGGCCACGCAGTTTACGCCAAATTAGAAATGGTATAATCGAAGTTTTAAAGAAGAGAAGAAAGGGAAAGGAGTTTAAGCAAGATTCCTTCCTTCAACCAAAGACTCGAACTCATTGAATTCTTCCTTTGGCATTGGGTAAGTATGCTCTTGCGCCGGGTACGCACGGCTCTTTACTTCGGCTATGTTGATGTCAGCCATCTGCAATATATTTTTACAAAGCTTCTTACTTACTCTTATAAGTCTCTATCGCTTTATAGCTCTCGCCCCATACATCGCCGTATTTCTTTACGAATTTTGGCAGGAAACGCCCAGGCGGGAAGTTGCCAGACATGTCGACTTGGACAAGGACCTGACCAGAGCAACCACTACCAGCACCAATACCAATGGTTGGAATGTGAAGCTTCTTTGTCACAAGGCTGGCAACCTCAGCTGGGACGGCCTCTAGTACAACGGCAAAACAACCCGCCTCCTGAACGGCCAGAGCGTCTTCCAACACCTTCAGGGCTCCAACCGTGGTCTTGCCTTGTACACGGAAGCCCCCAAGGGAATGTTGTCGTTGCGGTGTTAGGCCAATGTGCCCAAGGACTGGAATGCCAGCGCCAGAGATTTTGGCAATGGTTGGCGCCATCTCAAGACCGCCCTCCAGTTTGATGCCTTGAACACGACCTTCCTTGATTACTCTGATAGCAGATTCGAGGGCTTGCTCCGGTGCGATTTCATAACAACCCATAGGAAGATCTCCTACCTGAACAAAAAAATTTTTTATTAGCATGAGAAGGATGGCAGACATTTGGCGAGTGATTGTGTGACTTACGGTAAAGGCAGCTTTGGTTGCGCGTGCAACTGATCTGCAGTGCAGGATCATTTCTTCCAGGACTACCTCACTGGTGTCTTCCATGCCCAAGGCAACCATGGCCAAGCTGTCTCCGACCAGTACCATGTCCATGCCAGCTGCATCAGCCACATGAGCACTGGGAAAGTCGTGAGCAGTGATCATGGTTATAGGCTCTTGCTTTTGGTAAAGCGATCGCAGAGTCCCTAAAGTGACCTTCTTTCGGGGGTTGACCGACGGAGTGCCCAACGGCGAGTGCGAGCTCCATCGCGCTTGAGTCTGTGAAAGAAGGACTCGAGGCGGCAAGGACGCTAAAGGCGTAGGGCGAAGAAGACCTTGTTGGAATGCGGATCGCATAGAAGACAAGACAACACGCGACATAGCGGCGATGAACGATACTGGCACTCTTTACGATGGGAGTTGAAATTCTATGATTGTCAAGGGCTGCGCGCCACTTGAAACGACTCAACAATGTCAGCTCGGATGACCGGATCCATGGCGAGCGGCGGGCGTTCGATGTTTTTAAGTGAGTAATTGTCGTGATGGATACTGCCGCGTAGGCGGTGTCCCTTTGGAAGAGTAGCGAACTTTTTTTGTCGTTGTTCGGTTCTTGTCTGTCTCCAGTTCCCCAGCGTGTTCCGCTGCGTCGTTTTGATTCCCAGCGCAGGCGCTCTAGCCAATATGGGGTTAAGTTGCTTCTTCCACTTACCTGGATGAGCTAAAGTATTAGTAAAAACACGCGCAGCGTGGGCACAAAAGGGACCCTCTTCTGGACGGAGACCGAGGTGAAGGGTGGTGAGCTCTAAGAGGCTTAGTTGAGCCCCGAACGGCCAGGAACTTACCGCTTAAAAGGTACGGAGGCTGGGGGTGGCCATGAGGGGCAGCGAGGGGCAACTGGGGGTCAGATTATTACTGTACCGGAGGAGTAGTCGAATAGCTACTATAATCTCAACACCGAGGTTGTTGGGCTCCCGGAGTGTACGGATAGAAGGCCCCGGGTAAATACAGCGTAAAAGCAACATCGTTCAGTTCTCCCTTTGAGCTCAGGCCTTCTTCCCCTTATAAACTCGTACGACGGGGCGGCTAACATTGCTTCCCCCTCGGCACCTAAAACCTGCGCATGCGACTCATGCATGCATTACAAAACCCGGCCGCCATTTGCAAGCAGAACAATACAATGGTTCTTTATCCGTAAAATGATATGTGGCACTTTTGCTGTTTTTCAGAAATTGCAGGCAACAGTAAGTTGTCATGTGCCTTGATACCTGACCAATTTGGATATTAAAGTACAACTCTTATCCTTGTCGGGCAGAGTTCATTGAGCTTAAGGTAGGTATGCGACTTGCATAAGGTAACTTGTGGTGAATACTGTGACACCATGTGGTGGGGTCGGTGGGATGATGCCGATATCGCCTAGTATTCAGTGCACTGTTGTGCACATTTTATGCACAGCTCTATGATGCGACCTCCAAGTGACCCATATGACCCCACGTTCGTCACGCTGTCAACCACCGCCTTTTATCCTCGCAACAGCACTCTTCTACAGCTCACCATCCAGTACAATCCGCTGAAACAGTAAAACCCCATCCGTCGAAACATAAGCTGTCCAATTTCTTGCTCTTTCGAAAAGACTGCCTTGGTCCCATAGCGAAGCTCATAGCTCTGTTGGTCAATCGACGCTTCCATCGCCCATTACCGACAATCAGGACACCAAACCCTCGTATTTGCGGCGAATATTTCGTACTTGTTTGTGTGAAAGAAGAAGGGGGACTACACTATCAAGATGAGTAGTCCGAAGCGGAGAATCGAAACCGATGTGAGTAACTCCAGGATTGTAATCGGACTGTGTGGCGATCAGAGCTCGTTACTGACCGCGGTAATTACACTTTTTTCCTCTACAGGTCATGAAGTAAGTGTAACCAACTGTATTCAAATACAAGTACTTTCTGCTGACATGCTACCAGGATGTATGCCTCTCCGAATCTTGAACAGTTTCTGTCGTCGGGTTCTGTCAATGCTAATTTGAGCGATAATGGCCAGGCTCATGAGTGATTATGAGGTCACATTGGTCAATGACAATAGTACGTCTCCAACAAAAACGCTCCCCAATATTTTATATTGCTGCTAGAACTGCTGTCATGATTCCTACTGACTCTTTTGGCTTTAGTGTATGTCGAATTCTTCAACGGAAATCTATACTGTTTCTGTTGTCGCGTGATTCTTTATACTGAGGAATATTTAGGCAGGAATTCTACGTTAGATTCAAGGGACCAGAAGAGAGTATGCGCTTATTCGAGCCTTGTAGCAAGTTGTTTGCATGTACTAACTTTGCATCATAGCGCCGTTCTCTGGCGGGCTGTGGAAGATACACGTCGAGTTACCGGATCAATACCCTTACAAGAGCCCAAGCATCGGATTCGTAAACAGGATATTCCACCCGAACATTGATGAGCTGTGTGTCAGGATTCGAGGGTAAATTTTCGAATATGTTCTGACGAGAAAATAGATCTGGCTCAGTCTGTCTTGACGTTATCAACCAGACGTGGTCACCCATGTTCGACATGATCAACATTTTCGAAGTCTTTCTTCCGCAGCTTCTACGCTACCCTAATCCCACTGACCCCCTGAATGGCGAGGCAGCAGCTCTACTCATGCGAGAACCGAAGAGTTACGAGGCAAAGGTTAAAGGTGGGTGCATACTTTTCTCAAACCACGTGATGAATAGTAGTTGTTAATATGTTGCCGGAGCAGAATACGTTGCCAAGTACGCCAGTAAAGACGTCGTCGATGAGGCTGGTGAGGATAGCGAGTCAGATGACGAGATGAGCTCAGTCGGCAGTTATGATTCTGGTGACGAAGAGCCTGCAGGCCTGATGGAAGTGTGATTGCCATTTGTGCTGCAGCAATCGTCTTTTTTTTCGCGATGCGATGTTTCACCTGGAATCCATATTCGTGCTTTTCCATTAGTTCTTGCGGAACTCTCCCATATTTGCAGCATCTATTGCGTCGGCCTGGTGGAAGAGGGGTTTCTGGTGTTGTATTGGAAGTCATTTTGATGCCATTTGGGGTTTTCGCGCGGCGAACATTCGTGTTTATTTTTCTTGGACTTTAAATTGTCTCGTCTTCCTTTTCTTTCCCGCGGGGTTCGGTCGCAGATGCTATTACTTCGATGACGGCAACGGAGGAATATAGTGTCGTGTGAGATTCTCCTTTCTACCAGTTGAAGGGTTTACATTTCAGATATACATATCGATTTCATTCATCTGGTTTTTTAAATGGACAAGATTTGTATCTATCAATTATTATAGCTCCTGCCAAGATCGCTTCCTTTGACATGGTTCAAGCAGTGTACAGTGCTTGGTGTGGATCGCACGTGCCACAAAAGGAACAAAGTTTTTGACTCCTCTTGCCCTTGATGTGATTGACTGGTCCCTGAGCACCGGCAGTGGTCCAAAACCTGGGAGGGGAGCTGGGCTGGGCCGAAGGGGTTTTCTGCACTATTTTCCAGATAAATAGTTATGGGACGGACGGCAGTTGATAAGCATTCTTTCAGCTACAAGGTATGTTCGCGTGGTAATTGCATAGCGCTGTTATGTTATCATTGACGGGGCATGACGATCGCGGGGAATTTACCTCAATGAGGTTGATGGTCAGCGACTTTGCTTTGAAAGCCTGCTGAAGCCCCAAGCTAAGGTCAGTGAAAGGGGGTGCGCGAGTTGGGGGGTCCAGGGACCCATCTTTAAGCCCATTGTCTGTTCGCGTGGCACGGGATGCCGACTACGAGAGCCGAGGAGTCGAAATGGCAGAAATACTTCAAACACAGTACAGAGGTACAGTATACCTACTTAATATGCTGCTTTATCACCGACCAGTTGATGGCATGGGAAGTGGCATGTTCTTTCGCTTCTGCCCTCGTCTTTCATCTGCTTTGGCCTTGAATCATTGCTGCGATTCTTTCCGTAGATTTTAGTCTAGAACGGACTGTTGGGTTCCACTCGGGTGAAACACGAGCAATGCGCAAGGTTTGCCACGTGCGGGCCCGGGATGCCTATTCGTCAACCCCTGGAACCACCAAGGGCGTCGATTAATTCCCGTTTTTCTTACCGGAAGCTTTAACTGCTGTACTGACTATTACAGTACGGAGGTACGCCATGTATTATTATTTACCCACCACAGCTACTATTATTGCTCCTACCTCCATCAACTGCCGCTCGTGAATTTTCAGGGATGGTGTTGCTGGTACCCTGCCTGCCATATCATCTCGTGCCCCATCTGATCGGCCTCTTCTCTTTCTCTCTTCGTCCACTGTCAAGCTCTTTGGATCGCCCCTCTCTAACACCGCTTCTCTTCCCTCTGTGGGACACTCGGCCCCTGCTTTGAAGAGAACTCAGCGTCAATTACCTCTCCGCCGTTTCTTTTGCGGGTCAGCTATCTCCTTGCTAATTGACTAAACTGGCCAAGCACGTCTTGTTTTATCTCCGAGATTCGACTCTCTCACCGATCCTCACCGTTCAGCTGGTTGAACCCCGTCAAAGGAACGTGCAGATAGATTCGCCAGAAGATCAACCACACGCGACAATTCATTCTTTGAGACACTCTGTCTCTCAAACAGGAAACGATCTCTCAATAATACGTCAACCTCAACAGCTGCATACTCCGTATCCTTGACCCTCGCGATTCCCGGCCCACGTGGGTATCTCGTCGTCGACGCTAGATCCTTGGTTGTCTCGTGCAACTGCAGCACCTACAGATCCTCTCGACATCTTTAAGCACCAAATTCCTGCTCCACTGCAAAATTTCCCTCTGTCACTCTCGTCCGCACTCTGCCGTCTCAGAAACTACTTTGAATAGAAGCCAATTAAGCTTCACAAGCTACTCTTTCGACTTTGCTTGGTTTCATCTCTCTACAAAAACTGGGATAAATGCATAAGCATGCACGGTGATTGCAAGAGCAGACACTGATTGGTTCGCATTCTGGGCGGTTTGCCATTGAACAATGGGAAACTCACAGGGAAAGCCTGTAGTCTTCACCGACGAGGGTAAGTTATCTCAACTGTTGCTGTAAAGATAAGGATGTCGAGTTTTGCTCCTGGTGCTAATGCAGCCTGTTTCAGTGAACCTCCATCACTTCCGTCTCCTGCGAGTGGTTGGAAAAGGTGCTTTTGGCAAAGTGAGAATCGTTGAACGAAAGGATACTGGGTTAACATTTGCACTCAAGTATATTCGCAAAGACGAAGGTAATTGCATCGCATCGCTTGTACTCCCGTTCAAAGGGCCAATGAGTATACTGACCTCAAACCAGTCGTGCAGACAGAGAGTGTGCGAAACATTATCCGGGAACGCCGCATGCTTCAGCAACTCAATCACCCATTTCTTTGTAACTTACGGTACAGCTTTCAAGACTATCAATACTTGTAGGGTTCCATCTGGCGAGATTTATGTACTTTGGGTCCTAACAAGCAGTATCAGGTATTTGGTTGTTGATCTCATGAATGGAGGAGACATTCGGTTCCACATTTCCAGACGTACTTTTACCGAAGACGCTATAAGGTTCTGGCTTGCAGAACTTGGATGCGCTCTTCGCTATATTCATCAACAGGGCATTGTGCACCGTGATGTGAAACCTGACAATATTCTCCTCGACGGCGAAGGACACATTCACCTTGCAGACTTTGTATGTTTCTTGTTACCTTGTCTTTGTGTTTGCTTTTTCTGACCCTTGAACAGAATGTCGCTTCCAACTTCTCGCCCCGCCGGCCGCTGACCAGCAGGTCTGGAACTCTGGCTTACTTGGCGCCGGAAGTCTACAGCAAGGAAGGATATTTGGACGAAGTTGACTGGTGGGCAATGGGGGTAACTTTTTACGAATGCATTTACAACAAGGTCCGTCCACCTTTTTTTATATTCTCTTGGAGAACCAAGGTTCAGCATATGCTGACTGGACACCAGAGACCGTTTGAGGCCAGAACGCACGATGGATTGACGAATGAAATCATGGCGGCGAACCCGCGCTATCCTCTCACTAGACCTGCCGTGTCTCCGCAATGCGTGAGTGCAATGACTAGTCTATTAGAGAAGGATAAGACGAAGCGTATCGGCGCTGCTGGCTTCGAGACATTTACAGATCATCCATTTTTCCAACCAATTGACTTTGTAGCGCTTGAGCGCAAGGAAATCGAACCGGTCTTCCGTCCTTCAGCCGATAAAGCCAATTTTGACGCCACCTACGACCTGGAGGAGTTACTGCTTGAAGAGGCACCGCTTGAAGCTCGAACTCGCCGGCAACGGCCCCGAGATCAGCTAAGAGCGGATGCATCGGAGAAGGAAATCCGCGAGGATGAACTGCATAAAATGATTGAGACTCTATTTGAGCCATTTGACTATACGACTGTCAGGTAAGTCAGCGGTCTTGTCAAAATTGAATCCTTTCCAAACTATATGCTGACCGTTACTCCTTTAGTTACTCTCAGCCACCACCGCTCGGAGAATGCAGTGATCATCCCCCTGGTACTAAGCCAGTTGACCTACTTCAGCCTCCTCCTAGGGCAGTTATGGCGGAGGGCTCGGTTAGTCCGAGCCCGAGCGAACCGACTTCTCCGATATTTACCCCAGGAACCAAGTCGGTCAATGGCTCGCCGCCGCTTCCACCGCAGATTATGGGCCCACCTGGTCGCCAGCAGCCCCCCTTTCCGGGTCAAAATCCAGAGACTTATGGTGTCGGTGAAGCGATTTCCACAGACCACGCGACAACGATACATCGGCCACCGGCTCCTCGCCCTCGTGGTGGAACCAAAACGGTCAGTGCCTCTGGTGGAGTCCAGGTTGTCCTTGACGGTGCTGGCAGCTGGTCTGACCTCGCCGATCGGAGCTCTACAATGCCCGCTGAAGGATTTGAAGGAATCGAAGGCCGAGGAACAGCGAAGCCCGGTGGCATGCTCGGATTTTTGTCGCGCAAAAAGGGACGTGATCGGTCTCCTAAGCCCTTGGAGAGGGGCATCATCGGCAAGGACGGAGCACGGGTCATTATTGAATGATACCAAATTTTACCTGGGAACATTGCCGATTGTGTGACTTTCTTCTCAATGCCCGAAAGAATTGTCGCAATAGAATCGAGGCAGACTTTTTAGAGCCTTTGTGGCTTGTATGATCCCCGCATCACCAATCATAATCAGCGTCGTTTTCGTCGGCATCATATCATGCTGGAAAGATTGTGTCGTAATTATCGGCGTTTGGTTCTGATCATTCATCGTCGTCCTCGCCATCATCATCGATTTTATTTTTATTTTGCATCACTTTCTGCGTCTGGGCGGCGGGATTACCAAATACCTTTTTTCCTTTCTTTTTATATTTTCCAATCGTTATAATTTTCCATTTTTAGATCTATTTCCTTTCTCTCTCTTTTTCAGTTCATCAATTACTTTATTAGTCTCGAGCACACTCGAAAGCATTTATACCAGGCGCGAGCATTTACCTTTTTTCAACAGATACCTTAGGTACTCTCATTTTATTTTTCTGGCTTTTACACTTTGATCTTCATCTCTTTACTTTTTCAACCTTTTTAAATGAGCCTTCTACGTACATCCATCACGTACCGACAGTTTTTTCCCAACGCCCTCACCTCACTCTTTACTTTTTTTCAATCTGTGTATCTCTTTTCAATTTAATCATGCGGGATGTTTTCCACGTGTACACAAGTAGTCTTTTGACTTGTTGACTTATAAGCACAAGCTTGTCTATTTGTACATTTGTACATGACGTGGTTGGCTCAACATGCATATCTCTCTCCCACTATATCTCTCCTCTTGTGCAGAAATATTACCAGAGGTTTCTCAAATATGAATGAAGAATAAATCTTGTATTATCCATGCTATTTTTGATATTTATGTGTCATGTATCATGTGTCATGTGTCATGTGCTTTTTGGAAAGGATTGAATTGGCATACAGAAAGGTCAAGGTCTATATATAGAGAGAGAGGGTATGGAAGGGACGTAAGATGGAAGGGAGGTAAGGTATGCAAGTGATGGAAGATATGGAAGAGATGAAAGGTATGGCAACAAAAACAAAAGTCAACTAAGAACCAACAGTCCTTCTGATGCGCGGTTCGAGCGGAAACACTTGCTCGTCGACTTTGACGTCCTTGTACACATTGTCCCATCGGGGCCGGAGCGGGGCGGGCGTCTCCCATGCGTTTTCGGGGTCGCGCAGCCAGAGTCTGATGAGATGGCGTCTGTGGAAATAGGTATTAGCGCTGTGCGATTATTTTTTTTTTTTTTTCTTCTTCCTTACGGCATCGTTGGAAAGCATTTTCATGATGGGAAATCAAGAAAAAGGGGAGACAAATAAGAAGGGGAGACAAATAAGAAGGGGAGACAAATAAGGGGGATCAATTGACGTACTCCTTTCCAGGCTCGTCACGGAAGCCGTTACGCGCATGAAAGATGCTGAGGTTGTTGATATACTGTACATCGCCCTTTTGGAAATCCAGTGACGCGCTGTGCTTGTCGGCGAGAAAGTGTAGTGCGTCGAGCGCTTCGGCCTGGGCTTCGCTGATGGGCGGGATATCTTTTGAGCGCGGCTGCGCCTGGAACCCGGTAAAGTATCGTCGGGCGTACTGGATCAGGACCCGCTCGGGGGTCGAAGCGGTCGCGGGCTGATGGTACAGGAGTGGGCGGAGGGTATACGGCTTTTGGGGGTTGTTGAATCTGGTTTGTATATCAGTTGAGTGTTACTTACGTATAGGGCCCTTACAGGTAAAAAGGGTAAATATAATGAGGGGGTAAAAGAGAAAACTCACCCATCGACAGGCCAATCTTTTGAGAGAGTGTGAATCAAATCCGGTCTCTCCTTGGCCAAAATGTTATAGACCAGCCAACTGCTGGCAATCTTGCTCTCGCCTCCCTCGACAGCAGGATTCAGGCACAGAAGCGAGATAATGTCACCTGCGTCTGTGTGGAAGACTTGCTTATCTGCCGTGTTGGACGGAGCACCAATTGTTCCGGCCTTGACAGTGCTCGACAGGTCCTTGATGTGGGACAGCACCAAAGATGTGCCGTTGGCGAATCTGGTATCTTCTTGCCGGCCACGAAGGTTGCCCACGTGAGAGGAGATACCGGCGTAGATGATGACATTGTCTTCGCGCGGGTAGTTGTCTACTCGCAGCCCGCGAAGGACAAAGAAGCCGCGCCCGACATGCAATTCCCTGGACAATTCCCGCAGACTAGGACCAACGGTAGGTAAGGGGAATGTGGATTTGTTAATGTGTCCGAGGGAAAGATTGAGAGCTGTTGTCGAGTATGTTAATGTCATGTTTAGTGCAATCACATGTACTTTCGAAACGTACATTTAAAGCTTTTCAGGGCAGCATCAATCTCATCCAATTGCGCGTCGTTGAAGGCGTAGATCCAGTCGTCTCGCTTTTCGACATCCTTTCCTTCCCAGACCAGAGGCGAGTTCAATTGTGCGGGGAAGCCGTCAGGTAAGCTCTTTTCAAGAGATTCTGTGGCCTGGCGTCGCGAGGTGCGAGCAGTGTATTTCTCAAAGTCGGGGTGGTACTGGATATCAGGCTGAGTGGGCACAGGAACGGGAGCCTGAACGTCGACCATGTTGATAGTACGCTTTGATGTAAGCTAGGTAGCTATGTATATAAGGGAATTATGCTCGAGATATGTATGTTAATGTACAGTAGATGTGAAGAGCAGATTAGAAAAAGATGAGAGATGAGAGAGTATATATTTAACTACCCCGCCTTGCCCACGTGGAAGAGAAAATGGCACCATCGAGCAAGGGAATGGTCAAGGGCTCTGGTTTAGTCAATTACTGTCGATGCAACGAATTAAACCATTTCTTTTTTGCAGTGCGCAATCTACTATCGGCAACTGCCGGGCCAGAGATTGGATCAGGTAACCATTTTTCATTAATGTGAAACTTATCAAATAATATACAAAGTAATGTACTCGGATACGCAGAGGAAAAGCAACGATATCTCACCATGCCAGTCAAGTGGAGCGTCTTGGGGTGGATGAACATCACGGTGGAGATAAAAGACGTGATTGATAGCAGATCTACACTATTCCCTTTCAGGCAACTTCATCACTGTGCTCAGACATACTACTACACATGGTATTTTTCGTCGGCACACCAAATCCGGTCAATCGCCACAACGTCATGTGCTGGTCGGTGGCTGCCCGATGAAATTGGATGGCTGAATTGTGTTTTCAGGGATCATTTTCAATGGGCGAATAGCTGGACAGGTCACTACGTAGTACTCTGTATTGGCCGGGCGAAGATGGACTGACGGCCAAGATGAGAGAGACGACAGACTGACAAGGTCTTGGCCTTTACCCCAGATTGTCCTTTTGCACTAGGTAAGTACAGTTGTGACTATCCAGATTCGGCGTGCCAAGTGAAGAGAGAGTCTTTCTCGTATCGTGTCCCACCGCTTACACCGTAGACAGTTACGGCGGGCACGCTCAATACAGGACACTTTGGCATTCTAGTACAAGTAATAACCTGTTCCCGTCCGTCAAAAGCATCCATTCAAGTGACTACTGGACTGCTCCTGTGCAGCCACAAAATGCGGCCAAGGACGGAACAAGGTCCTGTATGCAGTAGTCAACCAAGCAAAACCCGCTCTTGGACTCCAAGTCAAGATCAAATCAAGCAAGTCATATTTGGCGTCTTCTCAGAGTAAAAACCTTGATTGAATCAGGCAAAGATTCAGGGAATATGTAGAATCACATTTATTCAATCATGCCCTGTCCGCTCTCTCTCGCTCTCTCTCTCTCTCCTTCCTCTCCTTTTCCTCCCTTTCCCCCGCTCCCCTCGTTTCTTCTTTTATTTCAAGTAGCCAGGATCCTATCGCTCGTTCACTTCCCCGCATAAAGCTGTCAGATTTCTGACGCTTTGGCTTTTGTGTCCATCGCTAGACCGTTCGGCCCTGCTGAAATTTGCGGGGTACATTTCACCAGGTTTCTGTCTAGATTCCCTGCTGAGCGCCAGTCTTTGACTTTTCATTGAGTGGTCGATTCATTCGTTCGTTCCTGAATTGAGCGATCAAATAATATAATAAGCAGGCCACGGGACGTTTTTAAAGTGATTGTATAAGGTACGACTCGATCGAAGCGATAAAATGGTTTTCTTGATACCATGTGCTAACGGACAGCAGCTACTGAATAGATCTCATCTCAGATACTATTGCTCTAATCTCAGTTGAAAACGCAAGGTTCAATTTGCTCAGTCTGTCGCTGGACCCGTGAGTTCGGTTGTTCACGCGGTCTCGCCCCGCTCGCGTCGATTCGTCCCTCGTCTCGAGCCGGTTCACGTTCGTTCCAGCTGTCACTCAACTCGTTGCCCTGGAGACTCTTACCGCTTCGGGAATACCGTTTAGCCCTGCCTTGATTGTTCCTCTATCCTTGCCCGCAACGCCCCCCTCTACGTCAAGCGTCGAATTCTGAATTAAAAAGGAACGAGAATAATACCCGTCTCTGGAGTTGCCAAGCCTCTTAGGCGCAGACCGCACACGATTCACGCCAAGGCTTTGTCTTTCTCTCATGTTTTGACGCCAGAAATTGACCCTCTACGACCTTTAGACCCTTGCCAGAAATTTCGAGAAAACACAAAAGGATTACTACGAGTGACGAAACATTCTAACAATCATAACGACTGGGACTGAGATACAAAATCTCTAAGCGCGACTTTCAAACCACAAAATACAAACTACAAACTACGAACGGGGTTTGGCAAACTTGACCAAAGAACTAGAAGTTGCGATCCTACATTCCTCGGAGAAAAGCGATTCCCACGTGCAGCTTGCCGGTTGACCATCATTCTATCGACATTTGTGGCGTGCATTCAGACCGATAACCACGTGGAGCCGACATAGGCATAAATCGAAGCGCAGCGACATTGATAAGCTCGGAGACCCTGATCTCTAGCTTGGACGATGGCGCCGTCGCAACGGATCAGCAATTTGCCGCCTGCGCTCCGTGACATGGAAACTGGGAAAGTACGTCGTTCTGGCGCACACAAACATAAGCATAAACGGTCGGATTCGCCGGTCAAAGCAGCTGCGCTTGGGACATCGGCTTCAGAGACCCAAGACGTGTCGACCAGTTCTTTGGGAAAACTCGATGCTGAAAATACTGGGCTTTTAACGGTGGAAAAGTCGGTCAGCCCGCCGACAGAAAAGGTTGCGTCCGGCGTGGAGCCTAAGCATCATCGAAACCATCGACGCAAAGGAGGTCGGATCGTCAGCGGCGCATTATTGGAAGAAGGTGCACGATCTCATCGTCGTCGACATAGAGGCGGAGACGACGGATATGATGATCCACATGCAGCGCAGAAAAGAAGGAGAAGGTTCTGTTGTTGTGCGTTACCCGTACCCACCAGCGGAGACAAAAGACGTCTAGGGGAGCAGAAGCTAACGGCGCGCTATAGTGATCTTGATTGTTCTACTCGTACTTTTACTAGTTATTCTCGTACCAGTGGGCGTCCTCGTCATTGGAAAACACAACAATGAAAATGCAGCAAAATCAGCGCATTCGGCAGTAAGTAATACGACGACAACGTCACCAAGGCCAAGCAATACGGTTCCGGTAGGCTCCAAATATACAGGTTCTCTGAATGAGCTGACAGTATAATCCCCAGATTTCTGCCAAAGGAAGCTTGCTTGATCCTAGTACATGGCTCGATACGACCGATTTTAACCTGACTTATACAGATGAAACTGTCGGTGGACTTTCGGTCATGGGACTGAACTCGACCTGGGATGACAGCACGCGGGCAAACGAGTATTCCCTGCCGCTGGACCAACCATGGAACTATTCTACTCAGAACCCAATTCGCGGAGTGAACATTGGAGGCTGGCTGTCGATTGAACCCTGGATCACGCCATCATTGTTTGATATTTATTCAGCAAACCTTGGCATCGTCGACGAATATACCTTGACGAATCATCTCGGACCCGGCAAGGCCGCGCAACTGATCGAGCAACACTATTCGACCTTTGTGACTGAACAGACATTCGCCGATATTCAGGCCGCTGGACTCGACCATGTCCGTATTCCTTTTCCTTACTGGGCGGTTTGCACGTACCCCGGAGACCCCTATGTCCCTCAAATCGCATGGCGTTATCTCCTTCGAGGCATTGAGTGGGCCAGAAAACACGGCTTGAGAGTGAACTTGGACCTCCATGCCTTACCGGGCAGTCAAAACGGATGGAACCACAGCGGCCGACAAGGAGTCGTTGCATGGCTCAATGGGACCGACGGCGACCTCAACGGCCAACGTTCGCTCGACGTCCATAACCAGCTCTCGACCTTCTTCGCGCAGGATCGGTACAAGAATATAGTTGCCGTCTATGGACTCTGTAACGAGCCAAAGATGATGATGCTCGATACGGACCGCGTCGTCAACTGGACCCAAAACGCCATTTCCTTGATACGAAAGAATAACATGAATGCGTATATTGCGTTTGGCGATGGTTTCCTCGGTCTCGCTCATTGGCAAGGCAAGCTCCAAGGAATCGACAAGTTGATTCTGGATGCCCACCAATACGTCATTTTCAACGTTGCTCAAATCTCGCTCAACCATCAGACCAAGATTGAATTTGCATGTTCCGGTTGGACTGCCCAGACGGAACAAAGCATGGATCGATCTACGGGGTACGTATACGCAATGTTATTATGCTTATCTTTCTTTAGCATTTTTCCATTTATCACATTTTTATCCAACCTTATTCAGCATCACAATAGTCACCTTCTGGCCTGCTTACATTTCCCTTCTTACCTCTAGATTCGGCCCCACCATCAACGGCGAATGGTCCCAAGCCGACACGGACTGCGCCAAATACCTCAACAACGTCAACGTTGGCTCCCGCTGGCAAGGCACCATGAACATGAACGACCCCTCCCTCAACGTCCTGTCCCCCATGTGTCCCCCCAACAGCGGCACCTGCGAGTGCGCCGACGCCAATGCCGACCCCACCACCTTCTCGACCGTCTACAAGCAGTGGCTCAAGATGTTTGCCGAGGCCCAAATGGCCAGTTTCGAAAAAGGCTGGGGCTGGTTCTACTGGACCTGGCAGACCGAAACCTCGCCGCAGTGGTCGTGGAAAGCCGGTCTCGCGGCAGGCATCCTCCCGCAAAAGGCCTATGCGCCGGATTTTAATTGCAGTCAGGACATTCCGGATTTTGCAGGCCTCGGTTTGCCGGAGAATTATTAATAATTTTCTTTATGAAATTTATTCATTTATTCGTTTGTTTATTTTTCCCCTTATTCTTTTTTTTAATTTCTGTTTGTCTGGTTTTCAGCATGCCTGCATTGTCAATCTGGTATTTGGTATTTGATATTTGGTCATTTCCTATCCCGTGTCTATCCCTTGGTCGATTTAAATGTTTGATATTTCTGAACTTTTACCCGTTCCAACCATTTTAGTTTTTAGTTTTGGTTGCCTCACATCTTGTTGATTTGCAGGAGTTTCTTTTTCTTTTTCTTTTCTTTTCTATTCTTTTTTTTTTTTTTTTTATCATTTTCATATTTTTTATGGGGTTTCCCTTTGCTTGTCCAAATTCCTGTCAGATTCAGAGTCTTGATATTTTTCGTCTCGTCTCGTTTCGTTTCGTTTCATTCATTGAAGATACCTACCTTGCTCGTACTTGTATGTTCGTTCATATTTAGTATATATACTCTCTATTCGCTGTGCTTTTATATACTCTTTATCCGTCCTTTTTTCTCGTCTTTGTTTCTCGTCCCTTTGCCAGTTCGTCCATTTTGCTTTGCTTTGCTTTGCTTTTCCCTTTTTTGTACCCGTTGCCTACTTGCTTGTTTGCCTGTTTGCTCTTTTGATGTTAAGTGTTTCTGTGTCTATTATTCCACGATTCCATGTTTCCAAGTATCCATTATTTCATTTTTCATGTTTGCATGTTTTCATGTTTCCATGTATGGCAAGTGAAGTATACTTGTCTAACTGTTACTGTGTAAATGTAATTGTGTTGCTTGTGTTGCTTGTTTACGTTGTAACTTGTACCTACCTTACTTGCCTACTTACCTATCTACCTACTTACCTACCATTATATCTATTATGTTTGTATGTGTGTACTGCAGTATGTATGACAATATGCATGGGTGGGGGTGTATATGTGAATCATCTGTGCACAAATGCTGTGTTCACCTACTCTATGCTATAATTCAAATTTGTTACTTTCCTTTCCTTTCCTTTCCTTTACTTTATGTTACTCTCTTTTCTTCATTTGTTTGATTGTTTGTTAATAATTCATTCATTCATTCAGTCTTTGTGTTACATTGTCACATGTGTTTGGTACTTACTACTCACTAGCTTCGGGCTACTGGTTTTGGGGTACTGGCTACTGGCTTATGACTTCAGACTTAGGCTTCGTACTTCGGGCTTCGGGCATGGGCTTGGCTTACTGGTGTCTTTTACATGTCGTAGGTGTTTCATAGATATCATGAATATCTGGCATGCACATACACATTTATAACACTAATTTATGGAGGATAGATAAATGCAAGAGTTTTGTGATATACATATATTGACATTTTTAAATTTACTTTGATGTGTATGGACTGTCAAGGAAGAGTATATATATGAATTTCATTGACTTTTACTCTCCATTCGGACATGAACCAATGATGGAGAAATATTTCGAGTATGTAAAAGATGCTTGAGCCGCCATTCTATAACTGTAATATAGGATAATGGAAAGAAGACAATGATATCTTAAATAAAAAGGTCAAACGTGAAAATGACATGGAGTTTAAAAAATAACAAAGATATGGGGGAAACGAGTACGTTAGTACACTTCAAGAATGTAGCGCTCTTCCTCCTTGAGGTTCTCAATCTCGCGTCTGGCATCGACCTTCTTGGCCGGGTCGTTTGCGCGGGCACGAGTCTCAGTGGTGATAGCCTCTTCGAGCACGCTCGTGACATCGGGAACAGGCCAGGTAGGACCGCAGAGATAAAAGGCGCCTTCTTCGCGAATGTACGCCTGGATGATGTCGGGCAGGGTCTCGCGCATGCGGTCCTGGATGTAGATCTTCTGGGGCTGGTCACGGGAAAAGGCACGGCCGAGGAGGGTCACAATGCCGGAGTCGCGGTAGGCTTCCCATTCCTCGCCGTAGAGGTACTCTTCGCGCTGCGTGCGCGAGCCCATGTACAGCAGGACGGCGCCGATGGGGAGGCCCTGGCTCTTTTGCCACGCGCGGTACTGGACAAAGGCGCGGAAGGGGGCAAGACCGGTACCCAAGCCGGCCATGATCAGAGGCTGGGTCGACTTGGGAGGGAGCTTCATAACCGAGGGCTTGACGCTGGCGGTGAGGCTGTCGCCGGGGCGGAGGCGGTGGAGGTAGCGCGTGGCTTGGCCCCAGCGGTCGCGGCCGTGGGGGTCGACCCAGGAGACGACGACGATGAGGAGCGAGACGGTCGTGGGGTTGACAATCTGGCTCGACGAGATGGAGTACTCGCGGCGCTTCATGGGGTCGACAATGCGCACAATGTCGTCGAACGAAGGGTGCGCAGAGGGGAACTCGAGCAGAATATCGGCATAAGTGACCGTGTCAACTTCAGCGCGGCGCTTGAATTCAGTGGCACCTTCGGCGCCGCCGAGTGCGAGCAGCTCGCGCTTCTCCTTTTCGTCGGTGGCGAACTCGGAGAGGGCCTGGTAGAAGCGCTTGGGGGGACGGCCCCACAGGTCGACGTTCTGCTGCAGACCCTGGAAGATGGTGCGGCTCTCGAGAACGTCGGGGTCTTCGCGCGAGGGCACTTGGACAACTTCTTCGGGGTTGAGGCCGTAGAAGGTGATGAAGTCGTTGACTTCTTCCGTGTCATTGTGCGCGTGGATACCGAGGGCCTCGCCAATGTCGTACTTGAGGCCAGAGTCGCCAAGGTCGAATTCAATGTGGAAAATGTTACGGTCGTAGCTGGTCGGCGTGAGACGCTTGTTCTCCTTGACCTTGATGGTGTAGGTCTTGACGGGCAGGTCGGGACGGAGAGCAGCCTTGGTGTCAAAGGCTTCCTTAAAGGCAAGACCCTGGGCAACAGTCTTCCAGTCACGAGAGAGAGTCACGGGTTCGGACTCGCTCTTGTCAAACCCGGCGAAGCTGTTGACGTTGACGTCGGTCGGGAGAGATGGAATCTCGACCTCGGCCTCAACAGTAGCCCAGGCTTCGGGCACCTCGAACGCGCGAAGAGCCTTTTCGAGCTCCTTATCGAGGCTCTGGAGCGCCTCGGGGTTGCCATTGACGGCAGCGAGCTTCTCAGAAGCATTGGAAACGAGGTCCTTGCGGGCAACAGACAAGAAGGCGAGCTGAGTCAGGTAGGACTCGGCAGTCTCATCCTTGGAGACAGTCTCAGAAGCCTGTGGGTCGAGGACAAAGAATTCAATCTTCTTCTCAACGAGGGCCTTGCGAACGCCCACGGGCAGTTTCTTCTCAACATCCTCGTCCTTGACGCCGGGAAGGCGAACAAGGACAGATCCGCCAACCTTGATGCTGCTGATAATATCAAAGGACTCGAACAGCTTAGCGTCGAGCACGACAGCAACATCACCATTGGCAATGGCATAAGGCGCCTCAATGGCCTTCTTGGAGGATCGAATATCGGTGCGCACAGAGCCACCCTGAACCAGGTTGTCGTGGCCCGTGCGGACAAAGACGTTGCTGGAGGAGTCCTTGGACAAGAGCTGACCGAGAGCGACGGGAGCGGTGGCCGAGACGGAGTCGTCCACATCCCAGAAGGAGTACTGCTGAACAGAGGTTTGGTCGAGCAAGTCTACGTCGGCTTGCTCCTCGGCAGCAGTGTTCAATTGAAGAGGAGCCTGAGAGGCAATCTGCTGGAACAGAGTCGAGAACACGCTGGGAGTGAAGACTTGCTCCCGAGCATACTTCAGGTCGACAACCTCAGGCTGCTTGGCAAATTTGCCAGCAGAGAAGACAATGGAGGCGAGAACATCGTCGTAGAGCTTAGAGTGGACCGTGGACTCGGCAACGGAGAGAGCATCCTGTACCTGGCCGAGCACAACAATGTTGCGCACAGAGACGGGGAGCTCGGCGAGGAAGGCCTCCTCGACGAAAGGTCGATACACGCGAACGTTGACAACGCCAATCTTTGCGCCACGCTTGGCAAGCTCAGCGGCAACCTGAGCAGCCAGAGAGGCCTCGACGCTGCCAAAGACCACAAGAACTGCCTCGGCCTCGCTGTGGCCGTGGTACTCGAAAAGCTTGTAAGCAGTGCCCAGCTCGTCGTTGAAAGCCTTGAGCAGCTCGGTGGTGCGGCGGCCAGCATCCTCACTCTTGTCAACCTTGTCGGCCTCAGCGCGAACGGTGTTGTAGCTGCTAGAGAGGGCAGACTGGTCTAGGGCGTCAACAATGCGAGTGGTCTCACGGCCAACGCGAATGCCATCGTAAACGTGGATAGTAGGCAGAATGCTTGCAAGCAAAGTCGCGAAGAGAGCCATGTGCTGCGACTCGTAAGCCGAAGTGCTGGAGACGAGACCGAAGCCAAGATCTTCAGCGAGGTCCAGGGCCAAGGCATAGTCGGTCACGAGGCCGTTCGTAGTACCAGCAGCATAATCAACCGCAGCAATGTGGGCAACAAACGGGTTTGCCACAGAGTAGAGAAGAGACAATTGGTCCAGCGCAGAGCGGAGGAAAGTCAGGGTTGAGGAAGACGCAAGGATACCCTGGGGAATGTGACGCTTCTTGAGATCAAAGTCCTTGGAGAACATGTAACCCAAAGCAATGGCGCCAGCGCCAAGGCGGGTTTCCATGGCAGAAACTTTGGTAGTATATCCATGAGCATTCAACTCGTCCTGAGCGGACCAGTCCTTGACAGCGAGATCGAGGTCGAAAGTCTCGGGGGAGTAGGTGAACAGCTTATCCGACAAAGTGTAGGCGACTTGCTGGATGAGAGTCTGCGCAGTCAAGTAAGTTGGGCCACGAATGGCACTCAATGCCAGTCCCTGACCAAAAGGAAGACTGGTAGAGGGTTCTGGAGAAGGCGAACGCTTATCGTAGCCATTCTGAAGGGCCTCCGGGCCAGCGGGCCCAGATGACTCGGCCGTTTGGAAACGCATCTCGAGTCAAGGGATTATCCTTTTGCAGCAGAAAAAGATTGCAAAGGGAATTCAAGGGAATGAAAAGACAAGACACAACACAAGAGAAGTGTCAAGATTCTTGAACTCCTGCAGGAGGTGTAAGAAGACAAGAAAAAAAGAAGAAAAGACAAGCACAGATATGACCACTGAGTGCCGCAACGGATGGGGCGGCGAATTGCGGGCAAAACAGAAAAAGAGTCTAAAAGGAGGGACAGATACTAGATCTGCGAATCAACGACGATATGACATTCAGAAATAAGACCAGGGTACACCAAAAGAGCAATGGGATGAGTGCCCCCATTGCCCCTCGGAGACTCTACGGAGCATCCGCATCTTTTCCATCAATCTAGCAAAAAAATGGTGTTGTAAAGTTGCCCTTACGGGTTTAGACAGGATGGCGTGCTCAGACAAGACGATGAGAAAATCCCCAGATGACTAATTAGGCAACGAAAGGTGGCGGATAATGATACGATCATCTTATCTGATATTCATCAATTCCATCTTATCAATAAGCTCAATTTGGATCAAATCATGTGCGTTAGGTAGGTTACATCATCTCCTAACAACAAAACAGCTCAAAAACCCATATATACTCTATCACCATCTCTTCTATATACTAACAATTCAAATATCTGGCCTCAATTTGGTCAAAATGGCATCTGCGGCAACAGTGGGCAGCACCGGTTTAACTGTACGCTACTCCCCTCCCAAGAATGAAACCTTGTTTCAACCAACAATTTCAATCCCAACGCTGCACCTTTTCGCGATAACAGCACCAGCTGACCTTTTCTAGGGCTCCCTCGTGCTTGAGACGCTTCTCTCTCATCCAGCCTTTTCGTCTGTATCGACCATTTCTCGCAAAGCCCCATCCACCTCAGCATCCTCTTCCAAACTTCACCCTGTCGTGCCATCGTCTACCGACGACTGGCCTTCGGCTCTGGAATCCATCCAACCCACACCAGACATTTTCTTCTCGACTCTGGGCACGACACGCGGTAGCGCTGGCAGTGTTGCCGGCCAGCGCAAGATCGACTATGACCTGAACCTTGCGATGGCCAAGGCAGCCAAAGACGCCGGAATTAAGACATATGTGCTCATGTCTTCCGCCAGCGCAAGTGCGACGTCGCGGTTCGAGTATATGCGTATGAAAGGCGAATTAGAAGATGCCGTGACAGCGCTGGGGTTTGAGCATACGGTTATTCTGCGACCAGGCTTGATTGTAGGAAAACGCAACGAAAGTAGACCCCCAGAGGCGATTATGCGCGGGGTCGCGAACTGCTTGGGGGCGCTGAATACGACTTGGCTGAAAGACGGATGGGCACAGGATGCCAATGTTATTGCTCAAGCTGCGGTGGCGGCTGGTCTGTCGTGCAAGGAGGGGCGAATTCCCGAGGGCAAGGAGAAGGTGTGGGTATTGAAGCAGGCTGATATCGTGCGATTGGGAAGGACCGAGTGGGATGTCAAAACGCCTGCAGCAGAGTAAGTTAAAGAGGGTCGGGAGAAGCAGTTGAACTTTGGGAGGTTACATTCTGTCCATATTTAGGCTGTGCTTTCGATGTTGTGTGCATGTATTGATACCTGGGTTAATTTTATGAGAGGAGTTCACATATATATTTGATAAAAATTCATTATCAGTTGCTGTGTTTCAAATGCAAATGATTAAAAGCATGTTCAATTAAGGAAAAAGTCCTCGCGTCACGCATGGCCATGCAGTGATATTTTCTCTGTTCGTATAGGTTACGCCATGAAGCCACATAAGACATGCATTGGAATGTTCATTGCTTCATCAAATCGACCAGGGATACCAGAAGAAAAGAACACTCGCATCATCAGTGCCCTTTTTCGGACCCCAATAGTGCTCATTCATGATGCAGGCGTCTTTCCATGCTTTTTAGGTGATCCGCCTCCACTGGCTCTCTCGCGCCCACCAGGCGCTGATCCTTCGGGCCCACCTTCGGTGCTTCCTCGAGGCTTCGATACTTCTTGGTTTGCAGGACTGACTTCAAGCGGATTCGAATCCTGCAACAGAGTAGAGTCAGAAAGGTCACGAATACTGGAATATATTGAATTGAACGCAGTCCAAAAAAAACATACATTAGCTTCCGAGCCTGCGGTCCCCTTTTCCGTCTCAGGACTTGTTTTCTGTGGATCAAAGGCTGCTTCCTCTGTCTGCGCAGCCTGCGCATCGGATCCACTCTTTGAATACTCGGTCGGTTCGGGCTTCAGGCTATCCTTATCCTGTGCATCTTTGCGAGCCGACAGAATTGCTGAGCTGGAAAGGGATTGCGTCTGTGATTGAGACAGGCCGCGGACCAAAGCGATTCGTGTGCCTCGCGGGCATGTTTGGCGGAGGCGGTAAAGGCTACCATTGACAACAGCTAGGTTTCGCGTCGCTGCTGCTGATGAGCGCGAAAACATGGTTGCGTTATTTGATTCTTGATGGATGATTAGAGATCACAAGAGCTGAAGTTTGAGTATCGTAATTTGTGTAAAAAGTAAGTATCGTCAAGCAGCTCAATGAAAGTCTCCCAGTTTTTGTTGGGGAAAGCGTGGTATGGTGCTACAGAAAAGACACAAGACACTCCGATTTCGATTGGGCTTGTAATGGTACCAAATCTGCGCTGCACAATTACTAGGGTGCTTTGCCAGTTAGGGAAATGACAGTGTCAGGGACAGCGACAGCGACAGGTGAGAACCGGATGTAGCTTGAGTGTCTGGGGCGAGGGGAACAGTCCTGTTACCGTCTGGTGGACTGAATGTCACAGCTATACTGCCAAGGATTTATACTGTAGTGACCTTACAACTGACGGAAACAAGTTTCATACAGAAGAGAGGTAAGCAAGCTGGTTACCTGTACGAGCACTTTTCCAGCGATTTGATCGTGACAATTCACGACGAATTGATTCGACCGAGATGCGTTCAATACTATTCTAAAATCATGTTGAAGTACTTGATCTATACACTTGTTTCAAAGTACGGAATCAAAAGATATCTGTTTTGTTCCTAAACATCCTTTCAAGTACCGGAAGGACAGGGCGCGACATGCCGTATACACTACGTCATGAGGGAAAACACTGGGGGACAAGAGGGGAAGGGGATGAACTAAAGTTCTTTAACCCAGAATACCCGAAAATGCGGAGAAAGTTCCCGGCCTGGCGAGGGGCGGGTTCCCCGTCTTTTAAAGAGCTAAGACAGAATCAGTTATACTTCGGTTAAGGCGCCCCGTCACGCCATTTGTACCGCTTTCACCGCCATAACCATGATTTGGTGAATTACAACATAAGACGATCAGTATAATCACTTGACGTCTTAGAGAGAATATTGATCAACAATAATTGAAACATATTGAAAGGCTAGTATAAGAAAGCACCCCTCCCCATTGAATACAAACAAAGGCTTTCTGTAAATGATGCCTGCTCCCAGTATCTAATACCCATAACCTAACTCCAGCTCCGCATAAACAGTAATAACTTCCGGGTATGGAATTGCCGTTCATGGCTCCACCTTATGTCCAACCAACTTACCAGCGCCTACCGAAAACTGAGTGCTCCTGCATACTCTTCGGCTTCTCCATCTTTGCCGGGAAGAGTCTCTTGGCTTGTGTGCTTGTGTCTGGAACGGGATAGCGGCCGTTCTCCTTGGTAGGGCTGAGGACCCTCACCGGCGTGCCAATTGTCGCCTTGGAATCTACGACATGATGGCGCTCGGCATCGCGTCCGAAGAGTCGCATAATGTCCCTCATGTCCAAGTTACCAACCGCCTTGCCTTCAATTGCCGCATTTGCAAGCTCCCTCTTCTTTTCCTGCAGCTCGAGAATTCTTTCCTCAACAGTGTCCTTGACAGTAATCTTGTAGACAATAACATCAATGGTCTGAGTAAGACGATGAACACGGTCAATGGCCTGCTCTTCTATAAACTTTTTTCTTCTGTCAGCATTGGTTCGCCTTAAATCCATAGGTTGTTAATGACTTACTGGATTCCAGAAAGGTTCCAAGATGACAACTCTGGTGGCAGCAGTAAGGTTCAAACCCAAGGAACCGCATTTCAGACTGCAGAGAAGAACGCGTGTCCTCCGATCATTCCGCAATCTGTCCAAGCTCATTTCTCGCATATCATTCCTCATACTACCATCGTAACGTGTGAAGACGATACCCTCCTCCCTAAGAAATGGTTCTAGTACATCCAGCATGGAAGTGAATTGAGAAAAGACGATAAACTTGTGCTCGTCGCACTCGCGATGAAGGATGTGAATGAGACTTCGAATCTTGGCGGAAGCGCCAGGAGATGACTGCTTTTCATCATCACTGGCCGAGACCTCACTGTCGCTGTCAGATCCTTCATCGCTGTCGGACGCGGGTTGCTGGGCGGATTTTTGATGGTGCTTGAGCTGGCCCCTTCGTCTTTTACCCGAATCTCCATCAGCATCGCTTTCATCATCGCCGCTTTCTTCAGTTGAAGAGTCTTCAGATCCGATCCAATCGCCCCCACCTTCTGCGTCTTCATCATCAGTTCCACCTGCTTTTCCTAGTCGAAGGGATTCACGCTGGCCTTCGGGCACAAGCCAGTCGCCATCCTCTTCCTCATCGTCGCTATCGAGTACCTGCAATTTTTGTCTTCGTTGGTGCGCTTTATCTTTCTGTTTCTTCGCGTTGACACGGCGAAGGGGCGAGTCATCAGGGTTATGGCTTTCAAGCGTGGTTCTTCGTAAATGACCCCTCAACTTCTTGCTCTTCTTGCCAGAATGAACAGCAAGATCTTCCTCGCATGCGGCGCATCGGACCGAGCCTTGAGACACTTCGGAAGATTTCAGTTCAAGCTGGCAAATATCACATCGTTTTACGGCGACACTGAGACCTCCGAGGAGGTTGGCAATGTCATCGACGTCTTGGTTATCGGGTGTTCGTTGCTTCCGGGGGGTCTGAGCAGGCGCGGGGTTGCTTGTGGAAAGCGCATCTTTATCTTTCGAGATACTTTTCCCTAGGAGCTCAGGGTGATTGCAAGCCTGGCGAAGTCGCAGAAGTAAAACCAAGGCGCTTGCATAATTGACCTTTTCGCCTTGTAACAACTTCTCAAGACTACTGTCGGCTCTCTCCTCCAATCGATCATACAATCGGCGCTCCTCGGGAGAAAAGTCCACTTCCACTTTTTCAATTTGTCGCTTCGTAATTTTGAATCCAGTCTTGGTTGTTTTTTTTTGACTTGGTTTACCGCCGGGGTTAAGGGCCCCTTCTTGCTTCAGTATATCTTTAGTTCGTCGTTTCATGAATGCCATAAGGAAAAATTGCAGCCGTTTAATGGCAACACCACCGCGCCCGTTTTTCATCGGCCGTTGAATTTGATCTTTCCAGATGCTAAGATCATCATAGGGCTTGATTCTCAGAAATTTAATTAGACTCTGGAGTTCTTCCAAGTTATTCTGCATAGGGGTGCCTGTGAGACACCACCTGTAGTCTGCTCTCAACGCGTAGCATGCTTGTGTCGCTTTTGCATTTCGGTTTTTGATTGTGTGGGCCTCATCAAGGATAACTCGATGCCACTTAACACCAAAGCAAGCTCCATCAGAACCACCATGTTCAGAGACCAGGATGTTGTAAGTAGTAATCACGACGTCATACTTTTTCAAGTCTTGATAGTACTTTGTCCGTTGGGGCCCATGATGAAGGCACACGCGAAGCTTGTGGGAAGGGAGAACGCGCTTTTCTATTTCCTCTTCCCATTGCTTGATCAAAGCAAGAGGTGCCACCACCAGAGTTCCCTTATCAACTGATTTGTGAGGCTGTTTATCATTTTCGGAGGGTAGAGGTTCTGGTCTAGGATTAGATAAAATCAGGGCAATCGATTGTATAGTCTTTCCCAGACCCATCTAAAAGTCAATTGTTAGCTTCAACTCATCATACCATAAGTGAACTCCGTACATCATCAGCCAGAATTCCGCCTTTAGGTAGAATTCCATTCTTCTTGGCAGATCCAATTTCCTTATTCTTCATCCAACTCACGCCCTTAACCTGATGTGGCAAGAGCTGGACATCCAATCCTTCGACGGTCGCTTCATTTTCTTCGTTTTCCTCGTCGTCTTCAGCCCCATCGGGCTCATCATTTTCTTGGCCCTTCACGCTTAGTCCCTGAAGCTGGTCGGCAAGGCTGTCAGCAGCCTGGTTTAGTTTCTTTCTTCTCGCAGACTGGTTTGCCGCTTTTCCGTCATCCTCATCCTCGAAAGCTCCTTCCAGCAATGCCTTTATATTCTCGTTTGCCTTAGCAGTGTCCACATAGGCATATGGGTCTTCAGAGCCAAACTTGTTGCTGTAAAGACAAGCATCAGGATTGAATTCATCTGTGCTACCAGTAAGATCGATGATATTTTTGGGCTTCACTCTAGGATCCTTCACCATGAACGGCGAGTCTTCTCCACCCATCGAGGCAAAAGTAGGCGGAGCAATAGGCTTCGAACTGGCTGTCCTATTCGTCCCCGGCCGGATTATCGATTCTGATCCCCTGCCATCAGGGGCAGCATACTTGGGAGAAATTCGAGATCTAGGGTCTTGACCTGGAAGCGTACTCTTGGGGCCCTGCGAAGGCGGGGGACGGTGATGCTCAGGGCGTCTCTGAAAGGGTTTTGGCTGATTGAAGACCTTTGAATGAAGAGAGTTTCGCAACGGACTTGGTATTCCAAATTCTGGTTTGCCGCCGGCCAGCTGAGGCTTGTTATTGAGTAGGCTTGAAGTATTGGCAGCTTGTGTCGTTGGCCGTGGGGGTTCTCTTTCCGTCACCATCCCGTTATTTCCTGGCCGCGAGCCCGTTGGAAACAGTGTGGAGAAGTCGCTGGCAGTCGAGGCAAAAGACTCGGTTGAGTCCACGGATACAACGCTTGGTGTCTCAGAGGTCGCGCGGCTGACGGGTTTGGGTTTGGGTCTGGGCGGAAGATTTTGTGGCGTTGTCGTCAAGTCGACATGTGGAATCTCTTTCACGGCCGAAGATGCAATAGAGTCTGAAAAAAGGGAACTCGAATCACCAAGTTGAGGACTATATCGAGTTTCTTCAGTCCAAGGGGAGGATCGATCCGGTAGTGAAGGTGTTTGATACCCCGAGCCTTGCTGATGAGATAGTCGAGACGGCGTTTTCGTACCATCATTTGACCCTCGATCTCTGTTCAAAGTGTTGAGAGGTCGGTGAGGTAGCCCATATTGATCGTTACTTCTTGCCATCTTTTAACACCTGTTCCCATGGGCGTTTGCAGCGGGCGTTGGAAGCAACAAAGCAAGACGATTATGACGGCGTTTTCCGCGGATTATAGAAGGAGGCGTTAATCACTAAACCGCAGTCCTGTTGCCATTGGCAACCAGCGAGGGACCCTCCCAAATCACGCCGGGCCTGTGCTTATCCGTCAGCCCTATAAACCTCCACCACATGCACATTCATAAGACTCGTGTAATCATTTCGAGCAAGATCAAAAAAACTTATTTATTACAGTCCTATAAAGAACTACGTGGAATTAGGAGCAAATAGGCAAATGAAATCGCTTTAGACGCTTAACTAGGAAATCATGACCAAGAAAATGACAAAACATAATTTGCGTTCAAAGACGTGTGATGCTTGATGCTCTGCTTGATGGGCCTGAAATGGTGGCAATTGACTTTGGATCTCGAGCATTGTCGATGCCTTTTCTGGGCTTTTTTTGTTTCCTAATATCAAACATTCTCTTCAGTTGCCGCAGTTTTGTCCAGCGCTCTTTGTCCTTCGCATCGCGGGCACTACGGTCATCATTGACTTCGGAAGCTATTGTGCTGACGATGCTCTGAGTTTCACTTGCGTCATCCTCCGCGGCAATAATCTCAGTTTCAGGCTCTGTAGGGGCCAATTCTTGACTTTCAGCTCGGAAGTGTTGGGCGTTTTTGATCACTTGCAACAGTATTTGCCATCCCGGTTGAGGTCGATTAGTGCTGCCCTTGACAGGACCGGAACCACACTGAGATTCAGCGTTGACCCATGGACAAAAATATCTATGCTCTTGAATGACGTTGAGCTGACTCGTTTCGTCCACTTCATCGCTCTCGGTCACTGGAGCTTCTTTGAACAACCAGAGCCCTAGCCGTCGGAAGCAAGCTTCACAAGTAGCAAGTCCCTTGGGTTGTCCATCCTCGGCGCGCCAGCCGAACATGGAAAGAACCAAAGCACTCTTGTTAACCTGGCTATTCGCTGGCTTTGCCTTTTCTGAATTTGCTACTTCGGCAGCCGATTTCATGCAAAGGTCAGCAGGATAATGTCGAAGAAGAATATCAGCATCCAGCTCAGCTGGAAGCCGCAAATTTTTCGGCAATTCTTCAGAAACATTAAGCAATGACTCGTAACGTGTCCGGACTGCTGCGAGAGCAGCTGTGGACTGAGCCAGCGGTAGACGATAAATCTTATCTGTAACGTACGAAGTCAGCTTCTACACCAGGTTATTCACTATCTGGGCCAAAATTTACCATCACAGCCACGTTTCTTCCATAAGCAAGACGCATCATGTTCATCAACTATCATTCTAGCATAGCGATCAATGATCCTCTCCTCTGTAACTCGGTTAGAATCTTTTTGATACTTTCAACTGCACAGCAGTAACCTACCAACTCCAGTGTCCCAACTTTCCTCTACTTCATCGTTAGACTCTGATATCTGTGGCTCAGCCTCTTCCCTTGAAGACTCCAGCTTCAAAAGCAGCTGACGTTCACAGCCACCAACGCATCCAACCCGTTCCTTCCCAACACATCGCCAGCCCCTTCTGGCCCATTCAACCTCGTTCACTTTAGGAGGTTTTGGTGACCATTTATCCACATGTCTATATGTTTCAAGTCGTTCTAGAAACTGTCCGCGATCCCAGGGAGCATAGTTGGGGAGTGTCGAAGTAGTTCTTTCTATCCGATCTTTGTCCGCAGGAAGTCCAGGTTTCGCGAAAGCCGTCCGCTCGGTATTTGACCGTAGTCTGGCCAGAGAATATCTTGTTGAAACTACATCTATTCGACGCCTCTTCAATGGTGTTCCAATTTCTTCTGCAACCGTAGAACGCGACCCATCCTGATCCGGACGAGTTTGATGTTTCGCCGTTGGGCTATTGGTTAAAGAGTCTAGAATTTTGTGAAACTTCCGTTTCGATGTGACCAGCGAATATGACATTGTGCAATGCCTTGCTGAAGCTGTGAGCAAAGGCAAGGTGGTGATTGAGGAGCCAACGGGTTGTAATGTCTTCGCGCCCAGCGCGTACTGTAGTAGAGTACAAGCTCGAGCTGAAGCACAATGAACCAATGGTTGAATAGGCAAGGGTCTCGGAGTTTCCCGACGATCAAGTCAGTGACGGCAAATTGTTTTGCCGATACCCCTGCAGAGTTAATGGATTATCCGGTACCGATACCGCAGCTAAAGAGCAACATCCTCCTACGGGTGCTGAAACTTGTGGTTTATACTCTCATCCATTACTTTTTATGCGGCTCGTGAATTCTCAAACTCGTCGAGCTCCATTTCAATTTTCTTTGTACTGCTTTGCCATTTTGTTGATTGCAATTCTGGCTGGTATCATCTTTCCGAGCCTCCGTCTTTCCCTTTTGTTCGGGCATTTAACGCCCCGCTTCACCACCAGGTACCTCAACACATCAGCAAGCATGGCTTCGCCATACGCAAAGGAACTGCACGTTGCGCAACTTGCAGTGCAACGAGCGACTCTTCTTACGAAAAAGGTTTTCCACGACAAGGCCAAAGGCACTGCTTCCAAAGATGACAAGTCTCCGGTGACCATTGGTGATTTTGGCGCACAGGCTTTGATCGTTCAGGCCATCAAGAAGAACTTCCCTGACGACGAGGTTGTTGGAGAAGAGGAGGCTGCTACGCTACGAGAGAATGATGATCTGAGATCGCAGATTTGGGACCAAGTCAAGGTCGCGCGCCTTGAGGATGATGCCGCCGAGAAAGAGCTTGGCGGCCCCATCCAGACGGTCGAGGACATGCTGAGTGCTATCGATGCGGGAAACAGTGCCGGTGGTGCGAAGGGAAGAATCTGGGCACTTGACCCTATCGATGGCACCAAGGGTTTCCTCCGTGGTGGCCAATACGCGGTTTGTCTTGCCCTTATGGTAGACGGTGAGGTGAAGGTAGGCGTTCTCGGATGCCCGAACCTGCCTGTAGATGACTCTCTGTCGCTATCTGCCGAAGACGGCAAGGACCAAACAGATGATGCAGGCAAGGGTGTCATCTTCAGCGCCGTTGCTGGCAAAGGCGCTACGGGCCGACCGTTGAGCCGGGGCGCTCTCCAGCCTGGTCATCCCATTTCTATGAAGCCTGTCACGGACATTACTCAGGCTACCTTTTGCGAGAGCGTAGAGGCTGGTCACTCCTCGCATGACGAGCAATCCCAGATCGCCCAGCGCCTCGGTATCACGAAGCCGAGTGTCCGGATGGACTCTCAGGCAAAGTATGGCTCAATTGCCCGCGGAGCAGGTGATCTCTACTTGCGTCTCCCTGTAAAGAAGGACTACCAGGAGAAGATCTGGGACCATGCTGCTGGCGATCTGGTTGTTCGTGAGGCTGGTGGTCAAGTGACTGATGCAAATGGCTTAAGGTTAGATTTTAGCAAAGGACGAACTTTGCGTGACAACAAGGGTGTTGTTGCCGCGCCCAAAGCGATTCACGGCCAGGTCTTGGACGCCGTTATGGCTGTACTGGGAGCCAAATAGATATGTTTGATCTAAATTTAGCCGCTCTACAATCCCAGAGCAGAAAAATAAAAGTAAATTACACACAGGAGACTATTGTACAAAAATCGAAGACCCAACCTACCCTGGGCCAAAATGCTGCCGTTATCTATTTAATCTTTTTCGCCTTGAGCTTGATCGTCTCTCCATTGACGAAAATGCCCTTGCCCTTGTAAGGCTCCGGTCTTCTCCACGCCCTAATATTTGCCGCGAACTCATTGACTATTTCCTTGTCTGGTCCCTCGAGCAGAATGCGTGTAGGCTGCGGCGTGCTTGCTGTCACGCCCTTTGGTACTCCCAACTCAACAGGGTGAGAGAATCCGACCTTGAGAGAGACAAATTGCTGGCCCTCGTATTCGGGAGAAACGGTCACCGCAGAAGGCTCGACTGATGCACGGTATCCAACTCCGACAAGACGCAAAATAGCAGTATGGCCTTCCGAAACGCCGAGAATATGGTTTTGAAGGTACGCGCGCGTGGTACCTATTAAGTCAAAGGGTAAGTTGCGATCCATTTTTAAGGGCTTAAAACGAAGAGTCTACCTACCCCACATCTCGCGCTGGTGTCGAATACTGGAATCTTGTACTCTAATGAGAGCCTTTCTCGCCTGAAGGTCCTGCTCCAGATTGATGAACGAGGGCAGCGTCATGCTCACTTTGCCTATAGCAGTCGTTCAGTAATCTTCTAGAAAGCTGGGGAAGATTTTACTATCTGCATACCCAATGGACCCTCAATCTCTACCTTTGTTTCTGGTTCCGTCCGCAAAACCCGCGTCTTCGCCTTGGGGACCGGTGGCTCGAAGATTGTAACTGAAACGCCGGGCGGCAGTGAAATTGGGGTCCTTCCAACCTGCGACATGCATGGTGAGGACGAGGTAAACGACCGGCTGCTGGGGGCGCTTTGAAAAGCAGGTAGGAGAAAAGGCGGCGGAGAAACAGAGACAGTCGATGCAGATAGCACCTCACGGAGGCAGCTCCGCCTTGATATCGCAAACATTTTGGGCGAGGTGAAGGTATCAATTGATGCCCCAGCTCCCTTGATTATTTCGTGATGTTCGTCGAATCTGCAACACCGGCGACAATTGGTGCACGGGCCACGTGGTCACGTGAGCAACAGTTTTCCAGCTGGGAATTCGGCCCAAAGCTGAGAACTGCAATTGCTGTGATTTTTGATGTCGCGTACACTCCGCCACGGGCATCAATTCCAAGTATGTTTTGTATTGAATTCCGCATACTCCGTATGCTTTTAAATTAGCATCATGTATGCTGAATTCCTTGACTGCGTACTGAAGTTGAATTGCTTCCCTATCATATCTGACTTCCTTGTAACTAACGGAGCTCTCACTTGTCTCAAAGTGTGTGGCCCACGGATTTCTAAATCCCATGCATATGCCACCAAATCTCAGTCAAGACGCGTATTCTGTTACATCGAATTCTCTTTTTCCTGTTTTTTTTTTTGCATGCGTCATTCATCGTGCACCTAGCCTTTCAGCCTTCCTTGGTCTTTTCCCATCACCAATCCACATTATATCCATGTCATATACTTTAAATTCTAATCTATAATTCTCTCATACGGATTCATCTCCTTACACAATGTATATCTTCAACTATCCAAAATATCCTTTGCTTGTGATTCTTCTCCTTTTAGGGTATTGTGGCCAATTGGCCTTTTGCCTAGGAGCGCTGAAAGTGATAAGTGGTAAGTCCATGTCAAATCCACCGCTTCTCAAATTGCAAAAGATGTCTCAGTATCTGGTAAACAGACAGGAACCCTATCAAGGCATCTTCAACAAGCCTGAGAGAGCATGACTTGGCAATGATCATCTCAGACCCTGCTGGGAGCGAGACGGAGATCTTCTCCGAAGCTTTGAAGCTGATTGCTTCCATTCAGGAATCAACATCCTGCTATAAGCTCGCAACCGCACACCTTTTGGTTTCTTGTAGGGAATTTGACGGATCAGTGAAGGGTCCTGGAACTTTAGCAAAAGCTAACCCCACTCCGATCACTTTGGAGAACATCAAAGAGATCTATGCCGCTCGGCTTGCTATATGTGAGCTCCAAGGAGCTGGTGCCCCAGTACCGACTCAGTGCTCGCCCTTGGTCCCTCAAAAGGGCGAGAAGCAAAAGCCACATTTGAGAAGATTGATGCACTCATTGACGAAGCAGAGGAAAGGCGATACCGGCGAAGAAGAATTTGACAGCGCCGTCGAGAATGGCCTAAGCCAGTGTTTAAAGAGCCTGGAATCACGACCACAATGGTGGATGAGCTACAGCAATAGCAGACAGAATGCAGTCATCATGTGTCAGGCAGCACGGGCTGAGGTCGAGAAAGGTGGGCTATCAGCCGCACTCAGAGCATTGGATACTCTAGAACTCCCCGCTGACTTCAAATATAAATCAAGATGAGCTGCTGGAAATTCACCGGACTATGGCAGGAGTGGCTTCTGAAATCAACGGCGCGCTCTCGAAAACTCTCAAAGTCTCCAAAGCTGAGATTCATGATCAGAAAGCATTCGCAGAGATTGTCAAGGCATTCCAAAAGTCAATTGTTCAGGATATGGAAGCAACCAAGCTGTGGAGCCAGAGCTTCTTTAAACAATTAGTCAATGATATGGGAGACATCATCTTGGTATTTAGGAAGCAGGCCACATCCGCTGGAGAGGCGGTTACCCAAGAGCTCCAGCACATGAAAAGTGTAGGGACTTTCCTCCGAATTTGCCCAGCGTTACTAATCATCGATAGAATATTCAGGCTTCTGTCAAGGATATCCAGCAGCTGCGTGGAAATTTTGCTCAGGTTTTTGAAGATGCAAAATCTCACAGTTCCGAGTTTGCAAAGAGTCAATCTGAGGATCTGACTACAAGCCACGAGTTGATATCGGGTCTCCAAGAAACACTAGTAGTGATCAAAGACGCTGAAATGCAGGGACTCTTGAGCGTCATTGGAGATATACAATCTCATTTGGTACGAGCATCCACTCATTAGTTTCCAAAACTTTCCGAGGTTGGGATTGACAAATACATTGTATCAGAAAGTCTCCAATGATTTGGTATCCGTAATGCATGAACGGCAAAATTCTTTGGACGGGGTACGTGGCGCACGCTATCCCCAGTCTCCTTGATCCATCATACTTCTCTAATACTGCGCTCTGAACAGCGCATTGAAACGTTAAACAAGGCATTTGAGCAGCTTGAAGCCAAAGCAATCTCTTTTCACGCTGCACAGAGTCAACAAGCGGAGACCCAAAACCAGCTTGGCGAGTCCCTTCGTTCAGACATCCTACTCGCGCAATCCCTTCTCTCCCAAGTGAATGCCGCCGCAAAGAGCCTGCAATCTACTGTCGAAGAGACATCGGCCCGTGTCAGCGAACTGGGGCTTTTCTCGGGACTATCTGGCACTGGAGGCCGATGGAGCTGGTTGATGATGGTCACAATAGGCTTTGCTCTTTTCAGCCGGAGAACTGCTGGAGCAATAGCCATCACTGTTGGTGAGTCCCAGAAGATCAATATATTTTTCCAATATCTGGCTCTTTCTTTGCGCTCATGAAGCGGCTGACTCATTCCTCAGGCGCTTTTTCTGCCGGCAAAGCGTTATATCACCCCTTAGTGAAGCTTGGACAGCCGGCGCAATCTCAACTTAACACTACCAGCCTCGAAGGAATACAGGACAGTCATCTTGCCCACGGCCCTCGGCTAGTTTTCTTGCTTTATATTCTGGGCGTGGTGATAGTGGCTACAGCCATTATCATCATCATCTATATCCTCTTTTATAATCGTCCAAAAATCGACTCTGTCCGTTCCGAAGAAAAGCCAAAGTCACCGAACGAAGGAGGTGAAACAGCTACTTAAAATATTTTTTGATATCCGGGGTCTTTGAAATTGCGACATTTCCTCACTTGCTGCCTTCTTGTTAGCATACCCCTCGACTGGCAATCTTGGCTTTCTTCTGATATTCTCTTTTTTGCTTAACTTATCTCTGCTTGATCTTTTGGGACTCCCGTGCTTTGAAATGGCGCCACATCTCGGTCTCCTTTCTCTTCAATTTTTGCAGCTTACTTCTCTTTTTCCTTTTTGTTCCTCTCTAGTGGCTTCTTATTTTTTTGGCACGGCAAATCTAGTTGATTTCTTTTTTGCTTCATTGAAGACCTGAGCTCTCAAAAATTACTGCTATCGCAAATATATGCCACTACTATTACTCCCAATGACAAACAAAATCTTACCCTCACACTAAGCTTCAACAACCCAAATACTACCCACGTGCCATAAATTAATCATTGACAGTCGATACATATTGACACATATTGACACACCGTGACTGACAACAACCCAGCCTTTACCGATAATTTCACTCAAGCGGAAAAGACTGAAATATTCAACACTGGAAAGCATTTTCTTTTTGTTAAATTATATACTTTTCACTTTTCTCAATCGACAAAAAAAAAAGAAAGAAAATATAAATATACACTGCGCCTATCATACCATGGGGCTGTCGCTCCGTTTTTGATTTGTGTTTTTCTTTTCCAGGTAACTCCGCTTACAATTGAAATAAAAAGGTGCGACACTGGTCCCGGTAACTCCCCGATATCGCACCTGCCCGTGTCCCGTGTCCATGTCCAACCATTGCCATGCCATGCTATGCTATGCTGCGAGTAAAATGATAATAATGCAAGTACCTAGATAGTAAGAAATCGTGAGGAATACGCGCTACATCCGATGCGCCTTCGCTACAGGGGAACTTTTATCCTCCGACAACTCAACAGGGATTTCGAGACTCCGATTAAAGAAATTGACACAAAAAAGAAGGAAGAATGAAAGAAAAGTAAATGATCCAAAAAAAAATATGAAAAGAAAAATAGAAAAAAAAGAAAGAAAAAAAAGAAAGAAAGAAAAGAAAGAAAAGAAAACAAGTCAGAAAAGTAAATTAAAGAATGAAAGAGGGGGGGAAAAAACAGAATGTGAGAAAATCACAAAACCTTGACCTTCATCCACTCGCTCGTGCCGACGCCCAAATTGAGTCCATTGCGGGCCCACCAGACGCGGACCTCTTCTTCGCCTTTGCCACCGAGGGAATCTTCGAGGGCCTCCTCGATATCGCACGTCTTGTACTCGACTCTGAAGCCCGAGCGTTTCCACCACTCGAGGACGTTGGCATGGCCGTTTTTGGTAGGGCCGACGAGGACTTGGTTATCGTAGATCATTTTCTCGGCTTTGAGGGATTTCCAGAGGACCAGGACGGCGACGTGGCCGTGCGTGGAGGCGATCTTGGCGACGGTTTCTTCGTGCGAGTAGGGGATACCCGACTCGTCCCACCATTTGACGGCGCTGGTTTGGCCAGCTTGTGCGGCGAAACAGATGGAGCGGCCGACTTTTAGGTGGAGCGGGGATGATGATGATGAGGAAGAAGAAGAGGAGGAGGAGGGGGCGGAGAAGGTATCAGTGTGGTGGGGGTCGGTGTGGGAGGGAGAGAAGGAGACGGTTGGGAAGCAAGGAGGGGTAGAGTTGGGTCGGTCGGAAGAGAGAGGGTTGTTGTTGTGGGAAGAGGAGGTGGCGGTAGAAATTCGAGTGTGGTATTTGGTTTGGATGGCGGGCGGGATCGGCGGGAAGGAGAAAGCGGAGGCGGTCGAGGGTGGGCAGGAAGAAGCAGATGGAGAAGACGAGATGGAGGGCTTGATTGTAGGCGCGGAAGAATAGAATGCTAGAGAGTGGGGATCGCGGATGGGAGATGATGATGATGATGATGAGGGAGAATGTTTTGGAGGCGTTAAGAGGTGGCTGCCGCGGCGAGAAGTGGGAATTGGATATCCGCTGGAACTGCGGTCAAGGTTGGGCCCTCCGGCAGCGTTCGATCCGGTCAGAGTGTGCTTTACGTTCTCGACGTCAGTGGAGCAGCTGCCCTCGTGCATGGACGCGCTCTTCCACCATTCTAGCACGTCAATGTGTCCCTTGGAACTGGCTTGTTCGAGTGCCGCCTCAGTGTAGCGTAGTGGGAGACCAGACTTTCTCCACCAGTCCAGAACGTGGACAAAGCCTGCTTTGCTGGCGCCGTCAATCGCCTCAGAGGTGTATTCTTTCGTAAGGAATGACGGCGACGTTCGCCACCATTCGAGAATTTCTACACGCCCAAATGCCGCGCTGGCTTTAGTAGGTAGGAGGGTATGTCCGAATGTTGCCCAAAATAGATCCTTGTGATTGCTCTCTAGGTAGGATAGAAGATTTGTTAGGCCAAATTTGATGATTAGCTTCACGCATAGCCGCGACAGGTAGACAGGCGGCTCGCATGACCGAAGCTTGTTAGCAACGTCGGATACCGATCCGGTAAGAATAGTAGATTCAAGCTCTCTCATGTACGTTTGACTTTTATCCAAATGACCATGTCGTTGCCACTCTGGAGGTGTTGGTAGCGTCGTGTAAACGCCCAGGGCTTTGGCGAGCTCCCAGTCGCCATGATACTCAAACACCATGGTCCATATTTCGGGCGGAAGCTTGATGGAAGTACTCTTTGGCCGCGCATTACGGCCCTGGTAGTTTTCCGACACGCTCCCCATGGTCATGTCCACTTCTTGGCCAATTGTCATCAGATCAACTTGGTTCCGAATCGTGTCGGCGAGGTCGTCCAGGCAGTTCCAGTCGAGCATTTCCAAGTCGACTCCCTTTCGAAAGCGGTACAAAAGTGGTTGCAGAACCCGAATCCAGTTCCATTTGCGACGAATTTTGTTCAGTTGCTTCTTGGTCATTGGGTTTTCCCAGGCGGTGACGGACATGCCGGGCACAAGCAGAATCTTCTTCGATACATCCCAATTCCGCAAGAGATCCAGTAACAGCGTATCGGCCATGCCATGAAGCATTTTGGAAAGTGTATCTGCATCTATGGGGGCGAGAACTAATAAATCGGCCCATTCGCTCAGGCTGGCCGCCTTTCGCTGCAATGCAAGGTTGCGGACGTACTGCTCGCGCGACGACACATGCTCGTATTGGGTGTTCGAGGTGATGGTGTAATCATGCAATATCGTACTATCTTTCCATAACTCCGAGTCAACCAACCCCTCGACAACCACGTGTGGTTGCTGCAAGAGTTGAGGAAAGAGACGTTCGGCAAAGCCCACCGCGGTCGAGCCGGTCGAGGCCACAAGCAGGCGTAGCTCTCGCGGCATGTCCATGGTCCGCATATCAGGGACAGGAATCGTCGATGGTGTCCGCGAGACCGCCATCTGGTTTCGTCGTGGTGAGACCGAAGACGATCGAAAGAGCCTCGATCATTATTCTTCTCGAAACGAGAACTGTCAGGGGTGGCGGCCGAAGTCGACCCACTGCAAGTCGACTTTTGCTGGCCAGGGATTTTCCTGCTGGGGCAGGACAGACGAGCAAATCGAATTACTCCGCGCAGGGAAAAAAAGATGCGGTGAGAGGTGACACGAATGCACCGAGAAAAGGACAAGTCCAGTGCGGTTCAAATGCAGCCGTAGGGAAATGTTGTCTCCAATAGTTCCACTGATGTCAAACAAGACGATTTAGGCTCATTCTAGTTGGACGAGCGAGTTGATAGTGAGCAGCGTAGGGTATGTCTAGCCGGACCCTTTCGCTAGATCCTTCCCCATTATCAAAGGCGGAACGACGTCTTCCACAACCTAATCCGTCAATCGTCCTTGATTGTGATTGTTATTCGTATCTATCTTAGTAGTCCAAATGTCATGCTCTTCTTGTCACTCACGTTAAAAAAACTAGAGAGGAAATTTATAAATAATTGATGTTATCATATTGAATAAACTTGCATACTTCTCAGGTATCAATATGATCTAATATTTCACAAGCAACCTGATCACATTTTTCTCATGGTCCAGCCATGCTGTCATGTATCAGCATCACGGCCATATGATTTCCTTGGCTTGTTTCTGGATTGCTAGAAAGGTAAGGAAGTTATTCGTAGAATTTCTTGCTTGATTAAAGGATCTTAGTAGGTTAACTTCGTTGACGGAGGTAGTGTGGAGCAGGCACTGGTAAAGGACAAGGCAGCCTAAACATAAGCTATACTGAAGGATATGGGTTTCGAGCAATAAATAATAGCTAAGGATGGCTGGTAATTAATGGCTAGTAGGGGAGGAGCCTGTATATTGATAACCGACGTACTACCCGATTATGGGGGATGGCTTTAGCTGAACCCACTGCGTTTTATTTTCTCCCATAGTTTTTCCGTTTGCCTTCTTCTGAATTTTACCGCTCTCTCGTGAACAGAGATACCTCGAAGCTTGCCAAAGAAACCTCCCACTCGTTAGCTCAACAGTGGGAACTTTAACCGAAAGTCCACTAACTTGTAAGGCACAAAGACCCCGGCAGGGGCTGCAGGGTAAGCAACAGCCACCGACCCTGGTTCGTGAGTACTTGGTATTCTAATTAACTAGCATTCTGCTGCTTACAAACACCATAGCACTGGATAAAACAGCTTATCGCAATATGCACCGAAAAATCCCGAGTATTATACTTATAATTGTGTAATTCTGATATTAATCCGGTGCTGGGCCGACAATTAGCCTTTTTGCTCTCCCCCATGCTTGTGTCCTCGCCCACTCTTTCCCCACCATACCCCAGCTGCGAAACAGATTATCCGTCATATCTCCGAGATACTTCACTGCCATGGAATTCAACACTGACACTGACGGGAGGTCGCCGCTACGTGCAACTCAAGGTCGCCAGTGCACAAGTACCGCATGTGACGAGTGCCGACGCCGCAAGCTGCGCTGCGATGGGCGCCAGCCTCGATGCGGCATCTGTCAAGAGACCGGTATCGCCTGTGAAGTGACGGAGAGGGGTGCTCGAGGACCTAAGAAAGGCCACCTGAAGGCTCTAAGGAATCGAATTGCGCACCTGGAGACGCTATTGGCGACCCAACAACGAGGCCAGGACGTCTTCCCAGGCAGCCACAGGCCAACACCTTCAGCATTGTCAGTGGATATGCCAGACACGGCGGGGGATCCTGAGGTCTTGACGCCTGATTGCTCCCCACCTGCAGTGGCATCAGTCACTAGTTTACGGTCATTGCCTGTCCACAACCCTCTGCTTCCTCCATTGGATGTCGTGCAGGAGGAACTGTAAAACTCCTTGAGAGAGTAAGGGAATCCTACATGAGTGCTGACACCTTCTCTGCCAGAGGCCAGCTCTACATGGACCGGGTGCATGCTTCGATCCCCATTCTACACCAGCGGCGGTACTTGTCATGGGCCAAATCCAGCGACAAAACGGCGTCGCAGAAATGCTTGCAGTATGCTACGTGGGCGCTGGCCGCGCTAATGTCCGCTCAGTTCCGCGAAATGATTGAGCCACTCTACCAGGAGACCAAGCAGATTCTCGAGTCTCTGAATGTCGACGGCGATGAGCATGGCAGCGTAGGCACCGAAGTGGCCCAGGCGTGGGTGCTGATCGCAACGTTCGAGTCGATGCGGACCTATCATCGACAGGCATGGATGAGCGCTGGTCGGGCATTCCGAGTAGTGCAGGCCTTGCGGTTTCATGAAATCGACCGTCCTGTTGACAAATATGGCCCCTCCTCTCCCCAGTGCGGTGACTTCATCGAGGTTGAGGAGAGGCGCCGGGTGTTCTGGATGGCTTACTTCCTTGATCATGTCATGAGCATGCGCGGCGACTGGCCCATCACGCTGAACGAGCACATGGTAAGGGGAAAAAATGCCACCTGCCAAGTAGGCGAAAGCGAGTGACGAATGCCGGGCTAACTGATGACCCCTTGGGATGAATCAATCACAGATATGCACCAGACTGCCAGCTCCAGATGCAGCCTTCCAGAGCGGGCGCGAAGAGCTAGGACCACTCCTATCTGAAGCCATGACAGAGCCTAATCTTCAAGGACGGTCTTCGTTCAATGAGTGCCTGATCTTGGCGACACTTGGCGGGCGTAGCCTGCTTCAGAGCCAACGGTATCACATTTCCAAAGCGTACGGTGACATGGAATCGGACAGCCCCGAGCAGCGTAGGTCATTAGAAAGCCTCTTAACGACCCGGCTTCAAGTCTTGTCTCAATGCTATCCGTCACCCACCGAAGTATTTGAACCTCTGCTTCTGTTTGCCAATATCCTGGGCCAAGCCACCGTTGTATACTTCTGCAAAGCCATGGTGGAGTCGGTGGGATCACCTATCGACTCATCGCAGGGAGATAGCGACGTGTTCTACTATCAAAATCGAGCTTTGGACGCTTCCGCCACTATAGTCCATCTTGCTGTAACGCTGCGCGATCTACCCTCCTCCAAGGTAAGCTATATTCTCCCAGCAAGCCATGGTATGCTGATGGCTTTTCGTCTAGATACATCCGTTGATGCCCATTCCCCTCTTCCTCTGCGCCGAGTTCCTCTACGACAATATGCACACAGGCAAATCTTTCCAACGGCGTCTCCAGGAGTTCTTTCACCTCTTCGGTGAGTTGAAGAACATTAACAATCACGAGCAAAGCTACTTGGATCTGCTACCGCGGTCATGCATCGATAAAACCAAGGAGCTATATCGTCATAGTGTCGAGGGAGCCACTCCAAACGAGTAGAGGTCCACCCTCAGCTCTGGCTGCCCATATCATCGTAGCCTGAATAACCGACATTCCTCTAGCCGTCAAGCTTGCATTTGACGTCCCCGAGGGAGCTTTAAGAATTCGGCCACCTGAAGGTCAGCCTCGGATAAACTATCGGATAAACTGATCGGATAAATATATCGGATAAATATGGCGATAAAGATTCGGAGAAACAATTCGGAGAAATAGATTGAAACCGTTTGGCTGCAGCACAAAGCCACAGTTCTACACTCACAAGAAACAATCCCCCCGAGCAGGCATCGGGGCAACTATGAATCCCGTCGCATGCAATGATTGATAATAATCTTAATCCTGGATGGAGAAGGGAGAGAAAGCGACCATGGATGCCATCTTGGTCCACCATCTCTTGCGCCAATCTCCGACTTCCCACATGCCCAGGACCCTTTCATTGTATCTCCAGCGGCTGAACTTGTAAGTGGTGCCCTACTTATAAGGAGGGCAGCTCTCCGCTACCTGGCTTGATCCTTCAACTGCCCAGCTGTTTTCTTTTTCCCCTCCAAGGTCTTCGAATATTTACGGGCCATATAACGAGGCCAATATATACGAGATCCACGTGACATTGAGCATTTGACCATGATTCTTTTCGAGCGAGGAAACGATGCGCTCAATGTCAATCCCATAACGGGGGTTGATGAAGCTCTGTCCTTGCATGGGTCGGACTGGCTCTGGGCCGTCATGGCCATCTATTGCCTGTCCTTGGTACGTTCCCCCTTTCTCCCTTCATTGGGGGACTGAATTGTCTTCAATTTTCCCAGCTTCAGGCCAATCCACTAACACCACGAGTTCTGTTAGATTGTCCTTTTATCCTTCTCCTTCACCAGCAAAGAGAGCGAGAGAGTTTTCCACTACCTGTTCACCTTGGTCCTCCTAGTCGGCGCCACCACGTATTTCGCCCAGGCTTCCGATCTTGGTTGGAGTGCAGTGAAGCAGGTCGATCATGTCGGTAACGGACTTGTCCGCCAAATGTTCTGGGCCAAATACGTCAACTGGGTCGTCGCCTTCCCTTCGCTCGCCCTGGCACTCGGTCTCGTGTCCGGCGTTTCCTGGACCACTATTGTCACCAACATTGTTTGCGCGTGGTTCTGGGTCATCACCTACCTCGTGGCCGCGTACACGACCACAAGCTACAAGTGGGGTTTCTTCGCCTTTGGCACTTTCGCCTGGCTCATCCTCGCCATGAGCACTATCAATGAGAGCCGGGAAGCCGCGGCCCTGTTGGCCGTGGACCGCGACTATCTCATCCTTTCCGTCTGGTTGAATGTCCTGTGGGTGCTTTACCCAATCGCTTTTGGGCTGACGGATGGCGGCAACATCATCGGCGTCACCAGTGGCCATGTCTTCTTCGGCGTCCTCGACGTGCTCATGGTCCCGGGCCTCAGCTTCGGGTTCTTGTTCTTCTCCCGCAATTGGGATTTTCGCAAGTTGAACATTGCGTTCAGCGACAGTCGTCCCAGCCGAGAGAACAACCCCGCCTACAAGGAAGCTCCCCAGACTTCCCCTGGAGATCCTTGATCAAAGGCTTTTTCAGAAGCCGTGCTTGCGACGTGCTTGTTTTCCCATTTGCTGGGTAGAGATGGGATTTTTGGTACTAGATTGCATGCCTTGGGCATTTTTTCTTCCTCGTCCCATCTACTTGAGTAATTACTCGCTCTCTCTCAGACTTTCTTAGCTTCTCTTTTTTTTTTTTTTGTCCGTTCGGCATTTTCATATCATCCTATGTATTTTCCAACACATTTCATCTATACATTTGTTAATTGCTCTTGCTCTTGCCCTTCCTGAAGACATGAATCGTTGTAATCAATTCAAAGTGCGGAAATATAATGCAAAAGAAGACGAGCCAACTTGAGGCGGAAAACATCCGCGGTGCCTGGACCTGATGATGTTAGAACTTGTATTGAACCTAAAGATTAGTATGCACCATATTCTTCTGTTATCATCCTATTGGTTTTTCTTCTTGTCCAACTGCATTTGCATTATAGCTTTACCAGCAACGAGAAGATGAGAAACAATGGAGTATATGCTTCTCTAGTGTTAGCGCTTCCATCTTCTCCATGAAAAATGACACGGTCGTCCAGCTGGATGCTTGTGAGGGCGCGTTTTTCGCCCGTCAATAAGCACCGGCTCACTTTGCCCGTGGCGGTAAATGTACGCCACATCATGCAGCAACGGATAATGAGACGAATCAAGCCGTATTGGACATCCACGCGGGGAAATCTTGATATACTTTGGGTACCTAGATTATATGCATCTTCCATGATTGTGTGCCAATCGATAGTTGGGTCGAGTATAAGGTAGGTAGGTAGGCAAAGAGAGCCTTAGAATTCTATTGAGTGTAGGTAGTACGAAGTAAATAATGGTGGATGGGCCGAGGCTTGTGAGTGTGGCGTTGGAAACCACTGCTGGGTCGACAACGCTCCAGTGCTCCACCGTGGACCAAGGCTCACGTCATTGATCCCTTTGCGCCTAAGCAATCAATAATCTAGCCTCGCTGTTTGGATCGTTGCAACAATTCTCTTTAGCGACGACAACGAATGAGATGCAGCTGTCCATTTCATTGTCGAGCCGCAAGCGCCGGAAACTGCTCCGAACATCCAATCATATCACCTTTTCCACCGGCAAAAGAAAGGCATTAATCTCCACTTGTTCCCGTCCCTCTGGGAATACCCCCGTTCAAATTTCCATTAGATTCCAAATGCCAAATTCGAAAACGTTGATGTTACTTTCCCCATCAAGCGGATCCGGTACAGTCGAAGCACACGTACGTTTTATCTCGATTTTTTTTCCCTTTGAATATTTTTACTTGTCCATCTGTTGTGCTTACTAAGCGATTGAATGGATCTTGTCGCACACTGAACCCAAATCATCTCCGCTGCTTTTTACATTGCACTACTCCGTACCTCTGTACCTTTCGAGTTATTGTTTTGTCTCCATGCCGCGGAAATATGTGATTGTCTTTGATAGCAAAACATTTCGACACATTTTTTTGGAAGATGTGTACCTTGTTTGGGAATACTGTCTTATACAATCGCAATGAGCTGCAGTTATTTATGAATCGAGCTGATCTGAATCTAATGCGATTTGAAAGTCATTCAATATGTTGGCTGACACGAGCATTGACGAACAATCATGATGATCTTGGACAACTCATCAAAGAGTGCTCGGTTTCTTGTTATTATTAATCATCTACACCATTCAGATGACGATTGACAGTTGACTGCCGCGACCAGGATTGATGCAACGTGAAGAGAGTACTCCGATAGTCTGTTGATGAGTACAGGTACTTGTTTAAAGTACAGGTACCCTTGCGCTGCCCGTGCACAGAAAAAGTGTGAGACACTGGATATGCTTGATCAGAAGAGGCAAAAGATCGACGAGAAAGGTGTGGCGCTTCGTTTCAGAGTGTCATGGCCTGTCGGAAGGATCAGTGGCTTCCCTCCCAAATAGTCAGCGGCGTCCGGGAGCTGATCTCATCTGGCATTTTTGACGTGAGAGGGCTGCACGATATCAAGCGAACTGCAGGGATGCCGATACCGAGATGCGAATATCCTAATGAGAGCAAAACTGAGAGCTCAGGGCATCCCATCCAGAGAAAGAAGTGCTTCTTCCTTTCTTTTCCCCCCCAGCGATCAGATCGACGATCTGATTCAAAACCAAAAATCATATCTTTCTCTCTTCTTTTTCCGTTTCCGCCGCCATGGGCCGAGAGATGGACGATCTTCATTGCCGGCCACGCAAGCAGGTGTGGCGAGTATTGTCTATGAAGATCGTCTCGTGGAAAGCCTCTGGCTGATCAATGCATCGCTTTTCTTGAAGAGACGAACTTTAATACAATACTCGTACAATGAGCAGTACAGCAAGCATCGAATTGAGAAAATCCTGGCATGGGCAATTTTCAGTCGGAGCAATTGCATTACTTTACTATGCAGCAGTGTTCGTGAGCACAAGTTATGATCGCGCTCATACTTTGTCAGACTCCAACAGGGCGTAAATTAAGTGAACACCTGGTACGGGTATAGCGCCAGCCCTCGTAGCGGTACAGTTACCTTGGGCAGATTGCGTGGTCGGTATCTTTAGCCCCCGGCAGACAATCAGCCAAGCCCAAGTGATCCACCAGATCGGACAAGGCTCATTATTTTCTTCACTGGGGCACGGGCAAGACAAGAGACGACTACCAAGACCTCCCCCCCAACGCCACAGTGGGCAAGGAGTGGATCACCCGGTGGGCCAGATTTTCTCCCCCAGGGACTTTTCGACTTCTCGCCCATTTGGAGTCCATTTTGCCCATGGTGATTTCCCCTCCCCTAACCAATAATCCCGCTCTAATACTGTACATCCCCCCTCCCTCCCCACCACGTCCAGACTGGAGACGATCAAACCCCGGTGGCCCCCTGTCACTAAAGTATACTGTTTCGCCGCCCTACAACTTGTACCTCTTTCCTGCCTCTGTCTCTATGGAAGTGCGATGAGGACGGAAGAAAGTCGTGTCGGAAAGAGTCATCCACACCTAAATTACAACAGTCTTACTCGATGCGATCGGGGATTACAGCATTCCGATAACCTCTCTTTCTTCTGCCCTACTGCGTGCTGATGTCGTCCTCTCACCTCTTACGTTAGTTTACTTGACGTTGCTCCTCCACAAGCTCTCTCATTTCCCACCCCACTCTCGGCCTCGGTAGCTGGCGAAACCCTTTCTTTCTCCCTGGGACCAAGACGATCCTTTCCTACATCTTACAAGTCGGCGGGAGAAAAGGAAAGCGGGCTTTTTACCATTTCGTCCTTGCACTCTTCCCTCTCAGCAACCTTGCACCGATCATCTCGCGTGTGCAGCTGCGCACACAGGCTTGCTCCACCCCTGGTCGAGCCCTATCTCGCATTTTTGCCCCTTCAACACCTTTTCCTCCTCGTCTTCGCTCTTTCAGTCGTCCTTTTCCTCGTTGTTGAAGCCGTTTTGGAATCCTAGCAATCGTCTTCGGCACCGTCGTCGTCGTCGTCGTCGCCTTCGTCAGAGCACACCCCGGCATATCGTGGGAATAAAGGTCATTATTAGATGGTCCTCGATTGTGAGCTTCATACGGCTCCTTGACTTTGCACGACTACGAATGCGGGCCAGATAGTGCGCATCACCAATCCCACCCTCCGACGACCGTCGACTTGATCAAAATAGAAGTACCCACTACGCAAGGAGGAATACACTTGGATTTTAGAGAGCATGTCTGCAGCAGGAGATGGATCGCCCAGGAGGGATTCGCACATGAGTGCGCCATTGACGGCGCAGTCTTTAGCTCAGTCTCAGAAAACTACTGCAGAACCAAGCCGTTCAACCGTTCCCCCAGGGAACTTGCATCTGCCGCTTACCGGTCCCACCTCTTCCTCTCCGCCCACTCGAGAGGGCCCTGCCTTTTCTCCCTCCGCCTTATCCGAACCTCCGTCCGAAATCTTCAGTCCAGCATCCACGGACAGGGTCTTTCCCATTCGATCGGTGGTCTCCGTTGATCCCTACCAGACCCCTGCGGTTCGCTCCGAGCAGAGCGGCAGCTTCACAGACGGATTTCCCTTTGGTTCCGTTCGCAATAACGATGCTCGGAGAGATTCGGTCGATAGCATCGCCCAAAGCCGCATCTCCGATCTCTCGTCGCAACCAGAAGGCCGACCTGGAAGACATGGCACGCCCTCGGTCAGTCACACGCCGCAGGACGCCACCTCTGCCGCCGCTAGTCGACAGGCCAGCAAGCGCAGGCCCACCGCGAGCTCAGCTACAATCGACATTAAGCAGCTGCGCTTGTTCAGCGAGGGTGGCTCGACGGGGAAGTCGGAGACCAACAGTACCAGTGGCCCTGGGCCACTGCGTCCCCAAAGTCCATCCATCAAGAGTATCAAGAGTACCAAGAGTGTCCATGATGGGCAGGATAGCGAGAGCGGCATGCTTGTGACGTCGAGGTTCAAACACACTGTTGTCGATGGTGGCCATGCCGTCATCACCGGTCGGGGCGGTGAGACCCTGCAGCGTTGCGAGGACGAGCCCATCCACATCCCGGGAGCCGTCCAGTCCTTTGGCTTTCTCTTGGCGTTGCAGGAAGAAAGCGATGGCAGACTTGTCGTGCGAATCGTCAGCGAAAATTCGAAACGATTTATTGGTTACTCGCCGCGCGAGCTATTCGACCTGGAAAGTTTTACAGACATTCTCTCGGAGGAGCAAGCGGACAATATGCTCGATCACGTTGATTTTGTGCGCGAGGATGACGCCGATCCCGCGACCAACGGGCCCGAGGTTTTTACCATGTCCATCCGGCCGCCCGGGCAGCGGCGATCCCAAAAGCTCTGGTGTGCAATGCACGTGAACGAGCGTCACCCGGAGCTCGTCATTTGCGAATTTGAGCTCGAGGACGACACCCTCTATCCTCTTGTTCCAGCGGGTGAGCCGGGCTTAGAAGGACCCGAGGACACCCTCAACAGCCAACCTAACCCCGAAGAATATGCCGAAAGTACAGAGACGCTGAGCAAGCCGCTCCGGATCCTTCGAAGCGCGCGGAAGCGCAAGAGTGAAGCCGCTGCCATGGAGGTGTTCAACATCATGTCCCAGATCCAAGAACAGCTGTCAGCCGCACCCACTCTTGAGAGGCTGCTCAAGGTGCTTGTGGGCGTCGTCAAGGAATTAACGGGATTTCATCGCGTCATGATTTACCAATTCGACCAGGCATGGAATGGTAAAGTCGTCACCGAATTGGTGGATCCACGAGCGACGCTCGATCTGTACAATGGCCTCCATTTCCCCGCCTCAGATATTCCAAAACAGGCCCGAGACCTCTACAAGATCAACAAGGTGCGGCTTTTGTACGACCGTGAGCAGGTCACGGCGCGGCTCGTTTGTCGAACGGTTGCCGACCTGGAGACCCCGCTCGACATGACCTATGCATACCTGCGCGCCATGTCGCCGATTCACATCAAATACTTGGCTAACATGGGCGTGAGGGCTTCCATGTCCATTTCGATCAATGCATTCAATGAACTTTGGGGCCTCATCTCCTGCCATTCGTACGGATCTCAGGGCATGAGGGTGTCTTTTCCTATTCGGAAAATGTGCCGGTTGATTGGAGATTCCGTCTCTCGAAACATTGAGCGGCTTTCCTATGCCTCTCGTCTCCAAGCGCGGAAGCTGATCAATACCGTCTCAACGCCCTCCAATCCCTCTGGATACATAATCGCCTCCTCTGAGGACTTGCTTAATCTGTTCGACGCCGACCTGGGCCTGCTTTCGATCAGGGACGAGACAAAGATTCTGGGAAAGCTGGAGCAGCCGCAAGAAGCGTTGGCCCTCTTGGAATATCTCCGCATGCGAAAGTTTACCTCTGTGATGACCTCGCAAGATATTCGAGAAGACTTTCCGGATCTGAGGTATCCTCCAGGCTTCCAGTTCATAGCAGGTCTCCTCTTTGTGCCTTTGTCGATTGGCGGGCTTGATTTTATTGTGTTCTTCCGTAAAGCTCAAGTCAAACATGTGAAATGGGCCGGGAACCCCTATGACAAGGTCATTAAAGAAGGCACCGAAGGTTACCTTGAGCCCCGGACAAGCTTCAAAACATGGAGCGAGACGGTCGTTGGCAAATGCCGTGAATGGTCCGAGGAACAGATTGAGACCGCCGCCGTGCTTTGCCTAGTGTATGGTAAATTTATTGATGTTTGGCGACAAAAGGAGGCGGCATTGCAAACCAGCGAACTCACGCGACTCCTCCTTGCCAATTCGGCGCACGAAGTTCGAACACCGCTCAATGCCATCATCAATTATCTCGAAATAGCACTCGAAGGTGCCATTGACAGCGAAACACGGGAATATCTCGCAAAGTCGCATTCGGCTTCTAAATCTCTCATTTACGTCATCAATGATTTACTCGACCTGACCAAAGCAGAGGAAGGGCATAACCTTGTCAAATTTGAGCCGTTGGATTTGATCTTCACGATTCGGGAGGCATTTGAAATGTTCCAGGGAGATGCAAAACGCAAACAGATTGACTACCAATTGGTGGAGCATCCGGGCTTGCCGACCAAAGTCATTGGGGACCAACGGAAGATTCGACAAGCGATTTCGAATATAATCGCCAATGCGATACAACATACTACCGAAGGATTTGTGCGCATAGAGGCATGGCCTACAAGATTCGAAGAGGGCAAGGCTGAAGTAGAAATCTCGGTCGAAGACTCTGGAGTTGGCATGTCAGTTGATAAGCTTGACACTTTATTCACTGAACTGGAGCAAGTGCAGGCCGGCGGCGATGGGTCTATTGGCGATGCTTTGGCCCCGAGTTCCAAGGCACTTGTACAAGATTCGCTGTCAAAGAAGACCCTCGGATTGGGCCTGGCGGTTGTGTCGCGAACAATTCGTAACATGAATGGGCAGTTGAGGGTGAAGTCGGAAGAGGGCAAGGGTTCCCGGTTTGTGATCCAGCTCCTGTTCGATCTCCCGGAAGAACAAAAGACTCCTCCAGCATTGACACAGGCTGGTGAAAAAGCTCCAGAGCCTCGTCGTGTTTCGGAGGCTTCGCCTTCCCCTGCTCCCGTAGAGGGTGAATTGTTGCTTGTGGATAGAGGTGCTGCTGCCAACACTGTTGGCCCGTCACGCTCTCTACCAAGGGATATTTCCATGGCTCGAAAGGATAGTAACGACAGCGTAGCAAGCCGGAAGAGTCTTCGCAGCCTCGAGAGTACAAAAAGCTTTATGAGCGCAATGAGTGTCAGAAGTGGAAGTGGAAAGAGTGACGTCGAAAGATTGATTGACGCCATTCAAGAACCAACCGTGGTCAGCCCAAAGGCGAAATCAACGACTCATGGCGTTCAAGGTGAACCGACAGAGTCACATCTCTCAGTACCCAATGCCCCCAGTCGCTCAGCGAGGCGCACAAACTCTCGGCCGGAAAGTGGGTCAGAGGCCGCGTTGCGTCAAGTCCTCGGAGATAAGCCTGGAGAAGCTCCTGTCACGGGCTCGAGAGTGCCGGTCAAGCCCGTGAGAATGCCGGATGAAGACTTTTCGTCAGCAACTAGTTCTGGGCAGATAGCAGAAAAGCGGAACTCCAGAGTATCGTTTGATGTGTCAGAAGAGTCAAAGAAGCTGGAAGCGCCTCCTCTGGACACTAGCCATCTCAATGTTTTGGTTGCGGAAGACGACCCGGTCAATAGCAAAATCGTCAAGAAGCGTCTTGAGAAATTGGGTCATGAAGTTTACCTTACCGTCAATGGTGAGGAGTGTGCTGGAACATATGGAGAGAAGCCAGGCTTTTTCGACGTGGTGCTCATGGATATGCAAGTGAGTTTTTCCTTGACGAAAAAGGCTTTTCTTTGGGGAAATGATGAAATCTAATCAAAAGCTTTTGCAGATGCCAATCGTTGATGGTCTCACCTCCACCAAAATGATTCGATCGTTTGAGAAGACACATGCATCCAACATACTTTCAGCCCGGGCCTCTCTCAATGGGCGAGTTCCCATTTTTGCAGTGTCGGCATCACTTGTTGAAAAGGATCGTCACATATACACCGAGGCTGGATTCGACGGTTGGATTCTCAAGCCCATTGATTTCAAACGGCTAAGCGTATTGTTTGAGGGTATCGGTAATGACGAGGCTCGAAACGCAGCGTTGTATGAAGCTGGTGAATGGGAAAGAGGTGGCTGGTTCGTGGAGCGTCAACCAGACCTCTTTGCCGCAAAGACTGCTCCTTCAGATCGCGAATCAGCTGCCTTTAAAGAGACCTCGTCCAAGGAAGAGGACAAGAAGCAGGTTGAGCAGGCTATTTCAGGTTCTGGTCATGAACCAAACCGAACATGATTGCGGATCCTGTTTTATCGCCAGAGCTCATGGTTGAGAAACAGGATGACCGACCCTCTTGCAGCAACCGAGAGCAAACCTGAAGGGTATTGATCAAAGTACCTTTCAGCTAACTCTGGCCTCACTTACCATGATACCTCAACTATCAATCCTTTGCCACTCTCTCTCCACCTCCCTTTCTACTCTACGCCTCTTGAAGCTACTGATCTATTCCGACCTCAACCCTCCCTCTCCTCTCCGGACTTTCTTCTTTTCTTTCAACTTCTCTGTCAGCCAAGGCACGAATCTTCACTCCATCCTCCTATCCAATTTACGAAACACGTCTCTTTCTTCCTGTTCAAGTAACAATATCCAGCCTTTTTTTCCATGCTCATTTTTACTTTTCCCCCCCCGCTTGGCATATTCTTGGCGTCTGCGCTTGCATCGGACGAATCTCTTTATGTTGGAATACATTTTTTTACCTTTGAACCCTTTTTTTCTTTCTCTTCAATTGCTCTCTGCATGACAGGTTCTGGAATCCTCTTATGATACCTCGGCCTTTTATTCTGTTTTTTTCACTTTTTTTTTAATTCTTATTGTTCTCTTTTTTATTTGTTATCCTTTTTTTTTGTTGCCGTTCTCAGGTTTTTCTTTTGTCGTTATTTTCTGGTTTTGGCGCAGCAGGGCATAAAAGCAACGGTCTGCCATGCAAGCAAGCAACTGAGCATTTTTTAAAAAGCACACGCACACGCACACGAATATCGGTTATGAAGATACTAAGCAACGATAGAACTGGATGGTACACGATAGATTTCATTTCCTCACCTGTTTTCTTTTTCCTTTTTCTCTCCCGTTACTTTTTACTTTTCTTTATTTTATTTTATATTCTTTTTCTTGAAACAAACATATGTCCATAGTATAATCCCTAGTCTACGTATAATATGTATAACAGTATAATTCTACGGTATTACCTTTTATTCATCTCTCTTGCCGTATCTTTTATCTATCTCTCGTGCCTTTAATTCATTTTCTCACATACCTTTCTCTTTAGTCAGTTTTCTCTCGTGCCTTTTATTCATGTTTCTCGTGTGCCTTGTGACTTGTTATTCTCCATTTCCTCTCGTACTGTTTTATTCAGTATCTCGTGCCTTTGATCTGTATTTCTCTATACTCTCCATTTTGTGCCTTTTAATCTCTATATTCTGCATTTGTTCATTTTGTGTCCTCTGTACTAGCCTCTGGCCCTCTGTATTGTGGCTTGCTGCTTGGCAGCTTGCTACTTGTCCATCTTTATATTTTTCTTTTCTTTTCTTTTCTATTCTTCTTCTTTTTTTTTTTTTTTTTTTTTTTTTTTAGGTTTGTGTTTTGTGTTTGTATATTCTTTTTGTTTATTCTCTTTCATTTACAATTTACATTCTTTGTTTTCCTTTTGTTTGTATTTTATTCTTTAAATCTTTCTTATTATATTTAGATATTCTATTTAGACTATTCTATTTTTACTTGTATTTTATTTTATAATTTATAAAAATTTTTGTTTTTGGCTTTAGGTTCTGTATTTTATATCTTCTTTTATTATCCAGTATCTCTTCTACTTTGTATTTATTTATTTCTAGTTTTAAGTTTGTTTTTTAGTTCAAACTTTAGGTTTTGTATCTTCTTTTATTTCTCCTCTCTTTCTTTTTTTTCTTTCTATTTTTTTTTCTTTTTATTATAGTTTTAAGTCTTATAAAGATACAGAGTTATAGACATGTATAGTGTACTAATATATATTTTGAATGACATTCTTCTTCTTTTTCTTCATTTTGCTATTACACTAACTACATGGTGCATCACTTCCTTTCTGTCTGGCCTGTTCAATGTTGCTTTACCATTTGTATTATATCTAGCTTAGCAACAACAACCATTTATAAGGTCGTTGTCAGAGCTCCTAGAAGGCTGGAACAGTCAAAGACTCAAGCTTCTCTACTACGATCTACCACAACATCACCATTCTGTCGTACTGCTGTAGCCTGTAGCATTTGCTTCTTTTTCTGTAGATGAGAAGAACAACACTTGATAACTTTACAATAGAGTCTGGTTATAACAGACATGTATCCTGAATGTCAATTGATAATTGTTTCTACTTATAGTCTTTAAACTCTCCGGCTATCTTTTGTTCAAGCCCCAAAGACTCAAGACTACTATTGAAGGTTTAGACTTGTAAAGATACTTTGTAGCTTTTCCTTTTTCCTTTTGAGTTTTCTACTTTACTCTTTGGACGTAAGACTTTGGCTTGGACCTTTGACTTTAACTTTTAATTTGAGACAAGTGAACATTGGATGTTGGACTCTGTCTTTAACTTTTGACTTTAGAACGTAGAAACTAAACGATGACACTGAACACTTTATTTATCAATAGACTCTTTTAATCTGCGAATCTACAGGGGAAAGTAATTGGAGCAATTCTACATATTATTCAGCTATATGACAAATCTGCCTCAGGTTCCCATCTCTCAGACATGCTTGATACTAGATAGGTAGGTAGGTAGGTAGGTAGGTACATATTACAGAATTACATGGTACGATACCGCGCTGCTGGTATACAGAATACATGATAAGATACTGCCATGCTACCGATATACATGCTCAGCTCATTAACACGAGTTTTCAATCATCAAAATCGTAATCGTCATCGTCTTCTTCGGGTAGCAGGGCACGGTATCGTCGAGAAGTCAAGTCTTCTTCGAGACCGCCGTCGGATTCGGGGTCGACGTAGCCTAGTACTGTGTTAGTGTATATGAAAACAAACGTGATGGTTTAGTGTAATAGAACAGAAAGAATAGATGTGGAGTGTGACGCATGGGAATAGACGTGAAAGATGGGCAAATGGACAATGGACAGTGAACAGTGGACAATTGACAATGGAAAATGAAACTCACCCTCTCCACCGACAAGACTCAAGGCGACGGGCAAAAAGACCAGAGCATGCGTGGCGGCCAAGACGACGAGGGAGAGCCAGATTCGGAAATAGTAAATTTCAAAAATCTTGCTGCGGGTAAAGGCCAGGACAATGACTCCTAGTAGTTTGGTCACCGTGATGCCGCTAAACACGCTGCTTCCCACATTGACGAGGGCAGTCCAGGCACGGGCATCGCGGCCACGGAACTTGCTCTTTGCGCGCTCCATAATGTTGCGAGACGGGAACATGAAGGCGCGAGCAATGTGCGCGCAAAACTCGACGCCAATGCCGACGCATATGACCAAGTTGACGAGTGACACTGCATTGAGGGAGACGCCAAACAGGGCCATGCTGCCGATAATGTCGATGACAATCATAATGACAGTGATGGTGACCACGGCGCCAGTCATCACGGAACCGAGCAGGGTCGAGGACACGACGAGAATCATGGCGAGTGCGGAGCCGAGCAGAGTACCCGCGAGACGGACAATCGTTGCGTATTGGTCAAAGAAGATGTAGAATTTAGAATACGGGAACACATCCACTCCGGTATGTTCGCGGAGGGTATTGGCGATGCGTCGCGCAGAGGCGTACGCGTTGATAAAATCTTCTTGGCTGCGAAGCGGCGTGTGACTGGATCGGAAATGGCTGGCAGGAGTGGTGAGACGGGCTTGGTCAATGACAAGAGCGTCTCCGTAGGCGGCCTTGCCGGCTACAGGACAGGATTCGTCTGTGGGTGATTCGATCCATTTGGAGAGATAATCTATGAATTCTTGCCCCTCAGGCATGCCATAGAGGGTAATATTCCATGGTGGGTTGCGGTTTTCAAAGCAAACCTCACCAGTAGCGCCTTCGACGCAACATTCCTCTAGTGCGGGATTGAGCCAAATAAAGTAGTCATCGATCCAGCTTGCCGCGGGCTCAGAAATGTAAGAAATGTTAGGCCGTTTCCGCTCCTGTTCAAGCACATTGACAATGGAAAAGGGATCGCAGGTTGAGAACCGGCCGCAGAGCTGTTGCTGGTGAGCGCGTTGTGTGGTGTTGAGTTCGCGCGTGACAAAATAGACGGGTGGTCCAGAGTCAAAGTAGTCGTATAGATCGTTAAAGTAGTTGATCAGATACGAATCGCTGGGGATAGCAATGCGCTGGTCAAGTCCCAGAGAAACTCGCGGGATAAGCGCAATTGCAGCAGTGAAGAGCCCAAGGAATGCAACAACTATCCCGACCTTGGTCTTGCGGTTGAGCAGAGCAGGAGCATAAATTCGACGGACAAATTTCTGAACAAGCCCTTCGTCCTCGGCAGCATATGGCCGTCCACCTGTCAGGCTGCTGGATAGACCCTCCGAATTTCGGACCTTGATGCATGGGAAGCAGTCTGTCCGGTTGCTCTCAACACGGCGCTGGTTCAATGTGAGGACAGACACAAACATGGTCACTTGCAAAAGGGCATTGATGAACACCGCTCCCGCCGCGTATACCGCAAAATTCCTCACCGCGGGCATATCAACCACAGCGCCCAGAGCAAAGGCAATCGTCTCGGTAGTGGCCGAGAGGAGAATACTAGGGCCCATGCGGCCAAGAGCCTTGCTGACGCGCAGCTCGATAGTATCGTCCGGATGGCTGACATTGATACGCTCAAACTCGTGAACAATGAGGAAGATATTGTCCACTCCAACAGCGAGCACCAAAAATGGAATCACCTCGGCAATGATAAGAGTAACCTTGACGCCAGCCGCCGCAAACAAGCCAACAGACGCTGATACAGACATCAAGACTATGATAATGCCAAAGATGCCTAGCGTGAACTTGGACTGCACCAGCGCACTTGCGGGACGGTACAGGATTGACTTTGTTGCCAAAGTCGTAGATCCCAACGCCAATGATGCGTAGATGAACATGATGATATAACTCACCACGACAATCTTCGCATCAGTATTTGTCGATTTATTTAGTTCTTCCTCCAGACTGATCTCGGTCGAAAAGGACAGTCGCAGACCCATGTCCCGTGCTTCGTCTTGCACTGCCAGCAGCAGCGATTTGAGGCTGCGCTCCCAGTCCATGGCATATGCCTCTTCACCTGAGCCCTCGGGATGATTCTTCACCACCCACGTCACAATTAGCGCCTTTGAGTCGACCACATCCCCAGTTTCCTCCCATCCGCCCAGAATCATCTCCCTTTTGAGAGGCTGCTGGAAATCAGGCAAGCAGTTGACCGGCGAAGCTGTACAAGCTCTCAAGTCATCCTGCCATGTGTCCGGGTCAACGCTGCTGAACATGCCTCCGAAATACCCGGTCACGGATTGTACGACACAAGCATCGCCAGTCGGTTTATAGCAGACTTCATCGAAAGTGCCTCCATTGGAGATGGATTTGAGTCGCTGCACACGCTGTTCCACATCAAACCACCATCCAAGTGTATCATAACTTAAGACTGGACCGGGTTCAGAGCCCGTATCATTGACCAGGAAGGCTTGTTGTGCACGGAAGAACGGTCCAAACTTTTCATCAAAGAATGCCTTTTCTTCCGCTGCAGCCGAGTTGGGGCTGACCCATAGGCGTACAGGGTCCCTTTCGACTGCGAACCTAACCCACCCGATACTCAAGAGCCCAACAATGACGATGCTCGTTCCGATAGTAATTGCGGGGAAGCGGGCCGCAATCTCTCCTAATTTGCGGAACACCTTGTCGAAAAAAGTGTTTAGCCGATAGTACTTTTGCGGCCGATCTAAAAAGCCAGCATCGAGAACCACATCGCCTTCATCCTCATCATCGCTTGCAGCCGCGTCCTGCAATAGCCGCAGTCGTTCGCTCTTGTGTCTAGCATGTCTCTGGTATGCTACATGTCCTGAGACGACCGCGACAAGGACCAATAGGAAAACTGAATAGACGATAATGACGGCAAACGAAAGGCAATGAAGCGCGCCAACATGACATGTTTTCGCCTCTGCCACCTCCGGTAATGCCGGACACACTGCCGGACAATCCACACAGGCGCAACGGTACCGGGTGTCTGTATCATTGCATTGCTTCGGGGTATTGTCCATGGCGCTCATGCCGTCCTTCTCGCGCCCTGCCGGCCTAGGAAAGTTCAACTGAAACGGGCTCCCAAATGGTTTCTCGTCTCCCAGGAACTTTAGGAAGGAAGTGTAATTCTTGGCGCCACCGCCAATAAGGTCCATTGCATAACCGTTGGTCCCAGAAAACTTGACATCTTTGCAACTGTCATAGAATCCCGTTCCGTAGGTATCAGATACAAGAGTATCGAGTTCCGTGACAATAAGCTTTTTGCTCGAAGCTAGCTGCGTTTTGGTGACATTGACGAAAAGCGACTGGTCAGGTGAGCAGGTAAATGTGCAAAAGAGATTGAAAAAATTCTCCTTGCATGCCGGACACGACGCGATAATGGTCTCTGCACGCTTCAGATTGCTAGATAAAGCATCAAGCTGATATAGGTCAGCTTCTGAGGCTCCAAAAATACACTGTCCCCACCCGGATTACACATACCTGATCCTCTTGGCAACAGACCGGTCCCTCGGACCATTTGTCTCCACAGATATTGACCAGCCTTTCGCGCACAGCATCTGACGGATCTTCAGCAGGTCCATTATCAGGACACGGCAGCTGTCCGCCAAAGAAGGACTTTTTCCCGCAGTGTCCTCGAATGGCGCACCGACCGGGCTCGTGCTTGTACGTCCACTCGTCATCGCTATCCCCCGAGACAAGGACGGCAAAAAGTGCCAGCCAAAATATGAAGAGAAATCGATGAAATGAAAGTCGTTGACCCATCATCCTCACTAGAAATTGAGGCGTCCTCTCAGCGTCAAGTAGTCACTTGCGATGGCGACAGCATGTGAAGCTTAAGCTTGTACCTGCATCTGGTCCCTGCAAAGCCGTTGATGACGTGAGTTTGCGGCAATACTGATAAGAGAGAACCTTATTCGGGAAAGACTGATGCTTTTACTGAGTTCAAAGAGAGATTGGCCGTCGCTATTATATCGATACTTCTGCGTAAAATTAGAGAGATATGAAGGTGACCCCGAGAAGAGAGAGAAGGCGTTGTCTCATGCCAGATGGGGGTTTGGCCACCAGGGTCGGAGAGACAGCGACGAGACAGATGACACCATGAGCTCCCTCGCCTATCGTCGGTTCGGCTCTGTATCCCGCCCCAACCCCATCATTTCAAACCTTAATCCTTGCCAGCGTACAGTTATCCGTTACTGCATTGCACATACAGAATACACTTGACAGCTTCACAAGATACAAAGAATGTAGTTGGTGGTATGAGTAAAATCCAATCATCACATTGATAGTCAAAATCACTCCATGAAAAGCTAGTTAATTGTATTCAATTAGATGCAATCGACCAGCAATACTTTTTTTTTATTCTCATTCCGCTTCCACTCCCACGCACACTCTCTCCTCGATGGCTAAATTACACGCGATAATATCTGAATGACAAAAGGAAAGCTACCTAATAATTCGCCAAGCATCCAAATAAAAGGAGCAGACGGACACGCATAGAAGAGAAAACCAGTGATAGCAGACAAAGTGAATTCGTAGGAGAATGTTGGATCACAAGCTTTAACCCTCGCTCCGTATGACGCAGTAGAAAATGTATGCTACAACGACTTTCAAAAGTATTTGCCGTACCCATGAACCCGATCCGAGCCGGACAAACTGCCCTAGCACAATGCGCGGTGGCTCGCCGACCTCATTAGGTATAAGACAAAATCAATGAAAGAATGATGAAAAAGGGGAAAATGAATATGAAAAAAGAAAATAAGAAAATAAAAGAAAAAAGAGAATAAACGGAGCGGAAGAGCAAAACAGAAGCTAAAGAAGTGAAGAAATGTCTGTTATCAATGCAGACCCCTTCGGTTAAGAAAAGAACGTCGGGACTTAGAGTCCATTGCCCTTACAGGCTCTGGACGCCACTTCTGTTATTCACGAGTCGCCGCCAGCAGGGGCAGGCGCGGGAGCGGATGATGGAGCAGAACCATCAGCACCGCTCGCCGGGCCGCGAGCAAAGCTTCCTCTGCCGCCACGACCACGGCCCCGATCACCACCTCGGCCTCTTCCGCGGCCAAAGCCTCCACGGCCACGACCAGTGTCGCTATCGCTAGCTCCACCGCTTCGGGGACCAGCAGTGGCACCACCGCGGCGGCTTGCCTGCCATCTTCCAGCGCCGTCTCGGGGTAGACGCTCCTCAAAGACCTTCATGCTTGGCTTGTCAGATGTAGTTCCCGGAGGGATACGTTTCTTGTGATCAGCGGGCTGGCGGTCCAGGGCGGCTTGCATTTCCTCGTGCGTGTTGAAGTGGACCGAATAGGTCTGACCCGCGCGACGCTCATCGACACGAACAATTTTCGACTTGTCGTCTTCCGTAAAGAGATCGCGAACAGCCTGCTCAGATTGGACGTTTGTTATGTAGATGCCAGTGCTGGGCTTCTTCTCGATTGGAGAGGCATTTCGCTGAAGGGGCGATGTAGTAGGCTTCTCGGTACCGTTGCGGACATCCGTCGTGGCAGCGGCAGTTGGCTGAGAGGCAGGGGCGGAAGCGGCGGCGGGTTTCTCGGTTGCAGGCGCTGCGCTGTTAGGAGCGGGTTGAGGGGTAGCAGGCTTGATGAGTGGGGTGGCAACGGCGGGAGATGGCGAAGGACCAGAGCGAGTAGGGCCGACGGGCGGCTTCATCTGCTGCGTAGACTGGACCGCCGGGGGAGCAGGAGCTCGTGGCTGGGGCTTCGCGGCCTGAGTCTGGTTGGCGACAGGTGGGGGACCGGGCACAGCTGGTGACTGAGTTTGCACTGGCGGCGTGGCAGCACCGGGGACAGGAGCAGCGCCGGGCGTCGGTGTAGCAACGCCGTGCTTGCCGGTACGGTGTGCAAAATTGAAACCTTGCGCGCGCATCTCGGTTCCAATCCTGCCACCTTCAATGTCCAAGACGAGCCATCCAAAGGCGGCGTCAGCGAGGTTGAAGTTCCACATATTCTTGAATGCGCTTTCGTCCACCTGTCCGCCTACATTGGGGCCGCCGACAGGTCCACCAAACGGATTTCCACCATTGGCTACCGACGGCATCTTCTGTACAATTTCCAAGGCATTTTGCAGGAGAGTTTGCTGCGCCTCATTCTGAGCGACAGCAGGCTCTACCTCGCCCTTGACCGTCTCCCACACGTCATGGAAAGAGGCCTTGGAGGCGGCGAGCTTGCCCCGGTAGTGGTCGAGCGTAGGGTTGACGCTGAATTCATTGTATGAGCTGCTATAGCGGAAATGCAGACCAGCGGAAATGGAAAAATCGGCCTTGAGCGTGACAGACAGCTGGTTCAAAAGACCCTCGCGCGCAGGCGACGCATGAGTGACAAAGACACGGGTCTCGGTCGGGTCGTAGACGCGGTTTGCCGTATCCACCAGCTCACCCATCTGTAGTAACGTAGTCCACATGGTGCCTTGACCGCCTGCTATTGTTGTCCGACCCTCGCCATTGTCGAAGAGCTTGTGCATCACTACGGCGCCGCCAAGACCAAGCAATCGAAGCTTCACACCACCAACATCAAGCAACCGAGAGTTCGCCTCGTCGATGATGTGCAAGTTGTTAACCTTGTACTCTCCAGATCGGAACTTCTCCAGCACGCGAACATCCTCGCAGGCACCCCACACAGTGTAGACGGGAACGTCCAAAGTATATTTCTTGTTTAAAAAGGACGGCAACTCGGATAGCGGGAGCTGATCGGCAGGGAAGCGTTGCCGGATTGAAGGGCCCTGCGGCGGAGACTGGGCAATGGCGCGCTTGGTCTGATCAGAGATGAGGGGAGAATATTGAGCGACATGCTTGAGGGTCCTAGTGGAGGTCGCAATTAGAATGAAATCCAGGCACGTGCTCAATAAGCAGCTCCACTTACTTGTCGGCGATTCGCTCAAGAGACGTCTCATCGTAGAATCCAAAGTCACCAGTATGAATAACGTAATTCGCCCGCGCTTGCTTGGCAAGGTCGTTCAGTGATTGAAGGTTTCCTAGAACAAATGACGTATTAGAGGACATAAAGCTTTTTTTAAGAACAGAATACAGAATCTTCTTCTATCTGACTTACCGCGAACATCAGCTACACACAGCACTCTTTGGTTTCCAACCTGCGTTACACGGCCATTATTTGAGGAAAATGAACCAGAACCAACAGCGGGAGCACCGGTCTGGGGTCCCGACGCGCCGTTGGGAAGGAAATTTTGGTTGTAAGGGAGAGGGCGCGGTTGAGCTTGCGTCTGAGAAAGTCAGCACATAACAGAGACATTGGGTAGGCTTGAGCCCACGCCTGAGACGGGCAAAAGGGAGGCAAGCTTACCGAAGCCATGTGAATTGCTTTTGAAAATGGAAGCGACAAAGTATTAAAGTCGATGAAGCCTCTGTGGCAAGTGTGACGAGATGAGTAGATGTTGTTGATGCGGATGTGTCGAAGAAGACTGGTTATGAAGGATGATGAAGCTGTCTAAATGAAGTCGGGAAGAAGGACTCTGTTCAAAAAGTGAAGAAAAAGGGAATCTAAAGAGTCGAAATGAGATGGAACAGATGAAGAGTGAGTAAACCGGGAAGGTACGACCCTTGAATGGTGAAGGTAGAAGTGTCAAGGGTAGTAGTGAGTGGATCGTTCAGGAAGCTGATCGATTCGCTGAGAGGAATCGGCGGTGCCTGACGACAGAATAAGAGACTTAAGGAAGGAAAGAGGCAGCGACAAGCACGCACACAAGAGTACGGCAAGTGAAGGGATTATCGTGTTTCTTGGAAAAGAGAAGAAGAAGAATTGAGTGATGGATTGTCTCTGAGTCTCTCTTCCGCCAAAAGAACTAAAGAGTTGTGATTGTAGCCAGCAGAGCGTGTGGCAGCAGCAGTAGCAGTAGTGACTACCGTAGCAAGTACAGTACTATGGAAGAGCAAAGTAGCCGGGAAATCAACCAATGGGAGCTCAGCTGAGGTTGAGACTTGCCAAAAGAAGTATTTAACTGATTGTACTTACCTTAGATGGTTAGCACTGATGTCAGGTGTAGATTAAATCACACTTGGAGTAATCACTAGTCTGTTTACGTCGCGATGCAGCTCCAGCTCACTGTGACTGTCGAATCACAGAGAGACTCCTTCGCAACAGTAGAAGAGACAGAGCTTGGATTAAGGGGTTCCTGTAACGGCCACGATAGTTATGTCAAAAAAACTCTACCAACATGTAACTATTAGTGTTCTACTCAAGAATACTATCTGATTGGCTCCAGACCAGAAAGAGCCCTTGACGAGGACCCAGCAACTTGTTTAACTTACAGGGATTATCGATTCGTATGGCTGCCACCAACATATCTTTCCAGTCGCCAACGCTCCAGCCATGTGCAACATCAATGTATTCCTTGACACTAACCGCGTTTTCTCCTGGCTGATAGGATAAACACAAAAGCCCGATGAGGCCGCATGCTGACTCGCCATGGCTTCCCAAACGGGTCCGAGGGGTGCCGTTCAACCGCAAGGCCTACTCACGAAATATAACGTTTGGGGGCCATCTCCCTTTCTCTTTTTCACTTTTCAATTCTTACCTAGCTCAGATTGCTGATCCATTCTTTCGTTTCTTGTTCTTTCACCGTCGTCCTCCTCTTCTTTTTCCCCCCTAACTGGGGTGGTTAAATAATTTAGGATTCAGGACAGAGATTGCCAAAATGCTGTTCTTTCCATTCTTACTCCTCTTATTCCATGTACTTCATGTGCAAGGCCTCGAAGTTTCCAACAATTCAGCATGCGCTGATATCTGCGGCGGCGGCTCAACATTCTCCTCTGACCTTGTCTGCGCCGACACTGACTACGATAATACCAGTCAGGGCAAGGCGATGCGCCAATGTTTACAATGCGAGGGCAACAGTACCGCTTACGAAGGCCCCTGGGACAATGATATTTATTGGTTTTTATGTGAGCATCTCGTCACGTTTGCTCCTTCGGCGGCCGACGATTTATGACCATTACTTTTTTACCGCTTCTACATTCCTCAATTTTGCTTCGCTATATCTCCTCTACGCTCGGCCGACATGTGCAATTGGCCGATCAGCATTGCGCTTGATATATGAGCCCAGTGACCATTATCTCCCTTTCCTAATATCAAATATCACTCAGTCATGAATCCACATAATCTCCTCTACCTGACTCGTAAGCGCAGCCAACTAATCTTGTGTACCTTAGTCAATATGAAATACACTGCTCAAGAATGCCTTTTCGGAGGCAACAGCAGCCCCCAACTAACTGCTTGCAACGCAACCTGTACCCCGCTCAAGAAAACTCTATTGACATTATGGCTCCTACCTCCTCGCCCGCCACTATACGATTATTGTAGCGTCGACAATGGCGCTTTTATCCATTACGGAGGCGGATGCGCAAATTGCTTAGAAAACACACTAGGCAGTGTGATTTTAGGAAATTGTATGTCCTTTTATGCTACTCTAGAACACTATATCACCTCAAAAGAGATGCGCATATCTTCCGGTTCTCTAGTAACATCAACTAATACCCGTCCAGTCCTCAGTACCATGCTCTCAGCATGTGGCAATCAACCTAATGCATCCAAGAGCGAAACCATCAGTATACCCCGCAAGTTATTCATGACCGCTACTCTCGGGAACGTTCCTACATCCTCATCTTCGGCATCATCTGCATTGGCTTCAACGTCCGCGTCAACAACATCAACCTCCAGCCCCACCACATCATCTTCTCCCTCTTCATCGCCTTCTTCGGGTCTCAGCACAGGCGCCAAAGCGGGCATAGGCGCAGGCATTGGTGCCGGAGCCGTTGTGGCCCTCGCTGCGATCGGTGTCTTCTTCTTCGTCGTCCGGCCGCGCCGCAGACGCCAGGCTGAAGGTGGCGAATATGCCATTGCGCCTCAGACTGGCTCGCCTCCAACTGGTCCCTACGAGATAGAGGCCAAAGAAGGTAGCCCAGGGAAATTAGGGGAACACAATTCCGCGGTCGAGTTGCAGTCCAGGGCGGTCCACGAGGCTGATGGAACAACCCAGATGGCTGAATTGCCTGCTGATAATCATTGATTGACGGTCTTCATACCTAAATCTGTTCTTCTTTTCTCAATTTTTATTCTCCTCTTTTTTCTTTTCCGTTTCATTTATTCCCCCCAAACCAAACCTTTTGAGATTGATCACGAAGGAACTGATTTCGAATTATTGTCTGCATTTCATTACTTCCATTTATGGCCATGCATTTTGAGGATTGTATGCACAATTGTCACTAGTGTCGAGCGTTGCACTGTCAGCGTTAAAGCGTCAATGTCGCCTTGAGGGTCTCCCTGTTAGTATCTTTAGCATTTATCCCATGACGGTGATATGGACGTTGGGATGTAATAAATTTGTGTACTCTATAGAATCAAAGAAGACAAAAGAAAAATTGGGTATCGTGTTTCATGTACAAGTCAAGTGGCCTTATTTTGGGCCTAGTATTTAGCTTGCCACTTCCATTTTCTCGCCGCTCTTGCGTGCGGGCTCAGACTCCGAATCTTGCTCTTGGTCTACTTCAATCACGCCTGATACCCCACTTAGTGTCGTGGTACTTGCATTTTCCACATCCTCTTCGCTTCTGCTCGGAGAAAGTCTTGAGCCGGGTTGTAGATTAGCTACCAGGCCAGAATCGTGCTGTTCTTTGTGAGGCTTAAGTTTGAATGGGAAGGCAATCCCGCCAGAATATGCGCGGCGGAGAGAGGGATTGAATTTTATTTCTGGATCTGAATACGGGAGATTGGCGGAATTAGGATCCATTGCTGCTGCCGCGACAGCGTCGCTTCCGCCGAAGATGCCACCATCTGGAAGGGAGATTTGTGGTGGCCTTTGACCTCCAGGATATGTACCGTCAGTATCGCCATTCGCTTTCCGGCGCTGGATGAGCGCTTCAGCGGGTGTGTTTTCATCAATGTCGCTGTCAAGAGGATTGGCTTGTCCAGCGTCTGTGACAGTGCGACGACGACGAGAGCGAGAGCGCGTGGGCGAATTTTCAGTCTGGAGCGCCTGCAGTGTGTTTCGATGCTGCTGCGCAGTTGAAGCGTTGAGCTCAGGTTCGGCGGTAGATGTCGTAGTTGCATTTTTATCAAGAGGTTCATTGGTAGGGACTCCAGTTGGCGGCTCCGGTGGTACTTTGAAACCCTCTTCTTGTCCAAATCTGGCTTCGCGTTCAAGCTGCATAAACGCGTGCGTTAGCCGGCACTTAACAAGGGGATGGGGGAGCGGGAATATATTAGAAAAGAGAGATGAATTTGCTGACATACCGTCTTTTCGTCATGGCTGCTTCCCCATCCGCTCCACATAGTGATTCCCCAACTCTTCGATCTTTTCTTTTCCTTTGGCACGGCCGTTTTGCTGCGGCGACCGGCAAGTGCAGATGGCGGGGGCATTTCATTTCCCTCAAAAGAAACATATCCCTCTGCTATCTCCCTTGCCATTTGTGTCTGCACTGCTCTCTTTTGTCGCGCGTACTTTTTATCCCACAACTGTTTCGCAGCCAGCCACTTGCGTACTGGACCAGGCTTGATCACACCAATTTCGTCGGGGTGCATTTGAAGCGCTGATATTGCAGATACTGGAGCAAGTGGGTATATTTTTCCGTGGCGATCAACTCGTTGCCGAATCATATGGTTCTTGAAACGGGGAAGAGGATCGCCTGCTCTGCCGACTTGGTCTGTAGGGATGTCTTCTTTGGGCACGCCCATTTTCTCTTCCGGTCGAAGGGGGGTGTCGGCGCCTGTGTCAGTGTCGGAAGAGATTACGGAAACATCATCATCGTCGGGTATTTCTATTTCTGTACTTTGCGCTCGTGCCAAGACCCAGGCACCAAATTGTGCTATGGACCGATACATATGCTTTGCCGGGGCGGTGAAACTAAGCGTTGGAGGGACGTGGCATAGGTCGTCCCAGACCTGGAGTTGCACATGCGTAGCACTGTATCTGGAAATAGTTTCCCTCGAGCCTGGATCTCTATCAAGATGGGCCTCGCAAGGAGGATACTTCGTAGGGTTGGCGGCCTTATGGGCAAGGTATACTTGCTCGTCTCGTAGCAATTCGCCACCACCAGTGAGAACTAAGAGCGGTGGAAGCCCGCCAAGTGATGGTTGAAGAACAGGAGAAACGAGTGGATGTGAGAGAAGGTGGTTCGTAGTGTACAGTTGTATCTGGTCAATGATCTCAACAAGTTTACCGTCAAGCGTGATGGACAGATTCCGAGTAGGGCTCGGTATGGTATTTCCGGGTGAAACGGCGTCAGTGCGTTGGGCTTCACACGGTTCAGTTGCATCGGTCTTCCCATTGGTTTCAGAAAGGCCTCGTTGAATAGTGAAACCCTGCACTGCCGAGTCTTCTGCTCTTTTCGGGTCCAGCTGAGGGCCCTTTGTGCTGTGATGAGGACGCGAGAAACTAGCTCGCATTGAGCGCCTCCTACTGCTGGATATCTTTTGGCCTTTGGTGATTCTTTCCATGTCTACTGCATTTGGAGGGGGCCACGAAGCTGATGGCCGCTGAAGGAAGCCGTGTGCAGGAATATAGTCCAGTTGGCTGTCTCCAGCAACACTAGGGAAGGAATGGGTCAGGTCAACCCACGGGGAGATCAGAATAGCGCCAGCCGGCATTGGCAGGCCACGGTCTCGAATAGTGACCAACACACTATTTATGAAATTAGCATGAAGGAATTATCTCCCCCTATTTTACTTACCTCACGACCATGCCACCTCCAGCTGAATCGCCTGCCAGTACAATCGTTGAGGGATCCTGAATAGTCAAAAGGTACAGATAGGCAGCAAGACAGTCATGAAGGCCGCAAGGGAAAGGAAATTGAGGAGCAAGGCGATAGCGTGCTGACCAATCGAATTAGAGCCATAATTTTCTCGGAGTCCCGCTACTATAAACTTACTGCTTATCATTAGTATGGTCAGACTCAAATCCTATTGAGAAGACTTACCGCGCAAATACTCGAGCTTTGAGTTTCCGTGCATGACGCTGCATCTGGTATCTGTGCTCGTCGACACTTCCAAAGAAATATGCTCCTCCGTGCACATACAACATCACCCTCTTGCCCTGGTCCCCGGCCTTCTTCCTTTCCAGGTAGTCTGTACGCATTTCAATCCATTCGGCTTTGAGCAGGCATGGCTCTTGCCGCCACTGCCACCATGATTGACCACCTATCTCTTCGATACCATGAGGTCCCAGCTGTGCCTGCAAGACATTTGCGGCTTCTGAAATCTTCTCCTCTGGAATTACAACTTCCTGAAGTTTCACCCATGCAGGGGTAGGAACCTTTTGGGAGGTGAATTGCTGTACCTCATCCACAGTATGATGAGATGCATATTCCAAGAACTTTCGAATTAACGCTAGACCTTCATGATAGGAAATATGCGCAGTTGGCTTTCGTCGGAGAGGCTTCCGATTAAAGTACTGTCGCTGAAGTCAGCATTTACAACCATCTATATATACGGCAAGGGAAAATTTCGAATAAAGCCCACATGAGAGAAATAGGTTTCAATGACAGCAGGAGTGACTGCAGCTCCAACGGTCAATGTATTAAAAGGCATAATTGCAATTCCAATTTTGCATCTGCTAAACAACAAGAGCTCCCTGTCGCACATAAACAATAGTTAGCCTCCGGGGAGAAGGTCTTGCTGACATAAGCAACTTTAAGCTCACCAACGTCATTTATGGGCTACAGGGGACGGGAGAGACGGGGAAAGCCAAGCGGGATCAGGGGTACTCCGTAAGGGCGGCGGCAAATGCCGTCCTCTCCACCATGTTTCCAAAACTTTTTTGTTATCGACCTATCTAGCACCGTTGGAATTAACGCGCTGAGAAGTCTGCGGTACCCAACGTTCATTCCTCCAAAGCCAGAATTACAAATCGAAAAGATGGCCACCAATATGCAAACTCAGGCGAACCCGCCTCTTCCTTCTGCAGGTGAGCAATTCTTGAACATATCTCATTGTTGTAATGACACAAGAGCTTTTGCTAACCCCCGCATAGAGATCATTCAGTCTCAGTTCGACATGGCAATCGCCCTTGCTCTTGCCAACTGGCCGGCTTTGACACTCGCGGTACAAAATCAATGGGGTGGTCCTGACAGCGCCGATAAACGAGATTGGTTTGCTGGAGCAGTTTCTGATCTTTTCCTGTCGGACCCGGAAACGGATGCTCAGGATGTCGAGGATATGCTGTTGCAGGTCATGAATGACGAATTCGATGTCAATGTCGACGATGACAGTGCTCTTGCAGTAGCCAACGAGATCTTGCTCTTGCGAAAGGATGCCTTTGAGGGAAACTTCAACCGCATCACTGAAATGCAGCAGCGATGGTCGGAAAAGAAGGGCAAGAGCAATATCAATATTTCAAAAGGCGAGGGAGAAGACGAGAGCGATTCAGATGACAGCGATGAGTCGGAGGACGATTATTCCGACATGGGTGATAACTCGCGCCCGGCTGCTGCGCCAAAGCCCAAACCCGTTCCCGAGGTGGACGACGATGGCTTCACTAAGGTTGTCGGCAAGAAGAGGTGAAAGATGAGGTCTTGGTCTGAATGTTTAAGATATCATTTAGTATTTTGGCTCAGCGCATGAGAGGCGTTACGGATTACAAAAGGTGCAAGCGTTTGAAAATCATATTTGCCATTCAATCTTCATGTAGAATTTATGCATTACAAACATCAATTGTTACTAAGACATGTATTTGATGATATCTACGAGCAGTTTACTCCAAAATTTGGCGAAGTAATCACAGAAAAGCGCTTAGCAAGTGCCTATCAAAATTATGAGAGGGGTAATAAGCTCGCCTGTGCTGTATATCGTGAACAATCTTCCTGCTCAGAGCCGGTGAATCCGCCCATGGAAATGTCAGACCTATGAACCTCTGGCTTAGCACGTGAACAGTCAGACATGGTTCAAGACGCAGGCAAACCACTTCCTGTTGGAAAAAAAAAATATCCGAATACCCAGTAATGCACAACGATGCCAAATCATACGCCGGGCTCCTGTAGCAAATTGACTGTCTCGACAGTATGAGTCAGCGGGGAATTGCAAAAAGCAAAAAGCATATTCAGGTCGAGGGTTTTCTCGATAAAATGCGCCTTTCCAGTTTCACCCATCATCCTTCATCCTCGCCCAGTTGCTGATAGATGTGGCGACTGCGCTGCGGGTCCTTGCGCATAGCCTGACCAGACCCGGTGAAACCGACTGTGCATAAGCATTAGCGACCACCATAGCAGATACAACAAACAGGATGACCACTTACCTCGTGCATTAACACCATCCGGGGTCCTGAACATGCTGTCCTTCTTGGCGCCCTTGCCCAACTTGGACTTGTTGGCGAAATCTTGCCACTTATTCTTGCCAGCCTCCAGTTCTCTTGTGGCCTTGATCTTCTTCGGGACCTTGGGAGGTCTCGACGGGCCATCGCCCACTTTGCTAGGTTCCGTTCTGACCTTGTTCGCAAGGTCAGGATCGATGTTAGCCGCCGCTGAGATGACGCTCGTGCTACCTGTAGTGGGTGTCGACGCTGGCGAGTCGTCAGCTTTACGCTTCCGAGAATCATTCTGCATGGGCCTGATATCCCTGGCGGAAAGAGCTTCTGTCGTAGAATAGGACTTGAAGGTCACATAATATATTGGCGCCGTCGATGACCCGGTAATTGACGTGATCCTAGCAGGATAGAAAGCATTATCTCCTGACACCCACTTCGCCATGACAGTGTCATTGACAGAGAATATTACAGGTGCTTCATCGGCCGGGCTTTTCAGGGAAACTGGTTTACGATACTCGCTTTGAAATGCCGGATGATTCTCTCGAGACCATTTCTCTTTCACGGGCGGAGGAGACGGGTTCTTGGGTGCCGGTGCTGAGGCTGGTTTTAGTTCTGCTATGGCGGTCTCGGTGAGGGAGATGACTTCTTTCAGCTCAGCTGCTAGATTTCGAAGCTCCGCATTGTCAGGGTCAGCTTGCAGCCCTGTCTGAACAGTTTCCAACTGGGAATTCGAGTCAGCAATGACCAGCAATGGGAGGATAAGAATAGAAGAATACCTGTAGCTTGTACTCCTTAATTTCCGCCTCGAGCGACGCAATTTCGTTGCTCATAATTGCAATTGATTATTTAGCAAGCGATCAAATTGATAGGCGCAGCGTATGATGTGAAGTCGAAACCCGTTTAGCATCAGGCGTTGGGAAGTTGTTGAACGTGCTCAGTTATGTGTAAGTTGGTCTGATAGGCGATAAACCACGATTTAGTGAAGCACAAGACGGGTAACGAAAAATCTCCCGCACGTGATCTGATAATTGTATTCTTACAAACTGCAGCGCATGAGAAAAGATAGAGTAAAATTGATTTCATTTTAAATCAATATATACCCTATTTGATATAAAATTAACCAGACCTTGATTGTACTAAATTGATATTTTGTCATAGAGCAAAACAAAAATACGCACGTGCCGATTTTATCACAATAGAGATGATCAGATAACCACACCGTTAAAGGCCCTCGAGTTTTAATCCCCATTTTTATCGCCCGGAACAGGTACGGAGGTAGATCGAGGGATGATCTGTTTCTCGGCTTTCGCTTCTAAGGGTCTTGGCTCAAGATGGTCCGTTGCCTTCAGCCCCTCCTTGGACCTTCGATCCTCTCCAAGGCAAGGTACGCAGCTACAAGAGACCGAACTGGGAGACAAGGCAACTTTCCCTCGTTCCCACAGCCATAAAGTATCGTCACAAAGAGGTCCAGCGAGGTACTATACGTACTTCAGCATTTCTGACTGATCTCTTCCATGGATTTCCACCAGTCCAAGACGTAAATTGTTCTCGAACGGTCGATAGCGCTGCGGGTGGTGATCAAGCTGTATTTCTAATCATCCCCTGCAATGACGATGGCGTTTCCGTATGTTCTCTAGCACGAGTGCCGTCCTTGCACCAAGAGGACCCTCAGCCATGGGCGAACATGGCAAATGGGATGTCCCCGCTCTGAGGCCATCCCATTGGTAAATTCCACCCCTCCTGTCCCTCGTCGTTTCCCTTCAGGGGAGAAATGAAATCCGAACATGACGAGGCTCGGGTGGTGGCCTTGGGGCAAAAAGAGAGAGAATGCCGAACGCTTTTTCTGATGCCCGCCTTCGTCTTAGCATAACGACGGCTCGGCGCCCTTATTCCCTCACTCGTCCACGACTCCGGGCTTCTCTAAGCTGTGTCGTTGCTTTCACCCCCTGCTAAACGTTCGCTCGTTTTCGAACCTCAGTGGTGCACCTTGAGTCATTGCCCAATCGTACATCTCATCCCACCCATCCACCCCGTTCTCCCGTGATCCGGTCTGCTGGCTGCTGTGCTCTGGTGGGATTCTTCCCGTCGAGGGTCGCCCGTCGTCGCTAAGCCCTTTACTTTTCGGCCCTGCATCGTTCTCTTTACATCAATCATCGTCTTATCTCATTCCACCTTTTGTCGACCAGTCTCGAATTTTTTTTCCCTCTTCTCAGTACCTTTTGCACAGGACTGTGATTGAGCTGCAAATTGTGCGTGAAGAGGTCGTTTCATTCATTTGAACTTGATCGGAGACAGCTCCGCCGATTATCGGATTCTTGACGTAGCAGTCGTATTGCCCACCTATACCATATTCTTCTGTCCGTTAGTCGCCACCTTGAATCAGTCATTAGATCGACTCGAACCTGGATCATACATTCTTATCTCAAGTTCAAGTCTTTTCGATAGCGTTATTTCGCCCCGGTTGTCGGACCCAGTATTCCACTCTCTTGGTGTGGTGAGAGAAAGGAGTTAATCTGCCAACCGCTGGTGCAGAGCTCAACCTCGCACAAACTTTGCCTGGAAAAGGGTCGAACATTCTCTTCTTCAATTCACAGGCCCGAAGTTTAATGGCAGCATCTGCTGTTAAACCAAAAAGTACCCCGACGGAGTATTATCAGCAGTTCGTGAGCCCGGCTTTTGCCGGCGAAGACCATCCAAGCGTCAAGAGCAACTCATCATATTCATCCATGGACTCCTCAAACCAACGCAACGGCGTACGCTCTGGTAGTGGCTCGCATCTATCGAGCGATAGAGCCAACGGATCCCAGACACCGAACAACTCAAACTTCTACGGGAACGGGAACCAGAACAAGACGCCGCCCTCTGGATCTCTCGACTTCGCTGGGGATAATATGGAAGAGAGCCCTTTTATCGACTACAATGATCTCGACTTTGGCCTTGAGGACAACTTTGATTTTAACGGTCAAGAGGATGGAGCGATGATTGACGGCATTGCGGAAGAATTACTTTTGGAAGGTGATTCTGAGCTTCACGAGAAGCGGAAGAGTCCCGAAGATGACTCCGAGGAGGGTAATGATAAGAAGAGAGGCAGTGAGGACAAGTCGGCCAAGAAGCCAGGCCGGAAGCCTTTGACTTCTGAACCCACATCGGTGGGTGCTCCTGTTCATCTTCCTCTCTATGTTTAATTAATGCACAGTATACTAATAATACTACAGAAGCGCAAAGCTCAGAACCGTGCAGCTCAAAGAGCCTTCCGGGAGAGAAAGGAGAAGCATCTTAAGGATTTGGAAACAAAGGTGACAGAGTTGGAAAAGGCCTCGGAGTCTGCTAATCACGAAAATGCCCTTCTTCGAGCTCAAGTTGAGCGGTTGGCGACCGAACTTCGGGAGTACAGGAAGAGATTGTCTGGCAGCACGGTCGGACGTGCAACTGCTGGGTCTGGCTTACCCTCATACATTGCGAACCGGGCAAATGTAGGACCTGGAAACATGAATTTCCAGTTTGACTTCCCCAAGTTTGGCCAGTTGCCTGGCTCGAGCATTTTCAATAACACTGCCATCACTCGGAAGGGCAGTGAAGGGATGTCTCCTGGAAGTTCTAGCAAGACAAGCCCAACTGATACAAACATGAGTCCCAAGACTTTTGTCAGCCAAAATTCATCCATGGCAACCTCGACAAATTCAAACGGTGTAGGAAAGCCTCAAGTCAACGGTAACAGCGCGAAGAATAACAACTCTGACGAACTTTCCGGGCTGTTTAGTCCTAGCTTCCTGCAGGGCTTCAACTCGAATCCGAATAACGACTACAATAAATTTGGTCAGAATGCCAACAAGGCTACGAACGGTTATGGGGACCAGCAAGGTATGAATTCCTCGACAAACGGAAATGCAAACTACGCTGCGTCCTCTGGCTCAGTTTCGGCCTCGCCATCCATATCATCACTATCGCACAATGGCCCGTCATCATCATGTGCAACTTCGCCCGAGTCAAGCAACAACTCGCCCAGCAAGCCCGGCGAGAACGGCTTGAATCCCATTTGTGAGGAAGGTGTTGTTTGTCACGGAAATACCGATGCTGAGATATCGTTCTGCGAGAATCTCAACATGGCTTGCGGTAACCACAAGAATCCTGTTCCGCGAGCCATGTCAGTCTCTAGCCCTAGCATGGCAGGCTTAGGAGCGAAGTCTCCCAAGAGCGATGTCAATGGCTTCAACTGGCTCGCTGAGCAGAACGGTGGTAGCTTTGATCCCATCCTCTTTGGCGAATATCGGGAACCCCAGGACAACATTCTCTCCAACGAGTTCGGTGGCTTCTTCAGTGACGCCTTTCCCCTTCCAGACTTTGGCAGCCCGCTCAACTTTGACGGCCAAGCTGCTAATGCCGCTGCTGCTGCTCCGGCCCCCGCTCCCGCTCCCGCTCCTGCACCCAAGCACGATTTGCTTGAACAGGTCGACCACATCCAGAACGCCGAGGAGGATGAAGAAGAGGAGGTTGTCCCCGGCGAGGATCGTGCAAGGATGCTCAACTGTAACAAGATTTGGTTTGTACCCTCCACTCCATTTCCCCTTTCCCTTTAATTTCCTTAGTCGCTATTTTCTTTTTCAAAACCCCCATATCGCCATTCTGTGATGGCCGATGAACTCTGTTCTATTCCTCTCATCACATTCACTCAAATCACAACTTTCATGACTAACATTTTTTTCTTTCTTCTTCTCTTTCAGGGATCGTCTCCAAACCATGCCCGAGTTCCAAAACGGCGAACTCGACGTCGATACCCTTTGTACCGAGCTCCGGACCAAGGCGCGCTGTTCAGAGACCGGTGTAGTCATTGACCAGAAAGACGTCGACCTGCTTCTTGCCCGCAAAAATCGTGCCGGCATGTAAAAAAATAACGTTTTTATCTCAACGTTAAAATTGCACGTTATCATGATGGACGGGGCGGTGGTGCTCGCGCGGCGCACTTTTGGGCGTTTTTTCTTTTATTATTTTCCTTTTCCTTTCATTTCCTATCCTTTTCTTTCCTATCCTTCCACCACTCTTTCCAGTTTATTTTCCTCTCCCTTTTTATAATTCCCTTTTATTGGGTTGACATGACTAAATACGTCGAAGAAATTTTGCTTTCTAAACTTGTCATTGCTCGTTTCTTTTTCTTTTTCTTTTTCCTTTTTCCTTTTTCCTTTTTTATTTATTATTATTATTTTGTTCCTTTTACTCATTTCCTTGCACACATCAACTACATCTGACGAGTAAGTGTCATAATGAAATGGAAAATTATGAAAGTATAATAGTTGATAAAACGAAAGGCATTTCTATCTTTTGCCTCGGAGTAATCGTATTGGGTTTCTCCCGGAGTATTCGTGCTATTGGGATAAACTCTCTCCAGTGTCGGCCATATGCTTGTCCATTTCCTTTTAGGAATATCAAATGCCAAAGGGCACTATAGTGTTACTGCTCAAATATTAATTCTCTTCTCTTCACTCCTCTCTCTCCTTTGCTTTCTCCTTGTCTCTGCATCATCCATCCATCCATCCATACATACATACATACATACATACATACATACATACATACATATGCACTTACAAACACACATACAATCCCCTGGCTCCATGAACAGAGCTATCGAGATGCTATGTAATGTGATCTAATGTGATGTAATACTACCATATGTACTAGTACAGTGTACTATGCATTGTAGATCTATGGCAACTAACACTGACAAAAGCAGAAATGATAAACATATACAACAAAGGTAGAAGAGGTAGAAATAAATCCCAAACAATTTTGACATCCATTAGTTCTGGGAAGTATTCTACATAGGCCAGCAATGTGGTTCTGACACACGACCTATACTGTACATAAATTAGTTGTTATTTACAATATACCTTAGGTATCATGAAAAAGATAAACACAGTCTTGCCATTAATGCTTCTGCTGGAAATGGTACACTGTATACATGACTTTGACATTTGGCATGAACGTCACCACAATGATCCCTCAAAAAAGCAACATACATGAACATCACCTTAATGAAAATATGTGACTTTGACATGAACAGCACCACAATGAAACCCTTCAAAAAGGCAACATACATGAACATGAAAATAATGAGATAAATTATAAACATATTTACATTATTCATCATCTGTCTTGACAACAATAAAAAACAAAACAAGGAATGCCAAATGATTCATAAAGGCTGGGTTACAGATATAGATTAAAAGGAAAACAAGGCAAAATAACAACAGGGTGAAGGGGTATATGATATGTCCAACTCTGGAAGAGCAAGAAGCAAAGAGGAAAGGAGTAAAAAGATAGAAAGGGAAAGAAAGGGAAGGAAGATAAAAAGAGAAGGGAGAGAAAAAAGAAGTTGAATAGAGGGGAAGGAGAGTAAAGAAAACAAATAGAGGGGGGCGGGAAGAAGAGAGAGAAAAAAGACAGCGAAATGGATCAAGAATAATTCAAAACGCCTTGAATGATCCAGACTTCTCCATTCGCAACTTGCTTCAGCACGCTCGATACTTTTATATTGCCTGGCTGAATCTACAAAGTTTCGTTGCGTTAGCATCGTTATCTTCCCGACATTTATCTGAAAACTTTCCACTCTCATGGCAAAACAAGATACGAAGGCAAGAAAAAAAAAGGGAAACGGAAACGGAAACGAAAACAGAAAACAGAAAACGCAACCTACAATCTTCTCCCCATCCTTCGTTTCCCACCAGACCACATTTCCCGCTTCCGTCTTCACTTTCTCGCCTTCCTTCCACGGATTCGCAGGCACGATATGCGCTTCCGTAAAGCGTCTGAGGTTCTCGTGGGCTTTACTTTCGCCATCTGGCCCCGCATATGCATCTGCGCCTTTGGCAGCGTAGTCTTGCGGGTCTTCCCAGGGTTTGCGAGGCAGTTTGGTGATTGCTGAATTCAGCGGAGCGAGGACAGTGGTATTGAGCGCGTCGTTTTCGAGCCGGTTTGAGACGCTTTCGATGTCGCGCGTAAAGCCGGCGAATATGTTGATGCTGCGCTCTTTGCCGATGACGTCGGAGATGATAATGTTGCCGCCCGCGCCGGGACCGCCGGGAGAGTGGTCCTGCGAAGGATCGTCGTTGTCCTTGTGCGAGGGTGGTAGAGCAATGTTGTTGGGATCCATGACGACGGGGACTTGCTGCTGCTGCAGCGGATGATGATGATGAGGAGCAGGAGGAGGAGGAGGAGGAGGAGGAGGCGGAAGAGGGTTGGCAAAAGCAACGAGTTGTTTGAGAGATGAGAAGAGGTTTCGCTGCGACTGCTGCGGTTGCTGCTGCTGCTGCTGATGCGACGCACTAGCAAGGGGTGTAGTCGAAATGGTGAGTGCTAGAATGGCAATGGCAAACTTCATCGTGAGGAATTCGTGGGGTTGAAGCACAAGCCAAGGCTGCGTGTGTGTGTCGTGGGTCTATCATAGGGTGGGGGGTTCTTGAGAGGGAAAGAAATGACGTGGTGCGTGGTGCTAGTGCACGAGGCGGGCGTTGCGGGACGGGGAAAGATACGGGTAGAAATGTTACTTGTGGCAGGGCTGATCTTGAGAAGCGAGTATGCTCTGTTTTCGCTGTCTGCCTGGCGATAATCGTCTCATTCGCTGCAAGCATAGATAACAGCTAAACGTGATATAGGTTAGAATACCATGGACAAAACATTTTTATTCGCTTTGTCCTCGCTGCTGTGCATGTTTAAAAAAAAAAAAAAAGAGTAAAGATTCAATATCCATTTCATATTCAGAAAGAATTAGATAAATAATATGTGGAATAACACCGCCGTAATACAAGCAATAAGATATCTCGCCGATAAACCACCGTGGTATAATAGTCTGGTCTTGAAAAATATGTTCAACAGCCCTTACATCCGAAAGAATCCTGCCATGGAAAATGCTGTTCTAATTTCTTTGCTCATCATCTCATTGCAATCATATTCATGTTCTCGTAAGTAAGGTGCGTGCAGGTGCGTTGCTTATATGCAGTGGCAGACGCTGAGTAAAAAAACTTTTCCAACAAAAACGAAATTCGCGGCACAGTCAATGCCAGGACAAAAGCGCTCATGGACAATGACTTTACGACCGAGCAACGGCAGCCAGCACCTGATTGCTATCAATGAGAGCGGGCTGTTGCTTGTGGAGATACTTGATCAGCTCGGTGAGCTGGCTGCGAATCTCCTCAGTCAGCTGCTCCTCGGGAGGGCTAACGACCTGCGCAAAGACGGGCAATAGTTGCTGCGTGAGGCCCTGGATGACCGCGTCGCCGTTCTGGTAGAACAAGATGATCATGCGGAAAATGGGTTCATTCTCCTCAAAGTCCTCCTTCAGAGGGAGAAGGTTGACCAGAGCGGGGAGAACATCCGCAACCGGGACGGCTTCCTTGTGCTTCATAATCATCCGGCTTACGCAACCAGCAGAGTTGTCCAGGAGTCTGGCCTGTTGGGTGTGGAGCAACGGCTCAAGCTTAGCCAGAATGGCGTTGTAGTTCTTGAGTATCTCCTGGTCATTGTTGGACTTCTCGGCCAACAGACCAATGGCAAACGCCGCATTCGACTTGGTTTCGAGGTCCTCGTCAGAGAGACGGTGCAGAAGGAGCTGCAGCAAGTGGGTCGTGTAGGGAGTGACAGCCTCGCCCATGTGCTGGATACACTCGGCAATGACTCCGACAGCGGTGCTCCGCTCCAGAGCCTCGGGACTGCTTGCGTATTTCTTGATGGTGGTCTCAAAGAGTTTCCAGAGCTCACCAAAAGTGTTACCCAGCGCTGCTGCAAGGCCAATGACAACATCTAGGGCGGTGTCGATGAGAAGCCAGTCGTACTCAGAAGACTCATCAAGGCCTTCCATATCCTCATCGTCACCAAGGTCTTGCTGGCAAGGATGCTGCTTGGTGATGGTGAGAATAAGATTCTCAGAAATTTGCTGGATGACGTTGGGGTCGTTGATGATGGCCGGACCGCAGAGCTTCAAGGTAGCAGCCAAATTGCGGTTGATATCGGTGACAGTTGCCCTGTGACACAATTAGGTTAATAACAATCCATGTGTCAATGTACTGGGTTTAAGAGGCAATGAGAAGTAATCATATCAGAAAAGTTCATGATTCGTTTCGCATCAATCGCAACTTGTGCGTCTGAGTGAGCTGGGTAGACGAAAGGTCTCTCATCATTTGAGTAGACGTAGTGCAGCAGTAATGCTGTACGAGTAACAGCACTGTAGACAGAGTACAACAAAGGATAAAAATGGTTGTACCGAGACGACAGTGATGGTACTCGAGACGAGCAGCACTGGAGCACAACGCCAAGGGATGGGAATAAAGAAGAAGATATAAAAAGTACATACCTGTCGATTTCGTCCTGCCACAGGGCAAGAGTGGCGGTCATCGCGAGACCGCCGAGCTTCTGCAGGTCATCGGTAGGCTTGACCTGGAGAGGAAGACCGGGCTTCCACTTCTGCATGCCCTCACCCTCCTGCATGCCCCAGAGGCAGGCGTAGGCGCGCCAGACAGTGCTGATAGCCGCGCGACGGACACCTTCATAGTTGTGTTCGACAAGACCGATGACGTTCTCAATAGTCTTCTCCAGATAAGGGAGGAAGTTGCCTCTAGTGTGGGTAAGCACGTCACCTAGGACCTCAACAGCGATTTCCTTTTCGAGTGCAACAGCGGTGACAGCAGTCAGGTCATCCCACGCATCTTCATCCTCCTCCTCCTCATCAACATCATCAATCTCGTCGTCGCCCTCGACCTCCTCCTCCATGCCAACCCTGCTGAGGGTAGCCTTTCCGCTGGAGCCTTCAGCGGCAGCGACCTTGACCTTTTTGCCAGCAACGGTAATTTCCTGGCCAAGCAAGTCTTGAGCTTCTTCGCCCAGCTCGACCTCGAGATCAGTCTCATCCTGCTCCAAGCATTCGAAGAGACCCTTCACGACGCCGTCAAGGAAAGGAGTAAAGTTCTCCTCATAAACCTTTGACATGGTGCTCCAGAGCATGTAGCTCGTCTCACGCAATCTCGGGTGACCAAGGTGTAGCGCCTCTTCACTAGCTTGCATCAAAGGAGACACATAGGGTTGGAACTTGACAGGGCCAACAGCAGAGGCAATATTGGACATGGCATCACAAACAGTGCCGCGAAGGTCAAGTTGCTCGTCATCATCCTTGATCATGACGTACTCTGATAGAGCATTCATAGTCTGGTCGAAAAAGGGAACAAAGGCCTCTTCAGCGGCCGCAGCAATAGAGCCGAGAGCACCGGCAGCAGATGCCTTGACCTTGTAGTCTGGGTGGGACAGCAGTTGTGCCACACGGGGAACCATCTCAGGCAAGTAGGTGGAAACATGCTCCTTCTCAACACCCTCAATCACCGAATCAATGGCATTGCAGCTGCCCTTGATAATGTCAAGAACTTTGTCACTGCTGTCAGTCTGAGCTGCCTTTACGGCAGCGTCCAAGTTGAACATCACAGCAGGGATCAGCTTAGCATGCTCCTTGCCCATATCTTCAGCGAGGTCATCCGCCAGTCTGGCCAGAGCGTGGAGAGCCGAATGGCGGACCTTAATCTCCGGGTCCTGCAAAAGACGGAGTACCATAGGTAGGATTTCGTGCAGCTGAGTGGCAAAGAAATCAGGAGCGCCCTCCACGCACATTCCTAGGGAGAGCAGACCCGCGCGGCGGTGGTCAGGGTCAGATGAGGTTAAATACGGGCCAAGGGCATTAAGCAGCGGCACAACTACCTGGCTGGGAGGTAGTTGAGAGGCCATGATATCCAAAAGACCAAGAGCAGACCTAGCAGGGCTAACTTCGTCATCCTCATCGACATCGTCGCTGAGCTCAGTAGCGATCTCAAGGGACTTGATCGTAAGCTGCTCACCAATCCTCATGGCCTGAACCTTGAGCTTGCGGTATTTGACACACTGCATCAAGAAGGAAATGGCTTGGCTACGGGACTCGTCAACGAGATCCTTTTGCGCGGCAAGGTCAATCATGAACTGAACCAAGTCCTTGAAGTGGGCGGCCATGAGCGTAGCGTCACAGCCGAGCAAAGTCTGGAAGACCTCAAACGCTTGCATGGTGCGGTCCTCGTCACCAGCATCAACAGCCTCCTTCAGCACAGCAACCATGCTTGGAAGAAGTTCTTGGAAGTGCTGGACAGATTGCTTATCCTCAGAGGTGTCGATGAGCATAGCAATTTTGCTCAAAGCCAACATGGTGTTCACCCGCACATCAGCGCTCTCAGGGTCCCGGAGCGTCTTGGCGAAAAGAACAAACAGATCAGACAGCTTATCGACAAAGGCATCACCAAGCGACTCAAGCAGCGTGAAGAGAATGTACACACCAACCTCCCGCTCTCTTGCCTGCTGGCTTGTTGCAGCCTGCTGCAGGAAAGTGGGGAGATCAGCCCACTCGCCATCGTCAAGGTCAATCTTGGCAATTTCCGAGACGACACGGGCAGACGAATGCCTGACGAGAGAAGAGTCCTCATGCAGAGTTGACTGCAACAGCTGCGTTCGGATCTGAGGCTTTTGGTCGGCAGGGAGCGCCGCCCAGTGCTTGGGCACAAGGGAGCGAGCCTCTACAGCAGCCAGCTGCCGTAACTGAGAGTTCTCATGAGAAGTGAGAATCTGAAGAAGGAGAGTAAGAGATGCCGGGGAGGTATAGTAGTTTTTCCTCAGGCTAGCGGTGGCCGCCTTGACACGCTCAGTGTCAGCTGCAAAATTCAAGGGTCAGCATTGAAAGTGGAACCGAGAGCAGATCTAGGGTGACGGGATCCTACATACGAGCCAGGACGCTCTCCAGGAGCTGCAAAAACTGATGCTGGTCCATGGCGGTCTCTTGGGTGAGAATTTTCCGCCTTGGAACAAGTGAGCTGGAAGAGACAAGGCGAGAAAAGAAAGAAAAGGATCACAGAGACATCAGAAAAAAAGATGAAGAACGAGAGGAGCTAACTGCCTAACGAGACCGTGGATGACGGTTAACCAAGATGTACTGTAAAAGTAGTCAAGGTCTGCCGATGGGTCGATTAGACGAGGACTTTGGGGTGTAGCAGCGGTAAGAGTACTTCCATAGTACTTTGGCTCTTTGACAAGCACCCTGAAAAGTGAGACTATGGCCGAACTCAGGCAAACAAAGTGGGGGGCCAAGTCGGAAAACTTTTTGTGCGAAGAAACTGTCCAACCACGTACCTACCTGTTAGTGAAGCGAGACAAACAGACCCTGGACCCACCGGTCTTTCGGAGACAGAACAACCGATATGAGAGCTCTTGCAGAGTTCAGGAATCCATGCTTTTTGAATTCAAAGTGGAGATTTTCAATAAATTGATTGAAGCTGTAAGCTGAAATGTCTTTCCTTGACACAGCTTTAATAGAGAAAATACAATATAGAGCTTTTTTGTCTTCAGAGAAGGGTAAAGCTCAACTGGTTTATGGTTGATCTGTACTCGAGATTAAAGTCACATTGATTGGAGCTTTCGCATATGGTATGTGCATAAAATGATTAAGTCAATCATCTAACCTCACAGACTTCCAGTAGTGCAGTATTAATACCTTATGGACAGCTATGAATTGCGTGCAAACTTCCGTATTATTGCAGAGTGCCTAATGAATATGACGGCGTGGCTACCCACCGACACTATCAGCCACAATGTGGCTAAAGGAGAATTTGCAATGCTGTTTAGTTTAGTTACTTAATTTTGGCCCAGTGACCGATGGGATGAGTTAAGACGACCCGCTAACAGAGAGAGACTACAGCAGAAAAGGGCCCAAATATTTTCACTGAAAACCCTTCGCTAGGCGAATTCGCCTGCCTGTAAAACGTTGCGAAACCACCTACAGGCTAGGAAGCTAGTTCAGCGTTATACCTACCTCTGGTGGACTTGATCGGTCACCGCATATATCCATAACTACCCCAGCCATCGCTTCATCTCTTGGAGTCCGCTGCCAATCGACGCCGAGGCGCAAGGTGCACCAACGACCGGCTTGGAAAATCCAAAGACAGCCTGGACTGAAAGGTCAGCGACTTGGAATCCGCCCCGAGCACCGAGATTTCTTGCCACCTTCACACATCCACACCTCGTCTCGCTGCACATAAGGTGCGTCACACTGTTTTGGACGGCAGCTTGGCGTCTGCATCATGTATGGTAGATCGGCATAGAAGCCATTTATGGATTCTCAAGCCACTTTTGTGTCCCCTTCTGGATGCTTCGCTCAAAATGACAGCCATAGTGTTCCGTATCCAGTCAGACTAAGGAACACGTATATGCCAAATGGATGAACAAACACATGCCATGTGGCGCTTCACTACTTATTGGAACATCAGTCATAGCGGAAAAAGAATAAATTACCAGCGAATGAGTTAGAAGATAAGCGTCTTTAATGCCCAAGCAACACACAGCACGCATATCTGGCTTTCGATGCATCTCAGCAGGCTCAAGATATTTCCACCTATTGTATGCCCTTGGAACGAGATGCAATCTTCGCCTGCCATGTGCCATCTGATGGGTGGAAGCTCGTCACCAGCGTATGGGACAAGTATGCATCATCTGGCCCTTTGTGAGAGGAGTGACAGAAAGGGAAGTTGCATGGATAGAGCAAAGCTGTCAAAACAAACGGAAGCGCGGGGAGCCCGAGGTTGTGCAAGTACTACCAATCCATCGTAATTTGATGACGTGCTTTGCATAGTAGGGAAAAACAACAGAGAAGTAAAGAAATTGAAGAGATCTACCATTCTGCACTCGAAATAAGCACGACCGTGTGAAGCCAAAACGGACGGGTTATGGCAAAATTTCAGAAGGGTCAAGGAACGAGCTGACCCGAGGCACAAGGTACGTAGTAACAAAGGAGCGACCTCCCAAAGCGACGCAAAATAGCACTTCCTGGCCTATGCCTCCTTCACTATCGGTCCTGCCCGACCGTAAAATGGTCGATGCGGCTGACTGCAGATGGGATGCAGTTCATCCATCCGCTTCAATAATGGCTTCGGCCGCTTGTCGCTTTTTCTCAGAGCTATCCTACGGGTAACTTTATCCACCGCAAGATGAGTGACTCGATGGTTGGAAAATCACTAGCCACATTGTAGATCCACGGTCCATCATTCGCCCACTTGGCCAATCGTCCCATTTCTCGGAACTTGCATTCCTACCTTAGTCGCCTTGTGCGACACTCTCTTGGACAACAACCCTCCACTCGTCTCGGCCTTGGGATGTGCAAGTTTGAAATGCTTATCCACACCCCAGCGTTCCGCTTAGCGCACCGTGGAAAGAATTGAACTCCGCTGCGTGTCAAAACTGCTGGTGCTCACGGCTGCTCACCGCTAGACGGCATCCTGAACTTCCCCCACGAGGGAAACACATTGGTTGTGGATCCTCGTATGGGAGTAGAAACATGTGGGCCTCCTTTTTAGAGGATCTCCTATCTTGAGTTGACTAAGTCGGACAAGCCGTTGTCACCGGGCGTATGTCCAGCAATAGACTTCTCTTTTCTGGTTCCCTATTGAGTGTCGGTTGTTCTCGACTCAAAGGGCATGGGATTAGAGGAACCTAAAAATTCAAGCTAGGAGGAGCCACAAGACTTTCATGCTCGACTCCGTGTCCAAAGGAATTGCATGCCACGGTGCCTTTCCAGCTGCCTGGAGGGCAAGATTGAGCGACCCACTGCCCTGGGCCACAACCTGTCTGCTGGACGACGAGGTGTTGGAAAATCCAGTCGAACGAAGCCAGAATTAGGCTCAGAGAAGCATAATGCGAACCCTGGGCCAAGACATGGTGATAAAGGTAGACAGGGTAGGCGGTACCTGGCCGTACTGTTCCTGATACAGAGAGCTCAGCAGACCACAATGATGCATCTAGGGCGTTTCGTCTCGGTAACGGGTACGTTACCGTACCCCGGTAGATCATTTAATACCGCCCGATAACTGCGGAGATGCACACTAATCTTCGGTACCTCAGGGGTAGGCCCGGGCGGTGGGGCGCACAGACATGGGCGGACACCTTTCTTCGTAAATCTTAAGTTAGTCCCTTTTATGTCTGGGTTGATAGTCTCTCTACGTAGATGGTTTGGAAGGAGCTCATACATTCAAATACCCTCTCTTCCCGTCCGTTCCTTTTTTTTTTGTTTTTCATTCTCATATCTTCCTTGGTGTTTGATAACCCATTTAATTAACAGCACGTGGTGCGAGTCGTGTTCAGCGTCTGCATCCTTTTTTTTTAATCGTCCCTGTCATCGTCATTCGCTACCGAGGCGTGAACGTCGAGATTCACTCACAGCCCACGATCTGTCCGTGACCTCACTTGTCCTTGTCATTTCTTCAGCGTTTTGTAAATCTGCATTCTGTCGATCAGAGCATCAGAAACGTCTTTCAATTCTGTTTCGTTTGCATATTCAGGTGTAATTTGTAACGGAGAATCCATAGACACCCCTGTCACGCGGACCAGAGCTAAAAAAGCACTTTTCCCAGGCAAAGGAAGAATAGATTTGAACTTGTCTTTTGACGCTCAACTGAGTCTGAAGACAATATTCCCTAGACAGATCGCTTAATACCCTGCATTGGGCGCAGTTTGTTTTCTTGCATATAAATTGGGACACTTCCTCTTACCTGTACACACTCTTCACCACCTTTGACACATTCGTACTCTGCATCTTCTACTCTAAATTTTTTCTCCAAAAGCCTTTCAAAAGTTCATCTTTGCACAGTCTTTCTTCATTTATTTCTGATATTTCTGAAAATGTTCTCTCTTCGTTCTGTTACTGGCCGTTTGGCTACCGTTGCTGTTCGTCAGCCTGCTATTCGCACCGTGGCTCCGGCTGCTCGTGCCTTCTCCGTTACTTTCAAACGTATGCAGGAGGAGGTCCACGAGAAGGGCATTCCTGTCCACAGCTACACCGACAAGGAGTCCTCTGCTCCCGAGGAGAAGGTGCTCCCTGTTGGTGCCACCAGCGAGGTCGTTGGAGGTGGCCAGGGCGACGTCAAGATCATCGCTCAGGCTCTTGACAAGTCCATCGCCGAGAAGCTCTCTCCTACCTTGTCCAAATTCACTTTGGTTGGGAAAGTTGCCGCTATCACTGGGTGAGTTCATGGTTCATCTCAAGCTCAGAACTGAGCTCTCTCACGTCTTCCATTCCAGCTCTTGCTCTAGAGCTTTCTCAGCTCGACCTTGTCCTTTGTGCTCTGTTTAGCTTATTTTGAGTTTCTGATTTTCTTTGGTCTGCTCTCTCAATGTGAAGAAGCTCTTTTTAATTCCCTGCTTGATTTTCGATCAAAACATTTCGATCTGTTTCAAGTAGACAAATTACTGACCACTACGAAATCCAGTGGCGGTCGCGGTCTCGGCTATAACATGGCTCAGGCCCTTTCCGAAGTTGGTGTTAAAGCAATTGCCATTCTCGACATTCAGCAGGAAGTCGGTGACGCCGCTGCTGCCGAGCTCCACGAGCACACTGGTGTCCCCGTCCGCTTCTACAAGGTCGACGTTCGCGATGGCCCTGCCATCGCTGAGGTTTTCAGTGACGTAGTCGATTCTTTTGGCTCGATCGATGTTGTTATCAATGCCGCCGGTATTGCCGAGTAAGTTATTACCTTTTGCCCTATTTACATGCTTTAAAAGCTCCAAGAGCTAATATTCTTTCCAGTTCCAATATTAAGGCTGAGGACTATGACCACGTCATGTTCCGCCGTCTTATTGACATTAACGTCACCGGTTCTTTCCTTGTTGCTCAGGCGGCCGGTCGTGCCATGATCAAGGCCGGCACTGGCGGTAGCATCGTCAACATTGCTTCCATGTCCGGCTCAGTTGTCAACTACCCGCAGGAGCAGTGCTGCTATAACGCTTCCAAGGCTGCTGTCATTCAGTTGACCAAGTCGCTCGCCGCCGAGTGGGCTCAGCACAAGATCCGCGTCAATTCCATCTCCCCCGGCTACATGGACACCGCTCTGAACCGCGTGCCCGCTCTCGATGCCCAGAAGAAGATCTGGAAGAGCCTTACTCCCCAGCGCCGCCTTGGAAACGTTGACGAGCTCAACAACCTCGCCGTTTTCCTCGCCTCCGACGCTTCCACCTTCATGACCGGTTCCAACTGCATCATCGACGTAAGTCTTTGTTCCTTGCTTTCCAGTATCTCTGCCCTTGGGAGCCCACCTGATTGCTAACTTGCCCTCCTCCTGTAGGGTGGATACTCCGTCTTGTAATCGACGAAAGGACATTTCACAGCCTTCGCATGCAGTTTTCCTCGACCTCTTTGTATTTGAGCGGACGATTGGATGACCAGCGTCGCAATGGCGGTCTTTGCATAATGCTTTGAATCGGCATATGCTTTTAAAACCTTTTCCTGTTTATTCTTATTTTTTTCGGGATATTCTTCGTTTCATGTCCATTCCTAGTACCTCATCAGCATGGGGCTTGCGAATCTGTCGTCTAGCGTTCTCCTCTTGTTTCCATTGAAGCGTGCGCGGGGCTAGGCGCATCTGGAGTCTCAATAGCGATTGGCGAATCTGGCGCATTGCGCACATTTGCACTCGAATATGATGATTTATCTTCAATCACTCTTACTTTTATGCATGAACTTCGGTGACGCAGCAAGAATCTTGATCGTGACTTCCGTCGGAGCTCGTGCAATACTCGTAGAAGCAGCCATCACTTCAACCGTTTGTGTTCCAACATGCAAGATTGTAAGAAATAATACAATGACGACAACGCTACATTGATTGAAACATCCCTTACATTTCACTCGTTACCCTTCACCTGCTCCAAACCCCCAATCTACCTCTCTCCGGCCGGATCCTAGGTTGACTTGTCTCTCTACCTTAGGTAGGCTTCTTTTTAATGCAAAATGTAACGAACCCTGTTCCAGCGACTCTACATACCGTATTATATTACGTTGAAGCATATACTCCCATTTCTCATCCCCATCCTCATCTTCATCTTCATTCTAGAGCACATCAATATATCCATGTTCGTAATTCACCTCAAATGAAACCGAATCAAATCAAGCCAAACCAGCAAATAACACCCATCTGCGGCAATAACAGCGGGTAGCAATCTTATTTTTGTAACCGCTAATTCAACGGTAGCGAAAATGCAAGTTTTTCTTTGGAAGAAAAGAGCCAATTGTTTGGCAATTATAGTGGACCAAAATATGATTTTTTTTGGAAACCGCTAATCGAAAGGCAGAGAACCCCAATTTTTCTTTCGACCGATGGAGAAAAAATAAGAAAGAGAAAAAGAAAATAGAAAGGAAAGCGCAAACACAAAAGCAAAAGCAAACGCCTCGTTGTTTTGATGTGTTCAGATTAGGAAGAGATGAAATTGGAATTGGAACATATTGATGATTCATGAATGATGCCGAAACCCCGTCGCGAGATAGTATGGATGGATGAATAAAGGAAAAGAAGGGGGGGAAGAAATGAAATGAAATAAAAAAACGAAAATAAAAAAGGGAAAATATTGTAAAGGAAGAAAATTAGATAAAAGGGCACAACATGGCGTGATAAACCGTGCCACCAAGTTAAAAAAAATCATGCGCCACGGAGTCGCCATTCGTCCCAATCGTCATCGTCATCGTCATCCTCGTCTTCATCAGAGTCGGACTCTGATTGTCCACCGCCGCCGCCATCAACGACTGGGCCTGGACCTGTCCTGATTCTGCTGCCTTCTTCTGCTTGCGCTAATGATGCTGCTGCTGCAGAGGTGGAATTATCTTCAGTGTCAAGGTCCATACTACTCGTCGTGCCACTTGCAGCAGTAGCGCCGCCGCCACCGCCATGGCGAAGCTCCTCGCGTTTCCGACGAAGTCGTCGGACGCGTTCTTCCAAGTCTTCCATTTCGTCGAATTCTTGTTCGAGCCGACGCGCTGCATCTTCCTTTTCCGCTTCGAGCTCGGCTTCTCGTTGTGTAACGGAATTGCGTGTTGCGGCCTCTACCTCAGCGCGGGCAGCAACTTCGCCAGCAGAAACGGGCTGGGCGGTGATGGTTGCGGCTGCGGTGAATGCTGCTGTAGGGCGGACAGAGGGAACCACAGTCTGCACTTCTTCCTCTGTCGCAGCGACGTCTCGCTCAAAGGCGGCCCACTCGTCCTCGTCGACAGCTGTAAAGGTAGGTGCTGATGGCGGAGGTTGGGATTTGACCGGTGCGGAAGGGGCAGATGGGGCGGCGGAGGGGTCATCAAAGAAATTTAATGGAAGGGCGGCGGCCGATGCAGTTTCAGTTATTGTTGCTGAACGCTGTGCATTGTCTTCGTCCCGATCTTGTAGAGTTTCTTCAGGAGCGGCGGGGCCAGACTCGTCGGCTTCCGTAATGTTGACGTCCTCCAATTCAGGTTCCTGACCTGCATCGAAGAATCCTGCTGGAAGACCCTTGGTCGGCTCAGCCGATTTTGTTCGTTTCCTTGTCTCTCTGGCATCTCCGGAGCTCATTCCCTCCTCATTCTCCCCATCGTCTGCCTTCCGCTTCTTAGTGGGCGGCGGCGCGTCCTCTCCGGTTCGTCCAGCTGTTCTGTCGCGTAACCTTTGAAGCTGCGTACCATGTTGTCGTGATCGGAGATGTGTGTCCCACAGGGTATCGGATTTGAGCTGTACCTGGCAAAGAATGCAAACCAAAGTACCTGTGCTTGAGTAAGTTGCGTAGGGGTGTGTGATACGGCGCGAAGCGCGCTCCGAGCGGAGCAGAGAACGAACGTCGGTCATTTGGAAAGTGGGCGAATCATGCAATCGAAGGGTCTTTGGGGGATAAAAGGAAGAGAGTGTAAAGATGAAATGCTAGACTCGGGAAATTATAATCGAAAAAACCATTGTATGAGGTTCGAAGAAAAGTTAAGATGAATACACAAGTAGTTTACAGGGCTGGCCTGGAACTTTCTTGTCCTGGAATGTTATAGGTTATGCATAAATTAGTGTATTATTACGTTCAAAGGAATAAAATGTTATGAAAGAAACTATGCAGCTAGTGCAGATGGCATAAATTGACAGCTGACATAATTAACCGAGGATATTGCGAGACACAGATATACGCAGATTGGGAGAATGTTGTGGAACCAGAACGAAAGCGAATCATCACAGCAGGCGACATTTGGATTCTTCTCCTCCAACCTCAACCCTTCATCCCCATCTCCACCATCCTACGCGTATCAGAGCGTCCGTGAGTGCATCTGTTGCTTGTCCGAAAGAGGTTCTAGACTTGCAGTCTCGAATTTGATTTGAACGGCGATTTTTTCGCGAAGAATTTGGAGCGTGTACTTTCCTGTTGTTCTCTACCAGTACCTACTATTTCGCCTGAACCCCACACGTGAGGTGAGGCCTTGTGGCGGAATACAGACAGGGGATTTCATTTTAACAACGCGAACTTTCATCACAGCCCCTTTGAAGAACGACCTTGGGAAAAGTCTGGGCAAAGGTGGATTTGGAGCATTATTGGCATTCAGCCTGAAGTGATAGTACAAGCCATCCTTTTGAGCGAGAGATTGAGCGAGACTGCTTGTCAACGTTTCTCCCCTTGTATTTGCGCAAGATTCCAGTCTTGTCTGTAGAAGCACAATCGTTCGACTTGAGACCACACGCGTCGCTATCCTTTACCCCCTCTCCCTTGATCAAGGCCAATCCCGCACTGGGCCGTAGATTTGAATATCCTCGTGTCCGTGCATCGAACGCCATTCGATCATGGCGGGTAAGCAATCGTCACAACCCTTCTGTGTGCGCCACTGCCACAAGACTCCAGCAAGCCAAGCCGGAGGCACAGCATGCGCGAGAGCTTTGAAGGAGCTTAAGGAGCTAACAAGAGACGGTGCAACAGATGAACCCAGACGATCAGGCCGTGCCACCAAAGGCCAACATACGAAGCATGGCGACATCCCAGAAGCGCCAGCTGCAAAGCGGGCGAAGGGCTCTGGAAAATCTAAGGCTGCCAAGCAAACCTCTGCCGAGCCGACTCCCTCCGACGAAGAAGACGATAATGCCGTTGTGCGGTGCATATGTGGTGCGTCCGAAGATGATGGTGGACGGATGATGATTCAATGCGACAAATGCGAGGTCTGGCAACATAATGAGTGTATGGAAGTCACAGAGGTCGAGGAAGATATGCCAGATCGATACCTGTGCGAGCAATGCGCACCAGACGATCACAAGGAGCTCTTAGCAAAGGTGGAACGAGGTGAGCGGCCATGGGAGGAAAGAGAAAAAGAACGGGAACGCGAAGAGGAAGAAAAACGGGCGAGGAGGCGCAAGGGTGGAAAGAAAGGAGGCGCTCGAGGTGGAAGACAGTCAAAATCCAGCGACGTCAAGTCGGAGGTTAGTGAGGAGATGAATGGCAAAAGCACTCCTGAGCAAGAGGAGGCCGCCAATGGCGATGAACCAGAAGCAAAATCGGCATCTAGCAAGAGGAAGCTTTCGGGTGATGATTCTGGCTTCGAGCCTTCGGGAACGCCGGAGAAGGTTTGTTGCATATCCAAGTTCAGCAGCGTCCAGATTGTTAATGCTTGTTCACAGGAACCTCAGACCAAAGTGCGAAAAGTATCTAGCCAAGACGTCAAGCATGAGAAGCCCACACCACAGCGGCAAGGCTCTGCCTCTGGAGCTGCAGGAGCTGCAGGTGCGACCCCAGCACGGAAGGATTCCAAGAGTGCTCCAGCTCAAACAGAGAAGGTCAGTGAAGTGGGAGCTCTGCAGGATGAAGCGCGAAGGAAGATTGCGGCAGCACTGGCCAAGATTTTTGGGGATCTGGTTCGGGATGCACAAAAGCAGGGCTCTTACAGCCTACCTGCAGGCCAGAGACCTGAATCTGTAGCCGCTCAGCTTGCTCTTGGCGTAGAACACGCCGTATTCATAACCCACTCGGCCGAAGCCAATGAGGCATATCGTACCAAGTGCCGTTCCATCATGTTCAACATCAAAAAGAACCCTGCTCTCCGTGACCGACTCCTGTCAGGCTCACTTAGCTCTGAGGAGTTTTCGCAAATGTCAACAGACGAAATGGCTAGTGAAGAACTGCAGCAACGAAATGCCGAAATGAAAACACTTGCCGATAAGCAGCACATGCTCATTCAAGAGGAAGGCCCTCGCATCCGACGGACACACAAGGGTGAAGAATTAGTTGAAGACGACGAACAACTTGGTGGATCACATGAGACCATTTTCAACCCTGCTGCACCAAGACGACGCGAAAGCCAAATGGAAACATCAGAGGCCAAATCACCGGACCATTCGCCTGGAGGAAGATCCGAAAGCCCAGCTACTGTCGAACTCCCAGAAGACGTCGGCGTTACACGTCCAGCGGCGGCAGCACGAAAGCCCCCAAAGCTCGACATTGGCGCCTCACCAAAATCCTCCGTGGCGGCACGAAGGTCCTCATCTGCCTTCAATATTCAGGACGTATGGTCAAGCGTACAATCACCCGACACCGAAAAGCAGCGGTCACTCTCCAGCGCCCAACCGCCTTCGCGCAAAGTCTCTGAACACCAGCCGGGCTCCAGCTCTGCTGTCGGTGCAGACCCTGAAATCGATCAATTACTCAAGGACGAAGAACCCGATTCCCCTCCCTACTCTCCTACCGACTATCACCCTGAGCCAGGCGTTATTTGGCAAGGCAAAGTGTCCATGTCGACCATGGCCGAGTTTTCTGCCAGCGCAAAACACGTTGGCGGTGCAGACCTCAGCATCAACATTCCTTGGTCTCAACTGATTCCCGAGACCCTGAGCGTGGACGGACGAATCGATGTCAACCGCGCGAACCAATATCTCTGCGGCCTCCGCTGGAGCCAAACTACCGATGTGTCTGTTCTCGCTCTAACACCATCTGGTCGGGGTCCCGCCGCACAGGCCGATTTTGACAAGCTGTTCAACTACTTTAGCGAACGGAAACGCTATGGCGTTGTGGGCAAGCATCCCGACCCGGCCGTCAAAGACATTTACGTCGTGCCGCTGGATGCAGGCATGGGCAAGAAACCCGATTTTGTCGAAATCCTCGAACACTGCACCATCGAAGAGCCACGTCCAGAGCGCATGTTCCTCGTAACATTTGTCGTTCGGGCCAATACTACGCCCTCCTCAGCCAGCCAGGCCGGCCACACGAGTTCTTCTTTTGCTCCTCCTCCAGCTGGTACTACTAGCAAAGGCCCCGGTGCCGCTTCTGTCTCAGCTCCCGCCCCGCCTACTCCTACCCCGATGACCACAGCCGGCGGTGCTCCAGGAAACAATGTATATTCTCCCATCTCCCACGGACAAGGCTACGGAAACCACAACAATCACAACCACACAACACCGCCCGTAGCACCACAGGGAGTGAATAGGACCCCCAGCGTGTCCACCAGCAACGGCACCACGCCCCTCCCGGCACCAGTCCTCTCGCATACCCCTCCGACGGGCGGATACCCTCCATACGGAAGCCCTTATGCCTCTGCACATCTGCAATCGCAGCCACCGCAGCAGCCGTACGGTGCCGGCGCCCCATTACAACACGGTTATCCTAGCGTTTCCTACGGTACTACTCCGCCTGTCACCACTGCAGCCGCTACGGCCCCCATTCCTGTCCCAGCAACAACATCAACTTCCACTCCTCCATCCGCAGCTGCAGCCGCAACAAATCCCGCAGGCCATGCATTAGCTGTCCAAATCCTCGGGCCCTTGGCGGATACCCCCGTCGTGCACCATCTCTTGGCCACCGTCCCGACCATTGGCGCGCCCGAATTCGGCGTCGTCAAGCAGATTCTCGAACAAGTACCCGCGGCGAGAAACGACATTGGTACATTGACGAGTATTTTGCAGTCGAGACAGTAAATCTTCTTTTTCCTTTTCTTTTTTTTTCTTTTTCCAAAAAAAGAAAGGAAAACATAAAAAGTTATTTTCTTTGGACGGTTGATAGGTTTAGAGTTGCAACTTGCCCCTCGGGGGCGGATCGGATTGGACTCGGCAGTCACTGGGTTGGACTGAACTGGATTTTTTCGGATCGGCGCCGTTGGATTTTTATTTTATTTTTTTTTATTATTATTTGTTTTTCTTCTTTTTTTTCTTTTGTCTTCTCTTCTCCATCCACGTACCCTTTCATTCTAGTCTACGTAATTTTCTTTTCTTTTTCTGTTTCCAGATCATACTCAAATCTTATTATATCTCTTTTTTCCCCCTTTCTTTTCGTTTTTATTCATTTCTTCTCTTTTCTCATATCATTTTCAAATCTTATTCATTCCCCTCAAATCTTATTCTTTCTCCTCTTTTCTTGTTTCTTCTCCGGCCTTTTATATTCTTTGGTCCTTTCTCTCTACCGCTCTAAGGCCCTCGATTACTTCTTATTATGATCATCGCACTCAAAAAGGCCTGTTTTGTCTGTACAACTCTCTGTATCTCTGTACTACTATTACCTGTTCTACCATTTCCGTGTGACGTGGGAGCCCGGAGGCAAAATCAAGAATCTCATATTTCTGTCATTGTTAATTGAAATGTGCATTGTGCATTGTGATATGTGATTTGTGGACAATATGTGTTTCCGTGACCGATATATCGTTGTGATTCTGAATTTTTCAAGGTTTGGAATATTGGGCGATTTGGTGTTTATCAGATAATGAGAGGGGAAAAAAAGAATAAAAATCCAAGAATTAAAAATAAAACTAAAAAGGTTGAAAAGAATTCGCATGCGATGTTGCATAGCTCTACAGTATACTCTGCAATTGGGAATTGTCGAAGACTGGACTGTCAAGAGCTTATAAGGTTGTGATTAATATTTGTTACGCTTTGTTTATTACACTCTGCAGGAGTCTTCGATTTTAATTACTTATTGGACATGGTGGGGAATTGGTTGAATTATTTGTGAGGAAATAAAGTAAATAGAAATATACCATGATATTTTTTTTTTAAAAAAAATATTCAATTAAATAAAAATCACGTAATATAGAGTTTTGCATAAAGGGAGACCATCAATTTAAAGCGCTGAATTAAGCATGTTCATGTGACAGACAAAAAGCAGATCGAATGCAAAATCCCAAAAGCTTATGAGCTGTAAAGTGTATATCGCATAGTAAATTCCGCATCCGAACATATTTGAGTCAGACGCTACATAAAAGAATATATTGTACACGAACAAAAATCATAGCTGAAGTCCAATGCGTCGCCAAGTGTTCTCCACGTCTTGGCATAGCGTAATAAAGTTTTCGTCCTCAATGAGGTTACAGATCATCGTATCCAAAGCGGCAAGGCGCTCATCATTGGGGAGAGAGGAGTAATCCACGAGACTTTCTGCGTGGCTACTGGCTGTAGTGTTGGGAGCATGTTGGGCAATGAAAGCGTCAATATGTGCAAGATATTCACTTGAGAGGGGTTCATTTGCTCCGCCGCTGGAAGGTAATGGTGGCTGGAGTTGGGAAGACGAATCGGCTGCTTGATTGCTTGCATGATCTGATAATGGCTGATAATGACACGCCGAATTAGGATCCACAACCGAGGTGGTTGGATGATCGAGTGAAGATGGCTGGAGATGGGGCACTGGAGGTTCCGATACCGAAGGCTGACTGACTTCTAAAGGAGCTGTGACCTTGTTCGGCTTGGTGGTACATTTCGACGTTCTAGCACGCTTGCGAGGTGCTCGAGTTTTAGTCGTCTCACCAGGTGCAGTAGGCAAAATGGGCGTATTTGCAAGCGTAGTGTTGTTAGAAACGTCGCTCGTCTCTGAAACATATGTGGGCGTTCGAAGAGGAGGTAAATCCGCGACAGAGAATGTAGGTCTTCTCGAAAGCTGGCCAGATTTGGGAATCGTGGTTCGTGAGGGCGAGCTACTAGCTGGCACTGGCCGACCAAAAGGGAGTTCCCGCCTAGGAGGTATAATTTGGGTCAGCGTCTCTTCCTGCGATAGTGGCATTGAAACCGGTGCTGTTGTAGGGCGGATAATATCCTCAGGGAGCTGCCGTGTAGATGCATGCACCGGTGCCGAACTTTGAAAGGGCTGGTCGTCAAGAAATCGATGGGAAGTTGGAATACTAGAAATTAAGTTTCTTGGCATTTCTGCTGTGGGAGATTCGACTTCAATTGTGCGGTCAAAGGCAGGCTCAGATTGCGAGAGGCTCAAGAATTCTGTCGGGTGCAGCTGCGATGGTGCCGATATAGGCCGGCTTGGAGGCATGATTGTTGTCGTTCGGCGCACTGGTCCATTATTCAAGGAGAAGCCGATTCTAGTGAGGATACTGGCCGCGGTATAAAAGTCCGCCTCGACGGCAAGACGGATTTGGAACCGGCGAATCTAAAAGTCATTGGAGAATTATAAGAAAATGGCCAGTGAAGTCAATGGGTACCTCTCCAGTTGGCTTAAGATAGCGCATAGCAATACAAGGACAGCGAATCATGACTGCACTAGGCGTTTGACCAGTCTGTGACAGGAACAAGCTGCTTTGCGCTGCAGCATCGGCCATGTCCTGACAGAGACGATCCAAGTCCACAATTTCCTAGCAAGGATCAATTCGAGACCTACGCGGAAAGAAAGAAACTGAATGCACAAAAGAGACATATCGCAAATAAGGCCTGTAACAGAAGTTGGTGGTATCATACCACCACATCAGCCCCAACAATCACTTTGAGCAACCGGCGCTCCTCGGTCACTGTATTGATGAAAGATTTTGCACTATCAAATACAACAAACATATTGTCTCGCTTTGTAATATGACTCCAATTGACGTTAGTATCATGCTGGTTGAGATTAATTGCATGAGAGAACTTGGTGATTGGTAGTGAGGTCCATTGCAAAGCGGGCGTTTGTGACGCGGGAATGGCATTCGGAGCCATTATTGTTCGAGTTATTAATATCAAGAACACACCAGGGAATACTGTCCTTCAATCAAGGGATATATAATTCAAGTCTCGATAAAACCCACGTTCATTGTGAGATGACGATGAAGATGATGATGATGATGTTGATGATTGACGTTGGAGTAGTGGCCGTTGCCCTGCTTCTGGCACTAACTGTGTCTAGTTAGTGTCATTTAGCCATGGTCTGTGCACAGGATTCACGTCGCGAATAACAGATTAAGAGACTCTCTAATGGCGTCTCTTGCGACTCTCTGCTATTTACTGCTTCACCTTTGAACTTGCCTTTGCAGGCTTCACGACATCCAACTTCACGGTGGATTTAAATCTGTTGGATTCGTCATAGCGCATATTTCGGGACAAAACTCGCGAGACATTTTACGCCAAGAAACAACATCGTCAATTCCTACACATTCTTTGCGCCATGGCACCTGCCAAAGGGCCGCGCGAGCCTTCCGTAGAGCGCTCGACAGAATATGAGGAGTTCATGGAGGATCTTAAAAAGTACCACGAGGATCGAGGGTGAGTTTTTCCGTTTTGCAAACCTTTCCGAGCTAGTGGCTTAATTGCTGTCTCAGCACAACCGATGTGTTTGACCCCGAGCCCAAAATTGGTAATCGACACGCCGACCTCTTCAAATTATATAAAAAAATCACAGAACGTGGAGGATATGACAAAGTGAGCGCAGAAAAGGGAGGCTTTAGAGAAGTCGGCCAGGAAATCAAATTGGTCATTGGCCCACCATCTGGTCATGCCCAATTAAGCTACCAGTTGAAGACGGCGTATTATCGGAACCTTGCGTAAGATGAGGCGCCCACGCTTGATTTGAGGCTTGAGGTTAACAATTTCCCAGGGCGTACGAGATTGCTAAATTCCACAAGAAGGATCCCCCACCGAGAAACATCCTAGAAGACGTCAGCGCACGAGGCGGAGATCTATTGAATCGGACGCTGGAAAACTTTCAAAAGCCGGTTCGACCAAGTATGATGGATAGCCAAGATTCAGAAGGCTCAGGCGACGAAGCGCAAAAGACTCCAAAAGAGGAGAAGATGGATATCGATGAGCCCGGTAGCGCAACAGGACGGGCATCAAGAGGTAGGATACCATTCACCTCGAGAAGATCTTTTTTCTGATGACAATCACCAGGTCTTCGTCAAGCTCCTCCACAACGAGTCCTCTTCCAACCGGACGTTTCCTCTACACGACAAACCCGTCACGCTACAGGTGCGACACATTCGCCGCAGCCTCCATCGCAAGTCAATACAAGCTTGAATCAAAGCGCCCTCACCATGTTCCAAAATTACGAGCCCAAGCAACCAACAGTGCTCACCCTTCGTCCGGTAATAACACCGGGAAACAACCCGTCCATGTTCCAAGAGAAGCAGCGATCTAGAAAGGAAGCAGCGCTTAGAGCGGGCAAAACATTGCCTCCCAAAGGCATGATGCTACCTGGAAGTAAGTATATGAAGACCCAGAGCTATATATCCATCAGGTGACTGATAAAATCCATAGCTGGTTTCGAGGGTCCCAACATCTACGTTCGCACGCTTCTTGCGCTTCGCTCTGGGATTCCTGCGGAGCAAGGTTACGCATTGCACCATCTCGTCAAAATCTCCCATGAGCGTGGTGACAAGTACAAGTTTGAGGCCTTTCCTGGCCTCGCCGAGGATCTCATCAACATGGTGCTCAAAGTTAGCTCGCTTTATTACAATGTAGACTGGCAGTTTTCCTTTGCCGACGAAGGCCCATCCTCTCAGCTCGACATTCTAGACGGTATACAAGGCACTAAAGACATTCTCGAACGCATAGCGGCCCTTAGACCTCTCAACACTCTTGACGAGCTGGAGACGGAAGAATTCTATCAAACCTTGAATAAGATCAACGAAGCCGGCCTCGTCCTTCGAAATATGGTCACAATGGAAGAGAACGCCGAGTACGTCGCCGGATTTCCTCAGGTCCGCGACTTCATCTGCATTGCATTGAACCTTCCGAACCGACCGGCTGTAGTCGAATTACAACACTATGCGCTTGACATTGCCGAACAAATCACCAAATACCTAATTCTCGAAGCCGACGACCCGCTGTATGTTTCTCTGCTGCGGCACATGGGCGGCCAAGACCGCGGCGCAATTTTAACTGCTTTGCGCGCCATCTCCCGGATATCCATGAACATGGAAGAGAGCACGCGTCTCAAGGGCGTTCCAAGCTCCATCATCCAGCGCATTATCGACTGGACCATGCTTGACGATGAAGAGCTCGTCCATGCCTGCCTCGACTTCTTGTACCAATATACCGCTGTCGTCGACAATGTCGAGTACATGGTCGGCGAGGTCAACGTCGGCATGTTGGTCGACCAGCTTGTCCGACTCCTCACCTATGGCGGACGAGAAACGGAAGCGCGCCTAATGGTTAAGCCTGCGACTCAGCCTCCACAACCAAAAGTAGCCACGGAGCTGCCAAATATTCCGACCGATCTTCTCGAACAACTTCTCAATATCAAGGAACCCGAGCGTAGCTCTCAATGGTGAGTTTCCTTGTACCCTTTTCTTTTCTTTTATTTCAGTAGTCTAGTCTCTCAGCTCTAACATGACGAATCTAATTTCGCAGGCTACGCTCATGTTTCGAAGAAGACCCCAGCGGGGAAATTACCCAGATCGCGCTCTGGCAAGCGTACCAAGGCCGTTTTGCCGAATTCCAGGGCCTACACGCCCCGTTACTCGCCGCCGCAGATTTCATCAAAAACGTATCCACAACCTTCAGCAGCGCCAACGCACAAGTGCTCAACGGCCCTGTACCCAAATTCATCATCAAGGGCATTCGACCGCGTGCCGTGCCCATGAGTCTCCAGGGCAAGCCATATCTGCGATGCAAATGGCAATTCGAAGGCGGAATGCCCTGCGGCGAGTTTATCGTCGACGAGGAACGACTCTGGAACCATCTCGTGCATGACCATTGCCGCGTCTCCCGTCGCCCGGACGGCAAACTCGACGGCACCCCATCAGATACGCCGGTTTACACGTGCCGCTGGAAAGGATGTAAGAAATTTTCTTCCAGTGCGACTCGGGCATCAGCACCACCCGCAGAAGGAGCAGCACCTGCTGCAGGAGGAACCCGCTCCCCCTTTGAAGTCGGCATGCATCTCAAACTGCACCTCCCTGATTCCAAAGAGCCTGACCAGCCCCGTCCCGAAGCCGAATTCCAGTCCTTTGACTGGTGCAATACCGCCGTCGACGAGCGCGGAGACGCTGCCGGTCTGCCCCTCACAAGCGTCCTCGTTTTGCGCAACCTCGCCCGCAACGTGCCCCGCAAGGAAGACCACGAAGCCGAAGGCTGGACCCAGCGGCTCTTTGACCCCGTCCGGGGCCGTCTCTGGCATGTCATGGCGCATAATCGGTCGCTGAATAGCTATTTGACTGATTTGGCCATTTTAGTTGCGTAGGATTTGTCCTCTTTGACTGATCTGGCCATCTTAGTTGTATAGCTTTTTTTCCAGTTTGACTGATTTGGCCATATCAGTCGCATAGCTTTATTTTTTTACTTCCTGTTTGAACCATGTCTGACTTATTCTGGCTGGCTCGCTTTTTTTTCATTTTCGGCGCCATCGCTTTTGTGTGCTGATATTTCATTTTCCTTTTCCTCTGTTGTCTATTTCGTCGTGTAAAACATCGGAGTCATTATTTGGGAAATCTTTTACGGGAACATATCGGTGTTTCTTCTTTTTTTCTTTTTCTTTTTCTTCTCTTTTTCCTTTCTGTTATTCTTGAATCAACGGTTTCGATTTCAATTTCGTTTTAACGGTCCCTTTGATTACTCACATCCTGTTGATCGTTTCCTGAGGTAGTCAGCGATAACATACCAACATACTCCATTTTGTTTCCCCCCCTTGCGCCGCCATCGTTTTTACACCCCTTTCCAGAAATAAAATGACTGTTTCTCTACTGTCTTAATGGTTACTAAGAAAGCTCGAAGGAAGGAAATTCGGGGGAAGGAAGCTCGAGAGAAAAAAAAAAAAAATCCCTCAAGGAAAAGTTGGCGGGTTGAAAGCAGGCGAAATGTATTGCAATGCCCGCAGATTTGTCAAACCCTGTGGGACTTGGCTACAGCTTAGATGGCTGCTACCTACCTACCTAGGCTTCTAGAGAAATATAAGTGACGTTCATATTTGACCAGTTTATAGTATGGCTTGAAAAGGTCCCTTCCAAACCCCAACCCGCCCCCGGAATACTTGATACAAGGGAAGTGGTACAAACATTGATGTTTTACCGTTACGAAGGTAGAATTAAACTAGCTAGGTAGGTACATTATCATAGCTACGACTATAATCCATCCTTCCCCCCCTCAAACGCCGCCAAGTCATACTCCTCTGGATACCGTTCCAAGACGGCCTTAAGCTCTTTCATCTGGGATAGACTCTCTTCGCTGAGGTCTTCATAAATATCCGTAAACATTTCTCTGAGCGGGGGTCTCTTTTCCTTTTCCGCCGCGGCAAACGATTTCAGAATATCCCTTCGAATAGTCGTCCTCGCTTCGCTCTCTTTTTCTTCATCCCATATGCCCTTTCCTTCCATCCACTTGCGCAGGCGCGTAATGGGATTATCTCTGCGTTTCCAGTCCTCGACCTCGACGCGCGCGCGATACGCAAAGCTGTCGTCGCTCGTGCTGTGATGCGAGACTCGATAGCTCATTGCTTCGATTAGTACAGGCCGTCCGCCGCCTTCGAGCGCCATGCGTCGCGCCTCCTTGGTCACTTCGCGCACGGCAAAAATGTCGTTCCCGTCAACGCGGATCGTGTCAATGCCGTATCCTACGCCTCGGCTGGCGATGCCGTCGCCTCGGTACTGCTCGAGTGTGGGTGTTGATATTGCGTAGCCATTGTTCCGGCAAACGAATACCACAGGACAGGATCGAGTCGCGGCAATGTTGAGCGCAGCGTGGAAGTCCCCTTCGCTGGCGGCTCCTTCGCCGAAATAGCATGCTACGATGCGTGGTGCGACGTTAGGGTTTTGTAAAGCCTGCATTTTTAAAGCGTACGCGGCGCCAGCTGCTTGTGGGATTTGAGTCGCGAGTGGTGATGATATTGTATGCTAGGAGAGAGTTTAGTTTGGGGTTTTATCTGAGCGTGGGGGATGGAGAGGTGTTATCGGGAGTCAGGGAGAAATAAGGAGGCGTACAATGTTGAGCTTGCGACTGCCGTAATGGACGGGCATGTTACGGCCGCGCCCATGGTCGTTGCGATTGGCGAAAAGCTGGCTCATGAACTCGTCGAGAGTGAAGCCACGCTGTTGGAACACTCCGGCTTCGCGGTACTGTGCGAATACGACGTCCTCGGGGGTTAAAGCAGATGCGGAGCCCACTGCTATGCCTTCTTCGCCGGCTGATACCTATTTTTTTGGTGCATCAGTGTTTCTGTTTAGTCTGTGGTAGATGAGAAGAAAGCTGAGTAAATACCATGTAAAAGCTAAGCCTGCCCTGTCTTTGGGCGTCAAACATGATGAGGTCCATGATGCTGACTGTGATGATATCAATATATTCAGCAATGCTGGACAAATTTAAATAGCAGACAATGGGCCGGGAGTTAGCATACCCGTAAGCATGTCTTTGTACCACTGTATGGCATCTTCATCTTTAACATCCTTTGGCGCTCGAGACTCGTCTACTATGATGCCGTCCGAGTCCATGATCCTGTATGTGGGAATGGCGGGGTGCGTTGAAGGACGCTGGAATTCCAAATTGGTAGTGAATTTGCTATTGACTGCACCTGGAAAATGGACACTAGATTACAATCAGCCAAATTGAAATGCTACATCTCATTGATAGCCCAAACTCACTGATCTGCTCCTGGGCGTTGAGATACTGAGCTCCATCGCCGGGAACATCTCGGTAATAAACATTGTGGCGATTGTATTTGTGTGCGTGCAGTGTGTATCCGCTGGGGTTGACGGAGGAAAACGAATAATTTCTTCGATGAGTTCATGTTTGAAATCTTCTTGCCAGCAAGAAGCAGAAAAGTTAGAAAGATGCTATAAGTAAATTGCAGTATTTATTAGACATAATCATGGTCATCATCGTGATCTCCTCCCCCATGGGGAATGACGGAGATCCAGGGTCCAAGTGCTAAGTTGACTGTCAGATCGGCTACTCGCGGCCAAACTCACCCTTGTTTGCGCTAGTCCAGATGTGGCAAGTTTTGATATTTCATCGCAACCTCATCCTTAGCTGCTCGAGCTAGACTCTCCAAACAGGTCATATAATTCAAGTCCACTTAACTGCACAATGGCTTCCAAATCAGCATGGAGGGCTCTCACACAACAGCCTCTGCGGCCTGCAGTACGACAGGCTGGTTATCGATGCTTTTCCTGCTCTGCTCGATATGCACAGCAACCTCAGCAGCCTCCGCAGCCTCCTAAGCCGTCCTCTAGCTCCGAGAAGACAACGCATTTTGGTTATGAGACGATTGCCGAGTCACTCAAGGAATCAAAAGGTATTTCGAAAATGTCGTGTTAATTTTCTGATCGTACAAATATGCTGATCTTCGTAACCAGTTGGTGCCGTCTTCTCGTCCGTCGCGTCATCATACGATACCATGAACGACTTCATGTCCCTCGGCATTCACCGACTCTGGAAAGACCACTTTGTTCGATCAATTAATCCTGGATCAGCATCTCCAGGATCCCCTGAAGGTTGGAATATTTTGGACATTGCTGGTGGAACGGGAGACATTGCATTCCGCATGCTCGATCATGCCACCAACATCAACGGCGATCACCGCACTCGCGTCACTATTTCCGACATCAATGCCGACATGCTGCGCGAAGGCAAAAAACGCAGTCTTGATACCCCTTACGCAAACTCCGACCGTTTGAGCTTCCTCCAGGCGAACGCTGAGAAACTTGATATGGTCGAGAGCAACTCGATTGACCTCTATACTGTGGCGTTTGGAATTCGAAATTTTACGGACAAGGCTGCGGCTCTGCGCGAGGCTTATCGTGTGCTCAAGCCCGGGGGTGTCTTTGCCTGTCTCGAATTCAGCAAGGTGAACAACCCGGTTTTCAATGAGGTCTACCAGCGATGGAGCTTTGGCGCTATTCCCTTGATTGGGCACCTTGTCGCTGGCGATCGTGACAGTTACCAGTATCTTGTTGAGAGTATCGACCGATTCCCAAGTCAGGAGGAATGGAAAGGGATGATTCAAGAAGCAGGTTTCATGACCCCTGGAAAAGGCTACGAGGACCTCACGTTCGGTATCGCTGCGATCCACAAGGGCGTCAAACCCAGAAATGCCTGATCCGGATCCAGAAGGAAATAGAAAAGAATTAAGCGCATATGTTGTATATATGTACATTAGATCGTTTGTTCTAAGGCGTTACGGATATCTACATGCTAATATCAGAGCGTGCAGGCATATGTTGCTGCAGGAAGCTTTTTGTTCAAAGAAAATTATACACAATCTTTAGATCGTTTTCAAAGACATCCAGTTCTCGTGCGATTTTTGGTAGAGCGCACACACGATCTGGTGTATTTCCAAGGGACTTCGATCATGCCACTGTAGAAAGTCTTTGATCCGTTCCCCGAGACTCCTTTGCCGCGAAATATACGCCACGCACATGAGGAGATATAGCAGCAACTATATTGCAACTTCGGCAGAGTAACCTCAATGAGCGCCATCAAATAGATGCACAATCATCCCCCACTCTGGCGTTGTATGTCGCAGAGTGTTTGTTGAATGCTCATGACGGAAGTTAATCGATCATCAAACGCGAATGACATTATTCATTTTTGAAGACTGGTTTCACCCCTTGGTCGTCTTGCCGTACGCTCCGCCGGCTGCTCGCCTCATTTCCAGCGCTTTCTTGTATGGAGGTGCTGTAGGAGGCTGCACTGGATCCAAGCTTTGCCATCCCTCTGGCAAATGATACGTAGCATCGGCATCATACGCGGACAAATCGCCACAAGCTAAAAATGGAGCAACCCATCGATTGTCCTCCTGCGCATCTGAGCCCAGGTCCAACTCCGTGATCCCGTCAGGTCTGAGTGTCCTTGCCTGACCTCTCGGCTCCTTCTCAATTTCCTCAGCAGCTTTTGAAGATAGCGTCTTCTCCGTGCCCAATGGGTTCTCGAGGCTTGCCTTGAAGCCCTCGGGAGGACAGAAACCCTCGCAGACCACAAAGGCTTCTACACTGCTAGCTCTGCTACTCCTCGGCTTGCCCACCTTGACAGAGCGGAACACTGTCTTGAGCTGGGCGAACAGGACATCCACGTCCTTGCCTCTGAAAATCTTGGCAACAAATTTCCCTCCTGGTTTCAAGACACACAATGCAAGATTCAGTGCCGCCCACAGCAGCTGACTCTGCACGTAAATATCGAGATCATGCAATCCTGTAACATCGGGCGCTCCATCGGAAATAACCAAATCCACAGGATGAGATCCAGAAGAAGAAGCGGGGTCGTAGGTCTCGGGATCTAGTGCCCGCAGCAAAAGAGGGATCGTGGAAGGGTGTGTAATATCTGCACGAAGAGTTGTAATGCCCTCTAGCGGGGACATGGGTTGAAGATCGATTGAAACAATCTTCACATCTGTGCGCGGGGCAGGCTTTGAAAGAGGATCGCTTTCGTTATTGGCTTGTTCGGGATTATAGATGATTGCATTTTCTCTGCTTTGCTTGTGCTCCAGCCCTGCGCGGCCAAACTTTTCGCCTTTGATCAATACTCTCGAGAGGACCTGACTCCAGCTGCCCGGTGCTGCGCAAAGATCGACCACTCTCGTAACACCTTCGAAGAGATTGAATTCCTCGTCCAGCTGCAGTAGCTTGTAGGCGCTACGAGCTCTCCATCCCTGCTCCTTTGCCAATCTATAGTAAGCATCACGCTTATCCTTTGAAGACTTTCCCATGGCGACAAATGGTGGGGTCGTAAACCGTTAATTGTGGTAACTTGATTATTATATTCTGGAATCGGAGAAAGTCACTAAGAATCCTCCGATCCGTCAGTTCTGCGACCCCGGCAAGTTCCGCCAAATATTTTGATGTGGACTATCCGTACTTTGTACTCCGCTGGAGAGGAAGGCACGACCTAGGGAATAGGGAGGTTCTGTAGCTGAAATACCTAGCGTATGAGAAGTGTCATTTTAGTATTTGAAATTCTGAAAAAGGCAATATCAAAATCTACCATGGCAAATGCTACTCTCAAGTCTTATCTACATATCATGATATATAGTAGTTTATTTAACAAGAATAAAGTCAAAAAGGGTCCTAAAACAGCTTATTTTAACAGTTCATTTATTATAAATATAGGCTGATTTAGAGCTAGATAGGTAGTAACAAGAGGTTTGAACTACTTAATTGAAGGCTAAATACTCTTCCTGGCATAGAGTAAAGAATTTAGAAACTAGGTAAATCACGTTCTAACATCTTTATACTTGTTACTGTAGTAAGAACAAGACTTACCTAAATACAGGCATTGTTCATTTGATTACAGTATAATATTAGCCAAGCAACTCTTCTATTCAAAACTTACCCGGATTAAGTCTTCAATTTTATGGAGGTACCTACGTTAGAGAGAGCCCACAAAGGAAAAAAGATCAAGGTGAAACTTGGACAAAAAAGGAAGGCACAACTCACTGAAACACAACAAAATTTTATAAGGCCACGTAAATTATCTTTGACGTACTTGCCCTTCATAGCAGAGCTAGACCATCAAGAGATAGAAGCCAGATCGACTGAAAAATGTATAAGTAGAGCTCGTAGGTTGCAGAAGGCTTCTGTAAAGTCCATCATTTTTGAACGAGAAGAAGAAGAAGAAGAAGAAGAAGAAGAAGAAGAAGAAGAAGAAGAAGAAGAAGAAGAAGAAGAAGAAGAAGAAGAAGAAGAAGAAGAAGAAGACGACAATATTGTTCAGCTGATTTTGGAGATGAGCGAAACGATTTTCAAGACGATTCGTCTTCCCCAATGGGGAGAAGAGGACGCACTCCAGGTACCCAGGAGACCGAGAGAAATGAAGTCGAAAGAAAAGGAGGCCGAAACGCCAGCCTATGCTCCGCCATACCCTCGCCCCCCCAATGGCCCTATGAACATAAGAGGGCTGAAGGAGCGACTTGAATACCTCAACATGTTCAGGCAGAACCGGAACATATCCCCAAGGCTCGCACAATTCGTGGAGAAATTCCACAATAACTGCAAGAAGCTTTTGGGATTAAAGAAGGTACGGAGAAAGGAGCAGCAAGTCCTTGAAAGGGACATTCAAATTGATGGGGCCATGTTGCAATCCCGGTGGGACGAGACCCACGGACCGCAGGGACTCTGTGCGACCTTAGTGGATAATATCCACTTGATGATTGAGGACCATTTGTATCTCCGATATGGGGATTATCTTGCATGCTCTCTCCAAGAGATAAGGGCACAGAATCCCGTGCAGTCCGTGTGGAAACACCATCCGGGATTTACATGGACCGAAGTGCAGGAGACACTTGCCGGAGAGCGCGACATACAGCCGGGAGACGTGCTCGTGGGGCCGGGGCGGAGAAAGAGGCCTTGGCTCGGTGCAGTTTCAGCAGCAGCCTACGAACTTGGCACAGATCTAGAGCTGCTGCTCTATGAAATCAATGAGTATGCGGAGCGAAAAGATCGTTGCCATAGTGGCATCCGAACATTGATCGATGACGCCAATTGGTTGATGCTTGCTGAGAACTTGTACTGGGACAAGAAGGCTCTCTCCCTGCTACTGAAGCTTCTTCCAGACAGGCACAAACACATGGTGGAATGTCTTGACCATTTGCAACTAAGGTTCTTCGATATGTTGTATCGGCAAAAGGGTAGGATCCAATACATCGAGTCGGCGGAAGCACGAGAGCGGTCGGACCGGAAGCTCAGACGGCAGAAGGCACGGAAGGCAGCCGAAGAAAAAGAATCGCCAGTGAAGAAGGATCGGACAGGGTCAGATCAATCTATTGAGCTCATTGACGAATCCGCCAAGTGCAGCGTGGTCCGCAAACGTCGCAGACCGTCCCCAGGGCCGTCATCCGCGCCCCAGGTAGCCCCTGGCGCTTACCCTTTAGCCGAGCCTTATCGAAGAACCTTAGTCCGGAAGAAGCTCGGCACCACCCTTTCTCTGGGCGTAGGCGCTCGGCGGGTAAGTTGTTTGAAAAATATTGCAAACCGTTCTGTCGAAGTCTCCATTTTTAACAAACCAGCAATCATGACACCAGCGAACCATAAGCGGAGATTCTCCTCTAGAAATGAAGAAAGCTCATCAAATAAGAAACGCAAGACGGGGAAATCGCTCCAATCGACGCTTCGCAAAGCCCCGCGGAAAGTTGTGCCTTTGGACAAGCTTGGGTGGAAGGAAGTGCCCATGCCAGATCATTTAGATGATGCTGAAGGGTTCTATGGTCTTGAGGAAATTGATGATGTCGATGTCGTCAGAGATGATTCTGGGAGAATTTCGTTTCAGATCAGTAGTGCACATACTGAGGATGAAGACAAAAAGTCCAAAGCGGGCAATCGCGCAAGCTCCGTGGAGGAGGATGACGAAGAATGGGGTGGATTCGACGACGAAGAAATAGAAGCACTAGCAACGGACGAGAAGCTTGTTCAGGAGTCAAAATCCATTGTGCAAGAGCAGAAAAAAACCGAGCAAAAGAAGGTCGAAGACAAGAAGCAAAAGCAAGACAAAAAGCAAAACCAGACCAAGAAACAACAGAAGCTGCAAGGGAAGCAAGTGTCTATCGATGACAGTGAGCTCAGGGAGAATGTCTTTGCAGAGCTCGAGGATGACGCAGCGGAACTTGACGCCACTGATGGTATGTGCACGTTGTAAATAAATCCCCTATATTTTCGCTCACTGGGATCTAGTTTCTGCCTGGCAATCACTGCCTCTGTCTCCGGAAACTCTCCTGGCATTGTCCAAGTTGAAGTTCTCGAAGCCTACACCTATTCAATCCTCTGCCATAACTGAGATTATCGCTGGTCACGACGTTATTGGAAAGGCATCCACAGGTTCGGGAAAGACGCTGGCATACGGTATTCCTATATTGGAGGAGTATCTTAAGACCTCCCAGAGTAAGAAAGATATGAAGAAAAGGGCAAAGCAGGACGAGGAATTGCGCAATCCCCCTATTGCACTGGTCTTTTCTCCCACACGAGAATTGGCGCATCAAATCTCGGCGCATCTTACAGCCCTCTGCTCAAACTCTGGTCCGGACAGTCCCTCGATTGCCACGCTCACTGGTGGTCTTTCGGTGCAGAAGCAACGTCGACATTTATCTAGTGCAGATGTCGTCATTGGAACACCAGGCCGACTCTACGAGGTTATCAGCGGCGGACAAGGTCTGGTTGCCTGGCTCAAGAAGGTTAAATTTATCGTTGTCGACGAGGCCGATAGACTACTTAGTGAAGGGCACTTCAAGGAAATGGAACAGATTCTCGACCTCTTGGACCGCAAGTCCGAGACTATTGGCCCTGAGGGCGAGCAGCTTGAAGAAGAATCGGATGATGGGACTGAAGTTTCCCGCCAGACCTTGGTCTTCTCAGCAACTTTCCACAAGGGACTTCAGCAGAAACTCGCCGGCAAGGGCCGTCCTAGCGGGGACTTGATGAGCAACCGGGAGTCAATGGAGTACCTTTTAAAGAAGCTCAATTTCCGTGAGGAAAAGCCAAAATTCGTCGATGTCAACCCAATTTCCCAAATGGCCGAAGGTCTCAAAGAAGGACTGGTCGAATGTGGCGCTACAGAAAAGGTATGAGCCCTTTAGACTTCTTTCCAACACACTTTAGACATGCTCAAGCTAACTCCCTTGTTCAGGACCTTTACCTCTACGCTCTCCTTCTCTACTACCCCAATACCCGCACTCTCATCTTTACCAACTCCATCTCCGCAGTCCGGCGTCTCACACCATTCCTACAAAACCTCAACCTCCCTGCTCTTGCTCTACACTCACAAATGCCACAAAAAGCTCGTCTCCGCTCTGTCGAACGCTTCTCCTCCACCGACCATCCAGGCTCTATCCTGATCGCTACCGACGTTGCTGCCCGTGGTCTTGACATCAAAGGCGTCCAGCTCGTTATTCACTACCACCTTCCTCGCACAGCAGACATGTATGTGCACCGATCTGGTCGTACTGCACGTGCCTCGACCTCTGGATCGAGCGTTCTCCTGTGCGCCCCTGAAGAAGTCGTCGGTGTGCGGCGTCTTGTCGGCAAAGTTCACGCAGAGGCAGCTATTGCGGCCGGGAACACAGCAACGCGGTATTTCATGCGTTCTCTGGACATAGATCGCCGCATTGCCGCGCGTCTCAAGCCTCGAGTCTCTCTCGCCAAGGAGCTCGCCGACAGCAACCTCGCCAAGGAAAAGAAAGCGTCTGGAGATGACTGGTTGCGAAATGTCGCCGAAGAGCTCGGTGTCGATTACGACAGCGATACTTTCCAGGACACATCGTCGGGTAAAGGCTCTCGGAAAGGCCGTGGAAGCGGTCGTGAGAAACGAATGAACGAGGCTAGTGCAAAGACAAAGGCCGAATTACAGGCCCTCCGCGCGGAACTCAAAAGTCAACTTTCCCAAAGGGTGAATATTGGCGTCAGTGAGCGATATCTGACAGATGGAAGAATCGATGTTAATGAGTTGTTGAAGGCGGAGAAGACAGGGGAGTTTCTGGGAAAGGTGGATGATTTAGGTTTTGAGGATTAGTCAAGATGCATTTGAATATCGGCGATTGCTTTTTCCTCGAAAATTTTCTGTTTTGAATTTGTTTAAAAGTATAACAGTCATAGAATCCTGGAGTACTGGATGTGATACAGGGACGTATAAAAGCAGATTTCTTCGTTTCATTTCTGTCATTTAATAAACGTGGATACCTGAAAATTGCAAACAACCTGCCAAAATCAAACGATTTATTCGATAGTCATGTACTCCCTGCGCCTTGACTGAGAGCTCCCTGACCCTTCAAAGCCCGTTCAGATTTTCGAAACATGAGGGATCGCGGATTGGGATAAGAAGGTACCGCTCCATTGCGGTGTTCTTCTACCATGGGCAAAATTGCATCAAACCCCTGCGACTCATGCATATGGGCAACCTGCTTGTTCGTCTCATCACGATCAGCTGCTCGTGCTATATTGACGGTGATTTTGGTCTCGCTGATGATGTGGACAATAATTACTGTCAAAGATTCAGGATGATGAGCAGTCTTGAAATCGTAGGTTGTATGGCACAGGTCGAGGACGAGAGCGGTCCGTCTTGTCCACGTCGACAGTATCAGTGTCTTGCAATCCTTCTCGTCGGCTCCAATTCTCTGGAGAGCGGTGTCTCGGATGAGAGAGAGGTTGGATTCCTTGAACAAAGAGCTGCCGGGATAGACGATGACCAGAACCCGGACGGGTTTGCGGGATGTGATGAGTTCTCGCCAGTCTTGAGGATTTGATGCCATGATTGATATCAGCAAGGATTAAATAGAGGCTTTATATTTCAAATTTTTTTTGGATTAGTCTTGCGTATGGCATTAATGTAGCTGTTGAAATATATATTGATGCGCCTCATTGGAAGGAGGTTATGCACGTGATTCGAGCCCTCAGCCTTGCGTTTTGTCCTTGGAGAACTTAGGGGTCATTTGAACGCTTTGACCCTTTAGAAAATGCATTCCTCGAATTTCTGTGAATGCAGACATATCTGGTTATTGTGCTGTCGCTCTATATATCTCTGAGCCGAGCCATGCCAGTTGAACGGCGTCTTTTGCGTGAATCAATCACACTCTCTCAAGCCCTCGATAGAGAGGTGAACGTTCTACATCAGCTTGGATACTGGCCACAACGAAATGAACTTTTATACTTTCTCCATGCCCGCCGCAAACTCATCGAGTCCCGCGTCGCACATCACCTAAAGGTACCCGTCAAAAAATGCCAAACTGAAGACGTTGGCGAGTGGATGAATGGAAGCTTCAACATCTGTGTACCTGTGCGTGTCGAAGGTCTCGGTCGCGTCATTATTCGCTTTCCTCTTCCTTATCGTGTTGGTGAAAGTTTCTGTCCTGGAAATGGCGACGAGAAAGTCAGATGCGAAGCTGGCACATACGCATGGATGCAAGAGTTTTGCCCCTCAATACCGATTCCACGCTTTTATGGGTTTGCCGTGAGGTCTGGTCAGAGTGTAAGTAGTGGCTGCGGTCGCCATTGAATACCTAAAGTTCTTAACTAATTTCTAATCTATCGCTTTGAATAGTTTACTGCCCTCGACCGGTTGCCACTAGTTCGTCGCCTGCTTCACCGCATCCACTGCTGGTACTCTTCTCTATTTGGAAACCCGCTTCCCTCCCGTCTTGTCCCAGATGACAGCGATGCTTCAAACGAGCTCGGACCGTATCTCATTATCGAATATATCGAAGAGGGGAGGATGCTGTCCGACACTTGGGCGAACCAGAGAAATGATAAAACCTTACGGAAAAATCTCTTTCGAGATTTATCCAAAGTCATGCTCACTATGAGTCGAATCGCACTGCCTAAAATTGGCTCCTTTATTATCGATGACAATGGTTACTTGCGCCTCGCAAACAGACCTCTGACGCTCATGTTGCAAGACCTGGAGAATGAAAATATCCCCGTTGATATGCCGAGGAGTCAGACTATCGCAAGTGTGGATTCATATGTCAACAGTCTTCTCATGTGTCATGATAGCAGACTACGTTCTCAGCCCAACGCCGTGAAGAGTTACGGTGACTGTGCTAGGCAGTTGACCGCTCTGGCTCTAATGAGGACTGTGCGTCCGCAATTTCTTGACCACCAGTTCAACCACGGGCCCTTTGTCTTCACCTTAACTGATTTGCACGCGAGTAATATTTTGGTCGACAAAGATTGGCATATCAAACGCTTTATCGATTTAGAATGGGCCAGCTCTCTCCCTATTGAATTTATGCGTACGCCACTCTGGCTTACTAGTCAAGGGATTGACCAGACAAATACAGAAGAGTACGACGAACAGCGGCAAGAATTCATGGAGATATTCAAAGAAGAAGAGAAGAATTCCCCACCAGAATACGACTTTTCTCCAGCATCTATCATGGAACGTTGTTGGAAGTCGGGGGCCTTCTGGTACAGAGCAGCTTTGATGAGCCCAACGGGGCTCTACAACGTATTCCTTAACCACATCCAGCCATTATTTTCTGACAAACATGCTGATGACGTAAATTTCTATCTCATCGTTTCTCAGTACTGGGCGCGTGGAACTGCAGATTTCATCCAATCCAGAGTCGATGACAAAGAAGCATACGATAGCCGACTTCGAGAAATGTTCAAAGAGCCCTGACAGAGTTAGCAGGATGAAACAGAGTTGCTTTTTGCTGAATGTTTGGATGCTCACTTTCGTTGTAATATGCATTTTCACTTTCACTTCTTGTTGATCGAGTCTGGGTTGTTCTTCAAATGAGCTCTAAGAGCTTCGTCAAGAGAAGCTTCAGCTTTCTCCTTCCGCTTGTCCTTGCAGGCCTCCGCGGACGATGTAAGCTGTGCCAGTGTCGTTGCACTCAGCGGTTTTGAGAGTCCTGTGACGGCGACTCGCGCGTCTTCGACGACGGCATCCTTGTAGTCATCAGAGGAGACAGAACGTCTATCCGCCATATTTCTTTTAGAATAAGTGAACTTTGGATTATGAAATTAGAACTGGAAATGACCTGCGACTATTTCTACCATGGCTCTGGGGTTAGAAGCGGCTTGGATTTATATTCTACGACCAATTCGAATCCTATCCACGATTTGAGGCTCTTCTGCTTCAAGTCATGCGCACTGCACCCAAGAGCCAAGGCAGCAATGATCCAAAATGTTCCGCATATTTATTACAAGGGTAGAACGATCTTTACTGGAGCACCTGTAAGCACGGAAAAATAGAAAGAAGAATACATGGAGCTTTATCCAATCGATCTTGGATCGAATATGCGAAGCTTGGATGGATGATATCTTCCTTAGACATACCCCATGGGGCACTGGGCACGTGGTAGCTAATCACAGCCTGCCATGTGGCACGGGCTTGCAGCTTGCTGCCTAGTAGATTCTCAGCCTTGTCTTCTGTATTATTTCAACATCCTTTGAATACATTATACTATTATCATGTACGAGAGGCGTGGATAGAGATAACATTGTTACTCGGAATTTCGGAAAATCTAATTGAACATAATTAAGGTATGAAGATGTACAAGACTAGTGAAGAATTTAATTCTGATAGTGTTGAACATAAGTTCTAGAGACATGGCCTGTGCCGCATAGGAAATAATTTGATGCTGATAAGTAGTATTACTCGACAGGAATCTTTGCACAATTTTAACCAGACTAAGTGGCATAGCCAGTTCCGGATGGAATTTGATCAAATATAGTAGATATATTATGCATTTTATAAAATTTATTATAATTCTATTCCATTTTCACAACATTGGTATTTGTTGCTTGAAATACGATTCAACATACTGCATTGGTGTTTTGACGGGACGGTGACCAAAAGGTTTAGTGTAAGTTTATTTGGACTTATCGCTAAATATCGATAAACTTCGCCTGGTACCGCGCTTGGATTGGATGGGATTTGCTTAATGTTCCGCTAGAATCGGGTAAGATTTTGAAGGACTTTCACTGTATTTCCAGTAGGGGAAATACTCGGGGGTTTGCCTACTCCTCTCTGCCTAGGGACTCGCTCGATCTTTCTGGATTGGTTTTCGCCAAACATGACACCTAGTCCACCGTAGAGGTCTAGAAGCGCTACCGCACACTCGCACCACAGACCACTATGGACATATCCCACAACACTTCTTTCCTACGCATATTTCTTCCAACTCCAGCGATCTGGCAGGAATGCATACTTTATGAGAAAGTCATGAATCATCTGAGAAAATTTATTGGAGTCTTTAAAGAGACAGTGAGATGTAATCAATTTTCTACTTACTTGCTTCTTGTCAATGCACCTTAATGATGACGGAATCGGCATGTTAAACCCATGCCAGAAAACCCTTGAAAAATTTCGTCTTGCACTGCCTTCTTTTAATAACTTGCTAATTCGCATATTTGATCAGTTCATTTATGAATGCGGTTAACAAGGTGCCAAGAGGATCAAACCATCACGCCAGTGGAGTTTCCACGCCCTATGACTTCCTGCACGGCCGCGCCAACCCCCGGTCTCCACTCACCATAGTGTTACCAACACGCCCTATCAACTTTTCTCCGATTTCTTCCCGAACTGATCCTTTTTCTACCTCTCCTTTATACTGCTGCGCATAGACTACTAATGCAACTCAGATCACTACCGATGCGGCTGTGCCCTGGTGCAGTTGGTGCATATTTCTAGTTTTTTTAATGGTTTTGCCGAAGTTCATCCAGTTGAATGAGGCATGGGTATGCAGTGGGTCAAGGGGGAAAGCACAGCCCTCTTGATATTTGACCTTCTGAGTCGAGAATATCAATGTCTGGCGATTCGAGACATTTGAGACAATCGAGAATTTTTCAATGCGGAAAGAAGGGAGGCTATGTGGACGCCAACACCATCGGTTGCATGGGTGATCGTATTTCTATCGTATTTTTTCATCTCACAAAGATTACCGCTGTCTTGGTGGCATTGCTTTTTGTGCCAAGCCCTCATTTCTCGGATAAATTTCCGATGAGGTTCATGCTCAAGCATATCAGAGTCAAACTCATCTCGTGGATCAACTAATGTTAAGCTTTATATCCTGAATTTTTATCAACAAATTGAACGGTTCAAATCAATTGACAAATTGGCGACCAAGAATTGGTGAGTCTGCGACTGGGTATGTCAACATTCAAATCAGAGCTGGGCGTCTAGGGCATTGCGATTGATGCATTACCAGTTGACTGACCCTGCTGCATAAAAATATAATTTGAAACTTGTTGTTTTCTGGCATTTCCTAATCTAAATATCACTCTCCGAATCTCTCGACTACTCAAAGTCCCGCAGCTTTTTGAATTGAATTGGTACATGACGAGAATTCTGACCTGGTTGGAAGTGGAAATCAAATGTGACACGAGATTAACCCTTCTGTTGGACAAATTGAATGATAAACATGGCCAATCTCCCTGGAAAGGGACGGGGCTATGTTTTTAATCCTACTGGGCTGCTGTTTCTTCTTCCCCCCGGCTTCCAATCCTGCGGTCATGCTCGATTAGTTACAGAAGTCCGGTTCCTGAACTCGCGGAGAGTGGCTGTGCCAAAAGATTGGGTCCTCGGGCCTCTAGTATCAAGATCGGACTGCTATCATTCTATCGATCTGTCGCCAACCGAATCAGACAAGACGGAGATGCCCAATGGGGAAATTTACTCTTCGCCAATAGGCATTGTTCGAGTTATTGTATGCTCACGTTTTGAGATATGCCAAAGATCTATGTCCGTTTGAACACGTCAATTATAAATTTTCCGGCGATCTTTGCTCTGCTTGCCAAGACAGCGAGTGGGTACGCCAGAACGATAACCCCGGGGAGCAAAAGGCCCAGAAGAGTTTCATGAGAAGAGGCTGTGCCGCGCGTCGTAGGGTTGCATCCTCGGTATGCCGGCGGAGACAACATTGAGGCAGTGATAATCATGGGCTAAAGAAGCTCAACGGCGCGTGGAGGATTGATAGAATCGAGAAGATCTCATAACTTTCTCCTTACGGCATCTTTAAAAGTACTACATCTCCTGCTTCCTTTTCAACTCTTTACTCCAGTGATCTGTGGGAGACATCGGGCTTTCTCTTCTACCTTGATTCAATCTCTGTCATATTTTTTTCTTTCTTATGGGTTCCTTTCTTTCTGGATCTTGACTTCATACTGCTACACATATTTCATCATTGATCTCCTCGGTCCAATTTCAAACAAAATTATCAATTGAGGACGAACGCAAAACCGCATTTTTCGAGCATCATGTCCAACGCAAGCGTTATATCGAATACAACTTCAGCAGCAAATCAAACCTACTGCTTAGAGGTCTCTGAGTTATGCCCCGTGAAGCTATCCACATACGGATACTACCCCAACCTCGGTGCCAATGCATTCTTCCTCGCCGTCTTCGCGATATGCATGATCTCCAGTTTTGCATCGAGCCTGCACTACCGCACCTGGACATACATGGTCGCTCTTACACTAGGCTGCCTGACCGAATTCATTGGCTACATCGGACGAATCATGCTACACAATAATCCGTTCGACGGGAATGGGTTTGAAATGCAAATCTGCTGCTTGATCATTGCGCCCGCTTTCATTTCTGCTGGCATCTACCTCACGCTCAAGCATATCGTCTTGTGTTTCGGGACAGAGTATTCAGTCCTTAGGCCTCGCTCATATACTTGGATCTTCATCTGCTTCGATATAATCTCTCTACTCCTCCAGGCAGCAGGTGGTGGCATTGCCGCCAGCGCGTCTGACGAGTCTGGCTTGAAACTGGGAAACGACATAATGATGGCGGGAATCGTATGGCAGGTGATTACGCTGACGGCCTTTGCTGCGCTTGCGGGATTATACTATATGAGGTTGAGAGCGTCGCAGGCAATATTGTCTTCCGAAGCAGATGCCCTGAGGCGCGCAACTCTGTTCAAGCTCTTCTTGTTCGGAATGACGATTGCGTTCGTTACTATTTATATACGATGCGTCTATCGAATTGCAGAAATGGCGGGCGGCTGGGGGAATAAGATCATGAAGGATGAAGTTAGTTTTATTGTTTTGGACGGAGTGTGAGTGTTTGAATCCATTCCTTTCTTTGGAAATTGCTGTTGCGTTTTTAGCTCAAGTAGCTCAAGGTTCACTTGGTTTACAATACTGACATCAAACGATAGGATGATCTCCATCTCGGTATTATTCATGACAGCCTTCCATCCTGGCTACTGCTTCCCCCCCTTGTCATCACGATATCAAAAGCTTGAGCGCCCCGAATCCGAAGCCAGGCATTTTGCCAACACTGTCGAACTACAAGATAGGGATCCCAAGTAATACGGCTGATGATCATTCCATAATCTGGCCTGGAATCAGAACTATCAGCGTATAAGAATGGGATAAAGAAACACGGTCAATATTATTTCACTAGTCTCGTGGGAAAAGCTCTCGACTTTCTACTCAAATTGGAAGGAGCTGGTAAAATTGTTGTGGATTTTGAGTGAACTTTGTAGGAGCATTTTAGAAAATTAGGAAAGATATGCAAAATTACAATGATTTTTTCCATGAAGCACAAATATCATTGAATGGTGCGAAAAGCGATTTCGCCCCGAAAATATAAGGCAGAAGCAAAAACCCCGTGAGCTTAATTGGGCGTTGGCAAGAAGAATTTGTCCAAGGTAAGTAACTCACCAACTGCTTTTCGACAACTTTGGCGAGCGTTCGACTTGGAATATGTCACTAATTATCAATTTCTCCACCAGCCATAAACCCATTTCAGCCTCTTTAGAATCCGGGGAACCCTATCCATATACTTTTGGCTATTTATCCTGGTCTATGTTCTTGTGAAGTACGATTACATGCAGGGGCCCTGACATATCGCTTCAATAACGCTCTGTTCTCGCTGCTCTGCATGATTCCCACAGCCATTTTCGCTGTGAAGGACCTCGATAACGACTGCTCCCCACAAGATCCGACAAGGTAAGTACGTGGATGACGTGCGGAAGCAGACCTGAAATTAATTGTACGAGTATCAGCCCTTTGCTCAGCCATGTGACGATCGCATGGCAGATATTGGGTAAAGATTGACGTTGCCAGCCTTATCCTGGCGACTCCGCTGACGCTGGAACGAGGGGTACGACCCAAGCGTCACTTGTGGGCGATTGGTGGGTACATTGATTGGCTCTTGCTTTGACAGCTGAACCGACGGTGCGATGCTATGAGTTCATAACTGTCAGTAGCCGTCACGCTACCCCCTTGTACAGCCTCATACGCCCGTAAATCCAATGATCAGTGGTGAGTCTTAGCGAAACTATTTCCAAGTTGGTCACTAGCAATGCTGACCATATTGTGGCACAGCCTGCATGATGATCTCTTGCTCAAAAAAGTATAAACGAACCAGAGTTTATTGTTGCAGCTCCACATGGGTAGACCGCCGTCTTCTATTTTATTTAAACCTAGAACATTTCATCTCTACGACACACAAGACTGTCTAAAGCCAGTTGATGCTATCTAGTTCCAACGGTGAACACAATACTACGTCCCTGCCTTATCAAACAATTTGAGACTCATACTGCGGCGCAAAATCTTATCCACTATGGAAAAGTCCTATCTGCAAGGAGTCCCAGCTGAGGCACCTCCTCCATATCCGGGTGGCCTAGCTCATCCTCAACAGAGAGTTCAGATTATCGAAGTCGTCTCGGCTGGTTTCGGAAAGAGCAGTATGGTTCTGAAGCGAGCAGATCTTACTGGCAACAGTGCTCAAGAGTTTGGCTATTTTGTCGATGTATCAAATTATACACCTGGAAAACCAGACGTTACTCTTCATCGAGGCGAGGACAAGAATGGCCCCGCACTAGGAATAGCGCGGTTTCCGCATTTCTCTCACTCAATGCGAATTGGAATTGTGCCAGGTATGGGATCTTACAGAGGTTCATTCACAGTGAAAGATGAGATCAATTGACCTCTGTCTTTAGACGTCCAAGCAGTGAACAGTGCTACTGTCGACGAAAGCCAGCTGTGGTGGGAGGATCTCCGTTCTGTGACTGGGTTCGGCAAGCTTTTCGGAAAAGCTGCAACTAGCGGAGCCAAATCTGGCGACGGAGTCTTCTCCGTGCCGGCTCGAATGCTCAATTTAGGTGCAAGCAACACCGGAAGTGATCGCATAGAATTGATCTGGAAGCGAACGCACCATGACCACTTGATGACAGCAAACGGCGCATCAGGAAATATTTCGATGGGCTCGCTCAAGCTCGTACTAGCACATAACCAAGATTTTGTTGTCGCGCAGTTCGAACAGGGCCATTCTTGCTCTTTTAGAGGAAGTAAAGGTCGCATCGTGCTCCTGAATGGCGTTGCTACCGGTCCGGCCTGGGAGGTTATGGCTGTTTTGACTCTTATGGCCATGATCGAGCATCGCAGGAGACAGCAACAAGCCGCTGTGGCAAGCGGTGCGGCCGCATCAAGTTAGGGCCCGAGTCTCGAGTTATATCTGCGGCACTTTTGGAGATACCCATTTAACCAACCTTTCGAATCGATTTTACACTGGAGGGAGAAACATTGTATATACTTTTCAGTCGAAGGTCACCAAAACTTGTAATATTTAACATTATGACTCTTTCTCAACAACCAATATATTGCTCTAAATTTACATGCATTATAGAGTTCTAAATCAGCTTATTATATGGTTTTGATATTGCTTGAATGTGTTTGATTATGCTTTTTGTTATTCTTAGAAGAGTTCTCCGAAAATTAAGGATTTCTGGTAAGTACCTAGTATCAAGCCCTGATTAGAAGGACACCCCAACAATGAAATGAGATGGTAGTCACATGAAACATACAATTTATTATTTGCTACTCTATTGATTAATTTGGAACTTCTATACTCTTATTTGTTGCTGATTTACTTTTGCCAAGACATGATCCCCCCGTTAAGCGGACGGGTAGATTTTCGCGCCTCCGTATTTAACTGTAGCTAAGCTTCAACTATTCTTCGCTGAAATTCGGTTATGCACCGCACGGCCTTTTAGCGGAGTGCTGCCTATCCTCCAGTCACATGACACGCCAACCTCCATCTGATGCCTAGACCTCTCGTTAAGATGGAGCAATAACAGCCTCGCAGGTTTGCATCTGGACCCACTTGGTTAATCTTGAAGACGAGAACAGAAAGACATAAATACTCTGTAAAGCTGCTGGGAGAGCAAAGCAACGAAAATTGAATTCCTACTATACTCCCAGTGCCAGCGCTTATTGCGACCTTTTTTTTTTATTCTGAAGCGTGAACTGACATATTTCCTGCCTGCACGAGAGACAATGAGAAATTATTTCGAGCTTCCAGGATTCACACTTGCCCTCAATTATGAGCCACAGGGGAAATACAACCAGGAAATAAGGCAAGACGAAGGAGGACTGTTTGAATCTGCCCTAAGCGTGGGCGAGGGGTTTGAGCGGTAAGGATCACATATGGAATTTTCGATACCGACCTTGAATGATGAGTTCTTCGTAAAATGATTCTGACAACTGCTCATAGCATATTAACTCTCCGCGAAATCACAATGCTGCAAATCATGAATGAGGTTACCGATAAGCCTGAGTGGAACAGAAAGGTAATTTTGAAACCCTGACTTTGCGATTTAAAATTTCAAGCTTACCCTTCCTAACTTGACATTCTTCGCAATTTTTCTGTATGCATTTTGTCACTTTATGTCTATGTTGATCGAATGAAATCATTTTTCCTCTCTGCCCAATCTCGAGTCACAACGAGTCTTGTTGCTGACCACTTTAGGTATTTGACAAGGACATTTGCAATAAATGGCGGGCTGAGGCTCTTGGGGGTGGCCAAGTTACAGAGAAAATGATGGACTGGGTCATTGCTGAAATTCAATACAAAGTCAAGGCATACGAAGAAAATGGAATGATCACAGCTTACAACGACGATATTGTTAAATCCGACACTTCTGTGGAAGAATCTATCAAAAATTCGTTGAAGAAGGCTGTCGCTTTTCTTGAAAACGTTCCTGATCCGTACAAGGATTATCATCCTGGATCGAACGATCAAGTTTTGGATTTGGTACATCCGTCTCTATTCCCTTTGGTATATGGCCGAAGCCGAATCTTGCGCGATGAGCGCATCGGTCTTGAAGATTGTGTCTCCAAAATTGGTCATGGCGAAATATTGGCTAAGCCAAAAGAAGCGCCCAGCCCGCCGCAATATCCTACAAATTGGAACTTCAAACCGTATAGCCACAAATTTCAGTGGTTGCCTTGCGATGTTGCAATTTCCTCAACTTCATCTGAACGCAATCTCGAGTCAGAGGATGATACAGTGCCTCCAGGGAATGGCTGCAAAATAATGAGCTATATCAACAATCTACATCCCCACACGCACAATGAGCTTTATCCAATCATCGAGAAGATCATTGTATGTGCGATTCCTCTTTGGAACAAGACATTAGATCATCAGCGACGACCACTATTCTCCGGACGAGAGAAAAGGCGAATCGAGTACAACATTGTGGATTATGAAGAGATTCCAGAACATCTCAAGCCCCAGCAATTACCAGGCGAAGACGAGGACGACTATGACGATAGAATTGATGGTTGGGACCGCCCCTATATGAAAGTCATCCAACCCGAGCCGGGCGAATTTAGACCACCTCCAGAGTACAATATGGTCGATCTTCGCAAACAATATGCGGAAAACGGTTTGCAAGTGATAGTAAAGCTTGCCAATATTGAGCTCACGCCGGAGAAGCCCGAGTACACAGGAGGATCGTGGCATGTTGAAGGCCAAAAGGTACTGGGTTTCTTTTTTTTTTTTTTTTTTTTTCTCACATTTAATATGCCCTGTCCTCCATCACCTTCCTTCCTTCTCTCTAGCCCTCTTGACGAAGCTTTCCCCTCTGTCCATGAGTATTCTCTGCCTCATTTTTTCCCGCCTCATGCTCTCTCAAGGGCACGGACAACCTTTTTTAAAAATTCTGCCAAGACGTTTTGACCATGGCATAAATGTTTTCTCATTTTGTGGCTTACTGACTAACATGGTCCTTCTGATGATCAGAATGAACACATTTGCGCTACAGCCCTCTACTACTACGACAGCGAAAATATCACAGAGAGCCGCCTGTCCTTCCGCCACTGCACCTATGAGGACATGATCGATGTCCATTATCCACAAGAAGAGCATGGCTTTCTCACTGACATTTTCGGATGCGAGCAACATGGCTCCACCGTGCAGTATCTCGGCGACGTCATCTGCAAAGAGGGCCGGTTGTTGACTTTTCCAAACACGCTCCAGCATCGCGTTGGCTCCTTTCGCCTCGCTGACCCTACTAAACCCGGTCACAGAAAAATTCTGGCCCTGTTCTTAGTCGACCCTAACATCCGCGTCATTTCCACCGCAAACATTCCTCCCCAACGACAGGACTGGTGGCGTGACGAGCTCGCGAGACGCGGTGCTCTGAGTCAATTGCCACCAGAGATCCAGAGCGAGGTACTGGACCAAGTCGACTTTCCTATGAGCCTTGATGAGGCCAAAGCGCTCCGACTAGAACTCATGGATGAGCGGAGGGCATATGTCGCTACGCAGGATGATGAGTTCAATAAAGTCAAATTCAATCTGTGTGAGCATTAGCACTGAGCATTTAAAATTAAGAATCACTATGTTGGGTACCGAAGCCCGCCGTTGGAAACATTTCAAACCCAGGCATATAAATAGTTCTCTTTTTCTGCCACTCTTTCTCTTTCTCTATCATAGAGAATAGTCCATTCCTGTCATTGGTCGTTCAAACCTCGTTTCCTTGTATATAATGTATTATCAATTGTGGATATTACATTGAAACCCTTCAGCGGATCTAATACAGAGTTACATACCCTACGCGCAGGATACGGAGTCAAAACTACCAAGTCGCTCATACTGTCCTGCAGAGTGTCCGTTGTGGGGCCGATGAACACCAGTCGTCTTTGGTCTTTTACACATGGCGTCTATCTTTTACACACAGACACCCCGGGCCAAGTATGGAATTTTATACGGAGTATTTTGTACGTAAGACCAGACCGAGGGGACCACTTTGGGGTGGTCGTATGAACATGCCTTCTCTATCAGTTTATGATCACCACCAACATTACCCATTTTAAGAAGTCAATCAACAATCACCATTCAACAATCAGTCAGCAAAATTACGGTATGAATGCTGGGCTTGTGCATAGATGGGTTTAATCTAAAAGACCACCCATGCCTGGTCTCGATTCTCGAGATTGGTCTTTAGGATAAAGAGTAAGCCAGACTAGACTAACACACACCCTATCAATGTCATATCAATGTAAAATCTAAGGGTCCCAAGGCGAGGTAGCTCTCCGTCCCGACAGAATCTCTGGCCCCCGTCTTTGTTTTGGTCTTTGTTTGTTGACTTGTCTTACTCCTTGTCTTTTTCGTTCTTCTTTACCATCATCGTCACCATCCTCTTCTTCTTCTTGTTGTTGTTCTTCGAGGTAGAGAGTGCTGGAACTACTTAGGGTTTTCGGCCCGAAGACCTCGAACGCCTCGGATACAGACGCCTCAGGAACGAGAAAAACGTCTTCATGCCGCACGCCAAACTTGTCCACGAGGTAGATTCCGGGCTCGGACGTGAACGTCATCCCAGACCGAAGTGGGGTATGTGTATTCCCCCGATGGAGATAGGGCGATTCGTGTGCTAGATGTGAGTAGAGTAAGTTTGGGTTTGCAGACTGCTTCGTCATTCATTCATTCGTTTCCTTCTTTATTGCACCTTGTTTCTTGTCTTTTGCAGGATGGTTTTTGTTGGTTGGCAAAAAAGGCAGAGGCGAAAAGAATAAATATACCAAGAGGAAGAAAGGAGAGAAGAAAAGAAACCGCAGAAAAGTCGGCAAAACCGAAGGAAAAAAAAAAAAAAAAACAATGATGATTGCACCGTACCTTTAATCCCAATGCCATGACCGACGCGATGTGTAAACGCATCTCCGTACCCTGCATCAGCAATGACTTTGCGTGCGGCAATGTCCACGCTGGCAGCGGACTGGTTGGGGCAGAGATGAAGCATTGATTGTGTTTGTGCTTCGAGGACAATGTTCCATACCTATTCGAATCCATTGGTTTGAATCAGTAGATGCGCAGCCTATAATAGAGGAGCTGAACTTGTGGTATTTTGGAGACTCAGAATTTATGGACGTGTGACAGGCAAGATTCATGTAATGAAGCGCTGATCGACTAATCTAACGGAGTAGCAAAGGGTGAATGAATACTAAAGATATAAAAAGGAGCAAGCATGAAAGAATGTGGACGGATTGAGCTAGAGGATAAGTTGGAAATCAATGTAAAGACAAGCAATAGTGGGCATTCAAAATAAGCCGAACGGTTGAACCGCGTGATTAAGAGAAGAGGTAGTGCAGATGACTAAAGGGTTAGCTTACATTGATCTTCTCTTCCAAGTGAGCAGGAATCTGCTCTCCTTCGGCAGGCTTTCTGAGAAACGGCGGGAAGAATGTCCGGGTAATGTCAGAGGAATAGTCGAATAAATGTGCGCTGGCAGCATTATATCAGCTATGAATTTATTCTTGGATTCGTACAACGGATCGGGTGGTGCTGGGATTAAGATACGGAATGGTAGATATGATCCAAATAGAAGAGCCACTGGACCAGTCAAGTAATACTATGCTCACCCTACGTCAATCAGGACAAAAGTTTCTGGTTCGAGGACTTTGCTTCCGTTTGTCCCGCCGTGTGGATTTGCTGCATTTTCATCTACTTCATATTAGCCAGCGGGATATTTAGAGTCCAATCGACCGGTATCCTGAGAAAGCGTTTCCGAAAGGTGAACCAATTAATTTTGGGAAAAGCCTTACCAAATAGAACAATATCAAAAAATGGTTTCAGGCCAATTGCCCTCAGCGAATTGTCGAGTACTTCAATGATTTCGCTCTCAGTAAGGCCCGGTGTCAGACCTGTTATCCCAATCATTCATCAGTAAAACAGTCTTAGCCCAAAAATGACATGACTATTAGTTGCTGCTATGAAGACTTGGAAGTTGATAATCGGCATCATCGGAAACAAAATATACATTTCCTTATCTGTCTTACTGCCTCTACAGTTCCTGTATTGACGGCACGCAGAATCTCAATTTCACGGGCAGATTTCCGCTGTCGTACAGATTCCACTTCGCCTCTAAGACCAACGACTCTGAATCCTGCCGCTCCAAGCCCGCGCTGAATAAAATCGCGCATTTCTTCCTCAATCATGATTTTGATTTCCTCTGTGCCATTAATATAGGGTTTGCGAAATATACCAGATTCGGAAAGCGTCGTATATGGATTCCAGTGTTCTTCCCATTTGACAAACTGCAGGGGCTGAGAAAATGGCATGCCTAGTAATTCTGCTCTAGGAGCTTCGAATGTAGGACATAAAAAGGTGGTATTTGCTGAGATTTTCCCATCTTTAGGATTTTGAACTGGTTGAATGATCATCAGAAAAGGCCGTTCTTCGGGCTAGATATTGAATTGTCAGGCTTATCCTTCTTCTTGGACGAAATAGGAAATGAAATGATTGTGGACGATCGCCGTTCAATCAATAATAACCATGATAACGAGCACAAGTTTAAAATTAGATCACGTATCAAACAATTCATGCCCAATCAATGACAGTAACAGACAGTGCAGCATAAGAACATTTAGAAGCTTTTTGGGGATTATGTATCATATCAGTACGCACCTCCCATACTTCCCATTCGGGCTGGCTGACATTTGCATAATATTTAAACGTATATCCCGGTTCAACAACAAAAGCATCAACGCTATCAGCCACCAGCGCTTCGGCGATGCGGTTTCGGCGTTCTTCATAGTCGGCTATCGTGGGAGGCGTGGCGGTTTTGAGAAATGGCAGTCCCGTGCTGAGTAGGTTTCTGATCGAACAGTCCTGAAATTTGGAGAGATTCGATGATGATAGTGGCTGCAGCTTTATTGGCGGAATATAAGGATTGCGGTGCATAATTGGCAGTTCATCTAGTCGGTTCGATGCGTTGTACTAATCATGACAAAAAAGGCAATTTAGTATCAGTATATACCAATGCGTGAGATGACAAAAAATCATTCAGTTTCGAATGCTCATTGCCAATTAAGATAGATCCAATGGCACTTACAAGTTGGTTGAGCCAATTCCAGGCAAACAAAAGGCACACAATGGCAGCGCCAGCACTTATAGCTCTGAAAAGGGCAGAGTATTTTCTCTTGCCATTCTTTACGCGCCTTGTATTATCGCGATCCACCACTGGCGAACGCAATTGCAAATTGCCTTTTACGTCAGCCATGGCATTTTAAGTAATATTTCATTGGAAAATATTCGCTGGATCAGGAAGAATAATTAACAAGTCTGGATAGAGTCGCTCCTGTAATATGCCTGCAACGGCCTTATCTAATCCATTTTGAGTGACGCTATACAAAGGTGTCTTTGTCAGTTGCTTTGTTAGACGTCACGGTAGGGTTGGGGAAGATAAACGAGCAGCCGACACTATTTTATCAGCATCCCTGACTTCTCCAGTTATGCTTTGGGGATGGGCCACGCGCTTATGCTTCGTTGGGCGCCCTTTCTAGCCGCGTGCCGCGCTGGCGGGGTGGAAGCTCCCGTTTCGGCAAGATCTAAATAGATTACTTTCTACTCAAAGCAATCCCGTTATTTCCCTTCCAATATTCCACTATATATCAAGATCAATAGTATCACAGGTTAGGTCGTGTAACAGAAAAAAGCCTAAGAACCTCTTCTTGATCTAGCAATTACGGTCGAGATTTTTCATATAATCGATAGGGCAAGACCCTATAAGCTCTTTTCCATTCTCTGTGATGGACGCTCTCAGAGAAGATGATTAGAGAATTGATCTGAACATAGTGAAGACTGAAGAGGTAAGATGCGGAAATGGGGACAAATCTATCATGCTGCGGTTCTATACTAGGGAATGAGCGATGGCTAGAGTTGCATCTTACCGTAATTACATGCTATACGCATCATTTATGGCTTCAAGCAGCTCGTGAGAGGTCTCTCGAGAGCTGACAGTACTGCTCACTTTTATAGTCTGATATTTTGTCTTCTAGAAATGTAGAGATGCCATTCAAGGCCAAATGAAGTAATGCAATGCAGCAACGTATGCTCCCTTCTCCTTTGACAATATGAGAATGTCGAAGCGCACCAAGAGAAAAATTCAACGATTTAATAACATGACTATTGGTTCTTTTTCCCCTCGTTCCCTTTTTCCTTCTCAACGCCATTCGTATGACTTGTCGCATTGGTCCTGATCTTCTTCACGTTATCGAACCGCTCTTTAACCTTTCTTATCCTGGCTAAAACCTTTCCCTTAATACCGGACACATTCAATCCCTCGACTTCGTCAGCACCGACAAATCTCCGCACAAGGAGATTGAAAATGCTGCCAAATGCGAGCGCCATCACGGTGCTCGTGAGAATGATGACGTTATATGGCATGCTAAAGTCCGGTGTTGGGAGTGGGAGAAGGAGGCTGGTCGTGCGGAGATAGATCGAGTCTTGCACGGGAAGCTCGCTTTCAGATTGATCTTTCTCGAAGATTGAGTCGGATGTGAAAGAAGAAGAAGAAGACAAGACTCGAACGACAGCAGGCGCGACATCGAAGCCGCGGTTTGCATCGGGTGGGTACTCCGTATATCGCAAAATGGCCTTGTCGAAATCGTACGTGAGTGCTGCTGTGGAAGCGGGTGGGACAATAAGTCGAACTTCGAGCTGTGTGCCGCGTCGGCGATCCAGAGCGGGTCGGTAAAATATTTCTTGGATGATAGAGGTCGAGGAGGTGTCAACGTTGTCGGAGGATGACGAGCCTCGAAGGCCGTTGATGAGTGACGCTTTCAGGGTATGCAGATATGGTTTCATGAACCACGGAAGTGATTCGAGATAGATGAATTCAATGGAATCGGTTTGGGAAGGATTTGTAAGGAGGGTCTGAACTCCACCGCGCTCTTGGCCGTAGCCGGTAAATGAGCGCTCGGCATAGAGAGGTGGTTTGGAAAGAGGGTGTGACGTGGAGAGGGTTTGTTGGGGGAGAGATATATCAAAATCAGAAATCTCTGCAAGCAGATGTTAGTGAAAAGGGAAAATGTAAAATATCCGAGGTATTGCGTACCCGAAAGCTTGTAGCATCGTGAAAAACCGTCTGGCCGTTTATGCTCAGTCGATCCTGCGGTTGCGTAGACTTGACGCTCATGAGGGACTTCGATGCACACGGTCTCTGCACCTTCTCCTTCGCTGTCGGTAAGCGGACAGGAATGCTTCATCGGTCTTCCGAATATTTCGCTCAAGCTCCATGGTTGTTCGGACGTGGAATCCAGTGGGTAACAAGCGTCACTTGATGCGTATGGTTTCGAAGTATCGCAGGCAAGCTCTTCTGGGGCAACAGGACGTGGAATAGGATTATCTAGTTATATCACTGCATTAGCATGCTCAGGACATTCAATTGATAGAAAATGCTAACTTACCTCTATGCCGCTTCGAACGCTCGATATCTAGTACCATATCCACAGTCTGGCCCATCTCGAGCACACAGTTCGAATCACTGGAACAGACCGGCCGCACATCAATCGACATACTCTGCCAGGAAGCGTCGAAGAGCTTATGGCCGTCAAGTAGACTGGAAATTCCTGCTTTACCCTTACATGGCAGCAACTTCAAAAAAGGCGTAAGGTTCTCCGTGCAAACCGGTTCACGAGGTAGTGTGCCATGGAGCAGGTGCAACTTGCTCAGCGTAGCTTCGGAATGGTGTCCTGAAGGCTCAAACGAGATGGCAGGTCGGATAGTCCTCGTAGAGTCGATAAAGTTGAGCGAGGCACAGAACAGTCCAGATAGAGCATTTGTAAGCGTTGTCCATCGAGCAGCGGCTCTGTCATTTTCCCTTCGTCAGCACATGACTTAAGCTCGAGAGATTCAGTCTACAGATCTCACTCTTCATCATTTTCTGCCTCTACCCAAGCCCAGAGCTCCACGCCAGTACCGCCTTCTTTTCTCCCGTTCCAAGGTCTCGATCCCCACGTTTCCGCGTCCCACCGCCCTAAACTGAAGCGCAAATGTAATTCTCTCGTATGCGCATGTTGCAGAATCTGACCTAGTGAGCGGGGAAAATACTGGTAATTCTGTTTCTCAATTGAGCTTGCAGAAGCATTACTGCGGAAATCGAAAGAGGCCAGTAACGATCCACGCGGGAGAGGACGGAGCACGAGACGCTCGTGGTAGTCGGCAGCTGCGCAGACAGAGCCAAGGAAGAAGGTAAGGATATAAAGAAAGATCATCGTGGCTCTTCAGCCGGAAAGAGAGCCAGACTCCATCTACACCTCTCGCAGCAACAATATTGTGGAAATTATTGCAGCATGATAGCCATGTCAACAACAAGGGGAGGTTGTCGGTGGTCGGCAAATCGGGGGCGGTGAAATCAACGCCAAGAACCCTCTCCCGTCCCGCGCAAAGTTCCGCTTTCGACTCTGACCCTCTAAATAACTTTATCAACTATACAGCACTTGAGCTTCATCGTCAGCAACGCCATATCTCTTCATTTCTTGATTCTCTGATCTCCGTCTGGCAAAGACGCATAAGCGATGGCTGCGGAACAGAGAAAGCTGCTCGGTACGTGCGCTTGGTCTCATCATCTTCAATCGAAATCACATATGGATGCTAACTATTTTCCATTAATACAGAGCAGCTCATGGGCGGTTCGTCTTTTACTCCTTTTAGAGTCCCTATGACCATTTCGGAGCTATGGCTATTCAAACGGCGATCCTTATACTAATGAAAAACCCACAGACCAGCTCATGGGCGGCGGCTTCTCCTCACGCAACTCGCAGCTCTCCCTGACAGACTCCAAAGTCTGCCGCTCCTTCATTGTAGGCACATGCCCGCACGACCTCTTCACGAACACGAAGCAAGATTTGGGACCATGTCCCAAGGTCCACAGCGAAGCGCTCAAGACCGAATTTGAGAACGCGTCCGACAAAACTAAATACGGCTTCGAGTACGATTACATGCGCGATCTGCAAAAGTATATCGACGATTGTAATCGGCGCATTGACGCAGCACAGCGGCGATTGGAAAAGACGCCTGATGAGATTCGTCAGACAAACGCATTGGTAAATTCCCAATTTTCCCCTTTTGCCGTCCTCAATCCGAGTTGCTATGTTAATTGTCAATACCACTAGCTCAAACAAATCTCCGATCTCTCCCGCACCATCAACAATGGTCTGCTCGAGGTATCAATTCTCGGTGAAGAAGGCAGTGTAGGACAAGCGATGATGGAATTTTTTAAAGTGAAACAAGCCAAGCAGCAGCGCGAGGAGCGCGAGCGCGAGCTGAAAGCCCTGTCGGATACTTCCGGCCCATCGGGACACCAGAAACTCCAAGTATGCGACGTATGCGGGGCGTACTTGAGTCGACTGGATAACGATAGGCGACTGGCCGACCACTTTTTTGGAAAGATGCATTTGGGATATGCGCAGATGCGGAAAACATGGGAGACGCTGCAAAAGGAACTCAAGGGACGGCCGCCACCGGTGCGACATGATTCTATTGGAGATCGCAGTCCTGCCGGGCCAAGAGGCGATGATGAAGGAAGCTGGGGAGGCAAAGGATATGGTAGAGGGCCGAGAAGTGGAGGCGGTTATGGGCGCAGAAGAGGGGGCAGATGGTGAGCTGAGACGAGGTGCCTTCGACAGGATCACTTATCGTCGCCGAGCTTCGTTATTATTGGTAAAAAGGGCGTTGGCTGGTGTTAGGCGTGTGCATGTATTTTCCAAGGGTCCTGGGTGTTGACATGATTTTACTACATCTTTTTGTATGAATCTAGCTTGTACCAGTCATGCGAGCAAAACAAAGAGGTAGCACTCGAAGTTTAAGTTAATAAAGGGCGTAATGGCCGTCTTGCATTATTCAATTCCAATTCGTTATCCTGTCTTTTATTTAATCCTGCCTATCAACTCCAAGAAGTCGAAGAGAAAAAGGGGAATAAGCCAGTGTTTATTATTTCGTCTTTCGCGCTTTTCACAATCGTTGCTGGGGAATAAGGAGAATAAAAAAAAGGGCAAAAGGAAGAGCAGAAGCTCAAGCAACAAGACAAGTTCCTGTCGTATCGTCCAAGTGCATGAGATACGGAGGTCCTATGTAGCCGCAGGAGTAATAGGCATACCAGCCTCCACTTGCTCGGCCCAAGTTCCTTTGGCGTCGGTCGATTCTGGCATCTGAATGGATGACGGCGCCGTTTCAGGGGCTTGTGAAGAGACGTTATCCTTATCGCTTGTTTTTTCCTCTGCAATTTTCTCTGAGGATCCACCTGGTAGTGCGGGAAAATCATCCGCGGTAGGGGGTTTCTGTGGTTGTTGTTGCTTCTCTGAATGATTTGGCGCAGATGATTCTCTATGTCCGCCACCACCACGCCCTCCTCCTCTACCTCTGCCACCTCTGAAATTTCCCCTATCTCGTCCTCCGCGAGGAGCGTAGCTGTCACCGTCGTATTGCCCGTCGTTCGCACCATAGCCTGGCCGGGCGCCGTCGTATGCGACGCCGCCGTAGGCGCCACGCCGAAATTGCGAGCCACGAGACCTGTCTTGATTATAGTCCTCTTCGTTTTTCTCCGCGTCCCATTCTCGTCCTTGCAGCGCTTTGAGCTTTCTCTGACGATTTCTTTCACGTTCGCCTTCAAGCGCTTGGCGGTTCTGCCGCTCCTCTCGAACCTTAGCTTGAGCGAGCTTTTCTCGTTGTCGGAATGAGGCTTCGTCTGCTTCAGCGCGCCGATGCGCTTCTTCTAGTTCCTTGTTCTTCAGCTTGATGCTTTCGAGGCGTGCCGAGAGCTCGTCTTCTGTCAATTTAGGCTGCGTATAGAAGTTAGCTCTTGCTCACAACAGCAATGGAGAGCATGCAATTGCAGTGAAATGGCAAAGATCTCTGCGCACAGGCTCAATGCAAGCAGAATTACCTTCCTAACCCCGCCAGTGCCACTGCGATCGCCCCTCACGGCACCTGATTCCTTCGGTTTATCTTTTCCGGGCTGGTTGCTGCCTTCTGTTTCTCCTTCCGGCTTTGGTTCAATGTTAGATGGCCTTGGTCGAATCCCTCGACCTCGCCCACCTCTTCGCTCATTCTGACCATGAGCTTCCCGGCTATTCTCATTCCTGGGCTCAGTTGTTTCTGCTGGGCGAGCGGGTATAACAATTGTTTCTTCGACTGGAGTGAAGTCGTCAAAGAAAAGGTCCTCAGCTTGTCGCGTCTGTGCGAAAGCATCTTCATCGGTACCGGCGACTTCGAATGCAGGGATGGAGCTTGTCTCGGGTTCTAAAGGGGAAGAAGTAGCAGGTGGCGCTGGTTCTGGTTGATGGTCGGCATATCTCGAGGATTCCATCTTCTTGCGGGGATTGAGGGACGCTGGTGGAGTGCGGGGCGGTGAAGCTGTGTATGCGATAGATGAGATAGCACCTTAGCCCACTGTATAATGTTGAGTAAAAGAAGAAATAGGGCCCAAGGAGATTGCAAATAGGTAAAAGTTGAGCAGGTTGAGGGGCGGATTATTGAATTGGTCTGAGGACAAAGTATGAATGCGGTAAGTTACTAAAAGCTCGCTCGAGAACATCATAAGCAAAGTTCGAGGGGTCGCAACACGCGCGGAACACGCGCGGCGTGTTCCGCGCGTGTATTTGCAACCGCGAAATGAGACAGGGAAGATCGACTAGGAGGAAGTGACATCCATAGTGTCTTCGGTTTCATTCGGCTGGGCTTTTCCCTTGCCTTGTCCACATGCGCCTCATGACGTTCGTTGTTGCTCTTCCTTTTCCTTGAGCCGTTGAATCTTCCGCGCCGATCTCTGTCGGGCTTCGATGGATTCAAAATATTGAACTCTACCATCCTCAAAGTAGATGGCATCAAAAAACTGCTCCTTTAGCCGTTCCATGCAGTGCTGCAGGGCTGCGTGTTTTTCTGGGACCTGCTTCTCTAGCATCGCTAGAGCCTGCCGGTCCCAATATAGATGCTCTGCGAGCTGGACCCAGCTCGCGGCGTCTATGAACCCTTTGATACCGCGGTGGCACCTGTTGTTGCGCTCGGCGTACTCCTCGATTTCGTAAAGGAGCAGCCCATGGTCGACATCTAGCTTTATTGCTGCGGCTTTGACTGCATCTAACCAAGGCTGCTCTCTACGCTTTCCGCCAACGAATACCATCCAGTCTGGTTGTTGTTCCTTATCAATTTCATGCTGGACGTCACTCCAGCTGAACCCTGGGTGGGGCATGGCTTCATGTTGTCTGAGCTCACGCAGGGAAGCAGCCAGATAATCTCCATAATGGAGATAGATATGTTGCTCGACAATATTTTGAATGTCCTCCACCAAAATTGTACAAAGGCCCTGGGGGCCGTGGGTTTCGTCCCACCTTGATTGCAACATTCCTTCGTCAATCTGAATATCTCTCTCAAGAGCAGCTTGCTCTTGTCGCTTCATCTTTTTGGCACCCAAAAGCTTCTTGCAGTTATTTTGAAACTTCTCAACAAATTGCATCAACCTTGGCGATATGTTTCTATTTTTCTTGAATATGTTTCCATACTCCACCCGCTCTTTCAGACCACGCTTATTAAGTGGGCCTTCCGGAGGCCGTTGGATCGGAGGTACATATCTCGGCATACTTTCTTTTTGTTTGTCTTTTCTTTGCTTTCCGGTCGGTGTGGTTGGAATGAGGATGTTCTTTTCTTCACCTGCTTGAGGCAGGGAAACGCTTCGAAATCCGGTATGTGCCATTTCTAATTCTTTCAAGAGCACTGATATTTATATTATAGCTGATTAGTTTCTATGAGTCACTGTTGCGGTGAGACTTACACAAAAGAAGTATTCGTACGATGTATATAGTATCTGGCTTTTTCTGCTTCTTTTCTTTAATGAGATAGCATTCAAAACACGTCTGCCTTATATACCAAGCAATACTTGTCCTTTTCCAATGTAGTAAACTTAATTCTAAGCATTATCTGTAAGTCGTGCCTTCCATCTTGGTTAAGCTTCGACCTCTACTAAAATGAATTAGGAGACTCTTAGTCTAAACCTGGATTCTAGTATATTTATAGATTATCTCTATTATAATTTAACAGTATAGCTAATTAATTTAATTATTAATTATCTACTTTACTTTTATATATAGTAAACTAATTTAATCTACTTAATCTTGTCCTAATATTCTTCTTCAAGACTTGCTAATTCTACTCTCTAGAACATTCATTAAGGCTAGTAAATACTAGTAGTCTTAAGCCTTTTTATATAGTAAATCTAGCCCAAGTATAGAATTTTAAAAGTAGAACTAGACTTTTGTAAATTTAATTTTTTTAACATGCTACTACTAGTTTATAGTTACTATTAAGACTACTTATTTAAGAAAATTACCAATAATTAATTAATAAAATTATACTATAAATACTAGTAATTTGCTCAAAGTATATACATTTATACCAGACTCATGTATAAATGAGTATAATTAATAGACCACCTACACCCAGTCTAGAGACTGGCCTTAACCTTAAAGACTAACCAAGACCAGAGACTACCTTGGTGTAGAAATTTCAGGCAAAGACCGACCCAGAGCAGACCAACGGACACCCTACTCCTTCCGTTCCTTCTTTACCCCAAGGGCTTCTTGCAATCGTCGTGGAATTCCTCCACGAACTGCGCGGGCCTTGGAAAAAATGTTCCAGTTCGTCCTGAATATGTTCCAATACTCAACTCTTTCTTTGAGTCCACGCTTGTTTAATGGGATATTAGTGGGGTTCTGCTAAAGCGGATCGCTGTCGGACACAGCTCTTCCCTTTCGTATTTCGGTATATAACAATTCTATATCGTCCTCCTCTTCGGGTTGAGGGAGACAGGTTATGTTGATTATGATTTCTCCTGTGGAGAGATGCAGCTTGCGAGTGAGTGAAATGCGCGAATTATACGGGCCGCAATTGACAGTTGCGTACTCATATCGCCTTCCAGTGGGTTTGAAGAGCATTTTCAGCGGCTGTAGTACACTGCGATCGATTTTCTGAGAAGCTTCCTGCAATATTGAGGCCATATTTACAAAGATTTATCTCGCCCGGGCAGACCTGGTAAGTAGATAAGCACTTGATGAGTCAAAGGAGATTTAGAGAGACGGATGTGTTATTATTTGATGATGCAGCGTGTAGCGTGGTCCAGTGTTCGAGTGGGCTATACTGCCGTAAAGGTCTAAGTCGTGCCTTCCTCTCTAGTTCAAGCTTTGTTGGAAAGTGTTTACCGTTTACGTGTCCTCTGTGCTCAGAAACTAAACTTCAATTATAATGAAGTCATCAGTTCTTGCCATGTGTACGCATTATGTGTGAATAACAAAAAAAAAGTTCTGAAAATATCCTTCGGTCAGGGGATTTGATTTATTGACTGGTTATATGAGGTTTATCCTTCTGTATCTTCCTAGCTTGTTTCGAAATTATTATGAGTGGATCTTATATCCCACACTGAGCTGGATATGTTCTGCGTTAATTGTCAGAATGGAATGTATATCAATGATGGCGATGATTTATTCTTCTCATATTAGTTTCTGATGAGTCAATAGACCACTTCACTCATAATTTCTCAAGGAGAGCAGTGAAAAATGAACGGTGAAAGGATCAAGTCATTCGCGTGACTGAAATGCTCTAATGGGAAAAGAGGATTAGCAACATCTGCGTTTTCGCTACAACACCAAAAGTAGCAGCATCGTGATGAGGTTACCACCGCTACAATTGTGTTTTAATTGGACTAGTACCGCTTCAAATTGGTAAAAGTCTCTGTTCCCAGGGCGTTTGCGATACTAAACTGTTTACAGCTAAATAAAAACGATGATAACTACTTGCCTCCTTTCAGATCGACCGTGGCCGCCATTGATGGTTTTCCAACCCTGTATCAACAAGCAATATCTCGAAAAGGGAGTAGTCTATACGCCCTAAGGTCTGAAAATGTGTTCTCAAATCTCTTCTCCCCACTATAAATCTCTTGATGAGAAGTATTTCGCTCAGGATTTTTCTGTTTCTGCCTCTCTCTTTGATATGAGAAACTTGTTCCGGCGATCATCAACAATAGATGTTTCGCTCGTGCAATTTATGCAACTGAGATTGAAAAGAAAAAACTTGTAGACGATGTTACAATATTCGCAAGACCAAGGTATGATCATCTACTACCTAGATAATGCTCAGACTTCAGGGAATTCGCAAATCATAGAAAGTATGTCTGACTCAACAACCAGTACCGCAAACCAACTCAAGTTCATCAACCTTAGTTGAAAGCTCCGATACCTCATCCATGACCAGCGACAGCAACTGTTTGGCAAGCATATGGAACAAATGCAAAACATTTTTGCGACAATTGTTGACAAGAACACACGAAGAGCTGGAGGGAATGGAATTAGAAGAATTTCCAGGACGGGGTAGCAATCAAGCAACCAGCTCCACAAATAACGACTGCACATATATACCGCAGGCACTCACGTGGGCAGATCTCAATGTGCCACAGGATCTCCACGTCATCCTCATCGAGAACATGCATGGGCTGATTGAAGAGCGGCTCTATCGAGAATACAACGATCATCTACCAAGCAAGTTCCAAAAACGCAGAGAAACAAGCCTTATGCAAAAGCTTTATCAGAATCATCCTGAATTTTCCTGGTACGAATTATACCGGAAGCTGGACGGACACGGGCAAACATACGAAGAATGGTTGCACAACAGGAACTGGAAAAAAGCAGTCGACGGGGCTGCCTGGGCGCTATGCATGAATCAACGTGTCATCCTTAATGAAATGAAAACATATGCCGAATATGAAAAGATTGAAAGGAAGATTGAAGATGTAAAGAAATCCGGAATTTTGAATATCAAGGAAGCAATTGACAAAGCTTCCTTCAGCGATGTTGGGTCATTCCTGTATCATGACAGAAAGGCGCTGGGGGCCTTGCAGAAGGCTGAGCCGGGGAAATACGATGAGTTGGTAGAGTGCATGAATCATCTCAAACGCCGATATTTTTTTAGCCTAGGGAGACAAGATAGAAGTATATACTGGATCCCGACGGCTCAGGCGACTCGAGAATTGAGGGCAAGGCTTGAGCATTTGAAAAGGGAGAGGCTTGAGGAATGCTGCCTTGGTGCCAGGGTATCGCATGCGACTCAAGAAGAGAATGTGCAGCAAAATACTCCGCTTCGTATTCGGTAACAGAGAAAGATTTATCATTGTGCTGTCATTGGATATCGTTGTAGGAACTATAGGAAGCAGATGTGTTTTTAGCTGGGAGTTCAAACGAACAACCTCTCCCAGACATTCCAGAGCAGGAAAAAAAGAGATTATAGATGACTATATACACCATACCTCATGCCTGTGTGTTACCGTTGGCAATTTCTGTCCCATGTTCCGGTGCAGTCTCCAAATGACTTAGTAATCCCTGCTTGCCAAACTTCATCGCCTGTTGGATTTGCTCCTCCTCTTCTCTAAGCCGATCCTTGCCGTAATCAAGCTCTTTCTGCTGCCTCCTCTTGTCTTCTTCGACCTTCTTTGCACGCGCTTGAAGCGCTTTTTCTCTCCGCTTGCGCTCTTCTGCTTCCTTCGACTTTACAGTCTGATCCTCTTCTGAGAGATCTGTGGGTTCGGGTGCAGCCGGCAGAGTTGATATATATGCAGATATCAGCTCATCACGAACAGACGGCGATACAGATACGAAACGGAGGTCGCTGAGGAGGGCAGAAGGAAGGTTCTCGAGTTGAGAAGAACGATTGAGCTCGCTCAAAGGTAATGACTTCAAGAGAACAGAAAGATCCGATTTCAATGTCGAAGAGGAAAGTTTCAGGCCTGGGAAATATGAGATCAGTAATGACCCGGATAACATAGTCCAATAAGAGACTCCTTTGCTTGGCGATTTGGACATACGACTAATATATTCCCGATACCACTTCTCCCGGTCTTTATCGGACAGCTTCAGGTCTCGCATTTCAGATTCCTTTTTATATTTCCTCTTAAATTCTTGCCAATATAGCTTGGGTGTAGCGTATTTTTCTAGAAGAGTGAAATAGGGTATCCGCGGCTAAAAGTGATATGGTGAGCTTTCACAGCCACGCATTGAAAGGAATGGAATAAAATTCTTACGTCTTTTTTGACTTCCTTTTCTTTCTTCGCCCTAATATCGCGAATCTTATCCTGCGCCCATTCATCCCACACGGCTCTTCGAGCTTTCATATTTGGAAGCACGGTATAGCGATCATCGTCGATGATCCTTCCTTCATCAATAATTTTGTCCCATGTGGAAAACGGATTGAGATTGTGATCGCTCAGCAAGTCTTTGAACAAGGCAGCAGAATCCTCCTCTGTGAGAGGCAGGCCTTCTGCGCCTTCTTCCCATTCCTGACCCTCTCCGTCGCCATATTCGCCTGGATCAAGCCCGTACTCCTGACCCATTGCTGCAAGCTGATATGCGATGTCATCCTCATTGAAATCCACTGGTTGGTCGACTTGTTCTTCCTCGGTTTTCTGTCGTTTCGTCGGATTTTCGTTCAGATCATCTTCTTCGTCTGTGACCTCTACTTCCTCATATTCATCGCTTTCCACGTCTTCAGCTGCCTCCGAGCCATCTTGCTCTTCTGTCCGTGCCACTTCGGTCTGTTTGGTATCTTTCAAAGTTTCACTGACATCTTCACCCCTTTCCCGGGCTTCTTTTTTCTCCCTCTCAATCCTGTCAAACTCCACTACACCTTTCATTACATCCTCCGGAATCCGCCAATAGCTTTCGTTCGTTTCAGAATTGTAGACAAATCTTCTTTTCAACTTCGTCCTTACGAGAAGCCAAGGGCTGCAGTCTGGAATGGCGTGCTTCGACTTCGGTCGATCTTGAGGCTGATGTCGCGCTCGATCGTGGTGCCCGCGCCCATCTCTCGGCCTTGTGAACCCTGATTGGAATCCAATCGCAGGCTCCGCTCTGTGAAATCCATCTCCATACTGCTGCTGGAATGGTCCAAAAGGAGAGCCAGCTTGCACTGGGATACCAGGGGGGTAGGATTGCCAAGGACTTCCAAACGCGGGTTCGGCAGGAGTCGATTCTGTCTGGACAGTCGGGCGCGTATAGGTTGATTTCTTCAGCTCCGCATTGTAGTAGTAAGAGTGGCCTATTTCATAGTTAGCATTGCGCAAAATAAGTAATTTTTTATGTGCGAAATAGGTGTACCAGTAGGTGCTTTATGCTCGGTCCAACCAGGTGGCAGCGGCGGAGGACTCTGGCCAACGTTCTGCGGCCGATGAGTCGACTTCAGCATTATTGCTCAATTCCAGAGAAAGTTTCAAAATAGCAGCGCTGAAAGGCGTACGAGCTGCTCACAAGAAAACTAAGTTGTTTGTCGTCAAAGTTTACCAAAATTTCGGAGCATTTGGCAACAAAGCACTGGAGAACGGCATGAGCCGCATGAAGTTGGTCCGGGCACCCGCTAAGGCTTGCGCGTAGACAGGCTGCCTTGAGCCTAAAGACAGTATTGACGAGTGACGCCGATCGAGCTCCTACAGAGCTTAAGCAATCCACGACAACCTCCATCAACGAATACTCTCTTTCCGTCAATTTTCTTTTCCTTTCAGCTCAATATTCAAAATGTCTAGGAGATACGATTCACGGGTGACTATCCCATTCTCTTCGGTCCCGCAGGGTCTTTTTGCTGACTATGAGCTCAGACGACCATCTTCTCTCCCGAAGGGCGATTGTACCAGGTCGAATATGCCCTTGAAGCCATCTCACATGCAGGAACTGCCCTCGGTATTTTGGCGCAAGATGGTATCGTTCTTGCCGCGGAGCGAAAAGTTACGAGCAAGTTGTTGGAGCAGGACACGTCGGCTGAGAAGCTCTACATCTTGAACGAGTGAGATTTATCCTTTTTATCACAGCTGAACCTGGTTCAGATAGATTTCTAACATATTGGATTGTCAGCAACATGATTTGCGCTGTCGCTGGAATGACCGCCGATGCCAATATTCTCATCAATTATGCCCGGCAAGCCGCCCAACGATACCTCTTAACCTACAACGAAGACATTCCTTGCGAGCAGCTCGTTCGAAGATTATGCGATTTGAAACAAGGGTACACGCAACACGGTGGTCTTCGGCCATTTGGTGTTTCTTTCATTTATGCCGGCTGGGATCCCACTCGTCAGTTTCAGCTTTACCAGAGCAACCCGAGCGGCAACTACGGTGGTTGGAAGGCCACGAGCGTTGGAGCCAATAACGCTAGCGCACAAAGCTTGTTGAAGCAAGATTACAAAGAGGAATGCAGCCTCAAGGAAGCATGTGGGATGGCTGTCAAGGTGCTGAGCAAGACAATGGACTCGACACAGCTCAGCAGTGAGAAGGGTAAGTCATGCGGGAACCTCCCAAGCGTTAGTGTGCATGTGTTTCTGACGACTGTTTGATAGTCGAGTTTGCTACCGTGGGTAAAACCAAGGAAGGCGAGATTTACCACCATCTTTGGAGCGCAGATGAGATTACGGCGTTATTGAAGGAGCACGGTCTGGCAAAGAAGGAGGATACGGAAACAGGCTGAAGCATGGTTTGCAGAATGTACCCGCGACTCTTCTCGAGAAATTAAGGCGGCGCTCCTGCCGCGGAATATCCTTTGTGACACTAGACTTTTCCTCGTAGAGATTTCTAATCCATGTAGCATGCATTTTCTGAATCTATCTTTCTTGAACTAGATCAACACCATGGTGACGGATCAAGCCTCTGAATGGACATGAGGAGCAAATTGAAGTATCGCTGCACCAAACATTGTCGTCGTGGGTTGCCTGGAGAGAGGGATCGTTCTAAAGTATGATTGGTGGCAGACACGGCCGTCAGTGATATACTTAGGCCAGTAACGCGGCGCCACGCATCTGTGTCAGGCAGGGCCGTCAGAGAAGCCAGCAAAGCTCTTTCTCCTTTGACCTGTGACATGATGACACTTGAGTATAAAGAGAGAAACTTGTCCTGTATCTTTGTCATTGATGCGCTTTGCCACCTTGATCCGACCCAGATTCTGCTCCCAATATCGAAGTCGTCAAAAGAGATGAACGCTGCAACATACTTGAACGTACAGGAGCTCGACTTAAGTCTTCAACAAAACTTGGCAGCATATCACGCCAGGAAAAATGGTGCGGGGCATAAATCACGGGAACGACTTGCGGCGGTTCCAAAGCTCGGACAGACATGTCCAATGACAATACAACAACTTAGAGAACGGCAAAGAGAAAGGACGAAGCAACGCTATACAAGGAAACGAAATATTCCATTAGAATATGCCAAGAAAAGAATTGGCCATGAGCTGTTCAAGGAAGTGGAAATACATGACAAGATCAGACGTTGCACGAATGAAACGATAGTTCTTCGAAGAATCATCCCAAATATGGGACGCTCAGCGTCATCACGCTCGACGAGCTGAGCTGTTAGCAGCAGGCGCCATCCTCACCTCTTTGGTTTGCAGACAAGGGCTAGCAATAAAGTTTGAAACCCATGTCGCTGAGCGGCTCATCAAACGATGGTGTGAGGAAGGGATGAGGTCAGTTAGGGTCTCTGTTTCTACTGTCTTTCCCCCCCGGCGTCTGTGTGTTGTATCAACTCCCCCTTGTTGCGCCTTCTTGATAGACAAATCGCTGACCCAGAGAGAGAGAAGTACAGATACTTTATATCTGTGCGTTTCTGAGTCGGATTGGAAGGTATCTCTACTCCTCTGTCCCTGACCCAGGTATCTGGCTCCGCGCTTTTGCGTGGATGGGTACTTCTGCTGAGTCAGCCATCACAGTGAACCATGGATCCCATCTATTCGCTCCCGCTGGCCGCTTTCTCCTTCCCGGAACCCCGCTTTCGCTATTCTTCCACAACCTCCCACGTATCTCTCCGTCCGGAAAGAGAGCTGTGATTTGTGAATGGAAGCCCTGGAAACGCTACTTGCTTTCCCCCTGCGAATATTTAGCATCTGCTGATCGAAATATGTCATACATATCCGGCATTCCAGCCGTTGAGATTCTTACGGTTATTACATCTCAGATCACTCTACGGCCGGACTCTGTCCGTTGATTTGAAGCCTCCACCAACCATGGAGACCATCGTCACCAGCGGGGCAGGCTAGCCACGTGGCCGCCTGTCAGCCTTCCCTTTTCTATTTTGAGGATGCACGGCTCTCTTAGCACAAAGCCCTGGTCACGGCGGTTAAACCTTTCAAAGAAGTTTCAGATGAATCGAGTGGGGTTTGATTGATAATTAAACTTAGCATTGAACCTTTTCTTCCAAAAGCGTTTCAGGAAAAAAAAAATCAAAAGCGAAAGGACGGAGAAGAATGACACAACAAAATTCGACCCCAGCAAAAAAAGGATAGAAGAGAGTCGAAGAATTGAGCGAGGGAAGAGAATGTCACGCTATGATGAAAAAGATTCCTGCAGCAAAGAGAACGCCAGCTCCAGCCGCCATGGCCACCAGCACCCTCCGCTTTCGGGTCGCTAAGGACTCAATTCTCCCATTGTTGAGTGGGCCATGACGCTCCAGAGACGAAACAGCATAGCAGAGCGGTCAGACAGTTTGCCGCGATTTGTTTCAACCGTTTTCCCCAGTCTTTCCCCCTTTCCTCGGCATAGCCGTTTTATTGCTTCCCTAGATGGACTGCAGTCGCCTTTGCCGTTCGCAGCCGAGCTCATAGATCTCAGCGTCCAGGGAGCGTACGATCTCGTATGACCTATCAATTGAGGCGCTGAACTTGCTCCCCTCGCGCCGCCAGCGATTGATGCGCTCAACCTCGGCTGTGCGGCGGCGTTGTTTCGTGTCGATCTTTTCGCAAAGTTTGCACTTTTGCCCAACCGGCACCGTCGTCATGATCAGTTTCATACCGCACGTTTCTCCGGTCCGGTATTCTCTGTTGCAGTGTTGCCGGAAGTGGCCCCATTTCCAGTCACCACAGGCGAACCGATGCTGGTCGAAAAAGCACATGTTTCACGTCTGAAATCTGAAGCGGACTCGGTGCAATCAGCATCCCAGCCATTGACTGTTCATGGCCCAAGCACTCACCTCAAATTTGAAAAGAGAGAGAGGCCAAAGGAGAAATTTTTTTTTTCTTTGTTTGCCTAGCTCTGAGTCTAACAAGGCTCGATTGCCAATGCTATCTGTGCGACACTTTTCTTTCCCTCTCGACCTGCTGAAGCCAATCAGAACCTACCCCTGAGAAGGATCGGCAAAAAGTTTTGAATAATGATCAGAAACCTACCCACCGGGGTGTTTTGACCTTTGGTAGTAGTTGCGTTTGAGCAAGCAGGATACAGTGTTGACTGAACGTTTAGCTTTAGGATCAATTGAAGATTTCGACAATACTGATTGGCTCTGCTGTGGACTCGAGCTCGAGATGACGGTGGTGGACGAACAAAGGCGAAACAAAGAGAAGTTGAACGACGTATTTATGTTGTTTCGAACACAACTCCACCTCACCTCCACATCGATACCTCAATTGACAATAAAACATGTTGATCCTATGATTCTGCCTCCGTCACCACCCGTCGTCTAACCATTTCTCTTACCCCGCTTCTCGTCGTCCAACTATAACACTTGAAGCTCCTGATCATCACAAAAACACGGCTTGAATGCATCCCTGCTGCAGGACAAACACTTCCTCGGCGTTGCAAGAGGGTCAGCACGGGATCCTTTGTGTTGTACAGATCACGAAGTTAAACACCGAAAACTTCGTCACGTACATTAGCCTCTAGGTGTTGGGGGGAAAATCGCTCACCTCCTGAGCCGGGTCATGGATAATTCCCTGGATGTGATCCAGTCGATTCATCTTCCAACCTGGTCAGGGATGGTTGCAGAAGTCGTTCGAATCCTAACATACCATGGGAATTATTGGCATCTGAATCACCACATTCTCTCCCACCGACGCCATGGCTTCACCGAGTCGCGCTCGGTCATTCTTCTCTTGGCTGGCCTGGTCTCGGCCATCGAACTGTGCCGCCTTTACTCCCGGTCGAGATATCGGAATTGGTGTTTTTCGTCAACGCCCCTTTCCGTGCTCTCGCTCGAAGTTCAAGGGCGCTCCTTTAGTTGGCTTTCTGCAGGGATCTTTTGGGAAACCAATTCCTTCCTGTGTTCACGTCTGTCATGGCTCATTACTCTCTTTAGGAAAAGACTGGACGGACACTTTCGGATGCACTGACTGTCGCGTACTACTGTCCTATCATCGCAGAACTACTGGCAGCTGCCGGTTCTGATATTGGCAATATGCATGTCAGCCCCTTGTCTCTAGCATCACATCGAATTCGAGTCACCTTATTGTCACATCCTGCGTTGCAATGCTGCAACTTAACGAATCGATTATGCCACGGCATGCCCGGCTCACGTCTAAGCCGAATTTGACCGACATGCCATTGCCCAATTGTCTGGGACGACATCATCTCAGCTGACCACGATTGCATTCGGGATCGTTCTCAATCGCAGACTTTAGGGTCGCCACAACATATCCGTGTCGGATCCACAAGACGGGGCGTGACCGACACACGGCAGGGAAACATGGTAAGAGCATCGCACGCCATGTTCAAGTTAGAGTTTTGGCTTCACGCTAGAGAAAGGAAGCACGATCAACAATCAAGGACCCTACTGACGTGGCGAACGCGGTCTGGTCAATTTCAAACGTCCGTTCGCATCATAGTTCAGCTATCTTGCAATCAAATTTGCGGGTCACAAAAATTCAATCCTTTGGGACCCCACCACTGTACGGGCTACCCCCGGGATTGGAATTTGGATTGCTACACAGGTTCATCATCCATATCCGCTCGAATACGGCTGAACCCTGCCGTTGAGTGCCAATTGATCGTCAGCTCTACCCCACTATCAAGGAATACGCGCTTTATTTGGGCCGAATTGCTACCAGTGCTCGGTGCTTTGGCCTACGATGGTGGCAAACTCGCTCTGCATCAATGCATCACCAATGCGTCTTCGAATGGCATAGTGAGCAAATCAGCCGTGTCGGTTTGGGACGAGGCAACCTGAAAGGCAAACGATCGGTCGTTGCACATATGCATTTCGCATTTTCAGGCCTGTTATTTTTTGCTTTGGCCTCGTACACAGTGCTCCTTGTCTCCTCACTTGATGGGAATCATTCGGATGCCACCACCGTCGGTCAAAACAATCACGGAGTGGGGCGCAGTTACAATCCGACGTCCGAACGGCGATCAGAATACAGATTGCAAGTGTCATTCAAGCTGAAAAGGGCATGCGCAGCTTATTGCTTTGCCCCCTCTCTACATTGTCGTTCTTCCTTTCAATAACATGTTGAGAATTTTGCCCTTATCCAAGCTGGTGAACAATGTAAACGAACCCGCCCCGGGTCAATATGTCACGCTTACTGATTTTGTTGTCCAATCATTCAACACGGGGAAGCGTGCCCTGGCCAATCTCTTACCCTGGGTTTGCTTTGCTCGATCAGAACAATCCTGCGTGGTCAGTCGGCTCGATAGCAGGTAACATACCGGCACTGGCTTTTTTTCTTACAATTATCTTTGTCTGATGCGCAGACTTTGATCTTTGACCGGGACTGATCTGTTCAGGAATGCCATTCATCTTTCGTCGTTTCTTGCTGCCTATTGTGAATGTACGTTGGAATTGTCTACATGCACGCACGTTTGGCCATTCCGGCTGGTACCCTGCGGCCGGGTCAAAATCTCTCAGGTGAGCAACAAGTGCTGCATCGACTGCAGAGCGTGTCGCAGCAATTTGGGGCGGACCGCAACCCAAGATTTTAGGGGTGGTCGCCTTGACCGCTGGTCGCCTCGTTGGGCGGGGTGGGGAAGAAGGTCGGTAGGGAAAGGGTAGTGGAACGTTTTGTGGGTTACGGATAGAAGACCTTTTGCGTTAGGTAGGTGGTAGGGGTGAAGAGTCCAGGTAGGGTTGATCACAGCTATTGTCTGGGATCTTCGGGGTTATGGGGCTTAATTATGTCTAGGGGACGGTCCAAGGCGAAAGTGGCTTATGACGCCCATGAAACCTCATAGGTTCTCTGTGACTGCATTCCGCCGTAGAAAAAAGAGGGGGGCTTGCAGTCTGACCAGGGTGAGAAAATGGATGCGTTAACATGTGGGCTGTACCACACTTTCCTTCGGGAAAGACTAGCCAGTTAAGTGGCGCCGATAGATTCGGTGACTAGCTGACTTACTGGGAGCCATCCCTAGGAGACGCAGAGAAAAGACGTGTGCGTATATGCGTGTATGCGCGCACGCACCCTGCAGGCATATCTGCGACCCTTGACTACATTGCATTGCATTGCATCTGCATAATTTTCGACTTCCCCTGCAACCATTATTGGCCGATATACCGTGCTCGGCTTTTCTTTCTCTTGTTCTTTTTTCTATCTCCCTTTCTTTCTTCCTTTTTCTCTCACCCTGTCTTCTTGTCTCCATTACGTCCGTCCTCTGTACTTCTGCCGTCTTGCCTTGACGAGCCGGACCTCCCCCCTTCTCCTCTGACCTGCAGGAAACAAATGTTCTCTTCTCATCCTCCGCCTGTCCTTCTTGTTTTCTTCTCCTTATCTTTGATTCCCCTTTTCAATTCATCCTTTACCTCTTCGCGCCCTCTCCTCTGTCTCTTCCCCCTTTCCCTTTTCTCTTTTCTTTCTTCTTGCTGGATACTCTCTTCTATATCCTCTCCCCTCTCACTCCCATCTCGATCTTCTTCCCGTCCACATGTTTTTATTTTTTCCCTCGACGCCTTTCGCCTCTAACCATCCCACTTGTGTCTGTGCGTCTTATGTCTTATGTCTGCTGTCTGCCTGGCCGGCCTGCAGCTGCTTACATGAACGCATTCTACTTGATTGATTCATTGACTAATCATTCCAGCACAATAAGTCTTATGAGGCTTTTACCCCACTTGGCTCTTCACTTGTCTCACACATCTCGTCAATCTTCTCTGCTTGTGTATTAATATCTACTCACCCTATATTCCACAGTCTCCGCAAGTCAAGCTTTAGTCACAACAACATCCGTCTCTCCCCTTTTTACCCCTAGTTGTTCGCAGAGAGGCCTCTCAGCACCTGTCATTCTTTGCCATAGACTTGTTCATTCCGTAAAAAAGCTTGACAAGTGTATCCGCCATTCACTTTCCCTATTATTATTATCTTTAAGAATAGGAAAAAATAATAAAAATTACTTTATATCTGGGAAAATATTCCTCTGTACAATCGTTTCCTTTTTTTTTCGTTTCCTGATCCAATTACCACATGGCTCGCGTTTCAATGACCACACGTGACCCTTTGTTTTGATATTATTTTTTCCTGTTTGGTAGTTCTTTCCGATTGCAATTTGCGACATGGCAGAAATTACCAAGTTTAGATGATAATCTACCTACTACTCTACAAACCCCTCCCTTGGTTCCCGGCAGAACCGACAGTGTCGGTGTCATGCTATCAGATATTGATTTTGGATGTCACTACCAGAGTATTTGCTGCGTAAGGGTGGGGAGGAAGAGATAAATGCAATCCATTTGCTTTTGGGAGTAATTATAGATTGGGAAGTTTGCTCAGATCGTGGCATTTAAATAAGCTTATTTAAATTTTTTATTTTATTTTTTTCTTTTATTTTTCCCCTTCTCCTGTCAATTAATTGTTACGGGGAGGGGGCAAAAGTAAAATAAACTAGAAATAGATATAGAAATAGAAATAGAAATAAAATAAAATAAAATACAGTCAATAAAAGTCAAATATATGAGACGGGGAAAGTTAAAATTCTTTCCATTCGTAGTTATTTCCTATTTTCCTTGACTTACTTTGTTTTTCCCCCCTGAATAATGGGACAAAGGGCGAGAAAAGAAGGGCGAGGACAAGGGAAAAAAACAACAGCAGAGATGATGGTGGTGATGATGACGATGATGGCAATAAAAATAATAATAATAATAACAATAATAACAATAATAATAATAATAATAATAATAATAGATAGATAATTAAATACATAGAATCGTAACAGCATCAAACAGCATCAACCTAACCATTTCGCTCTGCGGGCATTAAACAACTCAATCATGCCCTGCGGGAGCAGACCCTTATCGACTATTCTCAAAAACCCAAACCGGCGGTGCGTGTCAGGGCCATACATGGAGACGACGATGCGCCAGTAGATGGGCAAGTACCGCCAGTATCTGCCGCCAAAGGTTTCCTTGAGGTCATCCTGATCGGAGGTGGGTCCGGCGCGGGAAAGGGCGGCGTAGAAAGACGGTTCGGGGAGAGGAGCTGGTTCGGGGGACGCGAGGAGGCGGGAATATGCTTGTGCGAGCTGGGGAGAGGTGGATTCTCTGTAGCGGGTGAATTCTTCAAAGGTCATGAAGAGGGATGGTTCGTTATCATTGTCTGATGAGGACGAAAGGGATTCAGAGTCAGAGTCAGAAGTAGAGTCAGAAGTAGAGTCAGAAGTAGAGTCGAGGTTAAAGTTACTGTCATTGTCATCGTCAGACTTCCGAGCCGTGGAAAGGTTTTGCTGCTGTTGTCGCCGTGTGCGGTCTTGCTGTAGAGAGTCACGGAGTTCATCAGACATGTGATATAATGGTGGAAGCTTCACGTTGCCTTCGTCAAAGACTTTCTGGAGATGCTTGTATTCTCGTTCTTCTTCGGCAAAAGCCCTCGTCAAAATCTTTTCTGGCGACTTGGCGACGGTGTCGCGGAGGGCAAAGAGCTCGACAAACGGGTTTGTCACGCCCATACCGCCCATGGACATGGGGAAGAAGATGAATCCGTCGGGCAGATCCTTGACGCCGAATCGCGCCTCGACCATTTGCCGCACATACTCTGTCACGCTGTTGGCGGTGCCGGTATCATTGGCAAAGACGGCGCGCTGGATGCGTACGAGCGTTTCAATCATGTCATCCACGTGTCGTCGGCCAAAACAGTGCGCTGGCTTGCCAAAATTGGCGACAAAGAATCGAGCCACATATGTGTTCCATGCTTTGATCCACGCAAAGGTGCTCTTACATGCGCCGAGCTGGAGCTTGAGCTCGCCAATGTGCTTGTCCACGTCGTCTTGATTGATGACAAAGTCGCCCGTTTTCGCATCGAGCCGGAGGAACCCCCATTTGATCTCGCCATATGGGAGGGTCTTGGAAAGCGCCTCGGAGTCCCGGCTGTGCTTGCGTTTCTTCTGATCAGTAATCCGTACCGCCGCCGTCTTTTCTTCATTCAGATCCAGACCCATTAGCTCGGTGAAGCGGAGAACTGTAGCCCACGCCGTTTCGCAAGTAGATTGACGGCCCCAGAACCAAAAATCATCGTGCATACGGTAGAGACCGGCGCCAGACGTCTTTTGGTTGATGGCGTAGTCGAGGCAGAACAAGACAAGTTCACCAAAGAAGTCGCAGAGAATGTGCGAGTTGTAGAGACCCCGCTTGCGAGGCCGGACTTGGCCGTCTGGTCCGTCCTGCTTGAATCGGAGAGGCGCTTCGAGATAGCGATGGAAGAAACTGATCCATATCTTGGGAACTCCAAAAAATTCCAAGACGGCCAACACAGTTGAGTGCGGCACCGAGGGCCCGAACCACTTGAAGTCGGATTGAATGACAGTCAAGCTGCCGTGTAGGTTTTTCGCGATCAAAGCTTCGGTGCTGAGAGCGTGGAGCAGCTGTTGCTTGAGCTCAACAGGAGAGTTTTGCTTGCTCTCGTCGCTATTGGTATCATCATCGTCCTCGTCACTATCTCCATCGTAGCCCCGTCCAGCCTCCGCTATTGAATCTGGAAGCTGGGTTAAAAAGTAGTCCGTGTAGAAGGCTTGACGTTTTCGGTCGACAGTCTTGTTTCTCACTTTCTCGCCTAAAAAGTACCTTCTTCTCTCCAGTTCGAGTTTTGACATGGGGCCTCGTTGTCGTGTCCAGGCTAGTGACTCGTAGAATTGCGACAAGGCTCTCTTAAGCTCGACCGCCCATTTCAGACCCAAATAGTGCAGAAACAAGGCTTGCAACAAATCCTCGTCAGTAAAGACTCGATACCGCCCATTTAAAGCGCGGCGCTGCTCAATGAGAATGGCTTCAGTGCCCCATGTCCATTCGTCGAGAGCAGCAAGCCTCATGTTGAGCACATTGGCGATCTCGGAGAGGACGACACTGTTGCGCTGGAATTCTCGTAACATCATGCGCTTTTCTTCCGTCAGCAGGTCCAATTTCAAAAGACCCTTGAGAGCCATTTTGACTGCATCTTCGTCGAAGACGGGCTGAGACACAGAGGCAAAGAAGTGCTCGCCAAAATTCTTGAACTTGAGGCGCAGCTTTTTGAGCTGTTCCTTTTGGATTTTATTCGACGCGAATAGATTGGTTAGGTAGCCCTGGATTGCGTCGGTGTCGGTTTCTTTGGCGTTGAAGACATAAGGCTCAAAGGTCTTGCGTTGCTCATGCATTTCTTCACGCCCAACTGGTTCAAAGGCCTCTTCGGCTGCACCACTGTCGACAGCCGGTTTGTCTGCGCTGCTTGTACCGGATCCCTTGACAGGCGTATCGGCCGAGTTTGTCAGCCATTCAGTGACCAGTTTGCTGTAGAGACTCGCAAAGTCAAGTTTATTTCTCTGCATATCAATGGTTTGTTTCAAGTTCGATTCCCATTCGGAGAGAAGACTTGCAGAAATTGAAGAATCGGAGTCGGCTTGATTAATCAGTTTGCGATATATCTTTGCTTCGTTTGTGAAGAAGGGCGATTTGGATTCTTTGCTGTCCTTTCCTGAACTTGGACTGCCGGAAATACTTTCATCGTCTGACTCTTCTGCAGACTCATCGGAACGCTTTAGAGAAGACGAACCAAGCGACTCAAGGCCATCCAGCAGGATGCGGATCCGCTCATGTTGAGACGTTGCTTTTGCGAGCGCATCGTCAAGTGACTTGTTATGGGACTGGAGATTATGGCGCTGTTTCTCAATCTGAGCAAACTTGGTGTGGGTAATGGACTGCAGAGTTTGAGACAAGACGCCAGCCATTCTAGTTATAGCAGATGTGTTTCTCGTAAAGTATTAAATGATATTAAAAAAAAAAGTTGAGTCTAGATGATTGAGACTGTTGGATTATAGATCTTTTCTGAACTCAAGCAGAGACTTTATATAATGGGCGACCTGTCGATCTGCCGCCAGGTTCTTGGCAAAAATTCGTGTATTGGACGCCTTGCAACGCACAGGACAGGCTGGCAGTGTAGACAGTCAATGTCAGGCGTCCCATTAGACTGCCCCACAGCCCAAGTCACTTTCACGTGAGTCATGTTCATATTGCACGCCTGAATTTAAATCAGAAAGCTTCAGAAATTATTGACAAGTCTCTCGATGAAAGAAAATATCAATCCAGCCGAGTCATTGAGCAAAGCAACGAATCAACGACCGTGGTTCGCACAATGTTGTCGTCGTGGAAGAGTGGTGGTGCAGTGTCGTTTCCATGCCATAGCTGGGTTAGCTATATAAAAGTTAACCAAGCTAATTAGTTCCTGAGTCATTATTCCTCTTACCCAGAAACAACTTAGCTCAAGTTAAATTATCAACTAACCCCAAACCAGCTGTAACAATAGAAGTTAATTGGTCTGTGCCTCTTATGACCATCCAACGACGTCATTTGCCCTTGTCCGTCGATCCTTCCCCAGGTGTGACCTTTTTCCACCCCGGATTTTTGTCAGGAATGCAATCTATTTCCATGCCATCTTGGTGTCTCTCTGTGCTAGGATTATTACGTAGCTTTGTGCAACATATTACTATGCTTTTCATCACCCCCAGCTCTGTAGCCTTGTTGCATTATCCACCTTTGCTACGTAGTAACTACTTCGTACTGTATTCCATTATCCTATTATCCTTGCTAAAACCGGTTCCCTGCTTTTCTTTGTTCCTGGGCCTAAAGCCAACTTCTTGCTTTTGTTTCCCTCTCCCAGAGCTAAACTCTATTCACACATCATACTCAGCCACGCCTTTCTTTTTTCCTTTTCTCTTTATTAGAGGAGCGTGACACACCTTAATTTCTTCTACCGAAGTCTCACATATAAGAACAACCCACATCCCTACGTTCTGCTTTGACCATACAATTCTCTTACTCTATCTCCATCTCTCTCCCTCAAACCTATCAGTGTAAACAAAACCACGGTACCTCCGAAATACAACTCTAGCAACCATACCAGACGTCCAGCAAGACCAAGAAAGAAGGAGAAAAAGAGAGAAAAAAAGAAAAGAGCAAAATGACAGGAATAACCCACGCCATCTCCGACCTCTTCTCCTCCATCTTCGGCGTCTTTCGCTCCATTCTCAACACCCTCCTCTCGTCAATCGAGTCCGTCGCTGCCGTGTTCCAGACATTGCTTGCAGATGTCCTGAACCTGTTCAAGACGCTGATTGAGTTTTTCTTTAGTAAGTATTCCCCTTATCCCACGTTTATCCGGTGGTATTTCTTTACAATAGTATGACAAGAAAGCGCGGGAAAAAGAACGATAGTATAAGAAAAGAAGACCGGAAAAAAAAAAGAGGGCAAAGAAAAAGGGAGAATAGAGGCTGATATACAATGACAACAGAAAACTTCATCATCCTGTCGCTCATCGCGGCGGGGATTGCAGGATACATAGTCTATTCGCAGCGCCAGACGCGCACGGGGCAGCGCAAACCGCTGTACGGCGCCGGAAAGAAGTCGACTTGATTTGTATCCCCGGTGTCTCCTGTCTCACGGCTTGTACGGTTTGTACGGCTAGGCTACACTACTCCGTACATGTTTACACGTACAAAAGGTGTCCGCTCGACGGGAGGAAGTGAGGCATGGAAGAATAAATGATTTGCAAGTCGCAGGGTTGGGAATATTATACTTGGGCGAGAACAAGGGGCGATATGGCGTTTTCGTTTGCATTCTTTCTGTTTTTTTCGTCTTCACTGTACTTTGTACTTTGTACTTTGTAGCAAGCGTATGAGAATGACGAGAATCTTATCAATATGAGAAGAATGTTTATCAAGTGAAATAATTTCTCCGTTTGCAAAACAAAAACTACATACATACATGAACTTGGTGCTTTGTCCAAAGTGTAGATACATCGAAAGAGAGAGATATATATGATATGAACATCAAAAATATAATATAATATATACCAAGAGACGTGACGCACCAAGATATGGCAAAATATAGAGAAAAAAAAGGAATATATATAAAACTAACAAATGTGCTTGTGCTGGATCCCGACTATTCCTTCTATTCCAACAGAAAATGACCAGAAACATGAGCGTGGAAATAAAAAAAGATTTGAAAAGGACACTAACAAACAAGGGACAGCAACAAGGCCACTCCGTACCCATAACAAGGGTGTAGTATCGGGGGGTATACATGACAAAAAAGGAAAGAATATAAAGAAAAAGGGAATAATGACACGGCCGAGGGAAAGGAAAGACGACTATGTACAGGAGAGGAAAGCGTGAGGCAGGGCGGGAGAAACAAACATAAGTGTTTGACGAGGCAATCACTGTGAAAACTCGTCACCCCGTCCACAGCCCTGTGACTTGTGACTGAAAGGAAATGCCATCAACGATGAAAAAGGAAATCTATAGTGGTATGCGCATGCTCGCCAACAAATAAAAAAAAATAGATAAAAAAAAAGGGCACATGAACCAAAAGAGAAACAAAAATGAACAATTCGTCATGAGTCGTTGCGTCATGCCGTAAGACTCCACTTTTTTGCATTCAGTCCTAATCAGGATCATTCGTCAAATCAACTAATCCAAGGACACTCGGGCACCTCTGATTCCGTATCAAAGGGCATCGAGGCGCCCGTGTTCATCGTAGGCCACGTGGCCGACGAGTGCATTTGAGGAGCCATCATAAGCATATCGTCGGGCGACACGCCGCGCGAGAAGCTGCTTTTGGGCTGGTCGTCAAACAGCGTAGTCAAGTCAGCCGTGGCGGCGGCAAAATCATTGTGCATTCCCATGCTGATATCGTCCGAAGGGCTTCGCCGTGTACCCTTGAGGAACTCGTCAATGTCAATCGTACCGAGGTTCTCCGATGCCAGCATCGAAGTCTGCGGAAGGCCAATGTACGACGACGCGGTGCTCAAACGGTACGAGTCCGACTCGCAGAGCTCCGAAGAGTCCGAGGGAACCTGGTTGTGCACCAGTCCCGGCGGGTTTAGCGGGCTGTCATTGGAAAAGGTAAAGTCGCCAAAGTCGGAGAGACCGCCAGACGATGATGGCGCAACTTCCGCCTGAGACAGGTTGCCATAGTCAAATCCACCCGCAAACGAGGGCGCCTGACTAAACGAGTTGTTGGAAAAGGCGCCAGTGTCCAAGGGAAGATCAAATGCGGACCAGTCGACCGGAGGAATGGCCACGCCCGCCGAGAGCAGCGGAGGGTCCAGTTCGGGGGTGGAGATGGACTGTTCATAGGATGATCCGGGCGCGGACAGCAGATCAAGCTGCTCTTGGCTCATGTTGGACGTGTCATAGACGGGGAAATCAATATCCAGCGGAGGCAGGCGAGAATTGAGCCGAGACGCGGAGTTGGCTTGCTGGCGCGGCGAGGTCTGCTCAGACTTGACGACGCGGGTATCCTCTGGGATGGATGGGGTGGCGGAAGCGGACATGACCGACTGGCTGCGCTCGGCGTCCAGGTCGAACGACTTGTCCATGGATGAGCGGGGAAGAGCATCACCCATGCCGCCCGATACAGAGTGGTAGCGCGGAATCTGGTAGGGCATGCCGGACTTGTGGGCCATCTGATTGTGCTTGTGAGCGGGCTTGTGGTGGCCATTGGCGAAAACGGTCAGTGAGCTCTCGGATTGCACAGTCGTCAGACGCGGCTTCTGAGCTTCCTTGTTGGCCTTGGAAAGCTCGAGGATCTCCGAGACGGATTTGCGCGCATCCTTTTTCATGGAACAAGTGCACTTGGAACCGTGCGAACAGCAGCACGAATGACCACCTGCCATCCTCAAGTCAGATTTCCAAACGCCGAATGCGGAAAGAACAAGAGCGAAGCAGAACAAAAAAAAAAAGGATGAGACAATAGAGCAGATGAGATTTGCTTACTCTTGCCGTCGCCTTTGTCCATATGGCTGCACTGACCCTTGGTATGTGGCTTCTCGCTGCAATCACACTTGACGTGAGCGGAGCGCGACTTGCGCAGACCCCGACAATGCTGGCATTGAGAGACTGGCCGACCCTTTTTGTTGATGTGTGTAAGAGGACGGTCTGAGAATCGAAGGAGGTTAGAAAGGCGAGCTCGTTGTAAAAGTTTCAGACATGTAAGAGTCATAGTTGGGCTTACCAGCATGTTGGCAGTTGCTCACACGGTGTCCTCGGACACAGGCTTCACAAGCCCACTTTTCGCCGTCGATCAGCATGATTGATGAGGTGTGCAAGGAAAATGCCCCTTGGTGCGGTTGAAGCAGAATGGTAATTCGAGTGGAGAGAAGAACAAATCAATCTCACAAAAGAGACGAGGAACGCTTTCTTCGGTCGCAAAGAGAACCAAATTTTCCAGAAATGACTGGCGTTGTTGTAAGCGTCGCACAAACAGTCACCGATCAAAAATGGCGCCGAAGGTTTGTCTTTTGTGCGTATAGCTCAGTTGCGAAGCGGAATGTGGCGAAAGAACTGGCAAATGGATTCGATGGATCGGCGAGTAGAGACAGAGCAGAAATTCTTCACAAGAAAAACGTATATACAGTTCGGCCGTGGCTTTTACACCGATTTGTCGCCAGCTGTCCGCTGCTCGACACCGAACGGCGGAAAGAGGCCTTTCAAGGACCAGAATAAACTGGTGAAATTTTTCTCCCAATATGTTTGTGTGTGGTGGGGGGGAGGAAAGAGGGGAGAAAAGAAAAAGAAGGGAAGCGCGGAGATGAAGGGATTAAAGGGAAGCGAAAAGTGGGCGAAGCGGCGGGATAAGAGGGATCCGCCGTTTGGTGGGTAAATGGTCGACTCGACTGTTGGAACCAGACGAGGTGGCAGGAAGGGGAAACGTGCGAACTAAGCAGCCCCGACCGATTCAGGAAAAATGCTACCTGACAGCGGAAGAAGCGGTGGGTGCGAGAGCTGATGAATTGGGGGCGATATAACCAAAAGAGGTACTCGTCTCGTCCAGGGTAGGTAGCGGCCGTGTTTCTTCCGGGTTAGAGGATATTGGATTGTGGTATAGTTGTAGATCTTTTCTGGGGGCCGTGGTGCAGCACTCCAGATGACAGAGAGACCTGGGGATACACGTCGAATTCCGTGGGAGTGACCTGAAGAAGACAATCCAAACACAGGGTGTTGCCTCCTTTTGCCCTTTCCGAGGATTTCTCTGCTTTCTCTTCCCGTCTGGTTTTTCCGTGGTGCCTTTTTCCTGCCTTCTTTCGCTTGTGACGGCAGGTGGTCGGTCTCGTGCCCGCAAGGTCAAAGGCCGAAGAATTGGTGGTTTCCGTACCGCGGCAATCCGGGTCAGCGGACTTTGCCACGACTTGGTCTAATGTGGGATGCCTGCGGAAACTGGGGTACCGCCGGTGTACCCCAACCAAAACAGACGTCACACGCACCAAGGTTTTGCTAGGGAAACGATGAAGGGTGTCCCAAGACCCCTCCTAAAACGCTGCCAAGGCACAACACACACTTTTCTCTCTTTCTCGAGTGAAGGAATTACCCCTCCTCCCAATGTGCCAATGACTGACTTTCTTTGCTTCGCGGCTGACGCGCAACAAAAAGTCGATCTCACAAAAATTCTTTTCCCCTCACCTCTTCGTTGCGAAGAGGAAACCGTAGCAACAATTCGACACCGGATGCTTTGTTGTCCTCTTTGCTCCGTCTCACTTATTGGACGGCTCCGAATCACCGTGAGCTGTTCCCGAGCTCTCAAGAATCAAGGTGTTCTTTCGGGGTTTTCGGTTCGGAGGAAGGTCGGTTTCGTAGTCGCGAAAAGAAGCGGACAGGAAGTGGTGGTGTTGCCACAGGAATAATTTCGGCTTTCAAACGAGTCAAAGGTTATCTCTCGGAGAGTAGCCCTTTTGGTTCTCACACGCTCAAACACGCTATATACAAGCACTCTCACTCACGTCCTGTTGGGTCGTGGGTCTGAGGTAGAGTAAATATAATAAGAAAAAAAAGTAGATACAAGAATGGGAAATAGAGAAGGTAATGTATCCCCAACAGGATGGCTGCAATCAATGCCTAACGTCGGAATCGTCCTTGTCTGCTTCTTCAGCAACTTGCCAATCGGCGTCCGAGGGTTCCCACGATATACAAGTACCATTTTGGGCTTTGCAGAGCACGACAGTCGTTTCACGGACAACCAGACACCAGTAAGGCAGACCAGGTCGCGCACGCGGATGTACGATGCCGACTTAGCTAAGCTCCGCAATTGCCGCTCCACGTTGCAGGCCGTCGTCCGTCCGTTGGCCATGCCGTTGAGCCAATCCGTAGTCATCCTTTCGTCCAGATGTAAGCTTCTGTGCCTGTCCATCCGAGTGCTCTCATTGGCTCCACGGCCAACATCTTGCCGTGGATGATTGGACATGTTTTGTCCCTTCCGAGTCCCGATCACGAGGCTCTCACAGGGCAGCAGGGTAGACAACCCGGTACAGAGGAACCTTTTTTGGATGGATTTTGGATGACACTGCAGCTGTTTTCAAAACTGCCCCCCAGCAATCTTGTCAATTTTAGACATGATCTTTCGGAAATATTTCGCATCTCAGCTCATTTTCCACAGTAAAATCAAAATTGGGCATTTTTCTGAATCAATATCATGAGATTCACGCCTAGAATGGAAATTATATGTCACGTGATATGCCGCGGAAGATGAGAATCCGAGGCAAAACCGACACTCGTCCGATTATCGCACACGTACGCAGATGCACCCCAGTGGAAGAGCTGTGCCGAACAAGAAATGATTATTATGGGGAGACCACACACAGACCAGCAAGATAGAGCAGCCTGAGTGGGCTGAACAGCGCGTGGCTTTTTTTTTTTTCTCCATTGTCGTCATCAGTCGTCATCGTCTTTAGTGGAGGAATTTCCCCAACGTGGGTCAATCACTTCGCCATGCTGATTTCCCTCTCCGGATCTCCTCCACTCACTCTGCTGCTGATACTCTCCGGGGGTGAGAGAGGGCCGAGGAAACGGCAAGAGAAAAGAGTGGAAGAGAGCGGGAGGGGTAGAGGACGGTCCAAACGATTAGAGACGGGCCGGGCTGGCCGGTCGCTCAGGTGTCTTCTCTTGGAGGGTACAAAACACAAAAGAGAAAATGTGAAGTCAGCAGAATGTCGTCTCGCTTATAGTTGAACAAGAGGAAGCAAGTTATGAGCGTATGGGCATGAGGGCGAGCATAACTCGATGTTCGGCGCTGATAAAAAAGGGGAACGGGAAGAAGGATGCTACGATGAGAACTCGTGTTCTGTGCGGGTGGCATTTAATTTGTAGAATTCTCCTGCCTCGACTGGGACCAGTAGTCAGCTGGGAAAAAAATTATTCAGGATGGACCGCGATCAGGCCCATTGAGCAGCCCGAATATTTGCGCCTGCGAGCATGCGGCGTCGACGGATCCCCAGATGCTGTGTGGTGGATGGCACGAGCGAGAGATTTGGTTGGGGCCTGGGGAAGAACGAGTCTCCATAATGTAATTTGTCCGGGCAGTTCAAGGCTTTTGACTGGTCGAGGATGATTTGGGGCCCCGCAATAATACCGTCCCCTCTCCACGTTCCCCACACGAACGAACCTACCAAGTCGATTCGGATCCTGAGAGATGACTCCATCTCGTGTCTGTGTCTGCCACCCTGTCCCGTCTCGATTGATTTTATTCGGGTGCGCGAGATGAGCGGGGTTGTCAGCAAACAAAATTTCAAGATTTTCCGACCGGAAGGAAGCTACGCCAAGCTAAGAAAGACTACAAGACTGTCACGGTCCAGAAGAGCATCCCTGGGCCGAGGCCTGTCTTTCCTCGAAGGAGGCTGCTCCGGATGTTGCGCTAGAGAAGACGGGACTTGAAGAGGATAAGATATATTGTCAAGACCATATACTTTGTACAGCATCATCTTTCCTACCCAAGGTATGGAGGTAGCCGTCGCGGGGAAGAGAGAAGGAAACCAGAAGAATTAGAATCGAAATCAGAGAGAAAGTGTAATCTTGCACTTTTATTCAAGAAGGTCAGGTACCTTGGGCGAGTCGTCGGGATTGAGCCACGGTTAGTGAAGGGGGCATACCACCTACTGGGGCCTCGGAGATGCTTACCATCTAATTACCTTACTACGTACCATACGGTAACTACCTACCTACCTAAGGTATGTCACTAGCTTTTGTTCGAACCCAAATCCATTGATCAAGGAGGGGCTTTCCTGGAGATTCAGTTATGAGGAGAAACTTGATGGAAGTACACGTTACCGTCTGAGTGGATCTGGGATTTTCCGTAATTCCCTGTTTTACGAGAAATCAGCAAGGCCTCGGCAAACCCCGACGCTGAAGGACACGAGAGAACAAAAAATACGTGGGATAAATTTGATGTTTTCAGGCATTAGTTAATCATCCTTTTCTGTGTTAACGTAAGAGGAAAAGCAGTTCAAAGTCACCGTAAAAGCCCTAAATTACAGCATTAATCTCCGCGTCGGGCAATATCTCCCGAGAGACTTTCCGAGGGGGCGCTGGAATAGTCTCGATGATCCGTCTGCCGCTTTGATTTTCCGCATTGTCCGAGCCAAGTCAATTGGGTTTAAGGTGGGGCCCCTGGCAGCGGCTGGCGTCGGTCTTGCCTCCACACCTGGGTTCTGGGGGTCAAAGGGCATGAATTGACTTCCAGGGGAACAAAAAGAATTGCTGGGGCGAAAAAAAAGTACGTAGGTATAACCTCAGTAGTTGCTGGCGAACCCCAGAAAAAGTGGAAATCATGTTTTTTCCCTCCGCATCATTCCTCGCTAGTCCTCGTGCGAATTACTCCGGGGGTGGACAATTTGCTCCACGTCAGGGACGGATGTATAATTTCCTGTCAGCATGGGGCGCCACTTCTCCAAAGGCCAGAACAGAACAGAGTAAGAGCCCTCCTGTGCTCGGGCGATATGCAGTACCGCAGAGTACTTTTTGAGTGGAGCCATAGTCTCAACTCCCGTCTGGTTCCAAAATGGTACAGCGCAGTGTCAGGACGGCTAGGCATCAGGAAGAATAGTGAAGTGGTTCAGCTGCTCAGCGCCGGCTTGCCTTGGAGATGACGCCCATCAAACTGATGGAGCCAATGAGACACGCGGCATATCAGACTGACCGTGCCTTGCTGTTAGTATTGAAAGGAAGCTGATGCCTGATCTGGACAAGGCTGGGAAACAATCAAAGTCGTATCTCGAGGTTGCACGTCGTTTTAGGCAAGCTCCGTTGCTCAGTCGCCGAAACGATCTCCATGATGATGATCGGAGGGAGAACAGAATGGCGAAGGAAGCTTTGATCTGGGCGAGCAATGTAGATGAATATGGTCATCATGTCAGAACTTTCTGTGATGAATTTAATATGAATCTTTCACATACAGTGCATCATCAAGTCCGCTGATGAATGGACAGATGAATAAATCCGTTCACCCAATCCGTAGTCTCTTTTCGAATCTTGTTTTTCGTTTCTTTTTCCATTCTTGCTGCCATTGTGCCCCTGCTGGTCTCGCTTTTTCATCTGACCGAGGGAAGACGAAGCATTAAAAGAACCCCTCACCCCTTGCCATGAACCTTTTAATCCCTTCCTGCCGCCGCTGCTGTCATCAGAACCGTTAGGCGCTTCATTCTTCCGACGCCGAGAGCCGACAGGAGCAGTAGGAAGTGACACTAAAGCTGCTAAACATCATACCATCTTTCTTTCCGGGCAAAACGCCAAACGTTTCCCTCGTTTTTCCCTCCCCCCCCCGTCCGTTCTCCAGTTTCCCCAGCTCTCATCATCCGCTTGCTCTTTTTCCCTTTTTCCTCTCTCGCCCAATAATAAAGTACCGATCACCCTAATAAGTCTCAAAACATCCCACGCGTCCTTTCTCTCAAATACATACTACATACTAGTCCTACTCTTCCGGGCCTTTTTTCGCACCGACGGCTCACCTTCAATTATCGTCTTGAAGGCTCTTTAGGTAAGCTTTTCTGCCTGTGGGGAGCTTAAATTACGCTGTGGTCCGCTTGTACCCCTCGCTGACCTCCTGTTTCGCCCGAAAGATTTGCGATGCGACATTGAGCCGAGCGCCGAGAGAAATAGCAAGAACAGAAAGACACCCGACAACGAATTAATAGTAATCCAACTGCCTATCCGCATTCTCTTGATACGAATCCAGCTCTCTCTGAACGGCGACCATCGCACAGCAGCAGCCTCAACTCGGCAACTTTCCATCTCCTCAATCAACATCATTCATGGTGGGCGCTCGTCTGGACGTCGATCCTCTGAGCATGCAAGCTTCACAATCATACCCGTCGCCCACCGCCGCCCAGATTGGAGAAGGTGTCGGGCCTTTTTTTGCTAACCAGCAAAGGCTCTCACCGCCGGACCATCTTCATTTATCCGCTGCTCCTCTGGCTCGAAATGCGCTGGATGAGGGACCAGATGTTGTCACTGGCGCGCCCCACGATCACACGGTTGTTGGCGGGCATCCCACATCTCCATCGCAGCTTGCTCGTGCGGGACTAGACCCTGTCCATGATCCTGCTTTCGGAGATCCCACTGCTCCGAGAAAGCGATCAAAGGTGTCCAGAGCTTGCGATGAGTGTCGACGCAAAAAGGTGCGTGTCCGGGTGGATTACATATGTCGCAGCAACCCCGAGAAAAAAAAATGCGCGATCGTGCATGCTAATGACGTACAGATCCGCTGCGATGCCACGTCCGAGTCTGGCCTCGAACAGTGCTCCAGCTGCAAACGTGTAGGCACAAGGTGTCAATTCAGCCGAGTCCCAATGAAGCGGGGACCGAGCAAAGGGTATGATATTTGAACGCGCTGCGAAGCTAGAATAAAATCACAGCTGACTCGCAACTTCGTCTTTAGCTACATCAAGGAACTCGCCGACCGACTCAATACGCTCGAAAATTCCATCCAGCCCAACCCGCACGCTGACCTTCAATATGCCGCTGTGAGTGCCGGAGCGACGTCTCCTCGGCCGTCGGACGGCTTCTCTCCACCACCCCCACACGGTTCCTCGTCATTCCGAAAACGAACCCACTCGGTGTCTGACGGCCTTCAAACAAATTACATGCAGTCGCTACCGCAGAGGACGACGAGCGAACGGCTTCCCTCAATTGGAGGCTGGACTCCCGAGAGTGGTCGTCATTTACCGCATCCTGCGGATCTTTCGTCAAGCTTTCGAGCTCCGTACACAGTCAATGGCATCGCTCAGCCCTTTTGGAGACAGGGCGCGCCAGAGATGGGTAGAAGGGCGAGCGTGAACATGCCTTATGAAGCTACCGATCCACGGCCGGGAGAGCTCAACAGCGACACCATTCTTGAATGGGATGAGAAGACAATCGACGAGTACGTTGGAAAAATAGATGGACAATTAATGGAAGACGCTCCATTCTGACTTGGTGCTACAGATATTACCGCATCATTCACCCTTGCTTTCCGCTGCTTGCGCACGACAAGGCCAGACTGCGGTCGCGTTTGGCCAATTGCCCCGTCACGGCACGGGAAGCTTTCCTCGAGGCACTGGATGCTGCCGTCCGATCTTTTCCATCATCCAACCTCCCACCAACGCGGGACTTTCAAAGCACCAAAAAGGCGGCAGATCTCATCTTCCAGTCACAGTACGAAAGCATCGCTACGCGCACTTTTTCAACCAGTCTGATCTACTTGCAAACCCTGCTTTTGATGGTGCTGGAAGCAGACAATCACGGTCCGGCCACGATGCGAGGACAACTCGGTCCCCCTCGCGCCGTGTGGATTGGGAGCGCCGTCGGTCTAGCCTATAACATGCGCCTGCATACCATCCGTTGTCGAACCGAGGGCGATGCCGACACAGACGAGAAGATTGCGCGACGAAATTGGTGGAACTTGGTCATTCTCGACCGATGGCATGCCTGCAGCACGTCGAGTCCGCTCTTTATTTCCGATACCAATGTAGTCTTGTTGCCTGAAGACCAATGGCTTCTTGGCGATTCTACCTTTCACTTGACCCGTAGGTTACTCCTTTTCGCTTTTCATACCTTCCCGTCTTCATCTAACCGTTTGTGTCGTCTTGTCTTTAGGTCTCTCATGTATCATCGGTCACTTGGCAGAGATATTTGTGGCAGCCGAAGAAACTCTGGCACCATCATCCTCCTCGGCGCCACTCATTGGCAAACTGCTCAACGGTGAAATTGAGCGATTCCGAGAATCGATTGATCCCGTCATCGGATCATTGAACCTGGTCAATCTCTGCTACTGGCACGTCCGACTGCTCATGAAACGCCACAGCCCAACCTCAGAACCGCTCGACCTACTCGCGCCCGCCGAGCGCATGGCCGCCATTCTAAACTCCAATACGACTACAATCACTCCGCTGAATCACCACTTTGCTGCGCTTGCGACCTTGACCCTAGTCCAACTGGCCGACATCCCCGAAACCTCTCGAGGCGCGTGGAAGGGCATCGAGGACCTACACGAGGCGCTAGACAAGCGCCGCGGCTTCTCCGCGCGTGAAGATAGTACAGGCTGGGACTCGGCTATTCGGGATCTGATTCTCAAGAAGAAACACCAGAAACAAACGGGCGGCTCCGGACCGCTGGCGAACCATGCCGGATTGCAGCATCTTGCTGATTTGGCCGTCAGCGGAACGGGCACTGGATCTGCCGCCGCAGAACGTAATACTGGAGCTTCTTCCGCAACAAATAATGGGGGTGGTGTCGGTCTCGGCCTCACGGGCGAAGGTTCTTCCGGAGCGGTAACAAATAATGGTACCACGACAACGAATGCAGCAGCACCACCACTACCGAGCGGAGGAGGACCAGCGAGCACAACAGGCTCAACAACCTCGACTGGCACGCCAGCGCTGGCAACTAGGGGCAAAGAAACTCGAGCATCTACATCGTCGAATGGCTCCGTCATCTTAGACGCCCCATTCGATCCTACTAGATTGACGCGATATGGGTACTTGACTGCCTTGGTCCAGGATGGCCGGTGACATTTGACCGTCTAAATCCCACCTTTTTTCCCGCCTAAATCTTCTCTTCATAATTTGGTTTTTCTCTTTCGCTCCCTCATCCCGCTCCCCGTCTTCTCTCGTTTGGTTTTCTTGCCTCGTTTTCTTCAGGAATCTTGCCCAAACTCCGCAAGCTCAATACCCCCTACGGCTGCTGCTGCTGCTACGTTGTCCTTTTCTTTCTTTACTCTTTCTTCTTTTCGTAGGTATCTCTGCTTTGTTTTTGTCGGTCCTGCGGCTACACCGCACCAGCTCACGCTGCTTTGCTTTGCTTTTATTTTATTTTATTTTTTTTTTGTTTTTTTTTGTTTTTTTTTTGGGAGGGGAGGGGAGTTCTTTACTTTCCCCCCCTGTTTTCTGTTATTTTTCATCTTATATCATTTTATTTCTTTTACTTTTTGGGTTTAATTTTGCAATTGGAATTCTCTTGGGCCTGAAATTGAAAATTTCTTGGACGTGAAAAAGCATGATGCGAAATGAATACCAAAAAAAAATTGGAAGAAGAATGGCTCCTTTTTTTGTCCTTCCCCTTTCTATTATCGCTGCACTTATTGCCGCAGTGCCGCGCTATCAAGCTTTTATTATATATGCTAGCTGTAATGTCTATTACATGTATCATGTACGTTGTACGTTTATTATGTCATGTCCCGTATCACATGTCCGTTGTCCGTTGTCCGTGTCTGTCATCATGTCATGTCATGTCATGTCAAGTATCTATCTCTGATTCTCTGAATATTCGAATGCCCTTGATGTCTTGCACCGATAATGTTATCTTTTTTTCCCCCAAAAACTTTTGATATAGTGAAGGTGTACTACCTCGTACGGGTCATACTGTCATACGGTCATACCTCATACTTCATATCTCAGCGCCCAGGATATTTTGATATTAAGTTGGTATTTTGTTCAAGTCTGATTTGTCATTCAAATTGGTGTTGTGCAGGGCTGGAATATGAAATGTGACATGTGACAGTAAAGCCTTACACCGTTATAGTCTATATGAAGCCGCTGGGAAGACAGGATATGAGTGCTTTGCGCATTACGAGAAATAATTCCAATGTCACACATAGCGATGGTGAAATACGCATATATTGAGAAGGTAGGATAGACCATGGAACCACGGATGGTAGACAAGGAAATAGTATAGAATTAATCAGTCACGGACTAGAAGAGATAAGGAAAAGAGAAAAGCTAGAGGGGAAAAAACATCAGAGGCATCCCCGGACATGTAGATAGATAGAAGAAGAGAGAGAGAGAGAGAGAGAGGACTGACAAAGGAAAAGAAATAAAAAGGAGAAAAGTGTCGTACGACTGTCTGTATAACCTGTGTCGCTGATCCCAGTGTATCCTTACCACACGCAACAGTGCTTTCTTTGTCCTTCGCGCGTTGATTCCACCTGCTGCAACACCACCACTGGCCTAACACTACACTGCTTTACCATGATTTCCCCAACAGTCACCACCTTTTTTCACTACGCGCGTCCTAGGGTCCTCAGCGCTGCACGTCTCTCTGACTCTCCAGCAACAAGTCTCTGCGACAAGGAACATTGCATACCCAACACCAAACAACACCACTGATACCGGTGATTGTATTATAGATAAAACCGAATTTTCCCCAAAGTTGCCACATCTCTATCGCGGTTAACGATGGCTCAAGTCGTCGCCATCATGTCAAGTATGCGCTTAAAACCAGTTGCCACGGGCGGCGAGACGGCGAGGAAGAATTGTAGCTGTAGTGAATATGGTCTCGAGGGCAGTAAAGGTGATGGTGGTGTTGCAAGCCGTGCACGAAGTTGGAGGTGGCACAGTGCTTGAAGCAACAGAGCTAGTCAAGTTGGTGGAGGAAATGGTGAAGTTACCGCTGCTGCTGCTGCTGAAACCGGTGCTCAGCGGGATGCTGGTCGGTACAGAAGAGGTGACGTTAAACGAAATGATCGAGGTTCGGCTGCTGACTCCAGTGGAGAGAGAGATGGTGGTGGAGTTGAAGAAGATGGACGAGGAGCTCACGCCAGTGGATAGGATGATGCTGCTGCTGCTAACACCAGTGGAGAGAGGAATGCTCGTGGTGTTGGAGAAGATTGAGGACGAGCTAACTCCGGTGGAGAGCGGGATGCTTGAACTGCTCACCCCAGTCGAAAGAGGAATACTGGTAGTGTTGGAGAAGATGGACGATGAGCTAACACCAGTAGATAGCGGAATGCTGGAACTGCTGACGCCGGTGGACAGAGGGATGCTCGAGCTGCTCACCCCAGTCGAAAGCGGCACGCTAGTAGTATTTGAGAAGATGGATGACGAGCTCACACCGGTAGAAAGAGGAATGCTGGAGCTGCTGACACCAGTTGAAAGGGGAATGCTGGTGGTGTTGGAGAAGATTGACGAGGAGGAAACTCCAGTGGAAAGAGAGATACTCGAGCTGCTAACACCGGTGGAGAGGGGAATGCTACTGCTGCTGCTAACTCCAGTGGACAGCGGCACACTCGTAGTGTTTGAGAAAATTGAAGAGGAGCTCACACCGGTTGAAAGCGGAATGCTGCTGCTGCTCACACCGGTCGAGGATGCAACGCTTGTGCTGTTCGAGAAGATGGAAGAGGATGAAACTACAGAGGAAGAGCTAACTCCGGTGGAGAGAGGAACGCTCGAGCTGCTGACACCAGTTGACAGAGGAACACTACTGCTGCTAGGACCAGTGGAGGACGGTACGCTAGTCGTGTTTGAGAAGATTGACGATGAGCTCACTCCAGTGGAGAGAGGAATGCTCGTGACGCTGCTGCTGACGCCCGTAGACAAGATGATGCTGCTGCTGGTTGAGACAGAAACGCTGCTAACAGTACTGACACTGGACACGGACGAGACAGAAGAGCTGCTGTTGGTGATCACGGAGCTGCTGACAATAGTACTGCTCGAGAGGGATACCGAGGTAGATACTGATACTGATGTAGAGACAGATACCGAGGACGAGCTAGAAACAATGGAACTTGAAGGGCTGAGCGTTGAAATAGTTGAAGACAGGCTCACGCTGCTGCTGACGGATGATGAAGCCGAACTGGGCAATGTGCTCACGGACGTGTTAGACGAGGAAATTCCAGTGTGGGACGTGATGGTCCTGGTTGACTCGACAAGTACAGTAACATAGCCGGTCGAGGAGAGCGTTGTGGTCGTCACCACAACAGCGGTCAACGTTTTCACCTAGACGAGATTAGAAAAGCGGATTTTGAAGACAGGGCTTCGATTGGCAAAAGAACGTACCGGAGGAGTAGATGTCGCAGGGACATAAGTCGTTGAAGGAGTGACGTCCAAGCAAGTACAAGCGCTGGAGAGAGCCACGCCAATGGAAGAAAGGTCAGAGGCTCTGTCACGCTTGACGATGTCTCGCACTTTCAATGGCATAGCCACGGGCGTCGCTTCAGCCCGTTTGTGCTTGGGAACCAGGGTTACGCTGTCAACAACTAGAGTAGTAGTGACGGTTGAAGTGACAAAGAGCGGAACAGTGGTTGTCCGCGTGGTTGTCGTCGTCGTCCGACTAATAACTCATTAGAAACATGATTCTAGCAAGCAGAATAAAAGATTTCATGGGAAAATGCCATACGATTGAGGAGCCTGAACAGTATATGGCAAAGTCGATGTCACGACAGGAATTGAAATGTAGGAGCTACAGAATGGACTGGCCTCTGCAGCATCTTGGTGCAGAGCGGTATAGTATTCATCCTCGACACAAACGTCGGAAGCATTGCTAGCTTGCCTCTCGTTGAGGATTCGAGCGAGTGGATTTGCGAGTGCCGGCGCACAAGAAGAAACAACAAGAAGGGCCGTAGCCAAAGAAGAGAGCGTGGAGCGCATGATTGCGAGTATTGAAAAGATAGAAGAAGAGAAAGAAAGAAAGAAATGGGGTTGTCCGGGGATGGAAACCTCTGATTCAATAAACGAATTGACGGTGCTGGAAAGATGTCGGCCCTGGAGAATCAGCATTCCAAAGCGACGTGATCCAGAATTATATACATGGAGGACAAGCTGACGACAATTGTTTCTCCCTGTTTCAATCTCCACAAAGGGGATACACGATGGGGGTTCCTGAGAACATGGTAAATGGCCTTGTATGACCTTGCATATTCGTGATTGAAGCCACAGAAGGGGCGCGGGGTGACTAATACTGTATTGTTTTCTTCGAGGTAGAAAGTGGGATATGAGTGAGGGTTAGTGTGTAGTAGGTCTGACGGTTCTGCTTGGCTGTTTAGCGTGGAGACTTTTGGCCGTGAAACCCGGAGAGGACATGGCTGCCTCGTGGAGGTGGAAATGAAAGGAGAACGCCAGGAATTTCCTTTCTCGGACAGATATCGGTTGAAACAATATTGAGAAGAAAGTGATTCTCCCAAAGGCGACGAGTACCACGCAAGGGTGCCATCATTATAAGCCCTCGGTGCCTTGCATTTTGAGGCTCACGATAGGGCCAAATCGATACCAAAAGAAAACCGTTGAAGAGGAGTAGTAATCGCACCAAATCAGAGAAGGCAAGAAAAATCAGTGCTTCCAAAGGTCGGGATTTCGAATAATACCGAGATGCAAAAAGCAGAATTCGAATTGAGAAACGATGGTATCATGGTAACACCATGGCAAGAACACACGAACACACGCAGGGATATAAAACGAAAGACCGCGTATTTCGAATCATATGCTTAAGGAACACGAAAGACGAGACGAAATCGCAAAAAGAAAGAAGAGCCCCAAAAGTGATTATGCATATGATTCAAGGAGATCCTGCCAACGTTGCACAACGGTGGCTGATTTCATGTTCAAAAAAGGATTAGACACACGCAGCCCAGTTTTGCCAGCAGAGACGAGCTGCGGCCTAACCGGGGGCCCTTCCCGGCCTGTTCCTCACGGAGAAATAAGGCGCCCCCATTTGAGGCGAGAAGCGTCCCTGAGAGTGTTAGCTGAGACGAAGAGAATGAGACCAGGTCTGATCTCATCACCATGTTTCATCAATCAACATCTCACTGTTCATCTCACAATAGCAGATATCATCTCTACCTTGGGGTGACACTCCCTTTTGTGGCATTGACCATCTCACACACGCGTGCACATGAACTCAACACTCAACTGCTTCAGTCACACTCAAACGCAGTCTTCAAAGAATGAGAGATACATGCATGTCAAAAAGTATCGATGCCCCTTCCCCAACGGGACATGGAGGTTGAATGGGGAGGAGAGGATACCTTTTGGGAACGACGTGAGGTTTCCCTTCCTTTCCCCATCACATCACGTCACTGCAGGAGTAACTGTAACTTACAGATCGTCTACGGAGTACCGAGCGAGTTTCCCCTGCGCGGACTCGCAAGTACCCGGAGACTAGCTTGTAAAAGTTAGACTGTGCCATGATAGTGGACCATCACCCGCCTATCCGAGCTCTTTCCTAATTGAGACACGGGCCAGCGTACTGGCGCCATCGTCCTTGCTGCGATCAAACCTCCCGACGGCTTCAAACCGCCTCACCCTTACGCCAAAAGGTTCTCTATTTCTCTTGGTCTATTACTGCCCATAGACCCTTCCCTTGGCCCAACCTCCCGTCACCCCTCCTCTACCTCTTCAGTCCACTCGAACTTATCATCTTTTCCTCCCCTCACCTAACTGGGCCACCGGCAGAGGAGCCGTTTTCGCCCGTGTTATCTTCGACTGGCACTTTCCTTCTTTTTCCTCCTGATATCAAGGAGCTCGACACTTGTTGCCATTAGTTGTTTCCTGCCCTCCATGGGCAACTGCTCTTCCTGCCTTGGCCTGGGCCGCTCTGGGTCTGATGCTGAGGTTAGTATCACACCTTTTGCTTGTCTCAGCACGCGCAGTCGTCTCGTCTCTCTTGTTTTCTTTTTTCTCGTTGCGCTCAGCTTTCCATCCCTTTCGCACCCAGCTTTCTATACCTTTCCCCACGACCTGCGCCATGGGCCATTCATGGTCAGAGCAATGACTGACTTGACGCGTCCCTTACACAGAATCCTGAAACCTCCCGGCTCCTCTACGACGACCCATACCCACCCAACTATGGTGGTTTGAATAATGGTGTTCCAAATGGCCTGAGTCAGGCTGACCAGCAAGACATCAAGCGCGAGAGGGAGGCCCTCGAGAGAGTGTGCCTGCAGACTTCAGAGTACGAATGATTTATTCCTTTTCGTCATGTCACCTTTCCCTCTACCACCTCGCCGATCGGCGCGATGCGGGCCTCGCCTGGTACAATGATTGCGACGTGTTGCAAGACCAGTTGCCAGATTTGGTCTCTTGAGCTTGTTTTTTCGTCACCCACGCTTTTTATCCCCCTTCCATCACGATCGCTCCTCGCCTCAAGCACACTCATCTTATCCCCTCGCCCCCGCGGTCCCGTGCTTAATCAATAAATAAAATAGACTATTGACGCGAAATACTGACGTGATCTGAACACCATAGCAAACTAATTGACATCTTCGCCCTGCAACACCAACCCGCCGATTGCGATTCTGCCGAGACTAAATCAGACCGTTATCATCGCCTGATCGACAAAGTCCTGGCGAGTCAAGGCCATAATAACCTTTCAATGGCTAAAGCTGGAGAAAGCGAGGAGCAACACTGGCTGGTAGCGATGGCGGAAAATCCAACCACGACGACTACCACGCGTGGTTGGCGATCTGTAAACGGGAACGAAGTGGGCGAACTCCTCGGAACGTTTTCAGCGCCCCCACGGAGCAAGAAGGTGGCAAAGGCCATCCGATAGGAAAACTGATTTAAATTAGGCGGCTATAGAAGTGTCGAGCTACTATTTGGTCTAATCTTGCCTTGCAAGGACAATACGTGGGCCGGGATTTTATGAGCCACGTCCCTGTATGGCCAACAGGAAAAATTCATTTATTCGATATAGAGTGTAATTCAGATACCCAGTCACTGTACAGTACGACAAGGTTGCACATATGGGCGCCTTTTTCGATTCGATTCGGTTGGGGTTGGTTGGATGGTCCCTTTCTCTTTGGAGTTGGTGGCAGCGAATCTCTTTTTTTTTTATTTGTTTCCTCGGTCAAGCATCCTTTCGGCTAAGGGCCCAGTGTCAATCCTTTTGCGTTTTCCTTTTTTTTTCCCCATACATTATATCCTCACGGTCACTATTACCCTGCTGTCTTTCACTTCATACCACCTTTGAAAACATTCTTCCTATCATTTCCTTTGTCACTCGTACACGCGACTTGTACAGCTCCATGGGCCATATCGACTAGACTTGAGCCTTCTATCTTCGACATTTATTTCCTTATATTTTGTTAATACTGTAAATAATCAACCAGCCACATATCTTTGATGAGATTGCCAATTTGCAAATCTCTTCCTAGCCATGTAGTTCCTTCGATGGTAGCCGTCACGCCTAGAATCAGGATTGAGCCCGTCAATCAATAATCCAATCTTTTGCATACTTTATGATTCCGGGCCTAGATCATTGTGTGTATATGCGTATGTGTTAGCTTCTTTGAAATGGAGGCAAGTTTGTCTTCAATGAGCTCATTGCTCAGCCTCGGCTTCACTGTCTAGTGTCTGGAGTGATTCGGCTTCATTCAAGGATCAACGGCCTTAAGGGTATTGAAGCAAACTAGTGACTCAAATGGAAAACACAATGTATTGAAGCAATCAATTGAATCAAACAATGAATTGTATTCAACAATCCACAATCAATAATCATTCATCTTCAACACTATATAAGACCGGCTGACCACCTACCAAGCTCCAAAACAATTCGACCTCGGGGCGGACCAGGAACAGGCAATCCACGCAGGGCCCGCCAGAGAGAATCCAGTTGTGTCTACGATTGAACTTTAACATCCTTCTGTAGCAGCTTTACAGAGACTGAGAAGCGGACACCAGAAAAGTGGTTTGGATTGACTTGCTTCCACTGTATTGCCATACATTTGCCGCAACCTTGAGCCCGTAAAGAAAAATGGTAAACTCCAATCTCAAGTGTGAATTGAATTTTTCTTTTCTTACAAGGAGCTAGTATTAGTTTTGCCATAGACTCCTTCATCGTTTTTGCAATTTGTACGCAACTATGGATGCTCTAAACGAACTTGGGCGCCCGATTCGACCTAATACATTACTCTTTCACATTGTCAAATCTGACGAGATTCCGATAGTCTGAAGTTTCCTGCAATGGTTTGCTTCCCGAAAAAGCATCAACAGTTATCGGCCGTTGCCTATTCAAATCCCGGGTCGATTTCGTAAGAGACCGATGGAGCAGTGCATCTGGTTCAAGGCGCCACCAATTCCGCATGCGAGAAGTCCTGGAAGATAGTTAACAACACAACGAGATACGCCAGACAATGTCTCGCTGACAGGTTTGCAGTCGCTGCAGCAATGTGGGCATACTGTGAAGCGAAGACTGTTGTCCTGGTCATTGGTCCATTGGCCTGCCGGGGATTTGCTCATACAGATGGCAACGTTGGAAGCCACACCAACGCCATTACAACGAAAAGAATCTTTTATTCAAGATCTGTGCTGAAGCAGACAACCAGAACTCAATAAAGCTTTTAAGACAGTAAATGGAGCAGTTTCAAAACGAAAGCAAATGGAACAATCTCTCTGGTCGCACATCCACCGCACCTCATTTTAAAATGTATCAAATTTTAGAAACAGAACCACAAAAAGCGGGCTTCAGAGAAAGATATCTCAAGCATATCCGACATGGTTGTCAAAGAGGAAGAAGCCCCTTTGACGCTTTTACTCTCATGATACTGCGCGGAAGCAACAGTCAATTCAAGACATTTCGGAGCACAACTCCAGCGCCCATTGATAATCACGCAATTGGCAATTGATACTCAGCATCTTACGACCACCCCCCCAAACTACCTCAGGGCGTGCTGGATTTCGAATGTTATCTTCAGGCCGTAGGTGGCATATACAGTTTTCATCGCATAACGGAAAAAAAAAAAAAAAAAAAAAAGAAGATCAGAATCAGTGTGCCGTCATGTTCCTTGTGGGGCGGTTCCTGCCAATTGGGGCATAATAGATTTCTGTTTTCGTTCTTGCTATTGTTGCTGTCGGACACTCCCAACAGCAATCTCACCATGAACCCATGACACAATCGGATGCCATCGAAGAGAGCAGGATGAATTTCGTGATCCTCGTTTCTGCCGACTCGAAGAAAAGGAAGCGGCCGGAGAATTTCTGATCCCAAAGGAGGAGTCATATCAGCATCACAGGCGTCACATGATCAATCACTAAGAGCACCTGCTGGATATTTCACAAGATTTTTTCAACCGCAACAAGAATGACTTGGGCTTTGTATACGCAGCCGCAGGATTCCGCTCAATAACCCGACAGACGGACGTTGGACTGGGCGTTGGACTGGGCGTTGTTGGAGGTGAACTCACCGCGACAGTTGTTTAATTATGTAATGCATCCAGATTCGAACTTATTGAAACCCTGAGAGCCAAACTAATCTTGGACGCGAGTAGTTCCCGGCGGTTTTCACAAACCCTTTCAAGGAGGATAGGAAAGAGTTGCTGGCCTTCCACATGAGCGATGTGGTCAAGGTCATGGTAGACACTGCAAAGCCTGATCTAGAGGACAACGAGGTCTTCAAAATCGGAGCTGTAACTTGGACGACTCGGGGCAGATATGACAAACTTGCCGTGAGAAATCTGAAAAAGGCGACCCAGATTACATTGAACCCACTGACACCCTCAGCATCATTACAGAATACTGCAGGCATGTACCAAAGCTTGTAGGATTTTTGTGGCTGGTTGTGGAACAAGTGGTCAAGTGTCAGGAGAAGGTCATTGTCTGGACCTTGTTTCCTGCAGAGCAGGTCCTGCTATGTTAGCTCCTCAAGTCAATATGCATCAACACTTCCATCTTCCCTGCAAACCTTAACTTTGACAAGAGAAAGAATTTGATCCTTGATTTCACAGAGCAACAATATGATTGAAGGTGCGCCACCCCCAAGGACCATGCAATCCATGGGACTTGGTTCTCCCTGCGAGGAGATTCGGCAGCGTTTGTTTATAATGGAGGAAGGAAGGTTTGGGGGGCAGGGCGGGTGACAAAAGGTATGGCGAGGGTTGAACAGGTCGGACAATCGGGGGCTACATGGCAGTCTCAGAGATCACAGTCGGGGGTGTAGCGAGTACACTTAGGGCAGCACGCGATGGCGCCCATGGAATCATCAGCTTCATATGCAATAGAGCTATACATTCAATTGATTCTGTCTAAGTAATAACTTGTGTAATTCCCCTGCCACTTGATGCATTTCTTGATGTGCTCAGGCATAGTGATTAGAAGCGTATCAATTTCATCCTGTGTTATTGATGATGGTAAACATGCAGCTATCGCGTGTTGAGCTCAGTGTACTCGCTACACCCCTCGCACCCCCGACTGTACTCTCTGAGACTGCCATGTAGCCCCCGATTGTCCGACCTGTTCAACCCTTGCCATACCTTTTGTCACCCGCCCTGGGGGTATGTTTGGGTGGTGTCGAACACGGTTCTTTGTCATTTTTCACCGCCGCTGAAGACCTTTTTGATGACATGAAGAAGTTCACCGTGGCCGCGGAGGATCGTTTCGTTGGCGGCTCATGATCTGTTTCTTTCTTATTTTCATTTTTCTTATCCTTCTCTGCTGCATCAAACTTCTATGAGACTAAATGACCTGTGTATAATCATCCAATATGACGTGTTGAAAAGCGGTTGGTTTGAAGGAAAGGAAAGGGAAGGGAGTAGAATATGAGGTCTTACTACGTAGTAGCTGCTTAACCCTTCAACTATATACGCAGTTGGAAGGTGAGGGTCCCCACATATTCCATATAGACCAGGGATCATCAATGAATCGCTCGGAGCCCGACCATTCCGCGACGGTAATCTTGACAGCGACTTCGCCCATGCCCAACTTATCCATTACCTGTGTCAATTTCTCCAGACAGTCCATCCAGTCGGTATCTGTGCCTTCTTTGGCATATATCCAGAACGTGGGTGTATTGACGCCTTCTCTACGTGCGGTGCCGATGCGCAAGATCGTTGCCCAGAAATACGGTTTGCCGTCAAGGCACTCGTCGATTTCCTCTGGAAAATACATTTGGGGATACCCCTCGGAGTTGTACCGTCTAAATCCCAATTGTAGCTCGTCCTCTCTGCTTAGCGAGTGAGTCTGTTCTGGTCTATTTATCGATGGATCGATAATCTCGACGGAAATGTCATGCAGTGAACCGGTCTCTTTCCACGGCCTTACTCCTGGCGGTGGGTGTGCTTGTAGATTTGCAGAAGAGCCCGGCTTGGGCTTGGTCTCGTTGTTTGAGTCTGCAGCACCAGCTGCTGCATCTGTGTCCGTCATTACTTTGTTTTCTTCTTTTGATTCTTTTTCTTCTTCCTCTTCTTTTTCCTCTTCACCTGATAGCAGCCCGCGGTCTCGACACAGCTGGCGAATTTCTTTGCAGGCCCAGTACCAGCTATCGTCCATGACTCCTGGCTGTCGTGTCGCCAGCACAAGGATTGTCGGCGGCGAGACATGGCCTATCTGCGAGGAATCACTAAGCGTGCATTTCCGGTTCACAAGCTCAATTTTCCAGTAGTCAACCTCATGCTTGAATAGGATACCACGGATCTTTTGTTGGAAATCTGTACGAGCGGATGACGCGCCTTTCCACTCCTTCACAACCTTAAATCTTATCGATGCTCTCGAGCCGTCTGGATCGAGAAAGTCCTCTTCGTTTACTTCGATAGGATCGCCCATGACGCGCACGCTTCTGGCAGGCAATTGGCACAATTTGGGTCCGCCCACGCGATACTGCCCGTTGGCAATCTCCTCGTCGAAATAATTTTCCGTCGAGCCGTACGGTACGCCGCGCCACGCTCGGGCTCGGACCTTGGGTGCTTCTTGGTTGGGCAGCCCTTCTTTGCATTTGTCGCAGAGCGCCAGCGGTCGTATGGGGCCAGCATATGCCTCCACGTTTGTGGTGCGTGGATACCGTTTTCCAATTCCGTCATGTGCTGTCGATTTGGTGGGAACCCTTGGTTGAAACATCGTGTCGTATTCAGAGTCCGTAAAGGCGAGCTTGAATCAGCCTCGAGCAGCAATATTTAAAAATAAAACTTGACGAGTACTGAGTATAGATGGCTCAGCTCTGGTAAGGAGGACGACGAGGACGACTACTATGGGAAAGCACAACAAACGGCCAAGGAGAGCTCTCAAACGGAGATATTAAAAAAAAGCCAGAGTGTAGAACAAAAAGAGAGATATTTATACCATTTCAGGTAACCTTTCAGATAAAGCCAGGTTGTCCAAGAATATAAAGGAATAGCAAGTTAGTAACTTCAAGCAACGCTGGTATTGAACAGAGTGACAGGACTAGATTGGAATCTGTATTTGATCTAATTGATACACAATATTGATGAAAATATAATGGTTTGAAAAAAACAGCTCTGAACTTATAAGGCATTTCCTTTGAAAGGTAATATAAGAGAGATGGGTTAGGTGTTGTTGTTATGTTTATAACTAGACCAGGTAAAGCAGCTGCTCTTTGTCAGCCTGTATTTACTTATTTTCTAGGCTTAGGTCAAAACCATATAAGCCAGACTATTCCGTATAGTACCTAGGTAATATGTATTCAAGCAAGAGTAGATTTTTACTTGTAAGTTCTCAATTATCTTACAGATTTATTATTGTAAAAGGATTTCAGAAGATAAATATAAATATTAAATGCTATTCTAATACATTGTATAATTATTCATAAATTGGCTTGATCACGCAATTTACAGTTGCCTCAATCCGTCTTAGTTCTGCCGAGTAGTCTACTGTAATACCCTCAAAGTGTTCGGTAGAACTAAGTTAGTAAATCGCCTGACGTAAGTTAAGGGGTTTTAGTGCAACTGATAAGAAAATCTTTATCGACACAAATCGATTGCAGTAACCAAGGTATACTGACTATTTCCTGCAGACAAATGATCAGCTAAATTTCTCCACATTTCAACATCCTACCACTACTTTTTTCTCGAATTCGGTTTTATCGTCCTTTAGCATTGCCAATAGGCTGAGATCCCCTATCCTTATATCGACGCCCAAGATGTCTGGCAGCCACGCAAGACTGACGGCCGGTTCAGCAAGTCGTCTCTTTGCCGCATCACAAAAGAAACCCCTGACCGCCCGCTCTCTCGCAACGGCATCATCGCCATTACCAGTCAGCTCAGCCGGTCGGCTACACAAGGTAGTGGTCGTTGGCGCCGGCAGCGCCGGTCTATCCGTCAGCCATCAGCTCCTGCGCTCGGGTAAATTCACACAGGATGAAATCGCCGTGATCGACCCCGCAGCATGGCACCACTACCAGCCCGGCTGGACACTTGTCGGCGGCGGTCTCAAGAAGAAGGAGGACCTGCGAAAACCGATCAGCAGCCTGATCGACCCGAAGCTCAAATTCTACAACCACGGCGTGGACGCCCTGTCGCCAGGCGACAACGCCGTGACGCTCGCAAACGGCACGACCATCACCTACGAACACCTCGTCGTCGTTCCCGGCATCAACATCAACTACGGCAGCGTCGCCGGGCTGCCCGAGGCGCTCGCGGACCCTAATTCCACCGTGTCGTCCATCTACGGCTACGACACCTGCGACAAGACCTTCCGCACCATCCGCGCCCTCCAAAAGGGCAACGCCATCTTCACCCAGCCGACAGGCGTGATCAAATGCGCCGGCGCCCCGCAGAAAGCCATGTGGCTCGCGTTGGACTACTGGAAACGAGCTGGCCTCTACAACCCGACCAACCCCTCTGACGCACCGATCAAGATCAGCTTCGCGACCGGCCTTCCCGTCATGTTCGGCGTGCCCAAATACAATGCGAAACTAGAAGAGATGCGCCAAGAGCGCAACGTCGAGGGGCTTTTCCAGCACGACCTCGTCGCAATCGACGGCAAAGACGCCGTATTCGCCCGTCCCGAAGGACAAGGACAAGTCACCAAACCGTTTGATCTCCTGCACGTCACGCCCAAAATGGGGCCCTACGCGTTCGTCAAGAACAGCGCCCTCGCCGACGGCGCCGGCTACGTCGACGTCGACCAGAGCAGCACCCGCCACAACACATACCCCAACGTCTGGTCCGCCGGCGACGCCTCCAGCCTGCCCACCTCCCGCACCGCCGCCGCAATCACCTCCCAGGCCCCCGTCCTCGTGCACAACCTCCTGCAGACCCTGGCCGGCAAGGAACCCGCCGCGGTCTATGACGGATACACGTCCTGCCCGCTCCTGACAGAGTACGGAAAGGTTCTTCTTGCAGAGTTCAAGTATGGCGGCGAACCGAAAGAGACGTTTAACAACTGGTTCGGCATCGACCAGGCCACCCCCCGCCGCTCGTTTTATCATCTGAAGAAGGATTTCTTCCCCTGGGTATACCTCAATTTCATGGTCAAGGGCACGTGGGGCGGTCCGAATGGCTGGATTCGCTAGATTTGGACAGTCTTGCCTTGTTGGATGTCCGTGTATTTACTCCTGGATAGATCGCGTGTATACTCTTGATGGATCACCACCTGTAGACTACTATTCCTGATTTTTTGTCGATAGGGTAGACGGGTAGAGTATGTTTTGTCAATAGGGATGGATGAGAGGCATGCTGCGTGCTGCGTGCTGCATCCTGCTTGCCGCATGCAATACATACCTTGAAAAATTGGATGTTAACACTTTCTTACACTAGAATTATTTAGAGCCATTCGATATGTAGAAAAGAGCGATGATTACTACAATAGATAAAATTATAGGTCAAGAAGTATATATTAAAATATATTATATTACCGGTGAACATTGCGCCTCCTATATGAAAATCAAGTATCCCATGTTGTTCCTGATTCTAAATTGCAGAATTGAAACTCCGCTGCCGCTGCGCCATGAAATTATAAAGACAAAAAGAAAGAGAGAAAGAGATCCAGCCAAGGGAGAACTAAGAAGGACAATGCTCATGTTACTGCCGCGCCATGCCTTCCCAGAACCGACGAAGCATGAGCACATGCGCGCGAGTAGGAGGATCGCGGTCACGAGTAGACATTGATGAAGAGAATCTAGACCAGGGCCGATGATGCGGAGCGCCTCGCCGCCCCCGCGAGTATACGTCTCGGGCCGGTGTCGTGATACCGGCGTTTGAATTGTTCGCACCTATCGTACTGCTTTGACTAAGAGCGGTCCTTGCATCTACCGCCCCTACCGCTCCTACCGCTCCTACCGCTCCTACCGCTCGTCCAGCAGATACCGATGTAGCAGCTGCTGCTGCTCGCCTCGTAAACCTCTGCACCAGCGCTTTCACGCTCGGTCTCTCGCCCCTCTCTCGTTCCGCGGCGGACGCTGCGCGCGCCCTCTTCTCTACCGCTTTCGCTCGTTTTCCGATCCACGCGCGCAGTCCGTCTTTGACCTGCTCTCGTTCAATCTGGCGCTTTGCGCCGAGAATGTTTGGCGTCACGCCGGTCCACACAATCGCCCCCGTGCGGCGGTCATGCCGGCAGCATTCGCCGGGCAAGATGTTGGAGTCTACGAGCGATGAGACCGACGGGCGCCGCGATAGAGACCGGTTCAGCCGGATGCAGACCAGACTCCGCGAAAGCTTGCGCGCGGCGACATGGGTCGAGGATAGGTAGATTGTTGAGCGTGGTGGCAGGAGAGCGGCGAGCGGCGGCCGCTGGGCGAGCGAGTGTGAGAGGACCAGAGAGACGTCGTGTAGGCGGTGGAGATGGAGCATGGGGTCCAGACTGAGACGCCGTAGACGGTGGGAGACCTGTGATGCATCGGGATCAGTCAGGTGACAGGCAGTGTCAGTGAGAGTGATAAGTTGAAGTGGAGAATGAAAGCATATACAGTGGCAGCATATACAATGATTGCAAGCGGGGGAAATGAGATGGGTGCTCGAAGATGACGACAGAAATATTGGCAAGAGAAAAAGAAAGGAAGCAGAAACAACTGTTCGAAATGTTTGGGCAATGGGCTTCTGCGAGCACGGGATGGGTAAGAATTGACAGAAACAAAATCTGGCAGACTCGAAGGCGAATATAATGAGATTGTCGGCAGAAATGAAGAAAGCAATATGCACCCAAACATAAATATGAGATAAAGCCAAGCTATAATGACGTGAGCGGATCAACATGAAGATGCGAACTCATAACAATACAGAAACAAAGCTCATAGCATACCCTTGAGACACTCAACAGATCAGGAACATCCAGAAACGCGAGAATGTTAAGCAAAAGCTCGTCGCAAAGCTGCAGCAGAAGATCCATTGACGACATTGGTAAAGTCCCTGTCCCTGTCCCTGTAACGGATGGTAGAGTTGTTTCCATGGGTCGTCGACTCGTCGCTGATGTTGCTCACGGAGCTAAAAGCGTGCTAGACAATATCCCCTTTCTTTGTATATTACCTGTTTGAGAGAGCATCAAAAGAAAGAAGAGCGATATTGAATCAAGGAGCTTGTAGCAGTGCCAGGGGTATCAGTGTATGATGTACGGAGTATCACAAGTACGAAGACGAGAATCAAGTTGCAATAGCAGTATGGGTATAATGCAGTAAAGTCAGGTAGACAAGAACATCAAAAGATCAGAAAAGCCAAATGGATGATCCAAGTACGTTGTAATGCTCATTAATTGGTTGGAAAGTGGACGATAATTTGGTTCCAATGATTCAAGGACCTGTGAGATCTGTGAACAATGTGGCGGTAGTGATGCACAAGAATGTCATAAAAGTTATGTCAAGTACTTCGTATACAGAGGTAATAGTATGGTGAGTATGACAGTAGTGGAGACGCACAGTCTTCTGCAGGTATACCTCCGTAGTTAAACTCTTATATGCAGTGGCTGCCTAACTGCAGTACAGAACGTACAGTTATCCCATTGATAAGGGGAACCTGGGATTTCGTGATTCCTGGGGGTGCGGGGTTGCCTAGTCGTTTACAGCGTTGGGGCGAGGGGGGGTCTATTCCATTTTGGTCACGCAATTGGAGACCCCACTACAGACTACGTAGTACATATCAACGTCGAGGCTAGAGCATTTGCGGGAGAAGAATGGAGATACTATCGCAATCACTGAGACTAAAACTTATGATCTTTAAAACGGAATGTTTGCCCAAGACTTCAAAAGACTTCCAAAGGGCATTCCTTTAGGGGAGCTAGTCATGTGATCTCCAAGGACTGACACAATGTCGTTGACGCGGAGATAGAGGGTACATGTTGTATCTAGTATACGGCATACGATAACTTACAGATATGTTGCACTTGACTCCTATGGTTTCGATTCAATGGAATCATCTTTGCAGGTGTTACAATTTCATATTTGTATATACATTTCTGCGAACAACTCGGTACAACTACCGGATAATAACCTACCCATTGCAGGTCTGTGTGTCTTTATGACTAAATCCCTAATAATTGCGAAGAAAATCCCAAGCCCAGTCAATCACCAACAGTAATTGTACTGAGTATAATCCATAAACTCCAAATAATCCAGACAAGGATGCGACCATGTGAGATGATATCGATGACAAGTCTAGCACGTACAGTGCGGTATAAAGAGTTTGAGGCAAATAAAGAAAAATAAAAAAAAATTACAAACTTGTTTTTTACCGAAAAGGCAGGGAGAAAGAGAAATCCAAAATGATAGACTCCAATACTATCGGCTGGAAACAGGCACAGCAGCAGGAGAGGAAGAAGAAGCGGGAGCTGCATCTTTTGGCGGATGCCGATTCCTACTTGCACCGCCGCCTCGGCCAGAGTGTTGTCCTCTATTGCCTCTACTACCACGAGATGATGATTGGGCGGGGGGATGCGAAGAGGACGACTTTCCACTCCGTGCATTTCCCTCAAGGTCAGTAGCAGCACCACGTCTGGCAGTAATATCACCGCCGCTCGTACTACCTCGGCCGGCTTGGGAAGGAGCTTGAGCTCCACCGCCGCTACCCCGTCCATGCCCATGATCGCCACCAACTTGGCCGTGACCGCGGCCATGGCCGCCTCGGTTTCGCCGCGACTTGTTGGCATGTCCGGCTGCAGTGGCAGAACGAGCCTCTTCTTCTAGCATCACTCGCTGGCATTCGCGGTCCCACCATTCCTGAAAAGCCTGTTCCTGCTGGATTTCTTCCAGGCTCCGTTTGGCCGCAGCTTCCCGGACAAAATCCTTTTCAGCCTGTTGCTGCGACAAAATATCTGCCATGGAGAGCTGCAAGGACGGTTCGGCAGAGCGTACCACAGAGGGTGCCGGCTGGTGCCGGACAGAGCGAGGTCCGGCGACGACTGGCTTTGACGTTGACGACGAAGAGGAGTAGGACGTAGTAGGAGGATGCTGTGCCGCCGGGACAGAGGGCTTTGTAGCTGCCGCGCCTTGTGAGGATGGGGATGGTTTCCGCGCAATGGTTTGCTGAAGGTTTAGAGGAACGCTTGACGGTGGACGCTGTGAAGCGGAGGAGGACGCTAGGCTTCCATTGCGAGCAGTACCAGATGAGCCTGGCGTAGGCGATCCAGTCTTTTCGGCACTCAAAACGTCCTTGAGCGATACCTTGGCTGCCGCCGGGCCTGTTTGCCAGGGCGATTTAGTTTTCTCTGCTTCTTTCGACGCAACTGCCTGCACGGCTGCCAATTGCTGTTCTTGCTGCTGCTGCTGCTTCTTCCTTTCGCGCTGTGAGAGCTTTCCGCCAAAAGATCCGCTAGCTTTGGTGGCATGCTCTCTCCTCGCCTGGTATTGCTGCTGTTGCTCCTGCTCCTCTCGTTGACTGGCCAGTCCTAGCGAAAGATTTGACGTTCGGCTGCTGGTTGATGCCTGAGCCATAATATCCTTCATATCTAGCTTGGTAGCCGGGAGTGTGGGTGATGCCCACGGCTTCCCTGTCGCTATCACGCTTTGCGGAGGCTGTTGAGCTTGAGTGATGCTTGAGCTGGACACTTGAGCATCTAAGCGAGGAGTAAAGCTTGATGGCGGCGAAGCCAAAACGTTTGCCGGCGAAGGGCTGCCAAAGCCATCGTGTGGAGATGAAATGGCCTTGCCCTTGGAGTCGAACCATACGTTGGCATCAGGAACACTTGATCCAGGACTAGCATACAAGCTTCCAGGGACCGTACCCGATGTTCTCTGCCGAACAGGTATAGGACGATCAGGCTCTCCCAAACCAGGTTGGCCGGCTTTTCCAAGATCCTCATCCTCCATGTCAAACATTAAATCGTTCACAGATGCTTTACCCTTGAGGCGTGGGCTGACGGAATCCAGCTTAGCATCTCGGGATTTTCGCCGAGACTTGGTAGCAACGGGCGAAGTATTCGAGTCAAGGATGCCGGGTCTTTGTTTGAAAGAACCTGATGAACGAGATTCCTCTTCCTTTAATCTTGCCTGAAAAGCCATAGCCCCAATCTTCGCGCGTCTGCCTTGCTCAATCTCTTCTGCCAGCTCAGGATACTTATCATGCAGCAAAGCTTCGGCCCTGCCGCTCCTGACGAATGGAGAGGAAGCAAGCTGATTGTCCCGAACAACTTGATCAAGCTCATAGGCGAGATCGTTATCCAGGTCTTCTAGAAGGCTAAAAAGTTCTCAGCGTTGAAATTCGAATAAACGCGCTAAATTCTTTTGAACGTACCGAGATTCAAGCAATGCCTCAAGGTTCAGGCAGAGGAACTTCAGACAGGCATTTTTTAGTTCGGCGACGTAGCTCGGCGCAATCGCATTGATAAGTTGGCAAACATTACGAATTGTCACTATCATTTGGGTCAGCCATATCAAATGCATAATTGTGGGCGCTCCCAACTTACCGAATCGTCCCAGAACCTGTTGGCACACCTGAGACAGTCGATCAAGCATCAGCTCGTTGGCCACGGACATGACCCCCAAGACGATGTCGAGAAAGTGATCAAGGTCATCTGCAACCACATCGTCAAACAATTCCACTCCGGTATCAGCATAAACATGACGAAGCACGAGCTTGAAAATATCCTCATCAACATGCTTCAGATCCACCTTAGTGAGGGCTCCAGGATCGTTTGCCAACTCTCGTCTAGACGCGAGCCACAACCCTCCTGCTCGCCCCTGGAACAAGCCTTCGAAAAAAGGGCATCTCCGACACATTAGAGTACTATGCACTTTGACTTCCGCATTGGAAAGTTCAACAAGGACATCGCCACCATCAAAAAAAGCACTGTCGAGTAATGCGCTTTCCATGCCCTTGCGCAAAGCCTCAGTCGGCTGGATCATCGCTCTTGCAGATGCTTCAAGATTACGTAACTCGAGTCGAGCCGCAATTTTCATTAGCTCTGTCCTTACTTGACGATATCGAGAAGTAGATTTGGGCGCAAGCCGGGTGCAATGCCAAACATCAACGACAGCATCATGATAAACATAGACAAGCAGATTAAGTACGGTGAGGAAATCTGCATTTGGGAAGGTCACCCGAAATTCCTTCCCATCCTTCAAGTCTATTGACAACATATCACCTATCGACACTGTCGATCTCGCGCGGCGACATTCCGCAAAGGCTTGTCTCAGTGTGCTGCTTCTGGAGGATAGCAAAAATTCATGCGCAGGTAGATGCACGGACGACTCCGAAGTGCAAATGTCGACGTCATAACCAGACATTAGGCTTGAAGCTTGTTGCTCACACGTCGCTCGTATGACGGTTTCAAGGCTTCGAGGAGAAAGAAGAATGTCCTTGATCGCAAGCACGATCTCGGCAGCAGAGGCGTCTCGTGAGGAGCCACTTCCATGATTAGCACTGCCGTGGCCACGGATAAGGTTATCAAAGGGCGAAAGAACAGCCAAGTCTCTGGAAAGTGTCGAGTCTTTGACTTGGACATGAGTTTTGGTGACATCACTCTCTGTGCGTACAGCCGAAAATGCGCCAAATGAATTGCTGCGGACCGCAGTCACTCTTGTAAGGCCAGAAACCCTCGAGAATTTGTAGTCTTTGGCTTTAAAATCCCGAGAGCCCGTTGCAGCGGCATCCTTGATTTTCGCACGTTTGATCCTTTTCCAGACGGAGCCCGATTCCGTGCAAATGACGACCGAGCCGTCCTGTCCAACATCAACATCGCTCACGGCCATGTGGCCTTTTCTGAGAGACCACACACGCTGAGGCAGCGACAGTGCACTGCGAATCTTAGATGGATTCGTTGTTGAGGCAGAGGCAACCCCAGGCTCCGCTCGTTGGCTCACATTGACCGTGAAAACCTCACCTCGGCGCGACAGAGCGCAGATGGTGTCTCCACCTGCGGTGACCTTTATGATGTTATTAGGAAGGAAATCATATGCAGTGGTGCGGAAAGTACTCCGCTGGAAATTATCGAAAGAACCATCAAGTGGGAATGATAACTTCGTATAACCATAATTTGCAAAGACCCAAACTTCGTGGTTTTGTAACAAGCAAATTGTGGCGCGGTCAATTGCTGACACCATGCGGATTGGCGAAGAAAATAATGATGCTGCAACTCTCCTGGGAATAGTCTGGATCTCAAGAGATCGAGCGTCTGAATCCACTAAGCCTAGCTGACCTTCATTTTTCCCGAAGGTAAATAAAGCAGTTGATGTGTGTACAACCGAGTGGATCCGGGAGCCTGCCGCGCCAAGTACCAACTCCCTTTTCAATGGCCCAAACACTTGACGAGGTGATGTCTGTATCGGATCCTCGTCGTTGAGCTTGGGCTTCGGCAATAAATATCCTAACTGCCCAAAAGCATTCGTACCCCACGTGAACAGCTGCCCATCATCAGTGACAGCTAGCGTGTGGTTTTGCCCAAGCCCAATGTTCACGACCCGTTTGCCTGCAAGCGGGCCGTTGTCGACACAAACAAAGTTGAATCGAGTGTTCTCGTCGCCTGTACCCAACCTGCCTCCTGGTCCAAATCCACACATGTAGAGATTCGATTCAGGGTCGGTAGTCAGGACAGCGGTGTGGAGCTTCGACATGGCTATGTCTTGGATGAGTATAGGCCGATTTCGAATCAAGGAAGGAAGTGAGGCTGACGGCTTGCTGCCGAGATCAGTCGATGAAGGTATATCCAAGCCCGCATGCTGTTCGCGATAAAATCTGCGAAGAAGGTTCTCGGGGCGTTTCAGAGTGATACGCTCGGGATATTGCCGGTCATCCTCATCACCAAAACCAAGAGTATGATTCTTGTTGCTTCCAAATGTGAACAAATCGTCTCCGTGGATATCCACGCGCGGCGCCAGTGACACATGACGTGGAAAATCTTCATCGTTCTCGCTGCCTGCGCCTTGGCTCGATGTATCGTCGTTATCATCTTCATATTTGGCGTGAGAGAGGTCGAGACCTGGTGATCGCAGAGATTCGTCGGCTATGGTAGCCGCAAAAAGGTCGAAAGGGCTATTGCCTTCTTTATCTTTTATTTTAATCAAGCCTCCAGCATTCAGCACATTTCCAGCGTCTAGAGCGTCTCGACTTAGGATGGCACGTGCGGTAAGGATATTTCCAAAATATAACGCTCTGTGCAGAGCGGTCCACCCATTCTCCATATCCTGCATGTATATGTCTGTCAGAGGGTGCTCAAGAAGCGCCAGTGCAAAGGCATGAGCATTATCTGTGGTACGCGATGCGGCATGGTGTAGGATGGTGAGACCAAAGGTGTCTTTTGAATTTACGTCTGATCGACCGAGGACGACATTTGCCCATGAGCCTGCGGCTTTGCCGGGAGTGGTATTGACCGAAGAGATATTCCAACTGGACGTTTTCCGACACTTTGGGGTTATCGATGGTGACGTTGAAAGCGCCGCGCTGGGGCTGCTTTGTCCAGGTCCTCCGCTGAAGGTTTTTGGCGCAGCAGGTCGGGCGGCAGAACTGGCATTAGCCAGAAGCTGCCGAAAGGATTCAATATCATCCTCGAGATAGAATTTCCAAAGAAGTCCGCTCATATGCAGTGGCCGAAGGAAGAAAGGTCTTCCGAAGCTTCAATGACGCCTCGCTGTAATCACTGAGGATTACGGCGTATTTAAAGGCGTCCACTGAAGCAGTGGAAGAGCCGGGGAATGTGACGATCTACACGTCTGCGGAACTGCCACTGAAGCTCCGCCAAATGTTGAATATAGATTTGATAGAATCGAGTTGGAAGCGGCGGGCGACTTGATAACTTGAGGATTGATCTGCCGTCAGCGTAGCGTATTTATTCCGGCGATTCCTATGACGATGTCGCAGTTTCGATAATATGCTAGCCGATGAATCGTCCGAAGTATATAATTCGCGTACCGCGTCGGGCGAAAGGCGCGCAAGTCTTCGAAGTTCTGGCTAAAAGAAAATTGTTTGGATTATTTCGGTCGGCTGGAAAAAGATGTTGTCGACTTTGAATGAAAGAAAATGAAGAATGAGCTTGACAGAACAGACTGTTGAGCATGAGGGGCATTCGTCGCGTTCTCCCCACCACTCTCATCCTCCCGCATCTCTGCTCAGGACTCGCGACTGTATCGGGCTCGCAAACCAACCAATCAGAAGGTGAGTGCTGTCAACATGCACTTTTAGGCCTCATTCATTCATTCCCTGAATCGATAACATGACATTTGGGCTCGGGGGTTCGTAAGTCAATATTTTTGAGGCTTTCCCCCTCTTTCTGAGCAACACTTTTTATTAGGGAAGACTTTGAACCGTTCTCTGGGTCTCCTTCGAGCCCGATGCCATATGAGCAATACATAGAATTAGGTTAACTTTTTGTCTGGCTTTTCAAATTATATATCTACCTAGGTAGGCAATTGGACAATATTTCAGGTTCACATGGGACTACATATATAGTTACCTTATGTATGAGACTTTTACAAGAAAATCCTAATGATAAATTTAGAATATATACCTTAAGTAAACAAATAAACATAATATGCTAGACCAATTTTGCTTGGAATCGGTGCTGTCCAAAAGGAGAAGTACTTGACTGGTATACCGGCTTAGTATCACACATCAGATATCTCATAACTAAGGTATAACCAAGTATGTTTCACGGAAGGATATGCAGCTTGCCACTTGGATGCACATAGAACAAGAGTGATTTGACTTCATATGGACTATCGATGGCAGATGCAGAAGCATTATATCCGCTCGGTCAAGAAGAAACGGCTGTTGATTGGTCCATGGTCCCTAAGGAGGACGCGGAATTACAGACCGCATACTTCGTACTCCGGTAAACCTTGTTATGGTTGAAAAACAGCATAAATTGTGCAATGCATAAGTAGACTATATGTGTCTGTCCAAGTCATCTCGTGGCCGGCTCAATAAGCCCGCACGTGATGGCCGAGCTGCCATTGACACAAACGGACGTAGTGAGAATTGTACAAAGTTTGGTAATGCCATGAGTTCCTTGGAAGTAAATTGTAACCAAGACTGACGCTATCAGACTTTCAACATCCTGGACGGCGTTGTGGAACCACAGATGCATTTCCGGGGCAAACTGGATTGTGAGGCGGTTGAATACCTACCTTACCTTTCATAACAGGCTCGTCACACCGATGCAAGACATTGGCAGACTGCACGGTACCATCAATTTTGTGATGACTATCGCTTCTACGTTCATTCTACTCTGGAGGAGCATCAGCTTTGGAAGTGCACTCTTTGGTACAATGCTTGCTATGATTGCTCCATGGCCTGATTGATCACAGCTCGAAATAATATATGCAAAGAGTCAAACTCATTTTGAGAGGATCGACAGTCTGGCCTCTGTCTGAACCCGAGAGCTACGAGTGCCTTGTAAAGATGGATTAATTTGGGTAATCCAGGTATGTTTGAGGCCAAGAGAGAACCTGGAAGGGCAGGGCGAAATAGTGGATAGGTAAGATACTTGTTTGACATAGGCACAATGTATGGAGAACGAAGTAACTTGGTCGCTATAAGCAAGGATTCATCATTTTTATCGCCGGAGCACCGACCTCTCTCCCCTGCCTGTCCACCCTACCAATGCACACTCCCACACACCCTGCACCAAATGAGTAACTTAGCGACAGGAAGAAAGGCATCACTTCCCTTGATTGGATGCCCCATCAGTAACGCGTCTGCCTTGACCGTCTTCCGCCGTCGACCCGTTTTGATCCTCCTGATAAATTCCCGGCTACGGCCTCAGCTGCTGCATCTTATCCACTAGATATTTGCGAGGTATTGTCAGTTCTAGGTGGCCATACCAAGTCTGTCGATAGTCCCAAGTGGTATCATCAGGATCTGACGGGCATATCATCGATGGTGGATATTGGATCATCCACCCTTAACCTTCCCTGGCTGTTTCCCAGTCCGATCACATATTGGGGGCAAGTCCTCTGGCTGGACTCCGATATCTCTCTTCCGCTATTTTCTCGCCTAGGCTTGCTTATCCGGCTCGCTTGCGATTCTCCGAACCTTAATACGTTCCCGTAGAGATAAGTTAGAGCACCAACGCACCATTACCGCTGCCGTATCGCCCAGGCAAGTAAGTTATGTGAACTACTCCTCCTGTACTTTACGTGCGTGTAGCTGTTGGACGATGAGGTGACTACATGGTGACTACGCTTGTTCTTTCCCCTCAAGCTGCTTCTCGACTTCCTATCAGTCGTTCCTCTCTCTCTCTCTCTCTCTCTCCCCCCTTCCCCCCAGAAAAGTCTCCGCTTGGACTTGATTTCGATCCACGGTAAGCCATCTTGCGGCCGTTTGCCGGGTGTTCAATCTCCCCTTTATCCTCTTGCTCCGCTTCCCTTTCCTCTATCCTCATCATCACCCATCTTGCTGCTCGTTCTCACCATCAACCTCCATCTTCGATCAATTTCTTGAATAGTTTTGATCATTATTGGTGCATTGGTTTGATTTGCCTCGTGCTTCCCCCGAATCTTGTTCCTTCAAAGTCACGGAAGTTGCCGTCTCCACGAGGGCCAAGCCATCTCTCGTCCTGCTCGCTCTCTCTACTTGTCTTGGGTGTGTTGCTGCTTGCTACTGCTATCGAGTCATTCTCCTGCGTCACAAGATAAACTGAACCGAGCCAATCCCCCAACCCTCTGAGACACTGCAACTACTACACTCTCTCCTTCTCTCAACACGAGACGCTGCCCTCTTCTTTTCCCTCCATTTTAAATACATACTCACTCTTCCATTTACAGAGTACAGGTGACTCTTTGCTATTACACTCAAAAAGGCCAAACAGAGGACCCTGGCGGTACCTGCGCCTTGATACGGGGAACTGTAATCAGATCTAAGCCTGCGTCAGGCAGACACTGCACTCCTCGACGATAACAATCATGACTGCCGCCTGAGTGCCATATTTTGATCCACCCTTGATCATCCTGTAAAACGGATGTGATTTGCCGCTGCTGGGTAACCCCCAATAACGCCCTATAATCTTACTACGGCCTGTTCGGTGTCCTCCTCACACACGGATATACGATAGACGTTCTAGTCTCGAACTGTTGTGATGGCATTCAATCAAGTGCAGCAGCTTTGGATTTCCCCTCTCTCACCTAGCCGCTAGCCCTATCATCTCTAAACGTTCCACTCTTGCTCACTCCTGAGATCCTTTCTCGATCGGTCGACCTCGACGACATTGAGGCGAGAGCGTGCTCCAACGGCTCGAAAATGCACCAGTATACACGGACGCCGCCACGCACGGCGTCCCCAGCAAACTCTCCGTGGACGAACCCTACAAGAACAAACAACTCGCGAGATCCGGTTCAGATGAATCCGCCAGTGGACAAGGGCGCCGGAGACGGCGACGGCGACGATGGCCTGCAAGCACAGCAACCTTCGTCCCAGAGCCGCGATGTCAAATCTAAATTGAATCAAATCATTCAGGTTCGTCACTAGCCCCCTCAAGAATAGAGCACCCTTCTTCCTCTTAGGTCAACAACTCTCGGAGATGGTAAATGGGAGCTAATCACGGCGTCATCGTCGCAGAACTTTCACACCAAAGCCGCTCTTATCATCTTACAGTCCCGGGTCCCCCTTCCACCTGCTCACGCTAAAGGAACTGATACAGTCCGAGTGAATAAATGGGTATGTTTTCCTTGTCAATCTTCCTCCTTTGGCCCCGTTCATCTTGAGGAAACATCTCAAGATCTCCACGTTTGTTTTGCTACCACTCGGACGCCTAGAAGAATAATGTCTAACCCATCATCTCTTGTCTTAGTTTAACGTCGAACTTGATGAGACCGAAGTTCTTCGCGATGACTTGCGACCGTGGAAGACTTGCGACGCTGTCGATCCTCGGCCCCCACCACTCTTTGTTGAAGTGTACCTTGACACGGCCGACCTGACAAACAACCAGAGTCTAGTGACCATTGACGACCAGGGAAAGCGCTGGGATGTGCTTGAAGCCCTCTCTGCGGAGAGCCCCACCGGTCGGCGAGCCACGCGAACTGAGAATGGAACACAAGTGGTTCTCGAACAATGGCAAATTGAGCTTGGTCAGCCTACGGCAGAGGCACCGGCAGACTTGGCGTCCATTCTGCCCGCCGTCTACAAGAAAAGTATCGTTTTGTTTCGATCTCTTTACACGTATTCCAAGTTCCTTCCAGCATGGAAATTCTCCAAGCATTTGGCAAAGCAGAGGACAAGCTTTGGCGCCCTAAGGCTCAGGTATCGCATCTTTAATGGTGCCGCTTCGAGACCGACGCCCAAAGCCGACCCTTTGCGAACCGCTTTATTTCCAGCGAATGGACGAGTGACGGAGACCTTCTCATTTGGGTCGACTGATTCTCCCGCCGGTCCCTTTTCAATACAAGTCACCTATCGTACCAGCTGTGAATTTCGAGTGGACGACTCGGAAGCCCTCCTCAGCTCCCATTTCATGGGTATTGATGAGCATTTTTTCAAGCCCTCGTTGGGCGGAGCAGACGAACAGCCTGCTTACATTGGTGGTGGTCGAGAAGTGGGCTCACTACCTCAGGCCAAGAGGGATGCTGATGAGATGCCTGACCCTGGGCAGGCTTACGGGAGCCTATCGACCTTTCATCACATCGGTGCGCCCTCTGGCTCAAGTCCTATTTCCGCCTTGCGAGCGGCTAGGGATCTTGCAGGCGGAGGCTCGCCCAGCTCAGTCGACCAACGCACCGCTACGCTAGCTATGAGATCGACACATGGATCAAAGGCATCGTTGCGGTCGATTGATAGCGCTTCCGCCGCCGGACGCCGCCCATCGGTTTCATTCATGCCATTCAAGACACCAACCTTGTCCGCTTCCCCTTCAAAGGCAGACCCTGTGGTACCGCCGTCGCCGCGTGCATCGGTTGGCAAAGCTGCCTCTGGTGTGAGTGCTCTCACGCAAGCCCGGAATCGGTCATCTTTGGGAGTCCTCCCTCAAACGGCTTTGCGAGCGGCTCCAAATTCGAATGAGTCTGCTATAGCTTCATCACCCTCTGCATCACCTCGGCCCGCGCCAGTTGTACGGTATAGCAGTAGCTTTAGCCATCGCAGAGGACGATTGTCATCTGGCGGAAACAGCAAGGCCGATGATGACAATACCAGTAGCGGCAAGACAAGCCTGGCTTCCTCACTAGCCCCTCCTGGCTCTGGTATCTTGGCAGAAGGCGCTACAGGAAGCTTGAGCTCGATTAAGACGGACGATGATAACATTTCTGATTTTTTGAAGATGCTTGATACGAAGAAGGATCTCAAGAGCTTTCAGGGTCCGGTGGGACCAACTGCTGCCCTGTCACGATTCCAGCGGATGCGTGACTCGAACGCAGCGTTGTCTGATTCCATGTCTTCCTCGATGCTCATGCACCGATCGTCGAGTTCTTCAAGCCGCCAACTGTACAGCGTTCCCGCCATGATAGCCGGAACCTCCATCTCTACGGCAGCATCATCGCCTGGCAAACCCATTTCACCCCACACGCCGCATACACCCGCAATCCCTTCACGACTTAGTGCGAATAGCATTGCGGACTATCCGCCACCCCATCGAAGTCGCACCGGTGGGAGACGGCGAAACACTCGCGATGAAGACGACGAGGATTCACGACGAGAAAGTAACATATCCGAGGAACTACCAAGCGGGAGAGGATCGGGTGCTATCCCCATTCCCACCTCTCCACGACCTCATCATTCACATAACCGTCGGTCCAGCTCCGTCGCACATCAACGGCACGTCACGGCCGAGGAAGAATCGGCCGATCTTTTGCCAATGAGCATGCGTAGCGCCAGTTTAGGTGCGGAGGTGCCGCCTCTGAGCTTGAGTGCCTTGGTCAACCTGCAGGAGACCCCGGATCCTGATATGCCTTCGGACGATGGTCCGGTTCGACCGCTCCAACCGACTACGAGTTCAGAGTCACAAGCGATACCCTCGTCGGTTGAATCACCCGACGACGGCCTACCGTCTCATCCTCGAAGTACCACCCTCAGTGGTCTGCATTCCTCGTCCCGACAGCGCTATGGCACTGGGAACCGAAGATTGACTCCACCTCAAACTTCTGGTTCCTTTGAAAGGGGAACTGGTTCTAGCGCCTCTGACCGTCGAGGCGGGCGATACAGCTTTACGCGGCCTGGAACTTTTGACGAGGACGAGCCACTTTTATTTGCAATGAGTGATTTTGGCGGAGTCCAGTCGCGACGAAGCATTGAAGAAGGCCGCAACGAAGCCCCGACAGAACGCGGAGGTTCCTCGGCGTCTAGTCGAAGAGGCAGCCGCCGTGGTCACTTGTGGGGTTAAATGGGCCGTTTTTGTTGTACTGTATATTCTCTTTTCATACCATTGTCGGTCTGTACAAACAAAGAGGCATATCACAGGCAGTCTTAAACGGCATTTGTACTCCTCGGCTTGTTCCCCTCAATACCGTGATGGCGCAGAAAGAGTGACATCTCTCGAATTACCCTGTCTATATCCTCAGCCTCAAATCAATGGGATGCGTTCCTGCCGCAAGCGACTACGCCACTACTACGACTACTCTTTTAACGAGGTGCATATATCATCACATACCCTTACTCCCTCAGCATTACAAGCATTTGGATGGATCTTTGTCGAGTTATATTTGTTCTGAATCGGTTTGGGCCTGCAGATCCGCGCTCAGAATATTTTATCTACCGAGTCATGTGTCACAATGGCGATTTGTCAAACGGCGGAGTTTGTTCTCTTTCGTCTTCTCTTCTCTTTTCTTTTCTCTTTTCCCCGCTATTTTTGATTTATAATTCACCGCAAACTGAACTGTTATAAGACGGAAGGATTCCAGACTGATTTATTCTCTATTACTTGTTGGATGATGCAAATTTATTGCAAGGTGCAAGGCACAGGCGTCTATCAGATGAATGAGACTTGTTGAGATGATACTTTTTTTTTTTTGTTTTTTTTTTTTTTAAATTTCACTTTGTTTGATCTGATATAGGTATAGGTATAGGATCGTATGGAGCTTATAGGAGAGAGAGAGAGCGCGGACTGGTCTGGACTGGACTGGACTGTTTTATATAGTGTGACCGTCGTATTATTATTAATTTATATATTCCCCTTTTTTCCATTCCATCCTCTCGCATTTGTTTGTCTCTGTTTGTCGACTCGTGCCCACCGTTTCGGATTTTATATGACTGACCTTTATGCAAAAAAAATCAGTAGTAGAGTATTACTTCGTAGCATGGCGCACAATGCAATGAAAGACATGGGATAAATACAATTAATACATTTGGTATTAATGATGATATAGTACAATGTAGGTTGTTTGTCTCTCTCACGTGAGAGAGATAAAGAGAAAGATGTAACTGAAAATCTAAAAGTTGCGCCAAATAGGGTTGGTTTTACACCTTTTACGCCTTGGACCCGTTAAAGTTAAACTTTGGCCGTTCCCATTTACCCCTTGCCTTTTGTTGTGAATTTTGAATCCAGGCATCGATCCATGCATGGATGGATGGATGGATGGATGGATTTTACAGGGCATTGTGTATGTACAAACAGACATACATACAGACATACGTACATACAGAACGTCCAGTAAGTCGGACGTTTGATATGATATGATATGATATGATACGGATGTATGTCCAAATAAGCAACAAGGAAAGAAAGAGAAAAGATAAAGAGGGGAGAGAGGAAAAAAAAGAAAGAAAAGGGAAAGCATTTTAAAAAGATATTTCCACAAGAATAAATGCATGGATGTATGTCGTCGTAATGCGCAATAAAATACATGTGAAGTGTAACAAAAAAAGAGACACATGATACATGACGAAGAGAGATTTAGAAATTAAAATAAAATAAAGATAAAAACAGAGAAAAAATAAAAAATAAAAAAAACCATGAAGAGAGTGAGAAGAGGCATTAAAAAAAGCATCAAGTCGCGGCGGTCGTAGGGTTGGGACCGAGCCCGAGACGCCGATTACGCTTGATCAGGGTATTAAGCTTCTTTTCAAGGGCTTCTGTTTCTTTGCGGGCGGCGATCAGGGCGGCTTCTGCTTCTTCAGGGTTGAGAAGGGGCATGCTGGGCAGAGCGCCGGCAGTGGAGAGGGGGATGCCAAGACTAGAAACAAAGGGTAATTAGTACTCGTTTCGAAAACAAGTTGAGAGGAATTAGACGGGCAGGGAAAAAATATAAGGAGATAAGGCGCAAGGAAAAAATGGATATTTAAGGCGAGGGAAATTAGACAAAACATACCTAGCGGGATCAGGGGCTCTAAAAGAGCGAGACTCGTCGCCGGCCATGCGGAGACCAAAGTCGGTCAAGGTCTGCGCCGTAATTGATTTGCTAGTCGATGGCAGCGCTGGCATGACATACTGGTTGATATAACCCAGTGCTTCATCGACGCGGACTTTGCTAGTCGGGTCCGTGCCGGGCTTGTGGGACGAAAGACCGCCCTGCCCAGAGGAAGAAGAATATCCTGGGGAATTATTCTGTACGACGCGGCCGCCAATCATGGAGAAACGAGTGTCGCCGCCAGCGGTGGCGCTGCCGTGTCTGGCGTGCATATATCGCGTGGGACCACCAGAAGACATGATTCGTTCTTCAAGCTCGAGGAACCGGTCTTCTTGCTCAGTGGTCAAGCCCCGTAGAGCACAACCGCCAGATGAGATCAACACCCGACTAGAAGGAACGCCTGGCTTTCCGGGAATCCGGATGGGGTGACCCTCTGAAAGCTTGGCTTGGTCCTCGTTGGAGATTGTGACTTTAGTGTCCAAATTCAAAAGCTCATCCGGGCCAATTTCGAACCGATGACCCAAGCCAATCAGCGGTTGAAAAAAAGACATTTTCGAAGTATCAATCTCGCCGGCAGCTTGCAGTTCGGCAATAATTGACGCAGCAGTCAAGGCAGGTTTCTGCGGCGCTGGGGCTTCAGTGGATGATCCTGCAGCACCGGCTGGAGTCGCCTTCTCTTCGGTTGGTTTATTGTTGATGCTGGTGGTGGAAGTAGTCTGCTTTGTTTGTTGAGATGAGGCAGGCCTGTCAACCGGGGCCTCATCTTTGGTCTTTTCCTTGGGCGCCGGAGTGCTTGTTCTACTGCCCTGACCACTATCGCTTGCGCTCGAGGGTTTCTTGACCTTCTTCTTCCGACCAATGATGGGTGCCTGAAATGACTCTTCGGTTGGTTGGCTGGCTGATTCATCGGATTTTTTGGCCAACTCAGCTTGCCGTGCGCGCTCCTGCCTTTGCTTCTTTTGCTGGCTCTTGGTCGTCACCCGGACAGGAGCAGATCCTACCTTGCTTGGAGGGGGAGAACTTGCTCGTGACACTGAGGCTGAAACTACAGAAGCATTATCTGAAATCAGTTCGCTTGCCGGCGTGTCCGGTCTCTGAAGCGAAGCTATACTGGGCTGTCGTGATGGCTGTCTTCCTATAATATTTCCAATTGCACTCATCGTTGACGTTGCCGACGCTGGTGGAGGAGTCTCTGTCTTTGGTGTAGGCACAACTCGAAGCGTTCTTGGTTGGGCCTGTCGGATAGCAGGAGATTCAGAGCGTGAGGCAGCCATGGCCGATGGCGTTTCTGGCCGAGATGCCGCAGCGGCGGTTATTGTTGATCGACTCGCTTTGGTAGATGGCGTCTCAACGTTTGCTGTCTCTTCCGGCTCCTTTAATTCCACCTTCGTTGCGGCGGTTATATCGAGTTTCCCAGGATGTTGGCGCTTGGGAGTCTCGGAGACGGCCTTGGCATCCTGAACTTTTTCAAAGACGGACTGGACAGTATCACCGCTTAGAGCCTTTTCTAGAGATGATTTTCTTTCTTCTCCCCGAAGCGCAGAGTCCTTATCAGATGCAGAGACTACATTTGAGCTGAGTACCGGCTGTTCAGGAGCAATTTTCATTGCAGCAGTATCATCAGACACTGCTGATCTGTCATTCTCAGCTGGCGACGCGGAGCGCCCTCCCTTGTCCAATGTTGCCTCTTTTGAATCAGGTGCACTTCTTGAGGGAGCATTAGCCGGAAGGACAGGAATTGCCGGTGTAATTGAAAGAGGGGTGGAAGAGCGAGACTTCGCGGCCGATTTTGGTTCATTGGCATCAGCACTACCAAGAGCCGCAAGTACTTGGCTGGGGGGGATATTCAGACCCGGAGGAACAGGCGGTGTCGGGCGTCCTGAGGGATAGTCCACGGGGCTAAATGGGGTCTTTGCGGAAGTGCCAAGCAAATTACCGCTCATTGAAACGCCCATGGGCGGCGAAGCATTTGCCAAAGCTCCGAAGTCGTGCTCATCTATGCATGAAACAGTTAGCTTGGGACCGACCTCCTCCAAGATGCTGACAGGAAAAGGGGGAACAAGGCCAGCAGAGACGAAAGTGGCTACAGTAATTATGTACAGCTCCGGAGCATTACGACTCGACTCGGCATAAGGGGACCGCGCACAGCTATCGCTCACGACATCATCTTTTCGCTCACCATCATCGTCTTCGTCACAGGCCAAATAAAACATGAAGTGGAAAAGCAATATAAATAAAGGAGAAAGAAAAGAATGTGTCTTCTAATGCAATTCTCCCCGTGGTACCACAGTACTGACTGGGGAGCTAACGTACACGATGGCCATGACGAAGACGAAGACGGGCGTGTCGTGAAGGTGAAGGATAATCTACCCCACAGCATTATAAAATGCGTAAGCGCAGCTGGCTGAAATGACATGAAACAACAGATGGAAAACAAACGACGCCCAGGGGATACTAGAGATATATCCCAATCGTCTGGATATTGAAATAGATGAAATGCCAGGGTTTCGTCAACAACGCCGAATAATAAAAAAAAAAGGTATGAGACCAAGTCGATATCTTCTGCCCATGCCTCGCTTTCAAAGAAATATTTTCGTACCCGTCATGACCAGGAATGCAAAAGGGTAAAGCCGTAGATAATACGGGCAAGGAGAAAAAACAAATAGACAATTAAAGAAATAAAGAATTTGCTCAAGGGAAGATGGAGGGGTGGGAAGAGGGAATAAAAGATACAAATATGTGCAAATGCCCACATTACCATCTTCCAAAACCGCCACTGTACATCATGCTCGCTGGGTTGTACCCACCTTGACCATGACCACCAAAAAGCCCCTGCCCTGAACCAGCATTTGCTTGATGCATCCTTGCCTGCAAGATACTCGGGTCCGCAAGATCAACTATTCCACCTCCCCCAGAGGAGGAAGTGTTAGCATGTCTGTGCTTCTTCCCCTTCTTCTTCTGCTTCTGGGGTCCAGCGTCCTGAAAGGTAGCCGACTGTCCCCCATAAAGCGAGCTGAGAAGGCCTGGAGCAGGGGCTGGAGTTGAGGTCGAAGGATAGTGGTGGAGGAAAGAAGAAATCATGTACTCACGCTTTGCGGCATCAAACTGACCCGTCCCAGTACTGCTAGTTGCACTTCGGCCTCGAATCAATTCCCGCATAAGATCCGCGCCGTTCTCCTTTTGTGGAAGATTTGCTGAACCGAAACCAATACCACCGCCCATGGCGTTAGCGAAACCGTGACCTTGACCAAACATGCCGCCTCCAGTAACTGGTGGAGTGCCGGTGGGTTTGAGACCGGGGGGCGGGCCCTGTACGGTAGTTCCGTGGAATTGTCCAAGTGGCTGATGTTGAGAAAGTTGTTGACTAAGTTGATGCGCATTGGTAGGCATCATAGAGGACTGTTGAGCCATGAGCTTGGCATTGGCAGCTGGCTTCACAGACGCAGAGGCGGAAGCAGAATCATTTGCAAAGGTGAAGCGAGAAGAATGACGCATGTGACCTTGTGCAGCGGCCAGGTGTTGCTGCTGATTTTGGAAAAGACCAGCATTCGGCTGTGCATTTTGTGCAAGTCCAAGGTTCTGAGAATATTGATCCAAGACGTTGCTTGCCTGAGTATTACCTGACCTCAATAGTAACAGTTGCTGCTGTTGCAAGGGCGTCAGGCTTCGGCCATTGATCGTCAGATTCGACAGATTGTTGGCGAGAGCAAAGGGGGTGCTGAATCCGGGAGCAGGAGCGGTAGTGGTAGGAATCGGTTGTTGAGAAGGGGGTTGGATGACCTGTCGACGTGGTTCTGGTAGTGACTCGCCGGTGCCTTCCACAGAGCCTGGCTGTACATCTGGTTCGCCACCAAGCTGTAAGCTTCCGCTTCTCGTGTTTTCCTCAAAGTCACCAGCAGACGCTTGTTGAAGGGCCGCCTGTACTTCTTCCTCTTCAAGTTCCTGACGCTCCTTTTCCTCTTGCTCCCGAACAGCACGGCGTTTAATGCCACCATTATTATCAAAGAGAGGAAGAAATCGCATAGCTTCAAGCTCTTCAGCGGTGAACATCCCCTCTGCAAAATTGAACTTGAACGTTGGCGAACAGACCGACTTCAGCAGCTTCCTTAACAGATGTTGGACACGTTGCGAGGGTGTATCGGGTGAGACTGTTGGACTAGGTGATGCTGCTGCGGGAGTAGAAGGCTCGGACGCGAATGGCGGTTCTTCTATGCCGGTCGATTTGTCCTCTTCAGCAGGCTCTGGGACACTCTGAGGAGCGACAGCAGCATTCAATATTCTGGGACTAGGTACTGCTGCCGACGTTGGATGACTGGTCCTTCGATCTTGCTGCTTTGTGGCCCAGTTGACTGTAGCCGGTAACGCAGAGCCGTCGCCGCTTTCAGCCGGACTTCCTGTACCTTCCCGGCTCATTTCACGGGTCATTGTAGCAGCGGCAATGGTCTGCGGTGTCTGCTGGGGAGGAGGTTGCGGCTGAGGCTGATTAGGGTTACTCGATTGTCCGGGTCTCTGCGTCGAGACAACATTCATGGAAGACAAGTCTTGTCGCGTAAAGGAGTCATTCTCCTCGCCCGGCTCGTGCAAAAACATGCAATTCCTATTCATACACTGCTCGTTACGCAGGTAGGCCGAACAATATTTGGTAGTTCCATACTGCGCCCTATGAAAAGGTTAGGGTGGATTTGACCTGTAAGATTTTGACAAAAGGTTTTACCTTAATACACGGTCGCCATTTTGTGAGCCATCTACCGCAGCGATGCAAGTCGCCGCATCTTGCTTCCGAGCGTAGGTCACATAAACCCCCAAAGAATGATTCGGATGCGAGCCATCTTTGGCTTTACTGACGACGATCTTAACGATCTTGCCATATTGTCCAAAGTATTGTTCTCCACGAAGCGTTTGCAACAAGTCCTCTTCGCGGATCTTGGGATTCAGCCCCACGACGTATACGAGGTTCTTCTGGACGACTCTTAAGCCTGAAAGGTGTTTCCGATTCAATACTTCGACTTCACGCTTTTGGGCCTCTTTCTGTCGTGCAGCTGCCTTCTTTCGAGCTTGCTGCGCGAGGTCCGCTTTAAATCTAGTTGACAACGGATCAGTCACCCCGCCATACCTAACAGAAGTTTCTTGGACAGAAAGGTGAACTCACTCTTCTGGACTAACAACCTTCCATTCGATCGTTTTGTCGTCGTACGGCCTTCTGCATGCGGGACAGAGACCATTCAAGTTGTTTCTGATGTTGTTGAAACAAAATTGACAGATCTGAAAAAGAGTTTCAAGTCAGCTGTCTTATCTCTATCGCACGAAGCATTCTCCAGCAAGCCTGAAGTAGATGCTTCTCCGATGCCGATCTATACATATCGGTATAAGCAGATGAAATTGTCAAGTCAGAAACCAACCTTATATCCGCACGGGCATGGCTTGAAGTTCCGATCCGAGAGATCAAACTCTTCGACACAGAGTGGACTTGAGAGGGTCAGCGAGTTTGCTCTAAAACAGATCATCCTATCTGAATAGCATAGATGAGTGTTCTCACCAAGTGTCGTCCGAGTCGTCTATGAATACGTCTTGCTGGACGCGACTCGCCATCTTGAGTAGAAAGACGTAGGCCGACTGAGAGCGACCCACTCGTGAAAGGAGATTAGGAGGAAAAAATGGAGTGTAGGGAAAGCGTCGAGAGAGGGAAAAGATAAACGCCTATCGACACGCCGATCAAGAAAACCCAACGCCACTCTTTGAGGGAGCTAAGTACAGAATGCAGACTTAAAGGATTAGGGTGTCAAAGAGCGAGATTGGAAAACTGAGGTATCGATGATTCTCGGCACTCGCGTCAAATCGCCAAATGGGAGTCGCAAGAGGCGAAAGAAGGTACCGGTCACGTGGGGCGCATTAGCCGATCTTGTGGAAAGCCGGTCGCTCGATTACGTAAGTTCTCCTGCCCAGCAAGTCCCCCAACCTCACCGAACTAGACCGGGTCAGTGCTCGGGAAGAGCAAGCCAACGACACCACTGGACAAGTGGAGAAGTCTGGAGAAGTGGGGAAAGCACCGGTCATACTCTTATCCTTAATGTTGATTACCCATTCTTTCTCAAATTCTTGAATTGCTTGAACAAAAATGGCATTGCGAATTAACCGCTGTCGTTTTCTTCATTCCGCTCGTGTCGGAGAAGGTCGTTTGATCAGAGCGGGCACAGCTCGAGCATTCACATCAGCATGTTTACGCATGAAGGATGTGGTTTCAGAGGATATTCCAAACTTGCGACACGCTCAGAGATCTGGTACGGCTGTTGCCTAGATCCATTGCATAAATTGAGAGCCTACTAAACTTTTCTAGCTTCTGGAATTGTTCATGAGCCCATTGTTAACCCAGCCGATAAATATCAAGCTCAGTCGGCCAACCTTCACAAATACGGCCAATATCTGATGTCGTGTTTGCCCAAATATATTCAACAATTCTCCGTTTGGAAGGACGAGCTCACTATTTACATTCCCCCTGCGGGTGTGATTCCAGTCTTCAACTTTCTCAAATACCACACTGCGGCCGAGTATACACAAGTCTCTGATATCACGGCCGTGGACTATCCCACTCGTGACCAGCGCTTCGAGGTTGTGTACAATCTCCTCAGCGTCCGCCACAACTCACGTATTCGAGTGAAAACTTACGCAGATGAGGCTACTCCGGTCCCCAGTATCACCGATCTCTACGATGGCGCCAATTGGTATGAAAGAGAAGTCTACGATCTATTCGGCGTCTTCTTTGTCGGCCATCCGGATCTCAGACGTATCATGACTGACTATGGGTTTGACGGTCATCCCCTGCGAAAAGACTTTCCATTGACCGGATACACGGAGATCAGATATGATGAAGAGAAGAAAAGAATTGTTGTTGAGCCATTGGAATTGACACAGGCGTTCCGCAATTTTGAGGGCGGTAGCAGCACATGGGAACAGGTCGGGCCTGGTAAAGATCGCAAGCCCGATGAGGTTAGTCAGTAATCCCAATATCGCGATACGTCTATACTAATCTTGCAATCAGTTCAAATTGCCAACCCCAAAACCCGAAGAGAAGAAGGAAGATCAGAAGAAATAACAATATTTAGCGTCAGGGCGTAATCACTTAGGCACATACTCGAAGACTGATTTGGTATTGCAAGGCAATTGTCACATATCCGAGCTTAGATCGCAACTGTTGAGCATTGAGCCTATACTCAGCATATGTATCGTATTACAATTGTTTGTTACTTGAGACTTAATGACTAATTTTAAAAAGGTACTGTATATTTATTAAACGTATGGGCCTTCTTGAATGACCTCAATATTCTTTAATCGCTTTTCCTAGAGTAGCAGGCCAATTGCAGAGCGGTTGCATTAGAGTAACTTTTTCTCGTCAATAGGATCACCAATGTCACCAAGCACAAGCTCGTCTCTGCCCCATATAAGCGCGATAACTGCACCGGCTGGTCCTGTCAAGATTGTCAAACCGACCACCTTAAGGGCAAGGTCGAACCATCCATGAGGCGAAATTCGGCCGGCATGAGCATTGCGGTTAAGGACCAAGGCCCAAATAAGCGTTGCAGTGCATCCAACGATTTCGTCCCACTGCATGAACCGGAGGGCGCCTTGTCCTAGAGATACAATCGTATCCTTTGTCCATGGAGCTACGGGTGCAAAAGCGCGCAACGGATGGAACGCGGCGCGGTACTCCGACACAAACACGTTCGGGAACAGGATCGGTGCCACTGACAAGGTGACTGAAGCAACATGCGCAAGGGCAGCCAAAGCGAAGGCGCCAAAGTAGACAGTTCGCAGGCACCGGAGCACTACCGCATTGCGCTCAGCTGCCGATCGGTATGATCGCTCCTTGGCTGGCAGAATTGGTGAAAGCACGGCGCAAAGAATCAATTGGCTCAGTGTGATCCATAATGGGAATGCTTGCCACAAGGCAATGAAATTCTGTTGTGTCGCGTAACTGAAAAAATCAGGTGCTGGAAGGCAGGCGAGAACAGACGGAATCACCACTCCGAGAATGACTGAGAATGGAAGAACGAGTAGATGCCCTGGCCAGATGACAAGATTTGCAGCAGGCGTGTTTGGAGATTTCCTTGAGGGTTCTAAGCTTGCCGGCGAAGTGAAAAGATGAAGAGCCAAGAGAAGAGGCGCAGCAGTAGCAAAGTCTACATTTTGCGCCATTAAACCCCAGAAAGTAGTACTATTTCAAAAATTGTCAGCTGGCACGGTAAGGCGACTGAAAGGATTATCCAATAGCGTACAATGATACGACTCTCCACTTGTTGCTCAGCCGGTAGCTTTCAACCACAAAGACCACCCAAATAGCAATGAAATTTGCAACAAATTTGAACGCGTGCAAAGATGCCTCTGGGGTTCTTCCGTCGACCAGAGGGTACCAGAATGTTACAAGTATTGCAAGCTGCTTATCCAGAGCGGGGATGCCGACATATTGAAGTTTCAGCGGTTCTTCTGTGCCCGGAAGAAATGAATTCTGGTTTTCTACCAACGACATGATCTGATCGAAAAAGCCATTTCGAAATGAAAGGGACCAGGTTGAATAAAATCCAGCAGCTGATAAGCAGAGGAGTAACACCTTAGCAATCCCACTGAATGTGAGCATGATGAGAAGCTGGGAAGGCTACTAGCTCGAAATATGGCACGACAGGCAATGTAAATTAAATCCAAAGACTCAAGCTTCGAATTGGCCTCATAAGAAGGGAGATGAGATAGAAGTTATCCGTGCGGACGATTTTCCAATTAACCCCGCATGATTATTGTTGTCTGGTCGAGGTCGAAACGGTTCTTGCTTGGCTTTCGTAAGAGTAAACCCAAACCCGGAAGGCAACAAGCCGCTGCTGAGTCTGGCGGTCGAACTTGGTCCGTGCGCAACTTTATTTTCTGCCAGTCAAACCACCAACCCAAAATCTTCCCACATGCAAATTCGCACACATTCTACAACTTCAATTTCACAACTACACCGGCTGATCGAGCTTGGTGATAGTCGCCATTGCACTCTATAAAATGCCAAAACGAAAGCATGGAGATGCTCTCGGCGAGGGCAGGGAGGTCCGTCTTGACCGCATGATCGCAGTGCGAAGGAAGCACGCAGAAGAAAAGATTGTGCATGGCATTAAACTCCTGAACAAAGCGCTGAAGACTGCGAGGGGCTTTGAGAGGCAAAAGCTTGGAAGACGCCAGAAAACCGCTAAATCACAGAAGAATGAAGCAGACCTGGCGCGACTTGATGCCGAGATCGAAGCACTAAAGGTGAGTTGCAATGAACCTAGAACAAATCATTGTCGACAATTTTTGAATAGCTAAAGAACGATGGAAATCTATAGAGTCTTGACTTTATCAAAGTCGCTCAAAATCACCTTTATAAAGTCCTGCTCAAGACAAAGACTATCGCATCATCCCCAAGCTTTCCTCCGGACATCGAAGCGAAACTCAAGGTCATTCAAGCGCCGCTCTCACCCGCAATAGCCAATGTAACAGCCCGCCTGTATGCATCGAATCCGGTCAAGACGACTATGGGGGATGTCACCGCCTCAATCCGATATGTGCTTGGGGTCGGGGAACATGCCCCGAAGCAAAACCAGACTGAATCACAAACTGATGCATCCCCGGGAGAAGACGGCGAAAGCGATGCTGAAGAGAAACAACCGAAGATGGCAAAGAAAGAGGCACCTACAAAGATCGCCGAATCAGACTCGCCCGGATTCGAGGGGTCTGGTTCGGGCGAATCAGAGGATGAGCGGGGCCCAGTTCCAGATGTTGAAGATGAGGAAGACGAAGAAGACTATTCCAGATATAATGCACGTCTGGCATCCTCGTCTGATGAAGGATCTGAGGATGAAGACGAAGACGGAATTGCAGAGATTCGGGGCTGGTCCAAAGCTGAACGTGCTCGCAATGCTCGTCATTCAGCATCTCCTACTCCTTCTGATGATCGCTCTTCGTCCCCTCCTCCAAATAAATCGAAGAAGCAGAAGACAGAAGCTGCGCCGCCGAAAAGCACAACCTTCCTGCCATCTCTTATGATGGGAGGTTATCTGTCAGGATCGGAGTCGGAGCCAGAGGACGATATCCCCGAGAACCAACCACGGAAGAATCGAAGGGGACAACAGGCTCGAAGAGCACTCTGGGAGAAGAAGTTCGGAAGCGGAGCCAAGCATCTGCAGAAGGCCGGTCGAGATGCCGATTGGGATCCTCGACGAGGTGCCCGGGGAGCTGACGACAGAGATCCAAAAGCTAGATTCAGAGGCCGCGGTGCAAAACCTGGCGGTTACGGTCAGTCAAAAGCAAAGCCTGACCAGATGACTGGCGCAAATAATATGCCCGTTGGACCTCGGAAGGCCAAAAATGATGACCAAGGGCCTTTGCATCCGTCATGGCAGGCGGCTAAGCTGGCCAAGGAGCAAAAGCAGGCGTCTTTCCAGGGAAAGAAGGTCGTCTTTGATTAATTGTATTATGATACCAGGCCAACAGCTAAGCTGCAGTGTAAAAGTTCTGCCATTTTTTTGCTTGTTTTTGGACTGGACATGGGTAGCACGGGTCGCATTGCCGCATATACTGTTTAGAATCGCATCTTCTCAAATCAAATCGGTACTTTCCTAGTATCGTCTCATTTTTTCAATCTTGTCCAATCTGACATTTGACATAGAACTAATAATAAGTGGGCTGACTGTTTGGGACGGAAAGATGACCGCTGGTGTAACCGTGTAATCCTGGTGTTCTCAGCCTGTCAAGACTCAGCATTTTCCGCGAGTGCCTTATAATACCAAAGTTCTTTGGTCTCGTTTCTTCATAAACGTCGTCCTCATAAGTATAATCTCCTACAAGTCAGACTGCCGCCTTGTTCCTTAGCAATCAAGTCAATGCCTTACTGGCATGGCTGCATGCTGGCTCGGCGGCAAGAGCGTTAGCGAGAAAACCAACGCATTCCCCTTATCAAGAAGGGCTTTTTATCTTCAGCCTTGCAGGTCGCGGCTTGACAGCACAAAGTCCGTGACCATGGCTGCCTAAGTTGCATTTTCCAATCAATGGAGGTCCCATAAACGGCACAGCAAGGCAAGAATGATCTTTGGCTCTAATATCCGGGGATCGAAGGCGGGGTAAGGAGCCTGGAATAATTTTCCCACAACACTACTCCTCGTACTGTTCTGTACTCATTATAAAGATGCTGGTTTCTGCCAGTTTCTGTTGCGTTTGCTTTGGAAGATTTCAACCTGTGTACTCATTTCTGCTATTTAATCAAAATCTCATTTCTCCACAAGGCATACCTCAAGTCGCACACTTCGAGCTTCAGAAGTCCAAAATGCCGAACTGTAGCAAATGTGGATACAACAATATAACCGGAAGGTACAAATGCACGAATTTGATTAAAGATCCTCAAGATCCTCTAAAGCTAGTTGTCTGCAATGCGGAACTCCCTGTTAGCGTGGCTCCCCTGTCTAACGCTCCTCCTCCATCGAAGAAATAGGCGGAGGAAATCAGACAAGTGGTATGAAACCTTCTTGACATTAGTTTGACATTTGCCAGGATTTCTATTCCACTAACGTTTGTTCAATAGTCTTTCCTGATTCAGCCTCCGCATCCTGTCATGGCTGTTCTATATAACAAGCAGGCTCATCGCCTGCGTCCGGTCTTTCCATTAGTACCACGTTATGGTTTTGGTTTGCGATAGCACAGTCATTCCAGCGACAGACTTTGGAATCGGGGAAGTCAGCTCTATCAGAGAAGCTTGGAGTAACTAGTACTATATTATATCAAATGATGTGCTTGCTTCAGAGCCTTTAACCCGTATTCGTAACGCTCCACACTACAGGAGGAGCGTTGGATTTTGAGAGACTTAAATTCATAACCCAATTTTACGGCATTTACGTTTCGAGACCAAACCACTCGGCCCAGTCGTAGGCAAACCACTGAAAGCCATTCCCAATCAGTGCATCGCGAAGCATGATCATCCACTGTCTCCTATCGCCCGCACAGCCCCACTCAAATTCGAAACCCGGGGAGAAGGACGGTTTTGTTGCTATAAAACCTTTCGGAAGAAATCCCACGCCGGCCCAGTCCAAGATGCCTGATACAACAACCTTTTCTTGACGTCTTTCTACCATGATGTTTGTGGGTCCAAGGTCTTGGTGGTAAAAGACAAATTCATTCTGTTCTTTCCCCCATATTGTCTCGAAGTTGCTGCCACAATCCGGGTCAAGGAAACAATCAAAATGCGTGGGTTGTGGTGTACCACGTTTCATAAGATATGGCTCCATTACTCTCTTTCCGGTCGCACTGACAACTGCATCTCTGGATAAGGATGACAGTATCTTGACAATATCTGCCACTTGATGAGCGACCTCTTGTTGCTCGATCTCACTCAGACTTTCCCAGGCGGTATTGAGGACCTCACCGGGCATTGTCCGCATTAGAAGATGCGAGAACTGTCCTTTTTCATCGATGTAATGTTTCATAATGGAAGGAACGGGTACATTAGGAAAGTTCTGCTGGACAAATTCGATAGTTGTAGCTTCTGTTTCGATTTCCGGTGACCAAAGACACGACTTGAAGTATGCTGAATTCCCGATTCTCCATACAGAGGAAGAGTAGAAGGTTCGGACGCAGACTATTGGACCTTCCGGGTCTGGGTTTGTCCAAGAGCGAACAGGCTCGTCAAATGTCTGAAGAGAATACCCTGAGCCATCAATATCTGTCCATGCGCAGCTAATGTCAGCGGGCTCATGTCGTTCGCACAGAAGGGACGACCCTAGAAGCCACCGATTAGGTGCCAGTTGCTTGATAGTATCACGGAAAGGGCCATTCTCATGCGGAACAAGATTTGAAGGCATTCCGATGTTGGGGCGCGAGTAGATGAAATTATATATCAACTTGGACACATGTAGCATCAGGTATAAACAATGTTAAGAGTCCCTGGGTACACTAAAGACAAGTAGAGTAACTGGGATGGCCCTTAGCACAGGTACCTGCACCCAGTGAGTGCAAGGCTGAACGACTTTGACTTAGCGAACGGGTAGCGCTGACCAATAGTGAGCCAAGTTGCTGACGCATGGTTTACCCCTCGCGGGGCCCTGACGGGAAAGGTCTCGATAAGGGAATTTTTCCTCCAATTTAGGTGATTGTCATCGTCAATATAATCTCGTATGTCCACTCTGTTCCGTCGACTCTTTTCTTTCCCACTCACCCCGTGGAATCACCAGGTCAGACACGTCTCGATCGGGTACAGGAATATGACTGGAATCGCAGACAAATACGACGGTACGTCGCCCCAGTTTTCAACTTCTACGCGGCTTCTTGAACGAATTGCTGACAAGAATACTCCCCACTGCAGCCCCGGTGCGCATTGCCGTCATTGGCGGCACGGGTCTCAAGAGCTTGCCAGGCTTCACCCACGTTGCGAACCTGAATGTTGAAACTCCCTGGGGCAAGCCATCTTCTCCCATCTCCATCCTGCACCACGCTTCGCCCAGCACCGGACACCCGATTCCGATCGCTTTCCTCTCGAGACACGGTCTGCACCACGAAATCGCTCCCCATGAGGTTCCTGCGCGGGCTAATATCGCGGCCCTCCGCTCCATTGGTGTTCGAACCATCATCGCCTTCTCTGCTGTTGGCAGTCTCCAGGAGGAGGTCCGCCCCCGAGACTTTGTCGTTCCCGATCAGGTCTTCGACCGTACAAAGGGCGTGAGACCCTGGACGTTCTTTGAGGGCGGCATGGTTGGCCACGTTGGCTTCGCCGACCCTTTTGATAGCACGCTGTCCAAGATTGTCGCCAAGTCTGGCCACGCATTGGAGGGCGACGGCATTACCTTGCATGACAAGGGAATGATTATTTGCATGGGTGAGACTATCTATAGACTTTTTGATTCTTCCTGTCAGCGCCTATAGAGAAGCAAGTGATCAATACTGACGGTTATTGCCAGAGGGTCCTCAATTCTCCACGCGCGCTGAGAGCAACATTTACCGCAGCTGGGGCGGCACCGTTATCAACATGTCCGTTCTCCCCGAAGCTAAGCTCGCCCGCGAGGCGGAGATTGCTTATCAAATGATCTGTATGGCTACCGACTACGACTGCTGGCACTCCACGGAGGATGTCAACGTCGAGATGGTCATGGGCCACATGAAAGCCAACTCGGAGAATGCTCGTCGTCTCGTTGGTGCCGTGCTGGATGAGCTCAGCAACGAGAGGCACAGCGACTTGGTCCAAGCGAAGCACCTGGAAGGTTCAATGAAGTTTGCTGGTAGTATGACCGGCAAGGAGGCACGCGGTGCCGACGCATTGAAGAAACTCCAGTGGCTGTTCCCCGGATACTACGACTAAAGGGCTGGTCCCTAGGTCCACTTGGCATTGGTTTGATAGAATGATATAAAGGGTAGATGCTTCGGGATAAATGGCTACTGGTATATACAGTCCCTTTCGTGTACTTCCAGCGAAGTACCTATATCTATATAGCGAAATACAGGAATATTCAAGAAGACCTCCCTCTCAAATGTACTGCTACGTACCACATCTTGACCTTTGTCCGTTGAATTCTCATGTCCCCCGTCATATTCTTGGCTTGTCGTCGTGACATGACTGATTTCTTTCCCGATGTCTTTATCCCCCAAAAGGGACCTTATTCAGTCTCCGAGAGACGCAAGCTAATGAGTCTATCCTTAGTATTTTATATTTTTTTTTTTTTGCAACATTGGACCGCCACAAGCGCCAGAAGCGAGGAAGTTTGACGCCCCAAGACTTAGTTCAGAATTACCCCTTTCGGTAATTCCAAAACATCGTTGGACGTCTACCGATTCGACGTAGACGTCCGACGACTTTTCTCAGTTACCGTTTTGGGAACCGTTCTAGTGCTCGCCAGCAGACAGAATCCCCAAAGAATTGGAGGAAGTGCCGGTCTAGCGCCTGTAGAAGAGGCCCCAGTGGTGTGGAGGGGCGCTATTTTTGGCAGTGCATAAACCTTGTTGGACGTTTACCACTGTCCCAGTGCCCATACAAAGCTCAAATGGTGACAGAACTTATGTTTTTTCTTATGAAGTGTCAGATTCTGAACATGCATATGGTCCATTTATCCGAAAATTGCCCAGAAGCCCATGTATGGCAATTCGAATTTGGTGGACGGCCCACGATGTTTGTGTATTGCCGCTTTGGGCCGTGTTTAGCGGTTTTGTCGAGGGCTGCCTTATAATTCCATTTATACGCAACTCCCAGTTTTCTTTCACACATGTGATGGTGTGACTTTCGTTATCAAAAATTCATATAGGTAATTGGGCTCATGGTCATGAAGCCCTCGATGAAGAAATATCTCCACAAAGCAACATATTCTCCTTTCCGGTTCTTGCTTATGAGATAAACAGTATTCCGTGTCAGTCACCATCCCAAGTTCTATTGAAGTGCCCAAACGAAAGTGAAAATAACTTGCCACGGTGGACTATATGGTGCATGCTTCTCGGGTTCTTGTAATTAGAATTGCCAGTTCTGATCTTCCAGTTGGATATTCTCATTGCAGATTTGGGTGTATTTCAAGGCTTGGTGTGTGAAGTCGATATTAGTTTGGTATCTGGATCTCTAGTAACAATTAATCAATTGAATTAAATTGAAAGGGGGAAATAACGAAACTAATAAAACCAGAAATATTCATGGAAAATCAAATCCCTACTATAATTTCCAAGAATGCCAAGAAATTTCAATTTAAAATACATTGCAGAATAAATGTAAGTAATACAAAAGAAGCTTAATTCAGCTTTGGAGATGTTTCTTTTGAGACACCAATGCTTAGCCATACCAATGAGTTATAACTAGCTTAGCGACCGCTTGCGGCGTTCTTAGCGCAAAGCTTGATCTAGCCGCAAGGCCGCTGGAGCCATGACGCTTTGGAAAGCTTATGCCGTCACACACCTAAAAGGTCATTCGAGTAAATATAATCGGAATTTCTGGTTTGAATATATGATGCCGGATCTCTAAATTCCAATACTGTTACGTGATATTTATCGTTGATCGTTCTTTCACCTTGACTTGACAAATATTTGTGGGGCCGAAGCCGGCGGGAACTCGTGCACCACTCCCCGCAGCCGAAACAGACATATGACATAGAATCTACACACGCTCCGCTTTTTGCAAGTACCTTTTATCATATCTTTCACCAAAGCTTTGCCTCCGAATCTATCACTAGATATATTATTCCGCCGACTTGACACGTTTCTATTCGAGAAATTGGAGAACGTTTCCAGGCTCCATCTAGCTCTACCTCTAGCTCTCAGAAGAATCTATCCAAGATTGAGCATTCTGAATACTTTCCAGCATGTCTTCCATTGAAGCGGCGAATCTTTTCAACGTCAAAGGACTCGTGGCAGTCATTACCGGCGGAGGGTCAGGTACGATACCAGTAGCACATGTGCCACCCTATGCTGCACTCATTGACGTGATTACTTACTCTTTATAACACCGTAGGAATTGGGCTCATGATGGCAAAGGCCTTGGAAGCCAATGGTGCAGCCAAGGTATACATAATTGGCAGAAGGCAAGAAGTCCTTGACGAGGCAGCCAAACAAGCCAAACACGGCAATATTGTGCCTATACAAGGGGACGTTTCCTCAAAGGAAGACCTCCAGCGCGCCGCAGCAATTATTCAGAAAGATATCGGGTACGTCAATGTGCTCATTGCCAACCAGGGAAAGACGGGTCCTGGCGTGAAAGAACTGAAAAAGGATGCCTCATTAGAGGAATTCCAAGATTTTCTCTGGAACATGCCAGCGGAAGACTTTACGTCTACATTGGAAACTAATACGACCGCTACGTTCTACTCGGTTGTCGCATTCTTGAAATTGCTGGACGAAGGAAACAAAAAGGGCAACATGGGCCTTACTAAAAGCCAGGTCATTGCCACGAGCAGCATATCGTCTTACAGCAGGGTCATCACTTCTGGATATGCGTACTCGGCAAGCAAAGCTGCGGTGACACATCTCATGAAGGCCATGGCGACAAATCTCGTCCCGTACGATATTCGGAGTAATGTTATCATGCCTGGAGGTAAGTTTTTTAGCTTCTAGAAAAAGGATGGAGGATTGGTTTCTGATTCTTGAAAACTTGGTTCATTCCAGTCTACCCGTCTGATATCACTGCGGCCATGTTCGGTTCCATGGACGCTGTTATGAACACCCAGTTCCCCCGTTCGGCATTCCCGGCACAAAGATCTGGCTACGAGGAGGATATGGCGGGCGTTGTCTTGTTTCTAACTTCAAGAGCTGGGGCCTATTGCAATGGAAACGTTTTAGTTACGGATGGCGGCAGACTGGGCATAGTACCGGCCTCCTACTAACGATGTGACATTTCTAGCTGCTTGAGCTCGCAGCCGCAGATGATGCTTGTTAGCGCCATGGAAGGAGATGGACAGTTCGGTTCATAGACATTTTGCATCGAGTAACCAAACGGAAGTTAAGAAATATGCAAGTGATCTATATATAACGTTTAGACCTTTGCATCTAGCTCAACGTCAAATGAAAGAAAAGCTTCAAACTATACACCTATGAAACTGCCAAACTTTTGGATCAATGACAACCAAGCCGAACCACCGAATACCGAAACGCCTCGATGCTATGCTATTACATTCGCCTGAACACATTGCCGCTTGCACTCCGACGGCTATCCGGTCCACGGGCCTTTGTTCGGCCATGGTCAAAAGCCTCTCGGTTCGCTCTCTGCGGTTTGCCTTTAGGCTCCGGTGCAAAGGTGATTTGCTTTTCACCAACCACGCCAGCACCACGGGCGCCGCCTCTGCCACGTCTTTCCCGGCCGCCCTCCTTCATGTTGCGAGAACCAAAAGACCTGTCTCGCCTCTCTTGGGGCTTGCGAGATGATGATGAGACCTGCATCTGTGGCTGCGCCGGTCGTTGGCCGGCCTTCTTGTAGGACGCCGTTGATATTCTGTCGTCTCTTCTCGATTTTTGCTGAGGTCGCTCTTCTTCGCTGCTAGACTCATCGTCATCATCCTCAGACGAACTGTTAGCCCTGCGCTCGTCGAGTTCTTCCTCCTCGACAGCGGTCAGACCACGCTTAGGAGGAGCCGCCTCAACCTTGGTGCTTGGGTTGAGAGCACGGAATTCGTGCGAAGTCTCGTCCACAGCGAAATCCTCATCCTTGAACAGGTTGGAGAAACGAGAATCGGTAAGCAGGCCTTCTTCGCCACCTTCCTTATCGCTCTCTCTGTCCTCAGCATTATCCACATCCATAGCCTGGTCGGCGGGAGCAGCACGCTCCTGGCCCTTCTCAATAAGGTGTCGGGCACGTCTCCGCTCTTCCTTCTCCTGTCGCTCCAACATCTTCTCGGCAAGTTTACGGTTGACCTTGACCGAAACCTTCTTAGAGCCGCGGATACGGGATTCGCGTTCGCGGTTGATCTTTTCCTGGATACTTTTGGCGCGCTGTTGTTCCCACGACTCTGGCTGAGAGATCAGTCTTGCCTCCTCGTACAGTCTCTGAGCAACAAAGTAACCATGCATATACGGCCGGAGGAGATTTGTCGTGCCAACAAGATGGTCCAGATTGAGGGACTTCAGCTGAGGAACAGTCAAGAACTTGTAATTGTCGTAGACCTCGCCAGCGGTCTGGCCATTGTAGGCATTCGGGTCGTTTGGATCCTCAGCCATTTCCTCAACGAGGTTATCTAAGAAGGCGCACCACTTGGGAGCGGGACCGAGTTGAGGGATGAAGAAGGCATGTTGTTGCCGACCTTCGTTCGCAGTCAACAACATGCCGCTATCTTTGCACCACTCCACGTGATGAAGGTCAACAGCCGGTTCCACAGATGTCCAAGGGTCACCGTTCCGGGCATCCCATATCTTGATGATCCGCTTATCCGAGGACAGGATCTTGGGCTCGCTTGTCTGAGCTCGAGTAGCTGTGCTGGAGGCAAGGAACTTGAGTGTTTGAATAGGGTAGCCATAACCCTGGTCCTTCTTCAAAAGCGGCACTGGAGAACGAAGATCGTAAAGATATATCAGGCCGTTTGAAGACCCGCTTGCAAGATTTAGACCAGAGCGATCAAATTCAAGGGCTGTGATTTCATTTCGTCCTTCGAACGAGATTTCAGGCTGCGGCGGAGCCCCCAGAATCCCAACTCTTGCTCTTGATCGAGAATCCCAGAATTCTACGGTACCGAGCGAAGTTCCGAACGCAAGAAGATTATGGCTCTCCTCCGCAATCGCACCTGTGTTGACGCTGCCTGTATTGATACCTCCCTGAAGCGCACCACCGCCACTTGAAGTGAAATCGTCGCCGCCAACATCGAGTTCATAGCCCTTCATGAAACGACCTTGCTCAAGATTTAACCGGAAAACCTCGCCATTTCCGTCCGCATTGACACCGACTGATGGCACTAGCGCCTCTGCAGAGCGCTTGTCGTATATCAGGTCTCGACCGTATCTTGGAATTCTTGTGGCATAGTGACAGCCCCCAGGAGTGTGGAATTCGAGGAATCGGTCGGTTTGGAGATGAAGGGATTTCGAATAATCCGAGGAAAGTAAGAGGAAGGTTTGATTGAGTGTATTTGTATGACGAGTAAAGGAGAGCGAGAGGTGAGGGAGATAATGTGTATGGATCTGTGGCTTGTATGTGCCTGCATAAGGTCTGTTAATATATGTAACTCTGGTCTCGTGTGCCTATCGTGCTGAAAGAAGTATTTTCTGCCCAATCCATGAAATACATACCAGTACTCATAACCCACTCTCCATCCTCACTGACACGAATGCATGAGCTAGCCTCCTCAAATTCAAAGTCTTGAAGCAGCTCAACTCGATTGGCAAACTCGGGATCCGTCTTCAGACTCCTCTTGCGCTTCCTTTGCAACCACTCTGGCAGCGGTCGCGCGGTTGACGAACCGGCAATCGTATAGACGGGGACACCGGAGTGATTTGTGAGCTTCATCTTCGGCACAGCTCACGAGCTGAGAAAATTCTCCCCAAGTGGTACGATTGATTTGCCTGTGGCGGGCAGCGACTTTCAAAATAATTTCTTTGGGCGCAGAGAAAAGATGGCGGAGATCTCCGGGACTATGGCCCTTTCTGCCGGCCCATCGGGAAATGCTTATCACCGGTAACCGAGCGGATCAGATAAGATGGACATTCTAAGCTTAACTGGAACGAGACTCGCTCATCTCAACGTGGAGACGGAAGGTCAGCGCTCGTGGGCCGGGGATCGGATCAGGGACCGAACTTGGACCTCTGGAGCTGAGATCTGATCGCATTTGCTGACCAGTTGCTTGTCTTTTGATATTTCTGTACTCTTTATTGATCCTTCAGTTTTGATTCATCTTTATGCCGCTGCAATGGAAGCTGGTGCTTCCTTGCCAAACCACAACGTACGAATCAAAAGGTGACACTTGCCTTGCCCTATCGGACAGCTCGTCATAATACCGACGCATGGCACTTTGAACGTTTCTACGCCCTTTAGATTGATATCCTCATGGGTTAAAAGCTTAGCTTTCGGCTTCAAATCTGCACTGTGGTTTAGATTGTCTGCAGACAGATTTCGAACTCCATGTCAGGGGACCGCGACATGGAGTTTCCAGGACAATGCCTCACAAATGTCCATAAGATTGTATTTATCTCCTGACCTGCTCCTTTTTGCAATCTACTTATATCTCCTTAGGATGATTGCACGTCAATCAGATATAATGTCTACGCTCTTCACGAAAATGAGTCCAATCCGTCACCAGCCTTCTCTCAGCCTCCCACACCGTACCCCGATACTGCGCGACGGGAACCCGATGGCCGAAAAGTGGCAGGTCTCAGCCAAGAGGTAGAGCTTGAGTTAAGGGCCCAGGGGAAAGTTGTCGCGAGCTCTGCTGAAGACACTGAGCTTTGGTGGTACGATATCGCTTTAAATCGGGGTTCGAATGAGACGGAAGGGTTGCTTGACAGAAACTTGCCCTCGGGGGAATATATAACGATTGGTCGGGCGAGGCTAAAGAGTAAGCTGGTTCTTATCGCTGAAGATTATTCACTGAAGATTAATGTTAACACTCTGAAGAAATTCGGGAGGATACTTTTACTTCGTCTAGCCTTGATCAATCAAAGGTACGTGTGGCCCATTCGTCCAAAGCTGCTTTGCGCGTGGGAAATAACAGCATCATAGGCTCCGCTACGGCCTGTTCCAGTATCATCTCCAGCAGCTCACCCCACCTCCTCCGACGCGTCGTCTGCCGAAGCATTTACACAATCGCGGGAACGCATCGCCACCGCATATCGGTTATTTATCACCGCAGTCATCTCAACTATTTCTTATTCGCTTGCCAAAAAGTATCGTTATATACCCGTCAATTTTCGAATTTTACTATTACCATCGTTTTCTAAACCCCTTGGGGTCTACGACACTTACAACATTTCGCCGCGATTACATCATATTACGTTGGTCTCTCTGGATGCTCGACTAACCGCTACTGGGACATTAATACTTTCCATTATTACGGATGCAAGACCAGAATTGCCCAAGTGGTATCTATTCGATCGCGATCACGTTGGAATTGAAGACAAGGATTTAATACTCGCGCCGGGAGGGAAAAGGGCAAGGTTCAGAGCAAGACCTTCTGTCAAATATCCTGCTTCACCTGCCTATGCCGAGAGTCCCGTGTCTGGGACAATTTGGAGTTCTGGCGTGCGTCAAAGAACTCGACCAAGCCTCGCATGGAGACATCATGTGCAAAGCTGGCTGTCTTGGAATGGTCTTGATATTCCAAATATAGACGAATCTGACTCCTGGATCGAAGTAGAAATAAATGCGCCGCGCGATGAGGTATCAGATAATAGTTCACAATTTGCTGGCGAAAAGACAGTGAGAATCTTTTGGCCAGCATGTTTGTGCCTTGTTATACCACAATCATCTAGTTGGCCGCAGAATTCCCTTTCCACGAAGCTGTCGATGGGCTCCAGAGAAGGCCTTGTTTCGGGGCAGGAAACAAGAAGGGCCTCTGATGTGGCGGACCCGGTTATAGCTGATCCTCTGGCGTTTGCAGAAGATTGGTATTCAAAGCGAACGGAGCGGGAAGAAATTTTTAAACAGGTTCGCGCGGCAGAAGAGGCAAAAGAGGTGGAAGCAGAGACTGCTCGACTTGCTCAGCAAGCAATAAGCAGTGATGCGCCAGTTATAACGGGTCGTACCGGAAATCATGCCGATGTGCCTTCAATTAGCGGCATCTATCCGACACCGCCAGATGGCTTGCTCTCTCATAGCAATCTTAAGCTTTCACTCGCTGAAAAGCCCACTGGCTTGTCGGTGCCAGAAGAAAATACAGTCAAAGACGATGACCTTCCAACTTCGATATCTCATGGTGGGGATAACGAGCAGACGGACGAAAACCCGCCTACAGCATCATTTGACGATACCCAAATGACCGGCATTGATAATGACATTGGTGATGATCTTTTTGGGGACATGGACGATGAAATTTTCGGTGGAAATGACGTCACCGAAGCAGATTTTAGTTTCTTTGACGAACCTGCCATGGACGGAATTGAGACGACTAATTCCGGGGGTGATATGATTCAAAGCCTGCACGAGCCCGATATGAACGCGGGACCTGATCGGCAGTTAGATTTGGCTCCCGACTTGCCCATCGATAGCACACGGAAGATTCTGGACGATGGGCATGCGACGGCCTCATCTGATATTGACCAAGATTTAGAGAAGAAGAAGAAGAAGCTTGCGCCGGACACAGATACTATCGATACCGCTATGGTAGACGAAGTCGCAGGTCCGATGAAGAGAGAGGAGACGGAGCCGCAAGCTATCTTGCCTCCACCTACTGCAGAGCTTCCATTTGAAGGGGAGGCATTATTACCAAAACACAATTCCTTCATTAGTCCTCCACTGAGCCCTTCCGATGTTGTCAAGAAGATCTTGCCGCCGGGCGAGGAAGCTCAACAAGCGCCAGAGGGGAAAGAAGCAGGTGATGGTTTTTCGCGGGATAGGGAGCACGACAACTTCCGGAAACCTAGCATCTTTGATCCGGTGAATTTCAGCCAAAACCTACATCTACACGACTACAAATATAATCTGGAGGGTCGCTTTGGGTTTGTAGCAGGCCCCAAGCGTAGTAGTGGAGCAAAGGGTGGCAAAGAGTCTCTCGTCAAGAGTTCAATTCCAAATATCGGACTGCCCAAACCCAGGCGAAAATTAACCGGTTCTTCTTCTTCTGCTGCTGCCATGGCAGGAGCCGCAGATGCCGTCAAAAGTCCCGTTGCAGTCAGTGACAAGGCGCAGAGAAAGCAGCATGGAGAAGATCACTCGGTCGAGAAACTAGAACAAGGGTTCATAGATGAATCAGACCACGATACCTCGAGCTCTTCGTCGAGCGAACAGGAATATCAGGAGTCTGAGTATGGGCTTGGTCCAAAGCGAAAACGACCTCTCGAGGATGATGGAGATGATGCGGCAACTTCGTCTTTGCAAAGGCTTGCCTTTAGCTCCGTGGCTGACGAGACCGATATCGATGAACCCCTTCCAATCACATGCAAGGCCCTTGAAGCTGATGCAAATGACTCTTCTCTGCGAGGCTACAGCATGGCTCAGCAGCTCGAGGCAACACCGTCTTCTTTATTCACGAAGAAGAATTTTATCGGTGTTGCGCAAGTATTTGCTGATCAGATCACCTGGGGGATACACAAGATCCCCATTGACGAATTATTACTCGATGACAATTATGAAGAGATTCCAGCATCGACCCTTTTGGACGAACGAGTTTCTCGAGCTCTAAGCAAAATCTGTGTGGATGCGGAGCGTTGCGATCTTGCCATGTACGCTAGTGTCCAAGATCTTCTCCCAGAAATGCCAATGATTGGGAGAGCGCACATTCGACCTAATATACGGCGAACTGTTACCGGACAGGGAGAGCCGGGTTCATCATGCTCGGTAAAGAAGAATGTATTTTCGATTCCCCCCCCGCCTGTGCGACTATTTCGGCAGGATACTCCAATTGAGCTCTTATCTTCTGCATTGCCATTCTGGGAAATATTTGGACTGGGGCCAGCCAGCGGCCCAAAGGATGTTTTGTCCTATTGTATCTTCCCTCCAGGAGACGGCATTGAAGGGGCTGTGGATACATTTCTCACGCGTTTGGGTACTGCTTATGAGAGCTGCAAGCTTGGCAGTCACGAAAAGGGCATTGAGTTTCAGGGAAATGGACCAGGACTCGTCCCTATTAGTGCCTATGATCATAAAGCCACTTCTGGGAGCGGAGGAACGAAGGACCTGGAAGTAACATGTAGAAAGTTCGGTGAGTATTGTGGACAATCAATTCGCTTTTGAGGGATTGAAGTTGACTGATAGTTACAGGTTCCTTTCTTCCAAATGCTACTGAAGATGTAGGAAATAATATCGTGATTTACATGGTCAACAATAGCCGTCATCCTAGTGCGGTACTCAATCTCTGCGCGGCTGCTTATATGCTCTTCCAGGCATACCTCCAGAGTTTGCAGGCTCAGCAGAAGAAGACCTTCAACGAACTCGTCTTGCAGATTATTCCCATGGATTTTATCGCATCACCCACGGCTCTAATTGTTCCCACCCAGACGGAGTATGCAAAAGTTGCGCTCGAAGTCTACAATCGGTGTGCCCCGAAAGCCACAAAGAATAAAAGGCTTGGCCCAACCCAGCACGCTCCTTCTATCGTCTTGGCCGACAAACCGCCCAAGGCAATTGAATTTCGACTGACTACTGAGCCGTCACCATCGCTATTAATGGAGAATACGTGCATGCACATGGCTTATTCGATTAGCAGCGATGGCCGTTGGGTATCTGCTGCTTGGACGGACAGTTTTGGAAAATATCAAACCAATGTGTCGTATTGCCTGGCTCGGCGGAAGGGCCCTGCCAGGCCCCTTTCAGAAGTTATCAGCGAAATGTGGGAAACGACATTGCAGATTGTGCAGACCAAGAGAGTAACTTGGCGGTTCATTCTTGTCAAAGATGGCCTCATGGATCGCGAAGAAATGGAGCGTAAGTACCCACTCTAGGCCTCATCGCTTATCTACTTACTGACAATAAATTCTGGTAGTATGGACCTCCCTTGCCGCACAACCGTCCCAACCTCCCTTCCATTTGACTCTGTTCGACACCGATAGCTGCCCTGACTTATTCATCCGACCTCCACCACCGGCCCCTATACCTCCTGCCTACACTTCTTCCGCCTCTTGTTTCTCTGCAGCAACTACACAGCCGACCAACATATACACGACCCCGGCATCCACGCCTCAAAACTCCATGTTATCTCCAGATCATTTTGGCAACACGGTTGGCACTCCCGCAACACCCAGCACATCAGCTGGCGCAGGTACAGCAGCATCTGATGCTCCTCCAAACGCCGCCGCCGCCGCCGCCGCCGCCTCATCAGCAACTACTGCTGTGACGGATGTTGAGCCTGACGCCACTCTGGTCGATGCCACTGATGAATCTTGGGGAGTCATGCTCTCCCACCGTCTCAACAATTCCCGCTCCCTAATCGACTACAATCCCGCCATTGCCAGCGCCTACCTTCTCCGCCGTACATCTGTGGACGAGTCTCAGCCTCTAGACGCACTTGCCATTAATCTACTTTACATTTCCCAGCCTGTCCGCGGAGGTAACGACTGCCTCATGCGCGAAATACTCTGCACATATAGAGGCCTTGGCGTTCTAGCGCGGCATAAAAGCATGTTTAAGCCCGGCGAGAAAATCTTGCCCTGGCACCTTGCCACTGCAGCAAAAGCACAGCGCGCATTGAGCTCTTTGTTGTAATGTATCCATTCCGTCTATCTATTATCTCTTTTTTTTATCGTTGAGCAGGTGTTTATTGTTCTAGCAAGTTGGATATTTTATCTTGCAGATGGGTTTCGCAACACATGGGCGCATAGCGTGTTGGTTGGGCAGGACTGTACTGCGATTTATTAGCAATTGGTTTAATTCTTCCCAGTCTCATTCTCATTCTCATTCTCGTTCTCTTGTCGTCGTCGTTGTCATGATCATTGTCACTGGCATTCGCATTGGCATTAACATTTTGATTGACATCATCGTCTCTTTCTTCATTTTCATTGTCGTCGTTCAACTGTAAAACAAAGCAATGATACCTTTTCCCGTATCTTTGAATTTTTCAACTATTTTGAGTGTCTCATCTTACTGTAACTGTAGCCCTAAGTCTATCGCATTGTAGCGTTTTAGTATCAGGTAGTAGTGCAATACATTTTTTTATTTTTTTTAATTTTGTCCCGTTATTCTATGTTGTTATTCTATGTTGGCCCCGTATCACTAGGCATCAAGAGAGAGTCTTGTAACAACGTAGGAAGTTATTAAAATTAAAATTATATTTCATTTCAAATTGTCTTATATCTCATCAACTGAATTATATTTCATTTACTCTAAAGAGTAGCTCAGTAGACTCACACAAAGTAAACGATGAGCGTGAAGACAACATGAGTTATCATCTAAAAACTAACCACCAAGTCCAACACATCAATGCAGTTCAATGACTTGCAGGGATGTTTTTTTCTTGCTTTTCGTTCTTTTCCTTTGTTTTTCTTGTGAATCTGGATATGTGTTGGAAGTCTGTTGAGTACTCAAAGACAATGGGAACTTTGGAAAAGAGTAAAGACAATTGAAAAAGTCCCGTTGCGCGCATAATCAGCGACTAATTAACGAGTAACAAACTCGAGAGAGATGCGCATTCAACCCAAGCTGTCCAAGCGAATTGCGTCGCCCATTTCATACTTGGATGATGATGATGACAACGACGACGACGACGACAACGATCTCCAAGTCACAGGTGAAACCTTATCCTTGGGCACCAGTGACTTGAGTCAAACTGGACGCGCGCGAGATGTGTTATGGCTTATCGCAGCCGGAACCAGGGAACTAGGAGAAAACGACGAACAGCAAGTCGAAGTCTGATTCCAAAGCAGGACCGCGGGAAGGTGGCTACTGCTCAGAAGGGGGAGACAACCCAGCGCGCGTAAGGCTAAGTTACGCAAAGCCGAAAGTCTTAAGGTCTCTGTGTATATGAGAGTTGCTTTCCCGCCCCCTCCCTCCTGGCGGATGTGATGACTGTGGTGATATAGTAAAACCATCAAGTCAAGCCATCACAAGACACAATGACAAGACCAAAGCGCAAGTGACTAAGGCGAGGTAGATAAAATTTCCAGACTGCGAAATCCGCCAAGTCTGCAAAATCTGAGACATCGGACAGCGACAGCGACAACGGCCTGATTCAGCGATAATACCGCGGCTGCTCGTCGTAGTAGCCCTTATACCGCTCCCTGCGCTCAGCGAGGTCGCGTCTGTACAGCGATCCACGGCGCGGCTCGTCGCGCTTGTCCGCATAGTAGACCGTCTCGCGCTTCGAGGGAGAAGAGCGATTATACGTCTCCATGACAGTCGGGATGCTGTTGCTGCTGCTCGTGGTCGCCGTTGAACGTCGCGACTGGGAGATGTATGGCGATTTGACTTCCGGCACTTGAGCGTATGTGACTTTGACTTGAGACGCTGATGAGGAAACAGCGGGGGATCTGGCGGGGGACCGCGAAGCCGACGCCGAAACACCAGTAGCGCCAACAGTGGTGGCAGAGCGCCGCGGCGGGGGTCTGGGCGCAACGTAGTATGTCTGATCGTAGCTCGTCACGGCAGGGGCAGTCTTGGGAGAGCGCCGGAGTCGCAGGCCGTCCGACATGGCTTGCAGGAGCTCGCGCACGACTTCGCAGTCGGACGGGATCTCGACCTGCACGGGCTGGTTGCCGTCCTCGCGGTCGGTGGTCGAGTAGGCCTGGCCGGCCTTGGAGTACATGTATTCGGCAATGTCAATGGCGTATGCGTGGCCGCGCTCGCACAGGGACTTGCCGCGGCGGAAGGTGTCGTAGGGGTATGCGCACTGGGTGCATCGGCGGGCGTGCAGCTCGAAGTTCTTGATGGCGGCGCGCTCCTCGGCCGTGGCGGGCCGGGTGTAGTTGAGCACGGGGTCGAAGCCGACCTGGCGCTGGATATACGGCATTGTGGATGTTGTGAGAGCGGGGCTGCGAGGAGGTTCAGGTAGAACCTCGACCTCGACCTCGGATGACGGGGATGATTTGGCTCGACGGAATGTAGGCCGGGGAAAGTAGTGGTAGGCGCGAGTAGTTATTGTTCGAAAGGAAGACACCGTGGTCGTTGTGTTGTAGTTTGTTTCTTGTTGATAGTGTGTTTTATTTTTTTTTATGTGCTGGAGCTTTGGTGTATAGCAGAGAAGATGCAGGACGCAAGTGTAGAGCGCAAATTAAATGTTGGAAACGTGAGGGTATATTGCGTAATGTGTTCAGAAGATGTATGTATTGTAATGATAATAGAAAGAATCAGACGAAAAGAAAAAAAGAAGCAAGCAGAGAGTTTATATGTTTGTATGCATATAGAGCGTGGAGTTGGTGCCTAGCACGAGCCTGGAGTCATAGGCGTCCAAGCCCGCCCCAATCAGGTAAAGCCAAACTAAGAATAACGGCAGAAGGGGTCACCCACCCCCATCCAACCCACTGGGGTCCCCTGGGCGGGCGGTGAAGGGCAAAAGAGAGCTACCCACGGTACAAAAAAAACTACGAGTACAAAGCCAAGCGTCAACAAGGGAAAGAGTTGTCTCGACAGGACATGGACCATACCTTTTTTCTGTCCACCGTCGTCTGCAATTGCGAGACTTCTGGTCCGGTCATTGGTTGAGCGTGTGTGCGCCGAGGGAGATCCTGGATAGGTCAACGGGCGCAGCGACGTAATGACAGGCTCTCGTCTACCACCGCCTTCACCTTCTGGGCGGGTGATGATGCAGAAATTCCCAGGGTAGCCGTTCCCTTACCATCGGACCCGGATCGAGGCGACAAGCATAGGGCCGCATGATGCTCGAAATCGCGGGACGCGGGAATCCTAGCGCACGCGCGAAGTGGGAACATGAGCGATGGTTCCCGTTCCTTTCTGACTTAGTAAGCCTCTGTACTCGAGGCATTGACCAGTCATTCTGCCGCCTGCTGTATCTATTGTAGTACTTTGTACATTGAGTCAAATCAGTGGTGGCTGACTTTGTCGGGATGAACAGTGGGCGGTGCTGGCGAAAGAACGGGCGTGATTCGACGAAATTACTGGCCCCCTCGTGCCCTCCTACCCATCAACGCTATCCCATGGTGGCGCTCGCCCTCAAAGCGGTGAATTGATTTTGCCCGTGATCATACCTCTGACCTTTTCCAAAAACGATCATTTAGGGGCCGTGGCTGTCCCTGACAGCACCGCCTCAGCCACCCAGAAGAAGCAGTAGAATGATGGAACGCCGTAGTACATGCTGATATTATTGTACCGCAGCGATACCGTGTACACAACAAGCCTCCCCCAAAGTCCGCTAATTTGTGCTCCGCCTTCCCAAGGCTGAAATGACGAAAGGCTCCTGGACGCATGTTCAGACAAGCAAATTATGATGTCGATGATGATGATAATACCACGATCCAAAAATTGCATTCATTGTCGCGCATTCTTTCAAAACGGATCTATTGTGCGGCACAGTGTTTCGATTCCTCAAGGCGTCTTCTCACACAATTCCTGTTTGATCTCGCGCTGATCGCTCTTCCGCGGCCCCGACCCGGCTCCTGAGACAAAAGGTCGAGGGTCTTCCTCCCCCGTCGCGTCTCACCAGTCTCCGTTGCTATCATTGTCACTGTCACCCCTGCAAACTTCTGATACTGCCGCTTCTCTCAAAACAATCGCAATCCGACCTTCTATTATTGTTGAAACTTTCATAGGATATTCTTGGCTTTGTTTGGAGTGTAAAAAAGGCGCAGTTGATTAATTGCTCGCGCAAGCGCTTTGTCATGATGTCTCACAAATATGATTGTTCCGAGGATTTCGAATGAAAATAGCTAGGGGATTGAGAGCATTATACCAACTGCGGCTGTCTCATCAAAGGCGACGAACAGCATGATCGCTTGGCTATGCTCAGTGAGATGATTCGGCTCTCAATACCAAAAACTCGAAACAAATGCCGTGCAGTACATGTCATTTCTCAGTTGCGCCTTTGTCCAGTCTTTGACTTCCTCTTCTCAGTAACATCTGAAGAATCTCGGCTACTATGTGCCTGACGTTAAAATGTTCGCTGCCAAGCCGATCAAAAATCAAAACACTCTCGTCGCTCAGACATCCTGGATACTAAGATGCCGAATCTGCTTAGCAAGCAAAACTCATATCGGGACTCGTGATCTTTGAAGTCAAATTTTTCGCCTCCGGCCCCCAAAATTTCATAAGTATAGCCTGTAGGCAGAGATATATTAGCAGATTCACTAAGGGTATACGGTCCTCAATTAATACCGTAATCCCTTGTACCTTTACCCGATTCTTCTTGGTCTGGTCTGACTGTCGACCTTCTCTTGGCCTTACTATACCCCGATCGAAGAGAGCATTTTGGAGGGCCCATCAGGCAACCAGATAATGATACACGGCCAAGATCGGGTGGCGATGGGCGTCACGGCAATCCAGACTGCCGGGAGTGTTGGAACAACAAAGGTAGAGCCAGACGCGATTGAAGTCTTTAGGAACGTCACTTGGCGTACCTCTGTATTATTCAACCGTACTGAAGTGTCTATGTGGGAGCACAAAACTGCATAGCCGTTCCCTGAAGTTGACCCGTCCCATGCCGTGGTCTCAGCTGCTCTCATCCCCCCTTCTATGAGAAATTTTCAAGTTACCTTACCGTTCTACTGCAGCTTCTTTCCTCTCGATCTAGGGCCCGGCCAAGCCGTTATTCAAGATGCTTTGTCATTGCACCGACCCCACGTTCTGCCGGGAGTGCTTCCGTAGCGCAAAAAAAAAATTTCATGCTCAAACTAAAAGACAGACAAAGGCGCTTTGTTTCTTCTGCCTGTTAAGCCGCGTCCTAGTCTCCCTCAGTAGCACAAACTATGGAAGACTCTTGCCAGCTGAATCTGTTGTCAACGGATTCGTCCCTTGCTCTGACGTTGATACAGTACAGGACATGGTCGCTCCCTGTTTCCTGTCCCGTTGGAATCAATCATACCTGCATAGCCGATATGTTGTACATTTTGCATGCGGCGACATGACCCGACATGGATAGCATAGCTGCAACTTCTAAGCGTATAGTACTTCATAAGTGTCCCATGTCGAGCTCAGGACCCATGTGTTTCCTTGCTGCCTTACCACCCACATTCTCTGAACTTTCGCCACGACGCGTTCATCGTCATCGGTGGGGGTTCGGTCGGAAGTTATCTGCTGGCAGCAAGGGAGAAGAGGGTCCCTCGGACAGAGTAAAACACTGGCATTACAGGCATACGCGTCCATATTTTGCCATGTTTTGAAAGACTTCTTGCCTTTCTCTCAGAATTCAGCTCTTCACGACATATTGTAATATTCCTTCCAGTAAACTTAGCCAGTGAGAAATATCATTATTCATGAAATAGAACTATCTGTAGAGGCACAAGACAAGTAGAATGAACGTTAACGATAGAGCTCCTGTTCGGCTGTTAGTCACTTCAAGCTTGAGCTCCAGAATGTGCACATGCCCAAATTCTTACCCTGCGTACCTTATCAAGGTTCCCAGCCAATTATGGCACGATTTGACATTGCCCATTTAACCTCAACCAAGCGCTTACCCTGCAATGCTCACTATCTGCTACTGGCCAATCAGGTTCCCCTATCATCAACCACACTGCTTAGTCATCCCACGGAGCAACCCTTTCAAACTTCCGAGCACCAGATCCCGCAAGGACATTGGTGATTTGAGTCGATTGAGTGCAACGCATCCTCTTTTCGCCGCGAGCGCAAAGCACCCAAGATGGCGAAGAAAGGTAGGCTTGTTCTTTTAAAAATGCGCTATCCCTTTCCTTGAACCTTTGGATACTTGGAAATCAGCATATTATGCCCTCTCATTCTCAATGGCGGAAGAGAAGCTAATGAGTCCCCCCTCTACAAATAGGCAAATCTCATACTATTGCGGTGCGGCTGCTCTCCATGGCCAAGACCGGATACTACCTTACGTTGCGCCGCGCCAGACAGCATCGTCCGCTGAGTATGCTGAAGTATGATCCTGTCGGTACGTGTGATATTTCTTATTACTGTCTTTCTTTATGGGTTACGGATACATCGAAGTGGGAAAGGACAGGTGTAAGGGAGATGTTTGAATAGGAAGAGGGGGAGAAACGGAGATCAAAAGGGAAAAGACGGATAAAGTGGTTTAGGAAATCAGATCAAGCACAGGGAAGAACGCCGCATACGTGGACACAGATTGTGCGGCGGGAACAATCAGTATTATCAGGATGCGAGAGTTATACGGAATACGGGGCATGAAAGCCGACGGCAGTGATCCATCACTGGAAGAAAGGGTGAAAAGGAGTACAAATTGGGCAAGACAGTCAAACTAATACTTGTCTCTACGCAGTGCGGAAGAAGGTCTTGTTTCTCGAGCAAAAGCGCGGCGGAAAATAAGTTTTCGAATGTCGATATATTTATACGTTGCAGAAACGAACGGAGACCGGATTGATTCAAGGTCGCCAGGCCGTATATAAATTCGAAAAAACGACAGCTGAAAAAGTCGGACGTATTCAAGCGCGAGCATTGGGCATTTCGCATGTATCATAGACGGAGTTTTTATCACTGGATGGCATCCAAAGAGGTTTTTGTTCGCAAATTCGGTTTACAGAAGGAGATGCTGCGCTAGACTCATCTCTGTTCAATTTAAGGGATTTTTACATACTCGCTTGAAAATGTTGAAGCACTGAATACACGGACTTTTGGTGTGCGAAATACTTCATTGCGATATCACTAAATTGAGCTAAACTACGTGCCATTGACAAGCAATTCTAGAGAGCCAACATTTGCTAATTTGGGAGAAATTATCAGTATTGATGCCAAGATTGAAACGAAATATGAAAAGAGAAACCATTTCGACGTGCTAAATCTTAGTACCATAGTCCCAGTTTCATGTTGAGATGAGAAATACGAGAAAGAGGCGAAAATTTGTCAATTACCAATTCAACAAATGCAAGTAAGAGCTAATGCTTTCTCTTGCCGCCGTACATCTTCCCACCTCTGCCTCTGTTTGGCTGACGCCGATTGTTGGAAGCTGCAACTCCTGATGCCACTACATTTGAGTCCCAGTGGCTCAATTGCGACTGGGCTCGCGGGTCCTTTGGCTTGCCTCTAGTAGACTGAGGGGTACCACGTGGATGAGGACTGCCTCGATTCCGTTTCGGAGTGGATATAGCCTCTGGCTCATTTTCTGCTGGCCGTTTTCGCCCGCCATTCTGACTTTTGTTCATGGGTTTCCTCTGGTTCGCGGATATTGGACTAACGGCTGCAGGATTGGGGGTAGTCGGTTTCGCGGCTTTACCAGAGCTTGACCAGGCTTCAGGGTTGTCACGCTTGAAGTCGGATAACGTTGACAACGTCCTCTGCCGGTAGCACTCTCTCAAGTCTTTAGATGCGATGGAATCTTCCGCAGCCTCCTCATTTTCTTCCAATTCAGTATGGTCATCATTGCCGAGATCTTGTATATTCAGATCCTTTCTCCTATTCGACCGCGTAACTGGCGTGGGCGTGTCGGCGCAAATGGAAGGCTCGTTGCCGGCATCAGAGGAGGGCGGGCTTGTTAAAGGAGTGGAGTGTGTATCTTTTCTAAATTCTTCGAAACTTCTAATATGATATCTCTGTGGTTCGTCCCGTAGAATGGAACCTGGTTCGAGCCCTGGAATGTGAGGGTCGATCGCACAACTCGGACTGACCCGTTTGTTGATAGACTCGACTTGAGCTCCTTGAAAAGGAGTCTGATCGTCCTTGCGGTCCTGATAACCAAGGTCGTACCCTGCGTTCTTGTTACCTGGATTAGCTTCCCCAAATTTTCCAGGGCTCCCACGTATGTTGTGTACTTGGGCGGATTTCCTGGGGGTTTTGCTTCCAGACCCGCAAGGACTATTATTCCTTACGATCTGACCGAGAAGACCGGGCATAAGATCCTGAGAACTTTCCACAAGAGACTTTTCTCGGGCTGTAAAGAGGTTTTCTTGCTTACGCCCGGAGGGAATCTCCATTTGCTCAGTAGCACTAGCCGGCACATCCTTTTTATTCGCATCAGAGAACAGTTTTTGATACGGGATCTCTCGTTGCGGCGTTTTATGCATTGCTGGATTCTGATTTGGAATTGGACTTTTGCCTTTTTTGGTTGCTTCCACTTCGGCAGGGTTTTGTATAAGCTGGCCTGATGAAGAGATGTTGAGTTGATGTTGCATTTGGTTCATCGTTTGCTTTAACTGAACAATCTATAGGAAGAAAAGTAATTTTAGTTGCATTCATTCTCCAGTCCAGGTAAATTTTCGACTTTACCTCTTTGATTTTACTGCCCATTTCTGCTTCCAAAGAAGCCACTTTCCCGCTCTACGAATCCGTCAGCAACATCAATTTCCATTGCCTCTAAATCATGAAAACGAACCTTATCCTGATTGACAGACTTTTCCTTTTTGATCTCCTCCTCCAAAAGGCTTATTCTCCTATTAAGATCGTTCCTTGCAGATTCCAGTCCATGTACTTTGTTTTCGTGCTCGATAGCCAGCTTTTCTTTGTAAATTCTTGCGTGTTCTTCCATTGTCTTTTTATGTCCGTTGAACTTGGTCTCATGCTAATTCAGGTCAGCTGTGTGATAGACCATACCGAGCTCCTCGAATATCTTACTCCATCCCGCTCCCGTTCGAGGTTATCAATTTTCAAGTGTGCTTCGTTCAATTCATCCTAGCGATATATAAGAACGGAGATTCCGCAATTAGGGTTGGCTCAACCACTATTACCTGAGAAATCTGGTAGAGCCGCTTTAATGAGCGCATCTCTTCAATCTTTATTTCTTCCTGTTGAATGCGGAATTCTAGCATTTCCTGTGCCTTGGCAACTTCGCCCTGCAGTAAGTCATGTTTTTGTCGTGCTTCGTCAAGCTCGGCCTTGATGCGCTCTGCTTCCTCGCTCTCGGATTTTAGGACGCTAATATCATGATTCAACCTCCCGGTTCTATCTGAGATTAATAACGGAACATAACAATGATAAATAATCCAGTTAAGATCGTAACCAACCTTTTCTCGAAAAGTGACTCGGCATGGCTCAAATGCTCACGCAAGTCTACGACCTCTCGCTCTTTTGCGGCTAGTCTTTCTTCAATAATAGCCTTTTGCTCGCGAAGGTCTGTGGTTTCCTGGACCAGTCTGCTCTCAGTCTGCTTTTGGTATTTTAAGCTTTGGATGTCATCTTTCATGAGAGACGCGTGATCTTGTTGATCCTGTCGGATATCTGTTTGATGCTCAAGTAAAGTCTGGAAATTGTCTTTCATACTATCATTGGCAGTCAGCGGAGAGAATATGGATATGAACGGAATTGGCCGGAATGTGGTACTCACTCGCCGGATACGCATGAGACGCTTGCGTTAACCTGCTCGATTGCCTTCCGACTTTCTTCCTTTGTGTCATCAAGATGTTGCAGTAAGCTGAAACACTCCTCGAGCTTCTCTCCATAAAAGTCATTCAGTCCCTTCTCCTGTACTTCTTGTCTTATCTCGCCCAGCTTCGCCAATATGTTGATGTTTCCCATGTCGAGCATGCCGACTAGATCTTTATACAGATCCATATTCTGCTTGTTTCTCTTCTCTAGGTCAAGATTCTGATCTCGCGCTTCTGCAAGACGGCCAACGCTGTCCTCGAGCTGCTGTTGCTGCAGATTAATTTGTTGCTGGAGATTGTCAATATGACAGCGGGCCTCGGTCAAGGATCGGACATATATCTCCCATCCACGAGCTCGGAAAGTTTCCCATAGTCCAGCTGACTGCTTAATTGCTTGCAAATCTCCAGCGTAATCCTCTTTTGCTCCCTCCATCTCGAGACATAGTCGCTGAATATCATTACCTTCGTTGCGGAGAGAATCGCGATCGCTTGCTAGACCTTTTAGAAATTTCTCCAGCTGCGAGATTCGTTCTCGATAGTTGCTCAGGATAGTGGAAGATTTGTTCACCTCATTCCGGTACTCGTCCTTTTCACGTCGTGCCTTGTCAAGTTCAAATTGGAAATGTCCACATTCCTGTTGAGTGCTCAAAAGCTCAGCTTTGAGCTTCTCCTGTATTGCAACGGCCTCTTGCTTCTCAGAGTCTCTTTGTTTTGAGTATAAACCCAACAGAGTATCTGAGTCAAGAGACCGGCGCTGGTTAACGGCTTCACTGGCAGCATTTGGAGAGCGCCTAGCCTCCGGCCGGCGGGGTGAAGTTTTGACTGAAGCTAACAGAGGTCGGACTTTTGTCTCTGTAACGGTCTCTTCTTGTTTTAGCTCGATCGGGCGCTTGATTGAAGGAGCGAGTCTTGAAGGAACCTGAGACCTCTCGGATTTCCGGGGAACTTTGATAGGTGACTCGTTCAAAATCTGCACTTCATCGTCATCCTCGTCGGCATCGACGTCAATCACAATCGTCTCTTTTGCCAAAGGTTTCAATTGTGTGTTTCGTGTACGGGCTCTGGTGGAGCGTTGCTGAGATTGGCTTTATGCATCGTCAGCGCATTCATCTTTTCGATCTCTAATGGTTTGACCGCAGACAAAACCTACCCTCGACCTTGATAGCCATCGTTAATGGTTCCTTCCCGCATATTGGCATTCTCTCGGAGAAGAGGCCTCTGATAAGAAGGCGTGGCATATTCAGAGTTCCCAGCTGGCAAATAACTCGTCATCATCTGCCCGGATAGTCTAGCCGCCTGTGCATGATTTGCATCAAGTGATACATCATTGCTAGGCTCAGATTTGAAACCCGGTTTATGAGGCTTTGCAGCCAGCGTCTGCTTCAAATTACCTGGGTTTCGGAATGCGTTATTTGGGATACTCTCTTCTGTATTATTCAGAAAGTCGGGTCGGGAGAAATAGTTAGGGGTCTCCATCCTTTAGATTAGCTTCAGAATTCCTTTCATAAAGTCTGAAGCTGGATTGTTTTCCTGCCGATAAGGGAAGAAGCAACTTGATGGGCAGAGAACCGAGAAGAACCTCTAAAAGTGAGTGATACAATGTGATGACTGGTAAGGTGGAGTTGGTGTACGTCTGCAAGATGGTTGCCGCGGCGAGTGAACAGGTGAAACAGAAACAATGAGGGCTGTGAAATGAAGGCAGGTGAACAGAAGTTTCTGAGTTTACATCATAATGCTACGAAATAACAGACACAAGAGAAGGTGGTATTCTGCCATTACTTTCTTGAGCAAAGACACTTTGCAAACAGTTTAGCACAAAAGAAACGCTCAGAACAAACAGCATCTTCGCGTGGATTCTGCACTTGAACAATGAACAAGTTAAAGATCAATTCGCTGTGAAACTGTACAGTGCTTCATTGGAGATCGAACCTTGTGGCTTTGATAGATGACTGGAAATCAACAAAGTTCGTAAATGTAATAGGCAATCATGAGGAGGTAAGCTTTACAGCAGTTAAGCTCATCGCAGGGGAAGGAATAGAGCCGTCAAGAGCCTTCGTAATTATTTCGTCTTGAACTACTACCATACTGTGGAATAAATGGAAAACTCACGCCATCAGGTTGACTGAGAAGGGAAATAGGCAGTTGCGTAACCAATAGAGAGGCCAAAAGAGGTCATGCAGATAGAGCGAATATATCGATGAGGATAAGACTGTAACTATGTGATTTCCTCAAGCATAATTTTCGAGCGAGGCTTCTCTAGGACGAATTATCGCACGAGATGGCTCTCTTTCTCGAATTCATTTGCCGTTTCTGGCTAAAACGAAAAGAATGGCGATGATAATTTGAGGCTCATTCAGACGGTGATAGTGAAAGGTGGCTGCAGTCAGTCATATATAAACGCTGAGGTTGATCGCTTGTCATGATTGGACTGGGGTGTCTTGGGTGGCTGCGGCGAAGCGCCCACGCCATGCGCACATCACAGAATAAAGACCCAATCACTCCCATTTCCCCTTAATTTACAATCATTTGCCAATATTTATCATTGGGAGGATTCCAAGCCTTATCAAACTTGTGATGTTGTTGAGTATCACAGCTCAAGCCTTTTCTGTGACTAGTTGTGACGTGAAACAGCCATGAGAAATTGGTTCTGTGGCCTCTTATTATATGAAGATGCTTCCCCTTTTTTACACCATGTTCTTGAGATACGTTTCGCATCTTCCAATTCTTGAAAATCTTCTCCAACTGTTTCTAAGAAGAGTCAAAATATCATTCTGGTTTTCATCCAAATCTTCCATTCTCTATTTGTCGTCATGAAGCGGTCAATCTTGTTTTCGTTGCTATATTTGCTATGCTCTCCATTGCTTGTCTATGGACAGTCCGAAGCACAGCCCACAGATCCGACTGATGCAGGCGCCGCTGGTCCTTCAGCGACGGGTGGGAAAATCTCACTTGGAGCCGAAATCGCCATCATCGTCATCATTGGCGTTGTCGCGGCAATCGGTAGTAAGTTTAGGCTCCCAAGCGCTGCCGACAGCTCTCTGCTGACAGAACGCTAGTCGGATCATCCATTCTATTTTACATGGCCAAGAAGCGGCAATGGGAAATTCGAAAGAGCATCCGAAGATCGGCTCGACGCCTGACGGGCAACTTCAATTCCAAAAAGGCACAGCGCTCTTCAAGGCATCAACCCGGAGTCAGCCGGCTGGCAGATGACAAGCAAGCTCGGAAGCCTAGAGACTTGGAGAAGGGCACGGTCACCACGATCACGAGCACTTTTGACATGGAGCCGCCGACGCCCAAACCTAAGGCCTGGCATGAGGCCATTGCCAGCCTCGGAAGGAAGACAGGAAGATGATGACATTTTAAAGGTTCGACAAGTAAAGGAGAGGCGCAAGAGCGGGCGTTCAGGAGAATATAGAAGAGTGCATGATGTGCTGCCAGTCAAAAGCATGGATCATGAACAGATCATCTTGCGGGAGATGTCAGACTGAATAGTGCAAACAACAGGCGCGTGGAGTTGCGGAAAAGATTTCCGATGGCTTTCATTCAATAATAACTTAATGCAAAAATTACATGTACTTTCTAAGAAATGTTTCCAAGACAATGCAATTCATCAAAGCAATGTGCAGCTGATGTCAACATAATTGTGCATCGGAAGAAACATGAAAAGATGACAGCCTGACAGCAGCCTATAACCCCGCAATTCGGCAACGGCAGCGGGAAAGAGTTGTGTCGGGTAAAATCGCATCAGAACCAACAAGCCTCAACGGCCAGCGCAGCATGACAAGCATCACTTGGAATGTTGCATGAAGTCTAAATGAGAAGATTTCGGCGAGGACAGTGAAGGGAAACAGAGATGCAGGCAGGCGGGGAGGCAATGGAGGGAAGCAGATTTGCGGGGAAGCTTAAAAGATATAAATTGTGGGGTGATTCTGTCGTTGTCGCTACGTCGGTACATTGTTTCCTTTGCTATTTACGCGGAAACAAAAGTATCTCATTCCATCCCTCTTCTACCTTTCACTCGATCTAGATGTGAGAAATCACGCCAGAGCTGCGTCTTCAAGATCCCTTTTCTACGCTTCTGGCGGCACGCGCGATGAGCATTGTTCGCTGCTCCCGTCTCTTACCAGACGAAAGAGCAGGTTGACCCTGCATCTAGCAATCCTTGCGCTCCAAATGATTAGGTTCGCAGCGATCCCTACCATTATGCATCTTCCAACTCTAGTAACGAATGAGAAACTGTGGGGGACGCACAATAGCAGGGAATATCGCGACGAGAAAAAAAATAAAAAATAAAAAATAAGTGAAAAATATTCCTGAATGTTCTTATCTGTCCAATTTGACTCATATCTCCAAGAAGGTCTCTGAATCAGATGGTGTTCCGGCCTATCTAACTTCCATCGATTTGTTTCCCGCGAAAAACTCGCGGAAAAATTAGCCAAGAAGCATTCCACGACTTCATCTGTCAAATGTGTTACATGATGGATTCTGATCCCATTACGTGTCCGTACAGTTATCGATGCATTGTGCCCGGTCAATCATACTTCAAAATGCTTAACGTGTTATTTTGTGCCGAAATGCCGTGCCACCATATTCATTACAAAAAGGTTACCTCTAGAGGTAACTTGTGGGTCGAACAATTGGAGAGTGGATCATGGCCAAGATGGGACCATTGTAATAGTTGCGCACGACCACGAGAAGAAAAGGAGAGGAAAGGAAGCATAGAAAAGGACACTTAAGAGGAAAAGTGTTTGCCACGGATGGGTTTTCAAGGGTCAGAAGGGAACATCACCAGCATTAATGTTTACTTGTCATGTTGTTGTCGGGCAGAGACAGAGGCGTGTCGAGATTGATAATGTCTGATAATATCACTCATCATTGATGCTACAGTGGGTCTTTTTATCTGATATGCGACAGAGCTGCTAGAGAGGAACTAAGCTATCTCTTGCTGACTAGGAAGAGAAAGGAGTTGCCCCGAGCCATCTGAAATGATCGGCTCAGGGCTACCGGAATAGCGTAAGAGTCATCATCATTATCACCATCATCATCAACTCTTGAGGTTAATTATCCGAGAGCTCTTCCCTGCTCACCCACAGCTTCCCACCGCTCTAAAACCTCCACGTTACCTTCTTTTTCCTCTTCTTCATCACTTCTTCTCTTTCTTATCCCGACAGACGCGTCGTCGAGCACCTTAATAATCCTCCAAAAAGTCAATTCGTGTCATTTTGTCTTGCCTCCCAAGGAGTGCAACTGCGCAGAGTTTGGGGGCCGGCATCAAATTGATTTTCGCCCACGCCCTGTTCCGGCCAGATGGTCATCCGCCCGTCTCCACGAAGCCTAACCGGCCCTCGAGGTCGTCTCAGCTTGACCAATTCCTGTTCCCGCCCATGCATCCCTCGATCCGCCAAAGCGACATGGCGCTGCTATAGTGATGGTGCACAATCGTCAGAGAGTCTCGTGGCCGCCCACATTGCTGAGACGCCCTTCCCCGTGTCCTCAGCATATGGAAGTGCGGCCCGCGCATCCACCTGCGTGCCTGTAGTGGCGGCACCTGCAGCATCAGCTCCGCACCCTGTTATGCATGCTCGCCGCATTTACTCCGCCGGGGTTCCCTGGGCCTTGAACCTCCGAGGTATGCATTAGACAATGATCGTTGGAACTAGGGTTTCTTTTCTTCCCCCGCAGCATCAACTGGCCACACCAGAGCGCCCTGTTGACAGACAATGGCGAGATTTGGCGTGCTACCAAAATTGGAGAAATGCTCTCTTCGCGGCGTCTATAAATTGTCACGGGCCCAGACGCTGATAGCTTTGATTCCCTCAGATTTCAGAACTCCTACGTCTAAAACTACCCTTGGCCGTCGAAATATGTCTTCTACCCCGCGGCTACACACGCTGAACAAAAACAACATCAACCAGTATGTGGTGAACGCCAAGTATGCGGTCCGAGGAGAGCTTCCTTCTCGCGCCGAAAAATACCGCCAGCAGCTTGCCAAAGGATATCCTCCGACGCCTCCTGAGGAGATGCTTCCCTTTCATGAAGTCATCTTTGCAAACATTGGCAACCCTCAACACCTCGATCAGAAGCCCATTACCTTCTTCCGTCAAGTGCTGAGTCTGCTGGAACATCCTGAACTGCTCAAGCATGAGGATGTCCTCGTCAACCAGCTTGGATATAAGATTGATGTCATCGATCGTGCTCGGTGGCTGCTGCACGAGGTGACGAGTGTCGGCGCATACAGCCAGAGCGCTGGTGTCGGTAGAATACGGGAGAGCATTGCCAGGTTCATCGAGAGTGAGTACACCTGCGAAGGATTCTGTAATCTCCACAACGGTGAAGAAGCACATCAAACTAACTCGTACTTTTCTCATCAGAGCGTGATGGCTACCCAGCTGATCCCCAGTCCATATACTTGTCCGCCGGTGCCTCGGCCGGTGTGATGACGGTCCTTCAGGTCCTCTGCGCAAGCCCTAAGACCGGCGTCCTTGTCCCCATCCCTCAGTACCCTCTCTATACTGCTACTCTTGCGCTGCTCAACGCACAATGTGTGCCCTATTACCTCGAAGAGAGCCACGAGTGGGCAACCGACCACGACGCCATTGGCAAGGCGCTCCAGGACGCCAAGGCACAGGGCACCGACGTACGCGCCATTGTTGTCATCAACCCGGGCAACCCTACGGGCCAAAGTCTCTCGGCGCACGACGTTGAAAGCGTGCTCGAGCTTGCCGCCGAGAACAACATCGTCGTCATCGCGGATGAAGTATACCAGACCAACGTCTTCCAGGGCGAGTTCCACTCGTTCAAGAAGACGCTGCGAGAGCTGCAGAAGAAGCAACCCGGCAAGTTTGACAAGGTCGAGCTTGTTTCCCTGCACAGTACATCCAAGGGCATGGTTGGCGAATGCGGCCACCGTGGCGGCTACTTTGAGCTTATCAACTTTGACCCGGAAGTGGTTGCTGAAGTTTACAAGCTTGTCAGCATCAGCTTGTGCCCGCCCGTCGTTGGCCAATGCCTGGTCGAGCTGATGGTCAATCCTCCCCAGGAGGGCGACCCCAGCTACCCGCTGTATAAGAAGGAGTACGACGGCATTTTCAACGGTCTCCATGAGCGCGCGACCGCGCTGCACAAGGCTTTTACCGAAATGGAAGGTGTCGAATGCAACCCGCCTCAGGTATGTTTTCTCCCCCTCCTCCTCGTCTCCTTTATCCCGTATTCCTCTATGCATCAATGCCAATGCTAATGTCGTTTCTTCCACAGGGCGCCATGTACTTGTTCCCCACGATCCATCTCCCTCCCAAGGCAGTGGAGCAGGCGAAGAAGGAGGGCCGCGCACCCGACGAATTCTATGCGTTCCGTCTTCTCGACGCCACTGGAGTCTGCGTCATCCCCGGCTCCGGCTTTGGCCAGAAACCAAACACGTTGCATTTCCGAACCACTTTCCTTGCGCCCGGAACCGACTGGGTCAATCGCATCACCAAGTTCCATAAGGAGTTTATGGACGAATTCAGAAGCTGATCTCTTCTTCTACTTTCCCGTTCCATGAACACTTTTCTTTTATCTTCATCGGTGTTGTGTATCGTCTCTCACGTTGTACTTTTCTCTGACCACTAGGTCATCCGCACGCTTCCTGCATGGTATAGCGTAGCCTTTTCTTTTTCTTTTTTTCTTTTTTTCTTTTATATTCTGTCTCCTTCTTTCAACTTTTTATCACCGCCCTGGCGTTTTCGTGTGGTTTTGTGTATATCTCCTTTGATTGGCTCTGGGTAGCTCGGCCCTTGATGTAAAATGTCAGTGTATCGTACGGTCATATGGATCACCATCATCTTTTTCTTTCTCTCTCTTTCTTTTCCTGCTAGTATAGTCTAGTACATCCAATGCAATTCGCGGTGTATGGTATGGTAGATAGGACATTTATAAGTCAATTATATATTTCTTTTCTTAATTTCTCTTTTCTCCATCTGCCTTTTCTCTAATCTCTCTTTTCTCCATTTCGTACTATACGTCATGATGCCCGTATCATTGCTGTGAGAAAGTCAACGTGATAAGTACCTTGTATCCTGAAATGACATATCTCTCGAAGACTTATATTTCCACTCTTTTCTTTGATTTCTTTTCTTTCCCTTTTTCTCTCTCTTCCCTTCTTCCTCTTTACGTCTCTTTTTCTTTTCCCTTTTTCTTTTCTATTATTATTTAGTTATTCATTTATTCATTTCTTGTTTGAATGGAAGGGGAGCGGGAAAATAAACATAAAATATATGTGTTATTTGACATAATTGTCCTCGAGCAGTCATCTACATCTACAACTACACCTACAACTACAACTACAAGATACATCATACATCATACAGTCGAGACTCGGGACTCACTCTGATCAAAATGTGGATAAAATCAGAATATATAATTTCGCAGAACAAAGTCAGATTGTACGCTTCGTTGTCAATGTGAATAGAATGAAATTTGAAAACGGCAAAGGAGAAAGTATATCGTATTCAAAAGGGTAACCACTTCCCTCCAAGATAGAATAAAAACCGGAAGGAAAAGAGAGAGAGAAAGTAGAAAAGGAGAAAGAAAAAGAAGAGGAAAGAAAAAAAAAAGAGAGAAAGGAAGAAGAAAAAGATGAAAAGGTTTTGCTTGATTTAGCAAAGAGGAAAGAAGAACACAGCGTCAATAGAAGAACCGAAAGCTGAACCCGTAAGAAGAGTGAAAGATACACGATTCTGAAGATAATAAGGGGGAAAGATAAAATAGCTTCAAAAGAAAGCTAGAAAACAACATTAAAAAAGAAATAAACGAAGGAAAAGAGAAGGGGGGGGGGGGGGGAAGAAGAAAAATAGTAATAAATAAAGTCAACAGAATTACGCCGTCTTCTTCCACGTGGCATACGCGCCAATCAAACTGCTAATCGTACCGGCGATACCCACAATGCCGTCGTCGAGATTGACGTATCCGATTGCGGACGCGGGAATGGTCAAGTCGCAGACGTCCGAGACAAGCTGGGTTGTTGTGGCGGAGCGTTCGCTGGAGGTGATATGACTGTTAGTACGAGACAAGACGTGGACGAGAATTGAACGATGAAATTAAAATGAAGAATGAAGGACGAAGAGGACACGGGAAGGAAGAAGGAAGATAGGAAGTAAAAAAAAAAGGACATACCGCTCGAGTTTCTTCACTTCAACGACGCCCTCGCCGTCCTTCTTGTCTATCGACGCGGTCCGCTTGCGAATCTGCACAAGCGTATACAGTCCTGCGACGGTGTTGAATAGCAGGCCTACCAGCCATGCTCGGTAGGCTTCCTTTTGGAGTCTCTTCGCGGCAGGCGTGGGACGAATGCCAGCGGCATCGAGCTGTATCACTGCGTTAGTTGCTTGAATCGTAGAGGCAATTATAGATAGAATGGCCACCGGATTGCGCTAATTAAAGGGAAGTGCAAGGAAAAGACAAAAGAGTAATGGACGTACATATGTAAGGATATCCAAGCTGAGATAGACTGCATATCCCAGTTGCCGCCCCACGGCGCAGTACTTGAGCACGGGATCCATCGACTTGCTATCGGCCGCTTGCGCCGCGGCCTTGAAGTGCTCCACGTTCTTGCCCACGCGCATCACCTTGCGCGAGAGTCCAAACTGCTTCTTGATCGCGTCAAAGGGCGCTATTGACGCCTTGGAGGCGTTGGTGCGTAGCAGATACCATGCTAGGAAACGGGAAAAGTACTGGAGTGTTCGAAGCACCTTGTCGCGGCCGACTGGACAATGAGACGGGATACGTTAGCAATCATTTTTGGAGTGGAGGTTCAATGACCAATGCAGAATAGATCCAGATGACTTGAAGTGATATCGTAACTGAAAAAAACCAAGTGTATCGCATGGAAGAGCTTACTGGTTGTCGCGACATAGCGAAGATAATGAGCCACCGTGGGGTGGTAGATGACTGCGTCGGCGACCATGATTGCGAGAGATCTTGAGGTGTCGGCAGGGTACGGTTTAATTCTTTCAAAGGATGAGTGGGTTGGTTTCTGCTTTCTCAGATACAATATGAAATGTTTTCGATTCCGTGTGGCAAGTACTCCGTAGATAATTGCTTGATCGTGTGCAATAGCTCTCTGGTGTTGTCAGGTAAGTGAACCCGAGCTTATCCGTTAGATTTCCCCCCCAGAATTCAGTTAAACCCGTCAATCTCCCTCGGCTCATCGGACTTCTCCGCCTGTTTGTCCTTCATATGAACAACCGAGGCTTTAACTCTCTGTTACTACGGAGGATAATACTACGGTCACCCAAAAGAAGAATTATCACGTCTCGACGGGAAAAGATGGATTTTACTTGAACTGATTGGTTTCTTGCAATGGTAAACTCATTCATAAAGCTATGGAATGACTATATAGCTATGCTGGATAAAAGCATTGGCATTTCACAGCACAATATTATCTGAATCCCAAGCTTTGAAGCATCCATTTTTGACAGACAATAGCAAGCCATTGATAATACACAGTCATGATTTGATGCACCGTTTCAGACATCACCTTGTCTGCAATGTTTCAAAATGCCGTCCCAGACTAAAACGCCAATCCCTAACATCGTATACTATCCACTATACCTTGTAAAAGCAAAAAGCATGATAGAAGCCTGCTTTTATCAGTACCGTAGACAAGTCTGCAAGTTCAAAATGAATCACTCACCGGCTGCTTCCATTTCCTCGTCAGAGACTAGCAACGGACCCCGGCCTCGTCCCCTAACTCCCATGCGTTCACTGAGAGGTCCAAGGATAGGATCATCCTTTTCGTCATTCCATATATCCAGGAATGGCTTGCGGTATTGCAGCTCTAAATTGTAGTCATCCGCAATCCTGACGTGACTGGTCAGTTACTCTGAACCCTACAGCTACAGCAGTGGAAATATCATCACTCACGCTCGGAATGCTTCCCAGGGAACAACGTATTCAGGAACTTCCTCGACTGCTTCCTGCATAAAGTAGCTATACCTCCAGCCAAATGGCGGCCTAAAGGTGCCATCGTCAGGCGTCTTGCCGGGAAACCTCACCCGGTAGATACTGTTACCCCACTCGAGTCCCTCTTCAACCTCTCCTTCTTCTGGCTTATCTTCAGCAGCGCCGTCTTGACCATCGGAGGATGCGCCTTGGCCGCCGCCCGACCCGTTCGGTTCTTCCTTCGCCTTGCGCTTGTGGTATTCAATTGCCTTGGCGCTATGCACGTCTGAATTGGGTATCACACCCAAGAAGCGTCCGCCCTTTTTCAGGCATCCAGCAACGTTCCGTAGCATCCCACGAGCCTTTTCTTCGTTTTCGAATGCATAGTGCATACAGAACATCATCGACACCACATCGAAGCCACCGCCTCCCCAACGCGCGTTCATTGCCCCCCCTGCGGGACCACTGTTGGGGTCAATTCCAACCTCTTGGATTATGGGGATATCCCCAAGCCACTCTCCAAACGCATCTTTGACGAAAAATTCAGCCGGAAGGACTCGCTGAGGCCTTCCACCTCGGAATCCACCCCGTCCTCCCCTTCCGCCACGCCCACCGCCAGAAACCATTTGCGCATATCTCTCTCGTGCTTGCTCGATAGAAATCTCAGCAGGATCCACTCCAACGTATAGATCAACGCGTTGGGGAGCTTGCTGCCATTTGCCAAGATCGCCTCCCTTGCCGCAACCAACATCGAGGACAATTATGCCTCTATCCCCGTGCATGCCACCGCCCTCGAGTCCCTCCGCCCATGATGAATTGCCGGCACCGCCAGGCGTATAGTCCTCGTTTGGTGAGAACTTTTGGATGATCGTACTCTTCACCCAATTGTTGAAACTTCGAAGTCCCTTGATTCTGCTGTCCGTTTTCCGCCAGTCTCGGCCTCGCTCCGGGACTGCATTGTAATGTTGCCTTACGACATCGTGCACTCCTCTGGTCGCAGCTGCCACCTCTGCTTCCCGCAACTTTTCCTGTTCACGCTGCACCTGTCTCTGCCTGACAGCTTCTTTCTCCGCTGCATTGATGCGAGATGCACCTCCCGGGCGCTTTAACTTCCGCGGAGGTGATCGCGGTGGAGGCGTTGGAGTGCGTCGGGCAGATCGAGGTGAGTGTGACCTCCGCGAGGGTGGTGTTGGAGAGCGTCTGCGCTTTCTCGCGTTCGGGTCTGGTGAGCGACGTGAAGGGCGCGGCGAGCGCGAATCGGAGCCATGATCCTGCCTCTTGCGAGCAAAACGCGGCAAATTCGCTGTAGTCATTGGTATAGGAGATGCGTAGTCACTTGAGCGCTCCTTTCTCGGAGGAGCGGCGGCTGGTGCTTCATCCTTTTGAGGATTTTCACCCGTCGGGGCATCATCCGAAGGCGTGAATGTATCTCGTGCAGAATCGTACATGACTAACTCCGCCGAGATATGATTGAGCTATTCAAATCAGGATATCGAATTCTTTTTCGTAAAATTTCAGATATTGTTGCTCTTGACTGTGTCAGTCCAATTTGTCCAATTAAGATTCATAGCTGCGGCCTCCGAAGGGTAACCGGGTAAGATCCAGTGAACATCTGGTTGGTAAGATGGCATAGACGATCAACGTCAAGCTATCCAACCAGGTAACGCAATCCTGTCAGAGAGAAGCTCTACTGATCACTTATTCAACCTTACATTTCAATCCGTTCATTTCCACTTCAACTCAGCAGCCTCTTGCAGCCCCTTTGAAAGGTCTTCAATTTCGATCATCTTGTATTTTGTGGCCCTCGCCGACCTTCCGGCCTGTTTCCCACGATGGGTGATCCTCAGTATCTCAAGTATCCCGACCTCTCATTGTCGCAACATATCTTCACCCTCACGAACCCTTCCGCGTCGAAGTCGTCTCAGCAGACATCTCTGAATACTCTACAAGATGTTATCAAGGAACATAAGATGGCTCCGCTCTACCGCCATCTCGCTCATCCGGTCAACGGTGTTCTGAACGCTACGGGCGAGGGCGGAGCTCAAAAGTCAACGAGCTTTGGACCGAAGAAGATTGGAGGTGCTGCCAATTTGGTAGCCACCAAAAAGTCTTCAAATAAGATTTCTCTCACATGGGATGAGGACCTCTATGAAGAGCTCAGGGCGGAGAACGAAAAGGAGCTTGAAAGCATTCAAAAGGAAGAAGAGGAAGCTGAGGAAAGCGCCGGAGAGGTGGAAGTTCTGACCGCACAAGGCAACCGAGCTGAGTTTTATGCCCGGATAGGAGAGAAGGTTTGCAATTCTTGCAAGGTTTGACTGCACGATATCTTGCTCATCCGATTTGTACAGGACAAAGCTATTTCGTCATACGAAGCCCTGCTCGAAAAGACGTCTACCCTCGGAGTCAAGATCGATCTCGTTCTTGCCATCGTCCGCATGGGCCTTTTCTTTGCGGACAAGACCCTGGTGAAGAAGAATATCGATAGAGCGACGAACCTGGTTGAGAGCGGCGGTGATTGGGATCGCCGAAACCGATTAAAAGCCTACCACGGCCTTTACCTTCTCACCGTCCGATCATACAACCTCGCCGCTCCTCTTCTGCTGGACAGTCTTTCGACATTTACTAGTTATGAGCTTTGCGGATACTCGTCGCTTGTTGTCTATGCCGTACTCGCCGGTTCGGTGTCGTTGAAGCGTGTGGACTTCAAGTCCAAGGTTGTCGATGCTCCGGAGATTAAGGCTATTTTGGGCGAGGGAGAGGATCGTCTTTCGGCCTTGACCGGCGCTGTCTCTGCTGGTGCTGGTGCTGGAGACGAAGAGATGAAGGACGTGACCACTGCAACCCCTGGACACGCCTCCACTGCCGTTAACCTCACCACGCTTGGCCAGTCTATCGAGGGTCAGCTGGATGTGGAGGCACCGATCGACTTCTCACCCTTGGCGAACCTGGTCAACAGTCTGTACACTGGAAACTACCGCTCCTTCTTTGTCGCTCTCGCAGCTGTGGAGGAGAACTTTTTGAGCCAAGACAGGTACCTCTACGAGCACCGCGGATGGTTCGTTCGGGAAATGCGTCTTCGAGGCTACCAGCAGCTATTGCAGAGTTACCGAGTTGTTGGTCTTTCAAGCATGGCAAACGACTTTGGCGTCTCGATTGACTATCTCGACCGGTATGTATCTCATTTTTTTTAGATTTTGTTGTCGGCTGCTGACTATTATTTCTACTCCGTAGCGACCTTGCCAAGTTTATTGCCGCAGACCGCATCGCCTGCACAATTGACCGTGTCAACGGCATCATTGAGACCAACCGACCAGACGACAAGAACAAGCAGTATAACGATGTGGTCAGACAAGGAGATTCTCTCATCACCAAGCTCCAAAAGTATGGTCAAGCAGTCAGATTACGAGGAAGCGAGAGAGTATAGATTCACATCCCTGGGGAAGCATCTCATCATATGTCAATGGAGAAACGCATAAGGTTGCAGCGGATTGTATTTTAATTGCTAGCTAGCATTAGAAATAGTATATGAAGTTCAATACTAAGTCATTCCAACTTTCAAAGCTTAAAGCTTGATGCGTGTATTTGCCTTTTTTCCGAGTTCAAACCAATTGAATTGAGTCAGAGCTAGCGTCTATCTATCATAAATTCTCGTCATTTTTATTATACTTCTAGCACGATGAGCATATTGTACTTTGTATTCTCGTTCATATTCTCTACCTCCAACCCTTTCCCTTGTCTGTGGTGTCGGTCAACAAACGCCGACGACGCCGACCGCTCACAAGCGCGATGAGGATCAACTCCAGTTCGGAAAACCAGCCGCGCACGCGTTCCACTCTACACGTTCTCCCGCCCGCCAACCCGCCATAAACAACAATCCACACAAAGACCCACCTACTCTGTACATCTACAACAAACCCAAGGATGAGTTCTCGAATAAAACGGACGGGCACCAGACGGGCAACACAAACAGACACCTCCTTGCCCGTCGAACTTCCCGAATATGAACCGCCCAAATACCCACTCACGGACTCCTCACAAAGAGCCCTTGCGCAGATCGAGCGCATCCACTCCCTCGAGAAACTCAAGCGCCATCTGGACACGGCCAACAACACTCTGACCGAAATGGCGGGCGAAATCAACGACAATTTCGTCCGACGAGAAGACCAGCACAAGCGGCGCAAGGCCCGGCACGAGGCGCAAGGCATCGAAGGCGATCCCGACGACGAAGAAGCTCGCGAACGCGAGCTCGAAGACATCCGACAGCGCGTGGAAGCAATGACGGACCAGATGGAGCTCGAAACGCGAAAAGCCATCGACGCGCAGGCCGCGGTCGAGAACATGGAGGCCGTGCTCAAAGAAATCACCCAATCCGCTATCCGGACGAGCATGGACGTGCATAATGCCCGCGCGGCGTACCGTCGACATGCACGACAAAGACGCGGAGTTGAAGACGATGAGGAAGAAGAAGAGAGGGACGAGGATGCGCTGGTCGTGGACGAGAACGATCTGGACTGGCGCGTCGACGGAATGTTTGCGGCCCAGGCGGCGGACACGGCGCCGAGTAAGCTGTGGGATGCCCAGTATGATGAAAAGGACGCGCAGTATCAGCGGCTGTCGTTGCAGAATCGGTGAGTCCTCTCTCTCTCCCTTTGTTTAATTTTCCTTCTTTTCCTTTTTATTCCTTCCTTTCCTTTGTTGGGGGGTTTGGGGCGTTTGTTTATCATGTGAAGAATACATTATCAAGACTAGATACACAGCAATGGACTCAATGCTAATATCGAAACAGCTACGCCTCGAACAACTCCTACGTCGGGTTCAAACGCATGGTCCACGACGCGCGCAATCCAGGTGAAGACGCCCCTCCACTTTCTAATCCCTCCACATGGTTCGCGGCCGCAGCCGCAGCATCACAACAACAAGAACGAGACTCGGATTCTGCCACCCTTACCGCAGGAAGTACGCCTGCTGCTCCCGGTCCTGCGGGTCCTGCTCGAGCACGAAGCCGAAAACCTGCCCGCCCCGCCGCCGCCGCAGACGAAGAAGACGACGACGACGACGACGACGACGACGACGACGTGGCCATCGCCCGAGAAGTCATTTCCATCAAATGCCCACTTACGCAACAAGTCTTCCGCGACCCCGTGACGAGCAAGAAATGCCCGCACAGTTTCGAGCGCGAGGCCATCATGAGCATGATTCGCCAGAGCAATTTGTTTGTCGGCGGCTCCGCACCGCCCAGACGCGGCGGTGTCCCGCGTGATGGCAAACGCGCTGTCAAGTGTCCTGTTTGTGAGAAGGTATGTTAAGTAGTCCGGGAGGAATAGGAGTGAGAAATTTCTGATCTTTTTAAATCTGAAACTAACGGACAAAGATGCTCTCCACCGACGACTTCTTCTCAGACCAACTTCTCATCCGCCGCATCAAGCGACGCCTGCAACTCGAACTACAACACGATGCTCCTGACTGGGACGATTACGATGAGCCCCAACGCCCCTCGCAGTCGCAGAACGTCAAGCGTGAGGCTGGCTCTCAATCTCAGTCTCAGTCTCAATCTCAGTCTCAAGCACATCATGCGGCGGACGACAGTTTTGCGGGCGAAGACATTTCGGTGCTGGAGACGCAGTATCAGACTGAGTCCCAGTCCCAGAACCAGGAACAGGAACAGGCGCAGGAACAGTCTGCAGCAAAAAGAATAAAGACAGAATCGCGTGCACGTGCGGGTAGAGATCCGAGCATGGTTCCCGGGACGCAGTTTGAGTAGTAATTCCTTGGTCGTTGGTCTCTGGACATGGACATTGACGGGTCAAGGGTATGAACGGGTCAACGGTGGGACGGATTAAATGTATACCAATTAAACTACATTCAGTCACATCAATACTTTAAATCATATATGGATATATCCGGGTTATGGTAAATGCATAAGATAATCTTGATTCATTCCTAATAGACTGTAGTTTTCTATGCCGAGTTCCGTTTTGCATCCGTGACGCTTCCAAGCCGCAAAAAGATATATAATGGATTGATTTTGCGTAATACCGTAGTCCCTTTTGACGCCCGTAGAAATTAAAAGTATAAGGAATAATAAAAAAGGACAGCACACAAAAAAAAAGAGCGGAGGATGAGACGCAGGTGCAGTGATCGCTAGGCTGAAAACGGCAGTCAAAAAAGATATGAGGGCGACGCATCGCTAGAGTAAAAATGAATTATAGACCGACCATGTGGATTCGGCGGTGCTTGGTAATGGAAAATGGATAATGGGTAATTGGTAATGGGTCATGGCAATTGCTTGAAATACAAGACAAGAGCGCAAAAGAAAGGAATGGTATCTCGCGGGGTATCAATGACTGATATTTCCCAGCAATAATGAGAATGATAATGTGGAATATCCCGTTTCAGAGAAATAAAAAGGAACCCAAAGAAACATCCCGGATGAACTTGCTGTGCTCAAGACAATAAGACGAGGCGGAGACTGTTCTACCGTGGTGGGCGAAAATGTTGAGAAAGGGAATGCAGGATACAAAGTATACCTGGGCCCCCTCCTTCGTGACTGATGAATTATACCGACATCTGTATGTGGCAGACGAGGATTGGTTGATATAGAGGATAAGAATAATGCCATGCAGTTGCAATTGTACCAATGCATGCAGAATACTTCAGGTGCTGAACGTGGTATTTCAACGCACGCAAATTATAAAATTGAGCTAATCAGACAAGAACCGCGGGACGTCTTGTGAAGAGCATGTTTACTTGGTGATGAAGCCCAAGTAGTCGGCAACAATCAAAGTGACCATCCTATGCAAATGTCAATGAACGAGTTCCTACAAAACAAAAATGGAAAGGGGAACACAAAAAACTTACGCATGAGGGGCAATCCGAACATAATATGTTCCGAAACCACGGTAGAATCTCAGCAGACCCTCATCCTTGGCCACCTTGCGGAAACAGTCAAGCATGCCACGGTAAGGCACCGAACCATCGGGGCCCTTTTGCTGCTTCTGCAGACGAGTCTTGACAAAGTCAAAGGGCAAGCTGAAAAAAGAAGCGAAGAAGCCAGCAATGGCCGAGGCGGTCAGCGTCTGGGTTCGCACCGACAGATCCGTGTGTGTCTTGAGCTGCGTCTTGGCCTCGGAGAAGAAGGCGAGTTGACCAAAGTTGAGCGACATGGCTCTCACAACCGTTGGCATGGCACCGGCCCACAGGGCAAAGACACCTTCGTTGCGCATGATGCGACCCAGGGCATCGATAACACCGGTATAGTGTGCCCGCTGAGCAGCAGGCTTGAGACCGTCACTCTGCATGCGGATCAAGGCCAGGTCAGCCGGGTTGCCAACCATGGCAGCCAGACCTCCCGCGCAGAGGCCGGCACCTGCACGCTCAAAGAAAGTGACGTTGCGGCCCTTCTTCTCCGCCTCGATCGCCAATGACTTCATCATGGTATCGAAAAAGCCCAAACGTGCCGTCGTGTAAACGGCCTGCCGGAGCAAGCCTGCGCTCAGTCCCGTATACAAATCCAACACCTTGCCGCGGGAGACAATGTCCCGGGCCACGGTAAAGGGAGTCGGGCGGGCTGCATCCTTGACGCCCTCTCCGGCAAGCTGGAGGCGGACCTTGATCATATCCACGGGCTGAATGACGGTGGTCGCCGTCATGCCAGCCAAGCCGCCATTGATAAAAGGCAGCGCGGCGCGCACATAGGGGTGGTGAAGGTAATCAGTCTCAACCTTGACCGCCGACCCCGCGGCAGATCTGAGCGAACCGGTGGCGGCCGCCGACTTGTCGGACGCGGTGTTGTACGCTGACTCGGCGTGGGATTTGGCAGTGTCAACAACGTGCGTCGCGGAAGACATGATCTCTGGCTGGGCTGGATTGAGTTGCGTTTGGCCTCGTCTGGTTTTCTCTCGAGCGAACGGAAAGGCGAATTGCTGAAGCCAGAGAGAGGGACAACGCACGTCAGAGGATCAGTGTGAGCGGGAAGAGGAAAGGGAGAAAAAGAGAAGCCCCTCCAGCACGGCGAAATGAGAAAAGGACCCTAAACAATTTAGGTGTGTCCTAAATGTTGGGAAGCTCGTTAGCCCATGGGGAATGGTCAAGCAGCGGCGGCATCCGCACGGTAGCGGTGGGATGACGATCAAGCCATGAGACCCATGCTACCAAAAAGCCGATGACCCATAACTGATAAAAGGTGGAACAGAGAACAAAAGCGAGACAAATAGTTTTGAAGATGAACAACTGGTAAACTATGGGCCGCTTATCGGCGCTTTGCGACAGTGGTGATATGATGGCCTCAGGGTCACACTGCCGTGGACCTCACGCGCAGGGGAGAAAAAAACCAAAATCTGGTCCCACATACCTTGCTAACGATGACGAACCCCCAGGAGCTCGTGAAAGTGCAGGACCCCACAGCTGCGTCTCCACCCACGACGCTAAGTTCAGAGCTTGCAAAGAATTGATGCTGAAGGCAGCCAGTCAGATTCGCTGCAATCAAGATCCCAACAAAGTCACAGGGAAAGTACCAAGTTTAAAACAATGACAGCCGGCGTTGAGCTTGTTGTCGGCGTAATTTCCACTACTTCACAAAGAAAATGTATTTCTGCGAAGCAGGAGAGTGCGAGAGAGATAGTACGAGCACAAATATATATTTCAATGAAAAGGAGAAGAGCGCGATAGAACGTAGAGCGAGAAGATTAAACAGAAAAAAATTGCTTCACTCAGCCGTAACAGAGAAAAGAGAGCAGCACCCACAAGATATATTAAGGCCACAGCGGATAGTAAATGCTGGGCAACGACGGGCACTTGGTCGCCGCTGCCAGTCGCCCGGTCCAGTCATCTGCCGTAACACCCCTCTTACCCCCTCCAACGTTTGTTTGACCTTTCTCCATCTCGCCGTTCGTTGGATGCGAGCCTATTGCCCTCGGCGTCCGTGACGGATGACTTGGTCCCTGCCGCTCTTCTCCGAGTTGGGGGTTTTCGTGTCTGTTGGCTTACCTCGGGTCATCGGAGCCAGTCAAGACAAGGTTAAGGGCAAGACCTAAGCCAATGCTAAAAGGAAAGTGAGGCAGATTTGGGCGGGAGGGGGAGGGAGGGGAGGGTGTGTTAGGCGGCATGCATGCAGACATGGTTGAATGCGGGGCAAGAAGGCCAGATGAGCTCGTTTGGTGGGTTAAGAAAGAGGGTGGGAGAAAGGGGTGAGAGAGCGTGTGGGATTCGTCTACGGTGGGTTTTTGGTTTGTGGACGAACTAGGGAAGGTGAAGGCAGCACGAGGTGGAAACCCCCATTACGGAGTAGTTAAAAAGAGCTGGGTAGGTACATCTGGAATCATCTGATACAGGTTAATAATTTGAACAAGATAAACACTCTCCAGTGAAAGCTTTCTTTAAAATTATAGCTGATGACGACCACTGTATGAGATGCTCTGGAGATCAACTGATTGCTGAGCAGAGCATGTGGGGGGCTTGGGGGAGGAATATGATTTCCATCTGGTTGAGGTAGATGAAAAGTACATGGGACTCGTCATCTCGCGCTATTTGCCGTGGTTGCCATGGTTTCAGCTACTTTCATCCAAGCCATGACTTAAATTGTGGCCTGGGCTTCCTCGGATAAAGTAAGTTACTCAAGGTAGCCTGGGCCTACCAGGTCTACCTGGGCCAATGGCCTGATAATCACAGGATGCATAAAAGCCGGCATAAGTGCTGTGCAGTCAAGACTCATAAAAGCAAACAGTTATGCATCTTACTTATCACCATCACGGAACCTCGCCGGCTTTTGAGTCTGTCTACTTACATCCACGCAAAAGCATGCCACACTTGACTTGGCATCGACCCATCTGTCGAATTATCAGAACCCTGCTGCCACACATTGTTCCTTCAGTTCTTTTGGTCATCTCATACTCCGTAGTGTTCCCTAGGTTCTCTAAACCCCACCTGAGGTATCGTGGTTTAATGGAATATCAAATTCCCTGCCGATGCATGATCCCTTGGTCCGTACATGGTCACTGGAATTCTATATGCGTTCCTTCGAATCGGCTCATGTCCCCTGACGTAATGTAATCATAATGTTAACATTAGCCTAACAAATTCCATGTCCATGAATCGTTCATTAATCATCATAAATACATGTACGCTGCAAACCTTTGCAGGCACCGGCAATTCGTCAATGTCATTAAGATGATCTTGTCGTCCCCAGGATCAGGATATCAGAACAGAACAGAAAGAAAAAAAAATATATCATCGGCCAACATAATTCATGACTTTTCGGTCATCTCGCCCTCAGCAGCCTGATCTACATTCATCACGCTCTCGGCTTGCAGCTCCACGACACCCATCTTGGAAGTGTCGTAGCCATGCTGGAGCAGGTACTCACGGAACCTGATATCCTCGGTCACAATCGTGTCCTGAGCAATGTGAGGCAAGCAGAAAAAGGCGAGGAATGCGCTGAACACGCAAAGCGAACTAGACACCCAAAAGGCATGCTGGCCACCAGTCGCCTCGTTTGGCGCGTTGGAAATGATGATGGGGAACACCTTAGTGCCGACAAATGCTCCAACTTTACCAAGAGCCGCCGCGATGGCATAGTACTGTCCACGAACACTTGTCGCACACGTCTTGGAAGCCGCAAGGCCAATGTTGTCCCCCGGCCCCAGCTCGCCCAGAGAGAGAAAGATTCTGTTTCCATGTTAGCGGATCAATAGCACACAGATCAAAAGCTTCTGGGGCAATTTTACCCATAAACCACTACAAAGCCAGCCACGTGACTGGGAGTTGCAAGCAGATTGTAGCAGCCAGCCATGATAAAACCGACAATGGCCTGCGCCAAAACACCATAAGCCAGCGTGGCTCGAGGGCCAATCCAATCGCTGACAAATGATCCAAGAATGCAACCCGGCATGTAAAACAAGTAGATGACTGTAGTCCAACCGAAAGACTTCCAGAGAGGAGGACTGCTGCCCAAAATGATATCAACAATTTTCGAGGAGTAGATACCAAAGGAGTAGGCAGAAAACTAGAAACATTGTTCGATCAGCACTAACGCACCCAGCGTCATGAATGTACTTGGGTAAAACATACATCATAGATGAACCAAATCGCCGAAACGATGAACAAGCGCCACCAGTAATACCTGTAAATGTCAGCACCCCCACATCAAATCTGCGAGCGGATTTTTGACTCACTTAATGACCAACAACCACGGAGTTCTGGCGCGTTTCATGGTCTCACGCTTGTAAGCCTCAGGTTCCTGCAGCTTGAGCCGCAGGTAGAAGAGACTCATAGGCGGGATAACACCCAGACCAAGAGAAATTCTCCATGCCGCCCGAAGGTGATCTTCTCCGCAAATCCAAACCAGGACCAGAGGAACGAAGGCGGAGATGACGAAGCCAAAATCAATCTGGACATTCGTAAATAGAATGAACCATCGGTTGCGAGTTCCGGCCTTGAGCTCGCCCGAACTCTCAGCGCAAGCTACACTGCCGGCAGGGTATTCGCCTAAACATCAAAAGCTCAGTTGTTAGGTCTATCGACGGCGATAGGAAAGCGGGGAATACACTCACCTCCGATACCGATACCAAGCAGAAATCGATAGGCAGTCAAGGCAGCTAACATTCCCCCTAGACTATGATGCGCACCCCATGCGCCAGCAGCAAGTGCGGCAAAGATGATCAGGATGATTGTTGACGCCATAAGTGACCATTTTCGAGAATAGTGGTCGCTAGTGTACCCGAAAATGAGCATGCCGACAACGGTTCCCGCGAATACAATGGATGCGACATTCGAGTATGCTGCGGAATCAGAGTATTTGGAACCATAAATCTGAGAGAGCATCGTATTGACTTGACCGATGACCTGTCCTCACAATCTGCCATCAGCTCCGACATCATAGCGAGACGCAAAATCATGACCAAAATTCATTCCTGAGAAAATTCTACATACGCCATTGAGATATCCGTCGGAGAATAATCCAGCGCCACAGGCCAACGACGGCCATAGACGCTCCCAGCGAGACTTGTTGGTGTGCGCGAGAGCTTCCGTATCGGGCGGGGAAAGAGTGCGGTCCACCGGTTCGTCCGAGGTAGTGACAGCAGCAGCGCTGTTATCCTGTGCCATTGTGTCTTTCATCTTGGCAGCTTGGCAGCAAAGAGCTTGCTTTGCAGAAAGTCGCCAGAAGATGGTGAAGAATGCGACAAAACTGGCAGCGCGACGGGTGAGAAGGCGCAAAAGAGCTGGCACGGGCAATATCTGGGAGCCAAAATGCCTTTCTTAAGTCACCACTTTTTTTTATCGGGCTACTGTCATTGGATCCTGGCGGTGACCCCCTCCCCGGTCCATAAGATACAAAAGAAACATCAACCCTACCAATGGCTTTGCTCAAAGCTTGGTTATGGGCTGAACGTCAACGTCCAATAGGTTGACAGTTTAAGACATTAAGCATCGGGGCTAAGCGACCGAGTGGGCCAATTGCGGCAACGACGGACTTCTCTTGCCCAATGAGTCCTAGACTGGATGAGGCTTTCCACCCGTCGTCGCCTCATACGCAACGTGCCACGGGGACAATATCCAAATGCGTCAATCCCGTGATCTTGCCTGCGGAAAAGAGAAATCACCTTGGTCGCTGTGTATCGACCGTCTGGGGAGCCGGATCGAGTATCTGAGTCGAAGCTATGTAGAAAAGCCCATCGTCCTTCCGATTTCAGGGTAGCGCGAATTCGCCACATCTTAGACAGATCCAGGGACCCTGCAGGGCCAATTTCAATCATCGTCTCCGATCGAGGGAGAGAATCCGTTTGACGCGTCCGCATGCTTTCGAATGATGCTATCATTGGGCCAAGATAACAGCGATGCTCCCCTATCTATGCTCTCCTACCATCGGACCTTTGACTGATAATTTTGGTCCAGAGCACCCAGCTGATAAAAGCGCGACGAAAACTTACAAGCCAGAGCCGACTGAACCGCAAATGCAGATCTTTTGATCCACTCGTGTTAGCCTCTTCGGCTTTGCCGAGCATTGGATGTCCTGATGTCCACAATGGCTGGCGTTTCATATGCTAATCAATTTCGTTTGTTGTAATTTTCAAACCCCAATTCAATTGTGATAGGCGTGAACATTTTTTCCGGTAAATCTTAACCCCTTTCCTCTTGGCTCATGCATGGCTTTCCAGGCTTTGAAGACAGCATTTCAACCCAAGAAAATTGCACATACGCCTTCAAGAGTTCGTGTAGTAGCTACCGTACGTCAAGTTGTCATTGATTTCTATGATGCTGATACTAATTCTGCGTCGCCACTTCCGGGATGGCTTATGTAGAAGATGGTCTGAGTGTCAAAGTAGCGCCAGGTATTTGTCAATTCGTTAAATCGTTTCAAGCCGTCCAGCGTATTTATATCAAAGCCCCAGCTTAACGCGTATTTTATCGGCAATGGCCATGAAGGTTTCCGCTCTTTCGCTTCCGGGCTCAGCGACTACAGTTGGAATACCCCTGTCTGCGTCGTCGCAAATTCGGGGGTGGAGAGGGATATCACCAAGGAATTCGATGTTGTGATTTGCGCATTCTCGAGTCACACCCTCTGAGCCAAAAATGTGGGTGCTTTTGTTACAATGTGGGCAGGTAAAGATTGACATATTCTGTACCATACCCAGAAGCTAAAGACGACTGTGTCAATTTAAACCCGCTTTCCAATAAAAGGGTCTATCCAGAGAACATTTACCGGTACATTGACTTTATTGAACATAGTAATACCCTTAACCGCATCTTTGAGGGCAATGTCTTGTGGAGTTGACACGATGACAGCGCCTGATATCAATCATTAGCCACATGCGAAGGCGTCAAATACAGCCATTGCGATCCACTTACCATCAAGATTCACCTGTTGGGTAATGGTCAATTGGGTATCTCCCGTGCCCGGAGGCAGGTCAAGGACTAATATATCCAGTCCACCCCATTCAACCTCATGTAACAGCTGTTGAAGAGCTTTCATGACCATCAGGCCTCTCCATACTACCGCTGCCTTTTCATCAACTAGATAACCCATTGACATGGATTTAATTCCATAATTAGATAATGGGATAAGCTGGTTATCTAGCAATCATTAACAATAGGGCTAAGCAAGTTTCCAAGAGTCCGTACTTGAAGAAAGGCGCGGTTCGCCCGATAAGTTTAGGAGCGTTGGAATAGAAGGTCCAAAAATGTCTGTGTCCAGAATGCCGCTCCGAAGGCCTCGGCGGGCGAATGAAAGTGCAAGGTTTACTATAAGGAAGTCAATATTAATTTCAAATTCATGGTTTGTATCGGCTTTCTTTCCTACCAGCTATAGTAGATTTCCCAACACCACCTTTCGCGGAAGACACTGCAATCACCTTACGCACATCCTTTATATTCCGCTTCTGCGGAAGTCCCCGCTGCATTCGTGGGATTTGAGGCGGCGCCCCAGAGCGGGGAAGCCCCTATAATTATATGAGAATGGAAATTGAATTGAAACATGGTGAAAGGATGATCATATACCAATGGATTTTCATGCTGCAGTCTACTCAACGTCGAGAACAGCCTTCTGCTCATGATCAATCACATGTCGTAGGCCGAAGATGCATTGGTCTGGCGTTGACGTCGGGAATAACATTCTACGGCAACCTTAGTACACCCGACCCGCAACTTCCGCGCTAAGATTATTTCGCGGCAAATTCCCAAATTTCTTCTCCGACAAACCTCGGATTTTGCGAAATCAACAATGGCGAAGGCAAAGAGAACAAAGACTCTAGCAGAGCAAATTGCGGATCTTGAGGACCCTGCTCCCAAAGGTGAAGACCTCATGGCAACATTCTTGGCCCAAAGCTGACTTTAGCAAAGATTTCGACCCGGAAGATCAGGCCGAACATAGCGAGAGTGAAGATGGAGCGGCTGGCAGTGAGGACGAAGAATTCGACGGAAGAGAGCATTACGTGAACGTTGAGTATGCTTAATTACTTCAGCGCCATTAAACTGATGACTGACTTAAGAATTGTAGTAAGAGCAAATTGCGCAAAAAAGGCGAAGTCCCACTTGGTCCTCAGTACGAAGGGGCTCGCGTCAGCCGATCTGCATTAGAGGGAGAGGAAAGCGATGATGACCCTTTCGCAAGCGGTAGAAGTGGGGATGAGAATGGTTCTGCTGAATCGGATGCCGATGAAGTCGAAGAGGACTCAGCGATGAATGACGCCGCCGAAACCGACGACGAAATTGACAGCGACGAGGCATTAGGCGAGAGCGATGCAGAGAAATTCAAAGACTTTACTTTCCGAGGCAGCTCAAAGCCAAGAGAAAGGAAAATAGACGACGTCGCAAAAGCGAACGGTGTTACACACGAGTCACATGAATCTGATTCAGACGAGGAACTCAGCCAGGACGACGAGGGTTCAGCGTCGAACGAAGATGATAATGGAGAAGACGATTCTGAAAATGAGTCGCAGAGCGATCAAGACGAAATTGATGATGACGAGGACGAAGAGAGCGAGGATGGAGAAGAAAGTGAGGATGAAGATGAACCATTAAAGGACGAGGACTCTGAGCGGGCTGCTTTGAGGGAAATGATGAGCTCAGAGCAAAAGAATGTGACGGCTATAATATCGCAAGCTGCCAAGGTGGATGCTGAAAAGGGTGAGGCGGTCAAGCAACAACGTCAGACTTTCAGCACCCTTCTCAACACTCGTATACGACTCCAGAAAGCGCTTGTGGCAACAAACACTTTCTCCGCCGCCGACGATGCCTCCGAAGCCGATGCGGCTGCTGTACGCTCAGCCGAAGAGGCGGCCCTTTCGCTATGGAACACTCTCGACTCTTTCAGGGTTTCTCTGTCATCTGCTCGGACAGGAAGCAAACGAAAACACTCTGCCATCGATATCGACAATGCTTCGCCCGAAAGTCTTTGGAGCCGCATGCAGGAGCACGAGTCTCAGCTTCTTCCCGCTCGAAAATTGACCCTCGAGAAATGGTCAGCGAAAGTCCGCTCCGCTAACGCTGCTCCTGTCACTCGCAAGCTCAACACCGCTTCTGAGCAGACCATCACTGACGTGCTCACATCTCATCTGGCAAACTCTGAAAGACTAGTCAAGCGCACGCAGATTCCACGTTCTTGCGCACCCCTCCAAGCAAGCAAAGGCGCGCAAGAAATTCCAGAGGTTTACGACGACGCGGATTTTTACAGCTTATTGCTCAAGGAGCTTGTAGATCAGCGAATGGCCGACTCAGCAGCAGCCGCTTCCGAAACCTTTACTGGTGCTAGCCTTCCAGCCCAATGGGAGGCCGCTCGTTCCGCCAAGACAAAGAGGAATGTCGACACAAAGGCTAGCAAAGGCCGGAAGTTGAGATACACAGTGCACGAGAAGCTCCAAGATTTCATGGTACCGGAAGATCGTGGTACTTGGGAAGATCGCCAAATCGATGAGCTCTTTGGTAGTCTGTTGGGCAAGCAGATGGAGCTGAATGAAGATGAAGGCGACGAGGAAGAAGCATTGATGCTTTTCAGGAGCAAAAATTGAGGCGTTATATAGATAGGTACTGGGCTAAATCGTGCATTCTAAAAGTTATCTTCTTCGCATCATACCAATAATATATAAATATTTCAAGAGAACGTTTTGAACGTTTTGGCTCCAAGAACAGAGCATTACAGCTTCCAACGCATGCCATGTCCGTAGTGATGTTCACCATAGGGTCGTATCAAATACGTCAATCTGCTGGTGATATCAAACAGAACCATGCATGCAGGCCTCTCAAAAAGTGTTAATGACGATATATAGGCATCGTTTCCTTATTCTGTATCCGAGTCGTCGATAAACGTGGAAGGGGGAGGGGGTATAAGACTATCTCTCTCCAAACTATCCGGCAAGAGCTGGCTGACCGTCCACATCGCATCATCCCCCTTCAGTTCGTCTTCCCAGTGACGATGATTATGATGATGTAAACGAATAGGTGGCGGTGAGGAAGCGGGTATTGGAGGCGGAGAAAATGAGGATAATAGATGTTGCGATGAAGGTTGAGTAATATCCACAGTCGAAGCTTGAGACAGCCGGAAGAATCCGCTTATCGTGCTGTCCTCGGGAATTGCACGCTCTTGACCGACACTTGCAAGCTCCTTGCGAGCTCTGCATGTTTGCAGACTCCTCCGAGATAGTAAGGGAGAGGATTGTGAGAGGTGGTTAGAGAGAGAATGTTCGCCATCCTGGTAACAGCTGTCTGTTTCTGCGCCTAGGGTACTCTGTTCCTCCACGGCAGAGGTCGGCCTTTCAGTCAGATGTGAAGCCGATTGGCGCCCTTGTCCCGCCACTTCACACACTTTATGAAACGGTGGCGCTTCGATTACATTGCTCCCAGCTTCCTGTTTGATCTCTTCATCATTTGATCTCCTGACAGGACAGCCTTGATCCAATTTCAGTGCTCCTGGAGAAGAGGCTTGTGACTCCTGGTAATTGATGTGAGTATCATCTTCATACTCTCCATCTTCACTCTCATCCTCTGAATCCTGGATTTCGAGTTTTATTGGCTCGCGTCGTTGCGAGGCTGCTTGGCACGGAAGCTCATTGCTAATGTTATATGGCGAACATTTCGTTGCATCCTTGGCAAACTGTGTCTGAGATTCATGCGGATCAAGTGTCGAAGTTGTCGATAGCGTACTTTCGTTTTCCCATGAATATGTGCTTTTGATTTCCAACTTCGGTGCCCTTCTGAGCGTTCTTCTAGAGCTGCTACTTGGGCTCTGTACTGGCCGATTCGTACTTCTTTCCTTCAAAGGTGACCTCAAAGGGCTCTTGTTGCGGCTGAGCTTCCGTATTGATAAGGGACTCCCGGCCGAGGATTGTGAGCATGGCACCTCAGATTGTCGAGATTTGGATGGGGTTTTTGGCAATTCCACTGATGATATTGCAACTTTTTGGCTATCGCACTCTCCATTGCTGTCTTTCTTTTCTCGCTTTAATCCGGCGTTTGACACCGTCGACAAAGGTGGACGGCGGTCTAAACATGGCCCGGCTGTCGCTTTTGGTGTGATCTCCGAATCTTCCACAGTATCTGTCTCCAGCTCTTCATCGCTAGAGGAGAGCGGCAAGAAAAAATCAATTTGTGTCAAAGTCTGCTGTCTTGCCTGTAATGTTCGTAGTGGATTTTTATGAGCAACGCGTTTCTCATGAGGCTTGAAACGCTTCTGATGGAGATACGCCGGAGATGTATATGTTTGGAACGAAGCTTTTCTCTTCTTAGATGGATCAGACATTATGTATAAGATCAAGGCAATGAGTCGTTTATATCAGCCGGGTCAGTTTCATTGCCTTTGAATGCTTTCTTGAGTAGTTCCTTGATAGTCTGCGTCTAGCCCGGTCGTATAATGTAGTGGAGCCAAATAGTCAACTTAAATTGGGCCTAAATGGGAACGCGCCTACACGCGTTTCGCGCGTAGCGAGGTAAGCCTTCGGCTGATGTCATCACAGCAGCCTTATCACAGGATGCAGCACATCATTCGTCTCTGAGTCATATGTTTATATACAACAAATTTCACTTGCTACATTTCGCTTTTCGGATTGGAATTATATGGCGAAACATTTTTGCGGACTTTTCGCTGTCTGATTTAGCCACTTTTTGAACTGATGCGCGGTGCTTTGTTGGATTATAAAGCCTTTCGGAGAGTTCAATCATGACCATCTTGGCAAGTTTATGATACAGTAATAGGGCAGCATGCCTCCTAGAAGCCGGGGAAACTACCCCAATAGGCGTGCCGGTAGGAATGGCTTCGCAAAATTACACAGTCGGATTAGTCCCGCTCCCGAAGAGGTTCACGAAATCATCAGCCTTGATGAAGAAAGCGATAACTCTGTTGTGGTGACAGGCAGTAGAGTGAAACCGACGCAGCCTCAAGAACGAAGGCGGGCACCACGCACCACAAAGCCAGCTTCAAGTCCACCAAAAAATGATGCGATGCCAAATGTTTACCTAGAAATGCTTCATGATGCGTCTGCATTAAGTCAACATGAACCATCTGACCGAGCGTCAAAAAGGCGAAGAGTTGAATCGCGATTAGGAGCTGAGTCGCTTGATTACGAGCCTCAACATGATGTTATTTCCGTGCCCGAAGATTCGCCTGGCCATACTACTCGGCCCCCTCCACAAATTATCTTCGATGACGACGAAAGTTCTGAAGAAAGCGACTTTGATTGGGAAGAGGTTGATTTGGCCCGGGACACCGCAGCGGAAACTCCCAGTGCAGCTGAAGAAGGCCCAAGCAAGGGCCTTGATATTGTCATTGGCGGCGAGAGATCTGGTCCAGAGAGAAAGGTTGCTCGGAGGCGGCCCGTTACTGCCTATGAAAAGAAGGCTCGACTGGACATTCATAAAACACATCTTCTGTGCCTTGTCGCTCATGCATGTATGCGAAGCACTTGGTGCAATGATGATGAGGTGCAGGTTAATACTCCCCCAATTGCCGCATGTATATGCTAGCTCTTGCTGATGCTTCTGTTCCTACAAAGTCGTCACTTCAAGTCTTGCTCTCTAAGAAGACACAATCCTACCTTGTACCGAATGCAACTCTATCACAATTTCAACGTTCAAGGTCATTCATGGATGGCTTAGCCCAAGCAAGTGAAATATGGAGGAACAAGTTTAATATCACTGCCCGAGGCCTTAGGAATGCTGTTTGGGCCGAAAACGAAGAGACGCTCAAGAATGTGAGACTCAATAATTCAAGTGAAAACGGTTCTGTCCTGACGAACATTACAGTATAAATTGCCGGAGGACACAGATACACCAATGGACTTATCAGATTTTCGATCAGCTGCGAAACGATTACAGGGATCTCGTGATATCGGTGCTCAGCTATTCTGCGCACTTCTCCGTTCTGTGGGCGTGACGGCAAGGCTAGTATGCTCACTTCAACCTCTACCTTTCTCCTCCTCGAAATCCGCCACGGCTCAGCCGTCCACACCAAATTATATATATGCCGATACTGGAAGTTCTGACAGCAGTGGTGAGGATGACCATGGAATTGATCTGAATGGGCCATCTCCAGCCTTTGGCGCTTCGTCGACCGCTCAAGGAGTTGGAGGAGCACCGGTGTTACCGCCTCGAATAAGACGGATAGGGCAACCATTCTTTGGTGAGCCAAGACGGATGGACATAGGAAAGCCACCACCAGCTCCTCGTAGGTTTTACTTCTGCCATTCCGACGCCCTTCCAGTCGCTAAATTTCAGTTTTGACAGAACCGAGGAAGAAATTCCGGGAGTCACCTTTCCCGGTATATTGGGTTGAGGTTTTCAATGAGGCACTGCAAAAATGGATACCTGTTGACCCGCTGGTAACAAAGACTATTGCAAAGCCATCCAAATTCGAGCCTCCTGCTAGTGATATCGAGAATACCATGTCTTATGTAGTTGGTTTGGAGGCCGAGGGTGAAGTTAAGGATGTCACGCGCCGCTATGCTAAAGCTTACAATGGAAAGACGAGAAAGCTCCGGGTAGAATCTACCAAAGGTGGCGACAGATGGTGGTGGAAAGCCTTGAGGAAGTTGAGAAGGGGATGGGTGTTGGTAAGCTTTTTAATGTCAAGTCAAATGTTTGAAACTAATGCCTCCTCAGGATCGTGATCAAGTAGAAGACGGTGAGCTAGCTGCTCGAGAAGCTTCTGAGGAAATGCCTCGGAATGTACAGGATTTCAAAGATCATCCATATTATGCTCTCGAACGACACTTGAAACGGAATGAAGTAATTTTTCCAAAACGAGAAGTTGGTAAAATGAGCGTTGGGAGGACATCCTCGACAGGCCCTGGCAAAGCACTTGAGCCGATCTATCGTCGACGGGACGTGAACATCGTAAAGAGTGCGGACGGATGGTACAGACTTGGGAGAGAAATAAAAGTAATGGCTCATTGTTCATTCGGAGACTACAGTTGCTAATATGATTTGGCCGCGACAGGCCGGAGAGCAACCTCTCAAATTCGTAACAGCGCGTCGCAATCAAGTTCAATCATTTGAAGATGATGACGACCGTACAGCCCAAGATGCTGGCGTTGGCCTTTACGCTGAATTCCAAACGACCCTTTATGAGCCTCCTCCAATAGTGAATGGACGTGTTCCCAAGAATGCCTTTGGAAACCTTGACGTTTACGTTCCCACCATGGTACCTAAAGGCGGTTTTCATATTGCTGGTAAGTTGATCCTTGCGACTCCAGAACACCGAGCCATGTTAGACTGACCGAAAAAAAAGATAGTGAAGCTGCTCGTGCCGCTAGTATAGTCGGAGTAGACTATGCCGATGCTGTTACCGGTTTCGAGTTCCGTGGCCGTCAAGGAACCGCGGTTGTCCGCGGCATCATCGCGCCAGCAGAGTACCAAGAGGCTATTGAAGCCGTTATTCAGGGTTTGCGCGATGAACAAGCCGCAGCCGAAGAAGCTCTAAGAAGCGCCGAAGCTGTTCGTATGTGGAAGAGATTTTTGGTTGCGCTTCGAATCAAGGAGAGAATCAGCGGTTATGATATTGAAGGCATGCAAGAAGAAGAAGATCGTCGAGATTTAGAAGATGAGCAAGACGATGCCGAAGCTGAAGGCGGAGGCTTTTTCATGGACAGGGATCAGGTCGAGATTGCAGAACCAACTGCTCCGCCATTCAATGAACAATTGCATATGACTGGCCCTCTGCTGCAGAGCGGCCACGATGACAATGCCGATAAAGGTTCGGCCAAAATTACATTGACGCTAGGAGAAGATTTTCCGGGTTCCTACACCACGCAGCCCGCAGTGGAATCCGAATATGCTGCTGGCGGCGGGTTTTTTGCTGAGGATGATGGCGGTGGCGGAGGGTTTCTTTTCGAGGAAAACCTCCCTGCAGACGCAGCTCATTCAGCGGTCTCGGAGGGGTCTGGTGGCGGTTTCGTCCCGCAGGGAGAAGGCGTCAATAATTCCCTTGATTATCATGAGGCCAACCCGAAACCTGGCGACGCAAACATTTATGAGCCTCAAAATAATTCACATCTGCTGGCAGAGGGTTCGACTAACGAGGCTGAACCGGTTGGCGAGGAAAGCGATGAGCTCGAAAAAGGCTCGCTACTTTCACATGATCCGGAAGATGAAGATGCTGAACCAGAGTGGCTCATCGATGACTGACATGGGGATTGATAAGGCGTTATACATGTTATCACGAACCGGAAATATATACCTTAGGCACTATTTTATTGCACGTATGGAAGGCGGCGCATTCAAACAGGGTTTTTGGGTCAAAAGAACAAATTTATCGCATCTAATTCTTGATATTAGATTCATGAAGTCATAATCTTGATATCTCTATTTTAAAAACTATAGTTCATCTTTTCATGCTCGTAACCGTTCTAGCTAGAAAGGATAACTTTTGGTATTTATTTACTTGAGACGCTGAAGGATCTTGATCAGATCTCCAGTGACACCAGCAGCGGTGACCTCACCACCGGCGCCCGCGCCTTGGATGGTAACAGCAGCATCACCGTACCGCTTGGTGTAGAAGTTGATGATGTTGGCACTGCCCTTGAGGGCGGCAATGGGGTGGGTGGGGTCAAACTTTTCCAAGCCGACCTTGACCTGGTTGGTGGCGGTCTCGATCTTGCCAACGTAGCGAATGACCTTGCCCTCGGCCTCGGCCTCCTTCTTCAGCTTCTCCATCTCGCCGTCGTAGCCGCTCAGCTTGCTCAGGAACTCGTCTGAGCTGCCACAGCTCTCGAGATCCTTGGGAATCAGAGACTCCACGGGGAAGCTGGTGGGAGAGGCGATAGGGAGGCCAATGATACGGCCCAAAATGGTGAGCTTGCGAGCGACATCGAGACCGTTGAGGTCGTCACGGGGGTCGGGCTCAGTGAAGCCGAGCTCCTTGGCCTGCTTGACGGCAGCGCTCCACGAGCCGCCCTGGGCGCCAATGGGAGCGAAGGTGTTGAAGAGGTAGCTCATGGTTCCAGAAAAGACACCCTCAATCTTGGTGACCTCGTCGCCGGTATCGATAAGCTCACGGAGAGTCGAGATGACGGGCAGACCGGCACCAACGCTGCTCTCGTGGAAAACCATGCCGCCATTGCGGGACAGCGAGGCAGCCTGGATATCCTCCCACAGGTCCAGCTCGCTGCTGAATGCCTTCTTGTTCGGCGTGATGACGTGGATGCCCTTGCGGAGGAACGTGGGGTAGGCGTGCGCAACGGCCTCGTTGCTCGTGTTGTCGACGAGAACAACGGGGGCTGGGGCAATGGCAAGATATTCGGCGATCTGGGGAAGAGAGAGAACGGGTGCTTTGGACTGCTCGAGGTCCTTCTCCCATGTGGACAGGTTCAGTGACCGGAACGACTCGCTGAAGAGCAGCTTGTTGCTGCGGGCAAGCAGAATGACGGAGACATAAGTCTGAGCAGAGGCTGAGCGAGAAAGCTTGCTAGATAGAGCAGCGAGCTGGTTCAGGAAACATTTGCCAACACCGCCGGTGCCGATGACGGCGACGAAGATTTGCTGAGGGTGGTGCATCGTGGTCGTTATGCGGTGGTGTTTTGTATCTATTTTTGTTTTCCGTTTGTATACTTCTTTGTCAAAATTCGGTCAATTCCAGAATTGACGCGATTAAGAAGAGAAAGGAAGAGTGGACAAGGACGGATATGCGGATGTAGCCTGATAATGACGTGCTTGGCAATGGGCAACTGTTTTATAAGGGAGGAAAGGGTGAGTAACTGCTATCAATCGTCATTTCTCATAGTTTTGTAAGTCTCTTTCTGCCCCTCGTCTCTCTGGTGGGGTCCGTTGGTCTTTTTTCTCGGTCGCTTTGACCAGCCCGTGCCGGCTGGTCGGGGCGGATTCTATCATCCCGCTTGTTAACCCAATCAGATTCGTTCCTATGGGTTAGTCACCGGGTAAAGGGCCCGCTTCGCTTTATCAGTTGATATTTTAGTATCAACACCAGCAGTCTTCGCCGACTCTAATGTTTTATGGTTACGGACACCTATCCGACCTTTCGAGATCAAAGAGAGTAATGGGTTTGGACTATTTAGATAAGATGTCTTAGTGGCATTGAAATAAGGATTTCTGTACATATGAATAGAAACCTTTTTGAACAGTTGAATGTTGTAAAGTCCAGAATTGGGATCGGATGAGAATATATCAGGTCATGTTGAGGGAATACGATACCTTATATATCTGGGGAAATAAGAGCATGATTCACATTAGACGCCTCAAAGCTTATTTTTCTAGCTGCACCGAATTTTCCCATTACGTAGAAATCCACTTTGTCTTAAATGCTTCATTGATCCTTGCATACTGAGAATCCAAGGAAGCGATTGCATGCATCGATACAGAGCGTCTACTCACCGCACGTGCGTCCTCGGGGTTACCCTTTTCAGGTGTCCGCAGTTTGATTGGAAAGCGGATTCGGAAACTGCACTAACCGTATTCGTCCGTGGAGAGCTCTGGCGTCACAACGAGGAGAGAAAGGGACGGGATGAGTGTGATCGGTACTGGAGCATCACGAGTTTCGGGCATTTGATCTCGTGAGCGTAACATTTGCGAGAGTGTTCGACTTCTCTCAATGACTTCTTATTAGCTACTTGTCTTTGTATTGCTATCAAATAAAGGAACCAGCGGAGACGTACTATAGCCCTCGTTCTCTCAATTAAGCTCGACGTAGCTTCAACCCTACCCTTGTCCTATTGTGCCCCCTCGCGTCCGTCTTCCACAATGGATATCGCCTACGATCATATCCTAGAGGAGGCCCTGATTCCCGATGAAGCTGCTCTCGAGCGGAGCCAGAACGAGAAGAAGCCAGAACAAGGTAGTCTCAATACCGAGTTTCAGGAAGCTTACAAGGCCTTCTCCGCAAGTCCTTGGGGTACTCGTCTCGGTGGAATTTGGGGAAATGTCAGGAAACAGGTAAGAACCATTCCCCAAGTAAAGCCCAGTAGCTCAATTTTCCCAGAGCATCGCTTGAGGCTAATCATAATTCTCTGAAACCATTAGGGTGAAACGTATCTCGAAGGCGCGAAGCAGGAATACAATGCTGCTAGTGAGCAAGCATCCAAGGGCTTCACAGATCTTCGCTCGAGCTTAATAAATCGCACGCGGTCACTCTCTCTTAACTCTCTCGGTCAGGATACTGAAGGCCCTTCATCATCATCCTCGGCTCAAGCGGGGACAGACGGGTCTACGACACCACAGGCTGGCTCCAGTGGAGATATAATGTCTCAGTCCGAGAGCATGCTCAGCCGCTTCAAAAGCGAAGCTGCAAAGGGGCTTCGAGAGATTGAAAAGGCCGAGGATGCTGCAGACGAGGCTCTGCTGAAATTTGGTGTCAACATCCGCAACTTCTTCCGCGATGCGGTGTCGATCGCTGCGCCATCAGAAGATGCTCAGGGCAATGAAACTGGCGAGAGCCAAGTGCTTTTTGAAAGCAGAGATCCCGAGGGAAAGCGAGTTATCCATACTACCCGCTTCGATGCCCAGTTACATGTCGTTCACTCGTCGCTTGACAGCTTCTTGCGAGATCCGTCAAGCGCGGAATATGCTCCTTGGAAGAAGGACTTTGACGTGGAAAAGAAGACGGCTGAAATCTCGACTGACCTCGAGAAGTATCCTGAACTTCGCCGCGCTATGGAGAAGCTTGTTCCGGAGAAGGTTGAATATGCCGAATTTTGGACGAGATATTACTTTTTGCGGCACGTAGTTGAAACGGAAGAAAAGCGTCGAAAGGAGCTTCTTCGAGGTGAGTTTACTTTTTTAAACATTATACGTCGTTTTATAGTGCAGTCGCTGCCGGAATACCAGTGAATTCATTTGCTAATCATCTGTGCAACCACAGCCGCTGAGCCCGATGACGAGGAAGAAGTCCCCTGGGACGAGGACTCTGAGGAAGAGGATGCTACAACCCCTCATCAGGCAAGCAGCCAGTCTGCGTCGACTGGAGCTCCTGCAGCATCGCAGGCTCCCACTGCAGCCACAGCTGCCGAACCAAAAGACACCCTCAAGCCTGTCGCTGGACCCCGACGATCGAATGACGGACACTCGCAAGCCGACAGCGACGCGAGCTACGACGTTGTCAGCGGTGCCACGAGCCGAACTCCGGGCAGCCCCAAGGAGGACCGAAGGGAGACTGTCAATGAAGAGAGTGACGAGGAGGACTGGGAGTAAAGTGCTCAGAGGTTGTAGCTGCAAAGTATCATATCACTTGTTTCTCCGTACGGGTTTTTCATGCGCCAGTCATTCAAATACTTTGGCGTTGGATTTGGCAATGCTTTTTTTAAAGCCTCTTGGGTCATAGCTGGGATTTCTCTTTTTGCTTTTTATCTACCTACCTATTCAAGCTTGCGTCACACGGACACTTTGACGCGACGGCGTTTCTTTGGTCAGGATCATGTTGACTTAATAATCTACTTATTTCTATTCTTCTCTCTGCTTTGACGATTTGCGTATTGAGACCCCCGCGAGCATGTGAGATGAGCTACTATACAAGTGGGCATACTGTGGAGGCACTATGTGCATCCGTGGAACAAACTAAATACTGTAGACAAATTTGGGCAAAGCAGACCAGCACGCTGTCCAAAGTAAATAATTGCGTTTTCTCAAACACTGGTATAAAACGCCGTTGATATGCAACTTCTAATGCGAAAATAACAAGGTAAAGCCAAGTGGCGCTGCGAGGGTATTCCTAGAAAATCTTTGTGCCAATTCCTGAAAATTACGCAGGTCGCTTAACATAGACAAGCAGGTACTATGGCTCTTCTGAAGTCGGTAGACGAGTAGGACTTGATTCAGGGGAATGTCGTCCGAGAGGGCTACTCTGCTTAACGATGTGACGGGTATCTCGTCGCAGAGCTGCCTGGCGCCCTTTGGCCCTGTCGGCTGGAGAGGAGGACGACGGAGGAGGTATGTACCGGGAATAGCTTGGGAGAGCACCGCCACCACCGCTACCACCGTAACGTTCTGGAGTAGTGGACCTCGACGAATGCCGACGCTGCTGGAGAAAAAGGGGTGGTGGAGTCTGTGGCAAGGACTCTTGGACGTATTGTGAGTATTGTCCCTCCCATTCTCCATCGTCATATGGTGTATTTCCACGACTATAATGAGCAGGGTGCGCTTGGTAGTCTTCTCCGCGCCGCTTCACTGGACTTTCATCGTAAGGATCGAAGCCCACCCTTCGGCGAGCGTCCTGGCGTGCTCGCCGCCGAGCATCGGTGTCGCTCCCTGCGCCAGTCGTGGAAGATTCTTGAAGGAAGAAATTGAGAAGCTCGTCGTTGATGGCCAGGTGAGATGTCTGTTGGAATTGTTGCAATGAGGTCAAGCGGATCAGAGTTTCAAGCAGCGAAAGCGAGGTCCGGATAGGTGGTAGCGGGCTACGATTCGTTTGTGGCGGGGTGCGGGGAGGAGGGAGAGTGGTGCGCGAGGGTGAAGCTGAATGAGGGGTGGGGATCAACTCGCTTTTATTCGTGCCTGTTGGGGTTGCAGGAGGCGGGCTACTGACGCCTAGTTGAAGCGCAGAAAGAGCGGACGTGAGCGAAGGATCGAGTGACTGTTCTCGCGATTGGCGAGACGGTCGAGGGGAAGCGGGTTGGTTGGTGTCAGATGCAGGAGGCTCAGATTCTGTGTCCGAATCCGTGGCTTCGCTGTATACTTCAAAAGCAATCCACTCTGGATCGAGGTTCGCGGGTAGACGCCATGGGTCGGGCTTCAGATGTGGGTATTCTTCTTGGTCATCATGAGGAGGCGCGGAAGCTTCCTCTTCCTCTCTCAAAAGTTGAGCATCCAGTTCTGACTGTTCTGGGTCTCCGAAGGAGGAATATTTCTCTTCTCCCTCAGCCGTGTCTGGTTCGGAATAATCATCCCTCCAATCAGTTTCGACAGCTACTCGCTCCATCATGCGACGCGGCGGGACGGCGTGTATGTCTCTCTTCAGCAACAAAATCGGATTGTTGGATTCCTCGTCCGAGCCAATATTGAGAATCTTGCCGGTGTCTGCGTAGAAGATTTTTGATATTTCGTGGATAGGCACAACTTCCCTGATCCCAGCCAAACGAACATCTTCATACGGCCCAGGTTGGGCGTCGTCATCCTCCAGAGTATGTACCCGATCATCATCGAGATCTTCAATGATCAGGAGTTGATACGCGAACTCATCGGCTCTGGCATCGCCAGCAATGTGGGAAGCCGATGCATTGCCACCCTCCCGGTTTTGATATTGATCGGTGTCGTTGGAGGCTGTCGAAGGCAGATCTTGGGTTGCATTTAATGGGACACGCAGGAGCTTTACGCGGGCTTTGTGTATGACTTCTTTCCAAGTAGTCTCCCGGATCCCTTCTTCGTCCAGTGGTCTGTATGTATGGCCTGAAAAGAGCATGTACATGGATAATGTGAATGCAGGGCCGATTTGCGAAGCCCTCGCTGATGACATGGCATATTGCGTATCCCCGGCGGTCAGAAATGTACTCGCTTGCAGTAAACGTGATGGTGAGATTGTCGAAGGAAGGCTGGTCGATAAGCTGGCTCCAGAAGTTGTTATGGCCAGATTGATAAGTGGTACTGCATCTTCGATCCTGTTGAGGAGTTTGCGAATATCTCGAATGATGAGTTGCACCTCAAGTTCATTCTGGGCTCGAGATGCAGATCTGCTTCCACGCCGTGCTCGCTCTTCGGCAGCAGCAGCATTTGCCAGTCTCAAACCAAGATTTTGAATATCCCATCGGAGAGCTTTTGTCAGGGAGACTGCTGACTCCAATGACGTGTTACCACGTGCTGCGCTGCAAAAGCTTTAGCAATTTCCTAGCAAATAGGAGCTGAGTTCAGTTACATCAATTCTATCATATCAATCGCCGGAGATATTATCTAAATTTTCATAATGCGTTAGAATCGGAACACCGGTTTCGGAACTTTGAGGGGTACTATCAAATTGCCGTAAAAGGACTATGATATTAAAGATTAAAGTACATACCCTGATCTTGCTTTCAAGACGGTCTTGTAAAGCGCCCAATTCCTCACGTTCATTGCCTTTGACGTTCTAAAGATGAAGGTTAATGAATCATGTTCTGAAAACGGTAATAATATGGTCGTGTGTGACTCACCCTCAGCAATCTGGAGCACTGTCTTATGGCATAGGTACTAGTTATGGTAATGCCAGAGCTTCAGAAAATCAGCAAATGTAATCAAAAATGGCAAAACGCATTAAATAACCAACCGTATGGCATAGTTCATCGCTTGCTGCGTAATCTATAGTCACATAGTCAGCCCGACTTGCTCGTCCATATATATATTAAGTTGGAGGGGCGCTCACCTTCCCCAGAAAGATATCCATCTTGTCTGGGGAGTTCACGTGTACTTTTTCAAGGACACGAAAATTTAATGCAAGAATGATTACAGAGATGCGGAGATCACTATCTGAGAAGTTTCAATCAAAAGGACGCGATGGTGACTGATGTCCTTCATCATCAGCGAAGTAGGTAGTTGCAGCCCAAAACAAATATATGTGACGCCCAGCCATATCGATAGCGGGTAACAACGTCAGTTCCAGGCAGCAAGGGAAAGTTGAAAGAATCTCAAATGTGATTGGTGGATGTTCCGATTTGGACCTGGCCGCCTTAACGGAAACTTCCATGTTGCCTCAAAGGGAAACCGCAAGTGACTCTGCCCCACGTCAAATCCTCAAAATTTAAATCCTCAAAAAGAACCACAATTTCTCCAAGAGGGTCTTAGCGCAACGTCATCGTGGTCCTCTTTCTCTCTCTCTTTTCCCTCATTTCGATTTAAGGCCACATAAAGGCTGGACCAAGGGAAAATTCTTGGCTGTTTCATCGCAATTATTCCAGCCTTCTTTTCCTCCGAGTTGTGAAGTCGTTGTCTTTTTTCGTTCTGCCATTTCCCCGCTCTCAACATGTCAAACCTCAACTCATGGGAGGACGACCCTGCCGCTCAGGATGACAACCTCTCACGTCAGGCTCAGCAGAGCCTCAATCTGAACAACAACAATCAAGGCGGCGGATTTCGTCCCAGCGTGAACTCATTCCAGCCTGGCGCTGCCTCCTTCACCCCTGGACAGTCGTACCAGGCCTACGGTAACTTCGACCCTGCCGCATATGCGCAATACTACGGCCAGGGCTACGGCGCATACCCTCAATATGGTCAAGGCCAAGGTCAAGGTTACGGTCAATACTACGGTCAGGGTTATCAAGGTGGCTACGGACAAGGCGCCTACGGAGGACAACAACAACAACAACAGGCTTACCAGCCTCAGACTCAGACTCAGCAGCCCCAGCAACGGCAGACACCCGTGATTGCAAAGCGCCCTGAAACCGCATCGCCGCAACCCGATGGTCAGACAGCTCCGGCGAAGCCTGCCGCATCTACCGGTGCTCCCGCTCCCAAGGCCAAGGTGTTGTCAATTGGTGGCGAATCTGCGGCTCCAAAGCCCAAGGTCCTATCCATCGGTTCAACTCCCTCTCCCGCCCCGGCTAAGACACCATCTGCAGCTCCCCCAACTGCCGCTGCTGCCGCAACCGCCCCGCCGGAGGCTGGCGCCAAGGTTGCTGCTGCCAAGGCCATTGAAAAGACTGAAGAAGCGCCCGCCACTAGCGGTAGAACGTCGCCTACTCCCTCAAATGCCGGCAGATCTTCTAGGGCAGAGCGCAGGCAAGCAGAGCGCGAAGCGGATGCGGTTGCCAAGGAACAGGCCGCAGATGTCGACGAGGAGACCCTGGCCGAGATTTACGGCAAGGAACACGTCAACATCATCTTCATTGGTCACGTCGACGCCGGAAAGTCCACTCTTGGTGGTAGTATCTTGTACGCAACCGGCATGGTCGACGAACGGACAATGGACAAGTACAAGCGCGAGGCCAAGGAGGCTGGTCGAGAGACCTGGTACCTCTCGTGGGCTCTCGACCTGACCAAGGAAGAGCGAGCCAAGGGTAAAACTGTCGAAGTCGGCCGAGGCTTTTTCGAGACTGAGAAGCGCAGATATTCTATTCTGGATGCTCCTGGTCACAAGACATATGTGCCGAACATGATTGGCGGCGCTTCTCAGGCCGATGTCGGTATCCTAGTCATTTCTGCCCGTAAGGGTGAATATGAAACTGGTTTCGAAAAGGGTGGACAGACCAGAGAGCACGCTGTCTTGGCCAAGACTCAGGGTGTCAACAAGCTTGTCGTTGTTGTGAACAAGATGGATGACCCAACCGTCCAGTGGAGCAAAGAGCGGTACGATGAGTGCACTACCAAACTGGCCCAATTCTTGAAGTCTGTTGGCTACAACATCAAGGCTGGTAAGTCTTATTTCCCCGCCACCATGTGTCCTCATGCTAATCACTCGTGAAGATGTCATGATCATGCCCGTCTCCGCTCAGACCTGCGTTGGCATCAAGGACCGCGTGCCCTCTGACGTCTGCCCCTGGTATGACGGCCCTTCGCTCTTGGACTACCTTGATTCGATGCAGACGCTTGAACGCAAGATCAAGGCGCCATTCATGATGCCCGTCAGTGCCAAGTACCGTGACATGGGAACTTGGATTGAAGGAAAGATCGAGTCTGGTGTCATCAAGAAGGGAATGACCTACCTTTTGATGCCTAACCGAGACAAGGTCGATATCTCGGGCCTGTATGGAGAATCTGAAGATGAAATCCCTGCTGCCACTTGTGGTGACCAGGTCCGTATCAAGTTGCGGGGAATTGAAGAGGAAGACATCCTTCCTGGTTTCGTTCTTTGCTCGCCAAGACGCCCTGTCCACTGCGTCTCGGCATTTGAGGCCCAGATTGTTCTCCTCGATCTCAAGAGTATCTTGACTGCTGGTTACAACTGCGTTCTGCACGTGCACTCTGCCATCGAAGAAGTTACTTTTGCGGCTCTGCTGCACAAGCTTGAGAAGGGTACCGGTAGGAAGAGCAAGAAGCCTCCGTCCTTTGCCTCGAGGGGAATGAGCATCATCGCTCGCCTGGAGGTGACGGGAGCTGCTGGTGCCGTGTGCGTTGAGAGATTCGAGGACTATGCTCAGCTGGGACGTTTCACCCTCAGAGACCAGGTAAGCGACACATGAAATCAAATGCCTTTGAATCGTCTGGATTGCCCGTGCTGACTTTTCTCGAAAAGGGTCAAACCATCGCTATTGGAAAGATTACCAAGCTCATTACCAACTAAATGTCTTTGAATCGTTCGCGGAGAGTCTGGATTGCTAGAAAAGATGCCAGGCAATATTTGGACGATAACTGATTGTTTATGGTGCATTGCATTTGAGACTGTTCGATGTTGAATAAAGACGTGCAAAAATTAGATCATCTTGCTCCTTTTGGTTACATTATTGCTGAATGTCAAAATATGGTGCATATCAAGTCCAAGCAACCGCATATGATGCTATCGTTATTGCTGGTCTATTCATTACATGTGTGATGTTCAAACTAAGCAACTGGAACGGTGCTGGTAGGCGACTTTGAAAATGTATATTCATGCTAGGTATCATTTGTATCATGTATGTCATTCAGTCATCAGATTCATAATCCACCAGCGCAATGGCAGATGGCCCCGAATTAGCCACAGTAGACTCGTCTTCAGCTGGCGTCTTGAAACCAGCTAGTTCTTCTTCTGTTGTAGAGCTACGATCTTGCGTAGAAGGAGATCCTTCTGTCCTTTTGCGTTTAAGTCCTGAAATAACAAATCGATCTGTTGGCGAAGGGCCCCAGTCCCGCTCGCTGTTCAAAAACGGATCTATAGCAGCCCTTGTGTTGCTGCTGAGTTCTTTATAAAGTTTGTCTCGTATTTCGACTTCCTTTGCGACTTTCCGTTTTTTCTTAGATGACCCCTTCGGTGCTACTTGAATGTCGGATTGCGAATTATCAGACGCGAACAGTGGCCGAGCCGTAGCTTTCGTAATGGACGATGTATCCGCTTCGGAAACGCCAAAATCAATTAATCCCGCACGACGACGGTCTCCTTCAGATTCCTCAAGCAGATCTATGCCCAGACTCAAACGATCACGGAGGTCCTCATCAGCCAGCGCTTGCTTTTCTCGGAGCTTCCGATCCACACGAAATGTGCGCCGGAGCTTCCTGCTTTTCTCATAGGGATCTTCCCAGTCTTTATCACTAGCACGCTTGAGTTCCTCTATCCGATGACTGTCGCTGACAAACCGTCGCCGGTCCTCAACTTTCCCTTCTAATGCCGCAAATGCGTCGTTGCGCATCTGCTCGCGCTCCTCGGGCGTTTGTATCACGAAGTCGCCTTCTTTGACTTTATCCTCGCCTGTATCCCTCTTCTTGGCGCCTTCGGTGACAACGTATGCTGTGTTTTTCGGGTCCGTTTGTATCTCTATCCATCCTCCGCAAGCAGTGTGTTTCATGCGGAAACTATAGATCGGCGTTGAGTAGTAGGCTCCTATTTTCTTCTTCTCCGCATTGAACCGTACGCCTTGGCCAATAATTGTCGGTTTCGGGCAGTGGTTGCACCATATAGCGAACGGCATTTCGAAACGTACGACCAGGACGCCCTGGCCGGCCTTGCGTGCCCGAGCTCCAAGCGCATGTCTACGGGAGTTGTGTCAGCGAGGTTGTGGCTCGAGTATATAGTAGTATTTACGGTGCTCTAAAGAGACATACTTTCCAGCGAGCTTGTTCGCAGATGTCGTTCCTTCATGTTCTGGAGGGACATAGCTTATGTACTCTGTCAGCGGGTTCGTCGTGAGATTTGATTATTTTGAAAGGCATCATTACCGTCCCATGCCTATTGCAAGTTAGCAAGATGTTGATGAGACAGAGCGGTAGAAGTAGACTTACCAAAGCCCTGCATCTTGGATATTTACGGAGCTTTCGCTCCAAATATCACATGGACCTTCAGAATTGCAAGCAATGTGAATCTGTTTGTCAGATACGGACCGATTCGCGTAGTGGAGGATTTGTCGAAAGTTATGACAGATGCCTCAACGTCGCCATGAGACTATTATCGCAAAGTCGGGACGCTATATGCATTTAAGATTAACGTGAAACAGGGTGAATAATGTTGTGTCTGTCCAGCTTCGAGCAGCTGACAAGCCGCAGTTGAAAGAGTAGGCTCCAAAAAGCCGAAATGTAAGACGTACGGCATGCTATTCCATCTAAAAATTGCTAGGTATATATTGTATTTTATTCACTACACTAACAGATGATCAGGTAATCAGATCAGCTCGGCTCAATGGTCTAGTGGTATGATTGTCGCTTTGGGTATAAGCTTCGGCATAACTTAAATGTGACAGGTCTCGGGTTCGATCCCCGATTGAGCCCATCTTTTTTGCTTACTTTTCCTAGCAATAATTTTTATTTTTATTTTTTTCTTTTAATTTTGTTCATTATTTCCGAGAATGTTGAATGTTTAGCATGCTTACTGAAACAACTCTTATTAATTTGATAATTGTTTTGTACAGTGTGATTTTTTGGAGGGGTTAATATTTCTGGGAGTTTTATTCGTAGCGATATGAAATATGAATGATAAGTACGGAACAAGCTTTGTTTGTACTGAACGTTCCCAGCAATCAAGGCTCATATGCTGGACTCACAACTATGTTGGAACAATATACGCATTAAAGTTCATTGTTCTCACAAGATCCAGAAGATCGTAATGTTGACTGTTGCTATTGTAGATTGGCGTGTGCCGCTGTGACAGCTACTTTATCTAATGCGCGAGTTCTCTAGGTATATATGAGAGACATAGACTAATTGATGATCCGCAGATCAAATCTCTATTTAATGCTTAATGCATAGTCTGATGAACAATATCTTGAAGAAAGGCACTTCTTGACGCGCTGCATTGGATGCCATTGGATGCCGTTGTTTGAGCATCCTCAGATGCTAGGCATGAATAGCTGAATGCATATGACTTGACGTGTGGAGGGTTTCCCCTTCGCGGGATGGCAGCGGAGAGTTGCAGCTCCTGAGCATGAAGATAAGCTTTAAAGCCCCTGTCACACTCCATACACGCCATAATTTATTCGGTGTGGGATAAGGCGACAGGATGAATTCTTGACTGTCCGCAAGAGTAACCACAGGTCCTAACACAACGCGGCAGTGTGTTCCATAGATGCAAGTAAAATGGCTCGTTGCAGGGTGGCTTATTCAGGGGCCTGGTTCAACCTCCAAGGCAGCCCATATATTTCTTTGCTCATCGAGATCTGCCTTCGATCTTTCTCCTTCCTTCTGATCGCTAGGAGCTGCAGTGTCTGCCAGATCCAACTCTCCTGATGCCAGTTGCCGCAGGACTTCTTCCACCTTCTCCTTCATCTTTCGTACTCCCTCTGTCTCTTTCTTGCTGCTTTCTAGCTGTTCTTCCATCATTGTGATTAAGCTCTCTCTCGCCTGATGAGGCCTGTACTCATTGATGAGATGATGAGAATTGATGAAGAGTGTCCGCAAATCCTCGATTTTGCGTCCATATTGGTCCGGCGCGATAGAGAGCGTTCCCACAAGCTCTAAAAAGTTGAGCAAGAGCGATTTCGCGAGTTTTCGCAAGTAGAATGTGTGATCAAATGTCCAAGCCGAATGGGTAGTGGAGTCTTGAGGAGACTGCGGTTGCTGAGACGAGTGCGATGGATATAATTGCTCGATGCCTTGGTCGCTGAGCGATGGAAGTATGTCATTGATCTGATTTGGGCGAAGGTATTAGCAAATAAAACGCCCCGTCAAAGAGCAGAGAACTGCTTACATTATATATGTCTCCAAAGCTCCGATAGACACCGTCGGCTGGAGGCTCGGGTGGGATAAGAAATCGAAGCTCTGGAGAAAGATCTGCGATATCGACGTGCTGATCGCTCGTAGTCAGAGCTTCGGAGGTCTCGTCTGACGCGCGTTTGGTCTCGTGTGCTCGCCGGTATTCCTCCAGCCGGGCTAGGTTCGCGGGGGTAAAATACTTGTAAAATGGCGCTGGAGCCGGAAATACGGCTGAGAGAACATTGTTCTGTTGTTGGTCTGCCATATTCCTATCTTCCCTCAAAGCAAAGCGATGTTAAACAGACGGTAGACAGCTACGACGGAAGGTGAAGTTGCGTGGGGAGCGATGACCGAAGGGGTCCAACTCCGCAACCCCAGGCACCGGACCTGTCAACAACCTGTCATCTCACAAAACTATCAGAACTCCATGCTTCCACAACCTGCGTGGAATTGGTTGCAAACCGCATAAGAGTCTACCATGTCATCTCTTGGATAATAATCTACCAATTCTCAATGGCACGCTCAGGTTCAACCTCTGCGAGGCATAGCTCTGAGCTGGCCAATAAGCCAGGTATCCTCGGAGCAATTGCTAGATTTTGGCAGGTACGAAGACAATGTCCCCGAAAGTCAAGTAATCGGGTACTAATTTGGAGAAGAGATCGTATGCTGCAGACTATCTTGGAATCATACTGCTCTTGGTGGCCTCAGCATTGGTACGTGTCTTGGATTGGTTTTCGTATGCTCTAGACTAACAATCTTCAATCAGGTGCAATTCTTCCTTGAGCCTTTCCACCGCATGTTTTCGCTTGACGATCTCGCAATAAAATTTCCTCATGCTGCTGTCGAGCGTGTTCCAGTCTGTCAGTTTTTTGATGCCGGTCATTCCGCTCATGCGCGTCCTGCAAATCTAATAATGTTTCACAGCATACTTATTATTCGTTGCCGGTGCCCTACCATTGATCATCATAATTGTCTGGGTTGTCTTGTTTCGTCCAGGTCTACATAAATCTCACGTTACAATTCTTGGGTTTCTGATTAGGTATGCGGGTCACTTAATCAATTAGGGATGTGTCTTTGCTAAATGCTTCATAGTATCTTATTGACATCTTTCCTCACCGACGTATGTGGTTAATATGTTTCAGGGAGGCATATCAAAGACTCACTCTTTTCTTCCAGGTTGTCAAGAACTCCGTGGGACGGCCACGACCAGATCTCATCTCGCGCTGCAAGCCGGTAAGCACCCCGAGTATATCCCTGCCACGTGTGTACTACATGAACAAGCTGACGATAACCCAGGAAAAAGGTACACCCGAGCACACACTCGTTACGTTTGAAATATGTACAGAGACCGATCATCATGTCCTTCACGATGGGTGGCGAAGCTTTCCGAGTGGACATAGTAGTTTCGCCTTTAGTGGGCTGGGCTATTTGGCGTTGTAGGTGTTTATCATTTTGCTGCTTAGGAGGGTGGGGAGCTAACAACCTTCAGGTTTTTCGGGGGTCAGATGCACGTTCTGAGACCTCGAACTGATTTAGCACGCGTACTCATCGCTCTTGCTCCGTTGCTGGTGGCTACTCTGATAGCGATATCTCGATGTGAAGACTACCGTCACGATGTATACGATGTCACTATTGGTTCATTGCTAGGCATGTTCGTCGCCTGGTTCTCGTATCGGAGATACTACCCAAGCCTCCAATCGATCCAGTGCGACCAGCCCTTTCCAAGCCGTTCAGCTGGGATCCCGTCCGCCTCACTCAGTAAACACCGAGATGAAGAGGAACGTATTGGAAGCGCTCGAGAATTTGCCATTGAAGACCTGGAGGACGATGGCGAGGCTGTTCCTTTGACAGAGCTGGGGCGGGAGAATGGGAGAGGTTAGAAATTGTTTTATTAGCTAGGTTTTATTGTGGTATGACAAACACCACGTTCCTCGAATTTCATCTACACTGTACAACAGTAGTTTATTGTAGGGGTCACGCAAACGCACCTGAAGGTAAAGTCTTGCGCAGAAGCAGGGATTCACGCCTAACAAATCCCCGGCGTTAATGAACTACCGAAGTTCGGCTTTATCGCTACTTTCCGCTCGGGTTTCTTGGGTTTCACCGGCGTGACACTAAACAACCATTGTCATGGTGGAGCCGAATCGTGATAGTCATGCATAATAACACCATTGCCCCCAGATTTTGAAAGCATTTTCACAATAACCAAGTTAGTTTTTTCTCAATGCGTTAGCAATTGATTACTTCTCCGCGTATTGGAAGAATGCCAGAGGCTTCAGGGCGGGCGTCCGCATCCTTTGCGGCTCACGAAAGAAGTCCGCTTCTCCGCCAAACATCAGCTTCGCCATCTGATAACGGAGCTATCGAACGAGGTCCAGATGAATCCAGCAACGGAAATGGAAATGCAATTCCCATCCCGGACGAACCGAGTAATAAGAGACTAATTCTCACTCTGGGAAGCTGTTGGGTCGGTGTCTTTCTTGCAGCGCTTGGTGCGTTCATCTCTTTGTTTTCTTTTTTCTTATTCCGTGAATAACTATGATCCTAACGATGTGCAGACTCTACGATTATCGCGACGCTCACCGCGCCTATCTCGACCTCTTTCAACTCATTATCGCTTCTTTCTTGGCTTGCATCAGCTTATCTGATCGCAAATGCCGCTCTTCAGCCGATAAGCGGGCGCCTCACAGACATCTTCTCTCGCCGTACAGGCTTGGTTTTCTCCAACATCTTCTTCTGTGCTGGCAATCTAATCTGCGGTCTGGCAAAGGAACAATGGGTCATGATACTGGGCCGAATCGTCGCAGGAATGGGCGGCGGCGGGTTGGTGGCCATTGCTACATTTGTGGGATCTGACCTTATTCCTCTACGAAAAAGAGGCGTGTGGCAAGGCATCGGTAACCTCAGCTTTGGTCTGGGCAGTGGTCTCGGTGGTGTCTTTGGTGGCTGGATCAACGATGTCTGGGGATGGAGAATTGCCTTCCTCGTGCAGGTACCGTTTGTGGTTGTCTCTGGGCTTCTTGTCTCTTTCACTGTCAAGGTGCCGGTCAAACAAACAGAGACCTCTCGCGTCAAGCGTATCGATTTTCTCGGCGCATTGGCCCTTGTCACAAGCCTGGTGCTGTTGCTCCTCGGGCTTAATTCCGGTGGAAACTTGGTTCCATGGACACATCCCTTGGTCTTGAGCACACTACCACTCTCCGCGGTGTTCCTGTTGCTGTTCATCTACATCGAGGACAAGGTTGCATCGGAACCAATCATTCCAGTCCGCCTCTTGCTCAATAGGACCGTTCTCTCAGCTTGCCTGACAAACTGGTTCGTTACCATGTCGATCTACGGTCTCCTCTTTTACGGTCCGATCTATTTCCAGATCAAAGGGCTCTCCACAACGGCTGCGGGCGCGCGTTTGATTCCTCAAAGCATCGGCACGGCAATTGGATCTCTGGGATCCGGAATGATCATGAAGGCAACCGGTCGCTACTATTACCTCAGCATGGCTATTCAAGCACTCCTGCTGCTTGGGGGTGCGCTCATTGCCACCATGAACCTGGGTACTCCCGACTGGCCACCGTTTATCTACTTTGCTCTTTGCGGCACCAGCTACGGTGGAATGCTCACCATCACGCTGCTGGCTCTGATCAGCGCAGTCGATCATCAATACCAGGCAGTCATTACTTCTGCTTCATATGCGTTCCGCTCAACCGGTTCCACGATTGGCGTCACCGTTGCCAGTGCCGTCTTTCAGAACATCTTGAAGCGAGATCTCTGGCAGAAATTCGGCGACTATGACAATGCTGCCGAAGTCATTCGCCGTGTCAGAGACAGTTTTGACGAGATTCATCACCTGCCGCCTGGCTGGAAAGAAGGCGTGCTGGACAGTTACATGGACGCCGTGAGAGCCGTCTTTGTGACTTCCTTGGGTATTGCGGTGCTAGGCACCCTCGCGAGCCTCGCGATGCGAGAACATACGTTGCACAACAACCTCGCCAGGAAGTAATCGCCTCCAAACCTAATGCAACAGATACGAGCTTGTAGATGAATACATAGTTGAGCGCAGCTTTATTTTCAAATAAGTGGGGTACTAGACTTCCGATTCACGACTTCACCGAGCAAAAAAAAGCATCCAAGTTTAGACATTTGCTAGGTTTAGCTAGACACAATAGAAACACGAGCAAAGATTTAAAAAAAAAATTATTGGGCAATCTAATTTTCCTAAGACGCTGAGCCACCGAGCAAACAGATAAATGTGACGCCCCGAAACAACCTCATAGCAATCGCAAACCCAAACAAAGACCTCTAAAGTATCGTAAATACTGTAATTAGATTCTCCCCTAGTCTGAATCATTAGATTCGAATTAACCATGAAAGAAAGAAGCTAGCGTACTACTACACTAGGAAATTCTGCAAAATCCTCATTGAACGTCTACACATGTCTCAGATCCGTATCCTAGCCCCCATTTCCGCGAACGGTCTGACAGTGTGTCTTTTTCTTTGCCTTCAGATTACAGCCATTGGTTGGCCGCTGGCGGGCTGCCTTGGGGCGTTGGGCTTTAAAAGCCTCCCCGAGGGCCCGCTGGCCTAGCGCGGAGAATCTCAGATGCGAGCCGAATTACCAACTTCGCAAGTAAAAGTCCCCTTTCGGTTTCCCTTGGACCCCTCGTTTCTCTCTGCCAAGCCTGCAAGCTTGGCCAACCGAGTACTCCTCGCTCGTACAGAGTACCCTCAACGCCAGCCCAGCTAACAGACCTTTGGACGCACACACGACATCCCAATGCAATTGACGTCACTACCCGGCTCTTGAAACCAGTCTGTGCGCACACCGCACAGCACCGCACCGCCTACATTCCACGCGTACTCTGTACGCCGATACGTGGGCAGTTCCAGTGGTATGCCATGTGGGGAATTAATAGAGAGTAAACGAATGAACCTGTGAATAAATAGAAAGATAGAAAAAAATCTTGATTTGCGCGCCAGGGTGCAATACATCGTCTCATATATAAACTCCCTACATTTATATCCGTCCCTCACACCACACTACACTCCATACAAGTCAAATCCCGATAGCCACACCTACGTCGTCTACGGCACAAGACATAGAAGACAAACCCAGTCTAATCCGCACCAAGTGAGTCTGCCAAACATCTACTTGAATGTGATAAGGGAGGGGAAGGAAAAAAGCAATAGGCTTACAATGTTGTAAGATTCAAGACTTGAAAGACGGTACTTTTAGCGCAAAGAAAGAGAAGAAAACGAAAATGCATACAGTCGATACATCCAACGCGTTGACGACGCTGAACAACAAGCCTTCTGCCACGTCCTCGGCCGCGAGCTCGGTCTCGTCAATCACGAAGCCTGGTGGCGTGACGCCGGGCCAGAATAAATGCTTTTCTTGCGACGGGGTGGACTGCTGCTGCATTCCTATTCCGTGCTCCATCATGTAACTTAAATGGGAGGGAATTTTTTCACATGGGACTCGCATGAAGTGCTAAGAAAGAGCTCTGGATCGAGAACTAGCTGGACGGGATTACATTTTATGGGTTCACATGGCTTGGACACAATCTTTTGAAGTCGCTGGAGTATGCGTATATCCATCAATGGTTTGAAAATACTTATTCTCGGAAACCTTTTGAGATTGAACGCTGGAAATGGCGATCAGGAACTGGAGTTAGGATTCTTGTGTTGGATAGGATGATAGTATAATACAGTCTCCAACCATTTTATGCTTGATACAGAAAGGAAAAAGAAAATAAAAAAAGTCCTGCCCAATTACTTTTCTCTCAATGCCGTGACAGACAATGCGACAATGCCAAATTCGCAGAAAAGGTTGTTGGGTATCCATGCGGTGCTAAAAAATAAATAAACAAAACGATACAAAGCCCAACTTTGCCCTATTGACAATGCAAATTACCAACTCAACAGGGGATGGCTTCCTTTCGGGCGCGACGAATAATTTATGCGTTATTTGGCCCGTTCGTCTCGGTGGCCACAGACAGGGTCTTCACCATCCTAAAGCAAAAGGTCAGCATGGCCATAGCTCAGTCCCCCAATTCGGCAGCACGCATTGCATACCTGGAAGATTCGAGTAAAAACTCCTCATTTAAACTTTCAAGCTGTGTAACTTGCAGACTTAGACCAGCCATCTATAAGAAGAGAAAGTCAGCTTGGGGTTCTTAAATACGGTCGCTCCGCGAGTGGAAAAGAGGAACAAGAGGGGGGAAGCCTAACAGTTCCCTCAATGGAGAGACTATTCTCCTCTCCTCCTCCCGGGAGAGTCTCCCCATCTGCCCACTTACCGACCGGGCTTTTAACCCTACGTGTCTTCATTTCGGTGAGCTCAGCTGCGGTCACCTTTAATTCTGCCTGAACTTCAATCAATCGCATACGAGACCGTTCTTGCTGTGCGAGCATCTCGGTTTTGAGGGCATCCCGGGCCAAGTTGGCTGCCTTGATCTCCTCGCGCAGTGCAAGGACCTGCTGAATACACCGCGCATTAAGATCCCGTAAACTTTCCTCCGAAGATTGAGTTGAGCTGGATGAGGTTGATCCACTCATTGACAGATCGGAGGTCGTGCTAACAGCTGACTCCGTCTGGACGCTATCGCTGCGAGGCCGACTGACTTCTTCTACGTGGCCCTCGCCGTTCCGAGTGTCGAGTGCGACCTTTTTAGCTTTGTTGCTCCGCTTTCGCCTTCGGCGAGCGGATTTGGTGCTCGGAGGCGTATCTGCATTCTGCTGAGTCCCCTCAGTAAGCGATTTGATCTGTTGCTGATGATCTTCTTCTATACGCTCGAGAGTGAGACGATGAGAGCTTTCCAATTGGTCGATCTTCTCAGCGAGTTCTTTGTCTGCCGCTTCTTTCTCAGTCTTAATGGCGGCATGATTAGCGGCTCGAAGCTCCTCAATCTTTCCAGAGAGTAATTTCTGGAATTCATCATCGCGATCCTGCAGACTTCTCTGATGATTAGTTTCCAGGATTTGGATTTCCTGTCTATGTTCGTTTTCTCTCTTTTCAGCTTCCGCCAGCTTCGCGAGGACCACAGACATTTCGCTATCGTGCTGGGACCTGAGCTTGTCAATGAGCTCGGTGTCCAACGTCTTGCTGTTTTCGAAATCTTTTAATTGACTCTGCAGAGTTTCAACCTCTGATTTGTGGGAACCTTGCAGCTCGAGGAATTTTCGATTGATCTCCGTAACCTTCTGCTCGGAAGATTCCAGCTGCGCTTTCAATGTCACAGTGTTATCCTCGTTGGAAGATTTGAGTTCATTCATGGCCGAATCATGCTCTGTCTTGAGACGCTCCATGCCTTCATGAAACTTTTCACTCTCCTTTGCAGCATCCTCGCGCAAATCTCGCACTGCCTGTTCCGATGCATCAAGTGCAGCTCTCAGCTCATTTAGTTTAGAGTTGAAAGTGCTGGCAGAACTTGCGTTTGCTGCTGAGAGTCTTTCTTCATTCCCGAGTTCGAGATTCTTAATAGCTTTCTCGTGTGCCGCCTTGAGATCATCAATCTTCTTTTCATAGTTGGTCGATTGGATCATCAATGATTTACGTGAGCTTTCAAGTTCATTATTTGCACTCTCAAGCTCCGACTGTAAATGTGAAATCTGAGTAAAAGTCAGAGCTGATCTGGGCTCCAAGTGGTGATCCAATTACCTTGAGAGTTGTTGCATTTTCCAATTCTTTATAAGATTCGCGAATTTTGGAGAGTTCGGATTCCGCAGCTTCCCCTTTGTCTTGCCAAGAAGCAACCTAGAAACATTTGGTCAGCATTGAGGGTGACTTTTTTCCCATTGAGAAACTGACTTTATCCGTCAATTCTTGCTCAGTGGCTTCGCTTGATGCTTGGAATGTCTTCAATTCAGACTGGGCTGCTTTCAATTTCTCTTCAAGCTCGGATATCTGTACCAATGTCAGTACTCTCAAAGACACTTACAGACTGAAGAGAAGACTCACCGCATCCGCCGCACTTCTGTCAAGTTCTTGAGACTGACGAAGCTTTTCAGAAACTTCATTGGCCGTCTGTATCTGCTGTTCGAGGTCTGAGATCTGCTCAATGTTAATGGCAAACTCAAATAACTTCAAATACCATTTGACCCACTCTTGTCTTCAAATATTTTTCATTGGCATCATGTGCCTCACGGAGACTATTCAATTCGGTTTCTGTTGATGCTAGTTTTCTTTCAAGCACCCGCACCTAGCGATTATCAGATAATTGATTTGTGCTTTCATTTGAAGTGAGATTTCTTGCCTCCTTAAATCTTTGCTCTGCTTCAAGAGATCGAGTCTCGGCAGAGCTCAATTTGCGCTGCAGTTCCAGAATCTGGAAGAGTTAGCTTCCTGCATTCCCCAAGGATTTGGAGGCACCGACTTCTTCATGAGAGCTCTCTTGGAGAGACTTGTGCGCATCTTGAATTTCCTGTAATTGTTTTTTCGAAAGATCCAATTCATTGCGAACGCTCATTGTCTAAATTCCAATGTTAGTATTGTAAGTATTTTTAGCTTTTGATTTCGCTCCATACCTTCTCGTGAGAAGCTGACTGATCTGCAGACCGCGCCTCATGCACATCGCTGAGGTCTTTCTTTAGTGTGGCCAACTCCTTTTCGACGGCGAGAACCTGCATGTTTCGTTAGCGACTGTATAAATGCTGAAGCCAGAAATCCCTTACCATCTTATAATTCTCTTCGGATTCCGCCACTTGCGTGTCTCTAGTTTGCTGCAACTCAAGCTGTGACGCTTGGAGCGCACTTTCCAGTTCCCGAGTCTGGAATATAGAGTTAGTATTGGTTAAAGAAAGGATTAACATCCAGTCCCTACCTGCGTCTCAGATTTCTCACGGATTGCGCTTAAAGATTGACGAAGATCTGTCAGCTCCGACTTTGCAGCATCAAGTTGTTCCTGTGAGGTTTTGCTCTGTAGCGGACGTTAGAACCCGGTACGGTGACTTCTGCGAATCGCTTACTTGAGTCTCGCTTTCGTTTCGAAGTTTTTCATTTGTTTCCGTGGCTGTACGAAGTTCATCCTCAGCGAGACGGAGCTTCTCGTTGAGAGTCTTGGACTAGCCTTCAGTTAGAGACACGCATCAACATTTGATTTAAGTGGCCCACCTCTGCTGCTAGTGTGTCATTTGCTTTTCTCTCTTGCTTCAATTCATGGATTTCGGCTTCAGCAGAATGAAGCCTTTGCTGTAAGGCGGCAGCCTTCATCAAATATGTTAGTAATCCTGAGAGTATAACGTCATAATACGTACCTCATTTTGTTGCTCAGAAACGGCGGTCACCTTGGCGTCCTGGATTCCCTTCAGCTCCGATTCTGTTGAATCAAGCTTCGCTTGAAGGCTTGCTAACTACGATGACGGTAAGTAACAGCAAAGCTAAGTATAAGTTGAAAGAACTTACCTCTTTTTGAGTTTGTTCTAGGGTCAACTTCAACTCCTGAGCTGCTTTATCGGAGACATTTGGTTGATGCTCCATTGTATTTACTTTTGAATCAACTTTGGACAATGCAGACGCAAGAGATTCGTTTGTAGATTCAAGCTCTTTGATACGAGCTTCCAATACATCCCGTGCTTTTGCTTCACGCAATAATTCACTCACCGCTTCCATCTCTCTGAGGCGCAGCTGGAAGCCGTCGCCCTCGCTGGTGTGAGGGGATTCATCCACCTTTGTAAGTCCGCTATTGTTGAACGTTGGAGCCCCACTTACGGTGTTGGATCGCTTTCTCCCGAAGACCGGGCGTTGCAAATCGCTGTTACTCCTTGTTTGAACTGCAGGCGCGTTGGAGCGATCAATAATCGGCCTAGAAGACTGCGTAGTTGACGTCCCTGAATCCGTTTCTTTATCCGAACTAAATGTGCGACGTGGAGCGGCAGGACCGGGCTTGCGAATGCTTGGGGTGACAACGTTCTTCACAGCGCTAGGCTGTACTCTAGGCATGCTCTTTGCAGAACTTATAGCGTTTGCTCGAGTTGAGCCAACAGTTCGACTGACAGGTGGAATTGTGTCTCTTGATAACCGTGCGCTGGTGGGAGAGGGTCGAGATATTTTGTTGGAGGCGGGCTTGACCATGCTCCGCTCAGAGAGACTTGAGCGTTTTGAAGCAGTGGTCTCAACTGAACTTTTACTTTCATCCCCAGAGCTGATGGATGGCCGTGACCTGTGGCCTAATCTGCTTTGACTTGCTGTGGCAGTCGGAGCAGTAGTTTTCCGCGCTGCTATCGGAGTAGGTCGCGCCGATTGCTTGGGATCAGAGCTTGTCGGCGCAGACCGAGAGCTCGACGAGCTTGTAGCTTTGGTGTATGACGGTTGACTAACCGTAGTCGGCCGCCTTGATGTTCCTACAGGAGGTTTTGAAGGTGTGGATGTTCTTGTAACCCCAGGAGCAGGGCGTGATGCATTAGAAGTTTTTCGTTCCAAGTTCACCGGAGTACTGCGGGTTCCACCAGTTGACTTTCGCGATGTAGTAGTTTGGGACCCTGAAATAGGGTTACCGGCGTCCTTGGCCCGATCCGCCATTCTGAAAAGCGGTCGACCAGCCCAGTTCCGGTCGCCACTCGTATCGCAGGATTAGACCAGAGAAGTAGGAGTTATAGTCTGTGCGAAGCGGTCGAGAGAAAGCGGCAGAGAAGCTACTACGCAGCCTCGTTAGTCAATTTTCAGGGCCAAAGAGGAAACGCAACGTGCCAGGTCTGGAAAAGGTCTAATTATGCCAACATATCAACACTCTATTGATCGTAAAGCGTGCGCGGAGACTTTCCGCACATTTTGGAAGAGGGGCTGAGGTGGGAGTAGCGAAAAGGTTGATGCCCAAACTTACCGGCACTTTTTTGGATGAGGTCTGGCTTTAAACGGCTCCAAAAGCTTTATGGAAATCCAATACCATTAGAATGGAAGCGTCAAGTTATGAAGATCCACGAATGACGGAGTGGAAATAGGTGACAGAAAAATAACACGCTTCTACTAATGCTACGCGTCAAGCGGTTGGCCGCTAAAGTTGGGCAAGAGCGGCGTCCGAGGTTCCTTCCGTAAATGGAACATTACAAACACTTTCAACGTCAAGCGAATGGAAAGACCGCCCGACCGCCTTCTACCGCAACCCTGTAACAAAGCAGGTGACAGGATCAACGTACGGTAATCTGATAGTGAAAACATTATATGGGCAGAACGATTAAAAGGAACCCGGCAATTCTTATATCAGTACTGCTTGCATTAGGGTTACTTATTTATTTTAAGTCGATTAACTGCATTAACTTTAGCAACGACGTTGAAAATCAAGTACTATGCCATAAGCCGTGATAGCCTTAAGCGCTTTGTCGAGCAGGAAATTTCATTAGATTGAGAGCACCCATTCTGGCAACGTTTCGCCAGGAAATCGTTGTAGATAAGCCTCGAGGCCGGCTTTAACTTCCTTGGCTTTACCTTGGATTTGCTCAATGGACATCCCATGCAGAGGTTTGCCGGCCTGCCCATGTGAATGGAGCATCGCCGCATAACGGTCGCTTCCTGTGGTTTTTGTGAGAATTAAATATCCGGGACCTCGATGAATATGGGTCATACCTAAATGTTGTTGCAATCCATCAAGAAGCGCTAACAACTGTTGGTCTGGCCAAGTTTCGGCGTCATCCCTTGTGTTACTCGGGATTTTATCCATAGGAACAACGTGGACATCAATGTCGTCATCAATGCCGTCGTCACTGACGTGGTCAGCTTTGGAAGCCTGATTTATGTCTTTATAGGAAATAATAGACACCAGACCAGCTGACTGCAGCGATGATGCGCGATTGATGCTCTCAGAGCCGCTTTGTCGCCGTTTTAGCTCTACAATCGTCCTCTGGCAATGCAGGGAGAGTGCTCTAGCAGCAGATATTTGTTCCTCTTTTTCTTCTTGGAGTCTGACCATCCTGTCTTGTTGCCCGTTCACTTCCAGTGTTGCGGCCTCATTGTCAGAGTATTGTCTTTGAACCTGCCTTTGGATGGCATGATTTGCCATTTGCTCTCTTTCAGTAAGATCTACCAATCTGCGCTTCAAGAGTTTTATCATTTCCACATTAGGTGCAAGAACTTGCTCCCTTATCTCATTCAGTCTTTCATCTCCACGGGGTTTTCCGCGCTTCCACCCTTTCACTTTCAATTCAATATCTTGAATCAACCTATTGATACGAAGGACTTTTTTAATGGAGTCTTCCTTTGGCGGCTCGCGTAGAAAACACTCTGCTGCAGTTTGCAAGAGTCGAATGAGGCGTGGGATAACACCCATAAAGATATCCAGAATAAGCTTCTTGTTTCGTTCTCCATTCGTGGGACTTGCTGACATTTGAGCAACATTGCTCTCCACTCCTTCAAGTTGTGACTCGTAATTTTTGTCCGCAAGGCTGGACCCTTGCTGCGTGTGGCTATTAGAATCTTGTAAAGCTTCTTGACAGCAGTCGATAGACCGAAGGAGTTGCGCAATTTTGGGCCCGGCTAATTCGTAACTGAAATACTTCTCTGCAACTTCGAGCATTTCATCGAGAAGTAAAAATGGCCTGGCAAAAAGCCCCTTGACGCGGCCTTCGTGTTCTATTCTGATGGGGCTGGGCGCCCTGTCGTCACTGCTATATTCTTCTGTCGCTGCATCATTTTCGGAGTGGTCGGGGCTGTTCTCACGAGACTCGGAGGCTCGCTCATGCTGAGAAGAAGCAATATCATTTGCATTCAACAGCTCTTCCGGCCGAGAATTGGATGCCGTAATGTCTAGACGCTTGGTCTGCGCATTGAGCTTGTCAAGTTTGGTGCTGTCTTTGGCTTCACGTTCGTGTGTATTTCGTATTGAGTTTCCAGAACCACAAATATTATCTTTATCAGAGACGCTCTCAAGGACAGATACTGTTGATTCTTCTTGAGAGGGGAGGTCCCTTTCTTCGCCATGATTATCATGATTAGGAACGGCGGATGCGTCCGAAGTCTCTCTCGAGCGAGAAACCCCTGATATCTTTGTCTTTGGCGCGCCTATAATGATTTGAGGGGTCTGTCGACGTCGTTTCCCTAGCACCTTGAGCGGCTTTGTACTGCGAAAATCTCCGTTGGACTTTGATTGACGCGTTCTGCTTGGCGAATCCGAAAGCGCATGCGCGTTCAACGCGTGGCAAGCCTCACCTGCTTGGGACAAAGAGTCTTCTTGGTCGTGAGGAAAAAGAAACACCGATTCATCTCTCTCAAAAGACTGTCTGTCTCCCTGATCACGAATCGGTGATGATGATTCAACTTCGGTCAATATCTGTTGTTTAACCAATGCATCAACATCTTCTTCGTCTCTGGGTTCGCTGTGATAGCGGTTAGGTAAGCGAGACATCTTGACCTTCATATGCAAGCTTGAAAAAGATCATTAGACAGAAATATTTATAGTTCAAGGTTTCATAGCTGCACACAGTCACGACCAATAGAGCAACTAAGGAGCATGCTCTTATATTTTTGATATTTACCTAGCGTGTTCAAGTGTTATGCGACTCATCCTCGCATATACCAGCATTGGAGAGTGCGGGGTTACCCGGCATTACCCTTAATCGAGTGGATAGCGGGGTGGGCCAGACGGCGAGCTTCGGTAAGTTATGGACTATTTTGACATCACCATGATAATAATAAATACTCACTCCTGCTACCTTTTTGACAGGAGCCTACACTCCATGCTAAACAAACCCCCTGAATAATTTTTTGGTTCAAATTTGCGAAATGCCCGCAAGCAGGCCCGAGATCAAGGCTCCACGCCCAAGACTGCCGTTGTTGAATCCGTCAAATAATCACACCTTTATACAGCCAACAAAAAGGATCAACGACGGGCAAGACATCGCTAACTTTCTAACTTCGGAGGCATATCATGATATTGTTACATTTCTGATGCAATTGAATGCATCGATGTTTCCAACCGTGATCCCGACCCCGGAGGGCGAAAAGAATCATATCCAAACTTGGGAAGCTGGAACCAATGCCGTGGTCTTCTCAAATACGGTTTTAAAGCTAAAAGTTTTACTAGAGGATCTTGAAGGAATAATAGCAGAAGCACCACCAGACCAAGGGCCTCGCAGGTTTGGCAACATAAGCTTTCGAAAATGGTATCAGATTGTGGAATCTCGACTTCCCGAGCTCTTAAAAAGAAACCTACCAGCTCAAGTGCGCTCCTTTCATCAAGACGGACAGGATGAAACTTCTCCAGTAATTGAGCTTGAATCATATCTTTTAGGTGCTTTTGGTAGCGCTCAGAGATTGGACTACGGTACTGGTCACGAATTAAGCTTTTTAGCCTTCTTGGGTGGCATCTGGAAGCTTAATGGGTTTGCCACTACGGATCCAGGTGTTGAGGAAAGGGGCATAGTCCTAGGCGTTTTCGTTCCGTATGTTATCTGAGCAGGCGCACCGGTCATATGCATTCATCTATACTAACCTTTCGATCAGCTATCTCTCCCTTGTACGTCGGCTCATAAAGACATACAGCCTAGAACCGGCCGGCTCGCATGGGGTTTGGGGTTTGGACGATCATTCCTTCATTCCGTACATTTTGGGATCGGCGCAGTTGTCCCCACCAATTACTAAATTAGAAGAGCTGCCATCGGAAGGGTCGCTCCCAGGAGCGCCTGATCCAGCTGCGGTTGTGAAAGCTCTTATCGTGGAAAGAGAGCGACACCGCAATCTATATTTTGACGCTATTGGGTTTATCTATGATGTCAAAAAGGGTCCCTTCTGGGAGCACAGCCCAATACTCTATGATATATCAGGTGTTCCAGGGGGCTGGGCAAAGATCAACAAGGTCAAATTCCCTAGAAATTACGAGTGTCGGATCCATGACTAACCTTAAAATCTTTCTAGGGAATGATCAAGATGTACAATGCGGAAGTGCTGTCAAAATTCCCAGTGGTGCAACATTTTCCATTCGGTTCTCTTTTTCAATGGCAACAAGATCCTCATGCAATGCCGCCGCCTGTTTCGGCCCACATTTCCAGTCAACCAGCAAGAGCCAGTCCTAGCTCCGCGCAGGCGGGTTATGCTTCTGCCCGGGAGCCGGTGCAAGAAGGTACAAGAGCGCCTTGGGCACAACCCACCTCAATGGGAAGGCCTCCGATGGCCGCTACAGCTGCACCCTGGTCTCGACACCCTGATCGGACGGGACTAGGGACGGGGTCCACACACAATCGCGGTATAGCACGAGACGTTGATGCTCAGGCTCAATCCAGCGGGGATATCGTCGGCACTCGTGCTCCGTGGGCGAAGTAGATGTCTGTTTCTAATGGTGGCCGTGACTCAACATCAATTATACGGCTTTGGGAGGCTCGCAGCGACACATCTGTGACACTGCTGCTATCTAAGCGAAATAGGCGGGCTCATTGCTTTGCCTCTACGCGCTGGGTCAACTGCGCTATCTGTATAATAGTAAATGAGCCATGACGGCGCTCAATGGTTGACAAGTGCAGGCGATCCTGCTAGATGTAATAATAATAAAACTGCAAGATACCCCGGCAAACCTTTGCCCATGAAACAATTCAAGAATACTCAGGGTAGATCGGATAACTAGCAGTTGCTTGTTCTGTTAGCAACAAGCTCCAGGTTAATCAGCTGAGGAACTCTTTGTGCTTTAAGCGAAACGCACCCGGCCAGGAACAGAAGTTGCTCTTCTCTGGTGCCGACGATCCCTGAGTTCCGCGTGTTCGGCGAAACGGCAACTACGGTGGGGCCGATGGGGGACGAGGGGTGTTCGCGTGTCAAACGCCGATTAGCACCCGCGATCGCCGGCATCTCCGTTCTGTTACTCGCTCAAGCCCTCCGGATCTGGGTGTTTTCCTCTCTCAGACAGGGGTCTTCCTTCCTGTTGCTTTATATTGTTTTTACGTAGATCTTGTTTATCTTTATTTTGTAATCTGGTTGCTTTTTGCTGTCTTGATAAATGATATATTGTATGCTAAAAAAAATTTTCTAAAATAAAATAAAATAAAATAAAAATAAGGAAATAAAATATATATTATTAAAAAATTAAAGATAAAGAAATATGTGATTTAAAAGTGTGGATGGGGTATTTTTTGTGATTCCTTTTTATATAATGAATATTAGATGATTAGGCTATATGAAATAAATTGATTTATATAAAATTGATATTTTAGCTATATATTATTGTTTTGTTTAGAATGTGGAGATGCTGTGCCTGTGCTGATTATAGTAATAACATTCCAGGCCCCAGAGTGTCGGATCCATTGTTTGTTTGCATCGTGACTTGCCTTGTCACTTCTCGCTATTCTTTCCTTATTCCTCCCTCAAGAGTTTGCTTGATCTTACACAAAAATGCTTGTCATTTCCAGTAAGCGAACATTTTACTCACCCCCTGAAAAACAATTATATTGTTGATGTTTTAGTAAGTGCTAAGCAATAGTAAATTCTAAGTTAAGTATGAACCAACCCATTCATTATTAACATCACTCCTGTCCAGACTACATGTAAATGGTGCATGCAGAACACAAGGGACGATACAACTAGATATTTCATTGGGTGATTATTTATTTCTCCTCGAGAAGCCTCTTTGCTAGACCCTCTAGAAGCTTCGCGCCCCTATATTTTAAAGTTTCTCCTTTGCGCACCGTCTCAGGGCGGGTCCGCTTAGGTATCATTCGTTGGAAGGCCATCCGTCTCTCGGTCTCGAATCAAGAGCTAGCTCAACCGCTGTGACTACCCTTTCACCACCCGTACCTTACAGTAGCCTTTTCAGGACAGAAGCGCTTACGATTAACTTGCAGCCTTTTGCTCGCTCTTTCGCGGGTTCGATTCGCACATTGGTAGTCGGCGAGGACGTATTCTGCTCCTGACGCTATTTTACCGCGCCCATGGGAGTTGCATGCTACAGAAGACGGCGTTCACAAACTAAAAGGTCGCAGCTTGTCAATAGAAATGATTGCCCACCTGAAAGATTAGTGTAACTTTCGTTCCTGGTGCTCAGTATTCGGTAGGCCATTTTGCCTGTTGCGTGGTTCTGGCGTAAAACGTCTCCCCTGTACCGATATGTGCTTTGTAATACTACTTGCTGCCCGCCGGGGTCTATAATCAACCCCAAAAATTATAAATGGTTTTTTCTTTTAGATAAAAATCGATAACAAGGCTATTCATCTCGTATGGCTACCAAGTAGAGGAAGATACTGCGCGTAGAGGGATCATCTGCCGCGAAAAGAATTGGATGCATCCATCCATCTTGTGAAATAAGCACCGCTCGGGTTGGTCCAATGACCGTGCATTCTCACTAGACGAGCGAACCTCACCCGGTCCTGGCCTCTTCAGAGGGAACTACCACATTATTGAAACAAACCCACCCCCGGTATACTCCCTACTTTCTGTCTGATCAATTTTCCATTTCCTTTCGGACTTCTCTTTATTTTCAGAACTATTCGGCTCACTTCATTGTACCTAATCTAACCTAATGTTTCGATGATCGCGTCATTCTCCGAAACGCCTCAGTTGTCGCTCCTTCGGAGTCGGGCCTTCAACGCGGATTACCCTCTATCAGGGCAGACACAGAATCCATGCAGGTTTGTGCCCTTTTTCAACCAACTCCAAAGAGTGTTATTTCCTGCATGCTGCTTGCAACCCTGGCTCGGACTGCATCCGCAGGCAGCTGAGCGGGGTGATAGCAGGTTGCACATGCACTGAAAGTGGCTGAAACCAAAACTCTGAGACGCTGTCTTCTCACTCCTTGCCTTGGAATCGAATAGGGAAACCGACGCTGACGTCCCACGCTCTTTCTATACGCAGGCTTCATCAACTATCCGAGACTCTGGCGACAGTCGCCAGTACCGCCAGGGTCACTCACCGCATCTCTCGATAAGTGACGAAAACCATCATGTTACCGAAGCGATTGGCGATTTGTATGGCTACAACGACTATGATAGGCGCGAATCGAGGCCATTGAGCTTTATCGCATCACAGTTTGGCGAGACTCTGGACCTTAACCCAAGCGCGTCAGCCGAGACGTCACGAAACACGAGCCCACGACCGCCATTAACGAGGATAGTGTCAAATGAACGGCGACCCGCTCCGATGGAGGCTTCGGGTAAGATGCCTGTCGAGAGGAGCCTCTCAGGTGGTTCGAATGGCAGTTCGCATTCCCCATCGCCCGCGGCGTCCCGGCGACCGTCCGAAACAGCTACCGCGCAGTTTCCTCTGAATAACATTGACTACGAATCCAACCCGGCCGCCGTTGCGCAGGAGCTTAGCAATCTCCAGGCTCTCCGGCGTATGTCGATGGATGCAACTGGAGACGGCGATCCCGATCTTCCATCCTTCAATACTGGTCAGTCTGTGCCATCACTCGCCCCTAGGCCTTCGATGGACGAGGATGATGCTTCCACGCTCTTCTGGGTCCCTGCGCGAGTGCACCCTGAGCTGGCGCCCAAGGAATTCAAGTCGTTTCTCGAGAAAAGAGTGGATCAGATCAAGCGACGTAGCGGAGAAAACTCACTGTCCCCCGAAGGCTTCCAACGGGCTGGCTCGGCCGGTGGACTTCGAAGAAAGAAATCGATGCTGTCCCGGCAAATCGATAATTCTGGCGGTCAAGGAGGAGAGGGGTATACCGATGGCGCTGAAAGGCTTGAAAGGAAAAGATCCTTGTCTAGCCAACCAGCTCGGACCTCTTCGATCTCTCGTCTTCAAGATCTGGAAGAGCTTGTCGGTGATCCATCAAATCTCATGCGACGATTGAGCTTGGACTCGGAGAACCGTGGTGATGCCGAAAGCACAGAAGTACCGATCAGTGAAGATAGGCCAATCCTAGCCGCGCCGCTGGGACACTCTTTGAGAAGGTCGACACGAACCGCTTATGGAAGGGGCAGTTTACGAAAGGGCGAAAGAGTGCCTCTCTCCAAACGGGCCGCACGTGTAGGCGCCGAGGAGCCGTCTCCATCTTCGCCTTTGGCTACTGCAAGCAGCTCCAACGATCTCAAGCTTTCAAGAGCACAGACCGACCCTTCTCCCGGCGCTCGGGCCAAAGCTGATGCATCGGCGCAGGCACCTGTTGCACCTCGGCGGAACGTGTCAGGACCCGAAGCAACTTCTGGTCCCACGTTGGAGGACGAATCGCAAAAGCTTCCTCGGAAATCTTTGGACGAAACGAAGGAAGCGCAGGCGCTGATAGTGCAAGGCCACCCTGAAGAGAAGCTTCCTGACTCTCATGGCAACCAGCCCAGCGTGTCCCCGCCGAGTTCCAATGAGGCAATTCCTCGTATCGTTGAGACACCCCCGCCAGAAGAGGATGTCCAGAACGACCAACACCCTAAGCGCTCCTCATCTTTCGAACGGCCACAGGAATCTGCCGGCCCACCCGCTCTCTCACGCCCTTCTCCTTCACCAGTACAGTCGCCAGTGCGGGCGCCGCCCCCTCGCACTTCTTCAGTTTCATCAAAAACTCCTCCCACCCAGACTCTGAAGGAAATGGCCGCCAATCCCTCGCCGCTTCCTGGTAATTCTACTAGAACAGATAGTCTGTCTTTTATCCCAACCTTTGCCGAGGAAAAGAAGACAGACAAGAAAAAGAAGGACAAAGAGAGCGGCGACACGCCACGGAAATCGAGCTGGGGTTGGTTACTTGGCAGTGAGGAGAAGGAGAAGGACAAGGAAAGGGACAAAGAGAGAGAACGAGAGAAGAAAGAAGAGAAGAAGGAGGAGAAAGAAGCGTATAAACGTTCTAAAGGGAAGCATAGTCGATCCTCTGAACGACCGCATGAGAATACTCGCCTGGACGTCCTTCAAACCTCAATCGATGGTGGTCGCGGACGTGAAAGTCTTGTTCTAGACCGGGAAAGTATCAAGTTAGATGAGGAGCGCAAAAAGGAGAGCACCAGAAAGACTTCGGGCGATGCTAAAAAGGAAAAGGAATCCGGCCTTTTCTCATCCCTTTTCGGAGGCAGCAAGAAGAAGGGAGACCGTGAATCGACCAGCAAAAAGAGCAATTCTCTCCGTGCACAGTCTCCGGAAATCCCGTACAAGCCCCTTCGACCTGATGTCGATTACAACTGGACTCGCTTCTCCATCCTCGAGGAGCGAGCAATCTATCGTATGGCGCATATCAAGCTGGCGAATCCCCGGCGAGCTCTCTATTCGCAAGTTTTGCTTTCGAATTTCATGTATTCATACCTTGCAAAGGTTCAGCAAATGCACCCTCACGTGCAAGTTCCTCAATCGCCCGCGCAGCGGAAACAGCAACAGTTGCAACAAGAAAAGGCCAAACGGGAACAAGAACAGCAGCAACTCTTATTGCAGCAGCAGCAGCAGCAACAAAAAGCGGGACATTATCAATACCAAGGTTATCCAGAGGTCAGGACCCATTCCCTTCCCGCCTAGTCTTTCTCATCATCTACTCAATCAACTAACTCATCGCAGACTTCAGGGTACGGTGGCGGAGGAGACTATGCAGAGGACTCACAAGCGTACGAATACGATCACCATAGCCAACATCAACATCCCCAAGAGCAACAGCAACATCAAGGGCAAGATGACTGGCCACGACCGCAATCCCGCGCTTCACGACATAATAATGCCGATGGGCAAGCAGGATACGAGCAATACTACCAGGGCGGTAGCGACGCTCAACAGCAGCATTACCCGCAACAACAATACTACCATCAATATCAAGCACCCGTGCTAAATAACCCTAATTTGTCCCGAGAGGATGAGGGTGATAACGATGACGATATGTGGTGATCCTAGTCTTCTTGGATTTCCCAAAATAAATGAAATAAAACGTCTACGTTTTCCTTGCCTCGACGCATCGGCATGCCGACTACAAGTGTAGCCGAGGCCTGTCGTTCGGGCTATGTTGCATGGAATGGAAAGGATAAAAGCGGAGCACAAATGTGGAGAACTCTTCAATTATCCTTGTTCGTTTCTTGCAAGCAGCAGCAGGGAAGATTCCAGTTATACTTCCCTACTTGTAATTTAGGACTTCATTTCTCTGATCACTTCGAAGGACTCTGCTTGACTGAGACCGGAGGGCATATTTCCTTCTGATTCTTTCATCTACGAGAACCGCAAGAACTCTCAGCTAAGGCTGTCATCTAATGAGCTACTTGCTCGGGATGGTCCGGCTTTTATCTTACAGTCTCTTTTCTAGTCGCGAAAGCAGGTCTTCTTCAGGCTGAGCAACTCAGGGGACATTCTTTTTCTTGGACTTTCCTTTTTCCATGTTCTTTGCTTCAAAAGCTCATTGCACTCCTTCCGGATAGCGCCGCTGCAACCTGCATCGCCCTACTCTTTCGGCCTTTAAAGAGATTACTTTCTAATTCTTTTCAACGTTTCTCTCTTGTGCATATGCATAGCGATAAAGGATCTGAATATTGTTATCTCTTTTCTCTCTCTCCCTGCTTACGCGCCTTCCCGATTCGACTTCTTGCGTGCAAGCGTGCGCGCGCGCCTGTTTGCACTTCTCTCATTTCCACGTTCGCGCTTCCTTGCCTTTCATAGTTCTGGTTCACCCTCAATTTACCTTGACTGCATCATGGTTATCACGTCACATGGCGTTGTGTCATTGAATTAGTTGCATCATTGCCAGTATCTAAATTTCTTCGGTCATGGTGCACAGAACACAAATGTTTGTCTTGGCTACACAAAAACACAGTATAGTCGCAGTTCAAAATATAAACTGTGGACGCTAATTGTCACTCGAATCATGCTAATGTGGCTTTGATCAAATAAAGGATTGGCCCACCGTGAAATTTGACATATGGTGAAACATCGAGTTGACGAGATCTGATCGTGACCATGATGTGCCACACTAAAAGCAAGATATTCACTGACGAAGATGGATTGACGAGGCGTTATATTGCATAAATGGACCATCAGGCACGAGTGATGCACCAGGTAATATTTGAGGCTTTGATGATAATACTTCTGAAGCATTGTTCTTTCAGACAGCATTTCGGGTCAAAACATTTCCACCAAGAGTACCATGTTCTGCTGCTCCACCTCATTCATGTGATGGCAATTTTTATGTCCATTATTACTGAATTAATCATATCCCTAACATCCAGGTGCTCTAAGTATCACTGATGAATCTGGAGGACACCACACAAAAAGATGCTTAATCCGGCCTGCCTTCGGCGAACAAAACGAATTCAGGCACTTGCTCTGATGTGATCAGCCACTGCGGACAAAGACTAAACCATCTTAGGCTTCCCCGGAGCCTTGTTCCCCGCTATCGCCGCTACAAGCCGTAATCTACCATAATAGTGTGTACGGATACCTTAAGGGCCTTGGTGCGCCGTCGGCAGTTGACTGCGTATTATCCGCTAAAGTAATCAAATTGGGTATAACGGGGACACCTCTCTCCTCACCGTCTACTGACTCAACGGAGACGGCGGTAAGGACATGCGTGTTAAATCACCGCATCTCAATCTTGTCCCCATTGCCGTTCCAATCCGGATTCCTCACTCGCACACTTTACCTCACCTAATTTTCAATTTTTCATTTGAAATCGCCACTTGAATTCGGATGAGGCAGGTGATCATGGCGGCCCCGTGAACTGAGAACAACTGTACCTTACCTATCTTATGGAGAGATCCGTTCGTCAAGCCAAGCGAAGTGCTCCTTCCACTACATTTCCACCGATTCGGCCGACGCTCTGGACCATTCACTACTCTGTCCACCCTCACTGTTCTGTCGAGATAATTTCTTGAAATCTTCGATACCTTAGAGGTACACTATAGCTCACCTTGTTGATCTTTCATTTTGAAGAATCCCCTCCGTGCCTCGTCCCATATCAGCGGAAGCTCTTTTTGTCCTTGGGCATATTATCCGTGACAGCTTCAACAGACACGTCGTTGATCGGCCTCCGCTGTGAACCATCTAAATGGGTGCCGGGAGCTTTGAGTGGAGATAGATTCTCATGTCGTCCAGAGTCACTCGCTCCTCAGCGAGACTTGCAGCAGAATCCGCCCAATCTACTGCTAGTCAACCGTCGGTGACGAACGCCCGCCCTCAAGCACGCAAACGAAAGGCTGCGGCCGCTCAAGATCAGACAACAGAAGAACCACCGGAGCCTGTTCCCGCTTCCCCTCCCCGAAAGACAAAACGACGGAAGACTACGACCGAAACCCCATCAAGAGCCGCTCCGGCGAATCGAAGGAAGAGGGGGAACAATACTACGGCAATGTCGAGCTCTAGGTTCGTTTCCAAAACTCGTTGTGTGGCAAAATAAATAAATTGACAAGCATGACAGTACGCCGGCTGGGCCCTCGAATGACTCTGCCAAGCCATCGGCAGCGGCTTCAAACTCATCTAGGCGAAAGTCAAATCGTAGCAGAAAGAACGCTCAAGGTACGCCATTATCAACTGTGTAAAATATTCCATTTCAGACTAATCAACATATAGATGATTCAACATCGACGGCCTCTGGAAGCAGACGCACGAGAAGATCAGGTAGCAAGCGAGACAATGATGTGACCATGAGAGATGAGGAACATGCAATTCAACCGCCAAGTGACGATGACGACCCAGCAGAGGAAGATCTCAGCGACGAGGAGGACGAGGATCAGATTGCAAGAGATTATACAGAGGAGGACGATGATGAAGATGGAGATGAAGATGATCCTTTTGGCAGCGGTTATCTTGGAGGAGCAGGTGCTGCCCTCGGTCTATCAAGCACGCTGAGGGCGCTCACCGGCATGATGTCTGGGACATCCGCTCGCTTCAGGGATATACTTAATAACTTGAGGGAAAAGGATGATCCTTCGGTACAACTGATTGCGTTGCAGGAATTGTCCGAAATCTTTCTCGTCTCGACGGAGGACAACCTATCTGGCCACTTTTCTCCTGACCAATTTGTCAAGGAGCTGGTTGCCTTAATGCAGCCGAATGATTTTGGAGAAGAGAATCCTGAAATCATGTTACTTGCGTGCCGATGTATCGCTAATCTCATGGAGGCTTTGCCCTCATCGACGGCCAATGTAGTGTACTGCGGCGCTGTTCCCGTCCTCTGCCAAAAATTGCTGGAGATTAACTTCATTGACCTCGCGGAACAAGCGCTTAGTGTAAGGTTGCTTTTGAAACGTTGACTGGATTTCGTGCTTACACCTTGCAGACCCTTGAAAAAATCTCCGTTGAATTCCCAGGCTCCATCGTTCGAGAAGGCGGCCTCACTGCCTGCTTGACCTATCTGGATTTCTTTGCTACTAGCACCCAGCGTACGGCAGTCACAACAGCCGCAAATTGCTGCAGGAACATTCCCGAGGACTCTTTCCCGGTCATCCGCGATGTGATGCCAATCTTACTTAATGTTTTGAGCAGCAGCGACCAGAAAGTTGTCGAGCAAGGCTGTCTTTGCGTGTCACGAGTCGTGGAGAGCTTCAGAAATAGCCATGACAAGCTAGAAGAGCTCATCAGCACCGACTTGCTTAGAGCTGTTTTGCGCCTCCTCCTTCCAGGAGCCACAAACCTTATTGGTCCAAACATCCATACTCAATTTCTTCGTGTCTTGGCGATAACGGCCCGAGCGAGTCCGGCGCTCTCTGCGGAACTATTCAAGATGAATATCGTAGACACGATTTACCAAATCCTTACTGGCGTCTCACCGCCCAATGGCACGGAAGACGTGGCCTCGAAGATTGATAGTGTTGTCATCATGCAAGCTTTGATCCACAGACCCCGTGAACAAGTCTTCGAAACGCTGAATGTGATCTGCGAGCTCTTACCAGGTCTGCAGCAAGATAGTCTTTCTTTTCCCGTTGACCAGGACGAGGATCGCTACCTCGGGGTTCAAATCATTGCCGCATCGCGTTCCTCCCGGTCGCGAAAACAATCTCCCAACGAGAAGCGTATTCATCTTCTGCAATCATGCAAAAGTGAGCTCAGGAGGTTCGCTACCATCCTGTTGCCGACATTGACCGATGCTTATTCGAGCACTGTCAATCTCAATGTGCGGCAAAAAGTGCTCACTGCTCAGTTGAAGATGCTCTCGAACTTTGAATCAGACATCCTGAAGGAATCGCTTCGCAATGTGCCCTATGCTTCGTTTCTTGCTTCAATACTTTCTCAAAAAGATCACCTCACCCTTGTCACCTTTGCTCTTCAAGCCGCAGAGATTCTTTTAAAACGACTTGAGCCAATTTATCGCTACCAATTCTATCGAGAAGGTGTAATCGCAGAAATTTCCAAGCTTGCGGCTAGCACTCCCGCCAAGGAAGACGATAAATCGGTAACTATAAAATCCGAAAATCGAAACCCGGCCAGTCGACCGGCTGAGCCTGTTTCAACACCCAGCTTGAAGCATCATACCGAAGAGGATCACGGTCTGTCCGACGACGACATAGAAGATGACGAGCATGATGATTTGAATGAAGACATGTCGCTCTCTCCAAGCTCGCCATCATCCTCTGATGACGATTTCCCAATCTCTTCCGACTCCTCATCTACAGAAGATCTTATACGTTTCCGTGCCAGGAAATTCCTAGAAGCACATGAAGACCATACTAGCACGGACATGCGAGGTAAAGCAACCAATATCTTGAATGACTTGCAAAGCCTTGCCCAAGATATAAAACAGCGCTATTTAGGGAAGAGCGCGTCTAACGGCCTCGAACTGTTCCACCGCCTTGCTCATTATTTTGATGGCGATGCCCTAGAAAGCATTACAAGCTCCGAGCTATTAAGCTCAGATATTGTACAGGTGCTTTTGGAGGTATTCAGTAACCCTGATGGTATGTGGATCAAAGACTTTTCCCTTTTTGATATTAATGAGGTTGCAGAACAAGCCAGCAACGAAGCCAGAGCCACCTTTCTTGAGGTCTTCATGAACTCTGCCAAGCGAACTAAAATGAGGACCTCAAGCACAAGCTCCCCGGCGACCCCGTTTAGCATTCTTGTGCACAAGCTTCAAATTCTGCTAAGCCGTGCAGAACATTTCGAAGTCATCACCGTGCACCAAAATTCATTTGACAGCAATAAAAGCAGTGCAGCATCAATGCTAGCCAAGCAAATTCGGCTCAAGTTGGTTGCGGATGATGAGTCCGAGGTTCCGCGACCCTATAGAAATATAATGGTCTCAATCCATGCTATTGCGACCTTCAAAGCTCTTGACGATTATCTTCGTCCTAGAATTAGTCTACCGGAGCGATCGCGCATGCTCAGAAACCGGGACGGCGTTTCAGGGGCGTTGGCAGCTTTCGCTGCCGCAGCAGGGCTTACAAACCCTGGAGATCGGATGGGTGCCGATACAAACCGTTCCGATCCAAGTCTATCTGGGTCTGCGGCACCGCCACGAAGCTCGCGAAAGAGCTCCAAGATGAAGACTAAGGGCGCTAGTGGGCAGATGACATCAGAACAGCAAGAAAAATTGTCGGGTCCGCGTCGGTCCTCGCGCAAGCAGAAAGATCAAACGAGCTCTCCCGCAGTCCCAAGGCCTCCACCTGATTCAGACGACGTCAGGGACCCCTTGGAGTGTGCGGACGAGACGCAACTCACAGATGAGGAGAATGAATTGGACGAGAGCAGCGCTCTAGATGCAATAGTTGATGACTTTGGTGAAGATTTGGGTGATGACGATGATGAGCCTTCCGACCCTTCTGCCATCAATATGGAACTTGGCTCTACGGGAAAGGTTACTGCACGCAAAGAAGATGGTGCTCGTGTTGCCACGCCTTCTCGGACCAGCGGAACTTCATCTACTACAGCTCCTTCCCTTCCGAACCAGGCTCAAACACCCCGTACACCAAATCTCACCCCGACAGCTCGGCCAATGTCGTATGCTGCTGCAATCCAGGCGACGCCACAAGACTGGCATATAGAATTCACCATTGATGGCCAGTCAATCTCAAATGAGACCACCATCTATCGTGCCGTCCACTTCAACAAGCCGCAAAGTGACGAGTCATCTGCTCGAACGGTGTGGTCTGCGGTTCATCCCGTCAGATTTAGGCGCGTTCCAGGACCTCCTCCACCAGAGCCGAGTTCCTTGACCCCTCCTCCAGAATCAGTATCCCCTCCACAAGCCTCCGGCTTGCCTCTGTCTCTGGACAAAAACCCAATCACATCATCAATTTTACGTCTGCTGAACATCCTCCACGCATTGAATGCGAATCTGGACGATGTGCTTGCCGAGAACAAGAAAGCCTTGAGCCTCAACGCTGAACCGCTTGCGCAGTTCGTAAACACAAAACTCACTGCAAAGTTGAATAGGCAACTTGAAGAGCCTCTTATCGTCGCCAGCAATTGTCTTCCGAGCTGGAGCGAGGACCTTGCTCGTCTTTACCCTTTCCTCTTTCCATTTGAGACGAGGCATCTGTTTCTACAGTCAACCTCGTTTGGGTACTCTCGCTCAATGACAAGGTGGCAGAATGTCCAATCGAACGACTCAAGGCAGGACCGTCATCGGGATGAGCGTCCTTTCCTTGGCAGGCTACAACGGCAAAAAGTCCGCATCTCAAGGACGCGCATCCTCGAGTCTGCCATCAAAGTCATGGAGCTCTACGGCGCATCCCCAAGCATCCTCGAAGTCGAATACTTTGAAGAGGTTGGCACTGGGCTTGGGCCAACTTTGGAATTCTACTCAACTGTTTCTAAAGAGTTCTCAAAGAAGAAATTGAAACTTTGGCGAGAGAACGAATCCGCAAGTCGAGATGAGTATGCCTTTGGGAAGAAGGGACTATTTCCGGCACCGATGAGCGAAAAGCAAGCGGACTCTGAAAATGGCAGAAGAGTGCTTCATCTCTTTAAAATGCTGGGCAAGTTTGTGGCACGATCCATGCTAGATTCTCGCATCATCGATGTCTCTTTTAATCCAACTTTCTTCCGGGTTGGAGACGGTCCCGTTACCGTGGTCCCCTCGCTTGGAGCCGTGAAAACAGTAGATGACGACCTAGCAAAATCCTTGAAACTGTTCAAACAGTTCATGACTGAGAAGAGAAAGATTGACGAAGATCAAACGTTTGACCCAGGGCAAAAGGCTCGAGCAGTCGCAAATGTCAGGGTTCACGGCGCTCGAGTGGAGGATTTAGAACTCGATTTTACCCTCCCCGGTTATCCGTCGATTGAGTTGATTCCGAATGGATCAAATGTACCAGTCACCATAGAGAATGTGGGGCAGTACGTGGAGCGGGTCATTGACCTTACCCTCGGAAGCGGTGTACAGAAGCAAGTGAAAGCGTTTACAACGGGGTTCTCCCAGGTGTTTCCTTATTCAGCTCTGAGCGCCTTTACCCCTGGAGAGCTTGTGATGCTGTTTGGTCGGGTGGAGGAAGATTGGTCACTCGAGAGTACGTTTGCAGTCACTTTAGAAGTTGGGCTAACGCTAACATTGCTTCCAGCTTTGACTGATTCTATCAAAGCCGATCACGGCTATAATATGGACAGTAAAAGTGTTCGGAATCTGTTGCAAGCCATGAGTGAGATGTCCATCCCGGAGAGGCGCGACTTCCTTCAATTTGTTACTGGGAGCCCGAAGCTGCCAATAGGAGGTATTTTTATCCTCGGACTCCATGATATTTTAAGAGTAGGTATTAACGCAGACTTGTACTATCTAGGATTTAAGAGCCTAACCCCGATGTTTACCGTCGTCTGCAAGCCGAGCGAACCCCCGTACACTTCGGACGATTATCTCCCAAGCGTTATGACTTGCGTCAACTACCTCAAGTTACCAGACTATACTACCCTGGATACCTTGCGCCAAAAGCTCAATGTTGCGGTAAAGGAAGGCCAAGGCGCCTTCCACTTATCTTGAACAATATCATGACCCTGAAAACGCTGCACAGGGACTAATATATCCCTCAAATTCTCGTTCTAGCATTCTTACCAATTCCACACCCGCTGGTCTATCATATGTCGGCGTCTGATTGCAAATTGCCGGGGTTTTCTGCGGGAGCTGAGAGGTTGTGTGTTATTTATCTGAAGTATTGATGGAACCAATGCCTCTCTATACCATCGGAACTACATGGGCTTTCTTGTAGCTGGAATACATATTCTCTTACTCTCTTTCTTGAATCATCGATGCATAGCTGTAGATGGAAGGCGTAAGGTCTCGGGCTCAATATAATTTATCTAGCTTTCAAATCTGTCCCACTTGAACCACAAAAATCTTTTTTACAAGTAGTGATTCATACACTGTCAGCATGGATTACCTTTATCGACGAGGTATAATAATTAATTTCTTTTGATTTTTTGTCCGAGAGCTTTTCTTTTTTATGTCAAACTCATCTGAAGCAAGTATTTCGAATTTTAAGGAAGGTTTTCGTTACAGGCAGTAATATGGCCTAAGGAGAACACAAACATACATACCTGTAGTAAGCAGCAGGTTGGCGTTTGCTTTCAGGCGTTGTGCGCGGCGTGAGTGAAAGGGACGGATTTAGCCGCAGCGATATCCGTCTATGACCCATTCAACTTTGCTCTACTGACGTCGCGTGCGTCAGAGACTATGTACTAGCGACTTCAATTCGCCAGCGCACTGTTACACGGGTTCCCCAAAGCCTCTTTTCTTGGAGACACTTCTGTTTAACAACAAACATCTGCTGGTTTGCAGAACTTTCGTGTAGTGTCTTTCAGAATATTAGTGTCTCATCCTGTCGATTATGATAAGAATCGGGAGAACGTTTTGCGCCGTCACCGAGAACATAATTGAGCATGGCTGAGATTATTGCGACCCTAGAGGTATGACTTACCTATCCGTCCTTTATAGGTTTCAGTTGGTAATGACGATTTGCTGGGATCTAGAAAGAGTACTGTCCGCCGATCGACTCTGCACTCTTCTCTGCGATCGTTTCCGATTATGATTTATCCTATGAAGCCGCTCTTGACGAGGTACGGGGAACGTTAGAAGTGCTGAAACAGTCCGCCTTACTGGAAGAAAACACGGATTTTGATCCTTCAGGGAGCAGCGGTGCTCTGCTCGAGCAAGAGGTTACACCAGAAAATGGCAACTCCGAACAGACGCGTTCCAGAGCAGAGAGCGGTGATGTGTGTTCGAGAGCGGGCGAGACAGACTTGACCAGCGTATCCCGATCTGTCTCATCCCTATGCCTCAATGGCTCTGAGGTAGATACCGGCATTGGAAATTCTAGCACCAGTCGGGCTCTACAAAGCTTGGACCCCCAGAGCAAGATAAGCCTTCTGCGTGAGATGTTTCCTGCCTTGTCGGAATTTTCCATATCTTTCGCATTGAAGAAGACAAATGACAACTTTGACCGAGCCGTGGAGGATTTACTCAATCAGGTCTTTTTTGAAGAGCAACAGACTAACCCGGAGGGCCCCATAAGGTCGAAAGGGGTCGATGGTTTCGCGGATGACGACGATCTTGCTTTTGGGCCAAAGACGAGGAGCAAGAAGAAGAAAAACAAGGCTCGCTTCGACAACAAGGAAAATAGAAGACCTCGCTTTTCTCCTGCAGTCTCGTCCGGGGAGACATCCCCTTCGCCCCATAGCCGATGGGAGATGGCCAAGACGCATATTGATTTTATTGCTAGCCGTGTCTCCATCTCTCCCAAGACCGTGGCCTCAATATACCACAAAAACGGAGCATCCCTCCAGGTTGCTATTATTGCAATCTTGGATTCTGAGCTTGAGAATAATCCTAGCAGCAGTTCAGAGAACGTGATTTTGGAGTCCAACGCAATCGAACTTGGAGAAGAATTCCCTGCTCTATCGCCGGAGCAGCTCTTGGCATTAGTCCGAATAACACATCCATCTACTGCTGCAGCCCACGAGCTCGCACGGGCAGCGACCTCAAAATCGACAAACGACGCTGGAGGCGGACTCAAAATCATTACACAATACGCTCCTATCAATCTATCATCCTCCGGATCCTCAACGCCCACAGTTGTTCCTAGCCCAAATGTTGATCTTTCGACAGCGAACACATTGGCCACCTCATACGAAGTTGCTCGGCATAAGGCTTTCGGCCAAGCTTCTGTAGCATATCGCAAATCGCGATCCGATCCCTTAATGGGAGCAGCTGCGGCATATTATAGCAGCCTCGGACGAGACTATGACACCAAAGTGAAAAGATATGATGCAGCTGCGGCGGAAGCCCTGGTGGATGCACAGTCCAGCAGCACTGAATTGGACCTTCACGGAGTTAATGTAAAAGACGCAATCAGGATAACGAGAGAAAAAGTCACCAGTTGGTGGGCCGGCCTAGGCGAAGCGCGGATAGACGGAAGATCTGGCATTGGCAGAGGGTATCGCATCATTACCGGCGTTGGATATCACAGCGAAGGAGGACGAGGCAGGCTGGGTCCTGCGGTTGGTCGAATGCTGATCCGAGAAGGTTGGAAAGTCGAGTTTGGTGAAGGAATCATGGTTGTCACTGGAGTGGCAAGAACACGCTGAATCGGCTCATGTTTCAGAGACCGTTCTCATAGACAACCGATCATTTTAATATCTTGTGTATTACTTTCCTGCTTCGCATCACCGGTCAACTCAGGAATTACGAATTGATGGATAAATTATGGCATTGGCGATGGGCGTTTGGGATTATCACGCTTAGATGTACGGATTCAAGAACTTGGGGTTCAGCCGAACTGAACTATTTCTTACGACTGGAGCTGGATAATATTATTTCGGCCCTTATGAGCCATGTATCATTGGGTAAAAATATCTGCTGATAGGTATTTGGAATGATTGCCTGAGAGGCGTGCAATAACCTGACAAATGTTAGACTTCTGACGTCGCTTAGTCGGACCAATTGGTCGTGTTGCGCATCTTGTAACTTATAGATTACCCGATCAGAGCTTATCGACGATGTCATCATTTGTTAGCGATCTCTAGATTAAGTCAAAAAAAGGACAAAATGCAGCAATTCCTGTAGAATTACATTGCCACACAAAATAAATACAAATAATCTCACTAGATTCATACATTCCAGAAAAATCTATTAAAAAAGGGGCTTTGTACAAGTTTACTTTATCAGTTGAAGCTTGGTTGAGCTTTGTTGTGTGGCAAAGCACTGACAATTTCAAATCTCCATTGCATCACTTCCGCTTCAACTCCTCAAATTGTTTCCTCCTCCTCCTCCTCCATCTTCTACTATTATAAATATTGTTACTGCCTTGTCTTCTTCCCTGTCTTCCTTCTCAATCTTGAAATATAAAATAAAGGAACACGACCAAGGGATCCTTATGCGCGTACCGTCTTTTGCAACCGTCCTCCGCACCTTCAACACTTTTGCCAGCAGCCGAATCTACAGCCTCTCCACCTCGCGAGCTGCGCTCCGGTCTACTGCTTTTTCTTCTTCTGCTGGCTTTCCACGAACAACGCCTGTTATTCTCAAGTCTATGCCCACTATCCCCTTTCTCGGATCACTTTTCTCGAGCTCGGCTTCTTCAAACGCGAAAAACATGTCGTATCCCGTCCAGAAGAGCGATGCCGAGTGGCAAGCCGTGCTAAATAAGGGTGCGTATTGACCAACCAAACACAACTGCGTTTTGCCTTGGTGGCGACTGTAGTCACTCTCTACCCAAATACCCATGACCCATCTGCGAAAAGGGAAGGAAAGGAAAGCAAAAGAAACATGACCAGCTGGGCTAACGCGACATTTAACAAAAAATGCAGATCAATTCCGCGTCCTTCGCAACCAAGGCACCGAGGCGCCCTTTACGGGTGAATACGACAAACACATGCCCTCGAGCGGTGTGTACAACTGCGCGGGGTGCAACGCGCCGCTGTACAAGGCGAATCACAAGTTCAAGTCTGGATGCGGATGGCCTGCGTTTTTCGACGCGGTGCCCGGCGCGGTGACGCGGCATGTGGATAGTTCGTTCGGCATGGAGCGCACGGAGATAGTGTGCTCGAATTGCGGTGGCCATTTGGGACATGTCTTCAAGGGAGAAGGCTATCCGACGCCGACGGATGAGAGACACTGTGTGAATAGTGTCAGTTTGAAGTTTAACAAGGATGACCCCGTCGCGGAGAGCAAGGCTTGATTTTTTTGCGCAGCGGGTAGAGCGGTAGAGCGGGAGGAGGGAAAAGTGATTGTAATGTCTGGGGAGTAGTGGGGTTCAGATGGCGTCTTGTTGCGGGGTTGAAGAGGCGTATTCGATCGTGTTTGATGGAGGGTGTTGTACTCTTATTTTGTTTATATATACGGGTGGTCGTTTGTATGAGCTTAGACACAAGAGCTTTCCTGAAGATTATGGGAGCAGAGACGCGTCATATGCGCATTGGGCCTCATGTTGTTGGAAAATTCGGGGTCTTGTGTTACTCTATTTGTAGTGTAATCTATCAAGTTTGTGATCAACGCCGGAATGCATGCTTATTTAAGGTGCTTTTTGAAGAAGTCGGACAGCTGGGTGTATGCCCGCAGATACTCCTTCTTGTTCTCCTCGTCCTCGAGATTTGCTCTCGCCCCCATCCAGCCGTGGTGCATGTTCGCATATGTCTCGACGTATCCATCAGTGCCATTCTTTTCAATGACTTCCTTGTACTCGGCCACAGCCTCGGCAGGCTCGTCCTTGGAAGCCAGAACAATATGAGGGACAGTAATCTTCTCGGCATCTGCCTTCTCCATGCGTCTATGAGGGAAGTATTAGCATTTCAGTGTCCTTGCAATTGAAAATTCACTTGATGATAACCGTACCCAGGGTGAACCTGTCCTGTCGCAACAAAGGGAGTGCCAGCGCCCGAGATAAGGGCCACAACCTGTTGATATCACAATAAATTCAGCAAGGTACGCCATCGAGTAAGGTTCATGCAAATTTACTCACCTTTCCGCCCCAGCACAGACCAACGGTTCCCCAAGCATTGACAGTTGGGAAAGTCTCCTTTGCTTCCTTTGCAACGTCCAACAATGCTTGCGTGTTTTCGGGAATCGATGCTTTCTCAGTGACGAATTTCATCAAGAGCTGCATTTTCTCATCCGTGTTAGGCGGCACCCATTCATTTTTTGCGGCTTCGCCCTTCAAGAAGTCTGGGACGAGAACAATCGCATTGAGCTCGCTGGCGAGAATATCGGCGCCTTGGATGGTTTGCGACGCCATGCCAAAAATATCATAGACATCAATCAAGCCAATCTTGGCATCTCGGGGTCCAGTGACATCTGCGATACAATCTTGTCAGCGGACACTGAACCGCAACATATCTCGAGTTTTCTGTGCCCCGTACAGACTTCCAGCCCGGCTAGCTTTTCATAGCTGCCCTTGGGCGAGTATCCGGTGGAAATCACCACCGGAAGGGTCCGACAAGCTTCGCACGTCATGTTGATGCCTCTTTAGTTATGATAGCTTGCACTGCGTTTTGAGGGCGAGAAGGGCAAAATTAAATTATGAATTGACGCTAAGAGAAAAGCTAACTCCAACTTGCAGCCAAGTGAAAGGTTAAGGTAGATGAAGAATTTAAATGATAAAATCTTCGAGCCATCCAGTGCGTTCAGCCATTTGTAAGTTGAACGCTAAAGGACCGGAGATTAGGGGAAATTTGCGTTCCCGGTGCTCGAAAGGCTTCGTCATTGATGTTATCGTGAGCCCCGCCAAGGGTCCCCACCATTCAAAAGACCCACACTTTTCGATCTCTTCATTTTCTCTGTGCTACATGGGCGTTGAAGAAAGACCTGTAGGTGGCTAGGTATGGTAAGATACAGTAATCCTGTACTGCAGTCCGTGTTGAACTTTTTTTTTTGGCATGGAGATGAGGCTCAACGGAGGTAACACGGTTTTATGAATTTCGGGGGCTTTGAGTGAGAGAAGTGCGGAAATGACAGTCTAGTCAGTTCTTTCGCTTTCCGATGAATTTTGGGTGATTTCGCTGAAATGGGAAAAGTCCACGCGGAATTTTACCCGCCCGCCAAACTTTAAGTCCGGTGGTTATCTCCTAGTTCCCGCCCATCTGGCTCTCCACCCGTTCATTCATCAATTTCGACGCGATAGGCGCTTCTTGGTAATCACCCTTGCACAATATAACCAACGGCATGATCAGACTTTCTATCAAACTAAGTTTATATTATCTGACTAATTGTCACATCTCGCGAAAACAATTGACCTTATCTCGCAGATCTAATGTGATATACTAATTTGAGGAAATGACTTCACGATGGGCTAATGAAGCTGTGTAACACCCAAGAATAGACTGGAAACCTCCCGAGTAGGCGTCAAGCACAGTGGCATGCTGGTGTCAGAGCACATGCTTGCTCACATCTGAATGGCCTGGCCATCCCCGTTCGAGAAATAATCTTTATCAAAACCTGTTTGGAGGTGCTTCATCAACAGGTCTGAAGCCCCGTAGCCCAGAAGCGTAAATTTCCAACGGACTGCATGTCAATGCAAGGCCAAGTGTGAAGATGGATATATTAAACGCCCTGGCTACTGCTCCTTGTCCAAAACGTTCGCCCAACTAGGATAATCTACTATGTGTTTCGGCATATCGCTCAAATTCTGGTGACCAATAGATGGAATCCCCATGACCCTACCATTTTCATTGAGAAGTGCTGGTGGGATTAACATTTGTGGTATGTTCAAAGACGGAATTTTGGACACGTGGAAAGTCTTGGCTGGAGCCTATGAACTATCCAGATCATGAATGTATTGGCTGAGCAGATTTTCGTTTGTGGACCAGAGGTTCATGCTACCCGCATTCTCTGCTATCCATGCTTTGGATACACGGCCTACAGCGTCTTCTGCTCCTTTCCACTTTTAGAAACATGTTTTGTAATACAGGAAGGGAACAACATACGAATGGCAGATATGTGGCAGGTTCCAATGCCAGACAAAAAGGTCCAAATTTTGTATGAACGGTGTTCACCAATGTCATGAGGTTCTTCGGCTTATTTACGTTGGTGGGCCCACTGTCCATACTTGGGAAACCCTTTTTCAGTGTCGGCAATATCTGGGCGACTGCTTGTTTCTGATCGTTTCAGTATAACACATATATCCCAAAGTGAGATCACTAACCTTCCGATCATTGTCCCATTGGCCCAGAGAGAAAAGAATGGTGAGCGCAAGCTCGGTCGTTGCTATTTCATCTGTGGCATACATCGCTCCATGTTCGACAGATAACTCAACTGCGCCGGTGACTATGCACCAGTAACTATCTCTTCTAAAACCGAGCTTCTTCGGTCGGCGCTGGAGGGTTCTTGCTGGAGAAGAGTCCATTGACACGGAGATTATTATGTAAGATCATTGTAGTTGAATGGCGATGGTGTTATATCCAGAGTGCTAGATTTTGTATTTGCTAAGCACTTCTAATTAGGCTCCGTCAATTTGAAGACAACCAGGAACACGACTCACTCGGTAGGCAGATGCATGACTATAGATATCTGTACAAATGTCGTAGTGTATGTTGTGGGCATTCGCAATGAACTCTGCTAGACCCCCGCCAGCGAGGAAAAATTGCAGAAAGCTTGGTAAAAGAAGTTGAATATTATGATCATCATTTCTGAGTTGTAGTTCGTCCATAACTTCTCCGCGGAATGCATTCCCAGGGTTTATATACAGGATTGCAAGGAAAAGGCAATCATGGTAATAAGAGAATTGCCTTTGGATAGATGACTGAAGTGACATTCACCACAAAATCACTATTGCCAGGTCACACCAGTAGCACGTATAAATATGGTCATCGTCAGAGGGAAGGGACAATTCATCCTTTGAAGGAGGTCCAGAGAAGAGCGGTAGCTGCTACGTAGTATTGAAACGATCTCCATTAGTGCGCGGAAGAGAGGGAAACGCTACAGTTAGTGCCTTATCCGGCCAAGCTGCTAGGAGACCATCGCAGTTTAAATTGCGGCTTTTAGCAGCTCTGGGAAATTTAGACGAATTGAGGCACGTGATACTAATCTCCTAGTCGCCTGTCAACTGAGCGTGTATGACTCTTATTTTCAGATCTATCGTCTCAAGTTGGGCCAGTCCTAAGCAACTTTTACAGGGTACATTACCTCTTAACCGTACTCTACAGTCAGTTACTAACAGAGCGTTCTTTAAGTCAGACCATGAACGGAAGAGTGATTTCCTCGGACGAACTGTCCAAGGCACGTCCATTTGGAGACTTCTGCCCAGTGTTCAAAATCGACGATAATACCGTTGTGAAGACTGGAGATTGTGTTCGGCTCGCCGAAGCCGCGGCGATGAAACTTGTTCGCGAACGAACAACCATCCCGGTTCCCGAAATATTCAATGCATACACCGATGAAGACTCTGGCCACGTTCGAATCGTGATGCAATTTGTGGAGGGAGATGTGCTTGCAGATGTTTGGGAAAAATTCAACAATGATCAAAAGGCAGATGTTATCGAACAACTACGAGGGTTTTTTTCTCAATTACGCAACATTAAAGGTTCCTTTATCGGCTCTGTCGACGGCACAGCATGTGAGGATCAGATGTTCACGGATGAGCTTGGAGCCTATGGGCCATATGAGGACGAGGCAGCATTTAATGATGGCATTGTTACAGCACTCAAGCGTTCAAAGCAAAATGCTTGGGTTGATTTAGTTTCAAACATGATAGAGGGTATACTGAAGGGTCACGATACCGTTATGACTCATGGTGATTTCTGTCCAAGGAACATCATTGTACAAGGGACCCGAGTCGCTGCAGTAATTGACTGGGAAATGTCCGGCTTTTATCCTGAATACTGGGAATATGTCAAGGCACTTTATCGGCCTGCTTGGGAAAGTGGATGGATTAAAGAACGAGCCGTGGATTATATTTTACATCCGTATCTTTCGGAGCTCGGTGTTATTTTACACACAAGAGATATAGTCTGGTAATTCTTGAAATAATAATATGAGATGAAGTTACGACCAGACCTTAAATTGATCGAGAGTAATCAGTATCTTTCTACTCATGTCTGACTGTAGTATGTATTCCATATACTAGAATCTAAACTCTACTATTGTCTATAGACTCCCATTAAGACAATCCATCTAAGTTCACAGACAAGTATACTAGTGTAATAGATCTAGAATGTTCTTATAAATTACTATGTATTTTTAATACTAGGCAATGGAGTTTCTTATTGCAAGGTTTTTGATATAGCATAAAATTGATTTTTTAACGGCTTTTAGCAGTTACTCAGCCAAGTAAAATTGTTTAACAGTCATAATTTATTACAAAAGTAATGGATTTGTCATATACCCTATTTTCATCATACATATACAGCCAAAGGCCCAAGATTGACTCGGATTCAGGCCGACCATACGTCCTTTGACTAACCCTATACATCTGCATTTGCTTCTTCCTATGATTGATGTCCAATTGCAAATTTATAAAATGCAATACACAGCCGACTGAATAATCCCCCCCCCCCCCCCCAGAAGTTACTCATACGGACTGGGCTCTATCCTTGCTGCATAGGATGCAGCTATCCCTGGACCAAGTAATCCCTTTCTTTCCAGATCTCGGAGAACTTCGACAACCCATCGTTGACAGCGGCCCAGACGAGCTCGCTGAGCAGAACTTTTCAATTTGTTGACATCGCTTTCGTTGATCGTGCCGATATATTCCTTAGAGGCAATCCCAAAACTGTTCACCCTCTTGTTGGCCTGGATTTGAAGCTCATATGATTGTCCTTGCGTGGGTCCACCGGTGACATGATAGTAGGTGCAGCGCTGAGTAGCACCTTCGGGTACGGCAAGAATCATCCAATGGCGAGGATCTCTGCCTCGAGGTTGACCAAAAGCCACATAAAGATTGATTCTCATGGTCGGAGTGAATTGATTTGTCTTTGAATTCGTCTCGAGAGTAGGAAAAAAGAATGAAGCAATTTGAAGAATATAATGTGCTATGTCGTTATCAAAAAACAATATGATTGCACTGGAGCAAAAAAGATCTTTGAATGTAGGAAAGCAATTGTGGATGAAGACTTCAAACAAAGTCCGTGGTTCGTACCACGGATTTTATATTCAGAAGCCAATGTAAAAATATACTTCCTGCTTTAGATGGGATCCATCTTCCCTGCCTGAGCGGCTCATGATACTCTCAGAGACAATTTCTGACTGAATAAAACAAGAAAGTTGCCTAGCCATCTGATAGTCGCGCGCGAACGTACTCAAATAAAAGGTTAATTATATATGCTGTTCCAATCCACCCCTTGTTTATCTGAACTCAATAAGCGCCGGGAAAAGCAACGAGGTTAATGGATCAGTTATGGGCTGATTGGTAAATACTTAACCGAAAGCCTCTTGGTTAGCCGCCAGCAGCTCCCTCAATCAAAATAGCTATCGTTATAATTGTACCGAGAGCCGCTGCTGTTTTCCTGGACAAGTATATCTGTCCGATCCTGTCCGATTTCTTTGTTCCGCAAGGCTGCTTGGAAAAATTCGAGGCAGAATAAAACCCAGATTCCTAAGTTTCAACTCGCGCCAGCTATTCAATTTTTTTTCCTTTCCAAATCCTCATCCTCATATCGAAGCCAGTTTGCCAAAGCTTCGAGAGACTCGAAAGGTGCTCGAAAGGAACATGTCAAATCCAATGAACGAGGTCTCTCAAGAGGTCACCCCATCGAGGGGTAATGCCGCCCATCCTCCCCCGTTCATTTGTCTACCGAAATCCGAACACACCCATACTGCCATACTTTTGCACGGCCTTGGAAGCAATGGCGAGAAGTTTGGAACCGAATTACTGCAAACTGGCATCTCGTCTACGGGCGCGACTCTACCTGACTTGTTCCCTGGAATGAAATTTGTTTTTCCCACCGCGAAGAGGCGCCGATCCTCGGCGTTCAAACGCTCAGTGTTGACACAATGGTTCGACATTCTCTCATTGGAGGACCCTTCCAAACGCCGAGATCTACAGATAGACGGATTGAGTGAGTCGGTATCGTACTTGCTGTCATTATTGCGGCAGGAAACGCAGGCCATTTCACCGCAGAATGTGATTCTCGGCGGAATAAGTCAAGGTTGTGCGACGGCCTTTTTCGTATTGCTAAGTTTGGAATTTCCCGTGGGAGCCTTCATCGGTATAAGTGGGTATCTTCCATTTCGCGTCGATATCCACGAGATTTTAAGCTGTGACCAAGAGGGAGAGAGCAGCAACGATGATGTCTTCGCGGTAGACGACGGCGAAGATTCAGACCAGGACCCATCCATTCAGGCAATCAATTTTGTCAGAGACATCCTTTCGCTCGATGCTATGAAGTTTGACGGCCCAGGAAGTTGCCGCACACGCATGGAAACACCTATTTTCCTTGGCCATGGAGAGCAAGACGCCAAGGTATCTTGCAGATTGGGAAGTGAGGCTGCTAGTACCATTGCATCAGTAGGATTCGACGTGACATGGAAATCCTATCCTGATTTGGGCCATTGGTACAAGGTGCCTGATGAAATTGACGACGTTGTGGAATTTCTCCAACAAAAGCTCAGTTGAAACTACATTATTCTAGAACAAAGCAAAGTCTACTCTCGCTACAAGCTACATCACACTTTTCTACGCGCAATGCCCTTGTATCTCTCGCAGTCAAGCATCAAGTGCGGTGCTGAATATCCATGTCGCTTGGCTAATGTCCAACTTCAAGAGGTTACGAACATCAATCACAGTGGCTTGATAACTCTATGCCTCCATCTAAACCAATAATATCATGCTTTCGATTAGAGTGTCGCATTTACGATTATTTATACACCTCATCACGCCGAAAATGGTCTCGCGATAGCCTCATGAGAGTGGGAAATGGGGGGAATAAAAATTGACAGGGATTGGCGAGGCTGAAACATGCCTTCGGAGGTATTTCTTTGTTTCGACTTGGGCACTTGAAGTCCCATTCACTAATGCCCTACATTCTCATTCTCCAACCATCCCGGCTGCAATACGCGCCGGTTACTAGCCAAAGCAAAGGAGATATATTAGATTCAACGGGCTATCCATACGAAACAAGTCTCAAGTTCTATTTTCAGAGCGCTTAGAGACGATCGTTGGTTTCCACAATCTCCAATCCCCCAAAAAGTTTCGCAGCCATCACTTTATCGGAAGGACTCATTTACAAGATGCCTATGTGGAGTTGTGATTTTCAAGACTGTGAGAAGCCATGTGTACGGAATGCAGGAGAATGTATTCTCTGTGATCGCCATCTATGCTCCATTCACCTCGGAGTTGAATATCACCAATGTCCCAGATGGGAGGTACGCACCTTTCAACCACCCCAGTCGGCAATTGACTGAAATCTATATATAGGACGAGAAAGCTTATGATCCAGCCGCCGGAGAAGCTGAAAGAAAAGAAATTAATAGATTGATTGACAAAATCAATATCAGCGCACTTGCAGCACGTGCCAGTCAACTGCGCAACGGAATCTCATGTTCTATTCCTCACCTTCAGTATGATGCTGCCACACGCTCTTCAGTTATGGGTGGCATGAATTACCATATTAGCATCAATTTTGCGGATGGCGTTACGTGGCTGGCTCGCATTCGAAAATTCAATGCTACCTCACCACCACCGACTTTGCGGGACCACATTATGGAAAGTGAGGTCGCCACTCTTCACTTTCTCGAGCGCACGGGTCTTCCGACTCCGAGGGTTTTCTACTATGCTCCTGAATGCGAAACGAACCCTGTCGGTGTCGCCTATCTTCTGTTTGAGAAGATGCCAGGCAAATCACTCCGCTGGTCACTCGCTAACGACGTTCAGAGGCAGAGGGTGATTGAGCAACTGGCAGACGTGTTTATTCGGCTTCACGACTTTTCTTTTGATCTCATGGGCTCCTTGTGTCTAAAGAACTCACCCGGAAAATTTTGCTCGTCACAAGGCGATGTAGGCGCTTTTGCTCGGGAATCTCTTACAGATTTCCGGGGGTCAACTATGCTCACTCTCGGCCCATATACCTCCGTGAGGGAATACCATGATGCCTCTCTTCGTCTTATTCTGGATCTCATTCTGCGTGAGGAAATTTATGCTCAGCGGTCGCTCGATGCATATTTGATTCATCGTTTTCTCCTTGACCTAGTTCCATTCGTAACGAAATAAACTGATGATAATGAAAGTGTTGATGGGAAGCTTTCTAATGGCCCAACAACGTCGCAACAGAACGTCTTCTATCTTAAACATGCCGACGATAAAGGCGATCATATTCTCGTCGATGAGGCTTACAACATCACTGGCATTGTGGACTGGGAGTGGGCATATACTGCCCCAGCCGAAATTGCCTTTAACTCGCCCATTGTTTTCTTTGATGTTGCAAAGTTTTATGATGGCTCAAATCATATCGACAAAGATGAAGTATATTTTGCTAGCCAGCTGGAACTGAAAGGACATGATGATCTCGCCAAAGTTGTACGCAATGGGCGTTTACAGCACCGATTCGCATTCTGCTGTGGGTACAACCTCGATGCCGATTGGGATGGGTTCCTGGGTTTATTTCTGGGTCTAAGAAATGCGACCGGCGTTGATAATGATTTGGATTGGTTTACGTGGAAGAGCATTGCGCTAGAGAGATATAAGGAGGATAACGATGTGAAAACTTTGTTGAATAAATCATCACAGAATTAGACCTATCGCGCCTGAGTTGTTGTATGCGCTGTAGGCTGGATTTGCCTTCAAAATTCTGTATTTCATATTCCATAGGCACTAGAATGCCTTCCATGTAGATCGCTACTCTGCACCTACGACCTCAGAATGGACAAATATCTGTTGCTGATCCTATTAGCTTTAGAGATAGAAACTGACACAATTAGGGATGCTTACTATCTGTGGAAGGGTATAAAAATTCTATCACTATGGTGAATCTTCATTTGCAGGGATTTTTGACGTCCGTCACTATTCCGACCCATGCTAGATTATAAGTGTGATAGTTAATCTCAAGAGACAGGATCTGGAGCATGGACTCTAGAACCACTTTTCAATAATCAAGAAAGCCCCCTCGCTGCTAGTACTGGCTGCATCAAAAAGTCATCATATGCAAGTTCCTCCGCAGTCGGTCGTTCATTAGGTATCCAGCGCAATATTCTCCTCAAGAATGCTAAAAACAGCTTTTTATCTTCGCCGGAGAGCTGCCCTTCTCTTGTTTCCAGTGACTGTTCGGGTATAGCTATTGTGCCTTTCCAATTACCTGTAGTTGAAATGTGAGTATATTGTAGAAGTTCCTGTGGTCGTTACAGACCTTGTTCATCCCAGTATCGGAGACACTGTTCACTCCTTTTGAGAAACTCTAGAGGCGGAGGTCCCATGAGTGATACCATCTCTGCTAGGTGCTGTTCGTCATTTAGGATGTGGTTTCTCTTTGCAAAGAATAAGTGGCTGCCTTCCAGCAAATCCCAAGCCTAGACTATTCGTCAACTTATCTTGCAGTAAAAAGCATATACACTGGATTTAGCACACCATGACGCCGATCGACCAAATATCGACCTTGCAGTCCCATTCCATGCCTAATATCACTTCTGGAGCCCTATAAATACCAGGCATGATATCTCCCTTGTGCTTATGTTTCCCTATTCTAGCCTCGCCGAGATCAGAAAGGACGGGAAGCCCTGTGCTAAAGGGTATCGGCCGCGAGTAGTAGACACTGCGATCTGCTAGGACCTTTCGTGCAATTGGCCGGTCCATCTCGTCGTCTTCAATTCTAGAAAGAACAGAACTGTCCTCAAATCCTTGGAGGACGTTGTTAGATGAAATGTCTATGTTCATGTCAGCTCATCCAAGCGTTTGGACCTTGGCCTGTGGCTCACCAGTATGTATGACATTATTTTCATGCATGAAGGCCAACGCTATTAGAAGCAATTGTAGACTCCTCTGAACAAGATCTTTTGGGAATTTCTTTTCGGGAAGCAAATTCTGGAATTCAGTAAAGGTCATCCCGAGAGGCTGATAAACAAAACACGTGTGTTTCCCATGAGGGCCAACAATCTCGAACGAATGCAGGATTAGCCTAACAAGCTTTTTCCCAGGATGATCGCCGGCTGTGCTCAAATGATCGGAAACAATAATTTCATGATTCGACCTTTGTCCCCGAACACATACTTTGACCGTGTAGATACCGTGCTCTCTACGACGGATTAGCTACACGTGATAAGACCAAATATTGCTTGAGAGACTCACTGGAGATCTCGGCAAAGCCAGGCAGTGGAGGATGTACCATATCCCAGCTTTGAAACAACCTGATACCTGGATGCGAAGACTTCGCCGATATACACTGGGTAATAATTCTCTGCAATGTAAAGAGGTAGCTCCTCCTCTTCTATTTTCTCTGAGTAATCCAGACTCACAAAACCCGATGAAGGGAACTGGCGCGGAGGTAGAGCGAAACGCGGAGATAGAGCGGGAAGCGAAGCCATGGTTCTCAATTGCAAAGAATATAGAGGAGCGATGAAACGAGTATTAAATGAACACCTGGACAATGTGGCATATCTTTTGAGACCCCAGCACAGTGCTGACATGTTATAGATTGGCCGAATAACAATTAAACCCAATAGAAAGCAAATGTGAGATGGTTCTGATCACTACGGTAGTGACCTGAGCTCTTCGCCTCCCGAACTCTAGCCGCTGTCATTCTTAAGGTTTAAACCAGCGGCAGGGTGGAAGCGCTTCCAATAATCACCAACTACCAACTGCTCGGAGGGAACAATTGATAAACTCCAATTGATTTTCTAGTACTTCAGGTGGCAGTGCTTACATACAAAATGAGATATCAAAATCTAGCAGTAACCTGTAGCTATAATGAAACCTTGATTTCGTTAATTTATATGCAAGTACACAGTCGCACTTGCCAAAGATAGCTCAAATGCCCCTCTAGCCTGGGGTTATTCTGGATGTCTAGGTAGGTACAATAATGATGTGTTTTATCTACGAGAGAAAGTCTCAGAGTTTACTTTTTATAACGTCAATACTATTCCAACCTCTCCATAATTTCCGATTCTCCGTTCTACAAGATGTTGAAGGGAACCAGAGCTATGGGAGTAGCATACAAGGGAATCAGCCTCGAGAGCCTAGGCAAAGAAGCAGGGCCGGGTTTTAGCAAAACAGTATCTGCTGCTGGTACCACCATCGAGAGCAAAGTAAGATTACTACTTATCAATAATTCCCAGATCAACTGTACTAACATGGTTCCTGTTAGTACCCTAACGTTGTTGAGGCAAGGATTCAGTATGATCACCGTGGTGTTCAAGTATTTGATGGTGTTTTTACTAAAGCAAAGCTCTCAAAGAGGCACGAAGCCGCATTTTTCGAGCAAAGATAGGAGCGAAGACAAGGAGGTCGTTACAATTGGATATCATACAGAGAAGTTGGAACAAGATATTTATCGATTCATGCACACGATGACGGCACCTGGAACGAATTTCTTTCGCGTGCAGGCCGATCTGCTTCCGCATCTTCACCAAAGGAAGATTCTCAGGCAAATACCAAGTCTCCGTCAAAGTGAGTAAGCCGGACACTTGGTCCTAGGAGTCCATTCTGAGAGATCGTATGCTTTGAGAGTTTTTGTAAGTCTAACACTTGCAACCATAACGGTTGCGCTTCTGTTGCCTTTTACTCCTGTTCCCATTCGCTTTGAAAGTTCCTCACTCGAAAATACTTGTCTTTAGGGCCGATAAGGCTGACAAAAGTTGGATTTAGATTCAGCACAATGAAAGCAATACGTACACGAAGTAGAATAAAGAGCAGAAAAAGGATACAAGTCCATGCCACAGATGAAGCGGATAATTTAGCAATTACAATAAGGGATATCTCATCATTGTACCTTCATCCATTTATCAATTTCCTTACAACCATCCCCAGCTACTTTTGCAGTGTCATGAAATGGTTTCCCAGCAGGAAGATCCGCCAAAAGGTCATCATCGGCAGGGTTCCTTCACGTGGTCGCCTCATTGTACGAGTTCAACGTAGTTACTAGATTTTGAGCATTATCAGTTTCTTGCGCACATGATGATATTGAGCTGGCAAAGGCCACAATCACCTACCTCGGAAAAATGCCTTCTCTGCCTCCTATACGGCCGGTCCACCAATCCGACTCTTTGTCCGTCCGCTTAACGATCGTTATAATATCACCCTTCTTGAAGCCGAGATCGCCCGGCTGGTCCGCATCAAAAGTATACAATGCCACGGCCTGGTTTGGGCCCGTTGGTTGCGGTCTGCTGAATTGAGGCTTTGGTGCAGTAGGCCTGCTTGGTTTTGTGTCGCTATAGGAGTAGCCGCCACTGCTAAATGCACTTCCACTTCGACTGCGGGTGTCGATCTGATCGAAAGTCTCATTGGGATTTGCGCGAGTCGAAAAGGATCTTTGTACCCCGACGCTTGGGGAGCGGTCATAAACGTCATCAGCCCAGGTGCTCGCGCGGGACGGTCGGTCGCGATACTCGTATCCGCCTTGACTTTGAACAGAGCCTGTGCGGTGGCCACGGACACCCTCACCGTACGCCGTTCCACGTTGGCCACCCCAGACAACATCATCATGTCGGTCGTCATAAATAGGCATGTCGTTGTATATCTCATCGCCCGCAGAGCTGTTAACGCCCGAGAAAATCCTCGAGTTAAGGACCTTCATTAGTGGTTCAGCGGCAGATGGCGGAGGAATGGTGCCACTCAAAAGCTGTCGAGCCGTCACCCTGGTGTTGTAGAGTTTTTCATTGGCATCTCTGCGCTCAACTAGAACGCTTCCTTCAAGAGATACACCGGCGAAAAGTCCCTTGGTCTTGGAATATGAGAAGACTCCTGCGACGCCTTTAAGACTGGCGGCACCTGCAGCCTCTGCATTTCGACCTACGGGACCAGCTGCAATGGACACATTTCCACCCAATGTCAAGGATCCTACTTGCGAAAATGTTCGCACTGCTGCGCTATCGTTGAGGATGAAGACGAAATCGGTCAGTTCGAAACCGATCTGACCACCAAAACCAGCTCCAGCGGTTGCAATGGCAGAAGGCGCCGACCAGCCGCCATCGGGGAGCCGCGCAACGACCACACCAGAACCGAACCGACCCGAGCCTAGAAATCCGGCCTTGAGAACTGTTATAACCGCGAGACCCTATCATAGAATCAGCATCGTCTATAGTTGTATCCCGCAAATGATGTCGTTCGAACCTTGGCGTTTGCGAGGATCTGCGGGGGTATGATCTTGTCCGGTCCGAAGGCTTGTCTTGGGTCAACGAAAGAAGCCAGAATCTTGCCAGCCTTCTTGCATTCACCTGTGATTTGCTTGTCAGTTCAATTCCTCGAGGTAGAGCGGACCATCCAATGCCGCGGAAGGTTACGGAGGTGACGCACTTCTCATCGACGAGGGCAAAGGGTTATGGATTCCAAGAGGCATCTTGATGGTGATGCAATCAAAACAACACTCGATAATAAAGACGGAAAGAAAACGTCGATATTGACGGATGATTAACACGAGCGAGAGACTGTGGGGTTTGGCTGCATACGCCGCAAATGACGCTGACGAGAGGGTGCGGGAAGCTCCTCTGCGAGCCGACTGTTGTTGATGGTGGTGGTGGAGCAACGGACGTGTTACCCGTATGGTTTACTTAGGCAGTAGTGAGGTCAACAGTTAACTAGCCCCGTTCTGACTGCTTGTCGGACACAAACCTGATTATCCCGATTTCCGGTCGGCAGCAACAGGTATCTCCACGTTGGCTCTTGGTCGTCGAGGTACCTTGGGTTGGTTATACGGTACAGTGGAGAGTTGGTGGGGCCACCGGGTGACTTAAATCAATCCCGATAAGCGTGCAGTGTATTGCGGGGCTTAGCCAGCCGGACTGTGGCTGAGCAATAAACACTCTAAACACCAACGTTGAGAGGCAATACAATTATCCAAATCTTCTGACAGCTTGTGGCAAAGATGAAACATCTCCTTGATGTCATTCGTGCTCGAGCAATTCATAGAGCCTTTCACCTTGTCCTCCAATCTTCTAAACATGACATCTAAACCGTTACGAACGGATAGTTTTCGATTTGTATATGATCAGAAAACATGGGTAACAAAGAGATGGATACAACCGTTCTAATCGTTGAATTGAATTTACTAGCAGGAAAATACAGGGTTGGTTGGCTGTTTGTCCATGTAATCTGGGGCCACCTACCTACATCCTGTACCAAAATAAGTCCTACTGGATTATCGTCATGTGAACTAAATGATATGTGAAAGCGACGCTTGCTACCCCTCGAAACATTGAAATGGGAATATTTTCAATCAGCAGATTAGGAATTGTGCACACCCCCTTTGGCACAACTCAATTTTATTGCCAAACATTAGAAAATAAGTCATCAGCCCCCGGAAATCCACCCCCCGATTTTGAAGCTGAAGAAGATGTGGCAGCGGGAGTTGATGCGACAGGTGGTGCACTACTCCAACCCCCAAAATCTTCATCCCCTTTTACTACCTCCTGATTCGACGGAAAATCATTGCCGCTGGCGGTGTGAGCGGCAGAGTTTGTGGTGTTTGATCCCCAAACGAAATCCTCTTGTGATGTGAGGTCCGCGGGTTTCGGGGCAGAGATAGTCGAAGGTTTCCTTGGCGCGGGAGTAGGATCAGGCGTAGCCCAGGCATTATTAGAGCCCCAAGCGTCAGAGTTGGGCCAGCCTGATTCAACACCAGTAGCACCGCTTTGGATTGTGGGCTTCTGCGCAGGCTTAGCCGTACCTGGGGCCGGTGCAGAAAGGTTAAAGGCAGATGATAGGGTTTGTGAAGTCGATGTGGGAGCAGGTGTCTGCATGTTTGGTGAGGACATTGGCGACGAAAGTCCAAAGAGATCATCCATGTTGGATTTGGACACTGCCTTTGGCGGCGATTGTGTTGTAGACGCAGTGGCAAAGTCACCGAAATCATCCAGTGCGCTGCTAGCGACAGAAGGTTGAGTTTGTTTTACAGAAGCCATGGTTGGCACTGACTTAGGGGTGGCCGTGAAAAATGATCCGCTACTTATGCTGGACGACGGCACACCATTGCTGCTGGTTGACTGTGAACGCGGACTTGTGTAGTTTCCGAAGTCGGCGAAAGGAGCGGGTTTGGGAGCTTGAGTGGTAGGTGTGACTGTTGATGAGAAGGTCAAGCCACTGAACGCATCGTCTAAACCCCCCAAAGCGGAATTGGGGCTTTGAACTGGCGGAGACTGAGCGATGCCAATACCCCCGTTTTGGGCGAGAGAAGGCTGGCTTTGGGCCTGAGGACGAGGGGACGCATACAAAGAAAGAATTGATTGCTTCAGGTCCGGCCGAGAGGGAGCTCTAGAGCCCGTGGGAGTGGACGAGGTGCTGCTGGCCCTGTTCGCCGGAGCCGAAGGAGGTCCAAAGAAATCCAAGCCTAAGAGAGAATCCCCTGGTTTTGACTGTTTTGGCTCGGCGGGAAGTGCTTTAGGAGGGGGCTGCCGAGTAATTGAAGGTTCTGTTGTATTCGGCCTGACAGGTGCCCGTAACTGTTCGTCTCCAATAAGGTCAACAGCCGGCGCGGCTCGACTGACAGGCTGGCTGGCAACTGATGAAGCTCGTAATGATGTTGATCGCTCTAGTTTGGCCTTTTCTTGGACAACATTGAGTGGCTGAATTGAAAGTGTTAAATTGGAGCGGCGAGTAGGAACGGTATTGCTTACCACATCATCATCACCGGCGTCATCCAAGGTCGCTGGATCAGGCATTGGCCCATCCATGATCCAGCGTTTGGACTCGTATTTTGTGCGAATGAAATTCTCGATCTTCCTGCACCGAAATCAGCTTCTGCAAACTAACGCTGGCCAAGAGAACTAACGCTTCAGAAGGTATATGACCGGGAGCTAACTTTGCCTCCCAATATCTAGAAAAGTTCGGTCAATACTGATCGAGAGGCATTGAGCACGGATGCCTAACTTGTTCGCCCTTGTATTTCCCCATCGGAGCACGCTCTGCAACTGTTCATCCGTCCAAGCATCAAGATCGACCGACTTTACTCGACTGATATGTGTGCCCATGCCACGGTGAATCCCTGAACACCTATGGTCGATGAGTTTATGTGCCCCTCTCATTATAGCAGTCATTGTGTGTTTAATACCTAATGCATATGAAAATCCCCAAATTCCAGCTGGCCCATCGGGGATCTAAGTTGAAAACCATCAGTATCGAGAAAATGTTCCTACAAGAACCAGCTTCCGGATTAATGGCACGAAACTCACGTTTATTCTTCTTGCAGTCGGCGCAACTCTTATTTCCTTCTAGCTTCAGTAGACTCTTAATCGTCTGCAGGTTTTGTGCAGCTCGGTCTGCCGGGACCCGCCTGGACATCACGAAGCTAGTTCGGAAAGATGATATTAAAAGGTCGCTGGTTAATTTGACGTCAAAAGGCGGCAAAACTTATTGGGCATGTGGTGGACAAGGTGTCGAATCGGAGCACTCGTGGTTTTGCCATGTATGGTCAGCCCAAGTGTTGTCGGCGTAAACGGCATGTATAGGCTGCCGGATAAAAAATCACGTGATCAACTATATCGGACTCTCGTGTACTCCGATAGATGCATCACCCCTCGACCCAGCATCCATCTGCACCCGTACCGGAGTAAGCAAACTCACAGCCGTTGGCCCCCAAAGCCCCCAAGGCGTCATCATCCCAGTTGGGCATTCAGCTGAACCTTAGCCCAGCGAGGCAAGGAGTGCGAGGACGGCATGAGAAAAACAGCGCAATATAGAAGGATGCTGTTTTAGTCGTGTTGGCAACCATTACAGCTTTTGTTTCAGTCTTTATATTGATAATGTATTAAAATGCCATTCTTAATTGCATAGTAAATCTGACCTAAGATGCGTCTGCCAGGTTATAACAGGGTTTAAATTATATCTACGGTATTCAGGGTCACCTCTGCGACGATCCCAGCTAGATCTCATATTTTATCGTACTTAGTAGCCTTGTTGGCTGTTACCCGGCGGACTCGGCCTTATGTTCTTCCGATCCTGCCCTACAAGGCTATCCCACCTCCTACTGTTCACGCCCATCGCGCCGCCAGGCTGACATGAATTTTGAGCTTTAAACTAGACAGATCAGCGTTTTGGATAGTCGAAATTGTAGATGTGTAACTCAAATGCTATAAAGACAACTAGAAGAATCTAGAACGTTGCCCCTCTACAGAAGCCTAAGGTTTCGGGCTGTGGCTCTATAGTAGCCGGTTCTAGCTCAAGCTCCAATACGTTCAATAAATGAAAACTCCCTCGAAAGGACAAGCCAAGTCCACTAACTTTGATATAAACTACGGGTAGAAACATCCATCTAATTGGCTCGGTGAGGAAGCCAAGGCCGGAGTGTTATCAGATCCATTTGGATTTACGTGGGCCCATCAGCCAGACCCAGGGCTGATGCTGGATTCACAAAGCGGGATGTGCATAGTGGGCTCAGGCCATTTTTTGCATCTGAGTCGCGTAGTTGTTAGGCTCGGAAACACGGAAAAGCCCTAAACGGTCTCCGCCACAAACGACGACTACTCAAGCGGTAGTGAGTGGCCCGTCCCGTCGCCTAGAAAACTATAACTCTGGTTGGCAGCTAATATGTAATGAAAACCCTGAAACCAACATAAGTAAGATTTTAGGTCCTCTCCTCTAAATCTAAGATATAAAAATTAATCATCTAGCTCAAACCAATATTGATTAAGGGGAATTATACCCATCTGTAATTGCGGCGGACAAAATAAAGGAGTCGCAGAACAGAAGTTTACTGTCGAATGAGGTCTTGTGGGCCACATCTGACGTCTCCAAAACCACGTGGTTGGAGATCTGGGAAGAAACTCGTGGTTGACAGTGAGAGTTGGAAAGCATAGTTACTAGAGTGAAGTCGCCGATCTTTACCAACGGCCCAGTAGTCCCGAGCTCGCTCCGAACATTACCTGCAGGTCGTAACTAGTACTAATTGGTTCGAACCCTAGTTTAGCAGTAATCTCAGATTGTGGATATTCAACACTCATTGTCGAGCACGAGTGGGGTAGAAAGGTTTTGGTCGATCGTTTGCATTTGCCTCTTTGGATAAGGTATTGATTCTCAAATCTGCTACGCCACAAGATGACAAGGGGCATCCCCCGGCAGGTGCCCACCAACGGAAACAGCTCATCCCTCCTGCAATGACGGTTGTGATAAGCAATGGGTAAATCCAGACCCGGTCAAGGGCCTCAAACACGGCCCAGCCAGGACCCTTGTTGTGCGCCTGCAGGAACCGAATAAGATAAGAAAGTAGGATATAGAGACCCACGAGGAAGTGCGTATTTAGGAAAAGCTAAAGCATTGGAAGTGTTACCAGGGCTTAGCGGATAGATCTCTGCTTCTCCAATCCCGCATCATCCTTTCACATATACAAATGGCTGCCTAGAAGACAAGAAGCAGAGCTAGAATTATTCAACCTCTCGTTTCTATCATATTCACCTTGCTTGATCCCGCAGCACCTTTTGGTGGATGCCAATTTTTCGCTTTACTAACGCAAGAAAGAAAGACATTCCCTCTCGGAAGGGGAAGAATGGAGACACAGAATCAGGACAAAGCACCAGCCCAGAAACGACTGGCCTGCGACCGCTGCCATGCTCGAAAACTACGCTGTCTCAGAGGTGACTCAATGGCTGCGTGCAGTCGTTGCATCCACGATGGATTCGACTGTACCTATAGCCCACCGTTGAAGTCAGGACGGCCTAAGAAAAGCATCCCTCCCACCATACACAACATCGCTTCAGGAACACCGGCCATCACAAACTCTGATGATTGCAGTCTATACAGCGGTAGCAACAACAGCAGCAGTAACTCAAGCATTATAACACCCCGGTTGTCGTACATGTCGCACGTGAACACAGGCGTGGAAGCGTTCCATGACCGCGTACCTGTGTCAGACGAAACCGACATATTAACCCAGATTGATGACACAACGCTACTACCATCAACATGCCCCACAACTCCCGAAAGCTTCGCGTGGCTCGACCTGTTAAAAGATGACGAAGGCCCATCATTATTTCAATACCATCACCATAACAACCACATATCAGATACACATCCAAATAATAGAAACAGAGAGATTGAGAGGGATTCGCGCTTGAACGATTTCGGCTTGGCAATCGCCCGCGAGTCGGACACGCCGAATGAGATGCCATGGTCGCAATCCAGCGCAGGCAGCAACGAGGGCGGCAGCAGAGGCGACAGCAATATCGCCGAGGTTATGCAAACATTGTCACGCTTGCAGCAAGAGCTTCTTCAGTTTAAAAGGCCTTGTTCAGATATAGCTAGCGATGCGATAAACAGCAGCAGGCGAATCCCTCAGAATCCCGTGAGCGCAGTCCTCAAACCCGGTCAAGAGCTTTTGAATGTAGTCCGCCGACTGTTTGATGAGTGCGCAAAGGGTCAACATAACGAGCTACAATTTTCCAACCAGCAGATGATTCATCTGCTGGTTTTGACACCATTATCATTATTAGTTTCAGCATACAGCAAGGTATTATGGGAAATTACCTCGGCCTTGCATCAGTTTCAAGCCGGTCAGGGCCAGGGGACAAACCCTCATCTCTTGAAGCCGCTTCCGTCTGTCAGAGACTTTGGTGAAAACCGATCAAAGGGAAATCTTTCCATTTATGGTTTGTCCCACCCCCACTGTCCAAGTCTGGGCCCTGAAGAATTCAACTTGACGTTGGGTGAAATGGATCTTGACGGGCCGCTGCAGTTGGTTCTTGTCATAACCGTTGTCAAGCACCATCTAACCTGTCTGGATCATGCCCTGCACGTCTATCAGACAAAATGCATGCAGGCTCCCCGGGAATTTGGCATCTCGGAGGGACTTTTCTCAACCACAATATCAGAATTGAGATCATCCATGAAGGTGATCATATCGGAGGCTGGAGACCTTCTATAGCAAGCAAAGGTAATGAGAACGAGCCTTTTGATGTTGGAAGACTTAGCTGGAAGAACAATATGGACTGGAAGGAAGGAGAGTTCAATATACCGGCGGGCATGTAGAAATATTGCCGAAAGTCTGAGCGTCTGCAACCCAGTATCCCTGCTTGCGTCTGATTATTTGCAGAATCCTTCTTTGAATGATTTTGAGTTTGTACGTAGTTAGCGAGATATACCATACATTAGTTATTGATTCACAGCGTGGAAAAGTTCTGATCGAACAACTTATCAGATCATCAAGTGTAACAGTCTGCTATATCGATCTTAGTGACTAGTGATTCAATTGAAGACATTCCCAATTGCTGGCCGGGATAAAGTTAAGCCGCTGAATGCCAAACATAGCATGTTGATAGATTGCTCTAGACTGTAGCTAGCACTCTTTGCGGCGTATTAATTGAGTGGTGCACATAGAGTCCAAAGTAGTAGGAAGATCGGCGTAATGGAGAGCGAGAAAAACCGCCGAAAGCTATATTGTAGTAGTCAGATGCCCCCTGAAGGTTAATAAGGACGACTTCTCAGCAGAAATACACTTTTCTATACACGGCAAGCAAAAATGGCAGAATCAGATACTTCGTCCACTACTACCTTGACCTCGTCTTCCACGTCCACTGCCTTTGATGTCATTATTATAGGCGCAGGTCTCGCCGGTATCAACGCTGCATACCGCCTTCAAACCCAACTACCACATCTCAGCTATGCCATTCTTGAAGCACGCGACAATATTGGTGGCACGTGGGATCTCTTCCGCTACCCTGGCATTCGTTCTGACTCGGATCTTTTTACCTTTGGCTTTGCCTGGCAGCCATGGAACCAACCCACTCCAATTGGCGAGGGAGCCGCCATTTTGAATTACCTGAAGCAGACGGCTGCTCAGTATGGAATCGACCAGCGGGTTCATCTCCGACGTCGACTCCAAACAGCCTCGTGGTCGTCGGCCCACCAAGTCTGGACATTGACGGTAAATGATATGTCAGAAGATAATGGAGAGAAGGCAAATATTTCGTACACTGCTCGATTTGTCATCCTCTGCACCGGATACTACGATTATCATAAGCCCCTCGAAACCATCATACCCGGCTTGGAGCGGTTTCAGGGCCAAATAGTGCATCCGCAATTCTGGCCGGAAAACCTCGATTACACCGACAAACAAGTCGTGGTCATTGGCAGCGGCGCCACAGCGATTACTTTGATCCCGAAACTAGCTGAAAAGGCCGCACGAACAACGATGCTGCAGCGCAGTCCCTCATATATTTTGTCCATTCCAAACAACAGGTCAAAACGTCCTTCGTGGCTGGAACAAGTTCTCTCGCCTGGGAAACTTCACGCTTGGAAGCGTATGTCCTTTCTCTTATGGTCTCGCTTCATCTTTCTCTTCTGCAAGGCGTTTCCGGATGCGGCCCGACGGCGGTTAAGACGCGGCATCGAGGAATTACTTCCGCCGCATCTCCCTTATGACCCGCACTTTAACCCAAGATACAACCCTTGGGATCAGCGCGTATGTTTGACACCAAACGGAGATTTTTTCAATTGTCTCCACGACGGTAGAGCAGATGTGAAGACGGGTACCATTAAAGACGTCGTGGCAGATGGAATTCTCATGACTAGCAATGACTCTTCGTCGGTGAAGAAGGATATCCTGCTTCCGGCTGATATCATTATCACAGCGACTGGCTTGAAGCTCCAGCTCGCTGGCGCAGCCACTTTTGACGTGGATGGTGTATCTGTCGTGCCGTCAGAAAAGTTCTTCTGGAACGGCGCTATGTTACAGGATGTACCGAACCTTTCTATTGTGATTGGGTATACCAGTATCTCGTGGACCTTGGGCGTGGATGCAACAGCACAGCTTATCTGTCGATTGCTGCGGATCATGGAACGGAAAAGATTGTCCAGTGCGACCCCAAGAGTTGAACAAGGGATCGCATTGACTCCGAAACGCCTGTTTAATATCAGCTCGACCTATGTCACTGTGGCAGAGAGTCATCTCCCAAAAGCCGGAGACCAAGGCCCTTGGCGGCCCAGAACTAATTATATTTCGGATTATTGGTTTGTCAAACTTGGACGTGTGGAAAGAGGGTTACAATTTGTCCCGGGAGAGGGCGTGAAATTGAAAGAGAAAGCATCATAGGTAGTAGTACGCGTTAGAAAATTTTTTTTGATATATACAAACAAATACAGATCTACCAAATGGGGGTCAAAAAGACTCTGAAATACGAAAGAAAAGTGTTCTACGCAAACATGGCCTAAGACCGTCTAACGATTCTATCCTGTGCCGACTAGTTAATGTTCGTCGTCAAAAGTTCATACATAAGGTACCTAGTGGTAAGGTTTTCAACAGTAGAGTGGCCTGGAAACCTGACCATTTAGGTAAGCTGCTGAGCGTTTTTAACGATCGTTGCGGGCCGTTTCCACTAAAATCTTCACTGCCGTAGAGTGTTGAAGCACCGAGTCATCTACCGGAATGCCGCGTGACTCAACACTATTGATCACGGTTTCTTATCTATATCTAGCCGAGAATCTCGCTGATCGCCGACTATTATCCGGTATTAGTTATGCTTAATGTGTGGAGAAGACATCCTGACATCGACTCACGACGCCATCTCCTCGTCCGAACCCTCCGAACAGCATTAGAATTCATGCATCATGGCTCCCTAACAGCCTCGGCGGGTTTGCTAACACCTTGATGGTCAGCCAATACCATGCTCGAATTGGCCAGTGGTCGAATAACCTCAAAGAAAACCCCCCGATTCTCGTCTAAAATCGTCGCGCATCCCTGTCATCTACCCTTGCAACGGGGCAATAATCGATCCGGCGGAGAAACTCTAATCGGATGGACTCCGGCTCAGCTTCCCTTGGAGCGAAACTCTTCCCCCTCTAAACCCCCCGTAAGCAAAGATCAGATTTTACTGCCTAACATCTAAAGCAAAGAATTGAAGAAATTATACAACATTCTTCAATCAGAGAGACATCATGGCCACTTCGTCGCTGGCGCATCCTTCTCGGAAGATCTTGCTCGTGGTGACCACGGGAGGATTTACTCATGCTGGTAAGTGACCAAGGAGAGAGGCTTATGTTGATTGCTTGAAAGAGATGAGCTGTGTTCTCATGCATATTTTATTCTTCTCTTGCTTCTTTGTATTGTCCTTTTGCGCGTTTTCTCCCAATTCCAAGGCGGGCTAACGACTCAGCAAAAACCTACCAGCCCCGGTGTTTGAAATAGGCAGGGCCCTCGCTGAAAGAGGCCATACCATTGAATTCGCTACCTTGGAAGGGCAAGAGCGCTGGATTAATGGATATGAATTCATCACGAAGATTCATCTGCTGGGCCCGGGCCCTACCGAAGAGCAGCTCGACGCCCACTACCGGCGAATGCGAGCCTGGGATATCTCAAAAGGAATCGGTGGGACGATGGAGTCCAAATACATGTTCGATTCCTTCTGGCCGCAGACTTATCGCGGTTTAAAGGCACTCATGGATGACCCTGCCACTCGACCTAGCATGATGATAGCCGATTTCTTCGTGGATGCGGTCAAAGATATGCTTGTCGAGTACCACCTGCCCATTGCCACAGTCTCACCAATAATGCCAATCCTCATGATGCCTTGCTCATACATTCCTGGCGAGCCTGGCTTTCAGTTGGAGGGGACTCTTACCTCGGAAACGGCATCAATGTGGCTTCGCATCAGGAACGAACTAGTTGTGATCCTCGAACTCCCAACCATCATCAAATGGATGAAGTGGACCGACCGGATGCGGCGCCGCGCTGGAGTCAATTATCCAGTGCACAAGATAAAGAAGCCGGATTATCTGATTTTTGTCAATTCATTCTTCGGCCTGGAAATCCCGCGGGATCTCCCACCAACGTGCGCCGCGGTAGGGCCGCTTTTGAGTGACACCTATCCCCCGTTGGATACAGATTGCGAGAGATTCCTCTCCCAACACAAGTCCGTCATCTACATTGCGCTCGGTACACACATTATCCTGAGCAACAATGACGCCACTAAGATCATCAAAGCTCTGCTCCGTTTGATGGAGGACCATTTGATCGATGGTGTGATTTGGGCCGTGGCCAAGAGCGGCCGACAAGATCTGGACCCCCAGAAGACGTTTCAAACCAAGCAGGGTGAAAAGAATGTCACGCTCCGACTGGCCGATCTGCTGAGCAACAGCCATCCCGATTGGTTGTTCTCTTTTTTCGCGCCGCAGCGAGCCATCCTGGACCACGAGTCGACCAAGATATACTTCACCCATGGAGGTGGATCGAGTGCCAACGAGGGTCTCTTCCATGGAAAGCCTATGCTCTCCATGGGTATATTCATGGATCAGATCCAAAACACCTCGCGCCTGGTCGCCGGCGGCTCGGCCGAGCCCTTGAACAAGTTCCACTTCACTTCGGACGAGCTGCACACCAAGGCCAAGAAAATCCTTGAGGATCGGGACGGTACCTACTACCGCAATGCATTGCGATTGATGCGCATCGCTCGTGTCGCATCGCGACGCAAGTACCATGCCGCAGATCTGGTCGAGGAGTTGATGTATGATAATGAGCTGCGATACAAAAATGGACGCGAGATTCGCCCCATGCATCTCCAGACAGCAGACATGCGCATGCCGGCATACAAGGCCAAGAATTGGGACATGTATGCTGCCTGTGCCCTGGGCTTAACCGCGGTGGTGGGATCGACCATTTTTGGCAGCCAGTTGTTGTGGACCCATCGGGCTTCTCTCATCGAGCCGGTTCAATCATTTTTGACCAGCCAGGATTGGTTCAAGAATATTTTGCGAAAGTAGGCATTTATTCCTTTTTTGCTATTTTTAATTTTATTTTATATTTTTAACGACATATCTTATACTGCAAGTAATTTGATTCTCAGCGTTACACGTTTAAACTGTGTTCGGTTCTCAACACAAATTTAACTTAGGGTTCAATTATCAGACTGAATATTATCGGCTCATTGACAAAATATGATTTACATAAATTACGTAGCAATTAAAAAATAAGTGCCGAGAAAGTGAGAGCCTTATGCACAAATATGTAAGTTGTTTACCAGTATTCTATCTAAGATACATAGATCTATCATATGGAAATTTATTTGGCTCATTGAAAGAAGAAACCACCAAACCAGTCCGTACTCGCATTAAATGTCCCACCCATCTTACATCACAGCCACAGTAGATCAGCTCGGCCAGTTTCGTCCAAATGGGCTAACACTCAGGAAGTCTCTTCCTGAACTGTGCGTACTTGTAAGCCCCGCCGTCGCCACATGATCCCTAGGCCAAGAGAACCAATGAAGCTGAGACCAGCAAAGGCGATGAGGACGCGAAACTGGGTGCCGTAACTTTCGCCGTAAGCCTGCCTGACCCTGCTTGCCTCGGATTTCGATAGTTCGCTAATGCTGGCCGACGCGCTGAGTACCGCCGCTATTTGACTCGGGTTAAGAAAGGCCCGTAGGAAGCGGCCGAGATCGGCGTGAAGCACGGTGGAGCACACCGCCAGCCCCACGCACCCGCCGAGCGTTCGAGCGGTGTTGTTAGCGCCAATGGCGACGGCTAAAATAAATCGTCAACTAACGTAGCTGAAGAAACGCCGGTGAAATAGTTTGAGAGATTTGAGAAAGAATACGGCGGTGAATTGAGTACTTTAGGGTTTCATAGATACAAACAAAAAAAGAGGGAGGGGGGGGGGGCGGGGGGCTACCTACCCAGATCGGCGTCATCATATTCGACTTTCAATAAAAATATGAGAGGCGGCATCATGAACCCTAGCCCAAGGGCCAGAATAACCTCGTACCCGTAAGTTGCAGGTGCAATGGACTCTGCCGTCGACAGACTGCTAAGTAAGCCTAACCCGACTAATGTTAAGGCTGACCCGAAAATGAGTAGAAGGGTGGCGATCTTGGGGATCTTCGAGAGCAGGAATCCACATAGCATCGAGAATGCTGGGGAGACTAGCGTGAAGGCAAGCATATCGATTCCAGCCCTCGCGGCCGAAAGCCCATTAACGGACTGGAATCGCTGAGGGAGGAGGATGATGGCAGCATAGAAGCAGCCTCCCATTGCAAACATTGTTCTGGAAAAATTAGTATGTTTAATGATAACAAATGTATATTTGCATACATGTGACAAACATGAGATGATGACTCTTACATTAAATTGAGTGATAGCGTCGGGCTTTTTAGAAGTCGAATAGGGAGCATGGGCTCTTGTCTGGACCGGCGTTGCACCCATGTTTCATAAAGGACGAACGCGATCAGGGCGACACCGCTTCCGACAAGTGTGCCAATAATCGTGCTACTGCCCCATGCGTACGAGCCTCCTGCTTCCTCCAAGGCGAACACCAGCATCGTCGACCACGCCAGGGAAAGAAGACCCCCAAGCGCATCGACTCGCCGCAGCTTTTCTTTTTCAAAGAGCTTTTCGCCTAGACTAGGAATGGCAGGAACTACAAAGAGTAGGGACAGGACTACCCCAGGACCGCTGTTTTTCTTGAAAGTCAGCTATTATGTATCAAGTCTTTCTGTGAAGAAAGGGTGTCTGTACTCCCAATACCATAGTCGGCCGCTCCGTACTTACTTGATAAAGAAAACCCATCTCCACGTCGTGTTATCAACAATCACACCTCCTAGAATGGGCCCAAGAAGACTTGCAAGCGCGAAAACAGAGCTCAAAATGCCTGTATACAGCCCAATCTTTTCTACCGTGGCAATCTTGGTTATAATCACAAAGACGGTGGAATAAATGCCAGAGCCACCAATGCCTTGCAGTGCACGGAACACAATTCTGTCGAAGAAAAAGTAAGCGACGTCATAGGCGGTCGTGATGGATCAGGATTTGTATTCGTACAGCTGGGTCATGGTCTGCGCTCCGCCGCAGGCCATTGAGAACACCAAGAAAATAAATTGGGCCAGTAGGAGCAAGCTTTTTTGACCAAAAATGTCGGTCAATTTGGAATATACAAGGAGAAACCCTAATAAATAAACGAATCAATAGTCAATTGCTTAATCAATGAGAAATGCGTGTCATTTGTTCAAGCGGTCGCTCTGAGAATTTTATCTTACCATTGTAAGTGAGTAAATATGCCACGACAATCCAGGTTGATTGCCCTTGGCTCTTCAGGTCATCGGAAATACGGCGAAGGGCTGTTGCAACAATTGTCGTCTCCATGGCGGACAGGAAAAGACATATCCAGAGCCTGTCCGTACAGAAGCTATACGTGAGTCTGATCTGATGTAGTAGGAAAAGAATTCAGAGAAGTCGCAATATACCCGATGACACTGAGGCTCAGCCGTAAAGACCCAATATTGGAATTGTCCAGTTGAGAGGGTCTCCCGGTGGCGGGGACCCTGCTCTGGTCCTCAGAATTCCCCATTAGTAGTACCAGTGACAGCACACTAGCTAAGCCAACTGAAAAGGCGGGAGACTAGCGGAGGGAAATCAGAAGGGACATTGAAGGTATTAGACGGGCTCATCCTCAAATCTCTCAGTAAGAGTCGGGGCAATAGCTGCGCCCGTCCCCGAACGTGGTGAGTGATCTTAAGTGGAACTCGGCGATTTCACCCGGTAACATAGCAGGGAACCCCAGTATTGTACGACATATTTTGCCGCAAGACCGGGCAGTAATGAACCCGTTTCCACCCCACGTCGTCTCGATGGTTATAGTCTGACAATAAACCTTTTCATCAGCATCATGAATTTGCAGCTGATTCAACTCATTAAAGAAATGGTTTCGCCAAAAGCGACTTAGCTATTATGTTACTATGTAAGAAACATAAAGCGCAGCCGGCGACCAATAAAAACCCGCCGAGCAACTGTTAATGTCCGCGTGTGTCTTGTATCCGCCGAGTATGGGATGATTCTAGCAAACCTCCTCTGTCCTGGGCTATGAAATAGATTCGGAGAAGATGCATCCATTTAATATAGAGCGTTCTCGTGGGGAGAGCTTGTTGGGTTGTGTGAATGCCTTCACAACATTCATTCGTGCCTCTACGCGGGTGGAGAAAGCATAACCATGTCAACCTTAACTGAATCATCACGACCGCCGCTTCGAGTCGCCATCGTTGGAGCGGGTCCTGGTGGGCTTGTACTTGCGCAGACTCTTCGCCAGGACAAAAGATTCGTGGTAACAGTCTATGAACGTGGGGCCCCTGAGGGTAACGGTAGCTCCTTGGTGGGGTTTCGCATCCTCGTAACTCCCGCCGTTCTCGATTCTCTTCGGGAGCAGCTTCCATCCAAAGTTCGAAATCTGGTCGACCGGGCCGTTGGAATTCCCAAGAGTCAAGGAAATAGAGTATGCCTTATGGACGAGACGTGCGCGGTGAAATGCCGCGTTGACCTGGATGAGTCACGGTCCCTCTGCTCGATTTCGAGATGGAAGCTCCGCAATGCCTTGCTGCATGGCTGTGATGACTTTGTAAAGTTTCACAAAGAGTTCAAATCCTATGAAGAGAGCGAGGATGGCGTCAATGTTCACTTTGCGAATAGCGAGTCGATTCAGTGCGATTTGCTCATCGGTGCAGACGGCGCCGGCTCTCGTGTACGAAAGCAGCTTCTTCCCAATAGCAGCAGAAGCGACAGTGGCGTGACAGTCATTTATTTCAAGGCGCCTTTTACTCCAGAGACTGAAGCCATGATTCCATGGGCATCTGGATGCTTGGTAAGGCGACTCCGTCAATAATGATTGATCAGTGATATTCTTTGCATTTTCCACATTCCAAAAGCAAAAGATACCAGTTGAAAGCTAATTTCTCTCCATATAGGCCATGACTCCGAGAAAATCCATGGTTGTCGCATATTACAAGAATCCGGCAAAACCTTACGGCACATATGATTTGGAGAACATTGACCCAGAAGACTCGTTCCTCATGCTTGGCATGGGATGCTACACAAACGAGTTTTTCAATCAAAGCAAACATCCCGACGCCATGACGCCTGAAGAGTTGAAAGATGAGTGTCTTGCGCGAGCACAGCATTGGCACCCCCTTCTTCGATCCTTGATTGCTATTAGCGTGCCCAAGTCTGTCTACGTCTCTCACATTAAAACACAAGATCCAATTGATCCATGGGAGACTGGAAAAGTGACGATAATGGGAGACGCTGCTCATAGGTAAGTCGATGCTACAATGCCTTCCCTTTTGTAGCTGCCTGCCAAAGCCATTGACACTAACTTCAAAACTTTAAGCATGACTCCATATCTTGGAAAGGGTGCCACGAGTGCCATTGCCGATGCATTAGCCCTTGCAGAAGCACTCAAATCAAATGAGAAAGAACAGGAGTCTCTCACGGAACGACTAGCCGCGTATGAAAAGTCAATGTTAGAACGTGGGTTTGAAAACGCGAAAAAGAGCATGTTCGTTCATCAACTCGTATTTGCTGCGGGTAATACACCTTGGAGGGCTTGGCTACGAAATTGGGCATTATACGTTTTGGACATGTTTATTCGGCACCCTGTGGCTTCCGTGGAACCCTTTCCTGGTATGTGGATTTATTTTGTCTGCATTCATATTTTATCAACAATTACATATGAAATCGCGGTTTTAACTAATCTGAATTTATAGTGAGTTACAGCGATGAGATTGAAAAAGCGAAATCGAAAGGCTGAGGTTGGATGGGTAGATAGAACAAGTTCTATATAATTTATCTGGTTTTATCCACTGCTGCTGTATTGAAAGTAAGGGTCTAATCTTGCTGTATTAATATGGGAGAGTCGGAGAGTTTATATTGGCCTTGTGTAAATTTTCTTGCTTTGGCGCAAGTAATGTTCTAGTGTTTTTGGGTACTGGGGTAATCTATTACGATTCATATCTCTCTTGCTGTGCGGGCAATGTTGCTAGAAGTAAGATAGACATAGCTTTGGAAGGGGGTATTCCACATCCAGTATATCTGTGTGGAACTTATAATTGACAATTTGACGTTTTCATGGTCTTTTCCATCTCCAAAATCGGGCGCGTTATTTAGATAGCAGCAAGATAATAAAAAAAAAAAATACATACATTGTAGATATATCAGTGGAGTAGCTCAGCGGTTCAGAATTCTCAACAAGCGTATCTCGGGGGAAATTTAAAATAGTGTGATATTATGTATTCAATGCATATATTTCCTTTAAATAAAAAGTTGGTTTTGGTATTAAGGGTGAATACTCTAATCGAACGATTTGGTAGTCTTAATTACCTACTTCGAGGAAGAAATTAAATACAAAATGATAGGGGAGTCATGGAAAAAGTACGAAGGCAAAGGATCAACATTTTTAGGACATTTATCTTCGAGGAAGTATCTGAAAGGGATATTCTCCTGTCTTTTATATTCCAAACATACATCAAAATTCCGTAGGAACGAAGGGAAAAAGAAAAACGAAATGGGAAGAGCTCAACACCCAAAAGCACGCCATAGAAGTTTCTTCCACAAACAGCCAAGTGAATTCATTCTTCAATGCGCAGTGAGTGCATTGTCTATCGCCCTTCTTATGGTTGCGGCCATTTGCTGGACTAAATGAGGTGCTCGTGGCACTTCATGTCCGCGTCCATGATCGAATTCCACTCTTCTTCTCGGGTCACAAATGTCTCGCAACCTCAAACTTTCTTTAAGCGTGTTGTCCTTGGAGCCGTAAATATGAGCAGTTGGAATGCGAATGGTCAAACCTGCCTCGCGGACCTTTTCAGCCAGGAAAATATTCCAAGACTCGTCGGGATGAGGTTCATGACCGGGAACATATGGACCCATCCACGGTTCCGTCAACGCAGCCATACTGGCCACGGGAGGACTGTATAGAAAATCTGGCTCTTGGAGTGACTTTGTGACGAGGAGTGGGGCGCCACCGCAGATGAAGACGGCTAATTTGAAAAGGTTAGGGCCGAAAGGATTGTTTTTCTGATGATCTATCATGACTGCCGCTAGCAGAGCTGCGCCTTGAGAAAATCCCAGACATGCATCAAAAGGTCCCTCGGTTTCGATTATGTCAAGTAACTCTGCCTTTGCTTCCTCAAGTGTATGTCCTCCAAGCCCTGGAGAATACCAGGTAAAAAAGGGCCCGGCAAAGATGTTTCTAATCTCTAAGCAATTCATAAGCGTCAGTAAGGTTTTCTATTTCGCTCTGACATATGAGAACTGAAAAATTGAGGAGACTGGATTGATGTTTCTCTTACCTTCAACCGGCTCTACTTCACAGAATGCATCGTAGAATTCGAATTGGCCATTAGAGCTCAGAGCTTCGCGAATTGGGCCTGTATAATTCTCAGTCCACGGTGGCTATTCCTTACAATCATATTGCATCATACGGGGCACCAACCGAATTGTATCTCGAGGACCTAACCAGTATCCAACAATTTAGGTGAGCATGGTCACAAAAGAGAATATTGATTGTAGCACGGCCACAGGGTATTGAGAGATGACCACATACATGCGAGTTGGTACCGGCTCCATGGAGGCAAAGAAACTTCATCTTTACAATAGAACCATACACGGAAGCTTCAAAACGGAATAATGGAGTGAAGAGGAGATGAAGGGATAGAAAACTCCCCGTGCAAATGGCAATTTATTTGCTTACCGTCTTGTTGTACTAGTCTTTATTTCTAGCTGACAGGCTGAAATGGAAATGTCTTGGACAATAAAAATTCTAGACTCTGCTTTGCTTTCTTGACCAGTTCAACCGAATGGGAGAAGCATAGCAGACGCAGGGTGAGCACCAACGGAATCTGAAAAATACCCGCCGAGAGAACCAATTTGGCCCCCATGAACCACGGGTAATTGTTCACTGCAAGTCAGCGGAGCAGATATTCTGCCGAGACAAGCATTTCCGATACGCACTAGATCTTGTGGCATGATCATGACTAAAGCTATTGCTAGCGGAGGATGAGCCTTGCATTATCAAGGGACTCTTCGATCATTTGAAGGCCTGGTGTCTATCTATGATACAGGGCGGCAGATTAGTATATTTCTTTATGGTTTTAGAGCGATGCTATAGTTTGGCTCAATTTAATACTTATAATCATGCATATCAATTCTTATATCCCTAGTGCTGTCGTCAAACTTCAGCGACCGCAATAGTACTTAATGTACTCCTATTTGTTTTGGAATAAGTATCACCCCGTTATCTTATTGAATATGCTGCTCAGTAGAAAATGATTATATTATTCCATCAGCCTAAAATCTTTTTACTAGTCCAGTATAACAGATTTACTCGTATTATCGGTGTGTTAGCATCAGCCTCGAGGTCCAGACTGGACGATCAGCGACTCAGCCCGGTCCCATTCATCCTTGGGCGTCCTTTCGGTTAGTAGATTAGTGGAATTGATAACACAAGGGGCGGATCTTAGGCCACTAAACCCAACTAGTGCTGACATCTTTTATCTTATCTTTTCCCTGAATCCCTCCGCAGGATGACTAGACCCCACCTCATCTTGGTTGTTAATCCTCCGACTGCCCTGAAAGAGCATATTGAAACATGCCGAGCCATCTTGTTCAGACCACAGCAATCAATCTTCTCAGAAACCAAGGTCTCTAATTCTGCCAAAACCCATTGAACTATATTCTTCCCCTGAAATGAGTTGGTTTCCAAGAAATCCACCGGAGGTGTACCCGCAGATGAAGATGGCCTGGGAAAATGTGCTTGAACCAATATCTTATAATCCGGGGGAACAGCCCCGGATTTTACTATCACATTGCCAATTAACATCTCCTTTTATCGAACTTTTTCTGTCGAATCCTCCATGAGCATATCCCAGAAGACTTGCCTAACAACATTGTGACGATCCCATCGATTTGTGCAAAATGCCGCTTCTCACAGGCAATGGCTACTCGCAACCCGAGCCGCAAGTCGACTCCATCTTACAACAGGATAAATCCATGCCAATCGCAATTGTTGGCATGGCATGTCGACTTCCAGGAGAAGCGACCAATCCCGACAAGCTGTGGGATCTGTGTGCGAAAAAAGAGGCCGCATGGAGTGAAGTGCCCAAAGACCGAATGAATATTGATGCCTTTTATCACCCAGATGGCGAAAGAGCAGGAAATGTATGAATGAGACAATTCGTCAATATTGACAGAGCGATTGGCTAACTGCAATTTCTTTTCGCCCACAGACAAATGCACGAGGGGGTCATTTCCTGAAACAGGATGTTGCTGCTTTTGACGCATCCTTCTTCTCAATTCCTCCAACAGAGGCAAAGAGTATAGACCCCCAGCAACGGATTCTCATGGAATGCGTATATGAAGCCATGGAAAATGGCGGCATGACCATGGAGGATTTCGCTGGCTCCGACACCAGCTGCTACGTGGGAAGTTTCTCCCGTGATTATTACGAGATCATCGACCGAGATCCTGAGACGGCACCGCTGTATTCAGTCACCGGAAACGGTGCCGCCATCTTGTCCAATCGAATCAGTTACTTCTATGACCTCAAGGGGCCCAGCCTGACCTTGGACACTGCTTGTAGCAGTAGCTTGGTTGCTCTGCATCTGGCGTGTCAAAGTCTGCGCACCGGCGAAAGCCATCGAGCCATTGTCGGCGCGACCAATCTGATTCTAAACCCAGACATTATAGTGACCATGTCTAATATGCATTTCTTCAGCCCTGATTCTCGGTGCTTCACCTTTGATTCCCGGGCCAATGGTTACTCCCGTGGCGAGGGTATCGCGACCTTGATTCTCAAGCCACTGGCCGATGCCATTCGCGACAATGACACCATTCGCGCAGTCATTCGAGGTACTGCATGCAATCAGGATGGCAAAACCTCTGGCATTATGTTGCCGTCCAAGGAGGCCCAAGAAGAGCTAATTCGGACGGCCTATGAAGAGTCTGGCTGTGACCCCAAGCAAACTGGCTACTTCGAGGCTCACGGAACTGGAACCCAAGCTGGTGACCCCCTCGAGTAAGTGTTTTGTTGCTCACTATCAATTTTCTTTTGCATGTTGCGCTGACCAAGAAACCCTTCGAATTTGAAAAGGTCTGGTGCCATTGGAGCCTTTTTTGGACCACATCGTCCGCTAAATGATCAGGACGAGAAAATACCGTTGTACGTGGGAAGCGTTAAAACGAACATCGGCCACACGGAAGGTACCAGTGGTTTGGCAGGCGTCATCAAGTCCGTACTCGCGCTAGAACGGGGCGCGATTGCCCCCAATCTATATTTCGAGAACCCCAACCCTCAAATTGACCTTGACGGCTGGAATCTCCGCGTCCCAACTGAGCTTACCGCTTGGCCACTCGACGGGCAACGACGAGTTAGCGTCAACTCATTCGGCTTTGGAGGCACTAATGGGCATGTCATTCTCGATGATGCCTATCACTATCTTGAAAGTCGCGGATTGCAAGGCTCTCACAGGACATCACGGACCCCCATCTTGGACCTGAAGACGATGATTGGGAATGGGAACACCGAGGATGAGGTGACCAAGCCTAACGGGCACGAGAATGGGACCAATGGACATACTTCCACAGAGAATCGGCGCCATCGAATCTTTCTCTGGTCCACTCACGAAGAGAACATTGCTGGGAAGAGCGGTGCTGCTTATGCAGAACACCTGGCGGAACGGGAGGAGAGCAACGAAGAAGCCTTCTTGGACAACCTTTCATACACTCTGTGCAGCCGTCGTTCGATGCTGCCCTGGAAGTCCTTTCTTGTTGCTGACTCCCTGAGTGATCTCGTCGAAAAGGTTGCAGCTACTCGACAGAAGCCGATCCGTGCGTCCCTCAACCCGTTGAGGGTAGCGTTTGTCTTCACTGGCCAGGGTGCACAGTGGTTTGGGATGGGCCGGGAGCTCAGTAAGGTGTATCCCCTCTTTCAGGAGCGTCTGGAGCAGGCCGATCTGTTCATCCGGAAGCTGGGGGCTGAGTGGTCTTTGCTCGGTAAGTAAAGCCTCTTCAACTCGTTCCCTTCACATAATGCCGCAGCCGGGGTTGGAAGAAACCGAATACAGACTAACGGTGTGCAATATAGAGGAGCTAAGCAAGGACGAGCGTGAGTCGCGGATTAACGAGTCCCTCATCAGTCAAACGGCGTGCACTGCTTTGCAGATTGCCTTGGTCGATCTCTTGTCCAGCTGGGAAATCCGACCAACAAAGGTGATCGGCCACTCTAGCGGAGAGATTGCAGCCGCCTACACAGCGGGAATTTTACCAGCAGAATCGGCTCTCAAGGCTGCCTATTTCCGGGGCTTGCACTCTAGTCTGGTGAAGGCCAAGTTGCCCTCTGCCGATGGAGCTATGATGGCAGTAGGTCTCTCAGAGGCTGACGCCGAGGAGAGAATCGGAGGCCTTGATCCTGCATTGGGGAAAGCATTTGTTGCCTGTATCAACAGCCCGACCAATGTCACTGTCTCCGGAGATCGTCCTGTCTTAGAAGCTCTTGGTCAGGCGCTACAGAAGGACGGTGTTTTTGCTCGTTTCCTAAAAGTTCACACTGCCTATCATTCCCACCACATGGAGGCGGTCGCGCCTGACTATGAACTATCCCTGGCGGGTATAGAGGTCAACCTTGCTGACGATACTGTGGAGATGGTCTCCACAGTCACTGGTGAGCCTGTGACGGCCAATGATATCCTCGGTCCAAAATACTGGAGTAAAAACATGGTGTCTCCCGTGCGCTTCAATAACGCTCTGCAGACCCTATGTAGCCGTCGCGCAACAACAAAGCGAGCTCGCCGAGGAGCTGGAAACCAAGCCGCGGTCGATGCCCTAGTCGAGATAGGACCCCATGCTGGTCTTGCTGGGCCCGTCAAACAGATTCTTGGCGTTCCCAGTCTCGAAAAGAGTGGAATTGTGTACAAGTCCATTCTCTCACGTGGCCAAGATGCTTGTCAGACCACTTTGGAGGCGGTGGCTTTCCTCTTCGCCAAAGGATACAAGATCGATCTCAGCAAGATCAATTCCCCAGATGGTCTCCATACCATGCCGCAGGTGGTGGTCGATCTGCCTACTTATTTCTGGAATCACTCCAAGCGGCACTGGTCCGAGTCTCGACTGAGCCTGGAGCATCGCTTCCGACGGCATGCACGAACCGACTTCCTGGGCTACCCGGTCAATGACTGGAATCCGATGGAACCAAGGTGGAGGAACCTCATCCGGCTTCGAGAACAGCCATGGCTCAAGGGACACATTGTTCAGGGTTCGTACATTTACCCCGGCACGGGCTATATTTGCATGGCTATTGAGGCACTGCATCACCTACGCGACATGCCCGAGTACACAACACCTCTTGGGACTTTCGTGGGTTATCGGCTGAAGGATGTGAAGCTCAGCCGTGCTTTGATCATCCCCGCCAGCGAAGAGGGAGTGGAGACCCTCTTCTCCTTACGTCACTATAAGGAAAGCAGTGCATCATTCTCCGATACGTGGTATGAATTCCGGGCCTTCTCTTACTCTTCTTCGGACGGATGGGCGGAACATGCCCATGGCCTGATCTCCGCTGTTCATGAATCCGATAAGAGTCTGTCAGGAAGCAACTTCACGTATAACCCTTCATTGGAAAAGGTCTTATCCACGGAGAAATTTTCCAGTTCGCGGACCTCGAGCAATCTATACGATGTAGTTGGTGCTGTCGGTCTTGTCTACGAGGAGCCCTTCCGTAACTTCACTGGGGAGCTTCGGACCAACGAAGGGGCCGCGACGGCAACAGTAACTGTGCCTGATACCAAGAGCTTGATGCCGTTTAACTATGAGTATCCGTATCTCATTCATCCAGCAACTATGGACGGTTTCATCCAGATGCTCTTCCCTGCTCTGTTACATGGCACGAACATTTGCTCCTCCCCTTTTATGCCAGTCTTTTTTGATGAGACATTTCTCTGCGCTGATATCGCCCAGGAGCCAGGTCACCGTTTCCACTGCGTCTCTACCGCGGGCCAGACTGGATTTCGCGAGGTTACCACAGATGTACTGGTCCACGATGAAGCCAGCGGGCTGCCGATGGCCAGCTTCAAGGGAGTGAGATGCAGCGGAGTAGATGCGGGGCCTACAGAGGATGATGACGACGTTTCCAGAGCGGCGGTGAAGAAGCTGTGCTTCCATGCAAGTTGGCATCCGGATCCAGAGCTTCTCTCCAAGCCCATAGGAGACGAGTTGATGCGAAAGTATATTGTGACACCTGAAGACCCGCAGCGCGTGTCAAACCTAGAAGCAATTGCCTATTATTACTATTACCAGGTGTTGCAACAAGTGAAGGAGGAGCAGGTTCCTTCAATGAAGCCTCATCACCAGAAGTTCTTCCGGTATATGCAACTTCAGCGAGACCTAGTCAAGGCTCGTCAAATGCCGCACCAGAACGTCGAGTGGGAGCAGTTGGACAATCCCGCCATCCGCGAAAAGATGGAAGTCTTGGCCGCACGGTTAGAGTCATCTGGTATCGACTCGCAGCTGATCTGTCGAGTCGGTCGTAAGCTGGACAAGGTCCTAACAGGAGCAGTCGACCCTCTGGCGCTCATGTTAGAGGACGAGCTGCTCTACAAGTACTATGAAGGGGTGCTAGGCTATGACATCCTGTATCGTTATGCCGAAATTCTTTCGAACAAAAATCCCAATATGAAGGTACTCGAGATTGGTGGCGGCACTGGAGGTGCCACGGCTCCCATCCTGGCTGCGATGGGGGGAAGCAATGGTCGATACCCAAGGTTCAATTCCTACACCTTCACCGACATCTCCTCTGGGTTTTTTGAAGAAGCGGAGATCAAATTCAAGGACTGGAAAGGCCTGATGGAGTATCGCCGACTCAATATCGAGGAGGATCCTGTGGAACAGGGTTTTGGCGAACAACAATACGATCTCGTTGTGGCGGCCTCGGTTCTCCACGCCACAGCAAATATCGATCGCACTCTCGCGCATACTAGGAAATTGCTTAAACCCGGTGGTCGCTTGATTCTCGTCGAAATATCAAATATCCTCAACCAAGTCTTCCTTCTCTTTGGTTGTTTGCCCGGCTGGTGGATGTCGGAAGAGAGCTACCGGCCATGGGGTCCTACAATGAATGAGAAGATGTGGGGCGAAGCCTTGAAACGCAACGGATTCAGTGACCTCACTCTTGCAGCGCCCGATAATACAGATCCTCGAGATGAAATGGGCCGTGTCTTCTCCTGCGTGGCAGTTGAATCGGCTGCCGTTCCAGCTGTGAACCCGTCAATCCAAGAAGTAACACTGCTCACAGACAGTTATGATGCCTCTTCTACATCGTCAGGGCTAGAAAAGGCTATCGAGCAGAGACTCGGCCACCTAGGCATTCCGGTGCGCAAGATGTCTCTCTCTAGCATCTCTCAAACCTCGTTGGAGAACGCCTTCTGTGTTTCGCTAGCTGAGCTCGATCGATCTGTCATCCAGGACATGAAGCCGTCCGAATTCGACGCCATCAAGACCATCATCAAGAGCAGCGAGGGCCTGTTGTGGGTCACTGAAGGCGCGGCTAATAACCCCAGCCGTCCCGAGTCTGCGCTTTTCCATGGCCTGGCTCGATCCCTTCGGGCTGAGCACGAAAGCTTTCCTCTAATCACGGCCGATCTTGCCACTTTTGATCGCCAGGCTCCCGGAGATGCGGCTGAGAACTTGGTGAGTCTCTTGCAGCATATTTTAAAGAATCCGAGGGAGCAGGAGCCCGAATATTTGAACGAGAACGGTTATTGGTGGGTCAATCGCTGCCTCGAATCCGCCGAGACCAACGGCCAAATCCACGGCCGAATCAACCATCAGGCATCTGGAAGCGATAAGACCGAGCCACAACCATTCTATCAGCAAGGTCGACCATTGAAGTTGAACATCAAGACTCCCGGTCTTTTGGATACCTTGAGGTTCGAGGATGATGCTCGAGCTGCAGATCCCCTCGGGCCAGATGAGGTTGAAATCGAAGTCAAAGCGTCCGGTGTCAATTTCCGAGACATTATGATCTGTACCGGTCAGATGTCTGACTCTTCTCTGGGACTTGAGTGTGCAGGTACCATTCGCCAAATTGGCTCTCAGGTGTCTCACTTGAAAATTGGCGAACGCGTCACCGCTTGGACAAAAGGCAACTACTCGAACTATGCTCGCACTCATGCCCAGTTGGCTCAGTCAATCCCGGATGATATGAGCTATGCCGTGGCAGCTTCTCTGCCCATTGTGTTCACGACTGTAATTTATGGTCTTCAGCACATTGCTCGACTCCGCAAGGGCGAGTCAGTACTGATTCATGCCGCTGCTGGAGGTGTTGGTCAGGCGGCCATAATCCTCTCTCAGTGGATCGGTGCAGATATTTTTGTGACCGTCGGAACTCCAAAGAAGAGAGAGCTTGTGCAACGAGAGTTTGGAATTCCAGAAAATCGTATTTTCTCTAGTCGCGATCTTAGCTTTGCGCAGCAAATCAAGAAATTGACCGGAGGACGGGGCGTGGACGTCGTACTCAACAGTTTGGCCGGTGAGGCGCTCGATGCGACCTGGGACTGCATCGCCATGTTTGGTCGCTTTATCGAAATGGGTAAAAAGGACATTGTGGATAATCGCCGCCTGGGGATGGCTCCTTTCCTCCGCAATGTGACCTTTTCGTCGATCGATCTGATGACCGTCTTCAAACACAACGTCAGCTTGGCCGCCCAATTGATGCAAGAAACCAGAGATTTGATCCGCACTAAGGCCATTCGCCCTGTTCCTTCCATCAAAACATTCCCTTTCTCGCAATTCGAAGAGGCTTTCCGTTTTATGCAGCAAGGCAAACATGTCGGCAAAATTGTCATGGTGCCACGGGAGGATGATATTGTGCAGGTAAGTCAAAGCCAACACGCTTCTCTAGTAATCTGTCAGCATCAGAGATCAGATCGTCTCAACTATGCTACCCGTTTGAACACATGCTGACGGTGCTGGCTCTACAGGCAGTTCCCCGCTCTAGCGGCCCATACGTCTTTCCCGAAGATGCTTCATATTTGATTACCGGATTTGGAGGCCTGGGGCGAAGCATGGCACGCTGGATGGCTTCTCGTGGAGCAAAGAATCTCATCTTTGCTTCGAGATCTGGAGTCACACGCCCAGCAGTTAAAGATCTGGTTGACGAACTAGGGCAGTCTGGTGTTCGAGTAGAAGTGCTCCAGGTTGACATCACCGACAAACCTGCTTTTAAATCCGAGTTGGACCGCATTTTGCATGTCTTGCCTCCTGTGCGTGGAGTGATTCAAGCTGCCATGGTGCTGGAAGATCACATCTTTGAAAACATGTCGCTCGAAGCTTTCAACAACGGAATCCGTCCGAAAGTTCAAGGCACATGGAATCTTCACGAAATTACCATTGGACAGCCCCTGGACTTCTTCATCATACTCGCGTCAGCCGTTGGCGTTCTAGGTAATTCCGGACAGGCCAATTACTCGGCAGGTAACGCTTTTGAAGATGCACTTGCGCAATACCGTCGATCGCAGGGCCTTCCCGCCATCTCGATTGACTTGGGTATGATGCTGTCTGTAGGTGCTGTAGCGGAGGATGAAACCGGTCTGGTGCGACGAAATCTGGAACGCAAAGGCTTCGTGGGAATTGAAGAGGAGGAATTCCTTGTCATGCTGGAGATCGCTATTCAAGATTCCAACCAACAGCAGCACAGCCAGATGATTACGGGTATTCAGACCCAGTCGACCGTAGGAGGCGGGGAGGGTGGAATTGCATTGGACGAGCCATCCTGGAAGTCCAGCCCCGTCTTCTCTCATCTCCCGAAGCTGAATGTTCGGTCCTCGAGCAACGCAAATAGCGAAGGCGTGCAGTCCACCCAAGCCCTGCTGAAGGCAGCCTTGTCTTTCAATGATGCAGTAACTATCATCGTCAATGCTATCACTATCAAACTCAGCCGCAGCTTGATGATCGAAATCGCTGAGCTGGATCCGACTCGGCCGACTAGTGCTTTTGGAATTGACAGTTTGATTGCAGTGGAGTTGCGGAATTGGTTTCAGAAGGAGATGAAGGCCGATATTGCAGTCTTTGAGATTCTTCAGGCCAATAGCTTGCAAACACTTGCCTTTCGAGTGGCCGAGAAGAGTGGCTTTGTGGCCAGCTCGCTAGCTGAAGCTTAGTTTTACAATCACTTTTGAAGACAAATTTTATTATTTAGATCTATATTGAAGTTTAAAAGCTTAGCTTTCCACTACTCAATTTTTTCATTCTAATTTTCTTCCATTTTCCAATCTCCAGCAATCTATAAATCATTGTAGTATACGATGCGCTCTATCCTATAGCGTAAGAAAGTGAACCTCCAACCCTTCTGCTTCGTCTCTCTCTATAATTTTTCCTGTTCACTCAGTTAAATTAAGAAACTGACCCACAAAGCTCTCGAACTATCTCATCAAATTAAAAGTGCCCACTAGCCTCACTTTAGGGCCACAGAGTAATTATGGTCTCGGCGGATTAGCTTTGTCGGAGGGTTTTTGTTTTGTCCCCTAAAATTATTCCATGGAGCGCCCCGGGAGGCACCCTTGGGGGGAATAAATATATATCAAGAAAATTCCCACCATCACACTGCTTCGGTACATAAATCAAATCCAACCATGCTTGGTTGCCGGTTCAAAATGTCCTCACGGGTACTTCTCCTCTTATCTGCGTTTCTAGTTCCCGTTCTTTCCACCAACTGTGAGTCCTGCTTCGCATTTTATATCGTTGATTGGTGATTATTGAGGCTGACCTTATAACAGCTCCAATTGACCACACTCGATGGCTGGCCGCTCAATCCAAAGCAGATTCTTGGATCTCATCCATGAATCTGACAGAAAAGGCTGGTATCGTGACGGGCACCTTGTCCGGTGTATGCATTGAATATGTTGCTCCAATCGAGCGCCTAGGATTCTCAGGACTCTGTCTGCAAGACGGCCCGGCTGGCATCCGCCTGGCAGATTTAGCCAGCGTGTTTCCTGCAGGTGTGACCACGGCGGCCACCTGGGATAAGGAGCTGATGTACGAGCGTGGCTCAGCGATGGCGGCTGAGTTTAAGGCGAAAGGAGCTCATGTAATATTAGGGTATGTGATGCCTTAGTCAGGAAATATGTCTTTGCTAACGACATAAAAAGTCCATCGGGAGGCCCTTTGGGTAGAAGTGCCTGGGGAGGTCGAAATTGGGAAGGCTTCTCCCCAGATCCCTACCTCACCGGTATTGCCATGGACCACACGATCCGAGGAATTCAAGATATGGGGGTACAGGCCTCGGCGAAGCATTTAGTTGGCAACGAGCAAGAGACCCAGCGCAAGCCTACCACCATTAATGGGAAAACTGTCGAGGCAATTTCTTCCAATATCGATGACCGGACACTGCATGAATTGTATCTTTGGCCGTTTGCAGATGCCGTCCATGCCGGTGTGGCATCAGTGATGTGTGGATACAATCGGGTCAATGAGACGTATTCCTGTGAGAATAAACATCTGATGGTTGACATTCTGAAGGGCGAGTTGGGCTTTCCGGGATATGTTATGTCAGACTTCTTTGCCACTCACTCTGGGGTTCGTGCAATCGAAGCTGGACTAGACATGAACCAACCAGGACCATTATCATTATTTCAGATAGGCGAATCATACTGGGGCCCGAATATTCCAGAGGCCGTGCTAAATGGCACACTCTCTATGAACCGACTGGACGATATGGTCCGCCGCATTTTGACTCCTTTCTTTTACCTCGGGCAGGATGAAGGCTACCCGACGATTGATCCCGCGTCCGACGCACTTTTCTTCGAGGGATTTGATATGCTCTCACTGGGAACTCCCACCCCTGTTGGCCGTGACGTTCGCGGCAACCACTCTGTCTTGATCCGACAGATTGCAGCGGCGGGCAGTGTCCTGCTCAAAAATGAAAATGCGACGCTCCCGTTGGATCCATCTCACTTGACCAATATCGGCGTCTTCGGAAGTGATGCATCAGATCCGACGACAGGCCTGATATATCCCGATGATGGATTTGAAATTGGAACGCTCATAATAGGAGGAGGCTCCGGCGGTGGTCGACCCAGCTATATCGTCACACCGCTGGACGCTGTCAAGTCATATGCTCGAGAGATTGGCGCCCGAGTGCAGTATAATTTCAACAACACCGCGCTCGCAGCAGGGGACTTCAGCGGCATTTACCCCTGGCCTGATGTCTGCTTGGTTTTTCTCAAAACCTGGGAGACAGAGGGAGTCGACCGTATCAGTCTGGAGGCCGACGATGATTCTGCTCAGGTCGTCAACAGTGTTGCTTCCCTCTGCCCCGGGCGAACAGTAGTCGTCACTCATTCCGGCGGCGCAAATACAATGTCGTGGGCCACCAATCCCAATGTCACGGCGATCGTGGCTGCTCATTATCCTGGTCAAGAATCTGGCAACTCCATTATGGATATTCTAAGTGGCAAGATCAATCCCTCTGGGAAGCTTCCGTATACAATTGCGGCCAATGCAGCAGACTACAATGCACCCATTGTCAACATCACGGGACCCGAGGCCGAGGGCTCGTCCGCGTGGCAGAGTGATTTTACCGAAGGTCTTTTCATCGACTACCGCCACTTTGATGAACAAGATATCAACCCTTTGTACGAGTTTGGATTCGGCTTGAGCTATACTAGCTTTGAACTGGGCTCAAGCTTAGCTGTCGCGCCCAGTCGAAAGAACCTCACAGGATACCCACCGCGAGTAAACTCGACCTTATCGGTTGGCGGAAACCCCCATCTTTGGGAGACAGTGGTGGAGTGCTCTGTGGATGTGTCCAATACCGGTCCTATGGCAGGGTCAACAGTGGTACAGTTGTATGTATCCCTGTCGGAAGCCAACATTCCACCGAATACCCCAATGAGAACTCTGCGAGGATTTGAGAAGGTCCACTTAGAGACTTCTGAAACACAGACAATTTCATTTCAATTGACACGCCGGGACGTTAGTTATTGGGATGTTATGGCACAGGATTGGAAAATCCCGGCTGGGAATATTAACATCAGCGTAGGATTCAGCTCTCGTGATCGCAGGATTGAGGCTACCACAGTGTTACTACAAGGATAAAACGTGTTACTTAGTGTAAATGTTTGTAAATACCTAGGATGCTATTAATATTATTAGAATCTGACGAGCAAGATAGTCAATTGAAGATAGCAGCATGTGTTAGAAAAGCGGGGATTTCAGGATAGATATGGCAGGCATTGTCGGCTACGTTTCGGCTGTTGATTCTGAGTTTCTCAGTTCCGTGGGGGTCTTCATTAATGACGTTTCATTGCCGTTTCGATCAATGTCTTCGAATCAACTTTCGTGTTGATTGGGAGGACAACTTGATTGGAAATATTGCGGGAGATCAACGAACTTTAAGCGGGCGTGGGGGCAATCCCGTCTATCAAAAAGGAGCGGGTTGTGGGGAAGTCGGGGCGTGGGGGTGTGGTTCCCCTCATCCAAGCCGCGTAGAGAGGTTTATTCTTGCGTAGATATATATACGATAGGTGATGTCTGCTGCCTCCGCCTTTGACTTGTTCGATGTAGTTGCACCCGTCGGACTGGCTTTTATGAATCTCATTTGCATTCACTCTGGAAGGTTGCAATTGCAAACTAGAAATCTCAGCAACTGACATTGTTTACCTCCCGGACCTCTCCTAACGAGTTGCTTTTTTGGTGTACTATGATTGCCAAATCTCTAGAAAGCGACAGCAAAATCGAAGAATGTCAGCGTATTGAGCTCCGAAGTTCTGATCCGAAAACTTCGAACGATGGAGCTGTACCAAAGCACGCTGATGTGACTCTGGTCCTTCAAGGGGCCGAGAGAGTGGCAGTCACTGTAGAGGAGGTATATAGGCCAAGCAAGGCGAAAATATACAATTTCTAATATAGCATAACAGAGTAACCGTATTCGAAAGAAGACAGATCATGTTGTCCTGATTATCCTGATATGGGTCTACTTCCTCCAGGTATGTCTTTTTATGCTGCACCCTTACAACAAAATACCTAATAATGAGCAGATTTTAGACAAGTCTGCTCTAGGGTACGGCTCAATTTTTGGCCTCCAGGAAGCGACACACCTTCATGGAAAGCAGTACTCCATGGTAGGGTCGATAGCTCCAATTGCCCAATTGTGTTGGCAACCATTCTCGTCTGTTTTGATTGTCAAAGTACCCCATCGAATCCTCATGCCGACTCTGTGTCTGGGCTGGGGTATTGCTCAGGCCGCCCAGGCCGCCTCTAAGAACTATTCATGCCTTCTTGCCTCTCGATTTTTCCTTGGCCTCTTTGAGGCTGGTTGCTTGCCTTTATTTAGCATCATCACAGCGGAATGGTACCGACGTGCAGAGCAGCCTACTCGGGTCGCGGCGTGGTACAGTGGAAATGGATGTGCTACGATTATTGGCTCTGCCTTATCATACGGCCTGGCACATATTCCCTCTCAGCGTATGGAATCGTGGCAAATGTAAGCAGAAAGAGTCCTGCTCCTGTTGAATGTATTTTGAGTATTCGCTGATATCGTATTACAGAATCTTTCTTTTTGTCGGGCTCCTGACCATTATCTCCGCACCTATTGTGTATATTTTCCTGCCAAATGACATCCCATCGGCGAGATTCTTATCCGACGACGAAAAGCGCAAGGCAGTCGAACGCCTTCGAGCCAACCAGACCGGAGCTGGCTCTCGGGAATTCAAATGGTCCCATATTTATGAGCTTTGTTTGGAACCAAAGACCTATCTCTGGGTTGGCATGTCTCTGCTTCTCAATGTTGGAGCGTCAGTCACAAACACTTTTGGGCCCCTTATTCTCGATGGCCTTGGCTTTGACAAGTACACCACATCTCTTCTCAACATGCCTTTTGGTGCCGTTCAAGTCATCGTCATTATTCTGTCCTCTGTTGTGGCGCAAAAGTGTCGCATCAAGTCGGCGATCTTGGCGACAATTACTCTGCCTGTGGTGGCCGGCTTGGTTGTGCTCTATGTTGTGCCCCGGTCTCACTCCGATGAAGCGGCTCTCCTGGTAGGCTTCTATCTCTTGGCTTTTCTTTTTGGCGGCAACCCGATCATAGTAGCTTGGATCGTCGGAAATACGGCCGGAACTACGAAGAAGTCCGCTCTCATGTCGCTGTACCAAGCCGGAGCTGCAGCAGGTAACATCCTCGGACCGTTGCTCTTCAATAGCAAAGATGCTCCAGGATATCATCCGGGCTTACGCTCAGTCCTTGCAGTGTTTGTAGCCTTGATCGTGGTTACAATGATCCAACTCGCAAACCTGGTGTTCTTAAACAAACTACAGACGAAGAAGAGGGTGAGAAATGGCAAACAAGCCGTTTTAATAGATCGTTCAATGGATCCAACTTGTAACGTCGTGGAAAGCGACATTACCACAGAGAGCCAAGAAGAAGGCGTATCTACTCGGCATGAAGAAAATCCAAAGGAAAGCCAAATGGACGAAAACGCATTCCTGGATCTGACGGATAGACAAAACGACGAATTCATATACATCTATTAGACTAATTACGAACGAAACAATCAGTATGGCATTTTTTGGGTGTTTCAATACAAACTACATTTGAAACAACATGATATAATTCTTCAACTAGTGATGGTGAAGTCTATATTTTTGTTATTGGGATTGCCACTGTTGATCGTGCTGCCACAGCGTTTCACAACTTCCCTGATTTATGTTTCCATCACTGCTAAACGATATTCTTCCCTTGGGCCCTGGCAACACAATTCAATTTGCAGTGGCATTAAGAGATCCAGTACATGTTTCAATATTATGACGATCAACAGACTATACAGCTCCTCCACCAAGCAGGTTCATCCTCGGGAAGTGTACGAGCAACAAATTCCTTCCACTCCCAAAACTTCAACGCATCAACTGCCCCTTCTGGTTCCTTCCACTCGTCTCGAGGGGGGTATGGTGACTTGTCAAAAACCAGACGAAGTTCATACCTGGAAATATACGAGGACCGTGATGTGTCCAAGTTGTCCCAATACGAAAAAAATGCACCTCTTTCCAGCCTAACGGTATACGACTTTGTCTCGAATGCCTCGTCCTTGAGCACGTCTTCGTTTATTCTGGCACGGCGCAAGTCTATACCCATTTTTGGAATGCGCCGTTTGGTAAGCGTGAGGTCGAGGTCGAACTCGCACAACAAAATGTTTGTGTTTTTGCGAATACGACTAGAGGTGTCAACGACTTGGTCGAGCAGCTTGGGATTCTGAAGCTTCCAATCGAACTCTGTGGCGATGAACAAGTTGACTTCTTGGCCACATAATATCTTTTGTGCTAGTCAGTTAGATGCCCATGAAAGAGAGACCAAAATATTTACTTTGCCCGTGCCATCTTTATTGAATGTCATCCATTTAGTAAGCCCCCAAATAGGATCAAAGTCCCACTTCTCGCTGCAAAGGATGGATCCAAAAGTCTCAAATTTGTCCTCTGTCATGGTCGGAGGTAGTTGTAGCTGGTGTGTCTAGGCTGCAGAATGAGTCGAGTATATAAGGGCTGTGTAGGCCCCCTGTAACCCTTTTGCTTGGCAAGCCCTCAGGTCGGGTCGGGTTTGTATTTTGAAGCATGATAGCCTGCTGCCTAGTACAGGGTATAGGTGTAACAATGGTTACAGGGATAGCATACAGACAACTATAAGGGAAGACGGAGTCAGACAGCAGACAACATGGAATGAGGGGTCATGTAAAGATAAGATAAGGAAAGGTAGAAGATTATGGCAGAATAAGTAATCAGTAGTAATTAGTAGTGATTAGGATGGATCATAGTTAATTAGCACTAATTAACATACAGAACTACTAGAATAAATTATCTATATAGAAAGAAGGATTTTTCATGTAGTTAGATTTGTTTTATATTATAACAATAGTTACAAGAGTTAGTAGTAGATGGCACAGTGTAATGATGGTTACAAGGGTTAGTAACAGATGGCACAGGGCCTACTTAAGAAGTGCAGAGTGTAATGATGGTTACAAGGGTCAGTAACAGATGGTGCAGGTGTCACGGTGGCTGGGTCCAGACCAGCCCGACCGACAATGGCGTTGCTCCAGACCCTTATAAGCGCCCAGCATGTCACATGCATGACAGCCACGGGATAGTCCAGTGGCTATATGCTGCATATATATCATGGGGTAGAATGCTCTGCCAAAGGGCAAGTGTTCTACTTTTGTTACATAGAGCCTAGCTATCACTCCCACTCTGCTTTATTCCAGCTTGCAACCACCCTGTGTATCCCAGGTATCACTACACAGTTACAAGGCAAGGCCCTTACAATATTGATCTAGCAAGACACCTAGCTTTGTACTCACTACTGTTATGGTAACACCTACAGATAGGTGTTGGGTTGTATCTTCCTAGATAGTTCCCTGTTAGTACATCAAGGGTTTTCACCTAGTAATATAGTGTCCTGCAATATTATTCAGTGATAGGAGTGATATAAGATGATATGATAATTCAGGTCCTGTAGATAAAGTAAACAATAAGATTGTTGTTGTACTAATATCTAAATACTGATAATCAATTACTGTAAAGCAGTAATGCTAAAACAGTAATGTCAAGAACTACACAGAACAATTCTAGTTACATAGGAAAACCATCCTCCTTATATAGACAATCTGTTCTGTGCTGATTGCACCTGATTACCTTGATCACCTTGTAATTACTTGTGATCACTGTGATTACTATTTCTGCTGCTGTTCTCTGCCTTCTTATCTTATCATCATATGACCCCTTGTCTTGTGATATTATACAGTGTACTGTGCCTCTGCACTTCATAAGTAGGCCCTGTGCCATCTGTTACTGACCCTTGTAACCATTGTTACATTAGGTCCTTCCTTTTCATCCTTTCAACTTGAAAGGCTGATTCTGTGACCACCTGGCTTTCTCATAAAAGGTAAGGCTTCTCCCCTTCCTGTTGCTTCTTCATTCTTCTAACCTTTTGTTCCATCATGCTAAAGGTTTCTAGTTCTATTTGTCATTGTTACCTTGCCAACTGTGCTTCTCAACTTTCCTGTAACATGCCAACTCCCTGTTCTGCCTGCTGTTCTTCTAGTTAGGTTTGTAAAGTCTCTCTTGAATCTAGTTGTTGTGTTGAGTACATTTCCTGTGGTTGGAAGTGTGATCTGGTAGTATCTGAGGCTGACTGGCAGCATCTTGATTCCAATCATTGTTGCATTGAGGCTTCTTTAGAGGAAACAAAGTCTGAGTTTTCTTGTCTGGTTAAAGAGGCTTCTCAGCTTTCTGCCTATTGCTTACATCTTTACAAACAGCTCCTTCAAAACTGTAATTGTGGTAAGGAGATGTTTCAGCAAGAACTTGAATCCATTGAGGAATTAGAGTGTCTAGAACAAGAGTCCAAAGCTGCTGCTTCCACTGTTTTTTCTCCTCTAATTTCTTCTGATTATAGAGGGTTTTTCTACTTTTTCCAAAGGGTTAGACTTAGGAATTTATATAGTAAGAATTTATCAAACCATAGTTTAATTTGTTACTGCAGT